GCTTTTAGTAATATAAGGCTTTTGGTAATAAAGTACGTTATAGTTATTTAAGAAAAACTCGTAAATTTCTTGTTAATTTTTCTTGCTAAGAAATTGTAGACAGTTTAATAATATAGGTAGTTTAATAATAAAGTATATTATAGTATTTATAATATAATAAAGGTTTCTAGAAAACTTTTATAGAGCTAGCTCTTCTAGGTATAGTATAATAAGAGATAGAAGTTAGAAAAATTTTGTCTTTAGAGTTTTCTCTTCTAACTATATATATATTAGTTAATCTAGCTATATAAACTTATAATTTTATAAATTATAGTATACTTAAACTATCTAGAGCTTATTAACTAATAATATAGTAGCTTTAAGTAGTTATTTAAAAGTAAAGCCTTTTTATAGTATAGTAGAAAAAGATAGAACTATACTAAAAATATATTAAAATTATTACTTCTAAATATATAGAAAGCTTATAATATATATAAGCTTATAATATATAGCTTTATATAGCTAGATTATTAATATCTATATATAGTTAGAGAAGAAAACTATAAAAAGAATTTTTTTAATTTCTATCTCTTATTACGCTATACCTAGAAGAGCTAGCTCTATAAAAGTTTTCTAGAAACCTTTATTATATTATAGATACTATATACTATAAGTTTTATATATTATTATAGAGATATAATAGTACTTACTAGAAGTAAACTTAATTTTTTCTTAAAAGTTATCTAAATACGTATAGCATTTTAATTACGTAGTATATCTTAGTATAACTTTACTATAAGGTATAATATACTATAGAGAATATATATATAAATTTTTATAGAGAAATATTAAGGTTTTACTTAGTTATTTAAGAAAAACAAGTTAATTTTCGTTAATTTTCGTTGCTAAGAGAAGGTAACTAGCTTACTTATATAACTAGCTCGCTTGTAAAGTACGTTAGTATATTATATATCTTTAAAGTCTTATAGTTTATTATTAAGGTTTTCTAGTACTATTAAGATTTAAAGTCTAAGAATAGTTACTTTTAGAAAAAGGCTTACTTCTAGCTTACGTAATAAGAAATATATAATACAAATTTAATAGAAGGTGTATATAGTATAGTTCTATATATATTTAAAATTTTATAGAAAAATATTAAGGTTTCGCTTAGTTATTTAAGAAATACTTATTAATTTTTCTCTTACTTGGCATTTTTGGGGTGTTCGCTTGTGTGGGGTGTTCGCTTGTAAAGTACGTTATACTTCTCTGTTACTATAAAGATACCTATAGCTCGCTAGCGTAGCGTCTTTACTCGTCTTAGCATACGCGATAAGCCGCCCAGTTGGGCCCCGATCGCATTCCCAGCAAAAACCGGAATCTCATGATGCGGAAATCTGCGGGCGGCATGCAATTCGCGCTCCGTCATGCTGAGCGAATCTTCTTAAGCCCAATTGGGGCCCTCCGCCACACCGACGCCCTTAGTTAGGGACGCGTGAAACTAACTTTTTTCGCTCTTTTTATCGCGGAGATGGTTATGGTCCGCCCAAGAACGCAGAGAGAGCTTGGGCAGCTGTGGCGGGGAGCGCGTAGACAGTGAGTCGCGCACAGAGCGCTGCCTCGAGTTGCGCAACAGCTAACCAGACACAGTTTGCATTCGCGACGCAGATTTCCGAGTAGACAGACAGCTGCTGCGCTTGGCTTGCGATACGGCCCGCCGTCCCTTGTCGCCGCCCTCACAGCTGGCTTTCTAGCCTTGCCGTCGTCGCCGTGTACCTTTTTGCGTCCGACGCTCCTCGATTCGCCCGAAGCCTCGTGGTGGTCTTTCCTCCCGCGCGACCAACAGCGCAATGCGTCAACAAGTGCGAAGGATGCAGAGGACCAGGTCAATAAAACGGACACAGGCGCCGTGAGCAGCGGGGAGCAGAAACCTCCACCACAAACCCGCGTCGTCTCCGCAGACGGCGAGAAGGCTGAGGACAGCAAGGAGTCCGCGTGGCAGACGATCACGAAGAAGCTCCCCACTGCGCCGAAGTCGGCTACCTCGCTGGGCGACACAATCGTGGACTACGTGGTGCCCAACTGGGCGAAGATGCTGCCCGGCTTCGTGCGCAAACTGCAGAACGAGCTGTCCATGGCGCCGGGCTCGCTGGCCGAAGAGATCTGGTACGAGGCGCACGATCCCGAGATCAATCCGGAGATCATCTGGGACGCGTCGGTGCGGGTGTCGAATGACCTTTGCGCGGAGGAGAAGCGGTTCCGCGAGAAGAGGTCGCTGTTCACACGGAAGGGGCTGGCGCGCTATTTGGATATACCGGAGGAGACGATCCATCCGGAGGATGTGCCTGTCATTGCGATGTGCGGCTCCGGCGGTGGACTGCGCGCGCTGGTTGCGGGCACGTCGTCGTATCTTTCGGCGCATGAGCAGGGGCTGTTCGACTGCGTGACGTATACCGCGGGCGTGAGTGGCAGCTGCTGGCTTCAGACGCTGTATTACTCGAATATCACGCAGCGGAGCCATGCGAGGCTGATTCGGCATCTGAAGAATAGGCTGGGCGTGCATATTGCTTTTCCGCCCGATGCGCTGGATCTGCTGGCGAGCGCGCCGACGAACAAGTATCTGCTTAGTGGGCTGGTGGAGAAGGCAAAGGGTATGCCGGATGCGGAGTTTGGCATCGTGGATGTCTATGGTGTGCTGCTGGCGGCGAGGCTGCTGGTGCCGAAGGGCGAGCTGTCGGTCGATGAGTACGATTTTAAGGTTTCGAATCAGCGGCGGTATACGGATGATGGATCGCATCCTCTGCCGATTTATACGGCTGTGCGGCATGAGATCCCGCTTGCGGAACAGTCCGATACGAAGGACCCGATCGCTGCGGAGGCGAAGGCGAGGAGAGAAGCGTGGTTCCAGTGGTTTGAGTGAGTTGCCCCAGGCCAATGCTTCTTTGCTTGAGTTGACATTCGCAGATTTACTCCCTACGAGTTCTGGTGCGAAGAGCTTGAAGCTGGTATCCCTACCTGGGCTATTGGCCGCAAGTTTGAGAATGGCAGAACCGTCTGGCGAGAGAATGGTCTGGCATTGCCGGAAGTACGAGTCCCGCTGCTGATGGGCATTTGGGGCAGTGCTTTCTGTGCGACTCTATCGCATTACTATAAGGAGATTCGACCGGCAGTGCGAAGTCTCACGGGCTTCGCTGGCCTGGACACCATGATCTCGGAACGAGATGAGGACCTCATCAAAGTGCATCCCATCGATCCGGCTGCGATTCCGAACTTTGCTCTCGGCATGCGCAGCTTCCTGCCGCCGTCTTGCCCAGAGAGCATCTTCGAAACGAAGAATTTCCAGCTGATGGATGCTGGGATGAGCAACAACTTGCCTATCTACCCGCTGCTACGACCTGGAAGGAACGTGGATATCCTGATCGCATTCGACGCGAGTGCGGACGTCAAGACAGACAACTGGCTCAAGGTTGCCGATGGCTATGCTCGACAACGCGGCATCAAAGGCTGGCCCGTGGGCGCCGGCTGGCCCCCAGAGGAAGAGACAATGGCAGAGCTCCAGCAAGACATGGACAAAGCGCAAGCAGACACGGAGAAGCAAGCACAAGCGAAGATGGAAGAAGCCAAAGAGCAAGACAAGCCCAAGCAACAGGGCGGTGAGAGCAATGCGCTCGGCTACTGCAACGTCTGGATCGGCAAGACCGAAGAGCGCACAAGCGACTCCGAACCGCCCTCCTCCAAAGTCGTCGAAGAGGACTGGGAGCTCATGCAGCCCGACGCCGGCATCACCGTCATCTACTTCCCCTTCCTGGCGAACCCGACCGTTCCTGGAATTGATCCCAAGACTTCGGATTTCATGAGCACGTGGAACTTTGTCTACACGCCCGATCAGATCGACAGCGTGGTGCAGCTCGCGCGCAGGAACTTCCAGGAGGGCGCCGAGCGCACGAAGAGGACGGTGAGGGCGGTGTATGAGCGCAAGAAGAAGATGCGGGAGGAGCGGGAGGCGGAGGAGAAGGAGCGCAGGAGGAGGTGGAAGATGAGGCAGGGGCGCAGTGGGGGGAGGAGGATTGGGGAGGGGGATCATGGGGATCATTTTAGTTGAAGGGGTGGGCTTGCTTTTGGATGAGATTGTTGCGCTGCATTATACCCTGATATAGATTTCTTTTGGAACTTGGACGTTGGACGGTGCTGAGGTGCTGTGAGACTATTGATTGTGCTTGATATGCCTGGCTATCTTGAAATCTTCTTCGGCAGACCGCCAACATGCTCTATGCGCAATGGAGAACGGCAGCTCTGCAATTCGCCGTTTGGCTTTCCCAAGCGCCCGGCACCCGGGCTTAGCAGCGACACGTCATGCGAGTCGCACCTGCACCTTCCGGGGTTAGTCGCCTCATCCTTGCCTCGTTTGGGGTTGGCGGAACTTCACCTCACCTTCACTCCCAACACTCTGTTGCCTGCGCCCATGATGACAGCACAGCCTTGTCGCTATCACCTTCACTCTGCACGCTCTGCGCGGTTGCTACACCGACTGCCTTGAGCTTCGGGTGCCGTTCTTTCTAAGACCTCACGAGCCGGCCCGCCTGCAAACGCTCCTGCGACTTAGACGGCTGTCGCAATCAGCAGTTAACCTCGAGAGGCAGCTGCGATACTGAAGAGCTTGTCTTAAGGCTTATTTTCTATCCCTCATCCCGAAGGAAGCAACGTCCCTGCTTCTCTTACCGACGTTCTGTCTCGGGCTACACAGCCCCACCACCGACATGACGACGCACGAAGACACGGTCATGTCCGACTTCTCGCGGTCGCACAAGCGCCACCACGAGTACTCCTATCGACTCCCGACCCCGCCGAGGATCGTAGTGCCGCCGCCCACCCTCACGTCCGAGGTGCCCGAATTGACTGTCTCCTGCCTGCGCACACCCGACGAAGAGCTGGATACAAGCTTTCTTAAGGAGATGAACCTGGAAAGCATCGTCCAGACGAACACACTGTTGGAGTGGGCATACGAGCGGAGGAGACAGGCGCAGATGATCCTGCCCTGGCTGTACCTGGGTCCCTTGACGGCGGCGAAGGACCGCGACTTCCTCAGACGGGAGGGCATCACCATGGTCCTGGCAATCCGCGCACGGGACAACAGCATGAACGGCGCGCTGAAGATCGCAAAGGAAAGCTGCCATGAGGTCGCGACTATTGAGGCCGCTAACTACTTCACCCTTATCGGCAAGTTCTCCGAGACCACCAGGATGATCAACCAGCACGTCGCCAAGTTCCGGAAGTATACTGCGGCAATTGGCACCCCGCAGCTCGGGAAGGTGCTTGTGTTCTGCGAGTCGGGGAACGAGAAGTCGGCCGCCGTCGTGGCGGCGTACCTGATGGAGACGCTGGAGGAGTTCGACTATATAAAGAGCATGCAAGTGTGTCAGGCTCAGCGCTTCTGTGTTAATTTCGACGACACTGTCAAGAACATACTCCGGTCGCACTGGGACATTCTGCAAGCTCGGCGTGCGGTTACGAGCTCCCGCTCCGGCTTGCTCCAGGCCACCGCTCTCACCAATGGTCTCCAGCAAGTCATCCCGCATCTCCAGGCCCAGCAGCAATCGGTATTAAAGCCGAAGCGGACGATTGAGGATACCAGGGATGACGAGGACATGGACATGGGCGACAGCACGGATCCCTCGGATGTGCTTCGGTTCGTTGGAAGGGACATCACCCCGTTCGTGGACGGTTAGGGCGCTTGCTCTCGGACCTTGGGTTTCGGCGTTTCGCGGCGTACTTCCTTGCTTTTACTATGATACCCCGCATACGATATGGGCGTTTGGCGGCATGGGTGGGTATGGCTTTGATCCTCGGACAGTATGTCCGCAGTATGAAAAGCCTGGGTATTGTGTTCCTGATTTTACTAGAGGCGCTTCATTGCAGGTGGGTATTTCGACGCCCTCGGGGTTACGGTAGGGGAGCAGCCGTCACAACTGGGTATAGGCAAGTTCCTTAGGGTTTGCCCACATCTCGTATTTCCTTTAGTCTTAGTACGCTTTTCTTTAATCCCAAATCAACTGGCACTTCCCTTGCCTGTGTGTCGCCCGTGATGCTCACTGCGCCATTGGAGGACCCAGGACAGGCGCTCGTGGGGTACGCAATATCGTAATGGCAAGCGCTCCCCAATCTGGCCGTCTCCCAACTCGACACCGGGCGAACCCGCGTGGACCCTAGCTGTCTGATTTTTCCAGCTTCGTCTCAAGGCCTTTTGGCTGGTGTAGGAGGAAGCGGCGGCCGAAGCAACCCAGGAGCTCACGGCGTAGGGAACATAGCAATGGCAGGCGCTCCCCAATCTGAACCTTAGAACATCTCCCGCCTTGAACACCATGGACCCTAGCTGTTTGATTTTCTGGCCTCATCTCATGGCCTTCTGGCTGGTGTGAGAGGAAGCGGCTGCCGACGCAGCCCGGGCACCTGGGCATGGAGCAGTGTGCTACCACAGCACCTGCGGAAAGGTACGTGAAGGCACGGCCACCGGGCACCATCTAGTCTACTACGACAGAAGATCCCTCTCCCAGGCTACCAATTTGACAGCATCAGCATCCTTATCGCCCCGACCGAGTCGCTATTTTTTGTCCCTTCGACTCGCAGTAACACAGTATCTTCCTCGTCTGTAGCAGCAACAATACCCGACATTCGCTCCCCCCAGCGGCCGATAACGGCGACACGTCGAAAACGTCCCTTTCACTTCCACGCCCGTCGGCTGCTATGCTGCTACGTCGGAGCAGCGAGCGGAAACCGCCGCGCCGCTATCGGGGCGGCCGAAGTTGGGGGGACAGTGACTCTGACAGTACCAGTGACAGCGCGTCGGGCGAGACTTTAACCTCACCACCCACTTCCACTTCCACTTCTTCCTCTCCTCCTACGCTCGCACATCACCAGCGCAACAACGCCACGCCCCGTACCGGCATCTCGCGTACGGTGCAATCCGCCGCTCAGCTACAGCTAGTGCGAAAGTCGAGTAACAGTTTTTCTCCGCGTGAGAGCTCGTCGCCTTCTACACTGCTGCAGTCACAACAACGGCCGTCGCCCTCGTTGTTCGTCGCGCCCTTTTCAGCTGCGACTCGCAACGTCAGCGTCACCGCAGCGTCGACACAGAAGAGCGATTCCAGATTGTCGCGCCACAGCGCTGATTCAATGGTGAACAATCGTACGGTGAGGAAGCTGGCGCCCGCGCAGGAGATGGAGGCGCGAGAGCTTGGGGATGGGACCTCTGGGGGTGAGGTGAGGCGCTCTGCTAAGGTATGTATGCCTCTGTTCTTCCTGAAGCCGACGCTAACTTTTCGCAGGGCGGAAAGAAGATTGCGCAGAAAGACAAGTGGGTCGGCGTACCGAATCTGAGCCTCGGCGCACCCGCAGCCTTCCCGTCGATAGACCCTAGCATGGTAATGCTCGAAGAGCCCGCGGGCGAGAGGTATCATATCAAGATGCTGGTAGATGACAGGGCGAGCAGCAACGCTGAGAAGAGGGAGGCTAGCTACGCGGTCGTCGAGAGGATGTACGCCTGCGAGGGCGATTTCCCGGACATGAGCGAGGAAGAGAAGAATTGGTATGCGGAGCTCAAGAGCATGCCGATGGACGAAGATGCTGCGCGCAAGGTATGTCTACTCACCCATGCTCGTAACTCACCGCCTGCTTCTACCGACGCGGGTGAGACGATACAAGTTCCTGACACCCTTCCGCAGATCGCTTTCGCCTCCCTTTGGCCCATCCTCCGCCAAGCCATCATTGACTCTATCCTACAAACCTGCGAGGCCTTCTTGACCTACCAGAGCGCATACTTCCCCGTCAGGATCCTCCTCGGCCTCGAAATGGATGCAATCAGCGCGATCATGCACGAGAACATCGCCTTCGCCAATTCGCAGTTCATCCCTGCTGAGCTCCTGCAATACAAACAGTCGCATCCCGACGAGATCGTTGACCCGGATACCCCTCCAAGCAGGGAGATTGTGCGAGCGATCCAGTACCTAATGCAGGAGCGGCTGCCCGGGAGCTTGCTGGGAGAGTGGCAGTTTCCGCTGCCGGAGTTGCAGGTATAGTGCTTTTCTTCCTACTACGCCTGGCCTCGCTGTAATATTCTCTGTCTGTTTTACTCTGTCTACCTTCTTCGATGTCTGTCAATTTTTCGAGCTCCTCCTCGGCCTTGGCTACGCGTGGCCGTGTATTATTATGCTAACGAAGGGACAAGACCTTCCACGAGCTCATGAGAGAGTTGAACCCCTCGCATTGGTCCGTTCATGGCAAGACTGGCCACCACGGTTCCGCGGCGGAGGGATCGTATGAAGAGGAGTATACCGAAGATGAAGAGAGCGATATGATGAGCTCGACCGCTCCGGGCAAGAAAAGCCTGGTTGTGGTCCTGGAGATCGACTCGATGCGCCTGGCGAGGTTGGACAAGTGGGGAACTGGCAGCATCCAATCTGAGGGCCCACAGACCGCGCAGAACGACAAGAAGCGAAAGCGAGACCCGCCCGCCGATCCTGCCCTCAGCCCGTACGTACTAAGCGAGGAAGATGGGACGCCAGCGAAGAAACAGAAGAAACAGAAGTCGGAGCTCCTTCCCGTCGAGGACGCGGGTGTCGAGCCGTTGAGTGCCATGAACAAGCAGTCGCCCATCACCCCAGCGCTTAGTCTGGCACGGGGAGATGAGATCATGCAGGATGAAGAGAGCGTGGTCGAAATGCCACCACCGAAGAAAAAGTCGGAGCTCCTTCCGGCCAAGAAGGCGGACACATCATCAATGAAGGGAATAAACCAGAGCCCGCCTGCCAATCCAGCTCTTGGCCCGGCGCATGGAGGCAAAGCAATTCAGAATCAGGACACCGTAGGGGGACTTCAGCCACCGAAGAAGCAGACGTCGCAGCCCTTTCCAGTCAAGAAGGCAGACATGCACGCATTGAAGGACATCAACAAGCACATTCAACCGGGCGGTTCGGCACCCAAGCATCGAGTCAATCAGACCGAGGAGAACGTGGTAGAAATGCCACCACCAAAGACGAAGAATCCTCAGCTCCTTCCAGCCAAGAAAGCGGATATACAGCAACCGAAGGATCTCAGCAAGCACAATGAACCGCTCGGCTCGACACAGGGAGGCATATTCAATCAGCATGAGCAGAACTCGATGCAAATGCCGCCACCAAAGATGAAGAATTCGCAGCTCCTTCCCGTCAAGAAGGCAGACTTCGATCAGATGAAAGGAACGAAGAAGCGCCCTGCCCCAACCGAGACACAAGGACAGGCAGAGCGGGCCATGAAGAAACAGAAGACCATGCCGCCAGGATTTCACCCGCCAGCGAAGCGACCTGCTCATGTATCAGGCAAAGTTCGTCCGTCTCCGAACCCAGCACGGCCACCCCCACCAATCCCAATGTCGGCCACGGTCGTGGATCTCACACAGGACGATCAACCTATCCATACCGCACCAGCCGGCAAGGCTCATCCTCGCATTTTCGCTCAGGTCGATACGATGAGGGGCTTGTCCTCCGCCAGCAGGGAAGAGCAGCTGGCTTTAGTCCAGGATCTACAACGCAGGGGATATCGGTTCTCTCAGGGCCCATATGGATCGTCAGGAGCGTCTACTCTAAATGGGATCGCACCACCGCCGGCCCAGGCTATACACAAAAACGCTCCGCGTATGGGAGGTCCCCAAGCTAAGGGGCAACAGGCACCCCAAGGCCACCACGGACCATCAAGAACTTCCACTCAGAAGGGCGTCGCACCAGCGCCGACCCCGGCTATGCGTAAGAGCGCACCTCGTATGGATGGACCGCAGGCAAGGTCTTATCAAGGCCAACGAGCGCCATCAAATCACCCGGGTCAGAATGGGCTTCAATCGTATTCGCCGGCTCAGATTTACCAGCTTCAAGAAGCGGCGAGACTTCAGGCGAGGCAAACTGCTCAACATCACCATCCTCAACTGGCCCATCAGCATGCTCAGGATCAACAACGAAACCAGGCTACTCAATCATCTCCGGCCTTCAGCCCTTCCTTTCCCGCGACGTCGGGTGCCGAGCACGGTCGGGGTGGCTTTCCTTTCCAAGGGTCGTCTGGCGTTCAGCATAGTCCTGCACAGCAGCAGCAGTCTCCATACGGTGCAGTGTCTAACCAGACAATGCAGCACCGTCAGCGCATTGGCTACTTCGGATCTCAGGTCGACATGGACCCAGACATGAGACGACTCTTCCAGGAGACTGGGCGTCACCCGCAGTTCTCCAACATCACCGCTCCACACTTCCCACGACCAGCGTATCTGGATGGGAACTCTGAGGATCGACAGCATCGCACGCCTTACAAGTCACCGCAGACTCCGCATATGGTTCCAAGCCAACAACAATATCGTGGGCAACAGCTCCCACCGCAGAGTGGAGCAAAGCAACACAGTTACTCTAGGAACCAAAGCGCGAATTCGCACTTGCAACAGCCTCAAGCATACCCTTACTTGCCTTCACAGGCACAGGACGAACTTGCCCGTGAGCGGGCTATGCGACTGACCCAACTCCGCATGGGCGAGCCTCAGGGAGCCAGCCTTTCCCAGAAATCCACACGTCCCCCGTCAATGGCTCCTCGGGCACAGGACCAACCTGCCCGTGAGCGGGCTATGCGACAGCACCAAGCCCGTATGAGCGAGTCTGTAGCAGCTAGTCCTTTCCAGCACTCTGCAGGTTCCCCGGCAATGACTTCTCAGGCACAAGACGAACTTGCCCGTGAGCGGGCTATGCGGCTGAACCAAGCGCGCATGGGCGAGCCTATGGGGGCCAGTCTTTCCCAGCAACCTGGACATTCCCTGTCGTTGACTCCAGACGCTATGCGACAGCACCAAGCCCGCATGAGCGAGCCTCTGGGAGCCGGTGTTTTCCAGCAACCCACACGTTCTCCGTCAATGATTCCAGGAAACGGCAGCAACGGCAGCAACGGCGGAGTGACTGTCAACAGCGTCCAAGACGGGACCAATTGGACGTACGATGACCTGCTTTTCATGGCTCCGGATCCGAGCATGATGATGGCGATTGAGTTGGATGAACTGGATCAGGCGATGGGGCTGAGTGCGCCGATGGAGCGAATTGACTCCGGGACGGGATACGAGGATTGGAATTTCGGGGTCGATGAGAAGAGGAGGACGTAGGATATCCTTCAAGCGAGTAGGCGAAGGGCGGAGCGTCGAGCGTCGAAATGGGCGTATGCGTCTTTCGGATGAGCCCGGATTGACCGGGTTGCGCATTGCGCTTTTCTGAATAGCGCGAGTGATTTTCAGTGGGATTCAGGATAGTGGGATGAGGTTTTCCTGCGCGCACTACACTTTCCTGAATAGTGTGGACGATTTTCAATGTTGCTTTCGGGTAGTAGAATGATATTTTCCCGCGAGGCACGCTTATACAAGAGTAGGGTCTGTGCGATAGATTCTTCAATGCAAGCGCCCATCTTCTAAAGTGCAATATGCGGCCATGACTGTCAGTGCTCTAACATTCAGCTTCTACTACTACCCGCACTTTGTATCTCTAGAACAGAAGTTGGAGCGCACTTGCTGTAGTCAGCGGTAGGGGCGATCTTCGCCAAGCAATGAATTCGTCTGATTGGCTGTCGCATTCACGTCTCAGCCCTACGAGCTCGAACCTCACACCTCACCTCTCCAAACGCTCTTCCCAAACAGCTCCCCACAACGCCCGCAACACTCCTTCAACCGCCAAAATGGAGTCCATGGAAACACAGCTCCTCAACAAATACAACATCCCCTCGCTCTTCCCCTCGCAATGGCCCGAAGAAAAAGACCGCGGCTCCGACGACGAGGACGACGATCCCGCGCCCGCACAACCAGCGTACACCCCACAGTCTCGCGGCTCCGTGTCGCGCCGCCCGAAGAGCAGATACTCGGTGCTAGAGGGCGGCGGCGGGTTCCAGCGCCGCAGAACAGGCGTCGAGAAGACGAAGGACGGCGTGGAGAACCTGGTGCAGAAAGACGAGCAGGACCCGCTGGGCGCGTTCCCGAGCGTGGTGCAGGTGCTGCGCCAGCGCGGCCTGCCCGTCGAAGACGACGTCAAGCTCAGAAACAGGTTCCTCCTCTCCTCGACCACCTTCTCGCCCTCGCTCTTCCTGTCCCAGGTCCATAGCGACGCGTCCACCGATAGCCTCCTCGCCGGCCTCGACTTCCTCTCCCGCAGCATTGAGAAGAAATCGGCGAGTCTGAAGGTTCTGGTCGAGGCGAATTTTGAGCGCTTTGTCGGCGCGAAGGCGACGATTGATCGCGTGTATAGCGAGATGCGCGATGTGGGGAAGGAGCCGGACAGCCCGAAACGCCCGGCGCATAGCAGGGGTGCGAGCCGCAGTAGCTTTTCCGCGCGCAAGGCGAGTGAGAGCCAGACTTTGAGTCCGGGGATGGTGGGCCGCGTGCCCTCGGAGAAGAAGAAGAATGCGCTGGTTAAGGAGAGCGAGTATGGCGTGCACGGGATTAAGGTGCCGCTTACCGAGGTGGCGGTTAAGGCCGAGGAGGTGTGGGGTCCCGCGCTGGGTGGCAGGGAGAAAGAAGAGACGTTGAAAGCTATCTTGGCGTCGGTGGAGAAGAATAGAGGACTGTTTGAGGTCGGGTCCGCGATTCAGGATGCGATTAGGAGGAGGGACCATGAGACGATTGTGGAGGAGTATGCGAGGGCGAGGAAGTTTGCCGAGGACGCGAGATATATTGTGGAGCAGGCGAGCTTTTCTCAGACGCCGCTTACGGATGCGCAGATCCATCAGATTATTGTTACTGCGAGGATGTGGTCGGATGTCGAGCATCAGATTGAGAGTTTCAAGAGGGATGCGTGGAAGAGGTTGACCAGCACGCACTTTACGAAGCAGCAGTCGGGCATCGAGGAAGCCAAATCGGAGCAGTATATGGAGATCATTTCGATCATGCTGGAGCTGGGTGTGGAGGATAATCCGATTTGGATATGGCTGCTTTCTCGGTACGAGTATCTTAGGTCTCGACTTTCCGACACGATCGATCGATCAACGGTTGAGATTGAGGTTCTAAGGCGGTATCTGGCGAATGGGAAGAAGCCGAGCTTGAAGATGTTCTGTCAGCACCTCCGAACTGTCCCGCTCAGCAACAGCATCACCGCGGAGCCCGCGAAGCTGGATTCGACGAAGGTGGTCGAGTTCTGGGAGCACGTGCATACTTCTATGACGAACCTGCTATCTCTTAATGGGGGCTTGCTCGGCGAGGTCATTGAGTACTGGGATATTGCTCGGTCGTTCGTTGAGGGCAAGGCACAGAGGAGTCTGCCAATGGGGTTCAACAACCAATCCTCAGTGCATCACAAACTCTCGTCGACCAATATCACCGAGCTGGAGAAGGGCACGACGGAACTCATCAACATCATCCGGGAGCATCTCTACTCGTTCTTTGCGGATCCGCCGCCTGAGGATATCTCCAGTCTGTTCTCGCCGCTTCCGATGACGCCTACCCCAACTACACCCAGGACGCCTCTCACTGCATCGGCGCTGAGTCCGACCATGGGGTCGAAGTTTCGATTTGATCCGAGTAATGTACCGCCGCCTTCGCCTAGAAGGGGTGAGTCGTGGGAGAAGTACGCGTTCTGGCCGCCACATTCGAACGCGCTTTCCGGATGTCACTATCTCGCTAGGACGCTCGTCTTGATCGGCACTGCCGCGAATGAGCTCGCGTCTTTGCGACTTCCGGAGATTGGACCTACTGTTCGCATTGATGAAGCTCTCCGTGCGCTCGTTGGCGGCGTCCGCGAACGCTGCGTTCAAGCTGTTTGCGCTGCCTGGAATGCCGACGCCAATAATCTCAGAGTGCTCGAAGATTGGACGCGCGATGCGGACCGGAAAGACATCACTACTATGCCCTCGCGCTTCCTCGCTATTCACAGCTTCCTGCTCAACAACTTGCAGAAGATTATGTATGTCGAGGCGGCGACTAAGACGTCGGTGGATGTTGTGGTTCCCCCAAGCAACAAGCTGTTGCAGATGGTTAGGAGCCAGTTTGTGATGAGTCTGTACCGAACTCTAAGTGGGATGGTGGAGTGTGCAGAGAAAGGGAGAGAGGCCCTGGGAAAAGAGTTCGAGATCAAGGGTGATGATCTCACAGTTGACGAGGAGGAGGGAGGAGATGGTGGGTGGGGTAAGGTGGATGCAAGCAAACAGGTGTGTCTTCCTCATTTCCCCCCTTGCCACTCTCAGCACCGAATGCTAACCATGACCAGTCCATCCGCCTCCTCCTCACTCTTAGCAACATGACCTCCTTCCAAACCGAAATCACGCCCCAACTCCTCACCCTCTTCGAAACCCTCTTCTCCGTCCAACTCACCGACGAAACAAACCACATCCGGGACACCCTCTCGCAACTCGACGCTCAACTCTTCCGCTCCTATACAATACCGCACGCCGTGAAAATCGCCTCCACCGTCGAATCCGGCATCTTCTCGCCCACCTGGGCGCCTGACCCCGCCCCCGGAAAATCCGTCGCCGACCGCGAACCCAGCCCTTACGTCTTCACCATCCTCCTCGACCTCGTCATCGTCCACACAGAAGTATCAACCACCTCTCCCCCGCTCACCCCGCGCATCCTGCGCGCCCTCTTCGAAGCCACCACCCAGTCCCTCATCGCCACCTTCTCCCAGCTGCCCGCCTGCAACCTCACTGGCCTCATGCAGGCCACACTCGACGTCGAGTTCATGGCCCAGACGCTCGCCAGCTACACCACCGAGAAGGCCAGCCAGGTCCAGACGGATATCTATCAGGTCCTGGATGGGAAGACGGATAATAGGGCGAGGGTGCGGCTGCAGGAGGAGCTGGGCAGCTTAAGGGGTACGCTGAAGAGGTTGAGGGAGGCGACGAAGGTGGAGTTTAGTTGCTTTAGAAGAGGGAGGAGTGCGAGGGGGACGACGGTGGGGGAGAGGGAGGGTGCGGGGCGGAGGGAGGGGTAGATTGGTTGGGATATGGGGGGGTGTTTGGTAGAATGAATGACTGAGTATGTGTTGGCTTGCTTGTTTGAAAGTTGAGAGCACGGTTGCGGCGTGTGCGATGCGTAGATACAGAGACTGCGTGGGGAGAATTCGTGCTAGATGCCGTAGGCAACGTACGTGCGTCAGTTCTGCCGTTACTACAGATGAGTGTGTGCGATTCATATGCGCTGTTGACTGTTGACTGTTGCAGGACTCACGAGAGAATCTCATGCCTGGAGCGAATACCAAGGGGGTTTTCTTTTTCTTAATGAGGTTTTGGAGCCGGACTCTGCGTGGGTTGGTGGGTCGTGGTATGCTCATGCCGATTTTGGAAGAGAATCGGAATGCGGGTGCGAGAGCGGGCTGGCTACCTACATTTTGGTAGGTGGTGTTGCTTGTGCGTGCGTGCGTGCGTGCGTGTGGTGGATGAGTGCGCGCGTGGCGGAGTGGCCTACTGGGGGAGTAGGAAGTGCATCGGTTGGGGTGGGAGTCGGCATGGCGATGAGTGGATGGTGGGTTGATGTGGGAGTCAGCCATGTCGATGAGGGGATCATGGGTGACTGTGACTGTGGGCGGAGTCCTGTTGGGGAGTCAGTGTAGCTGTGAAGTATTGCGGTGTGAAGAGATGCGCGAAAGATGGCTTGAGTGCACATCGAGCTTAGACGACGGCGCGATCCTCGAAACAGCTTGCACGCAAAAGAGACAAAGAGCCCACGCCGCCCGCGCGACGGGAAGCTATCCATGAGATGGAGGAGCGGAATGAGCATACGGCGCATCGCATGTTGGGGTCTGTGCCGCTGATGTGGTTGTCATTGGTTGGTGACTCTTCGTCGACTCATGGGCCTCCAAGTCATACGTGCGCTATGACCCGACGGTCGTCTGAAGTGAGTTCAAGAGGAGTTTGGAGAGGAACATGAAAGGGAATCTATCGTGGGCTTTCGAACTCTTCAACAACACACATCGATTACCACAGCAGACTCTCCTCTACTGAAAACGACCTTGAGAACATACTTTCGAAAGTACATACCGAGATCCGAAACATCCGTTCACGATGAGCGAGCCATTCAAGACTTCCGACGTCACCGCAAAAAGATATAGCCAACCTCTCCTTCCCCTGACGGAGCCTCACTATGAAGACCTGCGTGAAACCACCTGGCCTGGCGTAGCTACCAAGGCTTTGATGAGCTCCAATCTCGAACTCCAGTTGACCAGGTCCAATGGAAGCAAGATCTGGATAAAAATCCCCATGGAGATTACTGGGGCGAGCGTTTCTCACTCCAAGAAGTCGAAACCAAGTTGCAGGAGCGTTTAGGAGGTAAGCAGGTCTCTTGCTGCGCGATACTGCGCCACGAAGCTGTTCATGGCGGCAGGTGACAACTTGTGTCCTGTTGATGTTGTGGTGGCTAGTCGTTGACTCCCCGTAGGTAGACTCATAGGTTTGGAGTCATGCATGATCTATGACCCAGCGGTTGTCTAAAGCGAGTTCGAGAGGAGCTTGGCGGGAGGTTATAAAGTGAAACTGTGGTGGGACTTCCACGATCTTTCCTTACAACACTTCTTGATTGCTTTGCTCAACGAAACGATCAAGACCACATAGCTTTACAGACTTTACAACCTTCTCAGTGCTTTGCGATCAGCAAGAATATCCTACGACCCAGCCGCTGGCCCATTTACGGTTATTCTACGACCACGACCATGAGTTCAAACGCCAGCAAATTATTCAGAGTCCAAATTGTGAACAAGGAGAACCTTCTCAGCGGCCGGGAAGTTATCGGCCTCAACGGGGGATGGCTTTACAATGACGAAGTAAAGGACAGAGCGGGCATAGCCCCTCACCCCGCCTTCCGTAGCAGCCAAGGCTACCTCTACGAGAAGGAGCTAGCGCAGCGAGAGGCGAAGCGAGACACAACGAAACCCAACGGGATGAAGTTTGCAACCCCCGGACACCCGACGTCGAAAAAGATCAAAAAAGAACAACGTTCCAAACCCAGGACGCAAGAGAAGTGGGATTCCTACGTGGAGAACTTCATCAACATGCCCTGCCCTGAGAAAGTGGCTTTGGACGGCATCCAGGGCCCCTTGGAAGAGACAATGGAGTGGGCATATCCACCGTCAAAATTCCTGTTCGTCGGTCTGCCATCCCTGCAGACGATAACGCACACGGCCGCCACGGGCGTCTCGTTCCGACAGCACATCTTCGCGCTCCAGATTACCAAATACCTCCTCGGCCGAGTCCTCGTTAACTACGACGAAGTGGAGACAAAGCTGAACCCTCAGATCATCATCGACTCGACTCACCTGACGCGCGCGGACCGCGAAGTCGTCCTTGAAAAGTATGAACAGAATATCGGTGGCTTAGGCTGCAAAGTCCAACTAGCCTCCATCGCTAGCATGTTGGATATGGACAAGAGAGGCGCCTTCGTTATTATGTTCCAGCCAGAGAACCCGCTGCGACAGATGTTTGCCGAGCAAGCCGCCGCCGCCTTCCAAGACGAGGGGAATCACGCCATAGAGAAGCTTCCACAGGCAGTGCTCTGTGCTCCATGGAATGTCGACAACGTAATGCGGGACACTAAATGGTTCGACGGAGATAGGACCTCGGACCTAGTATATGAGTGGCTTCACGACCGATATAGGTCCATCCCAGTCACGTCTGGAGAAGAGCTGGAAGGAGACAACCAGAACGTGTCTGCTTTTGGGGAAACGCATCTTCATCTGCGCAAGGATCTCTATCTTGCGGGTGCTTCGGGTGCAGTTACTCCCATGCCAGGGCTCACTCCCTTACCTGGGAACTCGCCCGAGCCGATGCAGGGTGTGTCTCCATCGACGATGCTTCAAGTCCTGGAGCCGGCTGAAGCGGCGGTGTCTCTGGGCCACAGTAGGGCACCAACCAGTCAGAAGAGGGAGTCGCCGAAGCTTCCACTGGTAGAACTGCCCGCACCTCCCCCTGCGGTAGTTTGAGCAAGGGAAATTCTCGGCTTTGTAACTTATACAATCACTTATATGAAATAGATGACCATACCCTATGTTTTATAACGTATACATTTTCTTGGATACTAATGCTAGCGGCTCTATATTTATCACTAACATTGGATCTGAGCCATTACTCAGACTAGTAAAGGTGAGTGTTGAGCTTGTGATTTCGTAATCACTTCTGGTTCTTCCCAAGCTACGCTACAGTCCTTGTTGCTTCGAGGAGTCTTATGTTGCGCGATACTGCGCCACGAAGCTGCAGGGCGGTACATTGGATATTGTGCTGCGTTATGGGCCGTATTTCTGTACTGAAGGGAAATCTCCTCTGTTGGCTTGGGGTTAGAGTTGGAAGCTCTGGCAGCGGACGGCCGGCCCGTATGCTGTTAATGTGGTGGTCGCTCGTCGTTGACTCCTCGTCGGTAGACTCACAGATTAGAAGTCATACATGCGCTATGACAAGTCATCTTGGCAAGGTGTATAAAAGAATCTCTGTGATAGAGTCTTTTTAACCCCTTCGACGACACTCCATCTACCGCAGGAAAACTCTTTAATTATAGTACTCTACTCCATCTGAGCCTCCAACATCACATAAATCATTTTCATATCTTCACACCGTGTTAAGAGACAAACTTCCACTCAATCGACCCCATGGCCTCAAATGCCAATTCAACATTCTCCAGCCACACCGTTACCGAAGCCATCAATGGGCCACTATACAGGAAGGATGGAATCCTTAAAGCCAGCAGAGATGTGCCACATCTGGCCATCTATAGCTACCAGACCTACGACAAGCAACTTGAGAAGGGGGTCTGGGGGGCCTGCACCAAAATTTTGGGCCAGACGTTTAAACAAAAATTCCTTGAGTCCAGGACCGAGAAACAAGTAATGCAAGGGTGGGAGCGTCGTTCCAACAACTTCGACCACGCCAACGAAAAAGCCTGCCTTGATAGGCTCTCCAGCTCCTTCGAGGAAACAATGGGCTGGACCTCACCGCCAGTGAGATTCCTGATTTTCGGGCTCCCATCATTGTTCGCGAGCGACGGTGCTGCAGCCCACGTCTTGGATCGGCAACACCTATTCACATGCAAGATTGTGGATCATCTTCTCGAAAGGCTGTACAGCACATTCTCGACTGAGGGACGAACAAACAAGCCGCAGATCATCGTGGACTGCAACAACTACACCATTGGCGACCGTCATTTGGTTAAAGGCCTGTTTGAGGAGCAAGCCAAGGGCCTCTGCACAGTCCACATGGCAACCGAAGCCGTTATGCTCGACAAAGTAGCCGACACGTCCAATTTCGTTCTGATGTTCAATCCGAAGAATCCGCTTCGACAGGCCATTGCGGACTATCTCCAGCATTCAGCTAAATCGAGCGATGATCTCCCGTGGGCTGTCCTCTGCGCCCCATGGTCGGTTGATAATAAACTATCCGATGACCCGCACTTTGATGGAGACAGGAGTTCGACTTTCGTGAGAGACTGGCTGGAAAATTACAAAGAAATTCCTGCCACGGACGGGAGCCTGAAGGAAGGAGACTTGAAGGTCTTTGGAACGACTGTTTTGCATCTATACAAGCGCACTGCTAGGTACACACTGGGGGCGCTGCAGGATCCGCCAGAAGGAGGCCAAGGCGAGTCTCCTATGATTCCTGGGGAAGCCAGGTCGGCAGAGTCCACAGAGTCTGGCGGAGCGCCAGCCCGTGGACAGCGTCCGTTCCCGGATGTTCAACTGATTGACATTCCTGTTCCTCCCCCTCCAACTTGCTCTGACGCAGGCAATAGGGCGGCTGGGTTTGGCGACATGTATAAAGGGTATAAGTTTTACTCTGGTTAGTGGGCATATTCTTTTCATCATTGTGGTATTGCTAGGTACCTCTCACTTTAGTCACTCGTTAGCCTTAATCGAATGGTTACTTCCTAAGGATTATACTGTACGAGATTTCCTCCAACCGTATGGCCGTTATTATGACCCAGTAGGTATTAGCGAGCGACGGTTTGGTCGTGGCTCGCTTGTGGAATTCTAGATGCCAGCATACGTAGACTCAGAGAAATAATTGCGGATATGTTCCCGACTGCATAAGCACTTCGACTTTAAATTCTATTTTGTCTACACCCACTTCTTTCCTGTAACAAGAGGCTCCACTAACTCCATGAGGAAGCTCTCCGCCTTGCCCTTCCTCACCATGAAAGACGGCATTCCCCAACCAAATACCTGACCAACACCACCGCTCGGGCCAATAGGGACGATGATCGTATCCTTCATCGGTTTGTACTCCCGTTGAACCAAGTTGGATGCCTTTCCGAATGGGTTCAACCAAGCCATCAGCCCACCGGTGCTTTGAACCTTTCCCTGTGCGATGTCTGCAGCAATGCTGGATGCAACAGTGGGGACCATGGCGTCGATCTCGATTGCGGTCTTGTTCGTTCCAGACACGACATCGCCGATGACATATACGCCCTTGGTTTTGGTATTGCCTTTGACACGGAAATACGGGTCGCTCGTCCTAACTCTGCTTTCGCTGTCCAGCCAGTCACTGGGAAGCCATGCGGTGTTCATCGTTCGCGGACCGGTCGCATTGATAAAGACATCCGGGTTCTTGGATGAGCCATCGCTAAGTTGGATCGGTCGTATGTCGATATCTGCTGTTACTTCTGCCAATCCCGTATTCAGTCTCAGGGTGACACCTAGGTCCTCGAGCGCCTGCTTTGCTTCCGCACTGATACTTGGTTTGACTCTCGGCAGCACGCGTTCCCCTGGGGTGATGAGCGTTATCTTTGCGTCCGGATACGCTGAGGCAATCTCGCCAGCGGTTTCGACTCCGACCGGGCCCGCTCCTGCAATGAGGACAGTTGATGCCTTGGGAAGGGTGCTATGTAAGGCCTTCAGAGTGGTGCGGCTCTGCTCATGGTTGTCATGCAAAGTCCAGAGCGGCGAGGTCGATGTCGTGCCGGTGGCGATGACGAGTGAGTCGTACTTGATCTCGCGCTGCGGATCACTGGCGGATGCAATAGTGATACTCTTATCTTCAGGACGAACGCATGTCGCCTTTCCCTGGAGAAAGGTAAAGGTCTCCTTGTCGTAGTCCTTGAAGGCCTCGCTGATGGAACGAAAGATCTTGTCGTCAGGAATCAAGGTGGGGTTTATGAGCGCTCGGGGAGATGCAATCTTGAAGAAGAAGTGATCGTTCGGTGTCACCAGGGTGACGCGATGTGAGGTGGTAGGATCGAGCTTCTTGAGAGCGGGAAAGCTCTGCTGAAGAAGATAGTGGGCGAGGTTGACGCCCCCAAAATTTCCCCCTACGATGACGACGTTGTGAGTCTGCTGTGCAGACATTTAGCTGTAGAATCTGCGTAGCGCGGATAGGGAAAATGGCGCTCTTAGAGTTAGCAAAGGAGCCCTTGTTGTTTTGAGCGGCGTGGTTTCTACGTTGTTGCATTTTGTGCAACGTGACACAAAATACACAGCTTGCCGGTACACCGGAATAGCAAAGTGCCATTGCCGGCGATGCAGGCTCCGTATCATGCATGTTGATTCTGTTGAGGAAGCTCCGCATCCAATAAAGACTTGCATTGCGGGGGTAAGCGATTCACCCGGCTGTGCCGCAGGATTCGCCCACACCCACCAACATTAACGCTCCCGCGGGCTGAAAACAAGCATCAAACCAGCAAGTCCAAATGTAAACCAATCCTTCGATTCCTCCAGCAGACGGCGGCCATCCTCACCCTGGGCGAATCGGATATCGAACTCCATTACCAACCTGGTGATCATAAGCCGCATTTCCATCAATGCGAGTTGCTTCCCGATGCAGGCGTAAGCCCCGTGACCGAAAGGCATGTACGCCTCTTTACGAAGTACCAGGTCTGGCCGACTGGTCCACCGGTCAGGGATGAAGTTGTGAGGCTCAGCAAAACATCTCGGGGCTTATTTTGGACAGTGTCAGCCAACTTCGGAAGGTGGAACTCTGGATGAATACTCACATCTGTGCAGGACCCAAAAAGGGGTGCAAATCGTTATGTCTCCAGGGAGGCGTTTCTTCCCAATCTGCAGTCCTTCCTCTAGAGTCTGCCTGAGCACGCCAGAAGGATTGGGGGGCCATAATCGAAGGACTTCGGTAATGAAGGCGTTCAGGTAAGCCGCTTTGTTTCGTAGAGATTCCGCATCTAACACTGTTCCTGCCGTTATCGCATTCAGCTCTTCTCGTATTGCCAAAATGTGCTTCGGGTCCTTGGCAAGATAGTAGAAGGCGAAGGTGAGCGAAGATGCTAAGGCGTCGCTTCCCGCTACTATCAAGATACGACTGTCCCCAACCAACCATTGATGCGATAGAGCCTTATCCGTGGCATGCCGGTCATCCGTGATGAGCGCAGCGGCTATGTCGCAAACGTCCGTTTTCCTCTGGCATCGATTTAGTCCGTTCCCGCTCCTAGAAGAGAAGCCTCTACTTACGCTTTTGCGATCAAGAATCTGCTGCTCGCACCACCTGACGAAAACGTCGTGCTCCTTGCTAATATTCGGGATTCTCGTTAACATCATGAACAGCCACGGTACGACCCCAAACACTCCGAGGCCCTTCTGGCCGTTCTCTAGTATCCGGAGAACATCCAACCTCTTGCCCTTCTCAATCATGCTGAACCCTTGCCCGAATCCGACGTCTCCCATCACATCGAAAGTGAAGTAATTAAACCATAAGCTGACATTCACGCCTTCTTCCGTTGGCTTGCGACGAAGTTGTTGTATCAACCGTGAGATATGGGATTCGATGCGGGGCTCATAGTCCTTCAAGGACCTGGTAGAAAAGCCTGGGCTCCAGACCTGCCTTCTCTTTTCGTGCTCTATTTTGTCGCGTGTGTGAAAGATAGCGCGCAGTGGGTGTGCCATACTATACCATGCGGCTCGTGTGCATCTCGAAGAAGAGCTATGGACGGCAAGGATAGCATCTGGATCTATGATAGAGAGCTCGGAAGGCCCTGTTTCCCTACTCAGTCCCAGGTATCTAGGCCAAATCTACTCCGTATAACGTACCAGTCCTGACAAAGTCTCCAAACTTCGTGTGCGCAGCGTAAAGATTCCGAAACCCGTTGAAATGTCTATTATCAACGGCCTGGAACAGTTTGCTCATGCGCCAAGTATATGGGCCTTGATACCGATGCAGACGATGAAAAGCTGATATTCGATACAGCAAAATGCTGGTGAATAAACCAATTAGATATCGAGCCTCGATTGAAATGGCGAGCTTCAAGCATCCGATCACAGATATGTCTCGCAACAGCGAGATCGGTACTGTGGCAATGCAAGGAAAGAGAAGAAATAGTCGTAGCCAGAAGATGCCGCACATGTGATGCTCTCCATGCCGGAAATAAAAGATGTGAGAAAGAACTCCGATAACAAAGAAGCGCATGATTGATGGCCTATTTCCGAGGGAGAGAAGTTGGGGCTTAGGAATGGACCGGTCCGCCCTTATATACTTTTAAGCCTAGCGCCAAGGCCCATAAGAGGACCCCGCCAGTGCTTTGCGGTTTCGTCAACCTAGAAATCCAATGGATCAATGTCCAATGTCCTCTAAGGACTTTCCTGCCACTTCTCAACCGTATATAAAAGCTCCTCATAGTCATAGCAGTGGTGCACCGTCCCGAATCCGCTTACTCCGCCCTTGTCGTCCTTTACTTCAAGTGTCCGATCCGCAGAGCACATTAAGCTCTGCCGTAGAAGGTCCACACAATGCCTTACATGCGAGGGAGACGTCATAACTGTGAACTCTTCGTCGGACATCTTTTTACCCTCCATGGCTGCGTCGTGAAGCTGCCAGTATGCATGTCGAATGGCGTCCTGATCGACTCCATCAGTACTCCAATACGCTCAATCCTGGCTAGAGTATGTCGGCTTACCAGGCAATGAAGTTGGTGAAAGACAGAGAGCGTGGAGCGATCAGGTATCGTGGGTTCGTGAGAAAAGAACCCCCCTTGTCTAGGGAAAAGAGTACCCCAAGCACCGTTGGTGATATTGTTCGGGGGATAAGAAAAGCTTCGGTCGTATACGAATTGTCTTGTCGTTAGAGGAACTGAGAAATGTTAATAGGCATGATGAAGGGCCTGCATAGTCTATCTACCTGGGATGAGGGAGGCTCCCGCAGCACTTGACTTTCCTATAAGGAATCCGACAAAGACTGACGCTCCTAGTGCGAGGGTAATCAAGATCGAGAGATAAAGAAGGCCAATTCTGCTAGCGAGCTGCCAATATCCCTTGAACGGGCCCTCATCAGATAAGAGAGTATACCCACGCGTTGAAAACCGAGAGGAGAGCATCATGATTGGGTATAATTCGTACAGCGCTCTGCGTCTGATGTTTAACAATGAACACCACAATTTACGCTTGCCTCTCAGTAATGCAATGACTAAATCTTTTTTTTCCGGACTGCAAATGAATCAACAATGGCCGTTTTCGGTCTTGCGTAACCGCCATGCATGTAAGACCTGACCCGACATCGCGGATCCGGATCCCTGCTATACTTCTTGATGCCGGGAACTGCTTCGAGCGGTAAGCAACGCTCGCTTCACTTGTGCAACGCTAACGTGAACGCCAATTGGGCCTCCCAGGCCCCAAGATTAAGGCTCGGGATTCCGTGTGAAGAAGCGAAGCCTTCAATGCAGGAAGCAAGACTCGTCCACATTTCGAACTGCATCGGGAATGTCGCACTCAGCCGGGGCGAGGCTCAGAAATAGATGTCAGGTGTGCATTATCTATCTTTCTGTGGCGGGATTTTTCTAGCAGCATTCGAAGCATTACTTTGGGCGGTTTGCTGGGCTCCGTACAGTTTCCTCCCGAGATCAAAACTCAGACTATACTAAATTCTGTCAAGATCAAACAATGCGGTTCTGGAAAGAGAGATCTCCTGTTTATGAATCCGTTCAAACAAGTGACGGAAACATCGAGGCATTCGGGCCAGGCCAATCGAACATGCGTTCGACTGATGAACGGCGGCTCAGCCGATATGGCCTCGTCGCTCTCCTCATCCTCACTCAGCTCTTCGCCCTATGTAGCGTCGGAATAGCAGCATACAGATTCGGTCAACTACAGGGGAGCACACCGCGGAAAAGCAACATTCCAGATTTCTATGGAGTAAAAGCCCATGGCGCTTTTGATTCAGGAAGTAGGCGCATTGCATTCTTCACCCCAGCTATTTGGGTCTCTGATTATGTACAGTTCGCACGCAGACCTTATTTTTCGACTACAATCGGACATTTGCGGAGCGCCCATCAATAGAGACCGACCAAGCTTGGGAAGCTATATTTCCCCCCCACGGAGGATTTTTCCACGATGATGTACTAGCGCCAACTGGTGCCAGTCTGGCTGTCTATCACCAACTGCACTGCCTGGTAACTAAACTGCCACCGAAAGGCTTTATCCAGAGCTAACAAGAATATAGGATGCCATACGCCACGCCTACTATGTCCTTCTTGATGCAGTTGTGGATGGCCATAACGTAACCTTCTCTGAGTTGGACGACTATAGTACAGATTGGCATACGCGACATTGTATTGACTTTCTGCGCCAAATGCTCATGTGCAACGCGGACTTGACAATCGAGGAAGTGGACCCATCACTAGGTGGCATCAGAGGCTTTGGAAATGGAAGGGAGCATGAGTGTGTGATCTGGGAAGATGTGAGGAACTGGAGTATTGCCCATCAACAGTGATATGCAGCACATCTTAATGAACGTTTTGACTGGTTTAATATTCCTTCGTAGATCTATTACAGCAAGACTGACCACGAACTCGGGCTATATACGTATTACTTTTCTGACGTGGGCGTTTTGAGTAGAGGATTAACTAGCTCGTCCACTTCTTCGTAGCTCACCACTCGGGGCCTCACTCCTTCCATGAAAAAGTTCCAATCTACACATTGGCGCTCGAATCGACGCACATCTAGCACTGGCTTGGGATCCGAGTGCGTCCACACAAAAGTTGTGAAAGATGTGTCGGGGTTACACATCACTGCTTGCCGCAGAATTTCGATGCAATGATCTGGATCACTGGATTAGAGTTAGATTCTTCGAAAACCGCGGGTTTCCTTACTCATGTGGACTTCAAGGTCCCTAGCATCGGATTGTGTCTGATTGGGAAAGTAATGGTCCCTATAATTCAGCTTCCGGAGCATTTTCTGGGCCCATTAGCTGTCCGTCAAAGAAAAGGTTTATTGTTTATATTGCACCCACCAAGCAGTGCAATTGATGAAACACGCCTAGCCATACAAGATTCCCCCCGCCCACTGGTAGTGTAACGGACTCTCGATGGTTACCGTTTCGATCGAGTTCCTCCTGAGAGACACGGACGCTGATGCTAGACATGAGGTTGTGCCAGGCGTCGTCAATCTTGTCCTCTGGTCCGCCCGCATATGAACTCATGCCAGCAGTGATGGTAAGAGTACGTTTGAAACGGAAGTGAGGATCGGTTAGAGCTTGGTCATGTTAGTGAGCCTTTTATGGGCAGAAGGGAGCGGATGGTGTCTAACCGTTATTGAGATTAGATGTCTGTCTCGAGAGGGATGTTGAAAGGAAGATTAGGGCGAAGGTATAGAGTAGAAAGAGTACCACGGAGAGCAAGTATTTCGTAAATTTAGAGGACGTTCGCAAGCGCTCATATAACTTTTCGCTCTGCCCTAGAGAGGCACCCAACCCTCCCATGGACTCCCCTATGAAAGGCTCGGTTTCTGAAGTAGACTTCATGTCCTGAACAGCAAACTCAGTGGAAATCATGAGAGTACTGTAAATTGAATGAAGAGAAAGGCTTCCTCCTCTAGGATGGGCGTGATTTGCTCAGGACGACCTCCAGGTGTTCGTGTTCGTCAATGCGTCTGCGCTGCGCCTCCAGCCTCCTTCCTGCGACTCCTTTGTAGATTCCCGTCCAGGTTCGTGCGGCTCGGGCATCAAAGCACATCGGAATTGAAAAGGCAATGCTGGTAGAGGATCCTTCAGCATTCCAATTTCAAATCACGGCGGGATTACGGCACTCCAAACCCGGACTAAAATCACACCTGGGGCCCCCCAGGGCACACAAGTCTTAAAGCCAAGTGCAATCTTTGAAAGTCATCCTCTCTAAGATTCTCATTCAGTCAGTCGTTGCTTCTACAATTTGCGCACCTAGATATCATATACATCTATCGTCAAACTTTTGAAGCCTACCACATCAAAAATGCGTATTACTCTCGCTCTCATTGCGCTCTTCGGATTCTCGGCATGGGCCTTACCCATAACCAGTACGTTTTACAACGCACACCGTCTCTCTTGAGACTCTAATCAGCCATTTTAGAGTCGGCAAACACACTCGCTCCACGACACGACAATGATGAGCAAATCCGCTATCCCGACCGCGATGAAGACATCAGATATCCGGATGCTGGTCTGTACGCAGAATCAGGATGAAGTGTGTCATCTGGCCTACACAGGGCTCGAGTTGTTGCTGCAGGGGACGTACATGCTGGGTGAGCAAGTTCTGTGAGAAACAACCCAGGTACTTAGAAATGAATTGAGCTTTGTTCCTATGAATAGAATGCCACATTTGACATTAATTCTCTTGCGTAAGCCCAAAGCCTTCTCAGCATGAATATCTGGCACCAGATGAGCGATAGGAAGTTGTGCGTGGAGTTTGGAGCCGAACGACCTTCCCAAGCTGCATATGCGGCTTATTTCTCGGGCTCCGATGGCTCCTACTCCACTTATAGCGCTGCGGTTAAATTGATACTGGATGGTTACCATACCGCGTGCAATTGGAAGGATGCGAGGCTTTCGCATATCGGCGTTCGTGGCGCAGCCCGATTAGCATCCTCAAACCCCGCTCCTGACCTAATGGGACTTCTGTATGTGGCCTTTCTCGCCCTAATCCCTGATTCCCGGCATACGAGCGTCGAAGCAGTAAGAGCTATTTTGGTCCGAACTTAAGAAGGAAAGTCCCGCCGATGGAATATCTCGCTTGCCTCATGGGGACTTTCTCGGACGCGGTGCCACCTTGTCGTTGAATCCAGCAGAAGATTAACGAGCTGAGCTGCGTGTTTCAGTATGCCAGCACCATAGAGGAAGCGCTCCATGTATCGGGAAACTATGCTTACGCGTTGTGCCGCAATGCATCTTTGGGGCGAGGGCGTGTTGCCTCCGAAACCCGATGCAGAGAGTTGATTACAAATCCTCGCAAGGCAGTGGACGAGCCTGATACGGTTGCATTGGAGCTGGGGCGATCCATGGTGGCTTGTTTCGTTGATTCCTCTATACCAGCTGCGGTTGCTAGTTGGGAAAAATTGATGATGCTCCAAGGCCCGGCATCGGTACGGACGATCACGATTGCACAGCACCGCTAGCATCATGTTCCCATCAGATATTCAAGAGCTTGCGAACATAATCGCATACAACACTGCCATCTACAAACATCATTTAGCCTCGAACAACCTGCCAGCACCTTCTCACCATGAACTGCCGCCCGATAAACCCATTACGCTACCGGAAGACATTGAGAATGCACGACAATCAGCGCTCGAAGCGGCTCATGAGCTTCAAAGCCTCCTCAACGGGTCAATAGGCCATATCATGGATGCAGCTACACGAGTGAGTCTGCCTGTCGCAGGAAAAAGCGGAAGTTAATGTTTGCTAGAGTACACGGATCATGACGCTTCATTTCATCCACACATACAAAGTCGGGTACAATCTTGGCTGGGGCGAGAAAACCACTTTCGGAGAGATCGCGAAGCAGTCGAACCTCGATGAAGATGATACGAAGCGGATGGTTCGGCTGGCCATAACTGAGCACTTCTTCACCGAGCCAGAGAACGGGGTGGTGATGCACACGGCAGCCTCATATGAGCTCGCGCGCAATCGATTGCTCTCCGCGTGGGTCGGGCTGACAACGCAAGAGAACTGGCCGCCGATGTTAAAGGTGAGAGTTTGTGCCTTTCAGGTGCCAAACGCTGCGTATGTGGGGCTGAGAAAGATATAGATCACAGAAGCCCTCGGAAGGTATCCCGGCTCCGAGGAACCACTTCAATCGGTGAGACACCTCAAATGTGGGCAATTATCTGTGAAGCTAACGTAGATATTAGGCGTACGCTATGGCGCACAACATTTCGGAGGACGCATTCAAGATCTGGGAGAAGGATCCGGCACGTATCGCACAGTTTTCAGATGCCATGGCCTTCCTTCACTCCGATTCCGGCTTCCAGCCGTTAGAAGTCCTGGTCGGATGCGACGTCAGTCACGTTCCCTCGCCCGCGTTCGTCGATGTCGGCGGTTCAAAGGGTCACGTCAGTATTCAGATTGCGCGGCAACACCCAGAGTGGAGATTCATCGTCCAAGACTCACCGCAGACTATCGCTCATGCGCCGGCAGAAGTTCCGGTAGATGTTGAAGACAAGGTGTCATTCCAAGCTCACGACTTTTGGACGGAGCAGCCAGTTAAAGGTGCAGATGTGTACTTTTTCAAGACGATATTCCACGACTGGAGTGATAAGTATGCAGTCAAGATACTGCGGGCTTTGATCCCTGCGTTGAAACCTGGAGCAAGGGTCATAATTGCCGATGTGTGCATTCCTCCCATAGGCGCGGTCAGTTTGTATAAGGAGCATTGGATCCGGTAAGTTTTTCCTTCCCAAGCAAATACGATGGAGACTGATGTCGAGCAGAGGGCTCGATATTGTAATGAAGTGCTTTACTAATGCCAGGGAGCGAGAATACGATGATTGGGCTGCGCTTTTCTTGAAGACGGATTCTCGATTTAGATTCCTAGGAGCTAGAACGCCGGCGGGGAGTAAGGCTTCATTCATTGAAGCGGAATGGTATCCAGCGCCGGGCGAATGTCCTGGCGATGTTACCATGAATTACTCCGTGGTCCGGGAAAATGGCACAGCAAGTCACGAGTGTGTTGGAGTAGAAACGGACTGAGATGTGTTCTAACGAAAGGAGCTACCTAGGTGCGCCCGAATTAAGACTGAATTATACGACGCTTTCCGAATGTTGAGTAAGAGTGATAAACAACCACTAATTATACCATAAGTATGAGGCAAACGATGTCTGCAATTTCAGTCTTTATTCATCTGCTCAAAGCCACACCTAATCCCACGTGCAGGAGAGAACGCAAGGGGTGCCAGTACCGAGCGGCCAGACTCAGCTATGCGGTCCCATTCTGAATATTACGCACCTTCGATCAGAGTCAGAGCCCTTTCAGCGTGGATAAAGAAAGCGAAACAAGATTCTATTATTGAACCTCCACCACCCGAATCATTGGCTAGTAATCCGCCCATGCAACATTTTCGCAATTCTCTCCTTTAAGAACTCAGGTATAAGGCACCGCGCAGAACCTTCATCGTCCTTGGAGAGCTTCATTTACTTCCAAGCGCTATGTTGAACTTCGACGTCGGTGGTAGTTCGAATACCACGCGCAAGGCAAACCTGAGAGCCATCTTCATTGGCCGTAATTTTGACCACTCTTCCTTCCTTCCCGGACTGCATGCTACCTTGAGGACTAGCGTTAAGCATGTACGAGTTATCCGAACCTCCTTTGCGCCTGCTGAATAGAGACGGGAATGTCGATCCAAAAGGCTGGTTGTACAGTTTGCGAAACAACGGGCGGAGACTTGGGACGCAGGCACAGACGATGATGACGCAGCACTCGATGGCGACCCAAAGCACGAGCGTCCAAATTGACCCTGGTATAAAATTAGCTTGACTTGAGCGAGAGGTTGCGTGTGGACATACAGGTGAAGTCGGTCTGCTCTGCCAGCTTCGCTAACTTTGTAGTGCGGATGATAGCCGCTACGCCGGCACTGCGAGTATATTAGTCGGCATGCGACATGCCCCAGTCGTCAGAAAACAGACGGGAGTGACGTACAAGCAACCGAATCCCATCAAGGAGCAGACGGCAGCCTTTTTCCTCCAATTCATCTGCAAGTTCAACACTACCGTAGTAGGGAACAACGCAAGCGAGAAGTCGGTGAAGGCGGATAGTGCTGGACGAGCATGTCAGCCGGAAGAAGGCATTTCAAAATGTGCAGGACGAAGATACATACCTCCCTGCGAAATTGCAAGATTTGCTACAATGCTTGGATCCCAGCACTTGCCCCCAGCACGCGTCCAGTAGGCAGAAGTGGGGGTGCATTGAACAAACGAGGTAATAATGCAGACGATGGAAAGTGCATTAAGAAGGATGTTCAGAGCCCACAGCCACGCGACAGCGAGTTTGTTCGGATCCAGAAGCTTGATCAAGAGCATTGTCACCGCAACCTTGGGTATTGTTGTGCCAAGAATAGCGACAGGCTCTGAGAACAGCTGCCACTTGACAACTTTGGATATGTTCAAGGGATTTGATATGAGGAGATAGTATTGATGACGCGCAAGTCCATAGTGAATGGAGACTGATACGAAGGCACTTTGGATATAGAGGAGTGTCTATGGAGTCAGCGGCTGCCTATTTTACCAGAAGCAATGATCCGTACCATCGATACGCCGAGGATCACATCCTCCCAGCCAAGGTTCCGCGTGAGGTACTTTCGAGCGTAAACCCTCGACAAGTAAACTACCGTGGTGATGCCGGTGAGAAGCCAGATAACACCGTTGAGCTCCTTGCCGCGGTTAACATCGCCATCAGTCGGCGGTGGAGGAAGTTGTGGTGGAGCAGACATTATGTCTTCAATTCTATATCATAAAAAGGATTGGAGTTGAATGAAAGGAGTTACAAGACTGAAAAGTGGAGTAGGAAAAGCTTGATGGCCTGGGGCACCGTGGATGCGGCTCGCGGGATGGGCTTTTCTGAGAAAGCGTTATTGCCGTCATGTACTACAAGTCCCACTGGCACCGAGTTAGTTTACCCGGTCGACATGTTTATGTTCGCGTCGGGGACTTGGCATGAAGCCCGATGAATCCTGCAGGGTCGTGCGCAGCTGCATGCAAATGCGGCGCATACGCGCCTGGATTCTGCCATTCCGGTGGAATAGGAGTCTAGGTGCTTTTCCAACACAACCCAACCTTGGGGCTGCGGAGACTATTTACTAAGCTGTGATTGGCCGCGTTCGTTTGCCTTGCGCGGGAGCAATTAACCTCCTGAAATCGAGCGGCGCAGTTACCTACGTAGAAAATTCCATTTATTTTCACAGCCGAAGCATGCCACTTTCTTGCTTGAAACACAGCAACTTCCTATCAAATACTTAATATGGCTACTGCAAGTATCCTTGATCTTGCAAGCTCCATCGAGCAGAACACTCGCGTCGTGTACGAGTACCTGCAAGAAAATGGCTTACCTGAACCCTCCTTCGAGGCCACATCTCCACCGGATCTGCCGCTGCCGCCGAATGTCTCTCAGGCAAAGGAGGCTGCCTTGGAGGCCATGGATGAGTTGCAAACTTTGCTCTTAGGTCCTATGCCGAAGATCTTTCATGAGCTAATTCACACGGTACGGTCAGATGCGCCGCCCGGGACTTATTCTTCTGACGTGCTCTCCAGCCCACCAGCCTGACCAGCCTCCACGCCGTCGCTAGATTCAAGATGGCGAACGCATTTCCAGCAACGTCGACAACTACTGTTCCAGAGCTTGCGAAGGCATCCAGACTAGACGAGGGGGACTGCATTCGGCTGGTGCGCCACGCAGTTGCAAACCGCCTTCTCCTCGAGAAGTCTCCAGGTGTTATTTCACACTCCGCTATGAGCAGTGCCATTGCGAACGTTCCTCTCCTCAGGGAGTGGATTGAAGAGTCTTGCGAGAATATGTGGTCCTCCGGCCCGCGCATCGTTTCTGCCATGGAAAAGTGGCCGGGATCAGAAGAGCCCCACCAAACCGCCTATAATATTGCACACCACACGGACCTCTCGTTCTTCGAAAACATCGCGAGCGATACAACAGGGACGCGGGCGAAGAGATTCGCCGAGTCGATGAGCTTCTTCCAAGCTAGTCCAGGAATGCAGACCTCGCTAGTCGTCGACAACTACAACTGGGGAGATTACAAAACCATGGTCGACATTGGCGGTTCCCACGGTGCCGTGCCCTTGGAGCTGACCAAGCGCTTCCCCGACATGAAATGCACCGTTCAAGACCTCCCGGAAGTGATCGCAACAGCGCCAAAGAACGTTGAACGCGTCGACTTCCAGGCGCACGACTTCTTCACCGCGCAACCTGTGAAAGGCGCCGATGTCTACTTTTTTAGGATGATCCTCCATAATTGGAGCGATAAATACTGCATCCAGATTCTTCGCAATATCATACCGGCGATGAAGAAGGGCTCAAGGGTCGTTATCAACGATCACGTGGTTCCGGCGCCAGGGATCCTGAGTCCATACAAGGACCGGTCGGTTCGCGCGTTCGACTTGGTCATGAAGGAGTGCTTTAATGCGAAGGAGCGGGATATTGATGACTGGACGGAGTTGTTGAAGAAGGCCGATGAGCGGTTCGTGATTGCTGACGTTAAGCGGCCGGAGGGCTCGCAGCTGCAGATTATCGACGTGCAGTGGGATACGTGACGAGTATCGATTGGGTTGGGCTGCAATGCAGGTAGGTAGTTGTCGAGCTCTTTTGCGGACATGTGCTGCTGCGCCGCAGACCAGGCAGGCTGATGTGGCCAATGACGGCTTGGTAGAGAGTTTTTACAGGGCGCGAGGCTAGGGCCCTGTTTACTGTCGCGCCGCAGCGTCCGGCGAGAGCGAGCAGGGATAAAATAAGCTTAAAATATAGCGTCTTTTTCTTCAAAACGAAAAAGTACGGCGAGAATGAAGGCAGTTTGCACGTTTGATCCGTTTTGCCTTCCCTTTTCAAGAAGAAGCCTTCCTTTTTGAAGAAAAGCGCGCCACATGTAAGCGCTAAAAGTGAGCTTATTTTACCCCCTGAAGAAAATTCCTTCAAACGTAAAGGTACAGTAAACAGAACCTCCGTTTCGGCTTGAAATTATACAAAAATGTGCTATTTTCTCGCCAGACCGTCCGGCGCGTCTGTTTTGACTCCGTTTTGGCAGCTGAAATGGACCATCCGGCGCGACAGTAAACAGGGCCTGAGGGGCGGAGGACTTGATTCGAACTACGCAGTCGGCTGAGGTCTACCCTGTCCAGCTAAAGAAATTATTGTAAGTGAAGTTCTTATCGTCGAGGCTTCTGTGATAATGGTCCTGGCACCAGTGACGGTCATTGGTTTCGTGTGGAGTTCTCTTTCGCCGGAGCACCGATTCGAAAGCGCCTCGCGTCTTACATGCAGTCAATTTTACGAGACGACCCCGCAGCAAGTACTCGGCTCCGCCCTTTCAGCAAGAACTAGCCAAGGGGGAATGCGGTACAGACTTCGACCCGATTGGCCGCTGCGGTCGGTTCTTATCCAAAGTATCTTTAGGCACCAGCCACAAAGGCTAGCTGAACCTTGGAACTCTAGCCATAAAGTTGTCGCCAGCACGCACTCAGCCCGCCCGCCAGTATAGCACCTCTTATCAACCGCTTCGACCACATTACACTCTTATAACTGGTATCATACGTATGTCCACGACCAATTCCTCGCTGCTAGGGTTGGGGATAGCGAGATGTCGCCTAAGCGCGGGGGGCACTCTACTCCCTCTGCGCTCAGGGATCTCAGCCCTCCTAACGGAAACGGCTCAATCTATGAGTCTTTACCCGAAGTCGAATACCTCAGAGTACTCAAGCTGCATCCTGGTGCCCACAACGATGAGATCAAGTGCCACCTGGAGATCGTGTCACCTGAATGCTCAAAAGACCAGTACGAAGCAATATCATACGTCTGGGGCGATCCAAACATCACCACCGAAATTACCTGCAACAGGAAACACGTTCCGGTTACGGTAAATCTCGTAGATGCGCTGCGAACATTTCGCGATTCGGACAAAATGCGTACCCTGTGGGCAGATGCACTCTGCATCAATCAGAAAGATGACCGTGAGAAGGGCCATCAGGTTAAGAGGATGGGTCACGTCTTCGAGAACGCGAAGTGCGTCCTCGTCTGGCTCGGTCGAGATACTGGGAATGTTGCTGAGGATTGCTTTGAATTGATTCGGGACACGACCGATTATTTTGACAAGATGTTTCTGCAAAACGACCGTGAAGTCCGCCGCATACCTGCGCTTACGCGACCCTACCCGATCTGCGTGGACGAGGAGAGATGGAGAAATGTTCGTACGCTGCTCAGCTTGCCTTGGTTCCACCGCGTCTGGATAATTCAAGAAGCGGCCGTGGCAAAAGAATGCATCATGTTCTGGGGAGCAGCCAAAATCGATATTGCGGATGCATTCGAGCTGTCTTGTTGGTATTTGCAGAAAGCCGACTTCGCAGCTATCATCGAGAGTTTCAGCTTTCGGCCGCGCCTTGGTTACCTTGGTTCCGACTTCAGAAGGATCCACAGCAAATACAATACCCAACAGTCGTGGCGTTATTCACGTCCATTACTGAAGCACCATTGCCTCAACACAGATGAGTGGAATTTCGTCTCTCTCTTACGAGGGGCCCAAGGGATGAATGCATCCGATCCCCGTGATCGCGTCTATGCTTTTCTGGGGTGTCCGTATGCGAAGCAAAAAGATGGACAGACGATTATCGAAGCAGACTATTCCAAGACCACCGAAGAATTTTACCTCCATACAGCATGTACGCTGCTGCAACATCAGAGAGAAGGGCCTTGGGTTCTCACTGCCATCTACCACCCCAGCTTGGATCATCTTTTGCATTCCAAGCGCCCATCGTGGGTACCTAACTGGAGCCAGGCCTGGCATCAATATCGGATAGCGAATCCCGCCAACTGGTATCGTGCCGGCGGACGAGGCGAATTGTTCTCGGCAAGCCCACGGGAAGACAATGTGCTGGAAGTAGCAGGCTTCGTTTTTGACAAGATTGCATGGACATCCACGTTGATCCAGAGCCACAACATTACATTGACGCCACACACCTGGGACGAAGAGATTCACGTAGTTGGTGAGCCTTATATTGACATCTTATGGAAAGAAACGTCTTCGGCGGCCGCTGAGTTAGGAATGCCTCTGCGACACGACGATTATACACTTACTTTGGTCTCGGGCTACAGTAACAGAAACTCAAAGACGCCTGATATGACATTACATCGAGCGAATTTCAAAGCTTATCGTTGTGTCGCGCGCTCTTTATTCTCGAACGCATCGGACGTTGGAACTAAACCGGCTACTGGGGATGGAGACCTGTACCGTATGCAGGCGAAGATCACTGGGTGCAAGATGCGACGGTTGGCGCTGACAGAGGGGGGCCGACTGGGTCTTGTTCCTGGCCTGACGACGGAAGTTGGCGATGTCTGTTGTATCTTTATTGGAGTAAGTGTCCCGCTTATTCTCAAACCTGCGAATAACGGGAGATATCGGTTGGGTGGTGACGGCTATATTTCCGGCGTTATGGACGGGGAGTTGATGGAACAGTATGATTCCGGTGGTTTTGGTCAAGAGAAAATTGTCTTGATATGAATGTCTAATGGTTGGTGACTTGTACAATATAGTTGGCAGTGCTACCATGCTTTTTTATTCTGCACTGGCTGAATGCGTTTGCTCTGTTACGCTGCATTAAAGGGAATAGATATAAAGCTCCTTCCATAGTGCTCGAGAGAAGAAATAAGTCTTTGGTTGACTCCAAGTGCGCTATCCGCCCGTAGCCGCTGCGGTGCGGCTTACGGCAACTCGTTCACAGCGTGACGGAGAGGATGCGCAAGCAAAGGCAAACGGATATTCTTAGTAGCAGCCCCTGCCGTAACTTCTCTCCGGGCTTCAAAACCGCGTTACTCCAACGCAGTAACCTTGGAACTTATCTCTATTTCTCCTCTTCCGTTTATGCTAGGGACTCTTCCTATCAATATATCAGCGAAAAGAGTGTGAGATAATACGAATGAATTGTAGGAATCTACGAAAGAGCTCAATGTATCACGTGGGCTGTGACCGAATCCGGTAGTCATATAACGTTCTCAACGTCCCTCTCAGAATTACCCTACGACTCTTTCCATTAGGTTTATCTGCACCAATATTGCGGCATCTCATTTTATTTGGAGTACTTTGCATTAGGATGGAAAAGGTCATGTGCTTGCCCAAGAACCTTGGAACTCAATGTGCCATGTCATTCGTGGATAAGCGAGCGTCAGCGCTCCACATCCTGCAGCCTGCCACCGCGCAACTTGTTCACCATCTTCATGTCCCAAAGCCTAGCCTACGTCCCGCCGTCTCCTCATGGCGTCCTCCGCAGTTGACCTTGGATACTATCCGATAATCATACCCTAAACCAACTTCCTGAGGTTTAAGCAGGCCCAGTCCTCTCACAACTAGCCACATGTCCACGGACGCGCCACCGCTTGCGGCAATTGCCGCGCCTATTGTACCTAGCCAGTACTCGTACTCCCCGCTCCCGGCGGCTCGGGGATGGATTCGTCTCCTCCGTCTTCGTCCTCATTCGGATCCATCTTCCCCGATTCAATGCGTCCTCTTCCATTACCCGCTCCAACAATCAAGTGGACATCTCTACGAAGCACTCTCCTACGTATGGGGCGATCACGGTCGGGCTCTCCCCATCCTCATCGGGGAGACGGAGCTACGAGTCACAGTCAATCTCCACGCCGCCTTGACCCGACTTCGCAATGCTTTCCTTGAGCGTGTGCTCTGGATTGACGCCATCTGCATCAATCAAGCCGACCTAGAGGAACGTGGAAGTCAGGTCCAGATCATGGCACAGATTTATGCCTCTGCGAATAGAGTGATCGTCTCCCTCGGGGAGACGGCGGATCGAAGCATCAGTGCTTTCAAGTTAATCAGGATGGCCGCCGAGGCCTCAATTGAGGGAAACAGAACATTTGACCCATGGCGTTTATGGGAATGCAGACAATGTGAACTGTGGACTCCAGAGTATGGGCGGTGTGCTACATGCAGTGGCAAAAGTCTTCCGACTGAGGCGTGGGCACCAGGAACTGAGACGGCGGCGCGCAAATTTCAGGCTATCAACCTACTTCTCGGTAGGTCATGGTTTAGACGCGTTTGGGTGAGTGCAATGTAACCTCCACATCGGCATAAAATATGCCCTAACCACTTAGTGTTAGGTCCTTCAGGAGGTCGCCGCAGCTAGACGCATTCTCATCACGTGTGGCACTGAGGCCATCAACGGAAATGCTTTCTGCTACGGCTTAGAGACGCCAGCGTTCCAAGAGCTGGACCTCCTGGATACAATTCGGCCCGTGCTTTACCTCATCAAGGGCTCGATGGCTCGTCCTCAACACGAGGGTGCTTTCTCAGCAAGCACCCATCTCAATATTACGACGCTAGGTGAACTCATCAGCATGTTCAATCTCCATAAAGCTTCGGACCTTCGCGATAAAGTATATGCTTTAATAGGTATGGCAAGGATGGATTCAAGCACATCTACTTTGCTCCCAGACTACACAATACCGTGGAAGGTCCTTTTTCAACGCCTTCTTAGAACCTTGCTTGGACACCAAGTTGAGCTGGAAACTTGGAATGAGAGGGAAGTAGCTGTTGTCAGAGGAAAGGCATGCGCATTGGGTCAAGTTACGCTGGTACGAAGCTACGCCCTCTCTGGAGGTCGGCAAATTATCCAGGTCCAGTCGAATGGATGCCGCGGATATGATACGCCCTCTCTCCAATGGGGCTTTACTTGGACTGTTCAGATGCCAGCCAGACCGGTTCTGGAAGGAGATATTGTGTGCTTAGTCCGCGGCGCTTTGTATCCTTGCATCGTCCGCCCTCACGGGAGCCTTTTCTCTATCATCATGATCGTAACAGCGGAGCCTCATGAGTTTACTAGAGGAGACTGGGAGTATGATGGCTTCTATGGTTGGGAGAAAGGCTTCTCAGGACCTGGCGACACCTGGATCTGGAGCCGGGATGTGCTAATGGTATGCGATTGGGAACAATCTGAACCACCACAATCGATAAACCACGTATATCAACGAATCGGACACCCGCGCAAGGCCTTTGACCTGGCGATGGACCTGGAAAGTACAGCGCGTATGTTGGAAGAATACAGGCACTATCAATTAGGTAGTGAGATGCTTAGAGAGGCATTGAATGCCCTGGGCGATTCCCTTGAAGAAGAGTGGGTGCGGGCCAGACGAAGATTGCAACAGCTCCGCTTAATGTTCAAGGAACACAAAGCCTGGGAATACGTCATCGCAACTCTCCATGAAGACTTCAACTGCGCATCTGGACGTAAGCTAGGACGCCCTACCGACTCGAGCCCGATGACTGCTCGCTCTTATCCGGACAGCCTTGAATTCCTGGATTACCTTAGCAAGAATGCGGAAAAGGTAGCGCTTGAGATGACACACAAGGACGATCACGGCTCTCTGCTCTTGCTCTTCCGACTTATTGGAGATGCTATCCCTCTTTCTGCTGCTATCGTAAAGGGCTTCGTGGCTAGTGCCAACAGCTTTGAAATATTGCAGTGCATCTTCGAGACATGGGAGAGAGGCAACGAGATCGAGATTACCTACGAGATGCTCCGTTCGGCGATGTCCGAGCGTTGGGCATCCCGGCCCGGATTCAAGCTGCTGGTGGATCGTCGAGCCGACCATATAGCAGGGATAATCAGGACAACTGATATCTGCAAAGTAGCTGCAATTATGGAGCGCTTGCATGGTCTTCGGATCCTTGACGTGTTTCTTGAACGGTTCGACTTTCTTACCCAGGAGCCTCTCAGCAGAATCGCAGAGCTGTACCAACAGGCCTTTCAGCTAGACGAGGGTGCGGTCCGCGAACTTGTCGCTGAAGACATCGATCTGGATATTCCTGGAACGCGATCGGAGTCTCTTTTAGTCAAAGCATCAGAGTACGGGCGGGCAGATCTTGTGAAGTTACTGCTCGAGAGTCGTAGGGTGAACGTCAATTTCCTAGATCGGTACGAGATGACGCCGCTTTACCTCACTACGGCGGCCGGGCATGTCGAGATCTGCAGGCTCCTTCTGCAGCATGGCGCTAATCCACATACTAAAACATACTACGGAGACACGCCCTTGCAGTGGATGCAGCGATTGGACGAAAAAGCGGGGTTGCTGGAAGTTTTTGACGCAGTCATCGAGCAGCAGGAGAAGAGCGCCCATGAGCCGGTATCCATCAGCCCTGCCGAGTTCGCGGAAAAATGCTCTGTCAGCGTTGAAGAAACTCCTGAGGAAGAGGACGCATGAATGTTGGAGCGAGAGCATTATGGTTCTGGGAAACACATGAAGTCCTTGTAAAAAGGCAGAAAACCCCCATATTCAGGATGCATGTCGCTCAAGAAAATCCTCCAGGGCACGATTCACCTCTGCCGGCGCCTCAAGCTGTACCCAATGCCCCTTCCCACCCTTAACATCCGCATACTCATAGTCATCCGCAAACAGCTTGGTCCTCTCAGTCCACTCCTTCGCCATCATCTTCGAGTCCGCACTCTGCATGAACATTGTCGGACATGGCAACTTCGGATTCGGCCCAATATCCTCCATCTCCTCGTCAATCCCTAGGAACTCCCGGAACCGCGCGCGATACCAATCTGTTGGTCCGCGATAGGCACCTTCCTTCGAAAAGATACGATCACGCGTCTCCTTATACTCAGGAGTGACCCAGTCCAACAGCGGCACCTTCCGGTCTGCCTTTAGCCAGGCTTCTAGCTCGCCGGCTGGGAGGAAGTGCTTGATCATACCCTCCTCAGGGCCGTAGATCAGCGTAAAGAAGCTTTCTTTGTGCTCATCCATCAGCTTCCACGAATCGTCGCGCATCAAGAATCTCCGGTATCCGAAGAACTCGAAGCCCAGTTCGCGCTCCGTCAGCACTTTCATAGCATCCAGGTCCAGCTTGCGGCCAGGCGGCGTGTACGGCACAGCGAGGAAGGCGCACGTAAGCGCTATCTGGGGATAATACGCGATCAGCGTGCTCATGAATATGGCGCCGAAGTCGTGACCGACAACGTGGACTTTCTTGCCTCCATCCACATCTACCCCACAGTGCTTAAGGATGGCCATGATGTCATCCGACATGTTTTTGAGTTTATAGGGTTCGAGCGAGGTAGGCGATGTAGTGCCTCCGTACCCGAGTAGATCTGGTGCGATTACTCCATAGCCTTTGTCCGCGAAGTGTTTGATCTGGTGGTGCCAGTCGTATGAGGATGACGGAAAGCCATGAAGGAAGAGAATGGTCCGCTTGCTGCTCTTTGAAGGCTTTAGGTAGTGGACGCATGTGTACGTGAGGCCGGTTGGAAGGTTGATCGTGGTGCAATGGTCAGGGAAGCCTCCGGCTGCCATGTTGAGGTTTCGTCTGGAGACAGAGTCGTAGCGAGTTCTCTGGGACTTGTGGGATGTGGTCATAACAAACATGCGGGGCATTTCCCGCGCTTACCCGGAGATACCAGCAGAGCCCCGGCGCTGATGGACGCCTAACAACAGTCGTAGACACTGGCTGGAGCGATAGGATTCGAGGGGTGTAAACAATCGTAAGCTTGATATCTATCTGCCATACTTTCTAAATGGGAAGTGTGCTATTGGCCGGGAGACACGGGCCACGTGACATCTCAATCCGCGCCGTAGCGTTGATAACTAGATCGGCCAAAGGGGCAGTCCCGCATTTCAGGCCCAGCACGAAAGCTTGGCTATGCTATTTTCGTGTTAGCAAACTTTTTTCGAAGAACTGAAAATCAGGGATCACGTACCACATCTGCGAGAAAAGGCGCAGTGTGCGTATGATCCATCGGGTAATTTGCGTCCACCACTTCCAGACCAAGTAGTTTCTGCGCTTGCGCCGCATAAGTTCCATGCTGGACGAAATATACCATAGATTTGGGGCCTCGCAGCTCTTCGACGGAAAGCCTGCAAGCGTCAGTCCCACGTAGAGCATATATGGTCGCAGAATGGAACGTACAAGTCATAGTACGAGAAGCGCGACGGCGTGTATGAATAGTTACCAGTTTCCCACACGTTGTTCGGAAGTTGCTCCGAGATGACAATACCCGCCGCTCCTAACGAAAGGAACTTCGAGGCGGCCGCCTTGACATACCACGGGAAAGTATGGACGATTTCGGTGGCGTTGCTGCGAAGTTTATTAATCTTCTGGGCCAGGTCTTTTGAACAGAAATGCAACGTACTTAAACACTACAGTGCAAGTCTCATCCCCAGCACCGGGACAATCCGCTCTCCCCTTATCACCAGTCGTGCTCGTAGACCCGTTCAACGGCGTGCCACCGTCGTTGATGCCGAACTCAATAACGACCCAGTCTCCTGGATGCATCGCTTCCGCGATCCAATCGAAGCGTCCTTCACGGGTGAATGAGCGGGCTGATCGTCCCGCATAGGCTGAGTTGTTTACGAAAGCATTGCTGCCGAAGGAGTAATGCAGGTACTCGGCCCATCCTTGAGTGCCGTTATGGCCGCCGTCTGGCGCTGTGGTGGAGTCGCCGGCTACCCAGATGGTCGGGAGGGCGGTGGCGGTTGGGGCGGTTAGCGAGGCGCGCGGTAGATACTTAGGCCATGCTGATGCGAAAGGTAGTAGAAGGGCGACTGCGAAATGTATTGGAGTCATTTTGATCACCGCTTTGTCCAAGACGTGGGTTCGCGGAAGCCAAGCAAGAGCATATCGAATTGCCAAGGGTAGGCACAAGATAGTATTTATAGTCAATGTTGAGTAGTGTCCCCAGTTCCTGGTGATGGGTAAAGATCTAGTCGTTGCGGAGCCCCGCAATATCCGGGTATGGAGTCCTGGTACGCTATCGGGTGAAGATGCACCGAGCGTCTCAAATTCTCCGGTTCACGCAGATCTAGTCTTGAAAGTTCACCATAAAAGAATTCCTCTCATCGCGAAGACAAGAACCTATTTTTGCATGATTAAGATACCGAAAACAGACTCTAGATACGATCGCTTTCTGCGAGACCAATGCAGCGTGGAAATTCCTGAAGTTATAAAGCGATGTCACGCACATCAGCTCGAGACCGCTCTATGTTAGCTCGCTCGTCACGACGGGGTTTTCTCATCTGCCTCAAGCATCCAATTTCCTCGCGAGACGGTTTTATAGAGCCTTTACACCTGCGTTCTTAAAGCCCACTTAAAGCCATGCATCAGAGAGTGTTTTTTTTTTTTTGGGAGATGCACAAGTCTGCATGCCGGGGCAGGAAGTGCAAATGCAAGCTTTGGGCAAAAGAGGACCCCAAACATGCGCCTTCCGTGAACAAACTTTGGAGTTGAAGCAACGAGTATGTTGACGGCCGGTACGTATTTGTCGCAAAAACAACAGCCAGCTATTCGAATCATGAAAGTAACTTTCTGATATAAGGCAGAGCCCGAAAGCTCCAGCCATGTGTGCACAATTTTGTGGTTTTGCAAGAAAGATCTCCATACGGTAACATCATGAATCCTTTTACACCCAGGAAGACATGATCATGGTTTGTCACTACCCCGGTTTTCAAAAGAAGTGCTGTAACCCTGACCTATTATAGCGCACCAAACTTTCGAGCCAGGAGGAAGAGCAGAAAGTTGTTCTGATGGTCGTATACAGTGTAGAAAGCAAGCTCTGCGCCCGCATAGGCGCCTTTGCATTGTCCTTTGGAGTCCGAGAAAAGGAGACCATTAGTCGTAGTTACTCTGACCTTTCGTTCTACCCCATCGCTCGCCTGTACATGACCGTTGCCACAAGATTATTCTGGGAGAATGCCGAGCAAAAGATCCATACACTTTCCTTGCATCGGCGAAGGGCTCCGAGGTCGACGGCGCAACATAGCAGCGAGTGGATTCGCTTTTTAGAGAAAGCCGCAAAGGCGCACACATGACATTGAAGTACGTCTTATTTTCGGTCAGACTAGGCATTCGCCCGTTACGCAGATGCGCGGGAATTCAATTGCCAAAGCAAGCGAGCGTTCCAACATCCTCTCACGGCGCTCCCGAGACGCGAATAAAGGAGCCATTTCATGTCACAGAACATGTTTTTTGACTCCACAGAGCCAAAGCGCGGAAGGGACATTTGTTGATCATATCATCGATTTTAGCCAGCGGATGCGGACGAGGCGCACCATGGCATGCTCCTGGATGTATTTTTAGAGAATTGTAAACTACCCTGCCGCAGAAACGTATTGACGGCGTCTGTGGTGTTTTTGTAGCCCAAAGACGACTTGCATAGTTGGTTAGTCTAGCGGGTATCAAACTTTTTGTTCGCCAGTGGCGAATCTTCGAAGCGAAACAGAAAACTCCCCATACAGTGTGACCGCCTTCTCTTTGAACTCCCATGAAGGGTGCAGGGTGTATGGGCGCCGCATATTCGAACATGAACACGAACAGACCAGTTTAGCGACGCATTATCGAGTGAAGCTTTCCGAGGTGAAGAAGTGCGCGGGATAATCCAGCCATGGTTGATGCGTTCCATCACTTTGGAGGAGACGCCGGCAAGAAGCTTCCACATGTCCTTTGGAGATGCTTTTTTTGGACCTCCGGAGGTCCCACAAAAGACCTTACAGCAGATCATGTTGTCATGTTGGACCTTCGCAAGAAGATCCAACCATCTCGGAAGCGACGCTTTCTTTTATAGACCCAGCGAAGAACGGAAAGTGTACATCGAGTAGTGCTCCTCGCGCAGGGAATCCAACCATTTTTCTTCAGCAACACTAAGAGACAAGGAGAAAGACCGCCATGTTGCGCGCCTGGGTTCTTTTCCAGCCGGGCAAACAGGCGAAGAGCACACATGCTGTGGTGGTAACCCTGACTTTAGCGCAAACATCTAGGCTCTGCCAAACTCCTCCTTCTCAGCTCATATTTTTCGAGACGAGCAGACAAGCGGAAGGGGTCTGGGCATGAAGGCTCAGGGTGATGATTTCGGAGAAGGAAACAAAGGCCCGCATATGTGAGCTCGAGTCCGCGTTTTAGAGTCCGAGGATCCGAACAGGAAGGGACATTAGGCCATAGGTTTGTGTTTTAGGGCCTCCCCCGGAGACGAAGCCATGAATCAATCGCACTATCATTTTAGAGGGAGGGAACCCAAAGAGGTGTGTGGGAAAGGAGCTCTCACTGGGCGGTGCGGGGGAATTATATAGAGCTGAGCGACTTGGTCTGGGGTGAGAAGGCGAGTGTTGCGTAATGTGCATAACCCACACACGAGAGCTGCGAAACGATGAATCAGACAACAGAAACGATTAGATGAGAGGTCGGACGATATATGTTTCATGTTTGTAATATACGTATTTTACTCAATAATACGCCGTAATCCGTGCCCACAACACCTTTTGAGTAACATCCGCAATGATAAGAGGTCCAACATAGGGAAGACGCGATGGTAACAGCGATGAGCGCTAGTAGTACAAGCGACGGTAATCCAAAGGAAATCCTGAACCCAAAGGCAAATTCAACGCGTAAGCATGAGAGAAGGGGTATCATTACGACGAGGCGGTGCGAGAAGGAGAAAGAATGTTGGCAGCGAGCGCGATTTTGTACTTCGGGATGCGGTGCGGACTGGGAGTACTACCGGCTCCGCTGGGAGACTCCTTCCTGCGTTGGGGTGGTGATGGTGTCGCTGGAGGGCTGTTCTTGTCCGACGTCGCGCTTTCTTTCGACATCATGCTGTCTTCACCGTTGGTCCACTGCTCGGTTTTCATGGCCTCCGGTGACGGCGTCCCGTTGGCAGATGCAACTAGATCGTCGGAAGACCTCTTCGTTTGGGAGAACAGGCTCGGGTCCACCGTAGTGTTGGTTATGCCCAAACCTTCAGCTTTGGCAGCGGCATTTTCTTCCTGTTGCTCCTCATTCTCTGGATTAGTCGCGGTGGCCGATGGGATGCTGAAGTCATCCTGTGGCGCTGCCATTCTTCCTCCTTCTGGCACCTCACTGACTGTCGAGTCAGCGGCTTTTGAAGTCGAAGGGCCTTTCCATTCCGGATGCGGTATCCTCCCAATAATGCCCAACCTTCCTGTTCCCGCCTTGGCCCATTGCCAAATACCCCGAGGAGGCGTCGCCTCCTCTTGTTCTTTCTTAGGTGTGATCTGCTCTTGCGCTCTCTTAGGGCTATCCTCTTGTGTCTCCATTGGAGAATCTCGCTGTTCCGCCTCGCCTTTCGCATTATCCGTGTTCTCATGGGGTTGGTGAGCCCCTTCTTCTGAGCTTTGGTGGTGGTCGTCTGGGACTTGAGGTGACTCCTCTGTCAGAACCGGGCTTGATAGGCGTCTCTGTGGGGGCGTGAACCGGCGAAATTTGTCTTTCTGCTCGGTCGGGCTGGGGGGCTTGGGGATTGCCGTTGCGTTCTCCATCGATGTCCCGACTGTCGAAGTAGCCGGACTTGTGAGGCGTCGGCGGAGAGGGCCGGCGCTGTCCTTTCCGTCTTGTCGGCGAGCTTGCCGTGGGGGATGGGGAGGCTGGGGACTCGTCGGGGGAGGAGGGCGGCGAGGGTGGAGAGGTGGGTCGGAGCGGGCGGGGGGATCGGAGTTGCTTAATTTTGGGTCGCGGGGGAGGGCTGGAGCTGGAGCTGGAGCCGGAGCCTTGCGCGCTGTTAATGCATGTTATTATTCATCCCCGAGGACGAACTGATGAGGATGGATATGCTCGTCTTCGTCGTAATGGACGGCTTGAGCACGACGCAGTGTGGGACAGTGTGCGGTTCTAGGCGCTATTTACCTTGTTTCGCCTTGCCTTTGCCTCTGATGTGGCAGTTCGGACCAGCTTCATGGTCGTGATAGTCGCACTCATTGCCCGGGTCCGTAGGATCATCGAACAACATACCACCAGTCCCGTGTTTGATGGCTTTGACCAGATCGACGGCAAAATCTTGATTGTGTTCGAAGCACTGCCGATAGGTCTCGACGTCCCTCTCGCTATCAGGGTCCATGATTTGTCGCGCCGCGATTCTGGTCATGAGGCGGCGGAATGGCGACCCGGTCGGACTCGTGCGGTATATCTCGTCGATCTCCTCCGCATCTGGGACAAGCTCGGCCTCGTTGAGGCCTTTGCGATACTGATCCATTGCGACGTTCTTCAGCTGCGCCATGTCGAAGCGATCGCACAGGAGGTAGAGCTTGTGGCAGGCGACGGCGTAGTCGTACTTCTGGTTCGCATCCGCCATATCGGAGACATCGTCGAGCTTGCCCTGGTAGAGCCATTTGACAAGCAGCTCGAAGCCCGCAGGATCGTGCTGCGGGAGCTCCAGCTTATCCTGCTGCTTCTTGCCATCGCCACGGAGCTCGGACTCGAGTAGTTCGGAGTGGTGATATAGGAGGTTGCGGTGCAGCGACCAGTGCCGCCTTTCTTCGCCGACGTAGATATCTAGCATTGGGCCGGAGAGGAGTCTATCGCGTTGCAGCTTAGCTTTTGCACGCACATGGAGACGGTGGGAATAGAGTCTATGCGCCAGGGCTGGGCGCAGCCGGATTCTCGTACACGGCGCGACAGCTTCAGGCGGCCATTGCGACGCTCCCTCGGACGGCGCATGCGGTTCCTCAGCTGAGGAAGCTACCATATCTGATGGAGAATCGGATGCGCCGTCTTGCAGGTGATCAGGGGGCTGTAGTGGAGCTGGTACGTACTCAGCATAGGTTGCAGCTGGCACATCGCCAATGTTGCCGTGCGCCATTCGTGTTCGTCTGGCGGCGTATGCGAAATCACGATGGAAAATGAGGCGGTCCTGCCATCCCATGCGCGGCGATAGGGACGGTCATGGAGGTGATACGATGGGATGGAAAGTGACAGGCGAAGAGGCTGATGATGGATGCGTGGTGGTGCGCACGGCAGAAAGCGGGGGCTGGGGAGCAGGGATGGGCGGCTTTGACGTCGTCACTTCGTCTGTGGCGCCGTGACTGTGGCGGCAGGTGTCACCAGCCACTTGCAGGGGTCCTGCCAAGTCTGGTCTCAACTCAACCGCCTACTCCTAATCCTATGCCCGGGAGCCATCCTGACACTCAGCACTCGCGCTTCCACCCTGCAAATGGTGCTTCACGGGTCGAGTATCCTTTCCTCATTTCTGAGTGCTCGGGTCGAGGGCATACCGCGTCGGAATGAGGCCCCGATCTGGAATGCACACGGTATGCAGGAATCGAGGGAGGCGATCCTAGCAAGGGATGACCGATGGCTTCTAAAGAGTTGGGAGACGTCAGCACATAAGGAACAGGGCGACAATGTAGGTTCCATGTAAGGACATGTCTTCTCGTAGCTTCAGAATATCAGCGTCAGCGTCTCAAGCCGAACACTGTCCGAGTTTGACACCTCCTATACCATCTGTAGGCATATTACCCGCCACTCGCTCCTCTCCAAAAGCGGGTTGGAGCTCCTAGTCCTTCACCCAATCAAGCGGCAGCGCTGGTTCTCGACTTCACGCCGGATTCACACCCAAAAGCGTCACCATGAGCTCTCTCGCCTGAGCCGATGAGCGAGGGAAATCTCGAAACTAGATAATGGTGCAGAAAGAGACGGCGACCATCTGAAGTGTGACTGGACACGGCTCACTTCCCCCCTAAGCCCGACCCCGCTCCCGAACACCCTATGTAGATGGCACCCCGATCCCACGGAATAACGTTCCTCCGACCCCACAGCTTCGCCCGCCTCTCTCACCTTAGCACGCCCGCTCGTCACCGCGCTCTCTCACGTGCGGTACCATGGATGGCTTGCACACTATACAATTACCTTACGGACTGAGTGCGCTCCACCGCCAGCTCCAGACCACAGGTAAAAATGTTGCGATACCCTTCCGCGAGCGCGAATACTATCTGCCGCCTTTACGACAACTCTGTCCCACGGCTCCAGCAAATACCACTCCAGGTCTGCTACTACACAAGCCGCGGAAAAGGAGACACGCAATGGGAGTCCCGACCGCTCGACGGAGCAAACAAGCTCCGCCAACAGCAACAGAGAAGAGAAGGAGAGTTTCAAAGCATCAGCCCGCCCAACGGAAGAAATCCGCATTGACAAGCCAGCCCTTCGGGCCTGGCTCTCGGTACGGCCTCAGCAAGCTCCCGATCACGATCGAAGACGGCGAAGAAGACGCGGCGAATTCTCCGGGCTCACGCCTTCAACCACAGCCACAGAAGCTTAAGAAGAAGCGCCCATCTGGCGATACAGATTGGCTCGGAAGCTCCATTCGTCCTACCCCGCTCGCGCTTCCAGATTTAAACCGGTTTCGATATGCTCCCAGCATGCAAAACCATACAAATGCACCCTCCGACCCAATCCGGAACATGTATCGCAATGGTGCAGGATTCACGCTGAAGAGAGATGCTCCGGCGCTGCAGATTTCCCTTCCGAAGGAACGCCAGAAGCGCGAGGACAGTGTAGTCTTTATGTGGGTAGAATACACACTCTGGGCACACTCCGGGAGTTTTGTGGCTAACGGGGGAGCCTAGGCATGAGAAGACCGCTGTTCAGCCTCCGAAGAACAAATATGGGTTTCGCACCCGCGCGACATCATCTAGGAGTGCAGCTTCTCTTTCGAGCAAACCACCTCGCCTTCCGGATTATCATGCAGCCGTGGAGTATACGTCTAATAAACTTTGGTTGATGGAATTGGCAAGAGCGTCACCAAAAGGCATGATACATACACAACGGCAATATCCCACCCTAGCATTGACTGAGACGCCGCTTGAGAGGGACAGCTCTGTTCTAGTTGAGTATGTCTGCACGACAGAATCGAATACAGGATACTAGCTCACGCATAGCCAAGAGACAATTCCAATGTCAACTACGCTCGCCCAACTACCATGCGGGAGCTCAAGAAGACAGGCCTTGTTTCAAGAATGGAAGTGCCCACTTCACACCCCAGCAGATACCGTCGCATGTATCCTTCTGTCCAAGAGAACGACCGCGCTCCGCACCCATCCGTTCAGCATAAGGACAATCCTATACCCTCAACAGAGCTGTCCAGGCAATCGCAGACCGAACTCGCGAAGGAAGTCAAGAGTCCAGATCTGTCTCTCGGCGACATTCCTGATTTCAGTCTACGAATGAAAGTCGCTCAATTGATGGCGGTCGCACCGAGCCTCCCCGTCCAAGACCTCTACGACCTTCTTATGGAAATGAAAGGCCACTATGAGAACGCTAGAGACCAGGTGTTTGAACGTACTCGTACGCGAACACTAGGGCGTTCGGTTCCGCCTCAGAGTGCCTGCAGCAATAACGTCATTCAGCGAGGGAACGAAGACGAGGAAGATACCAAGGTCAAGATCGACTTGAATGATCCGGACATCTATAACGACAATGACGTTCCTTCGCGATCTCCGACGCCTGAGCCTGCGCCTAGGAAGTCCCGCTCGAAGGCCACTTCGAAGCGTCTAGCCAACTCTGTCACAAAGCCCAAGACGAAGTCCAAAGTTCCATCAACAGGAAAAGCAAAGAGTCACACCAAGAGCTTGACTAGGAAAGCGACTCAGCCCAAGCAGGTGAAAGCAAACGTCGGTGCCAAACGATCAAAACCTTCCAGCAGAACCCGGCGAAGTAACAGCATCGATGGTGTGTTCGTGATCTCTGACGATGAATCCGATCTCGATGGGTCATACAGAGACATCGGCTCTGTCCGCAACGCAGATGACGCTGGGAACGGCAGCGACATCGAGATGGTTAATGCCGATGCAGAGCTCTTCATTGATATGGAGGACTCCCCGTATCATAGACGTTTGTACACACCGCTACTTCTAACTATTAGTTAGAACGCCCTCCTGTATAAGACACCGCTCTCTTACCTTTGTTCGCCTCGCAGACCGCTCTTTACCAACGCTTTACCTTTAGTAGGATATTTAATCTCCGCCTCCCGCCTAGAGATTTCTAAACTCTCTTCACTCCTTTCTTCCACTCTTCTTTCTATCTTTTCTAAAGCTATCCCAATACCCCCTCTCGCTCAAAGAATCACGAACCTGCTATTCTATCCCCTTCGCATTCTTCTCAATGCCAGCACAAAAACGGGTTTATAATAGCAAATCTGCCACGAAGGCTCGAGAGGCAATTCCCAAGCCATCTGGCGTCAGGCGCCGCCAGAGACCCAAGCCGAAGAAGAAGTACATACCCCACGCAGCTTCTCTCTGTGCTGCAGCAGCCAGACTAGACCAGATTAACGCCGCTCGCGTTAGGACGAGGGCCGTAGTAATCGATGTCTCAAGCGATAGTGACTCTGGCAGCGAAAGTCTGCGAGAGCTATCTGGGGAGTGTTCAAGGTACGGTTGCTTTTTCCTCGCGAACTTGGGCCATCCTGATTTGTCTAAGCAGAGAGCCGAATGTACACCAAACTTCACAGCCATCTCCTTTCCGCGAACAACACTCAGAGTCACCGCACCCAGCCCCGCTACCAGGACTTGCGGAAGGACTCGATCAGGCGCGCTCCCAGGATTCCTGCTCGACTCCACAGCATCCTAGACCGGCCACATCTCAGCGTACCAGCGATCGAGCTTCGCCGCTTGGCGTCCCAACGTTCTGCCGCAACAGTCTAACCCAAAGACTCCCTGTCTCACTGCATGAATATCAGACACCGCTTTATCCAGAACGCACGCCAGATACTTCTACCAAAATAGCTCGACGTGACGAGCACCCCCCTCAGATTTCGTCCCCCGCCTTTCCCCGCTCACCCCCGCGGTTAGCAGGTAAAGGCGAATTCTACCATGGTTCCAAGGGCATAGCAAACTTACCTATCGACGAGCGATCAGTCCAGCATTGTAACCTCAAACGCCGCCGTCGCAGATACATCGTCGAGTCAAGCGAGTCCGAAGAAGATTCCTGCTCTTACATTAGCGCAGCAGATGACGGTCGTTCAGACTTCATGACACCTAGATGCAAGAAGCGCAACGACAAAAGCAAGAACGCTCCTCGCAGTCTACCTAATAGGCCAGGCAGAGAAGCAATAAAGCTGGACACTAAAGAGACGCCCAAAACTAAAGCTCCTAAGCGCAATTCTGCTCAAGCACGCTACGGGAAATCTAGGGTTCGTGACCTGAAGGACTTCGTCGAGCGATTGAGCAAGGAAGAACTACACGCATTATCGGACGAGACCTTCAGCGATACAGACGTGAGTGCCAGTGAGAGCGAAGACGATGACTGCCTAGACATAGATCTGGATGACGAAGACCTCGACTTGGGCATTCGTCCGGAGCGCTTTCGAAGAAGCGCGAGCCCGCCAACACGCTTCCGGAAAAGCATGGAGCGGGGGATGGCTGACTTGGGTATTGCAATGCATGGATGGTCAGAGACTGAGGCAGAAGGCAGGGCAGCACGAGGCCACCCGGCAAGGACAAAACAACCACAATGCCAATCACGCTCCATCCTTTCCGACTACTTGAGTGACGGAGGAGACCACATATACCCGGATGACCACGTCTTTGACCTCCCCTCTCGCCGTTATCGAAGCCCAACGGATCCCATCTTCTTCAAGAGTGGAGGGCTAGGCGGGTTTCCTACCAGTTCTTCCTTCTCGGGTGCGACAGCGAGCAGTTTCACGGCAAATGATACCTCATACACTTCCGCTGGTACCGCATACCGCCCCATGCCACTTCACCAAAAGGAGAGCTGCCTGCGCTCGAAGCAGCATGATTCCTTCTACATGAGATTTGATCCTAAGGTACACAAGCAACACAGGGACCCGGACTACGTCGACAAGGAATTTGCGCGTCTACGAAACATCCCCCGTCTAACGGTAGAGCAGTCACAACAGGAGATAGCGCGTGACTTAAGAGCGAAGAGTCGAGGAAAGTGCAAGCAATATGCCTGAGTAAGAGCAGAGCAAGAGGGCATCGACCAGGCATTCTAGCGCAGGGCGAACTAGGACTCCATTCCTATCTTAGACGTACTTATTTTTTTCCATCTATTTCTATCTCTCCTATCTCAAGTTTTGGATTACTTCTATGCTAGTACCAGGAAGCATCAGTCTGCGGAGCTTCTTTTTTGAATTTGGCAGCATTAAGTGGTGGGGGAGTCCTAACGATCTTGGATACATGGCATTTATAAGTTCCTTTCTTTCTGGCACGGCTTTTATTTTCAGCTAGAGAGAGCTCCAACACCTTTGGACGGACTATTAGCGGATTTGTACGGCAGCTATGAACCGGCCGCCTTCATTCTGGATATGCATCTCTACAAAATAAAACATATTATTAGAGTAGATTTCGTTCGATTTCAGTGTCTTCTCCCTATCTACTCTATTATTCCTGGCTGCTATACTTATTTTCCTCTCTTGTTCTTCTCCTCCTTACTACTACTGAGGAAATATACCTCCTACCTTATAAGCCATGGAGCTAATTTTTATCTAGATTTTATCCTGCCAATTTCTACCCCTGTATTCTACCTAACTTTGTGCAAAGTTACCGCTTAAGAATCCAAAGATGAGATTAGCAATATTCAAATTTCAGAGCGTCCTGCCCATCCACGAACCCTCCTCCTCTAAACTTTGCAACCTCCCAACACCCCCTCACCCTCTTTCCCAACCAACTTAATCCTCCATCTCACCTCCTCCCCTTCCCTCCCTCCATGAATCCCCGAACCTGCATCTCCACCCCCCTATCAGCCCTCCCTTCTCCCTGTCTTCTACCTTCCCCATCCCCACTCTCTTGCTCCACCAACCTCCTCCTATCCCTCCACCTCTTCACCGTGTAGAGCCACACAACCCACGGCACGAACGTAACAAAGAACGGTACGAATATACATAGCGCGATCAGTGCCGGCAGAGGAATCGGTCCCACATATACGAGCGAGTTGGGATCTTTGGTTGCGCGCGGGCCGAGCGCGGCGATGATGTGCGATGCGTTTGGCGGTTTGTGTGGGAGACGGGCCGCCATTGTTGTTTTTGTATGTGTGTGTTGGGCGATGTGCTGATTTAGGGTAAGATATGAGCATAGTGGGGAAACGAGAGGCGCGGATGCGAAGTTGGGTGGTGATGGGGATGCCGTTGTGGGAGAGGGCTAGAGATAAAGGAATAAAGAGAGACAAAGAGTGGGGGAGTGAGACAACGGCTTTGTTTCGGGCACGCTGGTTGAATGAAGTAAACGCTTACGTTGCGCGTTTGAGACTTTGTTTGCTCTTCGTTTGTGACTGACTGTGAATGTCCTGAGGCATAGTGCCAAGAGGTGAAAGGGGTACCACGTGATCATGTGAATGCACGCATAATTTGCATCAGGACGCCACCAGAGAGCGCGTTTGCGACAAAAACGGGCTATACATATAAGTTACAGGACTCCCGGATGGAGTTACTAATATTATTGTGCGGTTTCCGCGTCGGTGTTCACGATTTGGTCGAACTGGATAATTGGTAGAATGATAGTAGTAATATTATTCTCAAGTTGCGTCTGGGAGCGGCGATTTTGTATTCTGGTAACGAACTATAACGTGCCTAATCCTAATTCTCATGAGATGCGTTCGTACCAAACCCAGGCCAATATTTCTGACCCGGAGCCAAATGGCGCATAGGGTTCCGCTCCGATGAGCTAGGAGGCGAAACACGCCCGTCTTCCTCATGTGTAGCATGAGGCTGACCAGTGTCGAAATCTGCCAAGGGAAAGACAGACCGAGAATTCCGGCTGGCCGGCCTACCTTGTGTCTCCGCTTCTTCCGAGATCTCTGTCTCTTGCATCACTCGAGAAGACTTCTTCAAAACCCCAAACCACCTTCTCGCCGCGCCCGGCACTATTCCCGTGCTCTGTACCCAATCCACCCAACTCAATGATGTAGTAGTCTGCATCTTTTCCCGCTCCACGCTGTCCGGTGTTGCTGTGTTAGTGTTGCTGCAACTTGTATACCTCCTTAAGCCACCACTAGCGCGCCACGTATCATGCTTAGGATCTATGAAAGAAGAGGGTTCTTCTTCATTCACAGAAGGACGGCGCTTCCGCCAGTGCATAATCGCATAGATGGCGAGGAGAAATAGGATGAGACTGCCACAAACAGTGCCAACGGCGATGGGGACAGTGCGGTTGCCTTGCTCGGGCTTGTTGGGGCCTTCCATAAGGGTAGGGCTGGGAGGTACGTCGCTCGTTACCGCGCGGGTGGGGACGGGAGTGGGGGACGTTTGTAAAGTAGAAGGAGGTGGTATTTGAGTTCGTGAGGTAGTCTCCGGGAGGATGAAGTCCGTTGATGCAACTGATATAGCTGTCTCAAACGGAGGTGTTGAGATCGGTGACGTTTCCATTGACGGCGCGACATAGACAAAGGACATGGTGACCACTGGCTGTGAAGCATCTTGCGCGGTTGGCCAGGGAAACTGCGACGGCTGTGTGGATGCAATGACAAAGAAACGATGACCTCCTAGAAGTTGAGTAGCTGGTAATGGGTCACCTTTTGCACTGCGAACTGTGGCTTCTGCCTGCTGTGGGCTCGAGGATGCCGGCGATTCAAAGGCCGGAAATCCGTTGAAAGGTTGCCGATGTCGTGTCGCCGTGGGAATATCCAGCACATACGCTGCTGAGTGGCGACCTGGTTCTGAAGGGTGCGTTTTGGTGTCTGAGGGCGCAGACTGCGAGAGAGTTGCATGCCGGATGGCGGATGAGGGGTGTGTCTTTGTGCGAGTCGAATTCGGTCGCATCGAGGGTCTTAACCTGCGAGGCTGCGATGGCGCATGTGTGTCTGAGCCATCCATAGGCCAGGTGAAGCCAGACGAGCTCCTACCGATAATATGAAGCATTCTCAAAGTAAATCCGAAATGCGCGGTGTTTGGTGGTTGTTCTTCGCGATGGTTTAGAGGCCAAGCCTGGAAGAGAAAGGTGAAAATAGAAAGGTCCTAGATCGGATACGCATTGTTCATTCACAGACTGTCTTCTTCACATGCGAAACTTAGACAATGCGTGGCATCCAACAAAGGTATGGCATAAATGTGAGACTTGGACTTGAGATGAGTCACTTCAATAGATCGCGAAGTGGCGTCTTTTTCTAAAAGCTTGTGTGAGGGAGGACGTGGAATCGTCATGGAGATTCTACGAATCTACTTGCTGAGACGCATCTCGTGACCGAGCCTTTGTGAAGTGTCCACAAATAGGCAGGTTGTGCACGCGTAATTCTGATCGCGACGGTATGACGTGTGCGCCCTACAATGTACTCGTGCGCCCGTCCGACAGGAATAGAACACAGAAGAAGCGGAGAGCGAAAATCAAGAAGACTAGTAAAATCATGTAAATAACGGATTCACTCATAGTAGAAAGTGGCATTGAATATTCTACCTAGTGAATGCCAAATGCATTCAACAAACTATATTTCTCAAGGGCGCAAACGACGGAGAAAGCCACACAATACTCAAGAGCGCCATAACCCATTCCTCCTGCTCCAAACGCCCTCACCAATGCTCTGCGGCCAGAACTCAGCAGTCCTACACCCCACGCCGGCCATCAATAGAGTCATACCTATTCACGCCCGCCCCACTATTCACCCAGTTCTCCGTGTCGCGGTTGATCTCCTCCCACGGAAGCGGCTCAGGCTCTGCCGGACCATTGACCACCGCCGCGCGATGCGACCTGTAGCGCTGCGCTGGAGCCACGGGTACCGGCTTCCTAGGGATGGTGAACTGGGTCGTGGCCGGAGCTCTATCAAGGACTGGTCGCGCCGGGACGCTGAAGTTTCGGGCAGCTGGCGAGGCAGCTGGAAGAGGCGGGAGAGGCTTATCCCTGGAATGATTCGCTTGGTACCATTGTCTTGAGCCTGTTGGTGAAGTCGCAGCTCGGGTGACGCGTTTTGGTGGCTCCCAGAGTTCGTCTAACGGGCGATGGGGGTAGTGGTGACCGGCACCGGAGAGAGCGACTGGGGATTCCTTCTCAGTTAGCCCTCGTTCGAGGTCCCCGTGCGGTTTTGACTTCTTCGTCCGACGGCAGCATTTCCATGGGTCCATGCCGTGCCGCTTCTTCTGGTAGCAGTGCCATGCGGCGCCTAAGAGAGCTAGGAAGACGACGATTACCGGGATGGCTAGCCAGGCTAGGCTCATAGATCGTCCGTCGGAGAAGTTGTTGTGGGCTTGCGCATTTGTGGTTGGCAGTGGGGATACCGAAGGGGCGGGAATTGACGAGGGGACTGAGGAGGGCTGAGCCCATTGCGTTTCTGGGGCCCAGGTTGGTTGGGCTCCTGGAGTCCAGGCAGGCTGCGTCCATGCAGGTGCAGAGGCTGTAACCGATGGCCACTGCCACTGGCGTCGGATGAGCGAAGGGTCCATCGTAAACGGTGCTGTCGGTTCGGTAGGTTGTGGACTTACTACCGTTGTCATAACGGCTAGCGCAGCGCTTGTGAGACCGATGATCGTGGAAAGAAGTGCGAAGATAGTGGCTTGCTTGCCGAGCATTTGGAAGCAGTTGTGGTTGTGTTTGGAGAATGCAAACTGTGTATATGGAGAGACAGAAATGATTGGATGTGAATATGTAGTCGCATGTGCCACGTCAAGCACCTCGTTGTAAGTGAATATAGGCTGCAGTTGCTATTATGTCCGCGCACAATGCTTAGGGAGTATATGAAGTGACGGAGGATTACCATTAGTGAATACAATGCGCATTCGCAAATAGCTACATTAGTCGAAAGGGAAAGGTAGACGAAGAGCCTGATTGATTATTCTGGAAGGACAGCAATATTTGGTGTTATCGCGGAGGATGTGAGCGACGATTGTGTGCACTTTCTATTGTCGTGATCGGTGAATAGGTTCCGACTACTATCGTAATCTACGAATTTCGAAGTCACACCGTTTAGCGAATACCGAAGTGAAACAGGAATAGGAAGTTGTAGCGACTCACAAGCAGGGAACCAGTGGAGTAATTTGCATAAAACGATTTTATTTCTTAATCGCGGTACCTGCACCGCGGACTCCTACATAACTTCTCAGCAGCTACCCTCCGACTACCCTCCACGGATCCCCGAATTTCGCTTCCTTAGTACGCATGGAAGATGCGTTTGTTAGGCTGCGGAGTCCGCGGAGGATGAGCCGGCGTACCGGACGGCTGACGAGGGTGATAGTAGCCTCCGGGCGCAGCTGGGTGCCGTGCCACCATCTCCGGTGCGCTAGGTTGGCTGGCTTCGATGTCGCCATAGCCTTTTGCCGCACATCGGCGTCCACCGCAGCAGTAGCAGCAAGCAGGCCAGTGCCCAGTCTTAACGCGCAGGATGATTGAGGCAATCAAGCCGAGGAAGCCAACACCAACCAAAGATCCACCGATTGCCGAAGCGATTGCCCAACCTTCCTTTGTGTCCGTCGCGCGATACTTCTCTGGCTGCGCAGCTGGAGAGGCGGAAGGAGCTGCAGAAGCGATGGCGGTGTAGGATGGAGCCGCCCATGTGTTCCCGCTCGACGGTGTCGGAACCCACGACGACTGGGCCTCTGGTGTCCACACTGGTGCACTCCACTGGCCCGCGTCAGGTGTCCACTGGCCGTCCTGACGCGCCGCAAGGATCACCGTCGGAGTGACAGTGACAACCTGGGTCTCCAGGACCGTAGTCGTCATAGCAGATGCGGGGGCGGTGGTCGATGTCGCGAGGCTGCCAGCAGCCAAGATCGCAAAAGCGAGAACGGACGTGAAACGCATATCCTATTACTCCTGTCAGCTCCGCTTCAGGGTAGTTGAGAAAGAATAGCGAGCAAGATATCCAAACTTACGGATGAATATATATCATCGCATGCCGATGAGGTATAGCGGTGTTGTGAACGAATAGCGGGATTACGATGCCAGTATCTTCAGATGTCGGATGTGCACAATGCAGCGATATCAGACGCGGGAACGTATGCATGGGTGGTGAGGAAGTGTCAGGCGTATAAAGACTGAAAACATATTCGGTGCATTCCACGTTGTCGGGGTGCGGCATCTTGACAAGCGAGATCGTGATCACATTCCACATTCCGGAGCGAAGGATCTTGATACGTGATTAGTCTATTTTGTGCTTATGGCCACGGTGCTTACCTAATGCGAGAATTTCCAGGTGCTCGAAGCACAGGAATCAACTATTGCGTGTCCTTAGCCGTCGCCGAAGACTCTACGCTTCGGACGCGCAGCCCTCGGCAGCTCCCGTAAGCTCACGACGGGCATCTCGCGTCCCCGCTCATCGCGCTTACCGATCGTAGAGCGGTCTACGCTTCCCTGATCCGTTGACTCGCGTAGACGCATAGGTAGATGAAGTGAGCGCAGCTGTGTGGTGTTTCAAGTCTCCTGAGGCCCCGCCTCTGGATCATGTTGCGGTTGTGCGGTAGAGAACGGCTGGAAGTGCCGTGGTTTAACTTGGGTGCCGTTCGACGATGCGCTAAAGCTGCGAGTTGGCCCGTTTCGCTTTCGGCGATAGCAGGCATACAGAGAAATGCCAACGACAAGCAGAAAGAGGAGCGCTGTCGGGATAGCAATGCCGACGTATACAGAAGATTCCGTCATTTTTAACAATAGGTAGGAAATGTAGGAAATGTAGGGGAAAAGGTATGCGGGAGGAGAAAAGCCAAGACCGGGGAATATATATCTTCAGGAAGGTGGAGAACAAAGATTAAGGAGCACATGTTGTGAGACTGGTTTAATACTTTGACAATGGGACAAAGACGTGAGACATGACGTAAGATCGTGGTGCAAGAGGGAGCTGCGAGCTAAGAATACGGAAGGCTGGAGGCCTCCAAGGTACGGCGTAGAGGCGATGATGCATAGTGAATATCGGCATTCTTTACTCACTCGCGCAACTGGCGCTTCTCAAATCCGTCATATCGTCTATAAGAAGTTGCGCAAGTTATATTATACACTACTATTATCTCTCGCTCAGCCAAGGTAGATCGTCCGCCGCGCCACCGGATCATAAAGCTGCACCGGCAACCGATCATGCGCCGAAATCGGACTAAGCGGGCTCGCACTAGGCTGATATTGCATCGCGTCGAGCGGACTAACAGGAGATGTAGCCCCAGCTAACCGCGCAGTCCTAGCCTGCACACCATTCTGACTGCCCAGCGCATGTGCGGGGGAAAGCAGCTGGGGTTGCGGAGGAGGGAACGCCACACTAGCCTGGTAAGGAACCGCCGTATCGACAGTAATGTTCGGCAATCGTGGGCTCCGTTGCGGAGGCGCGACTGCCACTGGCATTTGTGCTTCGGCGTCCTCGCAACGATTGGTTTCGAGCTTCTTCCGGTGCCGCTTGAGGATGCAGTGCACGATGCCCATTACTACGGCTAAGATGACGATGCATGGGAGCGTGATGGCAAGGATGAGGGTTACTTTTGGTGGGAGGCCCTTGGGGGTGACGTTGGATTGTTTTAGGGTGGGCGTAAAAGTTGCAGATGCTGCTGCTGTGGGGTGGGTAGATGCCATGTTGGGGGATTGGAGGGGCCACGAATACCAGACGATGGGATGGCGTTGATCTTGGATTGGGTGTTCTAATGTCAGCGGTTACATCGGTCGAGGCGTTTTATAAGAGCTATTTATGGAAAGGAGGTAAGGGACAAAGGATGCATTGTGAACACACAAAGAGGAAGCTGTGTTGAAAGACAGTTTAAGGGGGCTGAGGAGGAGCGTCCTTGAAGACCCGGCGGAGAGTGATCCGCATCACAGATCGAAGAGCGTCATGTGGCAATCACTAGAAGAACAAAAGGAAAAGCAAGATTTTGACTTATTCGTTTTATTTTGGAAGTATTTCATGCATTCGTCTTAGCACCGTTCTAATCATAATTCACATGCAGTCGCCTAAAGGGCCATTGCGGTCCGGCCCGTAAATAACCGGCCTCAAGGGGATAAAAGAGAAGCAAAGTTACTCGCAATAGGCTAGCCATAAGTTGTAAAGAATGAATGCTGCATCGCAAGCTCCTACTCCCGCCTATGGCGTGAAAGATTCGTAACGACGGAGAGCCGCGCAGCGCTTTGTCTATCTAGGTACCACGGGCACATCCGCATCCGTAAGATCCATCTCCTCCTCATACTCCGGCGGCGGCGACTCATACCGAGGCAGTGTATCAACGCTCGCATTGCGCTGCTGCGAGACAACTCGAGGATGCCAAACAGCATGCCGGCGATGGATAGCTCGGATGCCTCGCCCACACGCAGCAACGACGTCAGCGGGTGCATGAGCCAATGGCGGCGGTACCACGACATGGCCCCGAGACTCCAGATAGATCTGTTGCTGCAGCGGGATAGGAACCGTTGCGTAGAGACCACCAGTGGGGTGAAAGCCGGCGAGGTCTTCTGGCGTGACGGGTCGAGTGACGGGGCGCCGGTTGGAGAAGAACTCGCCGGTGTGGATGTGGAGCAGGGCTGTATCAGCGGGGACGGACCGGGCTCGAGGAAGAGGCATCGGGTGATAGTACACGTGGTGGCCGTCCAATTCGACGTCGTCTGCGGAGACCTCGATAGATGTCTCCCCCATGGGTAGAGTCAGCTGCGCTCGACGGGCACGGTTGATGGACGCTGTGATGACCACGATCACGACCAGAAGCAAGCAGCCGCCGATGACGCATCCGAGAGCGAGGACGGCAGAAGCTCGATTGGGAGAGTTGGGTGCCTGAGCTGTTGGCGCCTCGAAAACCTCCATAGTCTTCTCCTGAATCTTTCGAATAGCGAGAGCCGGAAAGGTCGTAATTGGTGGAAAGAGCGGCATGACGAAACGAGTGACAGTCAGCTCCCCGAAAACGAACGAAGTAGTCGGTTGTCTCTAGGTTGTTCTGAGTGACCTGAAGTGCTTATAGAGCAGGCTCTTTTGTATCCTTTGCGGGCGGTGCGATTGAGTGAGGACTCCGTCCATGTGACGCCCATAATTGTTTCACCACGTTTGCAGGTCTCGGTGACGTAGTTTATTTTCGTTCATACCAATACAATAGCAAGAAATCCCGGAGGAGTCCAAGGTGATATTATATGTCAGGGCAGAGGGGGGTGCCTCATCCTAAATGTATTCAAGGTGCCATAAGCGCTTGAGCATAATATCAAAGCGCCGTACGGGTGAAGGTTGCACCGCACATTTACCACATCTCGAGGTGGGAGTTGACTGGATGTGGAAAACCTAACCTGGGGCCTTCAAGGAGTAAAGACTTGAAACGGGTCACTTTCACTGGCCATTTATTTAGCATAATACTAGTGCATGGGGTGCGTTGATTCTGGTGGAGATTGCATGAGAGACGTACCGCACACGCCGCACACGTTGCGACCGATAGAACCATGCAGTAAACAAAAATTGTATACCTGACTGTCACATTTCCCAACTCATTGCGAAGAAGCGTTCTCAACGCTGTCGTCCGCCATCTACCCTGTGCTCCCTCATCTTACACCTCGTACGCCGGCGATCGCTTACATCTCGGCAGCGTATCCACACTCTCTCGATACCCTATATGAGCGTCGCCAGGACGAGCGATGACATCTTCATATCCGTGACGACGGAGTGTAGAGTCTCTCGGGCAATCAGCAAGCTCGATGTCGACGCTGCGGCGGTTCCGGCGGTTCACGGCGAAATGGTGATGACCCACGGGAGCGCGACGAGAAAACCCACAGCGAAGCCAACCGCGAAGGTTTTGGGAAATGAGTCCGTGATTCGTGCGGAGAGTAGAGGCCATTCGGCTCAGCGGCGTAGGAATCCATGTTTAAGATGAGCTCGGATATTAGTAAGCGCTATAGTGCAGAGGTGGGTGGTCTTTGGCTGTTTTGGGTCGTTTCCTTCGCGGTGTGTCGAAGGTACCCAGGAGGACTATTGTTTCGTCCGATTTGAAGATTTGCGGGGGGAAGGACGGGGAACAGTGGGTGTTCTGATTGTGCACAGTTCGGAGAAATTTCTTGGTGTAGTAGCGATTTTTGACAGCTATGGGTGGACGTTCGCTACGGGTAGCGGCGCAGGAATGTTGAGCAAAGGTTTCATTTCAGTCTTGACAGGCGTTATGAGCTGAAGTGCTGATAAGCCACATAGCGAAAGCCACATTGAGGAGTCGATTATTGCGATAACCTCACATCCCACCTACTACGGATTTAAGCGTGATATCGGGCAGTGCCGTCGCGGGCGAGTGCCTGATCGGGGCTAGGGCAAGGATCACTACCGTCCATGAGGATCACATATGGCGGTGGAGGCTCATCGTAAACTGGGAGAGTGTCGATGCTTTCGGTGCTCACGTTAGCGTGAGAAGAAATTTCTCTGCTAGAGTGGATGTGAAGCTGCGTGTTGCTATGATGGACAACAACAGGCGGTGGTCGTCGAGGGGTCGTCAACTGGATGGGTACCGCCGCATGCCCAAGATGAAGTGGAATGAGGGTTCGAGGGCGATTGCACTTCTTCCGATATTCTACAATGAGCCAAAGGGCCAGAATGGAGACCACCAAAGCAGCAAAGATGCTAGCAATGCCAACGGCGCCAAGATTGACACGCTTCGAAGAGGAAGCCTCAGTAGTGTTCGCCGTTTCCATAATGAGTGAGTGGAAATCGGAAACAAATAGCGGCCGACCTGCAGAAGAAACGATTGTAGGATCTACAGGCCGTGGGCTGGCTGCAGGGCGCTGGAATAAGGCACGAATGGTATTTGTACCCGTCGAAAAGCTCTCAATGAGCGTTCCTGTATCCCTTGTGCAAACACCAAGCGTGTATATTGCACACACGAGGGCCGGTTGTCGGCAGGTGGACGCTTGCTGGCCGCCATGTCATCTACGCGCACAATGCGACGGCGTGGTCATGTTGGCCACTCGCGGGTGCCGAGAATGGGTAGCCATGCTCATTTATACGGCTATGACGAGAGCATCATTCGCCGGCCTCCTTGATGGCGATGGTGGTCTGCCTTGAGCTCGACCCAACGCTGGACGAGCTACTTCCGCCCACGCTAGTCTTCCGCCTATGTGCGCTCTTCGCAAGTTCGGACGCGGTGCTCAATGGTCGCACGGCCGGTTGAGGTGGGAAGTAGTCGCCTCCGCTGGGTGCGGTCTGGGCGGTCTGGGTGGGCGTCCTGGACCGGCTCTGCATAGGACTCATCCTCAGCGCCTCCGGGCTCCAGCTCCACCTCTGACTCTCGCCAGTATGTCTCCTCTGATGCCTCGTCGGCAGGGCTGCCGGCAGCTCCAACCGCGAGTTCATGCCCATCCACAACGCCTCTTCATCGTCATCGCCGGGTTCTCTCCATCCGCCCACACCTTCAAAGTCGCGAGTCATGGATGTATCATAGAGGTTGGCGAAAGATCCAGCCTTGTTGTGGAGTCGCGCAGCGGGCACGGCCGTGTCTTGGGAGGAGGCGCTGCTCGCCGCGCTGCCATGTCGATTCCGGAAACGCGGAGGGGAACTCGGAGGCGGTGGAGGCCGTTTTGGCAGTGGTTTAGGCGGTTCGGGGAAGAGGTACGCATGGAGGAGCGCGACGCCGAGCTCGACGTAGACGACCGAGACGCGGACCGCGAGAAGCGATACGGCGAGGGTGGTGGTGAGAAAGGCGAAGACGGCGAGAGGGACCGAGACGAGGAGGAGAAGAGGCGGCCCGAGCAGGTAGAGAGGGCTTGTGAGGAGGCTCATCTCGAGGAAACCGAAGCATACGGGAGAGATGGTGGAGGCGCGGTGATGGCATTATGTTCGCTGACGTCGAGTCGGTGGCTCGCATGTGAACGTCGCGGGCATCAGGTGCATTCACGCCAAGCCGGAACTTTTCCGCAAAGTCATCTCCCGCGCACGCCTTCCTCCAGCTCCACTGGTGCCACCACACTTCAACCTGACAAAAGCTCGCGCCGGATACTGAGGACTATACTCCCGGAATGGTACTCCTCTTCTCGTCACAACAACAATACTAAAGTCCATTGAACTAACAAAGGACGCGGCACTATACGGCCACGAAAGAAGACCTCAAAGCGGCCTTTCGTGTTCTTCTACTTTTCTTTCACAAGGGGGAATTCTTTGAGACAGTGCTCCTGGCTTTTTATGGCCTACTGCGCACAGTTCCCACCGATATATCCCCTTGATCACTTCGGCATCCTGTCGCTGAACATCCACTATTTCTGATCATACCATTGCAATATTCTCTTTTTCAACATCTGAACACCTGCACAATGAACGCTCAGCCCATCGCTACCGTCGTCACCAGCACCGAGGCCGCCTACGCTGGTGAATCTCAGCAGCAGAACCAGAAACCTCGCTTCTCCCGCGCTGAGAAGCGCGAGTTCGCCCGGCAAAAGAAGGCCGCTGAGGCTCCCCAGCAGAGCAAGAAGCATTCTCGTGCCGCCTCTCAGAAGGTCTCCCACAAGAAGCACGGAGATGCCGGAGTCCCCGGCTTCAACGACCAGCAAATCGACGAGATGATCGTTCGTCTGCTCAGCATTCGCGGCAAAGGCAAGGATGCGAAGGCTCTCGAGACCCGCATCACGCGCGATGCCCCAAAGAACGAGAAGAAGAAGGAAAAGGAGCTCTCTCCTAAGAAGCTTGAGAAGCTTCAGAAAAGACGGGAGATCCGCGCCGAGCGCAAGAAGGCCTGGCTTGCGAAGAAGGAGGCCGAGAAGGCTGGAGGTGCTGAGGGTGCGCCTGCTCCGGCTCCGTTCCCAACGCTCGTACAGCAGCAGCCGCTCCCATACTCCGACGAGATCAACTTTGACGAGTTGTAGTCCTAGTTGACTGGCGTCCAAGTTCGTTTGCTTTTCCACCCCAATGATTCATGCTTTCCACACCCTCAATCCCCAAAGCGCACAATGTTTGTTCCGTATTTCCAGTTCCGTCTCTCCTTCCGTCAAATCCAAGCTCACGGTGTTTGTTCTTCATTCTCTGTGCACTCACAAACCATCGGCGCTATGTAAGAGTAGTCATATATTCTAATTCCATTCCCTGTTCATTCTCTTCTCAGTTCCCTTCATTCCTCAGATCTCACTACCGCTACACCCGCTATGCGCCCCCACGTCTCTTCCTACTACATTTCTCGCAGCACAGATTCCAAGATTAACGATTCCCAAGCGTCAACCCACTCAAACAGCCTTCACATCGGCTACATCATCGCGATAGTCATCGGCATCACAGCGCTACTCTGCATCTGCCTCATGCCATCTCCCTGGATGGTGAACACGTACGACTGGATGCGCCGGGGCTTCAAGCCCAAGCCCAAACAGGAAGAGTCAGCTCGTCTCTGGATCAGTCGTCACACGTCGCCGCTATGGAAGCCGCCGAAGACGGCCGAGGAGCGACGCCGCGAGGAAGAACAACGGAATCGCGAAGCGGAGGAGAAGAAGAATAAGGCTTTCTTGAAGGGGCATTTAGACACGCTGCGTGCGTGGAGGAAGCCACAGAAACCCGACGTTGAAGAGCCTGTAGTTATTCCGATGACTGGCATGGCACCGCTGCAGTTGCCACCGCCTGCTGTCCAACCTACTACTCGACGCTATCGACGTGACTATGAGGGCTTCAAGGAGTGGGTGAGGGATCAGCGGGGATAGTGAGGTGAGTGCTCTGCAGCTTGCACACCCTCTCACGGTGTGGAATTTTCCGGATAGAACGACGTGCGCAACAGCTACCCTGGAGGCCTTCGCGGGTGCGTACAATGGACGAGCTAATCTTACTTGTACGGCGAGCCCTTAGATCCGGAGAATTCCCTACCGCAAGAGACACCATAGAGAAAGGACGACTAAGAAGCCGCAATGACCTCGCTGAGATCGCTTGAATTATTTAGGTTTTTGAACTATTCAATACGAAATTGTATTCCTCGACTGCCTGGAGCGGTCTCAAATTGAATGTGACGAGGCGTAAGGATAGGTGAGTCTCTGCCCTAATTCATCCTTACACTTTCTTTATACTTGCATCTCTCCGCCTACAGTCGTCGCACTCGCACTTCTGTGATTGCGTACATTATTGCAACTTAAGAATTGAAGCCAAGACCCCAGCAAATCTCAACGCGCCTCTTTTCTTCTTAATTTCTCTCCATTAGAGCAATCTTTCTTAATCTAGCATACTTCCTCTTCTAAAAAACAATACTCGCTTCAAAAAATAAGTTTTCTTCATTTTTTATAACTCTCTCATGCGCATGCCAAGAAGTCTTAAGTTGCAAGAATTTGCTACGCAAGAGAGTGCTCTCCCCTTCAATGCATCCAATACAGCGGCCCGAATCTGTGCCCACACGGGTCCGGCACACATAGTAGCGCCTCAATTCGGTTTACCGCTCGCCGACCCACGCTTCCTTACCAGTACCACCCTCTGACCTGCTTTCGATCAGTGCACGTGCACGCTGTTCCCAAAACATTCGAGAACGACTGTGCTATTGGCTCCTAATCGCGTTTCATGCACGTCGCATCACCGAAGTTAACCGCCGCTACGTCCGCACCACCTCAGTATTTGCCTGGGTATCCTTTCCGAGCCTCGCAGGACCCTTTCAACTACAAATTGCGACTCCGTTTTCAGTTGTTCAAGTTTGGCTGCGTTGTGGTGGCTGATTGGATCTCGCGTAGATTATTCAAGGCGCTATTCATTTCTTGGCAGACTAACAAACACTGATTCGCTAAGCTTGCAGCATTTTATTTAGAACATCACATGCCCTCAAAGAGCCCCTTCCGGTCGCGAAGTTTGTGAGTACTCCAGCTACCCTTGCATTTCTATACTGAGCAGAATCTACCCGGGCGTATTCCAATAGGGACCCAGTATTTCTCGGGCACCATTCCTAATTAGGAAGCGTAGGCCATGGTAGCGTAACCCTAGGAAACATGACGCCTAGCAAGTTTCGAACACCAGAGGTGGACGCTTCGAATATATCAGTGGGGTAGACTGCTCTCCGACGAGACGTACCACCGGTGGAGTGCTTCCTTTTCGTGGCGGGCCACCTTACAACTTTCCCCATGTTTCTTATGCGCTTCCTTTGAGATACCTCGTCTATAATGTTTTCTTCGAAACCGGTCTGGCACCTTCCAGTCGCTCTTTTGGCAGTTTCTTTCCTTCTGTATGCGTCGATCGGATTGTGGTTTAGCGAATGGATATCGGACGGGTTCCGCCGCCGGCCGCCTAACGCACTTGACGTCGTTCTCTCTCCTACGACTATCGACGCGCTTTACGAAGATGACCGCTTACATCACGCGATACTCTCCTTGACGGAGACCGTCGCGAAGGCGTCGACGAAATATGGGGATTCGTATAGGTTGGAGGGCGTGAAGAGTTTTGGGAAGGATCTCACTGAGGACGTTGCGCGGTTGAGAGTCACGCAGGTGCAAAAGAGGAGGAAGAGAGGGCTACTGGAGGATCTGGGAAGCCTAATAACAGGAGGTGGTGGGGATGGCCAGCAGGGGCAGGATCAGGGGGGTTTGCTATCTGAGCTTGGAAATGCGCTTGGTGGAAATGGCACCGGAGGTCTCGGTGGCCTTCTTCAGCAGGGCCTCGCTGGGATCGGAAACTCGCTCCTCGAAGGAGCGGCAACTCCTGCGTACTTTCTCGGTATCGGTATTGGGTAGGTACTCACTTGAACTTTTTTGCTGTATTATTCACTGATCCATTGCAGCATGGGCGCAGAAACCGGTCTCAACCTCACCGACATGGAACAAGCGCAAGCCATAGCCACAAAGGTTGCCGCGTCTTCGAACTCTCAGCCCACCGGCCTCAATCTCATTGCACAAAACCTTGGATCTGGTCTCGCCGGTCAGCTCACGCCGGCTCTGGGGAACCTTGGCGGCGACGTCGACGTAGGAATGGCGGTATTTGCGCTCGCTCAAGGCATTGGGCAGGGAAGTGCGAGCGGGCTTAACCTCACCAGTCAGCAGTTTGGGCCCTCAAATGCCTCTGATATTATGGGAATTGCCAAGAATTTTGGACTGGGGGTTTCCGAGCCGATAGCTGGGAGCATCAATTTCCAGCAACTGCTCGGCCAGGGCGGTGGCAGCGACATTATGGCGCAGATTCCGCAGATTGCGGCGGCCGCGGGTCAGGGTCTTGGTGAGGGCGCGAGCAATGGGCTGGGGCTTGCGAAGGCGGGCAACACAAGCAGTTTATCGAGACGACAAGCAGCAACCGATCCCAGCCAGCTCGACGTTCCAGGAACAGTCAGCGACTTCACCCGGGGTCTCAGTCAGGCATTTCTTGGGTCGGCGGATCTTAGCAAGCTCGGCCTTGGTGGGGGTCTTAACTTCAGCCTTGACTCCACTGCGCTGGTCTCGCTAGCATCCGGGGCTGGGAAGGGCATTGGCGAAGGTGTAGCCATCGGCCTCAACCTGACAGCTGCGGGCAACGTAACCAGTCCTGCGACGGGCGGCGCAGGCGCCAACGAGCAAGAGCAGATCGCAGAGCAGTTTACGCAAGGCTTGGTCGCGGCTCTGTTGCAAAATGGCGGCACGACATTCCTCCAGAACGCCATATCCTCCCAAGGACTAACGAAGACTATCAGCCCAGCGAAGGCTGCCGAAGGTGCCGCACGTGGGCTTGTGGAAGGCAGCGTCAATGCGCTGTCTATGGCTGGTGGCGTCAAGAAAGTTCTGGCTGGTGACTTCTCCCCACAGCTAGCCATGAATTTGCCGTCTATGCCGCCCTCTACATTCGACGACTCCGTGAACGGCTCGGCTGTGGCGTTTGCGAGAGGGCTCTCCGGCGAGGGCACCTTACTTATCGCGCAGCTTCTCAAGAACAGCTCCTTACTGTCGCCCTCCAAGCGCAGCATTGACACGAGTGAGAGTGGAGTAGGTGAGACTTTCACTCCCCGTTGAATTCGCGATGCTAATCCCAGTCAGTCCCATACAACCACTTGAATCGCCGAGCCGACGCTACACCACTTGCCGTCGACAGCCAGACCATACAAGGGGTCCTACAGGTGGGCACTAATGCAATCACGTGCCAGGGCTTTGGCGGTCTGGCCTCTCTTGCGCTTGGATTGAAAAACAGTGGTACACTCAACATTCAAGGGAGTGGAACACCGCTGGATAATTCCACTCTCGCGGCGTTGCCGAAGGAACCGATCTCCATCACTTCAGAGGGCAACAAATTCACGATCCAGATTCAGGAAGGATCGATCACGGTTAATGGACTGAAGTCTCTCCCCTTTATTGTATTGACTGCACTACACGGTAAATATCCACGAGCGGCTTTTTTAGGTTCTAGCTAATATGGATAGTCCTCCTCACCACATTTGCCTTCTTCTACGCTCTCCCTGCGTATCTCGCCCTCGGCGCTCTCTTTCGTCTCTCCCAGCTCATTGGTCATCCGTTCAACGAAGCATCAAACAAGAAGTGGCGCAAGATAATTCTACTAGCCGTTTTCACGCCCTCGGCTCTTCTTGGCATGATCTTTGGTATCGTCGGGATGGGAAAGGCGCAACACTTCCGCACCGCGCACGGCGTACGTCCCATAGTCTCTCCTTCGGCCTCCCTCTAACGAAAGACAGATATTCGGCCTTCTAGCCCTTCTCATCATCCCGCCAACAGTCATAACCTCATTTATGCGTCTCCGCACTGCCATACCACCGCCGCCCTCATCAGCGTTCCTCGGCCTCAAGCAGATCCCTCAGCTCATCAAAGGTCCCCACAAAATCCACCTCATCAGCGCATTCCTCGTCCAGCAGACACTCGGTTTCGGCATGATTGCCTTCATCCAGGGCTTCTCCGACCTGCGTTCCATCTCGCTCTGCATCGTCGACGCAGTGCTTACGGCACCCATCGTCGTCGGCCTCATAAACGTAGTCGTCTTCCTGCAAATGAGTGCGATGGCGTTACTTGGTGTGAGAGTGTATCTAGAGCAGCGAATCGCTAAAAAGGAGAAGGAGGGCGCTGGGAACAGCAGTGGTCCTGGAGCAGAGAAGGGCGATGTGAAGAGAAGCGATACGATGAGAACCTTTGGCTTCGACAGCCCGCCTCCGGGGGAGCGCCCAACCTTCCAGCAGAGGAAGACCGCGGAGCTACTCGGCCGCGAGGACAGTAAGATCGGATGGCCGAGCAACGTGCACAAGGTCGGCGACGAAGACGGAGTTCCCGACCGTCGCGCTTCGTCGATGAGTACCAATCCTTTCGTCGATCCGGCTGAGCAGGCTCAACGCTCCCCCGCATCACCGCGTGTGTACAACCCCAAACTCGGGGGCTACGTGGAGTCGCCTACTTCTGCCTACCCGGGGAACTACGATCGAAACGACCAAACGTATGCTCAGAACCGGCCCTCTTCCGAGCTCGAACCACAAGGCCAATACATCGCTTACGCGCCGCCGCGACCCAGCGAGGACCAGAGGGGGAAGACGGTAGAGAGCTTCAGCCGCCCGCTGACCGGCAAGCCGAGCGGCGAGGAGATGAGAGTCAAGTACGAGAGCTTGATTAGAGATGGGATGGGGAAGGATGATGGGCCTTATGGATATGGCCGGTAGTGTGGTCATGCATTCATTCGTTCTCTGTCGCTACGTATTCCAGTCGTGTATATAGTGTCATTTTCTTCTAGAGAGACTGCTAGCCAGTTTCTATGTATCTATTTATTTTACTTTGCAGTCTTGGGTATATTGCGTGATTACGGACCGTGGAGGCTATCAGCGCAGTTTGAGAATTGCGGTTAGTGTCTGTGGAAGGTCCTGGAGCACGTCAAGATAGAGTTGTAGGGCGGTAATGCGTGCGGAAGTTGATGGTGCGCAGCAGCATCATCATCATCACCACTCCCCCTCGTCGTGCGCTGTATGCCGACCATCTGATCATCCGCCGTTCTTCGTCAGGGGTATATAAACCTTCCTCATCGCCGTGGAGTTCGTCTTCCCTTTCTCCACACACCACCAACCGAGGCACTAAAAGAATACGGTCCCATATTTCATGTGGGTGTCTTCGGCTCTCTAAAATCCAACCAAGCAAGGAATGGCTGAGCCTCCCGTCCCCCCTAAAACGCCGAGCAAAACCAAATCATGCCGAGTGTTCGGCCATCCGAAACCAATTACAAACAATCACATGCTTGGACCTTCTTCCCCCGCCTTCTTTCTACAAAACGGCTTCGAAAACCTATCATGGGGCCTTGCGTTGTCAGAAACTCGGCGAAGACCGGCCTATGGGGGACCGTTCCGGGAGACTTGGTCCGGCGAGAGGATATAAAGTTGATCTACCTGTCTGACTTCTTTCTTCTTTACGCTTCACTTGGAGGCTGGGCCTGGAAAGAGCGAAAAACATCACAAATGGCTGGGCGGTTTGTGCTCTCGAAAGTCCCCTAGGCGGCTGTGATGTCTGGGAGCTTTGGCCCTTTAGAAATAACCAGGCTTGGCCCGTATGTTTTTGTTCCAGCCTGCGCTCTTCCGCGCTATCTAAAGTCCCTCCCAGAATCCAGAATCTTCGCGAGTTCTCCGGCATGCTTTGCTGGAGTGTCGTCCCCCGGCTGATGCCGGCATGGCTAGCTAGTTCCAAAGTTGCTCGCAGAAGGTTTTTATGTCGGTGCGGTCTGAAAGCCTTCGCATGCATTGAGCAACCTCCAAATGCCCATCGCTGCACATACATGCTCGACGATGGCCAAAGGCCATAGCATCAGAACTATGGCTGTGCGCAAAGCCGGGTATATAAAACCCCTCAGCTTGCTTGGATCTCTCTTTCTCCGCACGTCTCGAGAGCTCAGTTCCAAAGGGCAAAGCATATGGACTTATGGGTCAGCAGCCGCCTCGCTAAAATTCAAAATGCAACAGGCCCATGGTCGGACCGGCTCGGACGCTCCAAAATCGGATCGCCTAGTGCTATGTGGGAAGCCTTCCCTTCCTTCCAGAGCAAATACCTCCGGTTCGATGGTGCTCGGTCGCCTGCCCAAGTCAAAAGACATCGACAAAGTCAGCGCGTGGGCAGTGCCTGCTGAGACTCTGAACGTGAGGGAGGATATCCAAACAGAAGAATTCGGCATGCATGGAAGGCTTGAGCCACTCTTCCGATGTGGGGATGGAACTCCGTGCGGATGTAAAGCGCATCTTCTCTCTGGACGACTGGTTTCTGCCTTTACACCTCTGCAGAGAAGAGGCTTAAAGACCCGAGCTTCAAGCCGCTATGGCTGACTGCCCTCTTCGCTCCAAAATCGGCAGAATCGTAGTATGATGTGGGCTCGCCTGTGTGCGTCGAAAATTGGCTAGCCACTACTTCCATGCGGAGCACTTTCTTGTTCTCGGAAGGGATGCCTGGATGTCCATGTCTCGAGCTTCCAAAAGCGAAAAAATTCTTCCTGATTCGGCACCGACATGAACCATATATGTCCCTTCTTCCGCTCGCTAAAAGGAAAGCTGCGTATATGCTATGTGAAGTTCCTTGGCCTCCAAAAAAGAATGCTTCGATTATGCCGATGCTTCGAGTTTTCTCTTTTTCTTCCTCAGAAACGTTTAAAAATTGGGCTTCAAAAACTTCAAGGTTACCAAGAGATTGCTACGCCGCATATATGGCTTTTTTTCGCTTTCTTCAGCTCAGATCCAGAAATCACGCCCTGGTTTGATGGCCCTGCAATAAGGCTGTGCAAAATCAATGTGGCTGGTTTCGTATGTTCGATCGATGCCCGGTCCCACCCTAGAGGCAGCCACTTATCGTCGTACGGGAGCATTCATTCGTGCAAAAGGGCTCCTGTTCCTGTTACACTTTGGAGTCGCTCGTGTTTCTTTTGAATCTACAAAAAAAGAATGGGCTGGATGGGAGTATGGAAAGTGCTTGGGTGGATGCGGTGTCGATCCTGGACTCCAAAATCGGAGTTCCCTGCGTTCATGTCTGCGGATTTTCCGGGAGTATTGGATGGAAGCATATGGGCTGTGTTGTTCTCTTAGAGTGGATATATGACTCCCTATATACGCAAGAACGATTCCTTCCACACATCATTGTTTGCTACTTGGTCGAAAGTGGAGTATACATCACTCCATGCCGGAGGGCGGCTAGTTTCAAAGCGAGAACTCAGTTTCAGTATAAGCAGCGAAGCGCCACGAGCCACCAGGTATCGAGCTCAGTTGAAGCATTTCTAGAGTCTTCGCAAAGCTCCAGGAGGATGAAACTATCGAGACTGTCTTCTCATTGTGAAGCGACCTCCAGAAGCCCCAGTCAACCTCCTTAATGGACGAGTATGAGCAGGCGTCGACCAACAGGAGGCACTGAGCCTCATGTCACATCGGCACTACGAGACAAAACGTAGACACCACAAACCAATGCGGCTTGTTCAGCTGCGGGTAACCAGAATCCCTTCAAAATGCCAGTCATGGCGTGGAGTCTCCAAAGTTACTAGTGAGTTGTTAATGGAAAGGCCGGCCAGAGGGTAACCAAAACTTAATAAGGCGACATCGATGGCGTCTCTGTTTGTTAGCGGGGCGATGCTTCGCACTATCTCTTCGCTTGCGTTGCCGATCCGTGACTGGATATACGACTCCCGCATCCGTCCAAATGAGCACGCTTCCCAGCATGTAAAGCCGAACACGAGACTACGCCATGGTGGACTTCTTGGGCGACTAAAACGCGCTCGTATGTCCACCTATGTGGTTGTCTTTATGAAACAATCATTTGTACCTTGCCGTGCTTTTGTATAGCTCAGTCTAATGGCCCCAGTTCCCCAAGCAAAGTGGGTTCGACGTTTCCAAAGCATGCTGAAGGACTCCAGGCTGCGTAATGCGCGATCCGATCCCCCGTTTCGGATCTCATGGCCGTGCCTAAACAACACCGAAGCCAGTCTATGTAAGACAGAGACTGGAGACCAGGACATGCTCAAAGGGCGCCAGAGTGGAGACATGCGGCAAATATAGCTGGCAGTGAGTGAGCGACACGAGTCGCACTTCGGAAAGTTCAGGAATGTAAAGTGCGCTAGAGGCCACCGGGCTTAGTAATCTAGACTATGTGCAAAAGACCACCTGCATTCCCATCTGTGTTCGGTTCTCCCAGGTATATATAAGAGCCAGCTAACATCCTCCACCTTCTTTCTTCTTCACATTGCTGATGACTGAAGACTCTAAAATTTGCAAGTCACAACACCCATGTTGGGTGTCTTTCGGCTCTTTAGAAGATGCATTTCAAGGGAACCTGTCACCTTGATGGGAGAATCCTAGGTAAGCCATGCGGTGTGAATGTTATCACCCATACATTCTTTAAAACGAGTGACAGTGGGTCATGGTGGTGCCACCACCGTTCCGGGCCACGGAAAGAGACACTTATAATGTATGCTGATGGATGATGGCTGCCGCTGGAAGTGCTGGTGCTTTATACCTACACCACTGCAATGAAGGCGGAATGTGGAAGGAAAGAACATGCAGGACCGTTCAAGTAAAAAGATGATACTGTTAACTCGAACAGTTCTAAATTCAGACACCAGCACCGTGCCTGGTGAAAGTGGAGCCCGCCCGAGTAATTCTAAATTTTAATAGATAAAGACCCTGCAAGCCCACGCCGAGCGATTACACACACCTTGGCATATCTTTCGCAGATGAATGCTCACTTTTGCTCCCACTAGGATGTCTTCATCGGCATGCGCATTTTCCACCCTCGCTTTCTTCGCCTCGTCTCGCCTTTCCCCATCTGATGAATGCAGGTCCTCTCTGCCTCGTTTGCCGCTCCCACTTCTCTCTTTCAGTTCTTCCACTTCTTTGCCGAGAATTGTCGCCAGGATGTACTTCGGGATAGGGGTTTTGAACCATTGTAAGATCGCCCAACCCAGTCCTGTAGCCCGCAAAACAGCTGCGCCTAGGACTTCGTCCGTGAGCGAACGCAAATCGGCTACGGTCAGCCCATAAGTATGTTGCAGAAGGCCCTTCTGAGCGCAAGCTAAGCGAATAGCTATGCGGACCATGTTGTTCATCCACTGACTCGCGGGAAGGAGTCCCAGAGAATATGGAAGGTGATCGGAAAAGGGTTCATCACCGAGATCGACTTCGAGAATAGTCCGGCCTAGCTGTTCGCTCAGCACAGTCGCTGGCAAAGGCGAAAGCATTAGCTTGAAAGCCGGATCCAAGCAAATAGCTTGGTTCAGCATATAATTCAATTTCCAGGGCTGAAGAAGACGCTCGATTTCAATATCGGAGATGCCGCCACACTGTTGGAGCCTCTTTTGCTCTCTGCCGGCGACTATGTCCAGCATGTGCTTTTTGTAGTAACGCGCCGCTTCTAGTTTGAGATATATTCCCTTGTTCGGATTTCTGACTAGAAGCCGCAAAGGATCATTCATGATCTCGGCGACGGACTTCTCTTCCACTGCTGGTGGCTCGTCCGCCATGCACATGGTGACGAAGACCGATGCATCGACGTCGGCGTTGAGTAGCCGATCTAATGCTGCCTGCGCATTTCGAGGATGGAAAAGGTGTCTGATCATACTCTTCTTGGCACCTTTGGCGGTAACGGCGGCGCGACTGGAGGTCTGCTCTGCGAGTTGCCTTAGGATACCGCTGGCGCGCTTGACGATTCCGGCTTGCTTTTCGTATTTGCGAATCGATCTGGAGGTGCAAGGCGCTCCATGCTGAGATTCTCAACGTAGTGCGCTGCAGGGAGAAGAATGTTCTCGACGACTTCTCTAGTAATCCGATAGCGAAGGTCGGCGACTTCTGCCGTCCGCCTTGTGTCCCATTGCAGATCAAGCAACGCTTGTCCTTCTTTCTGGCTCAAGGCATCGGCATACATCAGCTCAACCAACACCCGCTCATCGGCAGACTGTTTGCTCGCTCGAAGCGTCTCCAGCTCTTTCTCGGCTTTCTCAGCTCGCACTTGCTGCGCATTGCCATGCTTCTTCAGCTTCTGATTCTCTGCTATAGTCTCGCTGTATTCATCCACGGCAACGCGCAGGTCGGCCTCCAAGTCGCTGTTCTTTCTGACAAGCTCAGTAATCGTGCGCTGCAGCTGTGCGACATCTGGTCGAGGGCTGGCTGGCGAGCTCGGCTGCTTGTATCGGTCGAGAATTTTCTGCATCTTCGGCGACGGCTGAAATTCTTTCTGCTGATCTTGTTCTCCAGAGCCGGAAGACGAGGACATGGCGGCGTGTCAGGTATCGTGAGTAGTTAATGACTCCCGTATCGTCTATCGGCTTGCGAGATCATTGGCGGTTTCGAGAAGCTAGTGAAGGGGCTGAGGTGCCGACCGGAAGCTGGGGTATGAGCGGGAGAGCTGGGAGTTAGGTAAAGGTAAAGTTGAAGGTAAAGTTGAAGGCAAAAGTGGCGTGCCACGTGCATACCCACGCAGCGTGAACGTGGCTTGATCCGCCGCTTCCGACATCACTTATTGAAGACTCGCGATTCGAATCAGTAGGCTCGGCTGCTATGGAGTGACCGAGCCGAGAGTGATGTGGCAGCATAGTGAGTCCAAAAGGGATCCGCGACACCGCGACGCAGTCTCCATCGTCGACGCGTCCTTGTAATGTGCGAAAGGGCGTCTCTTGGGGCACCCGATACCTCGCGAACCCTCTGAATTTGCGGGTTGGCGGCGGTGTGGATGTTAGACTTAGTCGATGTAGGTTCAGGAGTAGTGTAGGTATCGTGGAGGCAGAAGTGCTTCAGGTGCCTCAGCTCGGACTAAGAATTCGATAGTAGCCGTGGGAAACTAGGTGGCAGCATGCACACGAACTTTGGTAGCAAGGAGTGCTCCCTCGAGTGGGCACCAGCGTCTCTCCCTCATCAGCCCTACTAAGATGGGAATAGCACAAAACGACGTATGGCGCGAACTATTTGCATCTTGTAGGTTGGGTATCCATCCTGGAAGGCGTGGCATTCTGTCCCGTCGAACGCGGAGTGGCGGTTGGTCTGCGGTGAGGACGGATCGGTGGTGGAGAGGTGTTCGTGATCTCTGGCAGGGAATTCTCCGGATTTCAGGGTCCTATGTATGCATCTGCGAAGGCCTCTAGGATAGCTGTTACGCACGTCGTATATCCGGAGAACCCCGCACCGTGAGAGTCTGGTCCGAGTTTCCTGCGGTGCGGTGCCTGAGGCTTGCTAGCGCGGGGGCACTATCGATAACGCCTAAAGTCGCAAAAAGAATGAAGCCTGCTAAGCTCGAACTCTCTCAGAGAGAAACACAGAAAAAAAAGAAAGATCTTAGCTGAAAATGGTTTCCTGGGAATTTTTGATTAGTAATCATGGATTTGGTTGTTGTATTGGTGGTGGTTTGAACTTACGATCCATTGTCCTCCGGGTTATGAGCCCGGCGCGCTTCCGCTGCGCCATTCAGCTTGATGATTTGATATATTGGAGTTCTGTTCTAAGTAATATATATAGGGAAATAAAATAAAAAGGCATGGCCGCGTTGTGCGCAGAATACTAGCTTTGAGGCGTAGCACGAGTGGGGCGATGTCTGATTTTTTCTTTGTTCCTCGGCTGTGCGTGGGCACTAGGCGGGTGTCTTATTGGAGAGTCACCGTGGAACTCCTTGTCTCACAGAACTTAAAACGCCAGCTACTCAGGCTGAAGACAGTGAGTCATTACAACCAGAATCAAGGAACGGGACTGTTCATCACTGAAACAGCGTCATACTTTGAAGACTACCAAAGACAGCTTTAGATTGAGTCCGGCGTACATTAGGAATTCACGTGAGACTCGGAGTACACGTGAGCCTCGAGCCTTGAATCGCAGCAAAGGCGAAAAGCCACGTTACGTTTCAAAGAAGAGGGTTCAAACACTGGCGTGGTTATTATGCTGGAATCAACTGCTTGATGCTTGATGGCCGACCATTTGGTCTGACTTGGGACGAAAGCGGCTTAGCGCCAAAACGCGTCGCGTTCAACCCTTCCCGCGTCAAGCTTTCAACATCCCACTTCAACACTACCTCATCGCACCCACGTCCGCGCATTGTCGCCAATTCTCTCCGAGCCCCATGAGCAGTTATTCACCCGGAATACCGACCTCTTTTGATCCTACGTTTCTTAATTCTGAACTCGAATTCCTCCAAGACGCGCCTCCATCGCTCTCCCACTCCGACGAAATCGACGCATTGCAGCAGTGTATTGAAGAAGACAAGACCCGAAAGACTGCGGGAGGAGTAGTCATTCAGCATCGAGTCTGGAATACGGTAGACGCGTTCAGAAGCGAGGAGGACTACGCAATTGGTACTGCAGGTGCAGCAAGAATACGCAGGCGCGGCACTAATATTTGCAGACACTCCACTTAAGCACCACAAGCATTCTCCAGTCAAGCGCTTCCCTACCGGATCCTCTGCCGACGGGCGGATCCCTTCATCACCTCCGATCCTCGCCATGCCGCTCATTTCGTCGCCCATAGCCTATCCTCCGAGCTCAGCGCCCAAACCCTCGTCACCGAAGAAGAGAAAGAGATCGGACGCGGAGCGGACCCCACTAAAGGATGTACCGAACAATCAGGCGACGAGGAGAGTGGGAGGTTTCTTGGACGAGTCGGATGACGAGGATGAGATCGCGGCGTTGAAAGAGCACGCGCTCAAGCGGAGGGTCATCAACAGCATCAAGGACCTTCCCGTGGTTCCGGATGCCCTCACGGACTATACACCACCCGCGAGCCAGGAAGACATTCTGGACCCAGAGACGGTACCTGTGGCGGACCTAGACAAGTACTTCAAGACGCCCTCGCCCGTCAAGCAGCCTGCCGCAAAACCCGTAACAGCGCCAGAGGAGCCTACGTCAGCTCAGCCATATACGGGAAAGGTAGTCAGGACAGCATCGGGGAAGCCATTCTACATCCCGAAAAAAATAACCCGCGAGTCCGTTTCATACGAGCAGCTCATCGCATCGCGCTCGGGGGGAGTTGAGGGGCGGGCGAGAAAGAGCTATTATGGCATCAATATCCACAGGCTCATAGACGAGGCGAAAGCGGCCGAGGCAGAGAAGCCCACACAGCGAGAGCAAGCCTGCCGCGACGCATTGGAGCAGTCAATCGAGCAACCGGTAGCTAGCAAATCCGGAAAGAGCAGTCACACCTTGATGTGGACGGAGAAGTACCGCGCGAAGAAATTCACAGATTTGGTTGGCGACGAGAGAACGCACCGTTCGGTGCTACGATGGCTCAAAGGATGGGACGTGATCGTCTTTCCCGGGTCTAGCAAAGGCAAGGCAAAGGGCGCGAAGAAGGGCTTTGAGGATGAAGAACAGAGGCATCGCAAAGTCCTGCTTCTGACCGGACCTCCTGGTCTCGGGAAGACCACTCTTGCCCACGTGTGCGCTCGACAAGCTGGCTACGAAGTCCAAGAAATCAATGCCTCCGACGAGCGCAGCAAGGACGTGGTCAAAGGCCGTATCCGCGACATGGTGGGCACGGAGAATGTGCGAGGCGTAAACACAAATACAGCTAATGGAAAAGTTCGGAAAGCTGGCAAACCCGTCTGTGTCGTCGTCGACGAGGTAGATGGTGTTGTGGGGGGAAGTGGAGGAGGTGGAGAGGGCGGCTTCATCAAGGCCCTGATCGATCTGATAAATCTGGATGAGAAAAACTCTCGAAGCGTCCCGCAACAGTCTGCAACGGGGCCGAAGAGGAAGAAGGGCGACCGATTCCGCATGCTCCGACCACTCATCCTCATCTGCAACGATGTGTATCATCCTTCTCTACGCCCACTCCGACAGTCATCGCTCGCCGAGATTATCCACATCCGCAAACCAGCGCTCAATATGGTGGTTACACGCATGCAAGACATCTTCGTCAAGGAGGGCATCCAGTGTGACATTGACGGCGTCCGCCGACTGTGTGAGGCCACTTGGGGCGTTAGCACGAAGAAAGAGGGAGGCACCGGCAGTGGTACGGGTGAAGGGGACATTCGGGGTGTCATGGTTGTCGGCGAGTGGGTCGCCGGGCGCTTCAAGAGCTCCATTGACTCGAAAGCAAAGGAGGCACCACGATTGACACGGCGATGGATCGAGGAGAATGTCCTGACCGACCTCAATCATGGAGGCGGGGCTGCTCGCAGCTTGGGCCGTGGAGGCGCAAAAGACGTGGTGGATCGTGTCTTCCGTGAGGGCGCAGGATTTCCCAAACAGGCTGAGACCACGAGTATGCAGACAGCCATAGCACGAGGGAAGCAGGGTGCGATTGGAGTCGCTGAAGCTGCCAAGCGAAGAGCAATGGAGCGGCTGCGAGCAATGATAGATACAAGCGGCGATTCCGATCGCATCGTAACAGGTATGCACTCTTCCTGCAGACTTGGGGACCTCCTCTAACATCGCACCCTAGACTGCTTTACGGCATACCCCGAAAAGCCCTTCCAAGACGACACACTCCTTAGCAAACCCTGCGCCGCCCACGACTGGCTACACTTCCACGACACCATCTCATCCGCCGTGCACGGCTCCCAGGAATGGGAACTTGCACCCTACCTCTCGCAGTCCGTGCTCGCCTTCCACAACCTTTTCGCCTCCCCGCGTCAACAGAGTTCTAACCCAGTCGCGGATCCCGATGCAGAGACATCCGTGTTCTCTGGCCCAAGCGCAGGATACATGGCCGCTGAGGCGCACAAGGCCAACCGCGCTCAGCTGATGGCGCTCCAGTGTACGCTTAGTCTGTCTCTCACGCGCCTGTTCCGCTCGCCGGAGGAGCTCACGATCGAGTTCATCCCGTATGTCCTCCGGATGCTGTCGCCCGACGTTAAACCTGTCATCGTCAACACGGGCGCAACAGGGTCGAAGTCTGCAGCCACCGCTTCTGTTCGTAAAGCATCCGAGAAGGCGCTGGTGAAGAAGGCTGTAGACGCTATGGCAGCTACTGGGGTCAGATTCGAGAAGAGCCGCGTGGAAATGGACGATTTTGCGAATCGCAGTGGAGGCTGGGTATTACGCATGGAGCCTCCGCTCGAATCACTCGCCACGTTCGAAACCCTAGCAGGCAAGCGAGACGACAAGGTGCGCTACGCCGTCCGCAGCGTCCTGGAAACCGAGTGGAAGAAAGAGAGCGCCAGAATAGAAGCCGAGGCCCGCAAACGCCGAGGTGGTCAGGTGGATGAAGAGGTTGTCGAAGAAGCCAAGAAAGTTAACGGAGAGAAAGCAGCTGAAGTGATCGGAAAGGCTGTGAAAAGAGACTTCTTTGGTCGTATCGTCGAGAACCAGCCTACTACGCAAAGGGAGAAGAAGAAGGCTGAGGAGGACGCCAAGGGTAGTGATGTGGGTAGGATTTGGGTGACCTTCCATGAGGGCTTTTCGAATGCTGTGAGGAAGCCAGTTACGCTGGATGAGTTTATGCGGGGCTTGTAGGGGTTATCAGTAGTGTAGAAAGAATTATATCTAGCTGTTGATGTTCCGAATTACCTTGTGCGTCTGGGTTGCGACTGGGGAATGGTGTCTTTGAAGCTCCTTCCGCAGTAGTCCTGACTTACGTACGCGCGCAATTCGCTCGCCTTCCATGCCTCTATTTACTGACTACCCATAATTAAGTCACACAAGGCGAGCCAGCAGCCATTACCCTTCCACCGCTACGGCTGCATTCCGGACCGTCCAAGGCATTTCCTTATCTTCCACCACTGGAGCCTTTACCGCCGATAGCCAACAACAGCTCCCCATCTACGGCCCGACCCAAGAAGAGGAAAGCGGATGAAAGCAGCATCTTCTGCGCCAGCTAAAGTATATGACGGGCAAGCTCTCACAAGGGGACGCCGCGTGTAGATGTCATTGCTGCGAAACGAAGCTCGGTTTATCCTCCACCGTTTGCGGATACTACTTCGTGTCTGCGATGGCCAAACGACTGACTCGTCCCGTTGGCCAGACGTCTAACCCACATTCGGCGGCCAATCTTCCACCCAGGCCACGGCTCCTTGAAGCGCCATCGCCGTTCCTGTCTATTTCTTAGCTATGACTGCCACAAACCCCCCGCTTCTCTACAACGACAGCAGCGCGCGCGTATAACCCATCGCTCCTCCTGCCCTCGGACTGCAGGCTCTAAACTTGCCGTCTCCATATCCATCTATCCCAGGTGCTGCGATACTCCGGACGACAGGTATCAGGATGCGTGTTATACGTACTGCGATGTCGAGTTGCGCTGGGGCCGGGCGAATGAAGAACTGTATCTGGGGCGTGTTGCAGATGCATATGTGGTCTGGAGCAACGCATGAAGAGATTGTATGTGTCGTTAAGGCGAGAAGAAGATGGCGGGAATGAGTGGATGGATTGTGACGATGACGCTTTTGGGCAAGATGGCTGTCTCGTTGGTGTAGGTGCACATGAATGTGTAGGATGGCCTGCAAGACGCGCCGTGTAAGTGTAAGAGATATCGGAGGTCGCTGGATGTTGGATGTTGACTTGGAGCCAAGGAGCCCGTACGGGTAGTGTCACCGTGAGCAGTGGGTAGTGTTCCATACGTGGGCCTTTCTTCTCGGCCTATTACTTTCAGTTCCGTGTGTTTTCTCATCTTCCTCGCTGCGACGTCGAACGGTCGCGAGCGCATGCAAGTCCTTTCTCCACGCGCCACTGTCCCACGACGAAGATGTTCACCCGGTCGTTGCATTTCTTTGAGACAGGCCTCCATTATAGAAGTCTCCCTGGTATACCATCACGCTTTCCCGGCTTCCAATCCCTTCAATGTATCGCGTTCGAGGATTGTGAAGGGCACACACTCGCGCTCAACCCCTCGCAATGTGTAGGAAAGGCGCGACATGGTGTGTGTGAGGCCAGAGGGTCGATGTAAACATACGGGTCATGCCGGTCAGTCCATTCAGCGTCTGTCAGCCAACTTCGCGCGTCTTCTCGTTTCGTTCGTCTCGGGCGGAACGCAGTCGGTGCAGCGAGTCGCACCTTCTCTCAACTGTGCCCCGTCCGCAACGCCGACTTCGCATGCATATCAGGCTCTGTATCGTCACTCCCAGCTCCTTTTAACTCGTGTAAGCGGCCGGTAGGCGATGTGTGTCGTCCTGCGGGTTGGTCAAGACCTGGAGCGGCGCGGACGAGCTCTGCAACCGCGCCCGCAGCGACCTTGCATTTGCGACGCCACAACGACGGACAGTGAACGGGGAGTTTTGCGACGGAGACTGGTAGGGCTTACTAGACGTATTCCCGTACATATCTGCGTCGCAGTGCGTCGCGATGGTGGGCATTGTGTACCGCTGGATTGGGCACCGCGCCTCCCTTTTGTCGAAGGAACGACAGCACGCCGATATTGTGTCTCCTTCTCGGAATGTGCGTTCGCTGTAATCTTGTCTCTCTTGTTTCCAGGCCTTCAGCGCGTGTGGGGTATCGTGCGGGAGAAGTTGGGCAGTCATTACGACAGCATCTGCGGACCTGCGTCGGCGAGCGAGGTGGCTGGGCGTTTGCGACGCCGCAACTAAGGACGGAGGTACAGTGATCTGGCAGCTGGATCAGCATACTGCTGTGGGCATCTAGAGGAACGGATATGCTTCGTGAAGGACCGTGGTGGTGAGCAATTGCGCCGTCGTGTCTGGCGGAGCAAGTCTCTTCGTTCGAGCAACTCCGCCACGCCCACACTGTGCAAAGGTACGGCTATGTCGCATTCCCAGGGCCTTGTCTTTCATACTTACGATTCCCTTACCGCTCTCACGATGTCATACTAACGCTACTGGGAGTAGTAGCGGCGTGGAAACGTTGCGCATCAGACGCCGCGCTGACTTGTGATTTGTGACACCACAATGACCGCAGGCGAATATCAAAACGTGCGCGAGGCATAAGATCGGCACGTTAGACACTTCTAAGTATCCGTAAGTTTCGAGGCATGTCGTGGTGGGGTGTTGTGGGTGAGGTCGGATCGAGCACGGCGACCTGTCCGCGAGCTGAGCTGGCCACTACAACAGCGCGCGCGCGCCATTTCCGACGCAGAACGTTAGGAAGACAAGGCTAGAGATGAGCTGACGTTTGGGCGCATACTGGCAGGTATGGAAGTGTCGCGCTCATGCGAAACGCTTGCAGCGAATTCTTCCTAGCTGGATGGGCATGGTCGGGAATTGCGACAGCATGGGCGATGGTCGCAGCTGGTGGGAGGAAGGGCGGGTTGTGGATGGGTGTGGCTGTGGCTGTTGTCGTGTCGCGTTGTGGGAACGACGCCGAGGGTAGCAGCCTTTAGGGCTTTGGAGCGCAGGCGGATGAGCAAGGCTGCAAGTCAAGGTTGAACGAGGCATGGCTGTGATCAACACTGGCGTGGAGTCAACAAGGTAAGAAAAGGTAAGACAGACAAGTCAAGTCACGAAGGTCAAGGTGAAGGCGAAGACATGAGTCACGAAGAAGTAGAAGAGAGAAGACATTGATGTGATGTGAACTGAACCCTTGATTGATATATCCGAACCCTTGACTGAGAACCAAACCCTTGACTGATATATCCTAATCATTCCAAACACCAAAGACCAGACCAGACACCAGACATTCCTAGCGAAAGGGACCCTGTGGCCTTAGTACCACACCCTGTACTGATAACTCTTGCGGTATCGAGCGGTGGATCCAACACACGTGGAAAGAGGTGAGAGGTTGCTGCCTAGGCCAGGTACGAAGACCCTCAGATTCCACGCAGGGCTTACACAACATGAACTCCCCTACAGCTTGCGCTGTAGCCGAACCGCTCGAACCCTTGGTAACCTTGAATCGGAACGTATGGAACGTATCGAGGCCTACTCGCAAGACTTCAGCCTGGGCGTTGAATCCGCCTGGGGAGGAAATTGATGAGGCGATGATATCGAGATGAAGGTGACATGTCGGTGAGATGAAGGTGAGTTGATGGTATGAGTTGAAGATGAGGTGTCGATGTTGGTATGAAGACCGAAGATAGACTGAGGGTAGACTGAGGTCGATGATATGTTGGTCGGTCTTGGTCGTATCAGTTGCTGAAGGTGAGGAAGGTGGATAAGAGGGAGACTTGAGGACGACATTTTGTCATGAAGAAGAGTCATAGAGGTGAGATGATTGACTCATGGTAGGTTGGTAGAGCTGGGATGTGTCAGTGATAGAAGGTGAGTGGGATGGATGAGATACTTGATGACATGCTGTCATGAGAAGGTGAGGTTGACTCAATGACTTGAGATGATTGAAGGGCTGATGTGAAGTTGAGACTTCAAGGAGGATGAGGTGAGGGCCGACTAGTCATAAGAGTCGAAGACATCGTAAGATGAAGAAGTAGAAGAAGGTTGGGACGATGTCGAAGAAGGTTGGAGTGGAAGGATGTTGAGTCCAGCTGATTTGGGAGGAGGCGGACTGGAGTGGAGGAAAGGAAACTTGGTTTGGGGGGGCGGGCAGGTTTATATAGACCTACGGAGGGCCGGCGGTCCGTGCGAAGCGAGCCCTCACGTGACGTCCGTAGCCGGGCGGTCGCTGGGGAGACTGCTGGGCTACGGTGTCAACAGCTTGTGTTTACGCTCACGCGGACGCTCGACGTCACGGGAGTCACTCTTGTCGGGCCATAGCGCGGTCGGAGAGACTCCCAGGCCAATCAGAGCGCGCGCATTTCCACGTCACCGCAAGCAGATGGTCAGGCGGCGCTCTCACTCCGACGTCCGGGGCTCACTGCGAGCTGCTGCCTGCGACACCGCTCCGAAAACGGCAACCGCGACGTTGCTAGCTCACTTGCGCTATGTAGCATGTGATGGTGTTGGTTTTGCGGCTAGACGCGGAATTTGCCGGTGGGCTCGCGCACTGAGGGGCAGAGGTGGTGACGGCTTGGGATGACTTTGGAGCAACCACGCTGTATAGAGGCGTAAAATAGGCGCGTAGGGCATCGAAGGCCTGTATGTAGGCGTGTAATGGAGTCGCTTTGCAAAAATCTTCCAACCCGCTGTCGTGAGGTGAAGGCGAGTGCTCGCCCAAGGCCGGCTGCATGCTCCCGCGCCCCAACTGTGAATTCCCCAACAACATACGCGCGGCACCAGACCTGGGATACGTCGCCGCTGTGAATCCAGAGCTCAGCCGCCGTGTGCTCGTACGCAGATAAAGCGCCTCAAGCCCGTTCCACCCCCCTCCATCCCGCTACACCCTCGCGCTCAGCGCCCCAGAACCCCTCAATCTCAGCACTGTCTCAATCTCAGCAAGATGTGGCCGAACTGCCCCCAGCTCCTCAGCAAGGGCATTCCTTCGACCATGGACCCGCTGCCCTACTGCACCGTCGCCAACACAGAACACAACCGCGCCAGCCTCGAGGCCTGCGGCACCACCAACATTACTTTCTACGTCGGCCCCGGATTCCCCGAGGGCTCGGAGTGCGCGCTGAGAGCGAGCCCGAAGGACCTCGATTCGTGGGCTACCTACGACTGCCTTGTCAATGAGACCGCGTTTACCCTTAATGCGACCGGAGGCGGGTTCGGGACGTGCTACACGACCGTGAAGAAGGGCGGCTCGTACAAGTACGGGGTCAGCAAGCTGCTTCTCTTCGTCGCGGTCATGGGACTGGTCGGCGCCGCCGTGGGCGAGGCCGTGTCGAATACCTCCACCCCGACCGTACAGCCTAACGCGCCGTGGGCTAACTGCTCAGAGCTCTCCAAGGGCGTGCTAATGTTCAACGACACCACCCTCTTGAACAAAACCAACCTATACAAGGCCCCCCTCACACTCTTGAACGGCATCGAAGACACCAGCTCCGACTCCTTCTGCGTCATCCCCAACACCCCGGACAACCTCGACCTGCTGGAGTCCTGCGGGCCCATCCCGTCGCTCTACGTCGGCGCCGGCTTCCCAGAGGGATCGAACTGCTTGCTCAAGCAGAACACGTCCGCGGACCTGTCATATATATCCTCTTGCATTTCCGTCGGCCCAGTCCATGGGTTCGAGAACGGGAGCCGTGCGCTGAAGACTTGCTTTTATGGTGAGACCAAGTGCGTGACAGCAGATTCCCGTTCATTGTGCGGGGGCAGAGGACAAGCAAGCAGTGCTACGCGCCAGCACGGTGGTGTTAGCAAGCTGCTCCTCTCTGTCGCGATCCTAGGCCTTCTCGGGGCTGCCGTCGACGCCAGCATACTTCACAAACTCCTCCTCCTCACCCTCATCCTCGGCATGGTCACCGCCGCCGCCGGCACCTCCATCCCAGCGCCTCTCCCCCGCGACACCACCCCATGGTCCAACTGCACCTCGCTCAACTACCCCACCTCCCTCACCGACACCACCACCGACCACTTCTGCGTCGTCCCCAACACGGCCTCGAACCACGAAACGCTGCAGTCCTGCGCCGCGGCCAACATAACCGAGTACGTCGGCGCAGGCTACCCGCCGGGCTCGGGCTGTCTGCTGCGGTGGAACACGGCGGCGGAGACGTTTGCGGTCTCGGCGTGCATTACGCGGGGTGAGCTTTCGGGCTGGGGGAATGGGAGTGTGCCGGTGCAGACGTGCTTTGGCAAGGGCGGGGCGAAGTGCGTCTCGGATAGGAAGACTACTGGGATTCATTGCGAGGCGAGGACGGGGGGTGGTGCGAGTGTAAGGGGGGTGGGCAAGATGCTTTGGCTTGCTGTGGGCGTTGGCGTGGTGGGAGTGGTCGTGGGTGGGTTTTAGACTGGGGAGTATGCGTACTGAGGCTCTGACCCCGAATATCCACTGACTTGTCTAGTTACCTCCGCTTTCGTCTGCGGCTTGGCTGGAGTCTCGACATAGAGGGAGGGAAGAATTGGACAAAGGACACCTTGGACGCTAAAGTGGAGTTGGGATATACAAGTCGGCTGGAATATGCTGGGCTTTGACATTCTCCCTGTTGACGCAGGCGCTGAGACGGGCTTCTACGGCAGATAGTCAACCTGAGGTACAGGATCGTATGTAGAGGGCAATACATACACCATAAAATCATCTCGCACTCCGTGAAGACTCGTCTACTCCCCTCACCTCTCGGTTTTGAGCGAGGACTTATCATACCCGGCGCTTTCGCCCGCCGTGAACGTCGTCCTCCAGCCAGCAGTATAAGTGCAAGCAAGCCTCTATCGATCTCCCCATCATGTCGGGTCGGGCTTTAGAGCCTTCCATTCCCTTGATCGGAGCCTTCTTTCTCGAATCGGTGCCCCAAGACACATACAAATATCGCGGCGCGAGTAACCAGCCTCCCGTTGGCTCGACGAGCACAGCCTTGTCCGAAAGCCTGGCGACGATAGCAGCACACGACATCTAATCCCATGCGGAAAACTCACTTGGGCACCTCCGTGAAGCATCTCACATTCCTCTTGCTCATCCTACGCATGCCTTGAGCTAGCAACCCTCCCTCATCCGACCCGCCTCCCCAGCGGCCGCGTCCTCTACCGCCGCCCTCCTCCCTCAGACCCGCCCATACGCACAATACCGCTCCCGCTCCTCAAGCGGCCCAGTCCAACGCGCAACACCTCACCAACCGTGCGCGACGCCTTCAACCGCCGCACGCCACACACGGCCTCACTTCGAACGCCGAACCAGCCCTTTGCGCCAGCGTGCCTTCCTCACATATGCCATAGGGTCTCGTATCCGAACGTGCCTCTATGCCTGACGCGGCTCGTACACCAGGGCCTCCCCACGCGACGAGACCCCAAGCCCTACGACGGACGAGCCACTGAAGACCACAGCGAGCGAACGGCGGACGAGGGAGGCGACGGTGAGAAGAACGCCACATACAGTAGGAAAAGCTGCAATGAAGGCGGACGAGAGAGAAAGACAGCGCAGACGATGCTGTATGAAGTTTTTCGCGCTGGGCGAGTCTAGAGCAGATAGAAAGCAGATAGACAGCGGAGGCGAAGAAGCTGCGAGGGGCACACAGACACACAAGACAGAACCAAGGGAATGATAAGACTATAGAAGCTGGCGATACATACGAGATACATGAGATGAGATACTCGAATACGAAGACTACGCTAGATAATTGAATGCAAAGCAAAAGTGATGGATGCAATGCCAGGAAAGAAGGGAGGCAGGAATAGGAATAGGAATCTCTACTCCCTCGCTCATGACCGACCGAACGGAAGGGACGGGTTGTCTGCTACTGCCGACAGCGACAGCCCAGCTAGCCAGCTAGCAGACAGAATTACCTTTGCTATTCCGCTGGTGTACGCTTCCAGCCGGCGAGAGCCCAATCAAAGCTCCTCATCGTACGAAGGAGACGGTTGGGGACGGCGATGCGTCTGGCTCGCTCCATTCGGGGCTCCAGGGCCATTCTTCTGCCCCCCACCGTTTCCACCTTGGCGGCTACGATCCCGTCCGCGTCCGCTGCTCCTGTCGCCTTGCTGGCCGTTATCCCTCCCCCTCCCGCTGCCATGCGCATGGTTGTTAGGTCCTCCAGTGCCGTGTCTCCGCTCGCCATTTCCCCGCTGTCCAGCATGTCCACTCCCACTCCCGCTCCCATTCTTGTGCTTGTTCCCTCCTCCGTGGTCATTGTGGTTGCCATTGCCATTGCCATTGCCATTCTTCCCCGCCGTCCTCCCCGCCGCCGTAGGACTCGCATGGCTCCTATCGCACCGATGGTTCGTGCACGCAGCGCCGAACCTGCACCACTGGTCCAGTCTGATGTGTATATCCATGGGCGCGGCCGGGGAGCGGTGTCCAAACCTGCAGTTTGGGTTTGCGCAGCGAGTGTTTCGGCAGAGGGTTTGGCGGGTGGGAAGGGGTTCGTTGGGCGTGTGTTGCGCGTTGCGTTGGGGTTGGGGCTGAGGGTGCTGGTTCTGATTCTGGCGGGGCTGGTGTTGCTGAGGTGGTGGGTGTGATGGGCTTGACCGGCTGGCTTGGCTGAATTGCTGTCGTGCTTGGTGGTCGCGGGCTTGGTTGTATGCGGGATCGCCCGGGTGCAGGAAGCGGCAGTGCTTGCGGTTCTTGCATTTGGCGCCGAATCTGCAGAATGGGTGCTCTTTGTGTGCGTTGAAGGGTTCGCGTTCTCGCTGCTGTGGTGGAGCTTTCTTTCGCTCTTGTTGCGGCGGTCGTTCTAGGTGCGGTGGCGGCGTGGGCTTCTCGCGGCTTGGATGCAAGAACTCGCAGTCCAAATTCTCACAATCTGGATCATCAGCGCACAAGTCTACAATAGGTGGAGGCGTCTCCCCCTCATCGTCTGCCAGCTCGCCCTGATCCGTCATCTCAGGCTCTGCACCAAGCCATCCCGTTCTGCGATCTCTGGGCTGCAATTTCGACGGAGGAGCGACCGGATGCGCGAATGGGTTCCTCGCGGGCGGCGCCGGGCAGAAAGGGTTCTTTGGCTTCCTTTGAGCGTTCTGCTGCAGATGCCGGACGCTTTGCGAGAAAGGGCGGTCCTGGAACTCGTTGCTGCCGGTGATGTAGCCAGCCGCCTCAGCGAGGCTCACAACCTGCGCATTCTCAGGGAAGCCGCGAGGCTTGTCGTAGATGTGCTCGTCAATCCACTCTTGGTCGATGCCATATGCATGATGATCCTCCAGCCGATACTCTGGCACAAACTCCTGGATCGCGCGCTGCACCTTCATCATCAGCGGCAGAACCTCAATATGCTGGTACGCCCTTTCGTTCGGATAATGGGAGTCCCGCGCAAGGTTGATCAGCCGCGCGGTGCGATAGAACAGCCGATCCCAGTTCTGCTGGCGCAGGTAGAGCGCGAGGCCCGGCCAGCGGACGACGTGGTTCGGGAAATAGGCGATGAACTCTTCGAAGGTGATCTTGTGCATTTGGTCCCAGGGCAGGTCCTTGTACCACGGTGGTGCATTAGTGATGGGGTGTCTGCTGAGTGCCACTCCGCGCTCCATTTCCTGCGCGTGCTCTATAGGGCCACGGGGGTTGTTGTAGGGATCCCGTTCTGTTAGTTCAGAGTGGCCTGGCGATATCTCCCCACTTACGTCTTCGTACAGGCAGGTGCGGGAGCCGAAGAAGTTCAAGTTTTCGAGGTTCGTGGTGATGTGAACTACATCGGCGAAGCGGTGGATCCGGGCGTTTGGCGGGAACCCGTGCCTCATGAGTATGTACTGCTGCTCCTCCTGAGTAAGGGTATTCCAGCCATCCTGCTGGACCTCTTCCATTACGTGGCTCTCTCGTCGCGGTGCTGATCGCTGTCCGATGTCTCCAACGAAGACTCGCTTTCTTTCTCTCCCACCATCCTGCGAACTCTTGCGCTTGCCGGCTGAGAAGCCGTCGCGATCTGCATCTGGAAGCTCGCCGTAATCTATCGCAGGATTCGTGAGTCTGCGCTGATTTACGAAGGGATCAAAGCTGCGTCTGTCTGTTGATGCGCGCATATCGTTCCGGTGAGTGCCGAAGACCGCCATAGGTCGTAATGGCGGTCCAGTCCCAAACCCAGATCCTGCTGGGGGGTTGAAATTTGTAAAACCGCGCGAACCCAAAGCTGTTACGGAAGGTCTCCTGTTCCGGACCGGAAGCTGTGGTCTCTCGCGCTCCGAATCGCGTCTCGGCCCAAGGAAACAGCTATAGGCATCGAGTGGCGACAAGTCGTATGAAGGAGCGACTCCGGACCAATGGCTTATGGCTCCAGGTACCTCACTCTCGGCATTATCGTTGACCAGCCAAACAATGCCGTGATAGTCGTGGTCCTCATCTTCGGGATCCTTCCGAGCTGCCCAATCCTCGATCCGGGCGCTATAATGATCCCTTCCAAACATGTCCTCAGCTTTGTTGATCAGTCCAAGAGCGATGCGCAAACTGTCTTGTTGCCGGAGAATCTGCAAGATGATAAGTATTGCCTGGTATCCCAGTATGTTTCCGTTGAGCAAGTCTTGGTAATCCTGGCGTATCTGGTCCTTGACCCTCGTTTCCATGTCCGGGTAGCATGCATCCCACATCTTCTCGAAGATTTGTGTGGCGATTTTGCGGAATTCCCCAGAGCGGTGGATTGCGCATAGACGATCGAAGTTGGGGGCCTCGCGATTGTATAGTTGGTATAGTGGCCGGAGGCTGATTTCAAGGGCGTATAGAGCGCACAAAAGATCTCTGGAACTCGTCGGTTGACCTTGATATCCAGCGGTTAGATGAGCACCGAGCCACTCCAGGCACTCACGCTGCCCTGATATGCTATGCATATATTTTTTTCTTGAGCTTTCGATGAAGTCCCAACCCACCGCGACAAATTCTTTGTCGAGTCGGTGAAGCTGAACGGTGTCTGGTAGCGACACTTTCTTCCACCAACGCGAAGGAGGAGCCATCTTCGCTAGTCGAGTCTCCCAGTTGCTATTTCTTAAGTCGTAGAAAATAAGTGCTGGTAATGTAATTAAAACTGTACGTAGGACATGTGCTGGAATAACCACGGACGAATTGGATATAAAGGACGGGACCGAGGATGAACAATGCATTGTGCTGAATATAGGATAAAGGAAAGCTGGGCGATTAGCACGGGCCATACTATAGATCGAACAAAGGTCGGGTAGTTGCGAGAAGATCGAGGATAGTTATAAGAATGCGGAACGTGTGACAGAAAATTGTCCAGGTTTGCAGCCCCACGAGACCGCAGAAAGCGATGTGGATGCCCTATCTAATCGCGTTAGGGCGTATCAAAGTACGTCAGGAGAGAGGAAAGTGGGCAAGAGGGGCCGAAGTTGATCTCTTTGTTGAGATGTCACCACGAGACTACCGCATGCAATTCGTTCCGCCGATATACAATGCCTTCATTCAACAAAACTCATCACAAACAGCGAAAGATGAGATCACTTTCGTTTTGAGGCAGTTTCAAAAGCGTCCTGTGGCCCAACAAGGACTTATTTGGGTTCGCAGACCACCATATTGTTGTAGGCAGCTGGAACAAAGTCAGTACTTGCGCAGAAATCCTATCGAACCACACTCACCTCCCATAAAGAGCCTTCCTGTCTTGGCATCATGCCTCACCGTTGTGACTCCAGTCATAATTTTAGACTTTCCGTCTTCGAGTACTTTCGTGACCTTGTACTCGCCGTTGGATGTGCTGATGCGGAGAACCGTCACCGGAGAACGATTAACGGCGGGGTCTTCCCCCCATTTTATCAACCTGAGCAAGTCAGGGAATCCAGGCACGTAGAGGTCTCCTTTGGCATCTAGCGCAAGGTTATCTAGCGGCATCTGAAGTTGAACGGTATCGAGGTGCTTCAGCATCTTGTCGGGCCGTACTTCGAATATCCGAACGGTGCCATCGATGCTGCTGGGTACGTAGATGAGGCTGTCTGCTCCTTTGGTGAGGCCATTCGGGAACTTGAGGTTGATGGTCGTTGCTGCATGACATTCGCCGGCTGGCGAACAGTAGGCTACGTTGCCGCCTCCAAGTAGAGGATCGAATTGTTTACGCTGGACAGATCAGCAGTCTGTATTCAGAGGGAATTTACGTGCATCATACCAGGCCAACTTTCGCCGAGTGGTCGTTAGTCAGAACGAATGCCCCATTGCCGAGGATAGCCACGCGATTAGGTGAATATACTGCCGGCGACCATACAGTCCGCAGATGGCGCATTACGCTCTTCCCTTTCTCGTACTCGAAGATATCGATGGTAGAGTTGGCCCCAATCTTCGAAGGATCGATGTAGTTCAGCTCCGCGTCAACCGGTGGACGCTGATTGATCATATAGAAATGGAGGGTTGACGGGCCAATCGCCTCCGCGTCGAATCCTACAAAATCGAGAGACTGGTCACCAGCAGCTCCCACATAGCCCACTGGCTTGATGCCTCGCATTTTAAAAGAGCCGTCTGCGCTAGGAGAATCAATGTCCAAAGCAATTAGCTCGGCTCCTCCAGGCCGCCGTGCAGAAACATTCAGCTTGTCCACGCTGTAATCTGATCAGCAACGCTAGCGTCTATGCGTGTACACGCGAACTTACGCTTGGTTCCATCCTGCTCTGTGCCTCAAGCCCGTGCATGCGGCGTAAAGGACGCGTGCCTCGTCATCGAGCCAGAGGTCTTCGCAGGCTTCAAGCCTTTCGTTCTCAATTCGCCGACACGAATACGGAAACTCGTCGATTGTTTGGATAACGCGTCCGACACCGACGGTGACAGCGAGAAACTCCTTCAGATATAGCTGGTAGAAGGAGGCGCCGAGAACCACAATCACCGAGCCGAAAACAAGCAGTCCACGTAGCATTTCAGAATGACAAATCGTGAGGCGATGCTCAGTGATGGAGCAGATGTCGAGAGAGTCTCAGACCGAGGGGAAGACAGTCGTGCAGGGGGTGTAAGCGCCAAGGCCCCCCCCCTCGGCGGCGTTGCGGGCCTTACACGCATCGTGAGAGACCCGCATGAGGATTGGGCCGTTTGATAGATGCTCCGGCCTGAATGCGGAGCAGGACCCATGTGTCGTGCGAGAGATGGGATGAAAAGAGTGAGAGCTTGGGCCTCGCCCGCGGGCAATCGCGCTAAGCCGGATTAGTCGAGCTTGCACTACCCGGTCATTGGCTACACGCCGACGGTGTGTTGTCGCGATGTCTTTTGAATGTAGAAGAGCAAGAAGGAGAGGGCAGAGGTAGATGCTCCTGTATGAGCACGAAGCAGAAAGAAAAGAGCGACCAGGCTGCTTGCTTAATCATGACGTAGGACTCGTCGGACCTGAGTGGCCTCGATCTACACACACTACACCCACCAACTCTTCAGCAGTATCCGTCGCGACGCCCACCCACAATGGCTCGCATCTTCATCACCGGCTCATCTGACGGCCTAGGCTCTGTCGTCGCCAAACGCCTCGTCGCGAACGGTCACTCGGTCGTCCTCCACGCGCGCAACGCCCAACGAGCGGAAGACGCGACGACGGCCTGCCCGGGCGCAGAAACAGTCGTCACTGGCGACCTATCTAGCATTTCCGAGACGAAAGCACTTGCCGGTGAGGTGAATAAGCTCGGCACCTTCGACTGCGTAATTCACAATGCGGGGCTGTATCGCTGCTCGTTCAGAAAGACGGCGGATGGCTTCCCGGCACTCGCTGCCGTGAACACCCTCGCGCCGTACATCCTCACATGTCTCGTCAACCGACCGAAGCGCCTCATCTTCCTCTCGTCAGAGATGCATCAGAGCGGCGATAGCAGCCTAGAGGACATACTGTGGACACAACGCGGGGAGCGGGGCTGGAGCGACTCTGCGGCCTACTGCGCGAGCAAGCTACACAACGTCATGTTTGCGAAGGCCTTTGCAAGGCGGTGGCCCGACGTAAAGAGCAATGCCCTCGACCCCGGTTGGGTGCCGACAAAGATGGGCGGGAGTGGTGCGCCCGGCAGCATAGACGCCGCCGTAGAGTCGTATGTTATGCTCGCCGAGGGACAGGAGCCGGGCGCACAGAAGAGCGGGAGGTATTTCAGGCCTGGAAAGAGAGAGGGCAGCCCGAAGAGCGTTTCAAACGACGAGAAGGCTCAGGACAGGTTGCTGGACATCTGCGCAGAAACTACTGGCGTGAAGCTTCCGTGAGGGAAGAGCACGACGCCAAAATACAATAATAGACAATTGCGAGTGCAGTCCATTCGCCAAATCCCCTCTTTCCTGGTCGGCCTCTTTTCAATCGAGAACCTCAGCTGAGCGACTCTGTAGGCACCGGCTTACTGGTGGCCGCATACGCCAAATCTATAAATATCAGGTCACGACTTCGTATTTACTGCCGATCCCTCAACATCTTAACATCTTGGTGAGAAACAAACTGCACCAACTTTTTGCTCTCAATTCTCGTGGAAGATGCGCGAAGAGACGTACATTGAGCGTTGTCGGCAGCAGATCTGCGAGTTAGTGCCTCCCACCCGGGTTTTACCTCTCTCGCTGACATGCGTTCAGAACAGTGGAAGAAAGGACGAAGAGCACATCGGAAACAGACGATCTACTTACTATCCCAAAACCCAGGCGTGAATGGGAGAAGTGGGTTCGCATTGCTCTCCGTGGAACGTACGCTGATAAATGTAGACACCTTCAAGCGGACGTTGAGCCATATGCTCGGGCGCTCTGCCTGAAACTTGCACACTCGATTCTCTTCGCCCTGCCCCGTCACATCCGTGCACAAGTCTATTCCTACGTGCTAGACTCCGGGAGTCCCAGAGTGACCGTATGCGACGGCAAATTGCCCCGGCATCTCCGCTCCTCCTGCTCTCACGCGACGGTGCAAAGCTATGACTCCTTCTGGAAGCTAGCCGACCTGGAGCACTACCTGGATCCAAGCTACGTTGGTCCAAAAATGGCGAGAGAAATCGCCGAGGCATATTACAAGGCGAAAACTTTCTATTTTGACTACCATGAACTTCATCTGCTGCACAAATTCTTCACGGTCGACCGATTTGGCTACGGTTTGCTGCCTACTGACTATATCCGGACCATGGAAGTTGTGCTAGACGGGCACTACCTCTGTCGTTGCAATAGGACTGCGCTCGCACATTACGGCCTCATTCCAGTAGACAGCATGACCTCCGAGGAGGCTGTTCGCTGGTGCTTTGAGCAACTCTTTATGCTTAACAGTCACGTAGTCCACATCAGATTGATTGTCTACCTTCATGAAGGACGGCGGATGCTTCAAGAATTCCAGGAGGTTTTGCACTTTGCTCTTCCCTTCGTTCGCCGATTCAGGGCACAGGGGTGGCATGTTTCAATAAAGTCGTGTACCAATCATGGCCGAGAAGAGAGCATTGACGATGCGGATGGAGAACTAATTGATCAGAACCTCTCAAAAATGATGACAATAAGTTCGTTTCCCACCCGATCAGGCCTTCTCGGACTAATTGCTGGCTGCTAGGGATATGAGGCTCAAGCTCAAAGCAACGACACCACTAGGTCTTCGGTGACCCATTTCGACGATCATTTCGCGTGATGGATTAAGCACCGGTCCCATCCAATAACCCCCCGGTTCAACAAAAGCAGCCTCTTGGCGAATCGACCACGAATCGCGCGATGCGGCGCCACACGCCCGAGGTTGGATACTCGGCAGCTTCATCCAGCGCTCAGACTTCTGGCTGCTCCTGCTACCCGCAATTTGTTCTTCTACAACATGTTGCATTGAGATGCGGAGTTTCTAGTTTACTCAGCATCTCTCTATCGGCTTCCTTTTACATATGGTCCGAACATGTCCGACCCACCACCTACACGTTCAATGGCAGCTCCTCCTTTCGGAGCCTTGTATGTTGACGAATCAGTTCGCGATTTCGGAGATGATGGAAGAGAAAAATATTTACAAAAGGTACAAAGACAGGAGCTGTTGTTCCCGAACAGGGGAGGGAATGTACATATTCAGAACGGACTCATTCTCCTCAGGATCCAAACTCGCCACTTTCCTTACAAAGACGCCAAAAAGACGAGACCACTGCTCATATGTCCGTTGCGGAGTCTACTTCCAAGGAAATCCACGCCGATATATGTGGAGATGCTACGGTGTCTCAGTTACCGCTCGAAATTCTCATCGCGAATGGTAATTCTCTCGAAACTCGAGGGATTCTCAAAAAAGGTCTCTCCTGGAATTATTGGATCTCTCCTGTCCGGGGGCATCTTGTTGGAAAGTCCGCCGGGTCAAGATAGTGCATATTTCTATCTCGCCTTGGTCGAAGAAGAACGGTACACGACGTATACCAAGTCCCCAACCAAACGATTCGGCGACGCACGGTCGGCTAAAATGTACAACTGATCCTTTCCCAGGATATGCATTCATGACAACGATAACTTCATGATCGGTAGCATCGAAAAAGGTTCGAACCACGTACGGCAGTCTTCGACGCGGCAGTCTTCGACAATTCGAACTCCAGCCCCTTCCACATGATTGGAGCTCGTTTGGCATACTCTCTGATTCCTGCTTATATGGACTCATGCAGCTTCGATGCCGTGTCAACAGGCAGACGGCTCGTAGCCGCGGAAAATACGTCCTATGAGGAGATGCCCGCAACAGCCAAGCCGTTGGCTTTTGCATTGAACACGTGTGGCCGCGATATTCGAAAGCTCAGTCTTGAACGGCGCTTCCGTTCACTATACGGGCCGTTCAGCGGCTGTGCGAGATCATGAAGGGGTCGGATTACCAGAGCGAGCCTAGGCTGATGATTCAGCTTCAAAGCCTGAAAGGCGCTCAGCTCGAGATTTTGAAAGAACGCATCGCCGAAGCACACGCGATGCTCACGGAAGCTGTCACGCGCCATCAAGGGGAACTCAACATGGAAATCGCCAAAGCGAGTCTACGACTGGTGGAGGATGCAAAGCGCGACGGCGGTGACAAGCATTCAATCTTATTAGGGAAGCTAGCGAGGTGTTTCAAAGGACGGTGGTGATCATCAGTCGTGAATGCTAGTGGTGGAATCCAAATTTCGGAAAGTAATATCTCTCACGCCCCCCTCCCGGCGACATGAATACCTGAGCTTCCACTTTTTGGTCTTTCTTTGCATAGCGTCGCCGCCGTACGGGGTCTCCCATTGAACGCGGGTTCTAGAATCAACACCTGGCGCCAAACACATCCATCATAACCTTGGTTCTTTAGTCCCAACCACGGAGGCTTCCTCCATCGAAAATATCGTCAGGGCTTTTCGTCGTGTTCTACCCTCTTCAGGTTCAGAGTCGCTGAAACATAACATCTCGCTGATAAGGTTTCTGCCCAGTCTCCGGGAAGGCTGGCATGTTGCTGCATGTTAGTAGATTTCAGACTGCCTCGGAGGGTGCTGCATGCGCAGAATTGAGGGCAGAGCTAGTCCCGCTGGAGACATGACGCGTGGACAAGCGAACTTGTGGTGTGTTTCGCTGAATGATTTGGCAAGTTGTGGTCCGGACATATGGCCTTCATCAAGATATTTCCAAGCTTTGTCTCTTCGCTGCGACTATTCGGAGAGCGTCGTTTTGGAAACGGGCAAGCTTCTCAGAGTCGCATTTTCGTGGCTCTGTTGATTTTTGTAGAGCGGCGGAGGAGCCATGCTAGAGCACTCTCCGCTTTTTGTCTCTCCGGCTGCTGCCACACATCATATGGGCCGATGGAGACTTTTATTACGGAGAATTTAGACCCTATGGAGATCGAGAGAGCGATCCATTATATGCCCGAACGGCCCGAAGCTGCCGAGGGAGAGGTTGGCGTGGAGGAACAGACCAGGCTTCGCTCTCATCGTGTCGCTCGCCATGTCTTTTGGTCAACGCATCCCAGGCTACGCAGAAGTTCTAGTCCCACGCGTCTAGTTTTTTGACTCTTGTTCCGAAAGTGAGGCATGTAAGAGATAACCACGTCTTTTCGTTCGACCCCTGGCACTCGCTCTTGCCCTTTACGCTGGGATATTTGCCTTATATTCCGAATGGCTTCTGAGAACAAGGTATGCGTCATTGAAAGGGCGAGGACGAAGATGGTTCAGCGTCCGGTGGCACCCTTCCGGAGCCATAGACCGTCCGTACAGGGTTTTATAGTCCCTTCTGGGTAATTATGGCATATCGCTAGTCCGAGATCATGGTGCTGTTATGGGACAGCCTCGCAAAAGGCATCGCTGCTATGAAGAATTGTTTTTCGCAGAGAAGGCGTCCACTCATGCGATGGTAGTTCCAGTCATTTAGTCCGGGGTAAGGAACACATTAATATCCCATCACTCTGTTTGTTTGTTTTCGGCCCTAGGAAGGAATAAGAGAGACGTGTGTGGTGAAGAGAAATAAAGATAGAGTGACATTTGTCTCTCGAGAGCTCGGGATCGCAGTCATATATGCTATTCGTTTTGATTTCGAATCGGTCCTCCTCAAACATTGTCACAGTACACCCCGTTGGGAATCCACCGTCTCTCCTCATGTAATGGACCTCTTGATGCTTTTGGAGGCTCTTCGCTCTCCATGATACCTCGACGTCATGGATTGTGAAAGTATCAGAAGCCGGGGAAGTTACACATGGCTCTCAAGCTGCAGGCTTTTAGGCCGAGGAAGGGCAACAACCATGGCAATTATGTGTCGTTGTTTTGGTCCCAGAAGTACTCCGCACATCAGAGGGATGTTGTGTGTCTGTGGGTTGTGGTTCGCGCTGGCGGACGCGAGGGGAAGAAGGCATGAGGGCATAGAGTAGAAGATTTTCGAGGGAGCTTCGACCTGCCGCCCATAGTAGCATGCGGCTACCTGTGCCTTTCACTCCATACGTGCATCACCCCGCCTCTTAAATAATTCAATGTGAGCCTCCCAGACGTGTCCACAACATTTAATCAAAATTCACATGCCTTTAGCAGAGCGAGCGAAGGGCGCCAGGGGACACAGGGGGGACGAAGGTGCGCGTCTACTTCTTCTCTTGTGTCCGTGGTGTGGCGTCAATTTTTGAGATTCCGATGACCCTTCTCGAACGTGGATTTGCGTGGCCAATCTTTTTTTGGAAGCAGCATGCTATGATGCATCGTAAGGCTTTCGTTCCTCTTGGCTGAGGCTGTTATGCATTGAATAGGTCTTGTCTTCGAATTCTTCGAAAGCGCAGGGGCAAAGAGAGCATGGGCAGTGAACAAGAGTTCAAATGTCTATTCCAATACAGCATATCCTTTCCGGTTGGCGCATTTGACCTCCAGACATATAGAACGCATGTGATGGATTCTGTTGAGATGAATTCACCTCCGCCGTCTATTTGAGATTTTCGACCATATTTTTAGAGTCTCCTCTCAGGCGTCATTTTTCTCCCTACTTGCAGGAGCCACGCATCGATTGTGCTTTCGCAAAATTTGAGAGAGTCGAAGGGTCGAGGTGCGAGTGAAGTAGGAAAAGAAGAGGGGTTTAAATATCCGATAGAGTGGTACGTAGACTCATGGATATTGCGTGCCTTCTTTTGAGACAATAAAACCAGATCCTCCATAGTTCACTCTTACCCATATATAGAAAGTACGAGACGATCAGTGACACGTTCTGCAATGCAGTGCCCGTGTGGATTCTTATCCGCTGGCCATACCGGCTGGACTCAGCCATTTTCTGCTCCACTCAGTCCCTCTGTCCCATGCTCTTCGTAAGGTGGATTTTTTTGCATTTTCCCTGCGATTTCGCACCTCGAAACGCAATATGTACCGCCACGTTTGGGGAGGCTTCGCTAACCAAGACCAGCAAGAAGCCTTACCGAATATCAAAATCAGCAGCCTCTTTTTCTCACATACGAAAGCTCCCAGATCTTGCATCCTCCATCATATCGTCCAAGTAACACTTCCCCGAGGAGCTGGATTCATTTAGTACGCCGAGTTTAGGGGGACGATAGAGAGTGTCGTGGAGGAGGACAGTGTACGGGGAGAAGGATGAGGAAGACGACGCTCATCAGTTTCGTTATTGTGCTATAAGGCAGGATGTGTGGACGTGGAACGATCGTGTCTCCATAGGCTTCTCTCCTGAGCTCTTCCAATGCCGATAGTTCACATCGTATCTAACACTCTCCCCAGGCATCACGATTATACCCGCACTCAGCTCTCCCTATCGCCTTCCTCCAGCGACTCCTCCCTTGATCCCCATCTGTTCCATAAGGTCTTTTTGCGCGAGCAAATCTGGATCCAAACCCATGGATCGTGACTCCGCCCATTCATGAAACGGCTCCCACTTGATACACTGACGTTTTGCACCAGATACCAGCACCGGGATCGGGTCCGTGTCGGGGTTGTAGCTGAACGAATAGATTGCCGTGTTAGGTGTACACATTGTGTTCTTCAAGACGATTGTGCGGCAATGCGCTGCATAGATAATTTAGTGAGTCTGTGAGATCGGGATATTAGGGGGTGAATGAAGGAGACTCACTGGCATGCTCCATCTCGTTACGCCTGCTTTCCGCTGACCGATTGGGGAAGTAGTAATCTTCGTGCAAGAGCCAATAAAGTCGCCTCTGGGTAGTAATCTTTCAGAACAAGCTGTGGGCGGGACATCACGCCGACTTACCAGGCCGTGAAGCTCGTGATAAACGCCAATCGTGGAGAAATAACCACCCTTCACGTAGCTGACGGTGGCATCAGGATCGGCGTTAGGGAGTTTCAACTCTTCTGCAGTCGCTTGGAAATGGATGGCTAAGGCAAATCTCGGTAAGCATCATGAGCGGATAGAATAACCCGTAGTGCGCGACTTACGGGATACGAGGTCATTCCAAGCCTTGTCAACCTTTGGAGATGGATTCGATCCATAAATTGAATGGTATCCTTCTTCAGCTGGTACATTCTCATACTGAAGGACATGTTTCGCCGGGGCTGCGCCTCGGATGAGCCACCTTCTCTCCGAAAACTGCTTGAAGGATACGTACTGTACGGCAACGACATTCTCCAATGCACAATGTAAAAGTAGGGCATGATAACGGTCATGAGTACAGAATAAATGCACAAAGGTATCGTGAATCTGCGCGACTGGGATGCTGATTTCCAGTAGGCGTTGCGTTTCCCCGCGAAGCTGGAATCGATAATAGAGTCGGAGTCTCCATCATTGCGAAGAAGAGAATAAGTTGACTCTACATGCTTTTCTATCTTGATGCAGGCAAATGAGGGATAATCAGGAACTGAAGGGGATGAAATGATGGAGTGGAGCGCGAAAGTCACCTCTAGGTTTTGCGCGGTCGAACCTGGCACAGCAGAAGACCGATCATCAGTTTATGGGCTCCTGCCTATGGATCTAGCGTCATTCAGCTGGACAGATTATCATCCCTCCAGCAATGGCCATGCATATCGGGTTTTTCTCTGCTGTTTCCGAAGTGAACTCCGTGGCCCACTCATAAAGTATCACCCTTGCTTGCTGAGATTCTAGGCTTGAATCTTAGATAAAGGGGCACAAAGAGCGCTCACCGGCTGACCATAGTTTCCAGTACTCCACCGCTTCCCCCGGTCGTCGAAGCTCTTCGAAGCATTCTCAACTACCTCACAGGAGAGCCACTTTACCATAGACTCTTTCCGCCACTCATCACTGCACCATGCATTTCCTCGCCATATGGGCATTTCTAGTCTTCATGGCCTCCGCCCTACCTGCTGGAGGTACGAATTGCTACCTTCTTCCTCTGACTCCGTTTGACCCTTTCATAGTTACGACCCCGACGCAAACGGGCTCCTACATTTACCCGAAAATGAAGAAGCCGCAGGACCTCCAGATGTGAAGGTTTTCTTTAGACTCGGAAATACGGAGGAAGGAGAGGTAGAAGCCGCCAATGAGTCGGAGTAGCCCGTCAAGCAAGCAAGCAGAGGAAATGCAGTCAGGAGTGTCGAGAAATACCTAGGTAGCTAAGGGAACGTGAATCAAAATCTTACTGCAACTTTAGCTAGCCATTACTAGTCGTTTCTTTTGTTGCGCAGAGAATAGGTTTCCAGATTTAGACCCTCATACAGGCTACACTATCCGGCTCCCAACGGTTGCTAGAATGTGCTCGTATCTAAGCGCCAATATCGGCGACTTCCCTTACCTAGGTACGCGCAAAGATTCGCAAGCACGGATCTACGTACAAGGTTCTCTTTCTTCTTCTTCTTCTTCTTCTTCTTCTTCTTCTTCTTCTTCCCCCATATCGCTTGCGTATAAGCCGGGGTGGGGTTCCTCCGCCGTCGCAGCAGCTTAGAGACCAGAGTTGTAGTAGCACCTACAGCTTCCATTAGCCACACGGTATCCGGGTGACTGCGGTTCAATATATGCGTACTCGGGCCCTTGTTATGCCGCTTAATAGAGGTCTATCGGGGACGCCGTGACTACGGTATGTCTACCATAGCTCGCAGTGCCCGAAGCTTGAATGTTCGCTAATAGCCACTTGCCTAAGAACCTGGTCGGACATGCCAAGCACTTCAACCGATTCTTCGATAGCCATATTTCATGCATCTATATATACTAGCGTGACCATTTCATGGCTCCTCGGTGACCGAACCTTGATTGCTACAAACATGGTCTACCAGAGCGAGCTCTCCGAGAATATCCCTGCGGGCCGCATCTAGCCAGTGCTCACATTTCCCAATGCACCGGCTCGACTCCATTCACAGTCTTTCTTTCCCTTACCATGAAGAAGTGCCGAACCTTGGGCCTCGAGGAAAACTTATCGGGAACAGGCAAGACATGGTGGCGCTGAACTACGAAGCCGTTCTGCTCATAGAGCCACCTTCCCGCATCAGTTGACTCTACGGTGCACTAACAGTCTCAGTTAGCGAGAGGCTCAGCAGGCTCCATGTTGAAGAAGTAGTAAACTGAAGAGTTGAAACTCACAGCTGCTCCAAGACGATCCGCAATCTTTAATCCCTCTCTCATGAGCAACGTTCCCGCTCCTCTGAACTGGTGCTGTGGCTTCACGGCCATCATGATGAGACCTGAAGTGGAGATATGCGTCAGTTTACGCTAGGAATTAATAATTCAGGAAGACATACTGACGAGTGGAAGGTCATTTTCGTCCCAGTACTTTCTCTCGTACTCTTTGCAACCTCGAAAGAGTGCCTGCGCATACTCCTTCTCATCTTCATTCTCCCAAGTTCCGGGCGGCCCATCCAACTCTGAATTGGGAGGTTTCGCATCCGTGTAGATACTCCACATAGCGCCGCCAATGATTTCGCCCGTAGTGCCGTCGGTCACCTTGTGCCATTTTACCGCTTTGCTCATTTTGGTCGTGAACACGCATCTCAGGACAGCATTCTCCAGTCCGGTTTCCGTTGTGTTTTTTGGAAACACAGCGTTGATGTATTCATTTTTCCCGCCGTATGCCTCGAAGACCAGAGAGACAAGCGCGGGGTAGTCTTCGTCCCTGGGATCTTCCACCAGAATCGTCATGTCGTGGGCGTCTGTAGAGTGTAGAAGGATCGGAAGTTGGAGTACGGGCTGTAGAAGCCTGACTGTATGTGTAAGTGGTTGACTTCCTCGTAGGCGGCTAGGTTTATGCGTTCCTCAGAGATGAGAGTTCCTCGCCCAGGGCCGCCAGGGTGGTCGTTTGATTGGAGTCATGCGGCGCGGGTCCCAGCTCCCGCAAGAGTGCAACTATTGGCCCCCGCATGTGGCACCTACCTTCCAGATCTTCCAACAAGGATCGACAATGCAGCTCGCTGCATTCCGATGGTTTCACCGGTCATAGCACAAGCGTACTTACGATAAGTCCGGCACTGTGCCACCTCCCTGATTGGTACTCTTTAATCTATCGAACGCAAGAAAGCCAAATAAAGCATTCGATTGTGAAACAGCGCATCCACGCAGCCAAAATCATTCGCATCTTATCTTCATTGCTTGCATGAGCGCAACTTCACCACAAGCTTCATCCCGAATGCAGCTAGTAGGTAGCCGCGGCCTAAAGCGATCAGACTGTCGGTCTACTAGAGTCATGCTGTTTGCGGCTTAAAGGCTGACTTGTGACGCCCAAAGCAAAGAGTGAACTCCCCCCTGACTTTGTCGCCATCATGTTGTAGCCGACACCTCGCCGTACATCGCTGCTCGACCAGCCGGGCTGAAGGTAATCCATCAAAGTCTTCATGAATGGGATACAGGTGATTATTATGCTGACGTTCATGATAACCGATGTCGTGATAGCGATGTCTGCGCTTTGAGTTGGTGCGTTTGGGTTTGATATACTAATATCGGAGGCCGAATCGAAGTCGTAAATGTAATAGATTTTGAGCGCAATAGGAGCGACCAATCCGTATGTATGTCAGGATACGTACATCTAAGTTTTCGACGAGACTTACAGGGACTTTAGGCAAAACACAAACATGAGTATGTACTTCGTGCGTGCCACCTGTAGGACGTCTGTGATTGAGCAGAGTATGACCGCGATCGCCAAGTCGATGCAGATGTTCGTGATCTCGATGACCGTCCAAAAACCATTCTTATAACTCCACATCAGCACACTTTCAGAATTCCATTTCGGAAAAGGCCCACCTGGTTCTCTTCAACGGCGGCCCTACTGGGATTATAACCACATTTCCGGTCTTTTTTCTCGGTGTCCTGATGCAAACTTTGGTGATGGCTGAACTAGCATCAATGTACGTGCTACGGGTTCTTCATATTCACCGATTAACCTGGCGCAGGATACCACTCTCGGCCGGCCAGTTCAACTGGGTTGCTATTCTTTCCCCACCAGGCATTTCGAATTTCCTCTCATACCTTACCGGTTGGATTGTTACTATTGCCTGGCAGGCCGCATGCGCTGCTCCGACGTTCATATGCTCGAACATGATTGTCGCACTCGCCAGCTACAGCAATCCAGATTACGATGTGAAGAACTGGCACGCCGCGCTTATCTTCTATGCCATAATTGCTCTGGCTGTTCTTGTGAACACATACCTCGGACGCCTCTTCCCCAGCATAGAGTCTCTGGCTTTCCTGCTTCACGTCGTTGGGTTTTTCATCGTGTTGATAGTAGTCGTCTATCTCGCTCCGAAGACAGATCCTTCCACGGTATTTGATAACTTCATAAACGGTGGAGGGTTTCCCACAACTGCCCAGTCCGTATTGGTTGGCTCAGTTCCAGTCATGTTCGGTTTCAATGGTATGCGGCCCCAAATTTTCGCATTTCGAGAACCGAGACACTCACCATTGTAAGGTCTGGACGCAGCCGCTCACATCGGTAAGTACTCAAGAAGGCAAGAAGCTCTCGATCGATGACAGACCGCCTGAACGCGCAGCCGAAGAGATCGAGAACGCGACACGAGTGATTCCCAGAGCAATGATTATTACCGTCGTCCTATATTTCGTCATGGGCTATGGAATCATCATCATGGTTGTTTTTTGCATGTCTGTTGAGGAAGTGTTGACGTCTGCGTACACCTTTCCTGTCATCACCGTCTTCGGGCAGGTGACGAAATCGCAGAATGGGACCGTGTTTCTAGTAGGTCATCCGCCGAAGTACCATGGGATATTTGCTGATCACAGTATGACGCCAGACGTCTCTAATAATCATCATGTTCGCGTGCGGAGTCTTCGGGCTGCTTGCGACGGCGTCTCGCATGCTGTGGGCATTTGCCAGAGAGGATGGTGTACCTTTCTCTGCTCAAGTATCAAAGGTACTAAGTTGTGTTATTTTCTCGAAGCTGTGGTCTAATCATCTCACCCAGATTGAACGTCGTACATGCCTTCCACTAGTCTCCATTGGGACCACAACCTTTATTTCTTTGATACTTGGACTGATCGCGCTGGGGTCCGAGGCAACCTTCAACGCTTTAAGCGGGCTTACGGTGGCGGGATTCTACTCAGCCTTCATCATCTCAGCGACAGTGTGGCTGTGGCGCCGAGTGACTACACCAGCGGAAAATCTACCATGGGGCCCATTTCGATTAGGAAAACTCGGCGTGCCGACCATTCTTGCTGCCTTGGTGTATAGCTGGGTGGGGTTGATCTTCGCGTTTTGGCCTCCAATCGCAGCGGTTACCGTGGAGACCTTCAACTGGTCGCTGGTCGTGTATCTGGGTGTCATCTTTCTGGCTATAGGGTGGTGGTTTCTGCGCGCACGGAAAACGTACACGGGGCCAAAAACGGAGATCTCCAGTCAGCAGTGGATGAAGCTCTTCGAGCGGACGGCGAGAGTGAACTGAAACCCTCCAAGGAACCTACTTGCACTGTGGAAATAGCAAAGGTGGAACTCTGAACACAAGATTCCCCCTGGTTCTCCCGTGCTTCCTTTGCGCCCCTGGTCAGTGACGTGGCTCTTGACCTTCAATGCCTCTTACCCAAACGTGCAATTGATTCCATTATCACTATGTCGTGCAGTCTGCTGGATCTTCTATAGTAGTGGATAGACGTGGAAGATCTCGGTGTCGTGGCTTTGAGGAGAGATGACGGAAGCGGGGAGGACTTTCCGGCACAGCCGCTTTCCGATCGGACATAGCGTGGCTTGGCGTGATGCCAAACCTGAATATTATTATACTCTAGTGGCCGATAGCTTTTTCCAACTGGACCGTCTCCTAAATTTCTAGAGTATCTCGCCATGACGCAGGAATGCAGATGGAAGAGCTTCGAATAGGAGAATGCCGAGTTCGAAGCACGAAACAACGCCAGGCTGGTAGCCAATCAGCAGCCACCTCACCGGCGTTCGGACATCCGCCGAAACAACCTCACCACCACTCCGTACGTGCACCGCATCACCAAAGGACCGAACACGCTCGGCGCATGAATGCATATGTTTCTCACCTTAGCACACTTGGTCTGGCGGAGCTCACCTGAGCCTGCGCGAAAGCGGAAATGCGTCTCAGCTCTCCGCGGCGGGATGGCTCGTTCTCCTGCCTACCCAGGTACTTGAGCCAACACCAAGGCCATAGGCCGTCGGCCTTCCGCTCATTAAAGGGGAGGTGTTGGAGTGCCTGACAGAAGAAGATAGGGCTTAAAATGGGGGGACCACGGCCATCTTGCCCTATCGTTCCACCTGCATCAGCGACTTTCCATTCATTTCTTCCATCATTTGATACTTTTTCTTGACTACCGGGTAGTAGTCGTCCATTCATTGCGTTCGCGTCAATTCCACTCTTTTGAAAATGTTCAGTCGCGGCTTTTTCGGCGCCGTTGCGCTTCAGTCTCTCATTGCATCTGCCCTGGCCGGCCAAGCTATCATCAACAACCACTGTGGCTACGATGTCACCGTCCTGTAAAAAGCCCCGTTCACATGTTATTCCATCTCTCCAGCCATATCTCGTAAAGCTAATCTGGGGTTCTTAGGAGCACCGCCACTAACGCGCAAACCACTCTCAACGCGGGCGGCACACACACCGAGCCCCTCAGCGGGCAAGCCTCCCTCAAAATCGCCAAAGACCCTTCTCTACTATGGGCCCATGGCATTACGCAGTTCGAATATAGCGTGACCAACACTCTCTGGTACGACATCTCGCTGATCGACTGCGCGAATGGACAGGACGGGAGCGGTTGCCCTGGCCATGACGGTGGTATCAAGCTTGAAGCTAGTGGAGGGAACTGTAAGGTTGCCCATTGTCCGGCCAATGCGTATTGTCCCGAGCAGGCGTATTGGGTGTGGAATGATGATAAGGCGACGAAGAGCTGTGAGGATGGGCAGGCAGGGGGCGATGTGACGATGACGTTGTGTTCCGGTGGTGGGCAGAAGAGATCGGTTGCCGGGAGGATTGCTTATTAGGTGTTGAGAGGGCAGTCTCGAGGTTGGAGGGTGTGTTTCTTTGAAGTGATATCTAGGAGTAAGTCTTTCGCATATCTTCAAACATCATCGGCCATTCCATGGCAAAATTTTTCCAATCCATGTTTCAAGTACAATGCCACTTTCTCTTTTCATTTGCTTCGCCGCTCCGCCCGGGCCCAGCTCCGCGGGCCATGGGTCTTCAGCATCAAGACTTTTCGACCTCCAAAGATCCACATGAAATAGTCCTCCTCAAAGCGCAGCACACATGTATTTCTGCAAAGCATCTTTTATCTCCCGCACGAGAGAGAGCAAGGTGTAAAGTCTCAAGCCGCAGGAGAAAATCAGAGGCTTCTATACACATCCTTCAGCCAGGACCAGAAGGGATGGCACCATGACGGCCATCTCATCGCCAAATTTGAGGTGGGCCTTCAACCTTCTCTTGTCTCTTCTTCCCAGGCATACGCAGCTGGTACATGACCTTGAAACCACGGCAAGCTTCAAAGCGTTTCCCTCTCTGTCTTCTTCATCGTCGCAAGACTTCCAGCGCAATTACATACAGACCCGCATCTTCGGTTCTGGAGCCGCAGAGACCGACACATGAGTAGTTTGTCGGCTTCTTTTAAGCCGACTCGAAAGACCGCACGAGCATATCATTCATCCAGGTTGGTTTTATTTCTCGCGCCAGGCTTCAAAGTGCGAAGGAGAGAAACAAGTGTGGCGACCTGAAGTCTCATTCCCTCCGGGACCCCGAGACTTAAGAGACATCGAAGTCGATACGTCATGCAAACGTTGCAGGCTAGTTTTTGCACTCTTTCTTAGTCTTCTCACTTCCCAGAGATAAGAGTCATTAGTTTTTCATTAGCGGAATGTGATGCTGCTCGCATCTTGTCTTTCGTCCTATACACGCTCCTCTCCGCTCGGTTTCTACCATGGCATTGTGGACTTTACACTTTTGGTAGAAAACCCACAACAAGCTCCAGACATTACGACTGTGTATATATTTTTTGTCCGACTCCCTAGGAAACACAATCATAAATGCGTATCGTAAATGTTTTAATCCACCACCAAGAGATACGAGGTGTGAAGAATCAGAACTCCAGGGAAGCTTGGAACTTATATATTCCCCTCTTCATCCAGGAGCCCTTCAGACTCTAGAGCAAGGTCCAAGGAAACGAGAGACCCTTTTGTTTCATCTCCAAGACAATCGCACCTCCTTCCATTACAGCATACTATGTCTCCTTTCGTCTCCACAGCATCAAGACTTTTTGATGTGTATTTTGGCTCGACCTGTCATTTTGCAAAGCCATCTCTTCTCCAAGCGTTATCTTCTGCCCAACATCTTTTGAAGAAACGCCAGTGCGGATGAGACACCGCATGATCTCGCAGCCCTAACCTCTTAGTCCGGGTCCCGCGGAGGCTCACACACGTACAGCATTCCCATGGCCTTTTAGTCCTCGTAAGAGGACTTGGGAGGTGTGAAGAACAGGAATGAGGATCCACACGGGAGGAGGTTTATATACCCGCACGCAGCCCAAGATCACATGTTATTGTCAATATGACGGCTCTGGACGCCAACAGTTAAAACCTCCTTTTGGCAGAAATCTTCCCCCTCTCCCACATGCCAGATACTCTACCTCTTCCCCGACCAGACCCCATAGAAGATGGTGGTTTTGTCTTTCCGATCCCTATTATTCCCGCTCTTCTTCTTCTCTCCTTCCATCGTTTGCATCGGAGCCGAGTTCTGCTTAACACGCCCATGCTCGCAAACTCCATCCATGCACACTCGAAAACTTCTCCTCTCTCTCCGCACCAAACATGTAGTCGAGGTCAAGGCGCAGGGAAGACCCAGCGACATCTGTGGGAACCCTTCGCCATTTTTTGCCACCCCAGACAGCAGATCCAGACAGGAAAGTCCCGCACATGGATTCTTTCGGCATAAGTTTATAGTGCCCAAGCTGCGGATATGCAATGTGGAGAGGAACCGAGGAGGGAGGAGAAAGGAATAGAAGTCGACATAAGATTGCTTGGGGATGAAATTCTGTCCATTGCGACATCGCGCCTCCCTTTGTTGATCGCTGGACTCTTCTCCCTCACTCCTCTCACGACCTCGTGCATGCTCACTTTGCGTTTCCACATCAGCCTCAGTCTTGTCCCTTTCTAGCCCCTTTCGCACTATACACCCCGCTCCTCCTATGACCCTCTTCTAGGCGAGCTTTGATCCGCGAAGTTTACGGATTGTCATAGCTTCTTCCCTTTTTTCCTTCAGGTTCTGCGCAGGCGCTTTCCTTGATTGCCGGAAATTGTGGTACGTGAGCACACGAGCGGCACAGTGCAGCATAAGGTCGTTCCGTTCCAACTTTTAGTGATTCGCCAAGGCACACCCGCGCATGTTGTTTCCGTTGCTGCTGTTTTAGTCCCGGAGTCAGTAATGTGGAAGCGCGTGAGAAACGGCTGGCAGCGGAGACGGACAGAGTTTATATACACATCAGCTGTGGTTCGGGGTTCCACCAGAGACCACAGAGTGCCAAATGAGGTCTTTCGGTCTTTTTATATCTTCCATAAACTGCTATCTTCAACGCTTTTGTCCCTACTCCCCCTCCATGCCGGTGGTCGTCCTTTTTTCCGGCGTCTTAAAATCCCTCCGCCCATCCTCTCATCAGTCAGGTCTGCGACGGCTTTTCGACCGCTCAAGCCATCAAAGGGCACCGGGTCCCTTTTGGTTCCTTCTGATCGAAATTCGGACCTCCTTTCCAACCATTCCACATTGGGTTTGCTCCTTTTCGTGGTCAAGCTGCTGCGCCCAGAGCGACATAGTGAATCGCTCTGTATTCTTTTGGTCCCATTTCACGAAGCTTACAGACATAATAGCAGCCATTTTTCTCTTTTGGTATCGAAGCTGCGCAAGTGAAGCGTGAAGAAGAGATCTCCGGGGAAGGCAGAAGAGGCTTTATACACCCTATCCCCAGCTCAGCTCTCAAAGAAGAAGAACCACGAGCGCCCCATAAGGAGGGATGTTGACTGAATTCTGACGGCTTTCTCTCTCTCCCTCGCCGGGCCCGTTTATTTTCTCGCTCTCTGCTTGATTGTCCATCCCACAAGCATGATCTCTTTTCGTACACGCTCTTCCTCTCCCTCATTGATACGCCTCTCGTTCAGATTTGGGTGCCACGAGCCATAGGAAAGCTCTATCCGGCTTTTCGTTTCCAGCCGAATCTATCTGGTCATACAAAGCTCTTGATACCCTCGCTTCCTCGTCTTTCAGTCATTCCTGGGTTTTTTGCTTCTTTTGGTAGAAAGCAAGATGGACGAGGCGGGCGCATTGGGCGCATTGTGGTGAGTTTTAGTGCTGCTCCCGAGAGAGGGAACCGACGCATGTGTAGTTCGGTGTCGCTGTTTTAGCACGCTGCCGGCGGAGTCCAGACACATAGTTTACAGTGTGGGTGTTTTTAGTGGAGAAACCCGGGTTGTGAAGCGTAGAGAACAAGAGTAGAGCAGAGGCAGAAAGGGGACTTTCATAGACGAGAGATGAGCGAAGGGGCTTCGGATGACGGATCAGTAAATATATAGTCTCTTAACTCACCAAATCGCACGCACTCCGCCCGCACAACCGAGCACGCCACGACATCCGGAGTGAGGCTGACGGAAATGAATGAATGCCAGTCTATTTTAGCTCTCAGTAATACTACAACTAAGAATCTACCAAACAAGCACCGCTATGCAGAACCAACGCCGCCGACCTATCCCTTACCGCAACACATTACCTCGCTAACCCTGCTGCCCTAGCCCGCTCCTCCTCCTCCGCATTCTTCCTCATCTGTGCCTCTCTTTCTTCCTCGCGCTTCCTCTCCTCTTCCCTCCTCAACTGGTCCGCCCTTCGAATAGCAATATCCTTCGGTTTATAATCCGAAAACGCCCACTTCAGCCCTTTCTCAATGATCCAGCACCCCGCATAATCCACCACCATGATACTTGTCAACATAATCTTGAATTCTGACGTGAACGGCACAAGGCGCAGCTTCTCGTTGATCTCGGGAATAAATTCTGTGGCGCAGGAGAACGCGACGCCCGAGACGAGGACTAGGCCCCAGTACATGCCACGGTTCTCGCGAATGGATTCGCGGAAGGGCCGGCCTTGGTAGTTGATGGCGAAGGTGGAGATTTGCTGGATAAGCTGGAGGAGGTAAATTGCGGAGTTGAGAAGGGAAGGCTCGAACTCTTTTTCGAGGTCTGGGTTCCTCTCCTTAGGTTCAGTGCGTTGCACGTATTGAGAGACGTAAATGAGGGTGACGATGTGGATGGCGAATTGGCCAAGGACTGAGCCGATGATGTAGAAGTTAAAGATGTTGTGTTGGGGCCGCTCTTTGGAGAGGGCTTCAACAGGCTAGGGCAGAGTTAGCATATATTCGAGGTAAGCATGGTGAAGATAGACTTACCTTTGCACGGGAAATGGACAGGAAGCAGACGCTCATCATCATGCCCGAAATAGTAACCTGACCGTCGCCGAACTTGATGCCGTCGAGGTAAAGAACAGATAAACTGTAAGCTGAGATCAAGCAATTGAGCGCCAGAATCTTATACATCTGAATGGTGGCAACGAGGGTACATCGCCCTTGCCTGATGATGTTCGGAATAGCGATGACGTTGGCTAGCTTGGATGTGAAAGGAGCGGCGACGGATGCATCACCGAGCTTAATCGTAGGCGGTTCGTTGTCCAGTTCAGATAGCTCAGACTCCATCATCTTCTGCGTGAGCGAGTCGGCGAGACCAGCGGCCGCTTGTTGCGGATTCTGCGGCGGCTGGTGCTGGTTGTGGTGTTTATGGCCATGCTTCTCGACGGTACCGTTGGCGACAGCGCCGTCGGTACCGTTCGCAACAGGTGGTGCGATGCCCTTCTTCTTAGCCTGCATCTCCATGGCCTTCTCGTAGTGCGGATTGCCGGGACCGGGGGGATACAGATGCGCAATCATGACCGGAACCGGAGGGGCGGGTTGATTAAACCTCTGCATCAGCTGACACTGCTTCTCGTACACCTCCTTCATCTTTGTGTTGCGGAAGTGCTCAGCGATTCGGTCCAGGTCATCACGAGTACCATTGAGCAGAGCGACACCAATGTGGGCTTGCTTGAGAGCACCGACATCGTTAGTTCCGTCACCGCACATGAGGGTTGTGTAGCCACAGTCCTTGAGCCCAAGTAGAATCTCTTCCTTGTGCTTCGGCGACACACGAGCGTAGACCCAGGTGTACCGGAGGAGTTGCTTCCAACCCACTTGGTCCCTGAACTTCTCGACCGCATAACCGGTGACGCAAATATCGTTGTTCTGCACGACCTGCGGATCAAGGGCCTTTGTAGGATCGACGGGAATACTGATCTTGTCGTCGACGCTGCGCCAAACGAGCTTCTCTCCGGAATCATCATGTTCTGGTGCGTCGAGGATTAAGCAGTCGCGGTCTACAATCTCGACCTGACGGGCGACGTGGACGGCGGTCAGCGGATTGTCGCCGGTAATCATAACCACACGGTGACTGGACTCGTTTAACATGCGGACGGCCTGAACCGCATCATCCTTGAGCGGGCATTGAAGGACCAAGAAACCAGCAAAGTGCAAATCGCACTCTACCTGCTCTCGCTTCAGGTCGTTAATGCGGTGGTGCCCCCATTCGGCGTCCTGGGCGAGATACTTGTAAGCGAGAGCAAGCACACGGCCGCCATTCCTAGTGTAGTGTTTGAATGTTTCCTCATAGTGCGGGGGCGCATCGACTAGCATCTTGTGGATGGTCTCCGGAGCTCCCTTTACGCCAACAAACGTGCTCCTGACCTTGCGCTTCGACTTCTTGTCGCTGACCAGGACCGTCGCCACAGAACTCTGGCGCTTGAGCGCTGATGAAAATTGGAAGCGGCGTCGGATCTGTACGAGCTCGGCGTGCGATTTGGCAGAGTGAGACTTGGGCGTTAGTGTGTCATGGGCGCCGAGGGTCCAACCCAGAGAGGTCACGGTAGCCTTCTCCATGGGCTCGCCAACAACGTCGCCTTCATTCAGCTTGACCAACGCATGGGCAGTAGCAAGAACGAGTGTAGTCTCGGTTCCGACCTCTGTAACAGCGCTGAGGTCGACATGGGCCCCGTCAGGGCCAACCTTAGCGCCGGGTTGACCAAGGGTCAGACCAGCAATACCGTCGACCACGAGATCCTCTCCCGTCAAAGTACCAGTCTTATCAAAGCAAGCAACGTCAACTCGGCCCGCAAAGGGAATGCGGAAGGGCTCAGTACAGAAGATGGCGTATTTGCTCAGTGCAGCAAGACTGGTGTTGACGGCCAAGCTGAGCTCCATAGGAAGCTCTGGCGGTACGACGCTGGTGATGATCAAGACGCAATCCAACATAAGCTTGGATCGCTTGCGGTCCTGCTTGACACCCTCCTTCCAGACATACCACGATGCCGCAATAGCGAAGACGCAGAGGAAGAGGATGAAGAGCAGAGCTTCGACATTGTTCGCGGAGACGCGCTCGGTGGAATAGATCATGGTCCTGACAAGGCTTCCCTGGCTGGTCTCAAATCCGGTCTTGGTCACTACAGCGACGGCGCCCTTGTCTGGTGGCGGCGGAACTCCAGAGGAGAGCCTCGAAACCGTGCCAATATCGTCCTCTGCGGAGCTCCCGTGAGAGACCTGCAGGACCTTTGTTCCGCCGTAGAGGAAGGCATTCTTATCCAGACCATCCGGTTCGATGATGGCGTCGCCGGGTCGCAGTTGGATGGATTCCTTGAGCACCGGGGTGCTCTCGCCGGAAAGCATGGCCTCATTGACAATTGCAGAGCCCTCAAGGAGCAGCATATCGCATGCGACGCCCGAGTCCTCCTTGGTCCTGCCCACGCTGACCACATCGCCAGGCAGCAGCTTATCGCTCTGTATCTCCTGCCACTTCTTCTGCCTGTACACCAGCAGATGGTACGGCTGGATGCTCATCCCGCGGAACTCGTTCAGTGTCCTCTGCCGCTGCCAGACGACCGTGCTCTCGAACGCGACCAGCATGAACAGCGTAAAGAGCGAGTAGTACCAGTAGTCGTCCAGCATCCACAGCCCGACGCAAAAGACCTGGAACACAAAGAACGGCGCGACGGCATGCTCCTTGAACAGTTCCGTGAACGTCGGCACCGGGATGTCAAAGCTGTTATCGCCATAGTGCTGATGCAGTCGCTCGATCTCCGCGGGGGTCGTGAGCCCCTTCGTCTCTTGGAACGTCTTGAGCTGCGGCTTCGGATCGGCGTCGAGCGCGTAGGAAAGCGGGGCAAACGAGCCTTTGTCGGCGTCGTAGAGGAACCGGCGCTTCTGGAAGAGGAACGAGAGATTCTGCTTTCCGCCGACGTTATCGCGCTGGAGGGGACAGATTTCGGCGGAGCCCGCGTTCGCGATGGGGATCACTTTGATGAGCTGCGCGGTGCGCACATCGCGGGCGCCCATCGTCGTGAAGAGGCTCCGAAGGTTAACGTTCCAGTGAGTGGTGAGCCAGGTCAGCGCCTGCACCGTGAGAATGCCGCCGACCCAAACGAAGGTCCATTCCGACGACTGTATGTGCTTCTCGTAGCGCTCGGGGGAGAGGTAAAAAGCAAGGAAGGCAGGCCAGATGATGAGGAATGGCCAGATGTAGGCGTGTAATTGCAGCGGCAGCGGGTTATGCAAGCTCGCCTGCTTGATCTGGGCGTTGTCGACGAGCGGCATCGCGGGTGTTGGGGTGTGTCGAATGCAGGCTGCACGTCAAAGGAAGAAATGCGGCCACTGTTCGCCGCCGCGGTCGGCGATCGGTTTCCCCGATTGGTCTGTGCGCACGGACGGCATCTATTCACGGGCGTAGCCTTCTTCGGCTTAGCGTTGTTTCGGCCCGTCGTTCCCTTCGGCGCGGAACACTGCCGGCATCTGGTGCTCATTCGTGTTGCATGCTGTGATATACGTCTGTTGAATATCCCCCGTCACACATACCAACCATTTACCTTCCACCTGCCGCTGTCGAACCGCACCGGAACAACCAGCCCCTTCTCCTGGTGTGCCTCCAGAAGCCTTGGGGCGACGGTGCCCGTCGCGACCAGCTCCTCTTCCGGCTCGGTACTCCTTTCTCTGGCCTGACAGTTCTGGGCCCTTTCCACTCCTCTCGCATATTCACCGACCTCGTCCCAAACACCGTCCAACGCATCGCCAAAGACGACATCAGTCCATGCTATTCTCTCTAATATGCGCTCAAGCTCTGTCTGACTTCGTATGTTCACTTCTTCAATGACATCGGACAATCGGCCAATCCACCAACTTCGCCCACCCCAAGAAGGCGCCACCACCGATGCGACCACGAGTACCCATAAGAGGGTATTCAAGTTCTTCGCCGCGATCCAAATTTCGATCGTTGAGACCTTCGGTCGATCAAGGGCCACTCGTAACCGCTCAAGCAGAATACTGAAGATCTTGGCTTTCGGCGGCATCTCACGCAGTGCGGCATACAGGAAGATCTGAGTCGCAGCAAGCAACGCTTCAGTCACGCTTGCGCCGTCAGCCAGGTTTCCTCTCTCATCGAAGTCTTCGCTGTGCTCGTCATGAGGCTCCAGATCGAAGTCGAGGAAGTCGCGCGACTTATCAGGGACGGAGAGAATGGTGTGCTCAGTTTCGTACAAGAGGTTGCTAAAGGTAAGACGGTTTACTTTACGAATCCACCGTGAAGAGACGGCCAGCCCGAGACGATGAAGCCGGTAGAAGATGTTGAAGCAATCGATCGAAGCGACAGACAGTTGGAGGAGGGAGGTCGGCGAGGTGTATGCTGCCTCCTCTAGCAACGCCTCAGGTAGCGGAGGGGTATCGGGATCAAGACGGATCCGGGGAAAGCTGGGTGGCAGGCGAAAGGCTGCTGCGGTATGGAAGTCGACCCTGAAACAGGGTCATCAGTTGCTGAGCCGGATGCGATGAGAATTGAGCCTACCACAGGATTCCTCTGATCAAGCCATCGTTGTGGCCAAAGGCGAACAGGCCCCCTCTAGCATTGACCATTCGCTTGAGTGCCGCGATGTGCAGTTGAGCAGCATCGTAAGCCCCGAGAAGGTTCTATGATTGGTATTAGAGAGCGATGACCACATGCATAATTGGTTCACGAACTTCGAAGCTCGCAAGCGTCGACACCGTGCCGACAAGCTCGTCCGATATCCCTCCGCCAGGGTCACCGATCTTTGTATTAATTTCTTTGATGGCTTCGTTCTTATGCCTCAGCTGATCAATATGCAGGCCACTCATTCCGCGAATTAGCATGCCGTATAGTGCCCATGTAGCTAGGGTCGCATGCAGCAACCCAGCGTCATGCGAGATGAACGACCACCACGTGTTGCGTGCATTGATGGCTATCGAATTCGCTCGGGAACCACATTTATCTGAGCAAGTTAGTCGCCGCAGATAGATAGGGCAATGGGATAATCCATAGTGTAAGATGCTCAGGGAGGAGAACTTACAAAGCCTGAAGAGGATATCCAGTTGTGGTGTGCCCGGCACAGGCAACACGTCAAAGGGGTCGAACCGGTGCGCATTTGGATTGATATTTAGCACCAGCTTAGTTTCCTCTTCGCTCTTTCCTATCTCTACAGCATCTCTTCCCGCGGGCGACGCCCTTCTGCTACTCGCGCTGCGTTTTGCCTCCAATTGAGAAACGTCCGACAACCCTGACAATTTTCTCGTAGTTCCAGGCCTTCTTTCTTTCTTCTCTTCCTCTTCTTGACTTTGCCGCCTAGGCGTTTTCTTACACTTTGGCTTGGCTCTCGCATCAATAGTTTCCTGCCCGGGTTTCGGCAATCTGAATCTCGACTTCAAACTCGTCTTCGCTTGCACAGTTGACGCTGAGTGATGCTTGGAGGAGTTATTCGAAGGACCAGACCACTTTGTCTCAAAGAAGTTCCTCATTACTAAGCGGCGGATACGACCTCGCTCGACTCCTTCCGGTTGATGAGGCTCCTCAGTGGTAATGAAGAATTCGTACTCGCGGTCCATGTTTGCCATCTCTTCTGGCGACAACGACTCTTTCGATTCCAGGGATAAGTAGGGCTGAGTGGTCGAAGACGACATGATGACTGCCACGTATCGGCATTCGGCGCCTCTCAGGATGCCGTCCTAACGGTCAAAGTGGCTCGGTCCTCTTCACTGAGGAAGTGATTACTCACCCCTCCTATCGTGTTGCCACAAATCTAGCCTCAAGTCACCACCGTACTGAAAAATAGGGTACCGAGATCTGATTAAAACGAAAGGATCGCGGGGCAGGCCGTGGCACATGTACCGATTCATGGCCTGGGATATTATATAACTATCCTGATTAGAACGGCGGGGTGCCCGAAAGTGTCGGCACGCCATTGGTGATGGTGCGCCTCCACGCGGAAGCGCATACCTAAATCTGCTGGGCTTGCATTACCGAAGCCCCCTCCGGTATGTGATGCAGATTCAAAAATCGATATGCGGGACCGGCTGAAACGTAGACTCAATCGCGACTTTGGTTATCGCCGCGAATAGATATGCTTCGCTTTAGCGCAAGCCTTCAGCTTCTGTTCAGAATACCCGACTCGATCAGCCCCCACTAGCATAGCTTCCCCACCCGCTTTCCAAGCGTACTGCGCACTCTTCGTTGCGTCTCCAGTCCTGCATGATAGTCTGGCGAGGTCTTCTTGCAGTTGCGATAGTCTTTGAGGAGTTTTGTGTGCGGTGGTCAGGCGGAAAAGAGCATTGCGGCGCCTGCATCCTCCAGGCGATCTACGCTTTCTAAGCAAAGCTAACCATCTCAGGTCCTTGATAAACGAGTGCTGCCAGAGAAGAATAGCGAAGAGAGGACTCCGAAGGTGGGTGGGGAGTACGAAGAGACTTGCAAAAATATTTGAGATCAGGATGAGGACGTCGGTGGTGGTTGTAGTATTGAGGGAACATGTCTCGTGTGCTAAGGATGACATATCACGTGGCTCAAGTCTTCCCGACGTCCGTACTTCCAAAATTACCTTGGCAGGGTTTGTCCCGTCGGACTAAGGACTTAGTTTCGTCACTTTGATGGCTTGTACAGTTGCTAGGATATCTATGAGTCTAATTTCTGAAAATGTTCCTACACGGACACAACATGTCCCTCAAACGCCGAGTCACCGAAGCCTTTCCCTTTCAGCCTGTATTATCAAACAACCTATTTCGCCTTATCCTCTCGCAAACTAACGACCTGGTTGAGAACAATCTTATCTGCAGTTGAGTCTACATCCACGCAGAAGTAGGCTGTGCGCAATGCCTGGAATCGGATGAGGTCGTCCGAAGAGCCGCTCGGGTTAAGAGTGTGCGCCTTAATCAGGTCCTTCAGACCTCGCTCGATAACGGCATGCTCGTACACCACCTCCGAGTTTGGATTCAAATCGTCAGCCCAGCCGCCGTTCTTCCAGTCCAGGGCATTTGGCGAGTCGGACTTGAAGAGGGAGTTGTACTGACGGGCTGTTACTGGGATCGCGGTAGCGACATCGACCCACTGGATGTACGTCTTCGGCTTCTCTCCGTCTGCCTTGACCGCCTTGATCTCGGTGACTTTGCCATTCTCGTCTGTCGAGAAGGAAGTTGCGCGGATGGGGAAAGCAACATTATACAGGCCAACAACCTTGTTCGGCGCGAGTCGGAAGTACTCTGGGCTATCCTCCTCTCGAAAGTCGGAGCGGTCGATGTACACTTCTTTCCCAAGCTTCACCTTGCGCTCGCCAGGAATGGCGCCTTTCGGGTCGTAAGGCACGGTAATTTCTTGCTCATCCTCGGCAGCTAAACCCTCAATTACAACCTTGACCGGATCCAGGACGAGCATTTGACGAGGAACGGTTCGTTCGAGGTACTTTCGGATGGCCGATTCGAGACGGGGCGGCTGGATCTCTGTGAGGGCATCGGTAACACCCAGCTCCTCGACGAAGTTGAGCAAAGCCTTAGCGGGAATGCCACGGCGACGAAGAGCGACCAATGTGTAGAGACGGGGGTCATCCCATCCTCGAACACTCGGGGGAATCGCCTTCTTCTCGATCGTGCCATTGTCTTTCTTCTTTTCGACAGTCGTTCCCTCGACGAGCATCAGAATACGGCGTTTCGAAAGGATCGTGCCTCCGACATTCAGGCGGCCATACCTAAACCAGTCAGTGACATGAACCAGTTTACCGAGTGTTGTTGCACTCACTCCCGCTGCATCGGACCCTTCTCGTCCGACCCCGGAATCTTCATGTCCAGTTGTTCTAAAAGCCAATCATACGATACTCTCGACTGCTGGAACTCGGTTGTGCACATAGAATGGGTGATATCTTCGAGAGCGTCGCAAATGCAGTGAGTGAAGTCGTAAGTCGGGTAAATCCTCCACTTGTCTCCTGTCCTATGATGGTAGTTGTTCTCGAGGACACGGTACGCAGGCAGGTCCCACATCTGCGGATTGCCCTCTTTGGGATCTGTCAGGCTCTGCTTCATACGCAGAAACGCTTCTCCCGCCTTGTATTTGCCATCGCGCATGGCTCGGAACTCGGCAAGCGATTCTTCAACTGGTCGCGTGCGGTGTTCGCAACCGTAACGAGGGCCGCGATTATCTGGACCGCCGCGTTGGCGGTTGACTTCTTCTCCTGCAAACCATATTAGCAGGATCACCATAGAGCGCTGAGTAGTCTTACTCGAGCAATGGCACACATATGCCTTGTCCTTCTGGATCAGCTCCTCTGCCAGCTCGTACAGACGATCGAAGTTGTCGCTGCTGTAGGTGACCTTGTACGGCTCGAAGCCTAGCCACTTGATGATATCCAATATACTTGTAAAGTATACCTCCTCTTCTTTCTCTGGGTTCGTATCGTCATATCTAAGGAAGCAAACGCCCTTGTGATATCGAGCGAAACCGAAATTGACGGCGATAGCCTTGCAATGGCCGATGTGCAGGTATCCGTTCGGCTCGGGCGGGAATCGCGATCGGACGTCTTTGACCTTTTTCTGGTCGTAGACACGCTTTAGCCAGCCCTCGGAGAAGACGCTGGCGGGCTCTGCATTTGCTGCTTTCGAGTTGTTGTTCTCCTTTGGTCGGAGCGCTAGTTCTGCCTTCTTAGCTTTGGCGGCCGCTTTCTTCGCTGCTTTCTCGAGCGCGCGCTTTGATGGGCCCTTTTCGTCAGAGGGCGCCACCGAGGAGGGTGTCGCGGTGCCCGTAGTAGCTTCTGACATGTCTGTGTAGGAGGTTAGCATCGGCAAATACACTCTCAAAGCCCGCACGTAAGGGACGATGGATGATTTGCACTACGGCCGGTTCATAGATGTCGGGGGAACCGTACCTGTTAAGCTTCCGGAGCCCTAAGGTATCCAATCGAGTCGTGTTTGTGCTGGAGAAATGACTCTCGACGGCGCGTGTCTGGATATTTGGAGGGGCAATTGAGTCATGAGCGCCACATGCACGGCCCCGCTGTGGCTGAAACGGGACTTCACCTTCCGATCACTCCTTTCCCCTCCTGGCACTTTCACGCCTCAACAGAGTTTCACTGCCATCTCAAGTAACCTTTGATACCCCTCTAATTCAGAGTCGCTACTTTGTTACTCGAAGTACTCCCGGATCCCTTATCGACGCTTCGAGAAGCTCACCATTGCGAGAATACTACATCAGGGATGCAGGAACGTTCAGCAGCGCATGTGAAGGCACACATTGGCTGATGCCTAAGACTCAAAGCAAGAGCTAGCATGTCCCAGCAGCTTCAGTCCTCTTCGCCCCCTGCCTCAGGCACATAATCCAAATCCTTCACATCATCTCCATCTCCACCAGCCTCATCTTCCAAAGCCTCTCTCCACAACTCCTCCATCTCCTTCTCCAGCTCCAGAACATCATTTTCAAGTCTCTCCCTCTGGAGTCGTACGTTTTCAATGAGCCTGGTATGCTTCGACGCCCATTCCTCGTGGGTCTTCCACTCCACATGGCTCACCCTGGTCGCACTCGCCACACTACGTCCAGCGGGATACGCATTGAAGCCACCACCGTCCTCAATCCACACCTGGAGTAGTCCTGAGCAGAAGATCTCTGCGATAGCAGCTTGCTGCGGCCGGAAGATGAGGTATATGATGAATTGGTGCATACGAAAGAGCTGCGTGAATTGCTTCGACGCATGAAGGTATGAACAGATATCCTCGGTCAGGTTCATGACGTAGTTGGACGACTGGCGGTGGCGGTGCTGGGCCAGCCGGATGTGTGAGTTGATTGAATATCCACATTCACCGGGTGGATATGCGAATGGGACGTCGCGCTGTGACTGCGGTGTTTGTGTCCAGCGTTCGAGGATACCGTGACAGAACCGGAGGAGCGTAGCTTCATGTTGAGGAGAGCGGTGCCTAGTCCAGAGGTACTTACGGTGGCCGGAGGCGCTTGCTGAGCGCGCAACAGCTGGCGATGAGACATTGTCGATTAGCCAGGCGAGTTCGGTATCCTGACGCTGGGGGTGGGCACTTATGTACCGCAGGACTACGTCTCGGATCGCTAAGTACTGGTTAGCAGTTGGTGCTACACCTTGCTCGTCCACAAGAAGGTGGATGTAAATGGACGGCTGAATGTGGGCTCTTTCTTGGATCGCGGCGTACTCGTGACGCAGGTCAGAATCGGTGAGGAAGCGACCGGCTAGAGTACCATCTACCGCTGCCGCGAAGATCAAGGGGGCCGAAGCGAGGATGAGGACGCATTCCTGAATAGTTGAAGAGAGGGATGTGGGTAGAGTTAGGGTGGAGTTGGAGTATTTCAGAAGTTCTCCAGCGAGAACTTCGGCAATTACAGGCTGATAGTGGTGTGTGCGGAGCAGCGTAGACCACCGACGGCGGCGCTCGACGAGAGGATGTTCATGACCTTCTTGTTCGTCGCCCTGAGAGGCCTGGTTATACTTATTTCTTCGCGTCGATACCATGGTCCTCGCACTTAGTAGCCTTCGTTTTACTGCAACTATCTATGGAGGCCATAAGCCGGCAATAGCTGGAGTTCTCAACATGATGGATATTGATACACGTGCAGGTCGCATTGACCTCGAATACATTTCTTCATCAGCGGCGATGGAATGCGAGAGCGTTGACCCGTGAGCGTCCCATCAATGCCACGCCTCGATTGAAGAAGCCAGTCAGACAAGAAGACTCTGGGGCTTCACGAATAAAGTCTCAAGCATACTCCAGTGCGAGTCTATTTGGCTATGCGACAAGCTCTTCATGCCGTGGGTGGCTTCCTCTTCCCTTTCGACTGGCTAGAAGCTAAAGGTATTACTCGCAGATGTAAGTACCACCAATGCGGCAGCGTAACTGGAGCTACTGCGCAGAATATCAACGTACCTCGCTCTCTCCATGAAGATCTCAACCGTTCTCGCCTTCATCCATGTCGGCAAGGCTGAAAGAAATCCAGGGCCGGACAAGGCGCGGTTTCTCCATTTCATTTGTGGAAGAGCTTTCATTCAATCTTCAGTCCATTGAACAACAATAGATGAGAATCTCGTTTTTGCGATGAGAACTGGCAGTAGGCGGCGGACTGCGATTCTCTACTTGGCCGGCCTCCTTTTCATCAGGATGATATATTCCATTGGCATCACCTACAGTACCAACCAAGATATAAAAGTGAGAGGACAAGTTTCGCATTAAGTTTTGTTCACATATCTAGTACTCCAGGCGCTGGTAATTGTTGGCTTTGTCGGGTTTGATTTAGGAAGGGCATACTGAAGAAGTAGTACAGGACATGGTTCCTATTGGGATACGGAAGGAGAATGCGACATGATGCCACTGCAAATCTGCTTCGATCTCACCAAACACGCCAAACCGGCCGTCGGTCGCTCCTTTACGAAGATGGGTTCGACTTGGAGCATGTGGAAAGAGTCCCGAAGGCCTTCAAGATCCCGGAAACTCCCGCAGCCTACCTCTCTTGCACCTGCCCAAAACCTGCACGCACCTTCCCTCTCTCACCTCTCCTGACTAATACAGCTAGCTTCCTTGACATCGTAATCCCGATCCAGGGCTTTCACCTCACGATCACAACTCCCACACAGATACACACACAACCTTCCATCATTACACTCAAACACCACATTCAAACACTACACACCACAGCAATAACAACAATGGCCTCCACCAACGACCACAGCTCTAACCCTACCGACACCGACACCAACACCTTCTACGCCTTCACCACGGAGCTCGCCGACCTCGGCCGCGAGCGCTTCGACCACGACACCGCCGCAATCGGCGACCGCGACTTCGCCTTCTACGCCACCGCGCCTGTCAATGTGCGCCAGGGCCGCGCGCCCCAAGGTCTCGAGTCCCAAGTCTTCGCCTGGAACACGTTCCAGTACACAACCGAGGAGCGCGACGACCGCGAGGAGCTCAAGGGCGCGCTGCACGACGGGCAGCTGCACAGGGCGAATCGGGCCGCGAGGGGTGAACAGGCGCCGGAACCCGTTAGGGGGTATGGCGGGGGACGGGGCGGACGAGGTGGAGGACGCGGTGGGAGGGGTGGGAGGGAGGGGCAGGGACAGGGACAGCAAGGTGGCGTCGCTCCGGATGCGTTGGTTGCGGCGAGGAAGCCGGAGGGGTCAGCGCCGCCGCTGGCGAAGGGATATGCGGAGGAACTGAGCGCGGATATGTTCTGGAGTGAGCCGATTGTCTGAGGGTTCATGGCGGGAGGCTCACTGGATCGATTGCGGTCGGGCAAACACTGACGGGGAAGGCGGTAGACTCACTGGATCAGCTTCTGGTTAGCTAAATACATGGCACACAATGAGGACAGCATGTGCGGCTGTAAGTAAGGGTATGCAAATCACCCATACAGATCCCGGTCACGCGCGCTATGCGTAAAACAGTCATGTTCCACGATGCTAGTATGCCTCCTTTCCCTGCACCAAAGACCGAAACCGACGGCCACTCGCCCGAACCTCATTCCCATCACTCACACTCCCCCTCACCTCCTGCTCTCCCCACACTACGCACATGTCAGCGTTCCCGCCTCCTCCATCATCCCATAAAACACGTACCTCTCCTCCACCCCTCTAGCACGAGCAAAACAACAACAGGGCTGCCGTACCACCCCTGTTAACACAGGTCCCACCCAAATCAGAACACTGTGCCTCACACGCGGCGCTGTCTCTGCCGAAGAAGTCGCCACAGGCTTGTGCGTTGATGCCTGCGACGAGGGAGAGGGTGGTGATGAGGATGGTTGTGAGCTGCATTTTGATATACGAATGAAGCGGGGCGTTGAGGAGGCTTAAAAATCGGAGACTTTTCTGTAGTGCAGGAAGTGTGGATGGAGGTCAAGAAAACAAATGCCAGATATTGGGCCTTCTTATACTATGGGAGAACGTCCAGGGAAGCGATGAAGAAAGACGAAAACGGACATTGATAGTAGAAAAGTGCTTGAAGGTATGAAACACAGCATACCTAGGTACCATCAGTAAGCTAGAGCAAGCCTCCTTGAAGCGGAGATGATCTGCGCACCATGGTGGGAAAGAACGGGTAGATGTCCCGAACGGCGTAAGCTCGCTACCCGAAATAGGAAATTTGAGGGTAAGAGAAACAAGCTAGAATAAGCTTCGTTATTTGCGGCAGTGAGATGGCTCTTACACCCTTATTCCGCGGAGAGCGAGTCCGTGATGATGGAGCGAGGACTGCTTACCACGCGGCGCTACTATTCTCGTCTAGCTGGGAAGATATCCGTTCGCCGGCTCTTTTGCGTAGGATAGGGCGGCAATAGGCGTACTAGGATGTCAAGTGTCCCTCTCTATTCTTCCCTCTAGAACCCCCAACCATCTCTAGGACTTCTTGAAATTTCGATGCATCATGCCGCAAAAGCTCTCGAACAGCACTTGATCATTCCCCCTCAACCACTCGATCAGCACCTCTTTCACACCCTCGTCCACTGTGATCCTGAAAGCCAATGCTACCTTCCTCTCTTCAGCGCCACTCTCCATCTCCGCATCTTGGATCCCAGCAGCCGCCATTTCTTTCCTCCTTCTCTCGTGTTCGCGCCTATAGGCTCGCTTCCATACATTCTGCGAAGCCTCGCCGACGCCGACTGAGGTCTCGGGGTCCCACGTCCAGCGAAGATCGAGGGAGGACAGCTGGCCGTTGATGGTGGATTCGACGTCGGCGATGTCGTCGGAGGCATCGAGGTGGACGCGGTATTCGGTGGGGAAGGGGAGATATTCATGGGCGATGGAGTCAATGCGGGCGAGGCTCTGTATTGAGCCAGTGTCAGCATGGTAGGTGCTAGGCGAGCGGACGATGCGAAGAAAGTAGGGGCCGTTTTCCTTCGACTATGTCTGGCGTCTGCTCCGAACCGAAGATATGAGCAGCCTCAGCCAAGCCTGATACATCTTTGTGCCATGGAGCGGAATGGGGAACTCACATTCCGAGGCCGAAGATCTCCGAAACTCCAAGCCACGATCCATCGCTTCGTCTGCCCCCCAGCTTCGATGACGCCAACAGCCCAGTTGTTGACACCATGCTGCTTCAGCAAACCCACGACTGACTTGGCACTGGTGAGCTTCCCAAGCATGCTAGTATACCAGGTAACCATGTCCTTCAGCAACAGGCTCTCGTTGACGATCCTCGCCACGAAACCGAGATCTCCGCCAGGGCACACCATCTCAATCTCAGCGCCCGTGCAAACCGCATTTGGCTTATAGCTTTTGCCTTCGCCTTTGAGACTAGAGCGCATATCGTTCTCATCTGTGAAGAAGGGCGGGTTGCAGATCGTGAAGTCTAGCTTCTCCACTCCGAGGTGCTGCAGTGGGATGAGCTTGTTTGAGTCTATCGTCTGCAGCATCTTCGTTCGAGTGACTAGGTTGTTCAGGGTGAGGTTCCGAACCGCAGAATCGAAGCTCTTCTTGTCTATCTCCGTAGCGCACATAGTCCAGTTCGGCCGAGTTTTCAAACATAGCATAGTGTAGATAGCGGACGCTCCGGTGCCGATGTCCAAGCCTACAACTTGGCGATCCGGGTCGTACCGATTGAAGTAGTGGGGACTCGTTGAATCGACAAGTCTCTGGACCCAGGCTACATAGTTCCAGCGATTCGGGATAGGAGGGCAAAGCCGGTCACCAGGTACTTCAAGATTCAAGCCAAAGTCTGCCTTCAAAATGGCATTTGTGAGCACTTTCACGGTGTCTGCATCTTGGAAGTCGAGATGCCCCGAGCTCTTTTGCCATGCCTTTTTGAAGACCTCATCTTTCTGCGCCAGCGCTCTGAAGTTGACGGCGTCGTAGGGTGGTAATTGTGCCAAGTCCATGGTGCTCGCTTTGTTGGCTGTGAGATCACGAACGGCTCCCTGGAGCATACAGCGCTTCGACGGGCAAAAATGCGCGGGGTTCCAAGGTGCGGAATAGAATCCGCAAGTCCTGCAGAATGTGGTGTTGACGGGTTGGGAACCGACGGGCACGGTAAGGTTATGAAGTTGAGTCGGGAGCTTGGGCCACCTTGGCGCTGATTGGCTGAATTCCTGAACCCTCTTCAAAGCACGGCGGAAGGGAATGGCAGCGTTCGCCTGACGCTCCCTACAGCGTTAGCGAGTAATGACAGTAAAGGCATACGAGAGCCTATCGAAGTAGTAGAACAGTTGTATTACAAGCTTCAGAGAATGTGACACTTAGCTCCGCATTTCTCCATTGCTCAAATGCGAGATATATTCCAGTTTCCTATGCCCTGTACCAAGCAAAACTCCTACGCTGTATGCAAAATGAATAGGTCAGATCAAGAACGGTCCGTCATATGCTCCGTCGGGTTCACGAAGACGGACTTCGTCAAGGGTGGGGATCGTTCCGGGCTTATAGAATCCGAGAAGCACTTCCATGTCTTCCTCGGTCATGTCGCAGAGCTCGTCGAGCGTCCATTGTTCGCAGATCTTCGACATCCTGCGGGGAAATTAACTTCCGGATGCGAGATGTGTCAGTGATTCTTCGTACCATTGCATCCTTTTTGGACCTTCGTCCTGAGCAGGGGCTACCTTCCGCAGCTTCCTCCGCAGTATACCGACTCTTTGTACAGCCGCACCGATGTTGTATGGCAGATTGGCAGCGATCTGTCTCCTCACGATGTTCGCCAGCTTCGGCCCATTGCCGTTGGTGCTAACCATGATCTGTAATGGTCCATCGCGATGCACGCTTCCGAAGTAGAAGTCGCATTCCGGGGGCACGTCCGCGATATTCGCTGGTATCCTTCTCTCCTTGCACAGCTTGTAGACCTGCGTGGAGGCCTCCGGATCGTCTACAGCGCACAACACCATGTCTACTCCATCGAGGTCGGAGGGTTCGAACTTTCGGTCGATGAGGTCTACTTGCTTCTGGTCTACGCGATAGGTGACTTCGTCATTGAGGCCGGAGCGAGGCGAAACGACGGTGACTTGAGCGTCAGCGTTAAGGACGTTGACGATGCGGCCAGCAGCTACCTGCTCTTTGGTCAATTGTTGCTCGCCTTGCACGCATGGCGGAACCAGCTCACCTCGCCGCCTCCGACGACGAGCACCCGCTTAGTCCGCACCTGCCATGCTAGAATCAATGAGCCTCCTCCTTGAATTTCTGGATACGGGCCTTTCATGGCGAAGAGAGTGTGGGAGGGAAGAAAGCATTTGCGCGGAGATAGAGGTTCAATGACAATCGTAGGCCAAGCGTTTGCGCCACAGCGCCACCGCCACAATCCACGGGATAGATGATCAGGCCCCATATCGATAAGTGACCTGTCTGCAAAAGCACATCTGGAACCTCACGCAGCTGTGGCAGTGGTCAATTATTATTATTCTGTGCTACCCAAGACTTGAGACGGCGTTCCAGACGGATGGACCCCTCAGCCCTGTAGAGAACCCTTGCGCCGCTGCCCGATTTAGCGTGCCAGGTCCGACACCTAACGACTGGCAGGGACCCTCGCTCGCCGCACTCCAGCTCATGATCATCGACGAGTCCCCTCGACAACCTCAATCATGACCTCGGGCAGGTCCCTGGGCGGCGGACGCGTACTGGGGAGCGGCAAGGGTCTGTCGCCTGCCGTGTCCCCGCAGCCGCCTGCCCACCACCGCCGCAATACGAGTTTGCTGTCGCCCTCGGAGAGCTCCCTGTCGCTGAGCTCTCAGACGTCAAATAGCCCGGCCAGTACTGCGGAAACGAGAGAAGACATCGGCAGCAAAGTGCTGCTGGGCACGTCGGAAAATGCCGCAGCCAGCGCATCAACCAGGCTGATGTGCCCCATCTGCAACGAGGAAATGGTGAGCCTGGGGTACCTGGCGCGAGTATCTACATGTTAACTGACAGCGGCAGGTCACTTTGCTACAGCTGAACCGGTACTGCAGCTCCTCCCTATCGTGTTCCCCAATATCTAACCCCAGTCAGACATCTCGACGATAACCACCAGAACCTGGTAGAGGAAGAGCAAGACGAGGTCAAGAATTGGTTCGAGCAGCAGGTGGAAAAGGCAAAGAGGTTCCAGCCGCTCGCCGTGTTGAACCAGAAACTCAAGGGCCTGGACGTGTTCGAATCCAACGATGCGCCCACTCCGCCGCCGCTTGCCCACGCGACTGGTGCCGTTCCTCCTCCCGAACCCGTCCCAGTCCGCCGAGATCCTGATGAGGAGGTCACGCGAGCACACTGGCAGAGGCTTGGCTATCGGGATGTATGCTCAGACCCGACCTGTGGACGGCTCATCAGCGGGTCGCAGATGGCTCTGGGGGGGAATAATACCGCGGTCCACTGCAGGTGTTGTGGGAAGCTGTTCTGCGAAGAGCATACAATGTACCAGATGAAGTTGTCGCGGCAGGCGAGGCACGATCCCACCAGAGGCATTTGGTGCAGGGTATGCGAAACGTGCTACAAGTCAAGAGCAGGCTACAATGACCACAACGGGCTGGAGCGCAATCACTTCGAGGAGTTTGCAAGTATAAGGCGGAAAAAGGTGGACCGAGAGAACATGGAGATCAGCAGGCTAGAGAAGCGGTTGACGAAGCTGACGCAGCTTCTCGCAAATCCTCCACCGCTAGACGAGAGCGCAACTTCCAGTGGCTTCTGGCCGCTCTCCGGAGCGAAAGCGCAGCGGAAAGCGCTAGAGCAGTCTGTCATTACATGGGAGGAAGACGCAAAGGTCTCGCATTGTCCGTTCTGCCAGCAGGAGTTTACAAACTACACCTTCCGGCGGCACCATTGCCGTATGTGCGGGCGCGTGGTATGCGGTGATCCGAAGACTGCCTGCTCCTCAGAGGTTGGACTCAATGTGGCTGCTGGTAAGCCCATCTTCGCCGCTCTAGTGTCGCGATTGCTAACTGAGACAGATATCAACAAATCAGAGAAGCGTGCAGGCCAGATAGGCGTCGACATCCGCATGTGTAAGGATTGCCAGCATACGCTCTTTAGCAAAAGCGACTTTGAACGGGAGCTAGCCCAGCAACCTAACGATCAGCGAGCCTATGAAAACTTAGCACAGTTCGAGCGAGGCATTCGGTTGCTTCTTCCAAGATTCCAGAAGTTGCTTATGGCGTTACAAGACCCCGACAAGCCTCCATCTCACCAGCAGCTCACCGACGCTACCAAAGTACGGAAGAGGTTGATGGATGCGTTCGGACAATTTGACCAGGCCGCGAAGCGAATACGAGACCTACCGACCGAATCGCCCACCCAGAAAAAGTTGCAAAAGGCTGTCTACCAGCAAGCTTACAGTTTCTTGAGCACGCATATGCTTCCCTTGCGGTCACTCCCGAGGGTTCTCAAACACGCCGCTCCTCATGGTTCTAAATCCGGCGGACGTTCTAACGGAGGTGGTGCACTCGCCGCGATCAAATTCAACGATAGAGAAGCAGGGAGCATTGTCAGTAGCAGTAGCGCAGTATCTGCGTTAGAATCAGAAGAGAAGGAGCTCCGAGAAAGATTGATTGTGCTCGAGGAACAGAAGTTCATGGTTTCGGAAATGGTTGCAGACGCTACGAGACACCGCCGATTCGACGAAGTGTCGAGCCTGGCGCAGAACGTGGAGGATTTGAACAAAGAGATTGACCAGATCAACGGTCAATTGGGATCGCTGGACTTTGCTGGTGCCTACCAGAGAGAAATGGCCAGCCCGCCGCCGGGTTGAAGGTTGGGGCGGCTGTTTGGATGATACTCTGCCACGACTACGCACCGTCCACCTGCTACTACCAAAGCTTCCCGGAGAGCATGGTCGCGCATACCGACCACCACACCGGGAATAACCAGCAATAGCTTGTTAGCCGCAACGCGAGACCATGGGATGCTTGCCGATCCGACCGAGTAAGGAGACGGCCCTCCTGATGCATCCACGGGTATGCTACTACCTCTGCAAATGCATCAAGAAAGCGGTCGGGTTCGGCACAGTTTGATACATCTGCACCACGACGTCGGAGCATGGATGATAGCGCAGTGGTGTGTACATAGGTACATTAATCCTGGATACCAATAAGCATCCGTAAGCGAGCACTTCGGGTGCACTACCCCGACACCTCAATGCTTGTAGTGCCTTCTCTGACGTCAAACTTTGCGGCTTAAAAATTCCTCGGGGTCTCTCGGAGGGCCAGAGAGCTCATCAGCGCTTCCTTGACTCTGTTTAACACTTCAACACCACGCTTCAAGATGCGATCCTCTCAAATCGCGCAACCACATCCTCAAGCTCTTCCCCGAGAGTCTTCCGAACAACCTCATTCAGCCCTACTTACTGGAGCACAAGGACCCACTGCATTCGGAAGCACCGGGAGCGCGGCCGGATTTCAGTTTAGCATGGAGCAATTTTCGAATAGCTTTCATCGCGCCTCATCAACTCAATTAACTAGCACCACCCCGGCGCCAAGGCTGCCAGCTCACTGCATCCAGCGACAGTAATCCCCATTTTGTTCGGCGGATTAGTCCACCCCATGACTGCTTTCCGAGCCCGGAATAGCAAGAGGGTCTGGAGGCAGGAGCCTGGCAGGCCGTGGTTGTCGAATGGATCAGGTTGCGTCAAAGCACGCATTTCTAATATTTCATGATGAGGCTTTAATGATTAAGGCGGCGCCCGCCTGGGGCTGCCTTTTCCTCCCGTGGCGGTATTTCCATCACAAGCACACTTACATATTAAGTTACTTAAGAGGACATGACCGCGCTTGCAAATTCGAGCTTTTTGCTCGATTGACTTGGGACTGCGATATTTTCACCTTAGTGTAGTGCTGACGGCGCGCTGTGCAGCATAAACACAACTCGGCCGCTTGTCAACCTTGAAACACCTTTGGTGAGCGTCTTCCTCTCTCCTCCTCAGTTCCATTCCCTCCAGCTAATCCCCCCTCAGTGGCCAGCTCGCACCTAACCATGACCTCAATCGCCCTGCTCTCGCTTGTCCTACTACCGCTCCCTCTTATCATTCCGTCCACCGCACGCAACCAGTCATTACCACAGTTCTACGAATCACTGCGCGAGTTCCCGTGCCTACCCCCATCACCCACGCTGCTCGACCGTCTCAGCTATCTCCTCCACAAAATCTACTTTCAGTACTTAGTCGCCGGCCCGGGATACGTGTTGCAGCCTGCAGAGCGGATATGCTTTGACCTATTCATAATGATTCTCTTGGGTGCGACAATCTGGTGCGCGGTTCTTGTATCACCCCCGGCGATCCGAATGGTCTATGAGGGATTAACGAACAGCGTCTTGAGTGGGAAGCAGGGCGCGTTAGTCAGCAAGGCGGACGAAGAGGCGGTTCGGATATGGAGTGGGAATATGAGTCTCAGCGTTAGGACCATCTTTGAGGCTGCGAGCGCGGTGCGGAACGCTACGGGACCGTGACAGCGCGTGCCATGCAATCTGTGCGGACGTTGGATGGAATACCTCAGACAGCATGCGAATGTGTGACCCTTATGCGGGCGGAGGTGTAGGAATGGAAAATATTTGGATTCCGGCAATAGAAAGGATAGCGGGCGGGAACCTCTGCTATACTAACGATCTCTAATCGTCTTCTCTATTCGTAGTACTGGCAACAGCGCAGTCACCCTTCAACATACCACGCAAAATTTCATTTCAAGCAAAATTTCCGACAGTTCCACCACGCCAGGGGTCGTGCGGCTCGGCACGAAAACGAGGCTTTTCCTGGTTCCCGAGGCGGGCCGAATTCGGAGGTACAATCTTCGGCACGCTTCATATATCAGGTTCGCCCTACAAGCCCATGTAGGTTCCTGCTAGTAGCCTCCTAGAGTGGAGCTGGTGGTGGCAACTCAACCAGTTTCTCCACCTACCCCGTTGGACGAAGCAGAATCAGCGACCGTGAGCCCAGTCCTGGGAGAACAGAAAGGGCGAGGTGGCGTCTACAGAGAATTTACCGAAGAAAGTTTCTAGAAGGATTGCAGAGATTTCTCAAGTATAAGCTTGCAGAAGCCATGGAGATTCGCGTGCAGAGGTACGTTTTCCCGTCGGTCGTCCCTTCCGCCTGGCTATCATTGGTTCAACACAACACCCGGACTGACTTCCAAGGTTCTACCATTGCTCGCTGCAATTCTTTACCAGTCCCACCTCCGTCTCAGATGACCTGGAAGATATCTCCTAATGCCATCTCATTGGTCTACTACCCTGCTCGTGGATGCAACCAGAGCCACCGACGACAATCGCACGCGGAGCGCAAAGTTTTCTATATCACGACACGTTTTTCCATCTCTGCTTCAGAACGCCACTTGTCCACCAGCTGCCGGCTTCTCTATCTTTAGCGCGAACGACTGGGCAATGCGCCGCTCTGGATGATGGGCCCTTCATATACTCGGTATTGCCCTCAGCGATCCCAGGCCAGGAATTCTCATATCCCGGCATGCAATTCGCTTTGCAGTGGCCACCTGGCGCCCACCGGGCACTGAAGAGCGCAAGCATGCGACCATGCATGCAGTCTGTTGATGATCAGGTTACGACAATATCTTGGTGCGACATGGGCAGCCCTGCGCTTTTCATACTTCGGTGCAGCTTCTAGACGCCTTCTCCTCGCTTCCTGCAGCCAAATCGTGGGTAGCGCTTACCACAGAGTGCGACCCCTCCACGACAATCCCGGCCCATTCAATTGGAAACGCATCCAACGGTTTCTAAAAGGACCACCGGAAGAACAAGGCCTCTTCATCCGACCTCTGGGTCGCGATAACACGGCACTGTTGGCATTCACGGCCTTATAGGAAGGTGCGAGAAGCACATGTGAGCGCCAAGCCCCAGAGGCTCAGGAACAATCTATTCTCGACCAATGGCGACAGGCGTCCCACTGCATAAGTCTGGGGTAGCACCGCCTTATAAGTCTGCTGTTTTCCCTCTCGGGTATTTGGCCTTTTTACTTATATTGAGCGTCCGGCGAAAGTTCTTGTGGTCATTTACGCTGCGCTTGGATCCCGTGCTTCCAAATGGAGTGACGTACTAGGGGCTAATTAAGAGAGGGACCTGGGTAGGGCGATGGCTTCTTGGGGCCGCATGGGATGATTTGGCCCGAAGAGAGGGATGTGTTGGTGGGGAGATTGTGGGCGTGGGCATGGGCGTGGGAAGCAAGGGAAGAGCGACCGAGAGCACCTATTGCCTTCCAAGGTTCACCACCATCCATCCCGGTATAAATGGGGGTGCCACCGCGATGCTTCGGCGCTTTTTGCCTTCACTCAGCAGACGCCAACCGCTCTCCGCAGCTCTTACATCATTCAACAGCCCATCACCCTCAACATCTACTCAAGTTCAACCCAACACGCACCTCGAACCGCACCATACAAATCAAATCTAAACGCTCAACTACAATGCGCTTCACCGCTATCATCCTCGCCCTCGCGGCCGCCGCCGTGGCTGTGCCTACCACCGCCAACACCTTCGCCGCCCAGGCAGCCAAGGCCTTCGAGGAGGCGCCCGAGTGCCACCTCCCGGACCCCGGCACGAACTGCGCTGGTGCCGCGAACATGGACGTCGTCGTTTCCTACGGCAAGGACATGACGCAGGCGGAGAAGGACCTCTACCTCAATGCGGCCAAGGGCGCTGGTGCGAATATCATCGGCACCACTGGCGAGCATGGGTAAGTTGCTATTCTCCCTCTGAACTAGTCGTCGATTTTGTTAGCTTGGGTTTCGCGTCAGGTGCGTCAGGGTGAGTGCAATATGCTAATGCGATGCACCAGCTTCTACGGCTTCATCCCCGAGTCCTTCGTCTCCCTCATGAACGTCACCGGCCAGTCCTGCGGTCTCAAGGTCTTCGGCAACGGCTGCATGGGCATCCCATGGTGCGGTGAGGCTCCTTGCTAGACTTCTCCTCTCTCTCTTTTCTCGTCCGGCGACATTCGGTTGGGCGTTCGGCGATACACGGGGTTCGGCGAGATGGGTATTCAAAACGGATTACGGATACAGACGGCAGTAGATGGCGATCTATACTGCGCTTCGTGGGGTTTCTCTCTCATGATACCACGGTTTCAGCTCTTCTCTCTTTGACACAATTGATTTAAGTCATCTTAAAGACTTTCAAGCTGCTCTTCTCCTCGTCGTGTGTGATGCTCCGTTCTCTAGCATCAACTTATTCCTCACCCCGCGCCGCCATTATTTCCATACCGAGGCATTCCCAGGTGATTCTGGTCGTTTTCAAGCACTCACGTGTTCCCACGCGATCCGCTGATATGACGCGCGCCCCCGCGCCGGCGATCTACAAACGCCGCAGATCCCAAGCGGCGATCCTCCTCCATTCCACATTCCAAAACATCGCCACTTCCAACTTTACCCCCGCCACGCTCAAATATTGTCAAAGAGGAAATTTCTCAAAGGTGTCGAACACTGCGATTTCCTTGCTTTGGTGCGGCTCTTCCAACTTTGCGCTTTTGGTGGCGCTGTGACCAAGCTATGATGCTGGAATGCCCTGTTTGGGCGCTCCCGGCTTCCCGGTTTGGGCCGCGCTACGCATAACGGTGTGGCTGGACTGGGGTGGGTTGATTGGGTCGTGTGTGACGGGATGAGGGAAAGCATGTGAATGAGGGCGGGATGAGGGGACTTCGGAAGGCTTTAAAGCTGGAGGCACGGCTGGTATGGGGTTGTGGGAGAGCGGAATGCGTTCCCTATTCCACCACCTTAAGCTACATTATACTACCGACTAATCGCATGCGTATCATCATCACTGGTTCAATTCCACGACTTCTAGCTCCCTCGCCACCTCGTCGACATCCGCGTCGTCGTCTTTCTGATCCGTCTTCGCTTCCACCTGCCCCACGCGCTGCACCAACTTCCCGTGCCGCTCCAATCCATCAAAGCGCTGGGTGAGAGCCTCAAAGTTGGGCTGCAGGCGGCGAACCAGATCGACGAGCTTGATCACTACATCTCCGTCTACTTCAGCATCGCTATCCCCCCTCGCACCCTGCACCAACGCCGTGCGCGAAGTCTACTCCCCCATCCTCACAACCCGACATCGGGAAACGTACCCGCAAGCAAGCCACTCCTCATCCTGCCCCTTACCATGAGAGATGTGAAGAGCACCCTCAGCTCCGCCAGACACACGCATATATTCGGCACTGGGTGCTTGTCGAAGTCGTGGAGAGGTGTGGATAAGCGGGTCCAGAGCACGCTCTCCAGACTGCGCTCCCCAACGTGGCGCTTGTCGACCCAGATAAGTATTTTCATGCTAGAGCCGGACGCCGCGTACCACACCGGCGCGAGGAACTCAGTAGATATCTCCGCGATGGCGACGCCGGACTGGCGGTAGCGAGGCGGCGCAGAGTGCATGAGGAAGTGGCCGCGCACTTGCGCGCTCCCTGCATGTGTGCGTGCGTGCGCCCGCCCGCCATCCCCCCCTTGCGGCAAAGAGGGTAGGAGAGCGGGATACGTGCCTTCGCTGTCAAAGGCAGAGACGAAGGGCGATGGCGCGGCGCTCGCGCTCCAGTTGAGATGCGCTTTGATAGTGTTCGCGTCCAGATGAACCCGTGAGAAAGTGGCTTTGGCGCGAAAGACAGCTTGCGTGTTGGTGTCCGCGTCTGCGATGTAGCTTGCTGTCGAGGAACTGTGGTGGACGCGGTAGAAGGCCGGGGGGGAGGGTTCGCCGGTTTCTCGTCGAGAGAGAAAGAGGAATGCGAGCTGGAATACTGGCTGAGAGGTGTTGGTGGAAGAATGTTTGGCCGCATTGGGGCTTCACTTACATGGACATGCTGCTCGCTCGCGACAGAGGAAGCTCTTCGCTCTGCAGCTGCTGGATAAGGAGAAGCGCTATAAGGCCCGAGGTTGGAGACGCTTAAATATAATGAGTGTGTGATGTTTAACGTACATGCTTCCAAACTTCGACGATGGCAGACGTCGCTATATATTCGAATAAAAAGGAGGTCTGGAGTGACTGGGATGTGAACCAAAGATCGAGATGTGAGTGCAATTATGCGAGCTTCTTCTACGCCTTCTACGCCTTCTACGCTAGCAAACCAGACAAGAATCGTACCAAATGCGATTGGATATAAAGAGGAGATATACAGAAACAGACCTATGAGCACAAAAGCGCAGGATCAAGTGTAAAGGAACCATCGACAAGTCGGAAGAAAGCAAACCCACCTTTGTCGCCTACCATGAAACCCCGCCTCCCGTCTAGTACGTGAACGCCTCGTCAAAGAAATCCACACTCCTCAGTCCCACCCTCTTCCTCACCGCTGCCCTCACACTATCACTAAAAGCTCCCGGCCCACAAACGCTAACACACATCGCCCCTACCATGCTCACAATCTCCTCATCCACAACGCCCTGTGGTTCGCATCTACTCCTCCTAACATCCAGGCCCATCGGCAGCGCCTCCCCATCCACCATCTTCTTGACATACAGTCGTATCCTCACGACCTCGCGTGAATTCCGCATCGCCATGATTTCGTCGAGCCAGAGCTGTATCCACGCAAGGACGGAGGTGTCAGGTATGCACCAGACCAGCAGGATTTTCCGAACTGCAACGGTGTGGTTGTTATGGCCGAGTAGGAGATGCCGCACGTAGGAGAGTTGGTGCGTGATCCCCACGCCAGCGGCGAAGAGTACGACGGTGCCGTAGGAGTCGAGAGAGTGGTAGCCGCCGTATGGTCCTTCTACGGCGCCCCATAGCTGCAGATCCTTGTTCTTCACCCGAGAGGCTCTGTTGTAAAGAGCGCGAGTCATGCCTGTGCGGGCGCGGATGACGCAGGATACAGTGCTAGGTCCCTCTTTAACTTCGAGGTCCTCGATTGAGAAAGGGCGTTTTTCTGTGCCCCAGTCCAGTGCCATTTGGCCAGGGTCGCTGGCCCAAGCCACGGAGAAAGGGTGGGACGACCACAGCGCCAGGCGTGGGAGGTAGATGTGGATGTGAGACCCTGGATTTGCGTTCCAGGATCGTGGTAGGTGGAACGTTACACGGGTCGCTTCCCCTGGCAGGGCTTCCACCAATATCTTGGTCCATGTTCGTTGTCGCCAAGAAGAGTTGTAGTAGAGGATGCGGAGGGCTCGTATGGAAGGTTCAAGGATCAGAAAGGTGATGAAGAGATATGCCCACGGCAGCTGCGGTAGTGCGTGCTTCGCCATATGATAATAGACTCCAGAGATCGCGACGATTATGCTGAGCCGATGAAGAGTAAGAAAAGTTTCGTAGAAGGCGTGCCTGAGCGGCCCGAGCGAATGGGTTATAAGGATACTGAGTGCGATAAATGCGGCTAGGCCCCACCGATATGAAAGCGAATGGTCTAGAACCCAGCTGATGCTATCCCATCCTCCCTGACCATCGTAGTTGACGCGGTATGTGTTGTACATGAAAGCGAATATGTGCGCCAGAGCCTCTGTGAAAACAATGCGTGCTGTCCATCGATGGAACATATTGAACGTGTCATAGCTAACGTGAAGGAGCCAGATGAACGGATTGTTGCGGAGGGCGAAAAGAACGGTGAAAATCATGTTGAAGGCGGCCAGATGCCCGCATCGACCTCGGAATTCAGCCATCCGTTGGGCTCCGGGTTGCTCCGGTATGGCCAAACAGTATGCCACATTGCTCCCTGCGTAGAGGATGATTATGATGAGTTGAAGCCTTGTCGGAAGCGTGGCCAGACTGACGGCGCTCGAGATACGAAATTCGCGATTATGGCGCTTCCTCCATATTGGCGCATAAAGGAGATATCTTTTGAGCTGGCCAACCCAGTCGTATCGATCCTTGGCCCAAAAGTTGAGAGCTTGACCGGACGTTATCGTTGAAACTCGACGTCTGTCATTCCGAATAGTAGTAAAGATGCGGAACAGAATTGAGATGAGTACCGGGGCAAGAGCGGTCCCAATAAGGATATGAACAAGAAGATAGTTCGTCGGGAGGTCAACCCCAGTGAGTCCGTGGCTGTATTTGAAAGGATCATGGTTCGATTGGGACGAGTTTGCATGGACGTCATCGATGTTCGGGATAGGTACCGAAGACGTAGGCTGGGTTGACGCCATTTGTGAAAAAGAATTTGCAATGATAGAGCTCATAGGAGTTCAGTGGTACGAGGCTGATGGGGTAAGCAGGGCATGCCCGGCGTATAGTCCCGAAGAGGTTTCTGTCGAAAAGAGCGTTGGAGAGATCTTGGGTGTTGGCAAGATGCTCCCGGGTTTCTCAGGACTGCAGCAGGGGACGTCGTTCGTGCTGAGAACACACCGTCATTGTTGCAGGATATCGAGCTATAAGCGCACAGAACGACATCTCGCGGCGCATTATCTCTCCGCGGATGCTCAGCGTGGCACTCGATAGCCGGAATCTCGTGCTAACCCGAGCAGAAGAAAGTCGCTAGTTCTTACTAGAATCTTTCAGCGCTGTACCTGGGACAAGCAGTAAGCGGGACCAAGTCTGACACAGATGGTAACACGGGCGCTAGTCGATGTGGGCGTGGGCGCGAATGGCGCAGTCTTGAGTGACCTGACTCTATGCTGACAAGGCAGAGGGATAAGGCCAAGCATGGCATGTATCCGCCGTCATAGGTGCTTGCAAAAGTGCACCTGGAGCTTATCCAAAGGAATCCGTGGCGTTAACATATAATCAGTATAATCGATGGTCTAGTTCTGCCATCCGGATTTAAGACACCAGGAAGTCGAACCACCAACACTCTCTTGACCGGTCTTTTGCGGCCAAAGCTCTAGATCCGTCCGCGGAAAGGATAGCCACCGAATCTATCAGTTATCGGAACTTGCGCCATTGTTCAACCTCAACCTCCTGATTCACCGAAGCGCCCATCATACTCCACGGAGAGCTAAAATACGCCAACTCGTATAGAACCTTTTATCATCCTCCGGTCAACGTCCCAGTATGATTGTGTTTCGCCAAGTCCAAAGTTGAGTATTCAGCCCCGAAGCCCACAATGTTGGCCCCGAGCACCTGAAGGCAACGGCAAAACGCCAATAATGGGCTACGTCCTCTTTGCAGGTTCACATCATTCCGTCATCTGTAATGGACATGATTCGCGTTGTTGCGTGGTACGGTAGCGCCTAGAGGTAGCATTCCGAAAGCTACCTTTCCACCAAACCCTAATTCTTGCCAACTCTTCGTCCTCAATGGCGATGTCGGCGGCCAAGTGGAATGATAGCTCTAGTCCTGCAGACTCAGACATTTGAGCTGACCCGTCGCACAAACGATCGCTCTGCCTCATGGCTGTCTCGTGTCCGCAGTCTCGAGCATGTCAGTCCCTTATGGGCTGGTCAAAACTACCCTGCTCGGAGGCCGTTCATCCCCGGCGGAACCAATGTTTCGCAAAAGCACCTTGGAACCGGATGCCAATGGGGTAATTCGGGGAAATCGATGCCCTCTTCTCTTTCTATGGCTTGCGGAGCCTGGGCGTTATCCGAGGGCGATAAGGAAACCCGACCCTGTGGTCAACGCCATCGTAATCGGGACAAAAGATACCCGTGGCTGAGTGCTAAGGTGGGTCTCTTGCAGATGTGAGGGCATGCCACCGCGCGCCGAAGTGCTGGGATGGATACGTTGTAAGCGCGAAGGATGTGCTCAGAAATCGCACCGGGGCTGTCGGCGACGGCCGTCTTCCAGGGTTATCGACGACGCTTGTGGCTTTTAGCAGCTAGGTCGACGTAGAAACCGAAGATAGCTGGATACACTGCAAAAGCAGTCTGCTTTTCAGTGTACTACTCAGGCTCCTTGCGAGAGAGCGCCGAATACTGAATGAGCAAAGTAGCGTGGAACGGGCCGCCACGTGTCGACTTGGTGTACGTAAGACAGGAGGCCTTCATTGATCGTCGCTGCTGTCAGTCCTTTAGTGCATACTGCGAGAAGGCTGTGGTATGTAAGCCGGTATAAGATGGGGAGCAAAAAACTTCACGGGCGGGATGCGGAGAGCCATGTGCGAGGTCTTCGGGCTGGCTACCAGCTCGGCCCCTCATGGCTCGCGCAGACGTCTCACAATGAATAACGCAGGGAAGGGGATTAACGGTGAGGTTGTGATGTTTGAGGTTCGTTGGAGTGGAAGTGGAGATGATTGATACGGTGTCGGTATGTCGGCTCTACTAGGTTCCGATGGCACGTGAATGCGATAGCCCCGGGCCTCAGCTTCGAGCATACATACCCGGAAGATCCATCGAGACCTTTATCCGTACACACCTCGTCCGAAGTGGAAAGTAACTGAGAGCCCGCTTGCTACCCCCTTGCCAGCCCGGTGACGCGTCGTACTTACCGGGCTTCGCATGAGGGAATAGAGGCGCATTCTTGCCTCACTGACCATTCCACAGGAATTAAGCAAGGTCATCCGTATATGGTAGAAAATATCAGGGTTGCAACGCCCCTTCCTCCCTCTGCTTCTTCTTCACCCTCTTCATGATCCCCCTCCTCCGGAAAGCTTCTGCACTGGAGATACAAATCCACCAAATGAACAGCACAGCTCCGAATGCCAAACTCCATCCAATTGCCTCACAAGAAAACCACTCGAACAATCCCACCGTTCTCTTCACGCCCGGATTATCCGTCTCCTCCTTTAGCTGCCTGCCTCCAACAATAACCTGCATTGCGCTCAGCATGACGCTGAAGACTGCGAACAGGAATAGAATGGCTGGATAAAAGCGCGAAAAGTACAGCGCATAGTTTGATTCGAAACGATTAAAGTGCGAGCGGCGGAGATGGACGAGCGAATGCAAGTTTAGGGCGTCGAGCTGGATCTCGCCGAAGCGCCAGCGCGGGCTGATAGCTTTGTCCGGGACCGAGTCAAATGACATGATGAATTTGACGAACGCTTCGAAGGAGGTGTGGCCGAATGAGCAGAGGAGATCGTAGCGGCGGGCGATGGAGAAATCCGAGCGGCGCTGAATGAGGCTTGCGTAGGTCCTCAGAAAACCGAGCGATGTCGCTCTTACACGCTCCCGCTCCTCTGGGTTGATGCCGTCGTTTGAAGGGTCCAATATGTATTCCCAGAAGGCGAACGAACATAGGTATGCGGGTATTGGCTTGATATAGATCATGTTGTCCGACCAGAGAAGATGTAATGAAGGGTTCTCGGTGACCACAATCTTCCGATCGTAGGTCAGCTGCTGGCTGAGAGTCTTGATGTATGGGGCTGGTCCAGCCCACCAGAGCTTCTCATCAAGCTTATTCATTCCAGGCGTGTCCAAGTCCTCCAGACAATACGGCACCACCCGACAGGAATCGAGCGGAATTCGGGGCGCATCTGGCAGAGCCTGATCGGGCCGGTGGCTGCGAAGATGCGTTGGCTTCTCCGGTTCATGCGTATATTCCAAGTCTTTGCATAGCTGGTCCGATCTCTCAAATGGTGGGATGGCGTCCCATTGTCTTATCGTTGCGCCCGTGTTCGATCTGGAGAAGGGCGCTACACAAGTTGTCGCAGAGGATACCGGGCTGACTGGGCTTTCTTCAGCCATGGTAGCGACGTGAGCCTTTGAAATGAAACAGAATTGCCTGACAATCAAGGTCCGTTGTCGATGAGGGGTTTATGAAGGACGATCGCGACGAATACGAGGGCAGGAGATCGGCTACCAGGATTTAACGTCTGTCGCGGAACCTGATTGGCTGACGCGAAGGCGCAGCCACCACCGGTGAACGAAACCCGGAACGAGGCCCAGCTGGACTTGCATCGTCTCCGAATGTGCGCCATCGCAGGCCCACGATAAGAGGTCGCGATATTCAGGGCTGGCTGGTGTTCACAGCTCCTCTTTTTATGCTCCCCCGTTCCTGCATCCTCAAGCAACTACCACGAGGAGCCTGTTCGCAATGCTCTTCATGATCATCGAGCGCTTCCGCTCAGGTGACGCCGCTCCAGTATACGCGCGATTCCGCTCCCAAGGACGCCTCGCTCCCGAGGGATTAAAGTACATCTCCAGCTGGGTCAGCGAAGACATGTCACACTGCTACCAGCTCATGGAAGCGGACAAGACGGAGCTCTTGGATGAATGGATGAGCAATTGGAAAGACTTGGTGGATTTTGAAGTCGTCCCTGTTGTTACGTCGGCCGAAGCGAGTGCTAGGGCCGGGAAAGAGGAGGAGAAGCAATGTCCGCAAGGCAGTGCCACTGAATGATTCGATGCCGAGGCGCCAGATGCCCCCAAGGGCTCTCCAGAGCGGCAGATTCACGACGGAGCAAGAAACATGGATGCCATTGAGAGCCAGCAAAGCCGTCAGATCTCAGAACAAATCATTGGCATCCAGAGGCGTTAAAGAACTGGACACCTTTCACACAAGGCGAAGCACCTGCCGGCGCCAAGATGCACATCACAACACATCCTCCCAGCTGATAAGCTGGTCTTTATAGTATTCAAGAAACGCAGCAATCCTTCGAAACGTTCGAGCAGGACCCTCCCTGTCCTTTAGGCCTAATACCAGTCCATATACGACCACTGATCCGATTCAGCCTCTTGCTCCTCTCCGAACTCCACCATCCTCACCAGGCCCAAGGGGGTCGATGTCCCAATGCCTGTTTCCGACCTCGGCAACACCGGCGCTCGATTTTCATCACCAACCCAGGTACCGTCATGCCAAGCCATGCAATGTATTCAGCGAAGGGATGAAGAAGACAAGAGTAGGGATGACCTGCAATGTCATCAGAAGCAAGCGATCCTCCTGTGATACGCGGAAACGCTCCGGGCTGACTAGTCCGAACACACATGCCCGGCTAGGGACAGAGGAAGAGACATTTCTTACCATTTCTTTGGTATCGCCTTATTGTCTTGGGCTTGCCATTTACAATCATTCGATTTGCTTTACGCGTGGTCTTTGTCTAACGGCGATGTCTAACAAACTGGATTGCAGTCCGAACACACATGCCCGGCTAGGGACAGAGGAAGCGACATTTCTTACCATTTCTTTGGTATCGCCTTATTGTCTTGGGCTTGCCATTTACAATCATTCGGTTTGCTTTACGCGTGGTCTTTGTCTAACGGCAATGTCTAACAAACTGGATTGCTAAGGGCCAATCAGCCGCCGTGTGTTTCAACCAAATAAGACACCTCGTGATTGTCTACAATTGTGATCCAACATAGGGAAAGGCTATAAATATGTCGTCTTCTTGATCTGGCTATCTAAGGAGCATCTCTTGCGCTGCAGACCCGCAACGAAGCTCAGCCATCACATCATCTGCGCCACTGAACATCATGGACTCTACAAACTCGAGCGGCAACGCAATCAATCAGCGACCATCTCCCTACCAGGCCAAACCCATCCCACAGCCACGCCAACACGATCACTTGGTCTATGTAGGCCGGACGCACGAAGGCCAAACGAACCTCTACATCAACGTCGGCGAAGATCTCAAGCGCCCCTTCTTCTGTAATTCGTTCTATCCAAATCATGTTACCGGCGTAGTACGATATCAGATAGGCGCAACCCCGCCCCCCCACAAGGTAGAGGACCTTGGCTGGTTCTCAGACCCAACCGCCTTCACGCCCATCTGCACAGGTCAGCCAGTCCAGCCAGCACCTCCAAATCAACCAAACCAAGCCGAGACCTTCAATGCATGGAAATTAGCCCTGCTTCGCGACCTGGCGCAAAACTATGGCCATCTCTGGACTCGCAACGACGGTAATTCGCTATGAAGAGGGATGCAACCCGTGGCTTCTGCTGCCAACAGTTTGGCTGGTGTTCGGTTCTGCAACTCCAACGGACAATGAGGCTATCGGGGACACCAGGGAGTGGAAAGAGGACTGGATCCAAGACCTCTTGGATCTGGAGAAGAGGTAGAGCATCAACGGCAGGCAACTTAGGTAGCAATGCACTGTCAACTCATGCCTATACGCCATGTGCAAAGACTCTATATGTGAGACATTACGGACCTGCGTCGAAGATCCCTTCTGCAACTCGTAACGGCTTGAATGCTACCGCTCAACACCAAGACGGTAGTAATTAGTTATAGATCTAGACTTCTAAACAAAACGTTTTCCATTGCTGGATGTTGCCTACACTAAACCGTGGATGCTCTCTATACTAAACCGCTGAACCTTTTGATAATACCCCTTCTGCTTGCGGATTTTAGAATATAGCGTCTTTTTTGCTAGTACTGTATATGTAGTATACTCGCATCTTCTTTATAACGAGGTCGAGCGAATTTATAACTGCGCGCGCAAAGACTTCTAAACATAATAAACCCTGCAAACTCAAGCGGCACCGCGATTCTTCAGCAACTATCTACCTACCAGGCCAAACTCATCCCAGAGCCTCACCAACCGTCAATATTCTACTTTAATATTTAATGGTCAGTTCTTTCTCTGTTTTAGATAAATGTGTAGTTCGCATGGTAGCGACCGTCCTCCAAAAATTTCAACTCCTCTGTATATGTATACGCCTCTTCAAAGTTCGCATATACTCTCTGACGGAACTTCGCATCATCCTCCCCAAATAACATGATACGAGCTTCCAATGCGGCGAATTGCATAAAGGCTGGTAGCCAACCACAGTCATGCCAATCAATCAGAGTAATTTCCCAGTCCTTGATTGCCTCTCCATCTTCCCCCTTAATTGGCCGAACGATTAAATTGTCCCACTTCAGGTCCAAGAAAGTAAGTACAGGCTTGAAGCCTCTGGTTTTACCTAAGACATGTTTGAACTTTGATAGAAACTCGACCTCCTCAGGGAAAAACTCATCAGCGAGGTTTTGAGTTGCCAAGTCATGCTCAGTACAAACATACATAGCCGAGATAAAATCGTCAAAGGTATTGTAGGGGCCCAACATTTCTTTGTAGCGTATACGTAGAAAAGACAAGGGACTCCAGCCTTGGCGATACACCCGGCCATAGTATCCTTCGCCTTCACAGGGAATAGACCGGAGTAGTTTGAGTTGCTCCGAAAGTTTTGAGCAAATGATCGTCTGCGCCTCGTCGTCTAGAGCTAACCATTTGTCCATGTCCAACGTATCGCCCTCTATAAATTCCATGACCATATAGCAGAGGTCGTTTGTGGGGTTGATAAACGCGGCATACAGCTTGGGCGCCCGGACTTTGGAATGTTCCTGTAGATATAGCAACATCTCTGCTTCCTTCTAATTGTTAGCTCTCGTTCTCATAAGGTGGTGTACACTCTTTCTAACCTGTAAGATATTTCGGTCGGCTATTTTGACGACGCATTTGCCCACCCTGCATACGGGACGGAGCCCATGACGGGCGCTAATTCTGTTATCTTGCAATGCCCTTTCGATTTCGTCCATTGAGGGTATACCAGGGTGCTCCGGAGCTTCGTACGGAAGTTTGAGAGTAGTCCACTGGTCAAGCGGCGGTTCGATGTACTGCATAAGAGAGGAATGCCTGGTCGTCAAGACCTCCATCATATTGGGAACCACCCCATAATGTTCCCGTATGACTTCGGCTTTTGTGCGCATTCTGTAAAGAGATTGAAGAAAAAAGTAGTGTAAGACTATGATTGAAAGTATCAAGCTAAAAACGACATCGCTCTGGGGATACAAGCAGCTCTTAAATATTCCTGAGAAGGAGGTAAGCCCCTTTTGCTGCCGTCACGCATATAAAGACAAAGCATCTTTTATCCCTTGACATCCGCCTTTGATGCGCCACCCTCAATACTCAATGAATGGACTTCCTTTGAATGTCGCTTCTTGAGATTATATTACAATGGCTCGATTCCCGCCACATATGCAGGGACAACGGGTGGGTTGGCTTGTCCTTGTTCTGCGCTCTTTCGCGTGTCAAAGCCTGTACACGCACAGCGTAAATCGAAAGTTCGTCAGACAAAGAGTCGAGAGAAACGGGGGGGAGTTATGGCTTGAGCGGGACCTTGCTGCACATCAAGCTTTTGGAAAGCCGGATGACAGAACGTGGGGGATGGCCGTAGGAACCTTGGAAGAAAAGCGGTTGACCTGTTGGTGTCACAATGGACGACGCATACCCAGGTAGTGGCATTCTAAGTTAACACGTCACGTGACCAAAATGGCGCATGTGCGAGGAAGGAAGCGACTCAGCGACAACCACCAGTTCCACCACCGTCAATCGCGTCACCTCTCACGCTGCCAGATTCTGCCTACTTCAATTATATCCAGAAAGCCTTGCCCGACGAGAAGATTCTTGTCGACGAGCTGATCGGTAGAGGTTGGCGGCTACGCCTCGTGCCTTGCGATGCGGTATTCCCGGCGCGGCCAAAGCAACTTTGCCGCTCTCCGCCCCGTTGTTACCGCGGCTTAAAGCGTGAATGGGAGAATGCATGTAAAGAGGCGCAGCGAGGGAAACCATATGCTAACATCCCGGAGGTGGTATGTCAGTCCTGTCGACGCTGGACGGTATGCTTTCAATAGTCCAACTCTACTGCCGTCCGTCGTTTGCGGCAAAGAGCCATTCCCGCCTCCTGCAACAACACACCCTCTCGGCTGCTCTCGAGTCAGCGCAGGCTGCGCCCGATCAATACAGCATTGCGCGGTATATCGTGGCGCATGATATAGATCAAGCTTAGAACAAGTGTGCGGCACAGCGCAAGCTAAACAGGTCGGGTCCCACCATTGGCAGTCGGAGAATTATATATTGATTAAGCGCACCTAGTAACACCCGGCCCAGATACCGAGTCTGAGCCTCAAATGCGTGTGTTAATGTGCGGCGCAGACGCTTTACGCGCGACAAGGCAGTAGGTCCGCCAACTGGACAACTCATCCCCATCCAAGTCGGTTACCAACACTATGCATGCAGCCCTCAACCCATCATCTGGTGGGAAACGATCGCACTGCGGCGTACACCTCACGCCAGACAGCTGATCTCAGCTCGCTTGCATCTGATTTTGCAAGAAATGGCCCGAGGACTCGAGGGAATGATGTTGGCGAGTCTGACAGTCTCCTCAAGGCTCAAGCCGTGTGTTGGATCCCCCTCATGACTCCTCGGGCGCCATGCATGATGAACGGAAATGGGACGCTATCAGGAAGCGACGAGGCCGGCCGTACCTTTCTGCCCATGTCCGTCGTCAACATTGCGGAGGAGTGGCTGATGTTTCCATACTGTCATGCGACGGAGACGGCGTTTCAAGGGGTGCAGGAATCGACGTTCCGCCCACCACAGACCCAATCGGCGGCCGTGCGGCTTGACTTTTGGCGAGGCCCCCGCTGAGTGCTTCTCACGCACAGTCCATTCAGGAGTCCGTGGCCCACTCCTAGCACTCCTGAGAGGACGTCCACGGGTGTTTGATCGCATGAATTGCACAGTTTCGAAACTTTCGTGTCTGCGGTTTCCACAAACAGATTCCGCCATCTTGCCAGATTTCGTTCCTGAGGCCAGCATGGGAAAAGTGTTGATTGGCCGACGACGGCGTGAAAACCAACGGCCCCAGGCAGCTTCGGGAACGCCTCGCAGCGGACGAAAGTGGTCAGCATGGGGTGAACCCCGGCATGACGTTGTCAGGATCCGCGTAGCGCCCCTGCTCATAATACGGCGTAGATAGACGCGATGGGCGACCCCTTATATATTTCCGTCACCGCTGGCCGCAGGTTGTGGACGACTTCCCTTTGACAACAAGCAGCGCTTTGGATAGCCTCTCTCGCGACTTGCATCGTCGATCGCTCCTTGGACCGTCCATCCGAAGATTATATCAGCGAATACACGAACCTCACCATATATTTTCGACAGGTCACACCATACTCTAAGAGCGTCCCCGCACGGCAAAAGCTACAATGGCCCATCTTCCACCAAACTCTCCCTACGGCCTCCCGTCTTCACCGCGAGCAATCCGACAGACGTTAGCACCACTGGATACATCTCTGCGGCCGATGACCTCACCAGGTCCTTCCCCATACCTAGCTTCCGAGAAGCGCTCACCACAACCCTCACCACAACCCTTCGTCGATACCCGCCAGCGCAACCGCGACTCTCTCATCTTCATCAATGCGACCATTCCGCTCAGTCCGGCTTCTTCATCCGAGAACAGTTTCAAGGAAGAGCCATTCGACGGCCTGGCACCACGGAAGCGGACCGGACTCGCCCGCCTCTTCTGCTGCTTTGGCCGGCAGGAGCGCGCCCGGAGACGCGCGACGCGGTTCACCGAGTATGAGAAAGTGGGCGAGAAGTGCCATTGGTCGGAGCTGTAAGAGCATGACAGTTCTCGAGGCTGTTCGGCTCCATCACCGCCCGAAAGGATTAAACGCATAACATCGATGGACACAGCCACTACTTCCCCAGATTCCGGATGTTCCCATCATCGCGTTCCGAAATTCTTTCTTTTGTTCATATTTTCTATTTTTGGTCGCATACTCATTCTTCTATAGCTTGTTGCCTCCCTTTCTCCCTTTCTCCGATGTTTCGGATAGACTTTTGAGCCTGTTTGCATTGCATAGCGTCGGCGTTGGTGAGCTTCCGAATCTCAAATTCTGGCTCGATTTCTTTCAGCGGTTCTTTATTCTGCAAACGGACGTGGCTGCGGCAAGACGCGCAAGGGGTGAGAAGACGCACGTTGAATATATAGATACCCAAACAAAACATATTCCTATCCCGCAGATCGTGACCCTCCCTGCGTCACAGTACCCTTCTTTTCCTTCTTCGTCTGCCTCCTGGCATCACCCCATGTCTCTTCTAGCCACTTCTTCCCCGACTCCTCGAGCTCGGCTTCGAAATCTGTCCGTTCCTGCACCCGCACCTCCCTGAAGCGTGCCATCGCTTGATCCCATGCAGCTTGATGCCTCCTCATGCGATGCTCCCTCTTGCCATAGGAGCCATCTGTAAGCGGGAAAGTGATCTTCAGCCACGGAGGCGGCACCCTCTTCATCCTTTCGCAGTGCAACTTCATCCACACCAACCACATCTCCACCGTTTGCTCCTCGGATCTACCCTCTATGTTCAGGTCTTCGGCTTCATGGAAGTGGTATGGGTCACTATTCCATAGTGCCGTATATACTTTCAGTCGGGGGAAGAAGTCCTTCGCCAGCCACGCGTCTTTAGTCATCCTCTCGAACGCGAAGCCCGGCCTGGGTAACCTCCACTCATCGTCCCGGTTGGTGTTAGAATCCACGTACCCCAGCTCGATGCTCTGTAGCCAGCGCGCAGCCTTGTCCGGGAACAAACGTAGTGTCCCCTCCAGGGGCCGGTCTGTCCTGCGCTCGACGTGGATGGTATTACATCTGCAGAAGACTTCAAGCGCCTCCTCATACAGCTGTCGGCAGGTCAACAAAAGGAAAAGAATGTCGCTGTTTCCAGATTGCCATGTGTAATGGTGGGTACGATAGGTTCCGTTGTAGCCCATGGCTCTGCAATGGTCCCGTCGGTAGACCAGGCCTTTGGGGCGGTGGACGATGTAGAAATAGATTTCGTCTCTAATCTCGCGGGGAATTATGTCGAAGAGCGGAATGGAGCCGGTACGGCCATAGGGAGGGATAGGCGTAATGAGGTTATGCGGGCCTATCACGGCGAGCCAGTCGCTGTTGGAGGAGGGTGTGTCTGCTGTTATTTCAGGCGCTATACGTGCGGGGGATCTATCCGTTCGGAGCCGACGGTTCGCTTTGACGAGTGCTCGAGGAAATTCATCGTCTTGTTTGGGGTCCTTGCGATGAGCCTGCATGCTTTGACAGACATGAGGAAATCGATAGACCAAATGAATTTTGATCTAGGGAGGTAGAAAGGCAGGATCTATGAAGACAACATCTGATGGAGGGACAGTAACGCCTTTAATGCAGTATGTGGAGACTCGATGCAACTACGCTGTTACCGTGACAGTTCAGCTGACGAATTGGACGCCTGCGCGAACTGTATTTCGGGGTGTTGAGGCTGAGCCTGCTGGGCGACCCCGCTCCATACGAACTGCTATGTAGGGCGCGTTGCCCGCCCGCCCGTGGAGAGCTGGCCTCTTGTTCACCCCGGAAACGACCGTCTCACGATGCGATGGTGTTGACGGTGTTCCAAAGTTTGGCGGCCAGGCACAAGTCGGCGTGCGGATCCGAAGGAGGCTAGCGCCGACCGAGGTCGGGACGAGCAGGAAGGAGCATGGACAGCTTGGCGCAGGTCAGTTGCTCGGAAAACTCTCAAATCACTCATTCCCGCATCATCCTCTCTCTGCATCCACCACCCCGATCCAGTCCAGCCCAGTTTCCATCTCCGCTCTCTTCAATTCCGCACACCATGTTTTCCGCAAGGCAGATATTCGCCCAGGTCCAGCGCCGCGGCTTCTCGGCGTCCGCCCGTCAGGTACGCGCTCGGTGGATGGGGCCGTTGCTTTTGCTGGAGCGCTTCGGCTTGAGTGATGGGTGAGAATTGACAGCATAGATGCTGACGGGTGGTGTTGCAGGCGTCGAAGGTTACGGTTTTGGGCGCTGCGGGTGGCATTGGCCAGCCGCTGTCGCTACTGTTGAAGCTCAACCCGAGGGTCAGCCAGCTTGCCCTCTACGATATCCGTCTAGCTCCTGGTGAGCTCCGCCGCATCAATTGCAACACTGCATAATAGCTTACCATGTTTCGTAGGTGTCGCTGCCGACATTGGCCACATTAACACCAAGAGCGAGGTACGATGCGTCACCCGGAGCGCCGAAGCCTGCATACGCTGACATACAAAAGGTCCGGGGATACGACCCCACGCCCTCTGGGCTCGCCGAGGCGCTCAAGGGTTCGGAAGTCGTTTTGATTCCTGCCGGCGTGCCTCGCAAACCGGGTATGACTCGTGATGGTATGCAATCAGGATTCTCCGTGGGGTGTTTCATGACTGACGGTTGCCCAGATCTTTTCAACACCAACGCCTCCATCGTCCGGGACCTGGCCAAGGCCGCCGCAGACCACGCTCCCGAAGCTAACATCCTGATCATCTCGAACCCGGTACGCATACAGCAGTTGGGTGGCATTGGGGCGGCAGGTTAATAGGTTTTAGGTCAACTCCACCGTCCCCATCACCGCCGAGGTCTTCAAGTCCAAAGGCGTCTACAACCCGAAGCGCCTCTTCGGTGTCACCACCCTCGACGTCGTCCGCGCCTCCCGCTTCATCTCGCAGATCAAGGGGACCGACCCCGCCAACGAGAACGTCACCGTTGTCGGCGGCCACTCTGGCCAGACCATCGTCCCTCTCCTCTCGCAATCCGGCTACAACCTCTCTGGCGAGCAGCTCGATAACTATGTCTACCGCGTGCAGTTTGGCGGTGACGAGGTCGTCAAGGCCAAGGACGGCGCCGGTTCAGCTACCCTCTCTATGGCCATGGCTGGTGCCCGCTTCGCCGAGTCCCTCCTGAAGGCCGCCCAGGGCCAGAAGAACGTCATCGAGCCTACCTTCGTCGACTCCCCGCTGTACAAGGACAGGGGCTGCGAGTACTTCGCCTCCAACGTCGAGCTCGGCCCCAACGGTGTCGAGAAGATCCACCCCGTCGGCAAGATCACCGAGTACGAGGAGAAGCTGTTGGACGTCTGCCTGGGTGATCTGAGCAAAAACATTGCCAAGGGCATCAAGTTCGTCAAGGAGAACCCCGGTCAGTAATCGCATGGAGGAGATGTACATTAACTGGGACGGAGTGCATGTGGGGAGATGTAGAGGTTCCTTCACTTCCAGCGCTTGTATTATGGGTTTCCGGAAATCTGGACTGGACTGGAATTCGGATGCCTCGAGTAATTCAGCAGTTGGAGGAGTATCATAGGTAGAGAATTGGTTTTGTACCCTAGCAAAAATATACTCCCTCTTTGCTCTCTTCATTGCACTGGCCACAAATACCCCGGCTCCCCTTTAGCAACGTGAAAATAATATATCGCGGCGTCGAATTGCCATTACACGTGATCGACATCGGGCGGATGGAAAACGTGAGGGGTTGATTTTAGCTTTTTGACGGACAAGTGGCAGACGTCAGAGTTTGCGCTAGCGATTAGGATCGAGAGTGAACCAAGACAAACAAAATGTAAAGCATGAGGTGACCAATAATTGCTTTTTGACAATCTAGATTGGCCTACGGCGAGCCATCAAGCGCGTACAGTATGCAGTTCTAGCACTCAACCTCCAACAGCATGCATGGTACAGGGAAACGCAGCAGCAAAAAAAAACCCCCCCCAAAAATTTGGTATGCGGAAAATGCATAGCTGTCTCCGATGCGCTCGGCTGGTCTATCCTATCGTTTCCCGCACACATACACATACAAACAACACAAGCACAAGAGAGTGTGAAGCCCTGCAAGGTCCACCTTACAACTTCGCCTTCGGCGGCTCAAGCGTAGGCAGCATCAGGTCTCTGATATCGCCGGCGGCTTCATTGAGGTAGAAGCTCATCTTGTCCTGTGGTGCACGCATTAGCATCCATATTTTTCTTCTCCGATGGGGTCTGTCTGGAAGAGTACTGTACTTACCGAGCCCAGCCCCTTGGAGCACACGTTGAATTGGATCGAGTTCTCGTTAATCATGTACGCAATGCCCCAGCCATCGTCCACCACCTGGCTCCAGCCATACCCGTTGAAGTACTCGGAGCTCAGCTGGCTGCTGCTGATAAACCACGTGCTGCTGTACGTGTACGCGGGGTCCTTGTACAGCGCGGGCACCTCCTCGCCCTCCTTGAGGCACTTCTTCAGCCCGAAGAGGTGGCGGTCCACGCCCCGGCCGTCGCTCGCGTCCGTAATGTATTTGACGTGTGCGTTGACGGCGTCGCGGAACAGCTTCTGCGCGTGCTCGGGGGAGCAGTGTGGGTCGGCCATGGCGGTGCAGAAGGCGACGGATTCATCAGAGACACTGCGGCAGGTTTCGGTGCGGCCTTCTTGGAAGCGGCGTGTCGCGGCGGATTCGTAGGTGGGGCGGTTCTTGCCGTAGAATTTGTGGTAAGCGAGCTGGATGAGCATTTGGACGTAGGCGTCGGGGCTGCACTTGAATTTCTTGATGAGGCCCTTGCCGTAGCCCTGGTACGCCTGAACGCGTAGCTCGTGGGCGCCGATTTGGCGGGTGAAGTGTGCTTGTGCGGCATCGAGGTCCTTTTGCAGTTCGGCGGTGATGTTGAAGCGGAGGGGGGTGGGGTTGGGCAGGTCAGAGCGAATGCTCGGGTCGTCGAAGGGCAGCGCGTTGCTGAAGATAAGCATGTTGGCGTGGTCGTTGAGGCGATGCGTGGGCGTGCCGTCCATCATGGAGTGCTCGCCCACGAAGCCCGAGGTGCCATTGTCATTGATGATGAACTGTAGGGGCTTATCAAACCAGCGGTTTGAGCCATCGCCGTGCCAGTATTGGTGTGCGCGCTCTTCAAGGGTGACCGGGGAGGCATCGTCGAGGCAGACGACGAAGGAGGCGGATTCGATGGCTTCGACGGAAGCGGCGTTGAGGTCTGAGGCGGCCTTTAGGCGGGGGTAGACGTCTGCCCAAGCGTCGCGGTTCTGGGAGGTGAGGATTCCGACTGGGGCTGACTTCTCGGCCTTCTCGTAGATTCGTTTGAACTGGAGCTCGAGCTCGCTGGTGTTGAGCTGCTTGCCGTTGATCTCGTGGGGAATCTTCCAGAACTGGTTCTTCCTGACAGCCACGATGTGCTGGTTGCTCTTGAACGGGTACTTGACGCTGGTATCGGAGGGCTTCTTGGGCACACGGCAGCAGTTGAACATCCACTCGTAGGAGCTCATGGCCATGGGCAGCTTCTTCATGTACTCGGGCTCCAGCGTGCCGTTATCGACCATCTTCTTGAACTCCAGCACGGCGGTGGTCATGGCGGCAGCGCGCTTGACCGGATTTCTCCGTTTCCTATCATCACGGTGCGAATAGAAGTAGCTGACGTATGGAACGACTGGATCACGGTAGCTCATGTACGCAGCTTCATTCCACCACTCAGCAATCCAGTTCTTGATTTCTGGGCGCTCTCTCCGCTCGACCAAGCGCTTCTGGAGCACCTCGCCGGGCCCACCAGGCGCAACGAAGTCATTGACAGCCTTTGTAGTTGCCTCATATTCGGTCTTGGAGAGCAGCGGATGAACGGATTTGAGGTACCTCTTGGCGGTTTCCTCGAGGGTCGGGACGGGCAGCCGCGGGAGCGAGTCTTCGAAGCGCAGCATGGCGCCCTTGCTGTGGTCTTCCTTGTAGCCTGCATCCAGCTCGCCATGTTAGCTTCTGGGCTGATTGTAGGTTTGGTGACATGTGAATGAGTGAATGTTGACATACCTGCGGGCAGCGACGATTGCTGCCGCCGCGACTGGGCTGGAGCCATTGCGGCTATCTATACGAAACAAAACGTCAGAAGCCGCATCTTCGGCGGTATTCGGTCCTTTGTGCGCACATACCTTGGGGACCTGCTGGGCGAGGAGTGGGCGGCGGAGGAGGGAGGCAGGTGCTCTCGCTCGCGCTACTGCATTGAACATCTGAGAGGATGTGTCCGGTATCAGCAGCAGAGGCAGGGCAGAGATAATATTTTATCGCTCCAGCAGACGCTGCTCGGCCGGCGCGCGTGCTGGGTTATGTCGACTACTGCGGGCCGCTTGCTGGGAGCTCTGGCCGCGGGCTGCGATCTACCTCGGCAGACGTCGGGATTGCTCAAGAGGACTGCGTGATCTGCAAAGAGAGACGGTGCCGCTTGTCCGATGCCACACGCGCGCCGTAGACAAAGCCTTTATACGCCTGCAGACGCTGGGCAGATACCAAGACGTGTCAATTAGGAGATGATGCGACAGCGAAGGGGTTTTGCTGCCGTTGCGCCTTCTTTAGGTTCCCCCGGATCTCCACGCCAGCACCAGCCACACGGCGCCGTTCACCGCACGGACGTTGGCGCCATTCCCAAGACTCGGTTGCGGCGAGCGAGAGCCGAGGGATCTCGCAATGCCGTCATTCGTCGACCAACGTCCCAACGCCATGTCAGGAGGCTCTGCGGCGCGCCTTCACCATGGCCGATGGATTTGCTGGCCTGTATCGACTGCGTGGAAGCCCGCAGCTCGTACGAGATGATGCCGACATCGTCACTACCTCCGAGGTCGGTAGCGGAAGACACGCTGGCTGGAGAGCGAGCTACGGACACATGGCGTCTCAAAGGTTACCTGTAGGGGTTTCCCTTGGATATCTCAACCTACTCCATCTCTTTGCCGTCGTCGATTTTGCGATTCTTTAATTCGCATCCGCAGAGATGCCGGCTCCTCCACGAGGCCGCCCGCACACCTCTCCCGCATATCCAGGTCGGACGAGTGAAACATACTCTCCAGGGGCTGTGGATGCTTGCTATTGGAAAGGGAATCACTATGCCCAAAGAGATGAGTACTGTACCTCTGCATCCTCGGGTCCGAAACAGAGTCGCAATACATTTCGCCATCTACCCAGCATACCAGCAACCCCTCTCGGCTTTAACCGCATCACTAACTCCGGAATTGCTCCATCGTGTCGTAAGACGTGCTCACCCTCTTAACGTCTACATACATATGAACAACTAGTGCTCACTTTCATTCGCTTTTATATAACTCGCAGTCAAACTCTGCGAAGAAGCTTTGTCGGACATCAATCGCAATGCCAGCGGATCCTTCGAACGACCTCCTCCTACTAACATGCGCCTCCGGCAAGCAGGCCACAGCCCTTCTCCCTCTCCTTTCGCAATGGAAGCGTCTCCGCCTCGCTGTCAAATCCTCATCCTCCAAGGAGCGCCTCCAACAGCAGTACCCGCATGCCGAAGTCATCCAAACGGACCTGTACTCGCCCACCAACACCGCGGCCCTCATGGGAGGCGTCAACGTCGTCATCCACATCGGGCCCAGCTACCATCCGCACGAAACCGAAATCGGCTACATGATGATCGATGCCGCTGTGCAAGAGTATGGCAGCGGAAAAGGAGGATTGAATCATTTCATACTCAGTAGCGTGCTCAACACGCAGTTCCGCAAGATGATGAACCACGACTGCAAGAGGTATATCGAGGAGTATATAATGGAGTCCGGACTCCCGTACACCATTCTCCAGCCGTCGACTTTCATGGATAATACTCCGCTGCCGATGCTCATGAGCCAAGAGCAACCCGTCTTCCGCTCGGCTTGGAGCACAGACGTCAAATTCTCCTGGGTCGCGCTGCGCGACCTCGCCGCTGTCATGCATACCATGCTCATTGAGCGCGAGAAGCACTTCTACGCCCAGTACCCGCTCGTGTCCACACACAGCACGCTGTCCTTCGGCGAAGCGATGGGCATCATCTCGAAGAAGATTGGAAAGGAGATCAAAGTCGAGGTTGCGGAGTTTAGAGAGGGCGTGGATAACACGCTGGTAAGGGTGTACGGGACGAGTGAGGGGATCGACCAGCGGAGTAGGGATGCAGCGCAGAGGATGATTCTGTTTTATGATAACCGGGGGTTAATTGGGAATTCGAATGTTCTGGAGTGGGTGATTGGGAGGAAGGCGACGCAGTTTGATGAGTGGGTGGACGGGAAGGTTGGAGAGGCTGGAGGGAGAAAGTAGCTGGAGGGAGAAAGCAGCAGGAGGGAAGTTTAAGCTACAGATGGATTGGGACTAGCGTGCTATTGACGACTTGGCAGAGCCTTATTTTGCTTTTCTGCCTCAGTATTGGTCATACAATTTGCGTCCCGACATCTAGTTCCATTGTATGTAATATTACCTACGGTGCACCATAAGAATACGGCTGCGAGCTGCAGCCAGGCTACCCCTTAGGGCTTTCGATTCAGTCAGCCGTACGCTAGACACGTGTCTCAGAATGTAGCCAATGGCTTCACCCACTAGGGCTCAGCCTTTTCCGGATCGTCATTGGAGGAATGTGAGGCATGGCAAGTGGCTGCCTAAGCGGCTGTACCGAAGCATCGTGTCCTTCGGACATCACAGAACGGACACACTAGATTCCGAATAACAAAATCCCAGCATTGCTATGCAGGACCGCGAGGGTGTGGAGGCCTCGAAGCGAATTTACCAGCCACTATCCAGCCTTGATCCGGAGATCAGACTTTTGACCCTCTTCCCCTCCGGCGACCCCTCGGCTACGGTCCGCTGCACCCTACGAACCGTTGCTCTTAACGCGAAACCGCATTTCACAGCTGTATCGTACGTATGGGGCGACGTTTCGAAGACACAGACAATCCTTGTCAACGACCAAAATGTCCTGATTGCCGCCAACCTTTCCATTACATTATTAGCTATTCGGAGCCGGAGTGGGGCTGAAATGGACCTATGGGCTGATGGTCTATGCATCAATCAACAAGACTCGAAAGAGAAATCTCATCAAGTTCAACTGATGGGCCGGATATACACGGAAGCTAGCATCGTCTTCGCGTGGCTGGGCGAGAGTGCAGACGACAGCGACTACGCCATTGCTCTATTGCGTCGAATGGCCGATGAGATGAAGAAACAGAGCAGGGATGAGGCCCACAACTTACGGTCCTCACAGGAATCAAGGGAAGTGGGACTCGAGAGGATGCAGTCACCCAGTGCGGACGTTTCCAAGGCTGGAGGACATGGAGTCGCAGTCTCAACAAGTACTGCAAAGGAGCGAGCTCCACATTGGATAGAAAGCATACCAGAGCTCCTTAGCGAAGACGACCAAGATTCTTTTGGTAGCTACAACCGCGGCTGGAGAGCCGTCATTAAGTTTTGCTCTCGACCAGGTCCGAAGTCCCAGGTACAATCTCGGTGCAGTGGCTTAAAGTCCGCACTGATAAGGTATTCTCTCTACCCTAAGAGAATTACGCTAACTTTGCTAGTACGTATTCCTAAAGTCTACGATATTTGGACATTCTCCCTACAGCGTCCCACTTTGTTGAGCTTTACTAACCTCATACCTCGACTTTAGTTTTGGACACGTCTCTGGATTCTTCAGGAAATGGTGCTCGGGGAGCAGGTAATAATGCTCTGCGGAAAATGCTCAATAACTTTGGAGGTACTGAAATTTGTTGGTCGGCATTACAACTCGACCGCACTAGACACAAGGGCCCGGTTTTCACCGAAGGTGCGAGTCCAAGTTGGACTTTTCAACTGGTACAACGTACATCGCCTAGAGTTTTTCCGAGGCCAGATTGCCAAGCAGCCTCGAGAATCCAGCAACGTCGTGCAGATATTTGATGTGATCTCACTTTCGAGTGGGCTTCATGCTTCCGAACCCCGGGATCATATCTATGGCCTCCTTGGCATATCTTCGTTCCGCGAATCCAGATGGGCCATCGAGGTCAATTATTCACGCCCCATCAAAGACATCTACTTGGAGTTCTCAAGCAAGTGGATTGCGTACGCGGTTCATTACTCACGACGAAGAAAGGAGATAGCTATCACGTCTCATCCGCTCTTCCACGCGGGCGTCGGATACCCACGTCGCCTGCTGGCATCTCCGTCCTGGATTGCTGATTTCTCAACGCTGGATTTGGCTCAAGAAAATCTTCGCGGTCTGCACAACGTCTTCAATACGAGCGGTGAATCCTTCCAAGCCGCCGGTCGGAGCGCGCTCCACATGGCTAGGATCGACATATGTGGGCATGTTCTACGGCTTCGAGGCGCTTCCGTGACTAAAATAACGCACACCTGGGGGTGGCGTATACTCCAAAGTCTCTTAGAGTACATGGTCTCAGTAACAACAGAGCTCTTACGTATTCAGAATGTCGATTCTCTCACCGACCAGACGGAGATGCTGCATAGCATATATCGGACTATCATGTTTGATACATGTCCCAACGCAAGCGAAGGAAGGCTGTGTCCCGGTTCAAGAGGCTACAACGATGAATTTGCACGCTTCCTTTGGATTCTATGGCATCGACGCGCTTCCATTTCTGACGAATACCTTCTAGACAAGATCAAGCTTCTCATCGATCCCAAACCTTCCGGAAATATTCTTCTCAATGAAATTGGGATCAAGATGGAGAACAGCTATACTGAGTCGGAGGACGACTATGCTTTTCTGATTCGGGTGGCTGCTTTGCACCGTCGTCGGCGTTTCTTTCACACTGAGCAAGGCTTCATTGGCTCGGGCCCGACACTACTCAAAGAAGGAGACGAGATTTTCATTATTCCTGGCATGGCTGTCCCCTTAGTGCTCAGGCCGCATTCGCAACACTACCAGCTCGTCGGACCCTGCTACGTCCACGGGATTATGGATGGCGAGGCCATAGGCGACGACTTGGATGCCTGGCTGGCCTCACTACAAAAGATTGAAATGCATTGAGACTGCGGTCGTGTAAGTTACGCACGCCGTATCTTGGTTCTCCCAGCCGTGTAAGTTACACGCGCCGTACCTTGGTTCTCCCAGCTTCTCCCACGGCACCCAAGCGGACATCCTGGAAAGGCGGCGGATTCCGGCTACCTTGTCCCACCATTACTTCGGGGCCTTAACTACTTGTCTTTGTGTTTGCCACAGTAGGCTGCGCACTGCCTCACAGTTCAGCCATTTCGAAGACAAGGTAGCCGAGCGCACTTCACGCCCTAATCCGGCAGCCATTCCAATCCATCATCATCCCGCTCTTCCTCTCCGACCTCCTAATCAGACTCCCGAGGTCACCATCTAGACGCGACACCACTCTAGCCTTCCTGAGCGCCGGTGTTCCCACTTCCATCGTTCTCAACCGACTCCTCAACTGGTCGCATCAACCCCTTCTCGCGCCACACCAACGCCTCATACCAGCAGCTTGCATACCTGGAATCAAGACTCCGCCAACTCTGCAAACCGGTTCTAGAATTTGCTGTAGATACGCCTTGCGGTATTGTGGCTCTTCCTCTATGTTTTTCCAAATTTCGCCGGATTTGGGCAGCTTAGACGAAGATGCGAGGTTAGCTGATAGGGGGTCGCGCATTTTATCATGTGGCGTTTTATTGTCTCAAGCAGATGCATCTGCAGACCTCAGCTGAACTCCAAATCTGGAGGGTGGCTGCTCATGCTTCACAGGACTTTTCGTGCCTCAGGGCGTCTCCCACCTAGAGTTGCTAATTGAGCCCGTCTGTGAGGCGCAGCATGCGCCCTTTCCAATCTCGCATATATTCCCAGGGTTCCAAACATTTTGGCCTTTCTTGGAGCCTACATTCTTGCTTGACATAACGTTCACAGTATTCATTTCATACATTAACATTCCGGACTGTTTCCTCTATCTCAAGGCTTCTTAAGACGGCCCGGTTCCACCATGCATAGTGGTAGAGATAACCAAAGTGAGGTGGCTTATCCTTACAGAGTGAAACTCACTGGTGGGATACTTGATGAAAGGTTGGTAGCCAGCGCTCCCTATGCTACAGTGGCTGAGTACCCTAATAGCCTCCGCACTTTCAAGCCGGATCCGAATATATCCGTCACGTCAACTGAGGAACCAACGATCCGACTGGACCGCAAACAAGCTGGGAGTGCTCCCGGCAAAACGAACAGATCCGAGGATTCCGACGATGACATCGAAGTAATTCTTCGTCCAGACCTCCAGTCTCCACAACAGCGGCGTGCTACCCCTCGAGACGGCTTCGCAACCTTTCTTGACCAGCTTCTCAAACGCAGCAACAAGAGCTCTAGGCCCCGTTTCTCAGACCTCTCCGAGAGAAGTTCTACCCCGTTCTCCAGCTCGTTCGGAGATCTTGGGTCCGGCTCGTTCGGAGACCATGGGCCCAGCGGACTTTTAGCAAGCGGCCTTCTCAGTTCATTGAGCGAGATACTCACCAAGCTCCCAGACTCCCGCCGTGCAAACGATGGGAACAATGAAGATAAGTCATGGCACCCTCTCCATTTCGCAGCACAGAGAGGCAGTCTGCCTATGTGCCGTGCGCTCCTCTCCAAAGGGTCTCGGGTGGATCCGCTCACCGACGAAGAAGCCACTCCGCTGATGATCGCTGCGCAGAACGGGCATCTTGACGTGGTGCGATTGCTAGTTGAAAGGGGTGCAAACACCAATGCACAGAGCAAGAAGGGACGCAGTGCACTGTTCCAAGCCGCGGTCACTGGAGAACTCGAGATACTCCGGTACTTGGTTGCACACCATGCGGACGCTAACATCCGAGATTGCGACGGCAACACGCTCCTGGTCGCTGCTTGCATAGGCTACCTCAAGCACAGGTCCGATGACAGGCTTGATATCGTGAGACTCTTCATGGAGGCAGGCTCAAGCCCAAACAACGCTGACGACGACGGCACGCAGCCACTGCAGTTGGCTTGCGTTTTCGAGCTTGAGGACCTCGCGCGTGTGCTGATCGAGAGCGGCGCCGACGTCAACGCAAAGGGCCGTCGGTCCGCAACGCCGCTTTGCACAGCGGCAAACGACGCGCACGTCGGCCTCGTCCGATTGCTGCTCGATCACGGGGCAGATCCAAACGCGAGGGAGCAGAGGCAATGGACACCGCTGCATCTTGCAGCGCAGAATCTGAAGCCGGGGACCTGCGAGGTTATGCGCTTGCTTGTCAATGCGGGGACCGACGTAAACGCGACCATGGACACCGGCGCCACGGCAATGCATCTCGTGGCACAGGAAGGGAACTTGGATGGTGCGCGGATCTTGATTGGTGCGGGCGCCGACGTCAATGTGCTGAGCAGCAAGCACCGCACTCCTATCTTCTCAGCGGTAGGTGCTGGGAATCTGGAACTGCTGGACTTGCTGCTGGCCGAGGGGGCGCTCCTCGATGTGCTTGACGAAGACGGATTCAACATCGTGCATCTTTCCGCGATGCAGCAAAGTATCAAGGTCGCGGAGCGGGTATTAGCGCTTGGGTTGGATATTAATTTGCGGGCAACGTACAAGCGGTTGACGCCTCTCCATTTGGCTACACAGAACGACAACGAGGAAATGGTCCAAGTATTTCTTGACCACGGGGCTGAAGTGTGAGGATTGATAGTCTTCGCACCACGGTATCGTTTGGGGTCTTTGGTCGCCTGGCTTTCTCAGTTAACGCTCGAATTCCTTAGGATGATGTACTATTTGAATGGATATTGCTTCCCTCCATCTTCCCCCGTAACAAAACAACAATCTCCTCGAATTTCCTCTTCTCTGCGCGCTGCAGTGGCGTCTCTTTCTTCTTTCCGCCCGCAATGCTGCAGCTCGCACCTCGAACAAGCAGCGCGCGAACAACTCCGACATATCCTCCTCCAGCAGCTCCAAACAGCGGGGTACGGCCTTCATAATCCTCGGCGTTAACATCTGCCCCTTTCCCAATCAGAGTCTGCACCATTCTCTCCTGACCAGCCCACGCAGCCCAATGCAGAGGAGTGCAACTCTTCGCATCCCGACCATTCACCTCTGTACCATGATCCAAGAGTAGCAAAACAGATGCTTCATCTCCCGCATGAGCAAAGTAGTGTAGGGCAGTTTCTTGTCGCTGCCCGAACTTCAGCGAAGGATTTACTCCCATCTCAACCAGCTTCCGAACGATGTTAGTAAAGCCTATCCTTGCCGATCGCACCATGGCTTTTGCGGACTCGCCCTGAAGCATTGTATAGGTTCGCGTGTTGCCGTCGGTTAGTAGGTGGAAGAGGCACTCGAATTCATTCCTCGCGTGCGCTTCTGCCTTCTCGCGGGTTTCTTTCTCAGCGCGGATGATAGCTGCGGAGCTTTCGGCGGACCGTTCGAGTTCCCTAGTACGATGTTACTAATCTGTTATTTTAGGAGAATATCATACCATCTTACTCCAACTGCGACAAAGCTATCGCTTGCTCAGTGCTTCCTCTGAGTGCCGCGAGCGTGCTCGGCAGTAGATCCGATTTCGTCTTCCTAAGCACAAGCGAAGAGAGGAGCTTTGAAGAAGGCCATTTCGTGACCTCCCAAGCAAGCTTACATGTTTCCCTATCTCTGCTGCTTAAGCTCGCCAGCGCGTGAAAGATCGTGCCATGCTCGAGCTCGCCAGTGAAGTTGCGCGACAACGAGTTCGCATGCCTAACATATGCCCCACCGCGACAAAATGTGGCAATGAGAGACATTATAAGGCAAGCCTCCTTAGCCGAAAAGGTCGTGTCTGACATCAGGTACAAGTATTCAGTAGCGAAGTACCGCACCGTCTGGGATACCAATTCCGTTTTTGGATTCTCGCTCGCATACGCAACGGCAGCAAGCGTCTCCCAGAAGCTCTCGCTGCGACGCAGTCCCGGCTCTGAAGTGTCTGACTTGAGAGCAACAGCCAGAATCTGCAACGCTGTAGGGCGACCCTCTGGTTTAGGGTCAAGGCACTCAGTCGTAATCTTTGCGAGCGCTTCTGGGGCTGCCTTTCTTGGGTTCAGTTCCTCTTTCAACAGGATCATGCGGGCATTGCAGGTCTCAGGTTGAGGCATCCGTGGTAAGTCACCGGTGAGGATTTGGTGCAGAACCATGCCAACTGCCCAGATGTCGCTCTTGGTGGACCATACAGTGATACGGCCAGTGAGTTGCTCCTTCTCATCGCGGATTTCCTATAGTTCAATCAGAGTCCGCTCCACATGTAAGAGCAGGGTGTACTACCGGCGCCCAATACCTTTCTGTCCCCGCTCCCGTGGAGGGAGCCTTTCCCCCATCACAGTATCTAAAGGACGCGCCAAAATCCCCGAGTTTAGGGACCTTCCCAGTGGTGCTCTTCGGGTTATCCGAGTCTTCACCTTCTTCTTTGGACCGGGCTAAAAGGACTGCGGAGTTTTGATTAGGACAAAAGCGCTAATAGTGGAACCGAACGGGCAAGATGAGTCTCAAGCTTGAAACTCTCGACTTACTATTTCCCGGTTTGATATCCCTGTGAATGACAGGTTCCCACGGAGCTTCAAACCCTTGGTACGTGTACAGCGAGCCTTCCCCATGAACAGTTTGCAATCCATGGTGGCACCGACACAGTGCAGAAGCGAGCGCATGCAAAATCAGCCAGGTAAAACCGTCAGGAAAAAATCTTCTCATACTGTCAGATCAAACACCTCTCATAATGGACATGCACACTCACCCCTGAGATTCGTTCATGAACGTAAACAAGTCTTTAAATTCACAGTACTCGGTAAAAATCTGAAGTAGCTGGTCGTCTACGGATCGCGCGTGATGGACGTATTCCAGTATGTGCGGGTGGTTCAGAGTCATATAGCAGTTGAGTTCTGCATCCATTTCGCATAGGTGCTTCTCCCGTTTCGCCGATATTAGACGAATGTCTTTGCGCGCAAACACCTATGAGTCTATGATCAGCACTATTGTTCAAATAAAGTTCCCAATGACTTACCCTGTTGCATTGAATGCATGTAATCTTATACACACTACCATAGGAGCCGAAACCCAACCGCTGGCCTTCTTTGCGAAACCGATGGGGAGGACAGGACGTATGCGCAGAAGTTGGGTAAAGCGACGTCTCCGAGTCGCTTTTGGGTCCCGCACTAGCGTCAATCGAAGACCCTGGTATTCCGCTATCCGAATTGTAGGATGCGCTCATGGCAGTAGATAGGGTTTGCTTGCCAGAGGGCAGGGAGCCATCAGGTCCGCAGTACAGGTCGTAGTTCTCAGTGTCCGGCATCAGATCCTTCTCATCTGTTTTCTCGACATTTATCCCATTCGTACGTACATGCGCTTCTACAGCTGTCTCTCTAGTAGCTGAAGGTGTACCGTGAGGTCTTCTGAGGGCTGCGTTGATCTCATTGATGTGATGTAAAGGAGGAGCGCGTCGGCGGAGAGGCAGCGAGGTGGCTTTTCGAGGAGGGCCAGGGTGAGTCTCCTTAATTGGGGTTGAGCCTTTCTGAGAGCCCGAAGTAGAACGAGAGAGTCGGCCTTGGGGCACGCCCTGTGCTTTTCGCGCCGTCAAATCGGTAGATGAGCCAAACGCAAAAACTTGATGTCCCTCGGGCGACTCGGTGAAATTGATCTTCATCGTACCAGCCATTACGGAAGTCCTGGGCCTTTCCTCCATCGTAATATGTACATAACAAGTTAACGGGCCAGTGGAACCATTGCCTTTATGCGCTAGGAAGCCGGTGAATTGAGCCACGGGGATACAGAGCATGAGGTTTTCGTCAGCTTGCACTGTCCAAAATGAAACCAACCGGACGCCGAGATAGCCTGATCGGTCTGATGACTGGAATGTCCCGCAGGAGGACAACTGGGGCTTGCAGTGCCTCCCCAAACGAGCTATCAGTTGGCTGTCCCGCCACACGGCGCTCCTTTAGCGATCCAGCCCTGTTAATTCGCCGCAAGATTAACAGAGTGAGAGACTCACGGCAAGAAGCTGGAAATAGTATGAGGATATGAGTACACACCTCGAAGTGGTGTGTTTACCCCAAGTCGCAACTCTAGTAGGAAACAGTAGCTTCAATCATTCAGCTCAAAAGCTTACCTCTTCCAATAGAAACAGATCCCAGGTCTTCGGTCGAACCATCGTGGCGATCATCGTCGCTTCCGGCCCCCAGATCCATCCACGGGCGAACCCTGCAGGCATCCGCAACCGACTCTGGAACCCAATCCGTCACGGCTAAAACAAATATGGTATAGGCTTCCGAGCTCAGCAATGTTCCTGTAGACGCTGTGGCGTAGCACATGAAGTTAATTCTTATCATGTTGGCTGGAAGCGTGGTAGCCCGTGGCGCAAGGCTGAACTGTGCCTCCTGTTGCTTTTTTCAGAGGGATGCGAGGTAACGTTCGGTCACAAATTTTCAGAGTTTTTTTTACCTGTTTACGTTCTGGGCTCGATAATTACCCGCTGTGTCTCTTTCGACACGGGTCTCCCATATCCGATGCTGGGTCTACACCTGGGCCACCTCGTTCATGGTGTAGCGGTGCGTGCTCGCATTTTACAAGTCATTCTGACTCCTAGAGCATTAGATCTGTCGAACTAGGCGCAGCATCCGCAATCTCACGCATTGCGGTATGAAATCACCTCGCTAGTCATTACTAGGAGCAAGTATGCGATAAGTCAGCGTTGAAACGGAGCAAACAACGGCTCTCTCTCCCTCTCCCTCTATCTCTCCCCCTCTGCCGTGGTGGAACGTACCAAAATGCCACGCATATTGCGCACTTTGAAAAGCGGTTGAAGGGATAGCGTGCATTCTGAGGACTATTCCAGACCTCTGATCATTCCAAGCAGCACCACTTCTCGCCCATATAACAAGATGCGAATATTTCAAACTTGATGTTGGTACGCTATCAATGTTGGTGAGGAGAGCGGTCCCGAGCAGCACTCGAGCTAGGGATGCTGGGTGATCAAAGAAAAGGAGAAATACCGCCTGATGTCGAATCGGAGGCATGGATTGCGCCGCAGTCGAGAAGCTTTCAGCATCCTTCTTAGGGGAGCGGTCTCGTCCCCTCTCCAAATCCTGAGATATCTCTTTTTGAGAGACTGTTCAATCTTCCTCGTCGTGTCTAGTTCCCTACCTTGTTCACGAATTTGTACGGAGTTAGACGAGTGCTTCTAAACACAGCCCAGCTCTCTCTGAGTCGATCCAGATCCCTAGAGATGTCTCTTCCCCCCAGCGGCCAGGCGATTAGTTGGACCCGTCGCCATACCCGATACATATCTCCTATCACAGCTTGGGCGTACTTCTGGTATTCACCGTCTATCTCCCATCCTTCGGCGGTGGCCTTCACGATGGCAGCAGCTGCAGAATCGATCATTTTGAAGGTGAGATCGTAGGCCAGCCAAGCGCACTCCTCCCGATCGCCCCTGTTGTCCCCGCTATTGGCTTCAATGCCTCCACTGTCCCCATTGCCCTCGTTCTCCCCAGATACAACATCTCTCTCGCACCGAATCGCGAGCGTAAACACACGGGAAGTGATCTGGCGAACCGCGAACAGCAGGTGCTCGGGGTTCAGCTCCTTGAAGGTAGAGTCGATCTCCATGTCGGCTTGGAGAGCTAGCGGACGATGGTAAGTGCAACGCAGGGCAACTGTCTCGGGGATATCGTTGAGGGATGCGAGCTCGGCTATATCTTTGAATCTGGGTTTATGATCGAGGCTCTCGCGCAGGCGCTGGAGGGCGGGGTAGGCAGCCTGACTGGGTCAGCTGTAGGCACGTTTCAGGGGACGACGTGACCTACCATCGTCAACGTCGAGTTGTTTGCGTTCCAGAGCGGTTCAAACGGCGCAACTGACGTCACCGTCGACAGCAAGTAGCATTGGGCTGATGTTGACTCGCGAAAGAGATGTGCAGAGAAGATTTATGCGGGAAGGCGAAATCTTGGAGACCAGAAATGTTTGCATGAGCACGTTTTGTTGACGGTCCTAACTTCCTGGACATTTGAGGTGGGAAACCGGCACCGCGACGTCTAGACACCGAAGCTTTTATGCCGGCCAAAATCTAATATCCAGAATCACCTATCGAGAGTAGCGAGCATGTCCTCCACGGTTTTGAACTTTTCTCTTTCTTTGCTGAGCTCTTTTCCTCGCGAGCGTTCTGCTTGATCGAGCCTCTTCCAGTCCTCCCAGCTGACCGGTCGCACACCGTTCCCAATAACCTCTTCCTTGATCCCGTCCCAACCTAAACCGGTACTCTGCTTCTCGCCTTTATCAGTGTTCAGAAACGGCACATCGGATTCCCAGTCCTGGGCAATGACATCGGCGGAGGCAAACGCGTCTTGCATTGTGCTTGCAATCACACCAGTTGGACCGCGTTTGACCCAGCCGGCGCAATAAAGACCTGGTACATGGCCGGCAGTTAAGGCTCCTGGGCCTTCGGAGGGAGCAATGACGCGTCCGTATGGGTCGTTCGGGATGATGCCGAGTTTGGGGTCGAACGGGACGCCGATATCAGAAAATCCGGGCAATGCGGCCGATTTGTATCCGACGGATCGGAATGCTAGCGATGCGGGATAGGCGGATGTCTCCTCTGTGGGAGTCACTGAAGCAGACTTGGAGAAAGGATCCGTCCCTGGAGAGAAGGCTTGGTTGGTGAATGTGACAGAGGTGAGATGGCCGGAGCCTTCGCTCGCGTCTATGGACTTTGGTGCCTTGAGGAAAGACAAGGACCAGGATTTGCACGACTCTTGTGGGGAAGCCTGAGTACCTTTCAGCAGGACTTCTGCTATGCGCCGTTGCACTCTAGGGAGCTTCTTGATATCTGGTGGGTATAATGACTGGTCGATTGGCTCGAACGTCACGCCAGGGATATGCATCAGCTCGCGAGCTTCCTTAACAGTAAATGCAGCCTGCGTGCATTAGGACTAGGGATGTATAGGCGTGGGTTGCCGGGAAGCATACCTGCAACGGACCGCGCCGTCCTACTACCTTGACGGACTTCACCCTACTACCAGACAAAACTTGTAAAGCCTGTTCCGTGATGTCCGTTTTGCGCAGGACATCCACGGGTGTCAAAAGTATCCGCGCAACGTCCAATGCCACATTTCCCTGCCCTATAATGACAGCCTGCTCCCCAGCGTCTAAACCCGGCGCCAGGCTCTGGAACTGGGGCAGCCCATTATACCAGCCTACGAATTCTCTCGCCGAGAGGACACCCGGCAGATCTTCACCCGGTATCCCCAACTTCCTATCCTCGGACGCTCCATACGAGAACAGGATCGCGTCATAGTGAGGCTTCATCTTCGCCAGCCCAATATCATACCCAACCCTGACGTTGCCGATGTAATTGAATCGCGGTGATGCGGCTACCTCCTCGAATGTATCCTGGCAGTTCTTGACTTCAGGATGATCGGGTGCGACCCCAAAGCGGACGAGCCCATAGGGTACGGGGAGCTGCTCATACATGTCCACCCGAGCATCTTGAACCTTGTGCATCAACCGATGCGCCGTATAGAAACCGGCAGGTCCGGAGCCGATGATGGCAATCCGAAGGGGCTTTTTCGGGGAAGCTACGGTATGCGCATTGCGAAACGGATGCAAGATGGGCGGACTGGGCGGGGTTGCGTTTATCGAGGTACGGAGGTCGCGGGTCGCGGTGCTGAGAGCTCTCGTGAGCCGGGATGACGTATGGACGCGGACTGCGCCCGGAGCAGCATTGCTACAGCGTCGGACGCAAGCCGCGCAGATATATGGTGCTCCGTGGGTAAACTGTGCAGGACGCATGTTGTGCGACAAGGTTGGAGTTGAGAATTGCGGTTTCTGATGCCTGCTGACTAACAACGGTTGCGTCAAATCACCAATATTCCCCCTTACAAGTACAGTATGGATTGCTTCACAAAACCATCACCGGAATCACGTTTACTTCAGATTTGAGACATTCTGATGCCAACTCTCCGATTTGTCACAAGCTGGTCCAGACGTGTGCTTGACGACGAAGCCTCGTCAGCAACCAAGGCGCGCGGTCGGACTGCCTAGATGCATTCCGGGACCGCCATCGCCATCGTCGCCCAGTCCAACTGTATCCCGCATCGCGTCAATATTGGCGGGGCTCTGGCTGCATTAATGCAACTTTGTCCCCTTCGCATTCATGGTTCTCACGCCATGCACGGCTCCGATGTCCGCGATCTGTATCGATTGTTGCCATGGGCAACGGCTATTTACACGACCCCCCATGAACCTGATCCTCCCGCCCCCTGTCCCTCACTCTCCATCAGCATTCCTCTGCTAAGCGAAAGTACCTCTCGTTCATCCCTCACGGCTGAGCATCGAAGGCGCGCATTCCTTAGCCTTCTGCCCTCTAATCGTTGACCATGGGCCGCTGGCAGCCCTATCTCTACAATGCGACCCCAAGGGACTCTTTCACGGACACGGCGGAGACAATCTTCAACCCCAAGGCCGTCACCATGGCGAGCCGTCAGCCGCCCTCACCACCCAAGAAGAAGCCCAATGGCCCTTTGATCAACTTCAACCAGCATCCAGACAGCTACCTGATCCTTCCCTATGGCAAAACCAACGCTAAGCCGATGAGCCCGAAGGTTAAGACGATCATCACGTATATGCGATGGATACAGCTCTTCTTCCGGATATTTACCCTCTTCGGCGCCGTGGGAGTGCTGCTGTGTGGCATTTTCATCAAGGGAGCTCAGAATACCGAAGGGTACATAATGAGGATTCCAGTAGGTCTCCGCACATGCTATCGCTTGGACACTGCTGATCAGATAGCCTGGCATCGATATTGTAGTCATCCTTTATGCCATCTACCATCTCCTCCGGGCTGCAAAAGCACGACCTCCGGCCAGCTCTGCCAGCTACCACTTCTTTGCCTTGGTCACCGACGCTGGATTCATACCTTTCTACGTCTTCACCGCACTACTCTCGAGGCGTAATCTCAACCAGGAAGCTGGAACAAGCGGGCGGTGGCGGACTTTCTTCCCCACCGACGAGGAGACGAACAAGGTGTTGCAGACAGCATGGCTCACGGCGACCAGTGTGGCGGGCCTGCATTGCGCGTCGCTATTCTTGGATCTGTACCTTGTGCTTATTTTCAGGAAGATCGCTCGTCTTCCTCCGGATATGAACCCACTTGAGGAAAACTTGACGTCTCGGCGCAAGATGAAGCACAAGCACAAGAACTCTTCCATCTCCGCGATCACCCCTCTCACTCAGGACGAGAAGCGCTTCAGCGCCCAAAGTTCGAACACGAACATCACTGGCAACAGGAACTCCCAAGCCGACACCTTAATTGCCCATGAGATACCCTCTCCGGAGCGCAAGACGATGTCTTTTATGCATACGCGGACAAACTCGGACATGGCTTACTCGCCTCATACCCCAAATTCGGCCCGACAATCACGAGAGAGGTTCTCCATGTACTCCCAGCCTCCTTCTGCTCGGCATTCGCGCGCCGACCTGAACCGTCGAGAGGACCTGCACCGCAGAGACGAAGACGACAATGAAACACTGGCCCAACGGAAGTCATTCCTCGCGCAACAGGCCATCAAGAGAGCGTCCAGGCCCAACTCTTTCGTTACAAACTCGTCCAAGCAAGACTTCTACACTCCTCCCACCACTGCCGAGAAACAAGATACGGCCGGCGATATCTCCCTTCAGAACAATCGCGAGGCCCTGCAGTCCGATAACTGGTTCGTCCACGAGGGACAAGACGACACGGAGGATGAGCGTTATGCAGCGCCCAAACCATCTCTTTTCCCCTCCAAGAAACAGGGTTATAACACTGTCTCGATGGATGACGACGTCTCAGATGATGACTTCGATCCTCCGATGATGCCTCAACCTCTCCGGATGAACCCTCCCACCCCACCGCCCACGAAATCCTTCCATGAAGCTAGGAGCACACCGCCTTCTAAGCTGACGAGGAATCAGACGATAACCTCGTTGTCCAGCGAGGCGACGTTCAGCCGGTCTCCTACACGCGCTTCGGCCAAGTCACGGTACTATGGAGATCTGAAGGCAGCTACCCAGGGGATCCGAGGGGGTTCGCCAGCTAACTCGCCTGGTGCGTCACCCACCAAGAGTGGGTTTACGCCAAACAGCCTGCCTAGCTCGGCGAGGCAATACACGACGAACTCGCCCGCTGCACCCAAAATCCAGAATGTCCCGTTCAGCTTGGACAAGAAGTCGTTCGCAAGTGTACGGAAGACGGGCGAAACAGGCTATATTCCTGTGAAGGGACATTCTCCTCGGGTTATCAGTAGGTCGGGAGTTGATTATGAAGGGGGCTCATACTTTGACGATTCGGACCTGGGGACACCAGGACGAAGACGCGACGTCAGCGGAAAGATTGCAGAAGAAGGCCGTGGCGGAGTGGCAGATCTCGCTAGCCGATGGGGTGGCATGAAGGACCATGGGCTGACGTACAGAAAGGTGAGTGGTGTGGCATAGCAGCATGAGGACGCGGCGTTGCTTGGTGTTTATCTGGCGTTATATGGGGTACAGTGTTGGTTTGTTTGTACAATTGGGGGGTGTGAGAGGGCACATAGGGCACATTCTGTGCATGGAATCCGTCGCGCGAACCGAGGACGGTGACGTGTGCTCCATCCGCGTTTGCTGGACGGCCTCGCGACCGTGTATCCAGCAGGCGGGCGCGAATCCAAATTTTCCCTCAACAATTCCTCTGCGTCTGACACGTACCAAACACGCACCAATTGCGCCGTCAGGTAGCGCAGCCTCCATCGATGCAGTCCGGCCGGTTGCCACCCCTAATGCGTGCTCATCCGGAAACGCTATTTGACGCGCATGCGAGCACCTGACTTCGCATCTTGCCCGGCCGCCCGTTAGGCCACACTGAAGGCTTCTTTGTTCTGGCACCCTCCGAACGCGACATTGGACTCCCCGAGTTCGTCGCGCGCATCGTGGTCGCCCACCTTCACGCATTCCCGCTTGTTGACGAGGATATAGCCGCTGCCGTTCGCGTCAGTGTCGCGCTTGCGCAGGTGCCCACGGCTGCTGCGCGAGACACGTCCCCAACCGACTTGCGCTATTCTTAACCCTCGCTCATCAGGGCGCCCATTGCTCTACCATTCATTCTTTTAGATCGCACGCCTCCGCAGCGCCATTCTGGGGCCTCGGGATAGCGCCGTTGCTCGATGATAGACGGCGGGGCCTGCTACCCCGCCACGATGCGTGAGTCGCGTCTCCGGATCCACGATGAAGCTGCACTCACGAACTGCGCCTCTAGAGAACGTAAACGCAGCCCAACCGGCGCCTGTTCCGACCCTGTACAAGCGCGAGCTGCCGGATTCGCAGGAATCCTTTGTATCTGCTGCGTCCAGTACATTCTCCGCGCCCCAATTGCCGTCGTCGTCGAGTAACCTATCCGCGTCCACCGTTGCAGAGACCGATTTCACGTCGCCTTCATCTTCGAATGTGCTCTCAGCCCAGAAGCACACCGCAGAACGAGCGGTTCCCCCATCCCTGGCCCGATCTCGCGTGCAGAATGCGCCGTTACGGATCGATGCCGTGAACGCGCCGCGAACTGGTGACACAGCAGCGAGCCCCATGTCGCTCGACTCTCCTGTGACCCAAGGATTCAAGAGGACCGCAGATGGGTCAGTGAAGGGCGCCGGACTAGCCGTGGACAGCGCTATGGTGCCTTCGATAGGACATAAGAGAAATAAGAGCATGGAGTCCAGTTCGAGCGGCCGGATCGGAGAGGTGCGTACATGCAGATCGAGATGTGAACATGTTGGCATGCAGCTGACGCGCCCTGCAGCTTTCCGCCCAGCTAAAGACGCGCCTATCCTACGCCATGGTCAAGGTGCAGAACGGTTGGGAAAAGCAGTCGCTCGAAGAACTTGAAGAAGCCGCCTCACAACGTGGCTCACCTGTCTCGGCCCAGGGTAGAAGCGGTGACCCCCGCCTGACCTTTGATTCGCCCTCAGGAGCAGAGCGTCGGCGCCGCCCAAGTGGTGTATCGGAGAACTCTGACCAGATGATGATATCTCCCGGCCAGAGTACTCCATCAGATCCATCGAGATCTCTTGCTGCAACTCCATCATGTACGTATCTAATCTGCGTTCGATGTTGGTAGAGACTAATGCGTTCCACAACAGCATACTGGCGTTCTGGGGCTAAGCCTGCTATGAACGCTGCAGTTAGTCTTATATCCGTCACCGGCTCGAACGCTGGCCCCATGCTTGGCCCTGCCCCAGACATCAGCTCTCGAAGAAAGCGCCGCTCAAGCGCTTCGCATGCTCCTCCACCACTTCTGAGTGCCAATCAGCGGAAACACTATAGTGATCTGGGCGCCACTCCTCGAACTCCCGCTACCCCCCGAGCAGGCATCCTTCGTATGCCCAGCCAGCAGGCCGAGAAGGATGCCGTAGACACGCTTCTTTTCATGAGCAGTCCCAACAATTCAAATCGCCTTGCCCACACCGGCATAGACGCTCAGAGTCAGCGATCAAATATTCCACCTCCTGCACGACGAGTAATGTTCGAGAATTTCCCCCCAAGCGAAAAGGCGCCAATGAATGTGCAACAATCGCAAGCACCGCGCACTCAGCAACCGGCCTATCCCCGAGCAGACCTTGCGCGATGACGACTCTCCCGCTGCACCGATTCCCGTACGATCCATCTCATGCGGCTTCCCCGCGAGAATGAACGCATTGCACGATTGGCGTTGTGTGATACCCGGATGTTTCCATTGCATTGAAGGCATACTGTTGTTTCAAACATGAAGGTCTAAGAAGCTGTTTGGTGGTGTGCAGCATTGCTATCATACTTGACAAAAAGAGTGTCTTGACGGCCGCCAGACGATAATAACTGGACCATTTATTCTTCCGTTTCTTTCTCAAGCATCGTCTTCATCCTCGAGAGAGCATGCGACTGATATTTTGCCTACGACTTTGATGATCTGATCTCATTTGAAGCTGCTCTTGCGGCTAGTGTATATTGTGGCGTTAGCTCGAACACAACAATTTGAACCCCTCCATGCACCAGTGGTTGTGCACCAACCGGAAGCATCACGAGCTTTCCGCGCAAAACCTGTTGCACACAAAAGTGGCAAGGCCACGAGATGAAAAAGATACCAGTCGGCGTCTGGCCAACGCCATTGACCTTTTGCCATCCCTTGAATACTGCGGTGGTTCGATGTTCCCTGCATGGGTCCTCGCCGCGGCAAGTGCGGGGACTAGAGCCTCCTTGGAGCAACGTCATGCTAGCACTGGGTGAAAACGAATGACAGGCCCAGACAAGAAGCTTGGGGGCCCATCCTTGGCTAGTTGATCTGTTTTAAATCCCACGTTGGCCCTTGAGACCCTTCTTCCTCCAGTTCTTCACTCACTCCCTCTTTCTCGTCCCTTTGTCTGCGCTGTCTTCGGGCTCGGAGCTTGGAGCTGGAGCTCAGCATCGCCGATCTACCTTCCTGCGCCAACCACCAATATCGCATTCTCGAAGAAGGTGAATCGGCAGGATGTCCGTCTCTGCAGCATTGAGGAGCAGAGTCCGGCGGCCAAGCTACCTGAAGAAGATTGCAAAGGCAGAGGATTTGCTGCATTTGTTTCCCAATGGCGCGTATGTTGGTTGGAGTGGGTTTACGGGCGTCGGCTATCCCAAGTAAGTGCTGTTTCCTCCCAGTTCACAACCCCTTTCGAAGGCATGCTTCTTGGCAATGGTTTGGGGCTGTTTTCGGTGTTTATGAAGGTGTTGTTGAGGTGTGGATCCCGAGGTGGAACGGAAGAAGAGTTGGCCGAGTTATCTCCGTTGGTGAGGTAGGGATCGATGGTGTGCGGAAAAAGTGGGACGGCGACTTGCGTAAGGTGAGGGATCTCGGGGAATAGTTGGGGAAATTTTTCGGGCTCTATTTTGCCTCAGCGGAGTGCTGCGGAAGGGTTGTGGAGGAAGAGAAGGAGCATACACTCCGCGACTTTGGCCACTTTCAAACCCCAAGGTCTTTCCCCAGGCTATCATCTCTCATACACCGAGCTATCGCTGTGACGGCTTACAAGATGCTAATCATGCTCCCTCAGGAAAATTCCCACCGCGTTAGCAGACCATGTGGAGAAGAACAATCTGCAAGGCAAAATGAAATACAGCCTCTTCGTCGGCGCCTCGTCAGGAGCTGAGACGGAGAACCGATGGGCACGTTTGAACATGATTGAGCGACGATCACCACATCAGGTCGGAAAGGAGATTGCGAAGGGCATCAACAATGGCAACATCAAGTTCTTTGACAAGCATTTGAGCATGTTTCCGGTGGACTTGATGTACGGGTAAGTAAAATTATCCGTTGCTTGCGAGAGGGAGATGAATGCTAAAATGCCACAGATACTACACCCTCAACAAGCCGTCGAATAAATTAGACGTCACCATTGTTGAAGCAAGCGCTATCACAGAAGACGGTGGCATTATTCCCGGAGCAAGCGTAGGCGCCTCTCCTGAACTCATTCAGATGGCCGACAAAATCATCATCGAAGTGAACACCGCTGCGCCGTCGTTCGAAGGCCTGCACGACATCACGATGACTGATCTGCCTCCCCGCCGGAAACCGTACCTCATCATGTCGCCTGAGGACCGTATCGGCACGCCGCATATCCCTGTGGATCCCGAGAAGGTAGTAGCGATTGTGGAGTCCGACTATCCAGATCAGACGCAGCCAAATGCACCCGAAGATGACACAAGCAGGGCGATTGCGGCTAATCTGATTGAGTTCCTACATCACGAAGTTAAACACGGAAGGCTACCGGACAACTTGTTGCCGCTGCAGAGTGGCATTGGCAATATCGCTAATGCGGTTATTGGTGGTCTTGCTGTAAGTCAATGTACTTAGACTTTTAGAAGAGAACCACGACATAGGGAACGCAAGTATGATTCGGGCTAACATTTCCCAGTCCGGTGGTGCAAACTTCAAGAATCTCCGCGTCTGGACCGAAGTCCTGCAAGACTCCTTCCTCGATCTGTTCGACTCCGGTAATCTAGACTTCGCAACTGCCACCTCGATCCGCTTCTCTCCCGATGGATTCCACCGCTTCTATCAAAACTGGGACCGCTACGCTCCCAAGCTGCTCCTCCGTTCGCAGCAAGTTTCTAATTCGCCCGAAATCATCCGCCGTCTCGGCGTCATCGGCATGAACACCCCTGTCGAAGTCGATATTTACGCACACGCAAACTCAACCTGTGTCATGGGCAGCCGCATGCTCAACGGCCTCGGTGGCTCCGCAGACTTCCTCCGCAGCGCCAAATACTCAATCATGCACACGCCCTCAACCCGCCCCACAAAGACCGACCCCACGGGCGTATCCTGCATCGTGCCAATGTGCACGCACATCGACCAGACGGAGCACGATCTCGACGTCATCGTCACGGAACAGGGTCTCGCCGATGTTCGCGGCCTGTGCCCCCGCGAGCGCGCGAGGGTTATTATTGACAAGTGCGCGCATCCGGATTACCAGCCGATTCTGCTCGATTACTTCGACAAGGCGGAGTATGAGTGTTTGAAGAAGGGATGGGGCCATGAGCCGCATTTGCTGTGGAATAGCTTTGATATGCATAAGCATTTGAATGAGCATGGGACGATGAAGTTGCCTAAGTGGGATTATACGAGTAGTGAGGAGAATATGCAGAAGCCGTGAGGGGGTGAGGGGTGATAGAAGTGGCAGAGGGTTGGATATGCCGTGTGGTGGGGTTTTGATATGCTTGGAAGATTGTAGAATACATAGACCGGCGAAAGAATGGATTTCTGTTTGTTCAAGGGGGCGGATGTGTCACCAGGTCGCGTTGTTCGAGTCGTTACAGCCGGCTGAGGGAGCCCGAGACTCCGTGACGGTGCCTGAGGTATAAGGGGTCCTGCGGTTTCTCCTCAACCCAGCGCCTCTGCCATCCTACCATAGGTGGAGAAACAGCACTCGAATACTTCCAGCACCCTCTCATGAAGATCACGCTCGCTCTTCTCACATTTCCTGTCGCAAACCTCGCGCGCTTCGGTCACGTTCACAGGAAAGAAAAGCCGACGAATGCACGAAGGACGAACGCGAAAGCGGGAACCCCCAGAATGGATCGTATACGGCTCAACACCGAGCGAACGATACCGCATAGAGTCTAATACGTGGACACTACCCTTAAGCATAAACAGCTCAACGCCCGAACTTGAGGTTCAATGGGGCGCCTTGACGCTAGCAAATGCCTGTCAAGCCAGCCTCAGGTGCCGTTCGTACCATCTCTGCGCCCCTACATATTAGCGCCCCAGGCTTTCTAAAATTCTCCGTGTTAGCTTGTTGTGGAGGTTGAAGGAGCGCAAAAGAGCAAGGATACTGTGAGAGCGCTGCGTGATGTTGTTCTGCTACACCCCTGCAACACGGCTGCTAGCCACAAGAAGCTTGACCACGCGCCGGGGCCTTGGCGTCTCAAACACTGCGTGCCTCAGCAGGGAATGCTGGAGAGGCCGTCAAAGAAAACCTCAGACAGGCTATGGTTGCCAAGTGCAGCCTCGCACACAAGCTTCAGTCAAGCAGAGTCAAGACGTGCCTTCTCCTGGCGCCAAGGCGTACATCGTGAAAGAGATATAAGTCGCTTGCATGAGAACATGTCATGGCATTAACGCATCCAGTCCTTCCCGCAGCTTAATCCCCTCTTACTATTATCTTTGTTTTACCACAGCTGGGCTGTCATTCGCTTCGAATCTCTTCGACTGTACATATTATCTTAACGCTCAAGTTGTGTACCCGGCCCAGGTGGTGAACATTCCGATCTTTCGAATATATCCGACCAGCAAACAAAACCACAATGCGTTTCTCGGCTTCCTTCATCCTTTCCGGGCTCCTCGCTACCGGCGCTCTGGCTGCTCCCGCCGCGGTTAAGAGGGCGGGTGTCTTGACCAAGCAGAGCTATGCGGACTTTCAGATCTCTGATGGTGTGGCGGGCAATGCACAGGCCGAGGTGCTTCAGAAGTTCCCCGTACGTCCATCTTCCATGTACTCTCCGAGCCGCATCGCTGACGCCCATCCCAGATCGACATGAACGACCTCGCCAACGTCGACCCGGCCGACCAACAAATCATCTCCGGCGCGCGCGAAGTCGCTGAATCCGCCGAAACCGATGCTTTCAACCCAGCCATCGATGCAGCCTCCGGCGCCGACGCCACCGCCCTCCAGAACGGCAAGATCAAGAACAAGGTGCTGAAGCTGCAGCTCGAGGTTATGGACCTGATGATCAGCCAGGCGCAGGGTGAGGATAATGGTACGTTCCTTTCCCTCCTCCCCCTTTCAGTTCTCGAGCGCTAACATGGCCGTAGCCGATAAGATTGCTGAGGAGACGACGAAGTTGAATACGAATATTGGGCTGGATTCGGATGCGGCGGGACAGGCGAGCCAGAGTGTGCAGTTTGATGGTTGAGTGGGTGGGGGATGAGGACTGGAAGGACTGGTTGAGGGGGAGGAGATGAGGAGATGAGAAATAGATGCTTGATGCGTCGACGTATTCTGAAGTAAATATTGAATGAATACTGAAGTCTGAAGATACCCTGGATGTGCTCAGTTGCTTGTTTGCGCCTTCGCTCACGCGCTCGTTCTTTCCTTGATAGCCCGCGTCCCGGTCGCGCTTTCTTCTACACGAACACCCACACAGGGTGCGCATTCCAAGGTTGTGATAATGATCCGTATGTGTACCAGATAATTCCTCAAAATACCTCTCCAATGGAGGGCTGCTGGTATTGCTTGTGGCTGGCCACTTTCTTCTCTTCTGTTTGCGTTTGTTCGCGCTTTTGTTTCTTTGCGACTTCAGATGCTCCATAGCTCTATGTTGGCTGTGTCTTATTCTTCCGTATTCCGTAGTTTACAACTGGTGGAAAGCAACTTTAATAAAAGGTGAGAAGAAAGAGCAGTCGCGAATCTGAGACGAGGTGGAAGCTATGACCCTTTCGGCCGGAACAACAATGGGCCGTCCGGATACTGACGACATGCATTCAACCCGCAGCCCTTCAGCCCACGCCTCACGCTCCCAAACACCACAACGCCGCCAAAATGCTACACCTCCTCCCACTCTCAACGCTCCTCCTTCTCCGGGGCATTCTAGCCTCCCCTATATCTCAGGATGAACCTCTACCATTGTTGATCTGGCACGGCCTCGGCGACAACTACGCCGCAGACGGGCTCCGCAGCGTCGGCGACCTTGCAGAGGAGACCAACCCAGGCACATACGTCTACTACATTCGGCTCGACGAAGATCCCGGTTCCGACCGCACAGCAACCTGGTTCGGGAACGTGACCGAGCAGATCGCCCGCGTGTGCGACGACCTAGCCTCCCACCCCATACTCTCCACCGCGCCGGCCGTCAACGCGCTCGGATTCTCGCAGGGCGGACAGTTCTTGCGCGGATATGTGGAGCGATGCAATAACCCGCCTGTCAGGAATCTGGTCACATTCGGCAGCCAGCACAACGGGATTTCCAAGTACCAGGTGTGCGACGCAACGGACTGGCTCTGTAAAGCGTACATTGGGATTCTGAAGGCGAATACGTGGGGCGCGTGGGTGCAGAGCCATCTCGTGCCTGCGCAGTACTTTCGCGCCACCAACGAGACAACCGGCGAGGCGGCGGAAGAGTACCTCAAGCACTCCAACTTCCTCGCGGATATAAATAACGAGAGGGAGGAGAAGAACGCGACGTACAAGGAGAATCTTGCCAGCCTAGATAAGTTCGCCATGTACGTGTTTGAGGACGACACGACGGTTATTCCGAAGGAGAGCGGCTGGTTCGCGCAGACGAATATTACGAGCGGGGATGTGACGCCTCTGAAAGAGCGGACGATATACAAGGAGGATTGGATCGGGCTGAAGAAGTTGGATGAGAAGGGTGGATTGGATTTTAAGACGACGAAGGGCGGGCACATGCAGCTCGATGATGAGGTGTTGGTGGATGTGTTCAAGACATACTTTTCTCCGGCTAAGGCGAGCTGGAGCGGCGTTGTTGACGAGGTACAAGAGCTAATCGAGTTGTAGGATCCGATGGATGACAGCAAGTATGAGCGCTTAGGTTTCTTGGATGAATACCGGATGTGATGGACGATGGTTTGCTTTCGTAGTCCCGTGTAATATTGATCCTTCCCACATTGCTTTTCGCTTGGACCGCCGCCGGAAGGCCTTCACAGTAGGATCATTACTTTGGCGTTACTCTGGGTGGGGTCGGTTGGTCTGCGACGCTATGTACGGGCGCACGTATTTTTGTATAAATATTCAATAAGTTGGCGGTGAGCTGCACCACGGAAGGAGGACTTGTGAATTGTTGTGAACAGACATCGAGAGTGGTATTCTAGTCGAATCATAAGCTAGCACTGTGCATCCCTGAACGCCTTAGCCCTATGCCAATCAAGCGAAATGCCTATATCCTAAGACAAAATATCTAACCGGCGATGAGCGGCGTCTGCACCGAGCGTAGCGCATCCCGCTTCAGCTTATTCCTCTTCTCCCTGCTAATCGACCGTGATTCCTTCTTTTCCGGCTCATTTTTCGCTTTTGTCTTCTTAGACTGTCTACCCTCTTTCCGCCGGGCGAGCACGTCGTCATCGAGCATCTCCTCTTCCCACTCCTCCCACTTCCGCTTCTTGTCAGCCTTCTTGCCTCCGTCCGTGACGGCTGGCCTGTAGGGCTCGTCCAGCACTTGATTCTCGTCAACCCACAGCTCGTCCGCGAGCCAGATCGGAAGCGCTTTCGTCGTAGGGCCCTTGATGTGAAGCCCGCGAATGTTTCTCCAGCCGTGCTCAATGTGCTTCTCGACTAGCTTCGACACGACAGCTTCGACATTCTCTTTAAGTTGCTGGGGCGTCATGGAGAGCTTGCCGACCTTAATTGAAGTGTTGGCTGACGGGCTCATGCTAACGTACGTCGAGTTAAGCGCGGCTTCGATCTCCTTCGCCACACCCTTAGCAGTGCCCACAACATTCTCTGTCTTCTTTTTGTCATCCTTCTTTTTCTCCTTGTCTATCCACGCTCCAGCTGTGAGCCTCAGGGGTATCGGGCGTTTGGCTTTGCTGTCGTAGAAGATCTTTCCGAGATGCTGAGCGACAATCTTGATGACCCGGTCGTCCACCATGAAGACATCATATTCTGCAAGAAGTGCACGCTTTTGTTCGAACGACTTGAACTTTTTCTTAAGTTTGTCCACGCCAATTACTCGAGCGACTTTTGCGCGAAGGGATTCGGGGAAGGCGTTGGAGGCGACGAGGTCTTTGTAGGTTCGCTGCGGGTCTTTGACGAATACGCATATCCGGACGTCATTGCCGAGTATAGGGTGAGGAAGGGGACTGTAAATTCATTAGCAATTGGCGGAAAGGCTGACGGTGCGGGATCTCACAGCTTGGTGGGCTTCAGCCGGCTTGTGTCGTGAACGTGCTGCTTCGTGGAGACGTTCAGAAAGATTGGCTCATCGTTGTCTTCCGCCTCATCTTCGTCTACTGCAAGATTCTTCTTGCCGGCCTTCTTTTCTTTGATCTGGACATGCTGCTTCATGTGCGAAACGAGCGCCGTGGCCGCCCGCTCGACTTGGGCGGGATCCAGTTGGTATGGGGTGCCATGTGAGACTTTCGTGGTGAGTGTCGCATCAGCTGTCTTCTTTTCCTCCGAGTCCGACTTGACAAGAGCCTTGGATTTTGCCATGTTTGCGGAGGTGCTGTTGCAGGACTGCCTCATCCCAGTCGCATAAATTTCTCGAGCCAAGATTTCTCCTCGGCGAAACCTAAATCCGAGAAAATGGAGGGGCTGCGGCGCCATCCCGATTGGGGAACTCCAGATGAAGCTCCGGCCAATCAGCGCGTCTCAGATGGCGCCGCACGCGAGCTTCCTGTGCATGCAAGCAGCCGGTGAAGCCTTTCCTTCGTCACTATTGCCGTGCAGATGTCCGTACCGCAGAATCTCCCTCGAATCAGGCTGAGACATGTTTTAGGTCAATTGAGGGCACGGCATACTTCCAGTATGGAAGCAGAAGTCGTGACCCCGCTGTAAGAGTAGAAGCTCTGGATTATCCCTCAATTGCACGAAAGCTGTATCATTTCAATGGCAATTGATGCAAAAGCAACGGTTTCCGGGGGCTTGCAGCGCGAAACCTCCTTGTGGCTGACGAAAAGGATCTGACGGCCTTCACGCGACGCTGTCCTGAGCTCGGTGCCGAAACCGACGGCACCGCGCTCGGTCCCTTCACTCCACCACCACGGTTTCAACGCGTCTATACCGCTCCTTTGGGCGTCGTCGCGAGGCTTACATGCTTCACGGAAGGTCATCGATGCAGGCTAGCGAGGTTGGCTGCTGCACGAAGATTTTTCTTTTCTGTTGCGTGACGTCCCATTCTGATGCCGTCCCACATGGAGTAGTCGCTACTGCAAGTCACCGAGTACGTCCATTTATGGGTGTCAACCTACCAGAAACTGGGCTACAGCTCCGAGTGTAGACGGCTGGACGAATAGCAGATCAACTGCCACGAATCTGATAAACCCCTCAGCAGGATCGTGGAAACGCCAGTTCACAGAAATAGCTGCCAATCAGGCTGAATCGGCAGAGGGCAAGACTTTAAAGTGCATGGCTGCAGGTACGAATTCAGGATTTTGTTTGCTGCGTGCAAGATGGCAGCTCAGCGCGTAGTGGGCTGCCAATAGACGCGGGCAAAAGCCAACACTATCTGCAAGCGTGGGAGGGGCTGGGACGGGAAGAGATGAAGATGCAGCAGCCGCCGAGCGAGTAATAGCCATGACCGGCGCATAGCGATAGTGGGCGGGAATCTTTGCTCGTGCACGGAGCTTACACACTATGGGCCTCGCCGAGGAGCGCCTCGAGCAGGATGCGTGTTGGGGAGAGGAATTGCAGTAGAACAAAGGCGTTGGAGAGGCATGAGCGCAAGACAATTCAAACGTAAAACGTACAGCACCCAGACTCGAATGCAGTGGCCGCGTTTTGCAGGGAATAAATTGTGCTCCAAGGCTCGCGGTGGAGAAATTCCTGTGCTTCTCACCGTCCATGCGCCCTGTAGCGCGTCTACTCCACATTCGCGCAACGCGCTTTCTACATCCTTGGCCGCTCCGACGTGACCGCCTTCCCTTCCCCGATTGACCCCATGGCCTCTTCTTCCTGACCACCTACACCACCCTCCGTCTTCTCTTTTGTATTCTTCCTCACCGGACAGCCGCGTCTGCTACCGGCTGCCTGAGGGTTGGCTACGGTTCACGTTCACGCTGCGTCTGGATAGAAGCACGACACGCCGCCCTGCTTCGCGTCCGCGCCTTCGACACGCGGCATGGAGTCTTCTCCGAGCAGCAGGGCACCGCAATTGCCCTTGGAGCCAGAGCAGCAGCGTCCAGAGCCGGCGCGGAAGCCGTCGTTGCTCCCCGCCTTCGAGCCGCTCTCGTCCTCGCCCTTCCCGCGTCCGCACTCCGCGAAGCGAAAGTTCAACGAGGACTCGCCCTCGTACCCCAAGCAACAGCTGAGGTACTATCCTACGCCAGTGCCGACCTCGTCTACTGGCATTCTGCCATCGTCGTCGCCCCAGAATGCCCGTCCGGCCTTCCAGCGTACCATTTCCGCGCTCTCGGAGCGGGTCCCTCTCGGAGCCGTGCCGACGGTTGATCTGCCCGCTGACGGCGAAATCGTTCGCATGGGCAGGTCTTCAAATTCATCCGACTACCAGCTGTCCGCCAACCGACTGATTTCACGCGTTCACGTCCAAGCCGCGTATCACGCCCCCACCGCGTCCCACCCGAACGGGTATATTGAGGTCGAGTGTCTGGGATGGAACGGTGCAAAGATTCACTGTAAAGGCCGTGTCTTCGAGCTGGAAAAGGGTGACACGTACACGTCGGATAATTCTGAGGCGGAGATCATGCTAGATGTTCAAGATACACGCGTCATGATCGCGTGGCCCGTCATTCCGAGGAAGCTTTCATGGGACTCAGGAGACGACCTCTCGCCAACACGTCGACCGGCTCAGGACCACTTCGCTTCAAGTCCCCCCGTCATTCCGCGTTCTCCGGTGTCACAGAGCCCAATCCGTCAGCCAGTCTTCGCCCCCGGCGCTGCCCTACCAGCACAGTCTGGACCCGTGCAGATATTCGAGGATGCCGATGCAGATGAGGAGAACGATAAAGGCAATGGCCCGACCCCAGTGGATATGACCTTTATTCGTCCTTCCAAGTCGCGTTCCAATTCAGCTCAAGACGTGAATGCCGTGGACCCAAAGGCTAGCATACTCTCATCCTTCAATGTGGATGACTTCTCGGATGGAGATGAAGAGAATGACCCGGTGATTCACTCTTTTGGTCCTTTTGGAGAGAACCTTCTCCCCCGTCTCGCATCGTTCTCAACGACTACTCCAACCCAGCCCAGCGTCTCTGCACAGCGTCGCCGCCGCGCCGCCTTAGCTTCGTCTTCGCCAAAGCACGCCTCACCAACCCAATTACTACGCTTCAAGGACTCTCCGATCAAGAACCATGTCATCAACCAGCTCGCGTACTCTCGCCTTCACTCGCAGGCTCTGTCAGCCATTCATGGCAACCTCCCCGCAGAGCTGAAGGCATGTGTTGCTAAAGATTCAGAAAGCAAAGGCTCAGACGGTAGTGGAGCATCTACTCCAACCCCGCAACTCACCAAGCAGGATCTCAAGAAGCTTTTGGATGAGATTCCCTGCATCGGCGAGATACCCCGCTATGGCAAAGACGCTGCCGGCAAGCCGCTCGAGAACGAGTTCTACTACGTTCCAGAGATGGACATGGATCAGATCAGGCGTGACACTGTTACTGGTGGTATGCGTGGCACTGGTCTGCGAAGTGTGAGGAAGCAGCACAAGGTAAGCTTGTCGCCCTGCTATCGTCTGCTCAGCATGCTCATCTTTTTCTAGCAATATTACTGGAAGAAGCCCCGCGTCTAAGCCCTCTATCCACCGTTACGAATCGCAGTCGTCACCGCAATTCATGAAATAGACGTATGTACGCCGCCGCTTCGCCGCTGTTCTACATCGGTCACACAATACTGGCGTACCGGTGTCGCCCCTTCTACAACTGCTTCAGACTGTCACCAGCTGCCACTGGCTGACATAGCTCACCCAACCTCGCCGTCGCGAGCCGCTAACTAGTCGACGACCCTTTCCACAGTTTCACATTCCCCTGCGTATTTGCATTGCATAGCGAGGCGTTGTCGATACCACTTTTCCATTAACCCATTTTTCCAGTTCAAAATCTCTTCCTCAACTGTACCCCATATTGCCCCAATGGTTGTGTATTCTCGCATGTACAACTATCTTCCCTTCTCTCTGGTTAGCTGCATCTGCATTACCGGAGCCTGGATGGATACATTGTGCATTTTTCCTCTTTCCGCTTCTATCTCATATGGTCCCTGCTGTGGAGCGTATCGGTATTTTATACCCCTTGATCACCCTATGTTGGATCGTCCTCACAGGTTTTAGCTAAGGTTGGCTTGGATGTTTTCAATTACCCCTACCTTTTCCCTTTTTCACGCCGTCGACGCGGCGATGGATCCAGCGCCCTTGTTTTCTTACGGCTGATTGGTGATGGGTGCACCTAGTGCGGACCCGGCGGTGGAAAAGTTTTGTTTGTGTCTCAGCTCGTGTTGCTTACCAGGTCTTGGGGGCCTTGCATAACGAGACACGAGGCATGAAGGTGGTTTTAGCTAGGAAAATGGAGATGTGCTCTGCAATTTACCGGAAGTTCGTCGCCGTTCGCGTGATTTTTTGCTGATTCCGGGCTATAAGGTTGCGAAATCAACACGCCTGACGCGCAGCTGCTGTTCTCAAGCAGGTTCGCGGACTTAGAACCCTCGATTTTTGATTTGGTGGAGCAGTTGTGCGAGTGTGGCGCGTATTCACGTGACGTCTCTGCGCCACCCCAGAGACGAAAACTATCTCGACCGAAGAAGCGACGATCTACAGCGGTTAGAATAGACACTTGCATTGAACAGAGTTGCCATATCACGATTACAGAGATAGAGCGCTGTTCATGACCATACTGGCATCGTCGTTGTCAAGGAAAGGTAGAAGTTTCGATTTCCGCTATATGCCTGATACCCCAAGCCGGATCCCGAGTGTTAAGCACAGTGAGGACACCATGTGCAGATATCCGCATGTGTCTCCCTTGTCCTTTGTCCGCCACATTCGTTCCATCCACCTTGACTCGCCAGACGCCGTTGCGCGAACCGCTCACTTGAGCTTCTTCTTCGGTCGGAGCTGATTGCTGTGGCCGCACTAGAAAAGAGTGTTAAAGCTAATTGCGGAACCACCATAGAAGCTCCTACCTTCTTCTTTCGGCACTGTAAAGAGAGTTAGCAAATATCGTCATTTCAAGAAGCCAGAGGGTTACACTCACGTTGACGGCACGCGGTGGAAGCCTCGCGTAGCACTGCGTACGGGTTATTAGCATATGTCTTCAAATGGAAGTCAACATCCCAACATGCTCCAGGCTTTCAGACGTCGAAAAGACCAAGACATGCGGACATGTGTACCGGGTCCTGCTTACCTTCCGGCAAATCATCTCTATAAAAGAGTCAGCGCAGTCCCTAGAAATGGGGCCATATGGTTTCGGTGCGTCCATATCTCATTGTGATCTGGGGTACCACTCCAAACGGAATATGCACCACGCCTCACTTACTATCGCAGTTATATTTGCTCGCAAGGGCCTTGAGCGATGGCTCGATGATACCGCCGCGCAGACGAAGGACGAGGTGGAGAGTCGACTCCTTCTGGATATTGTAGTCCGAGAGGGTGCGACCGTCCTCGAGCTGCTTGCCCGCGAAGATCAGACGCTGCTGGTCCGGGGGGATGCCCTCCTTGTCCTGGATCTTGGACTTGACATTGTCTGTGGCCCCTCATCAGCTATTACGTTCCACCAACACCCAGTATCATTGCCAATTGTGCGTTATCGAGGAATTGCGCGGGGAGGGCGGAGACGGGGAAGGCCCTTGCGTACCGATGGTGTCGGATGACTCCACCTCGAGGGTGATAGTCTTTCCCGTGAGGGTCTTGACGAAGATCTGCATCTTGTCGTTTCGCGGTCTCGTCGTCGGTGTTGGTGGGATTGTCGTCGTGAGGGCGGCGACGATGATGTTCGAATTCGCAGTGTGCTGACTAACGCATGCTAACCGAGGTGGGACGTGCGCAACATGTCACGTGTTGCGGCTCCCGCGTCGGACTTGTCTTAGCGTCATTCTATAAACTTGCGGAAATCTATCAAAAGTCGTGGCCGATCTCTTAGGTGCGGGATACTCGAGCCTATTCATCCTTCTTTCCTTTTACCGCTGGATGTTCAAGCGGCCAAACAGAGCCGGCAAAATCCACGGACGGCGTAACCGTCTGCTCCGCCACGATTGAAGCGACGTCCTCCTTCGCGATTATCCTATCGGCGTAGCGGAACCTGGGGGAACCCACTTTGCTTGGTCAGACGCCGTGAAACAGCCACATAGGCGATCGCTCCTCAGAGAAGGCAGAAGAACTAGCCGTGCGGTCTGCTTCTCGAAACGGCCAGTATCCACAGCGGTGAGGAAATGCGTTCCATCCACCCGAGAACTCCCATAAGCCATGTTTGGGTTTGCCTTGTCTTTCAAACCTGAGTTTTCGAGTTCACGATGACACCTGTAGCATTTATTAACTGGGGGTGTATAAGTACGCTCGTTCCGTTCCTTTAATTCACACTTAGAGGCCTTCCCTGCATCCATTCATGCTTTTGGAGAAATCCATCGTTTTGATTTGTTTCCCTCCTATTTAGTGTTGATCGCTTCGCCGACTATGGTGCTCCAACACGACTGCCTTTCCCAATCATGTACCCACACAAAAGAAAGTATTTTGACACCACCGGCGATCGCATCCATTCCCACCAACCAAATCATCGACTTTCAATTTGCTTGCAAAATCCCTTTGCATCTGGAACACCATGCGAACGATCTCACAGCTTACCTCCTTGATATCGTTGATGCCTATATCAAGCACGCCGGCCAAGGTAATTCAAGCCAAACATAGTATTTTGGCGTATATCTAACTAATCCTACAGCACCCGCCAGCCAGCAAAACCCTCTCCCAACCAACCCAACCCTCACCAAAATATACCACTGCACGTTCCCCTGCGACGGTACCTTCGAATCTATATCGTCCTGGAAACGCCACGAACGAGACTACCACGAACCCCAGCGGCAATGGATCTGCCCCGAGGCAGACTGTTCCATGACCTACTGGCAAAAGAGGCAGTTCGAGCGCCACCATGAGAAAGTGCATGCAGGTGCATGCGGCACGAAATGCACGCACGGCGCGACTGCGGTTGCCGACGTGCTTCCTACGAAAACGGCTTGGGGCTGTGGGTTTTGCGTCAGTGTGTTTGATTCGTGGAAGGCGAGGTGCGCGCATGTTGGTAAGCATTTTGAGGCGGAGCCGAGAGCGGAGAAGACGGATTGGGATCAGAGGATGGTGATTGAGGGGTTGCTTTTGCAGCCTAGACTTTTAGAGGTTCGGAGTTCGTTGTTGGATGAGGAAAAGGAGATGATGCGAATCGATTCTGGCGGAGAAGGGCCGGCTACCCCAAGAGTAGCAGAGGAAATATTGCAGCACCTACAATACCTGGATGAACATCACGACCATCGATCCTTGGTCAGGGATGCTCTGGTGTACCTTGGACTCCTTTCTGGCCATGCCACTCTGGGTTTCAGCCCACCTTCGACATCCTTTTTTGACTCTGCTGAAGGAGGCTATGGTTACACCACCCGGAGTTCCAGTCCTCCGCCGCCTTCGACGACGTATTTTGAGTCCACCGATAGTGGCTTTGAGTATAGTCTATCGACACCCGACGACTTCCTCGACTTTAGCGAATTTCTGAACTCCGACGAAAAGGCACTGGACATTGGGCGGCTTTGTCAGGAGAAGTTATTCGACGACCCAAACGTAGATCATGGGCTGGGGCAGTATGGATACTATACATCGATAGACGACACTCCGATATGAGCTTCCGAGTTTCGGGTGGACTGGACTTGAGGGTTTCCTGGATCGTGGAGTCCATGTAGGAGTATCTCCTTCTGGCGTTCATCTAACAGCTTCTTTCCCTTTCTTTGCGTACTCCTCCAATTCTCAACCCTCGTCTCCGTTGAAGAAACAGCCATGACTAGCATATTCAGCGACAAGCCCGCCACCCGCGCCGCCTCTTCGTAAAATCTCTTTTGCAGCTCTGGCAATCTCTCCTCTTTCTTATGCTTCTTGTACGCCTGCCCTGGCCTTAAAATCGCGGTGCCCTTTGCTTCCTCTGCAACAGCTGGTCTCAATTTCATACTGCTCTGCACCGCCCTCACTACCTCAAGCTTCGCCTCGCTATTGTCTTCATCCAATGCTTGCCTTGGCTGCGCGGGAGTCTCGGTAGTTGCGGGAAACCATTCGTAGAGTTTGTTTCGAAAGTCGTCCTTGTTTTGGTTTGGCTCGATGTGGGTCTCGTCTAGGAAGTTGGCCAGATAGAAATCCATGTACTGATCCAATTGCTCCTCTGACATGGACAGCACGTCCTTCACTTCGAGCTTAAACAGCTCTTCCGTCGTATATACGAGATCTTTCTTCTCTAGCTCCAAGAGTTCTTCTGGCGTGTAGCTTGAGGTACCTGGCCGCCCCTTCAAGCGTGCGAGGTCCATTTGTCTGCACCACGCCTCCCAATTGACGACACTTGTCGCAAGTTCCGATGTCGAAGTGGGGTATCGCCGCTGGCCATCGAAGGGATAGAAGAGCTTAACGCACATCACAAAGCAAGCGAGAAGCTGCGCTTCGGGCAGGTCCCTTACGCCCAACCTCTTTTTGCCATCGGTGTGGAACGCGAAATCGTAGTCCAGCAGTTTGCCCAGCCGAAGGGTAGCATCGTACAATTCCAGAGGCAAAGCGAGCTCTTTCAAGTACCGGAAGAGTAGTAAGGGCGCGTTGAGAGGCGGCCACAGGATCGCGTACTCTTTCTCGAAGCCGACTTGGAGCGCGATGAGCGTGGGGTAGAATCGTTCGAACCTTAGAAGAGCGTTCGGATCCAAAACAGCGTGGTAGTTTGCCGGTAATCGGTCTCTCATAGCTGGTGGGAGATACTTGATGGCCCCCAGATAGGCCATCTTTCCTTCTGCTGTCCATGCATAGATATCGCCAGGCGTAACAGGTAACCGAAGCGTGGTGATACCCAGATAACATAGAGCCAGGCAATCGATTAGGCCAGGAATGCCCTTAAACTTTCTCTCCCGCTTTCCGAATCTTGGCCCATCTCCTACAGCCTCCGCGTCGTCGTCTATAGAACTGAACGCTTGTGATGAGTGTAGCTCCTCGTTATCTTCGGATATCTTGTCTCCAAATTGCAGGATCCGGAGGGCCCACAGATCGAAGACGACGGTTTCAAGTTCCGCTGGTAAGCCTTTCTCGTGGGTCAGGAACCAAATTTGATGCCGTAGGATAAGTTGAAGAGCCTTCAAATATAATTCGACAGCTTTTGGCCCTTTGAAGTCTATGGAGAGTCTATGTTAGCGTCCGCCCTCCGAGCGTGATAATTCTTGCTAGGTGCATGCCGTAGGCGGCGTAGTAATGGGTTGTCGGGGACCTCGGCTTGCACTCAAGCAGCACACTCAAAACAGTATTGAGAGATGAAAGTTCAACTCACTTTTCGACTTCGTCACCTCCCCATCCTCATCCGTCTTCTTTCGCGTCGTGGTCCTTGCGGCAGCCCCCTCAAACATATCATCATCTTCTCCCGCCAGCAATTCCTGCCATCGCATCAGCCACACGTCTCATTCTCTCCCAGCGCCCTACATACGCCCTTGCGATGCCCATTCTGACAGTAGAGGTACCCATCCTCGCCCTCTTCGTATCTCCTCGAACGGCAGTTTTCGACGCCACAAACGGGACCCTTGACGCGGCCCTCTCCCATGATTGGCACCCTGCGCGGGCGATCGCTGCATCGGTATCGGGGCTCAAAACGGGCTGCAAATGCGAAGGTGGTGACAGAATCAGATCTAGGCGGGTGCTACCGAGCTTTGAGAAGCTTTGGGAGTCGTCGGCCGCTAAACCGAAAACAGTAATCGCACATTCACTCATAATTTCACCCAATCACGAAGGCAGCAATTTGCATGGCATCATCATCCTTTAACCATTGCCGTCAGGTAGGGAATACATCTAGGACCAGGAGATTCGTAACACGTATCTCCGTTACATGCGAGCGGCAATGCAAGAAACCCAAATCCGTCCGAAGAACCGCAAACATTGGTGAGCTATCAGCGAAGGCGCAGGATAGCATTGAAAATGCCAAAGTCGCCGCAAGGGCTGCGGCTCCAGAGGGGCCACTTGGCACCTCCCGTTCTTTTCTCAGCGGGCCCCCAACAACAGCTCCCTCCCTGCTGACGGCCCTATCCCAACGCGCAGTCATCTAACCAGACTTGGGAGCCTCCTTGGCGTCGATGGCGGCTTCTTCACCCATAGCCGTGAGGACAATGACGTCTTTACCATGGTCAGAAGTGTACCCTCAAAAGTGTCATTGCCGCCCTTTGTGACTTACTAGTCTCCTTGCCCTCCTCGTTGAAGAGCTTGTTAATCTTATCGCCAACGTCACCCTCCGGAAGCTTGACATCGTCCTTGGTGGAGCCGTCGTCGGACATGAGGGAGAGGAAACCGTCGTCGGTAACATCAAGCTAGAGTGCTGTAAGCGGGTGCCTGCGTGTGGGGTCCTGCGCACACTTACGAGCTGGTACTCCTGGCGGCGAACGTTCGGGACGTCCATGTTGTGGGTGGACGGGCAGAGATCTTCGAGCTTCTTGCTGGTGAAGATGTCGATGGCGACCAAGTGGACCTTGGCGTGGCCGTGCTTGCCGGTCTTCGAGGTGGACATCTCGACAATCTTGCAGGGGCGGTTCTTGATGACGACGAAGCCGTTCTTCCTCAAGGCAGAGCACTGCATCGGGTAGGTGGTCGAGGCGCCGGCATCGGCGCTCTCGAAGGTGTGCTCATGCTGGACAGGACGCGATCAGCTGTGGTCCGATAGAGTCGCGCGAGGACATGTTTTGATGCCTGGGCGCAATATTGCGGCGGCAATCGATAAGGCGGGGTAATTCGCACATGGCTGACAGAAAGGCAAGGGGACGTACCTGCGCATCGTTGTCGGCCATGGTGGTTAATGAGAGTAAGATGCGACTCGGGTTGAGGAAGAGGCTGTGGAAGTGTCGGGGCGGCTGGGGGGTGGGGTGTGGGCGAGGGGCTTTAAATGGAGAGAGAAGTCTGCGTCTGGATTTTGAACATTGGGGCAGGAGGGGCTGCGGAACGCTAACGGCGGAACCCCTGCTTAGCGTCGGGCGGGCAAACAAAGATCCGGACGCTTATTCTAGCCCGTGAATGTATTCCGGTCCTGGGCCACAACTCGTACATGGATCCTCGCCGTCTGACTCCCAAGATGCGCCCTTGAGAGGCAGCAGCACACGTCGACTCGACAGCATGTGGGGCCTGGATCGGTTCTCCGCCCATTCGACGCCCTCGGGCACACCTCCCCCGCGGCGCGATTCCTACTCCCCAGCTCCACGGCGGCCGTATCCATCAGGACCGGGGCCTTTGCCGCCTCGACCCGGGCTGAACCCTCGGTCGTCATCGCTCTCACTAGTATCGCCTGCTTCCTCGAGCACAAGCCTACCCGCATCCGCACGAATACCCAATGGCGCCGGGCGGAGGCGACCCACAGGGGGAGCCCCCCCAAACGTGCCAGATCCGCTGCACGTGCTGGAATCCATAATGGGAGGGCCGCCGCGGAAGCCGGTAAATCTGAAGGGAGAAGCTGCAATCGGCACTATACCAAACAAGCCAGAAGAGGTGGTAGTCGACATAGATTTCGGAGGGCTCAGCCTGCAGGACTTCGCGGCGGAAGCAGCACCTGAGATACGGCATTCTCACCCTGTACATACATATAGCTCGCAGTCAGTTGAAGAATGTATGTGTTCATTCCCAGCCTGAAGCCTCCTTGCTCATGGTGATTGCAGACGATAAGGAGAAAGATAGGTTTGAAGACCTGCACAAGTCTATAATAGCTTGCGATGAGGTCCTGAAGTCTGTCGAAACATATCTCACGAATTTCCAAACAGACCTCGCTGCCGTGTCCGCCGAAATTGAATCTCTCCAAGACCGGTCAATAGCCCTTAACACCAAGCTCGAAAACCGCAGAGTCGTCGAGAAGATCCTTGGGCCTGCAGTCGAGGACATCAGCATATCACCGGCTGTCGTCAAGAAGATAGCTGAGGGTCCAGTTGACGAAGGCTTCCTACGAGCTTTAGCAGATTTGGAGAAACGATCGAAGACTGCCGCCACCAAATCGAAAGACCAGCCCGATCTCAAGGCCGTCGCAGACATCAAGCCGCTCCTATCCGACCTCACCAATCGCGCCATCGAACGTATCCGCGACTATATCGTCGCACAGATAAAAGCTATCCGCTCACCGTCTATGAACGCCCAAATTATCCAGCAACAAGCCTTCCTCAAATACAGAGATCTCTACGCCTTCCTGGCAAAGCATCAGCCCGAGCTTGCTTCGCAAATATGTCAAGCGTACATTTACACGATGCGATGGTACTACCTCAATCACTTCACGCGCTACCGCACGTCCCTTGAAAAGATAAAATTACACGTCCTCGACAAATACGACGTCCTAGGCGAAGACCCCACTTCCAAACGCAGTGGTGCTCTCCTCGGTCAAGCAAGCCGCGGTGCCCCATCTTCATACGATGTCTTCACCCTCGGCCGTCGCCTCGACACCCTCCGCACACCCTCCGTCCACGCCCTTCCCGCCCACCTCGCCGAAGAAGAACAAGGGAAAAGCATACATCACCTCGAAACCCCCTTCCGCAGCTTCAACCTCGCCCTCATCGATAACGCCTCCTTCGAATACACCTTCCTCACTACCTACTTCTCGCCGTCGCAAAATTATCACGCTATCTCCCGCACCTTCTCCGCCATCTTCGAACCGACGTTCGCGCTAGGACAGGCGCTGACGAAGCAGCTTGTGGAGGGGAGCACGGATACCCTAGGCGTGCTGGTCTGTGTAAGGCTGAATCAGCATTTTGCTTTTGAGTTGCAGAGAAGGAAGGTACCTGCTATGGAAGGCTATGTTAACGCGACGAACATGCTGCTTTGGCCGCGGTTCCAGCAGATTCTGGACATGCATTGCGCGGGGTTGCAGAAGCTCACAAGTTCGCTGCCGAACCGGCCTTCAACCGGCGCTGCTCTGCTCTCGACTAATTCGCACTCAGCGAATTCGACGGCGCCGACGCCGCTTACACAGAAGTTTGCCAATCTGCTGCAAGGCATTCTTACTCTGTCTAGCGAGACCGGCGATGACGAGCCGGTGTCCATCTCTGTCGGCAGGTTAAGGTCGGAGTACGAAGCGTATCTCACGCGTTTGAGTAAGGGCGTCAGCGATGCAAGGAAGCGAGAGCGCTTTCTGTGTAATAACTACAGTCTTGTGTGTACGATATTGACGGATGTGGAAGGACGCCTGGGCGAAAACGTGCGCTCGCACTTTGAGAAGCTCAGGGATGCTTTTGATAAGTAGAACGGCTGGTTGGGGAGTTGGTTGGTGTTTTGGTGCATGTATAGCGAGCATGGCTAGTTAGAAGCTCACGCCGTGGTATCGACTTTACATTTGAGACTGTTACGCACTATGGACATGTTGAAACTGAGTATCCTACAAGTAACCAATATTCGAAAAAGAAAACCCACCCACTCATAAACGCCATACATTAAAACGCGAGTCCCACAGAGCCCATGGTGAACGCCTTTGCTTCTCAAACGCATTTGTCAGTCCTCTACGAACTGCCCAAAATACGCTTATACGCATCCTCCACCTCCCTCGCCACCTCCAGCAGCGTCACAATAACAATCTGATGCGTAACATTAGGCAGCCGATCTCTATGCAAGCCAATCCACTCAAGCGGCGGCGTCGCCTCGCCCATATCCCGTAGCTGGGGCGTCTCAATGACCGGCGGCTCCAGCGGCGTGTACTCGTACTTGCTTTGGGGGACGTTGACAACGGCTGTGATTTTCTCCTGGCCCTGAGCGCCTTCTTTGCTGGACTTCTCCAGAGATTCGGCAGCGGGTGTAGAGGCAGAGTCTGGCGAGGTAGTGCTGGAGGAGGGTTGTTGAGGCTGCGCAGAGGAGGTGATCTTGATATTGGACTCCGGCAACGGCTTTCCGAGACGGGATGCGAGGGTGCGCGAGTGGTTAGACCACATGTTGCGGATGTAGGATATGCGTGAATAATTCCACCCGACATCGACCTTCCCCTCAAACAAACTCTTGAACACATAATCAATATGATTACTCCGTGGCGCCTGCCACGTATGCATCGTTGCTACGACCTTTGGCACCCTCAAAATGGTCCCTCCTCTCGCGCTCCTTGCGCTCTCGACCACATCCTCGACCGTGAGATCGGAGACGGGTTTTGACTTCTTGGGCGAGGAGACCGAAGATAGAGCGACGGAAAGTTGGCCCAAAGTCATGCCGAGCGCGGAATGAATTTGCGAGTGCTCGAGCGCGACGGCGAAGCGCGCTTGCACGTCGGCCGCTTCGAGCATGAGGAGCTGCGTGTCGACGAAGGTGGAGGGGTAGACGCCGAGGTTGATGGAGCGCAGGGTGACAACGACGTCGGTGTGGAGGGATATGGGGGCTCTGAGCGAGTCGTCGTCGGCTTTCGGGGCGATCATGCTCTGGGAAGCGGAGCGACCCATGGGACCCGTGACGGACGACTTGCGGCGCAGGAACTTCTCGATGTCTCTAAGAGATTGCTTGTACGCTTGTTGGTTCTCTTGAATGAGACGCTCGATAGCTTGCCATAGGGCGAGACCTTGGGCGGCGCTGGTCGCTGTGCAGAAGACATGTACTTTATCACCATCGAGGATGGCGACGAGGCGGTCTCGCGATCCTTTGATCTGCTCGCGGACATTGTACATGAGGAAGTCGAAGTTGGCAATATCCGCGATAATGAAAGCTTGATAGTCGAAGCCAGCCTTGACGCGCAGGCTGCCGAAACCGACTGATGCCTGAACGAGAGGGGTTTGCCGAATGCCCAATCCTTGGGAGGGCCAACTAATGGAAGTGCGTACTCTAACGCCGGCAAGCTCAACAAAGCCACTTGTTCGTCCAGAACTGTCAATGGCGATTTTCTCGACGCCGATGCACAGGTTCTGCTCCCAGTCGATCCCTTTCTTGGAGGAAGCCCACATATTGTGAATGTGAAGGGATGTCTTTCCGATAGCTTGACCGAGATCGAGCTCGACTGATACATCGGCAATCGCTACATTAGCATTCCACGGGAATGCTGTCGCAGCAGTGACTTGCTGATACCGTTGCATGAGGTACTCCTGCGGCTCTTGGCTTGCATTTGCAGTCGGTGGCTTCGAAGGCTGACGAATCTCTGGGGGAATCCAGATCTCCCTGAACAGCAGAAAGTCTTGAAGCTGGCGAGCATTTACCTGGAGCCCCATGGGATTAATCTTGAGTATTGCCGAAATGCCACTTGTGCCGCTGAGGTGCTTGCTGTTCATCAATGAAAGGACGATTGAGTCGACATTGAACCCAAATGTAGACTCCCGGGAATAGACGTGTTGAACCGTTGCCTCGAGCCTCTCAAATGCAGCCGATGCCGCAAAGAAATGGCCATGCTCTTGGGACTTGACGCTATTGATTGTGATGTAGATGTCTTCGAGTTTGGCCATCGCCGCCACGCGAGCAATGGGTTGGCAGCTGAGACTGAACTCTTGCTTGCAGATCCTGAGCCCCAGGTTCAAGCGTGTCCGGCCTAGAATCATACTGGGGTCTGCGGTGATAAGATTGTCTTCCTCGAGCAGTTTCCCAGCGGGTTTCGATGGCGGCCCCGATGATCTCGCTGAAGCTGGAGAGTCCTCGTCTTTGTCTCGGACGACTTGCTTAACGCTCTCAGACATCTCGATTATGACGGGCACGACCGTGGGATACAGGATATTGTTTGAGCCGTTGATTCTCAGCTCTGCGTTGAGAGAAGGCTCTTGCCCTTCGTCTTGGTACTCAACTTTGAGCGCTACACCAGGCGCGCGTAGATCCATGCTACTCTTCGACCCTTCACCGACAAACTGGCTGTACCTCCCTTTCTGCTGGGAGCGACTCTCTTTGATGCCTGTACCTGGGATAAGTTCGCTGCCGTTGATATGCACCACAGCACCGGCGAAGGTCGCGTCCACGAGCAGTGAAGCTAGACGCTTGTTTCCGAAGGGGTTCTTTCGCTGAGCACCACTTGTGGTTGGCGTCATGTTCCAGTTTGCAGAAGCCGTATGAAATTTCCTGCCCGCTAGAGCGATTGATCGTTCGATAACGTTCGCTGGCAGGATAAAGCGAGAGTCGAGCTGAAGATGGAGAGACTTGCCGGCAGCATGGAAGGCTATTTTGCGTGTGTCCTTTGTGGCGCTGTAGGCGACATTGAAAACGACTTCGGGGAGCAGCGCTGAATTCCGCGAGCGTGTCTTCTTATCGGCCGATATTGGGACCATCTGCAGGTTCATGTCCTCGATCATCAAGCGTGCTGCATCGTCCTTCCTTGTTGAGAGGTCGATCCTCCTGAACAAAAGAACGAGATCTTCGGATTCTGTCCTGGGATAAGGGCCGACGGAAGTCCCGACAATCCAGCTGACTTGGATGTTGAGAAGTTCCAGAGAGTAAGTCGAAGTAAACAGTGCGCTAGAACTGACGCTCTCGATTTCGGTATTCGTCTCGCTCTTCACGCTCTGCTCCCGCTTGTGTGAGACTCTACTCTTCGTATGGCGAAGCCGTCTTAAATATTTCTTCTCCTTGGACAGGTCCAAATATTTGATCTTGTCTTGTAGATGGTTCATGACATCGACAACTGCAGACGCTGTGTCGGCGAAGATGTTAACCTCGAGGTCGCAGCTCATCACTCGATACAACCGACGAGTGGGCTCTGAATCCTTCTGCGTGGTCATTTGAAGCATAGCACCGAAAGTGAGGTTTCCGCAACGTCGAATAGAGTCTGCATCGGATAAGGTCATTTCGACGCTAATCTGATGCAAATGGATTACCGCTTCCGGAAGATCTAAGATTGTGTGTTTAGGGCCGATGTTAGTTGCCTTGAGCTGAATAGAAGATATCCGCACTGCGAGGTTCGCAGTAGCTGAATCCGGATGCTGTCCGGGAGCGCTGGCGAGAACATTGAGTCCGGAAAGGGTCATTTGGACACCAAAGATCAGATCTCTTGATGATTTAGTCGTCTGCGCTACTGGTGACTGAGCAGCGTTTGGGAAGATCTCTTCGATATGAGCCTTAAGGATTTCTACGTCGTCGCGGATGGCGTGAACAGTGGTCGAGATCTCCGGCTTATTGATGGTCGCAATCAAAGCCTGAACCTCGGATGCTTGAAGCTCAATAGTCTCGATGATACCGGCTGCTGATACTCTCGTTTCTTTGTCGTCATTCGTAACGGTCAATCTGCCATTGACCGGAGGCAATTGTAGCGAGCTAATGACGTTGGATCCCCCGAGGGAGTTGCTATATAATCTGTGCGTATGCGCCTCCAGATCATAATCCACCCGAAGAGTAACGTTCTGTCTCAGACTAGGGACCACGGAGATCCGACCAGAAGACCCAGCGATGGACCAGGTCAGCGATTGAAGTAGCGTTAACTCAATCAGATACGCGTCCATGAACAAAGCGAGCGAGATATTGGGTAATTGCATCCCCTTGGCGCCGGCATCGGACGCGGTATGCTTCCCCTCGGATGTTTGTTGTATCAGCGTTGTCTGCTCATGAAAGTATGCAACCTCATCCCGGAGTACCGAATCAGCGACCTCAACAAGACTAAGAATGTCTTCTTCGACGTAGAATTTGATCATACGGCTCGCGCCTGCGACTTTGATCTCGTCCGGAACTGCGCTATCGCCGCCATGCTTGTGGTGGGCAATGTAGAGACTGGGGAGGTCAAATTGTGATCTGAGCAGTGAACGTGGCCCGAAGAGTAATCGCATCACAGCCTGCTCTATATGAACGTGTACACTGACGGTTTCGCCCAGTCCTGAAGCTCGATCGTTTGCACTGACTACGGAGAGCCTGAAGCGTCGTCCTGTGGAAATGCTTTGCAGGTTGACTGTGTCCAATGATAGCTCAGCCTTGTCTGTCACGTAGACGACTTGAACGCTGTGATCCATGAGGTGCGATTTCTTCTCTGTGGGTGGACAGGCCTTCGAATTATGTTCCCTCGGTTTCTTCAGTTTGTCATTTTGGAACATTCGTAGCAAGATCTCAACAAGTTCGCAGATCTCCCAGTGAATGTGTACAGAGCTTTCTCTAGAGTTGACTTGGACAACCGTAGATTGTTTGGGAATGTCAGTTCCGACCAGCATGAGCCCAGTTGGCTCTGGAGGAGGAACAACAGCAAAGTTGATAGCGAGCATTCGAAGGCCGACTTCGCTCTGTTTGGCCCCGGGGTCGACGATGAGCTTCACGCCGGCTGAGCGAAAATCCACATAGAGTAGCGCGGGTGGAGATGCTTCTGGCTGTTCTGCCGCTGTTCCGAAGAGCATCCTCATAGCGAGGCTCTTCTTCACATGAGCTAAATCCCAAGCACGCCACTGATCCCACATTTTTATGATCTTCTCTTCTGCATCTTCTGGACACTCCACAGATTGCTGTGAGCAACGCCCATGCACCTCGGTTCTCTCAGCGTTCGGCAAGCTCTGCCAGATGTACCGAAATCGGGACATGATCTTCCAGGAGTCGTGGCTGCGCAGATGGTCTCTGACCGCGCGTAAAGCATAAGAACCCTTCGTCAAGAAAGCGGGATCTTGATACTGTTCTTGCACACTTGTGAGATGCCACGCTAGGTAACGCAAGCGACCTCGCTTTCTGTCTTTGATCCTTTCGAAGCCGGAACCCAGTTCCTCTCCGAGCAGAGTAGTTCGGTGTATCAGTGAGGCAAGGTACTCGATCTTCTTACTTGCAGTGGCGGTCTCGAACCCCCTAAAATTGATGTTGATCGACGTTTCCTTGCCCTTCAGCATCCAGACAAGGAAATCAGTGATCTCGGCCTGTATTGCAACATCATCGTTAGGGCCGCGCAGGTTCCTTTCGGTGACGGACACCCCGAGTGAGCCTAGAGTAGTATGCAAAGAGACTAGATCCTCGCCAGCTCGCTCTCCAGGGAACTTCTTGATCCGCGCCGCTACCTTGAGTTCGTTGAGAATGACATCGTATTGATCTTTACCACCATCAACGCCTGAATGCGCGCCAAATTCGTTCTGGAAGCGGATATGCGTGAAGGGAAGACGGATGCTGAATTCGATCGAGTTCCCTTTGCCTTCTTGACGCTTTCGGTGATCTAGGATTTTACTCATAACCCCAACTTGAAAATCGTCTAAGAGATCTTCTGGGTGACATGGTTGAAGGAGTTCGAGTAGGTTCGATACGCATCGAACAAACTCTGGCGTACAGTATACCCGTATTCCCGGCTCAGACCCTATGATAAGGCTAGTGTGTTCAAAGCTCTCATCGAGATGCTTGGAAGCCACATCGTTGAAAACAAAGATGTCGTCGTCGTCTTCCATAAAACCAGAAGGCAGACTCGGTAAGATCGGAACCTCGGATAGATCAGGCTCGAAACGATCCAACGGGAAGTATGGGGTGGCTAGTGCACTTGACAGTGCTGCGGAAGACAGTGGTAGGTTGCGTCCGCCCCGCTCTTCCTCGCTAAGCCTCTTATGGTATCGATCCGAGCTGTGCGCCCGGGGCGGTGAATTGCCAAGCAAAGTTCTGCTCCTGCTAGAATCCGCTGTGTGGCTGACTTTATGGCGACGGATGGAACGTATACTGCTGTTGATGGAACTACTTGAAGCAGATCGCAAACTAGCAGTGCGCAATGGCCGTCCCCGGCTGGAAGCTAGGTTAGAAGAATATCCTGACGAAGTTGACGAGCCTCTCTCATACTCTCCCGGTCGGATTAAGAAGATAGGACGAGGTATTTCGGGGTACTGCATGGCTGGCGGCCGGACATTTTCCGCGTTCCTCAGGGGCTGGTGGACAGGCGGCGGATAATCGATGAACATAAACTGCGTACGGTTGGTCCTTTGATCGTGTTCTTGCATGTGGGCCTGTTGCTTGTTACGCTCCTCGGTGAACCCCAGCTTTCGCTTAAACATATTGAGCGATAATGTGGTTTGCAAGAAAGCATGAGTCTGCACAACCTGCTTCTGTCCAGACCTAGTACGATGACGGGCAGCAGACCGCGCATCAACAGCACTCACGATCAAGTCCGGTATCCAAGCACTCAGGCGCTGAGAAAAACTGGTGCCGGCAAGATCATTGAAGTCTAGTGTTACTTGACCAGTGCTGACCAGTAGTACCTCTTGGGCGATGTGGAACCAGACGCGGACGTCCTGTGTCCTTAATCGGAGGAAAGTCGAGTCATGAATGACTAGGGGATCTGCAAGCTGGAGGGTATTTTCGTCATCGTCGAATGTGAAAGCAAATGCGCGAATAGCGCCAGCTGTTGTTGCTATGAAGTCCTCTGTGCACTCCCCAGAGACCCTTCCTACATCGAAGTCCCAGTTGCAGACATAGGTGGGTTCTGTGGGAGGAAGACCAAACAAGCGGTGACCGAATATGACGACGGATTCAATGAACACCTCCGTCCGGTCGCCGGAGTCATTCGGCAGACCTGGGGCAGTAACCGAAGTCCCCAGTGAGAGGCTGATCGGACTGAAGTTCGTCATTAGATCCATATAGTAGTTAGTGAACCTCAGGTCCGCGGAGGCGTAGGGTAGATCGGCCCGGAGGCACTTCTCCGCTGAATAAAGGTTGGCAGGGAGAAGAACGCTCGCGTGCTCGGCCGAAATGCACAGGATGACGTCGAGGTCATTTGAATCCTTCGTAGACTGGCCGTTCGGTTTCGTCGTATCGGTTGCAAGACTCTGGCTGGGGAGACCTTGGAACTCTTCCAGAGTTTTGAAGTGCATATCTTCACCGAAGTAGTTGTCTTTTATCTTCATGAAGTGATGCACAAGCCACCCATAAAGTTCAAGATAGACTCTGTCGCCTTGTATGTCCATATACAGCCTGTCGGTGTTCATGGTGGACGTTTCGGTCATGTACGTATGGCTGCCTACCAGAGTCAAGCCACCCAATTGTGCCATATTCTTGAATCGCACGAAGGTGTTTAGAGTGTTCCTTGGGGGCATGCAAACTTCGAGACCCATCTCCTGCCCACGTACATCGAACTTGATTTCATTTTGCAAAGGTCTGAATCTGTCCAAAGGTATTGTCACATCTCCATGCAACCGTTGACCATAAAGGATGATGAAATTGTTGTCATCGAATTCGGACGGATTATTGACAATGTTGGAGTCGTTCGTGTTGAGATACAGCTTGAAGTCGAGGAAATCAATGTTCAGGAGGTACTGAAAAGGGACGAACGTGAAGTAGTTTGGGGGCGGTCCTGAACCCCAGTCTGCCACGAGGTCTGTCAAAAGAAACAGATGGTCTCTCAATAGGAACAGCTCAAGGTCCCGACACGAGATATTGAACATCCATTTCCTCAGACTGTTCCAGCGTACGGGGTTGGACAGATCGCAGTCTAGTGTGACAGCACCGGAACGCCAGAGCAAGCCGTGGTTGACGCTAGAAGATATCTCGGTTCTGACAATGTCGACGCTGAGCCGATTTTGGAAACCCTTTTTCGAGGCGACCATGTCCATGATGTAATTGACCGAAGAGTTACCGGCGACCTTAACGTCGATCCAGGCGAAGGGGCGAACGTTTTGGCCAGAAGCCGAAGCATCCCGGTGCTTTGCTCTCATCGTTCTTCTCCGTGCTTTCGTCTTGCCTTTGGCTCCATCGGCGGATTGCTTGTCATGGCCAGCCAACGTATGAGCCTTTCCTTTCCACCTCCAATCTTTCGAAGGCTCTCGAACTGGTATGCGAAGGATAGTGTCATCTTCGATTCCCAGATAAAGCTTGAAGAACGAAAGTACTCGAAGTTCGCCAGCCTTCAGAGGAGAGGTCGGGACAGCATCGACGTGCGCCCCTGGAAAAAAGATGGATTGGAATACAGCTCGATGGCGGTCGGCCCAGGGTCCATAGTTGATTGTGCCTCCGTACACCTGAATGTCCATGCCGTACTCTGGTGGAGCGCTTCCGTTGATGTCTCCTGGGCGTGCGGGGTCCATGTGCATGCTGTTTTCGATGTCGCTCGGGACTGGGCCTGGTACGTCCCAATAGAAGGCCACGTTGATACAGGGACAATCCGCAATCAAAGACGTTTTGGCGTACTCGACTCCATCCCACTCGCCATGACCATCGGCGTGGCTCTCATCCAAATACCGAGTAAGACCCTTCCAGCGCTCTTGACCCGGAATGTTCCACTGAGGGGAAAAAGTTTTGCTATTTTTACCGTTGCTCGCGTTGGGGTGGGTGTGTATCGAATCTGTAGATTTGGAGAACAGAGCTGAAAAGCGCGGAAGATGGATTTTCGTAGGTCTGCGTTTCACTGGCTGTGTGTGCTTTTCATCGCTCCTGTGGTCTTCCATGTCTTGCTCAGTCTCCTCCTGCTTCAAGCGCGCCGCGGTGTCGAGCTGAGTTGCCTTGAAGTCATGATTGGGCTTCATATGCACAACAGGATGCGTGAACTGGAACTTGAATACTTGCTGGTACACATCCAGAGGTCCGCATGGCGATGCATCGAATTCGCCAGTGGCCCTTTCAAAGTGCGCAGTTATGACGGACAGCGTGTGTTCGTTGCCGACCACGATAGCACCTTTATTGCAGTCAACATAAATGGGGAGCAGCCGAAGGAAGGCTGGCAAGCCATCCTTTTTAGCATTTGTCGTGCCGGAGCGGTCCGTCTCCGCTCTCGCGACACCAGCGTCATTTTCGGCAGGAGCTTTCTTCAGCTTATTGTGACGGCCTTGGTCATCGCGGAGGTCTGCGGAGCCCCTGACTGAGCCATTAGTGCTTGGCTGGGTGTCCGTCTTCTCAAGCCGGGCGCTTTCTTCTCCTGTGGCGCCGTTTGCTTTACGCTGGATGGCATCGATGATGGCATCGTATGCCGGGCTGCGATTGTACATAAAGGCCTCAACGCCGGAGATTTTGACGGAAATACGACATGGGTGTTTCTTCGGCGTCTGCTTCCCTCCTTTTTCGGCTCTATCCACTGTCCTACTTCGGCTGCGATTCCGACTGCCGGGGCTGCTTGGAGTCTGGCTGCCGTCCCGAGCGTCTGGGGAACGCTTCTCAACATAGACCTCGGCGTCCCTCACCCGGCGCAGCCAGTAGTTCCAGGTGATGTAGCCACCATGTATTAGAATCGTCTCATTATGGCCATGGTATCGGATGTCCTTGAAGAAGATGCGGCCTCCCAGAAGAGAGATTTGCAAAGCCTGGATATCAATGTAGGCATGGTATGCGCGCCAGGTGTACGCTCGAATGCCGTAGGAGACCAGAGTCGCGAAGAGGCGGTTGGAGTAGAAGAGGAAGAACACGGTCCTTTCCTTGTCAGCGAAGACGCGAGAGCAGTGGAGGATAGACGTACAGAATGCCGCAGATCAAAAGCTCAACCAGGAACACCCTGCAAAGGTAAGGGTTAGTCTACGCGATTGCTATTGCGGTTTGTTGCGTACCAATTGAAGCCATTGTGCGGATTCAAGGGCTCCGACACGATTGAGGTGGCCATGGTGGCAGCGCGGAGGTCGAGGGCGGGCGCAGATCATGGTGGTCCAGAAGGGAAGGGCCGCATTTGGAGGAGCGGGGGGCGCAGTACACGCCGCGAATGCGAATTTCAGCAGTGTTCGCGCCTGGCGGTGAGGCGAGGGGGCGGCCCAAGAATTTGGCGGTTGGGATGAAAGGAAGCTCGACGTCTGGGGTGCAGGCGTTCGTATCCACGAGACCCATGCCGCTAATGACGCGTGTGGGCCCAAGCTCCGCGATCCATCCACCTCGACCGCGGGCAAACCTGCACAAGACCACAAAGGCTGGTGCCTGTGAACCCTCCATCACCATGGCCGCCGTCCACTGCTAGCCCTGCCGTCACTCCAGGGCTTCCATCGCTCTCTCTCGCTCTGCGTCGAGCACGCCCCCTTCTCTTTCCTTCTCCCGCGCTGCCCTCCAGCATGCCAGCAGGCAGCCTCTATACGCCGCAGGCGTCCTCCGACCCCGACCCCCGCGGCACCGGCGACCGCTTTGCTCGCGCCGTCATTGTCGTTGCTGGCGTAGCTGCGCTCGTTGCGAGTGTCATCACAGTCGTGTTAGTTTTCCTGCCCTGAATCTCTGAATGTCCCGCTGACGTATGGCGACAGCTCCGTTTGGTTACAATCGTAAGCAACGCCTCTTCGGATACGCAGCCGAGACATTGATGTCCTGCTAGGAAAAACTACCGGAAGCCGCTGCTGCAGCGATATGTGATCCGGATACTGCTCATGTGCGTCGAGAATAGACGAGCCTAAGGGCATAGCTCACATCGGCATAGGGTCCCGATATACTCGGCGTCATCGTGGGCAAGCCTGGTGTCACTGAAGGCAGCTTTCTGGATAGGCCCCTTTCGGGACGTCTATGAGGCGAGCACCTCCCCAAACAATGGTTGCGGCTGTGGCTAACGCCAGCCAGGCCTTTACCATCTATACCTTCTTCCAGCTGCTGATTAACTTCATCGGGGGCGAACGAGCTCTCATCATACTCATGACAGGCCGCCCTCCAGTCTCCCACCTCTGGCCACTCAATCTGTTCCTGCCCAAGGTGGACATCTCCGATCCTCACACCTTCCTCGCCATCAAACGCGGCATTCTGCAGTACACGTGGGTGAAGCCCATACTTTCGATAGCTGCTATCGCCATGAAAGCAACCGGCATATACAAAGAAGGTTACATTGGCGTCACTTCGGGCTATTTCTGGAGCGGGCTGATCTACAACGTCAGCATCACCGTCAGTCTGTATGCGCTCGCTATGTTCTGGGTGTGCATGCTGCAGGATCTGAAACCATTTCGGCCAATGCCCAAGTTCCTGTGCATTAAAGGGATCATCTTCGCCTCATACTGGCAGGGCTTCTTCCTGTCGATTCTCGTTTGGCTGGGCGCCATTCCGGACACCGTCCCGGGCTACTCTGCTGACAACCTTGCTGCGGCCATTCAGGATGCGCTCATATGCTTCGAGATGCCCTTCTTCTCACTCGCACACTGGTACGCTTTCTCGTGGCACGACTATGCCGACGACACTATTTCTGCTGCGCGCATGCCAGTCAAATACGCTTTACGCGACGCATTTGGACCCAGGGATCTGATCGAAGACACCAAGGACACCTTTGGCGGGAAGCATTACGAGTACCGGTACTTTGATGCAAACGACAATGTACTAGCGCATGAGGAATCCTCGTCTAGGACTGCACGAATGAGAGAGGGCATGCGGTACGAAAGAGGGGGCAAAGGCAAATACTGGATACCGCAGCCTGGCCAGTCTGAGCACGAACCTCTCCTGTCCAAGGTTGCTTCAAGCCGAGCGAGGACTATGAGTCCTGGAGCGCACCGCGCGCTTGAATATGCTAGATACGGCGGCGTTGATGGTGACGAGGACCCCACGTTGAACCCCGAGGATGAGCGACTGTTTGAGAACGCGCGGGCTTTAGAGTTCGGTGATTGGAATGTGAGTATCGAATGTTTCAATGCCGCCTGCTTAGCTGACCCTGTCACAGTACCCCGTCATCGAGGCGCACAGAGCGACGCGTGAGAGCCGTTTGTACAATAGTCCTAACATTCTCACTGCATCAACGAATCGAAATCTCCTACAGCCCACCAAAGAGAACAAGCAGCGGCGGAAGAGCAAGATCAAAGAGATTCAGGGGTCTGCCGACAAGGGCAAACACCGGAGCGATTCAAGCAGCGGAGAGCCGTCCAGTTCGAAGTCACGGGTTCCGATAATAGGCAACCTTTTGCGGCACGAGTCATCATCGTCCAGCTCGGGAAAATCCGACAGCAGCCAGCTAGTGGATCTGGTCGTGGAGGATACCGAGGCGGAGGACGTCGAACGTGTCAGAGCACGGAAGGAGGGCGGTCCGGGATGGAACGAAGTTGCTCCCAAACACTTCGTGTAAGTATCCCAACCAGCTCCTTTTAGGAACCTTATCTAATACGTCGCAGCCACGCGTATCCGCAGGAGGGACAGGAAGAGGAGGTACGAGAGGGCTTCGATCCAGACAACCCTCAGCCACATGACCCCGAAGATGTGCACAATCTTGACTATCCGTTTACGGTGGAAGGGGGCGAAGAGGACGAGAACGAAGACCGTGCCCCACCAGTCTCCGAGGAAGCACAGCAGTGGGAGACGCGTGATCATTCCAACGATAATGACGAGAATGACCGCACTAGTCCCCAATACAGCAGCTTCCGAGAAGAACACAACGCGTGGAACGAAAGATGAAGGCAGGATGCGCGATGACGGGAGCCGCATCCTTAAATCCGCATAAACACAGCCTCGTGGCATGGAAACGCGGCGTGGTCTCTCTCGGAGGGTTGGAGACGCTTGTTCGTCTATCTAAGATGAAACGCCCGATCAGCGACTGTGCAGTGTGCATGGTCCGTGTGGGTTGATCACTTTTCGCAATCATGTTCTATACCCTCTTGGCGTATATCCCTTTCAGCTGTTGATATTCTCCTCCGGCTTAATGAGCATATATGAGGTGTCTGGTAGATTAGCAATCGGATTGCATGATATGCCTCGTCCTTTTGGGGGGCATTGCGCTGGAAGTGACAGCTGTCAGACCGTTCATAGGCGTACGTGGTTCTAGGCTATCTGCACGCACCCATCGCTTCAAAGTTGAACCACAACTCTGGCGGACTCTTTTCTCCTTCGAGAAACGTGTCCAGCCTTGGCCCGACGCCGCGCAGCCGGCAGCAGTTGTGGAGATTTAAGAATGCTTTGCTGGCACCAGCAAACTGATGTTTGGGGGAGCGTTGGGATCTTGAAACGGTCACATTTCGAAGATGATTGGACGCAATGTATCTGGCGGTACCTGGCGGCTCGTTTCAGGTGCTGCGGGACATACCAATGACGCCTCGTGCCTGGGAGGTTTTTGTGAAATGCGGGAGCGCTAGCGGAGGCGGGAAATGTTTGGAGGGTGATTGGACGAGGTTTTTTGAGATACTGAGCGAAAAGAAAGTCGGTTCTGTGGGTTGGGTTTTGTTTCCCGAACGGGACCGGACGGCGAAGACTCGAGCGTGCCGTGCGCGTCGCGTCGCATCGCATCGCATCGGCGCAGCAAAGCATCCAGCGTCTCTGTACAATAGTACCTCGCAGACCCCAGAATACACTCCATCGCGCATCGCGTTCCAAATGAACAGATCGACCGTTTCAACCCTCATCCTCCAAACCAAACGCCGCCCTCGTCGCAGCTAAATATACCCCCCTCACGCGACACAACCCGTTCATCACCCTTCGCGCCCTGCCCACCGCGCGACGAACTCCGATCCCCCCAAAACAAAATCCTGCCACTCAGCACACACGTCGTCCGCCATGCGGGCTGTCAGTTTCGAGCTGTAGCCGCTATTGCCTGGTGGTTGGACAGCGCAGATGCATTGCAGCGGGCGCTTATAGCTGCGCGTGGCCAATCAGGGGCCGGGGACCCCTCCTCGGACTGCGCGGTCCGAGGGTTTTTACTTCTGACGGCACTGGCGAGAGCGAGTGGGTGCGCTTTTATTGGGCGCTTGCGAGAGGGGTGTGCGGACGGTTGATGGGATTGGGGTTATATTATCATGGCGTGGGCTTGCTGTTCCTGTCTGCGTGTTGAGGTGTCTGCTGCGTTGCTGCTGGCCGGACCTGCGGGCAAGAAAAGTCATCCATCCATTCAGAACAAAGTAGCCAGCCTCCTCCTCCTCCCTGCTTCTCCTCTTCTCTTCTTCTTCTTGCTACTCTAATACCCGACCTCGTCTTTCCTTTTCCACCAGCTTTCGTTTCTGAGTGCAGTGTACGAAGAGAAGGGAGATATGCTTGCTGCCCGGTAGTAGCTTGCAGGCAATGGCGAACACAATGGATGGAGGGCCCAAGAGCCCGTGGCTGGAGTTCAGTTTTGGATGCTGTGCGTCCGGGAGGAGAGATTCTGTGGAGGAGGATGACGGGAGGGCTGCGTTGCAGGCTAATGGTATGTTGGTTTCTCGTTGCGCTCTTCTACTGTCACGCTCCTATCTCTGCCCAAATCCACGCGTACTATCGTCGAGCGAGCTTCAACTCCTCAGTCGAAGCTGCTGGAATCAGTCGTCCCCTCTGTCATCTCTCGACGTTCACATGTCCTTCCTGTTCCTGTTGAGCTGCACACCTTCGGTTATGTCCTCCCCTTAATATGGTTAATTACCAACATCATCACTCTATATGGGCACACACTCGCTTATCTCTACGCCTCATATGTCGTCATGACGCCCGTTGCCCTTGCTAACGAACGCTGCCAGGCGAAGCTGAGATGCGAATATGCTACAACCAACCGCAAACAGTGTCCCTACCACGGGCAGAGCCATCAACCTACACACGCCCAACAACCAGCCACTCCATGGGCCGCCACGTCTCTCAGTGGGTATCTAACGGCCGCGACTTCGCTACTCGCGCCTCTTCCCGCGCAAGCGTCCACACCCTCTCGCGACCCAGGAAATCGCACTCCAGGCCACGCCCCAGCATCAGCCGTCCCACCGACTTTCGCCACTGCGACGGCCTTGACGGTGTGGATGGCATTCAAAGCATGATAGACGACGCACCCATGCCCGTTCGTCGTCGCCGTAGCTTCCAACCCCTGGAACTCTCCATCTATCTACCCGACGGCCGCCTATCTCCGCTACCGGATTTCGAGGCCGACGAGTGGAACAAACTGCCAGCTGAGCTGGAGATCCCCGCGCAGGCGCTAGTCCGCCAAAGAGATTCGCGGACGAATTCTATTTCTTCTAATCTATCCACTTCGTCGTACCTTATCCAGCGGAAACCCGTGGGCTCAGGGTCGAGGAGGTCGAGCTTGCAGAGTCAAGGCGAGGTGCACTCGAGACCGATATCTGGGACGTTTTCGTCTCTGCCGTTCTTGATGGAGGAGCCGAAAAATCGTCCGGATTCTACCATCGGCAGTCCGAACTCACTGCAAAGAGCGAACACATACGGCACGTTGTCGCCGAACCGCATCCTCTCCCGTTTGCCGTCCCCTTCGCGGGCTCGCGCGCAAACTGCGCCATCACGCCCGGGTAGCGTGCGCAGGGCAAGAACAGACGTCGACGACGCAATCCGCGAACTCAACACCATCGTCGAAGAGCGCCGCGCAGAAGCCTACCGCTCACACGCCCAATCGCCCGCCTTCATCAACCGGCCGCCTCCTTCGCCATCTTCGCATGTCCCCGCCATCGCGCCCTCTCTGCGCATGCATGTCCGCTCGGAAACGCTCTCAGACATCGGATCCGCCTTCTCAGCGCCCCTGGCGAACAAACCTCTACCCACCACACCGCCAGCTCCCCCAGGACCCGGCTACCTCTCCCGCCAAACAACAAAACTTACTCTCCGCCCACCAAGCCGAACCCTCAGCGGCCCCCTAAACTCAAACCCCATAACGCCGCCCACACCCACAGTCCCCACGCCCACAACGCCCATCGGCCGCCTCGGCGCCTGGCTCAAGCGCTCCCTCCCCACCAGCACGCCCACCTCGCCGTCATTCTTCAAGTCCTCTGCCCCCACAACACCGCGAACGCCGCGGACCCCAAAGTCCTCGCAGTCCAACACCACGCCCTTCTACCAGTGCGAGCCGCAGCCCGCTCTCCCACCAGCCTCTCGCGCATCGTCCTCGCGTCCCTCAACCGCCGGAAGCAAAACCCTCGCAACACAACACACGCGGCACGCCAGCGACGAAACCGCGACCGTGACCCTGCTCTCCTCCTACCCCTCCACGCCCTCCCTCTCCACGCACAGCCTCTCGCCCTCCCGCAAAGACAGAGACAGCAACAGCACCAGCAACCCGTCCACGCCCGCGACGCCCGCGCGCGTCAACCTGCTCAAAGGCGAGGGCAAAACGCGGCGCATCCCCGCGCCGCTCACGCTCGCCAAGGAAAAGGAACTCCAGGTGGAAGCCGCGCTGGCGAGCGGGAAGAGCTTTGTCAGCGTGCGCAGCAACTTGAGCGGCAGGAGCGGGCGGAGCTTGAAGCCGCCGCCCAGCCCGAACTATGCGCTTCTGAGGGGCATGGAGATTAGTGCTAGGGAGGTTAGTGGAGGGGTGGGAGGGCAGAGGGAGAGCGTTGTGGGGTTCGCGCCTAGCCCGATGAGTCCTGTTGGTGTTGCTTTTTAGGAGATGGTGAGAGGTGGGGGATTGGAGCTCGTATGGGGGTGGAAGAGAGTGTGGGGAATTTCCTTGAGTATATTGGCTTGGCTTGGGCTGGCTCTGGTTGTGGGAAAATTGGGACCGGGTAGAAAGGTCCGGGGCATGCATGGGCTCGAGGTCACGCTTCTCAGACAATTTCGCTCATCGAGACCTCGGAAAACTGGATGGCAGGCAGGGAGAGATGGAATTCTGGTTCTGGTTCTGGTTCTGCAGCGCATAGGCATATACCCTCCGCGAGACTAGCTCAATACAGCGGACGCCTCCTGCGCTCTACTTTCACATGTTCATCCTTTTGTTCGCGCACGAGCGTTGAGATAGCTTAATGGACGGCAGTGGAGCAGGGGATGATGCTACTAAAAAGCTTGATTCGTCTAGACGAGTGGTGCAATCGTTTTTTCCTGCGACCAGTCGATTCGCGGTTGCAAACGCTAAGAATCGGCAAAGCAGGACATGCAGTGCCGTTTGATGAGCGATTTCTACCAGCCAGTCCCTCGTGCGCCACGTGTGTCGAGTGGAAGAAACTACATGAGGTTCTTGGCCTTTACCAGGATATCCAACGAATCGCCTTGGAACCCCATTTGTTATTATACCGGGTTTTGGACGAATCACTCCCCAAAGGCGGCATATACAGAACACCAGTCACTATCCCGGGTGTGGATACGATCAAACTGTCGAAGCGCGTCTACATGATGCTATTGGCGATGCATCAGCAAGACGTCCCGCAGCTCTGGGCCGAGCGGGGCTAGCTGAATATCGTAAGCGGGACGAGATGCACGGAATCGACGAAGTTGAGGGATCGGCGAGAGGCTTGCAGCTTGAAGCTGAGGTTATTGCGACGTCTGTTCGCGGTCCGGTATCTGGTCTAATATGGACCTGCGTGCCTGACTGAGCTGTAAAAACTATTCAAATTTATCAGCATATAGTATTAATAAGAAAGGTTTAATATCTTTCAGCGGAGCGATATCTGCTCCTAAATGATAAGCAAGCGCTGGATAGCAAGAAAGCAGAATCGAGCTTACTTAGGAGTCCGTTAGTTGAGACGTAACTATGTCCAGGTACGAGCATGCTGATATTCTGAGGGGAAACCCCCGGAGCAGATCACGGCCTTCCTGCTTCCCCCATGGTCCTTGCCAGCTACCGGATACAAAAGCTGAAAGTATATCCTGCTGTGGCTGGATCTCATGCTGGATGCATTGCTTGTGTAGTAATTGTGCATGCTCGAATGCGGAGTCCAAGTGGTGCGGTTACGGGTTGGTAATACGTTTGACAGAGAACTGATTGATTGTCCCGGGCCAGCGGGAAGCACGACTGTGCGGCGCGAACTGAAAAAGTTGGCAGGCTTGGAGGGGTTGTTGGACTGTTCATTTCGACGTCTCGAAGAAAGGACGATCTAGCGGAGGTCCGGTAGTGATGCAGTGCTGACACGCGAAGGCTGATGGAAATGAACAAGCCCCGTTCGTCTATCTCCCGGAAAGCGGTGTCTCTGCCTCATCTCCGGATGCTTGCCAATCTGGTTCTGGCCGATTCTTCCAAGGAGAGATTTACTTCCGAACATTAGTGAACTAGAAGTACAAGAGAAAACAAAAAGGATGAAGTCAGAACCGTGATGGATGTCATTCTGTGCGACGAAGAACGGGAGGGTGCTCAAGAGTGGTTGGTACCAAAACAAGGTGCGAGACTTTGAAAGACGCGATCAAGAATTGCAAAACGGGACCTGATCTTTGGTTGGCTGATTCAGGGAGAACGGATGGGTGAGAACAATGGACAACTTCCGACGCTTACCATACTTCTTTACCTCCTCCAGTAATGTTGTGGTATCAAGATATGAAGTTGAGAATTCCAGAGAAGGCTCGCATCGTGAGAGTAGGGCTGGAGTCCTAAGTGGCGTCTCATTTGCGTTCACAGCTCAAGACTTGTCCACTCATCACGCCGAACGCGTCAACTCTCAAGATTGCATCGAGACACGACTCTGGTCCGAATTAAATTGCAGATCGAGACATGATCAAGCCGCATTCAGGGTCAAGGGAGTTGTCGGAGCTCTTGAGCTTGGATTTCTTTCTGGAACAGCCCGCTATGCTGCTCCCATTCGGGCCAATGGTGGGCTTGACTGAGGAGAAGACTAATCGAGACGATTTGAAGTCGTCAATGGCTGACTTAGGAATGCCGGCGTTCTCCAAAAACGTCAAGAAGATCACGTGTATTTCTGAAAGGAGGCGGCGGTACTGTGATACCGCATGCAACCAAAGCTGGATCCGGTCAAACGTAAGGAAAACCTGAAACGCAGCGACTGTAGCTCGCTCGAGGGATGTCCATAGGGCGTGAAACGGTAACCGTTGGTAATGTCGCACGCCGGTGATTACAACGGAAGACAGTGACAAGCGGGAAACCGAAGGTGGCGACAAATGCGATTCGAGAGGTCGGAGCAACTCAAGGGTAGAGATAGGCTCGCCTTCCCCGGGCGGCTGCAGACACCCTCTCCAGTGCGCCAGAGGCTGCATGGCTGGTCCGTGGCATCGTCCTACGTCACGATTAGCGTATGCAAGTCACCCGTGTAAGTGCATCATCAGAGAACGATCTCCCCCACAGCGGCCATTCCGATGAGGCTTTCGATGACCTGGTTCTTGGGTCGATGCCCTTGCTTGCCTCGAGGCTATATGAGAGCTTGTGTGACGAGCTGCACAAGGAGCCCAGCAACCGGGTTATGAAGGTGTGGTTGCAAGCCGAAGACCCTGGGATGACCTTCTCGGCTTCAACCGAGACTGGAATGCGGGTGAGGGGTTGAGTATTAGGTGCGTAGCAACAATGAACATTTGAACGCGGTTATAAGCGTAAAAGATAGAGGATTTGTGCTGGAGTGATGAGTTGTACTCTTGCACGGCTGCAATGCGGTGACGACAAAAGAAAGTTCAAGCCTCTTTGCAGCTTTCCAAGGCCAGGGGTCTTGTCTCGACGGTTATCGTCACCAGACATTCGCAGCACACGCGGCGATTGGCAATTGCCGGCTGGCGCTTCGGATCGGATGATGAGCTTGGAAATTGCGACATGTTGGAAAAAGTAAAGCTCCTCGCATGCTCTGCAGCGTGCCGTAACTGCCGGGGCGTAGAGGCGATTGACGACGGGAATCTGGTACTCCCGAGGCGTCGCGAGAGCTGAAGCAGGTAAATCCTGTTCTGGTGTAGTAGATGTAACGATAAAAGGGAACGATAGACGGCTCTGTGCGACGGAGTCGAAGGACCAATCGTCACGAAAAGGTCACGGAGCAGTTACGACGTGAGCCAGTTGAGGTGGGACAAGACTTCCCCGCGCGTGGAATTGCACTGGCCGTGCGCAGCAGCCTTTCGACTGAGCTTGTCACAAAGGCTGCCCGCGGTTTGAAGACGAACACTCGATGTTCAGTTGCGTTAGGGATGGAGCGCAAGGGTCCGTCGAACGGGTTGCTGCAGAAGTTTGAACTTCTTGTGCACTTGCTATCCCTCCATCCACGTTTCAGCCATAAGCGACTCAGGACCCGGGACCGTGGTGTGCGCACCTCGTGGGAGAGAATATCCTGGCTGAGGTCAAGCCATCAAGCCACGGTCCATTCGGAGGAGGCCTGCTTCTGGCTTAAGCAGTATCATTGCGTTAGTGATGAGTGACCAGCTCCTTGTTAGCCGGGCGAGTGCGAAGGCCCAAGTCAAGGGGGGGGAGCTGATTGAAGGGAGTGGGTTTGTCAGGACAGCGCATCTCATGCAAACAGCACCGTGAACCGTTTTAGGAGATCACGGCAGCTGATAGCTCATTACGACCCAACGTCGGCGGGAATCCAAACGGGGAAAGCCTCATACCGATGTCGAGGCCTTAACCGCAAGAGCATGCGCGGCATTCGAAGGGCGTCCTATCAACGATGCTGAATGCGAATGCTCGGAAGATGGCTCTGACCCGTGCGTCTGGGGCCAATATGAAGAACAAGGACGAATCTCCAAGCGAGGCATACCAGCATTGGGCAATTTCTCGCGCGATAATTTATGACGTGCAGGACCGGGCGGTATGGCGCTCGGGTGATGTTCATTGAAGTTCATGAAGATGGACCAGGGTGCGCCCACGACGTTTGCTCATGGGAGATTTGAGAAGGCCACGGCAAGGCAGCGAACGGTGCGGATCCGTCCCACTTATTGAATGCGGAGATGAAAGCGTGAGTTACCAATGGCTGCGGGCTGCATCGCGATGACGCTGACAGGGTCGCGGAGTGGGAATCCGTAGGAACGGGCGTTGCTGGTGGGCCTGCATAAGCGCAGAAAGGGCTGCTGCCAGTCTGCAGGACGCAAGCTGGAGGATTCGAGGCCGTGGCGATGCTGCAGCAGCTCGAAGCAGAGGAATTAGGGCGCATTGCGCTGAGGGCTGGGTGCTAATTGACTGCTTTCGGTCAGCGGGAGGCTGACGTTTGGACACAGCCGCAAGCAAACCGCCGCAGGCCCCTTTGGGACAAGAGCGTTGGGTGATACGGCATCAGCTTCTAAGAATACATATACCGGCCACTTTGGCCATCCTACCTTTGCTCAGCGGGCAGTGGATATCGCGCAGGCGCGCAAGGGAGCTGGCTGTCGACGGAGAGGAGCGTTGCGGGCGCGCCGTGCGCTGCTCCCCATCCTGGACGGCGCCGGCGTCGGAAGGCGTTCACGGGTCGCGCTGCCGCTCCGCAGCGCACTGCTGCTCGTGTAGGCTGGACGATGGTGCGTATCCGGCGCAGGCTGGTGGGTTGCAGGCGGATGCCGTTGGGAGAGGCAGAGGCACGGGCGCGGGCAGCATCCCGAGGCCGGTGCCGTTCCTTCCCAAGGGGCGGGGCCTGGAAAGGAGCAGACGGCCGTCGTTCTTTCCCGAAGCATCCGCTGCTGCCGAGCGGAGCACCAGACCTGAGGTGAGCGAGGCAGGAGCGCTGCGCGTAACGGGGAGGCAGCGAAAGCGCGTCTCAGCGGCGACTGAGGCGCCGGCGCGCGCTGGCGACGGGCCCAGCTGGGCACAAGAGCGCGCCGCAGTGGGACAGAGCCGCTCCCTTCGCGGGCGCTCGCCGGCGGCCACCGCAGGCAGCGGCCGCGGCAGAGGCAGAGGCAGAGGGTGCAGTTGCTGTGCCTGAGCGTCGCTGCTTGGGGTGGCTTTTGGCCGTGGGCAGATGCGACAGGGATGCGGATTAAGGTTGCATGCAAGCCACGCCAGGAATAGATGCCCGATCACTCACTCGCTTGCCGGCGCTGCTCACCACACTCTGATGTCTGCCTCTCCGCGCTGCTTCCTCCACCGCACACAGCGCGCGCTCTTGGGGCCATGCATGCCGTCACTGTGCATTGGCTGCCATGGACAGCCCGAGCCCCAATCTCAGCCATCCACCGCCGCCCCGGGGCATGACCGGCGCGCGCTGGGGCTCAGGCCCAACTACCAATGCGTGCTCTCTCTGCCCGCTGGAATAGCCATGTAGCTTCTGCTGATGCTCACGGCCATCGTGGGCCGTATATCATATTCCCATGCCACCGTCGCGCCTGCCCTTTCTGACCCCTCTGACTTCGCGCCGAGCCTCTGCCCCTTCCCCCCAGATCCAACGCTCGCTGCCACACCACCACCCATATCATCCTCACACCCGCTACGTGCTCTGGCCGCCGCCGTCCCTCGTTTGCATTCTTCCAAATCTGCCCTGGTCTCCACATCTCGACGCCTCACGGACGTGTTTCGGCGCACTGGCCCTGGCCCTCCGCATTCTCGCTCCCTGCTATTGCAGACGTCTTAGAGCCCCGCTCCACCCTCCCAGGAACCCGCTGCTCCCGTCGACTGCTGGAATTGCACTCCGTTGCTTTGGGGCATTGCCTTCATTCTGGAGCTATCTCGTCTTACTCCTCGCTCGCCGTCAGGTGCCCGGAGCCATTCACCACTCAGAGGCAACCGTGCAGCTGAGCTTACTACCGAGCTACCGAGCCATCCAGCCTCCTACTGCGCCATCCTGGGCCGCCCGACAGAGCCTCAACGCACAGAGCCCACAGCCGCCCGCTCGATCCTGCCGCCTGTGTCTTTTTTTGCCATCCTGGTCCTGTCAGGCACTGCGCGACGTCGTGCTCAACGGTGAGATTAGCGGTCTTCCGAGGACGTGCTTCTGCACGTACTGGCCCAGTAGGCTACCAGGCTGGCGGGAGCCGTAATCACTAAGAGTCATCCCAACCTCCAGTGGTCAGTCTGCTCCCACGTCCTTGCATATCCGACTACTGGTCGTCATCCAACGCGGCCAATCCCACTCCCTCCCATCGTGCCGGATCCGCTTTGCCTCTTGCTGCTCCCAACCCACACCCGTATTAACACCCGTCCGTCTCCGCAGTCATAGCTTCGTCCATAGCTCCATAGTTCCTTTTCCCTCCGCAAGGCAAAACCGCCCAGCCTCGTCCATATTGGCCAGCCCTGGGGTCCATGTCTCGTCCTCTTTGTCTGTTATGTAAGTCACCCCCTCAGTCACATCGAAATGCGGGTCGCGATATGCGACATCTCATACCAAGGTACTGACGGTCATTTCAGGATCTGGCATTTGCTCTGAATCAGTCTTGTCTGCTGCTAGAGCGTCGCTTCGTCTTCCCGCATTCGTCGCCAGGAGGCCGCTGTTGTCTGAGTTAGGCGAAGAGCAGGACTCACCGCGTAGGAGACAGACACTCAAAGACCCCCTGATCCCCGGATGAATCGACTTTCCGAGCACTTCGATCGCCTGTCTTTGCGGAGACTCCTTTTGTCAACTTCGCTGGTCACAAGGCCCACCAAAACCCCTTCCAAAACAGCCGTCTGCCTCTTCTCGATCAGCCTCTTTGTGCACACCCGTTGCGACAATTACATGTACCAAGATCGTATTGCCTATTCTGCCATCGAAACATCCCGCCCTCCTCGCGCCGGTTCCTTGCATGTCCCGTCTCGAGCCCGTCTGCCGTTGTAACAGCACGGGTCCAGGCTTTGCGCTCCACCCCAGCGTTTACCGAACACCGTCAAGCTGGCCTGCACCGTAGAGCTCAGCTATCAGGTGCGTTGACCCTCGTACGTTGAAGATTTTCAAGGTGTCCATGGGCGCTCAGCCCTGCGGCGGTCCGCTGCTGCCTGCGCTTCGACCCCCATACTTCGAGTTTGCCTGCTAACGGATTCTCGAGTGCAGCCTGATAGCGACCGCGCGCCTTTTGCCGCAGGCGATCATTTTGAATCCTCGGAGCAGCTGCTGGCACGGTACAGTCAAGACCACGGAAGCGGTCCGCTGACTGTGCACGCTGCAATAGCTGCCAAACTGTCGTCCATGTCAGGTTACGACAAAAATACCGAGCAGTATGTGTACGGTAAGTGCATTGCGGCTCAGATGACGGGTTTGGCAGGCCAGATGCCACAGCCTGGTCGGATGGACCCGGTAGAGGCCCACGTGAGAGTATTAGGACGTTTGACTGACCACCCACCCTTTCAGACCCTGAAGCCACAAGACCGAATCAGGTTCCGACCTACGCGGGCATTGCACAGCCTTCCTTCGCCTCGCAATACACCGACGCGCCTGCGCGTCTACCGCATGAACCTTCGAACGTAGAGGTGCCTTTTATCCCCAGTTCGACCTACGAGTCACGCGGCGCAGGAGGCTACCAAGCCGAGTCCTCATATATTGATGCAAGATCTCGTCATGCCGCATCACGCACTGTTACTGAATCGGAAATAACCAAATACGTGTCGCCGTCGCGAGGCACCGCGGGGTCTTCAGTCATACTCCATCTCAGAACCAAATTCGATCTCGCTGCCGACCAACCTACGTTTATCCTCATGTTTGGATCCAAGAAGTGCGTTGCCGCACTCCAGAAAGTCGATCCGGACGATGAGTTCTACAACTACGCTCTCAGCGTAGAGGTTCCTCCATTCCCATTAACAAATTCATGGAACCCCACTATGATGCTCAAGTTGCAGATGGAGGACAAGAACGGGCGTATGCTCAACGAAATAGACGCCGGGAAATTTACGTTCACCGACATGTCTCCAAACCTCGCATACCAATCCTCTCCTGAGATCGCCAGAAAGCGCAAGTACTCCACCGAATTCGGTGACACTCAAGATTATTCGGGGAGCGTCGCAAAACGAACGAGCTCCATGCGCTTTCAGGCGAAGCCGCGCTCGATGTCCGGAGCGTACTCAGCAGCGTCTCTATCGCCCCTTCCAACGCAGCCCTCCTTATCCAGCACATATGGCTATAGCGGTGGATACGACATACCCAAGCAGTCCAGCTACACTCCACAGATGTCGCAAAAAGGCCTATATGCTGTTCCTTCGGGCATTAGCATGCCACAGACAGATATGAAGCCGCCGCAAATGTCGCCAAACCTACCGTCGTACAGCCAGTACAGCTCTCTTGGGCAAAGCGGCAGAAGCCCCGCTCCTATGGCGGCAACCCCTTCGAGAGGGAACGTGTTGCCTTCGCCGCCTGCTCTTCCCACGCCCGTCCTAGTCCGAGCCACAACGCTTCCGCAGTCTGGAGGAGCGTCAACCGGACAACCATTCAATCCGTATTTGATGTATCCAACGAAGGCGGTCCTCAAGATCGAGGGTGACTTGGATAAAATGGCGGAAGGATGGACGACCGAAGAGTACGAAACAAGGAGACGTCTTGTAGAATTCAAGAGGTCGCAGCATGGAAGTACAATAACCACGTCCTTCGCTCCTGTCACACTAGAGGCTAGATCAAACCGAAGCATCTGTGTTAGTTGCATCTGGTGGGAGGAAAAGGACGAATGCTTCATCACCAGCGTCGACACGATATACCTCTTAGAGCAACTCGTCAACGTTCGTTTCACCGTGGAGGAAAAGAACCGCATCCGAAGAAACTTGGAGGGTTTCCGCCCTCTCACCGTGTCGAAGGCGAAATCGGACAGCGAGGAGTTCTTCAAGGTCATCATGGGTTTCCCAAACCCGAAGCCGCGCAACATTGAGAAGGATGTCAAGGTCTTTCCTTGGAAGATACTCTCGCACGCGCTCAAGAAGATCATCAGCAAATATGTATGTTCCCCCTCCATTACTAGCTCACAGCATGAAGCTAAACATTTTCACAGTCTGCAAGCTACTCCTCAACAGCTGGCGCTGGTTCTCTCCCCGTTGGATCCACATCTAGCTACGTGCCAGTTGGCATTTCGCAAACAACAGGGGATACGCATCGCAACATGTCACCGCGATCGGTCGCGAGTTCAGCAGCTTCAATCGCGTACACATCCGGTATGACCTCAACAAGCCTATCTCCGCACCTCAAGGCATCAGCAGGCCTGGAAGGATCAGCTGGGCACGGCCTATCAGCTTCCCATAGGGGCCCGGCGGGACAAGGTATGACTCAATGGGGAGCCGCCGCACACCATCAGGTACCGCAATACACAGCAGGGCTTCCGCAGGGAGGACGCGAATCCTGGGACTATGGGTACCTCAACGCCTCTGCTGCGACCGTCGTCCCCCCGGCCGCGCAATCGATGCAAATGCAACGCTCGGACGTTACACCCGACCTGAGCCAAGTGCCAACGGACAATAATCCATACCAGCAATATGGTCAGCGCACCACGCGCGTCTAGCAAGAGAAGGAGCAATAGCTATGGTGCGGCGGATGTTGGCATCATCGCCCTGGACGATGGTGGTGAGCATGCATCGTCGGGTGATCTGCTCGAGGTGCGCATGATCTCTCCGAACCTAACCGCAACGGGTGTAGCGCGGCTTCTTCCACACCATCTCAACAGTAGTTTGCCTGGCGCGTCGCACACATCTTCTCTTACCCTTGCTTCGGCGGCATCGTCTACTTTATTCCCTCTTTCTATACTGCTTCCCTTCCTCGGCGTCGACATCGGATTCTCTTTGGACCATTCATCGGCTGGCACTGGATCGCATCACACACAATACCCCTGGCAGGCGGCGTTTGAGGTTTATCTCGTTTCATCACGGATTGTCTTATCGGGACGACATACATTTATCGGGGTCACGGCGTATGGGCAAGGGTCAGGTGAAGCCTACGCGCGCCCACCTTGACCACGATCGCATCAGGGACTACGGACGACACAGCATCACTCGGCGTTTTTCCGATATTTCGGCGCGATTCTCTTCTCTAATTTCGCTTCTAGTCTGTCTTTTATGATTTGATGAATTTTGTTTCTGTTCGTGCCTTTCTTTAATGGTATCTCGGGGTTGCTCTCAATGATCTGTCTGAATTTTGGCGCTACACTTCCAGCATTTCTATCTCTCTTTATCCATTGCATTAGAAGGAGCTAGGGCATGCATACCAAGATGGGCGCTGGCCGGGGTGCCAGAAGAGGCGGCGTTTTTTCTAGGCACCAACATTTCCCTTTCCTCCTCCTTCTATTCGTTTCTATTCGAGATTCCCCCGTGTACCCTACAGCAAGCAATCCGCGACGCAAGCACTGTCGTATTCACTTCCTTCATCCACACGAACGAAATCATTCGTCAGGCATATTCCTATCGTACACTAACGCCCTACAAGGCGTATTGATGGATGGGCACCATAACGGCGCAGCCCTACAACACTGCCCTCGTGTGCCTCACTTCCGCGCTTCCCCGGCTTACATCATTCGTGATCTACCCCATGACCGCGTTGAACGGAACGGATGACCTCGTCCGCACCAACCGCCAAACAGCTCGAATCTATTACACAGCGTTTTCATCCTCGCGGCTATTTGGTGGCGCAGTCACGAAGTACCCTTGAGAATCGCACCTGACGCCCCGTTTGTCGAGTATCATTCCTGTTAAACCAGCGAGTCATGTCCTTTTCCGAGTTTAGGAGCCTTCGGTCTCGAGTAAGGCTACACGGAAGGATTAGCGAGAGGCGAGGGCGGCTGTGTCAACGCGGCCCGCTGTTGTTTCCATCTGTGCGACTCGGCAACGATGTTTCTATCTAAAACAAAGGAGCCGATACCGTTTCTGGATACTGATACTGAGATGCAAATGTCAGATTTGCCCTCCTGGCACACGCGCGTCTTGCTCGCCTGACCGCGCAACCTCACTACGCCGTCATGGAAACTTCCTTCTACAACTGCCATGCATGTGCTCAGCAGGTCTGCGTTCACTTACTATATCGCCGGAAATATAATCTATATGAAGCAGTAAGACCATCTGGAATGCTGACGTGCTAGATTTGGACTAGCGCACATCGAGAGGCCTTACGGCCTTACCTGCTCACTCAGAACCTCGCAGCGACTGGCCATTGATCACGCTTTCGCTCACTCAGGGACTCGAAACGCACTATCGTGCTGCAGTGGCGCCTCAACGCCTACACGCTATCTTCTTACATGCGCAAGCTCGCAGATGAAACCAACGGTCGCCGCCTTCGAGATTCGAAAAGATTCCACGTTGCAACTCATCCATGCCGCATGCCGCACGCCGCACGCCGTAAACGGGCTTCTTCTTCCATGTGGAGCCACGATCGATGAACAACGCCATGTAAGCCTAACTTCGCGGCAAGAGCCTAGCTTTAGCGCCCGGTGGTGCTGTGCCGCTTCGTGTATCGCCCGAGAACCTGAAGTATGCATGTTGGGTATAGTCGATTGGAAAGGGTAAATTCAGATCGAATGCATGATGCAGATGCTGGGGATGGGAGATAGGGCTTAGTGCGGCTTACGTGGAGTCTGGAAGTGGGAAGTGTGGAGAGGATGCACCATGCGTCTTCACATGTTTGAAAAGGGCCGTGGATCTTAGGGCTGCTCTTTAGCGGGATGGAGATGTGAAAAACATGCAGTTGCGTCGTGAGCGTTTCAGGACTGCACAGCTGTCACTTCTTTGAGCGAAAGACGAAGCTGTGCTTGAGTGGGGAATGCATATTTGAAGAGTCGATGGTCGAGACAACTTCGCCCAGGGAGAAAAGTGATAGAGCATGCAGTAAGCGCAGGGAGTCATCTTTAGTCGAAGCTCGAGGCCAGTTTCTCCCTTCGCTCCGATGTACCGTACTTCCCGACCTGCTCCAACCCTGAAAGCCAACGTCTTGTGAGACGGGCTGTACGCTTTAGCAAATGTCGTAGATCCGGGGGATGTGTCCAAGATCCTAGCACTCCATAGTTATCCCAATCTGCTAAAGGGCACCAGTATTGGGTTTACATGCTCGACATGCTTTACAAGGTCGACAGCTGAACACGTACATCCCGAAGAGCCCTCATCATCCATCCAGAGACATCGCTCCACCCATCGACGCGGACCGCTCTATCCTCCATCCACTGCCACATCGACACATTCTCGTCGAAACCTTCAATCTCCTTTACATAACTCTTCAACAGTCTCAGACCACTCCCTAACATCCGCGTCCTCGCATCGAAACACCCAATCATCAAGCCACAACCTCACCGCCGCAGCAATAAGCCCCACAGCCAGCTCGCGCTGCGCGAGATCCATCCGCATCCCTCAAGCACTTTGCATGCATGGCAAACTGGCCTGCTACCTGCCCCGCCGAAGGCCCCCAGTCGTGCCCGTCCTCTTCGTGCAAGTGCATGTGGATCGCTTCGCAACGGCACAGTTGCTGTTCTGTCATGCTGCGATCGCGGTTATGAGCAAGGTCTACGAACGTCGTTGAATAGCAGAGAAAGGGATTAAACACGGGCGAGGAGGCATATGATGGCGCTAACCGAATTCGTACATAGCGCGATATGCCCCTCGTATGGTGGCTTTCTTCTTTCTCGTATACACCATGTCGATCCTCTTCGATCCATCTCTTGATTTATGATAGCATCTGAAGCTCTTAATAGCTTTGAAAGTCCTGCGTCATTGTCCTTATATGGGTGCGAACGTACCCTTCTTTCGAGCGGTTTCGTCCGCCGTGGGGCCGCGCTGTAATTCGACTGCTTGACCCGAGTAGATGCCAGAAATCAAAAGACAAATACGAGAAGGCACCCCGTCAAGCCATCGCCACAGAAGGGTGATGACGTCCAGCCTCAAGCTCGCAGGTCCCCAGAGCGCGGGGTTTCGAATCCGTGGCCCCCGAATCCGGAGGCGGGTTGCTTGCGCAGGAATTGGGCTAGCTCTGATCAACCACACGATGCTGCTCTCATAGACATGACCTAGAGCATGCTCTATTGGCCACTCGAGGGAGCGGACTGGGCTATCTTGAAGCCTTCGCGGCCGGTAAGCTACGCTCTATCTTGCAAGAACTGGCTGCGAGCGGTAGGTCCGAAGTTCTCTTGAGATAGCTGAATGCATGCAGGGTTGATGGTAGGCATGCCTTGTCCATTCCCTTCTTATGCCCCTTTTGCTGTTACGGTCGGATATTCCCATCAAGTAATTCATCTGTTGGGGGCGGATCAACAAACGCTCCGACATTGGTTTCTGACGCCTACTATCTGACCTTTCTGACGACCGCAACACTCCTTTGGCATGTAGTATCACGATTAGCCGTTCTCTAGAATCGATCAAAGCACAAGCACATTGATGTCTAAGGGTTAGTCTCGATGCTGAAGAACAACCTCGGCACATGAATTTCCGCTAACCCATTCTGGTAATTAGCATCCCGACTTGACCTCAGCCAGCGTCCTCATCCTTGGAAAAGTCGCGGGGAAACTCATGGCAGCGCTCCCGCCTTTCCCTCTACCCCTCTCCATGGAAACTGTAAATCGGCGTCCCGTCTCCGAGGATCAGGCATTCCCCCAGCTTCGACCGGCACGATCCCGTCTATGATGGCATCATTCCTTGGGCACAGGCTCGACGCCCACATAAAGAACACAGCTATGCCGAGGTGCAAATTGCAAGAGATGTTTGGAACCATTATTGCTCATCATGCGGTCGCCTTCGGTCATCACTGCTGCCACAGCGGTCTTCTCGCTGAGTAGCGCTACCTACGCCGATTCGCAATCGCCTTCTGCGACCCTCGATGCGGGTGTCATTGTAGGGACGACGACGTCCCTCGCACCAGCTTCGACAACCGTCAACAAGTTCTTGGGCGTACCTTTTGCGGCGCCGCCAAAACGCTTCTCCCCTCCCACGCAACCTCAGCCATGGTCTCAGCCGCTGAACACGAGCCAATGGCCAGGCGCGTGCATCCAGCAATTCCCATGTTTGTCTGCATGTACAGTACGATCTCTTAGAGGCTGACTCAATCCAGATCCAGAACTATCCCGCAACTTCACGATGTTCCTCTTCAACAACCCTGCCCCAGAAGAAAGTGAGGACTGTCTGTATCTGAACGTATACGCTCCAGCTTGTCCAGCCCCCGGAAATGGCAGAGCTGTAATGTTCTGGATATACGGCGGAGGTCTACAGTTCGGTTACGCTTCTGTTCCTTACTATGACGGATCTTACTTCGCAGCATATGAGGACGTGATTGTCGTAGCGCCGAATTATCGTACGAACGGTACACGCACCCCTACAATCAACACTCAATATCCAGCACTAACACGCAAACCAGTCTTCGGCTTCCCGAGTTCCCCAGAGCTGCCTCTACAGGAGCGCAATCTGGGCTTCCTCGACCAACGCTTAGCACTAGACTGGGTCCAACGCAACATCCACGCCTTCGGCGGCGACCCTTCCAAAGTCACGATCTTCGGCGAATCCGCAGGCGCCTTCTCCATCGACGCACTGCTCACCAGCTTCCCCAAAAACTCCACCCCGCCGTTCCGCGGCGCAATCCTAGAAAGCGGTCAAATCAGCTATCGTGGTACTCCGTATGCTTCTAGCATCCCAGCATGGGACGCGCTAGCCGCCGCACTGAACTGTACCGACGGGCAAAGCAATCTGACATGCGTCGAAGCAGCATCCGCGACCACCATCAAAAGCATCATCGAACACCAGGCGCTTGACTTCAATCCAACATACGATAACAGGACGCTGGTCACCAACCCAGCGGGGGCTCGCACCTCCGGCAACATTGCGAGGGTTCCCGTTCTCAGCGGGACGAACGCACAAGAAGGGCGCGTTTTCACTGTGGGCCAGACTAACGTCACTGCGTTTTTAGAGACTACTCTCGGCCCCAGTGCCGGTCCGGAGTTTATTGCTACTATCGAAGCCGCGTATCCCGTGGGTGGATGGGAGTTTCCCACAGCTTACGATGCTATTGCTCAGATAATGACAGACCTCGTCTTTCAATGCGGAGACGCTCTGTTCGCTAATGCTACTGCAGCCGTTGGTATACCATCCTGGAGATACTACGTACGTACTCACTACTCTCTTACCTTCCTTTCCTCGACATCATAGCTTACGAATGACCTACTAGTTCAACGCCTCCTTCCCCAACACGCAGCAATTCGCCGGCGGCGGCGTCTACCACGCTTCTGAAATCCCCTTCGTCTTCAACACATATCCTCGCGTCAACTCAACAGCACAGGAGTACGCGTTGAGCAACTACATGCGCTCGACCTGGGCGCGGTTTGCGAAGGATCTGGAAGCTGGTCCAGGATGGAATGCAGTGGAGACGGGAGCGCAGTTCTTGGGCGGCGCGGCCGACTTGGATTTGGGTGTTTTGGGCACTGATGGGCAGAGTGGAGTCAAGGTTGTGAGGGAGAGCGCTGTGGATGGGAGGTGTGCGGTTTGGAGGGGTCTGCTTACGAGGGGAGTCTGAGATTGTGGTGCATAGGGGAATCCCCCTTTTCGTTCTTCGAGACTCGTCCTACAGAAATTTAGCTAACCTAGCCCGGTGCGCCATCATTCTACTCGCGTTGGAGTTGTTAACCTTTCCTCTTCCCATCAACTCGTGTTCAAGCTACGCTCCGGGATCCGGCCCAGGGTTAGGGGTCTATATGTCAAGGTGCGTGGCCGGATTAGTCCCGGCTTCAGCTCTGGAACTCTGCTCCAAGAGACCTTTTTACTAATGAAGACATGCCAAACGTTGCCTTTCTCATGGCGTTTGCCGATGTGTGCTGGCAGATTAGCAGATGATCAGTCGACGGACATCTCAGCTGATCCATCCCAAACAAGCATGCTGAAGCCACATTCTAGCCGTACTTCCAAATCAGGATGTATGGCTCATTTTGCGATTTGAATTAGCAGCCCCTCAGCCGTAGAGATATTTCACGTCTCATGATGGCCCGACCGAAAGAGAGCTGGTCGATTAGGGTAGGAGAGTTCCGCATTGACAGATACTAGCATTGAAGCCCGAGTTCACTACCTATGACACCATCCCCCAATCGCTTACGAGAAAGCGACTTCTACGCACCGGCCCGGCCCGAAGTCCGGTTCTCCGCCGAGCGATCCAAAAATGTCACCGATATAATTTCTCGGCCTCACACCCGCCTCGAAGCGGCCTTTCCACCCTCTTAGGATGCCCTGTACGATCTCCACGCCTGCACCATAGAGATTCTCCAGACCTAACTCTAACCCACCATGTCCCAAATGGAGTGGGATTTCTGGAATGGAGCCAATATCAGGCGGTTGATCGAAGTTTGAGGCACTACGTAAGATGATGACTCGTGAGAAGTCTAGTCGCTGCGAGACGGCTCCCCGAACCAGCGCCGCCAAGGTAGCGGTGTCTTCCTGAGCTGTGGTTGTATATTGCCCTTTCCCGTCGGTCATGATTTTGAGCGAATGCTCGAAGGTCTCTGAAAGCAGATGGCCGTGAAAAAAGACGTTAGAGGATGCAACATCCCCCGCAAAGACGAACGGGGGCCTGGTAGCTGGCTCAAATATCCCATTTGGAGATTGGGCAAACCCGCGTCGATATGTTTGCGCTCGTTCGGAATCCTCTAAACACGCCCGGCTCGCGAAGTCGAGAGCAATCTTCTGCAGCTCTTCATTCACTTCGAAAACCTCAGTGCCGTAGATGATCTTCGGATATTCGTTTGGCGTTGCGCACCCTTGGGGCACGTATCCGCTCTTCCATTCCGCGGGAATGGCACGACCGTCGAACTGGTACTGCAGATCGACCTGAACAGCGTACCTGGCGAGGGTGACACTGCCCAAGCTGCCGTATTTTGGACTAATGCCAGCAATTCCGGCTATGAGAAAGTACGTTTTCCGCAAATCGAAGGTGGGATCATTAATAAAGGTTGATAGCGCCAGAGCCGCGTTTATTACTATGACGATAAGCTACGAACGCTGCGTCTCGAGGAATCACTTACACGACTCGCCAGTAATGAGCTGACAAACCTCACCATTCGCTGTGCTAAGGACGTAAGGATACTTTGGTGAGAGGCCAGGGATGAACAATTTTCGCACTCGGAGGTCCAGGAGTTCCGGTCGTTTGTGCCACGCTTCGGCTTCGGCTTTGAACTAAGTTTCGTGAGTCTTCCGGATAGGAGGCACACACTCTCTGACTGACTGGTGTTTGATGTACGTACCATGCTAATGATGACTACCTTTGGCTCCATTCGCCGTGTCTGCCGACCGCGGCTTGAATGGATCCATGCAAGCACGTTTGTGCGGCTCTTCCATAACAGGAACGCGAAAGAGGCAGCAACCGCAACACCGGCACATCGTCTAACACTGGGATTGTTCGACATAGTGTTTGACTTGCTTCGTTAGATGGCTCTCGGCCGATTATTAAAGCCCGTAGAGGTTTTGGTGCTTATGGGGATAAATTAGGCGAACTCCGAGGCAGGATGACAACTCGTCTTCGACTGGGAAATCGTAAATCATGACAACGTATCATCGCGCGCTCCTACCAACGGCATGGACACTACAGACAAGAGTAAGCGAAGGGCCCTTCCGTTTGCAGAAGGCGAAGACTCTTGCTCATAGTTATGAGTTCGGGTGTCGACGGTGGACCTAATACGGCCCCAGATTTGGACTTGTATACTTTTTTCTGCCGGAGCCGACGGCGACGGATGTAATACAGGAGAGAATCACCGCCACGGCATATAGCGCTTCACGATGTCTCGCCGTGCGTGTTATGCGAGTTATGCGAATTAGCAAAAGTTCCTTCCACCAGTACAGGGTACCAGCTTGCTGTTTCCGAGACGCGTAGCTTTCAGGTGTGAATATGAAGACCTGGTATAGACTGTTTAATTTCAATAAGTAGCCTTATCGCGGGGCTGAGCGGCGCCGTATTCTGCTAAATTTGGGGAAGCTGTGCCATTCGATATATCCCGGTGTTACAGAGAATTCATATTCATAAGATTCACCCATGGTTCTCTCCACCCTTGCTCACTTCCTTCTCTTCCCGCGGCTACCGCTATCTACCTCATCCTGCTGATATCTCCTCTTCTTTCCCTCGTTTCGCCAGAATTCCTGCTTCTCCCTCTTCTCGCGCTCAGCCTTCTTCTCGGCATTCTCTGCCACCTTCATCTTATACGGCTCTTTCCGCTCCTCCTGCTTTTTACGCCTCTTTTCTACTTTCTCGTTCCTGATCGTCATGACCTGATTCATCAGACGCCTGGCCTTCTTCTCCTCGCCTCCCAGCACTACCGCACGCTTCTGCAGGTACGTTGACTTAGACTGGGGTTTCATCTGCGCGATTTGTGATTTGAAGGGTAGGTCGGCGGCGAGTTTGCGCGGCACGCGGAGTGGGTTGAAGTGCCGTGCTTCGCGGACGATGGGGCGATAGGCAGAGTTCTTGAGAGAGGGGGTGGGTAAGCCTTGTTCGTGCCGCACCTGTCCGGTCAGACGCATGCCTTTCCAGCCTGTGGACTCCCCTTCGTCGGCTTCTGCGGGCCTTTCAAGCAAGTTGGTAACGGGGTTGTAGAAGCGGTGCGGCTTGACAGGAAACCAAGCTCGTAAGAAGATGACATCCGACTGGAAAGGGTATCATGTCAGCACAATGCTTTGACTCTGGGTAATAGGCCGAAAACTCACCATCAAAATTTTATCCTCGAAAGTCGCTCTGTAATTTCCCTCGGGCTTGCTCAATGCCCGCTTGATCTGTCCGCGTACACCGGAGACGGTGCGGATCGAGGCACCCTCGAACTTTGCCACCTCAAGTGCACTCTGGAACATATCCTTAATGAAGGCTGTGTTCTAGGTAGAGTTAGCATGTAGATCTTCGTAGCCTAAGTGTGGAACCAACCTTAAAGATCTTGTAGGGATGACCTGTCAGTTTTAACTTTTTTACAATCTCCAAACTCTCATCTACCGCGAGGACTACGCCCGTGGCTGCTATTCGAAAACCGGGATTCTTATTTGAGAGAGACTGGACTGCCACAAAGCCGGTATTGGGTGCAACGAGCGGTCCCCAGAAAGTGCCACTGCGCGGTATATTAGCAATGATCTGCAAGGGTAGAGTATAGCCACATACAAACAGTGCATATGTTCTGGCGTGTATTTCAGCATTCTATTTCTCGTACGACTGTCGGATATGCTGTATAGAGGTGTTGTCTGAAACCGCCGCCAGCCGAGCGAAAGGATGAGGGGGTCATTGGTCTTGAGAATCTTCTTGTGCCAGCGATGTCGCTTTATCCGCACCTGGACGTAGCCAAAGCGTTCCTCCGTAGGACTAAGACCGCCTACAATAACGGGGAAGCGGGGATCGAAGTTGACGCTGAACTCCGCAGGAACGTTCTCGAGCACTATGCGAGCATAGGTGCCAGCTTTTAACCCTTCCACACGGATACGTGAGGCCGCATCTAGCTGGTCGAACTCGGCTTTGTTTATGTCAAGCTGCCTTTGCAGTGCCGCCTTTTGGGCATCATACCAGTCATCTTCGCCAAACTCCTCTCCCTCTCCGGCTTCCTGTCGTGCGTTTGCCTTATCGTTCATGAAGCCTTCGCGATCCTCCTCTTCAAACCGGAGCTTTAGTTCCTCCTTCCGTTTGGCGTTGCGTTCACGTTCTTGGGCTATGTCCTTGGCGTCGACCTTGGTACCACTCTTTTTCTCCTTTCCACCGAAACTTTGGCCGGTTTCCAGGTCCTCGAACTCGCCATCGCCCTCATCGTCATTTCTATCGAAGCCTTCAAATTCATATTCATCATCTTCTTCGTTATCGCTCCCTTTGCCGGACATATGCCCTGAAGCGAATCTGCTCCTCAGTTGCTCGATAGTGTTCTCGTCTTCAAACTTCTCTTCCAACGCAACGTAGTCAAGGATAGGTATGGAGCGATCCTCAGCATTTGCAGCGTCTCCAATTTTTGACTTCCGAAAGAAAACTTCTGCCTCTTCCTCTTTCTCTTCTTCGGACACTTCTGCATCTCCACGCCACTTCGAGACGACCTCGGCAGGAGAGAGAGTGAGATCGTACATCATCCGTGCCAGGTTAGAGGTCTTGTACGGTCGTCTTCGGTCGTGCATCGCTCTTGCGTGTTCTGCTAAGTTCGCCTTCCATCTGACAGCCCCCTCATCCTCATCGTCTACTTCCGAACCCAGTTCACCATCGTCAAGATCGTCAAGATCGTCAAGATCCAGCTCTTCTCCCGATATCGAGCCGATATCCGAATCACTATCGGCGAAGGCAATATCCTCTATCAATGTCCTCTCACGATCTGAGTCTCTCCGGCGCGCGACAGTGGGTTCTTCGTTCGAGATGCCATCCTCGAGGAAACCTGCATCGTCCTCGTCACCCTCCTGCTCGCCGAGGTCCTCGTCGTCGGTGTCGACATCTTTCAGATCAGCTTCGTCGACCTCTTGATGGTCTGCCATCCTTGCATGGCGTTGTCCTTTTCGTCCAGAGTCCCCGGACCCATCTTCGATCGCACCAGTGACAAGCTCTCCGCCGCTGAAGAGTCGCATACCGCTATCGCCTACGCCAAGTAAACGTCTCCCACCTTGAAGGCCGAGCATCATCTGCTCGCCTAAACCACGCTCTTGCGGACCGTCGTCCTCGTTGAAAGTTGACGTTTTCACATCCACATAGACCGCATCTTGATCTACAAGGACGCCGCCCACGTCAGACATAGGCGCAAATAGAATCTTCTGCTTCTCGCCTAGTCGCGTCCTCTTCTTTTTGCCGCGCTTCTCCATCTCCTTCTCTTGATAGGGAGTCGGGCAGGGGTCAGGCAATGCCTCCGTCGATGAGACACTTAAATCACCAACGCCAGGAACGTGGACTCGCGATCCTTGAGCGGGGAAGTTTGTGCCTCTTAGGTAGCCATAAAGGGCAATTTTCCTGTCGCATTTCTCATTTTGTTCAATCTCGGTGGGCGGTGTTATATCCAAGAACCGGTCTGCAAGACAGTACGGGTGTGAATTGCGCCACACCAAGGGTCTGGGGTTCTTCATAACGGAGAGAAACCGTGACATGTTCATGATCTCCCTGTCAGGGTAACGTCCATTGACGACCCCGGACAGATAGAACAGTTTGGCGCCCTGATATAACTCGCTCCAGAACCGATGCTTGAGTCGTTTCTTCTGCATTTTTAGAGCGTCTTGTCTGCGGAACAAATCGAGATGCGTAAGAATCCCAAACACGTTGCCAGGCATTCCTGAGCTGGCGAGAACGTTTAGGAATTCCATCGTCTCCATTTCGAACCCGTAGTTCCCGTCAATCATGAGCAGGACAATATCCACCACTTTCGCGATATCGATCATGCTGGAGAGCGAGTCGGCGGGACACTCGATGAACGTCAACCGTCTTCGTTTGCTCGTTACGACTGTGAGAGGACCGGTCGGATGGGATAGTGTCTGTTTCGTATATCGTCGGATAAGCGATTTTATGAGTGTCGTCTTACCGACGCCCGGAGGACCAACGACGCCCACGATTATAGGCGGCGCTTCCTCTGGCAGGCGATCCACGAGCGGGACATGAAACCTCTTCTCCTTGATATCGCTAGTCCTGGCAGCCTGACGAATCGCTCGCCCAGGTCTAGCCACGGCAAAAGCCTTTGGGTTCCTGTCCCCGGAGGGCGCCTTCTTCTCCTTGCTCTTCCTGTGCGGGCGATTCGCCTGTTCGTCGGCCATTTTTGCCCGCGCGGCACCGTGTGCGAGGTCAATCCGTGGCTAAGTCACCCTATCACATTCGCCAATGTATAAATTCTCCGGATTTCGAGGGATCGGGACGTGTACGGCGTGTCGTGCGCAGCGTCGGGCGAAGAGTTGTAGCTGTGAACTGCAGTTCCCAAAATTTCCAAGACTAGCGCGCACGCCAAGATTTCGGCGGGACAGGGATGTGCTTATCGATAAGAATGGGACGCGAAGTGGGCTGAACCACGGATGGGAGGGACGCGTGATGCATATGACGATGACGTGGGGCAGCAACCAAGGCCGTAATCATCCAAGCGGTCAGGGTCCGTCAACAGAGAGAATATAAAAACCACGCTGATCCAGCACTGACTCGCGTGGAAATCTTATCAACAAATACTCAATTACTCCCACTACACTCTCCTCAGACCTTCATACACACCCACCTTCAACATGCCTGCCATCAATGTAACGCGTCGTCCTCAGTTTGCACGAGGAGTTCTATCTAACCTACTCCGCAGGTCACCCTCAAGTCCGGCGCCTCGCCGGAACAACTCGAAAACGCAAAGAAGCAAGTACAGGATCAGGGCGGCAAGGTCACACATGAGTTCAGTCTCATCAAGGGCTTCACGTATGCATCCCGAACCCCTCGCAGCACGCTAGGCCAGACACTGACGTTGGGTGAATAGCGCCGAGTTCCCCGCCGATAAGGTCCACACTCTCGAGAGCAACGACCATGTCACCGTTGAGGCCGACTCCGAAGTCAAGACACAGTAAATGGATGGGGACGGGTCACGATATGGATATGACACGCATTACATGATAGCATGGAAGTAGCATGGCATCAAGCATTGGTGTTGAGATCACTATAGACGAATCCTAATGATGATATTCCTTCTCGGTTGGGGATGGTATCTAGCTGATGCCCCGTGAAAGCCCTGAATAGCCCAGCCTAGCAACCCTCAAGCGTATGCACCACATGATCCTACTCATCTAACGTTCCAACGCCTCTCAGACTTAAATATACATCCGTTCCCCAACCCCACAGCGACTGCACAGCAATCCCGCCTCCAAAGTACTCCGCGTATGCTCTTCCCAGCGGCAATCCATATCCTAGCCCTGCTAGGCTGTGTGCGCCCTCACCGCCCGGCCCCGAAATCATATTCAAAGCATCCATGCCGCTCGAGCGTCCCGCCAGCGTGTGTGACGCTTGGTCATCGTTAAATGTCGTGAAACTATAGTCCCAGATATGTGGCAGGGTTTCTGGGGCAATTCCGCCTCCGCGGTCTCGAAAACGGATCGTGACGCCGGGAGTGCTGTGCGCAAGCGGTAGGATGCGAGCGTCTGAGGCGGAGGCTTGAGCGCTGGTTTTCCCCGTGAAGCGCTGTGACGCTATATCCATAGTTCCCTGGGTGGTGTTGTTGACCCTCGGTCTGGCGTCGTCACTCTCACAGCCGTTGTTGTTCTCTGGGAGCTCTTCTGGCAGAGGAGCGATGGTGACTTCGATAGGTTCGCGCTCCTTGCCGTTTTCGACCGTTGCTCGAAAGGCGTTCTTGAGCAGCTCGGTAATGATGTATTCAAGATGTACCGGTACATGGGCGAAGGTGTAGTCTGGTTCCCCATTAATCACAACATGTGGTCGAACGCCATATTTTAGCTCGCAAATCTCGCCCACAACATTATCGCAGTGCTCGACGATTCTAGCAGGTCGAAGCTTCGTATCGATAACGCCTATGAAACCTGGGTTCTCCTCGGTCTCGTGCATCACCTCGCTATGCGGTTGGCTGGAGAAATGTAGCGCCAGGTGCTGTTCTGCGATCAGCCGTGTCCCAATCCTCGCCCGCAAATGCTCGTCTAGGAATCGAGTCACGTCCTTCGGGCTGATGTATTTTCTCGCTTCTAAGAACCCTCTTGCCAATATGCTTATGGTGTTGGCGTGTGTTTGTACAAGATCAGCCATAACCTCCGTGAATATGACCTCGTCCTCGAGCGTCGCTACCTCGCGTTCCGCCCATGGTAGCAGCGTGGAGAGACTGTGTTCATAGTTCCCGTGAATCTTAGAGATGTGTGGATTTGAGACGACGATGAAGGGCAGGTTTCGGAGCGACTGGATTCGGTGCGCAAGACGAGCGGGAAGGATTGAGAGCGTAAAGTTGGCGGAGGCGAGCAGTTGCGAGGTCGTGAGCGGCGGACGTCCGTGTCTGAACGACGGCACAACACGCATTAGCACGGTTCCAAGGGATCCGATGAAGATTCGAGTACCCACTTTACAAGGTCTGCGAGCTTGAGCGGATGCAATGGCAGGCTCGCCAGCCGCGCGATGTCATTGTCCGTAACGGTTGCCGTGTGCAATCGCTTGTCGTGTGTTCCCCTCGCAAACACCGAGCTTGGCGTTCTACGGGCCTTGAGCGGACAGCACAGTCGAACGAGCTGCGATTGAATTATCAGGGGGCGCTGGACTTGAGCCATTGTCGCACTCCTCTGGTCTCCGCGTTCGGACCTTGTCGTGGAATGGCAGGCTATGCGCTATGCGTGCGAGCCCCGTTGCTCAAGCTGACACTCGGACAGGCTCTGGAAATTCGCTGCCCAATGTTGCCTCGTCATACGCGTTAGATCGAGTATTGTGTCACTTCAAAAGGGTAAGGTTCTCGTAACTGTAGGTTTCGTTGCTCGGTGTGGTCGATGGCAAGGTGCGTGGTCTAAGCGGCGGTAAGAGGTCACATGGGCGCCATGCTTCATCGGCGTAGGTACTTTAGGGAATTGTATAGCCACGCATTTGTGAATGAGAGTATCTCGTCCAATTAGCTTACCGGTAAGTAATTCACGATATCCTTGGTGGGGGGCTCGTAGAAAAGCAAAAACATAGAAAAGCAAAGACGTAACTGACGTCAAATCAGCTAGCGGTCGAGAGCTTACAGTATCGCCCGAGATAGCACAGAATTGAACATGTCATTTCCAAAATACAAGACTATATCGCTCCTCGACAATAATTTGCGCTTTAGAAATACTTAGGCAGATCAAGGCCGTAATGTGAATAAGGCTCGGGAGTTCAAGGACCAATGGGGCTCTAAAGCTCACTAGTCAAGCCGTATTGCTCGGCCTTGCTCAGAATTTCATGGAGGATACAAAGGTCACAGAAATCTAGGAAAGCATCTTCTGCGAACAGTTGCGGAGCTTTATGTGTTGCGAAGTTCCGAAAGACGGGACGGAAAGGGAGCGAGAGGTGAAAGGAAGGCTGGTTGGTACGCGAATCGGAATTAGTGTCGTGATCGCGCGACCCCCTGTGACGTGATTGACTTATGCTTGGCGCGTCGCCTTTACACCACTCGATATGCACCTGGCACTCCTCTGGCGTGCATTCTTTTCCGCGTCCTCTCACGCCTCTCTATCTCCACCCCTCTGAGGCTTTTGACAGTACGGAAAATGGCTTCTTCGTCCATCACCGGCACCGATCCCGAGTCACAACAGTCTACGCCCGCGTCGTCTCCCCCACCCGCCGATATGGAGAACATCGAGGGCGTCTCGAAGGGGATACAGGCAGAGGAGGAGCGGATGAGGATGCAGCGCGAGAAAGAAGACGCGAAACGCGACGCTGAGCTCGAGGAAGAGCGACGGGCAGACATTAAGAGTGGCAAGGAAATCCTGGACAAGAAATTCCAGCAACTGGAGTTTCTGATGAATAAGAGCAAGGTCAGTTTAGAGAACTACAGATCTCTTCAGGAATCTCCAGGAAGGCAAAGATCGGACGAAAGTAAAGTCACTAACAAGACCTTCTCTAGCTTTACGCGACTGTCATGCTTGCACAGATGCAGCGACAGGAAGACGACGAGAAAGCGCGCGACGAGCAAACGCACGGCCAATCCTCGAAACGCGAAAAGAAGGCCGAGCAGGTTGCGACCGAGACACAGCGAAGAGCGACACGCGCATCGGGAGGCGGTGGTGATTCCGCTGCTCTCGCCAACGCACCCAAAAAGAAAGGCCGCGGCCGGCCAAAGAAGGGAGCAAAAGAAGACACCAAGATTTCCAGCTATTTCAAGAAAGAAGGTGTTGAAAAGAAGACGGATCAGACGAGCATCTCGGAGGCGCTGAAGGACGCTGCGGATGAAGACAACGTGCAGTCCGGCGACATTGGCATACAGAATCTAAAGTCTGCAAGACAGCCAAAGCTGGTGACCGGAGGCATCATGCGGTCCTACCAATTGGAGGGGCTGGAATGGCTTCTCTCACTGTATCAAAATGGCATCAACGGGATCTTGGCCGACGAAATGGGTTTAGGAAAGACGATTCAGACCATCGCCCTGCTCGCACATCTGTGGGAGAATAGGTCATACGGACCATTTTTGATTGCTGCTCCCCTAAGCACCACGAGCAACTGGGTTGAAGAGTTCAAGAAGTGGACACCGAGCATCCCCGTGATTCTATACCACGGCGACAAGAACGAGCGTGCGAGATTGCGGAAGACGAAACTCAAGGATCCAGGAACCGACCAGTTTCCCGTCGTGGTCACCAGTTACGAGATTTGCATGAACGATCGGAAGTATTTGACTGGCTTCGGCTGGCAATTCATCATTATCGATGAGGGCCACCGCATCAAGAACCTCGATTGCCGTCTCATTCGCGAACTGCAGTCCTACCAGTCTGCGAACCGGCTTTTGATCACTGGGACGCCACTACAGAACAATCTGACCGAGCTTTGGTCGTTGCTGCACTTCCTCCTACCTACCGTGTTTGACAAGCTCTCCACGTTCGAGAGCTGGTTTGATTTCTCTGGTTTGAAAGATAAGTCCAGCTTTGAGCAGCTGCTCTCCGAAGAGCGCCAGCAGTACCTCGTCAAGTCGTTGCACGCCGTGCTGAAACCATTTCTGCTAAGGAGAGTCAAGACAGACGTCGAAAGCCTGATGCCAAAAAAGCGCGAGTACATCCTTTTTGCACCCCTGACGCATATGCAGAGAGAGCTATACCAGGCTATTCTCGATGGCACAAGCCGCTCATATCTTGAAGAGAAGGCGATTGAGAGGCTTAGCGTTAGCACTCGAAGTGGGACTGCAACACCGCTCAGCGTGCGCAGCAGGAATGGGAATCTGAAGCGCAAAACTTTATCAAGTGGTGTCAGCACCCCAAATAAGAGCGCGAAGACGTCTCGTGAAGGTACTCCTGCATTGACCGCGTCTAAGCGTGGACGTGGGCGGCCGAAGAAGACCTACGAAGAACTCAGCGACGCGCAGTTCTTCGCGGATCTCCACGCCCAAAAGAGCGAGGACGAAGAAGAGGATCTGGGCTCAGAAGCGGAAGAAGAGAGAATTCGCGCGGCGACTTTCGAGATCGCGAAGCGTCAGCTCTTGCAGAAGAAATTGGGCAACCCCGTTATGCAACTCCGGTTATGTTGCAATTCACCCTACAACTTCTTTAATCCCTTCATTGCGGCAGAAACCTCCGGCTCCGAGACCTTTGCGTCAGAGACGGAGCCCGACGAGACACTTGTCACTACATCAGGAAAGATGTTGCTGCTTGATTCCTTGCTCCCAGAGCTACTCAATCAAGGGCACAAAGTCCTCATTTTCTCGCAATTCACAACCACGCTTGACCTGCTAGGTCAATATCTCGACCTCCGCTCATGGCCACATGCGCGCATCGACGGCTCTGTCGCGCAAATCGAGCGTCAAGCACAGATCCGCTCTTTCAACACTTCGTCCTCTTCGAAGACAGCCATGAACGTCTTCCTCCTCTCTACAAGGGCAGGGGGCCAAGGCATTAACCTCGCAGCAGCCGACACAGTCATCCTGTTCGACTCAGACTGGAACCCCCAGCAAGACCTCCAAGCCATGGACCGTGCGCACCGTATCGGTCAAACCCGCAACGTAATCATCTACCGCTTCGCCACGCGCAATACCGTTGAGCAGAAACTCCTCGAATCGGCAGAAGCAAAACGCCGGCTGGAGAAGCTCGTCATTAGAAAAGGCGGAGTGCGGAATGACAGAGGGCGCGGAAAGCAGATGGAGAAGGAACAGGAGGTTGAAGAATTGCAGAAGTTGCTACGCAGGTCCGATGGGGAGCGGTTCAATGTCGAGGGGAAAGATGGAGTGACGCTGCTTGATCGGAAGGAATTGGAGATTTTGTTGGATAGGAGTGACGAGGCGTATGAGAGGGCGGAGAAGGGGCTGGATGTTGGTGGTGATGGGCAGGTCTTCCAGGCTGTGGGAAAAAGGGACGAAGGCGCATTGATGGAAGGCCTCAAGGCATAGGGCACACAACTGCGGCAGTTTGGATATGCGATATCTATGAATATGAATCAGCGAGCCCCAAAAGAATAACTGGAGGCAGAAGTTTTGTTGAGGCTAATACGCTAGGTCAAGTTAGTTCTCCTATGAGTCCGCAGATATGTAGAATGCGAATAGGCATAACTGATGCGATACTTGGATATACGGATGCCTCCGAATCGTCGATGTATCAATGGCGGATCACATGATAACGCGCGCGAGTCATGTCCCAGAAATGGTTAGCGCGTTGCACGTGTCGCGACTTCTTGTAGTCTCCATCCAACATTTCCCTCTCCCTTTCATCCCAACATCATCCCACCAACAAAGCCCAGGAAAGGTACGACCAATGGCGACCCCAAATCGCAAGGCATAGCCGCCCCGACTGCATATTCATATGGGCCCCGGCAGCGCGAACGCCAAGTACAGCTACTACGATGGCGCCCCCTCCAGCAACGGCCACAAGCGCGACCCTGCCGACGAAACCAGACAACGACTTTCAAATTATAAAAGCAAGGAAAATCCAGGAACAATGAAATATATGTTGGCCCAATGCGCGCTCTAGGGTTGTTATTCCCATCACCTGGGCGCCGTTAATAAGCAGATTATCAGAAAAAGACTTCAAAACAGCGTTAAATAATGGTTAGGTCAGTACAAAACTGGCCTGATGAAACATAGATAGACGTCCTAACTCTCTCTGGTGCGACGTTCTACCTCCCATTGTGATCGAGTTCGAAGACGACGTACGCCGGCAGTACTATGGGCTGGAACCATCACGAACATCTGACAAGTTGGAACTTCATCGCCTGACGAATTGGCAGAACGCGGATGGGAACCCGAGCAGAAAGTTCCCATACAATGAAGAGGACCGATGCCGATTCGATGCTCTCATGGCACCAGAGTGGAAGGAGCGATTTTGCCCTGACAAGAAGAGGAACCGGTCTCGGCCCGGAGCGACTCTCGGCAGTTTTGCAGCCATGGATACAGCATCCAGTGAGGGTTTGCAGAGCAAACGCACGAGAGTGACCGAGGACCAGGATACTGACTGTTGCAGGGCGCCGGAATGGATCGATCCGCATGACCCTACCTTCCAGGAGGACGCCGCGAGCCCACTTGCAGCACTAGTTCACACGCTTGCATCTATGGATCAGAAATTTCCGGCGGCCCGGCCGCGAGTTTCCGTGCTGCAAGGTCCGGGTACCGCAGCAACCGCTTACAGCTATTACGACGGCAAGCAGTATCTCGATGTACATACACGGGAGCCTGCCGATTTTATTCGAACAAAACTTGAAGAAGGCTCCTCGAAAGCGACGAGTCCTTACATGGTGGCCCAAGTTGCATCTATGGGGATGCAATGTTGCCCGGAAGGGTGAGTGTTCTAAGGAAGAGATGAAAACTGAGCTTCTCCACTCGCTCAAGTCGGGCTGGGTAAGCAACACTTTCGCTGAATTGCAGCTTGTGCTTATCAGAAGTAGTGCGATTATGTTGCTCTTCACATGGTCGAGTTCGAAAAGGAACTTCAAGGAAAATACGAAGGGCAGTCACTCTCATACCCAGAGCCAACCAGGCCGCTCTTCAAATACCTTCCAGAGATATGGTATCCCGGGTTTTTGCGCCTTCCTGAGGCGGTGCCGTCATCAGGGAGGAGAAGGCTATGTATCCTCTGTGGAAAGAACGCTATGGTCATTCTCTAGAGTCCCGAATGCGTCCTTTGCGACAAATTCCGAAGAAGGCCTGTCTGCGCGCCTGGCGGCTGGAGACCAATGGTATGGGTCCAAAAATGAGCATCGAAATGAAGCAGCGCCGTTCATGTCTTCGCTGCGAGCCTCACCCCGCACTTTGGGGTGATGCCACTCCAGAATCTTCCGACATGGAACCAGAGTCCAGTTCGGAACCAGAGCCACAATCCGAATACGAGATTGGCCGCCACTACCATTAGTCAAGCTCACTTCCTTGCGAATGTCCCGACCCGAGCTCAGTGACTTCGTTAGGGTCAGTCATAGATAGTCTCTACGGACAGACATACGAGGATTTCATCTCCATCTCCAGTTCCCCTACGATACAAGGCCGAGAGTCGAGTGACTACGATGCTCCAGGTACCATGGATAATAAGTCAACGCAGACGGATCTGGAGCTCCTTCGGCATGCATGGGCACTCCATGGTCAGGGTATCCATTTCAACGCCCCTTATCTAGCTCAGGCACGGTATAGAACCGCCGAGGAAGCAGAAGTCCAGTTCCTGGCACCTAACCTCTAGGACGAACGGCTCTATGCTTCACCGGGGTACAGCGAACGGTACCGAAAGCGATCAGATCCATGCCGGAAGATCTGGAGGGTCACGCCGTACAGACATGGCTCGCCAGTCTGCAATTCTTAGGGAGCCCTGCAACTTACGATTGGCACAGATAATGCTAAACTACGCCAGTCTGTTTGCACTTGGCAGGCAGCCTCCACACTCTGTCCGGAGTTGGGGCGCAGCACCGCCGAATTACGCCTCAATGAGATTTCTATGTAAATGCGACTAAAGCATATTGATCTTTAGGCCACCCTCGGCTCGTCATTGGCCGGGTATATGCAGCATTGCTTTATGGTCACGTGAACACCCTCTTTTATTACCTGGTACTCTCTACGGCTAAGGCGGTTCCTTGCATAGAACTCTAGTGGCCACTTTCCAGAATCGTTATGCGATCGATTACCCCTCCATCGTCATCATCAGCCCGATTGTACCAAGCGCGGCAATTACTCCCATCGGTAGTCTCGGCACCGGCAATTTAGGCTCGACACTCTTCCTTTCCGACGCAAATGAGTTTTATATTTAACATCTACACCTTGTACAACCATGCCCAGAAGTGTCACGATGCCCCACCAGGTCCTCGGGATTAAGGGTGGCAGCTCTCCCACATGTCGCTCATGCAGGTCGCCTCCCTCCACGCCTGAGATCAGCACGAAGCCGATCTTCACACCTTCCCGTGTGTCAGTTTCGAAGAAGCGTTGCACCAATGCTATTTGAGATGTTCCATACTATCAGTTTCCGCCGTTATACGTCTTGTGCAGCTCCATATAGCTTCCGCGGCTCCCAGAAGCCCCACATCGCATTGAGCTCTCGCCGTACCTGGATATTAGCAATAACCAGGAATGAGCTCGTCTCTTGTACGACCTAAATCTTGCAGCAAAGGATTGTGCTACCGGCTTGGAATTAATATTGCGCAGAGCCGTGGAGCTCCCACGAAGCTCACGCGAGGCCTCGCGTACCCGTTCTCATATCTGGGCGAGGAGTTCGCGTCCTTATCTTTTTATTGTCTTTTCCTGAGCTGCATTTTTCCTCTTTGGTGTCTTCTGATAGCTTGCGGAAGCTTGTGAGTCCGCTCATTAATAGCACGCTTCGCTCCTGTTTCCAGCTCTGAGCCTCTTACCCAGCTTCATCTTACTTTACAAGCAACAATGCGGTGGACCTTCTTCAGTCTAGCGGGAGCTTTGAGCTTCTCGGGGGCTTCGGCCTCCATCAATGCCATTCTGGGAGCGAAGTTCAATATGGATGTGGGCGCTTCGCACTATCAATACTCGAATGAGATGATGAACGCGTCGCCGCAGAAGGTCGAGAGGCGCAACGACACCACGCCCAATCCAGTGGCAAGATTCCTCCATCTTCAGCCGCGACAGGCAGGTCGGTGCGGAGCGGACTTCGGCGGCCAAAGCTGCACAAACAATCAGTGCTGCTCACAATACGGATACTGCGGCACCGAATTCGAGCACTGCGGCGAAATCGTCGGATGTCAGCCGCAGTATGGAAGATGCGGGAATCAGCCTGTTACGCCGACGTCCACGCCGACACCAACACCAACACCGACTCCGTCGTCTTCTGCGATCCCATCCTCGACTGTCATTCCTTCTTCCACCGTCCGCCCCTCCACCTCTTCATCGTTACCTCCAATCCCCTCCGGCACCATGGTCATCTCAACGAACGGCATGTGCGGTAACGTGACCACGTGCGCCGGCTCCGGCTTTGGAAACTGCTGCTCGGAGTGGTACTGGTGCGGAAGCTCAGGCGACTACTGTGGTACTGGATGCAGGCCTTTGTTCGGAAACTGCGCCGGAGCGCCTCCAGTGTCCTCATCCTTGCCTCCTCTCGTGTCTTCGTCTACGCGTATCCCATCGTCCAGCCCAACGCCTACGCCAACACCTTCCTCGACACCTATGCCCACGCCCACGCCCACGCCGAGCTCTACTACGCCTTCTCAGCCTACGCCGACTATCCCCGTCAGCACGGACGGTAGATGCGGAGCCGAGAACGGCGGTCGCGGCTGTGTGGGTTCCACGTACGGACGATGCTGCTCTTCCTATGGGTGGTGCGGGAATCAAGATGACTACTGTTTAGTTTCATGGGGTTGCCAGCCTAACTACGGAACCTGTGGTGCACAGAGTCTGTTCATGAACTTCGCTGCGATGTGAGGGGAAGAGAGGCCGGTTGTGGCGGGGTTTCGGAGGGCCTGCAGGCAAAAGAATATGAGGAGTTAGCTATAGATAGAAAGTCTGCAATGGGAATATGTTTCTTAGAAGTAAAAGAGTTATGCTGCGACTGCGGGTTGACGTGCATAGGGCTGTGACATGAGGGATGAAGTAAGAGAACCTACTTTAGGGCTGCAGAGCCATAGGTAAACACAACACCACTACCTACAAAGTCGAGATGAGACGACTTTCACATGCTCAGCCCCTCCTTCCGCGCTCCTGCCTTCCTCAACCCAGCGTGGCTGCCTATCTCAAGCGTAAACACAGAGGCGTCCCGCGCCTCTCTCACCTCACCTCACTCACCTAACCCCCAAATAACTCCCGTATATATATTCAATAATTCTGCAATACTTTCATTCAACAAGCATCACGGGAGTGCCTAAAAGGCCGGGCCAGTAGTCATAACGAGTTCATTGCACACCGAACTCAAATATGGGCTGTCGAAGGTAATACTCATAACGCTCCTTAGCGACGAGTTACCGCTACTGGGAAGCCACAATACTAGATAGCAATATCATAGGTTGTGGTTGGGACAGCAGATGCTAGACTAGTGACCGGCATAGGTTCGAATACCTGGTCTGTCATATAGGTACGTATTCCCCATTTCCATTACTAACTTAGTTTTTTTGCAATTTTTTTTTTGGCTTAGGGCAGTGCTCACCTTAGTAAGGCAGGTAGGCGGGGGAGGTAGGATTGGAGAAGATATGACGATGCGAAAGAGCGGAGAAGTGAGGTGGCATGTGCAGAGTTCGCATAGGTAAAGCTCGTAAAGCCTATCGCGCAGAAGTCGGCGACTCTCTTCTCTTTTACTCCACGGCGAAGCACAGCATTCCTGTCTTATCGCTCTTACCTCACTCGCCCTACCTCTTTACACCTTCTCGCTCTCGCCCTTCCTTCCACCCTCCAACTGCACAACTACGTCCCTGCTCAACAATGCGTCAATGTTTGGCGCCCAGAAGCTGCATATAATTCCCACACCACAGAACGCGATCGTGCTCAAGAAGACCGTCTTGTACGCTGCAGCATTTGCTTCCTGGTATGCGCGGACACCGGCGGATTGAATGGATGGGGTGAGGCCTTCAACGGCGGACCATGCAGCTGGCGTGCCAAGGGTAAGCGCGGTGATAAATGTGACGATACTAGTGGCTGGAAGGCCAGCGGAGAGAAGCGCAGGCGGCACCTTGGCGGGAATGGTTTGTGCGAGGCGGTTCGAGAGGACGACGGTGTATACTCTGCGGCAGCTGCATCAGCAAGCGTGACATGTCAACGTCGCTTGAGATGCACTTACGTGGAGCAGATCGTCGAGATAAAAGACCGCGCCGAACCAGCGATACCTGTGGCCGTACCGATTTCACGCTGGTCCTTGATTACAATCGTGGCGACCGTGGAGTTGAGAATCTCGTTCCAACCGATAAATGCAGCGGCGATGAACACAAAGAGAGCCGCCATGACGGGCGTATCCGGTGTCGAGGCCGCCATCGCTAGTTGCATGTTAATACATCTGCATCCTACGAACGGGACGTGATACGAGCTTACCTGCAAGGAAGACACTGCCGATGAAGAACACGACGATGATCTGGATATTTGTTTTCCTCTTAAAGAATGCGCCAACGAACTCGCCAAACAGGATACCGGAGTTGGATATGCAAGACATCCAGCCCGCCCACATGGTGCCATGTCCAGCGGAGTAGAGTGTAGCGACCATGCTCGGCCAGATGATCGCGAGCGCATAATACACGGCTGCGCCGAGTGCCCACAGCAGCACCGTGATATTCCATGGCATGTTCTTGAGGAGGTGCATCGGCAGTAGGGGTTCCTTCAGCCCAGCGTACGCCTCGTACACGAAGAATCCCACTAGCGCGACGAAACCAACAACGATGGTAGCGATGACGTGAGCAGACTTCCATGGATGCATTGTCCCGCCCCAGGACAGACCCATGAGAAACAACAGGAGTCCCATAATAAAGAGGAGCGTTCCGATGTAGTCGAAGTCCTTGAGGAATTGAGTCTTGCGGCTTGACTCATGTTTCTGGGCAAACGTGGGAGGCTTGTAGAAGAAGAACCAAGCCAAGGTTGTGGCAGCATTGAGGGCGGTGAGGAGGTAGAAGATACTGTAAACGGCGGGGTGAGTAGGTGAGGATAAAGCGGAGGCTAGGGCCTTACCCTCTCCAGCCCACACTGGTTTGGAAGACAAAAGCGTACGATATGGCCGGTGCAAACCCGCTTGAGGGGATTGCCCACGCAAAGCTAAGCGAGTCAGCCTGGCTCTTCCTAACGTGTAAATTCTCCTAGTGTGTCTTACACCCAGGCCTGTGCAAGAAATCTGTACGTGGTTGGGACGAGCTCGCCGACAGCAACTGCGAATATATAAGCTCTGGGGATTTATGGAGACAACAAGAGCTTCGACATACAAGCATATGAAAGCTGCGACGCAGCACCGAGACCGATTAAGACCTCCGCAGCGATGAGTGCCGGGACGTTGGGCGCAACCGCCGCGACTATGCATCCAACTGTGGCAAGCGCGTTGCCCCCAATGAAAAACCAACGACGACCTAGAATAATCAGCCCCTGAGAATCGGACGAGAAAGGGTACGGGATACCGAAGAGATCACTCAGTCGTCCGACAAGCATTAGTCCAATCGAGTTCGTAAGAAGATACGAAAGAGCGACCCAGCTCAAGTTCGGATCCGGACCAATATCCGCATTGATGAAGGAGAGAACTGGTGCGGCGAGACCAAAACCACCTACGCCGCATCCGAAACTGGCGCCGATAGCGAACACTGCCCATCATCAGCATGGGTATGATGGGCATAGCATGTCAACCCACTAGATCCTAAAAAGTTGGCGCTTGTGAAGTAGCCCTTGGGTAGCTCAGATTCTGCGACTGTGAAGTCGCGGCCCAGGATCTCTTCTTCAAGGGAATGGTAGTGTTTCTCTGGATCTGGAAGGGTTTCCAGATGGGCGATGGTATCGACATTAGCGTCGTGTTTGGTGGGCGCCATGATCGCGCGAGTGGAAAAGTGAGAATTCGAAAGAGGAATGGACTACCAGAAGCCACTCTATCAAGCATCCAGACCTGGAATGGCCGCCAGTTTTATGCTTGGAGGATGAGGATAACCTGAGCCGATCCAATCTCAGCCCTACCAGAAGCGAAATCTAGCATGCCCATGGACCGCGTGGGGAAGCAGAGAAGCTCTAGAACTTGAGCCATCAGACCGAAGCTATCTCTTGTACCGACCTCTGGCGCTGTTTTTGCTGAAAGGTCAGGTATTGCCTAGCTTGGAGTTGGGAGTCGCTTTATAAACGGAAAACGTTAAGCAGTCAGTGCCAAGCGGGAAAATCCCGGGGCGATCTTCCTAGAGCGGACAACCAGTGTACGGCATCTGAAGGTTATTCAACAAATCCCAAATACCAGGTGCATGAAGGTAGAGGCTGTAATATGTAGTACCGATCTTACCTGTAACGCAGTTTCTATTCTAACAACCTATGAAATTCTGGTGCGTTCGTCCGATGAAGTCGTTGACATCGTGTGCTTGTAGTGATAGCGACCGATGGACGAACTTTCGGGGTCACAGAATCCGGGGTAAATGCGGGGTCGATGCGTGGAATTAGCGAAAGGCGTCAATTACACGGTCGAGAAGGCATCACGGCTGACTCGTACTAGGCTAAGGTTTTGTACTGAGTGCCTCTTTGCACCATGCAAGGTACCTCATTCCTACGATTCCCGGTTTTCTGATTCGATGAAGTCCTTTATCGTCTGCTCCAGGCCCACATCATCCGCAAACCCCAAACTTTTAGCTCTTGACGTGTCGTACTTCTCAGGCCAACTGAGTACAATCCTCTGGATCGTCTCGTCCTTCTTCTCTTTTACTAACGATCGGACCCCTTTTCCGGCCACCTTCTCCAGCGCATCTAGGATCTCTCCACTGGTAGCCGTATAACCAGGAAGTAGAACAGTTCGGAAATGGCCAAACTTCTCTGCTGGGACGTTCATAGCGTGTACAAGGTTGTGAGCTAACGTTCTTGGAGATGCAAGCCAAATCCCAATATCCGGGTCTACGGGAAGCTCGCTTTCTTGACCATGCACCGGTTCCCTTACGATGCCGGAAACGAACGACGAAGCAGCCGCGGTTGGTGCACCTGCTCTGACGAAGATAGTTGGCAGACGCACCACGCGGCCATCTATCAGGACTCTCCTTGAGTAGTCGTTGATGAGGTATTCGACCATGAGTTTCTGCGTCCCATAGGAGCTCTCCGGCATTGGAACGACGTCCGTCTCGGTGGCGACATTTTTAACAGCAGCTCTTCCGAAGACAGCGCAGGAGGAGGTAAATATGACTTTGATCCCGGGCTTCTTCATCCGAATGGTGTCGAGGAGGCTGCGAACGCTGTCGAAATTGACCTTGAGGCCCAATTCAAGGTTGGCTTCCGAGCCGCTCGACATGATGCCGTGGAGAATGTAGACTGCATCGGGAGAACAGTCTATCAAAGCTCGACATGCTGCAGGGTCCGTGAGATCGGCGCCAACGCAGTTGACTTTGCCAGATTCCGTCGGATTCGGAGGCGCGTGTACATCGGCGAGTACGAGTTCGGCATCAGGAGAGATTTCGATGAGCTTTTTTGCGAGCGTTTGGCCGACAAAGCCGCCGGCGCCTGTGATGACGACTCTCATGATGGATGGACTGGGAGAGATGAGTTGGGATGAAAGGGCACTCCCACATCGTGAAAAAGCCACTGTGATGTGACGGGACAATGATGCGGCGAGAAGTGCGGGCGGGAAACAGTGGAGAAAGCGCACGGACCGTGCTTCCCCTCTCTCCGATGCCTCTCTTCCCGTTCTCTCCCACCACGACGCATCGACAATACACATTCGGGCCTATTCTACTAAACCGAGCCCATGAAGTCATACTGGTGTCCTCCTATTTGACCAATACCCGTGGATTAATGCCGAACGGAGGTTGACTCCCCGTTCCGAGCATCAAGCCGCGTGCTAACCAGGCTAGCTGTAGATCTTGGATCGAGTGGTCCCACAATGTCACCCCGGATTCTCTATTCTTGCGGGATCCTTGCAGGACGGCATTTGGTAGATGATGTATCGAAGGAGTCCTTCAAATACCGAGGCAGGCCCGTGATGGAGCTCACGCTTGTTCGCCTCCTCCACCATGACTCTCCTTCTAGCATCTTTGTTTGGTGCTCTTATTTTTCAGCCTTCTGGAGCTGTTAATACCCTGACTGTCGGTACTTCTTCCGGTCCGGTAACGGGCTTTATCAATGACGCAACACCGAACGTCGCACAGTTCCTCGGTGTTCCCTTCGCTGAACAGCCGGTAGGAGAGCGTAGATGGCTGCCTCCGGTGCTGAAGTACCCAGAGTTGAGCATCAATGCGACGAGCTTTGGCCCTAGCTGTCCGCAGTTCGAGGGTAATGCGTCGAGCACGTGGCAGACGGATGCGCCAGAGTTCATAATCCCGAATGGAACGACTGGTGAAGATTGCTTGTCGGTCAATGTTTGGACGCCGTGGGAGAATGAAACTAGTACAGAATTGTTGCCTGTGATTGCCTGGATCTACGGAGGAGGCTTCCAGACTGGAGGCGGAAATGTCCCGTATCAGAATCCCAGTCGGTGGATTGAGAGGAGCCAGAGGCACATCGTTGTCTCGATCAAGTAAGTCTCGCCCTACCTGCAGTCCAATTTTTCTAATCCGATTTTCTCAGCTACCGTGTGAATATCTTTGGCTTCCCGAACGCAGCTGGGCTGAAAGATGACGAGCAGAATCTTGGGCTCTTCGACCAACGGCTTGGGCTTGAATGGATCCGCCTAAATATCGCCTACTTTGGCGGCGATCCCAACCGCATCTCACTCTGGGGCCAGTCTGCAGGAGCGATGTCAGTAGATTATTACAATTTCGCGTACCCGACGGACCCCATCGTGCAAGGGCTCATCATGGATTCCGGGAATGCGCTAGTTTCGATCGGATCATCCGACCCCGAGCACACGAACTTCACTTTTGTCGCCAGTCATTTTGGTTGTAGCAATCTCAGTGTTCAAGCCGAACTAGACTGCTTCCGAAACGTGAGCACTACGGAGATTGAAGCATTCCTCAAGCAACGCAGCGATGCCGGCACGACGCCGGCCGTCTCCTTCAATCCTATAGTCGACAACCGCACCAAGTTCGCCAACTATACGGAACGAGCGCTCGCCGGCAACTTCACAAAGAAACCCGCGATCAGTGGCACAGCTGCAAACGAAGGCGCACCGTTCCTTCCCTACAACCGCACATACGGCCCTAATATGACCCTCACGAACTACACCACCCTTAGCCTCTTCTTGTGCCCTACAGTGAAAACCACCCAGAATCGTTGGGCTGCCGGTACCACCACCTTCCGCTACCTTTACGCCGGCAACTTCAGCAACATCTCGCCGCTGTGGTGGGAAGGGCCGTATCACTCCTCGGAACTGCCGCTTATTTTTGGGACTTCGGGCATTGCGAGAGGTGCTTCCACACCTTTTGAAATTGAGACGTCGGAGAAAATGCAGGATTACTGGCTTGCTTTTGCTGAGGACCCTGTGAATGGGTTGCCAGCAATGGGGTGGAACGCGTATGAGCCCGATGGAGACGGTGTCCTGCTTGGGAGAGATGTAGCGAGTCAGCCTATCGCAGAGACGAGGTTGGAAGCACCGTGCGACGGAGCCACACCGAAGGCTGGAGCACTACCGCCCCCGTGAAGAAAATTGAAGGCTACTTATAAATGAATATCCGCATCTCGCCATCGAGCAGTTTGTTGCAGCGTAGCCCCACCGCGAAGGCTGATAACGTCCACAGGATTGCCCTACATCATGAAATTTCCCAAATCATCGTCCGAGTGAATGCCAATACCATAGGACGCGGTAAAGGCACAGGTGACAAGAGCCTTGAATAGAATCTGGCTTATAGAAGCCACATAGGTTCGCAATCAGCAGGAGAGAAGGCCTCTCCCCGCATGATCCCGTGAACATATGCCTCACCTACCAGTTCCCAAAAGCGGCCGTGCAAGCGTAAGATCAACGGCAGATCTCCTCCGCGCGCAACAACCACTCTGTCCCTAGGTTGTGTCAATCCCGGCACCAATGCCAAACGCCCAAGGGCCGTGGTGCTCAAGCGGCGATTCCGCACAGCCTTAGTCATCGCAGACCAATCCGCTCCACCACGATCCTCACCACGGCTCTCGCGTGCCTTCCGGCGCACTTGTTGCGCTACACCCATGCCTAAAACGACTAGGTGCGGTGTCGCCTTGTCGAAGTTAGTCCGGGTCAGGAGCCGCAACTTCCTCAATTCCTTGTCGTACTTTTGAAAGGCGAGCTCGGACTCGGCTGCGTCGTACAGCACCTCGTGGCCTGCGCATATGGTCTTCCAGTAGGCTGAGAGTATCGGCTCCCCCGTTTCAGCATATATGGCTGCAGACCTCGCACCAGCTAGTCGTTCCCACTCGTCGAACAGACGGACTTGACTGAAGAATAATTCAGCGGTGGCCCGCACCTCGAGCGAACTGCTGGGGTAGTGATCAGGAAGAGGGATTATGGGCGAAATACGGCGAATCGTATCGACGATCTGACCTTGCAGCATAATCATGTTCCTGTTGTTAGAGGTGACAAGATCATAGAGTGTGCCTTTCGATGCACGGAATCCCAGGCGAGCCTTTCCAGGAGCGTCTGGGTTTCTGTCCTCCTGGTTAGTGTATAATGGTATGGGATGAAGAGTCGATATACTGGTACGTACCCGCTGCCGTACTCTTTGAGCACGTATTAGCGCATATATTCGCACGCTAATCGAATCAGAAGGGAACTTACGGAAGTGTTCAGTCTCATTGTTTTCGAACTCGTATCCGTTGAGGGTTATGAATGGAATCCGTTCAGATTGACTCCAGTCAGGAACCCAAGACGGCAAGTTTCTCTGTGACACGCCGTTCAACGAGCGTGTAGCGGCGAATATGTCGAGCTTGCCATCCTGTGCTAGACACTTCAAGGCGAATCGCTTGTAAAATTCCGCCGTAGGTAAGGGATAATCTGCATCCAGCCGCATTCGGCCGCCGTCCCGTGAAATGCCAACCAGTCCCATGACCTTGTCGTTATCTTCGCCAGCGTGTCGGTGCCGATGCCTCAGAAGGAGAGACAAGAGCCTGGGTCGCCGCTCAGCAAGGAAGTTTTGGCGCGCATTGCATTGCTGAAAGGCTTCCCAAACGTTCGGAGTCCAACCATTGACATAATCCTGAATGCATCGCACCCCCATGAGGAAGTCATCCCAGTCGACAGCGAACTCCCCACACACGATAGTCGCCTTGCTGCAAACTGCGGCTTCCTGCACAGTCCAGATCCGCGTGAACCATTCCCGGTTGATGAGGTTTTGAAAGTGCTTATACACTGCCTCGTGCTCCCGAGGGAGGCCAAGCTGCTCCCACTGCGATGGGTGGAGTTTGTGAATGCTAACTGGACGGCCGAGAATCCGTGAGGCCCTGACAAGTTTCGGAACGAGTGCGAATGCATCCGGGGTCCAATGGTCGCCCATGCCCAACCAAATAATGACCTGCCGGCATTTTTGGTAGATCCTAGTCATGAGGCCGATTTGAACGAGCTTCTCCTCCTTATCATTCTGATTGATACATACGGCGTCCACCCATAGGATACGTGACTGGAAAGGATCCCTCAGATGAATAAGGGCGGCATGGAGGTTTGGCCTTGCAAGAAAGGTCGCGTCCGCGAGGAATGTCAAAGCTCCAGAGTTGCAGGTGATGGGAATCTCGCCGCCTGGACGACCCCAGCAATATGATAGAGCCTCGTACCTTCCAGTGCTCCGGTTTAGATCAACTGTATGAAGCGCTGTGCGTATTGGCGCGGAGCCTTGTCCAGGAAGCAGTTCCAGTAGGCGAATCTGTGCTCGCCACTCATCTTTCACTAGTCTCTCGTATCTTAGTGTTGACATTATATGTAAGAACGAGACAAAAGGTAGTCGGTTAGTCGAAGCGATGGGACGGTGGCTCGCAAAGGTGCAAGTGAGAAAAATATATCCTTGCTTCACAGAGCAAGAGCCCGCCAGTTATCTCGACTTTGCGTATGACATGATATCGTGAGATACACCTCGAGGTATCAGGCTCCAGCCATACCAAGACAGCTCTCATTCAATCCGACCCCAGCGCATCTTCAGCCTTCAGAAGAGGGACCATTCACGTGTAATGGGATCCGAGCGCCAAGCGCTCCATCGCGTGATTTCTTCGAAGCATAGAGTAACTGCAAGCGAAGAACGGACGATGTGAGTGTGTAGCGGTCCAATAGAGATTTAAGAACGCGGCTTTGACCGAGACGTCGCTACGTGGGAGTGGACGTGAAAGGCCGCAACGGAAACACATGATGATATCTCGCGGCATGAGAGGTCGCGATACATGGATGTTGCGTAGGGCGCGTTTAAAAGGACCATGCTGCAAAGGACTTTTGAGGACAAGAACTCAAAAGGGCTTCTAGCCTGATAATAGCTGCGAAGCTCATAGTAGATTAGATTAGATATGTTAGTGGAGTATCGTTGATAGACGTCCGGGACTGACCAGGTGAGTATTGTACTAGTCCCAATACGGTCTAGCTCAGCCCTCCCACTATGCGATCTTAGGAGATTCTTGCGAACTCCGCATCATCTCAGCAACCGCTAGGATGAACAAGAGTACACGATGTTTCATGAAGATCCTCTTTCTCATGCATTCTCAAGCACTACCGGCGGAGACAGTGCGAGAAGCGGCACAGCACCACCAATTCCTCTGCTTTTAAACAATCCGTAGCGTGCATAATAACGGGTAAGCCCGAGGGCTGCAGGAAATCTACGCGGGATATACCATGCGTTGCTCGACAACGGTTTGACGTTCCTGCTGCGCCCCTATGCCAGGTCAGCCTGCCTCGAAAGCCCCACCGAAACAGGCTTAGGTCATACCTATGATAGGTCTGAAGGACTCCGAAAAGAGCTTGGCGCCTTACGCCCGTTACTGTGCCTCGCAGAAGCTTCGGGTGTTTAAGTAGGACCTGCGTCGTTTCGATTCCCCCTCACATTTGTTGTTCGGTTTTCAAATACTGGTGGTCGTCCTGCACGTTCCGGTGAAGGAACAGTCAAACATCAACTATGACAGCCACGAGCGCCAGCCACCATCACGATGATGGGAGGAGCGTCGCCGGAGGTGAGTGACTCCAAAGGTGAACGCAAACACGGCAAGCGCTAAGACAGAGTAGAGACGGAAACCTCGTCCATCGTCCATGTCGAAATAATGAGCAACGCCGACCTCTACACCATGACTCCACCCGCATACACAGCGTCCGCCGCGGATGGCGAAGAATCCATCGATGCAGAAGCATATCAACCAGAGAAATCCAGGAGACCAAGCACCCCACATACGAAGGAAACCAACCCAAATCCATACGCCATGGCCAGATCGCCGTCACAGACATCTTCATTCACGCAAGCTGGACCGAGCAACTCTTCACCATACCCGAATGAACTGCCACCCGACTACTTCACCGAATTGACGGATAATGCCGCAGCAGCGCACACCAAGCGATGTTCCATTATCCCAGAACGGCCGGCAACCTGGCTCGTAAAGCGGAACAAGATGGCTCTATGCCCGCTCGTCGCAACGGTGCTCATCAAGGAGGGACTGCTACGTTCTAAAGAGCTCGAACTTGTCTCGCGCTCATCTGGTGTAAAGCGCGACCCGACAGATCCGCTATCTGCCGTTGCTTTCGGCGTGTACGACACAGTTGGCGATATCCTCTTAGGGCTGGTAGAAGGCCCTGTCGAGCTAGGCCGCCAAGTAGCCCCTATGATGCACAAGTATGAGGCGAAGCAGCATGGCGAGCAAAAGGACGAGCCGAAGCAATCCGGGGATCTCGCACCGCACGTGCGCCATTCTGTCCGTCAGGAGTCGGCTCCACTCAGGCCAGGCACTCCGCGTAGCGTCTGCTCAACCGTACAGGAAGGCGGCGATGGTGAGGCACAGATGCACCTCCGACCGGGCTCCTCACACGGGTTCGAGCAGGCGAAATGCTACTCGGACGTTGAACAAAAGAAGGAGACGTCTCTCTCACAGGCTGGGAAGCAAGTCGCCATAGGCACTAGCAAGGGGTTTGGACGAATTGTGGGGGCGGGAGTTAAGGCGCCGATGACATTCACACACGGCCTGACGAGGGGCTTCCACAACGCGCCCAAGCTGTACGGCGAGGAAGTCCGTGAGTACGAGAACGTGACAGACCTAAAGAGCGGCCTGCTTGTGAGCGGGAAGGTAAGCACATTCCCCCATCGGCCTCTGCGCCGCGCCCAGTTAATCGAACATATCAGGGCTTCGCCCACGGCCTCAGCGACGGCTTGAAAGACTTCTTCGTCAAGCCTGTCCAGGGCGCGCAAAAAGAAGGCGTCATTGGCTTCGGCAAAGGCTTCGGGAAGGGCATCGGCAACCTGGTCTTCAAGCCCACTGCAGGCGCCATTGGACTTGTAGGATACTCTTCCGTTGGGGTGTACAAGCAGATTCAGAGCATCAACTTCGGGCGGAAGGATGCGGCGGTGGAAGTGGTGATGAAGTTGGGAGAGGCAGAGTTTGAGCAGGCGAGTGATATGGTGAAGCTGGAGGTCGTGAAGCAGTGGTGTGTAGTTATGATGAGGGCGAAGTGAGGGAATAGCGAGGGACCGAAGAGGAAATTCGGAAAGATACCTATGAATTACTGAGCTACAGGCTAGATGAGAAATGATCGGACCAAGGATCGGAATACACCAGCACGACATGAATTAGATACCATTAAGATCTAAGACGCAATCGCGCTCTCAATGTATTTAAGCTTCTCTCGTAACGCATAAGCATACTTGGGTAGACAGAGCAGAAAGAGAGCTCCATCCTCTTGTGTGTTTACCGGCAGGGCGTCGAAGGCCCAGCAGCGCTATAACCTACTAGTTCACCGCATTCGTGCACAACATCACCAACTCCGCAGAAACAACGGAGCTCGGCAATCAACGCAGCCCTAGTAATAAAAATTCTATACTCGAAACTAAACATCTACGAGAATCGAAGATAGAGTACGCACGGGGGAAGGGAAAACCGGCCAACACCTATACGGTACCTCAACGTCTCTTAACGGCAACAAGTCGCCCCATCACAGCAATCAGGCGTCGCCCCTTCTCCACCCCACGCCTGTCCCGAAGCCAAACAGTTCGTCGGAGCAATCTGACTAGAAGCCGTAACAGTCATCGTGCAGCTTCCCGACCCAGCTTGCTGAGTGGCAGTCGGCGTGGGCGTAATCTTAGGCGTAGGCGGCGCGTCAAACGAGGGTGCAGCACTCGTGACAGCCGCAGCGGAAGTCGCACTAACTTTGGGAGTATCAGCAACAGTTCCACTGACGGGCGTAGACGAGGGTTCTGGGGTGGCAGAGGGGGTGATCGGGTTCTCGGGGACTGACCCAGAAGCGCGAATCGGCAGCGCGTTAGCCTGGCACTCCGTCTTCAACCCATTCGACAGCATCGCGTAGCTGTCTGGCTGGAGCTGGTCCTGCTCGCCCGCGGGAACGGTGCCCACGAAGGCGTTGTAGTTGTAGATTCCGCACGGGCAGGTGTCCATGACGTCGCGCAAGCTGGTCTCCTTCATGACTTCAGTGCCGTCGCGCGAGAGGCTGAAGGTCTGCGCGCCAACGCCCATCTTGACACTGAAGGCGGCAGCACCAGCAGGCGCGTCAAAAGTCTGCGTGTTGGAGCCCGAGGTGGCGGTCACTGAGCCGGCGGTTTTGAGCAGCGAGACGACGAAGACAGAGTCCTCCATGGTGTCGTAGCCGTCTGGCCGCTCGCCAATAGTATCGGTGGCGGTGCAGTCAAGCGTCTTGGGTGTAGGGCGGTACCAGTAGACTAGCTTGTCTTCATCGATAGCCGGCGTCTTTTGACCGGCTTTGTACGCAGCTATAAAGGGCTTCGCCATCTCGAGCCAGCCGTTGTGCGGCATGTCGTTTGCCCACTTGCTATTTCCATCGTCGCCATGGGGACTAGATAGTGGTCCCACGTAGTGCGACTCGCCGTAGTCGTTCCAGGTGATAATTTCGACAAAGGGCGGTTGAAGCTCCAGGATCTCATTCCATCGATTGTACCAGAGAAGGTCGCCGGGGAAGACCCAGTTCTTGGAGTAGCTGACCTCGGGGCCGTAGTGGGTGTGGAACCAAGGGGATACGGGTGCCATGTAAGCCTTGTCGCCAAGCCACTGCTTGTAGGTGTCGTCGCCTTGGGATACGGTGACATTTGTGCCGCCACTTGGAGCACGATTGGCACCGTTACTATCCCAGGCCATCCAGTTGAACGCGCCGTCGATGCCACTAGCATCTCCACCAGCCTTGAAATTTGGCACGAGGTAGAGGTCCATACCGGCCGTGGAACGCACTGTGGCAACATCCAAGCCGTCACCAACGAAGGACGACACAAACGCTTTGTTGTCAACCTTGAGTTGGCCCGGTTTGCCACCGAACTCCTTGATCATAGCGCCAACTTTTGTAGCGTCGCCAGTAGAGAACCAGTTGAAGTCGAAGGAGATGAAGACTTTCATGTCATTGTTGGCGGCGGACTCGTAGGCATAGCCGAGCTGCTCCTCGGCGTAGCTATCGGTGCCAATGTTCAGAGCAAAGGCATCGATGCCTGCTGCCTTTGCCGCCTTCATGTCACCGTCGTAGTCTGCGGCGCTTTTGCGGTTGGCGATAATGCCCATCTGCGATTGGTCAGTACGGGAGCTGCGCGACTACTCGTACGTTTTCCTTACCATGAAGTGAGCGAAAACCATTTTGCCAGAAGCATCCTGCCGCTTGACGGCAGACGTGTGGTACGGAGCGGCATTGGTAACGACCGCCAGCAGCCCGAGTGCCAGCCACGAAGAAAACGAACGCATATTCGCAAAGTAAAGAGCGACTAAAGGAAAGAGTGAAGTGAAGCCTACAACTAAGGTGCGAAAGAACTACAGTTCCGACTTAGCATACATATACCAGCCTCCAGCCCTGCAATTCCCCCTCATGGTCGGACTACAGCGACGTGATCCCAAAACTTGACCAAACCCCGTGCGTAACGAGGCGGTGCAAATGGTGGAGAAAACGATCGTAAAATAAGGACCGTAGGAAGCGGCCAACAAAGCTTGAACAGAAATCGTGGAATTTGGTTGGTCGAAACGGCCGTTTCATGCGGCTCAAGTAGCCTCGGTGGGAAACGGAGTTGTGCAGATGTTTCAGAATTAGGGCGCGGAGATTGGTGTAAGCCCTACGACTCCCTTAGGCACACCCCAGAAATCCTCCCGATGCAACAACCGAACAAGACTCAGGAAATAGCTTGACGGGAGAGTAAGAGTTCGGAAAGATGCCGAGGACTAGAAGGACGGTAGGAAGCTGACCTGATTTGGCATGAGGCCTGTCAATGCGGAGAAGGCATAGTTGAGCAGTAGGCCTTAACCAATAGCCAGAGGTAGATCAGGATCGCTAGAGGAGCCTCAGACAAGCATCGAAGATGGTCAATTGGTATCGAAGCTGCTTGCAACCAAACTCAGACCCCGGCCGCTCTCTTCCGACGTATTATCAACGGAATTTATCCCTCGCAACCTCCCTCAATGAATGTCCATTCCGACTCCTACTGGTTATCGTCCTATGGCATGCGCTCGGAGTCTACAGTTTCGCCTTCAGTCCGATTGTCTTCTCCACGGCCTCAACCCCGCTCTTCGCGACGTCCTCATCCTGCGACGGCATGCCGGTGCTGCATCCTACAGCGCCCACCACCACTCCATCTTTCATTATGGGAATGCCGCCGGCAATAGGCGTGAACCTCCCGCCATTGCTGTTCCAGATTCCGAAGGCAGGGCCGCCCGGCCATACATTCTCCTTGTAGGTGCTCGTCGGCGCTCGGTGGCCCGCGGCCGTAAAGGCTTTGTCGATGGCGATGTTGATCGAGGTGAGCTTCGCACCTTCCATGCGTACGAAAGCCAGTAGATGGCATGCTGCGTCGACGATTGCGATATTCATGGGTACGCCAATCTCTTTCGCGCGCTTTTCGGCAGCGGAGACTGCTGTGCGGGCACCCTCGAGAGTGAGGACGGGGACAGACTTTGTTGACATGGCTGACGATTAGGGAGGAAGAGAACGATGCGTTGGGATTGAACAGATTCGTGAGCGAAGGGGAATTGGGTCAATGAAGGACTCCATCATCGTCATCATTATGATGGCGGATAGTGAAGGAGCGGATCCGTCAATTGTTGACCTCGGATAGGAGGGATGACGTATTCGGCAAGTAGAGCCGGACGGCGGAAATAATTCGCCGTTTGCCGTAAGCGGCTCCGCTTCGACCGCCCCGCCGTCAGGAGACTTACAACAGGCTTCATCCTATCATGCCCAGGAGCATTCACAGTGCTCTCTCGTTGAGCCCGTCAGTACTGACGTCGTTGCCAAGGCAGATATCTTCTCGAGAACGGCACCCACCGGGCTTCAACAGGCCATCCAAAGGATTAGATATTCAAGCACGAAAGCGGAGCATTACACAAGCCATCAATTGTTCGTTATTTCCAAACTCATCATCAAACAGGCATCCAACTGGAGCAAGGAAAGGAGCGACTAAAAGCATGATTAAGCGGCGTTTCGTCCACGCGTGTACCCGTACGCATCCCAGTGCGACCCAAAGATAACAACCGTATACCTGAACGCCCTCGTATTCGATTTAGCCTCATGAGTTCCTCATCGCATCTTCGCCACACCTTAGAAGGTCCGCAGCATAGCTATCGCACCTACGTAGGCTTGCTCAGCTTGCCGTTGACACACGAGTACTCGTTCGGGTTGTAGCAAGCCTTGTCGCAGCGAAGAGTGGGCGAGCCGTTCAGGATCGGGCAGAGGAAGTTGGTGTCGTAGCAGGCGTACTTTTGATCATTAGCTCCCGTATTAACTCTAGGAAGACGGAGCAACTCACCTTGCTCGGATAATACGGCTGTCCACCGCAGTAGAGAATCGGCTCTGGTCCGGGCTTGTAGATCTGCAGCTGCTGGTTCGAGTCGCAATAATAGGTCCTGGTGCTGTAGCAGGCCGTGCCGCACTTCAGGTAGACTTCGCCGTTCGTCTTGGGGCAGAGGAAGCCATCGAAGCAAGTGTACTTGGACGGGTAGTACCGGGCATTGCCACACCAGACGAGGTCCTCGGCAGCAGCAAGGAAGGGAAGAGCGGAGAGGATAGCGAGGAGCTTCATGGTGTTTTGAAGAGGAAGTTGGAAGTCTTGAGGAGTCTGTTCTCTGATACTGATGTTGATCGAGTTTAGAGGACGATCTGAACTGACTCGGCCTCCGTCCGCGACCCTTTTATATCTCGTTCTGCAACCCTCAGCCTCTCTCCTCCAGCTTCAATATCGGACGCTCATCTTGTCCTACGCTTTCCCTTTCGCTATTCGCTCAGAACCCTCATCGGTCTCTCCACTTCTCAGGATCCGAACTCCACTCCCTCTCTCATCGTGGCATTCCAGCTCTTTCGACTCAGCCCTGCATTTCTATCTTCTATACTGCGCCACGCCTCTGTCTCATCCAACGACAGACCATTCCGGCTTACCGGATGCAGTGGTTCGATCACGGAATTCCGGGGTCAGCCATGCTCTATGTTCGGATAGGGCGGCGCGTGATCTAGGTCTTGGCATAGGCACGATGGCATTTGGAGTAAGCTTCAGCCGCATCACTCCACAAAAGTCGTTTTTCTACTGACGTTCGACGGAAGGGGCTGAGGGTAAATAGTAGTCGGCCTCGTGTTGTGGTTTCACGAAATATAGTATACAGCCTTATAAGCTCGTGATGCGTTACAGAGGCGCCACGAAGGATCCGCGAAGTTGATCTACCATCTGCGCAGAGCTACGCAGAATATGTTTCAATTCCTTCAACACTCAGCCACTTAGCAGAGGAATGCCGAAATTCTACCTTAGGTGCCAGATCTCTAAACCAAACTACGAGTGTCCTCCGATGTCGTCGCTAGGAGATGCTCTTCAGACTGTGGTGTACGTCTGTCACTATACCCCCTCTGCACATGCTCGCAAGCAAATACCGGTAGTCAATATTGCAATACGGTCTCCACTTGGACTATTGACGGCGGGAACGGTGCTTCCGATATATCTCACCACGGAAATGGTATCTACTGTTCTCGTTCACAGTCTTACGCATTATTAATTTTACTCCTGACCACCCGTCTTAGCAAGAACATGCACTGCTTCGAAGAGCTCCAGTTCCTTTTCGCAGCACGTGTAAAGTTCTGCTTGATCCACGTTCCGCTTCTTAGGCTTCCCTCCCAGAAACCGTTGAAGTCACGTGTCCATAAGACAACTACCTAACACAGATTTTTGCTTACGGCTGCTGCCCCTCTGCCCTGTTGTTCCTATCCAACCACATCGTATTCAGTAGCTACTGTAGCCTCTCTCTCTACTTCTCCTTACTCCAACCACTCGCCCACTCAAGTTTCCTCGGCCCATAGCATCAAGCATAATTAATCCGTTGTGGAACTCGCCCGTCCACCATGAAACACAACTCAGTCGGGAGGCCTACGAGGGCGGAAGGGGGCTTGTGTCCGACGCCATCTTAGTCTGACATCGCTGGCGTATCCGGGGTTGTGCTCTCATGTCTTGAGGAAAAGAGGAAAGGAGGTAAATACAACGTTATACTAAAGAGCTGCGATAGAAAAAAAACCGTACGTAACGTTCACAACCAAAAAGAAAGAGTTAGGAGAGGGCATTCGACACGCATAATCAACAATCCAGCTTATGATCTTCTCCCCGGAAAACCTAGCGCATGTATTTCGCATACTATCCATCCACCCAATCATACTAATTAATCCCCGCTCCCATCTTCACCACTAACCATAAAAACCACTCCTTCCTCCCACGCCCTCCATATTCCCCTTCCAGATCAAACCGCTCGTGGCGTCGCTACTACACCCCTGAAAGTCCGACACTTATTCGCCGCGCAGTAGAACTCCGGACAACACGTGCCAACCAGTTGACCCTGAACGAAGCAGTCCGCTTCCCAACGTAAGTCGTCAGCCGCTTACTCAAGCAGGTCCCAGCACAATGAGAGTGATAAGTTCACCTACCGTAGAGCCCAAGGCAACCCGTCTCTGTCTCCGTTGGTACAGGAGGGGTCTCCTGCGCGAAAGCCAGGAGAGGGAGGAGGAGCAGGAACGCGGCACCGATGGGAGAGAGGAAGATCTTCATCGCGGATTGGAAACGGCGGCACGTCTTGTGAGCAGAAGCTAACGAAGTGTGAAAAGAAAGGAGGAGAGGGTTGCTTTCTGGCTCGCTCGCTCGCTGGGTCTTCCCTATATAGCCTTCGCCCTTCGTTCCGCCCGTAATAGCTTCACCATCATTCTTTTCATCTGCAATCCAATCACTGCTGCATTTCCACTTAGCGGCCTTCACATGCGTGAAGCGCCGAACACGGGAGGGATATAACGAAGAAAACTCTCGTCGGACGCTAACTAGCTGGATGCATCTGGCGCCGCGAAGGAAAGAGACTTAAAACGACGACAAAGAAATATCAGGGAACGCAGAAAGCAAGCAAGCAGTCAGTGGAGAGAAAGTATATACTGCATTCTAATCATTAGATACATGATGTCATGAAGCCATTAGCGCACCCCATCTTCGTCCTCACTCATCTCAATCAACTACTGGTCTCATGCGACGTATCATTCTATGCAATGGAGAAAAGAACACTAGGCATTGCAATGCATCATGCAAGCCTCCATCATGCACACCTCCTCAGCCCTGTTCGCGTCGATAAAGTGCAAATGAAGGGGGTATAATGCCGTATGCCGCAGGAAAACAAAACTGGAAAACAAACAATCTTGATGCAATCATGGAGAAATTGGGAGCAGAGTAGAATTCGTCTACTCCGCTTCGTCCTTCTTGGTCTCGACGGTCGGCTTGTCGTCGTCGTCCGTCTTGGCCTTGGTAGGCACTGGCTTATCGTCGTCAGCCTTCGTCACGGCGACGGACTCAGAATCGTCTTTGACTTTGGGAGCCGGTTCAACATCATCCTCCTCCTTGGCGGCGGCGGTTGCCGGCTCATCTTCGTCGGCCTTTGTCACGGCGGCGGGCTCCTCATGCTCGTCCTTAGCTTTGGGAGCCGGATCGTCGTCGGTCTCTGCATGAGCGATAGGCTTCTCATCATTGTCCTTGGCCAGCTCATCTTCATCAGCCTTCGTCTCGATAACCGGCTTCTTCTCGTCGTCCTGCGCAGTGGCGGCAGGTGTCTCGTCATTACCATTGGTTTCCACAGCTGGTTTCTCATCCTCCTCCTTCGCTTCGATAGCCGGTCCATCGTTGTCGTTCTCCGTAGCGGTGGGGGGCTTCTCATCATCGTCCTTCTCAACAACGGAAGGCCCCTTGTCCTCGCCGTTGGCCTGAGTAGCCGGTCGCTCGTCATCTTCATCAGCCAGAACAGTGGGCTTCTCATCGTCTTCCTTTGCTTCAGCGGCAGGCTTCTCATCATCGCCATCGCCATCGGCCTCGGCAACAGGTAGCTCATCGTCCTTCGGCTCACTGACAGCATGCTTTACTTCCTCTGGCTTGACGGCGGGTGTCTCCTCTTGCTCCGCATGCTCCTCCACAGGAGCGGCCTTGCCATTCATGGTCGGCTCTTCAGCCTTGGCTTTGAGTGCAGCCTCAAGCTTCTCCTCGAGTCCGGATTTATCAGCCTGGAGTGCTTCAAGTTGGTTTTCCAACTCGGCCATCTTCGCAAGTGCTTCCTCCATGGCCTCCTTGGCTTTCTGGTTCTCTACACCAATCGTGGCGAGAGAGTCCTTCGACTCTTCGAGAGATTTCTGCACCGTGGCAAGACCTTCGTTGGCATCAGCATGCTCCATCTTCAGGGTCTCCAGGGCCTTTTCCAGAGCCTTGATCGAGTCATTCGCCTTCTCCTGCGTCGATTCGAAGTCCGTTTGAGCGGCCTTTAGCTTCTCTTCCGCCGCAGCCTTGGCCGTTTCCGCGGACTTGAGATCCTCTTCAATCTTCGAAGACGAGTCTTTGAACTCCTTCTCGGCCTGTTCAAGCTTCATCTCCAATTCCGTGACGGCAAGTTGTTTGGCACCCTTCTCATGTTCGATCTCTTTCTGGAGCTTCTCGATCTCAGCTGTCTTCTGCTCGAGATCTTCACTAGCCATCCTGGAGGCCTCTAGATCTTTTTCAAGCTTCGAAATCGCCTCCTTAGCATCCGTCTCCCTGGAGTCGAGCTTCTTCTGCAGCTCCTTGATCGAGCTCTCCAGCTCTGCAACCTTTGACTCGTGAGAGCTTGAAGCGTCGATGGCGGCTTTAAGTTTCTCTTCGAGTTCGGCCTTCGCGGTCTCTACGGTGTGGAGCTGGTCGATCTTGACCTCGAGTTCAGATTTCTCACCCTTAAGGGCTTCAAGCTGTGTCTGCAGCTCAGAGACCTTTGATGTGTCGGCATCAGCAGTCTTGACCTTCTCTTCGAGTTCGGATTTCTCGGCCTGGAGGGATTCGAGCTGTGTCGACAGCTCGGAGATCTTAGACTCATTCGCATCAGCAACCTTGGCTTTCTCCTCGAGTTCAGATTTCTCGGCCTGGAGTGCTTCAAGCTGTGTTGAAAGCTCGGCGATCTTTGTCTCGCGGACCTCGGCGGTCTTGGCCTTCTCCTCAAATTCGGACTTCTCAGCCTGGAGAGCTTCAAGCTGGGTTGACAACTCTGCGATCTTGGACTCGTGCGCTTCGTTAGCGCTCTTCAGCTTCTCCTCAAGTCCAGTCTTTTCGGTTTCCACAACTGTCAGCTGCTCAATCTTGGCTTCCAGTTCAGAGATCTTGGATTCGTTCGCATCCGCAGTCGTGAGCTTCTCCTCGAGTCCGGATTTTTCAGCCTGGAGTGCTTCAATTCGCTGTTCTAAGTCTGAAATCTTGGCAGCGTCCTCTTTTGCAGCGGCCAGTTCTTTCTCGAGCTGCTCTTTGAACATCTGAAGCTCCTCCTTCTCAGCCTGCGTCACGGAGAGGCTGCTCTTGGTCTCCTCGTGGGATGCCTTCTCTGTACTATGCATTAGCAGGTGGCCAATTTGACTTAGGAAACATCCCCCTGCAGGGCTTCAAGGGGTTTAACAGACTGACGTACCTGTACTGAGCGCATCCTCATGGCCGGATGCCAGCTCCTTATGGTCGGTGAGCGCCTTCTCGGCGGCCACTTTGGCTTCTTCGGCAGCAGTAAGCAGGCTCCTGGTGGAACCGTGGCCGGAGCTCTCCTCCTCCAGCTGCTTCTCGAGCTCGGAGATCTTCGTGGTCAACGTCTCAATATCAGCCTTGGCGGATTCTGATGCCTTCAACGCTTCCTCCTTGCTGGCAAGCTCCGTTTTCAGGCCCTCCAGCTCCGTCTCTTTGGTCTCCAAAGCACCCTTAGCCTCCTTGAGCGAAGCTTCCAGATCGGGCAGCTTTCCGGATTCTTCCTTGGCCGCAGCTAACTCCGCCTCCTTGGCTTCTAGAGCAGCCTTGGACTCCTTGAGTGAAGCTTCCAGGTCGGGTAGCTTCCCGGATTCTTCCTCGGCCGCAGCTAACTCCGCCTCCTTGGCCTCCAAAGCACCCTTAGACTCCTTGAGCGAAGCTTCTAGGTCGGCTAGCTTTCCGGATTCCTCCTTGGCTGCAACTAGTGCAGCCTCCTTAGCTTCCAGAGCATCCTTGGCCTCTTTGAGCGAAGCCTCGAGGTCGGGTACCTTGCCGGACTCCTCCTTGACCGCAGCAAGCTCTGTCTCCATCACTGCGAGCTTAGACTGAAGTTCTTCCGCCTCCGCTTTGGTGGTCGAGAGGGCCTTCAACTCCTCTTCCCTGGTTGCAAGTTCGCTCTTGACCGCTTCCAAATCCGTCTCCTTGGCCTCAAGATTGTCTTTCAGCTCCTTAAGCGAGGACTCCAGCTCCGTCGATGCGTCCGTCTTCTTTTTGAGGTTCTCCTCGAGTCTGGATTTGTCCGCCTGAAGGCCTTCAAGTTGCTGTTCCAGCTGGGTGACCTTCGCCGCCAAGCTCTCGGCATCGCCCTTCGACAGCTCTGCGGTCTTGAGCTGTTCCTCTAACCCGGCGATCTTGGCAGTCAAAGTTTCCAGCTCGCCTCTTGCCGCATCGTGTGCTTCCGCCTTGCTGGTAGCATCAGCTTGAGCGGTCTCCAGCTCTGCATGCTTAGAGCTAATGGCCTCGTCTTTCTCCTTGAGGGAGTTCTGTAGCTCCGTAATCCTCGTGTCCGCGTCACCCTTAGCTGAGGTAAGTGATGCCTCGAGCGATGACTTCTCCTCCTCTAAAGCGGCCCTGGCTGTCTTGAGCTCATCAAGCTCAGCCCGAAGTGTGGAGAGGGATTCTTCTGCGCCGGCCTTCTCCGACGTGAGCGTGGCGATCACCTCTTCCTTGGCATCCAGATCGGCCTTGGGTACGAGCGATGACTTTTCCTCTTCATAGTTGGCCTTGGAGGCCTTCAGCTCATCTATCTCAGCCCGCAGCGTGGAGAGGGACTCTTCGGCGGCGGTCTTCTCTAAGGTCAGTGCCGCAACTTCGTCGACCTTGACGTCGAGATCGGCCTTCGGTACGAGCGACGATCTTTCCTCTTCATAGTTGGCCTTGGAGGCTTTCAGCTCATCTACCTCAGCCTGAAGCGTGGAGACGGACTCTTCGACGGCGGTCTTCTCCGAAGTTAGTGTGGTGACTTCGTCGACCTTGGCGTCAAAGTCGGACTTGGGCACAAGTGATGCCCTCTCCTCTTCATAGCTGGCCTTGGAGGCCTTCAACTCCTCAAGCTCGGAGTTGGCTTTGTCAAGGGACTCCTGGGCGGCAGCTTTCTCCGAGGTGAGGGCAGCGATCTCATTGACCTTGGACTCCACATCTGCCTTGGGGACCAACCCGCCCTTCTCGCCCTCTAAGCTCTCGATCTTAGTCTTGAGGTCCTTCACCTCCTCTTCCAAAGCCGCGATCCTCTTCCTCAGCTCGGCCTCGCGCGCCTCGTGCTCAGCCTTGACTTGCTCCATCTTTTCGGCGAACTCTTGCTCGCACTCTTCTATGACGGTGTTTCTTTCTTTTGCTTTTGCTTCGCGAACCTGTTGTACGACGATGCTGACCATGTGCTCCTCGAGCTGCTTCTTGTCCTGTTGCAGAGAAAGCTCGCGCTCCTCGAAGCCCTTCTCGCGCTCCTTGTAGTCGCCCTCGATGCCGGCTATTGTCTCGTCCTGCTGCTTGACGGTCGCGATGGCCTCGTCGAGGTCAGCCTCAGACTTTTCAAGCTTCTTCCTGAGCTTCTCGATTTGGACCTCCGGTGGGTCGTCGGGTTTCGGGGAAGGAAGTTCTGGCGCTGTGGAAAATTTCGCGTGTTAGTGGGTGACGTACATATTAGGCAAGGGTGTAGACAGTGTGAAAAGGACAGCTTGGGTGGTGAGGCTTGACTATGGTACTTACTGGGCGGCTCCGGCTGTGCTTCCTCCGCCTCCTCTCCTCCCTCTGCCCTCTCAGCTTCAACGGCTGGCGGCTCCTCTTGAGCGGGCGTTTTAGGCGGTGTGTCCAGGCCAGCATCACGACTGACATTCTCGTGCTCATGCTCATGCTCGCCGTCCTTCTTCGGGCTCTGCGCTGTTGCCGCAGTAACCGGTGAAGTTGGTGAAGGCGGCGCAGGCTGGCTGCCGCCAAAAAAGTAGTTGTACGCACGCCGCATGCTGTTGGTGCGCTTGGGAAGCTTCGGGCGGTTTGAGCTCGTCGACTTGCGGCCTCTGCGGTCTTCCTGCTCGGGCTCAGGGCTCAGGACAGTCACTGGTGTGATTGTCTCGCTGCTCTTTGCCCGCTTGTGGCCTGGCGGTTTGGCGAGAAGCTTTCGTCCGATCTTCTGCGACCCTGCGTTGATGTCCGCGAGGATCTGCTTCTGCTCCTTCGCCGACGGTCTGCGTGGGGAATTAGTAGAAGCTCCGAGGTGTTTGTAAACACGGGGAAATGGCGGTGACGCCACCACACCACCAACAGCGAGGAAGGTGTGCGGAATAAGCTAGGGCGGGGAAGAGCACCAACAATCTTTCTGCCTAGCAGGCCACACTGGACCGCAGAGCAGGAAGCGTGCTTACCGGAGCGAAGCGTGGTGGAAAAAGTGCGTGAAGCGTGATGTGGAGAAAGAAAAAAAAGGCTGACGAGAAAATGACGGTGAAGGACTACTCACTCATAGCTCGACCGACTCCTTCCAAAGCTCGGCATGGTGGTCTGCACTGCAGCTCAGCACTGGTATCAATACTTCGCGCCCAGCGAATCAAAAAATCTTTCCAAGGTTCCTGTTTCTCGCAAGCGAGAGCGCTCCGGTGAAGAGCACAGCGCGGGTATTGGTCTTTATGTACGGGGCATAAACACGCTCGCCCGAAGTGCAGAGAAAAGTTGCGTCGCCGGCGTACCAATCACCTCCAACGACGTGGCACCTCGAGTCGCGTGTTGCGGGAAAGAGGAAGACAATGCAGTGCAGGAGCTGCGGGAGGCAATGATGAGACTGAATTTACAACGGGCGCTTGCCAGCGAATGCAATTGATTGAGGAAGCAGCGTGGGATGTGTGCAGAGTGCTGATGCAGTGCCAGCGCGCACAACATCGTGACAGATGAGCTTGAGCACGGGGTACATATGAGCAACACCGCTGAGCTGTACTCGGCTCATGGACTCATGCGAACGGATCATTGACCCCCAATTGCCCTGCAGGAGCCTCTTCTCTTCCTTGGATGTTTCGTCTCAGGCCCTCGAGGCAGCCTCTCACGGCCCCTCGCACACGTCGAACGCGAGGCGTGTCTCCAAGGGATTGCTTGCCGCAGACCGCATCTCTTCGCGCCCAACGCCGCTGGCGGCGGCAAGAGATGAAAGGCGAGTCTTAATGCCGGGATTTCGCGAAGAGGCCGGGGCCATTGATGCGTTGTCGGGTCCTGCAGCGTCCGCAGAGGGAGCTGTGCAGATTGGCGAGTGGAAGGGCGGCCAGGGTGCTTCGAAAGAGCTTGAAGAGCTGTAGCCTGTGACTACACAGGTTTTGCCGCCGCATTTGTCATCTCTCCCAACTGATTCATCGCTGCAAAGGCCGCCTCGTGCTGCCATATCACTCTTTGCTGACCGTCGACGACAATCTTTCCATCTTCATTCACGAAGATTCCGCGGGAACGTTGGCCTAGATCCTCTCGTGCGGCAAAAATCTCGTCGGACAACTGGCACTGCAGCAACGGCGGACCAGTCCAGTCCCTGCATATCCGCGCCAACGGTAAGAAAGGCCGCGGGACAGCGGGAGTGTGGTGCAACTTCGGGAGTCACAGACACCGCCATTCCTCAGCCACAAGCGCATCGCGGGCCCCACGGCATTGTATGCAGACCGCACAGCATTTCAAAATTCTCGCATTCACGAGAAGTTCGCAGTCTGCGAACTCCCGATGTATTATGCTAGCTAGTTGTAAACTACCATCGTAAAGGAAGAACTCGTTTCTTGCTTTCTACTCGCCCAGATACCCAAACACCCAGGATGAACCTGTGTACTGTGGTAAGAATCGCGGTCGATATAACAAGGCCAGCGCTAAACGTCAGCGATACGCTCAAATGCCCTATAACCCAGACGAGCAGTTTATGCAGGAACCAATCTCACAAAGAGCCCCATCTGACCATTACATGAAAACCATCTATAATCAATAGGTAGTGCGCCCATTTCGATTTCAGTTCCCATCACCCATCTAACGCCGGGGGCATGCTATTCAAGAGTCGTCAAGTCTATGACTAAGACTGGATCGCCCTGAGGGAGGAAACCGTGCGAGGTAAAACTATGGACAATAAAACGCTATTTAGACGCCAGGGGGAATATGTACGCCGTCGCGCCAAATGAGGAATGTTAATCCGCCAGGTAACGCCAGAGCCCGAGGAAGAGTTGTACAGAGAAGAGCACGTCTATCGAGATTGCGAACGCCGTCTGAGCTGCACCAAAATCATCGAATATCCCTCTAGAAGATCTGACGCAGTCCGACTTCGCCGTCTCAGCCTAGCTCTTCCTAGATTGCAAAGTGGAGAAGGTTAGCTCGGAGCCTAGGAACGATGCGAGATCAGCTGTGAGGACCAAACAAACCCCTGCGTAACCGATCGCTGATACTGCCTGAGCTACCAGAACCTGAGCCCTCTGTAGCACCTCCTTGAGTGGCGTTGGCATCGGGGTTCTGATTGGGATTTGTGGACGGCGGGATAGGGCCTGGAACGATGAAGGGATTCTCGGGTGTGCCTTCTCCAGTTACGCCAAAAGCACCGGGCATCGAAGAGGTTGGCTCGACTCCAGATGACGTCGCATTTCCGCTCGACGAGTTGTTTCCAGCGTTCGCACTGGGTTTAGTGATACCTTTTCGACAGTGTGGGCATGTATCGTGCTCACTCAACCACGCTGCAACGCACTGGTGGTGGAACCAATGCTTGCACGGCAGCTCCGTAACCTCTTCTGTGACGTGCACCTCATCCATGCATATACTACACTCTGCACGGCCTTCAGCACCAAGCATATCTTCTGTAACGGGTTTGCGGGGAAGGGCGTTGATGTCTTCCTGGGAGGCGGGCCCGGGGGCGTTGCTTGTGGCGGTCTGTTCCATGAGCTGCGAGATGATACGGTCCAGGGCTTCCTGCGAGTAGACGAAGTCGCCATGTTGGCCACCGGACATGGCCCCGAATAGAGCGAGGATGGGGTTGAGCGGCATCTCGCCTCCAAAAGTGTGGATGTGCGGATGACCGCCGTGCTGGCCGCCAGGCGGCTCGCCAAACGCTGCCATTATGCCGGCAAGGACACTATTATTATGTCAGTATATATTCCTCCAGTAAGAACATTCGTGACCTACTTGTTGAGATCGTCCACAGGCTCCAGATGCGGCTCTGGGTGATTCGCATCGCGGGGGTACAGTCGCGCGCCCGCAGTGTATGTAAATCGATGTACACCAGGCGGGCTTGCTGCCCGTGACCTCGTCTCCGGGTTGCCTTGACCGCCCCCAGCTTGAGTGCCCGGGCTCGATTGCTGACCTGGAGGCTGACCAGGAGGCCGACCACCGCCTAGACCACCGCCCAGAAGATTACCGAGGAATGACGCAAAACCGCCTACGGTATTCGGACCATTTCCATTATTGTTACCCAAAGCGGCCGGGGAGACTGTTCGATGTATCGTGGCGGAGACTTGGAACCGGCCTGGGCCTAGAGGCTGAAATCGCATTGTGCTTATATCTGCCTCCTCCGGATCGTCGCTATTTCGCCACGGGTTGTGGTCGTGTAGGTCGTGGAGAGGATGACGGTTGGATGGCGCCTCCTCGAGCGAGGGCATGGAGTCGGTATCGTCGTCGTCGTCGTCGTCGTCGTGATCATGGTCCAACATGGCATTGTCTCGCGGGTCATTCCCCTCTTCTATCTAGAGGGTCAAAGTTAGTATATCATGAGAGATCTTAGGTGTCCCGCAGCCCTGTAGGGGAAGACCTAAACTTACGATTTCTGTGAACTCGGAGTGGCACTCTGGGCAGAAGATGCCGTGCTCGTCGCGATACCACTCGTCGTGGCACTCATGGCAGAACATCATGTCGCGATGACCCGAAGGCCGCGTACTTGACGGCTGCGTCGGGGTTGTCGACTGATCCATGGTGGGGTGTGTGTGTACTGTAGAGGGAGGGTCGAGAGAACGAGAGTTGTTAGGTAGTCCTAGATACTGTGAGCAAGGCGCAACCTCTGGGGAAATAGTGGTGCTCACGAGGTGGTGTTAGAGCTGCCTCCAAGCTCGGCGCGATGTAGGTCAGGGTTGAGATCTTGTCATGCGCCGCGTTGCGGTGACCGGTAGACGCGCTGTGGCTGATGCAGCTGCAGCGCTGGTGAAGCGACTAAGAGGGATGATAAAGGGCCGTGTAGGAATCGGTGTGAGAGGAGAAGTAGTCGCAGAGTGGGCGGCGAACTTTTGTTTCTTGGTGGGAGCCTCGCCAGGGCCAGTGACGTTTGGTGCTGGAGCGATCGATGTCGTCGGGAACAGGGATGCGCTGACGATTCCGAATAGACGATAGACGATCGGTCGTCTTTAGGAACGCAGCCAGCTGCACGGTGAATAAAGAAAAGAAATGTAGAAGGGTTAGGGTTCGCTTTGTGTGCGCTTTATTAGAAGTAGAGCGCGATTGTTTCTAACTCCACGTTTGCTTGACCACATGTACGCTTTCTGCTGCGCCTTCGTCCAAGCTTCCATAGGCTTCCGTAGCCATCCATTACTCACCGAGAAACTCACGCGTTGTGCAGGCGTCAGATCTCATCTGAAGTAACGTGACACCGTAAACCGCATAGATTCAGCATTCGGGTCAAGCTCGAAAGTCCCTATTCAAACTTCGGAGAGGCCCTGGATATTATACAATCTAGAGCAAAGCTAGAGTAACCCAACGCCTTCATATGTTCGCAGCCATTATCGCCTGTCCTGGCCTAGATAGACCGCCTGTGTCCCCCTCTCTTCAAGTTTCTCATCTCCTCCGCGACCCCTTCAGCAAGAAGCTTCCCACAATCCCCGCAGCTACCGCAATCCCGCCCACAATCGCCACGCCCACAAGGCCCTCCTTCGCAACTTTCTCGTCAATAAGCTCTTTCAAGCTGCCCGCCTGCAGATTCGCCGGCTCTAGCTCCAACAGCAGCTCATTATACCGCCTCGCCTCCGCGTAGTTGCCGAGCTTGTAATTGCCGAGAGCGAGGTAGTAGAGGCATTCGCGACGGCGCTCGCGCGAGTTGCGGAAAATTTCGGAGAGAAGTCGTACACCTTCTTGTTGCTCGTGGCGGGAGCTTGATTTTATGAGGCCCTAGAGAAAAAGTCAGAATCGCCCTTTCAGGCCTATTGATGCTCACATACCCAGGCATAGTTGAACTTTGTTTGCAAGCCGACGTATTCGCCCTCTTTCTCATACTGCGCACGCAGGACCTGCAGCTCTTCTGGCTTGAGCGGAGACTCTACATCCGCAGCATCTGTTGCAAATCAGCCGTGATCCACATACTCCCTCTCAAAAGCTCTACTCACATGGTAATGATGGCGACATTGTGGCGTGCTCTTCCGTGTGCGCGGTTTGACAATGAAATAATATGGCGGCGAGGAGAAGGAAGGTAGATGTAGGACGTCCAGGCGGCAAAAGCTCGCTGACCTGTGAGAAAGCGCAAGTGACTTTTGCTCGTGAAGTGACGTACGCTCGTGGCTCCGCGCCGGTGTGGCGGAAGCTGCAGCCCAGCGTTGCCGTGCAGGCGCACGGACCACTACAAACAACGAACATCAACACCACGCTTCTATCGCGACCTGCACATCACTATTCCTTCGAACACACTTCGCTACACACACGCTTGCGCGCGCTCTCATATACCACCAAATCTCCTGCAATACTCTCGCAAACCTTACACGACACTAATCCCACCATCAACATGCTTCTCGACGAAGATCCCGCAACCCTGATCGCCCAATGCACTTCGCACTTCAAACTCGACTCGGACCGCGCCTCCCTGCTGCGCATCGGCGATTCGCTCTCCACCCTCAGCACCTTCCGCCAGCAGCACCTCTCTGGCCTGCAATCCACCCTTCAAAAGCTCAACCGCACGCACCAAACCCTCTCCTCGAACCACAATCACACGCTCTCCCAGCACAACCCCACGACGCACGCCGCGGAGATACTGAGATTGGACACGGAGAAGTTCAAGATCGCGAAGCAGGCGAGTGATTTGGAGATGGAGGGCGAGAGGCTGGAGGGAGAGTTGGGACGATTGGGCGGTGTTTTGAGTGAGTTGGAGGCTGAGGGCGTCGAGGGCGGGGAGAGGGAGAGAGGGCCAGAGGAGGATGCTACCGTGTATGTATTTTGCTACCGTTACTGGAAAATGGGAAGGAAAAAGGCTAATAGATCGAACAGGCTCAAGCTCAAGGTATACCGCACACTTGGCATCGACGTCGAAGCCGATCCGACAACCGGCCAGTACAACAAAGCGGTGGTTCGAAACGCAGCAAAGGGCGACGTGCACGTTGTAAACATCGACCCCAAGTTCTCGCGGCAATTCTACACAAACTATTTCTGGAGGACCATGTAAGCGCCGCAGTCGGGATGGCGGGATGAAGGTGAATCGATGGTGGCGCTTCGGCGGTGGCATTTTGAGAGTGACGACAAGATGGAAACGCGTATGTACGACAGCTGGGCGTCAGAGTTGAGCGACGATACCTCTTTTCATGTTTCGGCGTTTGGATAATGCTTTGAGGATGCCAACGTTATATATGGTGTTCAAAAGGACCTGAGAGAGTCCCAAGCGGAAGATGTCATAGAGCCTGAAAGCCTTCGACCACTCTGCAACATGGACTTCATTCCGCATTCATAATACATTACGAATGAGCTACTTGAGCTACTATCATTCATCCATGCTACTCGCAATCGATGCTCATGTACCAACACCAAGCCGGTACACGTGTCTAAAGTCAAAGCAACTCACCACGAATCACAACTTAAGGCTTCCAGCCCATTATACAGTCAACACCATCGCCCGATGCGGATGAATCCGCCGTGTCGTCCCATATCAACATCATCATCCAAATTGGCATGGCGACCTATGCCAGACTCGCTGCCCTTGCCCGGAATCCAGCCGTCTACGGACAGACGCTACTAGCGCTTCGCGCCCTTCTTCTTGGCTGCAACAACTTTGAAGTTACCGTTGTCAAGTGCGCTTTGCTGCTGCTGCTGTTGTTGTGTATTCTGACCGCCCTTCTTAGCGACCTCGCTCCAACCACCTCCAGACTTGTTCTCGGCTGCAGGGCTCGAAGTGTTGCGCTCGTCGACAATGCCTTTATCGGCCAGCTTGCGGCGCCTCAGGAATTCTTCGGCAAAGTGGCGGCTGTCGATATTATGCGTAGCAGAGTGAACGGATTCGGTGATGAGCTCGAGCTCGGATGGGAAGGTGAGTAGAGAAGAAACGAACTCCTCAGCTGTTACAGGTTAGCCATGATACCAAATAAGTATCAGAATAGAGAGTCCATACCGTTAATATTCTTATTCAAGTCGCCGCGCAGCTCGCCAACAGCCCACTTTCGGAACTCCTCTTCCGCATTGGCCTTTCCTGCGACTTGGCTGCCTATAGTGGTACTACGAGTCACCGTAGGCTTCTTGACAATAGCAGGGACCACACCGGTGCTGGTCGAGCGAATAGCAGGAGGAGTGGCAGCAGCGGGCGTCTTGGTCTTACCGCCCGCACCCACAGTAGTCCAGGCACCGCTACCAGGGGCGGGTTGGGGTGAAGCATGCTTTCCAGCAAGATCAGCATACCTCTTACCAGAAGGAAGCGCTTGAGTAGCGGCCCCAAAGGCATTAGTTGTAGCTTGGGCTGCAGCTCGCTGCTTTCGAGCCTCTTCCTCCTTCTGGATTTGCTGGAGTGTCTTCTTTGTGCTGGCTACTTGAGCGGGAGTCTTGCCGGCAAGAGGCTTGGCCCAGGCGGACGCGCCGGTTGTCCCTCCAGGAGTGATAGGGGAAGCACCGCTAGCCCAGGTCGAGCTACTAGGAAGACCGGGCTGGGGTGCTGACGCTTGTGCTTGAGCCAACAGCTCCTTCTCAAGGGCTTCGCGGCGAGCAGCTGCGGCAATGGCTTCACGTTCGGCGGCTTTGCGAGCCTCGGCCTCCTGGATTTCCTTGAGTGAAGGTCCCCTAGGAGCTTCGGTGGGCTCCTTTGCCCACGGAGCAATTGACGCACTAGGAGTATCCGCGGAAGGCGTCTCGGATCGAGATCGTGATTCAGTCGCAAGGGAATCGGCAACAATAGGCTTCCTCTGGGCCGCAGGCGCGGGAAGAGGCGACTGAGAGGGTGGAGGAGGGAATGGGTGAATAGCAGGCTCGATCTTATTCCAAGCCGATTGCGGTTGAGGAGTCTGTTTCGCAGACGCTGCCTTCTGGACCTGCTCAGTCAACGACAGAGGCTCTGCCCCAGTACGTCGTGTTTCTTCTTCTGCCGCCTGGAGTTGAGGCTCAGGCACCTCAGACGAGAGCGGGTCCGATTCAGGTTTCGCAGGTTCCGTAGCAGCGGTAGGAGGCTTCCCAATCACACCTTCAGGGGGGGGCACGGTCGCTGATGGCTGATCCAGATCGGTCTGGAGCCTGAGATCTTGAAACTGCTGTAGGCGTTCGGCAGACGCTTGCGTAGCTTGCTGGTCGTTCTGGCCAAACCGCTGAAGAGCGTCATAATCAGCTTGCTCACGCGCAAGACGCGCACGGTCGTTAAGCATAGCGACGACTTGCTGGGCATGCGCATTAGAATCGGGGTTCTGTTGCCCAAAAGAAGGTGGCGCGGTACCGAAAGGTTGCTGACCGGTGCGGTCGAGGTTGAGGCGGTTCAGCATCGCCGGGACATCTTCCTCGCGAATATTGCCAAGTATTTCCATTCCTGGACCAATAGGTCCCAGTCCGGGGACAGGCGCGGGCCTAAACGCATTGTCGAGAAGACCAGGGACAGCAGGCCCTCCGGGAAGAGGACCCTGAGTCGGAGAAGGTTGGTAGCCACTAGGCGATGTGATGCTTCCATAGCTGGGTTGACTGTGAAGACTATGGGCGCTGGAGTGGTGCTGAAGCTGATGAGGAAGCATGCCATGCGGACCAATGCCCATCTGAGTCTGTTTTGCGATTGCCTGCTGCTGAGCAAGATGCTCCTTCTGGCGAGCCATCAAATACTGCTCTTCCTGCTTTCTACGCTCCAGAGCGTTCTGCTGCTCTGCCGTCAATGTGGTGCCGAAGCTCGGGAAGGCATTCGCGAACGGAGGTTGTGTGCCGCCGCTGCTAGGTCCAGCAGCAGCACCGCCCGCCCATGCATTTCCAGGTTGTGTTGTCGGTGGGCCGTGAGGTATTCCGATTTGAGGGACGAGGAACGGCTCGCGCGAGTTCCCTATACGCCGGATGAGCTGAAGCAGAGGCTCATAGTCCGTATCCTCTTGCTTTTTGACAAGAAGCTCGGGGGAGAAGAAGCCGGCCTTGTACCAATCATGCATTTCCAGGCCAGAGAACGGACCCTGAGTATTGCCAGAGGGGTCACGGTAAATCCACCGCATTCGATCAGGCATCACCATGGTGCGCTGCTGTGGCGGCGGAGGTTGACTTGAAGCGGGGCTGCTAACACTGGGCGTCTGAGCGGACGGCTGAGCAGTTCTTGTCTGGTTGAGAGCGGCCATGGACAGGGAGGAGGTGGCCAAATTTGACGGTTGACCAGGTGCTGAGGATTGACCAAATAGGGAGCCTACTGGCTCTTCAGCGTGGCCGCCCGAGAAATCCTCAAAAAGAACACGGCCTGTGCGGAAAGGACTGTCCGTGTCACGGGGCGGCACGGCACCCCCAGGAGCTTGACTGCCAAAAGCGCCCCGTCCGAATGTCCCGGTCATGCTCTGTTGGCGATCTCCATGGCTGGAGGTTTCATCAACTGAAGGCCGATGCTGATCGCCTGATCGCATCTGCTCCTGCATAGCAGTCGGGAAAAGAGACCCCAGCCTGCTCGTCCGACCGATGGTGCCGCCATGCCCAGAACCAAAGAGCGAGCTACTCCCAAGCCCTGCCAGGCTGGGAGATTGCGCCTCGCCCATAGTGGCAAACATGGAGTCCAGCCCTCCACCCAGCCCCCGATCCCTAACTGGAGTGCCTATGGATGGTTGTCCCGAAGGCCAAGCAGCGGAACCACCTAGGCCAGGCAGACCACCAAGCCCAGGGAGTGTAGGAAATCCACGTGAAGGTCCAACGCTAGACGTCTGGCTGCGATCGCTTGCCGCATTCTCGAAAGGTGCAGAGACTCGCCCCAGTCCACCAAGTCCCCCAAAGGGATGGTTATGGAGACCAGCGCCCATCGAAGGATCCACCTGGAAGCTACCCATTCCAGGGAAATGAGCGTTCTGGATGTCAGAGCCGTCGGTGTCTACGTCATCATGCTCGGTTCTATCATGATCCGGACTTTGGTATGGATTTGTATCAGTTGGGCTCATCGGTTCGTGGGCCTCCACGCCGCGCTGCGGAGTCTGATGCGCAAAATTGTCCCTGACATGAAAAATATCGCGTAGGCCCGTGTTGTCCGCCGTCATGCCAAAAGCGGAAAAGGCGGTATCGTCACGTAGGTCTTGCCGATGGGGGGTCGCGAAAGAACCAAGGCCTTGCTGACGAGGCGGACTGATGTCCTGACCACCATGAAGGGCCGCGCTTCCCGTCCTCAGATCGTCGTCTGGGAAAGGATCCGTATCGTTGCTCATTGGCCGGTTAGAACGCGCTTCTGCCCAGGAACCCATCGGTCTCGAAGTCTCTGCCTCTGTCTCGCTGAGTTTGCCCAGGTTGCCCAGAGATGCCTTCTCTTTCGGGCCCCTATCCATGTCCTCAGAGCTTCCTTTACTCATCAATCCCTTAAACCTGCTCTCGCCGCGGACGCTCCCAAATCCCGGCTTTTTCTCGGTTTGCGGGTTTACGAAGCTCCCGAAGGCGCCCATAGGGGAGAACCCTCCTGGCTGAGCTGAGGACCACGGGGCGGCAGCGCTGCTGGCGGCGAATGGCGCAGTTGTGGTGCGCTTCAAGCTTCCATAGAGGCCGGCATTTTCAGCTCCGCCCTTGTCCTTGTCGCGCTCCTCAGTGGTGCCGCCCGGAGTCTGCTCCTTGAAATCTGTCCGTCGTCGTACCAACGCTGGCGGTGGGGTCACAGTATTTGATTCTTCGCGAGAGAACCTTGATGTGGAGGGCGACTGTAACGGGTTCGGAGGGAAGGGGAATGCTTCCCCGGTGTCTCGACGACGAGGGCCCGGCCTAGTACTTGTGGGCGACGACAGCCCATAGGCGGCACCGCCACCCTGCGAGATGGAAGTCTTGCGCAGAGACAAGCCCTCTTTAGGAGTGCCGTCCTTGTTCGTGTTCTGCGTTGGCGGTTTCAGAGGCGAGTTGACGGATGAGGTGAAGACCTAAGCGAGAAAACGATGGTCAGACCAGGCGCGAAGCAAATGGGACAATTGACATTTACATACCTCCCTCTCGTCTTCGGTCATGCCTGATAAGCTGAGGGGCACGATGCTGCCCTCTTTGTCCCAGCACAGGACGACCCCGCTCTGGCTGTCTCTACCATGGTCGTCCTTGCGACCCCAGCTGGCGCCCGAGGTACCGTTCGAGATATTGGGTTCCCACGGGCCAACGTAGAGGTCCGACAGACCATCTCTGACCTCGTCCGACTCCCGCTGCGCTCGGAAGAGCTGCAGCAGCTGGTCTCTTGAGTAGCGGCCTTCGCCAGAGCTGCCATTGCGACTAGACTGGGCGTGGGGTGGCACATAGACGCCCAGATTCGACGACGAGGTGTTCGGCGCGCCGCTGGCATCTCGGATGGCCGACTGCGCTGTCGAGCCAGAGGGGGTGGGTGCGTGTGAGGGCCGGCGAAATGTTTGCGTGGCACCATTCGCGCGTCGAGACCTATTGACGGCGTAAGAATAGTCCCAGTTGCGGATCGGCACAGCCATGGATGCAACGAGTGTGATATAACTGGCGGGAAGAAATGCTGTCTAATTTGGCGCGGGAGGGGAATGCTCGATAGCTCTGCGGAGGTGTATGCATGCGAGGTACAAGGCGAAGGGAGCAGCTGCACTTACCAGTCTCCGCCCGAATCTGCCCGCGATGAGCTGGCGTTGTTCCCTGCCGCGGCCGAAGCAAAAGAGGTAGGGGCCATGGTGGTCGAGAGAAAGGGCCTTTCGAGCAGAGTGTGCTGTCAAGGGTTGAGGTTGAATGCGGGTGCGGGTGCGGCGAGCGGCTGGAGCAGGTGCGACCGAGGAGAGCCTGATGCAAGCTTGCAGCTGGGTGCGAATGAGTGGACGTGAGTATTATCGGGGCACGAGGGGGCGTCGTACAGTCGAATGGGGGCAGCAGCGTCGAGATGGCGACGAGAAGGAGAGCTTGGAGGTTCGCCCCAAAAAGAAGATCGCCTGCCGATCACGTGAGGCGCTTTTATTCTTTCTCGCCAACCCCTCTTATTTCGCACGCAGCGACGCGACCTTGCACGCGACAGCATCCAGCGCCGAGACTCACGCCCCCAGCTGCATTCGCCGACCCATCTCCTGGCCGTCGTGGACGCACTTCCTGAAGCTGCAGCGCGCCTTTCCCAGCTGCACGACGCGCTTGGCTGATTCTGTGCCTCCTCCCTATGTCCGACGACCCGCATGAACCTGACGCTCCAACCCGTTCGGATGCTACTCGACGCGTCTGTGCCTCAGCACTACCCGACAAACAGCAGCCCGGAGCACTCCAGGGCATGACGTCGATTGCCTGCTTGCTTCCTCTCCTTCTCTTTGGATATATAACTCTGCGTCTGTTCCTTCTTCTGTCTGATCCTGTTTACGATTTACCTCCCCAAGCCCCACACGGTCCCCCTCATCTGCAATTCCTCTTCGCACATGCTCGAAGGCTTCCCTACCTTCTGTGGGGATCCATGTTTGCTCCAGCTCACAGCCAAGTTCGCCACCAGCGTTTGCCTTCCCGGCGTCGAAGTTTGCTCCCACCGCATTTCCATAGGTATCGCAACAGGCGGGCATCCCAATTAGCCATCATCTCTACGTTGCTCAGACAGCTCCGCATTCGGGCTACTCCCGGATTCATCGATGGTCCGGAGTAGCATCCTGTCCGCGGACGGCATACGGCCAGTCAGTGGATCGCACATGGTTTCCAAGCATCCGAATCTACTGCCGCTGTCATGCGTTGCCACAGTGATGTCGTCGGACAGGCCGCTTGATATATAAAAGAGCCTGCAGCCCGTTGACGCCCGGACTTCAAGGCTGCTTTACCATGCGTGTAACGGAGTGCTCACCAACAACCAAGCATTTGTGCCATCTCTTACTCTCGCCAGTTTGCTACATATTTGCCTTCCACTCATTGCACGGTCCTCCTGTCAGTTGACATACCTGAGATTTCCAGCAAGTCCTACCTCAATTCGCAACTTCGAGCACTCGCTCTTGCTCCTACAGTATCCGACAGCACGTAACTCTGAAGGCTCTTCTTAGAGAATTCTATCACCAACTTTGCGAGGCCAACGTGGCGAGTTCTTAATTGTATGCCTCGCCGGAGAGCGCATCCTCCATATCCAGTCGTGCCCTTCCGTCACTCAACCTCCCCCACTCTCCCTACCATGTTGAACATATTCGGCCGTTCCGGTGCATTGCGGCGGAGGCAGAAGTGCTGGGAAGACCCGTATGCCAGCGGAAACGAGAATCAGCGGCGCAACCGCGCAAGAGTGTTCGCGGAGCGCGATCAGATACGGCGCATAGCACAACAGAGGAATTATGGATTTGGTCACCGATACAGACCCAGGGGTTTCGACTTCCCGCGAATGCCCTCCATGGCGTCAGGACACAATCATTTCACGGGCGGCTTCCCGCGACGTACGATGTCCCCGATGGATCCAAGGTATCGACGCCCCGCTTACCACCGTTCCCCTTGGGGTATGGGCATGGGTATGGGTATGGGTAAGGGTATGGGGATGGGGATGGGGATGCGACGCGGAGGCCACCACGGTATGGGTTGGGGGTCGAGCTTCAGACGTCCTTCGTATCGCCACCATCGCGGATACCCACCATCGCCTCATCGATACGGATATCACCCTACGACGTCCCACTTCGGTGACGACCTGTCCGACGACGATGATGAAGACTGGGGGACGGGGTACGGTGACTATGAAGCGGACGACAGCTACGGTACCTCATTTGCACGTCACAGGGGCTACACTACAGATTATGACGACGATGATGATGAGGGGTATTATGGGGATGGATTCGACGACGATGATGAAGATGACGACTGGGATGAATGGGGACAACACGGCATGTCGGATCCTTATTCCTCGGGATACGGAACTCATCATATGGGGCATACGTATTGACGCCCCTCTGGTGTGAGAAGTTACCCTCATTAGGTTTCTTTTTGCTTCCTCCTATCGATTTCTTCTTAGTAGATAGATACCCACTGTCGCTACTGGTCCTACAGTTGACGGAATTGCGACTTTGCTGCATTCGATAGGTTTTCGGGTATGTCATCCTTGCACAAGGGGATTCGGGAAGGCTATTTAGCTTACAATATCCGCGTTCAACTCTTAAGTTCTCCTCAAGTAATGTGCCGAATGGCGAAATAACAGCTTTACATTCCACCATCTCCGCGCTGTCCTACCATACTTCAAGATACCCCAGCAACCCTTCTCACCAAACCATCAGGAACACTCAGCCCAGGAGCCCTGTTTGCCACTTACCCGCCCACGTCCTGATAATTCCCACTGACCTCCTAATACCCTCCGTTCCAAACCCCATGCCCAACGATCCCCCCAATCCCGAATTCCCAGACGCACATGTTTGCTACCACCCTCGCGGAGCCCATCTACCCAATCACACCCCGTCCAACCAACCTGTCAATCTCGCTAGTCCTACGCCGTACGCGCTTCCGCTCCGCATCCGCCCTTCAACCATACCCAAACCGTTTGCTTGGGCATATGAGAAACGCGAACAACCGCTGCGATTGGAATCTAGAAGCCCAAACCCTGGTCATCCGCCCGGTTTCCCGGCGAACACCCGTTCGCGGGCTATCGATTGCGGTGCGGGTGCGCATGCTAACTACGATGTGAAAAGCGAATGAGGCCAATCGGCGTAGAGAGAGGACGCAGCGATAGTGGGTCGTGAAGAAGAGAGTGGCGGCGGATAAGTACCTTACGGGTATGAACTATGGGATCGGTGGGAATGACGGCTCGCTTGGATGGCACATGTGTGTGATGCGGACATTGGGTCATGCAATAGATTGGGCTGCCGCCGGGCGTAGGAGTATATGAAGGGCAGGGTGGTTGAGTTTGGGAAAGGATACTGATACCGATACTAGTGCGGTTCTTTCTCGCCCCTATCCATATGTCCAAGTAAAACCCTTACTGCAATCAGCGATCTCTAAAGCCGACGCCACAGACCAAACGCCCTGCTACGAAAATCCCACCTCGCAACTCCGGCCATTCCTTCTCATCAATCAGCCAAGCCCACCATCCCCCATCCCGTCAAGAGCAAATCTCAGGCTATAAAATGTGTCTTCTCCTCCACTACACCTACGCCTGCTCGCCCACACACAACGAAACGCTCTTCCACCCCTGCCACCTCTTGCGGCAAGAAGGCTCCTACTATACTCAGACCCGGCGCTACAGGCTCATCACGCTCTCCAGCAACAACCCCTTCCTCCGGACCTGCCCACGGCTCTGGGAGAAGCGGATCCATCCGCCAATGTGTGTAAAGTGTACGCTGAAAGCGGAAAGAGGAGGCGTGTTGGCGGACAGTGTGGAGGGGCGCTTGGGCGGAAGGTGAAAGGGAGAAATGATATGAGGGATGAGAGTCAAGCTTATGAACACCTGGGGATGCGTGTGCATGAGGAGGGGCGGTGCAAAGACCGTAGAGCGAGCCGGAGGAACGGGAAGGATGGAGGAGTTGAAAGTGCTTGTTGAGGCGGGAGAAGGCATGGTGAGAAAGCAAGGCTCCAGGTGTCCAACAGGAGCAAACCCCAGGCTGCTAAAAATGATCGCAAACACGCGGTTTAAGTTGAGATCCTAGACGCATGTGATCTTCGGGAGCTTCCTATAGCCGACCTTATGCGTTATACCAAGGGAAGACCTACCACAGGAGCAAAAGCGCAAACGCCGTAATCAGTACGCAATAAAGATATCATAGCTAGTCATACCCATTGCCATTCGCGCCAGAAGCCAGCACTTGGCTCTGCGACCCATTACCATTCGCCGTGTCCACCCTCATAACAGACGCCTCATCAGTCTTTCTTAACGCCGCGTCTTGCCGTCTCTGCAACCTGAGCAGACTCTCACAAAGCCTATTCAACAACCACTCACTCTCCGACTCGCCCGACATCAGCGGGCTATCTGGCCCAAGCCAATCCCACTCCACCAAGCACTCCTCCTCCTCTTCTTTAATCACACCCTCCCCGTGCTCGCCGGCGGTAGATCGTGTGAAGCGTATCAGCCGTGTAAACTCGACCCACTCCTCATATTCGTAGCTCTTTGGGTGCGGGAGGCGCAAATCAGCAGCTACACGCTTGATGGCCATGGCGAGGCGGCGGGAGAGGGCGGTGTAGGTGGGCGGTTGGCCGGCGACGTCTTGTTCTGCTTCTTGCGCGAGGGCAAGTATGTTCGGCGACGTAATGGCCTGGATATCGCCCTCCTCTTCAAGATCACCATTAGAATGGTCGGGCTCTGGCCCCTCCTCGTCTGGATTCATCGTGCCGAACCCCTTCTTCAACCGCTTCTTTGCCGCGCGCTTTTCCAACGTGGTTTGAAGCCAGTTCAGCAGCCAGGGGTGCTTATCTAAGTAAGCTCTCCAGATCCCCTCCTTGGGCAAGACGGTGAAGTCGGCAAGTTCGTCACTCCATTTTCTGAACTTTGCCACTACGGTGTCGCCCAAGTCGCTGATGAGGATTGTCATGGTCGGGACAGCGATTAGACTCCAGGCGAAGAAGAAACAACGGCCTGCGTTTGATTTGGGCGCCAAGTCACCATAGCCGATGGTGAGCAGGCTGATGTAGCAGAAATAGAGTGCTTGGAAGTAACTCATGTCCTGGGCGTCCTTTTCGGCTTGCCAGAACACGATGGCACCGACGCACCAGAGTATCCCAAAGGCAGCGACTGAGAACGTCAATGCATACCATCTCTTGAACTTGTTAGTTTGACGCTGGATCTTCCGCATCGCGTCGAAGCGGTCCTTCTCTTCCTTCAGTAGAAGCAATCGTGACTTTTTGTTCCTCTGCAGCGGGTTGGGGATCGGGATGCTGGACGTCTTCGCCGTGGCTCTCTTCACCGTGTTACCCATTGCCGTGCGATACTGTCTTGCATCCAAAGGAGCGCTAATCCTAGGTCTCTCTTTGTTGAGATCCCGTTTTCGGATGAGGTGATGCTCTTCGTGTTCGCGCTGACGCAGGTCGAACGAGCTCGTAACTGTGCGTTCAAACGTGCTCTTCCGCATTCGCTCAATGTGCCTTTGAACGATGTTCTCCTCCCCGATCTCACGCATGAATTTGTAGAGGGAACTGACGACCAAAGCAAGCGCTATAATGCCGCCAACCGAGTACGGGAAGACAATGCCACGACCGAGATCGGTAGTTGGGTAGAGATCGCCGAATCCGACGGTGAGGACAGTGACATCGCAAAAGTAGAGAGCGTCAGCAAAGGCCCAACCAGTTTGTCCTGCGTCGCTTTCTATCTTAGAGAACACTGCGGCTCCTCCAGCTAGCCAGATGAAGAAGACCATTGTCTGCAGGATCAACGTGCGCTGGGATTCCGTAAGAGCGAAGGTGTCCGGATAGTGTCCGAGGAAATATCCCAGCATGTTGACCATCAGGATCATTGAGCTTATCAGGTAGAACGCGGCGGACGTGACGGCGTACCAGAACCCTTGGGTGTAGGTCTGATAAGGGCGGTCTGGGGGAGCGTAGATCTGCATACAGGCTGTTATCGCGATGAGGAAGCCTGTGGCGAGGTACCAAAAGATGATGGTGGCCGGAAGGGCAATAAGATATCTTATACGTTGCGTGAAGTTGAAGAGGAGGAACAGATTCCCTAAGAACCCGCATACTAGGGAACCGACATTGATCCAATAACACCTGGTTCGTTTAGCTCGACACTTCGGGACGCCCGGATCACGACGGGCATACGTCAGTAGGATACATGCACATACCATTTTGGATCGCCGAATGGCACGCCGTCAAAATCAGCGACGAACTGGCTGTCGATGTACATATGCTGCCTCCAAGGGGTAACCAGGGCAGCAATGGAGCAGACATTGGCAAGCGGGCCAAGGGTGGCGGCAAGAAGGGGGATGGCGGTGGACGCGAACCACCAGTCGCTAGGTGAAGAGTCAGCGAAGTACTCGAAAGAGCTAGGAACAAGAGAGCAATGCCATGTGTATAGCAGTTGTATGCACACTACCCCTAAAATCTATCCTATGTGCGAAGCCGGTGTAACTGGAGACAACGTCTTTATTCTCTTGCAATGCGAAGGAAATTTTGGCATCCGAATCGTATGGGAACCTCTCTCGAAGCCGCGTCTAAGCCGGACGTGGAAATGAAGTAGATAAATAGCTGTAGCCGCCCACACGTACCTCTTCTGCCCCTCTTGGAACTTTTTCCAAAATTTCAGTTTGCTCTTCCCTCGCTTCTTCTCCCCCTCCTTTACTTTGGAGTCTACCCGTGCGGCACGGTCATTATCCCGCTGCGTGCTTTCGCTCCCGGAGCTTTGCGGTTTCTCTGGCTTTTCGGTAGATCTGTCTGGTTGAGTAGTCGAAGGTAGTGAGGCCATTCCGCCGATGTGCTTGGGTTATCGCGTTGGCGAAGCCATACCAGGCGGGTCCAGCATCCGAAAGCTTTCGCAAAGGTGAAACAAAGTTGTATCCTAGTCTTTCACGGATAGGAGTCTCGAAGCCTGGCGGGTTTCGAGGTCGTGAAGTCCTTAGATCGTGAAAGGTTGGCCAGGTCGGAGGTTACGAGTGCATGAGAGGTGCTGAGAAATCGGCGCTAGGGATGAACAAAGAATAGTAGGAATGCAGCGGCGAAACTACTGGTATGAGGTAGAATCAAAGGGAAATACACGGTCGATGAAGCGAGGCGAGAGCCTGGATGCCAGAGGATATGTGGAGTACATATTTGCGGTGATGTATGTGGCTCGGCACGGCAGGGACGATAGGCGTCATGTGCGCTACGATCTTGCATGGTGTGATGCGTCGGTGAATTCCAAGGTTGCTAGCGTCGATGCATGTACGAATGCCAAGCTTTTTCGTTGCCGACGCAGACTTTGAGGACTGATTGGGCGCAGATACACGACTTCGTGTTTAACGTTGAAGAACTGATAAAGGTGCGTCAAAAGCAAATGTGATGGAGTCATGCCTGCATCGAAGCTTTTACATTCTATCAATGTACAAAGCATTTGTCAAGCAGAGGTCTATTGCGTCTTGAGCTTCTCAGTCAGTTCTGGCACTTTCTCAAAGAGATCGCCAACCAGCCCGACGTCTGCGACTTGGAAAATGGGTGCTTCGGGGTCCTTGTTGATGGCCGCAATGACCTTGCTGTCCTTCATGCCGGCCAAATGCTGGATGGCTCCGGATATTCCAGCGCAGAGGTAGAGCTGCGGGGCGACATTCTTTCCGGTCTGGCCAACTTGCAGACTGTTGTCCGCAAAGCCGCTGTCGACCGCAGCTCGTGAAGCTCCGATAGCGGCGCCGAGAGCGTCAGCTAGGGGCGGCATGAGCCTGTCGAACTCCTCCTTCGACTTCAGGCCTCGTCCTCCTGATACCACTTTGTCTGCTGAGCCAAGATCGGGTCGGTCAGACTTGGCTAGGTCTTCCGACACCCATTCTGTTGGGCATTCAACCTTGGGGTCTACACCTTCTGCTATGCTCGCGGAGCCACCTTCGGTTTCGGGAGCAGGAAAAGCGGTCCCTCGTACGGTTATCACCTTCGTGCTGTCGGACGATTGAACGGTTAGAATGGCGTTGCCGGCGTATATCGGTCGAATGAATGCTGCGGAGAACTTAGTCCCGTGCAAAATATTCGTTCTGACTGGTTGACTTGCTGTCCTCGCTCTCAATGCCAGTGATATCTGAGATCTGCTGGGTATCCAAAAGAGCAGCAACCCGTGGCATCAGGTTCTTCCCGAAAGCAGAGTGCCCTGTGACGATGTGTGTGTAGCCCCCCTTCTTGATGTTTTCGACGACCAGCGGCGCGTAGTTCTCGGGAAGACCCTGCAAAGAAGCGTCAGTGCACGCAGAATAGCGAATGACGATGACTTCAGGACCTTATCATATGCATCATTGTCGACGTATATTATCTTCTCGACGCCTTTGACCTTCGCTACCTCGTCTGCCACCGACTTTACCCCACTTCCGGCGACGAAGGCGGTTACTGAGCCTCCGAGTTTTGTTCCAGCTGTAACCGCAGCTAGCGATGCGATATTGAGCTTCCCGTCTCTTTGGTCGAGCACTGCCAATGTCGACAGTAACCGGCGGAGGGCAGAGTACTGGGGGAGTGCGGTAGGTTGCGACAATCGGAGCTGTGTTCGAGCTTGCCGCAAGACCGATTTGCGCGCGGTTGAAAACATGTCGGGCGCGGATTTTAGGGCACCAAGGTCGAATTGGAGGGGTTCGGTGACCAGGGACGAAGTGGAAGTTCAGCGGTGGAACGCCGCGCTGGTCAAGCATCGGAGCCTTGGAAGTCGATGACCTCGGCTTGCTTCGCTGCACCCGGCCTTGCTCGTTTCGGCTGGGAAGCTGCACGCCACATGCTGCACGTGATTGTGCCAAGAGCCTCACGTGACACTGCCCGGGCGCCGCCAGCCCTGGGGAAAAGTTACGGGAGCAGCGCGAGGACGCGACGGACACCCCATCTCATCCCCTCCATCCCCACACTCATTATCCTCTTTCACCGCCGTCGCTGCCCAGCCCGCCCTTTACGTTCTGCAGCGCACTGCTCAGCACGCTGTTGCGGCCCGCGCGCTCCCCTGATTTTGCGCCGTAACGCCTGCCAGCCCTCGACCCATCGCAAGCGTCTGTGAATACCGTCGAAGCGATGGCCGACGACGCGACTGCCGCAAGCGCCTCCACGCAGGACCTCTCTGGCGGGGAAGGTGCCACCCAGACACAGCCCAATGCCCCCGGCGATCAAGGTATGTTACCCATGCACCGCGCGCCCTCGACGCCATCCGCTGCTGCATCGACACCATGGACCCCGAAAGCGGTCTCTACGCGTTCAATCTGGACCCGTCTCCCCAGCTCAGCGCATTATCGCTAAGCGATCTCATAGACGTCTCCATGCTCGAGGACCCCGCAATCAAGGAATCGTCGCGCGAACCCTCAGCGACAACGCCCGCCCCCGTCTCCGACAACCCGCTCGATGCCCCAGAGGGCCCGCGCCCCGAGGCCGAAGATGCAGATGGCCAGGAGGACGAAGAAATGGGCGGCCTTGATGAGACGAAGAAGGACAAGGACGGCGAGGTCGTTGATGCAGAAGCGCAGGCAAAGGCAGATCTCCAGTCCACTGCGCGTTCACATTTGGTCGCGCAGACATTTGCGACTATAATCCCAAGCTACGCAACGTGGTTTGATATGCGATACATTGACAATCGCGAGCGCAAGGCCCTCCCGGAGTTCTTCAACGGCCGCAATCGAAGCAAGACGCCTGCTGTTTACCGCGATTACCGCGATTTCATGGTCAACACGTACCGGCTCAACCCCGATGAATACCTCACTGTGACGGCCTGTCGGCGCAACTTGGCAGGCGACGTTTGCGCCATTATGCGCGTGCATGCGTTCCTAGAGCAGTGGGGATTGATCAACTATCAGGTATTCCTCGCCTTAGGAAGCCGAAAAATCAAGACTGACAGCGCGTACAGGTCGATCCACAGGAGCGTCCATCAAACATTGGCCCGCCATCTACTGCCCACTTCCGCCAGATGGTCGATACGCCACGGTCGCTCCAGCCCTTCCAGCCCGCTCCCCAAGTAAAAGTGACTGAAGGGAAACCCCATGCCGGGACTGAGCGAGCCGCCAGCCAACAACCCACCGCAAAGGCGGACACCAAATCCTTGGTCGGAAGAAACATCTACGAAGCAAACGGCAAGGAGGTTACTGCAGGGCCGAAAGACAAAGCCGCCAACGGGGAAGGCGCTTCTAACGGCGCTGCCGGCTCGGTGGATCTGAAGGACCTTGAAGAAAAGGAAAAGCACCCGCCCAGGCTTATCAAATGCCAGAATTGTGCGGTTGACTGCAGTCGCGTATATTGTGAGGAGATAGTGGGTCCCGACCAGACGGGGCCATTCAAGGCCTCGGGAGGGCTGAAACGCGTTTTTTGCCCACGATGCATACAGGAGGGCCTCTACGACCAGTCATTGAAGTCGGAAAATTTCCAGATCATCAGACAGCCCGACGCTTCAACAGGCCAGGATCTAGAAGACAATTGGACTGACGAGGAGGTGCTTGCCCTTCTCGAAGGGCTAGAGGCATTCGACGAGGACTGGAACTCGGTCGCTAATCACGTCAAAACGAAGACGCGAGAACAGTGTGTTATGAAGTTCCTTCAACTGGAGATTGAAGACAAGTACCTCGAGTCGGATCTACCAGAGTCAGACAAAGCCGAACCCTCAGTCAAATTCCTCCGTGAGCTAGAGTATCTTTCGGAGGGACGGCTACCTATCTACCACGGTGACAGCCCTATCCTCAGCGTGATCAGCTTCCTGGCCGGCCTAGCACCCCCATCTATTACCGAAGCCGCCGTCGCAGCTAAGAGGACCATCCCGCAGATGCTGGCTGAACAACAGTCCAGGATGAAGAAAATGGGAACGCTCCCGTCGTCCGAAAAGGAAAAGGGCAAAGAGAAAGAGAAGGACAAGACGCCGGCCGAGGCCGAAGTCAAGAATGAGGATGCTATGGAAGTTGACATAGCACAAGAGTCAAGCGTCGTCGCCGCCAAAGACACCTCAACTGCACAGTCAAATGACACCTCCAACCCGCTCGCAGTCCTTCCCTTTGCCCTCTCCGCCGCCCGCTCCTCCGCCCTCGCCTCCCACGAAGAACGTCACATCACGCGCCTCGTCTCGGGAGCCGTCAACCTACAACTCCAGAAGCTCCAGCTCAAAATGGCGCACTTCAACGACTTTGAGAAGCTGCTCTCCGCTGAGCGTCGCGACCTGCAGCGCCGCCGCCAGCAGCTCTTCATGGATCGTCTCAACTTCCAGCGAAGAGTGCGTGCACTTGAAGACGCTACGAAGAAGATTAGCGCGAATCTGGGCGGCCAGGGTCTGCCCGGCGCTATGAACCCTGAGGATGCTGTTGCTGCGCTCACGGAGGCGATTAGAACGTTTGGCGTCGGCAAGGGCGAGGAAGGTGCAGGCGTTAAGAGGGATAGCGTGGATGGGAGCGTACAGCCTATTGCCGAGGGTGGCGACGGTTTCGGCAAGGTAGAGGTATAAAGATGAGGTAAAGGCGTCAGAAGGCCTGGTGTTCACGTTTTCTACCCTTGATTTGACTAGGTTAGGGGGTAGGGTACTGGTGTTCGGGCGTGCGCGACTTGTCAATGTGGTCTGGTAGCTCTAGGACCGCAGATTTCCTTGGAATTGTTCTGTCTTTTGGTGGCATGCCTTAATGCCTGGCGGCAGATTGAGGTCGTGTATACTAGTTTGTAGCGAAAAGAAACGTCTTCAAATGGCGCCTTGCTCTCGGATTGCGGAAATGAGTATCTCGCAACTGAAAGCGCAGTTCACTCTAGACTGTCACGCTTGGCAACTGCACCCTTGATGTAATTTGATATCCTTTGATTCAAGAAAAGTGTGGAACAGGATGTATACACGGGATCAAGCCAAACCGCATACCCCATGTGTATGCTAACAAAGTCCACACCCAAGAGCTGAGAGACGTGTGCTTGCCATAGTCCTACTATCGGAGAGGGGGGCTAAAGAAATGGTAAGCAAACTAGAGTTAGGAAGAGCTGGAGAATCTATCCTGAAGTTGCCGTTGAACCGAGTCGAGAGACAGAGAGGATACCGGGACCATCTACTTCTTCGGCGGGTACTTCTTGAAGAAGTATCTACAACTCGCATTAGCAAACCTCGCTCTGCAACTCCGAGAAAGCGTAGCAATCAAACTTACTGCGACACATAATAATCCGCGACGCCGAACAAGCCCACCACGCCCGCCCACGCACCCACGACCTTCCAGCTCAGCTCATCCCTCGTCCACTTGCGATACGCACCCACACCCAGCACGGTGCCCAAGATGCCCACCGTCAGCGCATTCCCAATAAGCACGGGGTTATCCGCGTTCTGCTGGGCGTAGCCAGCGCCGCGACGCGCCTTCTCCTTCGCCTTGTCTTTCTTGGCCCTGGCCTCCGCGGCCGCCTGCTTGGCCTGCTCCTCCATCTCGATGCGCTCGGCCTGCGTGTCGGTTTTTATCGATTGCTGGTCGTAGTCCGACGGGACGGACGAGATGTGCGGCGAGTCGACGTCGATGAGGGAGTGCACGCTGTCATCGGTGCGCTCGACTTGGGGTTGGGCGGGGGCGCGACTTTGGGTATTATGTTAGTATGGGGAGGTTTGATGGGGTTGTGGTCGGGTGCTGGTGGGTAGTGCGCAGGCAGCATTTTTGCGCGTACGACGAAACAAAGCAGTGCAACGCAGACAGCGCGTTAAGAGCTCGGGGACAAACTTACGCCTGCAATACTGTTAGCTGCGTCTCAATCCATCCGCGATCACAAAAACACTCACCTCTTCGGCAGTCTGTTTCGGTCCCTTCGCAGCAACGTCCGCGTACGACATGATGATAGCTCTGCTGATATAGCTCTGCGCGAGGTGGTTCGAGTGTCGAGCTTCTCTGTCGAGCGCAGTGCAAAAGCGTGCAGCTACGAGGGAGATGGAGGAAGGCGCGCCGGTGCAGACAGAGTGCGTCGTGTGATGGGATGTGAGTGACAAGGTCTGCAGGGCGGAAGGAGAAACAGGATGCTCCTCACATGCTACTTCGCTTCGAGCGTGCCTAGCAACGAGCCTTAGCGCGACCTACGTCATTGAGAGCGCATGTGGCTGGTGCGTTAGTGGCCAAGCTATCGGTGCTCAGGAACGAAGATACTGGAAGAGCGAATTAAGGTTACAGGACATGCATGAGATACCTTTGTGGCTCTGCGGTTCGTGTGGAAGTCACTGAGCTTCAACATTGGGTTCAGATCATGACGAAGACTCTAAATGCTGATACCGTATACATCGGGCGCTACTGTATTGTCTACAAGTACTATACATTTTCCGCGCGAGCAGAGATTCGTCAGACCCAAAACGCGAACCAAACCTTCCAAGCTCTAAAGATGCTAGACAGGAAACTATTGTACAAATAGCATCAGACGTGAGAGGCCTCACTTGCCCTCACTGGCTTCCCTTTCATCGTGGGCGGCCTTCGGAATGATCCTGTCGCTCTCGCTCACGGGCTCATGCTCCTCCCTGACCTGCTCTGTTGCGGCTTTGGCGCGTTCTTTCGCCGAATCCGCACTCGGACGGTACGAATCGGGGACTAGGCTGCGGTCGCGCTTCCGCCCGTCATTTTCCTTCGCTGGTTCGGATTGTAGTTGAGGAGTTGGTTTCGCCTCCTCTGTAGCGGACTTCGACTTTTCTTCAGTGGGCTTCGATTCCTCTGTAACAGCTGCCGGCTCCGGTAGAGGCTGCCCGTCGTCTGCCGTCACGTCGTCGTCTTCGTCGGTTTCAAGTTCAGCGCCGTAGACTTCGGGATACTGTCGGAAGCAGTTCTGCATGTCCCTATCATCACCATTAGCGATCCAATCTCGATATTATCGGAGGCAAAATGTCCGTACTTGAACTTGTCGATGCAGTCCATGCCCTTCGGCTCCTCAGTCGAGTACACAAAGCAGCTAAACGCCGCCTTAAACTCCTCGCCGCAGGGCCCATGGGCCATCCCACCCAGGCATGGGCAATCCCAATTGATCTCGCCAGTCTCAGGGTTGAAAGCGCCTTGTTGGTCAGCCTCCTCTTCCAGCTGTTCTACGTCGCCTCCAGGAGCCGTAGTTGCAGCCGTCTCCTGCTTGCTCGCCGCCTCTATCTCCCGCGCTTTTGCAATCTCCGCTTTCCGCTGTTGTCGTTCCTTCGCGAGATCTTCAACCGTAGGCAATTGCTCCGTTCCATCTTCGGTTTCGGGTAGTGAGCGCACTGTGTCTGAACTCTCATTAGCTCCTATCGCCACATTCTGACTTTCTTGAACTCACGTCTTGGCTCTTCCGCAAACACCTCGGTCGTATTATAGTAGTATATTATCGCGCCCACTGCACCCAGCCGTGCTGCCAGACTCTTCCAACTCCTTGACTTCTGCGTCGGAGGAGCTGTGCTGAGAAATCGTCGGGTGGGCGCAGAGGCGCGTGGAACGGCGCGCACCGCGGTTGAGCGCGCAATTAATCGAGTCACCGGCCGGAACATGATGCAGAAAGGAAAAGGAACTGAAAGGAGAATAGAAGGAACGTCGTGGCAATCGTGAGACGGCTGCAGTCTTGATGTCAAAAGTTCACGTCGATGGACCTGCATAAGATTTCTAAGCGGAAGGCTTAACCGAGCAGGGATCACGGGTCACGTGGATCCGGCCCTTGCCGCCCGGGCGTGCCCCATTGCTCAACCTGCTTCCTTTCACGGGAACATTAAAGACACGAAGAGCTCCCTTTTCTCTAGGGATCAAGCCGTTAGTCCAAACATTATAATGAGCGACCGAATGAGTGGAACTCGGTATGGTAACTCTGGATTCCATTCTCTTCATGCTACTTCAAGCAACTCCCTCCACAAAGTGAACCCTCAAGGGTATATAAGTGCAAATCAAAACTCGCCAAATACGCCTCAATACAACCACCAACGCTCCTCTGATCAAACAGCCTTCTCAAGAAGGCAGAAGAGGAGGGGAAGAGAAGAAAAAAAGCTCAAGAAGCTTATCATACAAGAACAGTCAAACCAGGACGCCTAGGACGCACCATCAGCGCCTAATAGCGCCCTAAAACTTCAATAACACCGCAATTCCAGAGTCACCGTAGGAGGTGCCTTAGAAGCAGGAGGAAAAAGTCGGTATCCATGGCATCGTGGTTCGTAAGTAGTGACGACGCCGGAGCTGTTAGAGCTGGTGTAATTTGTCGCAAAGACAAGCCAGAGCATCGGCATAAATCGGTCTCGATCCGTGGCATATACAAAGAAGCAAAGAAGGTCCGGCTTCCGAAGCATGGCGTATGTACTATGTACGGAGGGTCGAAAGGAAGAAGGCGTTACCTCACATTGAAGTGTGGAGACAACGGTCCTCCTGTATTACTACAAGATGGTACGGTAAGCATAAATCCGGATAGAGCTCGTCAAACATCGAAGTGCATAGTGCGCGCGGATAGATCGGTCGGTGTTGCTTTACTCCTCGTCGAAGAAGACGTTCTTGTGGTGCTCGAACAGCCCCTGAACGGCTTTTTGCTGCGCAGAAACATCCTTCATCTCGCGCTGGACTTCCATGGGCCGCATTATCGTGGGCGCGAAGACCACCGCCAGGTTCAAGGGCGTCATCTATTGAACATAAGTCATATCGCTTTGAAAAAGATTCATGATTACCCACCAAATTCTCGTTTGCGTGCTGAATCACACGAGACAAATGGAAGACCAAAAACTGGAGGGTGTCGAAATGAGCACGGGGTATCTCCTTGAGAGCGGCGTGCATCGCTTTCGCCTTCTGTTCCGGGTGCTCAAGTTCTAACAATCAAATTAGTAATCGCTCGGCTGGTCAGAATTCGTCTACTTACGGCCTGCTTCCAAGAACTGGTCGTAAACGTCATATGTGATCAAGGGTACCGGTAGACGGCGGAAGTAATTCTTCAAAGCGGAAGTGACGGCGTGAATGTCCAGATCAGGGTCCGTTATGTCATATTCGTTGTTGGCCTCGAAGCCATTCTTCACCTGAGTGACCTGGGAATTACCACCGCTCTTGCGGTAGATACCCTCGACATCCATGCCTAACTAAGTGTTAGCCTGAGCACTATATCAAGGGAAGTAGATATGAACATACCTCTCGATTCCACCTCTTCAATGCAGCGACTAACAATTGCTGGGATCATCCGCTTCTCGAAGTCGCACCGAGCGCTGAGGTCCGATCCGAAAAGGACCGAACCGTGCTCACCGACGAGGTTACTGCTACTGTTGTTGTGCTGCAAAGGTTTGAAGCGGTCTTGTGGCCTATTGGATGTGCTCTTGCCGCCAAACCAGCCGCGTGGAGTCGGCTGCTCTTCCTTGCTCTTCAATGAGCTCGTCATAGAGGCAAAATCGGGTTGCGAATGGACAGAACCGTAGGGGGTCCCGATGACCTTGATGTTGTATTCGTCTTCGCGCTTGGGCTCAGACGGGCCGAATGCTCCCTTGAAGCCCTTGGTGACATTCTTCGTGATGGCCTGACCGCCCTTCTTCCAGTTGGAGAATTTTGTCGGCTTACCAGTCTTGCGGATGTTCACGACTTGTGGTTGAGCGAGAGTGGCTTCACTCTCAGCATCATGAAGATTCGAGTACGAGGGCTCATGCACCATCCCCTGGTTGTCGATGGATATGTCCGACTTGCCGCCTTTGTGGTGGGCGTGATAGATTCCAAGGCCGTTTGCTGGAGGCCGACCAACGTCGATGGACTGGCCGCCGTTGTGCTGTTTGTTGCTCTTAAGTGTTGACTGGATTGACTCAATGAGGTCTCGGTTCATGTCCGAGAGCTTTTTGTTTTGCGCGCTGAGCGACTCATACTCCTGGAACCCTTTGTCTTTCATTTGAATCAGGCTGGAGATTTCATCCGTGAGCGTGGTCCGTTTCGAGATCAGTTCCTCGATCTGCCCGCCAAGCTGATCCTTGAGCTTTTGTAACGAGTTTCCAAAATCCTTGAGGATGTCCGACTTCAGCTGGTTAACGTCCATTGTAGTGCCCTTGCTATCTTTTGCGCGTTTCAAATGTTCTGTCATGATCTCCAGCTCCCGAATGACCATTTCTCGTTGGGTATCCAAAACAGCCATCGTGTTTCGCTTCTCCCGCAACATTGTGTTTGCCTGCTTGATATCAGCAGCGCTGTGCACTGTTTCTTGCAAGCCGTTCTTCTCCGCTTCGAGCTCGGCAATTCTTTGCTGAGCCCTTCGTAGTTCATTTCTTAGGTTGACATTCTCCTCCTTAGATTCAGGAGAAGCAACCGTGGGACTGCTGATTTCTATTGAGCCGTTGGTCGGCCATTTCTTGTGGCCTCGCGTGTTCACCGATCCACGATCACTGAAACTCCGTCCATGCTTGGACACTGCATTGGACACCCTGCGGAAAACACCACTCTCTTTCTCCTGGCCTTCTTGGTTCGATAGAAGGCGAGCAAAGTCCTCGTCCATGGAGAAGTCACCCTGAGCGCTGTAACGGGGAAGGCCAACTGGAGAGAACACATTGTTGGAAGTTTCACTCTGGACGGTGCTGACGGATTCGGTGGTTTTGTGGTTATGTAATGGAGGAGGCTGAGGAGGGGCCCTAGGAGAGACGAACGTGTCAGTAGAAGGCGGTGGTGGTCGTCCAGCAGAACGCTGAGGAGGCACAGGAGGTTCCATTGGGGTTCTTGAAGACTGGGAATCAACAGGGCTAGTGATATTGTAACCGCCATTCTGCTGAGACCGAGGGGCCGAGCCAGAAGGCTTCCGCTCCGGTTGGGATAGGGTTGGTGTGGTAGGCGACGCAGCTGGCATGTCTTTCCTTGAGATCGATGCGGTTGGCTTGAGCGCGGAGTTCGCGAGAGAATCACCTCTTGCCGGCCGTTCCACCTGCTGTGTCGAAGTATATGATGAAGAGCCAGACGTCGCAGGCGAGTCCTCGCGGCCGGTTTGTGAATCCAAGGGGGTTGGAGACGCAGTAAGAGAATCTGCGGGAGGGCTCATGAGCCGCCCAGTCAGGTCGTTGGCAGGGGAGCTATGCGCAGGGGATCTGGCACTGGAGCCCCTCCTTGCTTCCGCCTTCTTGTTCTTGGGGACGTCTTGGAGCTTGAACCCTTCAGTAGACTGCGACGGGGCCGGCGACGCATGTTGGCTGCGGGAGCGGTCATTGCCAACCGACGGCGACTCGTTGGCAGACTCCTTTCGCTTGCGAAATGTATCCACTAGCTGGTCGGAGGGCTGCCTTCCCTTCTCTTGATATGCAATGTGCGGGCTGGTCGGCTGCCGTTCGGCAGAAGCCGACCGCGACCTATTCTCCTTCAGCATCTCTCTGTGGTTTCCCGCCGGTCGGTTGAAGTAGTCGCGGGTAGCCTTTGCGTCGACACCCCGACTCTGGCTCTTGCCGAGTGGAGACGGCCCCGGGGCTGTATTCGGGTCCAAAGCAAAGGGGAGCAGGATGCCGTCGTCTCCGCCCGTATCTGACGTCTCGGAGTGGGTCGTCTCCTTGTATGTGCTCGCGGGCAAGGTCAGGTTTTCTGTGGGAAGGAAGTCAGCAAGTTGGACGAAGAAAAAGAAGGCAGTGCGCAACGCACCTCTACGAGCATCACCGGCGGAAGCTGGCGATGCATCGCGCCTGAAGTTGGCAGGCGAGGAGTCGTTCCTTCTCGGGTGAGGCGGTCTAGGAGAAACGTCATTAGTACCAGGTTCCGAGAATACATCAGACGGTGTGTCTAGGTCTGGGGTGAATTGGGTCTGCGGCTGTGCTGCACTGGGGGGCAAGGCGGGCAATGACTTGTCCACCTTGGGTGGCACGCCCGCCGATGAAGGTGGTTTCTTGGTCTTCTTCCGCCGTCGCGCCATGAGAGACTCGTGACATGACATGCAGAAGATGCCCTGCGAAGTGCGAGCATATCGCAGGTTCTCAATCTTGCGCTTGCAGTTCCGGCAACGGAAACAGTTCGCGCAGAAAGCCTGGTCACCCGTCAGAATGGCCAGGTCCTCGATCTTGTTCCCACAATGGTTGCAGCTGTATGTGCAGTTGTTGCAAATCAGCGAGCCGTCGCCGAGGAGGAGCAGGTTGGCGTCGGAATCGAGGAGCGTGCCGCACGTGTTGCAGCGGAAGCAGTCGATGTGCCATCGGTTGCCAGCTGTGGCATGTCAGAAGCGCTCGAGAAGCAATGATGGTGGTCTCGTCCAGAATGCATACCTAGCTCGAACGCCTTGCCCTCCTCGAGAATCTCTCCGCAACCTTTGCACTTCACATAGTCAGCTAAGTTCTTCGTCGGCCGTCTTCTACATGTCGGGTCATTCACGCACCGGATAGACCACCTCCTCGTCGGGCGATTCAGGGTATGCGCCCGGACTCTCCATCTTGCCTCGGAACAGCCTGTGCTACTGTGCAGAAGGCGTGGGTTCAGGGCGGCGGGCGAGCGCAGTAGAGGCGAGGAGCGAAGAAGCGGATGCCCTCGTGTGCTGAAGCGATGATTGCGGAGGATGATGTCCAGGCCGGGAATAGTGAAAGTGAAGGCGGGACGAGGTGGAGGCTCGATAAGAAGAGCCGCGAGGGGGTGAAGGGCCCTCGTCGAGGTGCAGTCCAACCGACGGCCGGATAGAGGTCGTATAAGACGGTCGACTACGGGGCCTGCGGCATGAGACCGAGCGGAGGCGCCAGAGCGGTGCAGGAAGCAAGACGGCGGTGGCGGACTCGAGAGCCCTGGGGTGGGTGGAGGGTCGTGAGGTGCGATCGCTGGCGTGGAGGGTGGGCTTGGCGCAGGGTCTGGCGCTCTCAAAGCAGAAAGTACGAGGGCAGTCAGCACGGACACCAAGCCGCTGCACTCAAAACGAAAGCGGAGGCGAGCGGTCCCTGGCGAGGAGCGCGCGGGCGGCGGTGGTGGCGGCGATGTCAAGCGTGCGGGCTGGACGTGCAAGCAGTGGGAGACGGGCGCCTCGAATCGACGCAGCAGCACGCAGGAGTCCAGCGTGCAGGCCGGCGGATTCACCTCACGGCAGCAGTCGCAAACGTAACCCGCCCATCTTGAAACGCGGGCCCTGCGCAGCGCCAGTCCCCAAATGGCGCAAGCGCCCAGGCCATCTGGTCGAGATCACACAAAGCCTCCACACCGAACATGGACGATCGCCTGCGACGGTTGCGCGCCCGCCGCTCCCTGCCAATGTCGCCGGCCGTCCTCCGAAGCTTGCGGGCATCCAGCAGCGCCAGATGTGACAGTCTGCACGGACACGCTGCGTCCGCGCCAGCATGCGCTTGCCCAGCACATGCGCGAACGCTCAGCCGCGCCTGCCCAGATGCCCCGTCCCGAAATAGACGTCTCGGCGGGGGAAGACATGCTGCCTTGCTGCCATCTGATTTCATCTCCGCAACACCACCCTCTCCGACGTCGCTCCTGTCAGCCAGAGCTATTCACACCTTTGGCGCGCGACCGCCAACTGCACCGCCATTAGGAGAATAAGCACGTTTCAGAACACTGTGCGAGCGCCGGACATTCCTACACGTGTCCGCCTCCACCCTCAAGCCGCCGCACACTCAATCAGGGGAGATTAGAGGGCGCCGAGCAATATGCACGTCACAGGCCCCTCTGCTAACATTTCCATACAGAGCGCTCAAGAGCCTCCGCTCCCGCTGCGCTGATTGCACTCAATATGCACATAATTCCTGTGCATCCGGGCGCATCGGATGGTCATCTAGGAAAAATGCAGGACCATCAATCTGCCCAGCAACTCGGACCGCCGTGTCTCAGACACTGGCGACCATCCCGGCTCTCGTTTCAGCGTGCCGAGCGGCAGTACTGTACGTTTTCGTACCTGACTTACCGGCCCTTCGGATTACAGCCTCATGAACTAAAGCCGGCCTTGGAACTACATGAAAGCCTACCTTTTTCTTCGTTAGCGCAAGCCGTCTAACCAGGAAGAACCCCGCCTTCCCACCAGGTACCACGGATTCAGAAGCACAGTTCCGCCAAGTTCTTAAGCTTCTGGGGCCACAGGCGCGTACTTGAGACCTCCATCAACCGATGGCTATTATTTGCCATCGAGCTGAACATCTTATTCCACGACGATCCCGCGTGTAACAACACTGTCAGCAGCCGTCCTTGCCATGACTTTCTCGGTCTTGTGTGTAAACCTGTCACAACGTTTGGTCTCGGTGTCGTCGAATCATGGAACCGCCTCGACTTGTACCATCGGCACTTCGTCTCCGCAATCAGTAAACTTTATTAACTTTCGATATCCGATCACCAGGACAGAGAGCCGTCCGAGTCATGGCAAGACAAGCATGTTCTTCGTGTTCACCACTCTTGTCTGGAGCAACCTCTGCACCGTTTCCTTTCAGGGGCTGCGAAAACATCTTGCATGAAAGGTACCAGAATGTTCACCGCTAACTCAGATAGTACACAGTACACCGCGGCACGAACATTCCACCTACCCGCTTCGACTCCCGCCAGTCTCATGTTTCTCTGAAGCACCAATAGAATGCTCCGGCCCCGACTCCCGTTACACATCGCTTTCGAGTCCGCGGTCACCGTCGTACCGTGATAGTCGTTATCAACGGCGGGGTAACAGGGCTTTTGTGTCACCCTTCAACGTATATATTTGAGAAATCGCGGGCTACACGGGAAGATACGTGCGGGTGCCTGTCCGACTCGAGGGGAGTACACCACATGTTTCCGAGAAACGCAAACCACTCTCTGCCCACGGCCGGCTGCTTCATCAACCGGGGAAAGGGACATCCGCGGCCTTTGCAACACGTTTTTCTACCCGTCTATTCCTGGTACTGACGACATGGACCCACAAAGCTGCAGTATCCCAAAAAACCTCCAACATCTGCTCCTCGCCGCCTCGCTCTGTTCTTTCGTTTCGCAAATAGAGTTACCCCGCCATATTGGCATCGCCCTTCCCAAAAAGCAACTTCATTATCGCGATAACGACCAGATGAGGACATGGCTCGTGTGTCGAAACGGAGCGGGACGGATCGCGAAAGATCCGTGCTGTGGCGGATGGGCGCGGAGATCGCGAAGGGCGTCGAGTCAGTGCTGGACTTAACTGATGTGTTATCAACAGGCCCATCTCCGAGGAGCGCTATAAACAGATCGACGTGGTGGGAACCGTCGTCGGAAATGCTGTCTCGTGTAAACAACGGGCGACCTACTATCCGTGGAACTCGAATCATCTGCGACAGCTTTGGATGGTATCTGAGAAGACACCACATGGCCATGAGGTTTCCACCTAAAGACCAAAATAGAACCTTTTCGGACGCACATATTCACTGAATAGGTCAGGCTGACTCATAACAGCCCACAATCGTCATCCTCGTTACAGCTAGAGGAATGAGACTGTCGCAAGGCGACACTACTCATCGTGGTTTCAGGTTATAGGAACGTCTCCTACGATCTTACGTTAGGCATATAGCACAGGCTAAAGCCGCTGTATACGACTCTAAAAGTCCTCCAGTAGACAATCATGTCCGATTTAGCTTCAGGGCTCTTCGTGCATGCCACGTGGCCACAGGCTCATTCGTCGAGTATTACTTCGGACGATATCATGGACTCTTAGAAGTGGATCGAATGGGTATGCATTAAAGAGCTCTCTATGAGGCGAGTTGACCTACATCTACCCTTGACGCCTTCCAGGGATATCTCCATCTTCTTCAACTTGATTGCCATGTACAACAAACCGACCCCTCTCTTCCTCTTACTTCCGCTCCCCACCCTTCACATACCCCTCGGGCCACCAAACCATCGGAAAAACCGGGACGCCCACTGCCCCTTCCCCTCCCGCTCTCTCACCGCTCTCATCCACAACACCTACCCCTAGTCTAAACTCCCCTCCCTTACTCCCCTTGAGCCCCTCAACCCTCACATCCACAAACCCACACTTCGCATACACCACCCGACTCATTGGACTGCTCGCCTCCGTCCACAGCGCCTTGCCCTCGCTCTGCGCCCGCTCTTGCACCTCCCGAATCAAAGCCGGCGCCAGCCCCTTCCCGCGATGCGCCGCATCCGTCGCGATGTGCCACATGTAGTAGTACGTCTCCCCCTTGGCGAAGGTGGCCTTCTTCGCGCGAATCGTCTGCGACTCGAAGTGCTTCACGTACCGCGGGATGAGGTTAAACCCCGCGTACCAGAACGCCTTGAGCGCGCCGCCGCAAAGCATTTTCCACCAGCCGCCGATGCCGAGGTCCAGCACGTCCATACCTGGATGCAGGATCACCGCGCAGCTTTGCGGGCTAGAAATGCAATTGCTGCTGCTGTTGGGCTCCGTAGACGCGGCGTAGAATGTTGCTTTGCTGCTGCCGTGGCGGCGGACGGAGCAAGCGATGAGGTTCTGGCCGAAGAGGTGGTAGAGGGCGGCCGGGCGCAGGTACCAGGGTACACGGTGCAGGAAGAAGGTATAGGCGGGGTCGGTGAGGAAGGCTTGCGTGAGGAGGTCGAGGAAGGCGGGAGGGTTTTCGGTGGTGGAGGAGATTGTTATTTCGGGGCGGCTAGGTTTGGCGTCGTCGGACGACATGTTGGATATGCTATCGATCCTAGACGAAAGAGGGGCCTTAGAATACTGGAGATGGTAGATGCTAGGAAGTAGACGCGCGGCAGATAAAGAAACGCAGCTTCGTACGCTCTCTCGTATTCCTACTCTCCTCTGCCAGATGAATTGAAAATGATATGATATTGTGCAAGAAACTGCTTTCCTAGCTCCTACAACCCCTCCCTCATGTCATCTTTATATCCCCCCTTCCCCTCCCGAGGCCTTACCTACCACCTACCCTATAGGCCTCAGCACGCCTCTACCTTCCCGTACGACATATGCATCGCCGGGGCCCGTGGAGCGCGCGCCGCGGAAAGCCGCGGTAGCATTCGTGCGAAACGCCTGAGCAGTAAGCGCCCGTTCTTCATCTGGCATAGTAATTGCTGTCTCCGGAAGTGCTTCTCACACCGCGTGCGAGTGGACCTACTATACCCCCGGTCGGGCGTCAGGGCGCCCCGTTAACCGACGGGTGTCGGATGGTCTGCAGTTGCGGCTTCGACCTGCCTGGGAGGGGGATGGAATACGAGGAGTTCAGCTAGCCGGGGTGAACCGATAGGTTGTTTGCAGCGGGCCTGTCGACGAACAACGTTGCGGAGGAGAGCAAAGCTTGGCTCACGCCCGAGTTTGGTGGACTGATATGTGCGTTGAGGCTGAAAGGTGCGACATGACATCGACGTCTGGGCTTGCTTGCATCAAAGCTGAATGACTGGATGCGAGGCTGCTCCATGCGCTGTAACGTGGGTTTTCGCGAGGGTGGCAGGTAGCGCGGGAAAGGGTTAAAAAATTCACCTTGGGTCGCCGAATGGACTGGCGAGGTAGGGCCCTGCAAGCTTCAGCCTCAATTGACTGTTAGACTGGGACCAATTCAGCTTTAGTTCATTTATTTCGCATTGTGCAGGTGGATAACGAGCGACTATTGTTTATTCTCCCTACTTTGCCCCTGAAGGGTAAGGTGTTGTTGTGCTAAGGGAAAGACTCGGCTCAGTCCAAACCAGACCAGCCCACGAGCGATCCGCGAACAGAACACAATCAGTACTCGTTCTCCGCCTTGCGCTCATCAATAACCTTGAGCGCCTCCTCCGCGGCCTTGACGCCCGAAAGCGCCATAGCCCCAAACGTCGGCCCCATGCGATTCGCGCCATCCACCTCGCTCAACTCCATGCCGCCGACGACTAAGCCCCTAACCACCTCCCTCGTGCGCTTGACAATCGCATCCTCGGCGGTGCGCATATCGAGCCCGCGCATGCCGCCCAGCTTCTCGAGCTGCTGCATGCTGACGAGGCGCTTGACGCTGAAGGCGCCGAAGGGCCCGTCGTGGCCCGTGGTGCTAATGACGAGGGGTGCGTTGATGGTGTTGGGGTCCATGCAGCTCTGGTCGTCGTGGTGCATGGAGACGAGCGTCCAGTTCGTCACGACGCCGGCGATGCGGACGGCGTGCGGGTCGCTGGCGGTGGGCGCCGGGCGCGTGATGAGGTCTTCGACGGCGGTGGCGTTGAAGAGCTTGATGTTGGGGGAGGAGAGGACGCGCGAGAGAAGGGTGGAGGTGAAGAGCGCCTGGTTCGGTCAGTATTAGAAGGTACCTCCCTAGATGTAGGACGCTGTAAGGAAGCGGTGGACTCACAGCATGCTTCACGACTACGAAGTCGCCCTCGTCGTCGTAGGGAACGCCTAGATCGTTGAGGAACGCATCGGCAGGCTTGCGCATCACCATAGCGCTGAAGAGCTGACCTCCAAGCCAGGCACCGCCGCCGGGAGCAACGCCAGCCTCAATGATAGCGATCTTGAGGTCGGGGCGCTTCTTGGCGAGCATGTATGCAGTGCTCAAGCCGCAGGATCCGGCGCCAACGATGACGATGTCGGACTCGGCGTAATTGTCAAGGTCCGCAAAGTAGCGACGGGCTGATGCGAACGTTACTATTGCGTGATCTTCGCGAGACGGGGCGATATCTTACTCATAGCACGTGAGACCTGGGACTCGCGGATCGGAGAGAAGGTGAACGACTCCCACTTGTCCTCCATTTCGGCTAGCGTCTTCGCCATGCCATTGGCAGCAGGCTTGACGGCTAGATCCTTCTTGACGTGCAAGGCGTTGCCGTTGATGGCAACGGGATTCTCGAAAGAGGCAGCGGGAGGAGACATGTTGATAGTGAGTCTTCAAGGTGTGAAGCCTGCGGAGTGTTAAGATAGTTCAAGGGGGTTGAAGGGAAGGCATGATCCTTTCGCTGGTATTATCCAGATCAAGTTATAAACCGTATAATCTCAGAACGAATCTAGAGCTCTTCTCTCCATACGACACCTGCCGCGCTCTCCATGATGGAAAGAGCAGCGTGGGTAGGATAGAAGGAGAGCGCTGGAAACGAACACCGGTCCATGCTAAGTATACTTAACACTAATATACCTTGATGTCTGTGGGATAATGCCCGCGCCCAGAACATGTCTTGGTGCGTGAGGCGCTCCATACTTGTTAGAGTGTAGTAGGACCTAGGAACTGGTTAGCAATTCTTCTCGCATGAATGGAGGAAAGGGGAGATGAGTACGAAGAATTGATGCAGCAGTGACCGGAAGAAGTGAAGATTGGTGAAGAGGAAGGGGAGGAGCGAGGGGGGGGGTGCCTTTTGTAGTCGAGAGCTACCCCCACCTTGTCCAACCGTTGGGGCGGGGTAGTGGTGGCTAGCCATGACTAGCCCCTGTCTGGTGCTCTAATATGGACGTCAAGCCCCACTATATCTTCTTAGACCCAAAAGATCATTCGATCACAGAGACCGACACGTCGACTGTGTCCGCGGGATGAGTGCTAATAGCCGCCGTGAGCCACGCGGAGAAGAATCCCGTGGTACGAGGCAGGCCTGTGCGAAGCGAAGGAACTGAGCGGCATTGATAAGAAGGGGAGCATATAGAGAATATTATGATGAAGAACTATTCGCTAACTGCAGAGCCGGAAGGACCGGAAGAGATAGAAAAGGGAAACAGACTATGAAACGATGAGGCTAAAACGACTAGTGTCTAAAATACAGAGAATCGTACTCGCGGGAGTACTGGCGGAAGACAGCCAGACAGCTTCCGAAGTGCTTGCCGGCGCGTTTTTCGGCGGTGGTGCTACTCAAGGCGGATGGACCCTTGCTGATCGCTGGAAGTACAGTGGCGTTCAGACGTGCACAGTGTCCATGTGAGCTCCTTCGTACGACCGGCCTTCCATCGTCGTCATCTCGGTGGGTATAGGCATATGACTGTGGATGCTGAGACTCCTGCTATATGGGCTACGAGCGCGGAGAGTAGGGCCCCATTTGTAAAGGACGAATGGGACCGCGAGGCAGGGGATCGAGATGAAACCGAAGATGCTCAGTGCCCAATTGCCACCGAGATTCATGAAAGCTGGTGTTCGGTTAGATACGGTCAAGTCTGAGGGGCGGAGAGTCATACCCTGCACAATGACGAGAGGAATGATACCGGCTGTCGCAATGCGGACACATGCAGCGGCCGTCAGCGCAGAAAGGGTACCTGCGGGCGGATAGGCGTCGAAGAGGTATGTGACCAGTGAGAGCTGCATTGCTATCAGTAACAACTTCATCGACTAGGGAAGGCGCGCACTTACCAGCACAGACATACTGCCCCAGATATAGATCGCTGTTCCAAAGATGGGGCTCAAGTAGTTGATAGTTGGATCAGCAGTCCATCCAATCCAGAAAAGCGAGCCAGTGATCATAAGTCCACCGTACATGGCGGGTATCAGACGCTTCTCAATCGCCATCGTCGTGTTACAGGATCTGAATATCGCCTGCTCAATAGCGATTGTGCAAAGCGCGGCAAGAATTGATCCACCAATTGCACCAATGAAGGCGAGCCCGACGCGCTGTGGGGTAAACCCGTACACCGTCTGAAGCACAACGGGAACGGTGATAAAGAACTGGAATGCTGCGCCCCAGTTCAAAGCCAGTGTGAAGGAAATCATGGCAACAATGGGCTCGAGAGCTAGTTGCTTGACAGGATTGAGGACCGTGATAGTAGCCATCTGGGCAATGGTGACGCCGCTCTCTGCTGGAGGCTGATGTGGAGGTGCAAGGCCCCGAGCCTTGTTTCTGCGACGGGGAATCTCTCGTCCGTAGGTCTCAGGCATGCCGATGCCGAATGCGAAGACAACTAGGATAAGCATTACGGTGGTATATTCCGCCCACCGCCAGCCGCCTGCTTGGACGACGAAGTTCCCTACAACAGGTCCTAGGGGGCTTGTCAGCATCCATGCAACGTACGATTGAGGTGCTACGTACCAACCGCAGTCCCGACATACGAAGCAACAGCCAGAAATGCGTAGTATGTGTTTGTCGTTTCGGCAGACCAAATATCGGCAAAGGTTCCTTCAATGAGGACCAGACACGGCCCGCCGAACAATCCGGCAAAGAAGCGGCAGACGGCGAGGCTGGCGTACGACTGAGAAAGCGCAGCTCCTAGATGGAAGAGGCCGCAGCAGAATATGCTGATGAGGTACAAGATCGATCGCCCGTGCCGCTCAGCGAGATGCGGTGTGTAGATGGGCGCAAAGAAGATGCCGAAGAGGTATAACGAGAAGCCCGCGATGGCTTTGGTCATGGAAACATTGAAGGCCTCCATTACTTGGGGGATAGCGGAGGAGTATATGGTCAGGCCAAACGCGCTGGATAACCGTCAGCGTATCATTCGCGCGGTTACAGACATTTTGTCTCTCTGCTGTAGAATCGGTGGGCTTGAGATGTCGAAGCACGAAAGTACCTACACTGCGAATGCCATCGCCCAAGATACGGCAGAAGCGTACAGCCGTCGATGCGCCGGCCAGTTCATGGGATTGTCCGGGTCGTCAGCGGCGAGCGTGTGTGAGAGCATGTTGGATGTCACTGGCCCCGGGGGCATCTTGTGCATTTCTCCGCTCTCTCGTTCTTGCTGGGGCATCATCGGGGCATCCTCCGCGTGATGTTTGGTCTGATCAGCCATGTCTGGAGACGTAGACATTGCGAAGTGGATAGTCGGTAATGGATTGCGATGCTTGAATGGACTCAGGTACTAAAGACTGCTGTGAAGAATGGTAGATGGGGACAGTAAACGAGACAAAAGAAGACGTCCTTATATGTTTTCTAAGGACCGTCCTCCATAGTCTCAGCCATCTGCAGATCGCCCAGATATGCAAATACGTATGAGAGAATAGAGCCATGGCGGCGGCACTGACTATACTGGAAGAAGGCTGATGTTGGGGATTGGCAGCGTGGTTGGAAGTGACAAATCGCAGAATATCCATGTTGTGACGGTTGAAGTTACCTTTGATTCCGTATCTTGGGGCTGGCGCACAAGTGCAGCCTGTAGTGCTTAGGCGGTGCTTAGGCGCTTGACGTCGAACCGGCACCACTGCAGCGGAGGCCACAGCCTAAGCGCAGCGATTGGAATCAATTGATGGCCCGAGAAAAGCGTAGGATGGGATAGGGCTTAGCGGATGCTCCTGTGCTGAAGCGATGATTCCGGAATCTAATCTCCTATCCCGGGGTGGCTGTACCTGCGGTCAGCCTCAAGATGACCCGACTGCAAGAGACTCCGACTGCAATGTTGAATCTCACAGTCTGGAATAGTTCAATGATGGGCTCAGGCCTGAATTGACTCCGCATCTCGGCGACTGGACGCGAGCAGCGAGGTGGTTGCTTTCTGGGTGTGCCGATCCATCCGAATGGTGGAGATGAGGAGAGCGAGAACGCGTCTCGAGAGTCTGAACTGAATGACCGTCGGCGCAGAGCTCAGGCTTGCAGGATATCGGCTCGCTGCGCAACCTCTCACTCATCACTGCGGTGCATTGTCGATGAAGTGCTAGTATGCATAGTAGTGCGGGGACGACAGACGCGTGCGAGTGGTTGCCGATGAAACGAGCGGCCCAAACAGCGCCAAGCACGCGGGCGGGCTCACCTCTAGGGCCCCGGCCTCCAACAACGCAACACCATACACACACACGCCCGCGCTGCCTGATGTGCCCCTCTGCAAACACCGCTCAATAACATTGCCTCGCCATGGAGGAGCAGGTCGCCACCCTCCTTGCAGCGCTGAAGAAGCCGTCGACCAATGTCGAGAGCAGACTGCAGCTGTTCAACAATCTGAAGTCAGGCATCAAGCACAATCGCGTCCCCGAGAGCTGCCAGGCCCCCGTCTTCGAATGCATCCGCATCGCCATCAGCGCCACCACCTCCGCAGCGCTTGTGACTGCCGGATTCGCGACACTGACCCATTTCCTGAAGCGCCTGCAGCTCCAGAAAGAGACGTCCGTCATCACGTCGCAGTCAAACAAGCTCCTCGCCATTCTGGTTGACCGCCTGGGCGACGCGCGCGAGAGCCACCGCTATGGCGCCTCGAACATTCTGGCCGACCTGCACCAGCTGTTCCCGGCCGAGGTCGAGACCGTGATGCACAATGCCATGAAGGGCACCAATCCGCGCGCCAAGGAGACGTCGATGCAATGGGTCGTCAAGGTTTGTCATGCCCGTCATGTTGCTGGCAGGCCCCTGTGTCTCCCCTGTGTCTAATGCGTGCTGCCCGTAGATGAACAAGACCGAGAGCCTTCCCTTCCGTAGCTACGTCGCCCAGCTTGTTGCGAACCTCGAGGACGCCGACGCTGGCGTACGCGAAGCTGGCAAGTCCGCTGTCGTTGAGCTCTTCCGGTGCGTCCTGGACACGCCCACACCCGGTTATTGGCATGCTAATGACGCGACAGGAAATCACCCGAGCATGCGAAAGCGAACCTCAAGAAGCAGCTCATCAACCTGAACGTCCGGAAGACCATCGCAACCTACATCCTCTCACACCTCGACGACGCAGCGCCCGCAGAAGCAGAAATGCCCCCCCCGCCCCCGCCACCCCCTCGACCCATATCAGCCGCGAGGGTAGAGTCACTCCAGCCGGATACCGGATTCGCTGATAGCCTCTTGTCCGAGGTGCCGCCCCCCTCCGAGCCCGTTTCCATGGAGCCCCTGCACATCTACACTCAGCGCGAGCTGGAAGACGTATTCCGCGAGATGGCGCCACATTTCGAGGGTAAGGAGACGGAGCAGAACTGGATGGCTCGAGATAAGAGCGTGCTCAAGCTTCGCCGGATAACCAAGGGGAATGCGCCATCAGAGTTCCACGCTGCCTTCGTAGCGGGCATCAAGTCTCTGTTGGATGGCATTCTCAAGGTCGCCAATACCCTGCGCACCACCATGTCGACGAATGGGTGCCAGCTGGTTCAGGAGCTGGCTAAGACGCTTGGATCCTCTATGGATTCCTGGGTGGAGATCCTGCTTCAGAACTTTATCAAGACGTGCGCTGCCACCAAGAACATTACTGCACAGAACGGAAATACCACCGTGGACATTATTTTCTCGAACGTCTCCTATGCGGGACGCTTGCTCCAGCATGTATCCCTTGCATCGCAAGACAAGAACGTTCAGCCTCGATCATATTCAGCCGGCTGGGTCAAAACGCTTATCCGAAAGCACAAGTCGCCTATCGAGCACTCGGGAGGGCTTGATATGCTAGAAAAGATCCTTAAGAGGGGCCTTGCTGATGCTAATCCAAAAGTTCGGGAAGCTTACCGGAGCACGTACTGGACATTCGCCCTGGTCTGGCCTCAGAAGGCTGAAATGTAAGTTGTTTCCCAAATACTGGTACGAACCTGGTGCTGAGACTACAACAGGATGTATGATACCCTTGAGAAGAGGGAGAAAACGGCACTAGATAAGGACCCGAACAATCCAAACGCGTCACTCGCATCGTCCCAAAATAGTGTTTCGTCATTCTCCAAGTCCGTCGGTGCTGGTGCCGGTGCTGGTGCCGGTGGCGCGGCTGCACGAAACGCACTGAAAGAGAAGATAGCTGAACAGCGGAGGGCGAAATTGGCGGCTGCGAAAGGTGTCCCTGAGCGCCCCAATTCTGCTCAAGCAAGCTACTCACCCGTCAAATCGCAATCAGCAAAGTCTCTAGGCTCTAGGACTGCATCTACGGCGTCCACGGCATCGTCGACCACCGCCCGGCCGCCATCAGCACTTGGGGGCTCGACGAAATCGGCTCTGGCAGCGAACACTAGTGGCACCGGGTCACTAATGGGCGGTACTGCCCGACGGCCAATTCGACCTCGTCCCGAGCTCCATAGGCCTGCGACGGCGGACCCCTATGCTATACGACGAACTGGTAAAGTCACGCCTTCCATGACACCAGAGAAGACTCCGGCCGCCACAACGGCCAAGAAATCTGCCATACCAAAGAGCGGCGTTCGCCCCCGTGCACAGACTCAGAACAGCAACAGTCCGAATATCAGCCCAATTCGGACCAAATCTAGGTTAGGCGAAACCGCAACACATCGCAAGACACCCAGCGGAAGCTCTCGACACGGAAGCCCAGCTCTTAGCCCATACAAAGACGAGGATTTGACCATGGTGAAGCCGTTTGTTCGGTCGCAGAGCCATCACGAGCCAGGTATTATCCCATTCCGCCAGAGGAACGGAATGGAGAAGAGTACATCTGTTGACAGTGATGCGATCGATGTAGGAGATGAAGATAATTTCACGATGGTTATCCCGAACCTTGGTCGGCCACCAGCGCAGCCCGCCCAGCGCAGCCCCCCAAAGCCAACGCCATCTCCAGGGCGGTTGGCGCCTGCGAGTCCCCGAGTTTCACCGCTTAAGAGCCCTAAGTCGGTGGGCGATATCAACGGCATCGCAGCGACACGAAGCACGCGTATGAGGTCGCCGGACCACCCGAGCACGCGTGGCACAGATGCTGCAGAAGAGGTCCAGGTCTACGAAGACCCATTCGTTGGCGATGAAAGCACGGCGGTATCACAAGAAGCCGAAAAACCAGTGCTCGAGGAGCTGCCCCTGAACGAAAAGAGCGCTGAGCGGAGGCAGAGCACCGAGAGCTCGAGCAGCCACACCATGATGGGTGAGGCGTCCGTGCAGCCTGTCCGAGGCCATCTTAAGACTACCAGCACGGGAAGTGTGATGCACGCAGAGGCGCCTGAAGCCGGACCTGAGGTGCTTAAGAACAGGCAGTTGCTCGCAAGTGGTATTAAGAAGATCCAAAGCCGCACCGTCGAAGCGCACATGTTCCGTCGCCTTCAGGATATGGTGAAGTCGAACCAAGATCTCTGGGGTCTGAACGACGAGAGATTCGGAGATCTCCTCCTTGCGTGTCTAGACTACCTCGAGACACCCACTGAGGCTTTGAAGACGACGCCTATGAAGGCAGCGAATCTTAAGGTGCAGGCCTTGGCCACCATCCGCGCGATGCTCTCTCTCTACCGAAAGGAGAGCGCTATGTACTTCTCACGTGTATTAGTCACCCTCCTGCAAACCAAGGCCCAGTACGAGAACCACTCACACATTGCAACGGATATCGAAGCCACGGCCGATGAAATCACCAGGTACGGACAGACATCCGACTGCCTCGATGCCGTCCTCGCCCTTATCGAAGAGACTCCTGCCTCGACACCTACCTCATCGCCGAGCTCTAAAGCCTCTGTCGAATCGACCGCTACCGTGTCGAACCGCACGACGACCATGGCGCTGAGCACGCTTTCCTCCCTCATTCAGATCTCCGGCGCTAAGAGCGTTCCTCTGTCGCCTGAACAGACCGCTCGTCTTGGCAAGCTCGCTGTGCGATGCCTGGATGACACCGATGCGGATGTGCGCAAAGCGGATATTGATGTCTGCATTTCGCTGCACGAGCGCATTGGGGGGGAGAAAGAAGCTTTCTGGAAGGCGGTTGCTGGGGCGCGGGAGCAGCACTTGAATCTATTGACTTACTATCTTGCTAAGCGTGGAAAAGCTTAGATGCTTCGCATCTAGAAGGGAGATGTGGGACAGCCAGCGGAAGTTGGTTTGAAGCCTAGAGTTCGAGATCACGTACGCTTTTCTTTCTTTCATCCCACCACAGCCTGGCGCCCAGGAGGCTTTCCTTGGTGTTGGGGGGTTGCGGGAGCCCCTGTTTTGACAAGGGCACAGGCGTTTTGAGAAAAAGTAGGCGGGTCACACCAGTCATCTCTTTGCTCCTTCTCGTGTCAATTCTATGTTTGTATACTGTAAGGAGTAGGTTTCTTGCATCTGTTCATTCGCCTATCGGATAGGGGTACGTAGTCTTCGTTTAATATATGAACTTCTGAAATTCGCAAATGATGCATGTTGGGGCTGGCGGAGTCCACTATCCTAACTCGGGGCTCGCCCAGCGAATCGATCCACGCGCAAAGACATTAGGACGGCTGTTGCAGTGAGATTTGGATTATCATATGGTATGAACCGTTTTGTTTCCTGCTTGCTGCGATCTTCAAACATGTTGATGAGGCCGCCACACATGCTGCGATCGCCCAAAAAGAAGTCCGCCCGAACTTGTATAATGCCACCCAACAGAAAGAATGTTCAAATTCCGACCGGAAGATCCTATCCCGCTAATTGCAAGTCATATAGGGGAGCTAGCACCTGGTGCCGAATGCCGAATGGCGAAGGATAAAGGGTATCAAACCGCCGCAGGACGAAAGAGAAACAAGGAGTACCTCCAGCCTGGACAGAGCTCAAAACTTAGTGCATTTCGCACTATAAATCCGCTCATCAAACGCCTCGGGCAGCGTCTTCTGGAGCGCTTGCGCCGTCTTGCTACCGAGCGCGAGCTTGGGGCAGTCGGCGGGGCATTTGAACTCGCTGTACAAGTGCATCAGCATTAGCATGCTTTCCTTCTCAAGGAGTGGAGGGTCCGGAGCTATCTAAGTAGGGAGGTAGGTAGATAGGTACTTACGTGTAGAACTCGCACTTGAAGCCAGCGTTGACGACTAGACTGCGCGTTTTGCCCTCCCAGTTGCCGAAGAAACTGCTCATGTCGATGCAGCCCGAGTCCGCGGGCAGCGGGGTGTAGTCGGTGGCGACGTTTTCGCCGATGAGATTTTGCTGCTTGACTGCATGTTGGGGATATTGGGTCAGCATGATTTGTTGGGAAGAGAGGGCTGCTAGCTTTGTGACTTCGCCCGAGTACATGGCGCCGTGTAGAGCACATCTCGGAGTGCGCCGCAGGCAACAAAGGGGGCATGAAGGGGGAAGCATGGAATTCAAGGCGCGGGGCTTTCTTACAGAGGGTGGCGGCGCGGCCGTCCGAGGGGGATTTGTCGCACTGCGAGTTTGCTGTTAGTATGCTCACATTTTCGGTTGGAACTGTAGGGGTCCATTCCGAGGAGGTTCGAAAAGGAAAGAGTGTTGAAGGATGCACACGTACGGTTTCAATCCTTGAGACGAGGCTGGACGCAGTAGGTAGGGCGGAGACGGCGATGGCGCTCGTGAGAGCTGCGACGATGGTTGAGATGCGCATGTTGGGTGTTTATTCTTTTTGGAGTCTGAGTGGCCGTTGATTGTGAAGAGTCGGTAGATTAGGTTGCGGAAATGGGCCGTATGTTTGGAGCAACGCTGTATCCCTCAAAATGGGTTCCTTCGAGGGCGGTACCTAAATAACCTTGGAAACGAGGGAGAGCGCCCTCGCACGAACGCGGTGATACAGAAGTAGTGAACGCGTTCTTCTACAGCAGGCGCGATGGCGAGACGGCAAACGGCACCTGCCAACATTACCTTCCGCATACGCCTCACACTTTATATTAGCAGCCGCGAACCCACACCCGCACCAACCCAATCCACAATGCGCCGCAATTACTGCACCCTCCGACATGGCAGGATCGTCAGAAGTGTAATTCCAGTTCATTTAGACCCGTCCGTAATAGCTAGACGGCGAACCGCGTCGCCCTCCGGCGCGGCACAGACAGGCTTAGTTCATGGAGGCTTCTTAAGGGGGAGAGGGAGGCGATGTTGGCAAGGGGATGGAAAAGTGAATTGAAGGAGTGGCGTTCGCCCTCGTGATTGGCGCAGTGCGCGATAAATAAGACATCCGTTTTGCCCAGAAGGGCCAAGTCCGATTGGGTACTCTCGATGCAGGGATGCCGATCCTCAAATCGTGAGGCTCGGGCCATGCCGGTTTGCTCTTGAAGGAAATATGTTTTGCGTGCCCCCTTCAGGTGTGGAATTTGTTGCCTTGTCGAGACCGTGCTGTTACGCCCTCCGGGTAGTCTAGTGTATTTGTGTGACGTCGCGCTCTTCGGGCTCTTGAAAAGGTGCCCAGTTGATGCAAGGAGCAAGTCCGAAGGTGGCCGTGCGGAGGACCAGGCTCACTGGCGGCGATCAAGGTGCAACGATTGAGTGCGAATCGAACCGGTCTCATTGAGGGCATCGATTCATAAGGGCATCCCAGGAGAGGTTCATCTGGTTATGCTGTCCGCCCGAGTCCGCCGCAGGCTGCGTGGAGCATGATCCACCGAACGCCAGCCAAATGGAATGCCTGGAAAAGGCGTGCTGTCCTCTTTCAGGTGCCGGAATTCCCTCGATCGTTTTAATGTATGTGCGTACGAGAAGCGGCAGGGGAAACAGGCCGGGGACGAGGAAGTACGAGAAAGCAGATAGCCTCCGAAGCCTCCATGTTCCCACTCTTTCAACTCAATATGTTCTTCATGTACACTTTCCTCCGTTCGGCAAATCATCAGGAGCGTTGTGTGTCCTGCGGTGTTGAACATCAGGTGCCCTGGCCGTCTTGTTTTCCTGCTACCCATGCACCGTCCTGTCCACTAGGACCGCGGCCGCCGCATCCCGCACTAACAACGTAGGATCTGTATGGTCGCCTTCACGGCAACTCCAGCATACACATCCCTCTGGATGAAATTTGGGTGGGATCACGCCGACCACCTCCGCGGGCCAGACCAACGCCTCTTTCATTTCTTCATCCGAGATATCCCATATATCGCCAATGATCCTCTTGCCCCAAGCGTTGAACCACATGTTCGGCGCCCGATCCAAAGCTATGGACCAGACCGCTATAAGGATCATCGGAAAGGGTCTCTTCTCCATGAGGAGTTCAAAGAACGCGGAAGAGACCGTCATTGGCCATACGAGCGCGTTCGCCCACAACGGCGGCTTGCAGGGCATGTTTAAAAAGAAGTGCTCCCAATGCGCAAGGGCCTGTCGATAGATGTGCCGGTACTCTGGTTCGATTATCGGGGAACTCTCCAGATATTGCTCGAGGAAACGTATAATCCTCCCGCCTTTGGCGTGCATGGGGCATGACCTGCGTTTGCTGGGTATTGGTCTAATTAGCTCTCGGAGCTTTCCTTTTTCGACGCCTATGAGGGCGGGGCCAATCGCAGACCATGCTCTTCGTAGCACTTGAAGAACGTCAAGAAATGCGTATGCGGGGCTCGGCGTACTCGAGAAACCGAAAACGATGGGTAGCCCGAGGGTGTAGACCACGGTGAGGAAGGAGAATGCAGTGATTGCGCCGCAGTTGTCAATGTTCACCTCGCTTACGGATTCGCGAAACGAGGTCAGAGCCTGCTGGTGTTGCCTGCTTGCAGCTTGGATGTACTGGTCTCGTTTGCCCTTGTTGACGCAGGAAAGATGCAGCGCAGAGAAAGCCAAGACGCTGTGCATCAGAAACAGATGGGTTTTCGCCTCGCCCGGCACGTTCACCTGGAACAGGGACAAGGTGTCTCTGGGAGAAAGCGTAAGAGACGATTGGGTCGCATAATGGCGCAGAAGCTCAACGTCCTCCGCGTCAAACGTGGGGAGTGGCATGGGATAGGCGAGCATTGCGCCTGCGGGCAAGGCTCTAATGCACGAGATTAATGTCCGGGTACTTGGTGGTTGGGACAGGAAACTTACTGGGCGAACGTCTTTTCCATTACCGGCTGCACAGCTGCAGTCCAAGCCGTGAAGTCGCATACGACGCCCCATTTCTGGCAATTTGAGCATCTCGGCGGGCGCTGGTCGCACTGGATCGGGTGAGCTCAACGACGAACACGCAGGGAACACCCGTTCGCAGTCGAACGATCCTCATAGACCTGCGCCATATCTTGCGCCAGATCTAACGCTAGATAGGGTCGTCGCGATCCTTCTACGGACGGGGTGGTCGTAACATACCTTCTTCCTCCTTTTCTTGCATTGGCTGCAGCCGTTTCGAGATTTGGTGTGATATTTGCGCACGCCGCCAGCCATGTCGCCAGTTGACGCCTCTTTCCTTTTACAGTTCGCGCGAGAGTAATGCGGATGCTCCCGAGATGTGGAGGAAGGCGGAAGTATGGATGAGACGACGTCCACAGGGAATGAAGATGGCAGCGTACACTTGACTAAAACAGGAAAAGCGGGGTTCTCGCCACTGCCCCCTTTTAGAAACTCCATGAAACGGGCTCGACTCCTCTCCAGCGCACTTCTAGCATGTTAATACCCGATAACCAACACCTTGATTGCATATTCCGGCGTTTGAGGGCCATAAATACATCGCGCTGTCACACAGTTTAAAGGGTCCGTATCTCAGCCTGGTCGAAAAACTCCAAGGCATCTCTGTTCCGTCCGCAACGGCTGTTCCACGGACCCCCGGGGTCCAAACCTCAGAATTCAAGTGCATATCAAAGTCTCGGCCATGCCGAGGGACAAACTATTCCGGAACTACCGTGTCCTCCGAGGTCGTTACCAGTCCACATCTTCGCCAGTTTTGGGATTTCGACAGATGCGGTTTCCGCACTGGACACTCCAACACAGCATACCGGAACCGCTTCAGCGAGACCCTATCTCTGCGATAGCCCATACTCGGATTGACGACCCGCTTTGGCGTCCTTCCCAGCTATCTTCCCACATAGGGTAATCGAAGCTAATGTTCCCAAGTACCAGCAGTATCCTAAGGCCGCCCGACATATCGGAGTTAGATTTATCTTCGGGGCCAAATAAAAAAAATAATCCAATAACGGTAAACAGTGCCTCGCAAGGCCTTTCGTAATGAGCAGCAAACTGCTCCTGCAGGATCCGAGCCTGTCGGCCGAGCCGCTGCCTCTTCGATCGTCGCCCAAGCTGCCCGAACCACCATCTGATTACAGCGCTACTACCAAATCCTACGGAAGCCTAGGACCGCGAAGGGGCTGTCTGTCTACACGTCGGAGCGATGTCGAATGCGCTCAACTAACCATAATAGATCCCGCACCACCGACTTCTGCCCCAGACCTGCGAGGTACTGATCCTGATCCGCATCGTCGGGATTCTACTGCTATGTAGGACCGGACAGCGCTGGAAAGACGTCAGAGGGTATGTGAGTCTCAATCTCATGTATGCGCACATAATGCCCCCCTCCTGTTGTTGGATGGTGTTGGCCCAATTCTGACGCTGGAGCAGGAGCCCAATCCGCGAGGGTGTTCGGAGACACTGCCAGTGGCGTTCTATACCAGATTTGAATCGGATGGCCTGGCATGGCTTATCTTTGGATGGGACGCCAGAATTGTGATACCGGTACATTCGCTCGCGGATCGCTGTCGGCATTCACAATTTAATTCGTAGCTAGCGAAAAGAGCCGCTCGCGGTAAACCCATGCAAAAGCAGAAATCTTCCGGTGTCGTCTGGGTCGAAGACGTGACTGGACTGGATCCGAGCACACAGCTTCTTCGCTGCAGCCGAGTTCCGAACGGTCGACTCATGCGACCGGCCGCGACTATGCTCGAGGCGAGTGAATAGGCAGCCTCCGATCTCAGAATGTCTTGATGGCCAGAGTAGCCCATGTAGTGTTCTTGGACGTGATGTATATGCTTTACAGAGTAGTGACTATCAGTGTAATCAACAGGAGGCCCCTCAATCGGCTGTACAAAACTCCCTCCAACGTAAAACATATGCTATATCCAACGCCAGGGGTATTGCCCACCAGATTCCATATGCATGCATGCCCGCTGGGCAATCAGTTACAAAGAAATCCGCACGCATCTACATCTCCTCACGGCCCTTCTCTTCATCGCGCTCCACTTCTAGCCCCTTTAGCCTCCTCGCTAGTAGACCGGGACCCGGGGACATCGCCGGACTACTAATGCCACGGGATGCGTTTCCTCCATACCCAAGATCGCCCCTGCTCAGCTTCTCAAATATTCCACCTCCACCTGAAGGACTCCCGGGACCTTCCATATCCGTCAGCGTCTCACAATGCATGGACGACCTGAACGGACTATTTGCGTCAATGTCCATCGGATTTCGAGACACAGGGCGGGATGGCATCGTAGGGATACGAGACAAGCTGAAAGGAATTGGCTCGAGCGCGGCCATATGCGAGCTGAACTCGTTGGACGGCCCACCTGTAAAATTGACAGCTGGGGGAGGGAACGACGGCCGTTGTCTCGAAGTGAGACCGTCCAATTGATCGCAGGTTTGCTGCGAGAGGGATATACCTGCGCTGCGACGGCGGATTGCTTTGTCTGCTGTGAGCTGCGCCGCAGCTGAGGATGTGGACGCTACGGAATCCCGCGTCGGCTTGTATGCGCTATACCGAGGCTCTGGTAATTGAATCTCGTTTCTGAGTTTTTCTTTCCCGTCAGGCACACGATTCGCAAAGACGACTCGAATGCTTTTGTACAGGTAATACCTGCCTTTTGACGGACAGCAGATGTGCAGGTGAATCAGGTATCTCAGAGTAGGCCGATCATTCGGATCGTCAGAATTACTCAGCGACGCTTCCGGGCGATCCGTGCCCAGGTTTTTGCGGGATGAAAGGGGCATATCGATGATGGGTCCTGCAGAGTAGCTTCGTTGGCGTATGAAGGTTTTTTGGCCAGGCTCCATGTCAGAGAGATCGTATGGGACGAGGAAGAGTTTGACGGCCGTTTTGTTTGGGTTCTTTATTACGATCTGGAGCTGGCCTTGCTGGGAAATACGGTAGCAGCCGCCTGGGGGAGCTTTCGGTGATGCTGATCTTCTCTTCTTTTTCTCACGTCGTCGGATATCCTCCTTCGATCTGTACAACGATTCATCTTCTCCGTTGCTATGCCGGAAATCAAGATCGTCCTGATCCGGATGGGGTACGGTGTGTCGCCGCTTTCGCTTGCTCGGTTCACTGCTTTCCTCTGGTGGGGAGAGCGAGTTCTCGAGATCTATGAGCCCTACGTAGGGACTAGGCGAATCATCCAATATACGGCCGTTTCCGGAGTTGTAGCTGTAGAACACCGCGGGAAAAGGAACCGTCACGTGGGGTGGACATCGGAGGTTTGACTTGCATGACCCTCGCCCTAGTACCCCAATTTTTGCAATAAAGTCGAGAGGCCGCGAAGGCGTTGTAGACATTCTCCCGCGTAGTATCGATTCCTCATATGACCCGACCATAGGAGCATGGTGCAAGGGTGAGGCGTCTGACGAGAACGACGGCCTCCGTGAGTTCAGGAAGGGGCTTTGTGGGCTGGAATGTGGCTGGAATTGGTTAAATGAGCTGAGTGATCGCCTCGGTTGATGTGCTTGGTAAGGGACCGTTGTCTCCTTTCTTAGATGACGAGCTGCGGGAGTACCGGAGGCCGATGTTGCCATGTCCGCCGATCTAAAGACTTGAAATGAGCGAGGAGAAAAGGTGTGGCGGCGATTGTTTCTCTCCGGGCTCTTGGAAGGCTGCCTGGAGCCTGGTCGTGACGAGAAGTCCAGGTCAGTGTTGTTTGATTGCTGTACAAGCGGGCTAGTCGGAGGCAGAAAGACAAACGACGAGAATGACGACTGTGATATGGCTCGGGCTCGGGTAGTGGGACGAGCCTCATAGTCCAGCGCATCGCGAAAAGCGTAGGGTGACTCGGTGCGACTTGACGGACGTGCAGCGGCTGGGAATGACTGATGCCATGGGGCAACCGGCGAGGTAGCCAGAGGGATGCCAGACGGTGATTCTCTGTCGTACTGAGTATGCTCCTTCTTTTCCCTGAAGTCTCCAGAATGGAGGGCTGAGCGTGGGCGCTCAATCTCCATTCCTGCCGAGGCATGATCTCGCAGCGGGTCTGGGGTGGAAGGTCGAGAAGCCTTGATCTCTGCGGGAGGTAGGAGGGGAGTGTTCGGTCGATCTTGAGAAGTCGGTCGCGAACCGGGGCTGGCACTATGACGGCTGCCATTCTGCGGGCCTTGGTTAGCATCCTCTAGACACCAAGACAGCATACACGACTTCTGAAGGCGGGAAAAGGCACTGGAGGCAACTCACGCTCTGGAGTTGCTGCCACGTAGGGCTGTTCGCTCTCTTTATCCTCTCAATGAGCTCCACGCGGTCGAGCATGGAAGGTTTCCGGCCAGGGTTAAGCGCTGCCGGCCCAACATCGAAACTGGAAGGCCCCTCGGCGACCTTTGCCGAAGATTGACTGTCCCGCAGCGTCCTGTCACAGCCATTCCTCGAATTCCGAGCTCTTCTCGGATCACTGGAGGACGAGTCATGGGAAGCCGGCCGCTGGGGCGGGCTTTCGTACGGATCATGGAAGATGGGCATGATCAAGGCGGTTGGTCGTGGATAGCAGCATCAAGACACAAATTGGCAGAGTCTGGCGGTGGTGGCGAGGTATATGGCGGCGTGGACGCGGTGAGTACTGGGACAGCCGGGGCAAGAGCGGGGGACACTTGGATCAGGCGCTGGTAGGAGCGAGCAGCAGTTTCTGCTAAAATGACGGGTGTGCTGGCTCCAGTCGCAGCTTCACAGCGTTTCTGCCCGGTTTTGAGACGCGACAGGGCCGTGGACGGCCAGCGGGACGAGCGCGGAGGAGCTGTGCCAGGTGTTCGTGGGCGATGACGATTGACAAAGGCGAAGCTCGGAAGCTCTGCTAATCGCGCTGGCGCCCGCTGATAAAGTAACGCATCGCTCCCGGCGCTTTCGGGCTGGCTCGGCGGTCACACGACGAGAAAATGGCTCTCGACGCTTGGACGGGCTGCCGCTGGCTGGGAGGGCTTCGCATCATTCGAATAACGGTGCAGCGTCGCATTGCAATGCTCGCGCCAGATGATGTGACTGGGTGGCTGCTGGACGTCGCGCGGCCAGAATTGTCGGTCCCGCCTTTGCCAAGCCCAGCACCGTCCCGCTCAGAAACTTTCTCCCTCCGCCAATCCACCACGCACCGCGCGAACATCTCCGACAAGCCCCGCGTATCGCCCTCAGGATGGCCCCGACGCGGCCACCAAAGAAGCAGACGAAGGGATTCTCGGTTGGGCCTGCCAATCTGCCCGACGGCACCCACAAGCGGAAAGGTGTGCGACTGTCGCTGCACCGTATTACAGCCGCGCATGCTGACCCGACATGCAGTGCAAAAGATCAAGAAGGATCTCATCTATAAGGCGAAGCTCAAGAAGCAGTACGCCAAGCTCAAAGCCCGGGAGCAAGCCGCTGCTGCCGCCACCGCGCAGAAGTCCGTCCACGACCGCGAGGACGGCGCCGACAGGACGCAGGAGGAATCCACCGAGCCCGCACCAGAGCCCAACCTCGAGCCGCACCCGGATCGACTGAAGATGCTGGAGAATGGCTCACCGGAGCCGGGACCGGAGCCAGCATCTACACAGCACCACGATCGGCGGGGGAGACGGTCGCGCCCCCAGCCGTTCAAGAGGGAGGCAGAGCTTGGGCAGAGGAAAAGAGAGGAAGCGGAGGCACGCCGGAAGGCACGCGAAGAGGCAGAGAAGGAACGCGCCAGAAAAGCCGCCGAGAGAGAGCGTATCCGCAAGCTGATGTCGAAGGCCAGGAGTAGCGGTCCCAACGGGCAGCGGAAGCTTGGCCGCGAGAGCACTGTCCTTCTGGAAAAGGCGAAGCGACTGGTGGGGAAGACCTAAGATCCTCCACCGGACATTGATGCACCGATGACTGCGTATTGCTCGCAATGGCCGCCTCTTCGAGGCTCGTACTGCATTACCTGCGTCGGGGAAGCACCCGTGCGATAAGATAAGAGGCCCACGATATGCACATTCCCGGCCGCCATCAGACTGCTTGGCTTGGGAAATGCCGCTTTGCAGACGGGCTTCATACCGTAGTAACTAGCGCAAAGCATCTCCAACACCGACCCATCTGGAGGGCGGCAAGCGTTTAGTATTCGCCGCCTATAGTATACCCGTCTGAGCGGAGATTCGATGGTCCGAAGGGGGTTCACTGGGCGTCGCTTATACTCCCCCGGATGTTGCGTGGGCAGGTCTTGCAAAATCGGTCAATGGGCATGACATGCATCTTATCACCCCGGCGGATGGGGTCGGCGTTCGGCCGCCAACCTTAACCATTGCCTTGGTCTGGCAACCTTTTGACCCCCAAATGGATCATGGCAGAGAAAGAATGTACGACATTCGGCTCAAAGTAACCTGGTTCTCGCGCGCTCAGTCAGCAGGCATGTTTCTAGAGCGCATAACGCACACAGGCAGATGAATCATTGTTCGCAGCTCTCCTAAGAGCATGTTGGCCAAGAAGACCGCCATGAGCCCGGTGGGAGATGCTGGTCAAATTTGTTCAACCCGAGATGCGCTCTTCCGTCCGAAGGTGCGTTCTTTGAGAGGCCGTCAGCATTTAAAATTGTCGGAGGTTTTACTCATCCATCACGGTCGCCGAAGCGGCCTTGAGCTTCCACCATCGGATGATAATTTCTTAGAAGCAAATGTGCTGCACACTAATATCCATGGTCGGGGTGGGCTTGTGCAAGCGGTGGAAGGTCTAGCTGACGGGCTTCGTTACACAACGAAGGACTAATCTATCAGCACAAAGCAAAAGGCGGTGGGAGAACTGCAGGTCAATTCTCGCCCTTCGAGGTTTGATTTTTTATCCCACCACGCGCTGATTCGTGTTGGTGGAGATGCGTCGGGTCAAGGCGCTGGTTGTGTTGGACCGGCGGATCAGGACTCTGCATTCGCCGAGTAGTTCGACAGGCATGCCACGTTTTCTGTATCGTTAGAAGGATCCACTATACTTCCGTGGTTGTGCACCAAGAGATTGAGCATGTATTGTTGCATGTTTTTAATTCGCACTGTTGTATTACGTGGTGATGCTGTGGCATCACAGAGGGCACGGCAGTCGGACTTGCCGAGTGAAACGCTCCGACCATCGGCACAGCCCACACCTCCGCTCGCAGAACGCTCCGCTCTCGTTCCTATACACTGTCCGCTATGTGGACTCATTGTATGTTGCTCGCCAAGCTCTCCAATTCAGCGCCAGCGCCAGCGTCCTGTCCGTCTGTTCACTGTCACCGCCCACTCAGGTTGCTGCCGCCGCGCCGGATGAGTTGCCGACCTCAGCAGGCCATTTGCCATGGAAAACCCTCAGAATACGTCCAGAAACAGGCATCCTGCCCCTGCCATGCCCGGCGGCTGGCTGAGCAGTCCTCGACGCATGTATTCTGAGCATCTACAGAGCTCACAGCTTAGTAACAAGATCTATCTGGGGAGGTCGGCAACCGTTCGGTTACAACGGCCTACGGTACCTCGACGTGAGCTGCTTCTCTCCCTGCCAGCTCCAGATATGGCGCAAGGCCTCTGCCCAAGAGCTGAAAGCAAGAGGTCGATATCGGACGACTGGGCTCAGGTTGCATCGTACCGGCCCAATCTGAGCGAGGGGCCAAGGTCTCCCAGCCGAGCCACGCTCTGTCGCCAGGTGCTGCTGGATTAATTCGCCAGAGCGCCGGCATCGACTTTCACGCGTACATGGCCGGCTGCTGTCAATTATTAGTACGCTCTGCTGTCATGCGAGATCGCACCATCTCCTCATGCCGATCCTTCTCGTGTACCATAACCGCGGAACTTTCCCGCCTCCTGGGGGCCAAACCGTTAGCTCAACCGTCCAAGGCGTGCTCGCAACGTTAATTTCCAGCCCGGCGGTTAGTCAACCGGATCCCTGCTCCCAAAGGCGAGCTGAACGCGTGTGGAGCAATAAGCTTATTATGTATAGAACAAGCCTAAGCTCACCCTTGTCCGACACGGAGCGGTGTATGGCTAATGCAGCCCTACCTGGGAATCCGCAGGGACTTTCCACTTGGGGATCTAGACGTGGGTGACGGGCTACACGAGCCGCCGTTGGAGAAAGCCTTAGCCCTATCCCACCGCCATTACCGCACAGTGCAAAGCCTCAATGCAGCGCACGTCCCATATTGGCTTCCTCGGGCAGCCTGCAGGTGATCCTGTCGACCAGCACTGAATCCAATCCTGGAAGGCTCCATGAAACATTCATGCCAAGACTGTCTCGTCACCTCGACAGTCAATGCTGCCTTTTAAGAGGCCGCTCCTACTGCCTGACCCGACCACTTCAAAGACCGACCGTATACTTTCGGTTAGCTCTAAGCTTTAAAGCTTCCCTAGGCCTCCCGCTCTCTTACTCTATCTCTACCATCGTCACTCGCTACGGATCGACTCTCATCCCCTGCAGCCATCTAAACGCCGCCCTTACATTTCATCATCGGCCTCCTCTCATCGTCTGTACTTGCAGTATCTAGCCCTCTCAACCACTCTGCTATCGCTCATACAACGGTCCCCGTCAGCATCCAACTCAAGTGGACGATTGCTGCTCGCCAGTTCCTCCACCATATCTACTATCACGGCATGTTTTCATCAGCGGCAAAGCCCACAGGGCGGCAACCACGTAAATGGACCGTGGCGGAAGACCAGAAATTGCGTGAGGAAGTAGAAGCTCAAAGTAAGTCTATCCATTACGCTCCCCTGAAGCGCAGGCCACGAAGATGGCGGGCATCGAGCCCCTCCTGGACACGCTTCCTATTCGATCGTGGTCTACCCCACCATCCCGTATTCGGAGAACAGATTGCTAAGCAGCAGCCGTACAGTGATCGAGGGCGAAGTCAAAGACTGGTATGGCAATCCTCCCCAATCTCTGCTGCCTCAAACTGACTAATTCGGTCTAGGTGCAGAATTGCTGCAAAGCTTCCCGGAAGAACAAACAAAGATTGCCGCAAGAGGTGGCATAACTCCGTTGCTGGAGGTCTCAAAAAGGGGCAGTGGTCGAAGAGCGAAGACATCCAACTTGCAAGAGGCGTCCAGCAGTACGGTCAAAGGTAATACCGTCCCTCGCCCATCAGTTTATAAGCTGCTCACCTGGATACTTATCAGATGGACACTCGTCGCGAACGTCGTAGGATCGCGTAGCGCAGACCGTGAGTTGGCCCTCATTTGCCGCAATATAAGACGATCGCGCTCACGGACAAGCAGAATGCGCGAAACGATGGCAACAGTCGCTCGATCCGGAGCTCGACCGGAGCGAATGGCGGGACGCAGAGGTGAGGGCCCGGTCAACACGCATGAGGCGGGCGTTTGCCTACAGCAGAATAATCGGCTAACGAATGATACACAGGACAAGGTGCTCATCGAAGCCGTCCAAAAGCTTGGTCGGCATTGGAAGGACATCCAACGTCACCATTTTCCAGGGCGGTCTAAGAATTGTATCAAAAACCGGTATGCTCATATTTTTGGCTATATGGAATCATTTCTGACATCTCCCAAGCTACACGGTTCTCATCCGGCGGTACCAAAACCAGGGCATCACACTGCCTCAACCAGCGGCCACACCTGAGCCGAACACGTCCAATGTGTCCAGTTATTCGGCCACCGATGACGACAGCATGTCCTACACCTCAAGCGTATACGACGATCTACTTCCCACGCACACTCAGGTCTCCACGCCCGAAACGCAGCACTCCTGGCCAGTCGATGAGGAAGCTTTTACCGGATGGTCGTCCCAGGAGTCATTTAACATCACCTCGACCGCACCGGATTTCTCTTGCGTCCAACAGCCGATAACCTCGAACGTCACTCATAGTCCGCAGTGGAGCTGGACGACAACTTCGATGAGCCAACCTGCGATGATGAACATCGCACCACCGCACGCCTATTCCAACGCCATGGACTCCGCTACTCTCGCCTCATACGATGCTTACGGCTCAATACCAGCAATGCTTAGTCCGAATTCGACTCGTTTCCCAAGGGCGCCTACAAGCTCACCGAGAGCGAGAGCATGTACAACGCCGCCATACCAGGACCCACAGGCTATGGCCAGGTTCATGAGATATGGCATACAGCGTGACCCTCCATATCAGTATTAAATTGAAGGTGCAGATGGAGTTGGGGCAGTGCGCATACGCATTCAGGCGCCTGGGAAACTTCCTTCGTGGTCCATGTAAGTGGGCCTGACTCTTCTCTTCTTCACAAATGTCGATATTTTCTTCATGAGATATGCATCATACTATTATTTTATTGCATTCCAACGCATTCGAAACTTCGTCAATTTTCCTTTTCAGAAGCCTACCTGGAGGTACCGACCGGGTCAGCACGTATCCCTACATGCACCCGACCTACATGCATGTCTTCCGGTCAGGCCCTGGCTCGTTACCGTCATCATGGCGCCTCTTGTCCCCCGATGCAGAGCATGTTTGTCTGCAGTCATTCTTGCGGCATTCTCACTTGCAAACAGTGGAAGCGAAGTGTCTTGCGTGAGCTGTCTGACTCCGACCGTTGCCGACAACAATACCAAGACAACGAAAACGAGAACGAAAACGAAAACGAAAGCCCGCAAAAGAGTCACGACGCCTTCCACAACCCTCTTCCCACTCTGGTCACTTGCATTCAACAGACCCACCGACGCTCCACTGAGAGGGGAAACGTTCCATCTTCGCTAAGGTGACATGCTTCGTTCCATCACGCGGACCGCCTTGTCCCAGCAATGCTAAATTGCACCTTTATCAAATCTGCCTCGTACTGCTTGAATCGCCATTGGGGGTTGCATTCCGCCATGCCCCTGAAAGCAACGGCGGATCGGCAGTTTAGGAATATTGAAGGGACGAAATGAGAGCTTGCATAGCCGCCTTCCATCTCCCCACTAATGCTTCCCTCGGCCTGGCAGTGTGTGGAGCAGTACACTTGCGGAGGGGAGGATGGATGGATTCGACGGTTGGGGCCTTGCTCGGGCCGAGCAGGGATTAGCTCGCATGTTTTCCGGATACGGACTCGTGGGCAGGCGATGCGAGCCAGTCACAGTTCGGCTTGATAATCAGGGGTTGGAGAGAAGGATTGGGCCGAGGAGGGTAAATATAGGCGATGCTGGGTTGCGCGATATGGTTCGTTGCCGTTCTCTGCATTCCACAGCATGGAAGGTTGAGGGGTTTCTGTCGCAAGAGGAGAGCCATAGCATGGTCCAGCATGTACGTACGTACGTTTCGAGTAGGTGGGCGGGGTCTGCGGTTAGAGCGGAAATGGAGAGCGGACTCCATGCGCGGACTTTGGCGGCCAGTAGATAGTCCTTCCTCAACAACAGCTAGGTGGAAGAGAAGTTTTGTCGAAGTGTTGGTGGAACTCCGGGATAAGTTCCCTCTCTCTTCGTACAGCCCATCATTCGTCAGCACAATAATACCGCCGCACGCTCCATCCGCACAGCATAGCAAACCTCCGCCTATCGCCCTTTTCCAGCAGCTCGATAAGCTCCTCGAAGTCCGTAGCCTTCTTAGTCCGCCGCTGCTACTGACGGACGGACGCCAACCACACGTGTTTCCCGGGTTTTCTATGCTGTGCACGGAGCAAGCAATGGCTCGACCAGAGCCTGTGAACAAGGGCTAACGCCCCCGGGTATTACAAGCATAGAGCATACACAGCAAGCATGCGCGCCACACGGGCCTGCGGGCTGCGGGCTACACAGAAGGTCGGGAGAGATGCACTGCACGGTTAGGATGGAACATCCGTCCGCCTCTATGTAGCTTACTTACTGCGTCTGCGCGTTTGAGCGTGAATCAGGCCGTCGCGTCGCGCGCGAGTAGTGGCCAGCACTTGCCTTTCCCAGGACGGCATACAGTATCATGCATCTTTTCTGCACAGCACCGCAGCACAAGTCCATCGACGAACAACGGTACGCTGGACTACGCACGTAGCGGCACGCATCATCATCACTCGCGGGCCAGACTAATTGACGTCCCCTCGCGTGGTCGCACAAAGTCTCGCGATCTGGTTACCGGATGCGGATAGTGCGATCTCGGAGCGATGTGAGTTTAAGATGCGGCTGATGCTGAGGCGAGGGCAGCGAGATACAGTACCGGTACTAAACAGTGGCATGCTTACGGGAGGCGCTTATGGGCGTCATTCGGGAGAAGGGCCCCTGGGGCTAGAATGATCTACGCGCGTTCGATGGGGCGCAACGGAAGCACCTGAGTATGTATTCCCAGGAACAGGTGAGAGGCACCATTTCCGTATGGGGTATCTATGTATCTCGAGATACTGCCGGAAGGAGAAGGGTACGAAGGGGAATGTCATGAAGGGGAATGTCATGAGGTCGAGTGCGTATTCGAGATTCGGCGGAGAAGGTTCGGAGTTCCGGTATATTTTCGCCTCATACGACAAGCAGGAATATGGGAAAGTACTGGTGACGATGCACTGGAGCGATTGCCACAACATCGATACTTGTTGCACTGCCACGGGTTGCAAGAGTGATAGGCGGTGAGGAGAATTGTGCGGATGTATTGATTATCTAGGCGCAATATTGTGTGAGGCTAAGAATAAAGTTGGTTGAGAGGATGTAATTGAGAGCAGGGTATGCGTTCGGATGTCTACCTACTTGGGGCGATGTAGGCGTGTGGTACCGTGACTACTGCCTTTGGGTGCATACGGAGGTCACCTTTCCCGAATAGGAAGGCTAGGCGTGGAAACGTCGCGCCGATGAGGTCTGGGCACGCGAAAGGCAGACTGCAGGTGGTAGATTTCTCATCGGTGAGTGGAAATGCGCCTCGCCGCTGAATCGAATCCGCAACCATGAAATTGGAACGAACTTCTTCCGCGCCGTGTCGAGCGTGGTGTATCTGTGCAGATTAGGAATCTTCGGGCACAAACAAAAGTACGCGCGTAGACGACTTGTGCGAGAGATTGATTATACCGAGGCAAGACATGTCCTGCGCGTGGAACAAGCTGAAGCAGTTGGACAATGTACGTTGGTCAATGCTAAATATCCAACACAAAGGTGTATCACCGAGTTCTGTAGCCTGAAGTTGAAAGGGGAAGTTGGCTTATGGCTCGCGACATCCTTCCGATTCGGCGGCTTCGCGACTACTGCGCCTAATAATTGCCGACGGGAGGCACAGCCAACGGGCCGCGTAAGAGACCGGTGGCTGCGATGGCTGATCTGTTGATCTGTTGATCGGCGAGCGATACGCAGATGGCTGAGAATATGCGGCTTGGAGGATCCAGCCACTTGAAATGACGACGCAGATTTTCATCTCTGACAGCGAACAGGCGATCGATGTCTGCGCCATGTAGATGTTCATGACGCTGTTCCTGGCCGGACCGGAACAAGCATGTTGCCGCCTCTCCGAGCTTTTTGTTGGGGTGTCCTATGGTCTTCCGTCTTGTTGTTCCGCGAAGACTGGTCAGGATCGACGTCGGCATTTGAGGAGGATGCGTCGTGGGCTCTATCAGTGTCCTCGGGCTTGTCCTCGTCCTTCCCCTTCCCCTTCCCCTTCCCCTTCCCCTTCCCATCACCCTCTTCCTGCTGCGTATCAGATTTCTCCTCATCTTCTCCTAGGCTGGCTTTGTATTCCTTCCACAGCTCATCGATCTTCTTCCCGCAGCAGCTTCCCCAAAATGCGTCACTGTCGTACTCGCACCCCCTCAGCCCCTCGTTGATCTTGCGGACGATGTCTGCGCCATGTTCTTCTTCTAGCCACTCTAAGAAATAGCCTGTCCGCTCATAACCCGCATCCCAATTGCAATCACTCCTTCTCTTCCAGTGCGGCGGCGCGTACCCTGCCTTCAATCGCACCCAATCCGCGATGCCTTCTATCAAGCCTCCCGGGGCAGTGCCCCGCGCATTGTGCTGCCAGCAGTGCACCATCTCGTGAACAATTACGCCTTGCATTTCTTCCTTCTTCCGCGTATCAGGGACGTGATTTATGTAATCGGTGCTGAAATGTATCTCCTTGTGATCGTCGTCAATGTCGAGTCCTGTGGTGTACGCTACGCCGGGCATGGAGCGTAGAACTAGCGTGATCGAGCGCGTCGGTGGTATGCAGTGCGTCTCGAGGCCGGTGTATAGTAGACGTAGAACGGCGTCGACCGCATCTTCGAGGGCGGTAGAGGCATGGAGGAGGCGGAGGAAAGCGCGGGAGCCATCAGAGGACAGATCACGGAGCTCTAGACGGAGAAGAGGTTTCCGCTGAGGCTTGACGGGCTTTGATTCGGAATCTGCACGGGAAGGCCGTGAAATGTGCAATGCGTTCGACTGTTCGGTTGACGGTGGTAAGGCGGAGGGCTGGGGGGCAGCCTGGGTCGACGTAGGCACAGGGGACATGGTCTGAAAGTACTTGGGTATCGTAGAAGAAGTCATCATGGAAACTCCAGAACTAAAAAAGAAGGAGCAGAGAGTTGAAGGAGATTCGTGGTAGGTTTCGCGGTTGTGCTGAGATGTTGACCTCTCGATGATCGATAAGATAGCGTCATGCCAAGAGATACAAGGTACAGGCACAATTGCGACTCCAGCCTGCATTACCTTCATTCTCCCCTGTAAAAAACCCAATCGCTCCAGTCTAAACTGATGAGAGGTTCTCAAGGTCGCCTTCTCAACCACTCGGGCTCTGTTGATCGTCGTCGGTTTCATGGCGTGCAGCTCAACCCTTAACTTCCCCCGCCTCCCGAGGTCTGTTCTTCGTCGCTTTCAGGAATTGCCCTGGGATCCTCTTTCCACTGAAATTGAGTCCCAGGTCACCGAAATTGGTACTCTTAATATGTCCCTTAACGAGCCAGAATGCAGCATCGACTCCCAATTGCGGCTGCTGGTAGCTCAGCGCCTTAGGAGTCAACCCAAGCTTCGAAGATCCTCTACACGGATAGTCCCGTTGCCAGTGGTAATGTTACTTCATCCTCGACCTTGCCAGTGTTTCTGGAATTGGGCCAGAAGCTTCCATTGGTCATTTGCGTCAACGCGACCGAAGTCACGGACTTTGACGTTATGCTCAACGGCATACATCTTACTAAAATCGACGCACGATGAAGGCGCTATATGGTCCAGATAATCCGAGGATATCACATGTATAGGCAGGCCAATTGGCAAGGGTGATATGCCGACCGAGTAGATGGCTGCACGGCGGGTTTGAGCTGCGTTTCCTAGGGCTCGCCGTCCGTGATACGTTTTAAGAGGCCTGCATAACGCATGTGAGTATCAATCCAAGGTCCTGATTGGGATGTATACGCAGAAAGTGAGACCAGAACTTGACTTACACACAAAGACAATCATCCTGACCTTCGCGAACAACAACAAAACATCGGATCTTTAGGAAGGAATACTGATCTTCCCCGGTCGACATCGCTACGATAGAGATGTTGTCTTCAATGTCGGTGGATAGCTCGGGCCAAAGGATTCGGAAGACAACCCCTACTCTGAAGAATCCGGCATGATGCAAGCGGAAATCTCCATCTCAGTCAGCCGACCCATACGGCAGATCACTGGCCGGTTGTACTTACTGGGGTCCATATACTCTGTATCGCCGGGACTGCCACTCAGTCGCCGATGAACTCTTACGTCCGGGTATCGTGGATCGTTCGGTTGAACGACTATCTTTCGATTGACACACCGCAAACGATCCTCGTCGCTTGGTCCTGCAGAGACATGGCTCTGTAGCGACTGTGCCTCGTCATCACTGTCTCTCTGGTCGTCGTTGTGGCCGGCTCCACTACCGCCGGGATTGTTGTCCTTTAGGTGGTTTTTGCCTTGCCTGTTTCTCTCGTCTTGCTCCCTCCTTTGTCGATCTTCGTCGCTTTCTTGTGGTTCGTAACTACATCACTCAGCCGACCATGTCACAAAGTTGACGAAAGAGATACCTTGAGCTTATGCAGATTTTTAGCCCGTCTTGGAAGACCCAGTGCCCGTTGTGGACGTAATAGTATTGGTGCCGGGAAGGGTCCCAAGTCCACGGGGATTGCGCAACGTCGGACATCTCAGCTATCGAGGATGTGGAAAGATAGGCGGGGCGCGCCCTGTTTAATTGCTTGCCCATCATGAGGCTCCCGGGTCGCCTGCGCCGTACAACTCAATGGCTAATCCTCCTGATTGGTCGCCTCCTTCAGCCTTGAGGAGAGTCATTCTGCCTTGCCACGTCGAAAGGCGGTCTTTTCGGCCGCAACGAGCCATACTGCTGCGTCAAGGGACTACACATAATATGTTCCCCGTTCGAAAAGACTGGAGCTCCAGCTGGTGGCAGTCAATTCGAGGATTTCACACTACTGTTGCTGCCGGCGCAAAGGGTGCCAAGCTATGCCTGCTCAGCCATTGCTTGCTTTTTCATCGATCTAGCCTGGTCCATGCTTCTTGCGGTCCAATGTCAGGCCATGCATGAGCTGCAGCCTCGTCGAATACGCTGAGCGGTCGTGGCCCCTATCGGAGCCGAAACACCGCAGGGCAATCTCAGCCTTGCTAGTGGAGCCTCAACAATCGGGTGCTTTCATTAAGCACATCGTTCCTCAGACGCACATAATAATTATCTTGGTATGCTTCACAAAGACAGGAGTCTTACTCTTTCTACTGAGACTCACCTGAATCCATCGCTATTTCCGGGTCAAGCAACGACAGTAACCGCTCTAGGAAGAACCACTTGTCGCAGTCTAGCGGCGGCGTTTGTCGCTTCCACTTAAGTGCGATCGCACAAGATTCGTATCTTTTTTCCCCAAACGTCAGCTTCCCTGTCGGGTTGATTCCGAAAATCTAGGACGCCCAATGTCGCTCTCGACCAAACCGCAGATAGGTTTGTGGACGGACTGCAGCAGCAACCAGCGTAAGTGCGTTGTCTTTGTTATCAACACTTTCTTGACTGTGCAACACAGGGCTGCAAAGACTACAAAGTGACTTTTGGGCGACGTGGCTCAAGACTGCCGTAGCGGTTAGCTTGACGCTGAGTACACCGTATATCTTCCGTATCGTGCGAAGTACTATTTCGGGCTTATACCTGTGTTTGAGTCCTGGGCAGCCAAGGACAACTGGTCGTCGCGATGTTGATGACGAAACGCAACCCCTCAGAGTGCACGATATGGTTCAGAAAGCGAAGAGCAGCCGTGGTACTGCTACAAAGTTCTTTCGGGCTTTGCAGGATAGAGACTCTCGATTCGAAAGCCGCCATTTGGCCTTGATGGCCTTCGTCCTTTCCGTCTTTTTCTTCACTTTCCTCATTCAGGTGGCGGTCGGCGGCATATTATCCGATCAGATTGAAACCAACAGAGTCGCGTTGCTTGATTCGGAAAGGTGTGGCCTATTTGAGTATGATGCCGAAAGAGGAGGTGAAGAAGATGCGGCCCGAGCCGATATATGGATGTCTGAGAAAGAGAGGCGCGCAGCGGAATATGCGCAGGATTGTTACAGACCGGATAAGGAGGCAAAAGCAATGTCTTGCAGCTTCTTTTACAATTCCACCATTGGGTTCCGTCGAAGAGAAGACAAATGCCCGTTCGACATTGCGGACGTCTGCACGGGTGGCTATCAACCGGGTTCCGCCGTCACGTTCGATACTGGCCTTGTCGACTCCAGCGTGCTCGGCATCAATCACGAACCCACCCACAAATTTCGAAGAACTACAACCTGCGCACCATTGAGCGCTGAGAGGCCGTACGTGTGGCACTTTAGCAACAGTGCGACTGACCATGGGTACCTTTACTACTACGGATCACTTTACGATACGACGAACTGTTCCAAATCCAACCCTCGGCCTCCCGAGGCCATTACCAACTACACAATGAGAATCACAGGTCACCCTTTTGATTGGTTGGCACCTGTATACCGCGTCAAGTAAGTCTCTTGAGGCATCAAGAACTTGAAAGACACTAACCCAACTTACCATAGCACTTATGCCACGTCGCTCCTAGACCCAATGTGCGACTTCTATCAACCGATACCTGATCTTCAAGCTCCAGGCCTCGAGGCCCCGCGAACGAAGACCCTGACGATAATTTTTGTCACTGCGCTGCATATTCTTTACAACAAGCGCAGCAACGATCCTATATTTCCTGCCAACGAGCCCTTCCGGTACCCAGGTGACACGAAAGACTACTACTACAACTCCAGTCCCAAAGCCAGAGCCTTTGCGTGCATTGACGAAACATTGCTTTGTGGACCCTCGGGTTCTCCGTGCTGGACAGCCACGGACCCAATACCATCCGGGGTCGCGAACACATCAGCGTACTGGCTTATGAAGTATGCTCTAAAGAATTCGAACACATACGACTCTATCAAATATAGACTTGGGACCGCACTTCTCGCCCAACAACGAGTCGGACAGTCGAGATCCCTCCCTTTGCCGGACGATCACTGGGAGGCAGAGGCTGAACACCTCTTCAAATCGTCACTCGCCCGTGCGCAGTTTGATGCCTGGAGCATAGCCAGCGGAGAAGATCACGACGTTGCTACATATAAGGATACCCTTCCCGACGAGGCCAGAGGCAAGGTCTGTGGCCTCTTCAAGTTCAATAGCGTCGGATATGTCAACATCCAGATCTGGCCTTTCGCCTTGCTCCTGCTGGTTTTACCGGCGTCAGCACTATTGAGTCGCGAGACGAAGCAGGTCCGGCACATCCTTTGGAAGGTATACATCTCGTTGAAAGAAGGTGCGGAAACTCTACTCGGGAAAAGGGACGGACATACCGCCGTGGCAGGTAATCAGATGGAAGACGATGGTAGCGATAGCGCTCTCAACGAAGGCTCGTCTGCCCACGGCCATCAGGAAACAGATGCGCAATCGGTTGCAGAGTCCTCAACGGCAGCCGCACAGAGGTCCGATGCAACTCTAGCTCGCACTCCTCTCAGCGCCACACGAAGAACCAGCAACCAGCCAAGCGACTACGGCAGCTTCACTAACAATGGCACTAATAACGGCGCCAGTCGGCCTCCGAGTTGTCTCTCGAATACCGGTCCACAAAGGAGTAGGGGAAGCTCGTCAGGGCAAAGCGGAGAGGATATGAATGACGAATGGTTCCCCCTCCTTATTCATAGCATCATTCTCTACTGGGTACCAATGGCGGTGAAGCATACTGTATGTAGCCCAAAATACCTGGTCAATTATCTGAGAGGGCGGGACTCGCGGGCCCGAGTGAGAATCGTATCACTGCCGTCGTAGCTGGGAAGGTCGAAGGGGATGAGCATGTAGTATACGAGAGCAGATTATATTCCTGCCTTCTTTGGCTATCAGCAATAACCTGGAACATCAATTGATTGCCGATTACGACAATAGGTTATGCCAAGAAGTTTAGGAATGAACCGAGTCCAGATATAAAACCCACGACGTCTTCTCCACCGCCTAACCCGCTCCAATCGCTTCATTATCCTCCGCACTGAAAGATGCCTTGAGGAGCGTTTGGACCTATGGAGCCCAATCTATGAGGCTGGGCAGTCACATTTGTCGCGCGGCTGAGTGCAGCACGAGCTAACCTTCTCCGGCGAATCAACCTTCCAGCGTTCCCCTCACGCAGGATGGGAAGCGAACCACGCAGATTTCCTTGCTTTTGTAGCCCTTTGGCTTTGCCGAGACCGTATTGAGCCACCCACGAGGCAGATTTGGTCCCGCCATGGCGACCAAGCTGGGCGAACACATCAGGTCCGGTGCACCAGGTCTTTTACACGGAGTCCACGATCCCTTGTCGGATCAATTTGTCTGAGCTATGGTATAGAGAGCTATGGCGGATCCTCTATCAATTGCTGCCGGCATACTTGCGGTGCTTGGGGCTGCTGGAAAGACGTTTCAGGGCCTGCAAAATGCCTGGGAGCTAAGGCATATGGATGAAGACTTCATCGGCTTACTCAATGAGGTATCTTAGCTCTAGGTCGCTTCTGTAGAATCCAAGCTAATGGACATAGGTAACGGGGCTCAAAACTCAATTACTCATTGTGGAAAGCTCCCTCAAATCAATCGGGGAGGAGAATCTCGAAGACGGGACGCTCGCCTGTTGTCTCGATGATATCGAGAAGCTGCGCTCCAATGCTAGCGAAGTGCTCTCCGAAATTGACCGATTTGTTCAAAAGATATTGTCGAAGAGAAAGATACATCTGAAGAATGGAGATCATCTGAAGCCTTCCCGACGAATATGGATGCGCAGAAAATACGCCTTGGCCCGTTTGACGGCGAGAGTTACACCCGTTGTGGGCTCACTAACGGCAGTTGCCGGGGTCCTCCGAACAATCTCTTCTGAACAAAAATTGGACAGGCTCAACTCGATGCTGACAAATTTAACAATCGAAAGTGTGGAACTGGTGACGCCCATGGACACTAGTCCTAGAACCCTAGTCGACGCATCCCCTTTCGAAACAAGGCTGGAATCGGCGGTCCGACGAAGCATTGAACTGGAAATCCCAAATTCACGGAGGTCTTCGATCGACTCGTTCCATTCAGCCATGTCTAGCAGCTCTGACTCTGCGTCTTCATCCATCATCTCTTTCAGTGGAACATTGGTCGATGATGCCTGTGAGCCTTTCTGTTCCTGCCAGTGCCACGTGAGTAGCCAGTTGAGAACGCCGCAGTGGGTCAAACATATCCTGGGCTCTATGACGTTTCATGGCAACACATCAGTCTTCCTCTCTCGGCGACCATGCAACAAAAGCTGCCGCCGTAGTGGGCCGTCTTCATTGCAGTTTACATACTTCGCCCCTGCCTGGACTCTTCTGAGGTCATTCAATTTCTACGTAAAGGCACAGTGCCTCCGTGGCCCGGACTTCAATATTCGCATGCCTCGGGTGATACCCTATCACACCGACGTCTGGGCTGTTATCGAACTCGGAAAATTACTGACGTTGAAGGAGATGATCGAGCGGGGTGCTACCTCTCCTTTCGATGTCAATCCCTCCGGGAAGTCGCTCTTGCATGTAAGATGGCCCTAGGCTCTTGTATTCGCCCTTACGCCGCTAAGCATCGACACAGTACGCCGCCTTTAAAGGCCAAGACCAGATCTACTCTTATCTGGTCTCAATGGGAGCTGACCCATGCCTCCGAGATGCGCGCGGAATGTAAGTCTTCTCAACCCTGTTTCTATCAGCCGCTAACAGTACTTCCCGATATAGCCCTGCACATCAACCCGGTGTCGATCGAGCGCTCACGGGAACCGCTCTGGATCGGAATGTCGGTCGCACAGCACTGACTGCGTCGTGTGACCTCTTTATCAACACGGCCACGCTCGAGCAACAGGACTTTACCCTACTGCACCTGATTATATTTGGCTTAAACCCCTTGGATCTCGAACTGGTGCTTAAACACTATCCTTCGGACATCGACATGCCCGATGTCAATGGGCGAACGCCGCTTATGTGGGCCGCATGGAGAGGCGATATACAGAGCCTGGATCTACTACTCAACGCACGCGGCGATACGAATCGCACAGATATCGACAGGAAGGACCGCGAGGGATACAGCGCCTTAGCGAGAGCAGCAGAAGCTGGCCATCTAGACTGCGTCCGGAGGCTCCTTGAAGCGGGTACCTCAGTTCACATCACCGATGGTTGGGGATTGCAACCTATCCACCATGCGTGCGGGAATAAGGCCAACTGGTTGGCTATTGTTGAAGAGCTGCTCAAAAAGGGAGCGGATCCGAATGCGCCCAGTGAAAATGGTACGCCCTTGCACGAAGCAGCCAATAGGGGCTCTCTCGACACTGTCAAATACCTCATCAATAGTGGCGCAGATACCGATGCACAGGATTCGGATGGGGACACGCCTGCTATGGTTGCGCTTGTATGTTGGAACGAGTCGACTTTCATTTACCTTGCCGAAGCTGGAGCGAAGTTGTACCTTACAGACAGCATGGGTATGAACGTTGTGAATATAGCGATCCGCTGTGCTTCAACCGGTATATGGGACGCCATCATAGAGTTTGCGAGAGAAGGTCGGTTGGATGGCTTGGACTTGGACGCACAGCATCAGGGGCACGACATTCATCACTGCTTTCATACTTGCGGAGATCTCGTGTATGTAGGAAAGAGACGGGTAAAAGAGGAGGAGGAGCGCAAATTTCTCAGCATGATTGAGGAGCTACGGTCGATCATCTCCTAAAACAGGCATTCGTGTAGATGATTCTTGAATCGCGAAAGAAGACGCTATGGCCACCAATCTCAGTATTCATGGGCATCCTCTAGGTCGCTTCTTGTTCTTCTCCTTCTTGCACCAGAGGTTCTCTACCGTCTTTCCCGTTCGACATGCTCTGGCACTGGACGCATCCCTAGCAATGGATACTGACCCGGTTGTGAATAACCGCTCGGCAGTTCGGGGCCGTCGCGGCTTCCCTGGGCTCCTTTTCCCTTTCCATTTCCGGTTGAGTCGACGGCTGCATCGGCTCGGCTGAGGTTATTTTCGTTGTCGAAGATGTAGCTACTGACTTGATCCTTTTGCTTATCACCAGGCTCATCGTCCGCCTCGCTTGTGTGACCGGCACCATGCTGGCTCTGCGATGTCTGATGATGACTGGAACCGAACAAACCTGTGTAAGAATGTCCGGCTGTTGGTGGCAATGCACTCAACTTGGCTATTCTCCAGTGGACAACGCATTGGGAGATCAGTTTCCATTCATCGTCTAGATCCACGTAGCCAAAGGGGTCCACTTTGACGGTATGTTCGATGGTGTATAATTTGACAAAATTGACGCGGGAGAGGAGATCCATCTTGTTATCCCATGGTTTCAAGCCTATAACCCGGATAGGGTCGCCCATTGGAAGCTCCGTTTGGGAAGATGGATGCTCGCTTGGGAGCGGTTGCGGCGCATCCGGGCCAGTGTACACGATAGCGTGGTGACTCTTTACCTTGAATCCTGTGACTCCTCGCCCGCCGTATGTTTGGATGGGTCTAAAAGACGCACATTAGTTCTGCTCCAAGCGCGCAAAGGTACGTCTCATGCCAGTATATGCAGGTTCAACTTACAAGCAAGTGCAACAACCATGGCCTTCACGAACGACTACAAACCATCGCACCTTCACAGATTGATTCTCCTGTGGGAATCTCGATGTCGTTACCATTGTCATGTTATCATCAACATCGCCCTCCAGCTCAGGCCAGAGCACCCGGAAAACTACGCCTATTTTGAAGAACTTGTATCCTGGAAGTCGGACGGAGAAATCTAGCCAATGTTCAGTGCCCAAGAAGGATGCCTTGACTAGTGGATGCTTACTAGGATCCATTTCCTCTACATAACCTGCACTTCCTAGCAATTTCCGATGGGGTCGAACGCCCGGTATAACCTCCTCACGAGGCTCCTTCTCAACATGTCGAGCGACCTGTTGCAACTGTTGTTCGTTGGTGGGTTGCAGTTGCGATGGGTTCTCCGGGGACTGAAGTGGTGACTGAAACGGTGACTGTATCGACGATACTTGCTGTGAGAGTGCCGGTCTGTATGGGTACTGGCCGTAGGGTGTATTCCATGAGTAGTGGTTTGTGAGACTTAAAGGTGAGAGACCGTGATACGGCACTCCTTCGGCCGGGTTATGACTTAACGGTTGATATGATCCATGCGAGGGAGCAGGATAGCTTGCGGCATATTCTCTAAAGCAGCCCACGGGAGGATGCGTTTGACTTTGAGTAGCGGAAGTATTACCGGAAGTGCCCCAAGCCATGGAAGGCTCGACTGGTACCGTTGGTGTTGAGCTTGGACTCATTTCCAATTACATTTGATTTCACGTACCTGGTTGAGAAGAACCATCCAATGATAGGTTTGAGAAGGCAGCCGTGACACTCCAATCGCTCGAGCCTCCCGAAACCTCCCCGTGATGTGCTGGCGCTTGCGACGTTTGTCTAGTTGTGTCTGGTTGCTGTGCTTGGGACCTAGGAGCTCAGCCTTAGACGAAGGCCACACTCATGTTTTCTCTTCTGCACGTACACAATATTATCCTGGGGAAGCGGTATCCTCTTGCCATCTTCGTAGATGTAACAATGGTCCTCATTGTCAACCCAATAGTGTTGGTTCCGGGCCTTGTCGAACTCCCATTTTGTGAAGACCATGTTTCCGGGCGAGGCTCAAAGACACGCTATGGACCGAAGCTCATGCGCGCTCGCAAGGCTATAAATAAGTCGAAGCGGAGCACCACGTGATGCGGCTGTGTTGGTAGCAGTGGTATGATTCGCTCCAGCGTATGAAAGGAGGCGGGGGGCTTAGACGATGTGCTCGACGTGTCGGTGGAACTTGCAGTGCAGAGGGTCAGCGGGAAAAAGACCCAAGACACGCATACTGAAGGCTGCCATCGCTGAGCCTGGCACATGCAAGCCCGACCAACTCTCGAAGTTCGCGCAAAAGCGCCAAGACCTTTCTAATTGGAGGGACTGTCTTCTGTTATCGTGATTGCTCAGCGCGGCTGTCGAAATTCTGCCTTGGCTGGTGTGGCGTTTGGAAAGGCTGAACTACGTATGCGTGTCCGAACCTTGCGATTAAAAGGGAATGCCGTAGCGAAAAATGGGCAGCAGGCAGCCAATGTGGCGGTGTTGTATGGGCTGGCGTAACCTACAGGAGCGTGTTTTACAATGGCCTTTAGTGGGAAGGCTGCTCCAACTTCTTAAGCAGACTTACATAGCCCGAGTAAGAGAAAATTGGTGAGACTGCTAAGTTTTTGGCGGAAAGCGAGTTGTGTCTAGTGTGCTCTATATGCATCATGCTTCTTGTTGGTTCCTCTCAAAGTCTATAGAGACCCTCCATGGTATTCCCTGCTGGTACTACCTAAGGCGGTAATACTGACGGTCGCAAGAACAAACATGATTTTCGGAGGTCTAAGACCTCTCCTACTCCACGGTAGCCGTGCTCTTAAAGAATTGTGGGAAGACATGCCGAAGCTCTATGAGACTCCTTATCTGGTACTTCGCAGCTGGGTGAGCGGGATCGGGATCTGACTCGTCTAGGAGATGCACTGTGTTCCAACCTCGCGCATGTGCCGCTTTGCTGTTGATGTAGGAGTCATCTGAAGGCAGGTTAGTATTTTATCGATTCAGAGCACCTGCTGATCAACTTACCAACAAAGAAGCAGCTCTTGTTCGACTTGACGCCAGCCTCCTGCATAGCCTTGTCGAACATCTCAACATGGGGCTTGCAGTAAAACTGATCGGAGCCGTAATCACAATAAGTTATGCCCTCGAACAAGTCATCAACTTCCAGCAGCTTAATCACTCTCTTGCCGTGGGTGATATATGCGTTGGTGAAGAGCCATAAGCGGACTTTGCTCCTGTCGATATCTTCAAGCAATTTGCGGAGCTCTGGATTGGGCTTGATGATGTCTTCAAGGGGTAGGGCGTCGTCCACTTTGCGGTTGTAATCCAGTGCGTCGACTTTGTGATGGCGGACGAGGCCCTCGATGGCGAGACCGTATTCTCGGTAGTATTTGAAGTGCAGTGCATTGGCGTCCTTTTGAGAGAGTGATAGATGGGTTTCAAAGTACTTGTCTGCCAGGGGTTAATGCTGTTCCGTGGAATGGATACTAGGGAAATTATATGTGGCCATTGGGAAGCTACCTTTTTCCCAGTCAAGCGGAAATTATTAATTTTAAATCGCTTAGGGAACCAAAAAGAACACTGAGCAACGTACCGATTAACTCGGACATCATGTGCGCAACCTTTGTGCCTGATCAACGATGAGTCAGTGAGCGACATAGAAGCCTGGAAATCGTAAGGACACACTCTTGGGGTAAAGCTAGAACGATGTCAGTATAAGCAGTTGAAAATGGGGCTTTAGCCGTACACAGTTGTCTATGTCGAAGAAAAAGACCGGTTTCTCGTTCTCTTCCGCCATGCTGCCCATAACTTCCGCCCTAGAAATTGTCGGACTCAGGGGTAGAGCGGATGTCTTCTCCTTATGGTTTCTTCTTAAAAACGGTATCGTTATGTTGGGGTGTAACGCCTAGGGATTTGAGCAGATCTTCTTTCGGACTGCAAGAGTACCGCGTGGGGTACGTCACTGAGATGGTACAATGGCGGGCGATGGCTCAGGACGGGCAAATGAATGATGGCAGAAAGAGAACAATGGAAGTCGGGAATTGCTTGAAGGAGTAGAGTCTCGAGTAACGGATACTGGAACCTCGTGGTGCTGAACGAACATGGTGAAAGCTCGGAACGTGGGAGAGGATGGACGACCCATTCCCGGACTAGCGCCTTGGCATGCAATTCTAACGCCCAGGCGCACTCGCGTCTTCCCGGAGAGCTTCGTCTCCCAACCCCTTCTTTTTCATCGGCCTCAACACACGGCGACACCATGTACACGCTCTGTATTTGTATACATTCCACTTACTAATTGACAAGCTCAACCAGCCTTCTTGGAGCTGGTTTTGAGTGGGTGAGTTGGGCTATCAGTCGGTTGCCGCGCCGCCATGTCGACCACCGCAGCACCACCGCATCTGAACGGCAGCAGCGTCGCACCCGCTGAGGTCCGTCGCGAAGCCGACTTCCTCGAGAAGCTTTTGCAGATCCGAGATGATGTGCTTGCTGGCAAACATCCACGTATCCGCCTCCCACCCAAAGTACTAGAGCAGGTAGCACCGCGTCCTCCCCAGCAAACTCCACCCAAGAGACCCGCGACCAACGGCACTCCTAATGGGACGTCGACTCCGCAGTTATTCCCGCCGCGCCCCGAAAGCTCTCTGCAGCAGTTCCCTCCGCCAAACGAGTTTGCTTCCCCTGTCCCACATGCTTCGCGACCTTTCTCGGCTAAGTCGGCGTCGTCTGGAATCGACCCGGTCTTGCTCACCAAGTCTGATCACCTCATTCGGGCGGAGCTGCAGCTTAAGCGACAGCAGATAGAACGGACACTGAAGGATCAGCTGGACAAGCAGGGGCGTGCCAAGGACGAGGAGCGCGAGGTCCTTGATGTCGAGAATCTCTTCGCTCAGGCCCAAAGTCTGGTCAAGCCTATATCTGGCCTGCAGATTCCCGCTACTAACAGCGACAACGCTGAGTCTTTCGATGAGAATTCGTACTACTCTAGCAAAGCGGACAGTTGGTCGTCAGAGGAGGTTGATCACAATCAGAACGCCAGCGCTGATGCCGCAGCACCACTCACTTTACAGGGCAAACGCTCCGCGGATAAGGCCAAACTGACTGCAACCAAGCCTGCTCCGCCCCAAGCCGATGCTGAAGTGATTGATCTCGATGAAGAGCCCTACGAGCCTGCCGAGGACATAGAGATCTATGAGCCCGAGCCTGCCAGGCTACGCGAGGAGGCTGATGAGTCCGATTACTCGCCGCCTCCTGCCGATGTAGGCCCAAGTGAGCCAACGCGGGGACGAGTACGAGAACGAGCGGTGGAAAATCACGGCAACGCCAATGGGTACGGGTCGGTGTTCCCTTCTCTTCTTCTTTTATTATCTCTGGCTTGCGGCCTTCCGTTCCATTCCATGTTACATATTTTGCATAGCAGTCATTGAGCGGTTTGGAGACTTTCGTTGCTTACCATCCTCTTGACAACATTTTAGGAATGCTGATTTTCAGACAAGGTCATCAAGGCGTCAAAGCCCGACGGGTCCGGTACCGCCAATTCAAAACACACGAAAGCGCAGGAGAGAGGAGAAACGGGAAGAGAAACGGGAGGAGAAGCGTCGGCAGCAAGCAAACAAGCGCGTTGCTCGCTCTCCGGAGCCATACATCAAAGAAGAGCCGCAATCACCGCCTCCTTTCACGGCTTATCCCGATGCGCCACCTAGTAAGCGCCGCGCTTTGCAACCCCTTCCCAGCGATGTCGAGGTGGTGTCTGCTCGAGAGGGCAGCAGAGCACAGCCAGTCTACTACAGAGAGCAGGAACCTCCCCTCCAACCCTCCCGACCGCATCGGCAGTACGAGGAGCCATTGTCCCCGAGCGTTGTCCGTGTTCCTCAACGGAGACTGGAGCGTGATGACCAAGATCTGCGCCGTGTTGCGAGTCTCCAATACGCACGACGACCGTACTCGCCAGGTGGTGAACTGTATGCAGCCCCCGAGCCTCGCCCGATTCGCGCAGCCTCCCATGCCTTCGTAGATAGACCCATCGAGCAGCCCGTTTACCGAGAAGCATCGGCCCGTCCTTCAGCCGCACCGAGATACATTCGCGAACGCTCACGATCACCGATTCACGAGTATCTGCCTCGAGCGCAGTCACCTATGGTCATGGCGCCGCCGCCTCGCCGTATTGTGGTGGACCAGTACGGAGTCAAATACTACGCGGCTCCAGTAGATACAAGGGAATCGGTTGCGCCACCTAGCCGGCGGGTTGAGGTCGACCCTTATTACGAACGCGCCGTTACCCGAGAACCGACAATACGTGCGCCTGCTCGCGCGGAAATTTACGAGGATGATGATGTTCAGAGGATGCCCCCACCTCCGCCCCGGCGCTATGAAGCTTCGGATGCCGACGTTATCGAGACGCGACCTTACCGCCGAGAGGCTTCACATCGGCCAGTCGAGGTGGAATTTCGGCCACAAGAGGTGATTGAGCGACGACCGATACCGCAGTACGAAGAGATGGCCCCGCCGCGCGAATACCTTCCTACGCGCGCGTACAGCGTACGTCCTGAAGTTGTGCGTCGAGAAGCGCCCGAAGGGTATGCTCGTCACGAAAGCGTTCAGCCGGGCCACGTACGCATGGCTGCACCTCGCTACCGTGAGGTGAGTGTAGTCCATCAGGACCCGTATGATGATCGACGCTATGCCTTCGCCGCGCCTCAAAGCCGGCGGTATGTTGAAGAGGGTGCAGCAGAGAGGCCTGTCGAAGTGCCGCAAGAGCCCTACGGAGGAGAGTCTCAGCGAGTGAGATACCGCTACTGAACGCCACGTCGTGTGTAAGAGGGGCTGTATAGCTCTATAGTATTATTGGTATCAATCACCAGGATATGCTACATGCAACTTTTGGCCTTCCGGCATCTGCGGCCGGACGCTGTAGCACACTCGCAAGGTCATGCAGGATGGCATTTTAAGAAAGGTGCCGTGAGGCTCGTGTGATTGGATAGCATAGGAACCTTTGATTTTGGCGAGGTGTAGAGCTCTCCGCCAATTAAGAGTAAATGTAATACTAGTACTTTCGGAATTTACTCGATGCTACAACAAATGGTGTTGCGCTGATATTCGGAGTTCATGACGACCTGGTTTCGTTGAGGGCTGGCTCGTGGCGCACTGATGACGAGTCGCGAAGGCGATTGCCCTAGACAGCTGCAGCTAGGTAGTAGTTCAACGCTGTCAAGAAGCGAGAAGCGGCGCTGTTTGGCTGGAGCAAATAATGGTAGTGGAAATTGGGCGGAGGGGAAAGTGGGAACCGAGGGGGTTTGCTCGATTATCGATAGCTCTCTCGGTCTCGGGTGTTCGTAGAGACGTCGATGGGTTGCGTTGGACGACGGGCTGGACTCCGCCGATCTCAGGGAGGAGAGAGTTGTGTAGGTGTCACAGTGATTATTGTGGGCATCCACTGTGGGCAAAAGGGCGAGCACCAGTTCCCGCTTATTGTTGATACTGCACAGCCCCCATGGTCTTCTGCGGCCTGCAGAGTGCAGACGTCAGCATCCAATGACACCGAAGCCGCCGACAGCCGGAAAGAGCGACCACATGCGTGCGGGTGTCACTGGAATGGGACGGCAAGCCGATGTGAGACGGGTGGGCACCGGTGGTGAGGCACGCATTGAGAGGGAAAGGGAAACTGGCAGGTTCTGTTGGCATGCACAAGCGAACGAGCGTGGCCTGTGGTTGTTTACTGCGTACGGAACGACGGGCGCAGGGATGCCAGGCGCGGGAGAGCGTGCAGCAGAAACGCTTGCGGTGTGCGAGGTGAAACAGGCTTGCTCGCGACGACGCATCTGGGCTCAGCGCGAGCCGGTCCTATGAAGCCTGAGGTGCTCCAGGTGGACACTGTGTAGCTACAGGTGAAGGTGTCGAAGGCGTTGAGCATCACCGGCCGGCGTTAAGAGGTGCCCCCGCATGTAATATATCGATCCCGGCCTTACTGCTTTGGGCCCGCGAGTTGCACGCAGTTCGTGGCGGGCCATCCCACAGTGCCGCGAAGTGCGCGCTGAAACAGAAACACAGCGAAACGAGGGCAGCGCGCGCAGCTCGAGGCGTCTGGCCGTGGGACGTTGAGACAGCTGCAAATGGCCGGCTGTGTCGGTGGTTCTGAGCCTGCTTTTGCGTCGGCGTATCGGGCTGGCCCGTGCGCCTAGCCCTGCTCTCGGGCTCAGCCGCCTTCTGGCTACACTTCGAATTCCCTCCTCTTTCCTTTCCACCAACTCGCCCGCCCGACACCACCCCAGGGCGCCCTCCTCAACACCATGCATAAGATATCCAACTTCACGGGCTCGGCCCGTCACGGATGGGAAAAGATGACACCCTCGGCCGGCTTCTCGTTCTCGAGGTCCAGCCACGAGATGCCCGTCACAGCTCCCATCAAGCGTCCGTCGACGGCAACCGCTGCCCCGCCCGTGATCCCGCCCGGCACCCAGGTCAATCTGTCCTTCAACGTCCCCTTCTCGTCGAATCTCGCCGGCCCGGATGTTGACGACATCATGTACGCCAGCCCGGGGGCAAAGGCCCGGTGGGCCCATCCGGAAGGCACGGCTGAGGGCACGCCCGCCCACAAGCTGCCCGTACACGTCCAGAATGTCGAGAACCTGCGTGTTCTGTGCCGAGAAGTCAGCGAGCAGACCGACGGCCGCGTTGCCGCGACCGTGGTGTCGGCCGAGTCCAAGCCGCTGCCCGGCCTGCAGCGGGGTCCTCTGCGGGCCCTGGTCACCAACGTCTGCCTGTCCGGCGAGCTGGAGGTTGTGAACCAGATGCGGTGCAAGATCCTCAACTCGACGCCCATCTCACTGGTAGGCTTCAGCTGCAGCCTCTCTTCTGTCCTTGGCTAACAGCGACGCAGCGGTCATCGTTCGTCGACATCGACTCAGACCTCATCATCGATCAGGCTACGCAGCACATCCGGGCGCCGATTCTCCAGCAGTTTGACCTCATCGCTAAGACCACGAAAGCTGACCTCTTCGTGCTGATGCCGAAGCAGCCCGACATTGAGTCCGCGAGCTTCAACGGAAATCTCGAGACGGGCACTGACTCGCGGCTCCGCTGTGCCATCTACGGAGACATGGAGACAATGGAGCATGCGAAGACGCGTGTGCTCATCATGATTGACCAGATTGTGAGTTCTGACCCCCGCACCCGCCGCGCACTAGCGCACCAAGCTAATTTGATTTCACCACAGCTCAAGCGATACGTGGACACGATGAAGCTCGAGCTTACCATGCATACGTTGATTTGTGGACGTGGACGCAAAAACATCAAATTAATTGAGTCAGCTACAGGGACTGCCATCTACTTCCCGCCGCCCTTCCCGCGTCTATTTGGCTACACTCCGCCAGGCGCTACGCGGAGACCCGATGATCTGATTTACATCACGGGAGAGAGCTCAGAATGCATTCTGCGGGCGAAGCAGCGGCTTCACGATTTGGTCATGTCGACCAAGGTCTTCGTCAAGCCCGTCATGGTGACGGACACGAAGCTCGATGCCATCCTGCTCGAACGCCTGGACAAGGTCCGCAAGATCATTGAGAACAACGGTTCCTACATCCTGCTGCCTCCGCTTGGGATGCAGCGTGGCGTTGTCCGAGTACAGGGCACGGACGTCTTACATGTCGAGCGGACCGTGCGCGAGTTGATGGCTCTCGTAAGTTTATCAAGCCAGCTGTGTTTGAAACCTTGCTCACCGGAACCAGGCTGGTCAATTTTACAGCGCCTCGTGGTTCATCACCCATCCTGATCCTCAGCAGCGCCCGCCCACTTCAATTGACATTCGAGCCATGCTTTCGGATATCTGCATTAACTCCGGCGCAGAGATCAGCTTCGAGAAGCTCAACTTCCACATATACGGGTCGGATGACGCCGTCAAAGCCGCGATGATGGTCATCAACAATATACCGTTCGTGAAGAAATCCCAGTACAACATGAGCGTCAAGATCGAGCTCGCCAACGAACACAAAGAGTTCGTCAGCGGTAAGAAGAACGGCAAGATCAACAAGATCATGAGCCACAGCAGTGTGCAGATTGTCTTCGACGGCTTCAACGAGTATAACTTCTACATTGTCGTCCGCGGCGCCCAGTATGAAGCCACCAAGAGCGGCCTTGACCTCGTCGAGCAAGAGATGCCTGCCGCTATCTCATTCCATGTCCCTGATCAATATCATAAGCGCATCATCGGCATTGGCGGCCAACACATCCAGCGCATCATGAAGAAGTACTCCGTCTTTGTCAAGTTCTCCAATGCGATGGACCGCGGCGGTTTTGGCAAGGAAGAAGATGACATTAAGGTCGATAATGTCATCTGCCGCACACCTGCGCGCAACGCCCAGAACTTGGATCTCGTCAAGCAGGAGATCATGGACATGGTCGAGAAAGCCGATGCTGAGTTTGTCTCCGAGACAATTAACATCAACCGCCTGTACCACCGCGAGCTTCTTGCTCGCTTGGATAAGATTGAGGAGCTGGAGAAGAAGTTCAACTGCAAGATTACCTTCCCAAGCACCGAAGAAGCGAGTGATATCGTCACTGTCTCTGGCCCTGAGTACCAGGTGCCTTTGGCAGTCGATGAATTCTTGGTAGGGCTGCCAATCTTCATTCGGCAGATGTAGGCTAACCGATACTAGGGTATGGTTCCAGAAGCCCACGATCTTGCATTCCCTGTCTCTGCTGAGCTTGGCGAACACATGCGTTCTCCTGAATTTAAGACTGACATCCTGGACAAGCTCAGGGATCAGTATGTTGTCGAAGCGCATTTGAAGGAGCCGCAGACAGAGACAGTCGATGGTAAGGAGACGCAGATTGAAACTATCCATCTCAGCTTCACGAGGAACAACGCTGGCGGTCTGAAAGACGCCTTGGATTTCTTGATCAACCATCTGGTCATGCATGGTTTGGATACCAGCACCATTCGCGGCGCCCTTCCCCGCCCCAAGTCTGATTCCTTCGAAGACTCTCTACCGTTCTTCGAGTCTAAGCTCCTTCAACGAGCTGAGCCACCCGTCGACAGCACCGACTCCCCGACGCGCTCACACTTCGGCGATGATGAACGCCCCGGAATGCTCGATCGGCTCCGTAAGCCAGGAAGCATGTCTTCCTTCACATCCCTCTTTAATGGAAGGAGGAATGGCACAAACTCCCCAGGATCTCTCTTCAAGCATGCCTCTAGCAATGCTTCGAAAGCATCCCTTGCCAGCTTGGAGTCCCAGGGAAGCGGCTACCGCAACCCTTGGAACGACAGCGGCATCAACCTCGCGGACGACGAGCACCACAACAACGGTTGGCCCATGCCGACCCCGCGATTTGAAAGCAAGTTTCCTTTTGGTTCTACTTCAGCGGCGCCTGGAGATGTCACTCCCAGGTATGACCCGCGGGCTTCCGTTGACAGCGGTCGTCCCTCCACTTCCCATTCTGCATCTGGATACCCGGCCCCTATTGGGCCTCCTCGTTAAACACTGTTTCCGACTTACACCGGCTTTATGACGAACAAATACCCCGGCTCCGGTTTACCTATGCGACGATATCGACCAAAAGAATTATACCCCATATGGCGAATTACAAAAGCCTTCGGTTGGTTGCTTTGCGTTTACTGTATCTCTCTGTTCTCTTGTTTCGGTCTCGGTTATTGGTTTCTGACTTGCTTTGGCGTTTTCGGACGCGAGATGATTCCCCCGGCGCAAAAAGAATATACCAATTTGCTGCTTTGTGGATTTGCGCGCTTGTTTTGAATTAGTGGGCGTTGGACGCGGTGTGCAAGACGATACCCCGGATCCGTGGTGAGACGGATTTTGGCGGCCTCTGGATGTGATGGATGGTGTATGGCAATGAAAACCCGGGCAACGAGGTGTAAGGCTGGCTAGGTTGTCTCTCCTCTCCTATCTCACTGGTGATGACTATCATCATCACGACGAGATGAAACGCACGAACGACCACGCTGGCAAGGACGGAGGTGAAGCGGCCCTGGCCGATATATGCATGATATATACACAATAGACGAAACACAAGTTACCCATAAATCATATCTTTCTCTGCCAGAGCTTGACAGGCCGTGTTGGTTTCTGCCCTTTTGAGCAGCGGGATGGCTTGGCGCACGTGCATGTGTCGAGAGTGACGTCGGCGATTATTGTTCGGCAATCGCCGAAGCATTACTGATCACCAAGCTTCCTGTCGGACAACAACTCCTTCCAACTTACTACCTTTACTCCCGCGCTCTCTTTATTTATCTCTATACTCCTGAAATAGCAATGGCGTCCAAGCGAGCTGTCCAATTGCTGTCCCTGCGTACCCCGCAAGCTGTCTCGGCCCACGCTTCATCACTGCGATTGGGAGCTCAATGCGCGCGATCGAGAGCCTTTGCGCCGGTTTCGGGGACCAGGAAGGATATCTGGAGAGTAGAAGCCGGCGCGGTGCAGCGTCGGTGGAATTCCTTCCCCAGCGACAAGAAGAGCAAAGTCTACCAGTTCGAAGATGTACGTCCGCTTCTCCCTCTCCCTCTCCCTCTCGCTCTCCCCTCACCCTTCCCCCTCCTACTACACATACACACATACTAACCCCCCGCCCCGCCCCGGGGCCTCCCTAGGTCCTCGCCATCCTCGAAAACCCGTCCGACTCCACGGTCCTCATCGACGTGCGCGAGCCCGATGAATTCAACGCCAACGCTATCCCCACCGCTATCAACGTCCCGATTACCTCGCAGCCCGACAGCTTGCTCCTCCCTGCTGAGGAGTTCGAGGATCGGTTTGGGTTTCAGAAGCCGCCGGTTAATAAGCAGATTGTGTTTTATTGTAAGGCGGGGGTCAGGAGTAGTGCGGCGGCGCAGTTGGCGAAGCAGGCCGGGTGAGTTGATGTCCTTATTTTTTGGGTTGAATGGGGTGGGTGTGCGGGGGATGTGGGAGGGAGGAGAAGGGGGGCGGGGAGGGCGCCACGGTTGGAGGAGGGATACTGTATACTGGATCTGAGCTGAGCTGACGATGTGGTATAGGTACGAGAACGTGGGCGAGTATAGAGGCTCATGGCTGGATTGGGAGAAGAACGGGGGACCGGGGACCAAGAGTGCGCCGCCGCCAGGTGGGAAGGGCGAGCCGACTAAGGCGGAGATCAAGGAGTAGGCTTCACTTGCTTGCTTTGACGTGGGAATACGTCTGACGCATCGGCAGGACGGCGGTGTGATCCATCTCGTACCGATAGCGAATAGTCGAGACACAGAACACTATCCCGAGGCACACTTTGCTCAACGTGAGAAGCTTGGCTGGATGTATATGGGCTGTATATATATGCAATGGACGATTATCAAATTATGGCAGGCTTTTCCTTCGCGAACAGTTGTTTTGGGAGGTCAACGAGGTCAGAGTTGCGCTTCGAAACTTGAACGACTGAAATGGATTTAAGAACGGATCACAAAGTGTAGGAATTATGAATTGCAAAGTAGGGAAAGGAATGGGTGAACCAGAAGGACTTTTGATTACGTTGGAGCCTCCCAAGGGCCAAAAGCTCCGTCTTGAAGCACAACTCCTCTCTAAGACATCTCGCCTCATTCCCTCCCCTTAAGCTCAGCCAGCCTCTCCTTGAGCCCCTCCCACCCCTTACTATCCTCCCACGCCTCCCTCCCCTTCCCCATAACGCTCCTCACCGCACTCCTAGCCTTGAACTTCCAGTCCCTAGCCACGAGCTCCCCACTGCCCGCCGCCAGCCCCTCGGTCCTCTCCCGCGGCCCCAGCGTCTCATACGCATCTACAAGATCAATCGTCTGCGCCACCACCGCATCCCACTCCTTCTCCGTCTTGCTCTCCCAGTTCGGCTGGCTCGTCACAGCACGCCACGCCTTCTCGTGGCACTCCAGCGCCGAGCCGGGCCGGTTCGTGTGCATGTACAGCGTCGACAGGATGGTCCAGAGTCGCGGGGAGAAGGTGATCAGCGGCTTGATGTGCTTTTCTACGAGCTCGTTGACGAGGCGCGGGAGGCCGGGTTTGGAGACGTCGAAGCCGTCGTCTGCGGAGGATTGGATGGCGTGCCGCACGAGGAGGTCTAGGATCTCGGCGTCGACGCAGGATTCGCCGTCGGTGGCGCCGCGGAGCTCGCAGATGCGGCGCTGTGCGGTGACGATGTCGGGCCACGAGGGAGGCGTGGTGGAGGCCGCGACGGCGAGCACGTTGGACCAGATGCGGTGGTTGTCGTGCTTGAGGGCGGCGGCGCGCTTGAAGGCTCTGAGGGCGTCGGTGCGTGGATGGCTAGTCACGCGGACCTCTGGGTTCTCGTCTCCGTCCCCGTCGTCGTCGGCGGCGGTAGATTGCGTCTTGGGGCGTAGGTGGAGGAGGGAGGCGGCCATGTTACTCCAGGCCTCTGCGTCCTGGTAATCGAGTTGGACGCAGCGCGAGAAGGCCTCCACGGCGTCTTTGAAGCGCTGGAGTTCTAGGTATGCGCAGCCGAGGGCGAACCAGGCGGGGTGGCTCATGGCGTTGATTTTAAGAGACAGGGAGTATGCTTCTGCAGCTTTGGCGTAGTCGTGTTGCGCGATGTAGTGTTGGCCCAAAGAGCGCTGGGCGCGGGCGTAGCGTTTGCCTGAGACTTCCCATGCTTTTTCGTACCAGGAGAGGTCTTTGTCGAGGTCGCCGAGAATGCAGTACAGTCGCGGCGCTTCTGCGGGTGGTGGATCTCGAGCAGCTCCTTCCCAGGTTTCGTCTTCGAGATCGGTAGCGGTGTTATTGCCCTTCGTGGCATGGAAGAGTTGGCGGCGGATGATCTTGCGGGCTTTGTCCTCCTTGTCTGTAGCTGCCCAGCATAAGGCTGCTTCAGGCCACATTTCCAGCCGCTCGTAGATTTCGAGTGCGGACCGCAGACCGCCAACGCTGACCCAGCGCGCAGCTAGCTCGGCTTCGAGTTCCCAGCGCGAGGGCGAGCAGAGGGAGAAGACGTAGCGTAGGCGCTCCTCTACGGGCGCGGATTCGCCTTCCTTTGCTTTTGGCAGGAAAGATGCTACATGGTCATCGTCGCTCTTCTCCCCGTGTGCCGTTGAAGCAGTCTCTGTGTCAGACGTCTCGGCAATGACTTGATCGACGAGAGCTTGTAGCTGGAGAAGACCTCGCTCCATGGTGCGCGAGCGGTAGCCTTCAATCCGACTGCGAACAAGCAGGGCCTGGGTGTAGACCTGCCAGTTTGAGCTCCCTCCCTCGAGCACGCGGGTCGCATATGGAAGAGTCTCTTCTCTCGTGAGACCGTCCGCAGGATTTGTGTTTGTAATCGATGAAGCCGTCGCAAGAAGGATGACCGAGTCAAGAGGATCCAGCATGGGCTGATTAGACGGGTCCAAAGCCGCAAGGCCAGGGGCCAGGGAGGTCGCATTCTTGATCTCCGTCGACGCCGACGTCGACGTAAAAGAAATCGATTCCAGAACTGTGTCATCGTTGAGATCCAGATTCTCCGGCTTCGACGTTCCTCCTCCTGCTTCACTGGATGCGGACGTCCCGTCCGTCGCCTCCGTGCTAGAACTTCGCGCGAGCACGAGCAACTGACTCGTGTCCTTCTCCTGGAACTTTGTCCTCTTTCCCATCATGCCGGTAATAGCAAATTCAAACTTCCTCTCCGAAGTAGCCTGCTCGAGATCCGCTCTCGCTTTCTTATCCAGTCCATGGTGTGTCTGTATAGAAGCTCGTTCCAGCAAGAAATGAACATGTAGATCCTTGATCTCTTTCCCAAACCGTGAATAGAGTATCAAGCCTTCAAGCGCATCCAAGTCTTCATAGATAGCCTTCTGAAGCGAAGGCGCAACTTCCGAAAGCAGCCGCTGATGAACGAAGTTCACCCTGAGTCTCGCCCACACCGAAGTCTGGACATTCTTCTGAACGGGCGGGCAAATCAGAATGCTCTCCGCGAGACACAGCAGCTCGATGTTCGGCGTGAGCTTATATGCCGCGATCCCATCCGCGCCCATCGAAGCAACAAGTTCTGCTCTCAGTTTGCTCAGTGCGGGCACCTTCGATGCTACATCCCTGGGGAGCAAGACATCCGCGGATTTGAAAGGAAGCGGCGGACCCGTGACATTCGCCTGCAAAAAGGCGTATAACGCGGCTACAGCCACCAGGAAAAACAGATGCTGACGATACGCAGCCGTTTCCCGCACCGGAGTTCCCGGCTCTTCATTTCTTTTCGATAGAATGAGGCCTAAGCGATGGAAGATGTAGTCGCTCCACAGCGGAAAGTCCTTCAACTGGACATCTTGGGTGGCCGCGATGTCTTGATGTCCAAGTAGCACCTGGACTTTGGGGTGCTGGAAAACGGTCAAAAAGTCTCCAGTTTCGGTAGCTTTGAGGACATCCTCGAGAGCGGCGGCGAGTTCGTCTGGCAGCGTGCTTCGGAAGAAGCGAAGTAGCACGTCTCCCATTTTGTAAATTTGTTCTGTAGAGGGTTTCGTGGGGCTTTTTCATGCTTGGGCGATGATTCATTTGATAGTGGAGAAAAATAAGCTAGGGCGCGCTAAACCGCTTTTGGCATTGGCAGGCAGCCGTCCCAACTTTTCACTCACCTGTATTTCGAATGCAACTCTGTTGAGCTTATTGATCATGATAATGCCGTATTTTATGAAGTCACAGAATTTATTGGCTGGCACGAAACAGTACTCATGAAGGCTTCATTATAGGGATGACGCTGGATATTGAGCAGCCTCTAGGGCACCAAGAACTGCAATCGCAGACGTCGTGTCTCCACTAAGAGCAAGCATAACCAAGCAATCCAAAACGCAGACAGTACAAAAAACAGGCTATCCGAGCTTCACTTCCGCTTCTAATCGGAGTCACTGCTCGAGGACGAGGAGCTACCACCTCCCCGGCTGCGGGACCTGTGGTGCTTGTGCTTGTGCTTACCGTGGCTGCTGTGGCTCCCAGCGTAGAGGCCTCCCAGTCCGGCAGCAGAGCCAGCGTACGACGAGCCGTGGGACGAGCCGTGGTGCGAGCTACTGCCGTGCTTCTTATGCTTCTTTTTCTTCTTGCTAAAACATGGGTCAGTATCTCAATCGCGCAAGGAATGCCGGGTCAGGACTTACTCGTCATGCTTGTCTGACAACATGTTCGCACCGACGGCGCCAGCGATGAGACCGCCGACCGTGCCCAGCGCTCCACCACCGAGCTTGTGTCCCATGAACGCGCCGCCGGCACTTCCGATCAAGGTGGATCCGAGACCGCGGTCGCCCTCAGCGGGACCGCCTGGAGCACCGGGAGCGCCAGGAGCGCCGGACTGGCCATATTGATGCTGTTGCTGGCCCCCGTATTCCTGTTGCGGGGGTCCAGCGTACTGCTGGTGCGCTGGAGGTGGGTAGGGCGAGTGGCCGCGATTTGGATCGTAGCTTTGGTTGTGATCTCCCTGCGGAGGGTAGGGAGAATGGCTGCGGTTGGGGTCGTAGCCTTGATTGTAGTCTCCCGGTGGAGGGCCGTAGCCCTGCTGTGGGGGCGGATAAGGCGAGTGCGACGGCGGTGCATACTGGCCCTGTATTGATATTAGCGGTTGTTCAAAGGAGAGCGCATGCATAACGCAGCGTGCAACAGCGATCGCGCTCACCTGCTGCGGAGGATGCGGGCTGTGGCCCTGCGAGTACTGATCGTGGGGCTGCTGTCCGTACGACGGTTGCTGAGGGCTGTAGCCGTAGCCCTGCTGCGGCGGAGGCTGCTGATTGTGGGCGCCGTCGCCGCCGTAATAATCGTAGCTACTCATGCTAGCAACCAAAGGATAGTAGGATACGCTGAAGGGGGTCGTGGAGTTGAGAGAAGGAAGCTGTAGGCGCGGGAGCAATGCTTGCTTATGGATGGCGGGGGAGGGGTCGGCGGTTGGTCAGGAGCATCACACGGCTTTTATATGAGACATGCGGCGCAGAGTCAGCGGAGCTGGAGGGCGCCACTCCCACGGGTGACTGCGACGAGCGGTCATGCCCGACGAGCGTACTGGCAATTGCGGCTGAGCTGAGCAGTTCGGTGGAGCGAAGCGTGGGTGCGACTGCGATGCGCAAACCACCGAGCAGCTGGAGGGGCAAGCCACCTGCGCCACGCCTCTGATTCGTCACACGCGGCTCGCACAGCCCGTAGACTGCGGCAAACATGCGCGTCCAGCTACAAGCGCATCACGGGAATCAAGCAGGTCATTTCCAGTCGTTCTATGTTTGAAGATTAGACATTAAGGATTTCTATACCTTGTTAACCAAGTTGTTAACCCAAGGACCGTTATGCCGACTCACTCATGCACACCAGCCCTGGAGTCAGGCCTTCAGACCCAATCCACGATGCTCGCAGCTCATATCAGCCTCAGCCCATCGCGCCCCTCAAATGCCTCCCGGATGCTGCCGACAGAGAACGACTGCACCTCGCAATGATACTTCTCCTCGCCGCCCACAAGAGCCTTCCACATAGCATTGCTGGCATCCCAGGGCTCGGACTCGGACTTACCATTGCCTAGGTCGTGCCAAGCCACAATGATAACTTCGCCGTCGGATTGAGGGCTCGGTTTTATCACTGTAACCTTGAATTCCGTGAAGCAGTAGCTGCACCGGCCGTATTCATCCATGCTTGTTGATGGATCCAGCAGCTGGTCGATGTTGTCTGCTTCCGGAGCATCGTCCTTCCCACGGATATAGACGGGCGCTGGGGACCGGTGAGAGGGTTTCTCCTTATGCTCCGTGTACTTCTTTGCCTGGAAGGCCTTGGCTAGACTGTTATCGTACCAGGGCGCGGACTGGCGGGTCGTGCTGAGGTGATTGCACACTTCGAGGCCGAGCGCTGCATAGGTGGAAATATTAGCATCAATGCGTTTGCTCTCCTAAAGGCCTCTACGAGTAGTTTTGCAGTAACCACGTGGACGACTATTACAAATGACTCCTGCAGGCCTGCTGCGCATGGAGACAAAACGCGCAACAGCTACATACCCTTCAGCGTCTGAACATGGACATGTACCCTCTTCTCAAACACCCTATACGTACACCGCAGGAGCAGATGGCCGGAGACGATACGAGCGAGAGTGCCGAATTGAACTGGCTGACCATACGAAGCGAGCTGACCCCATTGGACGTATTCCTCGAAATTTCGATACCATGGCTTCGGTGTATATCGTCGCGTGGTTTCGTACGTGAAGGCCTCCAGAGGGATGCCATGATGGCCGCCGTAAGCATTGCGCTTCAAAGCTAGAACAACGTGTGGCCATACGACAGCATATCCGAAGCGATCGTAATTGAGGAAAAAGCCCCTTCCGGTCGATGGATAGTGCTGCCTAGAGTCCTTCACGTAGTTGGATGGAGAGGAGGCGGGAATCTTCTTGGTCAGCTGCAAATCGGCGTAGTAGTCAGGGAGATCTCGCTCGAGAAGGTAAAGGAAGACTCTCCGCTGAGTGATGTCATGCTTCAGGGATTCCCAAGCCTGCATTCCGTAGATATGGAGGAAATGCTTGTTGACAAGGGGCAACACGGCTGCAGAGCTGATCGGCAGGCGATGGGCGATGCTGTGCAAAATCTCCGTGGGTAGGCCAGCGAGGGTGACTACGGAGGGAGATAGCGGCGGTGAAGCGGGCTTGGGCGCCCCATCCTTTTGGCGGAACGTTAGGGCTAGCAGATGGTTGTAGAAGGACGGCATGGCCGACAGTCAGTCGATCGCTCGAAGCTAGCTCTTCTGGTTAGTGGGCATGCGGAAAATGGGAGGCTGGTAACGCGCTCTGAGGGACTCCAGGATCTGGGATTAGTCTTGTTGTCGCGAGTTTGGGATCGACTTGGCCGTTGTTTTGACCGAAAGGGTAACGAGCGGTGATGCAACGGCTGCAGGCCAGGTTGCAGGGGGCGAATCTCTCCGCGGGCCTTTCTTGCGAAGGCCCGTATTACTTCGCGGTGCAGTATGCTGCTGCCTGGGGCATTCCAGCCTGTGCAGGAGCTGGAAGTAGAGCTGAGGCCGCGACGGTGTTGCGGAGGGGGAGTCGGATCTGAGGATTCGCTCCGGGATTCGTCACCGAGACGATGGGAAAGCGGGAGGTGTGCCGGGCCGTGTTTGCTGCCGATATGCCGACATCGTCACGTGAAGCGCCTGGGGCCCACCGCTTTTTCCCGAACTCGTCGACCCTTTTCGCAAGGCTGCCAGTATCAATTCCTGCACTCATGCGCCAGTCACAGATGGTCCTAAGCGCATTACGTCTTCTCTCTCCCCTTTCGTCGAGATTCTGCGACGTTTGCTTAGGGCTGGGTTTTAGCTCGCCGCACGCGCCAACGCTTAACTTCGTTGTGATTTCGCAGTTCGTCGCTCGTTTGGGATTAGCGCAGCCGCACTGGACTGCGACCTCAACTCCCAGTGCTGCTTCCCTCCGGCCAGCTGCCCTTGGACGCAGGAATATAAGAAACCCATCAGTCGGGCAAATGAAGTCGCCAAGCGGCCACATCTGCGCCTTTCACCGACGCACTCATCCGACTTGACACATGCAGCGGAACCGTCTCCTCTGATTGCTGTCGTATCTCGTATACGAATGTCGATTGGTTAGGCAACGCGCAGACACTTCAGGCACCCATTTTTGATCTATCTTGGCCCTGTCCCCACAAAAGGTCTCCATGGGAGCAACTCCTTGACGGGCTTCTGATCTTCAACCCAAACATCAGGCACCGGACAAGCAGTCATGAGTGCCCACGAGAAGGACACGCCATTGCCACCCTCGGTCGCCGTCACACCAGACGCGACCGCCCCAGTTCGCATCGTTGAAGAGACCCTGGAGAAGGACCGCGTGGCAACATCACACGCAGAGGACGAGAAAGATGTCGTCAAGGACAACAAGAAGGCCAAGGTCGGCCTGTGGAACTACGTTGTAAGCTTGAAATCGTTGTGATGGCAAGGGCACACAACTGACCATCCGCAGAGGGTATTCAGATACGGGACCAGCCTCGATGCTGCCCTCATGGGAACGTCCTGTCTGACTGCGATTGGCTCTGGATCCGTAAGTAAGCTACGCGTCTTGCGCGGTCGGTGCTGACATCCTCTTGAGACAATGCCTCTGATGAACATCGTGCTCGGTGTGTATTCCTCCTCGAGCATCGTACAATCACATCTGACTTGCCACAGGTCAACTTGTTGGCAACTTTACTGCGTATTTTATGCCTGACACGACGGTCACTAAACATCAATTTCAGTCCGAATTCAACAAGCAAGCGTACGTGCAACTGACCCGTATCTACCTTTGAGCATTATTCGAAAGCATGCAGCACTTCTGACCGCGATTTCTATTAGTCTCTACATCGTCTACCTGTTCATCGCCAAGTTTTTCCTGTCCTACATCTCCATGGTCAGTCCAAATACGCCTTACCGGGAAAACGAAGCACTGACGTTCGCCCATAGATTTGCGTTCGAATCAGCGGCCTTCGCATATCTGCCGCCCTCCGGCTAGCATACCTTCGTGCCACGTTCGCTCAGCCCGTGAGCGTAATCGATACTCTGTCGCCGGGTAAAGTGTCTACACGTATCACCACCTCGTCCAACACCATTCAGCTGGCTATATCCCAACACTTCTCGCTGCTTTTCCAATCGCTGGCCTTCACAATCGGTCTCTTCGTCGTGGCTTTCATCAAGAGTTGGCTCCTCACGCTCGTTGCCAGCGTGTCGCTCCCTTTCATCGTGATTGTATATGGGGCGATGATTCCACCGTTCATGAAAATCCACAAGGTCACGGAGGAGAACCAGGAGAACGCCTCAGCGACGGCTTACGAAATCTTCTCGTCTATCCGCATCGTCGTTGCATTCGGCGCCGAAGGAAAGCTGGCCAAGCAACACGAGGCTTTATTGGACAAGGCGGCGAAAAATGAAAGGAAAACAGCCCCATTCATGGGCCTGATGTTCAGTGTCTCTATGATGGCTATGTATGGTACCTACGGTCTTACCTTCTGGTTCGGCATCCGACAGTACACCCGTGGCCATATAACCAATGTGGGCGACATTGTTGTGTAAGTTCCCCTCTTCCATTTGCACCATACTCCACATGACGAAGTATCTTATGAGATCGACTACTAAAACCCTCCCCACCGGTCGTCCCTGTGATCCTCACATTTTATCCCGCGCTAGGAAGGCGATATCATCTTCGAATAAGCTGACCGTGATAGTGTGCTCTTCTCGGTCATGATGGCGGTCATGAACGTTGGGAGACTCGCTGCGCCCATCATTGCTGTCGCCAAGGCTGCTACAGCCGCCGCGGAGCTCTTTGCCACAATCGACGCCGATGTCCCAGATACCACCGGCTTGAAGGAGCCAGACGTCTCTGCTGATCTAGATATCTCTTTCGAAGACGTTGCTTTTTCATATCCAAGTAGACCAAATGTGCAAATCCTCGATGGCTTCAACGCCACGTTCGAAGCAGGCAAGGTTACTGCAATAGTTGGCCCGTCGGGGTCGGGGAAGAGCACTTTGGTGTCTTTGATCCAGGTTCGTGTCCCCGTAGTCTTCATCTCCTTCGTTGGATTTCTATAACAGATTGGTATTAATGGCTGAATAGCGATGGTATGATCTCCTCGGCACTGCTGCTAGAGTAACGACAACCGATAAAACGGAAGACACAGCGCCAGCCGATATGCTCGCGAAAGACGCCGTCAAGAGCAAGAAGGGCAAGGACAAGGACAAGGACGACGAAACTGAAGTTGATCTGGGACCAAACACATGCACGGGGACGCTTAGAATTGGAAAAACCAACTTCCGCGATGTTGATCTTCAGTGGTGGCGTTCACAAATCGGCCTTGTCCAGCAGGAGCCTTTCCTTTTCAACGACACTATCTTCAATAATGTGGCATATGGACTATGTGGGACTCAATGGCAGGACTCCTCCAAGGAAGAGAAAATAACCATGGTTGAAGAAGCCTGTAGAGAGGCACACGCGAGTGAGTTTATCGAAAGGCTGCCACAAGGCTATGACACCCTCGTCGGCGAAAGCGGTATCAAGCTGTCGGGCGGCCAACGTCAACGCATCGCCATCGCCCGCAGTATCATCAAGAAGCCTCCAGTCCTCATCCTTGATGAAGCTACCAGCGCTATCGATGTCCGAACTGAGCGCACCGTTCAAGAGGCACTAGACCGAGTATCCCAAAATAGAACTACCATTGTCATCGCTCATCGGCTCTCGACTATCAAGCGAGCAGACAAGATCATGGTCATGAGGCAGGGGAAACTTGTTGAGGAAGGTACCCACGAAGAGTTGCTCAAAAAGGACGATGGCGTCTACCACGGGCTTGTCAACGCCCAGGAGCTAATGATTGAGGCTGAAGAGGAGGAAGACGAGCTCGAAGAAGCAGCCTTACATAAGACCAAGACCGTGGAGACAGAGAAGTCGCATACTGAGCACGCCCGTGATGAGGAAATAGCTTCCACCGGAGACGAGGGACCCCTGAAGAAAGGGTTTATGAGGGTATGGGGTCGCGTAGCTTACGAGCAACGTCATCACTGGGTCCTTTACTCCCTCGCTATTTTTGGTGTTCTGGCCGCAGGAGGTAAGTCATGTAGCCCGTTCTTGATGCTCCTGTGCTAATCATGCCTAAATAGCTGCCTACCCTCTCCAAGCCTACATCTTCGCCAAAATCATTCAAGTTTTCACATTTACCGGCCAGGAATTTGTTGACCAGGGCAATTTCTGGGCGGGAATGTTCGGTGTTCTGGCTGCAGGCGTCCTTGTCGCATACTGTACTATGGGTTTCTGCACGCATCTCATATCGATCGTACGATAGCCCCGTGATCCTTTCTCGATCTGGTGCTGATTTTTCTGGCAGGCAATAGTGCGCTGGTATCGCCAGGAATACCTCGATAACATCATTCAGAAGCGCATCGCATTTTTCGACGCTGAAGGCCACTCCGCCGGCTCGCTCACCTCTCGTCTGTCCTCCGACCCGGAACAACTACAACAACTAGTATGCACCGAAATGGCCATGGCATCCGTCTCAATAGTCAATCTTGTCGGTTCAGTGATCATCGCCTTCGTTTACGGATGGAAGCTCTCACTCGTCGGTCTTTTTTGCGCGCTTCCGTTTATCCTCGCGGCTGGGTACTTGCGCCTCCGCATCGAGCTCAAGTTTGAAGAGATGAACGCGGCCGTCTTCGAGAATAGCTCGCAGTTCGCAACCGAAGCTGTCGGTGCTTTCCGCACGGTGCTATCCCTCATCATGGAGAATATGATCGCCGATCGGTATCAGACGCTGCTGAAGGGGCATGTCAAGAAAGCATTTGCGACCGCTAAGTTTGGCACTTTTGTCTTTGCTGCTTCCGATAGCGTAGAACTGGCTTGCATGGCTCTGGCGTTCTGGTAAGTCGTTCCCTCTTGCATTGTGAGAAGCACCGTCGCTGATAATAATCGTTAATAGGTACGGTGGAACTCTCCTTGCGTCCCGCGAGTATGAACTGGTTGACTTCTTCGTCATTTACACGGCAGTGGTGCAAGGCGCTATTGCTGCTGGCATGTGGTTCAGTTTCACTCCAAGTGTGTCCCATTCTCCACCTGACACATTCCTATCTAACACCGCCTTCCAGATATCGCCCAAGCCACCGGTGCTGCAAACCGCATTTTGAGCCTCCGCCCCGCCAAAGACGCTCCACCGCCCAACTACACCCCCGTTCCCCAGGACTTCGTCGGCGGCGTCGGCATCGAGTTCCGCAACGTTTATTTCTCCTACAAATCGCGCTCCGTGCCAGTCCTCTCCAACCTCAACATCAACGTCCTCCCCGGCCAATTCGCGGCGCTGGTCGGCGCTTCGGGGTGTGGGAAGTCGACAACCATCTCGCTTCTCGAGCGTTTCTACGACGTGGACTCGGGTGCCATATTGTATAACGAGCAGGATATAACGTCGCTTGACCCGACGGAGTACAGGAAGAACGTCAGTCTCGTGTCCCAGGAGCCTACGCTCTACCAAGGCACGGTAAGGGAGAATGTGGCTATGTCTGTCGAGGACGCTACAGATGCGGAGATTGAACAAGCGTGCGCCGACGCCCAGATTCATGAGTTCATCACGTCCCTTCCAGATGGATACAGCACTCGTCTCGGTCCTAAGGGCATGTCTCTCTCTGGTGGGCAGAAGCAGCGTCTCTCTCTCGCTCGCGCTCTTCTCCGGAAACCCAAGCTACTTCTTCTTGACGAGGCGACCAGCTCCCTCGACTCAGAGTCCGAGAAGCTAGTCCAAGATGCGATCGAGCGTGCAGCAGGCGAGGGTGGACGGACCACCATCGCGGTCGCGCATCGGTTGGCAACCATCCAGAAGGCGGACGTCATCTTCGTCCTGGGAAGCGGGAAGGTGCTTGAGAAGGGTGATCATCAGGCGTTGTTGAGAAAGAGGGGTATTTATTACCAGATGGTGAGTCCTTCCCCCCTCTTATTTTGTGAAGCATATGCTGACTGCCGCCGCAGTGTCAAGCCCAGGCTCTCGATCGGTGAGAACGGACGCTGCGACACGAGTCCTTTACATTCATTCTTTTCCACGTCGTGCAGTATTCTGTTTACATTCATTCTTTTCCACGTCATGTAGTATTCTGGATCTCCTTTCGGGCTTTCGACATGCATCAGATACCGTCTCCTTGCTCTCCCGTACATATACACAGCGGATACCACTTGGACGTACTTGCATTTCCATTCATTCATGTCTGCACTACTCCGCCAGCTATGCAAAAAGCGTTATATCTTGTAATTTTTTCTTGTATAGTACTATACGTAGACCATAGATGTCTCCCCTCTAGCGCGAACACTGTCTCTCCTCTTACGGTACGGCTGGGGTGACTGTTGAGGGGGAAATACTCTGTTCAAGTGCGCGCGCGATGCGGCCAGTTTTCAGATGTTCTTAGTTTCCCTTAAGAAAATACCAGTGGTTGTGGACGTATACGACTCGGATCAGTCTGGAGTCTCTTCCAATGAGGAGTTTGATGAGCCAAACTACGAGGTAAACGCCGTGACAGATGCCGAAGCTGCTAATGTGATGGACTGCCTACCACTTTTTACCGACCGACGATTTTTATCACGAGAATGAGCGAGACTCCACCAAGAGGACGGGGGGCGGTAAGTGCGTTCAGAAGCAGCTTCTTTGAAGAGAGTGTAATGACACGGAACAGGCCATGCTGATCGTACCGGATGTCTCTCTTCTCCGTGGCTTGGGTATCGACGTTGAGGCCTCGCTATTTCCTCTGCCGTGGAACAAAACGGGAAAACCTCCTGAGCTGTTTATCAATTATGCAAGCTCCGCCAGCTGAAGGAACCTACCGTATTCACATTACCTAAATACTCACTGCAGGTTAGGTTCTAGGGGCATGAGCGAACCGATGAAGACTGTCGTGGAACTGAACTGCATCGTAGTCTGCCATTTCTGCGCTACCTAGCTATCCGCTAGTCTCAAAGAAGTAAGCTTCAGGCCACCATCATCATCCAACGAGCCACACCTGCCGGCTCTCATCTCGATCTCGGCACACCCATCACCATGTCTCGCTTCACCTTCTACAAAGGCCTCGCGGACTCCCTCGTTGGCGTCATCCTCCTCGCAAAACCCGAGCTCATCTACGACAGCGCGGTCGCCAGATGGCTGCACGGCATCTCCGGTCTCCGACTCCCGAATCCGTATCCCGACTCGCTGGATACCGTTTCCGCACAGCATGCTGTTGCGATTATGGTACGTGGCTTTCTAATATGAGTCAGCGGGGTAAGGGATGCTAAGTCAAATTCGTGCAGGTTATCGCTGTAGGTGTAGGGCATATGCGTGCTGCGAGTGAGCGGAAAGCACTGCCGCCTATTGGTATGGTTTTCTTTTCCTATGAATTTCTTGTTTGATACATGTTGTTGATGGGTTTTCAGTGTTGATGAATGTGCTGTGGTCGGCATTCGCGTTGGGGACGGTGGTTCTGAAGCCTCATCGAGCAACAAGCGCGTTGCTTATGACGGGCATTAATCATGCTGTATTTGCTAGTACGATGCTTTTGACGAGTGGGATGAGCTTCGTGGAGATGCTGGGTCTGCAAAGCGGGGAAAGGGCGAAGATGGAGTGATGTGCTCGAGAGTTCGAAGCTTGCGGTTGGATGGGACGTTGAATATCGGAGTAGGAGCCCAAAAAAGTCATCGATATCATGACTGAGAAGAGAAAATGCCAGAGGCTTGTCCTTATGGTTTCCTTCCTTGAGCGAGAGCGGAAGTTCCAGGAGCATAGCTTCACCCCACGCACACTATCAAATGGAGCGCACCCGTTCTCGGACCCTCGATCCTCAATCTCCTTTTCTTTGATACCCTTCTTTCCACATTCCATACTACTGGCCCGGTACGGGCACATCCGCAACATTAACCAACACACTACTCGCCAAAATTGCGCCCACAACATTCGCTAGAGCAGCTACGCCTTCCCTCCCTAGCTCTTTTGTCGCCGCTTCAAACTGGTCGTCCGCCACCTTACCCTGCCTCCGCGCTATTTCAAGCGCAACCCCATAAACGCACCTCTCCCTCTCTCCCAAACCCTCCGGAGCCTTCCCCCTCGCCGCATCATCCACCTGCTCCTGTGTCAATCCCACGCTCATCCCAATCTTCTTATGCGCATATATAATAAACTGCGCCTGCGTTATAGAGCATCCAGCCAGCACGGTCAACTCCCTCTCCTTTGTGGTCAAGTAGGGCAACGTGTTTAAGGCGTGTACATAGTTGAGGTAGGGCATGAAGGCTTCGGGTGCGTATTGAAGGGTTACAAATGGTCCCATGAGATTTCCTGCTTCGTCTTTCAATTGGAAGGTTGGGCCGTAGACTTTTAGGACCCTTGCTTCTGCGTCGGCAACTGCTGCTTTCTGCGCACTGGACTGCTCGCCTGGCGGGAAACGTGGGGTTTGTGTGCTGTTTTTGGAGGCCATAGTTGGTATATTGCGTATTTGGGAGGGGACGCGATGAAGAGAAGTGTGGCTTCGACGGGCGTGGAGAACAGCCAGAGGACGAGGACGAAGATGTGTAGTTGACCCAGAGTGGGACTTTTCATGGCCAAGCGGAGAGATGGTTTGCGCAGTGTGAGATACATTCGGTGGATGCGGATGACAAATACGCAAATCGCATTCGGCGGAGGTATTATCGTGCGAGATCATGACCGTGATGGGGGACGAAAATGCTTCTAGAGCACAAAAAGGAAAGTATACCATCATTTGGTCGGTCTAGCTGAGATGGGCCGGGTTCTTATAGGTGGGATTGTTTATGCTTCTTACGGGCGTTGCGGCGTAGCGCTATGAAGCGTAGAACCTAGGTATGCCGCCTGTTAAGGCGCCCACTAGGGTAAAGTGGAGAACAGGGCGGCGTGATGATCTTTCGTCGCAATACCATGTGCGTTGATGAATGATTTGCTGCACGCGTAGGCTTCGGTGGGCCGTTTCGCACCTTGCTCCATATTTTCACATCAGATTCGTCATCCTCGAATCTTGTAACTAAGACCCTCGGATCGAGTGGGATTTCCTGAGAGGTTAAAGCATGCTGCAGGATTAGCTCCGTAACCTCTTTTGGTAGCCGTCGGCCCACTGCTCTGTATGCACTGAACCTCGTTTCCGCATAGGCCTTTTGTTGAATAAGGTCCCAAATCTTGTACAAGCAATCGTGGAGACATCTATCGAGAAGACGCCATGTCTGGGCGCGTGAACCGTTCTCGGTCGATGAACAGGGTGTAATAGCGGTGAGAGGGAAGCTACTATCAGTTAGCTTGAAAAGAATGGATTAGGGTGTAGAAAAGAAAAAGGTTAGAAGACAACCGTAGGATAGAAGTTGTAAGTTAGGTTGGTGAGGTGGGGTAATTAAGAGAAGCACATGCCGAAAACCGCTCAGAGGTGCGGGGATGCGTGTTTCGAAAAGACTAGCATATTCTCATTCGGAGAGTGAAGTTGGACGAACGTGCCACAAATAATCCTTCTTGAGGACAGCTCGCTCTAGTTCCGTACAGCTTCCCTCAAAGGAAGCAAGTTTCTTCTCCAATTGACGAGAGCAGTGCGAGATAACGTCCGTGAAGTCCTAGGAATCCTCCCACACCCTCGAATAATAATCAATAATATTATGACCTATCATGAAAGCAGCCCGCATAATCCACGAGGTCACGACATCGCGTCACAGGCTTGGTTGAATTTGTGGAGATGTCGGTAGAGGTTGCTATCGGTATTCGTCCTAGGGTGAGCTGTCGACGCTTTGACTTCTCCGCCTCTTGTGCGCTGCTCTCCTTGAGAAGACGCTTTGGTTTCTTGATCTGCAGATTCCTCCAAATCCATGCCTGAACATCTAGGTCGTGGTTACGCGTTCTGGAAGGGAACGTAACGAAGAGAGATGACACCAGAGTGACCTGGCACAGGTAGTTAATACTCGAGAAGGGGATTACCAATGGCGAGGCGTGATGGACGAGCGAGCGTTAAACCGGAGGAGGGTTGGGAGTGAGATGGCTAGTAGTGGAACTGTGGAAACGCAACGACGCTAGCGAGCTTTAGCGCGCCCCTAAATCCAGGTGCGGTTTCGCGCCGTCAGGTGATTCAGCTGTCCCAACTTAGAGTTCACATATCGAGAACACTAGCTAAAGTTTTCCGAAGAGCGTAACTAGGGCAACAGCTATGTGCATGCAGACGCTTGGGTTCTGCTGCAACACTTCAAGGAACTGGCATTAACATGGGGTTAAACCCAAGATCACTTCATGAACCACCCAACTAGGCCCTTCCCCTTTACTTTCTCTTTCTTGTCTCTCTCCTGCTGTTCCTTCTTCCGCTCCAAGATCAGCGTCAGCATAGCGCAATCCCGCCGCTCCAACTCCTCCCTGTTCATGAGGCCTTTCCCCCCGTCCGGCGCCTCATCCTTCTCCTCTTCCAGCTCCCCTTCCATAATTCCCGTTGCTTTCGTCAAGCGGAGAATCTTAGACATCAGCCAGTCCTTATGCGTGAGCCCTGACGCCCAGTTCGATGGCAAATTGGCATAGCCAACATACGCGCCTAGAAGTGCGCCCGCTGCCGCGCCATTGGTGTCGGAGTCTCCGCCTTCCATGATGAGATCCGTCATTAGGTCCTCAAAAAGCTCTTTGGAGGGAAGAACGGATCCTTGAACTGCACGGATACCCAAGCGCAAGGTAAGAATCGCCGATCCAAGGCATTTGTACACATAGCCCATCTCCTTGTGGTTGTCGAGCTTCAGATCTTCCAGCGATTGCGCGTAGACATGGCGTTCAAACTCCTTCCGCTCGAGATGCCGTTTGATCTCCCACTCGGTTATATCGGTGTAGAGTCCAGGGTTCATGAGGTCGGGCTGCGAAACCACCCAGTTGTAGGCTCGTTCAATGGCCGCATCGACATGCTCCATGGTCGTAATCTCACCACGGAGCAGACCCCAGATCAGACCGACAGAGATACAGCATGCAACGGTGCACCGTGGATCCGCATGAGTGGTCATGCCTACCGAGGCTGCAAGCCTCCATACTTCCTCTTCGGGCAGTCCAACTCCGATCACACCGATCGGATGCGTGCGCATTAAGCTCCCATTAGGCGCGACATGTCGAGCTGTCTTCACCCAGCGCTTGATGGCAGTATCGGTCGGATCCTTGAGGTAGGCTTTGTGGCTGACGACCCCGCCGACCAACGCGCCGATGCCGCACGGCGGACGATCGAGGGCGCGGCAACCTTGTTCGATCCAGATCTGGAGGCGAGCTGCGAAATCCAGTGGGAGCTTGGTGAGGGTGTCTGATGACGAGTGGTTATATAGATACGAAAGGATGATGAGAAGAGCTTGGTCTGTGTCGTCGGTCCATGCGCAGGGCTCAAAGCGCACTACAACTCTGTCAGTACTTGATTTGCAAGGATGAATAGTACTGCATGGCACTTACTTCGATGACTATCTGGATGCCATTCCGTCACCGGCTCGAGCAGACTAAATTTCCTCTCTTTGTAGATGCTTTCACAAGCTTGCTTGGGAAGAAACTCTGTGTACAGGCCAATCGTATCCCCCAACGCTGATCCCATCAGACATCCATAGATCTTATCTATCACAGTCGATCGTACGAATGGATGTGCATTCAAGAAATCTAGATCAGGTCTTGAAGGGACAGCCGGTTGCGGTGGCTGAGCATCGGATGCATCCTCTCGACTTACTTTCGTGGGTGATTCAACGTGGACGAAGTCGGACATGATAGAGCAGAGAAGGAGAATTTTAGAGGATCCAGGTAACAGATCTTCCAGAGCACACCTGGCTTGTATATTAGTTCGGTGCCTGATGCTTGCGAGTACGAGGTTGGTCGCCTTGGCTTGCCAAGTAGCTGAAGGCAGCCACAGAGCCACCACAAGACGCGCCTTTTCGCTCACTGGACGCCCGACACTGCTATGGCGAGACCAACTCACGATGTGGCTCATGGCGTAATAACATATTTCCAAATCATCTGATCATGCTTCCCAACTTTTGGTGTCCATAAAGCCCGACTTGCAGCCATGCTCCATTCTCGCCTCCAATCGTCCCATCATGGATCTTTCCCTCACATCAACAGAGGCTTTCAAAGCCACGACAGCCTATCCCACTTACGAATTCCCCGAATTTACAAGCGCAAAGAATCTCGGACCGTTGACGACGAGCTTCGCCTTTCCGACAGGATGCTACACCAACCTAATCGATATGAACAGGGATGGACTCGGTCCGTCAGGTGCATGGAAGACGCTTGGATGCGCGATGAGCACATGCTGTCCGTTCGACAGCTTCTACACCGAGGAATGGGCGTGGATGACGAGCTACTATTCGCCCGGCGTGTGCCCGTCGGATTATCAGTCCTGCGCGCCGCCGACGCAAAGCGGGTTGAGACTGACGCCGAGGGAAGGAGAGAGGATCGTGTTTTGCTGTCCGAACAGTGAGTTGATAACTCTCATCTCTGGGGCAGTAGGGCGCTAAAGGAATGTAGACTGCATATGTCCCAACGACGAAGACATGCCCAGCATAGCACCGGGGGCTTGCGGTAGTCGCCTCACCCTCTCAGAGGAACTGACTGTCTACACCGTCATGAATAACTTCCGCGACCAGCGGCCCGAAGTTACAATTCCGTATACGTTTGAGCCTGGTTTCACGCAGGAGTTGCAGATCGCGTGGCCGATCCAGATACGCATTCCGGATACGGGGACGACAGCTGCGACGACTTCGAGTGCGTCAACCGGCGGAAAAGAAGGTGTGGAGCTGTCGACTGGTGCTATCATTGGCCTTGCATTTGGCGGTTTCTTCAGCATCTTCATCGTGTGTTTAGCTGCATATCTTCTGCTGAGGAGGCGGAGAAATCGGCGCGGAGAAGACGCCTCCCAGCCCGAGATGAGAGAAGGAAGACCGGAGACGCCGTATAGCCCCGCGCCGCCGTATAGCCCGCAGAGTATGTATCTGCAGAGGAAACCGCTACCACAACAATACGCGAATGTCGTAAGTGATCCGCCTTGTCTTGGAGATTGTGGGAGACTGACGGGTTGGAATAGGAGGGTGCGCCGTATGAGATGCCTGGGTCACCGAATGCGGTGGTTGAGTTACCGGAGAGGCAGTAGACGCAGGAAGAGTGGAATTGGCCATGTCAACTGGGCCAGGCGGCGGGGCCTGTCGGGTTGGTTAGAGAGAAAGGAGACTTGACGCAGCTAATGGTGATCGCTTTGGACGCCTATGCCTTAATATCAATAGAACCAATGTCCACGCGTTTCGTCCCGACCCGATGTCTTTCCCAGGAACCATATTGGACTGCTAGATCGTCTTCGACATATAGACTGAATTGTCACTGATATCAAAGACCTTCCTTCTTCCTACTCGTCCTTGTCGCATATTCCAAAGTTGTGGGTTTTCTAGACCTGGGAAGTGGTGGGCGCAAGCCTGAGACCCGGGTTCCATCCCGAGAGCTGAAGTGTCGGGTCGCAAGCCGCGATACCTCCTCTTTTCTGTTTCTGACCGCTGTTAAAGCATCTTCGCAGCTGCGATGCCCGGAGAAGTGCTTCCAAGCGCTCAGCTCTTGTATATTCACCCCGCTCTTACTTCATCCCTAGCGCAAGCGATTGGAGCTTCCAGGTCATGCTTCTCGCCTCCCAAGCACCTTGCCACCGCCATATCTCATCCCCCCAACCTCGTGCATCGTTCCTGGATCTTGGTTCCTGGATTCGCAGAGTCGATGAGAGAATCAGCCCGCGGTGTTCGCCGCCTCATCTCCGAAATCGAGCAATGTCCTCCCACCTTCCTAATCGGGACACGCTTCGGCTGCAGCGTGTCGTCCGCATCCAACCAGCTCAGGTACGCGTTCAGCCTCTTTTCATGCCAAGCAGACTCCACCCACGACTGTTCCTCTCCTGCTACGTGAGGATAGCTGCGAGCGGACGGAGCTCATACCTGATTACGGCCTGCATGCGCGAGCGAAGTCTTGGGAAGATGAGGTATAAGAGCAAGGGTGCCTCTGCAGGGAGGAGGGAGCCAGGCGCGTCGCATTCGCTACGATGGCTTCTCTCGTTCGATTCTTCGGCCTTGCGGCTTCGATTGCTGTTTCTTCGGCCTTGACGATCGCAGAGATCAATGGCAACAAGTTCCTTTCGCCCTACAACGGTCAAACCGTCTCCAATGTCTCCGGAGTAATTACCGCGAAAGGCCCAGATGGCCTCTGGATCCGTTCGACTACCCCCGATCGCGACTCAAGGACGTCAGAGTCCATCTATGTGTTCGGGCGCGCTTTCGGCACGAATTTGACCATCGGGGACACGATTGTAATTGGCGGAAGGGTCCAGGAGTATCGCTCAAACAAGGATTACCTCTACTTGACGGAGATCTCCAGTCCTACGCTGGAAGAGAAGCATTCGAGCAGCACTGCCGTGAAGCCGCTGATTATCGGAAAAGATACCACAGATCCGCCGACCCAGCAGTACAGTAGCTTGGATGGTGGAGATGTCTTTGCAGTACCGAACAATGTCTCTCTCATTTCCGTAGCGAATCCATTGCTGGATCCAAAGAAGTATGGATTGGATTTCTGGGAGAGTCTGTCCGGCGAGCTGGTTACGGTGCGCAAGCCGAAGGCGATTGCAAAGCCGAACAACTTCGGCGACACGTGGGTGGTTGGAGACTGGAAAGTTACCGGTCGGAATGCACGTGGAGGCTTGACGATGATGGACAAAGGTAGGTCGAAGTGTGAGCCTGTATCGAATCCGCACTGATCGTGTCCAGACGCCAACCCAGAAACCATTATCATCGGCAGTCCTTTGGATGGAAGCTCGAACCCCTCTACTACGAAACTCGGAGACGACCTGGAGGAGATCACTGGTGTGATCACCTACGCTTTTGGTTTCTACCGCATTCTGCCCACGACCTCTATCAAGATCACCAAATCTGCGAAGCCTGAGCTCCCAGCGGCCACCAAGCTCCTTCCAAGCGGGAACTGCGACGGCATCACTTTCGGCGCGTACAACGTCGAGAATCTAGCGCCCACCAGTAGCCACATGACTGCTATCGCGTCCCATATCGTGGAGTATTTGAAATCTCCGGATTTGGTCTTCGTGCAGGAAGTTCAGGACGATAATGGACCCACTAATGATGCAGGCAAGTCTTTAGACCGTTCCAGACCAACGACAAATACTAACAGTCCTCAGTCGTATCCGCGAACCTGACCCTCTCCACCCTGACCGCTGCCATCGCCTCAGCAGGCGGTCCAAACTACACCTTCACGGATGTTGCGCCCAGCGACGACCAAGACGGCGGGCAACCTGGCGGTAACATCCGCGTGGCCTATCTCTACAAGCCTTCCCTCATCAGGCTTTATAAGCCCAATCCGGGAGGCGCATTGGACGCCAATGAAGTCTTGCCTGGCCCAACTCTTAAGTATAATCCTGGACGCATCGATCCTGCTAACGCGGCCTGGACTGCGAGCCGCAAGCCCCTTGTTGCACAGTGGGAGGTCATCGGTCGGAACGGGAGAGGTAATGGTAAGTTCTTCACTGTGAACGTGCACTTCGGATCAAAGGGGGGAAGTAGCAGCATTGAGGGTGACGCGAGACCGCCGGTAAATGGTGGTGTAGAGGATCGATTGGCGCAAGCTGAGTTAACCGCGAACTTCGTTAAGGTACGTTCACCATTCAGGCTCTGATCTGGACCACGTGTAAGCTTCGACATCCTCTGAACAGGTCTAATATGTGTGCAGGCTATCCTGACTAAGGACAAGAAAGCTCGCATCATTACCGCCGGAGACTTCAACGAATTCACCTTTGTCGAGCCCCTTGAGCAATACACCTCGATCTCCGGCCTTAAGGATCTCGACGCAGTGGTCGGCATTAAGCCCGTGGAACGTTACACTTACCTGTTCGACATGAACGCCCAGCAGCTCGACCACATGTTTGTTTCGGATGCGGCGACGAAGAAGGCACAGTATGAGCATATCCACATTAACACCTGGGTGGATAGGGACGCGCAGATCAGCGATCATGATCCAAGTGTTGCGAAGCTCGATGTTTGTGCGTAAGCGAGCGAAGCTAATCGACTAGAGCTTATGATGAAATGAGATGAATGGTACTCACAATCCTTGACTCAACGTTGTGTCTTGTCTTTATGGCCCGCGGTGTCGTACGGCATAGTTGGGGCAGTGTAGCTTGCTTACACCGCTCCGCTGATTCCCGCTAATTCCCGGATCGTACCAAAAACTTAGCAAGCTTATTGTGAGTCAGGCCTGAGGTTGGAAACGAAGAATCATTGCAGACCGCGCAATACGACCTATGCGAGGCTGCTGACAAACACCCACTATCTGCTAACCCCAACTTGGCTAGCCTCTAACCTAGATTTGACTCAACTCGCTCAGCCCTCTGCATTTCCGTCACTTTTTCATCCCACGCGTGCGTCGTATGGCTGCAGCGACGAGAAATTCTACCGCGTACATGCAGCCATTGCTCTGAGTCAATGGGTTGATGGCGTAGCGCAGAAGCGTTGGTTGGACGGTTCGAGGTCATGGGAATGGTGAGGCGCGCGTATTCAGCGGACGACGCGGAAGGCGTGGCTTGGCTTAGCCGTTCGCGTGCTGTCGTGAGAAGGGCGCAGCGGGGACGTAGGCCTTAAACTAGGTGAGTCGATCGGAGGTAAGTGCATGTGTTCGTGTATAAAGGTGGCGATGCTGCCGCACGTTTCCGGCATCAAGACGACAACTCATATCACACCAACCTTCTACTCATCTCGAACACGAACTCTATCAACCACCAGATCACATCGCGTCCAAACCACACCCACGCACACTGCGCATATCTCAGAACAACACCACCGCGATACCAGACCGATCACCATGTCGACACAACCGATCACCGCCGCAATGATCCCGAACCCCCGACCAAGTGTTAGCGCTCTTCCCGAGAAGGACACCGCATCGATGAGGTCGACATCAACAGCAACCTCCATGACTTCGCTCCTCAAGTCAATGTGGAGGTCGAGGCGGGCCGCGAGGCCTGCTGAGTCTCCGCAGATGAAGAGTGAGAGGAAGTTGCTACAAGCTGAGGCAAGGATGGCTTGGGCTGCGAGTCGGTAGAGGAAACCAATCTCAGGATGCTCATTTGAATCTCTTCAGCCCCGGCGCTATCAGGCCTCGACGTTTGAGGTGACTCCCTACCCCGAGTTATCGGCCCGCATCGGAATCTGTCGGGACTTGCTATAGTCTTGAGCTGGATAGTAACGAAGAGAGGCGTTCCGCTTCGTGGATTTTGGAAGACTTCTGACAAGGCAACGCAGCGACCTACCTGTCGCAAATACACTTAACGGGACTTCTTGTTTTGGATCCTCCTTCTTTTTATGCCTTTGCACAAAACTTTTCCGCTATTCATTTTCCTGTTCTTCTGTTAATAATTATAGATTCACCATACCCGATCAAATCAAAGTCTTCAATCCCTGCTTCTTTTGTCGGTCCCTTCAGTGTAGTGCTACTCTTGCCTTAACTTCGGTTCTCTTACAACATTCGTGCTCTAGAAACATGCACGTGCGAATACTCCCGGACATAACCGTCACGGGCGTTTGCAACCCTCTCCTGACCGCTTGTTGCTCGTCCCCCACGCGCGGCATTCGTCACCGCTGCCCTTTCACAACACTGGGTAAGTGCTTCAAAGCAACCTATTACGGAATAGGACACTCCGTGCGAAGTCCTCTGATCTGGGAGTCCCGTTTGCAGCTCGGCATTTTCACTCGAAAGTAGAAGATGGCCCGTCACGCGACGGTGCGCACCAGCTCCGAAGTCGTCCATAAATTGCGCGCCAGCAACTGCTCCCTCCTCTCCACCATCAACGCCCTTCCTTGATTATCACTTTTGTTCACGATACTGAAGCCCTTCAGCCCAACGGTTTCCTTGTCTGGGGCCCGGTATCACACATTAAAGACTCCTTTTCACTGTTACTAAACAAACGCGGTTGCGCTAATACTCGCGGTCACTGCGAAATCTTTGTGGCCCGGAGCGAGGACAAAATTCTCCACACAACCGCACCTCTGATCGTAACCACCATCACCACCGCTGCACGTTGAGCCGCGATTTCTGTCACCGCCTGTATACGAGTCAGCTGCTGTTAAGATGGCTTCCGTGGTCGAGGGTGTTGTAGCTGAGGCTGTCTTTGTCGGTGTTGATAAAGACTACGACGCCGGTGACGACGCATGTACTCCACCAGGCTCTCCTCATGATGATCGCGACGCCGGCAGTGCCGCTATTCTTCGACGTCGCGACTCCGTCGGTCAGGACGAGGAATCCCTTCCTGGTTCAGATAGTGAGGGCGCTGCGGGTGCTGAGGACCTTCTCGACGAGGAGGATTTGCCCGATCGCTCTCCGCCCTCTGATGACGGTATGTTGCGAAAGTCTCTCACCCTCATATCCTAAATTTGGATACCTATTAGAAGAGTCTCTGTACCACTTACTGACGCTCTCAGAAAACGAACTCGACCACAAGATCTCCCTCAAGAAGGCCAGTGCCGCTGGAGCTGCCGTCGGCCCGCCCGCCTCTCCCTTGTTCGAGCCGATGGACGAAGATCGCCATCTAGCCGATAGCGACACCGACATGACCACTCTCGAGTCCGACGGCGGTGGTTCAACTCTCATCTCCCCGTAAGTCAATCCTGCATTCCTCAGCCTAAAGTGCCTCAACTAACTTTCCACCCACAGAAACCTGGATGGCCTCAAGCGTGCCCGAACCATCAAAGCCGACATCGAGAACAACATCTCCGTGTTGAAGTCCAAGAACAAGACTAATCTCCTTCGCCGCCGCGTAGAGGATGACCCCGAGAACCAGCTTATCAAGACGCTTCGCCAAGAACACCGTATGGATTGGGGTGCCATAGCCAACTACTTGAACGAGGAGCGCCAGAAGCGCGGTGAACCGGCGTGCTTCACCACACCCGCCGTCTACTCTCGCTTCGTGCGCAACGGTCCCCGCATCGCTGCTGCTCTAGGTATGACCTACCCTGGAGGCCCTAGGGTCATAAAAAAGAATGCTAACAGATGCGGACCTAGGAGAAATCGGCTTCGACCCGAAGGACTACATGCACCTCCGCAACCCGAAGCAATATCTGGCTGCCAACACCAACCTCGGTAGTAGCATCCCGCAGAAGCGTGCCCGCGAGGAGACCGACTGCGAGAAGGGAATCAAGGATAACACGCGGAAGCGCTCCAAGCTGGCCGATGACTGCGCGGAGCTGGAGACGACCGAGAAGACGGAGCTCCTGATGCAGGCTGTGGCGACGGTGGAGCGCAACTTCTGGATATTCGTGGCGGATGAGCTGGAGCGTATGACGACGAAGTTGTATGACCCGCGTGCTATCGAGAGCCGTTATCACGCTATCTGAGGTTGTGGATTAGGGGGCTGCCGCCTTGGGCGTCCCATTGGTTGGCTACGTGTCTGGTGTTCTGGTTAGGGCCTTGAGGTGTTTGGAGTCTTCACCATTGGGCAAGTGTTTCTCATTGGGCCCTGGGCCCTCCCAGGCTGGGAGTTGCATGATTACTTTGTGGGGGCGGTGTTAAGGCGGAGAAGTGTCTCTATGGGTATACAAACTTGTGGATAGCTTGCTAATATCCTTTCCCCTCCCAGACCCTTAGCCGCCTCCCGTGACTTATAGAACTTACCTGAATAGTGAATAGCCAGCTGAAGCTCTAGTAGTCTCCTTGTCGCTCACTCACATGCGCATCCCGGAAACGGGAAACGATGGTTCGAACCGCGAACATGCACCTTCGATCGAAGGACGAAGGACGTGCCATGCTGCATTCCTATTCGCCCACTTCCATGCAATATCGGCCCACCATCCTCTCGGCAAGCCGAGCCATCGGACCCAGCTCCTGCCGGGCAACGGCCCGGAGCGAATCACGATAGCCGAGCCCCCTCCCTCGCTTCGTCCTTCATCCTTCACCGTTCAATGCAAGCCAAACCTTTTACGTACAAACACCCCACAGCAATGATTTGCCACTGCAAGCTTTTGTTCGGACCTTCTATATCTATCAGTCCACATGGTATCCTCGTCTGTGCAACCACAAGCGCATCATCGATACCGATATCAGATGTTGCCGAACAAGGATAATGGCGCTGTGCGCGTCGCGGATGATGAGCCGGAGATATCGCCAACCGAGGAGCAGATGCAAGGGTTTGAGGATAGGCATGGAGATGGGGACGGAGGTGGAGCGGGGCGTGTTGTGCCTTGGAAAAAGCAGGCCGTGAGGGACTTGAAGGTTTCCAGGCATCGCGATACGTAAGTATATTTTTCTTTGCGGCGAAGAAGGCTGGCTAAGTAGCTTCGCAGATATATGGGCGCGCTTGCCTTCAATGTCTGCAGCTTCATCCTCCCTGCCCTCTACACCACTCTGTCTAAGCTATGGGTCGCCAACATCGACTCGTCCATGGTCGTCACTACAGACTCATACACGTACATCGGCGTTGTCGCCGAAGTTCTTAATGAAGGTCTGCCGCGCGCATCGTACCTCATCATCGGCGACAAGGCGGGCCGCACTTTCCGAGAAAGACTCCAGCTCACGCACACACTCATCCTCTTCCAATCGATTCTTGGGCTGATCATGAGCATTGCTTTTGTGGGCGGCGCATCCACGTTCGCTCAAGGTTTCGTGCCCGTGGAAGTCAGAGCCGCGAGCCTGACATACGTCCGCATAGCGGCATTTTCGGCCTTCAGCTCCGCCATCGAATACGCCGTCAACACTGCTACCAGGGCTCTGGACAAGCCCGACGTACCGCTCATCATCAGCTCAACGAAGTTCGCAATCAACATCATCCTCGATCTGATCATCATCTCGAAGTTCCACGTCCGCGGCGTCATGCCGACGGTCAATATGCAAGCCGGCATTCAGCTCGCGTGCAACCTAGCCTCTGCATTCGCAGGTCTCGCATACTTTGTCTACACTACGAGCTTCAGGCGCAAAGCCGAAGCTCGCAGGGAGAATTCCAGCACTGAGACTACGCCGTCGCTTCCTGCTCTTGTCAAGCTGGCCAAACCGGGCTGTGTCTTCCTCCTCGAATCAGCCATCCGCAACGCTCTCTACCTCTGGCTCGTGCACAACATCGTCACCATGGGGAGCGACTACGCCACTGCCTGGGGCATCTTCACCACCATCCGCTGGGGCCTCATCATGGTGCCAGTCCTGGCGCTGGAAGCCACAACCCTGACCTTCGTTGGTCACTCATGGGGCGAGTTCCGCAAGGCGCTTCAGCCTCACGTCACAAGAGCTCAAGCTACTTGGCGTCAACTCTGGAACATAACGCGCTGGGCCTTGTACTCCGTCTGCATCGCGCTTGCGGTCGAAGTCCCCCTCTGCCTGCTCATGTCCTTCCTCGGCGCCCGTCCTTTCGCCCGCTACCTCTCCGGGTCGGATGAAGTAGCGCGCATAGCGGCACATATGTGGCAGACGATCGATTGGTGCTACATCTTCTATGCGGTGTCCACTCAGCTCGCGGCTATCCTGCAGGCAACACGCCCGGATTGGTATCTCTACCAATCGCTGGCGTCCAATCTTCTGTACGTCTTGCCGTGGGCTATTGTGTGTCAGGTTGCGAATCTGAATCCGGGAGATGCGTGGACGTATCATAGTCTGGTGTTTGGCGGGAGCTTGGTCTTCTCGTTCTTCGATGTGCTGGTCGTGGATGCGATTTGGGCGGTGAGGTTGAGGGGAAAGGCGAGGGTGAGGGGCTGGTTGATTGGTAAGTGATGGAGGGAAGGGTGATTGGTAATTGATGAGGGGAGGGTGATTGAGACTCCTCTGGGAGGGTTGAGGTATAGAATAGATGAGGTGTGGATTGGGATGGCTGAAGGGTTTTTAGAGAGCCATACCGATACCGATCGCAAGACTATTTGAGTCCTGACGTATTCCTGTCGTACTTCTCTGCATACGCCGAAGTAATTCCCTGAGGGTGCCTTCGCCTGTCTAATGAATTGCCCCAGTTTGCACCTTCTTCCATATCCCTCCTAGCTTGCACTGTCATGACTGAAACGTCATGATATGCCTCCCATGCCGCTCCGGCTCTCATGCTGTCAGACCGTCATCCCACCTCGCACTCAGCGTTGCAGAAACCACTCTGATAGGTACACCACGCGCATGGCGCTCCACCTTCTTTGAAACGTACTCCTGATTTCCTCCGATTCCAAGTGTACACCAGAGGGTGAAACACTCGGCATTTCCTCCCAAGTGACTTGCAGCGGAGGCAGGGTTTGATTGGATCCATACCATATTTTCCAATCATGAGCCTAGCTCGCGCAATCCTACACTTCGTTACGATATGGATGCTGTTCGCGCGATCCGATCGGTGAAACTCATCTCGAATGTTGATGTCTTGGGCGTCTTGATAATCTCGGAGAAAATTGTGCAGATTAGCTTCCGTTGGTAATGGAGGGTGAACAGACGGGTTGTACTGGGGAAAATAGTGGCTGCTAGAGCGAGGAACATTATTGGTTGGTAGGGGGGCCTTTTGTCCTCGAATACATGCGGATGGACGTCGGGCTATTGGCGCTTCCGCGGGTGCGCTTAGCTCCGGCTCTTTGGTTTCAGATTGCTCATCTTCCGTTAGCTCGTTGTTGGAGTCCAGTATCAAGATCGGTGTTTGTTGCCGAGGAAGGGTGTTGTCTCCGGGCATAGATCCTGAATGAGTTCCAGTGGGGGAAGGTGCGGTCTGCGTCAAATGAATTAGCGTCCTCTATCAGGATACCTAGGTATAGAATTACGTTCGCAGGCATGTAGTATAGAGCACCTACCCGGCTGTAGGGCTTGCCCACGAAATGTGCGAAGATATGGATCTCCCCGTCCTTCAAATTCTCCCAGGTGAAATATTCGCCATCATCCCAAAGGAATGCAATGACAGTCGCCTTGCATCGGGTGCCATTGATCTCCTGACTCTTCAGGTGGAAGTGGGCGTCCCACTTGTCTCGGGGGAATTCGTTATTGAAGAGACTGAAAGCTAGGTCTTCAAGCTTCTGTCGCGCTGGGCGTCAACTTCCGTTTGCTTATTTCACGAGGACAGCTTACCTTATGGCTGCTAGCATAGCTGTGAGGGACTCGACTGCTGATATTAGGGCTCTTGAAGGAGCTGACGAGGACCACAGGCGTCGGCGGCGCCATCTTGATGCGACGTGGTGAGTGTGGAAGAGGTTAGAGATGGAAGTTGCGAGCTTGGAGGAGAATTGCGCTGTCGGTGTAGTTACTGGTCAGTGCGCGCTTCAAACGGAAAGAGCGGTCGGCGCTGACGCCCAACCACGTGACAGTCACTCCTCCAGGGCTGAGTCGTTTCTGCTCATTGTAAATTTGGAAGTAGAGAGCTGAATGTGTCGACTGTAGATGTGATGCCGGATCGACCGGGGATTAAGGAGCGAAGGACTTGAGGACCCAGCATCCACTATCGCCCGCGCAGAGCAAGACAGCGCGGTGTAGCGTATGCTCTATGATCTGAGCAGGCGCCCAGAACTCGAAGCTGGTTGGCCGAGCGACGTCTGTCCGGCTGACAAGTTACCACCAGTTCAGAGGGGCGATGTCATCATTGGTTAGATAGTCAACTCTGCCTTGCTGATAGCTACCATTCTGCAGACTCAGAGCCCAGGTGTCCAGCTGCTCCCAGCTCATCTCTTCGCCAAAGTCCAGTATTTGGCCGCAGAATGGGTCACTGAGAAGGCCTTCGGAGGGCAGTTGCTCGGTCGGAGTCATGTGCCGGGCTTCTGTCCCTGGCTTTAGTGCGGGGGGAGTGTCGAGCGACTCTGGAGGAGTAAGAGCTTGCTTCCGAGCCTGGCGCGCACGCTTGAGTATTCTGAGCAGTGGCTGCCACAGGACGTTCTGCCGGCATCTTGGTTTCGCCTGTATTCCATAAGCATCCGCAGCGGTTTCCTGGCCTGACAAGATGTTGGGATACTCGGTATTGTGGGGTCTGGAATACTTTAGCGGGCTATCCGGTTCCGGCTCAGGATCCAGGTCGACAAATCTTGAATCTAGGACCTCCCATGCTCGATCCACAGCAGGGCCTCGGGTATGTTTGCAAAGCTGAATTAAGATATAGGCCGCGGCGTGCCATTGCTGGTACTTGCACCGGAAGAACCAGCCGTATGGGCGGTTTCTATCCGGCAACTGATGAGCCACCCTGAGGACCTCGGTGTTGTAATCCAGTAGTTGTTCGTCCAACACCTCTGTGTTATTCGGTCGCGATGCATCATGCAACAGCCCTCGGAGCCTGATCATGATAAGTTGAATGCCGAGGCTGCAGAGGCGATGGAGTTCTAGATGCTCATTGAGGTACTTCAGGTAGACGTCCTCACATCGTCGTAATTGCTTGTTTATCACACTTTCCTGTTCTTCTCGGCTTGCTCCACGCTGCAGTCGCGTGAACTTGAGGTAGGTTCTGGTCCTTTCAATCCTGACTAGGCTGACTGTCATTTCGGTAAACTCATTCCTGGGAGCAATAGCTTCGGTGTCGAGTGGGGGAGTAGGAATCTGGTAGACGTCCAAGTGTGCAGGATTGACTTGGCTAGAGCCTTCGGAGGGCGACTGGGATAGTGTTGTGGAGACATTTCCCGATAGTTGCGTCGATGTGCGGGTGCAGGTGAGGTCCGAGTCGTTGATATGAAATGGGAGCCTGGTATCCGCGGCCAAAGGCACGTGAGGCTCAAGACCACAGTTCTCCGAGACCCGGACGTCTATCAAACAGAGAGTCCACCACACACGCCGACGCACTTCGGTCTCAATAGCTCCCAGAGATGAGGCACCGTCTGTGTGGATGCCCATAGCCTGGGCAACGCTGATAGCGATACCACAAATAATCCAGGTCGAACGGATATTCTCCGAAGCGAAAGTCTGTTGACGTCAGCCTGGAGGCCTTCAGTGGAGATGAGGAGTCAAAAAGCGTCAACGCATAATCCGATTGAGGTACCTCAGTAGGAAATCGAAGTGGATGAACTTTGAGGAACATACAAGGTAAAGTGTGAGGCTTTGGAGAAGGACGAGTTCTTGGGTCGTCATCCATCCAGCTTGTGCAAGTGCCTGTTCCAGGGCGTATCGATACTTGCGAATGAGCGATATTCTTTCCTTTCCGTGTAAGACCTCGCATTCCTCTGCCGACATAGACGAAACGACGGCCAACCAGAGCGCGAAGAGGAATGCCTCGGTGGAGCAATCGATATCATCTGGATTTCTAGAAGCGTGCGCAATTAGAGCTTCTACGTCTGGTTTATACAGTATCTTGACTAGGATGTCTACATGGCCGGCGTAGTACTCCCACAAAGCGTTCATGACGGCAGGGCTTGGGTGATAACTTCTGAGATTTTGAGTGACACTTGAAGGAGTCAGAAGAGAGCTCACGGCAGGGTTTCCTTTCGTCTCCGTCGATGTTAGACCTCCTGAACTATCTTCGTCTCCAGCAAGTACTGTTGCTATATCTTCGACCTGATGAACGTCAGCTCCACAAAAGGCTCTGAAGGCATTCGGGTTGCTGCGCCCTTACTTGGCGGGCTCTGTCGTTGCTGATATATTGCGACTTCCCATTGGGCCCAATGTATAATTTACCCCAGCTAATGGAGTGCGAAGTAGCTTCAAACGAACCGTCGCGCAGCTCCCTGGGGATAAGTGCGTCTTGGTCTTCGTCGTCGCTTCGGTCATCCTGGAGTCCTTCAACGGCTTCTCCATGGGCCGAATCACTGCCTAGGCTATCGGCTCTCTCCTGATTAGGAGGCGAGTGAGAAGCAGGTAGTAGGGGTCTTTGCACTCGCGACTCTTGATGGGGGTTCTTCTGGCTGGATAGGTATTAGTCAGCTTGAAGACCCTCAGTAGGCCAAACACCTACGATTTTCGAGGACGCCGAGCCGAGTAGACACATTGCGCGCCATGGCCGGCGCAATTGGCGCAACCGGTGAGAATCTTATCGCACTTGACTCTCCGAGCGCGGCACCGGAGGCACGCATATTGATGAAGCGCCAACTTGGGCATCCCAGGAACCTGTCTCGACATCGCAGTGGATTCGAAAGGTAAATCTAGTATGATTTACGACCGGCCCAGGGCTCGCGGTTAGCCGCAGGCAGGGAGAATCATTCGGGCTCTGCGTTGTCCTCTGGAAAAGGTCGGGTTGAGAGCGGTCGGACCAATTCCGGAAAAGCTGCAGTAAAAGGTACCGTTGTGGCTCTCCGTCCCCCACGGACGGATCAAGGATTGGAGGCAATTGTGGATACGGTGGTGGTTGGAAGAAGGGGGCGAATGAGTGCTTCGAGGTGAGGATGCGGCACAGTGCCGATTACGCTAGGCCGCAAGGCAGTTAGCGGCGGCCTCTCCTCGCTCTTTTCGCACTTTCCTGTCCAATCAAGAGACACCTTTTTCGTTCATCCGGAGCGCAACCTCGTGACTCTTCTCGGCATCCAGGACATTGAGGGCAGCGAGGGTTTTCTAAGCCCATAAGCAGACTCGGTGCTTCGCCCTGAACTATCCAATGAGAACCTACTTCGTAGTTGCGATTCCGACATAAATATGGCCCTCGTTCAATATCGAAAAGTCGCATACGAAAGCTTTGAGGGATCACCAAGCACCCATCATGAGCGGAAAGACCAGCGAAGACTACTCGATTCAGACAGGAGCAGCTCCGATTCCCTCTGAAAAGAGTGATCCCGATGCTAAACCAGCCGGCGACGACAGTATCATCGACTTCGAGGGCCCGGACGACCCGCTCAATGCGCTCAACTGGCCGTTCAGGAAGAAGATCGTGGTGACGGTGTTGTACAGCTTCTGCACCATGGGCACCACATGGGCGAGTACGATGTGAGCACTTCTTGCTCTTGGTCGTTATAGCTTTCGTTAACGCCTTGCAGCTACAACTCCGGCCTCCCGCAAGTTGAGCGGCATTTTGGAGTTGGCAGAGAGGTAGCTCTTTTGGGCATGAGTTTCTTCCTCTTAGGGTAGACTTTGCCCTCTTTCCTCCCTACATAAACGGCTGATACGATACAGTAACGCCTTTGGTCCACTCCTCTGGGCGCCAATGTCCGAAGCCTACGGTCGCAAACCCTCGATTTTGTATCCCCTCTTTGGCCTGATGGTCTTCTCATTCGCATCCGCTACAGCCAAAGATATTCAGACGTTGCTCATTACCCGGTTCTTCGCTGGGGTATTCGGAGGAGCGTCACTCAGCAATGTCGGCGGCGTGTTGGCGGATATGTGGCCTGCAACGCAGCGAGGCGCGGCACTCCTTATTTGGGGAATCTCCGTCATAGTCGGGCCATTAATCGCACCCATAGTTGGTGGTGCCCTTGTCATCAACATGCCTACTGTGGGCTGGAGGTGGACCGAATATGTACGTTCTGCTGGGAGGAGGGCTATGGTCTCTTCACTGACGTTCCGTACATAGATTACCGGCATCATTCTCGCGGTAATTCTCGTGGCTGGTTTCATATGGGCTGACGAAAGCTACCCTCCAGTGTTGCTCGCGCGCAAGGCCAATCGCGTCCGTATGGAAACCAAAAATTGGGCGATCCACTCGAGGAGCCAGGAGACGGAAACGTCCTTTAAAGCAATGGCAAGCAAGTATCTCATCGTGCCAATTGAGATGCTCTTTGACCCTATCTGCTTCTTCATCAACCTATACTCAGCCTTCTGCTATGCCATTATCTACCTGTAAGTCGCATCGCTTCACATGGAGATGCACCGACTCATGTAAGTATAGAGCCATTATCGCCTTCCCCATCGAGTTTATTGAGGTTCGCCACTGGAATGCGGTTGTTGGCTCCACGCCCTTCATGGCGATCGTGGTGGGCGTCGGTTTCGGAGCAGGTGTGATTATATGGGGCCAGCTCTACTACCGCAAATGCCTCATTGCCAACGACAACAAGCTCGTCCCCGAGGCCCGCCTGATGCCTATGATGATCGGTTCCACCTTCTTCGCTGCTGGGCTCTTCATCATGGGTTGGACGGCGAAGCTCAGTATCCACTGGATAGCGTACGTATCGGTGCCGCCTGCTCGCTAGACGATTCTGCTGACTTTCACACAGGTTCTCTATTGGCGCCGCCTGCCTTGGACTTGGATTCTTCTCGATACTTCAGAGCGCTCTTGGTTACCTCGTCGACACCTACCTTATGCTCGCGGCTAGTGCGCTCGCCGCAAACATGTTCATGCGCAGCATTCTTGCTGCAGCTTTTCCATTGTTTGGTCATGCCCGTAAGTGTCATTCCTACATACCATCGTCTAGGACACAGATGTTAACTCGCTCTTGCAGTATTCGACAGACTTGGACTGGACTGGGGCCTAAGCCTGATCGGCTTCTTTGCAGTCGCTATGATTCCGATCCCTTTCCTCTTCTTCGTCTTCGGCAAACGCATCCGAGCCCTCGGTAAGCGATCAAAGATGTCGTTTATTCCTTGAAGCTACCAGGCTGGGCTCTATCCGCCATGCGCCGCAACTGCAAGCTCTTGTGACCACAGCATGAGGACGGTGTGGAGAGACCTGAAGCATTCTGCACTGGGAGCGTTTCGGGTCCCCGGAAAAGGCGAATTTAGCGCGCCGCTGAGCAGAGGATCTTGCGAGATTATTTTGATGCAGGAAGGATGTCTAGAGGCTGGCAAATATGTCAATTTTAATGCACTAGAGCTCGAGCCGACCTATTGGCAATTACACGGCTCTCATTGGTTGGGTGCGGCGTAGAAGCATCATCCACACCCGCAACATCGAAGCTCGACACTCCACTTTCTGCCTATATACACTAGACCTATTTAGGAGGAGAATACCCTATCTATGCCGCTTAGTAACAGTTGCTGAATGGGGCCAAATCTGGACAGTATGAGGATCCTAGCAGGAGACACTGTGCCACACGAGCCGCACGAGCCGCTCAACCTGCAACTTCGCCGCAATGCCATGCCTGCCAGGCTTCTACGAAACGACCAAGTACAGCGCTTGGCGTACGATTAAACCCGTTCAGCTCTCTTTTCTCTCACTCACCCTGCTTTTCCCTCTTCACGGCTAGATTCCAGGTGTCAGCAACCTCGGTGCCAGACATCTAGCACTCTAGATTAGACCTGAGCCTCGAAAATGAAGCCCCCAACCCTCAGCACTCTCTTCGCCCTAGCCTCGTCAGCCTACGCGGCGGCTGTGCCGTCCCATCTCCAGGACGTGCTCGCTGACCCAGCTATCCTGAAAGTCAGGGTTCCCGGCCACAACCGCGCATACTACACCCAAGTCGAGGCAAAGGACCAACTCTTCGAAGTCCGCGAACTAGTAATATACCCAGATCCCCCTGCACCGTACATCTCTCCCCTCTTTTGTCGTCGCCCTGTATTCATTTGCCTCTCCTCCCTTCCCCACGGACCATATCGCGCCAACCCCATACCTCTCACTAACCTTCCCCCACTAACCTTCCCTCCACAGAAACTCGCACATCTTCGTCTACCTCGACGGCTGGATCTCCTCACGCCATCTCGCAGGCCTCGAAAACGCCACTATCAGCATCTCAGGCGCATGCCTTACACCCTACGATGGAGGAGAGGGCAAACTCAGAGTTGAAACGGCTCATGGTGAGACACGGAAACGAATACGGCGGTCCATTGACCTGGGATTACAACGAACTGCTCTGGGATATGTTTTACTGGTATTGGCCGGAGCATGTAACGGCGAAGTGGGATTGCTCGGTGGAAGTGACGGCTAGATTGCCGGATGAGAGGGTGCTGTTTAGTTATGCGCAGGATTTTACGGTGAGGTGGCCGCCTTGTCATGGGGGAGCGAGGGGAGGGTGACGTGATTTTGGGGAGTGCGGATGGGAGGAGGAGGTTGCGTAGATTGCGTCATGCATATAGGTCTTGTCACGGGTATGGATACTATCTGGACGGGTATTAGATAGCGCTTTTTGATTCTTGAAAGGTAGGATTATGTTTGCTGTAGGTCTTTTCTTTCTCGTTTTACGCCGCGAGGAATAGGTAGTTGAAAAGAAAAGCCCACTCGCTGCCCACTACTCTCTGACGCCTACCCCCACGCATCCTCATCGAACAATGGGCTCTCCGAACCACGCAGCCCAGGATCCGTAACTCTCTGCTCCGCATCGCTCCCCTCTGGCTCGAACAATGGGCTCTCGCTCTGTCGCGGCCGCTGCTTGATTCCAGTTATTTAGCAGTACAGGACAGCAGCGGATGCTAGTACTCACCGAATGCTCACTCGCTTGAAGATTGGAACCAGAGGGTGGTGGGGCAATCTGGATAGTGCGAGCTGATGAAGAGTTAGGTGCTGGTGGATTTGGCGTGATTCCATATGACGACGAGTAGTGGGTGCTGTAAGGTGACTGCGCTGGACGTTTGCTAGTGGTGTCATTTTTCAATGGGAGTGGCTGCTGCAGCGCAGGCTGGTCAGTTGTAATGCCACAGGAAGGTGAAATAAAAACTTACAAGTCTTTGGGTGAGAGTACTGGCACGAGCTGGACGCGATCCTGACTTTGATGGCATGCTGGCACCATTAGCTGGAGGATGGCGAAGGCGTTCGAGATCTGCGGGGTGGCACATGATAGCAGTGCCCACTGCTCCGCCAGTCTACCACGTATTAGTACCATCCTATCATCAAGCAGTAAAAGCCGACGCACCTGTGCAGTTGCCGTCGGCGTCTGGTCGACGTCCGAATCCGACGATAGTTCTTCTTCACTCTCCTCCTCTTCCTCCACCTCTTCACCCGTTTTCTTCAGCGGAAACCCATAATCGTCCACACCGTCCCTCCTCACGAAGTGCACATAAACGACCACCAGCTTTCCAACGACGTACTCGCCGCGTTCCCATCGCGGCTTGTCGACCCGCTTGCCGCAGCCCTCCCGCGACAGATGTAGATGCGCATCGAAGACGCGTCGGTGCTTGAACAGAGGAACGTAAGCGCGCTCGATGATATCGTCGTAGCCGCCTAGGCGCGATGTAGGGAGTGCGAAGCCGATTTTGTCGGTGTCGAAGTCGCGGACTTGGATCATAGTATCGGGGGCCATGGCAAGAGTTGGTGGTTGGTTTGGACGGTGTGAAGTGCTTCGGGTGCTGGTGAGCTGGAAGGATGGCGCAAGGGAAAGGAGGGCGTGGGTACCTCGAAGCTGTGGGAGAAGAGAGGCGTGGGCAAGTAGATATATTGTTGATTTGTGGGCAGGTGACGTAGTGACCGGCGCGCGTGGATATATTCACGGGAGGAAAAGTTCTGCACGTGGAAGCCGCAGGTGAAAGCACCGGGGATGGAAGAGACATGTGACTGATGGGCAACTAAGTTGGGTTAGTAAGAGTACCTTCACTCTGCTCTATGGCGTGAAGTATCCCAGAATTTTCACGTAATCTTGTAGAGCCCATGAGCCAAACGACGACTTTTCGCTGGGCTAGTCTCTCCCAGACCTTTCAATTCTTGGTCTCCAATATATTCCCATCACTGACCAAGTCCCGGCCCCTTAGTTTCTACGTACCACAAAGTCTGTCCCCTCGGCTCCGTCTTCTGCACCGTTTTTCTTCGGCTGCGATATGGTAAGTAGGCTGGCTATGATGCGCCGAATTCGCTGACGAGTGTGGTGGGTGGGTCGGAATGCGTCGCTGATACGCTCGTGGACGTCAATATAAGGATAAAAATGGAAAGATTGAAAAGGGCGCCTGACGGCCGAAAGAAGGCAACGGCAATTAAGGGAGAATAGCTCTTTCCCAGGCGCCGCATGCTCGCAACTGAAAGCATCAGTAGTGAGAGAATCACGTTGCATAACGTTGGAACTAGAGCTGGGTGCGGAGATATTTCAAGAACAAGGTGTAAGGCAGAAGACTCTTCATGTACTTACCACTGCCCTACTAGTCAGGCATAGCCATCATGCAATAGCACCGACAATAAATCCCAAAATGCGCAATCAAAGCCCGAGAGCTCATTTCGAGCGGTGCAGCTTGTCTCATGCACTCCGATCATGAGCCCACGACCGGGATCGGCGCAGTTCGCACCTATGACCGCTTAGCCATCTTCCCCTTCATCCTGTCCGTCAAGCTGTGAGCTAAGTCCGGCACACCGCGTCGCCAGCCCCGATGTCCATCTTGCGAGCTTCCGACCGCGATAAATGTCTCTCCGGAGTCCTTCGATGCGCTTTCCTCCTCCTCACTCGGAGCACCTGCACTCGCAGAAGCTCCGCCCGCCGCGGAATTGCTCTTCACGCTCTCTTCCTCCGGAATTGAACTCAGCTTCGTGCGTGCCTCTGGCTTCCCCCTCCCTACAGCATTCACCACCCGTTTCTTGACAGCAGTCTTCAGCCTCAGGGGCAGCGTATCGTCCAAAGATTGCATACCTGCCCACATCTGGTCGACCGAGGGGCCGTCCGACTTGGTGCCAGTGCCTTGTGGGGATGTAGGGGCGGGGGACACACCAGGCTGAAGAGCTTCAGCCTCAGAAATGGGGATGGTTGGTTCGACTTTGCCGTGAGACGTGCCGCTCGTATTTAGTGAATCAGAACGCCGGGCGTTTTGTATGCTAATTGCGTTGCTTCGCCGTCGGAGCTTCGGCACACCGGAAGGGGTATGGAAAGGCTTTGGCAGGGACGCCTGTGGAGCCGAGGAGATCGGCTTAGACGATCCATCCCCCGGCGCTGCTTGGGAGCCTGAGCTCGGGAGAGCGCCAGAAGCAAACGGACCCGACAGCGCTGATAGAACATCATCTTCATCTTCATATGGTTCGAGCCCTGACGAGGTTTCACTCCCATCCGCATCTCCCGGGTACAGCCCCTCTTCGTCCGAGTCGTCCATATTACTCGCATCCGAACCAACATATTCGAAGCAACAACAACAGCAACAGGCGTGGCCCGCTTCGCAAGCTATAATGCGCATAATCCGGCACAGACGTCGGCCGCACTTCCTGAGGCGCTTTGCAAAGCCGCGGGCTTTTCGCACTAAGCAGCACTCGTCCGCGCGCGTTCCAGCTCTCTGGCCCTGCTGAGGCTGTCGCGGCGGTGTCGCACCAGAGCCAGAAAAGTTCTGTCCATGTTGAGCCGTTTCAGTAGGCAGAAGTGGGCTGCTGTCCTGGGGCGCTGGAGAAACACTGCTTTGACTCTCCTGTGGCGAATGAGTCTGCCGAGATCCGCTAGAAGTGACGGAGAGCAAACTATTTCGTGATGAGCCCTCCGTGTCTTGGTCAAGCGCGGCTTTGCGGATGATTTCGCTAAACGAAGGTTGTGATTTCTTGCTACGAGGACCACAGGAGCTCGTTGTAACGAGGGACGAATGACGACTAATGGGCTGACGCGTGAAGACACTGGGGGAAAGAGTTTGGAGATCGAGTCGCTTGGCTGAATCTATAATTGAGGTCCCGTTAGTAGCGGACGGTTATCAAATGGCATGGATGCCGTAGTCAACACTGCTAATGGGGCAACATACCAGGTTCAGAACCGGACTCCTTGGCCTCCAAAACCTTATGATTTGCCTGATCGGTCTCTTTGCCGGCTCTCCACTCAGCTGGGAGAGGTGGACGCTGTGTCGGTGGACGCTTCAAGAAAGCTTCCTGCAGACGCTCTGCTTCATCATGATCCGCGGGCTCTTGCCATTGCAGTAGTGGCACAGGGCCTGACGAGGTGAAACGAAAGTCCTCATCTGCAACCTTCGTGCCTTGACTGCGGACCGCCGCAGTCGGGCGGAAGAGGTGGGCCAACCTGTGCCGGTCCTTATACACTAGCAGCTCCACAACCTTGATCCTGCGATGTTCACAGTAAGGATTGATCCTCCAAGACTCGCATGAAGCAGAATCAGATTCGGACTCGTATTCGTCTTCGACAACGATAGGCTTCGCTGGAGTATTCTTGTCCGGCACGGCTGGTTGCTCTTTCGATACGTCCGGCGTCAGATCAGCAGACTTATGCCCTTGTGTGATTGATTGTAGGACCTGAGAAAGGGGCGACACACATTAGCACATGTATTGAATCAACAACTAGAGATATACGAGGTCTTGGCTTGCTGAAGGCCTGGAGGAGTGGGTTCCTCGGGACAACCTAAGTCAAGGGTGATATGGTCGGCGACATACGTACCTCATCGGCTCTTGCTAGTATGACGGAATCCTGCCTGTCGAGCGTTTGCGCTGTAGCAGCATGCTCCGAAGCATTCGCGGCCAAGACCGCTGGCTTCGCATTTGTGAGGTCCGGTGATGGAGCCGCAGGCCGTGTCCGTTTTCCGCGCGTACTGTCCCTCAAAGCACTAAAATATTCGCCCCACTTGGACCTCGCGGCGGTAACTTTGGCTGGTGTTGGTCGAAGAGAGTTAGTATGCGGCTCGAGTCGCTTGGCAACGACTCTGTGTATTCGCGCCGGTAAGGTAGTAGGGCCTCCACTTGTCGACTTTCGTGATTGGCGCCGCGCGGCTACCATTATTCTCGATGATAGCGTCTCGGATCTTGGTATACGTCTTACTTTAGGCGGATGTGCTTTAGTATGACGTTGAGCTTCCGGCGAATGCGATCGATGCCGTTTGTGCGGCACACTTGCAGCGCTACCCGGGCTCTTCTCTGCTTCAGCCGTGACAGGGTTGACTGCCGCGACAGTGCAGGCATTCCGATTGGATTCGGGAGTCGGTGGTTTATGGGTTGGTGGACTTCCAGCGTCACCTTCCCAGCCTCAGTCAGTGTTTTGCATTAGTTGTAGGGGAAGAGCACATAGCGGCTCGACGTGCCTTGTCCGGGTAGTAGGTTGTTCATCCTGGAGTGTTTTTGTGTCCGTGGTAACGGCCGTATGGTTGTAAGTGTAAATGTGTTTTGTAGCGATAGACGAGAAACGTAACGATAGCAAATAGAGTGGAGTTGATGATATGGCGTTGAGCGAGAGAACGGTAGTGGGTTGTGTAGAAGAGCAGGATAAACATCGAGAGACGACTAGAGAGAGGCGTCGTAAATGGAAGGAGTAATCTGCATGTGCAGGAGCGAAGAAGGCAAGGTCTCGCACTTGTTGGGAAGCCACCGGATGACGCTCCCTTCTGGGGTGTTACATTCCTACAAAGAAGTGAGGAGCCGAGAAACATGAAAGAATAGATGAGCATTTGATGTACTGACCGCTTAGATGCTGTCCAGCACCGCGATAAAATAACGTGGTCATACCCATCTATCTATCAGGCCCGCGCTGTGAGGGCCAAAAGGTCGCAGCCAAGCCGTCGCTATCTAGCAACCGATCCCGTGTCCGCCGTCCTTGCCATAAACGCCAATCAAATCGCACAAGGCGAGAAAGTGATGATGCATCCCCACTGACCTAGTGAAGCCATTACTCATTAGACAAAACAGACCGCGGAAAGTGCATGAAGGGCGCTTATGCGAGGTAACCGAGCTCGTCGCCCTCCAGACGCTCCAGATACTCCTTCTCGAGGAGGATATCGATGCACTTCTTGATGTCAGGAACGCGGGGCATGAAGCGGTTCTTGATTTGCTGAATGGTCTCCGAGACGAGCTGCTGGTGTTTCATCTTCTTGCGAGACTTCATGATACGCACGATGGCCGACTGCAATAGGGTTAGCATCTATTTGTGGCACCAAAGAAGGGTCATGATACATACCTGCATGAGCAGTTTTCGGTCCTCTTCAATAGTCTTGTGCGTATCCTCGGCCTCTTGCTTCTGCTCGCCCTTGATAGAAATGTTAAGGTTCATCTTGATTTTCTTCGCCTTGAAGTTCATGTTGAGCTTATATGAGGTGCCAGACTCCGGCTTAGCACCCTCAGGTTCGGCCGTGAGGATCTTGGCCTTCATGAAGACACCAAGGTATGGGTCCAGGGTCTCCTTGCCAAGTTTCGTAGCCTCGGCAATCTCGTCGTAGGCGACTGTGTCGCTGTCGTTGAACAGTAACAGGATGGCCATCTGATAGGTTGAGACCTGGAAAGTTGGGGAAGCCTTCTGACCCTGGACCTTGCAATAGTTGGCCTTGATCTCGCCCTTGGACAGGTGCCACAGCCATGACAACTTGCGGCCTTGGTGCTTGTTGTTATAGAAGCGTACGAAGCGTTCATACGTCTGCACGATTTGCTGAGGTGGCGTAAACGGCGTGCTAGGTGGGTTCAGCGGCCAGAAACCGGCACCAAGGATGTTGTATGTAGCGTCGATGTTGGTCTTGACATCCTCTGGGTCTAGATTCTTATCTAGAAACTCTTTGTAATTGGCGTTGAGGTCCTTGGAAATCTGGATGTCCTGGAACATGCGTTGGAGCTTGTTCGTGTATTCGAAACCGCAGGCCTCCTTGAGCTTCGAGATCATGGTGGTCTCAGCATCGTCGGACGCAGAGGTAGTCTGCACCAGACGCTTGGCCAGCATCCGCGAGTAGAACTTCTGGAAGACGTCCTTGTCCTCTATGTACTTGAAGACAGTCATGACCTGGGTCAGGAGCTTCTCCATGTTGTCCTCCTCGTTCATCTTCGCGCTAGACTTTTTGAGCAACGTGTCGGTGTACTTAGCGAGAAGCTCAGGCGATTTGTTGGAGCCGGACTTGCAGATCTTGTTGCGGTTAACGAACTCCCTGCATGCGTTGTCCAACGACCGCACAAACTCCGACTCGCCGTTGAATGCTCGGTTCACAAGATCCTGGTACTGGGTGTGGACCTCTAGCAGCGCATCGACGTAGACCTTGGGCTCCACATTGTCGCCCTCCCCGGAGATTTTATCCACTGCAGAGAGACCAGCCTTCCGAACATGCGTCTCGAAGCGGGTGCGGAGTGGGTCCAGACCCTCGGGGATGCGCGCCAGGAGCTTGTACATGCGGCCCAAGTCCTCCTGCTTATCATGGTCCAAGAGGCTCTGAAATTCCTCGCGGAGAGCCAGCGAGTGGTTCGTGATGAGAGCCTGCTCGCAGGTGCGCATGAGCGGTGACATGATGTCGTTGAGCAGGTAGAGCGGCACGCGGTCCTGGGCCACGTTAGCATCTGCGACGGAGACTTTCAAGGAATTAGGGCACGACGTACCTTCTCTTCATCTAGACGAGCCTCTGCCTTCTTCATGTATTCGACGACGCTGTTCTCCGCCAAGAACTGCTTAGATTCGTTGTCGTAGTACTGTGCTGTGGCCGCCAAGAAGGGCTTCTCGAAGTACTGCTTGTAGACATCCAGAGTCGATTTCGAGCTGTCAGCCTCATCAAGACCTAAGGAGACGAACGAGTCGACGACCGACTTGATGTGTGACTGTTCTATAGTCTCACCGTTCCGCTGCTTCTCGACGAGCTTGAGGACTGAGCGCATTACGGACTCTTGTGTGCCGGCGAACATGTCCTAGGGCGCATTAGCAGCTGAAGGCTCTCAGAATGAGTGTCACATACCTCCTTCCACCGCACCAAGTGCAGTGTGTAGATGTCATAGATGTTCTTCTTACCTTCATCCATCTCACGCTTTACCCAATGTCGATTCAGGTATCGGAACAAATGGTTGTTGTACTGCCCGGCCGTCGTGTAGCGGTTCCATTCCTTGATGTAGAAGGTCAGGAGCGCCTCGTCGACGTGCTCCTTGGACCGCGCCTGTACACCCTTGAGATGCGTCCTCAGGTATTCGATCAGGTGCTGATAGAGGTCCTCTCCCAGCAGGTGGGCGCCGCCGCGGTTGTTGTGCGATGTAAATGACGTGCCGGCGACTGCCTTCTGTGCCGTACAGAAGTTGTGGATAGCCGTGTACAGACCCATGTAGGTCTTCATGTCCATGCCGCCGCGGAGGTCGGTCATGATCTTGTCGACGCCGGCTTCGAGGTAGGCCCATCTGAAAAGAAGGCATGGTTAGCACAATGAATCAGAAGCGCTTCAGCACCCTAAAGCAAGCGGGGCGGTACGTTGCTTTGACATGGTACGGGCGCTGGGGAACCCGTAAATGCGCGGGCAGGATATGTCGAGGGGGGATGCCCGAGGATGCCATGTTGCTGCAAGAGAATGTGATATGGTGGGAAATGGCGTGGAGGCTGTAGCCCGACATCGCCGTGCAAGCCACCCAAGACGGGCGGCAGGTGCAGGTGCAGGCGTAGAGGGCAAGCTGCTACTTACGTTGCTTTAACGTCGTCCTTTGCGGGAACGGGGGGCATGGTAGAAGCCATGGTGGGAGAGTGCGTCGCGTGCTCTGGGGCACCTTTCGGGTGCGACTTTGTCCGCTTAAAGAGCTTTATTTTCGTAGCTGGGCCCTGGGCGAGCGAGGGAGCGTCGTTTTAGCGGTTGCGGATTTGGGGATGCTCTACTGCACAGGCGTGGCAGGTGCTGTTGCGTGGAGAGCAGAGGAGGAGCGGGCGCGGCGGGACTTTTCTAGGGCCAGGCGTGTGGAGGCGACGGTTCTAGGCGGGCGCTAGACTCACGCAGCCGGCGCGGTCATGAAGCGTAGAAGAGAAGGAGGGTGGTGAAGGAGCGTAGGCAGGCGGGGGCGAGGTTTTGTGATTCACGGTGAGCGTTCAGGCACCGAGCTTAGAGGCGTCTTGGCGCGGTCCATTCACTTCAGCCTTGTCGCCAAGATGGGATATCCTTCCTTCCAACACCAGTCCTCGCGCCGTGACTTTACAACTACCTATCTATGCGCGCCTTTCTCATCAATCTTTTTCGCTGTTGGGGAATGACTGCGGCAGTTACGGCTCGATAAACGGTGCTCCGGCTGCACTTGCCACGAGTAAACCCCTCACCAGAGGTGGCGAATATCAGAATATTCCAAGGCAAAGAGATAGGGTGAGCAGCATTGTGATCGTACGACGCGAATTCGCAGGCATGTCGACGTTCTGGACCCTCTTCCAATCAAAGGGCCCGATGACGTCTTCACAATATCACCGAGTCGGGAATGTCGGAATTACGACAACTTCGATAACTTTTCGACATTCCCATTGAATCGTACAGCTCGACAGCCGAACCAAATACCATGCTCTAAATCGGGTCCAATCCCACCTCTCTTTGATTACGGAGCCGACATCCTCAGAAAGCGTCACGGTACTGCTGTATTCGGAATACCCATACCTAGGAGCACGACACTACCTTGCAACTACATAGCAGATTGCGAGACGAAAGGACCGCCCGAACAGTCGACTCTCAATCTCAAATTGGAATCTACAACATCGAATTCCAAAAACCATGCCCTCCCTCAACCTGACCCCCCTGTCCTCCCTCCGCCTCTCAACCCACCACATCCCCTCGCACTCCCTCATCCCCAACACCCAACCCCACAACCACCCCCTCTACATCTACCGCTCCGCATTCCCCCCATCAACCTCACCCTCAGCCCTCGAATCACATCTCCCAACCAACGGCATCTCCCCCCAATGGCGCTACACCATGTACTCGACCACGCACTACCATTCCACCACGCACGAAGTGCTCTGCGTGTACCAAGGCCGCGCCAAGCTGCTCTTCGGCGGGGAGCAGAACCCCGGGAAGGTCGAGGCTGAGGTGGGCGCGGGAGATGCTATTGTTGTGCCGGCAGGCGTGGGGCATAGGTTGTTGCAGGATTACGGCGAGGGAGGCGGGTTCCAGATGGTGGGGAGTTATCCGAAGGGATGCAGCTGGGACATGTGCTATGGGAAGAGCGGGGAGGAGGCGAAGGCTGAGAATGTGAAGAATGTCAAATGGTTCGATAAGGATCCGCTGTATGGGGATGACGGGCCGGTGCTTTGGAGTAAGGAGAAGCTTGAGGGGAAGGGGAAGAGCGAGTTGTGAGCGCTATGCCGTTTGGGGGAAGATTGAGATGGCGAAAGCAATGTATGGGCAGCTAAACAGGAGCAGCGTGCTTAGGAAGAGCGAGGGGAAGGCCGTCTTCTCAACCTCTACCTCGGAGGTAGGGTGGGCAAGAATCAGGGAGACACCTAGAGCGAGTGAAAATCGCGATATCCTCTCTCCGCAGACAGCAGAACGCAGTAATGCTGCGTAATACTATACAGAGGAGATGTAGCCTTTCGGCGAGACCGACTGCCGTCATAATGCATACCAATACAAGCCCACCCGTTGCTCTATGTGCGTAGGAAAGAAAACCAACGCCGAAGCCTCCAACTACAGCAACATTGCTGTAGTGATATCGTACAATAGAAGCCCAATCGATGCATTTCGGGTCCATGAGGAAGCTCATGGCTTATCTTCCTTCTTCGCCTCTTTTTCGGCTGCAACCTTCTCAACTTCTTCATGCACCCGCTTAAGAACCTCGTTCGGCAAATCATCCTTGGCGGTCTCCCCCGACTTTGCGGTCGCTTTCTCTAGCTCTAGCTTCTCCTCCATCAGCTCCTCTTTCGCCTTGATCGACTGCTCCACCTGCTCTACAGCTCTTTCTATTTCGACTTCCATATCTGGGAGCTTGAACTGCTCCGCTATGAGCTTCCCGTTCCAGCGCTGTAGCACCATGACGTCTTCGGTCCCGCCGTTTGTTTGCTGCTCCACTACCCGCGCTACTTCCTCGGCTTGCTCTTTTGTGGGTCGCGGGGCGGCGCGCGAGATTTTGCGGGTCGGATACATGAGACCTGCCGTGTAGACTTCGTCGAGCTCCCACGTGGGGTTCAGGGTGGGAAGGTTGTGTTGGAGGAGGAATTGGAGGTGTTTCGAACCGGTCAACGCTTTCCAATGCGAATATGCCCGATAAACCAGGTAGAAGAACGGGAGGTTAGGTATTCTATGTTGCGTCAGCGACCACTATCTCCGCGAGTGCTGCACCGGCATACATCGGGATCAGCATGAAAGGCGCTGTAAAGGGCATCGCGACCACGCTCCATATCAGCTTGCTCCTGTGCATCGACTGCCTCTCCTCTGCCAACTTCTTTAATATTTCTGGCACCTTGTCCGGCTTCAAGTACAGTCCTGGAAACATAACTTGGTACTTTTCCCTGCTCTCAATGATGGCCTTCTTCCGCTTCGTCGTCAAGGCGGGTATCGTCTTGAGCCCCCACTCCTCGTACGGTATCCGCTTGAGCGCATGGTTGCCGTAGACCGTGACCTTCTTCTTCCAGTTCAGCGGCGCCTTCTCGTCCTTCTCCCAGGCGGCCCACGTCTCGTTCGCCTTGATGGAGATCTTGTCGAAGAGCGAGCGGTCGCTGACGGCTTTTTGGTGCAGCTTCTCGCAGTAGATGAGCGAGCGGCGCGTGGAGATGGGCAGCAGGAAGAGGCGCATGGTGTAGGTATCTTCGCACAAGCACTGGGCTTGGCTGTGGAGAAGTGAATGTTAGTAAGCCACAATGCGCCGATGCGAAGCTTTTTCAGGTGCACGCGATATGAAACATGTCATCGGTTGTGGTTGTGCAAAGCGTGGCCGTTTCGCGCTGGGGGTGGAATTTCGCGAGCTCGCGCCAGCATGAAGTCATCGCGGCCTGTGCTGCAACAGCCTGCTTCCCTGATCGACGACTAATTTCCCCGGCGACTGGGGACACCAACAACCACCACCGAACCGCCTGCCGCCCACCCTGTCGCTCGCGAGCTCTCCGCCATACTGCGAGGCACGCCGCCAATTCCCGTGCAGTGAGCATGTCGACACGCGACGCCTACTTCGCTCCCACGTAATCGACCGCTCGCTCATCGCCAAGCCGCAGCGAGCCGTTGCGCCGCGAGCGTTGAGGGCTGACTGCCAGCCCTCACTGAAGCCACCGCTCTCAGAGGGCAGCCCGACCGCGCCCGTCCCGCGAACAGACATGACCAGCAGGCCCATGGTGGAGCAGAGCAATGGCACGCCCTCGCCCTTCCTCAGCCCACAGGCGCAGTCCCAAGGGAGCCGCCTGCTCCCTTCGCCCATCCCTCCGCCCACAGCATCCTCGGTCAACTCGCAGCGCCCGATATCTGCCACTTCCTCGAGCCGCGATCGGTCCCGCGACGACCTCGACGCTACGGTGCGGAAATCGCATAGTCACTCAATCAGCTCGAATCCGCACACCCTGGCGTCGTCAAAGGGCAGCTCAACGGCGGCAGACAACCGGGAAAAGCAGCGCGCGGCGGTGAGAACGCTCCCACCCTGGGTCCAGTCCGCCGAAGAAGACGAGCATGCCGACGCGACGTCGCTCCTGCTCCCCCGGACTCCTAACTCCGCCCGCCCCGCGTCCCACAACTTCATGCCCACACCCAAGTCCAACGTTCCCGGCCGCAAGTTTGACCACGCACGAGAAGGCGCGCCAGTAACCCTCACCGCACCCGTCAGCGAGCATGCTTCGAAATGGCAGCAGTTTGCCAAATCCTCCGACTACGACAGGGAGCGACCCTCGTCCTCGCGCGGCCAGGTCATGTCGGACGAGTGGATGAAGGAGAACATGCCGGATCTGGAGGAGCCATGGCACCCTATTGACCAGGAGAAGGAGGAAGAGGAGGCCGGCTTCTGGCTATTCAACAGGCGGAAACGCGCGCGGCGGTTCAACAAGTTCCACCGGACCGTTATGAACCACCCTATGGTGCCCCTTTTTGTTCGTATGATCGTCCTCACATTCTCCGTCCTTGCTCTCGCACTCGCCGGGTCTATATTCCACAAGTCCGACACTGCGGGCTGCCAAAACAACTCCTCGACTTGGTTGGCCATACTCGTCGACGTAGTAGCCATCGTCTACACTGCCTACATCACCTATGATGAATACACCTCGAAACCCCTGGGTTTGCGCTCGCACAATGCCAAAATGCGCCTCATTTTCCTCGACCTCGCATTCATCGTATTCGACTCAGCTAATCTCAGCTTGGCGTTTCAAGCGCTGACCGATGAGCGCTGGGCCTGTAGGGACGCAGAGGACCAAGGTGTCTATACAACTGTTTGTCCCTACACACAAGATATTTGCGTTCGACAGAAGGCGTTGACTGCTACCCTGCTGGTCGCGCTGGTGGCGTGGCTCGCTACCTTTGCCATCAGCACGCTGAGGTTCGTATTCCACCTCCCTTCCAGATGAGGCGCAAGCTAATACATAACCAGACTCATCGAACGAGTGGCGAGGTAGTATTTACTTCCTATAATCCCTTGTACTATTATTAACCTCCGTCTTCTCCTGTAGTCTTACCTCGTTTCCAATTTGGTTTGATCTCCGCACGAACGTTTGGTTCATCTGCACAGCATGGCGTTTCGTTTCGTTTCTTGGATTTTGCATATACGGGCGTTGTTGGCTTTCTGCACGACTCACAGTTGTGATGTGCTTACCGATCGGTACACCGAGTTTCCTTATCCTAGCGAACATGAAGCGAGCGCTGTTCAGAGATTGTTGTGATGTGTGTCGCGCTGAGCGGTGCAGTAGCCGGCCGACGGAGGTGAGAAGAAAGGCTCGACGAGTACATACAGATAGCATCGTAGTCGTAGTACCTAGTCAATAAACCCCGAATCCTTGCAGCCGCCAGCCCCAACGCAACGCACGCGGCCTTTCGGATCGGACGCGATCTGCAGGACGACCATGCAGGTACAAATTGGGTACTGCGGGGAAGCCATTATTTCCGCCATTCCTGACGTAGGTCTTCACGTCATGGAAAACATAACTTGGAGACATCATCGGCAGTTTGACTGTTGTACGGCGTGTATTACAAATTATGAAGAGCCTACCATTGGAGTAGCCGGAATCCGGGACTTAAGTATATGAAGATATCTCTTGGCCTTCTACCTTCTCTTTGAACTCCCCGGATGTAAGGTACCGGTATATATTTGTCTTTTCTGAAACAGTCATGCATCTGCTTCCTACTGTTTCCCTTTTCCTCGCGGCGGCGGCGACAGTGATGGCGCAAGTCACTTTCCAGAACTCCTCGCAGACTATCCTGCGCGTGGATACCGGCAGCTATGGCCCTGAAATCGAAGAATTCCACTACTACTACCAACAATGGCCCATAGGGCTCGCGGTCTCCAGCACTGGGCGCCTCTTCGCCTGCTACACGCGCGGAAATTACTCTTTCACACTCGGCGAAGCCGTGAACAAGACGGCTGAAGTACCCTATCCTTCTGCCGAGCTCAATCTCCCCGTCTCCCAGCTCAACACTAGTTTCAATAGGATTCCCTTCGGGAGCAGTAACGCCAGCGGGCTGATCTCCGTCCAAGCGCTGTACATCACACCGCAGACGAGCAGCAGGCCAGAGACGCTGTGGGTCGTTGACACAGGACGCCCGACGGTTATGGATGCCTCCGGCACACCATCAACGCCCTACGGCCAGCCCGGCGGACCGAAAATCATCGGTATATCTCTCTCCAACGATTCCATCTACGCCACCTACACCTTCCCGCCAGACGTACATTATCCGGATAGTTACATGAACGACATCCGCTTCGACCTACGCTCCTCCGTCACTCCATCCGGCCAGGGAATAGCGTATATCGTGGATAGCAGCGACGAAGGACGCCCGGGGTTCATCATGCTAGATCTCGGCACGGGCGAGAGCTGGCGGCGACTGACGCAAGATCCGTCCGTGCTCCGCGTTGCCAACGACGTCCCGAGCTATCAGGGGCGACCGTTCTACCAGCGCACAAATGGTATGCCAGTGGGGCATTTGAGAGAAGGGGCGGACGGGATCCAGATCAGCCCGGAAGGGGAGACGATATACTACTCCCCACTCACAAGCGACTACCTCTACTCCATCCCAGCATTAAACCTCAGAGCCAAAGACGACGATCCACTAGCAGAGCAAGCAGCACACAACAACATCTCCAACCTAGGCCAAAGAGGCGGCAATGCGAACGGCTTCGAAGGCGACTCCAACGGGCTCGTGTACCAGCTCGTGCCTGAGCACAACGCGGTGTTTTACTACGACCCTGCCGATTTGCAGACGCATGCGTTTGTGCGGGATCCGAGGATTATTTGGCCTGATAGCGCGAGTGTGGCAATGGATGGCTGGTTTTATGTTAATGTTAATCAGCTGCCGTATCAGGGGGCGTGGAATGGTGGGAGTGAGGGGAGGGTGTTTCCTGGGGCGGTTTTGCGGTGTAGATTGCCGCGGGGTGGGAGGAAGATTGGGGGGTTGGTGTAGGGGAGCGGAGGGGAGGGGCGTAGGGAGGATGGGTAGGTGTCTGGAGAGTCCAGGAGGCGACGCAGTTTTAGTGGTGCTCTGGCTTCTACTCAAGCCCTGGAGGCTGGGTTTGTGATGGTGGGGAGTTTGTTTCACTTGCATTTCCTATGTACCGTAGGTTCGCGTCACAACGAGAGGGGTCCGTCACACGTATACCGTTTTTTAAAATTCATCGTTATGGGAGCGAACATATGGATGGTTATGAGCGCTCTATCGTTCCACTAGCGACTCCACTATACCTAGATGGGACGGGCGCCTTGGCAGTCAGTATTCGCGCCTGGGCGAGGAGTGCCTTCCCTCTTCCACGCCAACCTCAAGCCTGGAAACCGACAACAGCGCACACCGTCAGATCCAACTCAGCTGAATACGCGCTCCTCTCCTACAACTTCTCGTCACCGGCTGGAGTCTCACACGGCGATTTCGAGCATCGCGCAGCGCTTTGACACGTAACCAACAGCACCCACCTCCCCTCCGACTAACAACCCCCGCCTAATCCTCGACCGCGTCAAGGCTCAGTAATGGCGCATATCCTTCCTGCACTGAGAAGCTGGCGTCCTAAAACCTCCTTCTTCGCACTCCCGGCCGAGGTGAGGAACGAGATATACGCCTACTGCACCCCAGTCACAGGATACTCGGAGCAATTCAAGGGTCTCTTTCTCACCTCCAAGCAGGTGAAAGCGGAGTATGAGGCGGAGGCGATCAGAACCATGACGAAGTTCCTGTTCGAGATCAAGAAAGACTGGCCTCATGCCCAAGAGCTGCGCCTCCCAGCTCCAACCACCTTTCACGAGATCTTCAACACGACCGTCGAGATTCCTATGTCGCTCTATTACCCACCTTTTCGAAGCTCGTTCCTTGAACGTATGGGAACGTGCCTAGAGCCATGCCTGGCGCCTCTTTTTAGCCTCTACCTCTCAGATATCACGGTCAAAATTTACGAGGATGTCGATAAGACAAATCTGGACTTGAAAGAGACCCCGTGCGGGCTAATCGTGAACATTGCGAACATGTTCGTCGAGGAGCCAGCGCCAAGGCCGAGGATTCCAAAGAAGGAAGGCCGTCGGTATCAAGACTTCCCGATTGATTTGATACTCCATGCTCGTAGCCTGACCTTTATGTGGGTGAGCAGTAGTGATAGCAAGGTTCATGAAGATCATCGGAGGGTCTTCAGGAGGATGGATATGTATTGGCAACGGAAGGCTGTCGAGAGTCGTGTTGTGCGTACATCAAGTCCCAATCAAAATTGGAAGGCCTTCTTTATCAAGGAGCCGAAGACGACGAAGAACCCGACAAAGAATCCGACAAAGCGGAAGGAAGGGAAGCGCCTCTCATGCGCGTAGACCCTATCCAGTGGATGAGGACGACTCGGCGTGCTAATGGTCGGCACGCTGTGTCTGCTCGGCTGGGACAGACAAAACGTTGATCCGCTGGATAGCAAAGGGGATATCGCAACACTTGACATTAGAAAATGTCCATCCCAACTCAAGAGCAGACGGCGCTGAGAGTGGCATTCTGTGGAAAGCAACTCCCCTCGGGCGCTGGCAGGGATTTCCTAAGACTACCCACAAAAAGATAGACCCTGACTCTGACGCACAACCGCCATCTTAGAGCAAAGGTTCGCTGTCCACATCATCTTCAGAATGACTCGCTTGCTCGAGCCCATCTGGACTGGAAAGCCCGACTAGCCGCCGGTCAGACTCCCATCGAGACGGCAGGCATCTTTCCCCACCCCCCGCACTACCACATGGCTCAGCTTCGGAGGTGGAAAGCTCATTCCCAAGCTCTGCACCAAAGGATCGAAATGTCTGCCGCACAAGAAGCTGCCGCAGCAGAGTTCGAGACCTAATGTTCCAGTTATCTCTACGAAGAGGTTCACAACAGAATGTACAGTTGCAGTGTGCAAGCGTGAACGCAGCGACTCAGGTTCACTTTCGACTACCCTATGATCTTCGATGGCATGGCAAAGTCTCGCAGTTTAGCCCCCGTTCGTATGTTGCTTCAAGAACTTCGAACGAGGATCCACAATTGCATCAGGTACTAGCACTATGTAGAAACGGAAGGTCAGGATAATGTTCTTGTTTCTGCACCGCCGCAATGAGCTTACCCCAATCAGAGCACCCGGGCACGTAGTGTCATTTGCGTAGCAGGTAACGCATTCACCAATGTACGAATTTGCAGTCAATGGGCAGTCGTACCGCTTCTCCAACTCTTGAGACACGTTATGTGCTTCTCGCGGAAGTAGACCCCGTTTGGGGGAGCCGCCACACTGTGGGAGGAAGTATAGTCAGCACTCGATAGCGGGAAGGGTAGTGGAGGGAAGGCGAAGCCTACTCCGGGGAGATACACATAGCACCATCGACCGTTAACAATGTCATACCACATGCACGCTCCGTGTTTGCCGAAGGTGCACCATCCGTCTCTGCCTTGAGTGTCGAGGTCGGTGGGGAGGGCGAACGAGGACGATACGAGAGCAGCGAGGGCGATCGATGAGACGAGCATCCTGAGTATGTTTGGCAATGCGAGTATTTCCAGTAAAAAACTAGCCGACTGACGAGGACGAACTCCGCAGAGGGCTGCTCTACTTATACACATGGCCACACCTTTCAACTCTCAGCTCGTCCAGGTATCAGCCTCTCTGCACTCCGCTCTCCCCCTGTAATTCAATGCTACCTTAAGAGTTGCTGCAGAATCCTTACCGTATATTCGATATAAACTGCCAGCCCGTCCTATACGTGGTCACGTGGTCGCGTGGCTTACTTCAGCGGCAAGCACCCGAACGGAACCTGGGAACTCAGGCCCCGACCATAGTCACCTAATCTCCTAACTCACGTTATTCATATTATCTTACTTACTGACGTCTCGTATAGATGACATGTTTACGCTGTAAGCAGGAAACTGACTGGTAGCATTTCGCAAAGCGCTCACTCCAGCTTCGCAGTCCCAGTATGCTGGTCAAGTCGGAGACTCCCGAAGGTAAAGCTATCAAAGACAATCAAAACTAAGCATGCAAAGATGCGAGCTTCCACGGGACGGTGTTGTGACGCGAGTTAGAAAACGCAGGACCTGATCATTCGCATACTACCTAGGCACCTCAAAGCTACGTACGTTCCCCTTCCAGACTTCTCCATCACATCTTCTGCTTACCCTTCCCACTATCCTTCCTCTTGCTCTGGTACTCTTCTTCCCGCCTCTCAGCGTCGTCGATAAGCTCTTTGTACAGCGTCAACCGCTCCTCCCAACCCGCAACATACCGGGCCACATATAGCAAGGCATCCCACAGCTCCAGACGATCTTGCCGGTCGCTCAACCGATTAATTGCGTCTACAGCCATATTCCTTGCACGCCGGATAGCTTGTAGTCGGACGGTGTTTTCCTCATCGCTGCGCGTGTCGAGAGACCGAATCCTAGAAGAGCCTTGAGGATCGGCAGGTCGGGGCTCCGGGACATATTGATGAGATGGACCGGCTTCGGTTGCTCTGAGGGAGTGGGAGTGGGAGTGGGAATGGCGATGGTGATGGCGATGGCGATGGTCTGACCTGTGTTGGTGCCCGCTATGAGCATGGCGAGGGCGCCGAGCAACATCGTCCGGTAAAAGGCGAAGCCAGAGACTCTGACAGCCGCGGGACCCCTCTTGACAATATTCGGGCAGCCTGGGAAGAACATTTATGATACTCGGTCTACGCCAGTGACGCAGATTATCTCGTGCGGAACGGGGTGGCCAAAAGGTAACCCAATCGCCATCTGTGGTGGGTTCGCTCTCTACCGGAGCTGCGCGTCCCTGGTGAGCGGGCGGACCAATGGGTGTCCCGGGATTATGAATAGCGGTCTGAACTCGAGTGGCCGGGGGATTTTCGAAAGCTGCATCTTGCCTGGAAGTCCCCGCTGTGTCCCTCCCCGGCCGCTCAATGAAAACCGCATCCGCGAACCCGGTATCCGAAGCACCTTCATCACTCGGCTCAGCCTCGACCTCTTCCCATCCTGGCTCTCCTTCAACCTCTGCATTCGCCTGATGAAGCGGCACTTCAGTCTGCGTAGTGACATCGCGATAAATCGCCGGTAAGCGCGGAAGATGATGGAGCTCGCTCCGTCCTTCGTAGTGGAAGTAGAAACCTTCAGGCAAAGACGCTACATCCCAGGCATTGCGGCCTATGGGGTAGATTTCGGAGCGGTCGCCAGTGTCGGGATTCATGTTCAAGCGATGTTGGGAGAGTTGTGAGCTGAGGATGATCGGGATACCATCGCTCTTATATGTAAAAGGAAGGTGGACACGTTGGAAGTGATGATGGAAGGGTTGATGGCTCCAGGGCTGTTGTTCGTAGACGCACTCAAACGGGTGAGTGGGATTCTGATTGCTTCAAACGTGAGAAGAGGTACATCCTCGCGAATATCGTTTACGAGAACGTGGTTGCCTTCTACAACACCGAACCATCTCCGTTTTCTTTCACAGGGATGACAGCTTCGGTTTTCACACTTGTATCCTGCGTGTCATTTTTCTGCTGGACTTCCTAGCTCTCCCCGAAACTATGATCTCCTTTGCTTCCATACTACACCAGTCCGTAGGTATGAACGCAACAAGCGCGGAGGCAAGAGCACAAACTTTCGAAAGTGTGGCGCTGACGTGTCGATCGCACGTTCTAGACTGCGAACAGTTTATAACCCTCTTCTTAGAAATGTTTTCTAGAGTAGATATATGACAAATCGGATCATAGTATCAGCTTGACACCACCATTGTCTCCCAGGTTATCACCATCCCAAAGGCCACGATGTGTGCGCGCCATAGAAAGGAATCGGCATCATTGGAAAATCAGCTACGAGAAGAGAGAAAGCGAGCCAGCAGAGCACAAGAAAAACTCGAGGAAGCTCAAGGGAATCTAGCCAGCGAACGTCAGAGATGGGAGAAGGAGAAGGAAGCATTGCAGAAGGAAAAGTGGGAGGCCCAAGACAACTTTGCCTGGGTTGCTAGAAAGCTTCTGGAAAAGTTGATACCTAAGAGCGACTCTGATACTTCCGGAGATGCGGTGAAGACGAGCTGAAGGCCTTGAGGGAGTGGTTCGGGATGTGGACTGCAGCAATCGATATTGCAGAGCACTGCCGCAGGCAAGGGAATTTTCGGCAAATGGCTTCCAAGATTGAAGTCATCAAGCGCTCAATGGGCACCTTACTTATCCAAGGTACCTTGATACCGGACAGACAGACTATGGAGTGCAAGAAGAAATTGGCAAAAGACTTGCTAGGCGACGAGTTCAAAGCGTGGAGTCCACTTGGAGGATTCATAGTGCGTTGGGGCTGAGCGGATCAATACACGGTTATCTCGGCTTAATTTAGTCACTGAGATGCACGAATAGAAACAAGATACGGTTGAATTCTCTTCTGTGGATCGACCATACTCATGGTAATTCTTCCCATGCATATACTCGCCACGTCTAAGCTTCTCTACATGAAGAAGAAGGAACATTATCTGAAGTAACGACATTACGTCGCATGAGGGAGAGATGAGCTGGCATGGAATCATCTGTTTCCGATCACCGTTTGTATGGAACTTACTCGAAACACAAACGTTCGCTTCTGCTGATGTAAACCACATGATTTTCGCGGAGCGAACCGTAGCAGAGGGTAGTGACAGATATGCATTGTAATTCGGCGAATTTCATGGCTCGTTTACCCACCACGAAACGCATCCGTCAGTGACGCACTAGGAAAGCAACCCCGTGGCTGACAAGATCTAAGAGTTGGCAACAGCTCCGTATGTCTTATGCGCCAACGGACAGCAACACTTTGCTATAATCTTACACGTGGACGCCGGGAATACGTAAGGTATTCATGTCCATTCTCGGTCTCGCACAATGCCGATATAAATCACAGCATCTCACGCCCTCTTAAGCTGCGTACCATACTAAGAGATTTCTTCCCATGAGCCCGGTAACAAACTCGTGTTCCCACCATTAAGTTCACCAAACAGAATTTGTGCAACGTTACTAGCATGTATCCCGTCCTTCCCCGATCCTCTCGCTTATCACGGCGCTACGGCTATGGCTACAGCCAATACGGCCCTCCTAGACATTCGCAAACTCGTGGATACGCACAAGAGCTTCCAAACGGCATAGAAGCCGCGACACGGGCACAGGTCAAAGCCGCCAAGGAGTTCGAAGAAGTGAAGGAGAAGTACGAGGGGGCTGGTAAGGCGTTTGAGGAGGCGCGGATGAATATGAGCAAAGCGCATAGGAAGTTGAGGGATGCGGATAGGAGGTTGGAGGAGGCAAAGCGATATGGGACAGGAATGTATTGCTGACTCGTAGGAATTTGCTTGGAAATATGTTGTATTCATGCTCCCAAATGCCTGAAGTGATGTCACTGAAGCAATGTCTCTATTCAATCTGTTTGCAGCATATGCTAGAGTGTGCGGCTCTTGTTTCTGCACTGAGCTACGCAGGTATACAACATCGGTGACTTATGCTACCACATCATCTCATGGGTTTGCATTTAATCGGTTCTCCGCTATCAACCGGCAGCTTTTGCAAGTTTGTATTCAAGGCTGTGGTATGTGTGTTTTCAATCATTAATTTACATGCGTTTGTCGCAAGAAAATGACCGTTTGACCGACTCTTAAATCGGACATTATTTTACAGCGCGTCAATCCACGGGATCACACTCACCCCCGGACTAGGATAAGACGTATTTCCTTTCCGCAGAAGTTATTTCTGTTTTTCTAAGAATAGTCTAGTATTCAAGGTTCGTCCTTGATTCCACTCCTTCTCCCCTCGCTTTGCATGCTTCTGCCGTCCGCATTTATCCAGACCCGATTCGAAAACGCGCAAAAAAACAGACTGTTACCAAAATAATGTCGTATTACTCGATCATACCTTTCGACATTCTGAAAACCGAAACGGCGTTTATGGTAGACCCGGCTACCTTAACGTCGAGTATCTTTCTGAAGATAGGAATTTGGTCGGTTTTGAGTCTGATTGCAACGCTGAGCCTAAGCCAAAATCTGAGTGTCAGCATTCGCTTGCAGCTCGGTGTTGCGCTCCCTGGAGGCTTTCAACTTATCGGTCCGGCAACGGTATACTCGATGGGCACACTGTCATATTCTGGCTAGTAATCTTCTTTAAAGGGCAAGTTTGGGAGGCTACTTGATATTCTATCCTATAAATATATCTGGGTAAATAAGTATCTCAATTCAGACTAGGATGTGCCATTGAACTTTCTCCACCCGAAGTGACACTGTATCCGCATTCGTCGGTACCCCTCCTCTCGCAATTAACAGGTAGGAGTAACAGTGAACTATGGCTGCTTAAGCTTGAATCTTTTAGTGTTATCAATCCCTTCTATTCGGCGTTCCTCATCGAACGAATATCTGCGCCAGCTCTATTCAGCCGTTGCGTGGAGAGGCGAACTGCGACAGAGCTCGTCAAAGTCAACAGTGAACGTAAATGCCACGATTTCAATCAAGTAATGACCTAGCTGCGCATTTGTGTCGCTCGATTGTGAAGCAGACGGCCATTACGCCAAACTTTTAGGCACGTTGGGAACTTGTGAATCTGACCGATTCTCGACGGAGAAAGTGGTCGCAGGAGGAGGAGGATTATGCATGGCTGGCGTACCAGATTGAGTAGACGTATTACGCATTAGCAGTTTACCACCAGCGCCCATAGGGTGTGGAATTCGAGGAGTGCTCGAGAAACACGAGGCTGAAGCGTATAAGAGTGAGGGCGTAGGGTTGACAGGTGCAGGGCGAACAGTTGCTAGGTGGATAATTACAGGGTGGGTAATTGCAGCGAAGAAATCCTCATGTTGTGAGAAATAAGGTCGGTGGTTGGTACTTCGGCTCATCAACGTTATCACCAGAGCCGCGGCATCAATTAGAACCAGAAGCCATCCATAGAAGAATAGCGCAAGCAGGCCCAATAAATCAACACAGAAGCCATTCCATTACTTCCAGAAGTTACTTTACACCGCCACTCCTAGAGATCTCCAGCCCATACTCGCTCACTGTTGCAGTGTTCATTTCCCCTCCTCAACCTTCTTCCGCAACTCACGAACCTCTTTTTCGATCTCCAGCAGCTTCGCGGCCAACTCTTCTCTTTCCTTCTTCATCCTCTCATCTCTCTCCTCAGCCTGTTTCTTCTTCTCTCGCTCCTCATCCACCTCTTTTTTGAGTTGTGCACTCGCGTTTTGGATATCGGCGAGAAGTTTTGCGAGCTCTTCTCTCATGGTTTGGCTTGGATGCGGTGAGGACAGGTGCAGACTTGGTGCAGACTTGGTGCAGACTTGATGTGGATTTGATGTGGGCTTGGTGTAGGTTTGGTGTCTAAGGACTTTTGACTGACTGCGTCTATGTTGGTTGGATGGCGAAGGAGACGGGCTTTATACCTACTTTGAGAAGATTAGATCGCAAATAACTCGCGATCAAACGAGCTCGTGACTAGGCTCGTGACTTCTCGAATTGTCATTCAGCTTGCACTTGCAGTTTGCGTTTGCTGTACTTCTCGATGTGCTCGCGTGATTCGGCTTCCAGAAGAGCTACGGAGATATATTGATGAGTAAAGCTTCTATGAACACTCCTGACATCACTTGGAGTGAAATAACATTGAGGTTTATTGAGGACTCGCAGTCCCTCACCAATCCCCTCCCCAATCAACATCCCATTCTGCCATCCCTCAATCCCTCGCCTATGCCTCCTCCTCATGCTCCCTTAACGTGCGCCAAACCTCCCCAACCTTCCCCTTTAAGGTCATAACAAGCATGTCATAGTCATCGCACAACTGCTCGTAGCGCCCGATCTCATGACCCAGCCTAGCCTCCAGGCGCTCGATCGCGGTCTGCCAGTCCTCCTTCTCTCGCTGATATACCTCCATAGCCCTCTTCGCTTCGTCGCGCTCGCTCTGGGCGGCCTGCCGTCGCAGACAAGTGTCGCGCCGCTTGATTTAGTCTTCGAGATAGGTGATTTGATCATGGGCTTGCGCACGGCCTTCGAGGAGACCTGCTTGGTATGCTTCGCGGGTTTTGGCTGTTTCGGTTCATGTTCAGCGTACTGTTCGAGATGGTTGGTGTGCTGTTGAGCTGTGCTGGATGAGAAACAGGAAGGCTATGAGCGATGTAGATATACTACGTGAGAACAAAGCATATCAACGAAGTTCATATTCGCAAATAAGCGGAATGTACAGAACGATCTCGGCGGAGTCTGAAAGACCTGGCACGTTCCTCACGGCCTTCGACACATAAATGACCAAAACGACTGCTGCTCCCCGTCTCTACTCCCCACCCGCCTCCCATGCCCTTCCCTGATATCCCTCTTTAGCTCCCCTATCCCGTCTTCAGCCTTATGTAACAACTCATCTACCTTTCCAAGCACCTTTCTCATACCATCGGCACTGTGCCTAATCTGCTTCAGCAGCTTCTCCAGCTCCTCCAATCTAGCGCCCCACTCTCGCTGTTTTCTCCGCAGCTCAAATAGCTTTTCATCAATATCATATGGGTCGAAACTGCTGCCGAAGTCCATCTGGTCGTCCATGATTCGACAGCTAGCAGATATGCTCCGAGCAGGTTCCGTGCGAGAAATGGTGTTGGAATTGTAACTGGAGTTGTGCAATATCGCGATTATAAGTGTCGTTGGTACCGTTTGCGCGTGGACTGAGTTATTGTGAGCCTGGCGTCCTTCAGGTTGTTTACGTGGTCAGTGGTAGTGGATAAACGGAAGAGCGAACGGCGGTAGAAAACTACGGCGAACGGCTTGAGCTACCTTCACTGCTACGCATCAGACCACATTCCTTCCCGATAATCCCGTCCCCACTCCAAAACGGACGGAACACCTAATCGCCCCGCGTTGGAGAGCGGCAACAAAGCAAATGGCTCAAGCCTTCCGGACACTTCAGAGGTTCCTGCTACCTAATGCTCCCTCCTGCCACCTCTGCCACCCATCTCGTCCCTAAGCGCCCTCGACTTCCGCTCACTCCTCTCAATCAGCCTATTAACGCTCCGCACACTCGCGTCAAAACTGTCCTGCATGCCCCTGACACTTTGCCTAAGCTCTTCGTGAAGCCGGTCGAGCTCTGCGAGCTTGGCCGCCCATTCTCGATGTTTTGCCCGTAGCTGGTCAAGCTGTTCCTCAGCACTGCGGTCGGGAGGAACCGTGTAAAGCGGTTGGTGCGGGGGAACCTGTGATCGTCTTTGATTCTGGCGGAACGGGGAGGGGAACGGAGGTAATTGAGGAGATTCGTAGGGCCACCCGCCGTAGCCTCCGTCGTAAAACTCACGTCCTGGTGCCATGGTTCGAATGGGTTCTGCAATTAGCGATGTAGTGATGTCCCTCCTTATATCGGTAGCATTCGATTGTTTGACACATTCGCTGCTGAGATTCGATTGGCGGGATCGCATCCACGTACGCATGAGCGTGAGCATTTTAAGCGCATAGGCAAACGGGACATAGCTAGTAGACCGCGAACGAAAAACGCTTGCGTCGATTGTTCTGCCTACGTGAAGACGATACCGCCATCAATCACGATCGTTTGACCCGTCATGTAGTCCGAATCGGGGCTGCACAGAAAACTCACCGTGCTACTCACATCCTCGGGAACACTCGTTCTTCCCAGCGCAATCAGCTCGCCGCTGTACTTTTTGATCGTCTCACCCTTCTTGTGGCCTGTCATCTTCCCGACCTCTTCATCAATCAGATCCCACATGGCGGTGCCGACGATCCCAGGGGCGTAAGCGTTGACGGTGATTTTGTGGGTGGCCAAATCCATCGCAAAAGCCTGCGTCAGGCCGCGAACGGCCCACTTGGAGGCGCTGTAGTGCGCCAGGAACGGGAAGGCCTTGAAGGCGACGATGGAAGCAGCGCCGAGGATCTTACCGCCGTTGCCTTGCTTGATCAACTGCTTTGCTGCGGTGGAGTAGCAATTGTAGAGGCCGTATACTGTGTCTGCGTTGGCGCGTAGTCTATCTGAACCGCTGGTGCTAGCTTACCATTCACCTCAAACATGCGCTTCATATCCTCCTCTGTCAAATCAAGAAGCGGCTTGACCTGCGCAATACCTGCGTTCGCGACCATGGTGTTGAGAGGCCCCAGCTCATTCACGCTCGCTTCAACCATCTTCTGCACTTCTTGGCGATTTGACACGTCCGCTGTGAACGGGAACGCATTCCTGCCGATGCCTTTGATCTCCTTTACGACTTCCTCGCATCCTGCTTGGTTGGCTTGGACATCGTTAACGCAGATGTCGTAGCCGTCTCGAGCGAGCCGAAGAGCGATAGCCTTGCCGCTATGGATTGTTAGATGGGCTCCTCGGGGTGCGGAAAGAGGAGCCGGGCGGTCTTACATGCCACGAGAGGAGCCTGTGACAATTGCGGTCCGGTCCTGCTGCTCCATGCTCGGTGTCGCATATCTCCTGACCCATTGCGGAGCACGAGTCGTGACCCGTGATAGCTGTGTGAGTTTGGGCGCAGCTTGCCACGCAGTTCGAGCTGGCACACGGAATAGCATGACTGGAGAAGGATAGACTGGATGCAAGCAAATTGGACTGAACGGAGGGAAAAGAGAGCAACCAGGCAGGGAATTGGAGCGTACGTATCGGGGAATTGGAGCGACAGCATCGCGGCTCCGCACGATACTTATACCCAGCGTCTCCGCAACGCGTCCATGGATGGTAGCTCAAACAAGGCGTTGGCTTATGCAGGGCCCGCATCGATGGCTCAAGATAGTTTAAACTTGAGCTGGGAATAAAGCAACCCGGGTCACGTCGATCCCGTCAGGTCGCAGGATGTGAGCGGAGTGCAGGGCGGAGTGCAGTAAAACGGCGGGGAAGCAGCACGGTGAAGGCGCTAGCTAATTCTGTACTAGTATCTCGCCATCATTCAACCCGACCTCGGGAAGCGCGTCGCGAGCTGTGTATCGGCCACACCATCAACACACGAGGCCGAAGAGTTCCAACATGTCTCGCCCCAGTGTGGCGCCGCAGCGCAACCTGTCGCTTACTGAGGAATTGGAGAAGCTGGAGCAGTCCATCACGCTGACGCTGCAAGGTAAACAAGGCCCCCGCTACCCCACGCACGCGACTGACGGGCGCAGAAATCGACCACAACTTCAGCCGGGCGCACCGCATTGTCACGACGAGCGTTCTTCCCATTGTCGAGCAGTATGGGAAGCACTCTGAAGCGGTCTGGGAGGGCTCCAAGGTATATCCGCTCGTCGCTGGACAGTGTGCGGTGACGTTAACCCTCCCAGTTCTGGAAACAATTCTTCGAAGCCAGCGCAAACGTCTCCCTCTCCGGCTACGAAGCGCCAGACACCGATGATACAACGGCGAATGAGGACACGCAGCAATCTCAGGCGTACGACGACGAGACGGTAGAGGGAGACACCGTGACGAGCGCAACCGCAACCCCTCCGCGACCGTCGTCTTCCCAGGCCGATCTGGAAGGCACGTCGACGCTCGACTCGCCCTCCCTCGCGCACGCACACAGCACGCCACGAGCTCCGAACACGGGAGGGAAGGAGCCCCTATTCGCCGAGTTTTCGTCGCCGTACGAGAATCTAAGGCGAGAATTGGAGGGCTCTCGGACGCCCAAGCTGAACCCTACCACGCCCGGAAAGACGCAGGCTCTACCAGACATGACCGGCTCGTTTGACTCGTCGCCTTTCGTGCCCCCGACGTCCGGCAAGAGGGCGCCAATCAACCAGGACCCCCTCCTGCACCGTGTCCTGGACAAGACCTACCGCGTGCAGGCAACACCACTGATTAGCCCTAGAAAGTACAAGCCAACCGGTGTGTTTACGCCGGCAACCGCGCGGCGGGGCGCTCCTATCCCAAAGGGCGCATCTGCCCTGCCCAAATGGGATGAGGATTCGTCTCCGCCTTCCTCGCCGGCGCCCCAGCTTCGCGCCGATTTATTCTCACCATTGAAGACTCCAAGGACCCCTGGCGTGAGCGTACAAACTCCTGGGAAAGGGAAGCAGCCCTTTAGTGTTACGAAGACTGGGGCAATATTCGATAGCGACAGCGAGGACGAGGGAGATGAGCTGGGGTTCAGCCCGCCGAAGACCATTCAGTTCCATGTTCCAGCAAGCAAGCTACTTCAGACACCCGGTGAGTACAATAGAATGCAGGCTTGGTGTTTGTATGCTGACGTAGCCAAGCTCGCGAAGCTAGTAAGCGGATCGTCGAGGATCTGCTCATGACGGCGGGAGGAGATATAACGGAAACCACCGGAGGCCTAGAAGAGGACAGCCCGAGTGTGGTCAGGCGCCAGGCGGACTTGGATGATAGCGAGCTATTTGAATAGGGGACTGCAAAACTGAATGGCTAGATATCACAAACTGAGATACCCACATAGAACGTATGAAGATTTCCTGTGAACCAATTCCGAATGCCGGTAGTCGAGAGCATTCTTCGTCATGGTGACTCTACGCTGGGGGTCATCGGTTCACGTGTCAGACTTCCGCGCTAGCCCAACAGGGCCGTTAGCGGATCTGCATAGCTCCGTCATCACCAGATTCCCAGGCACCCTTTTCAAGACGCCAGCTTTCTTCCCTTTCATTTGCGTCTCCCCAATTCACCACGATGCCCCGGAGCCGGAGACCCCCGACCTCCGGCTACGCCCGCATAGCCCAGGCTGAGGAGGAAGAAGACAGCAGCAACGACTCCGAAGACGAGTTCCACGAGCGAACCATATCCGGCTCCCAGTATGCCCCCATCCAACCGAAGCGGGATTCGCGCATGCGCGTGCCTGCGTCCGGCGATTCGTCTCCCAACCTGCGGAGGACACCGTCCGGACGGCGCCAGCGAAGCAATTCGGGGGTGGACATCAAGGCCATAAATGCCAGGTTGGAGCGCTGGGCGGACGAGATCGCGCAGAAGTTTAAGATCAAGAAGCAGAAGGAGGCGCCTGATGACGAACCGCTGGAGATCCACCACTCGGTGTTCCAGGCGCCCGACTGGGTGCGCCCGGTTACAGCAGAGACGCTGACGTTCGACTTCGAGGGCTCCTCCGACCGCATGACGAAGCTGCAGTTCGATGATGTTGTTGAGAGCGTCAGGGTAGCAATCGAGCAGGGCACACACCCGAAGCTGATCTCTCAGGGCAGCTCCGGCAGCTACTTTGCGCGGAACGGCCGGGGCAAGGTGGTGGGCGTCTTCAAGCCCAAGGACGAGGAGCCCTACGCGTCGCGCAACCCGAAATGGACAAAGTGGATACACCGCAACCTGTTCCCTTTCTTCTTTGGAAGAGCCTGTCTCATTCCTAATTTGAGCTACGTTTCCGAAGCCGCCGCCTACGTCCTCGACACGCAACTACGCACGAACCTTGTGCCCTACACCGAAGTCGTCTCCCTCTCCTCTAAATCCTTCCACTACGACTTCTGGGACCGGCGCGCATACTACAGGAAGAAGAAGCCGCTGCCGGAGAAGGTCGGTAGCTTCCAAGTGTTTCTGAAGGGTTTCAAGGATGCCAATATCTTCCTGAAGGAGCATCCGTGGCCGGACCAGCACAACTCGAGCTTCAGGACAGAGCCGGCGCCGCGCAAGAAGAAGCGGAGATGGGCGGAGGAGTGCAGACCGAGCGGACCGCAGTCCGACGATGAAGATGAGGAGGAATCGCGCCCCAACTCCGCCGATCAGCAGCAACAGCGGAGCGTCTTTTGGACGGATGCCCTGCAGCAGTCCTTTAGGGAGCAGCTGGAGAAACTGGTGATTCTGGACTACATCATGCGGAACACAGACCGAGGGCTGGACAATTGGATGATCAAGATTGATCAGAAGACACAAGAGGCCTCCATCGTGGCAGAGCCGCCGAAGATGAATGGGCAGACAGACAGCGAACACGAACCGAGCAGCTACACCAAGCAATCTATGTCTGAGGCGGATCCGTACGGGCGGCGCGAACCAATGACCGCAATGAGTCGTTCAGCTACACCAATGCCCAACGGGCCAACGCCGTCCATATCAATTGGTGCCATCGACAACAGTTTGTCCTGGCCTTGGAAGCACCCTGATGCTGTAGGTGACCGTATCCCTTCCATGACTCAGCTAACCTTCCCCTAGTGGCGAAGCTACCCGTTCGGTTGGCTCTTCCTCCCCGTCTCGCTCATCGGCCAACCTTTCTCCGAAGCGACCCGTCGTCACTTCCTTCCTCTTCTCACTTCGAAGCAATGGTGGAGTGATACACAACTTGCATTACGGAAATGCTTCATGCAAGACGCCGACTTTAAGGAGCGAATGTACGCTAAGCAAGTCGCTGTCATGAAAGGACAGGCGTGGAATGTCGTGGAGACGCTCAAGACTCCAGATCATGGTCCTTTGGAGCTCACACGCAGGGCCAGAGTGTGTGTATGGGATGACTTTGTGGACATTCCGATCGCCGTACCTCTTCGTGCGCCATCTGCAGAGATGCGCCGGAAGCATCAAGCAAATCGCCACAGGCCCGTCGCTGAGCAGGAAGAGATGGACATCACCGCACTCTCAACTCCACCACAGAAACCTCAACCTGATCTTCTGATGAACTCGCCGCCCCTGGAACTTGCCAACGAGAACCGCTTTAATCTCTCCCGCGAATCTAGCTCTATGGACGTCCGGCGCGAGCCCGACGAGTCGCAAGGTCCAGAATCACCCGCAACCGTACAGGCGATACCGTGGACTTCTCGCACGATGGATGGCTCTCCATCCACCTACACAAATGGCCGACCAAGTCACCGCGCGCGGATGAGCTACGACGCGGCTCGCTCACGGCGTCAGACCGACCCGAAAAGGCATCATAGGCGATACTCCCTGACCGCGAGAAGGGGCCATAGCGCCATAATCATTGGAGATGATGATGACGAAGGAGACCTTGGATACGCAGCGAATGAGGACATGGAAGGGAATCGGAAGAGGGTAATCGTGGAACGCTTAGAGATGGTCAAGAGTCGGAATCCAGTATTTACTTGGTGTTGATTATGTGCCATGTATAGCTGTATCATTAGAGGTAAAAGGAAATACTTGCATGGGGCGGTGTTTTGATCGCATGAGCACATCGGTTGCATATACGCGGCGTTCCTGAAACGCAATTTGGGATATATGCGGGCATATATGTAGTAATATCAAGTGCCGGCGGGCTTTCCATCATTCCGATGATTCTGCTAGACAAGAGTAGCGTAGCACCGCATAACATTCTGAAGTTTCGTATGTGAGCTATAATGCGTCCTTTGAGTCGCTTGACATCATTCTTCGCAGCGTTCCTATTTGGGACCAAATTTGCTCGAATACATCCCGGATCTCCCCGGCCGGATGTCAAAGAGGGTCATCTGACACGGTTGCACAGACCATGCACGGCCACAGTGGCGCGTGGAATGGCTGACTTGGTGACTTGATCATCAAAAGCCAACCGCGTCTCTATCACCCGCGCCGTGCCGCATTGACTCGCTGTATTCTCCCCTCTGATCACTGTACGAAGGGCATGTTAATGTTCGCCGCTCTCCAGCTGCCGCGCGATCGTACCCGACGCCTACCTTCACCTGCTGGACCCACAGAGACTGGTACTACCGGTTGAACGGCGCACACCCAGGCAACCACACGCCGCTTTCGCGCAACACATCCCATCCTTTTGGCACCGATCCAGATTCTGCGCCTGCAGAGCGGTGCGATCGACTGCTAGTTCGACGCGACGACAACTCTGCTACCCTCCTGTGGCGGGAGAGCATCACGTCTTGGCAATATCAAATGCGCTGCGCCGGTGACACCCTCGAGCTCCGCGACCGCACCGGGGAATGGTGCTCTCACTTGACGCCTGACAGGTTTCTCTCACCCCTGTTCCCGTAGATTCTATCTGTATATAACTACCATGGACCCCGCCGCGCTACTCGACCCAAAAGGCGCGCGTCGACGAGGTAACTTTCTACGTCTCCTTCTCTTTTCAACTCCCCAACACCATATTCTATGTCTAAACAAATCAATATCCCCCAAATGCGATCACCGTGGCAACCGGGATTCGGGCGGCCGATTCTGGACCACGACGGTTCACGTGCTTCGCCAGAACATGAGCTAATAGACCAAGGTGAAGCGCTCCAACTACAAAACAACCTCCCGTCGCCACATGCACATGCACCTCAATTCGACCCGCGTGCTCTACTCAATCCGAAGTCATTCTCGAAACGTCCCGCTGCGGAGGAAGAAGTCGAGCGCGGGCGGGAGGACCCCACGATAGCCGGCCAAGTTTCACTCGTTGAGCGACTGCACAACGTGCACGAGCGCACCGCTTCGCCGTCCAAGAGAGTCAAGACCGACGAGGAGCAGAAAAAGAAGCCTCACTCAAATCTCGGACCCGGAGGCGCCCTAGATCTCCAGGCGAACAGCGTCCAGCCAAATCCAACTGCGGGGCCTGCAATCGATCTGACCATGAGTACCTGTCCCCAAGAATGCTTACCTTAACGACTACTAACTAAATTCCCAGGCGATGAGGAGGAGGGCGACATCCAAGTCGTCAAGGACAACTCTATGCAAGTCATCTGCATTGGCCGTCTCAAGCACGTGTACGTCCAGTCGCATACGGTGCCTTTCCCGGACCCGAAGAAATATCAAGGCAATCATGGCCAACAGGGTCGGATCAAGGTCTCGTTTCGACGAGGTGGTGGCCAGCGCAACACGATGAACATCATGGTCGTAGACCCCACCGGCAAGGAGTTCGGACGGGTCGACATGAAGACGGCGCAAGCTCTCGCACCTCTCATGGATGCAGCCCAGCTCAGCGGCCTACTGTGGATGGCGTGGACGGAACCTCGTCGGAAACTGCCGAATGAAGGACCTCCGGGTTCTATGCTCTCGACTCTTATCGCTCTTACCTTTCAACTCTATTGCCCCCGCAAGGTTGCTCACGATATTGGACGGTTCCTCAAAGCGAAGGGAGTCTTGCTTACTGACCCGATCTTCGAGCTTCAACGATACGATTACTTCAATCCACAGACCCACGCCTCATTCAACATTCAAGAAGGTGCGTATCCGGGTCGTTTTGTGTTAATCCATAGAAGACCTTCAGGCAGAGCTTCCACAGCCGAGACTAACACATTCACAGTGGCCCACCCCACATTCGAGCAGCCAGCCGCGCGGCATGCGGCCGGTGCTGGCAGCTATGTCCTCCGGAGTGTCGATGAGATTCGCAGCGATGTGCAGAACATGTTCGCCACGCTTATCAGCAGTGAAAAGATGGGCGTCAGAGAGCCGTCGACTATTATCCGTACGCCTCTGTATCCACATCAGAAGCAGGCGTTGTACTTTCTCTGGGACAAAGAGCAGGACTGGAGTGGCGAGGAGGCCGACAACCGGACGGACTCGCTCTGGCAGCCGAAGCTTCGTGATAATGGCCGGAAATACTACGTCCATGTGATTACCGGGGAGGAAGCGGCCAACAAACCAGCCAGCTGCCGCGGCGGCATATTGGCCGACGAAATGGGCCTCGGCAAGACCCTCAGTATCCTCTCGCTCGTTGCCGACCCTGAATCCGTCGCGGCTAGCAACGCGTTTGCTCAGAGGGCTCCACCAATCAAGAGCGCCGCGTCGATGATTCAACAAGTTATCAATAGTCGAGCCACTCTTCTAGTGTGCCCTCTCAGTACTATGTACAATTGGAAGGAGCAACTCGAGAGGCACTTTCCTCCTGGTCGCGGGCTCAAGTGGACCAACTACCACGGAAAAGACCGCTCTAAGTTCACGCCGAAAATCCTCGCTGATTACGACCTCGTTATTACGACTTACAACATGATTCAGGCTGATTACAACGATCGGGGCGCATCCCTGCCATATATCCACTGGTTTAGGATCGTGCTCGACGAGGCACACGCTATCCGGAATACGTCTACGAAGCAATCTGTGGCTGCATGTACGTTGGCAGCTCAGCGTCGTTGGGCAGTAACCGGTACACCGGTTCAGAATCGGCTTGAGGTAAGTGATCATTTGGGCCCTCCACTCTGACCTGGCCATCGGCCCTGCAGGATGTAGTGTCCGCCTAGATCCCAGAAGTGCTTTAGGTCTCCAATGCAAACATTGCTAATAATTACACAGGACCTCGGTGCTCTATTCCGCTTTCTACACCTGCACCCCTTCGATACTGGTCCTGGATTCACCCAACATATACTGGCGCCCTTCAAGAACGCCGACGAAGAAGTCGTACCCAAGCTTCAACTCCTAGTCAGTTCAGTAACGCTGCGACGGCTGAAGGAACGTGTGTTGGAGATCGAGCTACCAGCACGCCGTGATCTAGTCGTGCGGTTAAAGTTCTCCAAGGACGAGCAGAAGCTCCACGATTGGTTCGAACAGGATTCGGCCCGGAAGGTCAACGCGGTGACCTCTGGGGAGAAGCTTGGTGGCCATTCGTACGCCCGAATCTTGACCGCTATCATGAATCTTCGTCTCATCTGCGCTCATGGACGCGATCTTTTGAGCGACGAGGCGCTCAAGTTGACGGATGGCATGACCTACGATAACCCCATGGTATGTGTGAAGCCAATTGTAAGGGGCTTCAATGGCATTTGCTAATGTGCCTTTCCAGGAGATCGAGGACGACGACCAGGACGCGCCGGTACTCACACGCATGCAAGCCTACGACATGCTTGAGCTTCTAGACCAGACAGATACCGACCACTGCGGCTACCCCAACTGCCAGAACACTCTTCTCGGAGCGAGCGACGACTTTGACGACTCTGACGACGAGGCCGAGAGCAAGCCTAAAAAGGATGTCATTGGCCACATGACTCCTTGCTATCACGTTGCCTGCGCCAAGCATACCTCCACCCTCCGGGACGATTTTAACAAGAACACAATGCCGGATGGCTTTTCACTCTGTCCGTTCTGTGAGAGCCGCATTCGACCCGTGTCTTTCGAGTTGAAGCATAGTGACTGGAGGGCCTATTTGGAGGAGCGTGAGCGTATCAGGAAGGACCCCAAGCTAGCCAAGAAGATCGGTGCTTATGCAGGCCCGCACACGAAGACCAAGGCTCTACTCGAGGACCTGAAGGAGCATAGGGAGTGGAGCTTCGCTCACCCGACTGAACCGCCTATCAAAAGGTAAGTCTACTCCAGTCTATGCACCAGGTTACGGCTTTAGCTTAATGCACGAAAATTCCCCACGCTAGGCTTTGCAAATGCTAACACTTCTCAGTGTCATCTTCTCCACATGGACCACCCACCTTGATCTCATCGAAATCGCTCTCAACAATGACAGCCATACGTACGTACGCCTCGACGGCCGCATGCCCCGCGAAGCTCGCAATAGGTCTCTAGAGTCATTCGACAAAGACGACTCAGTGCACATTATCCTCGTTTCGATCGGTGCTGGCGGTCTCGGTCTCAATCTCACGAAGGCGAGCAAGGCCTACGTCATGGAGCCGCAGTTCAATCCTGCTGCTGAGGCACAGGCGGTCGATCGCGTACACCGTCTCGGTCAGACACGCGAGGTCACGATCAAGCGTTTCATCATGGAGAACAGCTTCGAAGAGAAGATGTTGGAGCTTCAGCGCAAGAAGAAGGCGCTCGCTGACCTTACTATGGCCCGGGAGCGGACTACCAAAGAAAAGATGGCCAAGCAACGTCTAGAGGACCTTAGGTCTCTTTTCCGCTGAGGATTCGCGGGTTCAGTGGCGTTTACGGGTGATGCTACTGGGGAGTTTCTTGAATTCAGCAGCGGACGGACAAAAACGCGATGGCAGATGCGTGCACGATTTTCGGCTATCGTTTAGGAGGCCCTCTTATCTTTGCTGGCCGCGTATTGAGTTTCGATGAGGCGTACGGTACGGGAGTTGACTGCACATATTCCCCTAGAGGACTTTAGGATTCGGTTCGTGCGCTCGACACAGGAATGCTTGATCTGCCCCTTCGCAAGGAAATTTTTCCTGCATAGTCATAGCATAGCTTCACGATAGACGTGTCTACAAAAATTCCTCTCTTCATGCTAACCAAGGCTCGTCAATTTTCGGCCATGCTCTCAGCTACCCTGCCCTCGTACGCGAGCCTAGTTACCCGCTAGAAGCATCAATTACCTCGCTGATCACTCTATGTACGCTTCCGCTCCGCTCCGCTAGAAGACCCAGCGATATGACTCGGAAACTTATCCGCGGAGATCCATAGATGCTTGGCCAGAGCGTCGTCGATCGCTCCTTCCTCCCGCCCCAATCGAGATTCTGCCCGGCAACTCTGAGCCGAACGCGGTTCCCCTTTAACAACCTTATTGCGACTTCACATCTTTTGACTTCTTCATCTCTTCTTTCTTTCATGCGCTTCACATCTCACGCCGCCAGCAAGAGAGTCGCCCGGAATGCGTCGAACCACCATCTTACTAGCTCGGCCCTCAGCTGTGGCGACAACCACATAACGAAGCGTTATGGCGTCATTCCTCTCTGTTCGAACATCCTTCCTCTCGCACACTTTCGACTGCTCTCGATATGGAGTTTCGAAACATGGAGCGTGCGTTCAAGCTTCTGCACGCTACGGGTGCGGCGCCTCGGGCAGGCGGATAACTGCCGGCTAACGAATGGCGATCCGGCAATGACGCGCCCGCCGAGGTGACTTCCTCAGGGCGCGTATGTACGAGGCGGCAGTCATCAGAGAGCAAACATTTCAATGGCAACAGCTTTTATTTACTACATGGCCGCCTTGCATCGCGACTCCCGTCAGGTAAGAAGCGCCCTCTGGCTCAAGCGACAGAACCAAGCAGTCCGTCCCGCGACCTGACGACAACAACTCACCACCCATTAGGGATAATATCGACATCCGTTACCCTGGGACCATGCGCGTCGCACGACACTCGATCCATTCGACTGCCTGACTGCCCGACGCAAATCTTGTCGAAGCCAATCTACGTAGTGTAGATGAAGTCCGGACGGCAATCGCCCAGCATGCGAATCTCCTCCTGGCTCTTGTCCTCGACCCAGTGATCCCTCTTGCCCGCCTTTCGCAAACTGTTCTCCCGCTTCAGCAGGAAATGCGTGAGAATGGTCCCGCCGAACAAGCACGCGAACATGAATGCAAGCACCGTCGCATGGCCTGTGGTATACTTGGGCTTCTCCCTCGGGAAGTAGATGTTGGATGAGATGACACCATTCATGTTGCCCCAGCCAACAACAATACCGACCATGACGCCGCGCTTGTACACGCCCTCGACGTTGTTGGAGGCCCACGAAAGAGTGTTCGGGACGCAGGGGTAGATGCCCATGGCTCCGAGGAACGTACCGGCATACTGGATACGGGGATTCTGGGTAGCCAGCAACATGGCAAAGCCGACACATCCGATGAACGAGATGACCATGTTGCAGTATCCACGCCACTTGGTTCGATCGGCGAGCCAGCCGATGAAGACAGTCATAGCTGCGGCGACGGCGTAAGGAGGAACAGACATGAGCTGCGCTTTGGTGCCCTGGTAGCCCATACCGAGCAGAATAGTCGGCAAGAAGAGTGAGAAAGAGTAGAGCGGGCAGAGGACTCCCATATACTGCAGCGCGTAGGCCCAGGTCTTCCAGTCCTTGCAAGCGGCGAACACATACTTGCGGCTGAGCTTCTCCTGCTCGGCGGGAGCTTGGTTGTCGGCGCGAAGACGGCGCAAAGCGCGGAGTTTCTCCTCTGGTGTGAGGAAGCGCGCGGTGTCTGGGAAATCGAAGACCATCCAGTAGCAGAAGACACCGACGAAGACCGTGATGAGACCCTCGAGGATGACTACGATGCGTCAGCAAAAGCTCGTGGGAGAATGGAAACGGAGACGCACAGATCCAACGCCATCCTTCGTATCCACCAACACCTTCCATATTGGTAATGGCCGCTGCGAGCAGTCCACCGAACGAACCAGCAAGGGCGGCAGCCGAGAAGAACAGCGCCGCGCGGAAACCGAGCTCCTGACGCTTGTACCAGCAGCTATTTTCTGTTAGCAAGTCTTTACTTTGCGACGTCGCATGCGACTTACGAAAGGTAGTAGTTGACACCCGGATACAGACCAGCCTCAGCAAGACCGAGGAACCAGCGGCAAGCGAGCAGTCCAGCCTGGTTCTGCACGCAGCCCATGACGGTCATGATCGCACCCCAGAGCAGGATGATGGTGGTGAAGAAATAGCGCGGCGAATAGCGCTTCAGGAGAAGGTTGGTGATTGGCTCAGCACCGGCGTACGAGATGAAGAAGATGGTCAGGGCGTTGTTGTAATCGCGTCCACCCATACCAATAGCCTCCTCCATGTGCGCAACACGTGCATTACCGATGTTGGTTCGGTCCAGGAAGGAGAGCAGGTACAAGAGTGAGAGCCACGGGATCAGCCAGAGGTCGATCTTCCAGATGAGAGCTTTGTCCTAGACGATGTTAGCATGCCGGGCACTAGCGGTGGGCGAAGAGGGGGCAAGGTCGTACAAGCTTCGCGCGCTCCTCATCGCTCTTGCCCGCGTCGGGGTCAGGAAGCTCATCAAACTCGGCTGGCGAGCTGATGCCAGAACTCCCATACTCCTTCTCAACAGCGTCCTGCTTCTCTACAATGTCGAGGTGGTTCTTCTCGGCGACCATGGTGCTGGAGTGAGTACCGGGTGTTGGGAGCACTGGATGCAGTCTGGGGAAAAGATTCCAAGGGGGGACAGGCGGGCTATCTATACTTGCATCCGTTTGCACCTTCCTGGAAACAGGTCCTGGTTCCCAGCTCAGCTATCTGCCGGGATCACTTAGCGGCCAGCGGCCAACGGGACCCCATGGGGACGGTTGGATGGGACGAGAGTGTGGATACGCTTGCTGCTTGGCTCCCTCACATCTTGCGTCCGGGCGTGGCTGGTATCTCTTCCGAAAGGGGGCATGGTCGGTGACGCACAGGCTCGCCCCTCGACCCTAGCGACCGCTGTACGACGTTCCGGCTGCATTTTGACAGTGTCGTCTCAAGCGGTTGACGCATGTCGCGGCGGATATCGAAGAACACGGGCCCGACCCATCCATGCAGAAAGCGCATCTTAGATTGAGGCTCGCGGGTCTCCAGATCCTTCGACACATCAGCCGCTGTCCAGATGGACGTCCTTGACGCACTCTATCTCTGGGGGAATTGTTGTTGTTAGGCGGCCCCCTTCTGGGACGTCGGGCCAAGCACATAATTTTGGGCAAGTGCGGGTTCCAGAACGGACGGGACGGCGTAGAAGTCACAGCTCGGCGCGATGATGACAACCATCGAAAAGCGCCACCCAAGACCTTGGCACAACGCCTGCGAGCCCTCGCACAGGATAAGGATGCAGGCGGATCGGGCGAGTGCGTTCAGCCGAGCGAAGAAGCTTTGCCAAAGGCGCCGCTCGAACCCGCGCAGAAAAAACGAGCGCGCGCGACAGACGTCACGTCGACTGACGATGGCACCTTTGGTGTTGAGTATGGCGGTGGACTGAGCAGCGCAGTGGGCCTACCCCGCGTCCTGGCTCGCGGAGCGGAGCACTCTGGGGTGCTTGGCCCTTGCTAGCGCCGTCTCCCTCCCCACTCTGCTCATCCTCGCGTCCTCCTTTCGCGCTGTCCGCCGCGCCCAGCGCAGCAGAATGAGCATCCACGCCCGCTGCCGGCCTGCCAAGCTTCGCCCGTCGGGTAAATGGAAGCCTTGCCCGCTGCAATTCGCTCGCAATCTGCTACGCGCTTACACGGCGGAAGAATGGAGAGACGATCCGACGTGGTTCCCTGGCTTCACCTTGCACGCCGACCTTCGGTACGCTTCACGGCCGTGGACTTGTGCCATACAGAACCTGGCCGACGGGAGTCGCCACCTACCAGTCTACACGTGGAGCCGTTACCCTAGCATCGCTGCCTCGGGTATCTCAAGATAGCGCTGCACCGAGCCGTCAAGATTCTACCAAGCCAACGCTATCCCCGACCAGGACCAGACGCATCCGACGGACTGTCCGACCGCGTGGCAATCAGCTGATTATCCAAGCGACTTACGCACTTATTGGTTCTGCATGGTAATCATGAGCGGGCCGTAGGGCTCACAGCGAGTTGAGATAGGTTTGCGGCCGGCCCAATAAGCGCGGAACCCTATCTCTCAACACCCCGCCGCGCCGTATCTCATCTCAGCAGTACCAGGTTCCGCGTTCATCTATTGACCCTCCCATAGGTTCCACGGATCCCCGCTTACTCAAGGCGATCGTCTCTGCGCTCGCCTGTTGACACGTCGGTGCGCGTTCGACCCAGCACAAAACCCCTGGTAGCATTTCTATACGACAAGACCTGTAAGAACACGGCACATTCGTTCCCTCCTTTTCCTCCTCCCAAGCTCGAGCCACGGCGTTACCACTTAGAGAGGGACTACCCTACGCGCCTAGTCTTGGAGTATTTCATCCCCTCCTTTGGTCGCCGTACTAACCGCAGCACGAACGGAGCATAGTAATGCGATTCATGAAGACCCGTCTGCTTGGGCAGACATGGACCCCATCAGTACATGCCCGGTCATGCTCATAACGAACGCACGCGATTCAGGGATGGCGTCGTCATACATGCATTGGGTTTCTGTCTTTGGATTACTGACACGCTCATACCCTTCCAGCAAGTACGGCGTCTACACACCGCAGATGCCCCTGATTCTCGGGTCGCGTTCAAGCCCTATTGTGCCGTATCACCTTCGTTTGTGTCAACATGGTCCCACCCAGCGTCGCCTCTTTCTCAACAGTCCTTCATGCCGTCCACAACCTGCCCATCCCTAATGAATTCCTCGACCCACCCAATGGTGATCCTATGCATTATCCGTCAGTACTGTAAGTGCTTTCACCAATGTGCCCAAAGGTAAGAGCGATGTTGAGAAAGACGAAGCGAGGAATGGACTCACTTGCTCCGTCGCGTATCCGCGAAGTTCTCGTGGTCGTGCATCAAGTGCTCCTTGTAGAACGGATCCTCTTTCATCGCTTTGTAGCCCTCCAAGTCTTTGAAAACGACTTGGCTGAAGCAATCATAGTCCGCTACGTTTGCCATTTGCGGGTCATAAAGCTCGGCTGTTAGCTTTCGCGTCTCGAGCGGGTTATGGATCTACACGAACTACATCTCAGCACGCTAGGAGCAAAGTTGGGGTGAAGAGAGCCTACCATAGTCCATCGCTTGACACCGTACTTGACGAGCAGGTCCTGCGTCATGGGCGCCGAGATCTTGGTCATATGGTGGCGGTAATCCTCCTCGCTCATGCCAGCCTTCCGATACCCCAGGATAGTCAGGCAGAGAAACTTGCCCTTCTGTCCGCCCGTGGTGGAGCCGTTTGTTTGGGGAGGCGTAGTAGTATCGTCTGAGGCCATGATATTCACGTGATCCCGATGTAAGCGGAAACTTTCCGTTTCAAGTGGAGACTGGGCGCTACTGTGTATACGGCCGCGGAGAGAAGTTTTTTGTTCGCTAAGCCCCTAGGATGGAAGGCAGGCTTATTTTGTTTTCTTGTACATTTTTCCTTTGTTCCGAGGAGCGGCTTGGTGTTCTGGGGGTGGTGGTGTAGACCGAATGCGTTTCGGATGTGGTGGGTCGGGGCTCGCGGGGCGGAGACGGATGGGTCGGGCACGGCGGTCGCGGCGGGCGTGGCGGGCACGTGGGTCACAACTTGCTTCGGAGGTTGTCGCTTTGCGAGGCTCCGATGAGTTTCGTTGCGAGTGAGATGCCGCCGCTGGGTTGGAATTCTCGTTGTGCGAAGTTCCGAATGACGCGGAGAGGAAGGGCGAGGGAGGATGGGTAGAGCGACTCCGGACATCGCACGATCATGGCAAGGGAGGATGGATAGAGGATGTAGTCGGCGGAGGTAGGTTCTCTCATCAAGTTCTTACTTCTTGGAGCTAATATCTTCAAGATACCATCGTTCGTAGTATACTCATCCTATCGCGTCCACAGAGAGCTCTGATCTATCTCAATCGACGACGCCAACGTGAACAAACGACAGTCATGCCTCCAGCATCCCCAAAGCCAACCATCACCGGCACCGGTGCGCTGGCTGTAGTATCCGGCTCCTTCCTCTCAGGTATCTATCTCCAACCATTGATACCATTGTGACGCTCGATCCTGACCATAATCAGGCACAATGATGTCCCTCTCCCTCCTCGCCGTCCCCGTCTTCCTCAGCACCACGACATCCCCCACCCAACTCCTGCGCGAATGGGCTAGGATGTACGCCCTGGGCCACCAGGTCCTTCCCAGCATCTCGGTTGCTACTATGGTGCTGTATTCGTACACGGCGTATACGCAGCGGGTTGCGAATAAGCGGTACGTGTGTCCCAGTGCTCCTACCAGCATGCCTCGATACACTGTAAATCGTGGAAAGCCATACACACTGGCTATTCACGACGAAACACCCAAGAAACGCCCCCATTGGGTCGCCGTTTCCCTCCTCTCCTCCACTCAAGAATCCTCAGCTAACGCATACGTCAACCTCCACAGATGGAAGATCTTCGTCGCCGCAGGCGTGACGACGGTGCTAATGCTGCCGTTCACATGGTTCATCATGGCGCCGACAAACGGGAGGCTGTTTGCGCTCGAGGCCGCTGCTCGAATGGGCGGCGATGGCGCGAGCTGGGAAGCTGTTAAGGGGCTTGTGGGCAGGTGGCGGCTGTTGCACTTGTGCAGGAGTTTGTTTCCGCTTGGGGGCGCGCTGCTGGGGCTGGGTGGGCTTTGGGAGTGAGTGGAGCGGCGGAGAGGGATCGGGGACACTGCGGGTAATGCTCGGGCGATAGGGAGGGATGCGAGGGTTGAGGGGTGGGAGTATGGTCTATGTGGTCAGTATCGGCATGTAGCAAATTCAGAGACGGGGGGCGATGGTCTAACGCCTCTTCTGCGTTGAACTTCGCTTGATAGATGGCTCTCCTCAAGTAGCAAGTCCTCCTATCACTACTACTATCACCCCACTCACCCATCCACCCATTTATACAAGAACAGTCCACCGAGAAATCGAGCGGTGTGTCAATTTCCATCCGCAACCAGTACCTCGCCTCTCTCTGGCCCTTGCATCCCCAACTCCCCCGCGTGACCTGCAAGCAAATCCCCATCGTATAAGCCCGCCGGGCGGAGAAAGCTAAACGCCCCTCCACTCGCAGCCAGTCTAGTACTTGCAGCCGTTGCTTTCAGGACAGGTGAGAGTTCACTCGGTAATAGGGCGCTGGGACTGAGGTCGCATTCAGCATTTGATGACCTATCATTGTGGTTCCTTCGCACGTGGATAAAGGTACTCCCATGGTTTGTACGTCGTGTTAATAATAGCATAACGCTGAGGCAGGTATTCATGTATCCGTCTCTAGGGGGAGCCTAGACGGATAGAAGACACAGCGAACCGAGAACGCACTTGACCTAAAGTGGAAGAAGTGGATTGCAAAAGTGAACGAACGAAAGTCTCTGGAATACAAATCTACGAAAGTCTAAAAAAATCCACACAAACCGAATGAAAACCCACTCAAAAAACACTACTACATCCCGGCACCCACCATCCAGCAAGTCCACTCCTCTTAACCATCAAACAAACCCTAACTAACTATAATACTCGACCAGCCAAGCCCGCAAATCCCCCACAGTCGGATACTCCAAGAACAAGCTGCCCGACATGGTAACGCCCAGCTCCTCGCGGAACTTCTCGGCGATGACCAGGCTCATCAGGCTGTCGACGCCGAGGTCCGCGAACTGCACGTCGTCTTTGAGGTCGTCGAGCTCGAGCGCGGCTTCGTTGGCGATGAGCGCGATGGCTTTTGCGGCCGTGCTGTCCGAGTCAAGAGATACGGTGGCGGTGGCCGGGGGCTCGATGCCGTTGATGACGGCGGGTTCGGGCGGCGTGGGCGGGAGGTGTGGGGAGAGGATGGTGGTTGGGACGGGCTTCTGCGCGGGCTCGGGGACGTGGATGGTGGGTTTCGGGACGGCCGGCGCTGGAGCTGGCTTGTTTGACGCCGGCGCCGCATGCTTCGCCGCCTTCGCGTCGTCCGGCGCAGAGAAGAAGCGATCGAGCAGGATCCTCGGGTAGCGACAGAACTTGATCGCGCCCACCATGCCGATGACAGCATCATCCTGAAGGATATACACGTCGCCCAGATACACCGCGGGATCGTCAGGCGTAGGAATCATCTTGACGTACGAGCGATACTTGGCCCCAGCGACCAGCGGCTTCGCAAAGCGCATCGAGCTCCAGCCGGGCGTGACGCAGAAGTTCGCCTTCGTGTCGATGGCGTCGGAGACGTTCATGGTGAAGCCGGCGAGATGCGCGACGCTGTCGATGAAGTACGGCGGCACGGTCCAGGTCCCGCCTTTCTCAGTCGAGAGCTGGATGTCTGCGAAGGCCTCGAGGTCGTGCAGGACGACGGAGCGCATGCCGCGATATTTGTCGGCGTAGTCGACGAGGTTGTTTGCGAAGAGGCGGTACGCCATGCTATGGGAGAAGCGGTTCGCGGTGCCTTCTTCGGCGAGCTGCTCGAGGGCTTGGATGCGGCCTTGGATGAGATGCGCGAGGGGCGTCCAGGACGAGAGCCACGCATTCGAATCACCGTAGTAGATGGTAGCGCTGGCGAAGGGGTCGTCCACTGTGCCGTTCGCGTGGGCGTTGTGCCATTTCAAGTGAGCTACGCCGGAGTGGATGTCGGCGGTGGTGATTGCCACTTGGATGAGCTGGGGGGTTTTGGTGTTCTTCTGAGCCACGAGCCCTTTGAGTACGACGAGGTCTGCGATGTTGATGGATACAGATTTCGCGCCAGGGATGAGGCTCTTGTACAGATACTCGCCTAGGGTGTACGCGATATCAGCGTGGATCGACTGATTAAGCGTTAGTAGGTAGCTTTCGATGTTGAACGAGTTACTCACTGAAGTCACGACGCCGCATCCATTCATCTTGTGGCCGTAGGCTGCCGCAAGGAAGTCGGGCTGCATCAGATCCGCCTGCATGACGACTTTGCCAACATTTCCTTGGAAGCTCTCCTCGATGATGCGTTGCACGGTCGATGTTTGCAGACTGGACACTGCCACCGGAGTGACGGCGTTCTGCGTCTGCTTCTTCTCCGCGTCGTAAAAGGTATTGCCTTTCGTCAGAGCCCAGTCGCCATTGTACTGGATCCAGTAGTTTTTGTCATTCCAAGCATACGTAGGCATATCGAGAAGCCGAAGTGCCTTCTCGAACGGACGATGGAACTCGTTCCAGCCAATTTGCACACCAGCGCAGTGCAACGTTCCGAGGCTCTGCGCAAGCGTCATCCAGTTGTCCTCACCTCTTCGCATCGAAGGAACAGTGACATTGATGGAAGACAGAGTAGACTTGACGAAGCTCATGCAGACGGGGTGCGGTCCGATCTCGACCCAAGCAGTCGTCTCGTCGATAGTTCCGATCTGCTCAGCCTTCTCCAGAGCTGCGCGGAAGTTGACGGCCTCTCTGGTTGCCCGTCGCATGTAGTTCGCATTGATGGTGTTCTCGTCGAAGACGACCTTGCTGAGGAGAGGCGACACCACCGGCAAATTAGGCGCGTGGAAGTGCACACCTGCCTTCGCTGTCTCTTCGAAGTCCTGGAGAATGGCGTCCGTCTGCGCGGAGTGGAATGCAAACGCGACGTCGAGACTTGAGCACTTGTACCCGGCGTCCTGAAGTGGTTCGAGCAGTGCGTCGATCTCGCCTCTCGTTCCGCTTAGTACAGTCTCCTTCGGGCCGTTGATGCAAGCAACCTCGAACGGTCTGTCGCCAGCACACTGCTCGATTTCCGTGAGTGAGGCTCGCACAGCCATCATCTTATGGCTGCCAACAGTGCAGTTCTCCTCTAGCATCATGGCCCTTTGGCCAACGAGGAAGATGGCGTCGCTGGCTGAAAGTACCCCGGCCACATGTAGAGCGGCATATTCGCCCAGGCTATGCCCGACCACAACATCCGGCTTCACGCCCAAAGACTCCCAATACTTAGCGAGCGCAATCTCAGTGCAGACGAGTGCAAGTTGGGTCACCGTGGGCGAGTGCGCATGTTCCTTTGGGAAGCTGCCATCGATAGCCGGAACGATGGACGGGAAACCTTGACCTTGAGCGAGGGCATCCAAGTGCTGGATCTGCGCACGGAAGTAGGGGCAGTCATGGTACAGCTCGAAGTTGCTCGACTTGTAGGACGAGCCTTGGCCGGTGAAAGCGAATGCGACGGAAGGTGGCCCGGTAGTGGGAATAGGCTTGTGACTGTCGATGGACGATAAATGCGAACTGAGCTGCTTCTTGATCTGCGAGGCGGAAGTGGCGGCGACTGCGACCCTGTGGTTGTGGTGGTATCGACGCGCGGTTGTGGTGTATGCGAGGTCTGAGAGCGAAACATTGGGATGCGCATCCAAGTACGCGATGATGCGCTCCAGGTTGCCCTTCAGAGAGATCTTGCTCTTCGCGGAGACGGAGACGATGTGAGCTGGGCGGGGGTCTGTGCCTATGACGTCACGGACTGGGCCTTCCTCCAGCGCGATCGACGTATTTCCACCGGCAGCACTGAAGTTGTTCACAACAGCAATGCGCTTTTTCCCCGGCACGCGAGGCCACGGCGTCTTCTCGTACGGGATTCGGAGGTTGCGCTTGTCCAAGTCCTTGGGGAATGCCGGGTTGATCCTGTTCTTGATGCCAACATGCGGCGGGATGGCCTGCTTTTCGAACATGAGCAGAACCTTCAGCATGGCAGTCACCCCGGCCACTGCTTCTCCATGGCCGACATTCCCTTTGACGGCGCCGACGTACAGCGGGTTCTTCGAGCTGCGACGTCGCGTAACCGGAGCGAACACCTCGCTGACGGACTGCATCTCCTCGTGATCGCCAGCCTGCGTACCGGTTCCGTGCATCTCGACATAATTGACATCGTGCGGATCTATCCCAGCACTGCGCAGCACTTGTCGTGAGAGATAGGCCTGGGCACCCGCATGTGGGTGGGTGATGGAGATTGCTTCCGCGGAATGGTTCGTCGCGGCCCCAAGGATCACGCCGATGATATTGTCGTTATCTGCCTCCGCATCCTGGAGGCGCTTCATCACAATGGATCCGATTCCGTCCGCGCGACAGTAGCCATCAGCTTCAGCATCCCATGTCTTGCATGCGTTTGGCGTCTTCGACAGGAAGTGCCCATGGCTGAGACCGGCGAACGCATCAGAATTGCTGAGCACATTCATCCCTCCAGCGACTGACGTATCACAATCGCCATTCCAGAGCGCCGTGCATGCTGTTTGGATGGTGGCTAGACTCGAAGAGCACGCCGTATCAATACTATAGGAAGGACCTGAAAACTTGAAGAAGTAGTTGATGCGCCCTGGGCCAAACGCACGACAACCACCAGGAATAAAATACGTGCTGATCTCTTGCGCCGTATTAACTTCTCGGTAGTCATCACTGGCCTGCCCATAGAACGTCCCGATCCGAGGCAGTTGCGTGGACGCGGTTCGATTGGCAACATATCCTGCGCGCTCCAGGGCTTCGTATGCGGTTACTAGGGCAAGCCTCTGCATAGGATCCGTCTGCTGCGCTTCCCGCGGGCTCATGTTGAAGAACGGTGCGTCGAAGAGGCCCGGTTGGTCAATAAAACAGCCGTACGGGGTATGACTGGTATTGACGCGTTTTCCTGCCGGATCGTAGTGAGAGTTGACATCGAAACGGTCGGCAGGTATCTTCCGGTGCACATCAAGCCCTTTTTCAAGGAGCTCCCAGAACTTCTCAGTGTCTGTCGCTCCCGAAGGCATACGGCAGGACATGCCCACGATGGCGATCTTGGACTGTGCAGATCCTCTCGGGCTGGTGGTCTCCGTACCCTTCTCCGCAACCCATGGGATCAACTCGCGGGTCGTCAGCTCAGTTCCAGGAAGGTCGGATTCGAAGCTCGATGTGAGGTCGTGAACCGGAAGGGAAACACGGAAGACCAGCACGTCCCACTCGGAAGCGCTCGCGTCTCTGGCTCGATCCAACACACCGCGGATCACGTTATTCCACTCGATCTTCTGCGTAAGGATCTCGTGTATGATAGCCTCGAACAGGTCCTTGGCGCTCTTCACTACGAACGGTTTCCCAGTGCTCGTGGAGAATATGGGTATCCTGGGTGCCTTGGAGAGCAGTGCGTTCATCGAAGCAGTCTCTACAACTTGGGCCACATGCTCCTGATTGTAGATATGGGCTGCGTGGCACAAGCCTCCATACACCGGAAGAGAGACATGTTTGTGATCTCGGAAGAAGTCAGAATGGAGAAAGACGTCCTTCAGCCTGGATGGTGGACCACTAACAGTCACCGAGGTCGAGCTCAATGCACTGATGAAGACCTGACTAGGCGTCGGATTTCTCTGTGGTTTCTTATTAGTGTCTATGCAACCCAATATCAAACACTTTCACATACAGCTTTGGCATGTATCGCATCCAACTCGTTCTGAACATCGACCACCTTCACATCCGGTATCACATAAGCCCAGGAGTCCGGCAAGCCAGTGTTGACTGTCTCCCTCGGCTGGAGATTCTGCGATACCTCATCGACAAGGACGCCCAAGCGGAAAGCGAGGCGCACCACTTCGGCGCCGGAGGTGGGCAGATCGACCAGGGTTTGAGACAAGGAGACCGCAGCAGTGGCTAGCAGTCCAATGCCCAATCCGGCCAGACATGCATTGAAGGAATCGAAGTCGAACTCATTAGGATGGTCCTCATAATACCTGCGTATTCTGTTAGAGACTGAACTGTACTCAGACCGACATCGCTTACCCTATGAAGGTACCCAACTCCACCGCACATAAAAGGACTCCTTCAACAGACCCACACAGAGGACCCTTGCGAAGACCGGGGAAGTCGGCCAAGTGAAAGAGCGTATCAAGAGGCGGAATCAGCGACTTCAGTGCCGCGGGAAGCTGACGCACTTCGTCTCGAATGGCTAACGTGGCCTCGTCTATGAACCGCGCGAGGATGGGGTACTGTCGATCTTTGCTGTGGAGGTGCAACCGGCGTAGTAGATCTTGGAGGTCATCATGCGGGAACTCGTTGCTGAAGTAAGCGAGCTTCATCCTTCGATTACCCTTCTGGGTTTCTGGGAGATCGAAGCTTGGCATTCTGATTTTCAGAAGAGTGTTATAAAAGATTGGTATGCCTGGGCGCTACTGGAAAGGCGTTCCCAGAAGTGGAGCTAATTTGAATACAGGAGATGCTGTTAAGGCAAAGATAAGAACGGGCGCGGTCAACGTTGAGTTACCGCGATGACGTTGAAAAGGCGTGGATCACAAGCGAGCACCGTCCATGGCGCTACGGGCTGTGATTTACGTCTAGATAAGCATGTGAACCTTGAGCTACCATGCAGATGCTCTGGTCGAACTCTCGGATGTCCGGTTCTTCGCTACCCATGCTCCGCGATCCGTACGACCAGAGTACCGGTGCAATATCCCACCCTTCCGAATCGGTCCGAGCGTCATGATAACCAGCGGCCACGTTTTCAGCGCAGCTGCCTAGCCAGGAAGGTCTCCGCGTATCTTCAACACTGCGCATCCCAGTCCCGATAGAGTGCTTCAACTGCGACTCAGGATCGAAGACCATCAAGATGACTTCAACAAAGCATCGAGGAGGATACAAGCAAATCAACAAGGCACTGAACATTTGTGCCTTCGAGGATTACCTGGAGACGCAGGTGGCCCGTCTACCAGTGCTTCCGGATGTCGAGCAGATTAGTCCTCGCGTGCTTCGAGTGCTGGGTCAAAATGCGGGAAAGGTACCCATTGTCCTTTGGTTTGATGATGAGGAGCGAATACTAATTCTGTAGTTCACGCTTCAAGGAACGAATACCTATATCATCGGCACGGGCTCGAGAAGGCTTATAATTGATACCGCACAAGGTCTCCCAGAATGGGCGGACCTCATCTCCGACACATTCTCAGAACGCAACATCTCCTTATCGCACGTCCTGCTAACACACTGGCACGGCGATCACACCGGTGGCATCCCCGACCTTCTGCGCATGTATCCCCATCTCACAGACACCATCTACAAACACACACCTGGAAAATGGCAGAAGCCTATCGAAGACGGCCAAATCTTCAGCGTGGAAGGTGCAACCGTTCGCGCTGTTCACGCTCCGGGCCACTCTCACGACCATATGTGTTTCATCCTCGAGGAGGAGAACGCCATGTTTACAGGCGATAACGTGCTGGGCCATGGAACAGCAGCCGTGGAGAAGCTTAGCACGTGGATGTCCTCGCTGCGACTCATGCAAACGCATCGCTGCGCGATCGGATATCCGGCTCATGGCGAAGTCATTCGCAACCTTCCAGCTAAGATTGCGAGTGAGCTTGGGCAGAAGAGCAGGAGGGAGGAGCAAGTGATGCAGACCCTGATTCGCATCAAGCAGAAGCAGAAGGCTTCGCGGACGGGTAAGGGCAGCGTGAGTGTCAAACAGCTGGTCGCAGAGATGCATGGAAGTGGCGTGGACAGGCAGGTTGCGGAAATGGCGTTGGAGCCGTTCATGGATGAGGTGCTTAGGAAGTTGGCGGAGGATGGGAGGGTAGCTTTTGAGGTCAGGGGAGGTGAGAAGAAGTGGTTTGCGCTGGAGATGGTGTAAGGCAGCTGTCTTTGAGGCGTTCAAGGATTTTTGCGATAGTTCTATGATATCACCTTATGATCACGATTCCCTCATCTGAGTTCTCACGCCGTGATCGCGCTATACAGTTCCTGACTAAGCAATCAATCCTTACTGCCTTGTGCGAAGGCTACTTTGGCACTGAAACGGAGGGGTTAGCGTCGACAAGGGTTAGCGTGCTCAAGAATACATTCAGACCAGTATGTGCGCAGTCGGGCCTCGTATTCGGACCTCCGACGGCGCTGTCGGGATCTCGTTTCGCTGCTCCTTTCCTTGTTTACCACGTCGCCCTCAGCACTCCCGCCACCGCGCCTGCGATTCCCGAGAGACCTCCCCGCGCCTTCCATTTTTGGGAGCCATGGAGTGCCCGCGGTATCCAAAGTCCAGGGCCATGACCGCGATCGCCCATGGCATCCCCGGTCACCGGCACGCACGAGTTCTCATTGCCCGGAACCAGGAACGCCAACGCGAAGCTGAGAGAGCACGTGAGCCACGTGAGCGCTATTGTACTCCTCTTCTTCGGCATGTAGCACGCGTCCCAAGAACCTGGGCGTTGGCGGGCAAGGGTGCGTCGAAAAAGTTGTGGCGCTAGCTACCCTGGTACGGTTCTCTGCGAATTTACTACCTAGGTAGGGAGCTCCGGCACCCGAGCCGTCAGCGCTTTATAGCTTGCAAAGGCGCCATTGCTGGAAAAGAGGATCGTCTCCTTGCACTGACGAAGTCATGGGCTGCTTTGGAAGACTCGTGGGCTTTGGCGTTTGCCTTTTGGCGCTTGCTTGGGGGAGCACAGCAGCGAGACCTAGGCCGAAGTGCAAGCATGGCCCGCATTCGCGTGGTTGCTGGAAGGATGGGTTTGATATTCATACCGACTATGAGGTGGAAATTCCACCTGGGAAGTTGGTTGAGGTAAGGAGCGCTAGAGCCTACGCATTAGAGAAGTGCTAACGCGTGGTGGACAGTACGACTTCACGGTTTCAGAAGCGGTGATGGCGCCGGACGGTTACCTGACCAACATGACTGTGGTCAATGGCCAATTCCCCGGTCCCACCGTAGAAGCTGATTGGGGCGACACCGTCCGTAAGCTTCCCCGGCAAAACCCTGGTGTCAAAGTTCAGGTAACTGAAGATTGCAGGAATTACGGTCCACAATAACCTAACGAACCACAATGGGACCGCGATTCACTGGCACGGTATTCGAATGTTTGAGACGAACTGGCAAGATGGAGTTCCCGGTGTTACACAGTGCCCTTCGAAGGTGAGACTCCCTCCTCGAGAGGAGACGGCTACGCTAACGGGTTTTAGCCTGGCGATACACAAGTTTACGAGTTCAGAGCTATGCAGTACGGCACTGCATGGTACCATTCTCATTACAGTCTGCAGTGTGAGTGTCACATGCAGCCAAAGGTCAGCTTTTCTAATATTTTCAGACACCAACGGCATCTTCGGTCCTATCGTAATCCACGGCCCCTCCAGCATGGACTACGACGTAGATCTCGGCCCTTTGCTCATTGGCGACTGGTACCACGCGGACGCGTTTTCGCTCTATTGGCTCGAAATCTTCACGCCTCATGCTCCCATTCCTCTGAGTACACTTATCAACGGCCAAGGCGTCTTTGACTGCAATCCTCGTAATGACACGCGGTGTACGGGCAAGGCTAAATACCATGAGCTGGAGTTCAAGAAGGGCACGAAGTACAAGATCGGCCTCGTGAATACGGGAAGTCTGGTGACGCTGAAATTCTGGATCGATGGGCATAAGTTCACGGTTATTCAGAACGACTTTGTTCCAATTGAGCCGTACGAAACGGATGTGTTGATCGTGGGCATAGGTGAGTTTGGCTACGTTCCCCTTGATCAAGGCGGTTTCACTCACAATTCCTTCCAGCGCAACGTTACGAGATCATTGTGGAAGCGAACGCCGACTTCGAGCACGGCACTAATTTCTGGATGCATGCCAACTACTGCGACGACGACACTTGGCCGAGCAAAGTTGGCATCATTCGCTACAACCCGCGAGACAAAGGCGAGCCATACACACCGACCTCAGAAGAAGCACAGCACTACGGATTCGGCTGCATGGACCCCTCACCCAAAGACCTCACGCCTATCGTACCGCGACAAGTAGGCAGGAACGTCAACGGCTTCTCTCCATCCGACTACCTCAAAATCGGGCTGCAAGCCTGGCCCAACGTCACTGACGAGAACTCGCTCATCCACAAGTGGGTTCTCGGCAACAAGACCCAGCTCATCGACTGGCGCGACCCAACCATCAAACGCCTCACAATCGACGACAATATGAACTTTCCCGAGGACACCGTGCCCCTATTCCTCGACTACGACACTAACGAATGGGTCTACTTCGTGATCGAGAACAACTACACGCTCTCCGACGCCGCGCAACCGCAGACGATCCCCCGCTCTGTCCACCCCATTCATCTCCACGGACATGACTTCGTGATCCTGGCTCAAGACCAGGGTCCTTTCTCCAAGGACGTGGTTCCGCTGTTGGACAACCCAGCCAGGAGGGACGTCGTGAATTGTCCGATTGACGGCTATGTTTGGATCGCGTTCCAGATTAATAATCCGGGCGCGTGGTTGATGCATTGCCATATCGCGTGGCACGCGAGCGCGGGGTTGAGCTTGCAGTTTATTGAGCAGCCTGGGAAGATCAAGCCGCTGATGGAGAAGGCGGGAATGCTGGGGCAGTTGGGGGATAGGTGCGATGGTTGGACGGAGTATTATAATACTACGAACATTCCTGGGGGGGTTTTGCAGGATGATTCGGGGATATGAGAAAGGGATCGAGCTGGATGGGAATGGCATTACTTTGTTGCCTAATAATAGACGTAGAAAATTGATGTATTTTTGTACGGAGAGTGCTTGCCTTGCGAAAGGAGACGTTATGATCATGATTCAAACCCGGTCCTGCAAATATCGCAATAGTGTCAACAAAGACTTCTACCTCTAGCTATCCTTTTCGGGTGCGCTGGATCATGTACATGGTCCTGCAAGTCGTTCATTCCGACATTCCAGCCACGTGCTCGCTTGTCGTTCCCAACACCACACTCGCACGAAACACCTCCAAAATTCTACCCATCAGCGCAAGCCCTTGTTCCCACGTGATCAAAGCACCAAAAGGGGGAAGATGGAGCATGATCTCCACGCAACAGGTCTATTTCCGCCCCCCGAAGTAGCGAGAGCCGCTCCTCCGACACCGAACACGAGCCCCGGACGGAAGCCTAAGCGAACGCCGAAGTCGAAAGCGACTCCCCAACCGAACACGAACACCACGCACCTGGACAGCTCACAGTGTTCCTGCGTCTACGCCACGAGGCGCCACGTGAGCGTTCCCATAGGTCTGGTCTGTCAGACATCACGGCAGCATGTTTAGAAACATCCGGGATAGGGGTCCGAGATGCTGGGAACTCGTGTTGTTGGAGGTTCAGCTCTTTGCGCGGCTAGGTATAAGATGATGAACACTTTATGGTTGTTGCGCATTGTGTCGCAGTCATTTTAGTTTTTCAGTCAGGATGGTCGCTCTTTATGCCTTTAGGGCTCTTCTTGCTTTCGCTACAGTGTCCTCAACGGTCGCTCAGCAGCTCACCGGCACTTATGACTATGTGATTGTTGGGGGAGGCCCGGCTGGATTTGTCCTGGCGGAAAAGCTCTCGCAGAATCCAAGCAAGCGCGTTGTCCTGCTTGAAGCTGGGCCAGATGGGATCAACAACTCACTGGTCAACAGTAAGTGCTTCCCACGAGACTAGGGGAACTAGCTAACCAATTGTAGCTCCTGCATATTATCCGCTACTCACAGAGTACAAATGGAACTACACATCACAGCCAGATCCGAACCTCGGAGGAAACGCCCCAGACCTCAAGCAAGGACGCGCCTTTGGCGGCGGCAGTGCCGTTAACGGAATGGCATACTGCCGCGGCGCCCGCTCAGTTTTCAACGAGTGGGCAACTATCTCAGGAAACCCCGGCCTTGCGTGGAACTCTCTTCTTGAGGACTTCAAAGCGACTAGCCACTACGAGTTCCAACCGGCCGACTACGAGCAGTACGTGAATTTGAGTGCCTCTGGCAATGGGCCGCTGGAAGTTAGTCGCACTAGTGCCTATACTGGCTTCGACGTCCCGTTTATCAGCACACTGAAAGCGGGGCTCGGTGTGGAGGAAGTCGACATGCTAGACGGGACGGGGATCGGACTTGACTTGGGCATTGCGGCGATCAACGCCGGGGAGAGAACGCGATCGTACGCTCGCAACGCGTTTGGCTCGCTCATAGAGACGAGGAGAAACGCGCAGATGATCCCCAACGCTTGGGTCACAAAGGTCGGATTCAGGGGAAAGAAGGCTACCAGTGTGTCTTATGTCAACACGCTGAACGGGAAGAAGACCACCCTCGCGGCGAAGGAAGTCATTGTCACAGCTGGCGCAGTGAACACGCCACAGCTGCTAATGCTGTCAGGCGTGGGCCCAAAGAGCAAGCTGACCGAGCTCGGCATCCCCGTCGTCGCAGACATTCCCGCAGTGGGCACGAATCTTTACGACCACCCCGTCGCCGTCGTGATGCTCGAAGTCACGCCCGAAGTCAAGACCGTTTGGCAATGGGCTTTCAACGAAACCGAGAAAGTCATCGCAGAGCAGCAGTACGCGGCCAACCGATCTGGTCCCCTCGGCTGGAACAACGGCTTCGTATACGCCGCCACCCGCGTTCCTGACGCCGTCTTCGCCGGCGTAAACGCCACGCACTACACCTCGCTCCCCGCGGACCGGCCTCACATCATCTGGGAATACACCACCGTGCCCTTCAAGCAAGTCACCAACACCAGCCTGGTCACCGCCTGGGTCAGTCTCGTGCAAGCCGAAGACCCAGGCTATGTCACCATCCCCTCAAAGGACTACAAGGACGACCCGCTCATCTTCTCCAACTACTACGGCTCGCCCGCGGACAAGAAGGCCATTATCTGGGCGTACAAGAAGATGCGCGAGATGATGGCATCGGAGGAGATGCAGTCTGTAGTTGTCCAGGAGGCGTATCCGGGCAGCAATGTGCCGAACACGGATGAGGAGGTGTGGAAGGCGATTCAGAATGCGTCGTTTTCGTTTCATCATCCGCTGGGAACGGCCGCGCTGGGGAAGGTGTTGGATAGTGATTGGCGAGTTAAGGGGCTGCAGGGGATTCGCGTGGTGGGTGCTGCGGCGTTTCCTGGTCCGCCTTCGTGCCATCCGATGGCGGATGTGTATGCGATTGCGCATAGAGCTGCGAGGGATATACAGGCTGCTGACCATTAGGATTCCGCTTAGATTGCGGTGCCTATATTATAGTAAATTCAAAGACTTGGGTGATACTCCATTGCGGCCTCCTAGAATCACTTAGCTCTGCGCGTGGATACTGAATCCGAATGCTAAGGGTTTGTTTACAGTATATCTTTCTCTTACAGTAGAGAATTCTCCGGATCTAAGGGCTCGCCGTACAAGTAAGTAAAATTAGCTTGTCTATTGTACACATCCGCGAAGGCCTCTAGGGTAGCTATTACACACGTTGTTCTATCTAGAGAATTATACACCGTAAGAACTTGATATGCAAAATATTCACTTTCGCAGAACAACATTGTATCTTTCTAGACGCATGCATCGACATTCTGGGAAGATCTTCATGAAAGGCATCGCCGAAAGAGTTTGGTCGGCAAGTAGAAACACTGAATGCGTGTAGGTGCAAGGAGTAGAGTATCATATTTCCTTTCCATTTTCCGCGACTACCTAAGTCGGAAGATATCAGGGGTTCCTCAGCCTAGAGACCCAGTGACGCCCAGTGCAATCAATTGAATCACCCCCTTCTCTGCATGGTCATCTAAGACTTCCAAGCCGTCGTAAGCTCTCCCTTGTGAGGCTTGATGGCCTTCTGAGGCGCCACGTAGTCGAAATAGCCCATGCCAGCCAAGAAGCTGGCATCCTGAGGGCCCTGGGGAGCATAGTCGGCCATGTTGATGAAGTTGTGCGGGAAGCCAAGGTCGAAATCGTAGCCCTTGTCGATTTCAGCCACGTCCTCAGGAGTCAGCTCGAGGCTGAGGGCTTCGACGTTGGCCTTTAGCTTCTCGACGCTGTTACCGCCGACCATGGGGAAGATGTATGGTGCCTGTGAGTGTTAGAGCGAAGTACTTCAGTTGGATTTGGTTTCTTACCTTCTGCATGACATAGGCGAGCGCAACCGATGTGATGGGAGCGCCGTGTCGCTTGGCTACCTTGTCGACGACAACGGACACTTTCTCCTCGCGACCAGTCAGCATGTGCGGGGTCTGACGTCCTCCCTGCTTTGGCGGAGCATCGGGTGAACGAATGTATCCTTAGCTGGTCAGTGACGTCCTTGAGAATAGAGAAGACAGGAGAACATACCGCTGCCGAGCACGCCAAAGGGGTGAATCGCCATGCCCTCATCACGGCACATAGGAATGACATCACGCTCAAGGTCGCGCATGAGTGCAGAGTAGCGCCCCTGGTAGATAGAGAACTGACGAAGTCCGTGCTCGCGGGCATAAGCATTGGCCTTGACCACCACCCATGCCGGAGTGTCGCTAATACCAAGATACAGCACCTTTCGCTGCTGCACCAAGATGTTGAGCGACTGCATCAGCTCTGGAATTCCAGTTGCGAAGTCCCAAGCATGCACGTAGTAGATATCGATGTAGTCGGTGCGAAGGTTCTTCAGGCTCTCTTCGATGGATAGGTGCATGCTCTTAGATCCAGTGCCGCCGAAGTTGCTCTGCTGGACGGGCTGGCCGGCCTTGGGGCTCAGAGTGTACTTGGTGGCGACAACCATCTCGGAACGGCGGCCGGTCTTCTCCATCCATTCACCAATGAATTGCTCGCTCTGGCCATTCTGGTAGACGTTCGCAGTGTCGATGAAGTTGCCACCAAGGTCGTAGTAAGCGTCGAGAAGTTCGAAGGCAGCCTCCTTGGTGCACTCGCCCATCATTGGACCCCATGCAGTTCCAAGGCCTAGCCGCGGTCAGAAAAGGAAATCAAAACAAGAACGGTAAGACTTACTCATGCCACCCAGCGAGATCGGGCTGACACGAATCGACGCAGTAGGCGCCAGCAAGCGGTGCCTGCCAAGCAGACTCTTGGGCGGCGCTGGCTTTGGCGGCATGATGGCTGATAGAATTGAGCTGCAGGTAGAATTGGAGAAGTTGCAAATACGATGCAACTAGCAGGAGACGGCAGAGTTGAATACGGAGGAGAGATAAGGACGCAGAAGGTCGGTCGAGGCTGTTTTTTAAGCGTTATGCGAGCCCAAACTGGAAGTCGATATGGAAGTGAAGCATCGGATACAGCGGGGCGAAGCAACAAAGCGCGTTGCCTAACACCGTTAACTCCCAGCGGCTGCGGTGCCGAGAATTTGCACAAAGCGGGGACGCGCTGATTGGGCAACGCCAAAATGTGCAAAAATGGGTACGAGCGCGCCACGCCGGAAGTGCAAATATAGCGACCGTTAATTCCGACTTGTGGCGCCCGCTGCCGAGACCTGCACCGATGCACGCGCGACCGAAGCGCTCGGTGTCCGAAACCCGACTGCAGCTCGCTTTGTTTGATCGATGCACCGACCCTCGCGCAGCGGCCTTCGCAATGCGGTGACTAATGGCGTGAGTAATAGAGTGCTCTGAAGTTGGTAAGAGGAGTTCCCTTCGAGTTTATCACGTGACTGGATCATTCACTCCTAGCCTCTGGAGTGCAAAACGTCTGGGTGCTGCAAACCTTGCCGTAGGCTTTGCTAATACCTTGCGAGCGAGGCAGTGAAGACACCCCGCAAGCACGTTACAGTCTGTTACCTTTGTTGAAGATCTTCAGGATTCACTTCCGTGGCCTAAACAAGGCACGCATAGATATGCTTGCGACGTATCAAGCAGGCGAGAGAGTTTTGATAGACAAGAAAGCTTGATTTATTGCGCTAGCAAAGATCCTAGAGATGGTGTAGCTACCAAGACCAAGCGAAGCATCAGATGCTCTACTTGCTCGTCGCCAGTATAAGCACAACAGGGAACGAAACCGTCCTCGTCGCCCCACTCCCTCCCATAGCCTCACGCAGCTCCTCCACCATCTGCTCAATCTCCGAGTATCGCTCACCAGCCTTCTTACGGTAGTTTGGATACACCGAAGCCAAATAGCCCGCAACACGCTCGGCATCCCACTCCTCAGCCCAGAATCCGCGATCAATCACCTCCTTCTTGACGTCTTCCGGGCCCGTTCGGTCGACTCGCTCAATTTCAAAGTCGTAGCCCTCCTTGCTGTTGAAGAGAAGAGGGATGTCGTTGTTCCACTTGTGCCGCTGTACATTGCTCCAGTGGCTGGCGGGGAATTCAATGTTGTCGAGCCAGCTGCCCATCGCTTCAGCTCCGCGGGCGTGGAAGGGGAAGCCGGGCGTGCCCTTGAACGGCAGGAGGAAGGTGCAGATGCGGGTGGCGATCTTGTCGTAGATAGCGTTGAGCTTGTCGGCGTCGTCTCCAGTGAAGATCGGTCGCGCGTAGAAGTAGATGGCGACTGTGCCTCCGGGACGAAGCAGCGTATGGAAAGCTTCCAGTGCCTTGGGCGCGTCGAGAAGAGGCATGCACTCGCTCACAACGACCAAGTCGGTCTTGCCCTTGCCGACGTCCTCCGGAATCGGTGCCGCGGCGAGCCCTTCGGCTGGCGACTTAACGAAGGTCATGCGTTGCAGGTGCTCCTTTGACACGATGGCCGGGGCGGCGGCCAGTGCAGCGTCGTTGACATCCGAACCAACAACGTGGTCAAAGTATTTTGCAAGTCGCTCAGCGATGTTGCCTGGTCCGGTTCCGACATCGTGTGCGACGCCGGTGTTGGGATCACCGTGTTTCGTGTGGTAGTCGTTGATGAGTTCGAAGAAGTCTTCGGTTGGGGAGGGACGACCGGCGATGTAAGAGCGCCAGAAGGGCACATCGGTTCCGATGGCACCAGTAGTGAAGGGCGTTTCGAGATCTTGGGTTTTGCTTGGAGCCATGGCGATGCAGTGATGTCTTGAGCGTTTGAATTGAACTGTGATAGAAAGTTTAACTGCGCTCAGCGTATGAGGATGAGCCTTCGATTCCAGGTACTCTGAGGGGCCGGTATATACGAAGCAACATGCTGGACGGGTCTCCGAAACTGCAAGTGTCGGGATGCGAGGGGTCCGGCCTAGGAGGAAAGCGACGCCGAAGTATGTACTCCCAAGAGAACGCCTACCGACAATGCCTTTACAGATTCAAGGAGTGCGTAGTCGAAGAATTCCATCTTCTATTATCATCCGACCTCGAAAGGACGAGAGCATGTCGGGGTGGAGGAAAAAGGAACGTGATCAGGTATTCTAACTGTGTGACCAAAAATACTGCGAAGAGCCTATTCCAGTGGTTCCGCTACCCAAGGGGCGCATCTATTCATGTATTCAACAGACACACGATCACATGCCAGATAGCAGCGAAGCGGAATAGATCAATCCCATTAGGAATTTTCGACTCTCATACTTCTCGCTGGAATCCATCGTGAGCGCGCTCGAGCAAAATGTTCCCCTACTGCACATTGGGGATCCCGCCCCAGGGCTGGTCGAATCCAGCGCCCCAAATCCATTTCCCCTCCGGAGAGAGGCCCAACGTAGTATCGTAAGCCATGCGGGCCAGCTTCAACCACATATCGCCCTTCAACGGGAACGCATCCCCATGCTCTCCATGCTCGAACGGCTTCGACACTTCCTCTCCGTTCTTCAACGCCCGCACAAACTTCGCAACATGTCCATCATCATGCATGGCAGTGATGGCACGATAGAGTTCCTTCCAGCCCATATCCTTCGCATGAGTCGCTTCATAACCCGCCACATCGTCCACGTTGAGCTCCGGGCAGCCGCTGGCGGCATACCACACGATGTCCAGTCGGCCCTTCCATTCAACGAGCCGGACCTTGTCTTCGACTTTGATCCACGGCTGCTTCATGAAGACGGTGAAGAAGATGGAGCTCGTGACGTTGTGCATGTAGAAGAAGTCGATCTTGCGGCCCTTGCCCTTGCGCTGGGCGCAGCCGGCCATGTACGCGGCGCAGTTGAGGACCTCGGCGCAGCGTCGTTCCAGGTTCTCCGGAGTTACGCGGAACTGGGAAGCTAGAGCCGTGACCTCGGGACTGGCGCGACCGAAAACGCCGTGGTTGATCTTGTTGGCCATGTCGGTCCAGCGGGCTGCGTAGTGGATTGTCTCGTTTGCGCCGGCTTCCTTCAGGAGCTCCACGAGCGTCTTGGATGACGCATCGATGGAAGAATTGAGAGCTTCTTTCTCGGAGTCGAAAAGGAACTTGTCGATGCCGACGTTGCTGTGCGCGGCGGCCTGAGCGAGGCCCTCCGCGATGATACTTGGTTGCTCGAATTCGACGCCGAGACCGAAGTGAATGACCGGGTGATATGCTCCCTCGTAGAGCTCGGAGAGCACAGCCTCCGCGACTGGAGTTCGACTGAAGACATACTGCTGGATGACTTCCTTCCAGCCCTTCTGCTCAATCTGGCGTTCGAAGAAGACGAGGAAGTTGGTGTACTGGTCGCCCTTGTTCAGATACTCCAAAAACTTCGAGTCGTCTGCCATTGCGGCAATGACGTCTTCATCGACTGCCGGCGGTGGGCGTTGGATGGGTTGGTTGTCGTCGTAGGCTTGCTGTAGTTCGGCCGGGCTTGCACCCAGAGCGAGAATGGTGAGGTAGTCGTGCGCCATGTGATTATGGCCGTTGACGTCGCGCCAGAATATATGGTTCTTGTCGTGGTTGTGCTGCAAAAGGCGGGTTGCGGCTTCGAGAGACTCTTCAGGGATTTTGTCGCCATGAACGATTCCCACACTGCCCTTGGACAGGCGAACCTGGGACGCAGCCGTGATGGTGGTGGTAGCGGTAGTGGACATTTTGATGAAGACTTGCTAGATTACGAGGCTTTACCGGCTACAATTCTTCTACGACTTGGAGGGGCTACTCAGCGGATTTTGACTTCCATAAATCTAATACAGCTCTCGGAGTTCATATCCGTACAACCATCGAAGTCACCTGAGAAGAGGTCGGCTGCTCGCTTACGGCGCTTTCGGGCTTCGGTATCAGTGGACGTCGGTATTGGCTTACTGCAACGTCACTCCGTGTGATCTGATTGGGCCTGTTCGAGAAGCGACCATTTCTAGAATTCAAGATTTGTAATATGAGGTGGTAGAGTGTCGGCTCTAGGTAAGGCACCTAGCTGAAGACCTCCATGTGAGGTTGGCTTTATCAGGAATATGAACCGCATTTATTGGGCATTCAATAAGCTCCCGAGGTCATTAGTCGATTAGGGAAGCGATAAATTTCATGAGCAGCTATGTTTGCCTATCCAATTCTCCCTACATGCCCTCTAGGATGGCCCTGCGCTGGGCAGATACTTATGCATCCAGGGAAAGTAGTGCCTCAAAACCCCATACAGAATGCACAGCGGAGTTCCCTTCGGAAACGCTGCACTCCCATTCGTATTGCAAACGCTCACGTTCTTCATATCGTACCGCCCGGTAGGATCATCCGCAGCCTCCTTCATCGCGGCCGCCAAATCAGGATACGCAATAAAAGACTCATGATCGTCCAAACTCAGCCTATAGCCCCTCTGCTTGTCGACCGCCAAACCGCCCGGCTTGATGAAGATAGTCGAAATCCAGTCTTGCTGATCTCGCAGGAAGACTTCCATGAGTCGCAAGTCATCGTAGACGAAAGATCCAGCTCTGATCATGATAGGATGGAACCACCACGGCATAGTGCGCGAGAGGTAAGGGTCGATGGTAGCCGAAGAAAGCACGACGAGCTTCGGCATTGGCGGCGGCGGCGTCTTCGCTTCGGCCTTGATTTTCTTCAATGCCGAAATGACGGAGATGGCGGAGTCTTGCCCGACGCGGCAGCCGGGCATGTTGTCGTTCATGGAAGCCACGAAGAAGACGGATCGGCAGTCGCGGATGCAATCGACCATCAGGTCGACATCGGTAATGGCACCCTCGAAGATCTTGACGCGCTTGCTTTGCGTTTCTTCGGGGAGCGTGCGCATGAGTTTCGCTTTGTTGCGGCAGTAGGCGCGGATCTCGTTCTTGGGGTCTTGAAGGAGGATTTGTATGAGGGCTTTGCCACAGTTGCCAGTGGCACCGAGAACGGCGTAGGTCGAATCCATGTTGAACGTGGATTTCTGGTGGATTTCTGAGGCTTGAAGAGGATTTTTTGTCATTGTTGAGATTCCTCCTTGTTAGCTATATGCTATATCCATGATAGAATCTTCTCCGCTGCATGGCTGAATGTGGTCCGATGTCGCCTAATTGGTCGGGGTCCGTCCGCGCGCCATCCCGACGGCCTCCTTGTACCTCCAAGGCATTCTCCGGTCTGGAGCACGTGATGCTCCTGAAAGTGCCTAAGGTCATGGTCGATTAGTTGGCATGTGACATAGGAAGGCAAGTTTGCACTCATGACAGTGACCATTTTGCTCGACCCATTACCGCAGCATGACCCATTTAGGTTTATCTGTTCAAGTCCTTTAGCAGTGGCTTTACAAAGTTCTGACTTAGGCATCTTGGAAACGCTCTCCCATCATCTATTGTCTAGGTCTGAAAAGTATGCTTCTGATATTTTACATGAACATATCGCGTGACAGGACATCAATAAAGAAAGATATGTGAAGAACCAGAATAAATGACAATCTATCTACATAACCGTCCAGTTAATATGCTTCTAAGCTCTCCAGCTTTCGCATCGATAGAAGTATCAAGAAAGGTGCCTATCTCGACTTATCTGCGGTCAAGAGGCCTGGAAGGGTACGTAGGTATATTGGGTCATGAGTCGCGTCTTAGGGTCTCCACAATATCAAGTGATAGCGCGCGGAGACGCCTGCGAAGATCTGTGTCGAGATGGTCCAGCATGGCGGGGGAAAAAGGTAAGGTTGGGTTGCTGAATGTCCGGGCAATCTGCCCACTGGCCGCGCTGTTGGGCGTCTCCAAGCCTTCGCACGACACTTTTACTTTAAGCTTCTCGGATAGGCGGTTTATCAGCCGCTGGACACGATGTAGCTCACTAAGGACAAGCTGCGCCGCCATTCGGTCTGAGTCCTTACCACCGAGGCGGTAGTTGCCCACCACTTCTGGCCGTTGAAGGACCTGCGAGCGTGCCAATACACGTTAGCAAATGCGGTCTGTTGAAGGCCCTCACGAGTGGCTTTTCAGGGCGCCAAAATGCCACTGCATATGTATATCGCGATGTACGTACCTGCTCTCGGTGAACGGAGGAGCTCCGGGAGCTGCGCCCCGTCGGCACTGAAACTTCGCCGTCGTCTTCATTAGCCGGGGCCCTCCCAGCTGCTGCTGCATACCATCCCATGACTTTGAAAACGACCAGTGAGATAATCGCCAGTAGATACCCATCCTCCGAGCACGGACACTCGAGCATGTCGTTGAGAGCGGAGATAGTGCTCTCGTTTTCGGCTATTACTGCTTGAACCGTCGGGTTCTGGTTCCTGTTGTCGAAGGCGTCCTTCTTTGCGATTCTGCAGGATGCCGAGGGAGCGGGGAAGAGTTTGCGTAGAAGCTCCAGGGCCCGCATAAGGCAGCAGCACGAGTGCGGCGGGACACTTGATCCCTGAGATGGCGGACGATCGACCCCGGAGAGTCTCCCATCGCTGGATGGAGAGCGATGATTGAAGAAGGACGGTAGCTCACCGACTGCTTCCTCGAGAACGGTGAGTGTATCGTCGATCCTGACCGGCTTCGCGGCACTGGCGCTATTCGGGGTGTTTCCTCCAGAAAAGAAGCGCGACTCGCCCAGTAGATCCGGGTCCGCGTTTTCGGTACCAGTTTCAGGAATGGGAAGCGGCAGGGGTGAGGCGAAGAAGCTGTCGAAGTCGGTATCCAAGTCATGTAGCGTAGAAAATATTGAGGCGTCCACCGGTGACAGGAGGCTGGAAAAGGCCTCCGACGAGCTCCCGCATGCGTCCAGCCCAAGCGAAGCTTCGATAGTGTTGGATGATGTAAAGTAGTCGCTCCCAGAAGCCGTCGAGGGAGTAATTGGCCAATTCGACCCCGCCAGCGCGTGGCTCGCCGTCACTTGAGCATTAAGAGATGGGGCTCCAGACGAGGTGCCACTTAGCCGATTTTCGTGCTTGCGACCAGCACGTTTGGTCGCGACGTACTTGCACGGTATATTTCTTTTTGCACACCGCGAACACACGGGCTTTTCTTTGTGGCATTTGACTTTGGATGCGGCGCACGCGTCGCAACTGTCGCGCAGCTTTAAAGGTGCAGCGGAAGACGCTGACAAGCGCCGTGTGGCGGCGGGGGATTGAGAAGAGAAGTCAGCTGAAGCAAATATGGAGTCCATGGTATCGTGCAATGTCGGACCTCGCAGGGCGTATTGCGGAGTCCTACGGGGGGCAGCCTTTTGATCAGTGAGGTGCGTAGATGATTCTGAAAGGACTTGATGGGAGATCCCTGAGGCCAATGGTATGAGCAAATGAACCGTGCTCTCCTGCGTACAGTGCGGATTCGTATCTGTAACTGCCTAGTCCGGCATCAGTCAAAACGCCTCACGCCAGCCTGCCGCTGCGTGGTAGTTCCTGCACGCCCAATTCCTGCGGGAAGTGTATAATCCCATCCACGGATCGCTACCCCCACTCGCTTTGACGATGACGGATAGGATCGTCGATCCAAGCGATTGCTGTCGCCATCCACCACTCCTTTTTCCGTGATTCCTCATCGAAGGACGCCCGGCATGCTTTGGCAACCCCTACTTTGTGAGATATCTCCTGCACGAGCAGTTGCCACGTGGTATAGCATGGGGTTGTATTGCCGAGGTCTTTGCTTCGTTTTGCTCGTGTGTAACCGTCTGGAGAGGCTACGAGTGTCTCAGACGAATAGATTGCTCTCGTAAGCACGGACGTCGCTGCCTATCACATAGGTAAGGGAGCAGCAGCCAAGGACCCGACGCAAAGGCTTGCCCGGCGGCCAGATGCACGTTCACCGGACATCCAAGCAAACCAAGGCCCCCCAAGCTTCTGATCATTTCGAGGCTTCGGGTTTGCCGTAAGCGAATCTCCAGCACAGAGAATGGCTGCAGCTTCCCAACCTGCCCCATCTGTCATGGATTACACATTCACTGGCCGACGGTCGCCGCAAGGTGGAGCAGAAAGGGGCGCCCTACGTTCGCTTCCGTGGCCGCAAGCGGAATAGCGCCCAGGCTGTACGGTCCGGCCCACCCCTTGCTAGCGAAAAGCCCCGCATGAAGGCTGGCCGGCTCAACCGCCAGCTGAACTCCGGATGAAGTCTTCTAAAACTGCACAATGCAACGCCCAGGGACCGCTGTCCCGAACGAGCACAACGGCGCTTACTCACATGAACGCATTTCGTAACAAAGACGAGGCCGTTGTAAACCCGGTGCGACCGGTGCGACCGGCTCGTACAGGGCCCCACAATTTGCACTATGGACCTCGTGGAGCAGCTCTTCTCCTGGTCCTCGCAATATAACATACATACAGCCAACCGATAATAGAAGGTCGCAAGATTGCGGCTGAGAATGAAGTCAGCGGCTACCCATGAGCGCCTCGTGGCTTGCAGAAGCTTGGTATTTCACGCCCAAGGCCGCCATGCCGCTCTTCCGCGATCGAAGCTTGTTGACAATCACCAGCCCGCCGAAACTATCGCGGATGCTCTCCACCATCTCCACCAGCTCAGCCATCTCAATCATTCCGCTGTCGTTCGCAAGCTGGAGCAGCGACAGGTCTCGCACGCGAGACACTACCTCGACGTCCGGGTCGGCGGTGCCTGGCTCGGGGAGCAACCGTGGGGTCAAGACAAGGGTGGCGTTGGTATTGCGCAATACGCCAAGATGGGCGCGCAGCTCGGATTTGACTTGGGCAGGCAGCGAGTACGACGAAGGGCCGATCGAAGGAGACGGTAACCGGAGGATGTAGACAGCTGCATCGCTCACCGTTTGCGGCGTGCCAGGGTCCCGCTTCTGAATTGTAAGACGGGTAGTGAGTGGCCGTCTTGCCTCCAGGTCAGGACCGTGCATCTGTACGATGAAGTGGAGAGCGGGATGGAGCTCCGCGAGCGCTATCGCTGTCCTCGTCGACTCCGCTCCGACCTATCAGAACCGGTCAGGCTGCCGCTTCGGTGATCGCCAGTAGCCAGAAACAGGGCAGGAGAACGGTGTCAGGGAAGCGCTCACCTCCACTACACGGGTTTTCCCGAGACTGGGCCAGTCGAGCCGTGTTAGAAGCTCAGTCACGTCCTGGTCGACGTTGCCTGCGTGCTGAAGATAAGCCGATAATTGGCGGTGGAGCTTAGGCCGTTGTTCGCATGTGGCTTGGAAGCTATGCGCCGTACCGAACGCAAGCCCGTAAGCACTCTCTTGCGGAAGATCCGAGCAGCCATAACGCCGCGTGGCTGTTGCCATCTTTAACGCCGTCGGAGCGGCGGTCTGGGCAAGAAACATTGCCGCGTCGAAATACGAGAGGTTCTTCACGAACTCGGCGGATAGGGATGTGTGTGCAATTTGGCCCGGCTCAGGCTCTCCGAGGAAGCCAGCTGTGGAGGTCATCCTAACAACTCGGGATAGCTGTTTTACGGGGACGCCGGCTAGCTCAGCAACGTCTCTTGCAGAGACGGTGCCACTGAGTGGTATGCATGCAAGCACCTGAAACTCTCCCAGCCACTGGAGGCATGCCAAAATTTGGTTCTGTGCAACATCAGCATACGTTTCTTTGTGATAAGAGAGTTGCTGCAGACTTGACTGGCAAGGCGCTGGAGGAAGTCTGACGGCTCACCAAGTAGCGTCTGTATCCTGGCTGCATTGCCCATGATGGCGCGGCGGGCGCGCTGCACCTCTCGACTCTCCTCGGACTCTCCATTTCGGTAGTGGGCCCCCAGACTCTTTACGGCCACGGCAAGTTCGTTCGCAAACGTTTCCAGCTTGTGTAAGCGATCCATAGTTAGACTTAGATGCGGGACCCTTACCAGTGCAGTATACGGCCTACTTATACCTTAAATGAACACCGTTCGGAAGGATGCTATATCCCCGTCACCACGCCCAACGGTGCATCATTGCGACGAATACGGTAGGGTACGCAGGGACTACATAGGCGATCGGTCCATTGGCCACGTTACCAAGGCCAAGTCGCTGGGCCAAGGCTTGGGTCCGATCGGAGCGGATACTACTGTACGGTCTGCATCATGAATGAACTCCAGATGAATCCCGATCCCGAATAAGTAAGAAGAGGCGAGCAATTGGCAACATCAGATCACCCCCTTACAAGTTTTCCTCCTTTGCAGCCAAGGCTATCTCCGAATTAGGACACATCGCAAGCTTCGCCATGACTTCCAGTAGTGTGTCCAACCACAGCAGCCCCAAGGAGATCAGTAGTGTAGAATCGAAGAGCGCTTCAGAAGAAGTCCTCCCAACGTCACCCCCACCCCCACCGCCAACGATAACCAAGAATCTCGAAGTCGAGCCCAGCAACGATGAAGAATATCCACGCGGCTTGCGCCTCCTCACCGTCATCGCCGCCGTCGTGCTCGCCATGTTCCTCTCCGTCCTCGACATGACCATCCTCGCAACAGCCGTCCCGCGCATCACCGACGAATTCCACAGCCTCGACGACGTCGGCTGGTACGGCTCCGTGTTCTTCATGACCGTCGCGTCATCGCAGTCCACATGGGGCAAAGCATTCAAGTACTTTGACCTGAAGACCGTCTTTCTGACTACTATCGCGCTCTTTGAAGTGGGGAGTTTGATATGCGGTGAGATGTTCCATGAATTGGGGAAGAGCGGTTGAGCTAACGCAACGCAACGCAGGACTCGCCCGAAACAGCGAGACCCTGATCATCGGCCGAGCCATCACCGGCTATGGCGCAGCTGGAGTCATCGCAGGCTGTTACACCATCGTTGCATTTACGGTGCGACCGGAGAAAAGACCTGCGTTTACTGGCATCATGGGCGCGACGTATGGGATTGGATCTGTAATCGGGCCTCTGCTCGGCGGTGTGCTTACCGATAGGGCGTCGTGGAGGTGGTGGTAAGCAGTGCAATTTTTCTTTCAGCTTATCTCAAGACTACGGAATCGCGGCACCGAGTACCGAATTTCTCCATTTGGGAGTAAGAAGTCGATTTCTCCAACCGGGAGTACAAAGTCGCACAACGAATTCCCCCGCTGACGTGCTTTCCCACAGTTTCTTTATCAACTTACCCATTGGTGGCGTTTCGGCTGCTATCATCCTATTCACTTTCAAAACGCCTGCTATTTCGCGCAATGAGAAAGATGCGAATGCGGCGGGGGTCGAGAAGCTGAAGCAGATGGATTTGCTTGGGACATTTGCCATCATGGCAGCTGTCACCTGTCTCCTGCTCGCACTGCAGTGGGGCGGTGTAACGAAGGGCTGGAAGTCTGCAGACGTCATCGGGACCCTGGTCGGCTTTGTTCTGATCATGCTGGCTTTCGTGGGCATCGAGTACTTCCAAGGAAGCCGGGCTCTGCTTGTGCCGCATATCCTGAGGAAGAGGGTGGTGTACATGGGGTGCATAGTGAGCTTTTTGTGAGCCCCCCTGCTGCGAACTCGCCTTGGAATGGGATTAACTCTAGCAGTCTCGGAGGCGGAAACTTCACGTTACTGTACTACATCCCCATCTACTTCCAATCCATGCTCGGCGTATCCGCCCAAGACAGCGGCATACGAAACCTCGCCCTCATCATCGCCATCAGTAAGCCGCTCTCCCCCTCTTCCCCCACGCCCCACTAACAGCGCCTCCAGCGATATGCACCGTACTCTCCGGCACCCTCATAAGCCACACCGGCCACTTCACTCCCATCCTCTTCCTCGGCGCCGCGTTCATGACCATCGGCTGCGGCCTCACAACCACGCTTTCCCAAACCTCTCCACCGCGGCTCTGGATCCCCTACCAAGCCCTAACCGGCGTCGGCATCGGCCTGTGCTTCCAAGCGCCCGTCATGGCGGCGCAAGCCCTCGCTGCACACGCCGACGTCAGCGCCACCACCGCCATGCTGCTCTTCTTCCAGACCATGGGCGGCGCGTTCATGGTGTCCGCTGCGCAGTCCGGGTTCGCGAACGTGCTGGTGCAGAAGCTGGGTGTGTATGCGCCGGGCGTGGAGCCGCGGGCTGTGCTTGTAGCGGGGGCGACGCGGTTGAGGGAGGTTTTTGAAGGGGAGGAGCTGGCGGGTGTGCTGGAGAGCTATATGCGGGGATTGAGGGTCGCTTTTGCGATTTGTACGGTGGCGGCGGGTGTTGCGACGGTGGTTGCGTGCGGGATGCCGTGGGTGTCTATTAGGAGGAAGGCGGAAGGGGAGGAGAAGGATAAAGTAGTGATGCCGAATGTTTGAGGAGACTTGATGATCTATTCATCACTCTTCCGAGGCTGATCAAGTTTCAATGATGCTGAGGGGGATGCTATTCCTGCGTAGAAGTAGATGTTATTCAACTCAAATATCACTGTCGTCTCGTTCCTTCGCGCCCCTTAGCCCGGACGCACATATGGTCGACTGTTCCACGCAGATAATGATAAGTAAGTAACCTCAATTGACCAGGAGAAGGGCATGTGTCGATGACCTAGATCCTTTTCCTACCATCGGCAACGCCTCTTCTCTGCCACAGAAGCTTCCTCACCCAGGGAAAGGAAACGTAGCAGGGCTCTTATATCCATTTGTGCCCACAGACCTCACCCCGAAGATCACATTATCCTTACTCAAAGGCAGCGTGACGCTCCCAACCTTGCCCACATCAAGCATATGCGTCCAAAGCGGCGCATCCGTAGGTCTCCAAACCACCTCGTAGCTCGCCACATCGGAATCACTCGAGACGATCCACTTCAACCTCGTATTATTGTCCAGCGCTGTGGTATCGACCGTGACATTCCTCACCATTCCCGGGGCCTCAGAGAGCGACCACAGCGTAGCGAGATTCACTTTGCCGACGCGAGCCGTGAAGTCGAAGTCCACGAATTCGATCAGATCTCCGTATTGCGTGCCATTCTCAACACGGAGATCTTGGTGCTGATGTGCGAAGTTCTCGTTCGGCTCTGTGAAGCGGATAGCCGGATAACCGGCTTGCAAGAAGGAACTATGATCGCCCCCGCGCAGGAAGCGGTCCAGGCGGTAGATGATGGCGATGTTCATCCCCGTGGCGTCGTTTGCGGCCACCTCGTTGGAGAAGCGGGCGAGTTCGCGGGCTGGTGAGTCGTTCTCGCCGCCGATCTGCAGACGGCGGGCAGCTACGGTTGAATTTTCGGTCAAAGGTGGCCCTTGGGCGAAGACACGGATGGTGAAGGGGTCTTTTTGGCCACGATCTCCAGTTGACGAGCCGACAATATCACAGTTCAACATGCCCTCGACGTTCGTGCTGGAATTCTTAAGCGTCTGAGCGAAGAAGGTGGAGCCGTAGAGGCTTTGCTCCTCCCCAGCTACGGCACCCAGGATAATCGTGGACTTTGGTTCTCTTTTCGCTAATACACGTGCCAGTTCCATTGCAACTGTCTCGTATCAGTCTTCAAGTAACGCTCGCGTTGATGGAGACCACTCACTTGCGGTTCCGCTCGCGTCATCGTTGGCTCCCGGCGCATCAGATGTATAGTCAAGCACGTCCGTAACTCGAGAATCGTAATGGCCGGTCATCACGTACACTCTTGACGGATCGGTAGAGCCCTTGATAGTCGCCAATACATTCGAGATCTTGATCGGAAACGGTATCCTCGACGCGATGCCTTGAATATACCCAGGAACGGAGACCGTCATCCTGCCATCCGACTCTTCAGCATACTTGCGCATCTCCGACGCAATCCAATCTCTTGCTGCGCCAATGCCGCGGGTCGTACTGTTCTGCGTAGACAGCGTATGCCGTGTTCCGAATGAAACCAGCTTCTTGATTGTTGCTTCGATGTTTGCCGGGTCCACCTCGTCGAGCATCGCCGTCAATTCGTCGTCGGGCGCTTGCGGCACCAATTCGACCCCAACGTGTGACGGCGGCCATGCTGCGTTCGCGCAGTCGGTGTAACTATTCGCATTGGCAGCAACTGGAGGTGGCAAATCTCGCTCGAGAAGCAACTCGTTGGCGCAAGCTGTTGCTAGCAATGTTCCTGACCAGAGCGTGAAGAGACGCATATCGAACGGCGTTGGATCTGCGACTGAAACAAAACACTGCTAGGGGCGAGTACAACTTTATAATAGCTGCGCTCCCTGAATACAGCCGATTCATGACGGAATGAGGAGATACCGGGCATCGATCCCATGCAATAACGAGCTTCCATTACTGGTTAGCAACAGAGATTGTTCCTGACGACCCCTCATTTTCATTTGAGATTGTCGTTGACATCAACCAGGCTTGCGGCTCGGCACCTGTGGGAACCAGGTTATCGCGAATATCGACATGGAAGCTGATTGCCGCAAGGGGCAGGTGCGAAGACTTTGCCTTCACGGCAGGGCGATGGATGTCAAGCATCATAAGGGGATACCGCGGCGATTCATTGTGGTTTGCAATTCGGAATAATGAGATCAGACGGCGTCGAGGCTATTATTGAGATCCCGTCTGTATTCCTTGTGCCAGCGGCTCGGAGAAAAACCTCGTCCCATCGTCCCGGTCGATAAAAGAAGCGTCACAATAGGATATGGTTATCTCGCAGGACAGGACATCAGCATGGGAAAGATAGTAGACATAAAAGAAAGACGCGAAAATGAAGTTGGGATGAGTGGTGTCGACGTTCCAAGGTTTGAGTCAACGGGCGGAATTTAAGGCTACCCCACTACTCCCGATTCAGCTAGCCGATCTTGGCAATTCACCAAACCCCAAAGTCCGCGATGATGCAAAGTGTCAAGAGCACCAAAAGTTTGCGCCTACAAGGCTCCCACAAAATTACTCCCACCGCAGCATCAACCACATACCACCTCCCTCCGCCCCACTCCTGTCCCGTACCAACGAACCCGCAAACCCACCCATACCCTCTCAATCGCCCCACGCGCATTCATCATGGTTTGTCCCCCAACACACCTCCGCACCTCCCCCAACCCTACTAACCCCCCGCAAACAGAACGCACTCTTCAACTCTGCCCTACGGCAATCGACCTCCCTGCGCAAAGACCTAGACCACTTCGCCGACACCGCCTCGCCGTCTCCCGCGCTGCAAGGCCAGATCTCCGCATCGCTAACCTCCCTCTCGCGCACCATCGACGACTACGCCAAGCTCGCAAAGCAGGAGCCCGTGCAGACGAAGCAGGAGAAGGCGTTTGAGCGGGTGAAGAGCTTCCGGGCGGAGCTGGAGGAGTACAGGGAGAGCTTTCGGCGGGTGAAGAGCGCGAACGAGGACATGGTGCGTTTTGCGTTTGCGTTTGAAGGGAGGAATAGAGGGCTAATAATCCCCCGTGTAGCAAACAAACACCGCGCGCGCAGAACTGCTCGGCCGCCGTCCCCACAACGCCGCCACGCCCGAGAACCCCTACGCGAACACATCCGCCGCCGCCGCACAACATTCCCCCTTCGCACCCTCACAGCCCTACAATCCAAACGCTCCCTACCAACCAAACCCCTACTCCGCCGGCGCTCCCCTGCCCTCCTCTGACTACAACAGCCGCGAATCGCACGCGCTGCGCGAGCAATCCTTCTTCAACCAGACGTCGACGCAGCTGGACGAGTTCCTAGACCGAGGACGCACGGTGCTGGGGGATCTGGGGCACCAGCGGGAGATGCTGAAGGGCACGCAGCGGCGGTTGTATAGCGTGGCGAATACGATGGGGATTAGCGGGGATACGATACGGATGGTGGAGCGGAGGGCGAAGCAGGATAAGTGGATATTTTGGGGAGGGGTGATTGCGTTCTTTGCCTTTTGTTGGCTGGTGCTGCATTATTTGAGGTAGTGCGGGAGCTACACAAGGATTTGGGATTTGGGATGTTCGATTCGTGTCTATATCTTGAGTATTGTATGTCTAAGACCTATCTTGGGCTGTTCTTTGTTTAGCGAGGCGTACCGGGAAATTGAAGGGTCTTAAGAAGGCCAACCCAGCTTGCTACAATGGCTAGCAAGTAGTGCGAAGCGCTATCAAATGCGGAATGCAAGTTCACTTCGGATGCTACTCAATCTTTCGTACTCAACGTGTATGTGAAAGTAACGAGTGTACGAAGGGTACCCTAACCACTGGCGAGGTGTATATTGAGATCACCAGATGGCCACACGGAAAGCCCTTCGAGTTCTATGATTCTGTTGTCTATCTACACCAGTGCCCGCGATCTCCGATGCGGCTTCTCTAACTAAGAGTTATAAGAACTCCCGCTGGAAGAGCGTGACAATGCCACATCGGCTATTCCGATGAAGCCTACGGTTTGGCAAAGTAAAGGAGTGGCACACGTCGCATGCGCACCACCGCCTCTCAGGCTCTTCGGTCCTCAACAAATACCCAACGAAAGACTGGATCATGCACAAGCAAAAGAATGCAACAAGCTGGCCGCCATCTATATCGTCCTCGCAACGAAAGCCACAGCCTAACCCCTCTATGCAAGGACGCTAAAGATCGCTACACAACAAAGCAAGCACAAGGGCAGAAGCCGATAAGGAATGGCATGAGCGAGCGCATTCAAGAACAAGAGGAATGAATAGAGAATAAGCAGCTCAAACATACTCAGGGACTCCGAACTCGACCTCCTCCTGAAGCTGCTGGACCTGGTTCTCCAGCATCTCCTGCCGCATTCTTATCTCGTCCACTTCGTCGACGACGGGCGCGCTCAATGCAGGGCTATGGAGCCGCGGGCCCACAGTCATGAGCGGCTCGGGACCCGTAAGAGCAAGACGAGGATGGCTGTGAAAAAGCGGAGGAGCAGTGAGGGCGCGGGGCGCGTAGTCCGGCACCCATGCCCTCCTCCTAGGCCTCCTTCCGCGATCGTAGTCCCAGTAATTGTTCCGCCCCAGTATGTCGTAGATGATCTGAACCAGCGTTTCAACGCTGGGGTCATGGATGCCGAAGTTGCGCCAGGCGGGGATCATCTTGTTGGCTTTGCGCGAGAGATGGTACATCAGGTCCATGAACGTTTCCTCTGGGATGAGACTGCGGATCTCCTGTATGCCGACAGCCCACTCCCGGAGAAGCAGGTGCGGTTCCTCACTGCGCATGATGTCGTGGAGGTTGTCGTAGAAGAAGCGGACCAAGGCGTCCGCAAGAAGTTGGGAATCTGTGCTGCAGGCGACGATGCACAAAGTGAGGAAGCGGTGACGGGAGCGACGGTTGCCATCGGCGCGCAGGCGGGCAAACGTGAGGTCCTGCTCGAGCTGTCTCTCCAGCATCTTTTTCACCTTTCGTCTTGTTGCTCCGTTGTGGTGTCCTAGCTTCAGTTGAAGCATTCCAAAGAGCGATTGAAGGGTGCTTCGGACGGATTTGGGGGATAGCTGCAGCCTACCGTGCATATGGCTATGCACCTCCCAGGCCAGTCTGTCCGCCTCGAACCAGCCAGTTCCGAAAACCTCCGGGGCGAGCCTAGGGAACCAGCGAAGGAAGGCCTCCGCGTCGACGGGGATAGAGCCACGATTGTGAAAGTCGATCTGGATTTCCATGGTTCGTAGGAGATGGTTGCCGAGGGTTGGAGATGGGTTTTGAGAACAGAGTGAAGAGATGAATGATAGCGGGAAGTGATGGGAGAAGAGAAGAATGTTGACGTTCCAGGGGACAGAACCGAGTCCTAGAGATAATCGACCTACCCATATATACTCACCGTTACGCCCCTAGCCCAAACATAACCTGACCATCCCGCAACCTCCTGGGTTACACGCCCCAAGTTTGCTCCCAGTCATCCCTCCCTCCGAACCACTCCCTCTCCGCCAGTTCACGGGCTTGCAACCCAGCAAACAACCCATGCTAACCAACCAGTCCGTCACGCACCGCTTGCCCTGTTCCGCGCACCAATCGAACTAGGCAACGACGCGGCATTACTTTTAGCGCTCAAGCGGAGCTCACCGCATTTTTCAGTGAGCCGTATGGTTATTATGATTGTATCATGCGAACTTGTGCAGCCCTTCCGGTTGGCGAAGCGTCTCGCAGATGCTGTTCCTTCGAGAAATGGTACCTGTGCGTCGGAGCCGGAGAGGCAGGGGCCTGACGATCCCGATCAGCCCCTGCTGTCGCGTGGATGAGGCTCAATAGTCGGTTGACGAACGATCAGGATGGCATAGCATGCTAGGAACCGTCCGGTCAGTAACCAGCTGATGACGCAAAAGTCACGCCTGCAGACGACGGCAGACTCCGAGACTGATTCCAGACTGATTTTCCTGTGCGTTGGCAAGCCGGTGGGATCATGAAAGCAAGCGGTGCTGGAGCGCTGGGCCCTCGACAACTATGACAAGCATTTCAAACACGATCATACGTCGATTGTACAACCGGCGCGTGTTGCGGTTTGGTGTGGCACAGTTGACTGGTGCATTAGCGGGTGTCACTCTGTGTATAGGGCACTTGGCTGGCAGACTAGTCCGGCGAGGCTTGTAACGGTATAAATCCAGTTAGGGGGCATAGCCCTTTTCTGTTCGTTCTCGCGGGCACGTCCTGTTCCGGAGTTGTCGGAGAAGTATCATACGATCGCGCGTTGCTTGCTCAATGAGAGGTGTCCCAGGAACCAAATTACGATGTAGGCAAGTGAGGTGTAGGAAGGATGGTGCTTAGGAAACCGCGAACGCCAGTCATCAAACGCACTAGTCATTCTGCGGTTAGCGGCACGTGACAGCATTAGGTTTCGGCCGTTTCCGATACCCGCAACGAAAGCCACGATGAGGCTCATGTAGCAAGCAAATAAACGCAGCCGAATTGTAGCCTGCACCGCCTCATAGAGGCGTAGAAGTAAACGGTCTGAGGCTGAGTCAATGAAGGAGGTACGTACGTGTACAAATTCTACAAACCCCTTTGTGAAGCGCCATCCCATATGCCATCCATCGTCACTCATCACGCCATCCTCCCAGGCTTAGGTCTTCCCTCCTACCAGTCCAAACCTCCCGCGCCCCTCTCCCCACCCGCAAGGATCTGCGCCGCCTTCCCCTTCTCGCCCAGCCCTCCTTCAAGGTGGCTCACTTGGAAGCCCTTCCTCCCCTTATTCAGCCCCTTCAACTTGCGATCCATCGCTTCGAACGGATCCAACGTCTCGTCTTTCCTAATCTTCCACTTGGTCGTGCCGAGCACATCATCCAGCTCCTCCACACTCGGCAGCTTAACATACACATACCCGTCTTCTCGTTCTTCGACGGGAAACGTGGCGATATTAACCTGCTCGTCGTTGCCGCAGCGGCCCGCGTCCGGCCCGCCGAGCTCGTAGTTCCGCTTGTGGTAGGGGCACGAGACCCAGAGCTTGTTGTTCTTGATGTCGTCGCCGATGAGGCCGTCGCTGAGGACGAAGGCCCGCTTGTGCGGGCACATTTGCTGCGTGCAGTAGTATTTCCCGCGGACTTTGAAGACCGCGAGTTGCGTGTCGCCGCGCTTGATGGCTTTCGAGTCGCCGGTTGGTAGGTCCCTGAACTCCTCAGCTTTGACGAGCGGCTGCCAGGATAGCTCGCTCCATTTGTGGCCGCGGAAATCCTCCTTGACGGATTCCTTGGGCCAGTACGAGGGGCGTTCTTGGCCACGCTCTTGCGTGGGCTCGATGGGCGGCTCGATGTTGTCGGAGGTGTTTGCGAATTGGGAGAAGAGGGCGCGGCGCGAGGGGTTTTTGAGGACCTCGGTCCATTCACAGAAGTAGGAGCCGACGAGGTCTTGCATCTGCTTTTCCAGGTCTGCGCAGATGCCGAGTTTGTCTTCTAGGATGACTTCTTGCAGGTACTTGATGCCGCCGGGGAGATTCTCGATCCAGCGCGCTGTGCGCTGCAGCTTGTCTGCGGTGCGCATGTAGAAGGAGAGGTAGCGGTCGAGGATAGGGATTACGTCGTCTGGAGGCACGTCTTTGGCGAGAAGTTCGGAGTGTCGTGGTTTCGCGCCGCCGTTGCCGCCGACGAAGACGTTGAAGCCTTTTTCGGTAGCGATGAGGCCGAAGTCCTTGTTTTGCGCTTCGGCGCACTCACGCACGCAGCCTGAGACACCGCCTTTGATCTTGTGCGGTGCGCGGATGGACTTGTAGCGCTCTTCGAGACGGACAGCCATCCCCACACTGTCGCCGATACCGAATCGGCACCAGGTCGTTCCAACGCAGGACTTGACTGTTCGGAGAGACTTCGCGTACGCGTGACCAGACTCCATGCCGCCGTCGATGAGCTCTTGCCAGATGGCGAGTAGATCCTGCTTCTTCGCGCCAAACATATCGATACGCTGGCCACCCGTGATTTTGGTGTAGAGATTGTACTTCTTCGCTACAGTGCCGATAATAATGAGCTTCTCGGGAGTGATCTCTCCACCAGCAACACGAGGAATGACGGAGAAAGTTCCGTTCCGCTGAATGTTCGCGAGGAAGCGGTCGTTGGTATCCTGCAGTCCTCTTCTTGAATCGTCGAGCAGATGCTTGTTGAACAAGCTCGAGATGATCGAACCAATAGTCGGTTTGCAAGCCTCGCAGCCCGTCGACTCAGGCTCCTTGCCACACTCGCGCATCACCTCCGCAAATTCTGTGAGCTTCTTAACGTAGATGATGTTGAAGAGGTCGGCGCGCGAGTACTCGAAGTGCGGGCAGAGGTGGTTCTTAACCTCCTGGCCCATGGATGCCATGGTCTTGTTGAAAATAGTCTGAACAAGTGGCATGCAGCCACCGCAGCCGGTACCGGCTTTCGTGCATGATTTGACATCGCCAATGGATTTGCACGTGCCATCCTTGACTCCCTTGACTACGTCGCCTTTGCTGACGTTGTGGCAGGAACAGATTTGGGTGTCATCGGAGCTATCAACGGTTAGCGCTGCTCCCGGGTTCTAAGGACGGTGCACTTACAGATCAGAACCATCATCGTCTCCCTTCTGCGCGCCAACAATAAGCTCGCTCGGCGGCACCTCCAACGGCTTCTGATTCTTCACCATCGGCACCAACTTGACATAGTCCTTCGTATCGCCGATCATCATGCCACCCAGCAGATACTTCCCATCCATGGTAAACAGGTACTTCTTGTACACCTGCTGGAACGGATCCTTATACGTCAGCGCCTTAACAGGCGGCGGCGCAGGCCCATCAGTCAAGGTCTTCACCCTATCCCTTGGCCCGCTAACGCTATCTTTCTTCTGCGCTCTCAGTCGCCCAGGCATCTCTTTGGGGCCGTCGCGGTCCGCAAAGAAGTCTCCGAAACTGGCAACTTCGACGCCTAGCAGCTTAAGCTTCGTGCTGAGGTCTGGTCGCTTGAACTTCCGCGGCGCATGCGCTTTCGCTTGCGTAAGGTTGAAAGCGAGCACGTCCGCCATCTCGACACCAGGCGCGATAAGGCCGAACGTCTGGTTCTCCCAGCTCGCGCACTCGCCGATGGCGTAGATATCCTTGACCGACGTCGAAAGATCAGGCGCAACTACGATGCCACCACCTCGGTCGGCGCAATTGATGCCTGTTTTCCGCGCAAGTTCGTCACGAGCTTTGATGCCAATCTACGCTTGTTAGCCTCTTCGTTCCTCAACATGGAAAATGTGGCACTTACGGCAAAGCAGATAGTAGAGCACTCCATTTCCTCGCCATCCTCGAAGATGATGCCCCTCACGTAACCCTCCTCGTTCGTCAATATCTTACCTACCCTCTTACTCATCATGACGTCTAGTCCCAAAGCGCGCACCTGCTCCACCACCATGCCTCCCGCATCGCCATCAAGTTGTCTTGACAGCACCCATCGATTCCGCTCGATAAGCTTCACCTTCCCGAAGTCCTCGAGATCCATCATCGCTTTCGCAGCTTCAAGACCGAGCAGGCCACCGCCGACTGTCACGCCGGTAGTACCTTTCCGGGTTGCTGCGAAATCGATAAGCCGCTGTAGGTCGTCTATTGTGCGGTACACGAAGACGCCTTTGGCGTCGTGGCCGGGCGTATGCCTGGGGAGAACGGCATCAGAGCCAGTGGCTAGCACGAGGATGTCGTAGGGGACGACGTCGCCTTTCGATGTCTTAACCGTCTTTTCTTCTGAGTTGATGTTGGTTACCTTGGTGTTGAGGTGGTAATTCAGCGAGCCTTCAGGCATCGACGAATACTGCAAAGGGTCAGCCATACTCTGATCCTCAAGCCTCATAGAAACTCACCCAATCCTCCGGATTCAAATACAAATTCTCCACCTGGCGATGCTGAAAGAAACTCGTCAACCCCACGCGATTATACGCCAAATGCGGCTCCTCGCCAACAACCACGATCTCGTACTCTCTCCTCTTAACATCGTACTTCAGCAGTTTTTCTCTGTCCAATTGTCAGCCCTCCCTCCTTCCCATCCCAACCTTTCCCAGAACTTACATAAACGCAATCCCCACCATTCCCAACCCCACAACAACAATCCTCTTCCTCTTCGCCTCCCCATTCATATCCCCGGCTAACTGCATCTGCTCCATCTTCCCGGGCAGCTGGTTCCCCGCGGCATCATTCCACTTGCTCGGCAGTTTTGCGTCCTTGGTGTCTTTGCTGCCCCAGGTAGGATTCCGCGGCGGCGACGAGGGCGGACTGTGCGGTTCCATGCTGGTAGGTTCCACGCCCGGCGTCGGGATAGGCTCAGGTTCCGGCTCCGTCATCTTGGGGCGCTAGGAGCTCCTCTGGAGCTGCGGTTGAGAAGTAGGAAGGCGAATCAGACTCGGGAAGGTGAGACGGGAACACCGAATCGATCGCCTGAATCAGAAACGCTGGATGGCAATTACCAACAAACAGCAAGAAAAAATGTAGATTGTTCGTTTCGAGGAAGAAGGTAGGAAGCAGAAGCAGAAAGCAGAAGCGGATCCAAAAGATAGTTCGCACCAAAAGAAATCCCTCCGCCTGCCTGGCCTGGCCGTAAGAAGGTAGTACCGCGCCACAGGCACTTGTATGTACAGTACCACCACAGCTCCGCGCGGAGCTCCTCGCAGAAAGCCTCCAGACATCAGCCTAATGCCGCACCTACAATTGGGCCAGATAACATAGCACGTCTCTGAGAAACGCACGCTCGCGCAGCCCCGCGGGAGCATCTCCGTGCAGCAGGCCTGCCGTCATACGCCCCTCCCAGCTCCAAATAAGCAATTACGCCCATCAGAATTGTCAAATGCCGATTTAAGCTCTCCGGGGAGAAAGCACAGTGTCAGAGTGGAGCGGCCAGCGAATTTCCGCGCCCTTATCAGGATCGTCCGTGCACAGGCGCCAAGAGCGCGATAAGGCACCACACACCCTGGCTAGATTGGAGCAAGGGGTTGGCTAGCGGAGATGCAGAGCGTGGGCGTCATTTCTCCGGCTAGGGATGAGGTCGCGGAAGGGATGTAGTGTATCGAGATCTGGAGCATGTTTGGGAAGATCATGGCTACTGAGGAGAGATGGGGTGCTGGGTGCTTGAGCATCAGCATTGTGTAGGAAAGGGCGATATGCTCGGGGCTACGAAAGAGAGGAGCACCCTTTCGAAACTAAGATCGAAGTCGTAGTCGTAGTCGTAGTCGTAGTCGTAATGGCTATGTACAAACAAGCACACTATGCGCCCACAGATGCTCCTAAAGCACCAAAAACACAACCTGCTATGCGGAATCGCAACCCGCCTTTCCAACAACACACCCAGGCACACCAGAAGTCTACACCCTCTAAAAGAACAACAGATCGTCATCCGGCCACCCCTGCTCATTCAAAGCCCGATGCGCACTCTTCTCCAACGCCTCCGGTCCACATATCAAGACCAACGACTCGCCCTCCGCGCCCCTAGCACAGTGCGCTTTAAGAAGCGGGCCCCCTATCCGGCCCCTGAGTCCCGTCCAGTCATCTGGACCTTGGGTAAGAGTATACAATAGCTTACACCTGTCCACGTTGTCCCGTGCAAAGACATCCAGATCCTCTTTGCAGAGAATGTCTTCGACGAGGCGGTTGCCGTTGAGTACGACGCACGTCGTAGGATCCTGCTTGTCCTGCATAACTGCACGTAGGACTTGGAAGATAGGCGTTATGCCGGAGCCGCCGCAGATCATGAAGAAGCGCTTTACTCTTCGCTCTTTGCCGTTGACCGTGCAGAGACCGCGGCGGAGGTATTCGAACTTGCCAATGGGGCCCTTAAATTCGACAAAGTGTCCGATCGGGATAGCATCCAACGCTTTGGTCATCTTGCCGCCTGCTCGCTCCTTAGTATCGTAGTACACTTTAACGAGGACGTCGCAGTATCCTTTCTTTGTGGTTTCCGATATCGGCGTGTAGGAGCGGATGATAGATTCACGGGTAACTGGGTCCTTTAGCCGGATCATGAGATGCTGCCCGGTAGGGAGGCCGAGAGGTTGCTCATCGTAATCTAGCCTGAAGGTGAAGACGCGTGTGTCCCATGACACGGCAACCTTGGAGTGGAGGATCGCCTTGTTCCAGACGCGGCTGTCAAGGAAGACGGGACGTGGTTTGTCCGATGTGGTGGTCGGTTCGCCTTCCGCGAGGATGCGGCGGGATGCTTCGTCGAGTGAGCCGATGTGGTAGTCTGGCATCATAGCTTTGGCAGTTTCGCTGTCTGATTGGTGTCAACATGGGCATCCTCGTACACACTGCTCGCGCTAAACTTACGAATCGCCATGAATTCATCCGTACTATCCAGTCCCGCCGCCGAAATAATGCTCTGCGCACCACCAGGGTGATCTTCCAGAAACTTCGTCCCATCGTACACCTCGCCATTAACGACGAACCACAGCTTCTCCGCGTTATCGTGTTTTCTCAGTTCATCGATCGAGATCTCGTGGTCGACACCGTCCTTCGTCATCTTGATCTCTTTCGGGGCTTCTGTTTCCACCACATCTGCCTCTTCACCCTCTATCTTCTCGCCCCAATAGCCGTTCGTTAGGTTCCCGCCTGCCTTCTTCACCCTGTCCATCCAACCTCCAGGGATAAGCGCAGGCTGTGTCGGATGCTCGAAGCGTAGTGTGCCGTGCTCGTTGTGGATGACTATGCGATACCATGGGTTGTTCATCATGCCCAGAACCGACCAGTACATATCTCTTGGCTGCATGTTCATGCTCTCATCCATCGCTCGAACGATAATGTCCTTTGCGTCCTTTAACTCCTCAACCAGCACGTTTAGATTCCAGAAGCACCAACAGAAGCAGGTTTCCCGCCAATCCATGTCGAGCCGTCCGCCAAAGAGCTCCTTGTCCTCGAACGCCCGATACCTATCCTCCGCGTATTCGATGTTGCACAGACGCCAGTGCTTGCCCTGGTCGATGGAGACTTGCACGCGAGTTATGCGACGCCCGCCACCGCTGTACGCATAACCTCTTATTGTGTACGTCTCTAGAGCTTTGGAGAGGTCAAGCGTCTCGCCGTGCGCCGGGCATGCTGTTGCTGAATTTGGGCTTAGGTCATAGATTGCGTAGCGCTCATCCTTCCACCAGGCTTTGTTTTTCGCAGCCTCGTCCGGGTCAATCATGGTGCTGTACTCATCAGCCAATATTCCATTCAGTTTCGCCGAGAGACTTACGGGAGAACTCTATTATCGTAGATGTGATACCAGTTATCGCTTGGTTCAGCAGTGATGATAAGCTTCTTTAACCACTTCACACTCCGACCTCCAATCTGGCCTGGAATGACCGCTCGTAGTGGCTGCCCATGATCCGGCCTTAGCATCTCTCCGTTCATCTTGTGGGCAAGCATGATTCCGCGATTGGAGTCCATGACCCAGTTGAGCTTGACTGAGGTGCCGTAGTAGCCGTTAGGCTGAAACGAATTAGCCTTCCACCTCTATGCTGTGAGCGAAGCATACCAATTTGTCGGCACCTTCCATGCACACATATCTTGCTCTCCTTAGTGGTTTCGCTCTCTCAATAACGTCCCTCATCACCACGCCGGTGAACAACGCCGTTGATACGCCAGCTGGGCCCCATGAGAAACCTTTCGACTTGCGAACTACATTTTGTTCTTTTCTCCTGTTACCCGCACATACGAGTGTGATCGGATACGTGACGTTCTCATAATCAGACAAGAGTTCTTTGAGAGTGATCTTCAAAGGATTGGCTACCATGCTGTTGCATAGGTTAGCAGCCGATGCATCTATAGCCTGAGCACATACCCCTCTACTGTAAACTCCCAATTGGGAATATCTTCGTCTCGAACAACCGGTACCGCTCCATGATTCCGCACATAGAATAGTTCCGGACTAGTCAAGAATCCTTCGTTGAAGAGATCAGTCAACGGCGCTTCAACATTGAAAGGATGAACGCCGGTTAACCGAATTAAACGAGGATCCCGCGGTACATGTGAGTCCGGTGTCGGCTGGTCCACGTCGAGTACCTTCGCAGGGACTTTAGTCGGCGGTGGGAGTGGAAAGTTGAGTAGGTCCTTCCCGTCGTCGAAGGTCTTGTCATCTTCGCCGTCGATTACGGTTTCGGGCGGCGTAGGAGGCAGTGTAACGTCCTTCCGGTCCATGGGCACATTGTGGGTTTCGACTTCCAAGCTCATGTTTGCGCGTTGCGAGATATCAGATAAGGTAATTTCCGGACAGGAGCAGGAAACAGGGTATAGCGCCTAGAAAACGGTACAAAACATGTACGATGTCGTGTGATGGTACCGACAGTGCGCCCTGTATCTATGAGGCATAGACGGCAACAGGCGTGGAAGGGATGTGAAGAATGTGGCGCTTCGACACAAGTAGAAGTTGCCGGATTCCAGACCGCCCAGCTATAGGGCACAAGAGTCTAGCACCGCGCACTAGCTGGTCGTACCCCCTCTCGTTTTTCGTCATGCTCGAGGCCGCGAGTGCCAGCCCGGAGAAAGGTAATCTGCTTTGGTTCGGCAGCGGGAAGGCGGCGGCGCGACATCATCCGTAAAAGCAATAAGCGCGATCAGTTAGATCTGTGGGGAAGCCGGAAGCCCTGCCCATCGATGCTGTCATACTCGTCCGACGAATGCATCGTAGAGCCCAAAGGTAGGGCGATTTTCCCGCACACATGCATCCTTATCTTCTGCCCTTAAGCGACCCAATCCGGAAATAACGCGCCGGCAGTCGAGAGCCTTTAGCGAATCTACGGAAGCAGCATATAAACATCGTCTATGCAGCTAGCCCGCTTCCGCCGTGGAGTTGCGAAGCGTTCCTGGCCCAGGCATGCGACATCCCACTGAGGATGTTTCCTGGCGGCGGAGATGCTTGATGCACAGTCGGCAAACCGCCCGTGGAGAAGGCACTACAAGTATTTCCCTATCGCTCGAGATGAAGGCCGTGAACGTTGCTGATGCAGTGAGTCGCCATGGTCTGATGATTTCGTGTCACGGTGGGTTCTCTCGCAGCATCGTCAGCCGTTGTTCTTCCCGCGCTCGCCTCCTAGACTGCGTCTCTTTTCCTCATGTCGTCTCTCTCGTGTTTGCTTTCTTCTGTAGGCATCGAGAACCGCCAAGCAGGTTCTCTGCAGCAGGAATCCAACCTTCGCCTACAGATGCGTCGACGTCGCGCTGGCCGCGCTCGGCGCTCCGCGGAAGCATCTGGGCACGAACAAAGAACGGCGACGCTCACGTTGTCCACGGAGAACTCGAACACAGGCGGTTGTTGGGATTCGATGGGTCAGAGCGATCGGATAAAAGTCAGAGATAAGAGAAGAGTACATGTGTGGAACGATTGTGGTTCTTGCACGGAGGAACTAGGACTCCGCGTCGTTGCTTCTCCGCGGGAACGCACGATGGCGCGGCGCTTGCCGAGACAAACCCGAGCTAACGTCGCTGCAGCGGTACCGAGAGCAGAAATCAGAATGAAACTCTCTTGAAAACTTTCTCATTTACAAGGTTCGTCGATTGGATAGCTAGAGTAGAGAGAGACGGTCGCGCGCACGCAGCTACAGGTCGCCAAAGACATTCTAAATGCCTTCTGTGAGCATCTCTAAACTTTCCCGAAGTCGCTCAGGTACAGCTTCTTCCCAAATACTTCGCCCTCACCTTCCAGCTTGACGCCATCTCCATCCATGACCCTCAGAAGCCTGGGCCAAATCACGATCTCAGCCGGTACCAGAGTGCTTGCGATATTGGTCCCAGTGCCAGTACTCTCAACACTGCCGGTTCCGTGGGACTCGAGCTGGCCGTCTCCTTTGCCGTGCTCAGCGGCGCGGTCTGACGTCCAGTCAAAGCTCCAGAAGCTGGGCTGACTGAACAGCGTAAACGCGAACTTGGCACCCTTCCTAAGTAAGTCTCTAAGTTCCGCGAGCCTAGCGCCTTTTCCATGGCCGGCGTCGTGGGAGATAGCGTAGGTTGCGAGGAGAGGGTCGAGATCCTTGAGCGCACGCTCGATATTGACCGTGCGAGAATCGAAGTCGAGAAAGGCATCCGCAACGTAGGTTGAATGCAGCAGCGTAGCTGAGATTTGTTTCCAGCGTGACAGCAACGCGAAGAAGGTGGGATTTGGCTCGTACATCCCCAGAGTCACTGCGCCTTTTCCGAGGGAGAAACTCTGAAAACATTCGACAAGCTCCGGGGGAAGGAAAGTGCTGCCAGGGCTGCTGCTGATGCCCAGCTTCAGCAACAGGCTCCTGCTCAAGATAGTCCAGCTAATGCACAGCGCCAGAGTCGCCAACCGCGTCTTCGCGTCGCCCAAAAGGGTGAGCATGATGGGCCATGTTAGCGTTAGGCCGGTACTGCATGCTCAATTACGGCCTGTGATGTGCCTAGATCTACCGGCTCGGTGCCATAGAATTTCTGGACATGCGCGACGATGGTATGGTACAGGTCAAAGAACTCTTCTGATATGACGATGTCGGGAAGAGGCTCTTGTACGCCTGTGATAGGAGGGGGTGTCGCAGGAGTAGGCAAGGAGAGAACAGGCGAATGTGGATGTGAGCTGCGTGCGGCCGATGACCGCCGTCCTGAGTCTCCCGAATGGCTCTTCTTGTGCCGAAATTTGTGAAAGATGGATGGCCGATGCGATTTGGTCCGCTCGCTCTCGTGCGGAGGCTCCGGCAGAGAAGTGTGTGTTTCGGTCATGATGCGGGTTCTGTTACGGAGGCGTCGATGACCCTAGCGGTCAATTGAATAGGACAGGCACAATACTTGTAATTAACAAGGGCCCATCCATCTGTACGACGTGAGACGAACGGATGGTTTGAGACTGTCGCCCCAATGTTTCGGTGACATTAAACCATGGAAAGTTTCAAAGGGGCAGAGGGCTGTTGTTCACCTTTCTCGGAAGGAAACAGTCACTCGCCACGTGCTTCCGAAGCATGCGACAAAGGAATCCAATGTAACCTTTAGTGCCCAGATGCGGTAGCATTCCAGAAACGGCCAAGTCTGGCAAGGAGCCAGTTCACGGCCTTTGTTGCTAGCATCGTCGACTTAGCCCATGAACCTTTCTGCAGACAGTGGTCCGACCCGGACCTGACCATGAAGCCGTTTCCGAATTGCTTCTGTCCTTTCTCTCATTCGATCTTTGGTTTTCTGCTTCGCGTGGGCTTTATCGTATCTCCCTTTCGTTCCGTGTTTGATCCTGGTAATCATGTCACCTGCTTTGCCTTTGGTCAGGTCATCTGGTCTCAACTGATCTTCCTCCGAGCGGAACTTATTCAGAAAGTCCACTTGGGCTTGCGAGGCTCGGCTCCGGCGCCATGACTGATTTTTCGATATCCATTTATACTCGAAAGCTTCCGAGGCAAAAGTATCGGCGGCGTGCACAACATGCTCGAATGATTCGCCCTCTGCCACCACTCTGGGAGTAGCATATGGGCTCTTAGCCTTCACACCAGCAGGAAGTCTCCAGTAGTACTTGACTCGAAACCCGCCCTCTCTAGTGCCCGCGGGCTCTATAACGAGGTAGTTCCCGCTGTTAGTGCCTAGGACGAATTTGCCATCGCCAACACCAACCCAGGCAAATTCGCTGATTCTTCGGATGACCTGGTCTCCTGAAGTGTCTGCGATCAGATCATGCACCGAGTCATAGTCGGTGAACGTGATGGATCCGGGCAGCTTTCTTGGGGCAAGTGGACTCTCAAGCTCGGACGCTTCCTGCTCCCGCTGCTTTTCCTGGTCCTTCCGTTCTTTGAGTTCCGCCATGACTTTAATGTCTGCCTTTTCCACGATCTCAGCAGGGTCCAGGCCGAACAAGGTAGGCGTAGAGACAACACCTGTGTTGAGAGCTGATACCATGTCAATGATGTGGCAATTCTCTTTACCCTTGTGCAATCGCATCCCTCGGCCGATCATCTGCACAAGCAAATTGCGGGACTTGGTCGGCCGAGCCAAGAGGACGCAATCAATGTTCGGTATATCGGTCCCTTCAGTGAAAACACCGCAGTTGAGGAGCACCGGAAACTCTCCATTCCTGAAAGCGTCCACCCGGGCACTGCGGGTCTTAGCGGGCGTGTCTCCGGTGACGAATTGTGCTCGGATACCGTACTGACGAAACTTGGCGGTCAAATTCGCGACGTGGCTAAGATCAACGCAGAAGATGATGGTGGACTTTCGCTCTTTTGCTTTAGCCATCCACGCCTTCACTACGAGCTCATTTGTCTGGTCGGTATTGATGGCTCGCGACAAGGCACCGGTTTGGAAGTCGCCATTGGTCCCAGTCCCGACCGCGGTCAAGTCAGCCTTGGTCTCGACTGTCGTGAAGACCACATCGGAAAGCCAGTTCTCTTCGATCATGTCTACGTAGTCGCTGCTGTTGTCAGCTGAGATAGCCTGTTATAGCGGCCATTCGTACCGATGATACACAATGTGATCAATAACAGCGCCGAGCTTTCGGCCGTCGAAGCGCGAGAAGGTGGCAGATACACCCACTAGAGCAGGGGCTGCGACCTGGTCCCAGTCTGCGGCATGTCGCAACCCAAAATGCTCCATGACGTCGAGATACTGTTGGCTCACAATATGGTGTGCCTCGTCCACCAACACCAGCTTGTATCTCGAGGGATCAAACTTGAGCACCCGGTCGCCAGACATGATGCTCTGGATGGAAGCCACGGTGATGTCGGCCGCGCCAGACGCGTGGTGGCTGCCCATCTCTATGTCGACGTGTTTGTGCGGGTATGCGAGGGTGCAGTGGCGGGCGGCCTGCTCGACCAGTTCGCGGCGGTGGGCGAGGATGAGCGTCTGCGACGCAGGATGGACGGCGGGGATGCGGTCGATCAGGTGCGTGAAGATGACCGTCTTTCCAGCCCCTGTGGCCAAAGAGACGCCCAATCTCTTGTGGCCCTTGTCGAGATACGACAGCACCGCCTGGATGCATTCCTCCTGGTATTCGCGGAGCGTTATCTGCAGCGGCGAGACGGGCGCGGCGGGCGGGCCGGCTGCTGTCGACGCGTCCCTTCGCGGAGGGTGGACAGGCGCGAGACGCGTCCGCCTGAATGTGCCCAGCGCAGAGCGCGAGAAGCGGAACATGAAGCGTGGAGGCAGGAAGGAGCGAAGGCTGCGCGCAGTCACGCTTTTCCCGGTCGTGCCTGCGCTGCCGGGACCTGTCCGGCTTGGCGCGCCACACTACGAACTGCGCGCCTTCACCAGCACAGGCACGCCTCTTTACAACTCACCATGCAGTCACCTCCTCGAATCCGCATGCCCAACGCTTTGAGCGTCTCGAAAGAGAGCTCTAGCAATCCTGCGCTATGACGCGGCCCGATCTTTGGTACAAGCTGCACCGGAAACCAACCCCCGACACCGATTTTGAGCCCCCCGAAGACGCACATGAGCCGAGCGCTGACCCGTCGCCTTCTCCTCGAAAGCGTCGTCGAATTGGATCCGCCGACCTGCGCGACCGCGACCGCAGGGCACATCTCGATGGCCAGTACCGCGATGCCTACCGGGTCTTGTTCAACGAAGCCGTGAACGATGCAGCTGCACGATTCGCCCAGCACGATTCTGACCAGCCCGAAAGCTCCCAATTTGGGGCATCAATATGGTCCGCCGAGGAGCAGCAGTTGTTCTTTGGGGCCCTGGAAAGACTGGGCAAGGATGATATACCGGGCATTGCACGAGCGGTTGGAACGAAGAGCATCCCAGAAACGCGGGAATTCCTCTTGATCCTTCGGAATGCCGCTGCTGAGTGGGAGGTGAAGCCACGCCCGCGCGATGCAAAGGGAAAGCAAACGGGCGGACAGCAGACGGAGATCGCTGCTGCGATAGAAATTGGTGGCGAGTGCGAGCGTCACCTAGAGCTGGCAGGCGATGCTCTAGCATGGTATCAGGAGCGCGATGAGGCAAAGCAGGAGCTGGAGCGTCATGGTAGGTGTTGGCTCATAACGCCCGAGATAGCAGAAGAGGTCGAGGATGCAATTCGCACTGCCCGACTACTTGACTACGAAGACGACGACTACCGTTCAGGAGACCACTCCGACGTTCCAGAAGTCAATCAGGACGTTCCAGAAGTCATCCAGGACATTCCAGAAGCAAAACTTCTCGTGCCCGAGGCTCTTCTTTGGCTTTCGAAGTTTTACTTCATGAATCCACACCCAGCCGTGCAATACCCCTGGCCGCACTGGACGGAGCTTGCATCGGAAATCGCTAGGGAACCATCAATATACCGCACGGCCTTCAGTGATTTCTATAGGCTGGTTGTCTCGCTTACTAAGCGGCTTGTGCAAGCAGCTATTATTCAAGCGACCTCCAGGATCCGGTCGCAAGGACTTCGGGTCCAGAAGGGTAGCCTCCCTTTCATAAAGAGAAGAGATGCCCTTGCTGCCATCGACATTCTAGGGCTGAAGAGAAATGCAAGGGACAGGTGGAGGGGGGTGGCGAGACGTTGTGGTCTTCGAGTGTTGCAGGCTAAGCCGAGCCTCGTAGTCTCGGGTAGAGGAGCGATAGAGGTCCCATGGGATGAAGTGGAGCAGGCTCTAGCGTCTGTTGAGCTCCCGATGGAGCCTATCAGTGCGGACGAAGAAACAGCTGAACTTATATCAGGAACGGGAGGTCAGGACTTCAAGGCCAGAGCTGTACGCAGCGGGACACCGCTTCCCACCGCTCAGCCCGTCTCCTCTGATGACTCCGAAGAAGACCACGACCCGGACAACACAGATGAAGATGAGCAGTCAGATGCGTTCCAACCACCATCCAATCGATCTTCTGAGAGCACCAATCTGCCCTTACCTAAGCCTGCAGAGCACACATCCCACCACCTAGAGCTTGATCTTGATCTCGAGCTCGAGAACGAGAACGAGAGACTGGAAGACCTTGATCGGAAAGCGAGCGGGCAAGAAGAGCAACATCTCCTGAGTGTCCTCGGCATTAGTTCCTCTGGGAGCCTAACCTCAGTCTCAGCCAAACGCAAACGCGGCGGCCAACCAGGACGCAAGCTTTCAGGAAACAAGCCCATTGATGAGGCTGATGATTGGCGGAGCTGGACCCGCTACCACGCTGAGTGGGAGGAATTTCGCAGCCCCTTACCCGCCTCTAGCTTTCTCCGAAACCAGAAGCAGGACAGCCCTGCCAGACTTCTCGAATCTGCCCTACCGGACGATTCAGAGTCTAGTGTCAGCAGCGGTCAGTCTTCTAGCTCTTCTAAGCGGAACACAAGCAGGGCTGGTAGGATCGAAATACCCGTTCGGGGCGCACGGGCATATGCGGCTATGCAAGAACGATTTTCCCTCTCTGAGGAACCAGAGCCTGATCAACTTCCATCTGATGCAGAGTCAAGGTACCCGGTACAGTCCGTCGAAGGTATAGACGACCAGGCATCAGTGCCTGCAACATCCGATGATGATGGAATGGACTGGGATGCCGGCTCGGATGGCGTCTAAGCTTATTTGACATGCTCACCATCTTCAGCACCTCTCGTAGAACCAGGCATACGGACGGGAACTACGCGAATCTGGTATCTGCGCTTCTGATGCCCAGGTGTACCGCTCGCCATTTGCCGAACTCTCTCATCATCTATCCGATCGGCAAAAATTACCGAGCCCATGTGCATGGGATCTTATCTCGAGAGAAGTGGAAACGGCCTAGGGTGGATTCCTTCAACACTTAGTATATATGAAATTGAATATATCGCTCACTCTATATCACAACACAACTGGGCAGGGTTTAGTTCGCCTGACGGACACACGGATCCGACAACCAGTGAGACGTAAATCCGGCAAAATGGCTGGAGACTGAATAACCAAGAATGACCACTCTTGTAGGCCAGAAATGCCTATCTATGATATTGCGAATTATAGTTATGTCGACCAGAGCTTGATTAATGTGATGCAGGTCGAGAGACGCCCGCGTTTTCAATGCTGTGCACCTTTAACAACGGTGCATGCCATTGTATCGACACCTACTTTTCCCCTTCACGAAACTTAGTCCCTATCGCATTCGCATGCGCCTGCAACGCCAGTTGATACTCGGTCGTTCTCACGATGTTTCGGTCCAGCGTTCTAGCGCTTTCAGCGCTCATAGGCCACGCAGCCGCGCAAAGCGGTACTGATCTCGACGAGCCGATGTTGAGAGGCGGAGGGATCAGAGGTCCCGGAGCCATGCTACGTTTCGGCTGTTCCCAGGTACTAACCCGCCGTGATGGGGAATTAGGGAAATTTGTATCTGATTCTTTAGGTTGTCATCGAGCGTCTTGACCCGTGCGTCGGCAAAGTCCCCAGTAGAAGTGCAGGAGAACACGAACTGAGCTGATGGGGTTGCTGTAGCCTTGTGAACCCCGGTATGCACCCGTCTACGCACATGCATCAAGTGGTTGGAGGGGTACGTCTACTCCACGGGGACGTTTTCTTCCTCTCCGCTTCATCTGCTAATTTCCGGCCTAGAACGCGTTTACTGCTTCAATGCCCGAAAGCGATATCTCTAAGCTGGCTTCCTGCACCACATGTCATTTCACCGAAGGTACCAAGCCCTCCGTGCAACGGGCCACAAAAAGCATACTGATGTATCCATCGACTTGTCCAACTATTGGACGGCAAACCTCTACTTCAAAGCCCGCAACGGCACCTACAAGCGCGTCCCACAGATGGCGAACCAATTCAACGACGGAGACAACGCCGGAATCACCATATACTACACTTCGCCTGCGGTGAACGCAACGACAGCTTTTAAGCCGGTAGGCCTAAACCCCTCATGTCGAGTCTTCTTGCTCAAACCTTCCTCATCTTCTAGGGCTTTCGCATGCTTACCGGCGACTCAATGAGGCGCACGTCTGAGAACTTGGGGAAGAACATGCAGCAGTGCTATCGCTGCTTCTCAGAGCCCAACTTTGGGGGCAGCATGTACTCTCCATGTCTAGACCCCAAGTGGGATACCGACTATTTCCCGAAGCAACCATGCCCCGGCGGTATCCGGTCGAACATTATCTTCCCACTGTAAGTTGCTGACCCGCTGCATCTTCACGGGGATGTGAGGGCCTGATGGTATTCCAGGTGTTGGGACGGAAAGAACCTCGATAGCCCGAGCCATCGCGATCACGTATCCCACCCGATTGGTGGTCCGACCCAATTCGCCATCGTCAACGGAACGTGTCCCCCCAGCCATCCAGTGAAGATCCCGCAGGTAATGCTAGAGGTACGTACTACACTACCTATCGCATGCATCCCCTCGCCCGAGAAATTAACCCTATGGGCAGGTTATGTGGGACACCACACCCTTTAACAAACCCGACCTTTGGCCAGAAGACGGCACCCAGCCCTTCGTTCTCTCAACCGGTGACGCGTTAGCCCTCCTTTCCACTGCTCTTCATGACCATTCCTAACGCGTGATAAGCTCCGGATTCGGCCAACACGGCGACTACGTCTTCGGCTGGAAAGACGACTCGCTCCAGCTCGCCATGGATAATCATTGCTACCTCCGCAACTGCACGAGGCTTACGGAGCAGGCGCCTAGCATCAAGAATAAGTGCCAGGTGCCGGATACTGTGGAGGAGGATGTGGATGGATGTGAGTTTTTTTTCTGCTTGATTGATGGGCGTGTGAGTGAGATTGGGAAAGATTGACTGACTGTTTGGTAGGGATGGATGAGCTTCCGGGGGGAGGGGTTGGGGCGTGATTGTTGGAGAGAGGGGACTGATGGCAGAAATTTATGGCGTATGTGGGTTTTTATACTGGATATCAAGCAGCAGTGGTTCGGTTCCGTGGAGGCGTGCCCTCGAGGTGCGAAGTGAACCGAATGCAGAAGATCGGAGTGGTGGTCTAGCATTCTGTGGCCCGAGTAGCCGGCTACATACGCTATATGAAAATGCAAGCATGTACGCTTGCTTCTATGGATCCTGAAGAGTCGGGATGTCGAAATTGTTGAGTAGGCTTTTCGCTGATGTTTAGGATAATAGCGCTCACGGTGCTTGAACCGATCTGCATCAGTAATATCTCCAAAGCCCTCGCATAAGTGTGGCGTGGGCTTAGTTTTACGACGGGTATGCTAATAGCTCAAAGTGGTTGGCTCAACTGTTTCGTCAGCGCCTACATGATCAATCCAGACGCAGTGCAACTTAGGGGCGGAAAGTGGGTGTCATTCTACATCTCATCCTGAGCCTGTCGGCCTCTTATTCGCTAACGTTAGCTCGCTTTTCCGCCTGACAAGAGTCTGAGGTTGGTCGGGAGTCGCCAAAGCTGAAAGGAGATGGGTTCCTTGTTTCAGGCAGTCCCAGGAATTTCAGAAGCGAGGCGGCTGGTCGTCGTCATATCTTGTGTGCAAGTTTGAAGAGGATGCGGACTCAAAGGAACCGGCTAAAAAATAACCTGAGCCGAGAAGGAGATGTGTGCTCCGAGCCTAGCGTGAATACCAAGGGGATTCGTGTCATTAGATACACATGCCTCAGCTAGCCTTGGGCAGATACCTCGTCCAGGTTTCGACATATACCCTCTCGTCTTGACGCCTCAGGGCTGCGAAAGCGAGTACCAAAATTACCAGCCGCACAACCGCATAGAGAAGTCCACAGCTGATAGTAATGAGTCTCGAGATGCTGTTAGTAGATGACTCCTTCTTTTGAAATGCCTCAAGGAAAGAATCGACGAAGTTACCTTGCTTCAGCAAATCCATAATGAGGATTACCTCGTTTCGCCAATGTTCGTTTATCTGGACTTCGGAGTCGCCGCCGTCCAGTCTTTCGGCTCGGTCCGATACGCAGGTTATACGGCATGCCGCCGAAGACGAGCTTGCTCTTAGCCCATAGTAACATGCTCTTGCAGGATACCATTCGAACGCAAATCGTCTTAAAAGAATAAGAGAAGGATCTGAATCCTCCAATTTGTGAAGCAACCTCAGCTGGGCGTAGATCTTCCTGTTGAGTACTGACATGGCCGCCTACATTTCGGCATGAATGCATTAGCAATGCTGGAGCTGCTGGCTTCAGAATTGGACGACGCAAGGAAGCTGGTGAAGAATAGGATCGCAATGGGAAGGCTTACCACATCGGGTCGCATGGGGCTCACCACACATACAAAGCCGTACCTGAAGATCTTTGCGTTGTTATTAGAGCCCGGATCATCATACCTAGATCGGTCGACCTGCGCCCTCTTCTTTTTCAGCTCGATCTTGAGCTCTTGATGACGTCTTTGAAGAGCTCTTTTCAGCTACCCCACGAGAAAGGCATTCGAGATCAAATTTATCAGAGGGATGATGGCAGAGAGGGCGCTGGCAGATATCCAGACCACTTTCTCAATATTCGTTGGAAACTCGGTTCCCCAAGCTGCGCAGTGGAGGCCACCGAACGCCATAGTCGATATTGTGAGCCAGTACGAAATAACCAGCATATTAGTTTGGGTTTTCTTCATAGTATCGTTACCGATCCTGTGGACAGCGCCGTTTTCAGGGGATGACGGCAATAGCAAGCGTACAAAAAAGGCTTCCAAGTTCTCGGTTTCCAGTGACCATGCAGTGCATACTGTTTCGAGCTCGTTTCGTAGCCCATCTGGTACTGGAACGAGCACCGGTAGCTCAACATCCTTCGGCTTAGACCAATTGGCGGCATACGTCACAATAACTAGAGCTGCAAAAGCCACTGTGCATATTTCGAGTTGAGTTACGGGCAACCGCCGTACAGCCCTCGTAATGACTGAAACTACGAGCCACGATATCTGGCCGGCAGCAACAGTCTTGACTAGCCAATCTGCCTTTGATCTATCCCGTATTTCGTCGACAGAGAGCTGGAGAAATGGAAGTGGGTCGTGCATTTCCTTGAGGCAGCAATCTACCATGTCGCTGGCGGTGACCGGGCGGGAATAGGAGTCTGTTAGCCAGACAAGCCCACCCATATTGGCGAAATAGGAATGCGTCAAAGTCCAGGTGCGCCTCTTTTCGGCCAAACTGGTGTAGTAAGTGGATTGACTGTCCACGGATTCGCCCGTTGATTCGCTCGACCTTTGCAGTGAGTAAGCGGATTGGCTGTTCACAGCTTCGCCAGATACTTCTTGCGCTGACGTCTCCGATTTGCCATCGCCGTCGTCAGCTTTGTTGAAAAAGTTGAAGAATTGCCACAATAGCCTCACCCCCCGCCCAAACGCGACGTTCCATCCTCCAAGGTCTTCCGTGTTGGACATCGTCCGCAAATCTTCCACGGCTGTCCGCAGCTCGCACATGGCCTTGGAAAAGATAAACTCAGGAAACAGGATAGTAATAGCCATCCATTTTATTTTTCGTTTCACTTTCTTCCACGTTGTATCTTTTATGGAGGGAACGTTGAGATGTAATATCGTCCAGGTGCAGGCGAGTATTGTTGTTAGACAGGACCATATTAGAGCGAGCGTACCACGCTCCTTGGGTCCATCCCGCCAGCCCGACTGATGAGATTCTGTTGGCGGTGCCTCCGTTTGGGTGATATTCCGGCTTTGGGCTACCGCAAAGGGAGATAAAATGACCCAGACGATCACAGCCCACAAGGCTGGGTGGCGTATTGTCTTCATGTGGAGTCCAGTGAAGAGGACGATCTAGGAGGCTGAAAGGAGCAGTCGATAGACGGCAGTAAGCGTGTGTGCTTGGGAAGGCCGATACCTTCAGGAGAAAAAACGAAGGAATGATGGGGTATGAATAGGTAGCGTAGCTGAGGTTGGCCGACCAGGCTGAAATCGCTAACGCTTGCCAAGAAGACGAGTCCCCAAGCCACCGCGCCTCACGGTGTAGAATTCTCCAGATAGAACGACGTGTGCAACAGCTACCCTAGAGGCTTTCGCAGGTGCGTACAATAGTCGAGCTAATCTTTCTTACTTGTCCGGCGAACCCTTAGATCCGGTGAATTCCCTACCGCAAGAGACGCCTTAATCACTGCGCCCAATTGACGCGCACTTCAGCATCTCTTCTGCAGGTCTCCATTAACGTGGCAACTAGTTCAGGACCTTGTATCTCTGAGATGTGCAGCCCAACAATGACAAGCTGTAAAGTGCTCCGAGCCTCGCACTATGGCTCACCTAGAAAGAAAGCATTGCTCTGGTTTCAGCCTTGCTAGCTAGGCGGCTGGACAAGTAGAGGAGATGACTTGCTGTGAGAGCACGAGAAAGGCACATTCGCGAATAAGGACGAACAGTACCCGACCAAGTATATCAGGGGGGATAGCAGGTGAAGGTGGAACGCTAGTGAGAAGCAGCAGTTGGAAGGAAGACGACGAGAACGCACGAGTCATGGCATTCGCTTGCTTAAGTCTCTCGCGAGTCAGTCACCCCGTCATTCCCCGCGCCTCCTCCAACCCTCCGTTTTCCTTACAACCTCTCCCTTCCAACACGGCTCATATACCCAAAACTACGCTCCAGTCTCCGAACCGCATGCCTTTCTCCCCCATCTCACTGTCGCACTCACAATGGCCACCCCACGCTCACCCCAATGCCCCTCGCTGCCGCCTGAACTCTGGATCCGCATCCTCTCCTACAACACCGACCTCACGCACCTCTGGACCACCTGCCGCCAAATCTCGCACTCCTTCCGCGCGTACACCGAGCAAGTCTTCGCCGAATCCGTCTTGCGCGACACGCACATCGACTTCCAGCTAGAGAAGTACAATCTAGGCGGCAAATCCAAGCGTCCCGAAATACCCACCTCGTTCTCGCATTTCGAACTCGGCGCGAAGCTGCACGGTGGAGGGAGAGATAAGAGCGTGGCGTGGTTCAAGGACAAGCGCAAGAAGGGGGATGTGGCGGGTGGGGCGGCAGGCATGGCGTACAAGAGGGTGATGCAGAGGTGGGAGGAGAATGTTCGCGGATGGAAGCCCGAGATGCCACACTATACCATAAGAGTCGGGAGCGTGGTGAACGACACCGCACTCCCCAATCTGACGATCAATATCGCCGACCGCGAAATCGGCTTCGACTGGCGGCGCATGTTCCAGCTCTTTTTCCGCGAGCAACAGCGCTTGCGCATTCTCAAGCAGAAATGGCACTCCAGCACCGCCGCGCAAATCCAACGAAACAACGCTCGCCTCGCAAAGGGCGAAAAGCTCGCTGCAGCCGACTACCCTCCACCGTGGCCTGCCGCCGAAGTCGAAATCCGGAAGGAGGTCCGCCGTGCGCGGCTAAAAGAACACTACAAGCACGACGAAGAAATGCTCTGGGCCATCGACAGCCTCGCACACTTCGAGAACCATGGCGCGGTCGGTGGAAGTGGGACGGCGTTTAAAATAAACCCTGATCTGCCTGGCGCTGGCGTGGGCGAGAAGTGGTTTGGCAGTGTGAATCTGGTTCAGGGGCTGTATTTGGATGAGTGGAGTTGCATGCATAGGACTGATACGAAGGTAGAGCATTTGAGGGGCGAAGGTGAGTACGATTTGTCTGTGAGCTAAAGCGGGAGCTTATATGTGGGCTGGAAAGGAAATGACTGGGGTTATGTGGACTATATTCCACCTCCTGATCTTGCTGAGATGCGTAGGACGCCGCCGGCGATGGTGCTGCTTCCGGTAGAAAGCACTGGACATCAGTTCAACGGGATGTGCTTTACCGGGAATTCGATGATCTAGGCTTGTCTGCGGGACGACAGCGTACTCGGCTAGGCGAGGTAAGGAAAGAAGGTTCAAGGTTGCGTCTTGCAACAAGTCTAAAAGAGTCTATTCGAGAAACAGAGATGTTAAGAGATGGGTATCCGTGTGCGTACCATCTACAAACCCAAGCAGAGATCACCACCAAAAACGCATCGAACATGGACACAAGAAAAGAAAACAGCACATTACCAACCCAACCCCCAACCTAACCTCCGCCTCCCCATCCCCTAATACGTCAAACTCACACACCTTCTCTCCCACCCCCCCTCCACCACCGCCTTCCTAAACACCCACTCCCCCACATCCTTCCTCGCCACATACCACCCAACCTGCGGCCCGGGCTCCTTCTCCCCCCCATTCCCCTGCACACCATCAACATCAACTCCCCACTCCCACCCCGCCCTCACGCTCTCCAGCTCCCTCGGCCTCCCATCCGTCAGCAAACTCGGCCTCACCACCACAAACCCCCTCACATGCTCCCCCCTATCGCCCCGCACAAGCTCCTCCATGGCTCGCTTATCCGCGTGCGGCGACGACCCGAGGTAGTGGTACAACGGAACGATGGGCCACGGCACGTCGCGCGTCCTGCCAGCCACGCCCGTCGAACTTATCGCGACGAGCAGGGGTTTGCGTCCATCCTGCGTTGTGGAAACGCCGCGTTCAGCGAGGGCGCTGATCGCCGCGTAGATAGCAGCAATGCCGGACTCGCAGACGTGCGGGTCTGTCAGGACGAAGGGCTGCAGCAGGGAGAGCTGGAAGGTGGGATAGGCGCCGATGCTGGTGTAGATGGTGTCGACGAGGACGTTCGCGTTGAGCGGGGAGACTAGGGCGCGGGCGACGTCGGAGGCGGATTTCGCGTCGCCGGCGTGGATGGTGAGGTGGGTGGAGAGGGTGGAGGCGGGGAGGTTGTGCGAGGTGAGGAGGAAGGTGTGGAGTTTCGAGGGAGTTCGGGCGACTGCGTGGAATGGGCGTTAGCTTGTGTGCTCTTGGGTGGAGGATGGGGAGGGGTAAGGACTTACGGGCGGTGCAGTGATGGCCTGCTTTGAGTGCGAGGGCGAGACTCGAGCCGGCGACTCCTCCGGTCGCGCCGAAGAAGGCGATTGTTTGTTTTGGGGAAGACATTCTCGGAGGATGATGTATGGATAGGTGTAGTAGTGTGGAATGGGCAGTGTTGTTGCTCTTCGCTGCGGTTTTGCTATGCTATGCTATGCTATTGCTCTGCTATGCTCTTTTGATGCCCCATCACCACCGCGTCCCATCCCCTCCCTTTATACACCCTCCTCCTCCTTCATCCACACGAATCCTTTCGTCCATCGTCCACCTAGTCCGGACACGCGCCGCTCTTCCATCTCCCCAACGACACCGTCGCTGGAACTTCCAGTGTTCAAGGTAAGCTAGGTGGAACTTTGAGCGTTCAAAGTAGGCTCATGCAGCCCGCAAAGCATTTGAGAGTTGAAAGACCATCCGTCTCGGCAGGATTATTCCTCCGCTTCCAGCCAATAGGAGGAAAGCGCGGGGGTCGATCCTGCCGCGCGCGGTCAGCCACACATGCGTAGCGAGGAGGCTTAGCCTTGTGGTGCAGGGCGCTAATTTGTACGGCTCGGAGTGTGCCGGGTCTCCCGTCCAGCCACTTAGCTGCAAAGAGGAGCCTCCACGTAGCGTCTTCAAAGTGGTAGCATGGTGGCCTTCGCTGCTCTACGTAGACACGTGTTCCATTGAGAGTTGAAACGACGACGACGATGATGATGTCGATGGTGATGCCACAACGCATCGATTTATCATGACTCGCCAGCACTGCGGTAGTGATCCACCACAACCATCTCCTAACAGTCGAACTCCGCGAATGCGCTCGAGCGAAAGTAACAATGAGACGAGATGCCAGATTCCAAGAACATGCACAGCTGTGCCAATGATAGATTTTCCACCACCGGACGAAGGGGATTCCAATAATGAACGCATTCGCCTGACTCCAGTGAAATGTAGTGTGGATCGTACAGTAGATCGACGACAGACATGCCAGACAGATAGCCAGACAAAGAAGAAAATTCCATGGGGGTATTCGCGAACGGTACCGGGACAAAGCAGGTACATACGTCCATAAATGCACACCTCGCTCGCTCAAACCAGATATCCAAATCCAAACATATCCAATCAGCTCGTGTGGCCGGTGGAGACAAGAATGATAGCAGAATAACACAACTCTAACCCAGTGAATGCAATATATGCTTTCAACTCCACTGCAAATCGCCTTCCGTGCTCCTTTACACAGCCCTTGCAGGCTGGCTATGCTTCAACCAGATATCCCCACCTTCACCCCTCTCCCACTTCTTCCATGCAACCTCGTAAGCATCTTCCAGATCGCGAACCCATCTCCTAGTGTCAAACAGCGCGCTAGTCCATCTACTCTCATAAAGTATGTGGCGAAGCTGGCTCAATCGACCCGTAGCTCTATGACCGTGGTAGATGCAGTCGCTCGCCAATCGGACAGCCATCTCTTCATATTCTTCGTCGCTGTCCGCGATGAGTTCCTTCGCAGCCTGCCGCCCTTCTGGAGACTTTGGTAGCGCGCCTTTGAGAATCGACGCCGCCATGCGCGAGCACATCTTGTACTTGTACCGTGGGAGTGTGAGAAGAGGTGTCCCGGACCAAAGGACGTCGGCTGCGGTGGTGTGTGCGTTGCATTCGGGAGTGTCTAGGAAGAGATCGCATACGCGGGCGCGCGAAATGTGCTGGCTCTTTTGAGCAACGTCGGTAAAAATTACGCGAGAGGCGACTTCAGCGCCAGCCCACATGTAGGCAGTTTGCTTGAGGTTAGTTTCGCCCAGGTCTGGGAAGCGGAGGAGCCAAAGAACGGCCTTCGGAAGTCGCTGCAGGATGCGAAGCCAGGTGCGGAAGGTTGTAGGCTCGATCTGGAAGCTTGTTAGAACCCGCACACATATATCACGGCCGAGAAGCTTACCTTGTACAACTGGTTGAAGTTGCCGAGGATGATGGCATCGTCGGGTAGGTTGGGAAAGATCTCCTTCCGCATGGCCCACCGCCGATGCTGTTCCTCTTCCCAGTTGAGTTGCCGGCCATGCGCATCGGGAGCGCTCTGTCGGTGGTCGCAGCAGAAGAACGTGTCGCGACAGTAGACGATGTTCTCGCCATAGATCCAGTTGTCGTCCGAGCCTCCGCTATTCTCATCGATTAGGGTGTCTCCCATGTCGATGTTGCGGCGCCAGCCCCGTAGGGTGTCTGGTGGCACAGCGGTATCATCCGCGAGGAGATAGTCACACCATTCAGCACCAAGAGTGCCAGCGAAACCCATAAACGACATCTGGATAGGGGCAGGACGTGCAGCAAAGACCTCGTTTCGCGCACCGCGGGTATATCCGTTCAGGTTGATCAGGATATGGATGCCATCGTTGATGATCTGACCGACGAGGCGCTCCGCTGGCCAGTTGCTGGCATCATAGAACACTGGCGCTTCCCGTTCGATCTGCTGGCGATGGATGGAGCCGTCGCTAGCAGTCGTGGCATAGCAGTAAGCTTTGACGCGAGACGGGTTGTGTAGTCCGAATACTGACTGCATCAAATGCGCTAGCGGATGATTGTTGAAATCTGAGGAGACATAGCCAACCTTCAGGTAGGGATTTGGAGGAGAAGGAGGTTGGTACACGGTCGCGGGAAGCCATGACGCCCTGAGCGTTGAACACGATATCCGCAGGCCATTTCGCTGAGAGATCATACGAATCTGCTTTGCTGACATGGGGCAGGTGAAGGTATGGAATGGGAGAACTGTAGGCGCGGCGGGAACCGTTAGGGCAGCCGGAAGTTGGGGTCTTCGGTAGGCGGCGGACGGTCGTTGCTTGCCTCCAGATATGTACCGGTCCTGGTACCATTGCCAAGTGAGCCTCCTAATGGCTCGCTCGACAAGGCGAACTATTCTTGCACCTTCCCATTTCTGCCCTTGCCACTTGATGAGTGTCCCCCTCATGTTAACTTGCTGCTCTTTAATGTCCTGCGAAGTCCCGTCGATAAGGGCGAGCGGCCGGATGACATCTTGGATGAACTGCTCATTCAAAATGCCTCGTCCCCAATCTTCGCCATCAGCAAGCTGCTTCTCAACTAGGTTCACGACTTTGTAGATCCAACCACCGCTCTTAGCACCTGGTAATCTGGCGTCCAACAGCATGCCGTTCTCGTCGACGTGCCAGCGGTCTCGGGAGCCACGGTCATCCGCAATCCCGCCTCTTCCATTCCATCCACAAACTGAGTTCAACGCATTAGCAAGTCCACAAACTGCTTCGGCAAAGTCCGGGCTGGCTTTCACAGCTCTCTTATAGTACAGAATAGCATCGCTGATACGACCTTTATCCTTAACTGCATTCGCGAGGTTGGCGAGAGCAATGTCGAAATTCTTGTCGCATGCAACAGCTTGTTCGTACATCTGTATAGCAACATCAAGCTGGCCAATGTCCTTCAACAGACTTCCGAGGTTCGTATACAGGTGCGCGTGTCGAGAGTCGAGCAGTAGTCCGTAGTTGTAATATGCAAGCGCAAGAGCGATGCCGCTTCCTGGCACCAAACCGGGAATTTGTGGCTTGGGCATCGGGTTCGAGACCGGAATATGCTTTGAAGGTGCTGATTGCTGAACACTAGCGAGGAGAATACCGACGTTGTTTGCGGTGGATGGGCTTGGCTGCAGCGAGAGCGAGAGATAGTACAAGGCAAGGATCTCCCTGACTCCGTAATTGCTCTGGAAAGCGGTAGCCTTGGGCGAATTCGTTGCCATCCCATCTTGAAAGATCTTTGCTAGCGAGAGAAGCGAGTTGCTCGTGGTTGAAATGGCGGCCTTCCGGGCCATGCCCTCGCTGGGCACATACTTCAGGCCTGGTAGCTGTCCATGTGGCGGGAAGCACAACTGCGCAGTCTTCAAAGCCGGATCCGGGTGGAGCAGGATTGGGTCGGTGGACGGAGGAATGCGGCGACCACCGGGAGAGCGTTCCGCTGCACCATACCCAACAACGGATAGGATATGCTTGATGAGCCCGCTGATCTCTTCGACCTGAAGACCGGCGCCAATGAGCACAGCATTCTCGAATGCTTTTGCAGCACCAGCATTGTCACCCAGAGCGTACAGCATATTGCCCTTTGCATGGACCAAAGCAAGGATGCGGCCGTTATCGCACCCTGGAATGGCATAGCCGCTTGAGCCGAAACCTGGCTGGTCAGAACCTGGCAGCTCATCAAGATCCTTGAAGATGGGTTCGTTTTCGCCGTCAAATTCGAACACTGGCTTATCCGACACTTCCGAGATGCTTGGTGACTCGCTCACGGACGACGTGGAACGTTCGCTCTGCAGATCGGCATTCTTCAGGACATCTGCCTTCTTGATTATCTTCAATTGGCGTTCCACCTCTTCGATGATCTGTACAGCTTCTTGACCCCGGTGATCACTGCACAACAATCCGATCAGATGTTCTACCGCCTCGAAATAGCTAGGTCTCAGCTTCACGGCTCGTCTCCAGTACCGCTCTGCCTCTCGTTTCTGGTGAAGAGCCAGAAGGGTGGCGGCAAGATTGGAAGTCGCTTCAACATGTCTGTGGTGCGTCAGATACGGTCGGAGGACAAAACAATTTTCTCAACACTCACTCTGTGTCTAATGTTAAAATATGCTTGTACCATTCTTGAGCTTTTTGGTAATCCCCGAGCGCATATGCAAGGCATCCGCCTAGAAGAATGCCGTCTATCCAATTCCATTTACTTTCTTCGCAATGCTTTGTGATTGCATCTAGAGCCGAAGCGGCGGTCATGCTCGGGGGCACTTCGAGGCGGAGACTCTGATGAACGCCTGCGACGGAGCCTGACATGCGTCGTAGAGGACGTAGCGGCTCGATACCGGAAATTTGTGGATGAATCGAATGCATGTTTGCCAAAGGCGTCTGTGGTACAGATTGCCAAGGTTGTCTTTGCATATTCGGATCATGCCCCCCTAGAGACCACGCCGACGACGAGCGGTGGTGAACTGGTCTTTGGAACGCATCTCTGCTTGATTGCGGCGCTTGAGGATCGAATTTGGGTGTCTGAGAGAGATCAGGCCGTTCAGATGGTTGGGGAGTGTTGCTGCTGGATGAGCTCGAGAAGTTCGCGCCGGGTTGCCGTGGTGGTTTGGGATATATGTGAGGTCTAGCAGGTTGCTGATGTCCATTTGGATGATGATGCGTGTGTGCCTTGCGCGTTGACTGTAAGTACTTCAACAGGTCGACGTACACAGTATGCGCCCAAGCGAACACCTTCTCCCTCGTCTGTGCATTCATGGACAGGGGTCCGAACTCGGTTAGCGGCGTTGATACCGGTGTGTGATCAGCTACTGGCGTTGTCTGGCCAGAGGTTGACACGGAGAAATCAGGATGCGGGCGTTGGCTCGGCGGTAGTGGAAGCGGCTGGCTTTGGAAGTCTAATGTGTGATTATGATGCGGATGCGGGAACGGAGCAGGGAAATCCATGGATGGTCTCCCTATGTTAGCGTAAGTATTTTGCGGCTGCTGTAGCTGATAATGATTCTGCTGAAGAGTGTTGAGGTTGGACATGGCATTGTTGTATGCATGGTTGAGGTATGCGGTATGTTGGGGATGGTTCCAATTTGGTCCATGATGATTGTAGAAGCGCGGATCCCGTAAGGCGGCCGGTCGATAGGGTATGAATGTGCCATCGTGCCAGTAGGGTCCGAATGGGCCTTGATCATTCGAAACAGTGGGGCCGAGGTGACTCTGCAGCGAAGGCTCCATTGCTCCACAGAAGCCGGTGCCGTACATTTGATAGTGCGGATGTGGTTGCAACGGGGGTATCTGGTTCAGCATCGAATCAATCTGAGGCAGGGGATGTTGGCCGCCTGCCCGCCCTGATCCTGTTTCGAAGTATAAGGTAGGACTCCAGTCGGAAGTGCCATCCTGCTTGAGCTGACCAAAGTCGCTGCTCATGCCTGGGGATCTGAGAGGTAGCTCCTGCTTGAGGCCGTAGGGGATACTCGATTCGGCAGTCACGGGCAAGAGAATGTGCTTCGTCGCATGCGGCTTCTCAGTCTGCTCGACTGAGGTGCCATCGTAGGCTGCGGCCAGTATGCCGTTTGGCGTCTTGCGCCGAAGCATGTGTTCGGGCGGCTTCGCTCTGTCCCGCCCATTGTCCGAGCTTTGCGAGTGGTAAGAATTATGTCGTGAGAGCGGATGGGCGTACTGCTGCGGGAGCGGCTGCTGAGCCAGGCTTCTCTGATCGAATCCCGAGGCACTCCGAAGCAGCTGGCCGTGCGGAGAGGCGGGGTGTGGTTGTTGGTAAGGTCCTAGCGGAGAGAATAGCGGCGTCTGCGGCTGCGGGGGATACTGCCGGACCATAGTCATGGTGGTCGAGGCCGCGGGGAGGTCGTCGGGTCGGGGGCAGGGCTGGCCGTGGAAATGCTAGATGGCCAAGACGGAGGACGTGGTGGTTCTTCGAGGCGGTCGATTGCGTCGACGAGGCGTGCAGCAAGTGGAGATACGGCTCCCTGCCGCACGGCCTGGGTAGTCAGTGACTGCAACCCAGCGCAATTCAACCCCCACAAGACGCTTTCACCAAGACCGGCGTGTGCCTATGCCTTTGCGAAGTCGTCGCCCGCCTTCTGCACATGACATTTCTCTTTGCCCGTGACCAATGCTGCTAGCACCGGGCGCTCCGTACTGGGTTGGTACCAGCAGAAGCCCCGGAAGAATCGAGTCGGAGTCGGGGTGCAGCAGGCGTGGCACCGCGCAGCGAGCGTGTTCGGGGGCTGTCTCGTGGGTGTCGGAGAGGGTGAGGCCTGGGCGGGGGAGCAGGTGTCAGCGACGGATAATGGTCTTCTGCGCGGAAGGAGCTAGAAGCAACCAAGCAAGGGCGGCTCTGTCAACGTGTTGTCCGCAGCGCCGGCGGGCAGTTGCGCAGGAATGCAACTCGATCCGCACCGACGGCGGCCAACGGCGGCGAAACAGAGGCACATCCGCCCCCGCAGAGCAGGGCAACTCACTCACGCTATGGCAGGGCGTCTGCCTTGAGGACGGCACAGCCAGACGTGTCGTCGGGTTGGGCGAGGTGCGGTGGCCCCGGGCGCACAACGGCGGGTCGTTCAGCGTGGTACAGCGTGGAAGGGGCGCAGCAGGTGCGATGCGCTGCTCGGGCCGGCGTCGACGTCAACCCGCAACGCAGCGCTGTCGTTGCGAGGGTGGAGAGCGGGCGGGCGAGGATGATTGATGATTGTGTGCAGCGGGACTGGCGCGCAGCTCAGAAGATGACGAGGTGCCAGGCTAGTATTGAGGCGGCACACCAAGCAGGCGTTGGCAGGCGCTATGGATGGTTCGACTTGGTGCAGGTGGCTTGGGCGGCCCTTGTCGCATCCAACGCGCCAAAGCGGGTGCCGCCTGGGGTATAATCCGTCTGGGAGCCCGCTCGCTGCTGATCAGTGGTCGAGTCGCTGCCGCAGCCGCTGCACCAACGCGCTGCTGAGGGCAATGAAGCGGGCAGCCGGCCTGCTGAAGAGCGCTGCTTTTGACCCTGTGCAATGTGGTCTGTTTTCTGGCCTGCCGCCAGCCGAATGGCGCTCGCACTGCAGCGCGTCCAAGAAATTGGGCGAGACAGATGTACTGTGGCTTGCAGCGGGCTCAGTCACGCCGCGCGGATCCCGGCCGTTGAGTGGAAGGCGTCGCCGGGCTGTGAATTGAGGTCTGCCCACGGGCTCCACTTCATAGACTACCAGAGCCTGTTTCCCTTTGATGGCGACCGTCCGCCGTCCTTCCTCCAAAGCCCGTCCTGCCCGTCGCCCGGGGCCAAAGACATTCATCTTCGCTATTTATGGGCCTCTTGCAGCAGCATCCCCCGTCTGACAAGCAATTCGCCGCCGTGAACCGTTTAGCCTAGATTACCGTTGCCGGATGCGTCAAGTCTATGCAGCGACGCACATGGGCTGCCTACGCTGCACCGCTGTACAGACGCGGATGCTTACCATCCAGTGACAGACTCAGCGTCTCTGGGACTATCGGTCAAGGCAAAATCCACTTTTCGGTGCACATCAGTCAGTGGGCGAGTGCATTTCTGCTATGCCTTGTTTCACGCGTGCCGATTTTCCATTTTGTGTTAAGTAGCAGCCCGAATTAGAGTCCAAAAACGCACGTATGAAACGGATACCCAGGTTCACAAGGCATTGCTAATCGTCAGGGCATGTAGACCAAAGATGATGGACCGCTGCACCACGCCCGGAGGCAAGAGCGCCGCGGTGAGTAAAAGGTCGTCATTCTCCTTTACGCCAAAATAGGCCTATACCATGGTGCCGAGTCCGAAGACAAGTGGTAAGGGCCAGAGTGTTGGTAAAGTGGTACATCACGTTGCGAGCGGAAAGCAGCATGTGGGCTGTCCTATCCCGTACGCCGAGCAGGTAATCGTCGCGGGTGATCGTAGAGCGGAGTTGGTGATAATAGCGGATCTCCTGCTGTGCCCCGTTGGCCCATGACCCAAGAAGCGGCACAGATTGATTGCTTCTCTGAATCAATGTTCCAAGCGCCGGGGACATAGCATGCTCAACCTGGTTCAACGATGACTAAATCCCGAATCGATTGGAGAATAAAATTTGCTTCATGTTGGAAGTTTGCTGCTCGCCTTGTACGTGAGTAACACAGCATTAGTCCAGGAGAGCAGGATGCCTCTGCCAGATGTCGAGGCCACCGCACGCCTTGCCGCAGGACAAGTGATGATCCGGCGGCTCTAGACTGCAGCCACAATGAGGCGTGCATACGAACAAAGATGATCTTCTGCGTTTGCGACAATAACTTCAAAGGAGCGAGCCTCGGCGGGGGACAAAGGCCTGCTGTTCACGTCAGCCCGGTGAGCTGAGAATAGTGTGGAGATGGCTTACTATTGACGCCATGGCGGTGTAGAAGACGCCAAAATCCTTTCATCACCGCGGCAAGCTTGCGTGCCGGGGGAACTTGGAATGGGAAGATTCTTGTGAGGTCGCAGGTACAAGATGAACGATGTGGAAGATTTTCAGGTCGCTTATTGCCTGTCACGTGACTGTGCTTGGCGCGGTCGCGGTCTAACTTTGTTCCTCCTTCGGAGGCTTGGGTATTGCTGGCGATGTGGCTTCACCAGATTTCCGAACAAGAAACGTATTCACTCGTCGTTCACCACCATCAGGATCTATTGAGGATTGGACTCTAATCGGTACTTAGGAGCACACATCTAGGCCCTCACCGCCATTCCTACCCGCCAGTTTCGCGGATCTCCCTTTCACACAATGAACCCGCAAGGCCAGCCCATGGGCCCTCCGCAGGGAATGTCCCAAGGACCGCCGCAGCCCGGGCAACAGCCCACGCCCGAGCAAATAGCGATGATGCAGCGCCAGCTCGCCGCCGAGGCAGAAAAAAACGGAATGACGGTCCCCGAATACATCAACAAACTCAAACAACAAGCGATGCAGCAACACCAAGCCCAGATGCGCGCGCAACAGCAACAACAGCAAGGCCAGCAGCAGCAACCCATTCAGCCGGGGCCCCCGAAGCCAGAAGCCCTCGCTGTCGCCAACTTCTTGAAGTCGCAGGAGCTGAAGCCGCGGACGGTCATTCACGATGAGAAGCGCAAGGAGATGTTTAGAGGTGGGACACCATTCTTCAAAGGGATATATAGAACCACGGACTGACAATAGGATAGTCAAGCGAGCCATCCGCGCCCTGATGTCCCCCGCGTACCAGAAAGCACGCTCCAGGAACTCCATCCTTCCCGAAGTCCATGACCGCCCCTCCGCCGAGAATACCTTCAAGCTGCTCCCGCTCTCCCTCCTCGCCCTCCGCGTCTCCAAAGTAGACCCCGAGCAAGGCCACGAAGGCCACAACCATGCGAAGCCGAAGCGCGTCAAGGGTCTTTGGACCGTCCGAATCGAGCAGCACCAGGAAGCCAACGACGATTGCTACTACATCTGGCTATACGAGGGCTCACAGTGGAAGCAGAAGCTGTATGCGGTCGGCGCACTGGTAGCGGTCATTGCAGTGGTTCTGTTCCCGCTGTGGCCGCTGTTCCTGAGGCAGGGTGTGTGGTACCTTAGCATGGGCATGCTAGGGCTCATTGGGTTGTTCTTCGCCATGGCTATCTTCCGGTTGATCCTCTTCATTATCACCATGTTCGCAGCCCCGCCCGGGTTGTGGCTGTATCCGAATCTCTTCGAGGACGTTGGCTTCTTCGACTCCTTCCGGCCAGTATGGGCATGGCAAGAGGTCTGTTTCCCCCTTCATCTCCTTATTTCTTCCCCTGGTTTCCACCAAGTTTCCTGTGGTACTAACGTTTTCCCAGACAGCGGAAGATATCAAAAACAAGAAGCGCGCAAAGAAAGAAAAGAAGGCAGCCAAAGCGGCAGCAAAAGCAGCTGCCAACGGCAAACCCGCGAAAACCAAGAAGGGCGGCGTATCTCCCACTCCCGAGCCTGCGACTCCAGCCACAAACGTCGATTCAGCTCCGAAGCCAACAGGATCCGAAGCCGCATCATCGTCCGGCGCCGTTACACACCGCCCGCAGCGCGCTACAGTGGAGGAGGCAGATGACGACGAGTAGGTGCCGAAGTGGTGTGTAGTATATTTTCTCCATTTCCAGCGGTCTTCCCTCATTCTTGGCGGCATTCGTTGGCAGGCGTTTCGGCGAATATCGGAAGGGATATGCGCGGTGTAGGGAAAAAGGCCAAGCCGGGGCGATATGAGACTGGGGTGATTTGAGACTCTTCCGTCATTATACTTTCGTGTGCATACATTAATTCTCAACGGACCTCCCCGACATGCACGCCGTTGCTTCTGCCTCGCCGACCATATCCTCAACTATTCTTTTGCATTTGCTTCGAAAGAAAGCAATTTGCTTGTAGGGTACCGAGAAAGACCTTCAAGCCACCACAAATCCGCGGACAAAGTATCGGACGCTTTGCTCTACCGTGGACGCCGAGCCCGCAAAAAACACCTCGCAAGCGTCGAAAGGAACACAACCGTGACTAGAGTAGTCCGAAGTAAACGCCACGCGGGCAGCCTCCGTGTCCATAATCATATTTCAAACGCCAGTTCCGAATTCTCCATAAACTGCCTTTCCTATGCATAAACGCCTGTTGCTTGAAGAACTCGCATGTATGCCTTAAACGCCTTGACCGAATGCTGTTGAAGAGAGAACGAATGGGCCCTAGTTAGGGTTTCCGGAGCTTGAAGCCTCCGGGTGCTGATTGTGATGCTCGAAGTGGGCTAGGGTGCCACGGCGGCTGATGGGTGGGCTGGTGTGCAGGTTTGATGCCATGATCGGGGAGTGGGTGATTGGGCTGTTGGGATTGAGCTCTGACAGCTGCCTCTCTGTTTTCCGTCAGCATAGGGCAGGATAGTACATCCTAGGGGAAGTGCTTACCCAGCTCACGTATTCTCAGCTTAAGCATCTGGTTCTCCCGCGTCAACATCTGGGTCTCTGCTTGGTAGAACGCGCTCTCGTCGCGGGCTGGCACCGCAGATCCAGGGAGGAGCTCGTTGCTCTCGTGCGGTGTGAGCCCATGACCTGACGAGGGTCGAAGGGCGGGAGAGCCCGTGTGGCTACTGCCCCGAGAGCGGTCTGCCATGGAGGAGTGACGGCTGAGGCTGCCGTGGTTCAAGGCGTACGGCGAGCGCGAGCGTGGATGAGGGGCGCTGGGGATTGGAGAGACAATAGTTTGAGAAGGCTGGTTGGGCTGGGCTAGTGACATGGAGCGCTCCGATGTCGGTGTACTGTCGTCAACGGCGGAAGCAGAGGGTTGGTGGTTGTTCTGCAGTTGCTGGATCTGGGCCTGCTGCTGACGTATCATGTTGAGCAGTCTGTTCTGCAGGGCGGTTAGTCATTGTCAGTCCACAACGCGTAACGTCATGCAGATGCTGTGCATACCACTTGACCCTCCTGTTCGTATTCCAGCTCCTGGTGCAATTCACCCAGGCTGGGTGTACGCTCGTGATGGGGAGAGTGGGGCCACGGGCCTCGAGTGCGTGCTGAGGGACTTTGCAGCTCGCCCGGTGCTGGTAGGCTTGGGTCGTTGATGGTGAGGTTCATGCGTATGCTTGATCTCCTTCGCACGCGCTCGACGTCCCTGCGCATACCGCCGGCGGACGTCCTTCGATCCTCGTTCTGCAGGCCGGCGTTCAAAGTAGCGGCGGCCGCTAGCGAGTGCGGGGGTGTGTGCGAAGCTGGAGGCGACTGCGACATGGTGCGCGTCTGGTCGTTGACGGACACGCGCGTCTGGAGGGGTGTAGTCGAAGGTGAGGGGGACGGAGGAAGCGAATTCAGGTCTGGCGGCATTGGTGGGAGCGGCCTCAACGGCGTAGATAAAGGGACGGGGCAAGATAAAGAACGCAGGCGGCGCCCGGGCGGTTGCACAGGCGATGCTGCGGAGAGTGTGACCTGGAGAAGAGCCAAAAGTCTCGTGTCGTTGCGTTGCGGTGGAGAGACAGCGCCGCTTAGAGGCGGGCGCGGCGGGGTATGGCGGTGCGGGATCAAAGAAGGCCCGTGGCGCGCCCAGAGCGTTGCCCTACGGTGCAGGAACAGCAAACGACGTCGACGCGCCAATAATCGCACCTCTACGGCGCCTCGCTCCTCTCTTGTTTACTCTCGCGTAGTCCACCTGTATCTTTGCCCTCCGCGCGTTGAAGCGTGTTTTGGGGAGGTGCCCCGCGGCGGTGGCCGATGCCCTCTCGAGCACAGTGCATGGTGCGAGAGCAGTGTGATCCCCCAGGTGCCGTGTGAACGGCTCGCAGTCCGTGCAGACGCACATTGGGATGTGCCTTCACCCTCGGTCGGCGCCCAAGGCTGCAGCGCGCGACGCGTGAACAGTCCTTTGCCGTGTCTGTCGGCAGTCCATATGGCATTGCTACCCATGGCGTGGCTGCGGTGCGCAGACCCCGCGCGCAGAGCTCGCTCTGTTACACTGCGAGTGCAGACCGCATGGCCGTTGACGGACCACCGCGCGGGCTGTGGAATGGAAAGCCGACGACCATGGCGCGGACGCGTTCGCAGCTGATATGCAGCCCTCCGGCGTGCCCCTTGCAATCACAGTGCGCCGGAGAGTCGTTCCTGCCGAAGATCACATCGCTTGATGCCTCATTTGGCCGCCTGCCTCCGCTCATTAGAGACATCCTCACCACCGACCTCGAGCAGGATCAGCCACGATTACTCGCACCACAGCGCCCGACTCAGCCAGGAATCCGCCCTCTCCATCGAGCCTCCTCGGCAACCAAGAGCGCGCTCTCGACGCCGCGGCGCCCGCTCAGATGCAGCGAAGAAGCCTGCTGCGCGCCGCCGGCTCTGCGAGAGGCCGCCGTTGCGGTCGTCAGACACGGCCAAAACCGCCACGGGCGATAGTCTGATAGCCCCCCGCCGCTCGGCGATTTCGCGAGCAATCAATCGGTCCTAGTGTGACAGGGGCGCGCCGCCATCACCTCTTTAGCCACCTTGGCCTCAGAATAGGGGCCGCCCCCGTGTCCGAGCACTCCCAAATCACACGGGCGGAAGACTGGGAACCTCCCCTGCGGATAGCCCATGATTAGGGCTCATCCCGAGGGGGGCATCCAACGCTCGCTCGCGTCACCCATCCTCCAGTCGTCGTTTCTCCACGCGTTTCAGTCTCTTCTCCTTCTTTCTCCCTACGCGCATATCTGCAGCGGAACCCCTTCTTTGCGGACTCATGTCCAGTACGCTCGTTTGATATTGGTTTCTCCTTCCTGCTACAGCCCCGCCGGCTACCACGCTCCTTCAAAGTCTGCTTTGCAAATTCTCCATTGCCTCTACTGCTCCATTGGGACCCGGGCGTAACACAATCTGCCGCCGCACTGCTGCTAAAGCGCCCGTAACCAACAGTCACTCCCTTCTGTTCCCTCGCACCAACCCATTGCCCGGCTATAGGAGCCTCTAATTCCTTGTCAACACGATCCTTAGGCTTCGTCGTAATCTAACAATTTGCGGCACTTTCGACAAGCGATCCTAGAATTACCTTCACCTGACCTATTGCACACGTCCCGCCTTCTGCGTATTGCGCCCAATCTATCTATCCATCATCACCGGCTCTCGTTGCATAGGACACGTTCATGTATTGATCATCGACGCCACCCATATACGGCTATAGACGCCATGGCTCCCGACGACAAATCCAGGCTGAATCCAGGCCACAGCCTCCGCAACCTCGTTCATGACAACTCTTCAACATCTCGCTGGCGGCGCAACCGGTCCAGCGCCAACCTCCTCGAACAGGTCGCCCAGTCAGCGCCCGCTCCCGCTCCCGCGAACCCCGCAACTAGCAAACCCGCACCGAAACTCGAGCGCACCGCCTCCAAGATGTCACTCTTCAACCTCTTCAGCAAGCCAAAAGTGGAAAAGGCGAGAGGACATACCGAGGTGGGCCTAGCAATTCCAATGCAGCCACAGCAACCTCCGAAGCGGCCAGTATCGCCTCCCAAGTCATCCCTACGCCACAATCCTCCCCCGCCGATTCAGCAAGTTCAACGAATGCGATCCAGCCAGATGCTGCGACCTATGTCCATCAAACCGTCAAATGTGAAGAGACCTCCGGCCAACGAGCACTGGGAGCCACCTCCGCTATTCCAAGCCTATCCACAGTCGATCAAATATGCAACCGTGCAAGCATGCGTGTTCTCTCCAGACGTATTGCTAAGGACACAAAGCCAGAGGCGGCAGGCTGAGATGCTCCGAGAAAGAATGGACAGCCATCGCGATCTAGCTGCGACACTGGAGAATGCATCAGAGCACAAAAAACTGGAAAAGAACCATCGGCGCCTGAATTCCGTTCTGCACTCAACCCCGCAGCTGACCAACAAAGTATACGTGCTAGTTACTTCTGGATATGTGCTGCAGTATGCTGGCGACGGTCCGTTTGATCGGCTTCCGGAGAAGGTTCTCAAGCTCGGAAAAGAATCTGCAGCATTTGCTTGCGACTTGATTCCTGGCAAACACTGGGTGTTGCAAATTTCACAGAGCGCCAAGGAAGATGGTACTGTTTCCGTCGGACCAAAGAACTCCCTCCTCTCTAGGCTACGGCTGCAGGGGAATAGCGCGAGGAGGCAGGCGACCAGCTTTCTTCTTGTGCTGGAAAGCGCGGAAGAGATGGAGACATGGATGACGGCAGTGCGAAGGGAGATTGAGCATCTTGGAGGAATGAAGGCAAGCGACGAATCGATAAGGACGTCATCTTCTATCGACGAGCCACAGGAGAAGAAAACACCAGAGCAACCTATTCATCGATACCTCGTTCAGCGCGACCCGAACCGCATAAGTAAAATGACGCCGATCGACTCCCCCCTTCAGTCTCAATATTCAGATTCACCCAAAATTGTCGCCTCAGACTGGGAAGGGGACCGGAGCGAAAAGACAATAAGCATTGCAGATACTACGAGCTTGCACTCCGCAAGGCACAGCACGAAACGCAGATCCGTCGAAGTATCTTCTATTGCAACGACTGCGATTTCTCACGAGCAAATTCAGTTGGACCAGCTCCGAGAGCGTTCGCGCTTCTCGTACGTATCCACAGCAACATCAGTATCCGGTCCCGGGACTAGGAATACGTCGCGGACGTCGTCACCAGCCCCAACCTCGCCACTCAAGGAAGGTTTCTCCCCTGCAGATGCAGAGCCGCTCCGAAGCGCAACGTCCCTCAGGTCGTTTCACATGAACCCGGGCAACACCACGACTCGTCGAAGATCCATGCAACCCCTCCCCATCACCAATGAGGACAGCGCTCTATCCGCCGGCACACCATCAACACCACAACGTCACTCTATTTACGGGCCGACATCCCCTACCCTCCGAGAACCGGGGAAACTGGAACTGAATTTGAAAGTCTCAACGTATACATCAGCATCCGTCGACCCCCACCCTGCTAATAATGTACGACTTAGCACTGATGTTCAACCCCAAATTCAAACCCCACTTCCGGCAAGGTACAGCACGAGAAGCTCAAGCGCTCCGCCTTCAAGGAGAGACACAATTTCGCCGCCACCGCGGGATCCAGCTCCTTATCCCCCTGGTCGACCCCAGTCTACCATTGGAAGTCTTCCCACCGCTGCAGCCCTATCGAGCCGCGCGGAGCGCCGCATATCAGCGACACCAAAACCTTTCCTGCGACCTTTCCCAGTGCGACCGCAGACACAGAATGCTGACGGATCCCTTGTCGTTCCACGACGCCAGTCTTCCCTTATGCCTGCGGGACCCACGCCTCTCCCTCTCAATATTGTCGTCAATCGCTCCGTGACCGCCCCCACTAGGCCTCCCTCTGCTGCGGCAAACATGCTCCCCCAATCTCAGCCTACGAACACGTTCCAAAGTAGCAACTCCTCATCCCAGCAGCTGCGTCGTCCGACGTCAGTCCAGATCCGCTCTGACCATGCCCCTTTCCTCTCATCGTCTCGACCCGTTCGCTATTCCAGCACGCCGTCTTTCGTCCCTGGCAAGAGGGCGTCGGTAGTGCCTACCTCGAACTTGCGGCAGAGCCCGAGCATGACTGCTCTGAGCCAGCACCCGCAACAAACCTCCCCTCCAAAGGGCGTGGGTCCACGACGAAGTATGCCGGTCATTGGACTTCCTCCGCCCGCTCCTCCACCAGACATGCCCCTACCGCCTCCACCTCCGGTTGCTCCACCAAGAGCTGTCGCGGTGTGATTCAAAACTCACTCTCTCTACACTGTTTCCTTTTGCTCTACTCATCACTAAAAGTGCAGCTCACGGCGTTAGGTTTAAGGTTAAGAAGGGATATCCAGAATCGGTATCAGTGGGTTGTCATGTGTTAACGTCTCTGTCTGCTTTCCATCATTTTTTTGCCATTTTCCTATGATACCTGGCCTCGTTTAGAGGCTTCTGTCGTTGTCGATATCCCCCGCTTTCTTTTCTTTCACTGTACTACTATTATTATCTTGACGTTCTTATGCTGTCTATGGACAACGGCCGATATTACCGCGCAGAGTTTGGAGCTTACCAGTATTTTTCCTTTCGTCGCTGAGCTGGGCTGCGCTATTGTGACTCAGAGCACGGTTTCGATCACTGTGCTTGGGGTATACTTCCGATTCCGCCTCCTCAGCGGTGATCATATCATCCGCGATTTCGGTGTCTCGGTTGGGTTGGGCTAGGTGGGGTAAGGGTCTCGTGATGAGGGAATGCGCACACACGCGCGGACGCATGCGCAATCAATCAATCACTGTATAAGATAGGGCTATAGTATATAGTTATTAAGTATGATAAGATCAAGTGTTAAGTGCATGGGGACGTTCGCTTTGCGCTACTTTTTTCCCTGCTAGATGAGCGCTCTATTACCGTGCAGTACGCCAACTTCATGCGCACAACGTTCCCAACGAAATGCGTCTACCATTCTCATGCGACATGGTTCGAATACCAAAGCAAGGAAGAAAAGTGGGCTGCGAGCATTTTTGGTGCAAGGAGGGTAAATGCATGAACATAGAAAACTTCCTAAGCACGCTGACGTGCCTTGTGACCGCTGAAGCTCGTGTATACGAGAGCAGGAGCTCAGAGCCCGTTGGTTATCCGGTTGTTCTTGCGACGGTGTACGGTTTATATTAACTTCGGCCGTTGTTATAGAAGCGCCTGATTAGCTTCCGGAGTTGACGTACAGCCGTTGGACTAAGCTTTTGCTGGGCTGGCGGAAGGTTTGCGCCAGCGCGACGCCGGCGCGAGCGGGTGTTTTTCGAGGTGTCCGCTCTTGCGGTAGGGAATTCTCCGGATCTAAGGACTCGCCGGACAAGTAAGTAAGATTGGCTCGTCCATTGTACGCACCCGCGAAGGCCTCTAGGGTAGCTGTTGCGCACGTCGTTCTATCGATTGTGATGCTCTTTTGTGTGGAGTGAATAGATCGTTCTGCTTTGATTGGTGGATGCACCAATACGGAAAGAGATTAGTGCAATCGAAACACCTCCATCCCGTCACGACTTCGCACCCTCATCCCACTTGTCATCAACATCATACCTCCGATCATACATAGGTAAACATCGATATCCTCACACACATCATGCCCCCGCGCAAGAAACCGCCAACAGCCCCTCGCAAATCTAAACCGGCATCAGCAAACCCAGCTCCCATTTCGAAGCCAACAACACCCCATCTCACAGTAATACCTCCCGCGCGTATACACGCGTCTTCCTATCACTGGCCTCTGCTGCTTGGTAATGCAGGGAGCTCGAAAGCATTGCTGCAATGGTTTGAAGGCGTCGAAGAGGAGAGGAGTATGCCGTGGCGCAAGAAGTGGATTGATCCTGGGAAGTTTGAGGGGAGCGAGGAAGAGTTGAGGAAGGCGGTAGCGAGGAGAGCGTATGAGGTTTGGGTTTCTGAAGTCAGTGAGTACCACATCTTCTCAATTGTTCGGTCCACAAAGTGGATTGGTGCTTTCGCCATCTAGACCACGGAAACGCGCCATCACGTGCAACCCACGCTAACTCTTCTTCAGTGCTTCAGCAAACCCGCGTCTCCACCGTGATTCCCTACTTCAAGGCCTGGATCTCCAAATGGCCAACTATCCAGGACCTCGCGAAAGCCAATCATGATCAGATCCTCGCTGTCTGGAAGGGCCTAGGTTATTACTCCCGTGCAACGCGTCTTCATCAAGGCGCTCAGGCTATGGTTTCCCAGAACTCCGGAGCTTGTACTATCCCGTGCAAGATCGAAGAGCTTCAGGAGTTTCCCGGTATTGGGCGATATACTGCGGGCGCGATCTCTAGTATCGCATTCGGAGAGCCTGAGCCCGTGCTTGATGGCAATGTGGCCAGGGTGCTGAGCAGACAACTCGGGCTGTATGTTAATGTCAAGGATAAGAAGGCGAATGACCTACTGTGGGAAGTAGCTGACCAGTTGGTCAAGCATGTTTCTGGATTTCCAGAAACGCAGCGAGGTGCGGTACCCGGAAATTGGAACCAGGCAATGATGGAGCTTGGTTCGACCATATGTACGCCCCGGCCGAAGTGCGGAGAATGCCCGGTTCAGAAGACATGCAGGGCATATGCAGAGGGCCAGGCTCTTGCGGAGAAGAAAGATGTTACTACCGGGATACCCGACATCGAAGATGCTTGCTCGCTCTGCGAGCAGTTGGATACAGAAGAGTTGGTAACCGCCCCCAAAGAGCCCGAAGGACTCGTCGAAGCTGAGGGAACCGCAAAGAAGAGGAAGCGGGGAGCGAAGCCTACGAACACGATATCACATTACTTCGGAGTCATTACGCCAAGTGGTGACCTCAAAGCCGACACCGAAAACGATGAAACTGCCGATGAAGAAACACACAACGGGGCCGGAAAGAGGAAAGCTCCCGCGGTTGCATCACCAGATGATAGGTCGATAAGCGCCTATTGCTCGCTCTTCCCCAAAAAGGTCGCCAAAAAGAAGGCTGCTGAAGAGGAGTGCGTTGTGTGTATCATCGAGCTCCGAGTGCGTGGAGAGAACAGCAAGTGGCTCATTGAACAGAGACCAGCCAAAGGTGAGTGTCTCGTCAATACTACCCGAAGTTTGAGACTAAATCGAAGCCGCAGGACTACTCGCATCGCTGTGGCAATTTCCAGAAGGCCCTCTTCCGACGTCGAAGAACTCAGCCATTCATCGGAAGACCTCGGCGAAGAAATTCATATCAGGTTTGGAAGCGGGACACATTGATATGGGCATGGCGAAACATGTCGCCGAGCTTGATTCGCTAGTCCACGTCTTCACTCACCTCAGGCTGACCATGCATGTGCATTTATTTCGGATCGTAGCGGATAAGGCTGAAGCGTCCGACTGTGCGATCGCAGGTCCGCCAGCGCGCAGGTGGATCGATACCGACGCCATGGACAACCAAACCCTCTCAACCGGCATGCGCAAATGCTGGGACCTTCTCCAAAAAGCACGCTGAACGACCTCTCCAACACCACGCCTACGGGTACGTATCCCCACGAACGACGTAAGCGGCCGTCGTTATCTCTCGCCAAGTACGCTGCCAACTTGGCTTCCGCCCCGCCATCTTGGCATATCCTTAGAACGTGCCCACTCCGCCCCAGAATCGCGGGAAGCCGAGAGATAACGAGCTTGGACTTTCTGCACGCTTTGCCGGAACCGTGAAAAGTATCCTGTCGACATCACACCGAGGACACGCGTGCTGGGATCAATTGGCTGCGTTACGAGCTCTCCTATCTGTTGTACCATGTTCGACCGAGGGCCCGGGTCGACGCGTGGGAACCTTGAAGGCGACGGGATATAACTGCGCGTCAGGTTGCCATGTGCGCGGATTCCTGGAAGTTTCGCGATCAACGAAAGACGCGTTTGTTCTATCGAGTTTGTGGCTTCTGAGACGACACGAAGATGGCGGAAGTTCCTGCTCCTACTCCCATCACCGAATGGCCGGACTACAGCATTACGCCTACCGGCGGCGACGTGTTTACGCAGGATCTGAATGCGCCGTACGACAAGGGTGACTTGTGTTGGATGCTGGTGTCCACGGTTCTCTGCTGGTGAGTCCCTGATCGACAGGTCTACATGATCATCACTAACAAAACATAGGCAAATCACTCCGGTATGAAAGCTGCCAACGTCGTTTATCAGCTCCTAAACCTAACTTTGAAACCAAGGCCATCGGCTTCCTTTACGCCGGAATGCATAGGAGAAAGGCTGCGTTGACTATGATCTTCCAATCCCTCTTCTGTGCTTGCGCTGTGGGAATACAATTTTGGGTCTATGGGTAAGCCTCAGCAGACCGGAAATTTCCTGGAAAACGCACTCTAAATCGCGCCCCAGATACTCTCTATATCAATCACACACGACCGGTCCCTTCCTTGGAGACCTCTCCCTAGCCGGTCTCCACAACGTCCTAGCCTATCCATCCCTCGCCAACACCGACATCCCAGACATCCTCTATGCAGCGTTTGGCTTCACATTTGTAACATGCACGGCTATGATCTTAGCAGGCGCAATGCTGGAGCGCGGGCGCTTGTGGCCCTCCATGCTTTTCCTGCTCTGTTGGACGACCTTCGTCTATTACGTCCTCGCATACTTTGAATGGAACCCCAACGGCTGGCTCTACAAGCTCGGCGTGTACGATTTTGCCGGCTCGGGACCTGTGCATATTGCTTCGGGCTTTTCGGCGCTGGCTTGGGCGATTATGCTGGGCCATCGCAAGGACCCACATAACGAGTCTCTGCACCACAAGGTGCCGCATTTCAAGCCGCACAACCCATTCCTCGCCGGCCTGGGTACAGTCTTGATCTGGTTCGGATGGTACGCGTTCAACGGTACGCCTCCTCTTCCCCCCTCCCGCTCAGTCGTAGTCTGCTAACACCAGTCTAGGCGCCTCCACGGCCAACCTCTCCATCCGCTCCATCTACGTCGTCGTCAACACGAACCTCGCCGCCTGCGGCGGCGGCATCTCCTGGGTCCTGCTCGAGTATCTCTTCAGCAAGAAGTTCAGCATCATCGGCTTCTGCTCCGGCATCATCAGCGGGCTGGTCGGCATCACGCCCGCGGCGGGCTTCGTGCCCGTCTACGTGGCCAGCCTCATCGGCGCCCTGACCTCCATGTGCTCCTTCTTCACCGTCAAGTACAAGCACCACATCGGCGCCGACGACGGGCTCGACATCTTCGCCATCCACGGCGTCGGCGGCTTCGTCGGCGACATCATGACGGGCTTCTTCGCCGCAAAATTCGTCCCCGCCCTCGACGGCATCCTCAACACCTACGAGGGCGGCTGGTGGAACCACAACTGGAAGCAGATGGGCTACCAGCTCGCCGCGGCATGCACGTGCGCGCTGTGGAGCTTCGTCATCAGCATCATCTTGCTGTTTGTTATCAATAAGATCCCGGGCTTGCATATCAGGGCGAGCGAGGAGGATGAGCTCCGCGGACTGGATTGCAAGTATCTGCATGAAGCGGATCCCGATGGCGAGATGATGGTGCTGAGTGGGTTTGGCGCCGCGACGCCTGGCATGAGCAGGAGTCCGGTCGTGAGTGGACCCGCTAGCAGTCATGAGGTGCCTGTTGTGCCGGAGAAGCGTGATTGAAGAAGCTATTCGAGATGTAGGATTTTCGCTTGGCGGCTTTGTTGGGGTTAGAGTTCTATTCCGGGGGGAGATTTGTTTGGTTGCGAGGGCTCTTTTTTTGGCGGGTGGGCGAGGCTGGCAATAGGGTAGAGTAGGAAGCGGCCTGGGCTATTGTATATTTTTATCCTTGAACATGCCTTTGTGTTGAAGATTTCGAAGCCATGATTACTCGTCCTCCGCTTTACTCCCATTTAGCAATCAGCATCCGAGAGTGTGGGCCAAAGGGAGCGGTATATGAGTCTTCCCCCCTAAAGAAGAGAGAACTAATAGACAGTTACAGGTATCCTGCTGTTCAAGTAGCTAATACAGTCAACCCCCTGGCTCGGCATTCTAGCCTAGTGTGGCTTTCCAGGCTGGTAGTCCCAACGTTTGGTCTTTTACGAGAGACTTGCTACACCACGCTAGAATGCCGAGCCAGGGGGTTGACTGTATGGGAAGGCGGGCAAGCCTGCTTTTCCTTTCACAGGTCTGTGCGGTTTCCAAATCTACGCAGAAGCTATAGAACCCCAGTAATCATTGAGAAACTACCCATTCCACCAATCACTACCTCCCGCCGTACCTCGTGGTAGACTACCGTACATCCCTCTTGCCTATGACGTTTAGTATGTAGCCTCTTGTTTAGGTTGGATCTGCCTACTAATGTCGAAAGTTGCTTGTGCAGCGCTGTGCTGTCCCAGCGGATACGAACTCTCTTCGCTGAACGTTATGATAGCTAGAGACGCTGTGGGCGTTGCTCTATAGCGTAACTTCTTTCTCCCCGGGCTCAGCGCTGTCCGTTTTGCACGCGTAGAGGGGTGCATTTAGACGAAGCATAGGCGGCGCACGCTAGCGTATTAGGCATAGCAGTGTGTGGGCATGATGCGCATCTTTCCAGAAGCGCGTGGGTCTTGCTTCGTGCTGTGCTAGGGGTCTCCTCGGCCGTCTGCCCTGCGGCAGAGCATTCGGCGACAGCGTGTTTCCATTCCAGGGCTTCAATCAGACTACTCGCTTCCTAACGAGACGGTTCTAAGTCTAAACCTCGGCCAAGCAATACTGAAAGCAGGCCTGGCAGAACGTCTCAGACGCCAGCTTTTCAGCTTGGAAGTGCGCTCGTATAGCCAAAGCCGTCTCCTGTGCCGACGGGCGAGATTCCGGACGCGCATCCAGCATGGGCTTGAGGAACGCAGCGTACATCTTCGCGCCCCACGCAGGCATGTGTTCGTCATCGGTAAACCAAGCCTCCACCTGGTCGAGGCTCTCATGGTACGGCATCCTCCGGTACTCCACGCTACCGCGGAAGGAGTCATAGCAGCCAAGGGACCTTCCACACAACACCGAAACCATCTCCGTAAAAACGCAGCCCAGCGAGAATATGTCAGCGGACTCGTTCCTTCTCTCCTGGGCGATGACTTCGGGCGCGCTGTAAGTCTTCGTGTGTCCGTATGCTGGACCGTCGGTGGACATGCCGGTTTCCAAGCAGAGCTTGCTTGATCCGAAATCTGAGAACAGGACCAGGCCGTTGTTGACCAGAATGTTTTTTGGTTTGATGTCGCGGTGTTTGATGCCATGATCGTGTATGAAGGCCAGCGTGACTGTTAGACAGCCGAGCCACTTCTCAATCAGGGGAGATAGCTCGAGAGGGCGTGATTGTTGTGAAAGGAATTGGTCCAAATCTCCGGACGCCAAAGGCTCCATGACAATCGCAAAGCAATCCCCCTCCTCGAACGTACAGTATACTTGGACGACATGGGGATGACAAAGGCGCTTCAAGATGCCAACCTCCTCCTTGGTCTGTCTCCTCTTTTGACTAGCGTATGTACCCTTCAGAGAGGTCATTTTCTGTGCATACTCAACCCCTTTCAGACGAACTCTTTGCACCCATCCATAGTTGCCATGTCCCAAATTAGCGCGGAATTCGAATGGCGAACCTTTGATCTCTGGTAAATTGTGCCATTCGAAATGCGTCAAGTTGTGCTTTGCGAGGTGCGTTCTAAAAGCAGAGATCAAAGAGTGGCGCTCTTCTTCATAGCTTTCCAGGAGCATATCCGACTCGTAGAAGACGCTTTGGCTCAATTCCTGGACCTTTGGGTCGTTTGCTCCCCGTGTGGAACCCCTAGAGAGGTAAATTGCACGATCCATTTTGCATTGCAGCATCATGGTGTTGTTTATCCGAATGGGACCTGGTTCTTGCATAAGGAATTTGAGGCGAGTAGCGGCCTCAATGTGGCTTCCAAGTTTCGATTCGCATGCTGCCATTGCTCTCTTGAACCGAACTATCCGCTTAGCGACACTTTCAAGGCGGGTCGGTCTCATCCGTAGTATGTTTGCGTGTTCGAGATGGTGTTCAATGAGACTTTCGGCAAACCTAAAGTCGCTGTTCTCCAGAGATCCGAGTATGTCCGCTACGGTCCATAGTTCCATATGTTCATAGGCAAGGGAACGTAGGAGCCTATAAGTGGAACATCCCCTGAATATCCGCAGGATGTCGCGTTGCTCTTGTGAAAGCCCACAGCGCTTCACCATAGAGTATGTCTCTTCTGTACTTCTGTGATGAGGGCCTAGTCTGTAGTATCGTCCAATGTAGCATTCCGTGAAAAGGGCAGCGGCATCTGCGTGTCTATCCCAATTCCAGAGAGCCGTTGCATAAGCGTGCAGCACGCATAATGTCTTTAGGTGCCAATTTCCTAGGTTCAAGGCGCAAAGTATCAAGGCTCGACAGAACTCTGTTTCGGCCCTTTCCCTGTCCTGAAGCCCCGTAGAGGTGATAGCCCAACACAAGGCGAGATTCGCGGATATCGAGCCGTCCTTGCGGTAGTAAAATTTAGCCGTGTCAATATATGTAAGTGCTTCCTCGAATCGCTCTTTCTGGCACAATACAAGGCTGAGAGTTTCCATGTCGTCCACAATAGATACCGCTGCGACTGCCTCCGACATGCTAGATCTGTTGCCCTCGGACGTAGAGGACTCCGCATCGTCCGTTCCTCTCCGCTCATTCATGCCCAACGATTGTATATTATCGCATATTTGTTCCGCGAGGTCGGGGTTGTGCCGAGTTTCGGCCAGGAACCGAGCGAAGTCGCGAAGGATCCGTGTGTGGGATGGGTGCCCTGTGGAGAGGAGGAATTGAGCCGTAGCGTAGCATTTCTGCGCTTCGGAGTACTGTCCCAAATGTTCATAAAGCCGCGCGAGGGTGTGCCAGTCTTTGAAGTCATCATCGTTAAGGCTACGTTCGTTCATGCTCGCGGTGACAGATTCCTGAGCGGCCCGAAGGTATCCGATAAAGTGTTCCGCCGACTGCAGATAATCCAAGCTCAAACATGGTCGCTCTGCAGCATTCACCGCATCTAAGGCAATTTGCCGCGCTCTTTCGCGCTCAATTGAGCGCTGGTCGTCTTGTGGGATCGGGATTTGGCTGGCGAGCCACCGTTGCGCGGAGTCGAACTGCGTCTTGATATTAGCGAGCATCGAAGCTCCAGTGATGATTAGGCGGGAACGAGTGACGGCATGGACAGCGGTAGTATGCTGGAACTAGGGAGTGTTCATCGTGAGCTGCTCAAGCCTCCTTGGTGCCTGAATTTAGGAGGGGATACAAGGCGATACAAGGCTGCCAAGAGGGTGGCTGGCTGAAAGATCTCCCCAACACGCGCTGAGCCTTCAGGCTCTTGAGCATCTATATCAGTATCCGCGCGAACTTATAGTGCCCCCCTTGGCCTACTCGTTCAATGTTCGAAAGACCCTCCTGCCTTCGTGGTTCCTAAGCGTTGCGTCCATTTCCAGTCTCGGGGGTAGAACTTGTCGATCGAGAAGCGCGGCTGGCTGGCCATAGGGCGCCGGTTTCGATTTACGTAGTCCATATCCGGGTTACTGGTCTTTGGTACACGCGAGGCCTTGCCCGGTCGCGGCGATGCTGAGGATTGGGCGATGCAGTATACTCGCATGATGCGAACGACCAAGGCGGGATGTTGAAATCTGACGGAGTCATACACTGTGATTACATAATGAATTTCTTACTCAGTCGTCCCAAATCTACGCATGCACCGTGCCATGCTGACGTTGCTTAGGTTCAGTGATGCCTACGGACAAGAAGCTCAAGATCTTAGGAGGCGTTTCCACCCTCTTCCCGGCCCGTCACATCGCGGCGCACGCGGTGTTTGTAGCTAAACTCCTCATCCGCCACGGCACTCATGGGCTTACATTCCGCGTGAAGGCTACATCTGCGCCGAAGCCGTATATATAGCGCTAAAAACTCTTGAGGTAGAAAAAAAAGTTAAATAGCTTAAGGAGGGCTAAAGCTGCGCTGGTGTTTTGCATAGCGGATAACGAGCAATTCCTTGATTAGATATTACATTCCGCGGTATCAGCCCCTTAGTACGATGCAGACACGCGAGAGCTTAGACATACATATACATATGAAGACTGATACAGTTGCGTGCCTTCCAAGAACGCCGCCTCTTCCCAGAGAGAGGAAGCCATGTACCTCCGATTTCTAGTCATTAAGCCAGATCTTATACATTAATCCTCTACTTGCCATCATATAATACTCCCGCAATGTACCTTCTTCTAACAACAATCCATCCCAGGACTAGAACCACAAGTCTCATCACACACCCCCTTCAACTAACTAGGCACGCCTTCATACTCCCAACCGCCAGCCATCCTCCTCCTCCGGCCCCTCTTATCCTCCCTGCGATTCGCCGCACACTTAACGAAAAACGTCAGCGCCGCGAGCACAAAGATAATAACCGCTGCTATAGTCGGCACCACCACGACGCGCGTCTGGTTCTTATCCGTCGGTGGTAGGTACGGACAGCTGCCGTTCACGCCCGTGGCCCAGCAATCGGCTACTTGGAGACTGTTTAGGTTGATGTAGACGGGGTCTGTGTGGGAGGAGGACGAGGAAAGAAGGGCGGAGAGTAGGTGTACGTTTTCGAGCGCGGTGTGCGGGACGCTGAATGTGAGGCCGCTCGGGCAGGCGGAGTCGTAGCCGCCGTCGTTGTAGGTCATGCTGGCGGAGGAGAGCTCCCAGCGGTAGGGAGCGGAGGTATCTTGGCAGGCGATGCGGTGGCGTTCGCCGCAGTCTGCTACCCGCCAACGGCCGGGATAGGGCGAGGTAGTGATGACTGCGCAACGATTCTTAGTGCTGCCATCGTCGGTTGAGGTCGCATTGAGGGGTTCGCCAGGCGCCCACGACCAGAGATGCGAGTTCACGAAGGCGGCGTAGGGGAGTGGGTTCTCGTCCGCGGTCGCGTTTGAGAGGGTGGCGTTGAGTAACGGGGAGAAACCGCAGGATGTCAGGTTGGCGATGGACGGAATGAGGGCTAGGAGATCGGGAGTGGCGCTGATAGTGGGGTTGGGTGCCGACGCTACGAAGACACGTTAGGCAATGTCTGATGTTTAAGGGGGCAAAGTGGAAGAGCAGCATGTAGGTCCGTTTTCAGACCATTAAACGCCTTAGAGAGCAGCTTCCCAAATCCAGACTAAGACATGCTGATATGTGTACTGCAATATACGTACCTATGGCCCAAGAAGAGTTTGTAGTCGCCGTTATGGATTCCTCGGAGGGGTTGAAAAGGCAGCCGGACGATATGCTGCCGTCTGTGCTAAATGTGACATCTTGAAAGGAGCTTAATGTACCTTGGCCAAAAATGGTATCGCCTTCAGTCGAAGTGTTATAGTCCTGCATCTGGGGATCAATGGTCCCAAAACCCAGAATCAGCCTATGCAACTCTTTGAACTCCATATATGCTTCTGTCGGCCATCCGTCGTTGGTAACTAGATCCCCCGAGGAGTCCTTTGGCGTCCCGAAATAACCTTTGGCTGGAAAGTTGGTCGACGGAACGTCGAACCATGAGTGGTTCAGATTCGCACGCTCGGTCTGCAGTTTCTGTGGCGTGTAGAGTTCGTCCGACAGATTGCCGTTGATGACATTGCTCAGACTTGCCCCACTGGGCAGTTGATTTGAGCTAGGCTGTTGTGCTGCATTGTTCGGCGCTGCCCATGATGCGGCTGCATGAATGTTGAGAATCAAGAACGTGATAGATGCATCCGTGGTGGTTGATGTAGCATCCAGGAAGGCTTCATGGATGGCTGTCAGGAGGTCCAAGGTTATCGTGGATGTGCAATTGTAGTCTCCGATCTGCAGTAATTGTTCTCCATTGGTCATGGGGAAGCTTATGACGGTAGCTGACGGCCCTGCGCTTGTTGTCGAGGAGGCTACCAATGAACTTGACGCCGTCGACGGCTCGTCCGTGGTCGAAGTGCCGGAGGGTTCCGGACTTGATGTTGACCCAGAGACAGATTCATCTTGCCGACGTCTCACTGTAGCGCCTCCAGCCTCCGGTAGCACCGTGGGAAGCAGTAATTCTCTTGCGGCACGAGCTACGCTCCCAGTCTCCGACGGATAAGAGGGAGTTATCCCTCCGGCAGTGGAGGTTTGTACATTCGCACCAGAAGGCGGTACCTCCACGGGGCACAGACTCCATTGCGAGCGTCCGGCATCCCAGTATACGTCGACGAGAAATCTTTCAAACCCAACCGCTAGCAGATTCGAGAAGCACTTCTGAAAAGCAGTGTCCTCATACTGCTTATTGCTGAAGCAGGCCGCGCTCAAGGATACCGCTGGCACGCTGTGATAGTTGATGGGTATGAGGAGGCCCACGTCTCTTTGTGTCTGTCATTGCAGTCAGCACTATGGCTCGAGAAAAGCAGTCTGGCCCCAACTCGTCTACTGGGTTGATGAGAAGATATCGCCTCCAAGCCTCCACACCTCTTCCACGCACGACGCAATACCTTGATTAGGTGTCGAGGATTGAAGCCAGGTAGACAGCGCAATCCGCATGACGCTACCTCATTGGCCCTTTCGTCCCAGAAACGGTCCGATGGCTGTTGCATCGGACGTGGAAAGCCATGTACCGTTGATGTGCGGGTAATCCTCAGACGGGGTAGCCCTCATCCCTCAGCAGGCTTCAGGGAAGTTGGCGACCGGGCAAAGAAGCCAACATGCCCATGATCCCGTAATGATGAGTGAGCCATCTGACGGTGGGGATAGGGTGTGATGGTGAGGCAGACTAAGCCTTGATATCCGGAATTTCCCCCTTGGGACAACCCTCCGAGAGCATCGACGGAGGGCACAGGTGAAACACGTGATATAAGCAACTTACCCTAAACGCCAGATTCCACGGCCTGGCACGGGTGTCCAACGCAGCCTGATCCGGGGCGTACGGCGGCTGTGACGACATCCCCACGCGCCCCACCAAACCCTTCAAATGCGCCTCGGCGGACCGTTAAAATACGAACATGGGAACAATACGAACGCGAGGCATATGCAACGAAACGAGAAGGAGGATCAGAAAAGCGGATGGCTATCCCGGCCGCGTCCGGCTGCAGTCGTGATGGGATGGTGATGGATGATGCGGCTCGGCATGTCGTTTGATCGACGCCAGCTCGGCGCAAGCTAATGCACGTGACCAACGGCATCGTCCAGGTAAGATGGGGGTTGGCATCCGGCTAAAGGCCATTGGACGAATCAGACCTATTTCGCATAGTCATGCCGCGCCGTTGATGTTTCAGTAAGAGCAGGATGTGGGCTATTTTGAGTCTCTCGCTGCAATGGCTTGCATAGGCCACGAGGTGCACCCCCGTCCAACCTCCCAACGAGGCTGCTTATATACATAAATCTGCGAGAAAACTGCCCTCAGTAGAAAAGATATGCTCACATCCCCCGCAAGACAGCGTAATACGAGGCTCTCTTGCTGCGCGAGGGGCGTCCATGGTGGGCACCCGACAACGTGTCTCTTCCATTTAGCCTGTAAGCGAGCGCGCACCCCTTCCCTGCCGGCTCCGTCCCAATCACCTCACCAAACAAACCCCTACCTCCGACCCCTACCCGTCCGATGCTCGCCCAACGAAACAGGAAGTTGGAAACACAGCGGTGGGTTCGCCAAATCCCACGGCAAGGGGTCGCCAACGGGCGTGCCGCTCTGTTGCGTTTTCGCTGCTTTTTGCCCAGACGTCCGTCCGGCCACGCGGTTTTCTAAACTTGGCCTGGATGGCGAACAGCTGCCGATTGCAACACGGAGCACGCTGCGCGCTCGCACACCGCACGCGCAACGTGCGAAATCTGTACCGGAGCTCCGTCTACGCAGCTCGCTTGCCCTTCCTGCTGGGTACGGGGTAGGGGGGAACGTGCGTATTACGAACGACGTGTGGCCGGTCGGTCGACCCTGCACTGCGCACTGCGCACTGCGCACAACGCATGTTCACGCCTGTCGGCGGAAAGAAAATTTTCCCTCTTGCGCCTACGTGCGTAGGCTTGAAGCCGCAAGCACAGGCCGAGGCGCGAATTGACCATGCGCGTGATCCCTACACACAGCAACCCTCAGCTCGCCCGTGAAACCTGCTCCAAAGAAATCGATATATCGACCGCTCGCAAGAGGGCTCCGACAAAGTAAACATCTAGATATCATAGTCAGCACCCACTAGCCTGCCGCCTTACCAACGGCCTCTATCCATGCACAAGCGTACACTATGCCCCTTTCCACCAACAGCCCCAAAACCCTAACGCCCCAGCCCAGTACAGTAGTAGGTAGTGAGAGCCACCGCTAACTAACAAACCAACCAACCAACTAATCAACCCTTTCTTTCCCACGCGCGCGCCCTCAACCGAGAGGCCAAGGTAGGCCCAAAAAAAATAATCCACGTTAAGCAAAGCACCACGGCTCGATCCTTCCGCACCCTCCTCCCAACGCCCCCGATCTGCCTCGCTTGGGGGCCATGCATGCATAGCATTTACTAATACCGTACATAACGACGATGCCCTCCGCAACGAATCGCGCAGAGCGTCGTCCCTTCAGGGCAATTCGCTGCTAGTTTTATAGTGCGAATACGAGGCCTGCGATACTGTAACAGGCCTGTAGCACGCATGCATGGCATGGGTTCGTGGGAAATACGACGGCGGTGCGTGCTGCATGCGAGGATGCGGCGCAACGGATGAGGCCCAGCTGCCCACACGTGGCACGTAGCCGCCCACCACGTTTTTGGCGGCCGGGGAATCGTTCTCCGCGATGCGAGTCCGAGGCGCCGCGAGATTCGAAGCGATGCGATTCGAAGCGAGACAGGACCGACAAGAGCTGACTGGACTGGACTGGACTGGGCTCTTTTGTGCGGCGACATCTCGGGGCAGCGTTTCGGCGTGGCCGTGAGGGTTGCGTGTATCCACATGTGCAGCTTGCTCAGCGCAGCCAGGCGCTTCACGACGGGGCGCGAAGGAGGTGTGCAGAGCGAAGCGCCAGAACATTTTCTGGGTCGTCCCTGAAGTCTGCATATGGACATATGCGAATTGCGCCTTTAGACTTTGCGAGCTTCGCAATAGCCGTGTGTCATGCATTTCTGTTTCGACGGCGCGACGCGCAGAACCGCAGTTCAGCCTCCCTTGCCCACAACACCGGCGCGAACCTTGCTCCGCAGCAAGTAATGCGATGGGGATCTGAAATCCACATCCGGCCGCCGTTTGTTTTGAACTGAGAACTCTCGCACGATGCAGGGATAGCGTACGTCTTACCCGGCGCTTTGTCGACGGTGCCCCTGCCTTAGTAGGCATGCTACGAAACACCTGGGGCAGGATGCTTCTCTGGTACTGTACATACGCCGGTTTGCCCGCTGCTGCAGGGGATTTGTGTTGAGGTTTTAGATGCTTGATGGGACGTGCGATAGGGCCAATCATGGGGGTGCTAACACGTAAGTGCTGCCTCGGCCATGGCATTATCGGCATTTGGCTCGGGAGGATCAGATGAGAGAGAAGCAGGGAGAGTAAGATGCGATATGTGGTTGCGCAAGTAGATGCGTTCATTGATTGATTGCGATGTGTTAATCGCTTCGGGGTATTAAAGCTTTGAGTATGGCATCGACAGTAGATTCGAACACAGAGAGATCCATCATTAACGCGGTACCCAAGCCCACAGCAGGCACGTAGCCTCCATTGAAACTCCAAGTCCGGTAGAACGCCTGACAGTAGACCCGATCCCTCACGGTGTCCCAGTCCAGCCCGCTATGAAACAACAAGAGCAGAAGCGTGATAATAATGATGAAGAAAGATCCTCCGCCCAGAGTACCTTTTTCCGTAGTCCTTACATGGTGGGTATCTCGGCGGCCGTCATGACTAGGAGCCCAATGTCCCAGTCCCGTTTTGGTAGTTGCAGAAGAGAAAGCCTTCCAGCGAGAGTGAGACCAGATGATGAGATGAGACAAAATGTCCGTAGTGAAGGCCGATCATTAACAAAGTAGGTTTGAAGGTGCTTATGAACAAGAAGAAGGGGATAAGAAGCGCGAAAGTGCGAGACTGCACCGCTGGTGTGACGCCCTAGAGCCTCAGGCTAGTGGTGCAGAGCCTCGTGACGGAGTTTACACGAGGTTCTTCAGGTCCATCCTAGAATCCTGAGCCTTTTCCCGAGGCGAAACAGGCGCGCTCCGTGTCTCAGTCGGTTGCGTGGGGCGCGCAAAAGGCGATGGAAGCTGCCTTGATGACGGGCTTGCGGTCGTAGGCGAAGGCAGCGGGACTCGGCCGGGCTCGGCGAGCGTGTGGAAAGGAGGCAACGGCCGTTGCTCTGACAGTGGCGCAGAATGAGGGAGACCATGATGGTGTACAAGCTGAGTAGCCGGCTCGGTGAGCAGCTGGGGTCTCTCAGGCCTGTAGTGCGGCTTATAGTCTGGTTCCCTGAAAGCAGGCGTCGGTGCGAGAGGCTCAGTGCGGAGTGGAGGCAGCTGCACAGAGCCCCGCCTTCTGTATGGGTCGTAGACAGTATGGTCATCGTCCTCAACCGCGAAGCCTGTCTGAGGCAGATAGCGAGTGCATGAGTTCCTGCGCTCGTCTCTGCCGCCAACTAAAGGCGCGAGAGTGATATCGAGAGGTGAGGCTGCTCCGCGCGGTGAGCGGGACTCTGAGCCCGTGTCCGTAATTAGAGAAGGCGCACCATCTGCCGAGACTATGGAGTAGCCAGAAGGTGATGGCATAGGCGTCTCGAAACCTCGTCCTCGGGAGTTGTATGAGTGGAGTTGGAGGGGCGGCGGTCGCGACCCGGGATATGGCTCGAAGCCCTGAGGCTGGGGAAGCTTGAGCACACGCGGCGAGTGCATCGGAGGGTTCAACGATGCTCGGCGCGATTGAGGATACGGGGGGAGGTGGTGCGGCATGTGCGAGGGAGTCTCGTCCTCTTGGTGAGGCACTGTCTGAGCCATGGACGGGTAGTGGTAGGCAGGCTGAGATGGATGCATCTGCTGGTGGCCGCGCTGATCTTGCTGCTCAGGATTGCGCTTCCGTCGGTTCTGGCCGCCGTTCCACCAGTTCTTGACTGCGTTGTCGCTGCGTCCTTTAAGTCGTCGCGCAATCTCAGCCCACCTCTTACCCATCTCGGCTACCAGCTTCTCAATCAATTCTCCCTCTTCAGGAGTGATGGGCTCATGATTAAGCGACGGCTTGAGGTTTTGGTGATACCGTTCCCGGCATTGCTTCGGGGAACGAGAGCCGATTTCCTGGGAGATGCGGACCCAGTTGTGCGGCCCGTTACGGCTAACCAGGTCAATGAGCCAGCGGTCTTCGTGCTGCGACCAAGGGCCGCGGCGGTGAGCAACCATGCTGTAGAAAGGAAGCTCTTGATACGGATGTTGGTGTTCAAAATCCGTGATGAGTTGGATAGCACCACCAGGCGGCACCGGACGTCGCGTTACTGACGTTGTTTGCAGATATTCAGTGACGGGGACGACTTGAGCGTTGTGCTCGGCCGTTGCGCGCTGCGTAGACTGTCAGTCGTGGTTCCATTCTATGGCTACCAGAGCGTGGTGGGCTGTAGACACAGAGTCGTCATTTCGCACGCAGGGGCACGAAGTGACTGCTCGGTCTCGGGAAGCGTGCAAGTGCAGGGAAGGAAGAGAGCGTACAAACAAATGCAAAGAAGAGATTCTTATATAGCAATGCGATGTGAGGGTAGAAGGGTTTATTTTTAAAAGAAGAATTTAAATTGCACGAGACGAGACAGGAAAGTCGAGACGATTGAAGCAGCAGTGTCGAGGTATAGATGGCTTGATATATGTGACAGTTGCGTACCTTGCTTGTATGGTGGAAGATATGGGGGCAGACAACCACGGTTCGGAAGAGCTGCACTCTGAGTCTGGTACAGCCGATGTCAGGTGCGATGTCGACGGCTGGGGAACTGAACCAGCGGTAAGATGCGAGACAGGTGGCGGCGGGTTCCTGAAGAGTATATATCAACGGCGCGGGCAACGGTAGCGTAGTCGATGCGGGCGCCAGGGGAGCGAGGAGGTATTGACTTGGTCGGGAGGGATAGGGTGCAGAGGCCTCTGGTTTTGAGAGATGCGGGTAAGGCAGTGGTGAGAGTGGATGCTCAAATGGGAGCCGGGGGCGTCATGCGGCGCTCGAGGACTTTAGCTGGGAGCCCACACCTGCAAAATGGCGCTGGCGCTGACTGGACGATCCGGAGACGAGGTGAGGCCCTGACGAGTGACGGATGCGTGCGCTTGTGCGATGGAACAGCGCGATGGGCCGGGACTAATAATGTATCTGCTCTCGACGGCACCCTAACAGTATGGCTCCGTGCTGGCTGCACAGGCTTGTCCAGCTTGTTCCCAGTTTGGTGGACCAGATCGTCGGAATCTGTGCTCTACCTTGTTGCACATCGTAGCATGGCTTTTTGGCGCTCGCTGGGCCGTCTCTGTGCGGGAAAAATGAAGTCGTCGCTCGCAAACGCTTCTTTTCCCGCACTGGTGAATTGGGCCCCCTTGCAACAGCCACTCCCCCGCGGCCGTCTCGCGCAGCCTGGCTCGCGCCCCAGTACATACAGTAGGCGGCGCTGCCGGGGGGCCCCTGGCGGTTTGGCCGCCGATTCATATGGCGGTGCGCGCGACGAGGCGCTCCAGGGTACATCAGTCACGGCGCTCGCTCACGAATACCCCCACTCGGTCGGTGTCGTGCCCTTCCCCTCCCATGCCAGTGTAAAACCAGACACGCCCCCAGCAGCGCTTCAGCCCGCCGCAAGGACGACAGCCGCCAGGGTCCGGGGTCGAGGCGCGATGAGCTTCATTTCGCGGCCGCTCGCCCTCGCGGCCTCGTCGGCCCTGGTCATCAGCTCGATTTATTGACAACTGTGTTGCGGGCGTGCTCAGTGTTCCGCAATCCTGGATGGAGGCCAATGTCGAGCGGGACCATGGATGTGGCCTGCACGTCCCGGTCGGGAATGTGCACCTCCGCGTGAGCCTCCGCCCGCCCAGCGTCACCTAGATTATCGCCGCAAAACGCGTCTGCGGGCCTGGTCCGGCCCCTTGTAGCACCCAGACGGACCAAGAATAGGCGGCCAGCCTGACAGGACGCGCTCGCCGTGCCCTGAACTCACGCCTTCGTCGGCGCAGACATGAAATGGAGGGCAAGCGCTCGTCCATGGCGATGCACGTTGCAGTTGCAGCAGCGTCACCACTCGCTCGTTGCGGTTTCGACACAGGGCGGCGGTCGATCAAACGGCGCTGAGGCTTGAGGACGGACCGAGCGTCCAGATAGCGATCATCGAGACGGTGGACAGGGAGGAACGAGAGGTCGGCGAGGTGTGTCTTGGCGGCAGTCAGTCCTCCTTTTCGAGCCATCCATGGGTGTATGATGTCCTGCTTCGGCCAGCCTGCTGCGGTGCCTTGAGCCTCACGTCTCAGCCGGCACCGTACCGCGCAGTCCTCCGCACACGGCTCTGCTCGCGCGTGCCTCGAGAATGCGACTCTGTTTCGACTGCTGCCTCTGCTGCTGCTGCTGCCGCCGCGGCGTCGCAGGGCGGCCGTTGGGGGACTGGACTGGCACTTGGCTGGACACCGATCAACCGGGCCGCAAGGCGAAAGCAGCGGGTGCGCTGGCGTGCATCCACCGCGTCGGAATGGCCAAACGCCTTAGTCAGCGGCCGCAGCCAATGGGCGCCGTCTGTGTAAACACAAATACCCCCCTGCTAGCGCGCCTGGCCGAATGGGCTCCCCTTTTGGGCGATGACGAGACCCCGTTTGGCACAGCGACGGGACGCCAGGACGTTTTGCCCCAACTCTGAACTAGTGACACGCACCGCCATCGCCAACTCGTCGTTGCCGCGAGATCCAGCACCCGTGATCGAATGCGGACACGGTTGACGAGCGCCGGCTGCCAGCGGAGTTGCTCGATGCGTGCTCCTGGCCCGTATCGGATCGGCATCGTCGGAACCATGCATCACGCACCTACATGTACATACATACAAAGAGCCGCTCCGGATGGCCATCCAGCGTGCTGGCCAATGATTACGCCATCGTTGCTGGCGCCGTCTGCCTCCCTTCGCACTCCCCTCCGGCTGCCATGCGCGCGCTGCAAAAATAGCGACGCTCCACCCCCATCCCACGCGATACACTGTCGGCAGAGGCAGCGTGTATTCAGGGAGAATGCACCCGGGTCGGGCAATATCAAGTGAGGCAGCGGGGTCCCCGACCAGCGGACCACGGCCTGCACCACTTGTGGCTGACATCTGGGGTCGCACAGTTCCAGCCTGTTGGCGGCCGCGCCACTCGCGCTGCCGCTGGCTGAGCGCTCGTCTACGCTTCCCGCAAGCAGCCAAGCCCGCTCCCAACTTGCCGGGGCAAGCGTTGAACCGCTCTCGCCTGTCGCCATGGTTCCGAGTCAGTGTCCTACAGACACTCCACCGGATCCCAACCACCAGGGCACCTGCTGTTTGGCTTGCTGTTTCGTCACCTGGGCTTCCCCTCCGCAGCCTTCTCAAAACGACCTCGTGCATGCGGGCCGACATGGATCGAGCAGTGTCGCCGTCCACTTGTGCCCAAACCAATCCCGTCCCTCCGGCGCATCCTGTTCACTACAGTATCGCTTGCACGTCAACGGCCGCCAAAGCCGATCCCTCTTCGGGCCCGGAGAAAAGTTCAACCTGTCCTAACAGGCAAGGTCCGAGGAGCCTCGTCAGCGTGTGCTGGCGGCATGTCCTTCGTTGAGCGAGTGTCATGCGGTTAAATGACCGGGCGGCGCCCGTCGCGGAGCGCTCTGGATGCGCCAGAGGCATCGTATGCGTCCCTGGCAGCGGTTGACATCCCTTGCGCCAGCTGGAACTCGGAGTGGGGGGCAATCCTTTTGGCCGTCGTGATCGGTGACTTGCGATGCGCCGGCGGAGCACAGAATGTCATTTCAGACGGTCAACGCTTCTTCTCTGACGGAGCAGCCTGTGCAACCAAAGGCTGAAAATCCCGGTCGATTACCTCTCTATGGCTGCGTGCCTGCGCGTCAGCCGCGACTGGGTTCAGGCAGAACAAAAACACACACCCGAGTCCATGCTGCAGTTCCCGCATGCTGGGACTAACGGTGGTTCCAGCGATCCAGTGTGTGGCTCATGCTGTAGCCACTGCCATGTCTGAGCAGTATTTAGCCCTCCGGCACAATGTTTAATTGTGTGGAATGCGCCCAGGATGGCATGAGCCAATAGATGCTGCTTTTTGCGGTTCCGTACGACCACGTTCAATTGTCGCAGACGACCGAAATTCCTCGGAGGGCACAGAACCTTGGAACTTTGCATCTCACCGCGGGTTCGGTCTTCAGACGCTGCAAAGCCGAATGTGGGTGCCGCGAGGAGCCCAGCCCGAATACCCTGCGCAAACAGACTCCAGTTGGTCGAATGCGACCGCCTCTCTTCCCAGCAAGAACAGCATAGGTATGTACGGACGGAGCAGGAGCAGTGGTTTGATTGCTCAAGCAAGGAAACGCCTCATGCTCGAAGTGTGCATAGAGCAGGATTTGCGCGGGAGGAAGTGCCCGCTTCAGAGACAAGATTGGCGCAACATGTCAAGCTGTTCCTTGCAAGTGTGTTGTTGTCTCAACCCCGCCAAACTCTAACGCGCCGCCATCCAGCGCCCCTTGACCCGACAGGCCAGGACGGCCAGCCAGCGAGGCCCCGACCCGAAGGTAACGAAAACGGCTGTGGTGGTGAAGACGGCGGCAGGACCTCTGTGCTGTGCAACGGAGCACGTCGGCGACGTCCACGCGTGGATGCAGTGAGTCTCGATGAACACGAAGTGCGCGACGTCTCTTTTGCTTTTCCGCTCCTGAATCCGTGTCGTGGAATACATTGACGGCATGTTCCATCCTCTCAATAGCGGCAAGTCCCATCGGAGAGCGAGGGTGAGCGAGGCCAATGCAAATCGCAGCCTGTGGAGGCTGCACTCCGCAGCCGGCGTCGCAGAAGCAGCAGGCCTCCCCTTTTCGACGACAAGGGCCCGCCCGACGGATCAGAGGTCGAGATCGTGGAGCACTCGACACAGGCAGCGGATCACGAACAGCGTGTTGCAGGTGCTCGCAAAAAAGAAAAGGCGGCTGGAGAAGGGCAGGGTACAGGGGCCCCCAGGACCGATCGCCCGTAGATTTGAGATTACCGAGCGCATCCCGCACCCACCCCGAGCCAATGGTGCCGTCGGGCTTGCCAGCCCTTCATCTTCCCGCCAGCCTGCTGCACGAACAGCGTGCGCCCCCTATTTCCCGTGACCGCAAAGGGCAGTCAGTAGCTAGCGCTTTCATCGACAGCGTGCGGCGCCGTGCTTTTGCGCGCTGATGCTTCGGGGCTCACTGCTTTGACAGCGGCATCCGGCGCCCATACCGACGTCCGCCGATGACGCAGTGGCCCGTTCTGACCTCAGCGCTGGGAGCGTTTCACAGGCGGACGGCTGCCCTTGGGTTGAGCACTCACAGCTCGCCCGTGGTCGACCTACGAAGTACGAAGCACAGCAGACCGCTGCACCGCGCGGGCGATAAAACACCGGCCGTCGTTGAGCGCTCTTCTGACTCGCCTCAGAGCCTTTTGGCTGCTCTGCATGCAGCTCTTGTGCGGCGCACTTGATCTGCGCCTGTTAGTCGGCCGCAATCCGAGCAAGATACAGCACCCTGGCCGTTTAGATCTGAATCACGCGAATCGGATCCGCGCGCCCCACTCCAATGCGAGGCGATGCTGCCCCCTTTCCATCCTCCCCTCCCGTCAAACAGGGCGAAAAGCAACACGACGCCTCGACCCACAGCTGACGACAAACTTATGGTTTCAGGCTCCTTGCCAAGGCTGCAAAACCTTGGGCGTCCAGCGTTCATCGTGCGGCCGCGTCAAGTGGATTTTTTTCTGCGCCTAACCGGAACCACACCTCCAGCATGCCTATCCCCTTGTGCTGCATCGCTCGATCCTCTTCCAAGCCGAAGATGCTCGGAAAGCGCTGCGCCGGTTGATCGTATCTAAGTATTCCCGAATGTCACACGCTTCGCACTACTCAGCAACGCCCAGATACGCGCCTTCCCGTTTGGTGTGGCGCTCCTTTGCGATTGGCCAATTGCCAAGCTTTTGCAGTATCTGGGAAGCGGCTTGACCTCGCCGACATCACCGAATTGGTTGGCCTTGTTATTGGATTTCGGATGGCCCTGGACTAGCCACGCGCCCAGCATGCCTACGATTCAACATGTTGGAGCGAGAGCGGCAGCTGTGCGCGGCGCGAATGAACCGCGCTGTACGGTTGTGCCCGCTAGACGGCTGGCTGGAACCCTCAGATGAGCAGTGCTGTTCAGCTGGCGCCGTTGACGGCTCTTCCACTCACTTTCTTCCCGTCCAAGAGACCCTTTCCAGCTGGAGAAAGCGTCTTGACAAATACTGTTTCTAGCATTTCCCTTTCTGGCGATTTCGCCGCGCGCATCGCTGAGCCAATGTGAACGACATGTATGGGCCATCGAGACCGCATCACCATAAGCTTTGGTGGTGCGAAGAGCTGGACGAGCTGCGACCTTGATGGGCTCGATGGGGCGTCCGCCTCCCCTTCAATCTGCAAGGCGCGCAGAATCTGCCTCAGTCTGCTCACGGGAGCCGCGAATCAGCGCCCTAGACTTCAGTGACGCTTCGCTATTTGCAGTTGCATGGCCGTCTCGACTCTACTCACAGCAGTGGACGTACAACAGGCCACACTCCACTATCAAAATCCCGTATAGCATTCGCCGCTTCGTTGTCACCGAGCAGAGATCCTTCTGCACCTGCAGGTCAAGCGGTGATAGGTAAGGGCACGCAACACTCGTCACGCCAAAAGCATCCAACTAGCCTCAGAGATCAGGCACTAGTTATGCGACCGATCGAAGCCGATTCAGCGGCGTGCGTTGGGAAAGTCGGTGGAGCGAGCGATCGCCGTAGCTGCGTATAACGGCAAGCGGCCACCAGTCGTTGGTCACTTCCACCACACCAGCTGCAGCACTGGCACCCGCATTTGTCCTCTCACGATCAGATCACTTCCTTTTGGAGGCCCATGGCGCCCCAGTGCGTCTGTTTCCCCCTCTTCAGCTTGAAAAGGCCTCAAACGGGTCACTAATGCAGTCGATTCGGTGAGTGCAACTGCCACGTAAATCGGACCCACGGCTACAAGGCGCTAAGCAGCCGGTTTCAGGGGCGCCGTAACGTCGCTCTAAGGGAGCCCATTGCTCATTGCGTGCGTAGCGTACCAAGCGTCCGTCAAACTAGTGCCCATCGCTGAGATCGCTTTGAGATACTCACCCCTTTTGAGATCGGAGACGGGCCCGGACTCAACGCCCTCAAAGCTTTCCGTCACCCGGAGCCTGTTCCATACCGTTGCCTAGGATTTTAACATTTTCTTGTCGCTTGTAGAGGCGTTGACGCTCGGTCATGCGGGAGTACACTCAGAGCATTTAGTGATCAGGAGAGGTCGAAATCCCTTTGAAAGTTCCGGCCGAAGGGCTTCACGCAGCGAATCAACACTTTATTAACTGAGCGCTCGTGGCTAGAGCGAAGCCACGTTGACGGCTGATGCCCTTGTAGGAAACAGCTGGGGTTCGTTAGATGCATTGCGCGGCTTCAGACACGGCTCACGATCTGGAGAATCACTGTTCTCACGAGATCAATTTGCACTCCTCGAGTTAGCAGGTTGACGGTGTGGTGGCTTTACGAGGCGCTCACTCCAGCATGCAGTAGACAGGCTCGCTTTGTGGATGACCACCTGCTGCTACAGCCGTGAGCAACAAGGCGCGAGAAGTGGCTTTCGCCCTGAAGAGCGATCTCGGTCGTGAGAAGGATCAGCGTATGCTTCTATCGGCCCGGCAGCAATGCTAAGCACCCCACGCCTACCAGAAGCTTAGGGAAACAGCATGCCCTACACCTGGACGTATGGTGCTCAAGGATCTCAAAGCACCAGCATTCTAAGCCGTACCCTCCCAAGCACTGTTCACCCTCGGACTTCCTGCTCTGCTAATCAGGGACTAGGCTGAGACATCTATTCCGAGAGCCATGACCTCTGTCGACCGTTTGCGCACCTGTTCGCCATCCTCCACACGAAAAGGCGCAACTGCTGATGCAGTGACAGCCGTGTCGCCAGGCCCTGTTTGCCTCTCATGCTCTCTCCTGACAGCCCTGACCGTGCCACTAACATGGAGGAACGCCATTCAGAGCCCGAGACATCACGAGGTGCTGTTCCCCGCCAACAGTTACTGCGAGCACCATCCGCCCTGGGCTCTCGAGCTCTCCTACGCATGGCTTCTTCCACGAATGCGGACGCGTGATCAAAGGGACTTTACGAACATTCGAGCTCTGAACTAGAGTCCGCACAGGGTCCAGCCCATGCCCACTTCACGGAGCTACCCGCCCACCGGTAGAGCTATGGACAGGCGTTCCAGAGTATCGATGCCGCGACGTTGCCGGTGCGCAACTATAGGGACCTTGATTGTAGTATACGAAAATAGCAGTGCTCGCCAAGGAAAGTCCTCCTTATGGCTCGCACGACTACCGGGAGGTATATTCCAGCTTCAAGGACATCCCCAGGACCTCGACCGAACAGACCAGTCGTTCTGAATATAGATCGCGTTTACTCGTCATCACGGCGAGCAGAATGGTTCACGAAGGACCGTTGTTGAAGTCACAGCGGGTAAACAGTGCCCTCATTTCAGCAAATTCATGCGGGACAGATGCTCCGTTCCGCAAACGGTCGTCACTACCCACGCTGCCACGGCGCGGTCCTCTCCAAAGCCATGGGCCGCACCCCAATACGCTCCACAAGAGGAAATTTCGTCGACTGGTCAGATTGCAAGCAATATAATTATATTAGTTCCCCCGTCACACACGCATCCTACTTTGCCCTACTTTTCCATCGACTTGCATATACCCGAAATGTTTCATACCCTGCGATTCTGCAAGCAGCAGCACTCTGCATGAACACGAACGCAGGACAGGCACTGGACTTCATCGACAGGGAAATTTCCCGAACAAAACATCATCCCCAACTCATCATCACGGCGCTTTTCGCTCGCCGGCCTCCCCTAGCCGCCCATCGCCGGCGACCCTGCTTTGCTCGTTCTCCTGAAGCACGAATCTCACCTCACAGCAAGGTCGTCGGCCTCGGCCCCAGCGCCAACGCTCAGCAGCAAGCATTATTTACCGAGCGGACCCCTCAACAGGAACCCAAGCCCCTACTCCCGGGCTCTCCCTCCCCTGCTCAGTCCAACAACCGTCCAATACAGCTTTACACAAGACACGAAGAATTGCTTACCTGCAGGCCACGCGACGTCTGACACAACGCTTATTGCAGCCAACGGCGTCGTCGATCTTTCCGGGGCGCTCGTGTATGCCGCGCACGCGTGGCTAGTACAATACTTGCGGCGGCTTAACCTGCTCCAGGGCCCACGATAACACCGACGTTATAGACCGATGTCCTGATTCGGCGCGGGTGGGTTCGGATGGGCAGCGGGTATGGAGGATGACGGCCGTGGGGGAATGCAGTTCGGATTCGCACACAGCTATTCTTAGGGCAAGCTGCAGGTTTCCGAGACGGATGAGGCGAGTACTGCTAAGGTGCCTTGCGTGATGGGAGCCAACACCTAACATCGCTTTAAGCCTGCCCGGGTTTGCAGCGGAAGGTTCGGCGCGCGCGTGGTGTTGAGGCAGGCGAGTGGCGTTGCGCCTGCAAGCAAGAAGACCCGACGGTCGGTGTACTGGTGGGATTACTAACCAGTCAACAGGGCTCTTGCGAGAAGGCTGAAGCAGGGTAGGGATACAGATAGCTGTTGAATGAATTCCGCATTCTGTATGTCACAAAAACTGCGTTGCGGCGAGGACACACAAGAGCTGGAAAGGCTTGTGGAGGCAAGATGCAGCCGGCTCCTGATTCGCGGAACGACTATCCCCAACGCTGCGCTGCGCAATGCATGAGGAATTGGTAAGCGAGAAGTATCCTATCACATCGTCCTCCTGCACCATTTGCTACCCAACGTTCATTTCCCCTTCGGTCGCAGCAGGTAAACTCTATTCTGATAGGCGTGTCCTATTTCCTCGTCCGACATTTCCAGCCTTGAAAGGACGTTATTGTGGAGAGCTGAACGGAAGATTGATCGGCTGGTCCGGCTCGCATCGCGTGTCGTTTCGTTGGCAGCCCGACACGCACACCTCTTTTTTTTTTCGCTTTGCCTTGTCTTCAGCTCGAAGCAAGTCCTTCGGCCGAAGGCGATCAGTACTTGAATAGAGTGGCGACAAGGCGCCCGGCAGATGGGCGGCTCTTGTGATGCGACAGCGGGACTAGCTAGGCTCAGGTCCATGTATGCAACTGCTGCTGAGATAGGAAATAGCTGCGCTGATAGTTCGGCGATGTGGGTCGTCACCAGCTCTGCTTTACGGATGAGGTGACGGATTGCTGGATCGCAGGTGTGCGAGGGAGGAGGAAGGATCCAGCGAGCTGAATCGCGCGGATCTACGATCTTGATAGGCATCTGAGTCGTAGGCGGCTGCTGTGCGGTGCTGTGCGTGGGGCGCGGCGACTTCACGACTCGCTGGCAAGCCGTTTGGCCCTTCGCGAGGCCGCGAGGTTGAGTTTGAACTGCGCGGTGAGGCAAGGCGTTCAATGTCGCTGTTGCTGTCGCCATCAACAAGCCATGGCTATGGGCACGTTTGCCGGCTTCCAGGGGCCCGTTTCGAGCTTCCGATGTCGGTTTTTCCTTTTTGTCGGAAGGAGAACCGACAAACGGTCAATCAGGCAGTGTCGACGGTAGACTTCGCTATCTACTCCGGATGGTGGAGCTTCTTGCATTGCTCGGCTCTATTCCGAGCAGATCTTTCCCACACTGAGAGCAGAAAGCAGCGAGCAGCAACAGGGCGCGGTCTTCGGCACTGCGAGTGCTTTCTTCTGTTTCTGCGTTTCGCGCCCAGTTCCTTCGAATGGGCCGGTTTTCGAATGATTGTTGCTCAACTCTGTTCTGTCACCTCGAGATCCATCTCCTCGTCCAGACGCACAAGCCTTAGTGTCGATTTGCAACAATGAAAGCCGTCCTACGAAATAGAGGAGACTCTTGCGAATGAAACAAGGCTCTCCGAGATGCACTTGCTGCACATTAGAGAGCGCACAGCATACGGGAAGCTTCAGGATGCATTACGTACGCTCTGAAGCCGGCTCGTTGAACGTGTGCACATCCAAGGCTCAGACAGTCTGAACGCTGCTCCATGTCGAGGAAGTCAAGGCCATGCTGCTCCATCTGAGATCGAAGTACAGAGAATGAGCAGCGCGACAGCGGTCGCTCAGTGCTCCCATACAGACAGAACAAGCAGGTGGGGCCTTCTCTGATCAGCACAGCACACTGTAAGCGTACTGCGACGTCTCCTCGCAGCCTCTCCTTCGCCGATTTCCCCCAGCATCCCTCTATACACACAGCAATTACGAACTTCCTCCCTACTGGCACGCAGTCCGATCTCCTAACAACGAGAAACCCACCCGCTCACACGCTCGACCGGCAGCTACTCTACCGAAGCAAACATGCCAGCTCGCGCTTTCCCTATGCGATCCCTATGCGAACATCCCTACCAAAGGTAACACCAACACGATGTTATATCTGTGCGTGCATCCGCCAGCCCACTGAGTCGAGATGGCAGCTTCTTTCGCGCGGAAGCGGACCGACCCGATCGATCTCACACCCGTTCATGCCGCAGGACAGGGACCCCACGAGATACGCGTCGTAAGGCCGGCAGTGCGCCTCTAACGGGGTGAGTGAGCGGCACCTCTGAGACAGCGGATGCCTTGAAGCGTCAAAGCGCGACGAGTGCGGAATACAGAGTCCCTTGACGTAGCTGAGGGCGGTCGTTCGTCACTGGGAGGGGAAAGGCCCTGAGTCGCAAGAGACCAAGAGGCATCGCTGGGAACCGTGGGCAGATAAACGCGAGGAAGGCGCGATGGCGGCTAAGTGATGTTCTGGCTAGCTCTTCCTCCGATACGAAGTAGCACATTGATCGTGCGATCGCCGTCTTCAGAGGTTGAGTAACGAGAGGAATGGTAGGCTTGTCCTGCGCGAGACGGGTTCTCCAAGGGAATCGAGGGGACGACGAGACACTTACACGAGAGAAACAGCGCACGACTACTGACTGTAACAGCAACCATCTACTCCTATCGTCAGGCTTCACTCCCACTCTCCCGCACCATCACCTGTCGAAGCAAAACTAGAGGTCTGCGGAACTAGCATAGCGAGCGTGCGAATGGCAACCGAAGAGATAAGGGGCACAGAAACGGAGCACCATCCCTCGGCCAGAACGGTATGCGTCCTCTTCTGCTCGTCTTCGCGGCTGACGACGAAGATTCTCTCCAGTCGAATGTGCACTCCCTCCCTCCACTGACTGACTGACCGGACGGCAGCAAGGCATGGTACCGCTACAGTGAAAGGTTAGGAAAGCAAAGCAGTTGAACGTGCAGCATTGCAGCGCAAAAGAACAGCTCAGAGCCAAGGAGGTGAGTATTTCTTTCTTTCGAAACACTATAACGATGCAACTCCCCTTTCGCGTCCCTCAATAAGCGCAGATATACTAACTTCTCACACGAAGATCATCTACGGAAGAACGAGCGACGTCACACTACCACTGCACTGCACGTCTCCTACCCATGCCCCTTCCCGTAGCCCAAGCTCAAGCCCACCGACTGCGGAAAAGCGAAAATGCCGCCTACACTCCAGCCCAGCCCAGCCTGCCCCGCTCAACACTCCCCTCACGTCGGCCGCTGTCCGCACGTACACAGCAGATCCCCACAAACACACTTCAAGCCGCCGCAGCAAGCGTCCGCATGGTTCGGCTCGCCCGGCTCTGCGCATGCGGCGTCAATATTTATTACCAGCCACATACAACTATAGAAGTGAAGGAGTGGAGGACTGTGTTGGTTTGTAGGAGGGAGGGAGAAGGAAGGGGTGGCTTACCACCTTGCCCGATGCACCACGCTTCGAAAGCTGAAGGTTCGTCGGAGGGGAGTGCTGTGCCCATGGCGACGCTGGCGCTGACGCCGGCGAGGATGGCAGTGAGGGTGGAGAGAGCGAAACGCATCTTGATGGATGGATGTCTTGAATATCTTCGCTCAGAGGGAGTGTTGGATATAGATAAGGAGTTGTAAAATTACACACTCTAGACATTAAACCCTCCCCTCATCCTTATAAACAAACGACTCGGGAAGTTCGTTCACTAGTTGGGCTACACTGCGTCAAGGAAATCCGAAGCCCTTTGCTTTCTTACAGCCATTTTTTCTGCGATAATCGCTCATTCATATGATGTATACTCGTGCTGTGCAGATAGATAGCTGCCTGAAGTACACTACTCGTCCATGGAGAGGGAAGTTGGGTGGATGGATGGCCTAAAATGTGCTTGCTTGCTGTACCTACTTGCGCGAGGAACGCTTGATCTCCGTTCATCAGATTCCCGCCCGATCACAGCGCGCCTGAGCGTCGCCATGATCTTAATACAGTACAAGCAAATGCCGAATCTCGACCTGTTTTGTAGGATTAGTCGTACGATATCCAAGCTTCTTCACGCGGAATTTCTCATCGTTCACCATCACTCGGAAGTAAGCTATTTCAAAAGCCTTCCAGACGGTACATGATCCTTGAAAGAATGGGATGAGATGACCATAGATACAATTGAGTGGTGAACCGATACGAAGCACAAGAATAAATTAAGAAATAAACACTACGAGAGTGACACATCCAAGGTCCATCTCCCTACCTATGAGTCCGCTAGACCAGCCAGCAGCGAAGCCCGCCCTCAAAAGGATGCTTGATACCCAAACAACCACTCCGGAATCCAAGCTTCCCAGTTCCCAGTACCTCAGTCCTCAGTTCCCAGCTCCCATTACTTTCCTCACGTATAAATACTCTCCGTATACGCATTGACCTGCAGCCCCTTCTCCGCCATCTCCGCATTCTCCAAAAACTTCAAGGGCATCCAAACCAAATGCCCCCTAATGCGATCCAACTGCTCCCTCACCTCCTTGACCGGCCTATCATTGTCATACAAATGTCCCTGCTTGTGATCCTTATCCGTCTTCGGATGCGGGGTAAAGCTATCGTAGTCATCGAACGTCAATATCTCGTCATCAGGATCAGCGTGGAACAAGTCGCGGAAGACGTGCGTGTTGGTGGACGCGCGATTACACCACTCGTCCCAGAGCTTATCGGCGAGCGGGTCTGTAACGAAGTCCTTTTCCGGGCCGGGGAGTGTGTCGTTGGGGGAGTCGTCGCCGGGGGGTTGCGCGTTGGGGTCGTCGGTTCCGTCGAGGGTTTGGGGTGGGATGAGGCCAAGGTGCTCGCGCCAGAGTATGCTGCGGAGATCGTGGGCGAGGCGGGAGGCGCGGTAGGGCTTGCCATCCATAGTGATGTCGATCTTGTCCGTGTCTTCCATGACGATGGAGAGCTCGGAGTCGTGAAAGCCCAGCTGCGAGCGGTCGTTGATGTTGGAGGAACCGCAGATGGCATATTTGTCATCGACAATGCAAACTTTTGCGTGTACGTAGAGTTCTTCTTGGAAGAAGTTTTCCTTCTCTTCTTCGGGGTCGCCCTCCCAGGACTCGGTGCTGGGTTTCTTTTCCGTGAGCATAGCGTCGTCCGCGATGGAGTCCGGATCGATAATACCCCCTTGGTCGCCCAGTCCCACGTCCTGCTCATCCGCGCGGAACTTGTGCCTCATCTGCGCTGCGCGGTCTCGCGCGGCTTGGCCATCGTCCGCTGGAGCTTCAAGTTCCTCTTCTTCAGCTTGCTGAAGCTCCTTGTACTTCATGCCCGATTGCTTCTCCTGCTCCTTAAGCTTCGTCGTGACGTTCAGGCGGTCGTACGAGCGGAGATTGAAGCAGAAGATGTGGTTTCGCGGATTAACACCTTTCGCTTCGATCTGCCCAAAAATGCTGTCCTTTCCTCGGCATATGCTCTTATACTGATAGTCCATGATAGCCCTGGTACCAGTTGCTGCGTCCTCTCGAAGATCGCCTGCGAATCCAGGAATAGCAGGAATGATGATGATGACCCTAAACTTGCGGCCTTCTTTGCCTGCTCGGACCACAGCATCTACGATAGCCTTTCCGATCTGGTTGTGGATGGGACTCTGATTCTCGCCAGTGGCAGTGATGAAGAACTGATTCTCGATGTAGACGTAGTGCTCAGCATTCCGGATCAAGTCACAGTATGCGGTTTGGATGCTGTGTTCAGCGGGAAGAATACCGCTACTCCAGTCCGCGCTACTGCGCACTATTTGAGCATGAACCGTTCCGCGGTTGTCGAGATTCTTCGTACTCAGTGGGCTGAGCGGATGATGTACGTAGTCGCCAACCGGGAACTTAGGTCTCTGGACGCCGATAAGATCCTCGTCGTCACCTTCTCGCCCCTCTAGGGTAATCCAATCGTACCGGCTATCGCGCTTGTACTTGTCCCGCTTGCAGAAGTTCCAGCGAAGAACGAAGTGTTCCGCGATGTCGTACACGCACGGCCCAATGACGCCCATTGCTACGTCGTGCCACGGCATGCGGCCGTACTCTGCTTTGCTGAGCTGATTTGACTTCCAGTCATCCACACTCTGGAAGTCCATGATGCGGTTGTTGTTAAAATCTTGGCCTGGGAAGATCTCGTTCTGCACACCAGAAGGATGAACATCAGCTAGCGGATGCTGCTTTTCGTCCCAGCGCCCATAGCAAAGGTCCAGACCGCCAATGAAGGCCATCGCATAGTCAATAATGATGAACTTCTCGTGGTGCGCCCAATAGAACGTCATGTCTGAGGCATTCTCCAAGACGTTGTGGTCGGGATGCCTCACCACTCTGATGTTCCCGTGGCCTGGTTTTCCTTCGGGGCAGAGACTCATGATCGCTTTCTTGGTGTGCTGGCTGTTGCAAGTAAGAGCTGCTGAGACCTATGCGAACATCAGCAACGAACCAGATCTAAAGTCCTTTAGAGGTTGGCTTACCTCTTTGTACACAATAATGTAGATCTTGACTCCAGCCTCGGCTTTCCTCTTGATGAGCATGTCCAATCGCCAAGGCTGATTATAGAACGGCGGCCGGCGCAAATACTGTCCCATAAGCTTCTCCTTCTCCAACGGCAGCACAAGGATCTTACGAGTTCGGGAGAAAGCCACCAGTCCTCAATATAAATGGTCTCCTTCGCCCTTTCCAACGCCTCCGAGACAGCCTAAGCTCCTGTTAGCACCCTTCATGTCCCCCAACACCGCCCCTCCCTCGCACTTACCCAAAAGTAATCCCTCCCATCAACATACCACTTGATCAGATTCCCATCCCTCCCCGGCGCAAAAGAGTTAAACCGATGATTCTCGCACACACGACTCCGCTTCTCATCCGTCTTCTGCTCATGCTCCTCGTCGTGTCGATGATTCGCGTTGAACAGATTGGCGAACTTGCCGACCTTGTGCTTCATGTGAGTGGCTTCGATCTTGGCATCGTGGAGGTGGGTATGCTTCAATTTCTCGCGCAGGTGCCCGAATGGATGCTTCATCTTGTCCTTGAGGCTGTGGTGGCTCTCGCCGGCGCCATCTGCTTGCGCGCCGTCCGCCATTGTTTGTTCGGAAGAAGCTCAGGCGTCAATGGAAGGTGAGTGGCAGGGCTGAATGCGGGGCAATCTGCGCACGCGGTATAGCCACAAAGCGAAAAGCAATTGGAGAAGAGCAGCCACTCCCCACGGCTTTGTAGTTGGCGCGGTCGCAGTTCGGATCGTAAACCTGTATTCACGACGCGCGATACTTGGTGGGCAGAGATGGTGTGACTTGAGGAAGGGCCGGATGATGTAATGCCAAGCACCCCGCTACACGTTTTGGGTGAGGGAATGGCACGCGACATTCAACGGTCCCTCTTAGGGCTGATATTCATCTATACTATCGTTGAATAGTATAAGGCAAGCGGATCGCAGATATCGGGGCCCCCTTGCTTTTGCAAGCATAATGGACGAGGTTGCGCCAGCATGCGCGCTGGGCTGGACTGGCCCTCCAGTTCCCTCTCTTCACATGTCAATCCCCAACCCCCAAGAGCCCCCAAGAGCCCCAAAGAGCCCCAAAGAGCCGCCCGTTCCCGGATCCTTGCCCTGCCGAACATTGCATGCATAAGGGGTTCAGCTTCGAGCAATTGGCCAACGTACACAGACAAGCTTCCCCAAGCTTTTCGCGCGATCCGGCGGGGCGGATGAATGGCACGTCATGGTGCATATCCAATCCGCCGCCAAAGAAACCGATCTCTATCAGACATCTTTTTCTACTATTGCTCAAAGATCTCCGAACGCAAAGAACATTCCAGTTAACGCCCACCGTGTGCCTAGTCTTTACGTGCCACATCCTGAAAATACCCAGAACAGCCGTGATCGCATGCAATCGTAACGTCGTTAGTCCGTGACATTCCCTGGGTATCCTTCCAGTCAAACCAAAACACCACAAGTCCCAAACAAACAAGCCGCGCCATGGTCTGCCTCATTACCCTAAGGGAGCCCACCAAATGAAAATTCTAAGCGAATAAGCCAGCCCACGAGATACCCCGCTTTGAAAGAGGTGCCACCAGACGACGGCGCCGGTACACGCCGATCCCGTACTCAAACCCGTACCCTTCAACAACCTAGATATTCCATCTCTTGCTAATAGTCTTCAATAGAAGAAAATAGGAGCCAGATCCATCATACTACGACCGGCCATCCGGAAGAGAAGTCGAGGTAGTTGAAGCCGAAGAAGAACTGGTCCGCAGCGTACCCCACGCTCGGTTTCACTGTCTCATTAGCGCCCTGGCACCACCACTCAAGGGAAAAGAGGTTCCAGACTTACCATAGTGATAATACATAACCGGCTTCCCCTCATCAACCATAACACCCTGTCCACCAGGGGCATACACATCCCCGTGGCTCCCAAGCACCAGCGTCCCTCCACTCTCCAAGCAATCCTTCCCGTCCTTGTCCTTAAAGGGTCCAGTAACCTGATCAGCGCGGCACACCATAACGCGATACTCGCGGCCCGGCGCCGGCAGATTCGGCGGCGCAGCGCAGCAGTTCCCCGCAGAGAAAAAGACGTAGTACTTGGTCTGCCACTTGAACATGATCGCACCTTCCACGACATCCATGCCCACGGTCGTGTTGCGGACAATGTTCGTCAACGAGGCGCCACCACCGCTGGAGTAACTGATAAGATCAGTGGTTTCGAGGGGAGTTTGGTAGATTCCGTTCCAGTAGGAGCCGAAGGTGAGAAATAACGGCCCATTGTCCGAATCCTGGAAGATGGCAGGGTCGATAAGGTTGTAGTTTTGGGAGTGCGGGAGACCGAAGCTGCCGTGGTCGATCCAGGTGCCTGGGTCCAGTTTGGAGGAGGTGGCGACGCCGATTTGGCTAGCTTGTGAGCCCATTGTACTGACGCTATAGTATGCGTAGAACATGTCGCCTATCTTGGCGATGTTTGGTGCCTGTGTTCGATTGGTTAGCAAAAGAGGTCTCATGTGTGCAATGACGCTTCAGTTGAATGAAAACAAGTCGAGCGGGTCGAATTTATTCCTCGGAAGTGCGTGAAAGGCTTACCCAAATGTCCTGCCCGTGCGGGTCGACGATGATCTTGGTCCCATTATCGAGTAGTGCACCTTTGTATTCCCAAGGGCCAGTGAGGGAGGGCGCAGTAGCAATGGCAATGTTTCCCGATGTCGAAAAACGATAGTACGTATTGCTGTCCTTGTAGATGTTGGGATCGTGAATCCATGAGCAGTTCCCCGTGCACGGTTCCGGATCCGGAAAGTCTCGCTTTCGAAGGACCGGAGACGCTGTGATAGCGGATATGCCACACAAGACTCCGACTAGGATACTACGTATCATTCCGAGTGGAGTACTAGATGAGGTTGGGTAAGATGTGTAAGGGATGTGAGTGCTTCTGAGGTATGCCACATCGAGAACACGGGGGACGAGGGATGTTTATACTTAGAAGCCCCATCGCCATGACAAGGCTTGCCAGTCTCACGAGAACCGTTGCCAATGGCGCCATGTAAGCCCTGAGGGTAAGAGGCTCATACTAGAGGCTCGTTTGTGCATACTCATGCGGGATGGCTGCGGGACGTGGCGCCGCAATTCCGCGATGGTACGAATGGGGTCATGGACCAGGGGCGTATTCCTGATTGGGGCTTAGTAAAACTAGGCGTATAGTCGTTAGGCCTTTGGGTTAAGAGGCTATACGTACACTGAAGTGGGCATGGTGTTCACCATTGAAGAGAGAGTATTCGATTACCACATCAAAATTCAGGCCGCTCATTGGCGGCGCAGCGGGCGCAGCGGGCGCAGCGGGCACTACGGGCGCAACAGGCGTGGCGGTGTGACCTGAGCCTCAGCCCATGTAGCATTTTCGAAGTGTTTCTTCTCGGCTCCCCAAAAGCTTTCTAAGGTGGAATCTGGCTGCATTGGTCAGAATCCATATGGGCTGGCTCAACCACCCGAGTCTTAACAACCGTTACATCCATGCTCCTTGCTTCAGCGCGAAAACTGATCCGTTTGTAGACGCTTCCGTTCGTGCGCAAAGGTTGGCGACTAGATTACTTGTGTTCCCGACAAATGTTTTTCGATGGGGCCCGTAGTCGAGCTTGGCTGTCCAATGTCCGCCACGTGCACCGCATTCGTTGGTGTAAATGGGATGATATGAACATAGGTAATTGGATGCTTTCGGATGCGGGGAATAGTTTTGCTGCTTAGTCGAGTTATGTATGATGCTTGTCGGCTAATTGGATTGCAAAGAGTGTCAGCTGTACTTCTGAAACGAACATTTATCTGGCGTGGGTCAGCGAGCACTGTGCAGAAAAATCATCCCGAAGTATGCCAATAGAAAATAAGCCATGGCTAAGGATGCATAGCTTTGGTTGGGCGCGACGTGGCGGTATCCCCAGCATCATCCTGGTGCTACAGGACCGCCAAGGCCACCGTAAGCATATATCCTTGAGAACTGGGTGCAACGTTATCAGATATCCTGAGTCCGATGTGGCCGCTGCTGCAGCAATGTCAGCATCTCATTGAGGCTTGGAATGAGCAAACATGGCGTGCCAAAAGTTCAAGGTTAATTAGCTGTATTTCCGGGATCATTCCCTCTTTGCATTTGTGCGGTTGAAGTGGAGAAAGCGCGGTGAAGAGAACGCCCACGAATATCTCCGCCGCCCACAATTGCCCCTGGATGCTCAGCTGAACGTTCGTCTCTAGCACCTTAGCCATCCACGTCAGTGCTATTACTCCACTTCTCGAACTCCTTCACGTTTTGGGAATACGTGTCTAGCTTCTGGTTGATGGTGGAGTACGCATCAGTTCCGACGATGCAACGTAGCGGTGGATTATCCATGACTGCAAGATCATAGAAGACCTTGGCAGCCTTCACTGGATCGCCAGCTTGAGTCATATGCCTCTGGCTAGCATTCTCTTTCGCGTTGATGTGACTGTATGCTGCGTTTGGCTTCTCTCCGAAGTCCATGGAACGGCCAGACCAGTCGGTACGGAAACCACCTGGTTCAATGCATGTGAACTTGATGCCCCATTCGGGCTTCACCTCTTTCGAGATTGCCTCGGTAAACCCTTCGACAGCCCATTTCGACGCGCAGTAGATTGAGAAGGAAGGCACGCCTGTCGATGTGTTAGCCCTGGTAGATCCGGATCTGACCATGTTTTCCTTCCATTTTCGGATAGTACTGACCAACTTGACCGCCGATAGAAGTAACTTGCTGGATGACACCTCCAGTCTTCAAGTCCCGCATGATCTCCATTGCCTTGCGGGTAACGTTGATTAGGCCAAAGAAGTTGATCTCCATCTGCGTACGGATTTGTTTGTCGGAGAGCGTCTCGAAGGGGCCCGAGAGGCCATATCCGGCATTGTTGACCACGACGTCCACTCGCTTGAACTTCTTGATGGCTTCGTCGAACGCTTTATCGACGGACTCTTGCTTGGTCACGTCGAGATCCACAAAGAGGCTGTTGGTCGAATCGGCGCCGTCGAAGGATAGCTTTGAAGAGTTGCGAGCTGTCGCGACAACGTGGTCACCGTTCTTGAGAACAACCTTGACCAGCTCTGCGCCGAAGCCGGTTGAGGTGCCTGTGATGAGGAAGATGCGTGGGGCCATTTCGATACGAGCTTGTCAAAATACGTTTGAGGGAGGAGGTAGAAGTGGGCTTGACTTTCGTCGTCACAACGAGCCTTATATATGCATCTCTTTGTGGCTTTAAGGGGGTCTAAATCCGATCGAAGTCCTTGACGACGCATTACGTCAACGATAACCGAATGAGTAGCAATAAATGTGGTCCTGGAACATGACATCGGCATCTTGGGTTGAGAGGAAGAGCAATGGAAGGGAAGGTATCCGGCGCCGGTGTCATCCAGTTGCATAGCCCTGCAGGCGGCTAGTCCCAGAAGGGAGTTTTGATTGAAACGCGAAACGCGTCTCAGAACGGAATAGCGCAAGACGCGAAACCACTTTACGCGCCTTCCTCGCCAACCCCCAATTTCACCCCTCTCGCAGCGCAGCCTGGCATTGCGACAACACTTCTCTTCTAGATACCCGCACACTTTCGATACCACCTTTCCTCCTCCATTTGCGTACGTTTCGCGCCGCAGACGGCATAGACTGCGCTTCTGTCGCGCAGCAATCTCTTCACAATGACCGAGGTGATTAAGGACGAGGATTTGCGCCGGCGCATAAGGCTCGCCGAGGAGTTTTTGGATCCACGTATGTAGAACTCTTATACGCATTGTCTTCCAGGATGCTGACAGCTGAGCAGAGGATGTCGCCGCACGAAGGTACTTGGGATGCGATAGCCCCTAAACACCCATACTAACGCCCTCAGCTACCGACCAGATATTCTGGTGATGCTGAATCGCGGCCAGAGGAGGCTCACAGTACGCATCATGATAGAAGCAAAAGAGACATATACTGATTGCTTGCAGGTCAGCTTAGACGAGATCCGAGCACACAACCGCGAGCTGGCAGACGGCATCCTCAACCAGCCCTTCGACTTCGTAGAAGCCTTCGACCGCGCCCTTAAGAACGTCGTCAAGACCCTTCCAGACAGACCAAAGTACGAGACCTCTGACGATGTGGTATATTACTGCGCCTACATCGGCAGCTTCGGCGAGTTCTCGTGCAATCCGCGAACCCTGAGCTCGAACCAGCTGAACCATATGGTCTCGCTGGAAGGCATTGTGACCAAGACGTCGCTTGTGCGGCCGAAGGTGGTCAAGAGCGTGCACTATAGCGAGAATAAGCAGAAGTTTCACTTCAGAGAGTACAGGGATCAGACAATGACCATGGGCGCCGCGAGCACGAGCGTCTACCCGACTGAAGACGAAGAGGGCAATCCGGTGTGTAGACTTGAATGGATGGAAGGAGGATGTATTGCTAATCGGGGTGCAGCTCATCACCGAATATGGCTACTGCATCTACAGAGACCACCAGAGCATTTCTATTCAGGAAATGCCAGAGCGAGCGCCTGCCGGGCAGCTGCCGCGCTCCATAGACGTGCTGGTGGACGACGACCTCGTTGACCGTGTCAAGCCTGGCGACAGGATCCAGCTGGTGGGTATCTACCGTTCGCTCGGTAACCGCAATGCTTCGTCCGGCAGCTCGACCTTCCGCACTGTGGTCCTGGCGAACAACATCATCCTGCTCTCCTCAAAGTCGGGCGGTGGCATTGCACAGGCGACCATCACTGACACGGATATCCGTAACATCAACAAGATCGCCAAGAACAAGCGAGTATTCGACCTGCTGTCCCAGTCCCTGGCTCCCTCAATCTACGGCCATGACTACATCAAAAAGGCCATTCTTCTCATGCTCCTTGGCGGTGTAGAAAAGAACCTCGAAAACGGCACCCATCTCCGAGGAGACATCAACATCCTCATGGTCGGCGACCCCTCAACCGCAAAATCCCAACTACTCCGCTTCGTCCTCAACACCGCGCCCCTCGCCATCGCCACAACGGGCCGTGGATCCTCCGGTGTCGGTCTCACAGCAGCCGTTACATCGGACAAGGAGACAGGCGAACGACGTCTAGAAGCTGGTGCTATGGTTCTCGGTGACCGCGGCGTCGTCTGTATCGATGAGTTTGACAAGATGTCCGACGTTGACCGCGTTGCCATCCACGAAGTCATGGAGCAGCAAACCGTCACCATCGCCAAAGCAGGCATCCACACCTCGCTCAACGCCCGTTGCAGCGTCATTGCAGCCGCAAATCCCATCTTCGGTCAGTACGACATCCACAAGGACCCACATCGCAACATCGCGCTTCCAGATTCACTTCTCTCGCGTTTCGATCTGCTCTTCGTCGTTACAGACGACATCGAAGACGCCCGCGATCGCCAGGTCTCAGAGCACGTCCTCCGCATGCATCGGTACCGACAACCGGGAACTGAAGAGGGCGCACCCGTCCGCGAAGAAGGCGCACAGCTCCTTGGCGTGGGTCTCGACACCGATACTGACGCCAATCGCCCGACGGAAGTCTACGAGAAATTCAACCCTATGCTGCACTCGGGCGTCACTATAACCGTTGGCCGCGGCTCTTCGCGCCGCACGGAAGTCCTCTCTATCCCCTTTATCAAGAAATACATACAGTATGCCAAGCGCGAGAAACCGGTCCTTACGCAGGGCGCTGCCCGCCACATCACTGAAGCGTATTCCGCGCTGCGAAATGATGAACTGGACGCTGGAACCCGCCGCACCTCACCTATCACTGCGCGTACGCTGGAAACGCTTATCCGTCTTTCCACCGCGCATGCGAAAGCGCGTCTGTCTAAGCGTGTAGAGCAGAAGGATGCAGAGGTCGCGGAGCAGATCCTCCGTTTCGCCCTATTCAAGGAGGTCGTGGAGGCTGAGCGCCGTAAGCGGCGTCGCATCACCCGCGATCCGGATGCAATGTCCACGGATGAGGATTCCTCGGATGACGATGAGGACGGCGATGAGAGGCAGACGACGCCGCCGCGGAGGGCGGGCGGTCCGAGCACACGCAGCCAACGTACACCTCGGATCTCTGCAGTCGACGAAGAGGACGAGGAGGAAGAAGATGAGAACGAGGATCTCTACCGCGTGACGCCAAAGACGCAACGCACCACCCAGTCCCGTACCACCACTACCACACAACCCTCCCGCAAAACGGGCGCGACATCCTCACAGCTCAGCGCCGCATCTTCCCTCCCCGCCTCCCAACTCCCCGCCACACAATCCCAAGACTCGCAGGGCATCAACCCCGCGCGTCTCCAGGTCTTCCAAACAGCCGTCGGTCAGCTGATCGACGGCCCGTTGTTCGCAAATGACGCCGCGGACGTAGAGCCGCTGGTGGCCGCTGTGAATGCGCGTCTGGGAAGCGGAGCGGGTCGCGAGCCGTTCGGCGAAGAGGAGGCGGAGAAGGCGCTCGAGGCGCTGAGTGATAGGAATAAAATTATGTATAGTGGGGGGATCGTGTATAAGATTTAGAGGGAGAGAGCGCGTGTGTGCCGGAAGCTAGTATTATGGGTGACGATGGGTTATGATTGCGATGAGCGGAGTACATGGAATGGTGGTGGGGTCGGGTCGGGTCGGAAGACAATGAGGTGCATGGTTTGGCGTTCAGGATAGGATAGGCTGGCTTGTTTGCTTATGTGTGGAAATATAATATGGAAGGAAACCTTCTAGTCTTACTCCCTTCTCATCCGCGCGCCTGTGCTCGTTTGCTCCAACTCACCGAACTCCAGAGAGAGAGCGAACGAACGGTAATGATTTTGCCACAAAACAAATCGTAAAACCAGATACTCTATGCCCGTCTATCTACTAAAATAGACAGACATGTGCGCGACCATGCTACATATGTATGGCCTTGTACATCTCCGTCCGGGGGGTATTACCAAATGCTGAAACATCGAACGCCCGTATGCACTGCTCCCCACATAAGCCGTACATCGCCGTCCCCTTGATGCCGGGGGTATTATCGAATGCTGAAATACTGAACGCCCATATGCATTGCCCACCATATAATAAATCCTTCATGTACATTCAGGACCAGATGCGGAAAGGAGCTTAAAGCCACGCATCCTCATCATCCGCAACGTCCAAATCCACATCCACTCCATTCGTCTGCTCCTCTTCCACCTTTACTACTACATCTGCTCCCTTCCTCACCTCCTGCTCGTCTGCGGTAGAAGATTCGTCATCATTATCTCGTCGCGACGCAAACGACTCGTCTTCGGTCGAGTTCACCACTACGGAGACGTTGTTGGGGACCCAGGATAGTTCGAGCTTTCCGACGTCAGGGATGTGGGAAGCTTCGTCAAGGAACTGTGTAGAAAGGTTAGCTGGTGATAATGCTGGCCAGAGAATGAAGTACGTACTATTTCAGCCATGTAGCGCTCCTGGAAGCCGACGATCAGCGTATTGGGTTGCTCCATATGCTGTTGGATGATTTCGCAGCCGTAGGCGTTCTGGAAAGTGTTAGCATTCTCTCCTCGGCGGTATAGCGAACCCTGAAGGGCTTCACGCGCCTTTGCAGAGTACTATATGGCATGCTAAAGGTCGAAACGTACCTGAAGATGTTGCCTCACAGCTTCGTCCTCCTTCGATCCAGGCTCGATTCCCGCGATGGCAAGGCGCTTCGGCCGGTTGTCGAGCCTTATGACGCTGCTACGTCCCCTATTAGGTGCTCCTGCATATCCACGTCCACGATAAGCTCCTCGTCCGCGCTGCGAAGAAACCCCGAAACCCCTCGCTCGGTAACTTCCTCGAAAGCTACCTGCCCGGAGCGTCGTCGGCATATCTGACTCGTGGTCGGCAAATAAACCTTCGGCTTCCGCCTGCAGGTTTGATAAATCAACCATTAGCCACGGATCATCAAGAGACATCTCTCTGCCCCTCCTCTTCATTACCTGTTCTCCTATTGCCCTATACTTCTCCGCGAACTTGAGCTTGAAATCCCGTATCTGCCCCTCTTTCACCCGCAACTGCTTGTCGACCTCTTCAGCTTTGGCTGCTACTTCCTCGACCTTCCTCTGTCGCTCCTCGAAAGCTTTCTGGGCTTCCGCTTGCCGCTTTTCGAACTCTTCGAAGTCGATCATCTCATCGTCTTCCTTGTAGATCTCAGGGATGTCTTGACCCAGTGCGGCGCCCCAACCTCGCATAGTTCCATGAACACCATTACTCTGCCTCGCAGTCTTAGGTTTGTACCAATACACTTTAACAAACCTATTATCGGAAACAACCTTAGGACTGTCGTAGGCGCGTTGTGCGGTAGCGTGGTCCTCGAACTTAACGATGGCAAGGCGGTTGTAGCCTTGCATTTCTATATCAACTATCTTCCCGAACTGGGAGAAGAAGTTCCGGACGCTATCTTCGGAGCAATGCTCTACCGGAATCTTCTCAACAGCAATGATGCAATTCGTACGGTCGTGAGACAGCCCGGTGTGGGAGAAGGCTGCACGGGGAGGACCCGCGCTGGAGGTTCCTTTCCCTCTCGCATCGTTACGGTCTTTACCTTGGTGATTTCTTCGACGTCCATTGGAGCCCAGGAGGGGTTCCACGGCCAGCGATGCATGGTTCGGATCGTATTCTAGCACTGTAGCAGGATGCATCTCGCCGTGCTCGTAGGGGCACAAGCTCCCCATAAGGCAGAATCCCTTCTTGTCGTAGTCCTTGCACCTTGCTTTGGGAGAAGAAGGCGCAGAACCAGGATGTGGCAAAACTCCGGGAAACATGCCTAGAAGGGCAGCCATCGCAGATATGAAAGACATCGGGTTGTTAGGGTCGATTGGAGGAAGCCCAATAGGAAGTGTGGGAAAGGAAGCGAGGGGGGAAATCGAGGGTGGCGGCAGTACTCGAGATCCGGTTGCTGAGGTCCTCACACCCCGCCCTCCAAATCCGCGTCGACCGTCCGTTCCTCCTCCTCTGGCTAGTTGCTTGGATGGCCTGTCATCGCTAGCATTGAGTGTGATATACGTATCCTGAAGACCCTCGCCTGTCTGGCGCGTTTCCCGATCGTGGAGCTTCCGTTTCCGCGACTGGTTGCCCTTTCCATTAGGAATTTTGGTCGCTCGTGCTATCGAGGCTGCCAATCGGTGTGAAGGTGAAGGCCCGGTCGGCCGATCTGGTAGAGAGTTCTTTCGTAGCGAGGAGGCGGGCGCCGACCGACCGTTCTTCATTCGCATGCCCGTGCTGTTGTCCGTTGGCACAATGAACGGCGCCGAGTCGGCTCCTACAATAGAAGCTATCGGTGCAGACTCGAGCTTCACCTTCGGACCATCATCCTCCCAACTCCTTTGCTCAATCGCCCTGACCACATCCGCCACAAAAGCCCCGGCATCTACCCAGAGTCAGCGCATCTCTCCAGCCATCTTCCCTCGCGATATGTACCCACGCTCTTGCAAGAAATCCGTCAGCGCCTCCACGCAATTCTGCTTGACTGCCGTATCGGGACCGTCGGCGGTGATGAGCGCGATCACATAATCCGCGAGAACTTCTGCGTCCGCATCGGAGCTGTTATTCAGTTAGCATCTTGCGCAAGGCCCGCTGAAACCCTTCAGCCTCCACAACACCAGGCAAACGTACATGGTCTCGAGCTTAGGAAGCAAGAACTGCTTGAACGCGCCTCTGTCTTTCTCTTCAAGGAGCATGTTTGCACCTCCGACACCTTCCGCTACTGGAGCCGAGCGTGGGAAGTCCGTTATATGCGCGCAAGGAGAAAGCAGGAAACGTGTTCGAGATCTGTGAGTGAGCGCGATCCAGAAGTGACTGAGACTGGTCTTGGCGCGCTTATTCGCGTCAAGGCCCCCGCATCACATGACCGATGCCCCGCTACCTACCCAGGTAGGTATGCAGGTTCAAGCCTTCCACTTTCAAATTCACGAGGCTGCAGCCTTGCACCGTTATCCTTAGGAACAATTCACCAACATTACATCCGTAAGTGAAATCAATTGTGCGACATAGTATTGATTTGTACTCTGTACTACATCACACGAAAAGCACGCTAGGGAAAGGGTCATTAACCGTGTCTTATGTCCAACCCCAAGAGCCAGCTGCTCGGATCCACGTTTTCGTGCCTGGTTGCTCCATATTGGAACTTTTCGTGCTATACAGCGACCAGCTATCGCGAGCAGGCCCAAGACCGCCGCACCAAGGTCGAGAGTAAAGGAAATCTAACGATTTTGGATACCTTTCCTCTATAGCTTGTCATAGTACTGTTAAGGAGTTAGCATGCGAAACCTCGGCAGCTAGGATTGGCGGAACTTACGTTGCTAAAATCCGGCACCTCAACCTTGATACCCTTCCGCTTTCGCATCGTGGAGACGATTTTACCCGGCAGTGTCGATGAGTCAAGCGGTGAGCCACCCTGAAGGATCTGCCAGTGGTCGAACACCATCTGAGGGAAGGCCTGGCCGGCAGTGTTGGAACGAAGATCAGCAGTGAAACCGAAGGACTCGTTGACGGGAAGGTAGGCCTTGACGTTGAAGAGCGGGGTTCCGACACGCTGGTTCTCCTCGAAGACATGGCCTCTCCTCCGGGTAAGCACACCGTAGATACCACCCATAGCCTGCTCGGGCACCTGGATTTCGACGAGGTAGACAGGCTCCTGCAGGCTCGGCTCTGCAAGCAGAGTAGCGGCGTAGAACACACGACGAGCAGTAGGAATGATCTGACCGCCACCACGGTGGATAGCATCGGCGTGGAGGGTAACATCCATGATATTGAAGCGGACCGATCGCATCGGCTCCTCAGCAACCGGGCCTTCCTTGGTAGCCCACTGGAAACCAGAGACGACAGAGTCCTTGATTTCGTTCAGGTACTGGACGGCCTTGGTCTGGTCGACGAGCAGATTGGCGCCAGTAGTGTCGGGACCGAAGCACCAAATCTTACGGGCATCGGTGACGTCCCAGCCGTGCTCATCGGCAAGCAGACGGGCACGAGACTTGAAATCGTCCCTAGGGCCGATCTTGCCCTGCTCGATAGCCACGGAAACCTCCTCATCCAAAGGCTGCGCAGTGACGTACAGACGGTTGTGCTTGTTGGGCGACTTGGACAGCGCAGTCATGCGCGAGGGGGCGCCAACCGTCTCACGGTACTGGACGACAGGATCGGAGAATCGGAGTGCCACACCAGCGTGGTCCTCTTCCAAGTCCTTCAAGCAAATCTCGAGGTGCAACTCACCAGCACCGGCGACGATGTGCTCTCCCGACTCGTTGATGGAGCACAGGACGCATGGATCAGACTTGGAGAGACGCTTAAGACCTTCGACCAGCTTGGGCAGATCCTGGGCGTTCTTGACCTCAACGGAACGCTGCACGACGGGGGACACGGAGAACTTCATGACTTTCAAGTTGTGCGCATTCTCGTTCGTGGTAAGTGTACCAGACTTGAGCAAGAACTGGTCGATACCGACGAGACCAAGAATGTTACCAGCCGGCACATCCTCAATGGGCTCGACGGAACGACCCATCATGAGAACGGTACGCTGAACGGCCTTGACGAACAAGTCTTCCTTCTTTCCGGGGATGTAGTTGGGGCCTTGAATGCGGACCTTAAGACCGGAGCGAACGGTACCAGAGAAGACACGACCGAAGGCATAGAATCGACCCTTGTCGGAGGTCGGCACCATCTTGGAGACGTACAACATGAGCGGGCCCTTGGGATCGCAGTCACGGATACCAATGGCGTTCTCATCGTCGTGGGGACCCTCGTAGAGAGTCTCCATACGGTACTTCTGGGCGGTGATGGGAGACGGCAGGTGGAGAATCATCATCTCCAGAAGGGCGTCGGCAGCTGGAAGGAACTTGCGCATGACAACCTTGAGGAGCTGCTTGCCCTCGAGGTCCTTCTCCGAGCTGGTAAGCTTGATCTCAAGCTTCTCGAGCAGAGTCGGGATCTCCTCAGTCTTGAAGTTCATCACTGCGCCGAAGATGCGGAAGATGGGATCAAGGATGAACTGGTTAAAGGCACGCTCAAGCGGCTTGCCCTCGTGATTGCCGGTCTTGGTCCACTTCTTGGTGTTGGGGTTGAAGTAGTTGTCGCCCTAGAAATTGTAAGCTTATGCACATTGAGATGAAGTGAGTCGGGTACTTACCCAGAGACGCTCCATCATCTTGTTCTTGTCGACACCGAACTTCTTTGCGTATCGGGCAGCAAACTGGCGGACAGTGAAGGCCCAGCCGTGTAGACCAGAGCCGAAGGCAATGGTACCCTGGTAGGGGTAGACCTGGACATCACCGAGGGCCTTGTCGAAGTAGGTGGCAATGACGACGTTGACGGATTCAATGACACGCGAGAAGTTCTGGTACAGGTCCTCCTTTGTAACCTGCAGCTCGAGCAGCGCACGATCGACCTTGTTGATGATGACGACGGGTTTGATACGCTCACCAAGAGCCTGTCGCAGCACAGTCTCGGTCTGGACGCAGACACCTTCTACGGTGTCGACGACGACGAGCGCACCATCGGTGACACGGAGGGCGGCCGTGACCTCGGACGAGAAGTCAACGTGTCCGGGCGAGTCGATGAGGTTGATCAAGAAGTCGTTCTTCTCGACCTTGACGGGGATGTCCTTGAGGTCCTCCGGGTCGGACAGGGTGGCATACAGGGAGATGGCGGTGGACTTGATCGTCACACCACGCTCCTGCTCGTCCGGTCGCGTATCCGTAAACCGCGCTTCTCCAGCTTTCGCCGCAGAGATGATACCGGCTCGCTGCACGAGGGAGTCGGTGAGGGTGGACTTGCCGTGGTCGACTGCGCGCACAATGGGTTAGCCTGTTGTTTATGCAGTGCGGGGCTGTCGAGGAGCGCTTACCGTGGGCAATGACGGACATGTTGCGGATGTTGGCCGCGCTGTCCATCAAGGCACGTATCTACCGATGCCGTCAGTTCCTGTCATCTCTCCATCCTAATACCAGATATGTATATTGTGGGGTGTTGTGTGTGCGGTACGTACCTCTTCGACCGTGAAGCTGGCGAACTGTTAGCATTGTGTTCAATCAAGCGTAAAACACGCCGTCTAGGACGGATTTGCCCTCGCATTCGCGATAGGGGAGAGAGGCGGCGACTTACTTGACCATTTTGGCGGTGTTGTTTGCTGTTCTCTACTTGAAAATTCGGTGGTAGGTTGCGTTCGAATACCCCGCACGGAGGGGTCGGCAGGCTTAAAAGGTTGCAGAGGTTGCAGTTGGTGCTCTGGCTGTGCAGACCAAAGGCAAGCAGGCGGGGAGCGCTCTATATAAGCCCGAGGCGCTGGCGTGCGAGACTCTTGGAAGTGAAAGGGAAGTGGGAGGAGAGGACGAGTTTTGCATGGTGGGGCAGGCACTCGCTTACGGTTAGTCCGCCTGGTGGCGTTAGCTCATTCATCACCATCAGCAGCTGGGCGAGGAGTCATACTCGACCGTGAATGTTTGCAAATCAAGCGCGTTCAGCCCTTCTTTTCTAGCTACTCAACGGAACATTTCACGTATGACTCCTCGCACCCTTTGAGAGCCCTCTGGTGACTCTGCCCTCGACCACGGCGCAGCGGCCCAAAGCGTTTAATTGGGCAGCGGAAGAGCAGGGAACGTCACCAGATCATGATGGCAGCACTTTCGTCGGCTTCACACTCTCCATGTATGACAAGAGGGTACAATTGTTCCGGATGGGTCATAGATACCTATGGTTACCTAGGTATCTGGCTTGAGAAGGCAAGCCCGTGTCAAATCCTCTACGTCGCCTCAGAAGTCGCCAAAACTGCTGCTGAAATATCAATCGCGAGCTACTGCGAGGCGCAATATTTGAGAAGCGCAGGGAGGAAGAGCTGTCTGAAGAACAGGCTTGATGACAAATGGGAGAGATTAGGTCCAGCTTATAAGTTCGGAGATAAGTCGCAAACTACGGCAGCGCAGGCAGTAAGAGGCAAAGGTGATCATGACAGGCAGAAAAGGTTCAACGAAGTCTGGTAGGATTCAGCACCTCTTACGTTTACCAAGGCAATATCACGAGAGGGAATCAAGGACTTTGAAGACGTCTCTCGTATTCATATGAGAGCATGGCATCGTAGACTATCATACAGCACTGTATGAGACGAAATACTGAAACATGGAAATTCGCCCTAGTGCCCGCCCGACCACGATAATGGTATCTTGGAATAGACCACCATAGAAAAGAAAAGTACCCTGACGCCGTGTTTTTAGCTCCAATATGCAAAGAGATTTTAGTCACTACCCTGGGGGCAGTATTTGCGCGAAAACAGAGTCATGCTGTGTGCGGTCTGAGAAAAGCCAGCTTGTGCCCATGAATGGTGAAGGCATCGCTTTCTTGTAGGGAGGAGGATGGAGATCATTGAGATAATGAGATTCGATGAAGAGACAGCATGCGAGACGGTGCGAAGTGGCACCATCTACTCGTCCTCCTTGATCTCAATCTTCGGCTTCTTAGGGCTGTCCCCGCGCTCAGAGTCTTCGGCCTTGCGCTTGGACTTTGCCTTTTCGACCTCGGTGCGTGTATCCTTGACAACAGGAACACCATACGCGTTGGTTTCGAGCGGCTTGCGGTCCTCCTGTTGGTTGCCCCGCTTGTCTCCCTTGAAATCCCTAGACTTCTGGAACCTGTCGCGACGGCCGTTCCAGTCCTTGCTCTCCTCTGATGAACGCGAACCGTCACGGTCTCGACGCCTAGGAGGAGACCGCGAGCGAGATCGGTCGCGTCCACGACGGTCTCGGTGGTCCCGACGGTCCCGATTGTCGCGATAGTTGCTGCGATCTGACCGGTCGTTGTAGCGGCCACCACGGCCGCGTCCACCGCGCCCACCCCGATCACGTCCTCGACCTCGGCCGCCACGGTAACCACCCCGAGCGGTTTGGTATTCCTCGTTGCGCAGCCAGGCCGGAGTGATACCCTTCTCTTTGCATTTCATCTCGCTATACTCTTTCTTGGACATGACCGTGAGCTCGTTGCCGTTATACTTTGGCTTCGGGTCCAAGGCAAGGAACTGCTGCTGCGACTCTTCGCTCTCGAACTCGACAAAGATGCTGCCTTTCCAGCTCTTATCGTCAGCGCGGCGTTTGCGGACCATGACGGAGCCGTAGGGTTTGAAAAACTGTTCTAGCGCAATCTGACCAGCTTGCTCTTCTTCACCAAATCCCTTCACGTAGATGCTGGCGTCGAGGTTGTTGACTGAAGACTTGAACAAGCGCTCGTAGAGCTCTTCGGCGTCGGGTGGGTACTTGTCGTCTTTTTCCCTCTTCGGGACCGCAATGGGCTCCTTGCGCTTCACGGCCTCATTGCCGGTGCCGCTAAAGTCGCCGTCATCTACGACGACAAGGTCCTCGCTATCCCGTAGCGCCTCCACGATAGCGGAGTAAGGCTTGAAGCGGCGCATGCGCTTGAACTGGCATATGTGCTTGATCGGAACAGGGCGATTCTTGGGGCCGTCAAGCTCGAGGAATAGATGTCTATCGGTGCAGAGGTTCTGGCTGGAGAAGTAGAATTCAACCTTCGGCAGTTAGATCAATTAAAATGGTGGATGATGAGAGTAGCATACCTGGGCACGGATTTCGGTGGGGTCATCGGTCTCTGGGAGATCCGCAAACTCATCGTGCCTGTAGAAATTGGTGAGTGAGAACATGCGGCGCAACTTCAAAGCTTTGCGCACCTCGGTCGCCAGTTCTTCTGGAACTTCCCGTCGCCATTGCGCTTGTCGCCGAACTTGTTGTTGCGCTCATCCTTAAAGCGGGAGTTTGTCTCCTTGTCGTCTTCAGCAGTGCCGTTTGTAGCCTTCTCTTCGCTCTTGACGTCGGATGACTCCTCGGTTTTGACGGCCTCAGCGGCGCCGTTGGCTGCCTCTTTCTCCTTAGCCTTCACATCCTCGGTGAATTCAACATTCGCGGCCTCGTCGGCGGCCTCGGGCTTTGCGTCGGGCTTTGCGTCAGGCTTCTCGTCAACTGGCTCCTCACTCTTGACAGCCTCAGTGGTGCCGTTGGCTGCCTCATTCTGCTCAGCCTTCACATCCTCGGTGAATTCAACATTCGCGGCCTCGTCGGCGGCCTCGGGCTTTGCGTCGGGCTTTGCGTCAGGCTTCACCTCCACTGACTCCTCCGTCTTAACGGCTTCGGCGGGGTTGCTCGGCACCTCGTCGATGACGGGTTTGGCGTCGTCGGACATTGTGCTGTAAGGTACAGCGAAAGTTGGCAATTAGCTTAGGTCTTCCTGCTTGTTGAAGGAGAATTTGTAAATCAAGTGTAGAAATTGAGGGCTGAAGAAAAAAGTGCTGGGGAGAAGTTTGGAGGAGCTCTAGCGGGGAGCTTGTTAGCGGCGGCCCGATTTTTGATTTTCGATGGCACGGACCATCGGCGCCGGCGAAGCTGCTCCGGCGCAATTCTCTCAGCGGACCTCTATTGTCTGAACAGCAACAATACCCACTCCTTCACTGCCAATTGATTGTTCGTCATCATGAGGAAGAAGCCGAGGTTTCACTCGCTAAAGAAGCTGGTGCGCAACTCCTGTCGAGCTATTGGGATGGCGTGCGCGTGATTCTAACAATCGAATAGAAAGTCAGACAAGACTGGTCACGCTGGTCGCTGTATAGTCTCTCACAGCTCAAACCGCCGAACGTCACGGCTCGAACGTATTTCCAGCAGAAGTGGTCGGCCAAGTCGGATACTCGAGCGTACCATGGCGAGCAGATTCAGGAGAAGAAGTGGAAGCGATTGTTCAGGAGAAACCTGCCCGCCGTGGTGCCCATGGACCACAAGTACCTCGCCAGATATGACGGATCCGAGCAGGCCGCTGGACGAGGAGCTGGAGCAGATACTCAAGAGAAGCCTCGGACACCTCCAATGACGCCGTACATGCAGATGGCGTACTATCCGATCGAGAGGAGATTGGACACAGCTATTTTCAGGGCATTGTTCGCGAGCAGTGTCCGGCAGGCGAAGCAATTCTGTGTGCATGGGTTGGTGAAGGTCAACGGAAAGAAGGTATGAGCCTGAAACACATCTGGAAGGAACATCTTCGATGGGTTGGAGAGCCACGGCTAATATTCCTAGATGCCCTTCCCCGGCTACATGCTCAACCCAGGCGACATGTTCCAAGTCGAGCCCTCCAGCGTAATGTTCGCAACCGGCGCCCAGAAGCGACGCTCCGCAACTGCGCGCAAGGTCGCCAAAGAGAAAGCCGCCGCCCGGGCCGAATCCCGCGAGAAGGCCCAAGCATCCACACCACCAGCCGAGCGAGAAACCTTTGCCGCGCGCGAAGAGCCCACACCACAGGAGCTAAAGAAACACATGCAGGCTCTCATGGAAGATGTAGAGAACGTGCTGAACGAGGACGTGGGCGCAAAGGACAAGCAAAAGTTTCGTGCTTTCAGACAGACAGTCAAGAAAGCTATTGGCCTGTGGAAAACGGCATCCCCTGAAACCATCTCGACTCTCGACACTCAATTCTCCTTCCTAAAAGACCACCTGGCCTCCCGGTCCGCCGCCCCGCAAGCCGAGCCAACCACCTCCGAAGAGCCAACCTCCCTCCTCTCCCCCGAAGACCAACAGAAACTCAAGACAGCGTTTGAGAAGTTACGCTTGGAGACCGAACACACATCCGCCTGGAACAAGCGTGACGCGTCCGCGCCTTATGCTACGCCATGGCGCCCGCGGGATTACATGGCCGCCTTCGCGTTCATACCGCGATATCTCGAGGTCAATCAGAATATCTGCGCCGCCGTCTATCTACGGCACCCCGTTGCGCGACCCGGGCTAGCAGAGGTGCCAACACCATTTCATATCGAGACAGGACAGCTAGCGTTCAACTGGTATTTGAGGAGGCGATAGACAAGCTGCGTTGGGATGTAGGATGCGTCTGCGTATAGGTGTAGATAGGAACTGTACAATACTGTAGCCATCAAGTACTGTATTCAAGACGGAGTTCATATGCATTTGGAGGTGTTTGATCTTTTGGATAATTCATTCTCGCTCTTCTGCGAGCCTTGTGTCTTGTCTACTATTCGTTCTTGTGTGAATATATGTGGAAGGCGATGTAACAGTAAAACTTGATCAGTACAATATCATGTATATGCCGCATATCATCCAAGCGTCCGTATTTGAGAAGGACTTCACTCACACATTGGGAACAGTTGATGGTTTGGTAGTGTATTCAACTCGCTAATTGAGCGAGGCTTGTGTACGCTATGTCTACTTCGACATAGCTAGCTATTGTACAACTATGAAAGTATGATTATTAGTGGGGAGACTTTTTTCTCGCCCGATGCCCGGATGAAATGCGGAAATCATGCAGAAGAAATCGTACATGCATGATGCTGAAGCCGAGGAAGCGTGAGCCCCAGAAAACCCCGTCCAGATGCGCCGTGATATCATAAGATGAAAAACTGGCTGGAAAATGCGAACCGAGAAGCTGCCTGTTAGCCTTCATCCTGCCCTGGTATGTATTTACCAATGGCGGGTTTACCTCTCCTAAACGCCATTACCCTGAAAAGACCTAATTCTTCGCGTCACCCACTCCCGTGTCCGTCATCTCCGCATACCGCAATGTCTCTGCGCTCGGCCGTGGACTGACATCGATCACACTGCTCTCAGGTGTCCACCTCGAGCTAGTGGAGCTCGTAGTAGATGGAGCATAATGTCTGAAGCCGTTCGGCACAGAGTCCGACACGTCCTCGTCTTCCTCATACGCTGGCGGGTCACTCGATGTGTCGGAGCGATAGCCGGGAAGGCTGTCTGTGCGCGAGAGAGGACGTGATGGGAGTTCGGGGAGGGAGGTTGGTGGGTACGTGGAAGCGGTTGAGAGGGGAGAGTATGAACCAGGATTATGGGCTGGAGGATGATGGCCGCAGTAGCAGCGGGTGTGCGGAGGCGGATTGCAGGAGGGAATACGGCCTTCTTCTGCGCGGACGAGGTCGTTGACGACGCCGTGGGCGGCGCGCAGTTGGCGAATCTCCTCCTGCATTGCTTCCTCGAGGACGCTTTCCTGGTGCTGGATCAGGCTGCGCTTCTCCTCGTAGTCTTCGATGCGCTCTTCGTCGCGGCAGTTGCGGTGCCACCAGTTGCGCCAGGCAAGCTTTCGGGCTGCTCGGCGGTAGGCGCGCGCGGTACGGCGTTCTTCGCGAGTGGCAGCGCGTTCGGTGCGTGTGCGAAGGCTGCTGCAGCGGTGACGGAGGATCGTGACCAGGCAGCCGCAGCAGAGGAGACCGAGGACAATCTCCAGAGCGATGACATATGGCGAGTCTGGTGGGGGCATGTGTGGAGGTCCATGGTGATGATGAGGAGGGGGAGGAGGAGGAGGATGGTGACCTGGTCCGTAGCGTGCAGTCGGCTGCGGAGGTGGAGGAGGTGGAGGTGGGTGATGGAAGGAGTCGATCTTCACGTTACCCTCTGGTACCTGGGCATGGTTCCCAGCGCGCCATACCCGCTGATATGGATCCTCGGGGCCACCCATCGGAGGCGGCGGTGGAGGAGGGTGATGGTGGTGGTGGTGATGATTGGGGCGGAACCGGATGTAAAGGATCCTCCAGGCACCGTGTGCTTTGTGGGCAATAGCCCTGACGACACAGGTAATGCTGTCGCACTGCTGAAGTTCCTCCTTGAAGCTTTCGGCGTCCTTCTTCAGCTGCGAGTTGATAAACTTCTTCTTCTCCTTGATCGCTCTCTGGAGCTCCTGTACTTCGGCTTGGAGCGCTCTAAGCTCGCGGATGTCGTCTTCCAGGAATGACTGGCCGGGAGCATCAACGGCGTTGCTCTCGTCCTTGGGTGAAGCGATGATCAAGCGGAGGTGAGCTGGCGGTTCCCTCCACGAATCAGCCTGGTCCTTCTTGCTGGCCGATCGGTTAGGGACGGCCTCAAGTCTGAGAAGTTCTGGCGGCGATAGTTGTTTGAATGAGACCGTGAAACCGGAAGGCTTCTCTATGCTCTTGCCGTCAATCGATTTGATATTCACGGTAAGAACTTGGGCGGCTTCCTCGGCTTCGTCGTTGCCATGAAGACAGGCAGACTCCCACTCAAGATCAAGGTCGTGCTGGAGGAACCACGCATTCTCTTGGAAGTCGGTAACACCAGTGTAGGATCCAGAGCCAGATGCGAAGTCGCCGTTCCACTCTTGGGGAAGGTACACTCCATTCAGAGTAATGTTGGAAGCGCCACAAGGCTCCTTGTGAGCGTGGGTCTTAAAGCTCAAGATCTAGGAGTAGGTGAGCAGGGATGTCACTCTTTTTGTTGCCTGAAGTGGGCCTTACAAGAGACTCGTCATCATGGCCCGCTTGGTCTTGGCCAAGACACCCAGCGCATGGGACGCTGAAGGTCGCTTGTGCGTAGTTCTCTTGGAGGTCTGCGACGGTTTAGCAGCTGCCTGGAGATGGCGAAAGACGAATAGATATAAAGAGGCACGCGTACCTAACTCCAAGAGCTTCCCATCCGGTCGAACAACGTCAGATTGTCGACCTTGGGGAAGAACGGCCGTAAGTACCGGAACCGCCCAGGCGCAGGCTGACAGTACCTTCGATTTGAAGGACCGCATGGTTCACAGAAAATAAAGGAAAGACGGAGGCAAGAAAATGAACGTGTGTCAGGCCAGCAAACAAACAGCAACAGCACCAGCTTAAAGGAATCAACGGGTCGAAAGGAAACACGGGACAGGTGTCGTTCTCGACGAGAACTTGGGGTGATCAGGCACCAGGCAGAGGGCGGGAGGCAGTGGTGTTTAATGGGGCGCAGATCAGGTCGAAGCCCCAGCCATCAGCGCTTGACTGGACGCGTGTCGCTTGCGACCGGGGCCCCGAATAGGGTCAGCGGGGCTGAGCAGCGCGGTCACGATTCAGCGCCGCGCAGGAAATGCAGACACGAAGAAAAGGAATGGTTGACGGGAGTGTGAGTGTGAGGATGGTGATGGCTTATTATCTGGGGTGACAAGTTTCGGTTTCGCGATCTCTTGAGAGGCCATGTGGCAGGAACGCTCTCTGTCCGGTTGCGCCTTCCTTCACGTACGGAGGCCTCGGGAGACAGCCTCAGACATTTTCTATCCCAGCGACAATCAAACAGGCTTGATCAAAGCTTCGAATTCTAGATGTTGTCGTCCACGGTCGGACCGCAGGGAGCTGGCTGATCCTCTAGTACTAAAAACCTACCTGTACTTGGTACAAGAATCGAACAACCTTCTCCCTGTAAGGATTTGAATCCACTCGAACTTCTGCTTGAGCACATTATTGAAGCTGCAGCACGCCTCACGTCTCCCCAAAGATACGGACCAAAACCGGCGTTTCGAGCTTCAGGTGATCCTTCAGCTTTAAAGGTGGACGGCCACCACCAAAACCGCCTACCTAAGGGAAATGTTCGTGCAGAGCTTGAGAGCATTGGCCGGCGGTTTCATGTTTCCACGGGCGAGTAAAACAGAACAATTGACGCGGCTTTGAGAATCGCATTGGTCGAGCGGTCGAGGTGACGACGACTCCGAGGTGCAGTATCGATAGGGCCGCGCTCGGACCAACCGAACGCCCCGATTGGACGTTGCGCTAAAGATGGAATCCCGCGTGCATTTCCGGTCAAGCTTCGGTCAACAGCTTGGAAACGAGTTAAGACTTGCTGCTAGTGTAATGATTGCTGGTTGAAGAGTTTGAATTGCTGTGGCTGATTCAGAGAGATCAGATCCTCAGATGTTTGCAAATGCCAAGACCGTTGGCCCAAGCTCTCTCGAATGCCATTCGGGAGGAGCGTGGACTCTCAGTCTCAAAACCAACAGCCCACATCACCAGACACCAGCCAACCCTCTAATCGCCAACCCCACTGTGGCGCTGTGCGTGCCTCACTTACGCGTGCCCTTACTAAGGATTGCATTGAACGACCGACGCGAACCGCGGTTTCAGCACGATGGTGCGTCATTCCAGAGCTCGTCGCATAGAGCTTCCGCTAACTCTACCCCACAGCTACCCCTCGGTCTCTTAACGGCCGCGACGGGCCACCCTATGCTAGTCGAACTGAAGAGCGGCGAGACGCTAAACGGCTTGCTGATCAACTGCGATACGTGGATGAACCTTACATTGAAGGAGGTGGTACAGACAAGCGCAGATGGTGACAAGTTCTGGAGGTTACCGGAGATATACGTGCGCGGCAGTACAGTCAGTCATACGGCAATGAAGCCCGCATTGAAGCGTGGGCTATTGAAGAAAGGGCTGACTTCGGCAGATCAAGTACCTACGGGTCCCGGACGAGATCGTGGAGGTAGTCAAGGAACAGCAGGCGAAGGACCAAGCGACGAGGGGTGGACGAGGCGGGATGCACCCGCGGGGAGAGCACCGCGGGGATCGCGGTGGCCGAGGCATGCGTGGCCGCGGACGGGGGCGTGGAAGAGGCGGCGGTGGTGGAGGCGCTTGAAGTGTGTAGGGAATTTTGGGCAGCAAGAGCCGGAAGCCTTTACACTCGACCGTGCGAAATATACCCATGCGCTCTCATGTTGAGGATCGACCTCTCCGACCAACTGCGACTCTCACCCCTTGCCGGCGCCTGCTGGCCATGGACGCATGGTTCATGCTATTAGCTCGTCTCAGATGATGCTGTCGTCGCAGCCTACCATAAGATAGATACTGGTAGCTATTTGGGAGAAGCCTCGGTTCTTTCAATCCTGCCCTGATATCTGGGGCTCAAATGTGGCTACAGATCCGCCACATGTAAATCCCCAGGCGCGGTAATACGAGCACAAGACCGACAGCGGAAGGGTGAAACATAAATCTAGTATAGTTGCACGCCCCCATCTCTTTGCAGGGCGATTCGCGAGGTCGACGGAGCGAGCTATACCTAATTCTTCCAGGTCACAGGTGGACCTTACGCGGGGTCACCTCCGGGTCAGTCCCGAACCTAGATAATATACTAACGTCGGACCGTTCACTGCAGCACGCATATAATAATTCAGGTACGCTCGCAGTCTGAATCGTAGATCTTCAACTGCTCTAGCCTACTTCCTATCTGGACAATATGGCAAGTCTCCCTACAAACTACCTGCTTAGCTCATAGTGTCTGCTGTTGTGGCTCGAATCACCACCTAAGACGTTTAACAGGGATAAGGAGGTATTAACATACAATCCAAAGAGCTATACTGACTTTGTACCTCTACCTTCTGCAGACCAGCTTCACAATCACAGATACCTACCTCGAAAGCATCAAGGATCAAGTGGTCCTCGTCACAGGTACCCAACTCAACTCATCTTCCATTCATTCATCGTTGTAACTAACACTCCTCTAGGCGCCTCTTCCGGCATCGGTCTTGCAACAGTCAAACGCCTCCTCCAGCACGGCGCAAAGGTCTACGCCTGCGACCTGAACCCCCTCCCCGAACCCGAGAACTCCACAGTCCCCTTCAGCAAAGTCGACGTAACATCCTGGGATGAGCAACTCGCCGCGTTCAAAGCCGCCAAAGAGAAGTATGGCAACATCGATCATGTGTTTGCCAATGCGGGCACCAGACCCCTCTGCACTCTCCTCGAGGACGACGTAGATGAGAAGGGCGATCCAGCCCCGCCGACGCTGAGAACGATCCAGGTAAATCTGATTGGGTGCTTGTATACAGTGAAGCTGGGTCTGCATTATATTAAGCAGAATCCGAAGGGAGGAAGTATCGTTATGACGGGCTCGGCATCAAGTATGTAGTCTGCTCAACCTTCAGAACCGATGTTTGCTAATACGTCGGAAAGGCTTCGCCCGCTTCCCCGCCACAGACTACGCCGCCGCTAAACACGGCGTCCTCGGCCTCATCCGCTCCCTCTCCAAGAATCTCCAGCCCACGCTCTCCCCGCCCTCTACCCAGCCTATCCGCATCAACGGCGTCGCGCCCGGCTGGACCGCCACCAACATCATGCCGCCCGCCCTCAGAGGAGTGCTCGGTGACGACATCCAGAGCCCCGATGTGGTTGCGCGGTCGGTGCTCGTGCTCATGGCGGATCAGAAGAGGCATGGCGAGCTGGTGTATAGTGACCGCGGTCGGTACTGGGATATTGAGAACGGGGAGAGGGGCGTGCATAGGTATATTAGCGAGGCGGTGGGCGTGGATGTCGAGGAGGAGTTGGACTTTATGGGGAAGTTGAGGGCGGTGGGGAAAGCGGGGAAGGGGATACCGTAGGGGAGGGAGGGAGGGCAGTTTATATAGTCACAGTGAGCGTTGGTATTGTCGATGGTGATGAGGAACTCTAACGGACACTATGCTTGCGGAAGAGGTGGGCGCGCCTAAGCATAGGTCTAATTAGGCCTTTGAAGCGTGATCACGCTCATGGCAGTATGCAATAATAAGTCAACGATCTCGAAACAGGCATCTAATTGGTAAAGCCCCTGGCCAACCGGTTTCAACAGTGGAATCGCCAGTCCCAGGAATAGATTCTGTATCAGAAACTCTGCCGCAGTAGAACAATAGCCACCTTCGCAACGGCCATTCTAAGACATTTAGCGTCCTACGTACTATCACCAATCTAAGACACGTATAATGCTTGCTTCCATATGCTACGGCGGCGGATAACCAAGTCGCGAGAGAAACAAACCGTACCCTTCAGTCAAGATATCTCCCCCATTAGGGATATAGAACCCGGCCAGCAGTTGATCGTAATACTGCCCCGAGATGCCATACAGTTCTTCGACGTGTGTCTCGTGGCCTTGGGAATGAGGCCTGTCGAGGAAGTCGTGGAAATCATAATGGAGGTGTCGAACCCTTCGAAAGAAAAGGTCGTAGTTTCTGTAGTCTTGCGGATTTTTCTATGGCAGCAATTTCAGTCTGGTCTCGAATGAATCAACTAGATATTGAAACCACTCATAGTGTGCATTGGTAGTAAATTTCTCGGGATCCATACCCTACCATCTCTATGGTAATAAAGGATCCCGTCCGAATGAGTTATTGATCCCACCTCTTTTAGCTAGCCCGTTGGTGTCGTGCACATATTTCTGAGCTCGACGACGTAGGAATCTCGAATTGATTCCCAATTCAAGGCTAATCAAGGGAAGAGTGGCCGACAAACCGCTAGCAGTCAACCAAAGCGCCTTCTCTGCAGGTCTTGGAAAAGTGTCTCTCGAGGCCAAGCAATGTACTCTGCCGAACACGGCGGTAGAGAGGGTTAGCGCAAAGGGAATTAGATGAGCGCCTCGTGATTGCTGTCTCACTATGCCGTTTGAAATTCTTATTTGCCCAGTTAGTATGCGACAAGGCGGGGGCCAGCAGCTGTGCGAAGAAAGGGTCTCTGTAATATTTCTATGCCTCGAAGTTGTGTGGAATATCGTTCAGAATAATACGAGGCTTGTGGTTGCCGGCGAAATCCCGGCCCACTAATGCGATTGACAGTTGCTTTTATACTCAAAAGTGTTATTAAGAAAGAGAAGACGAAGCCAATCCGACCCAATTGCCTGGTCTAGGAGCCTTGAAAGCTCCCAGCATTGAAATGAAACGAAGGAACGGGGAGAAGAGACAATCAAACACGCTCAAGAACAATACAAGAAGTAAACCATCCTCCGAGCAAGGCGCGTCGGTGAGTTACGGGTAGAGTAGGCATGTGCCGATACCCACATCCTCCGCTGTTCCCTATACCGGAAGTATATTCTGCCTCTCGACCTCCTCATTATCTATACCAGAGCGACGCTGCCAACGTCGACCGAGGCTCTCAAGACATCTTCCAAAGTAGCGAAAACATCCCTCGAAGCAGTCACAAATAATCTGACAGAGAGCCCCTAGACCCCTCCCCATGCACGCCTCGATAGCAGAGACATTCGCAACCGTATATGTACAGAGACTCAATATAACCGGTAAGAATGTGAGAACAGACTGCATGCCATCATGACTGCAGACTATAATCAGTAATGACATTGCCGCCGACAGCAGAATACTCAGGAGAAGGGACATCCGCGGATCCGTATGTGCTTGGAAAGCAGTGTAACCATATGCGGCCGTGACAGCCAGATTTGCCAGATAGACACTGTAAAGTAGCGCAGTGGATGACCGAGGGTCCATCTTCACGATTGGCCAAAATAGCGATAGACCACCCATGATAAGTGGTAGGCACCGGACCCCCAGCGTGTCGAACAATGCTGTGCTGAGCAAGACAACGGGAAAGATACGTTGGAGAAATACCCCAAGCAGCTTTCCCTAGCTGCAGCACCAACGTTTTCTAGAGCGTGTACTCTGCCAAGGAAGCATGCCAGCGTCCAGAAGAAGAGTGTGTGACTGGACAGAGGGTGCAAAAGCTTTATACTCGTGCGAAGGTACTGTGCTGGGGGGGAATTCGGAGGTCGCTTAAGGTTCTGACAGGAATCTCGTTCCAGGACGCCTCTGTTTGCGTCCTGAGGGTTCAGCGCCGACGCTTGAAGCGGGTGGTGGCTGAGATGTCTCTCTTTTGTGAAAATCGATTCGAGAAGCACCGAATCTTTAGCTACCTCTTGGTGCTGCCGTGAGACTCGACGTGAGTATTCTTCATAATATTGTCGACCATTGCTGCCTACAAACGTCAACACCGCGAGAGGTGGGGAAGTTTGAACACCTACTCCGAAAACGCTGCCACTTGAAAAAGTCCAGACTCAGGTACATCTCGCTACATGTTGAGAGTACTATGTAGGAAGCAGGTGGAGCGGGGTCGAGTGCTTCGGATTTCTCATCGGTGCACCGAGGACACGCACTGGAGGTGTCTGCTTTCCGGGCATGCCCACAACAGCAACCGTTGTCGTCGGCAGACTCCATCAAAGCCGGAGTACCCTTGTTGCCCAGTGCCAGGCTACCACCGTGCCTTGCGCGGTCGCCGGAATCTATCTGTTCCGGCTCCTGGGTGGATAACAGTGATGGAGGAGGATGAAGCAGGTCATACGTTGGACATGACGGAGGACGAGGCGTCTTTGCTCGATAGTTGTCTAGATGATGTCTGGTAGGAGGGATTGGTGGCCGCCCGGCATGACTGGGTTTACAAAGGGAGCCTTGGTTGTGATGCTGAGGATCGATAGGACGTAGTGAAGAATAGAGTCGGCTTTCTTCATAGGAAGGTAGAGAGTGCAGTGTGGGCCATGCAAAGGGATGTTTTGGAGACGTCTCTATCTGGTCCATGTCCTGGATTCTTATACGATGGCTGGTAGCCAGGTTCGAAACCTCGTTCAGGCCCGCAGGAAGGGAAAGTGTTGGGGGACAACGAAGATGATAAGGCCTAGAATGGAGATTCAACAAGGCAGCGGAAAGGGAAGCAAAGAGAGTCGACTCTGCTGATGTTAACATTGATATCTTGTATAAAGATGCCCACCAGCTGGGGTTATATGCAGCAAGATAGTTCCCGGTGAGAAGAGTCTACAAATCAAAGTTTATCAGCAATAAGCGAGGTGCTGCAGGACGTTGGTGTAGATCGTATTGACGCATGTCTTGTTGGACCTCTCACCTCTCACCTCGCCTAATACCGGCAAGTAACAGCATGTGCCGAGTTGCTGCGCAGCATGTGACTGGCCCAGGTCCAACGTGCGGGGAGCGCGCGCAGGCAGCTCTGCAGTGGGCGGTATACACATACCGAGGCGTGGGTCGCCTACAGCCCGTCAGCGCGGCCACTCCTCGCCGCGTGATGGACGAAAGGTGACGCAGGCAGAAATGGCTAGGGGCAGGCGGGATGCGAAAGCACGCATGGTGGTGCAAAGGCGCTTGCAGAGGCGCTGCATGAGAAAAGAAAATCCTATGAGTTCGATATCGCCCGCGGCACATCTGGGACGCTGGGGCTCGACGTCCTTTAGGCTCCTCGCCCCATTGCGCTACGATTCGTTAAGTAGCATCGTCTTCCCTTGGCACCTCAGAAGAAGGCATTCGTCTGGCATGTAGAACGCTACGCAGCCATAAGCCAACCGACGGCGGCCGTGGCAGATTGATATCCCGTTCTCGAAAAGAAGCGCACAGCTGGAGAGATCAGATAGCAACGCCGCGGTTCCTTTCCGCTGTTTCTCGATTGAGCTGATCTCGGATTACTCGCGTGCCACCTTTGACCCCCTGAACATCTCAGGGCCGAAGTCTATGGGTGTAGCTTGTAAGTATGTTGAGAAGAGAGGAGCGCGGCGCTGGTAGAGGACTGCCGTATTCGCCACGGACTAAAGACCTAGAATCTTGCTCAAGTTGGTTTGACAGCAGCTTCCTTAATGCTGCGCGCTCTGCCATGCTGGGAGGCTGAGTTCTGTACTTAGTCTTTGCCAGCCTGTCCCGCTTCGTACTCCTCCGCAGCTGGTTGTGCAACCATCTACACTCCGGCTTAATTCTTGGCCCAAGCCACATACTCATCCTACTCTAACGATGAAGTCGGAAATGAAAGAAAAGTTATACTGCATCATCGGTATAACCTTAGGTCTTCTCTCCACCATCATCCACTCGACTACTCCACAGCTCGTCATTTCCCTCTAGGTAATCCCTCAGCACCAGCTCCCAGAGATGGCCGCGTTTCGATACCGCACGCTCTGTTGAGGGACTTGTCTGAATAGATAAGAGATGACGAAAGTCCAATGTCGATTATCGCCTCCGAGGGGAGCCATATAGCACGTTACTCCAACGGATGTTTGAATGCAACTGCTACCGCGGCAAACAGAAGCAAGGACGCTCCCCCTTCCTTTTCACAGACGCTCCCCCTGGGACTTTTTCGTGTGCCATCGCGTAGAGCTGTACTTTGTTCAAGCTGCTTGACGATTTCCCGACGCCGAGATTCGATCATCACAGCGTCGTGCTGTTGTTGGCAAACTGGTAGTCTGCGCGGAAGTTAACGAAGTCGACGATGCAACCTTGTCCAACGGTCCGTTCTGCCTCAATATTAGCCTCCTCTTGAGCTTCCTGGCTGGAAAAGTCCGGCAAGTGTCGCGGCGTGTTGCATCGGCAGATTGTGTGATCACTATGAATGGAAGACGTCAATGGAGTGGAAGAAGCAATGCTGGCCTACGCATACGGATGGTGCAAGGCCTGAAGCTTCGTATTCAGAAATGTCCGCTGCATTTGGGGCAATGTTGGCTCACAGAGTGATTAGATGGAATTCTGGGTGGGTGATGGAAAGTGCACCCCGACACGCGCTGATTCATACACGCTAGCCTGTTCTTTGCCTCGGTCCACAGATCGGCCCTTGATTAGCACATCAATGCATATCGAAAGACGCGGCAAGGTATGAGGAGGAGGAGAGGCACGCAAAACTTCCTCGCCATGCTCTCATTGTAGCTAGGGTCATAAAACCGGACGGATCACCTGGCCTATTTATGGTGGAGACAGCGAATACAACGAGCTCGCTCAAAGACCCTTGGGACAGAAATACAAACACATACTGTGTAGCTCGCAAGATCTTGGTCTATCATGTAGCCACCAATGGCCAACGCCCGCAGGGTAGCTCAACTCCCATCCTATGTATATCAAGCCTACAATACCAATTAATACCTTCCAACTACGCCGTACCCGCCTCTTTTGTCATGCGACCCAGACCTTACATGCGAGCCCTCCTTTTCTGGCTCTTCAGATACACACCCCAATCCGTGCTCAATCCAACCTCTTCCAGCCCAGTGACTCCATCACCCTCCTTCCAACCTTCCCATTGTTCAAGCCCGAACAAATGTCGCATCGTTGGTCTACCGTGCGGACAAGACCATGGCTTGTCCATAGAGCCCATATGCTTTACTATCGTCTCCATCTGAGTATTCTTTAGGGTCTTGCCGATCATGACAGAACTTCTGCATGCCCGACTTGCGAGTAGCTTCCGGACTTTGCTCGGACGTGGAATATGGGGCGAGATCGATGTCGAGGATGAAGGCGGGTTGTCCAAAACCAGGGCAAGAAGCTCTTCGAGGTCATGCGGCGTAAATGTGACTTCTTTGCTCATTGGCAGAGATGTGAGTTTCGCTCTTCTTCTCACGTCCGTGTCTCCCGATGTATCCATCTCCACGACGAAGCCGTTGGCCGTCAATGAGTTCTCGTTTGCGAGGATGATTTCTTCTTCGACAGCCGTGAGTTCGAGGGGGTGTGGGTGTACGAGACGCTGCGAGACTAGCACAGTTGTTGCCGAGAAGCGCTCGAAGTTATATTTCTCATCAGAGGCATGTTGGTCGATGATGAAGAGGTCACAAGTCGGCGACGTAGATGTTGGAGGGCGAACAGCAAGAATAAAGCCTAGATTGAATTGCCCAATGATGCGCATGTTGTTGAAGTCGGACTTTGTCACGGACAGTGACAGGCGTTCCTCGGGATCTTCTTTGTTTAGCTGGGTGCTCGTCAGTGCAACATCTTGTAGCTCTTTTTGTTCAGCATCCTGAAGAGTAGCGGTGAGTCGTTCAAGATGTTGCTGAATGGCAGCAGCATCTGTGTCAATGACCCGCTCAAGATTAAGGGTCGAATATTTCTTTTGCGAGACATTGAAAAGCTTATTCGCCCGCTTGAGATTCATCTCTGTGGGTCTTGCAGCGGCTTCTTCGGCTTCGGCGATCATCATCGCAATCTTTGCTTCTTCGCGAGCTTTTTTCTCCGACTCGTCGATGTACTCATCGTCCGAGCCATCATCTGCGGGAGCGATTGGATCCGGCTCCTCTATCTCTACCACGTCTTCCTCGATGGGAGGCAGCACAGGAGCGCTTGACGACTCCTCGAGATCGTCGGTCGTTGGTTCTTCGAATGTAGTCGTAGGAAGTTGCTTATGGGGAGAAGGTGGGCGGGCGGGCGCATCTGGCATACTGCTATCTGGGGCATCCTCGCTGTCCTCCTCTTCCTCATCATCACTTCCTTCTAACTGAGTGCCGGGAGCAGCAAACCCGCGCAGACTCTTCATGAAGAGTGGCCGCTTCGGCGTCTGGCTCAAAGGCGTGCCGTTTAGACCCAACTTCGGCGTGTGTATTCGGGCACGCTTCGACGCTCGGGACTGGCTCGCACTGCCAACAGTAGAGACAGTCGTTGTGTCGCCTATCGTGATGGTGGCCTGCTGCGCTGGTGTCCGCATAGGTCGCATGCGGTCGAACGCATTTTGGATGGTGCTTTGTGAAAGACGCTTCTGTGGAGTCTGTTTGATAGCTGGGATGTTTTCCTCTTCTTGTTCTCCTTCCCCAGACCTGGGGGACCTTGACGAGCGCTCCCTCTCCATTTGTTTCGCATGTTGAGAAGCGATACGAGCATTGAAATCGTGTACTGCCTGAGGAGTTTCTTCCGCCCCCTCTCGAGTAGGAGATGGCTCCCGTTCTGGCTCAAATAATGGTGAAGCCGATCGTCGGGTGGACAGTCGAGGCATGGGAGCCTCTTCTGGTGAGTCGCTCCTCCGCCTGGGATTTGGGTGGAATACTCTTTCTTCAGTGACTTTGTCGCTCTCAGGCGAAATGCTTCTCCTTCGTCTAGGAGGCGTGATAGCCCTCTCCCGAGTGTCTCTACCAGCGAATCTTTCGATCAAACTGGCCTTGATGAAGCCAGGTCGCGGTAGCTCTCCAGAAGGCATTGAAGAGTTCACATCCTGCACCGATGTAGAAGATGTCTTGCGCGTTTCGAACATATCATCGGGCTCCGTCCGGTCTTCCACCGCCGAACTAGCGCTTTCTCGATGTTGGAACACTGGAGGTTTGAAAGGAAGAGATGGTGTTCTCTTTCCCTGAAGCTGTGCATGGGGCACACTTTGGTCGTGTCCCTCAAAAAGCTCTATAAGAGCTTCCTTCAGGCTCTCCAATAGCGTTGTTTGATCATGTAGAAGGATTGTCCTTTTATCCGGGCTGACATTGACGTCGTAGGCATTCGTGTCGAGTTTAATGTCGGCGAAGATGAAAGGCGACTGCGTAATGTTGTACGATTTGTAGACCTCGTTAAAAGCTTTTGCGACTTGCGGGAGTGTGCATGGGCGGGAATTAACAAAAAACATCTGCTTATCCGGCGTCTGGCGCCCTTCGCCGACAACAGGACGGGAAATGTGACCAACAATTGCTACTGTGCGCGAGCCGGCATCTTCTTGCGTGCTCCAATTCCGAGCGCTCTGGGTGGCTCCAGGGCGATTCGAAGGGTCCATCTCGAAAGTGAGGTTGAGCGGAATCAGTGCTACGAGCGTCTTCGCACCGAATACGTTTGCAATGTTCTCTTTCGTGTTCGGATTCGAGTTGGTGGAGAAGGCTATCGTTTTCTTCCTGCCTGCTCATCAGCTTCTTGCCACGCTGATATGAATATTGTCGCCCCTGCTTACCCCTTCGGTAGCTGGTTGCTCACGGAAAACTTGACGCCAGTACTGACGCATGCATACGCATTCAAAAGTGCCAGAACCTTGTTGTACTCCCTCTTGATGGTCTTCTCGAGCTCTTTCCGTCTCACGGGGAGGTTGTAGAACAACGACTCCACCACCACAGTTGTGCCTTGCTTCGCCGCCACAACAGACGTTCCCCTGAGCTGTCCCGACTGCTCAAACTCGAGCTTTGTGCCTTTTGGCCCATCGGAAGCTCGTGCCGTGACGATATGAAACTTGGAGAGCGCGCAGAGCGAGGAGAGTGCTTCGCCGCGGAAGCCAAATGTCTGGAGGGAGGAGAGGTCATCGTAGGTAGAGAGCTTCGAGGTGTAGTGCTTGAGGGCTATCGTGTCGTAGTCTTCTGGCGAGATGCCAGCACCGTTGTCCTGGACTTCAATAGCGTCGAGTCCATTGTTCTTGAAGCGAACCTCTACGCAGATTGTCAGCCATCATGCTCCGCTATGCGCCGGGCGAGCATACCGATGGATGTAGCGCCGGCATCGATGCTATTCTCTACAAGCTCCTTGCATACGGACTGGAGGTCGACAATGACCTGGCCGGACTGGATCTGGTGGACCGAGCGACCCTCGATGGGCTTGATGGTGGCCATGTCAACCCATGCCGGCGGGCGTTGGAGTCCAGGTGATTACGCGAAGTTGACGCGTAGCTGACTAGCCAATCGGGAAGCTCGCTTATTCCTGCCCTACGCCCTACGCCCCACGCCTCCTACATCCGCAGGTGCATCTCCGAACGGCTCTCTGTGAATACGATCATCCGCGGTCGGTGGGGCCAGAAGGAAAACGTTTCTAGGGAATCAAGGAGACCTCTCTATCACCTAGAAGGCCCTGCTGTCTACCGAGCCGGCTCCCGCGGCAGTACGAATGTCCTGGCAAACCCCGCTCCCAACGCTTTCACATTGGAGCCCTACAACCGGCAACAAGTCTGCAACACCATGGCGAGCGACATCGAAGCTTCAATGGCAGCACTGCGTCAGCTGAAGGAACAGTCAAACGCAAAGCTGAAAGAGTAAGTGCATCTCCCCAAGTGCCTAACCGGCGAAGAATCGTCCGCTCCGCATCTGATCGCGCCTGCTCGGTAGTAACCAGCGTACAGGCATCAGGAGCTGCAAAGGAGGATACAAGAGATAGAACAGGAGAAGGATCGCATCGATAAGGCTTTTGAGGAAGAGCTGGTATGCCACGCTCAGGCCGATTGTCGCCAATTTGCAAGCATGATGTACGCCAAACTCCCACAAGAGATTCGCGATATGGTGTATGCGTACCTATACTTAGAAGACGCACCTATTCCGATCGGGTCGCATCACTTTACGACATACGTCGAGCCAGCCGACGATGACTCGCAGGTGCACCGGGCCTTCAACGACGCCAATACGCCATTCATCATACCGGAAGGAGCGGTAACCCATGATCACAGCATTGCGCCACCCTCTGGCGTTGTCCTTCCAACCGATCGCACTTTGAACCCGGTTTATTTGGGCCACCAGGTTGCGTTCGAAGCCTCAAAGTTTTATTACTCATCCAACATCTTCTCGATCTGCACTCTATTCAACACTCTCTCCACTTTCCTCTTCACAGACCCAGCTCGTGGCTTTGCTCGAAGCCCCGAAAGCAAAGTGCAGCCGCTCGGCCTGCTCCCCATCGACTACGTCCGCAGTCTTCAAATCCGTATAAAGTACGAACATTTCAGGACCTATGCAATCAAACCGGAGCCCTCCACAGGCCGCCGACCTGAGAAAACAGTCTACCGGGGCATATTCTCTAATCTGGGGCCGCTCAGGGAATGGGGCGAGAGGACTGCGTCGCCCGATCGCCGTGCCGAATTCATAATCATGACTGCCTTTAGAACACGTCACGATGCCCTCAATCTTAGAACACGTCTTAATGTCCTCAGTCTGGAATTGCAGAACCGCCGCTTTACAAACCTCCTCGAAGCTATGCGTCCATCTATCTATACCTTAAAGCATGACGCGGGTGCTAACATCAGCGTCCTTCATCACGACGAGACGTGGACGCCATTTCCCAGGAACATCAGCGCCATCTTCTCCCTAACAAAGACACAATGGGAATATGTAAGTTCTACCTACTCTGTTTTTCTAAAGAGCTATCCTACTAACCCATCCCACTCTACAGGAAAAGTCCATCCTTCGAAAAGAAGAGGTCACATATTCGCCATTCCACTACTGGATCGCGCCCCGATCAGACGGCACGCCAGAAGAAGGCTTCGCGTGTGCAGCCATTACGGCGTTTTTGAAGGGACGATGGGGTCTGTCCTCAGCCCTGGATACTCAGTGTACGTACCCGATTGAAGAGGGTGCTTATTGGCCAAAGGGAAGGGTAGCGTCACCAGAGAGCAAGCGGAGGATGACTCCGTAGCCACGACATGCACGCTGGCAATCGGATATTTGGGGCAGACACTCGCTGCAAGCTTAACAGCGAATATAGTTCTGAAGATCTTCTCGAAAATGGAAACCCATGCTGGCTCTTCCTCGGCCGAGGTTGCCCCTTGACCACGGTAAAGAGATCGCGCCAAGCTCTCTAACCGTGGAATTATGGCTCCGATCCGTCCACTTATCCATGGATAGGGCGCCTACGTGATATGGGCCCTTGAAATATCAGCACTTCTCCGCAGCCCAATATTCAGGGACAGCTTAGAAATGCAGGTGTAGACGTGCGTCGACCCGCAGAAATGGCACCATCAAGGCGAGTTCGGAGTCGAAACTTGCCGAGCCAGAGCAGCGCTAGTCCGGAAAGGGTTTGGTACCACTGTCAACCGGGCACGGACCGCATCATTAATTGAAGGCGGTCAATCCCCCCTCGCAAAGCCCTGAGCTCGTCAACAACCTTCAATTGGCATCCCTAGAGTCTCCTCTTCCCTCAATCCTCCCCCTTCTCGGCCACTGCGCGCTTCGTCTTTCCCGCAGCGAGATGGCGGTCAACGCGAGCTTTGTCTCGCCGACGGCAGATGCGAAGGTCGCGCATACGATAGCGCAATTCGACGCCAATGGTATTTTGAATACGATGCTGAATAACCTCAGCGGCTGGAGGCTCGTCCTGACCCTTCTGCTCGGCGCAATTGTGTACGATCAGTGTACGTCGCGAATTGGACCGCTTTGCTGGGCCGAACTAATCGCTATCAGTCAAGTACATCTGGAACAAGGGTTCAATCGTCGGCCCTGCATGGAAAGCACCCTTCATTGGACCCTTTCTGGATTCTATGAATCCCAAATTCAACAAGTATCACGCGAAATGGTCCTCCGGTCCGCTGAGCTGCGTGTCCGTGTTCCACAAGTATGTGTCGCCCCAACCCAGGCTTGGGATGCGAAGCTCTCGCTATTCTAAGTCGCCGCGCATGCTGACAGAGCTCAGGTTCGTCGTTATCGCTTCCACCCGTGACATGGCTCGCAAGATATTCAACTCCCCTGCGTTCGTCAAGCCCTGCGTCGTCGATGCCGCCTATAAGCTCCTCCGCCCCAATAATTGGGTCTTCCTGGACGGCAAAGCCCATGTTGACTACCGCAAAGGTCTGAACGGCCTGTTCACTCGTCAAGCACTCGAGCAGTATCTCCCCGGCCAGGAAGAGATCTACAACCGGTACTTCAAGAAATTCGTGCATATCTCTCAGGTGGAGAATAACGGCAAACCGGTTCCGTTCATGTCGGAGTTCCGCGAGCTGATGACCGCGTTGAGCTGCCGGACTTTTGTAGGCCACTATATGTCCGAGGAGACGGTGAAAAGGATCGCGGACGACTACTACACGATCACTGCTGCGCTTGAGCTGGTCAACTTCCCGATCATTCTGCCTTTCACGAAGAGCTGGTACGGCAAGAAATGCGCAGATATGGTCATCGAAGAGTTCGCTAAATGCGCTGCAAAGAGCAAGATTCGTATGGTTGCCGGGGGCGAGAAGGAGTGTATCCTCGACTTCTGGGTTGCTTCCATGTTTGAATCCGAGAACTACCGCAAGAGGGTGGCTGCCGGCGAAGACGTTCCTACTTCCGAGAAGCCCTCCATGCTCATCCGCATCTTTAGCGACGTTGAGATCTCCATGACCTTGCTTACTTTCCTCTTCGCTTCCCAGGATGCCACTTCTTCGGCCTGTACGTGGCTATTCCAGATTATGGCCGATCGCCCCGAATTCTTGGACAAGGTTCGCGCCGAAAACCTTGCTGCCAGGGACGGCGATATCAATGCCCCGATCAGCCTGGATGCGATCGAAAAGCTGACCTGGACCCGCGCTGTCGTTAAGGAGACCCTACGCTACCGCCCACCCGTCATCATGGTTCCGTACGTGGCGAAGAAAGACTTCCCCATCACCGATAGCTACACTGCTCCCAAAGGCTCCATGGTTATCCCAACGACTTACATGGCGCTACACGATCCCGAAGCGTATCCCAACCCCGAATCCTTCGAGCCAGAGCGATGGATTTCCGGCGATGCTGATAAACAGGTCAAGAATTGGCTTGTATTCGGAACCGGACCGCACTACTGCATTGGGCAAACATATGCCCAGGCTAATTTGATGCTCCTGATCGGCAAGGCGAGTATGATGCTGGACTGGACGCATAAGATTACGCCTAAGAGTGAGGAAATTAAGGTGTTTGCTACGATTTTCCCTATGGTAAGCCGACAGCGTATGCGCACCGAACACTAGACTAGGTTACTAACAAGTCGTAGGACGACTGCTTGCTCACCTTCTCCGAGCGTACCGCCTAAAGGGAGCATCCTGCTCTTCCATTTCTATAAGATGCGCAATTTTAGCGATTCTTGCGTTTGCGTCCGTGGCCTGTATCGTTGCATTCAGTTCTTCAGGAATTGTTAGCCACGATCCGGCTTGGAACGGGTCGGCTTTCATTCTTGCCTCTTAGACCTAATGGATTCCGCCATGGCGCTTGTCACAGAGCACCCAGGCCTTTTGAGGACATAAATATGGTGGGAAAAGGATAGGTAATAGTGCCGGGCCGGGATGGTGGGTGGCACGGTGTATATAAAGGCGAGGCATTAGCAGGACAGATAGTAATGGAAGTGGAATACATGAAGAGTGGTGCTTATAAGCTTCTTACTCACTGTGCCACATCATCAGCTGCCCAGCTAGCATCACATGAGATTGGGGGCTGCTCGTCAGTGCCAAGGTGGGCGTTAAGGAAGCTATGACCACCCAACTTTTGCACCTTTTTCCCACTTTCACCACCTCACACTTCGACACCGACCGTTTCGACCGCCGCATTTCTCAAATGACATAAAAAGTCAAGCTTCAGCAATTTTGCCCGCATACAATCCAGGCGAGGCGTTCTTCGCTGTCCGCGGCGGGTTTCCCGTCCCGCTCAATCTATCTCGACTGCGCATACGCTTGACGCTCCCTACAGTCCCTCATGGCGCCCGCCGCCTCTCCCATCGAACGCGACCACGACCGCAATGGCGAACGAGTAGGTCCGCACCCGTCCTACATCGAGGTCGCAAAGCCCTACATTCTCCAATCGCGAATCCAAAAGGCTCTGAATGAGCTAGGCATGAGCGATGCTAAAGAGGACGCCGTGCGGTTACAGGGCGTTACATACATTGACCAGGTCCGCCGCGCTTTGCAGCTCCCGGTCCGCACGTTCAATACGGCGGTGATATATTACCACAAGTTCAGGTTGCTGCATGCGGAGACGGAATATAATTGGGCAGATGCGGCGGCCGCGGCGCTGTTCACGGCGTGCAAGATCGAGGATACATTGAAGAAGAGTAGGGAGATTTTGTGTGCGTATTGGAATTTGAAGGTTGGTGTTGGGGAGAGTCTGAGTAGTGATGATCCGGTGGGTTTCCCTCTCTATCTACGCGGGCAAAGAAGGGGGGAAATAGCTGACAGGCTGGCATAGCGCTTCGAGAATCACTCCAAGCTCATCATCGGCCTCGAAAGGCTCATGCTCGAAAGCGCCGGTTTCGACTTCCGCAATCGCTACCCGCAGAAACTCATGGTTAAGCTTATGCGGACGCTTGGTTTCGACAAAAACAATGAGGCGAAGACGGCTTGGAACCTCAGCATCGACTTGTATAGGACGTTTGCGCCGCTGAAGCAGACGACGCCGACAATGGCCATCGCGTGCATCGAGCTCGCGGCAAGATTGCATGAGATGGATACAAGCAAGATAGTAGATACGGGCGTTATGCGGTATAATAAATGGAACACGACTCGAGCCGAGGTCATGGGTAAGCCAAACCACAAGGAGTTGGATGCAAATTATGCTGACTATGGGACAGAAACGCTGCTTGACCTCCTGGACTTGTACACGCACCACCGCGGTTCTACCTCCGTCGGGCCCCTCTACTCCCTCGAAACCTTCATCAACGTCCGGATCAAGCTAAACCAAGAGGCATCGGCCGCCAATATTCCCCGCTACGCTGCCTACGCCTCAGAATCCGCCTCTGATTCGCAGATGTCCAACGGCGTCAAACCCCGCAACGGTATCGATCCCACAAGCCCGCTCACTCCTGCCACCCCTGGCACGATTTCTCCGGGAACAATGCACCCACCCACGTCCGCCATCGGCATCCGCGGCCAGAATGGCACTGTCCGCTTCATGATCGACGCGAAGCGAGCCCGCGACGAACGCGCAGAAGTCGACAAATATCTCACTGTGGAAATGGAAGAATACGAGGTGGAAGTGCCGGCCGAGCCGGACCGCGATCGCGAACGAAGACGAGTGCGTTGAATATGCGTGGATTTCGTGGCTTTTAGTTTCGGACTTTCTGTTGCTTGTTGATGATATAAGCTAAATTTGCGGCTTTAAACAGGATTCTGCGCGCCGGTTTGGCGGCGACAGGTGGCGCTCCGCATCAGCCGCTTCGTCTTCTGGAGACTGCCATGCAGACGAAGGGGGAAGAGGAGGCAGAGGGCGAGCGAGGAGCGACAATGGTCGGGGCCGCGGTAAGGGTAGAGGCAGGAAGCAGAATCGTGGCGGAAGCTGCGGCAAATCTGCCACCCCTACATCTTCTACCCTTCCCAGGAGACCTCGCTGAGCGCTCGCGCTGACCGTACATAGATTCGGAACCAGCGCCCCGCAATATGCCAATTGGTGCGCAGCCGTACAATCCCGCCTCTCCTCGGTCGTCCAGGATCAGGTCCACACCTCGTTCTCCGAGCCGAGATTGAGTATTCTGTGGCGCATGGGTATAGAAGGAAGCCTTTTGCCGACTAGATTTTTAGAGTCATTGGATTTTAGTAACGCGGAAGGATTGTTAAGTGTGGGAGGCCAGAAAACTTCGAAGAGGGCTATAGGCCTTGAGGCGAGGGTCCGAGTCTTCTTCATGAGCTAGGGTAGGGTGAGGTAGGGGCTGGAACTTGGTTTTATTCTTCATTCAAGCATCGACTCCTAGCGTCCCTTAAGAACGAAAGTTGAAGCCAAACCACATACTTCATCCATTTACTACTCATCTCATCACACTCCAACAAACCTATCTACAACTTACTCCTCCCCGCCTCCCCCAGCGTAACAACCAACTTCCCAAACTGACTCGCACTCTTCATGTCCTCAAACAGCCCATCAATCTTCCCGATATCCAGCCCGTGCACGCTCCGCGACACAACAGGCCGCAGCTTCTTTTCGCGGACGAAGGACACCATGTCTGCGAATTCTTTGCGCGATCCCATTGTGGATCCGCGCACTTCGATGTTGCGCAGAACGGCGGACATGAGGAAGTCCATTTTGGGAGATATGGTCATACCGTAGATGGAGATTATGCCGCCGGTCTGGGTGGATCTGGGGTTAGTGCGGGTTGGTTGGACGAGGAAGAGAGGGCTGACGAACCTTGAGCAACCGCACGCTCTTGGAGACGATATCTCCGCCCGCACCATCGATAACCGCATCCAGGTACGGACGTTCCTTCGGCAGCATCCCCTGCAGTGTCTTCTCCCACCCCTTCTCCTTGTATATAACCCCTCCCTTCGCGCCCAGCTTAACCGCCCTATCAATCTTCTCCTGGTTCCCGCTCGTAACAAACACATTACACCCCTGCGCGACGCCGAAAAGCAGCACCATCAGCGCCACGCCGCCCCCAATCCCCGTAACCAGTATATTCCGCCCCGGCAGCGCATTCCCGCTCTTTGTAAAGAACGCTCTCCACGCCGTGAGCCCAGTGAGCGGCAGCGCGGCGGCTTCCTCGTCGCTCAGATGGCTCGGGCATTCTTCCAGCTCGCTTTCGTCCAGGAGCACCACGTCGGCTAGTGTGCCCGCGGGATTCATCTTCGTGCCGCCCATGATCGCGTAGCCCGCGGGGTGTTCGGGCCCCTCGGGGCAGTCTTTCCAGCCTGTCCCCGGGTTGAGAATGACGCGCTTGTTGAGCCATTGCGAGGCGGCGGGCGAGCTGCCGGTAGATGTGACGACGCCGGCGCCGTCGGCGAGGAGCGGGACGCCAAAGGTGGTACCCGGGTAGAGGTGTTGGCGGATGAAGAGGTCGCGGTGGTTGAGGGCGGCGGCGCGGAGGGTGATAACGGTCTAGAAGGTTTGTTAGGAGGGAAAGAGGGAGGGGATGGGATGGGATGGGAGGCGTACTTGGTTCTCTGAGGGGTTGGGCTCTGGGATTGTGATTGTCTCGAGGGGGTAGTAGACTTGGCCTGGTTTGCCGGGGACTTGTTTGATTGCGATTGCAGAGGGCATTGTGTGGGTTGGGAGCGGGAAGCTTGCTCAAGCGGTGGTTGTGGGGAGAAGCTTAACCTGGAGTAGACGGTCGAGTGCAATGTACGAGGAATCAAGGAGGTATCAGTCGACGCCAGAGGTCAATTGGCCTGGGAAGGAGTATTTTAAGCGGATATATCAAATGAAGAATTGGATTATTCATGTTTGTTGCGCTGAAGGATGACGATGGCCGAGCTGGGCCGAGGTCGTCCACATCGCGGGGAAGATCTGCACCTCAACGGCGTCACGCTTCTGATTGGTTGATCTTGGAACTGCTTCCATGCCATCTCCGAGTAAACTCCTTAAAGGAATATCAGATTACAAAGAACATATATGGACTCGGAAACTAAGACAGTGTTGAAAGAATGCGCTACGGCTCGTTGGAGACATCTTGCGAGCTTCGTCAGAAGCACCGGCACCTCCCCCTCAAGGCCTCCACCTGAAACCCGGGTGCTTCCAATCCAAATCCTGCTGTTGATGAAGACTGAGGCCTTGAAGCTCCTCGTCAACGTGCTTCGCCTCCCGCTTCTTATTACTCATCTTCATCCACAGCAATAGACAGATGGATAGGATCAGCGTCGTAGAACTCGTGGCCAGATTCAGCCCATTCCCGATATGATAATCCGGCTTGTCGAACGGCAGGAAAGACCAGGTAGAGATCAAGCCCCCAATATTGCCAAACATGACGTTGGTTGCAATGGCGGACGCGCGTGCCGTGTCCGAGACGACGTTGGCTGCCACCTGGGCGTTGCAGAGCGCTCCGAAGGAAAAGGCGCCACAGGCGATGAGGAAGGTGGCACCGTAGCGCACTTTGGCGGTGTGGGAAGCCAAGAACATGATGTAGCCCGTCATCATCAGCGGCGCGCTGCAGATGAAGAGGTGGAGACGCCTATCAAGCTTCCAGCTGAGGAAGGGGAAGAGGACGGTGAAGAACGCTCCGACAACGTAGGGAGGCACGGTGTGCAGCTGCTGGGAGATAACAGTGTCCTTGGGGTAGATCGTCTGGACAATTGTTGGTGCGAAGAAGGCGAGGCCTTGGACCGTGATGTTGTTTAGCAGAAAGATGAAGGCCGTAACGAGCGTGACAGGGCTAAAGATGCCACGGAGTGTTTTCTTGACGTCGATCTTGTCGAGCACTTCCGTCGTACCAACGCGCTCCGACTTGACGCGGGCAACAGCCAGATCCTTCTCCTCTTGCGTCAGCCACCTGGCTGTCGCGGGCCGGTCCGTGAGCGTGAAGAAGGAGATGATCGACAACCCGATGGTGATGATTCCCTCGATGGCAAAGATCATCCTCCACTTGTGGAGGGAGCCGAAGTGATCCAGCTTGAGGATTCCAGAAGCTAGAAGACCACCGAAGGCTCCGGCCAAGGGTGCCATGACGATGTACAGAGAGAGACGGAAAGCGAGCTCGGACCTCCGGTACCATCGAGACAAGTAGTAGGCGATGCCAGGCATCATTCCAGCCTCGAAGATGCCGAGCAAAAAGCGAACGCCAGATACCGAAGAGAAGTTGTGGACGAAAGCTGTGCCGAGGGAGCAGATACCGAAACCGAGCGAAATCAATGGGATGAAGTAGCCCGGGCCCTGTTGGCTCAAATCAGCATCAGATTCGAATACAGGCGAGCTTTCGACATACCACCCATTTGCAGCACATGTTGCTGGGGATCTCGAAAATGATGTAGCTGATGTAGAACATAGAGAGAACGGCATTGTAATCGTAACCCGTGAAGCCCAAGTCCTTATCCAGTCCGGCAATTTTTGCGTTTCCCTACGACTGCTTAGCTAATGAGGCATGCTCGGTGCGCACAAGACGTACGATGTTGGCTCTGTCGATGAAGCAGAAAAGGTAGAGCAAGGAGACGGTCGGGACGATGTATAAGTCAATCTTCCATCGCAGCCTGGCTTCGGCCTTGGGATCAAAATGGACGAGCGAATGGCCATAGCTGCAAACCGGTAAGCCCATGCCTTTCAACCCATACGGGATGGAACACTCACATATCAGTCGCGGCATGTCCTCGTTCGGCGACAATATGCGTATCTTCCGCCTTCAAATCTTCATGCTGGCTATGAGCAGCCTTGTCATCGAACGGCGTTGCAGCGTGAGGCTCAGCCATGGTTCCTGGTCTCAAAGGACTTCACGAAAGAACGGTAACAACAATGGAAAGATCAGCGACTGGAATCACGACGATGCGTCCCATCCTTATACCTCCCGGTAGTCCGGATAACGCCCCTGTTGTCGTAATTCACGAGCCTGCTCGTGCACGCCCACGTTCTCCGCCAAGCCGCCATTCTCCCCGAGCCAAGCCCGAACAAGGCAAGCGCCCCGCGCGATAAGCCTGCACAGACGGGCGGTGAATCTTGGCACGACGCCGCGCCAACGAAACATGCGGAGAGCAGCCGGCGCCGGCGCTACCCCAGAAAGCCACCCGATCGGCGGCGAGTCGAACCGGGAAATGTGACCGCCGCGGGATTCCTCTGATGTACGAAAACGCTGCCGTGTTTCGCTTCCGCGCCTGAGCTGTCGGCCCTTGATCTAGCACCGCGAAGGATGAGGAGGGATACCCCGCAACGTCAGGGGATTTGGCGCGAGTCGTGGGCCAAGCGAACATCCGGGGGAGGGCATTACGCGGACGGCAAGGTCTGGATTCGTTCAGAGTTGTTGACGCGTAGGGTACTGTAGATGTCGGGATAAGCCACTTGCAGCATTTATCCACACCATCGCGAGCACGACGTCCAGCCTTGCTTCAACCTCAGCTGTGGCTGTTTCGCTATGTATTTCCTCTCGACCGTTCAAAGAATAGTACATGGCACTTACCATTATCGAAACTCTCCGAAGCCATCGAGGGTCCGTTCATTCGCTGGCCTCAGAATAAGACCCGATACGTCGGACCGTGTCCATTCCCACGACCCTGAGGCTCCCGGAATGACAACCGGCCACGGAGCGGAACTCAAGGTAAAGTCTTAGGCTTTTCATGGCAATCAAGGGCGGAAAGAAAGCTACAACGACCACAAGCGACCATTGGCCGTTTTCTAATTTGTAAGTGATCGTCTTGATCTTCCGGGAGCGACTTCGGATATGTATCCACACACGTTCCCTACTTTTCCGACATTCTGCCGTCGACTCCGAGACCTGACGAAGTTGTCTTCGAAGGGAAGTCAATACTTCTCATTTCTTCAATAATATCTGACATGCAGGACGTCTTCACCGTTCCATTATGCTGTACAGGACAAAGACTCCGAGTAGAAAAGATCCTCCCTATAGAGCTGTTCATTACCCGCTCTACCGTATGCAGTAAGTGGGACACTTTGCCGAATGCCGTCATCTATTCCTGATTCATTCCGAACTCTTACTCTTTTTCTTCACGATTTGTGCATTTCGTCCTCTTCCCCGGCTGCTAGAAGCTCCTTTCCAGTCGTTACACTTTTCCACTCGAGCAATCTTCAACAGCGCCCTTCCTGTAGACGCCATAGTGCTCCATCCATATCCGTCCTGCAGAGAGAACGCCAAGAGCGCGTGTTTATTGAATCACGACCGCAAACCCTTCGTCAAACGACTGGTGCCACATCATACGCAAGAGGGACAATTATAGCCAGCATCCGTCGGCGATATTCTCGGCCCAATGGGTCAGAACGACTGACCATCATACGAGACTGCCGCCATGTCTGAAAAAGACTCCAAAGCCGACGAAGCAGAAGACCTAAACCGTCCGGTCAGCGTCGAACTGCCTGCTCCGGAGATACCACCCAATGATGAAGTCGACCATCAGATTCCGGATGGAGGCTACGGCTGGGTCATCGTCGGTGCCGTGTTCACTATCAATGCCTTCACATGGGGCGTCCTGGCGTCCTATGGCGTCTACCTCGCGTACTACCTGTCCTCGAACCACTTCTCTTCCGCGACGTCCCTTGACTATGCTTTCATCGGCGGGATCAATTTCGGACTATCAATGCTCGTCGCATCCCCAGTAACTTACCTCGTCCGCACTCTCGGCACGCACCCCGTAATGTTCCTTGGCGTGGCGCTGCAAACTAGCGGCTTCATTGCAGCGAGCTTCGCCACGCACATCTGGCAGCTCTATCTAAGCCAAGGCGCGTGTGTAGGAATAGGAGTCGGCTTCTTATTTATCCCTAGCGTGGCGATTACAAGCCAGTGGTTCGACAAAAAGCGTAGTCTCGCCAATTCGATCAACAGTGCCGGTTCCGGCTTAGGGGGTGTCATTGTGTCTTTTGCAACACAGCCAATGATCGACCGTATTAGTCTGGCCTGGAGCCTGCGCATCATTGGCATCCTATCGGGAACGATGAACATCCTCGCAACCTGCCTCCTACGCAACCGGAACCACATCGTCCGCCCGCCTATGCACCCCTTCGATGTCCGCTTACTCCGCCGTCTCCCGGTCACCTTGCTGCTATCGTGGGGGTTCTTCTCAATGCTCGGGTACATGGTCATTCTGTACTCCCTGTCCGACTTCGCAAAGTCGATAGGATTAAGTCCTTCCAAAGCGGCCTCGGTGACTGCGCTGTTGAATCTGGGAACGATGGTGGGACGGCCCTGCGTCGGGCTCCTGTCAGACCGCTACGGCCGCATCGAAGTAGCTGGCCTGGCTACACTCACGACCTCTATAACAGTTTGGGCATTCTGGCTCCCCGGTAGTTCGTACCCTCCTCTCGTCATCTTCGCCCTCACAAACGGCGGGATCCTAGGCGTGTTTTGGATGGTCAGTATAAAAAGCCCTCGTTCGTTAGTGCAAGCATACTGACAGTATGAAGACGATTAGCCCTCTCTGCGTCGAAGTTGCCGGCCTGCCCGAACTCCCCTCCATGCTTGCCCTCGCTTTCGGAACGATCATCTTGCCAGTAACTTTTGCAGAGGTCATAGCGCTCAAGCTACGACGCCCGGAAAACGGGCGATGGGCTTACTTGTATCCGCAGATATGGGCAGGGCTTATGTATCTCGTTGCTAGTGCGCTGATGTTGGGGCTTTGGTGGGTCATCAGACGGAGGAAGCAGAAAGATAGGGAATGAGTAGATGGATAAGGAAAGAAAGGGCAGGTACATGTTGATTAGAAAGTTAACTGCGAAATGAACGATATAGAGGTACTGCTACCACATGCCAAGATCCCAGGAGGAGGTGAAACGATCAGAGGAATTGGGAGCTGTACGATCATCACTGCATTGCCTCCTTTGATCTCATATCATCACTAGAAAGGCGAATGCATGCAAAGAGCTGAAAGAAGTTAGCGCAATACTATCTTTGGACCTAGCCCCGCCCGCCGCCTCAACCTCTACTCTGTACACACATCTCTTCTTTAGCATAGACCTACAACGCTAAAGTCAACATTATACGTCCACTTTCAGCTCTGGTGGACATCTATGTATCCACATCCCGTAAAGCGCAACCACCCTCGGCGCAAGCGCTTCTGGTCATGGAAAGACAACAAGCACTTCTTCCTGAAATTGCTTCCCTGCACCTGGCCATACTTATCCAAGCGCGGGAAGCACGCGTGCGATGAACTTCCGCCCCATTCTGAGGTCGCCTACTGGTGGCCGGAACCAGTCCGGGAGCTTTCCTCACACCACCAGCCTCATCAGCCGTTTGAGAAAGTCCAGAGTGCTACTGTCCCAGAGCAAAATGAGACTATACGGGAATGCGGTCTCTTTCGCCTACCATTGGAAATCCGCCTTGCGATCTACGACTTGGCCTTGGACTTTGGAGACATTCATCTTGCGAGGATCTGCTACAAACATCGTAGCACCGCGACGGAATACAGGCTGGAAGCATATCCCTGCTTCGCGGCAGACGCGGAAAGGAGACGGAAGTGGATGTGCAACTGTCTGACTAGCCACGCCTTCGCGTATCTGCTTTACGGCAATATGTCGTGGATCCCGGAAACGCGGTACCCAACGTCAACGGCGGCTCCAAAAGGAGGACTACGGGAGGTTATGAATCTCATGTACACATCTAGGGCATTGTGAGTCTTCTTCTCTCGACTCAAGAGCTTCGGCATGACTGGAGAGAGTAAACCGTTCGTTAATCAAGGAAGACGATAGTTACCACGATATGTTCTACTTGTTGCACAAGCACCGCACGTGGCAATTCTTCGATCTCGACGCTATCATTATGTTCGGCGTGACTATGCCGCGCATCCACTTCCATGCCATTCGCTCCGTCTATCTCAACGCGAAGTACATCGCGCCTCGCACTTCTTTTACCGGCAGTACAGAGCGCCTTCCGCCTACGTACAACAGCTACCTTCATACACTTCCTAGCTTGCTCTCCACCACCTCCCCGTCGAACAACGATAGCGTCGCAGGCGCCTGGTATGCGGCATGCGCGGTCCTAGGCAACATGTCTTCGCTCGAGCTGCTGAAGATGCAGTTATGCCATTCGGCGTTCGCGGAGTGGCTGTTTGCAAAGGCACCGGATGTGTTGACTAGTAATGAAGAATGGGTATTTGAGCCGTTGAGCGGGATTGCAGAAAGGAGGGAGTTGGGGGTGTTTGAGGTCGAGGTTGATTGGCCGCCGGGAGAGGATGGGTGGGATGAAAGGGAGAAGGGGTTTGATCTGAAGAGGGTGGGGCCGAGGATGAGAGGGTGGTGAGGAGATTGCAAGCGCCTCATTGCAGCAGCTCCTCTGGCAGCTGTGGACATGGGAAGGTAGGTAGAGAAAAGCTTTATTTTTGCGGATTTTTATGACTTCTAAATGCTAAGCTAGACCGACACGCAATGCAAAGACACATCATCAGTAACACGAGTAAAACACCAAACCTCAAAATCATGATACTACCAACATCCACGTCTTCTTCTACACCAATCCTATCCTGTCATCATCCTAACCCTTCAACAATACCTTACTTGGCGATCTGCTGAGCGCTATAAACAGAACCCACCGTATCAATCAGCGCCGCCGTCACCAGCGAATTCGACCCATCGAAATCCACCCTCTTAACGCTACTAAACCTGCTGCTCAACGTCACCTTCAGCATCTGCGTCATAAGCGCACCCGCCGCGTACTTAATGCTCTGACACGTCACACCGTCATTGCTACCCCCCTTGACTGTAATCGTGAACGCCACCGGAGCGGCAACGAGGCTCTCCTGCGAGCCAGCCGCGCAGCCGTAGTGGAAAGAGTGTGCCGAAAGACCCGCACCGACGTCTCTCACACCTATCCAAAATTCGATATATCCCCTTCCATCTCCGGACATGACCCAACCCTTAACCACCCCATTCCAGCCTCTCATATCCCAATCCCACACCTACACACCGCATCCAGCGAGCCCCCCACCACTACCATGCCGATCCGAAAGACCGTACGCGCCCCATACTCGCCACTAACTACACTCTCTCTTAAAATGTCGTCGCATTTGGGTGCCACTAGCCCCCTTAGCGTCCTAAGCTAGCATCGTGCCATCTCGAATGGGAAGACTAGTGCTAAGTAGACATCGGGATAGGTAGTCTTGTCGATCGGATTGAGCTTAGATGGACTAATTTGGGAGACAGAAAGCAAGCGGGCAAGCCATGAAGGGACGGAGTGCAGTGCTCGGAAATATAGCGGGCCGAGGTGCTCAAGGCTGGGAGTAGGCGGCTAGTGGCGGCCGGTACGTGACAGCACTGAGCGACGGGCGGGCATAGGGCGGTAGTTCACAAGCAGGAGGAGGAGAGGGGAAAGTAAGTAAGAACTGTACAATTTTCGCCTCGAACACCCCTACACCTCATGAGAGATGAATCTAGTCTGACTTAATTTTCCAGTCATCATATTATACAAGCACTATCCCTTCTCTCCTCGCTCGTCTAGAGAAAGACTCGAGTCCCGTTTTGGCCGAAAGCAAAGAAACGCTATAATGTCGACAAACGAAGATCTAAATGCCGCGACCAGAGATCCTTGGGCGGCCTGGTGGGAAACAAGAATGGAGGTCAGCAAGCGTGAACCTCGAGGAAAGATCGGAAAGCATGAGAAGTGTTACCGTCCCCGACTCGCCCTTCTCATCACCGGGCTTCCAAAACTCCCCCTCGGACTCCTATGAGTAGGAGTCATGAGCGATACCTTCTCCGTGCCCAACTTCGTCTCGAAGATGCGCATGACGAGTGCTTGCACCGACCTCTGGATATCGTTGGCCATCTCCGTGCCCAACAGGCCAACCACCAGAGGCGCAAAGACATCGACGTGCTTCTCGAACTCGCCTGCAGGGAATCCGCAATAGCCGTCCAGTACATTGACCACAACAGGACGCCAGGTGACGATATTACGCTGTTGAGTTTCCTCATCGAGCTCGATGTACGAGGCGATGATGTCTTCGCAGAGGGGAATGAGCGCCGCCTCAGTTTCGGCGCGCGACGCGGCACGGTCGGTGCTTGTGTCATGATACATTCTGAAGAGAATGCTGACGTAGACTGATGCTGAGCCGGATTCTTGCTTGAGGAGGTTGGGAGGCTGCTTCATGAAGCCTTCGCGGAAAAGGCGCGTCCGCAAATCGCGGTCCGCGTTGAAACGTTTTGCGAAGTGGTAGGATTTTTTGAGGACCGCCATGAGGCGGAGGAGTTCGCCAGATGGTATCTTCTCGTAGACGGCATCGTTTGTGAAGAGCTCTTGGACGGTCTCTATCATTAGAAGCTGCAGGACGCACTTCGTAATGATCTGGTTGAAGAAACGACGACGTGCAGCGGTCACTACGATGGGTGGTTGTTGTAGATCTTGATTCTCAGGCCTGTAATCCTCTAGCTCCTGCGTCTGGCGCTTCGGAAGAGGTGAAGGCATCCGTTGATCACCGGCCGGGCCGCTCGACGAATCAGACGTCACCAGAGACGGACGCCGTGGGCTTGAGAGACCATTGATACCGAGGGCATTGTCCTGAGGCACCTCTTCGCTGGGCGTCTGTAGCGAAAGCTCTTTAGGAGGCGAATCTATTGGCGGCGTCGTGCCAAGAGGCGTACCATTGAACCCGTTGGGAGTTTGGGACGATGAGCCGGATGTAGCGGCGGAGAAGAGCGCCGTAGCCTCTGTCCGCTGGAAGAGGTCGACGAAGGCTTTGACAATCTGATTCCAGTGTCTCGGCGTAAACTTCTGCACGTTCTGTAGAATGAGCTGTTGGAGACAATTGCTGCCAATCCGAGCCAGCGTATCGTTCTCTTGGCAAATGCACAGAGCGAGCAGGTCAAGGAAACGGTCCAACATGTACTCCAATGACTCGAAGAAATGGGTGAAGAGCTTGATCATGTTGCGGAGAGCCTGGATCATGGTGGTAGATAACCAGACGGAAAGCTCCTCGTGGTTGAGGACCTTTGACATCTCCGACTTCGATTTCAGCACCATGAAGATGGGGTAAAGGAGCTGACGCCAAAGCATATCCCAGAAGTCCTGTGGGAAGTCACGACCGTACGTGATCAAGGTGTCGAATAGATAACTCAAGGCTCTCGATCGGACCTCAAGATCTTCGCCCGTCATGAGCACATCGTGGAAGGCGAAAAGTACTGGGAACCAGAACTGCTCTTCCTGAGTCTGGCGACTGGGTTGTTTCGGTATCGACGATCCCTTCTCCGACTCTTTAACGAATCCGGCGCGTGCAGAGAGCGAACATTCTGGGGTGCGTAGCATCTTCGGTACAGACGCCTTAAGCAATTCGATCGCCTGTAATGACTTCTTCTGAAATTTGTAGTTCTTGGAGAATTCCGTGAGACAGACAATGAGATCTGCAAATGCGCCCTGGGAGATGACAACACCGAAGCGTGTGTTGTACACCTGAGACACGTTCTCAAATGCAAGGTTGACAATACCCTCTGCTCCGCGTGAGTAAATATGCATGGGAGTCAACGGAGGGGAAAAACTCACCATATGGCTCTCGGGCAGCCACAGTGAAGACGCCAAACATAGTTTTCCAGCCTGATCGAATATTCTCGCCCCGAGCCTGGATCATTTGGATGAGGCAGCGAAGCACCATATCCTTGACCGAGACTACGCTTGTGTTGCTGATGATATGCTCGAATGGTTTGAGAAAATCCTTTTGGAACTTGAAGCCGGGGAGTTCTTCGATTTCCATGAACTTCATGGACAGTTGCCGCAAGGAGTTGAGAGCGAAGTAGACAACGTTGGTATTGGTATGACAACCCACTTCATTGAAATGGGCGCCGAGTATCAGCCAGATGTTTGTCCACTCGAATCGGACACGAGTCATGTTGTAACCGCTGATCTCAACCAGTTTCTGAAGGCTGTACGTTCGAGGAGACTCGCTTTGACCGGACGACTGAATCTCTTGCCAGCTGACCTGGGTCAGCGCTTTCACGAAGTCAACGATTGCCTCTCCGGACAAGTTGGCAGTGTTCGTAAATATTCGGTCCACACCTCTTACGATATCAGTGGATCTGCTCTCCTCAGCCACGTCGGCTTGGAAATGGATATTGCCGGAGTGGGACGGCTGCCGTCGCCGGTTCGCCGGTACATTGAGCGATCTCCGCGATTGTGGTGCTCCCTTGCCTTGTGACTGGGACTTCAAAACGTCGGGTACGGCGCGCTCGTCAATACCAGCAGAGATGAGCTGGAAGCGGTCGAGCTGAGATATGCAAGTGAGGATCTCGCGCCAGGATTCCCGCAAAAGATTGCCCTCAGTATGCGCAATGTCGATCAGGACCTTGAGCGCCTCCATGTTCCTTGTTGTCATTTCGCTGAGGTTGTAGAGGTTCGTGAACCGCGCCAAGAACGAGACGAATGCTTGCCGCGAGCTCTCCAGATCAAAAAGACATGAGATCCGGATAGCCAGTCTAATGCCTTCAATGCACAACCTCACAATCTCAATATTGTGATCCTGAGCCTGGGCGGATAGTGCCGTAAGGAAAGGCATCCATGTAACTTCGAACATGGGTCCGACATGCTTCGATGAGACCGCTGGAATGAACTTGGATACCGGCAAGCTCTTCGTTGTCCGCCTTTGTGCTCGTAGGAGCTGCTTGTACAACTGCTCGGTCTTGTTCGCCATGGCTTCGGAAGCCTGAACGTACGCCTCCCGCTGCAAGTCTCGTCCACCACCTGTAAGCGCCTGCCCAACTGCAGCAAGTCCTCCTGTGGGCTGAGGTGCAATCAGTCCCTTGTCCGCGGCGGCTTCTTGTTCAGTGTTCAGGACGATCTCATTGTGGGTTATCTCATCGTAGATCGCTCGTAAGTAGTCATCGGGCAGGTCGGCGTTGTCGTTAATTCCGCGGTTGTTCTTGATAAAGTCCTCCGGTGTCATACGTGGGCCCTTCATCTTTTTACTATGCTGATCAACGTTCAGCATGATCACGGAGTATGAGAGAACATAGGCGGTGTCGGCGTTGGCGAAAGCGTTCGGGTTGCCGGTAATGTACCTTTCGGCAAATTTTAGCATGAAACGATCGATCTTCTGCGCTTCACCTGGTAATCGGAAGCTTTGCAGGAATCGTCGCAGGGCATCCACAAAACGCATCTTCGTGAAGTCCATCTGGTCTACAAAAGCATGCATAATGGCGATGTTCGCTGCATCACCTTCGCCGAGGAATTCGCCAAGCGCCACCTTGTCCAAGAGGTCTGTCTGATGGAAGAAGCGGGCAATGTCTTCTGGAGACTCTGATGTGATGAAACCGTCTTTGATCAGGGCCTTCAGTCCGCGTTTTGGCTTGAAGTTGAATTGGCGCACCGCGTTTGCTAGCGCTGTCTTCCTCTGCTTGGCCTTTTCCAATTCGCTGTATTCATCCTCTGCCAGCGGCGTTACTGTTCCGGAATCTACACCCACGTTGGGGGAGTCGGTAAGGCCTCTATTATCCATGGATGCTCTCAGATTGTCGACCGAGGATCTCAGATCGAGAGTTGAATTCCTTGCATCATTGGTCACAGATTGCTCAGACCAGTTCACCAGCGAGCGTAGAATTTCTACCAACGCTCCCAATGACTCCTGCTTCATGGCGTAATCCGGTGGGTATGCGTGCTCGGCCTCTTGATGGATGTTCATCGATGCGGTAGAGAGGGAAGGTGGTAATGTTCCGCGGGTATGCCAGTCGGAATGCTTGTATTGCTTTTCACGGTGTTCTTGGTAAGCTTGCTGCTGCATAGGCGTTACAGAAACGGGATTACTGGATATCTTTGATAGGTGCTCAACCAGGCGCTGGTACATGTTGTCGAGTGCAGTGCGGTCGCAGTCGTAGTTCAGGTACATTTCAACCAGCGCTCGAGGATCAGCAGCTAGCCTTCCGAAGATGGTCAGAATGTACTGCTTTTGGAATGCGGGCGCAGTGCGCTTCTCCAGAATTGCAAGATAGATCTCTTTCAGAAACACCTCAACCTCCTTCTTGAGCATCACGCGCAGGTATTTGAGCATGTGCCAGAAGATTTCGCAGACGACCTCGAATACCTTGCTGACGGAGCTTGCACCATTGCGGCTCAAACTTAAGCAAAGGTATTGCTTGATTGCCTGAATGAAAGTCGTAGGTTCGTCCCCGGTGCCGCTCCTAATTGTTGCGTATGGCGACACGAAGACGGCGATGTTGTTATGGAGGATGGTATGAATGATGTGTAGGGAAAGGAGCTTCGACCTCATGCCCTGCGACCTCACGTCGAGGGCATGGTCGACTGCCAGAGCTTTCGTGCTTAGTCTGCACATGGCCCGGAAGACGAGGTAGGCGTCTTTGACGAAGATCTCGTCCTCTTCCTCCTCCTCGGAGCCCTCGCTCTCGGCTTGCGGGTTCGGCGACGCTTCGTGCCCTGAGACGTGTCTCGAACCAGGTTTGCCTTTTATCCGAGTAACAAGCGTGGGCGCATTATCGTGTATTCGATCGTCGTTAAAGCTCATGTTGTTTTCGAAGCTCTGCAGGGTGATTCTAGGACCGGTGTGCTTGTCGACGGGCTTGTCGCTGGGCTCCCCTAATTCGGCGTCGAACTGTCCCTCCTCCTCGCCATCGCCGTCTACTTCTGGCTCGTCTACGCCTTGCGGACTATCCTCCACTCCTTCCCGCATATTCTCTTCCGAATCGTCCTTCTCGTTCAGCGAGACGCGAGAGAGATTCATCCTAGCTTCTTTTATTGCCAGCCTCGACTTTACCCTCTCAAATACAGTGCCCACCATCTGCGTCAACGCGCCCTGTGCAACCTGCTGGTTCGCACTCGACTTAGAGAGGAGGAAGATGTTGTACGTCAACCGCACCGCCTTCAGCAACCCAGCACCGTGTACCACGATCTTGTCGTTCAGGATTGCTGCCAGCAACGACTTCACAATCTGGAGCTGGACGTCCGGCGGTGTTGCCTCCCCCTGGAAACAGTCGCATATTGTGTCGATGGCCCTCTCGATTAGGGGAGGGACCTCGTTGTCGCCTTGCGGTTCGGATGGCACGGAGAAGTAGGAGTAACTTATCAGCTTGCCGATGCAGTCAAGCGCGGTGATGGAGACTGTCACGGTTGGCGCCTCGGAGGCTAGCTGGAGTGGTTCGAAGAGGATCTCGGGGTTGATGCGTGATGGGTCTCCCTCTTTCTTGATAGCGGCCAGCGCAGCCGCGGTGGTATCCCCGAGCTTCTTCGTCCTCTTTGCATCCTTTGACGCGGCTATTGTCTCGAGTGCCGTGACCACGAACACTAGGGAGCTTCGTGTTGAAGGTCGCGTGGCAGTGGTAGCTGCGGTGGCCGCGGTAGACTGCGAGTCTGTTCGCGGGCGAGTCTCGGTGTGCATGCGCTGTTCGAAGAACTCGGCGGTTCGCGGCGTGTCTGATCCATTCGGGACATTCAGCGTAGGCGTCGAAGCAGTGGGCGTAGGCATATCCGACTGATCCTGCGGCGCCCTTGGTGTTGTGGGAGCTCTCTCGTCCATTTCCTCAGATGCCGACTGCGAGCGTGCATCTCTATTCCTCTCCTCTTCTTCTGGTGTAGGCGGCTGCTCCTGCAGCTCACCGTTTGTGCGCTTCTCCTCTGCCACTTGCATTTCGGGCGGCGACTCGGTGTCGGCCATTGTGAGCGGAGGATGTTCGCGATGCCGCGGGTGTTGCTAGGGTTGCTCCTTCTTTCAGTGCCTGGCGGGGCCTCTGGCAGCAATCATGGCGCGGGCAGGAGCGCGGAAAGGTGGCAGGTGTAACCGTGTCGCGCTGCCCCAATGCAGCGGAATTAATAGCAGTCGTAGAGGGCAAAAAGCAGCGCGCAGCAGTTTCTCGTGAAATGACAAAGTGTCTTCCGCAGCATCAGCCTCCTTGCCTGGTGTTCCGCATCCCTGTCAGCTCCAGCTGGGTGCGCCACAGTCAGCCACAGTAACCTGGCGTTCGCATCTCGGGCATTGAAGCGCCGTCGGGTTCGGTCCCCCAGCAGCTCTAACTTTTCTGTTGAGCGACAACAATCTCATCTCCAACACAACCGTGGCCCCTTGTCGAGCGAGAGCTCTGCTCCTACATCCCCCTCCTCGCACCTCCGCCCAGCTGGTTGTGCCTATCTGCCCTACCTGAGTGTTCCGGGAGAGAGATTTCAGCACACGCATTGCATCGGCATCCCGTCACAATGCCAGCTACCACGACACTTCTGGCCCGGGCCGGGGGTCAATTGAGCTTCAGAGGATCAATTGCTCTGCGAGGAAGTCTCGGGGCTTCAAGGTGTTCAGAATTTGCAGCGTAAGTTGCCCGCGGTGACTTATCCAGCGCAACGGAGCTTTGCTGACCCCCAGCCGTAGCAGACGGACGCCCGCCTTCGGCGCTCTTGCACGGTACTATGCCTCGAAATGTGAGCGACACAATTTTCCATGCCGCATGTGGCTTTCCTCAATGAGCGCGATGCTAACTGTGACCGCCCGCAGCTTTCCCTCCTCACACCGTCGTCAGCATGCCTGCCCTCTCCCCGACCATGACCGCCGGAAACATTGGCGCGTGGCAGAAGAAGGTCGGCGACTCGATAGCGCCGGGAGATGTGCTCGTCGAGATCGAGACCGACAAGGCGCAGATGGACTTTGAGTTCCAGGAGGAGGGTGTCATTGCCAAGATCCTGAAAGAGTCCGGCGAGAAGGACGTTGCGGTTGGCAGCGTAAGTACATGTCGCGTTCGGACGTTGCGCTGTTGTGCAAGAGCAGCATCAGGCGGAACTCTTAGAACTTTCATTCCGAGCATGTCCCATAGCTAACTCTCTGCAGCCAATTGCCGTCTTGGTCGAGGAGGGCGAGGACGTCTCCGCTTTCGAGTCTTTCTCTGTTGAAGATGCGGGCGGTGATAAAGCCCCCGCAGGGGAGTCGAAGCAGGGCGAGGCTTCTGAAGCCAGCGAACCCCCAAAGTCCGGATCCGGCACCGCTCCTCCCGCGAAGGAGGAAGAGCCAGCTCCACAGGCCGTCGAGTCCGAGTCCAGCGGCAAGCGGTTAGAGACCGCCCTCGACCGCCAGCCCGCCGTCTCCCCCTCCATCAAGAAGCTTGCGCTCGAGAAAGGGGTCCCGCTCTCATCGATCAAGGGATCCGGCAAGGGAGGAAAGATTACCAAGGAGGATATCGAGAAGTACAAGCCTGCTGGCGGAGCTCCAGCAGCAGCAGGCGCCACTACCGGTGCACCCACATACGAAGACACCCCTGCGACCAGCATGCGGAAGGTAATTGCCAACCGTCTTACTGAGAGCTTCCAGCAGAACCCCCACTACTTTGTCGCCTCCAACATCTCCGTTACCAAGCTCCTCAAGCTCCGCGAAGCGCTCAATGCATCTGCGGATGGCAAGTATAGGCTCTCCGTCAACGACTTCCTTGTCAAGGCTGTCGCCGTCGCCGCTCGCAAGGTTCCCGCCGCGAACTCGTCATGGCGCGAGGACGGAGGCCAGGTTATGATCCGTCAGCACAACGTTGTCGATGTCTCGGTCGCCGTCGCTACCCCTGTGGGTCTCATGACTCCGATCGTCAAGAATGTCAACGCCCTCGGTCTGCAATCTGTCTCGTCACAAGTTAAGGATCTCGGTAAGCGCGCGCGCGACGGAAAGCTGAAGCCGGAGGAGTACCAGGGTGGAACCATTACCATCTCCAACATGGGCATGAACGCGGCCGTTGAGCGATTTACCGCCGTCATCAACCCACCTCAGGCTACCATTGTCGCGATCGGCACAACACAAAAGGTCGCAGTACCGGGTGAGCCCCTAGAGGATGGCACTCCCAGTGTCGAGTGGGACGACCAGATCGTCATCACGGGCAGCTTCGATCACAAGGTTGTGGATGGTGTGGTGGGCGGCGAGTTCATGAAGGAGCTCAAGAAGGTCATCGAGAACCCCTTGGAACTTCTGCTATAGGGTGTTTGATAATGTTTTGCTTGCCCGGTATTCGGATCTTTATGCGCTGTACAAGCTTTCTTATTGTGTGAGTTAGAGCGAGGGAGTGCGCAGGTTCCTGGGAAAGAAATCTTTGTACAATTGAATGGCAGCTTTCTTTCCTTCTCCTTGATTCTTATCCGGCTTTTGTCGATCTGCATAGCACTTTTGTACTTACTAAAAGTAGTAGGGCCTGTAATGCAATTGGAGTGGTAGATCGAACTTCCCTTGGATTTTGGAAAAGTGATGCCTTCAGCCTCTTAACGCTGGTCGCCTCACCTCACGCACACGAGGACAGTGCAGTGATGTGCAGAAGCACGGAAATAGCGAAGATCACAGATCACCTACAAAGACAGACGAGCCTGATTGAGATGTTTTCGACGGTCTCCCAAAAGAGTGAATATCCTCGCGGGCCCGGATCATAGTGCTGAGATGGGCTTTATGGAGAGACCTTGTATTGGGTCTGTGTGATGGGTAGCTGCAAGCTGGATCTAGGCGGTTGACGGACTCTATTACCCTGTCTACTTCACTATTTCAAGGCTTCTGGGCACTCTAATGGACTAGCCTCAACAGGCCGACAACCTCCAGTCTGACTTTGCTAAAACCCTATTCAATCTTCGTCCCGACTGCTCCCTGTCTCCTCCGTACCGCCCTCAGATCCCAAAGACCCCGACGCGCCATCATCCTCGCCACCATCTACGCCAACCAGCCCATCATGCCCCGGATGCAACAGCTCATGGGCAAAATAGGGTAAAGGATTCACCGCATCCCCGCCTTCCACGTTATCCGAGTCGTAGAGCAGATCCTCCGGGAACGTAATGAAAGTGCCCGTCTCCCCCAGCTCTACAGGCTCCAGGTCAAGCACAGCGTCTTCGCGCGGCGCAGCGACGCGCGCCCAATCCATGCTCTCGAATTCCGCGCGCGTCAGGCTTTCAAACGTCGAGTCGGAGAGGAAGAAAGCTTCGTCGCGGTCCCAGAGACGGCGCAGCTGGAGGGTGTCGAGCGCGGAGGAGGCCTGCTCGCGTATGGCTTTGAAGACGTTGCGCCATTTCCCGTTGCGGAGCTTGAAGTCGGCGAGCTCGAGGGATTGCAGGGAGTCTTGGTGGCGCAGGAGGAGGTCGGTGAGTTCGTGCTCGCGGCTGTTGAAGCCGCAGATTCGGAGAGATTGGAGATGGCTGAGCGGACTGTGTCCTAGGAGCGCGCGCAGGGGTGCGCGGTACCATATCTCGCTTGCGAAGTAGATCGAGAGATGCTGCAGGTGGGGGATGCAGCTGATGAAGCGAGCGATTGTTCCTCGGGAGAGCGCTTGATGGACCTCGGGGTCGACGGTGGTTGCGTTGAGGAAGTCTAGCTTCAGGCTCGTGAGGTGTTGCATGTTTACCGTGTGCGCTAGGTGCAGTTGGACGTTTGGCAGGCAGAAGACCTTCGGTCTGTTCGTGTATATGCGAAGCCTCGCTGGCTGGACGCGGGCATGGAGAAGGGCGCTTCGAACCGTATCCATAACCTTGGTCTCTTTGGTACACTCTTCAGACTTCCTTGAGCACTTGAGAGACAACAGTATCGATGTCAGGGTTGGCTCAAAGTTCCCCAATGCTTTCGCCAACATGACCATACTCTTTCCCTCTTCATGCATCTGCAGGTCGAGGTTGAGGGCATCGATTCGAAGTGTGAAAACATGGCGGGCATACTGGGGGTGTTCAGAGAGGGCGAGGAGGTCCGATAAGCTGTTCCGAGATAGAGAGACCCATCTGACCGGGAAATATGTTTCCCCAAACAGATTCGCTGCTGCGTGAGCAAACGCTTTGCAAACGAGGCGTACGGATCTGAGATTGACGAGCAATCTGTCTTTGGATCTAGCTTTGGGGTGGGTAAGACGTGGTCCCCTGGCCGGCGAATGCGGTGGGTCGTCCCAGAGATGGTCGATGATCATAGAAAGAAGCTCGAGTGGAAGATCATCCATATCAAGTTCTAAAGCCGGAACCAGCCCAGTGAAGTCAAAGAAGCGAAGTAGGAAAAGGAGGTGTGGGCCCAAGGTGGCAAACGATGGAAGAGGGATCGGACGAGGTCCGACTGAGTGACAAACACGGCTGATACGATTACCCTAGCACGAGGCTGCAAGATATACTTCCTTTCCGTGCTTCATCCCATGCACCCCGCACTCCTGGTGTCAGCCACTTGTTCGGCCCCGAGGGCATTAGGGTATCCCGCTCGGGAATCTTAGCATGTTCGTAGATATGTCTCTGCATCCATCTGCATCTACTGGCCTTCCCCAGAGTCGTGGCGTTATGAGGCTCCTTCTCGTTTGCTTTCCTCAAAACAGTCTTTGCGATGCGATGCCGTACTGTATGTGGATCGAATGCGGTTAGCGCGGTCTTCACACTCTCGGCATGCGAGATGTCGACGTCGCTGTCCGAATATTGATTTGGTGCAGCGACGCGTAAGGCAGATGAAGTCCAATAACATTGATATGAAGAGCAGAAGACGAGAGAAGGGAAAGGAATTTGCGGGGATCCGCGTCCAATTCTCAAGGTAATCGTGTAACCAGAACGGAGGTCGGGTTTTGCCGTCCGTATTCATCAAAAGCGTTCCTCTGCCCGGCTTCGTATCGGAGCAGCTGAGCTTCGGCCTCGGAGTTAAGCCCGTTGGACTCCGCGGGCAGGGGTCCTTTTGCACAGTATTGAGAACGCGAGGTGCGTTGCTTCCGTGCTGCAAAAACCGGCCCTCGTAGGCATCGGTGTAGGTGGGGTTTTCCCCCCTGAACATGATTCTAGAACCCTACTATAGACACGTGCGAAGCCATGTGATTGCGGGACACTATTTGAGGCATGAACGAGGGTAAGTGTAGGAAGAAGAGATAGCGCGGAAGCAAAGGTTCAGTTCATACCGCGTCCGTGCACATTCTTGATGGAGACGGTGCTGAAATCATCATATTGGTAAACTGTAGGGTTGGAGGTAGACTGACTTATAAGAAGGAGAGACTATATATCGAGTTCATCAGGATTTGGTGTCACAATCACCGACACACTCTTCACTATGAGTAACGTGACCCACCCTGCGACTAGAGACTCGAATTGGGTACCGAAGGGCACCAGTACCCAATAAACATGCCATGATGATCCAAGACAGTAACCCTTCCATTCGCGCACTGTGAAAGCGAGCTGAGAACTAGGGAAAGCATCATCATCACATCACGTGAGACAGAACTCTCTCCGCCAATATACCTACTGCACTAAATGCTATTATAAATCGATCACAGAATCTAGAACCCTCCATGACCTCCCATGAAACCACACATAGAGAATCCACGCCTCTCGCCAATCTTGTGCGACTTATCCCTCGCTGACCGAAGCCAGGACCTCAATGGCCGAGACGTGACCCACTCACACACACCAGACCCGCATCCAACACACCGCCATTCTGCGACCCTATCAACCCATGCGCGCATCTCCCGTACCGGCTCCCGTACCCGTCTCCTCAACGTCCCTCTCTCAAATAGCTCTGATCACTTGGCATAAGATCCACACAGCGCCCTAGACGCCGTAGACCCTACTTCTTCTCTTGGCTCTCCACAAGCGCCTTGAAGAGACTCCCCTCAGTCTGCATCAAAATGCTTGGCTCACCTATCTCCGCAATCCCCCCTGCGTCCATTACGACGACGCGGTCGAAGTCGAGGATGGTATCGAGACGGTGAGCGATGGCGATGATAGTACGGTCGGCGAAGGCGGTGCGGAGTATGCGCTGCATGAGGGCGTCGGTCTGGGCATCAACACTTCCGAGTGGCCTTACTTTAGCTCCGGACACTAGAATGGGGGAACCAGAAAACAGTACCTGCTAGTAGCTTCGTCGAGCACCACGATTTTCCCATCCATGAGAATGGCGCGCGCAAGGCAGAATAGCTGACGCTCGCCTTGAGATAGTAGGCTATCTACGTTGTCTAAGCTCAGGTCCAGAGCCGATTGCTGACCCTCTGCAGCGGAGCTCAGTTTGTCCCAGAGGTGCACCTGCTGGAGTGCGTCCTTCATCTGATTGTCGGAAACCGAAGGCCGGTTTGCTTCTGGTGTCCATGGCGCAAGATTATATCGTACAGTGCCTGTTAGGAAGAAAGGCTCCTGGGGTAAAGCGATGATCTTGGATCTGAGGAGAGACAAGGACACATCCACGGTAGGTATACCGTCGATAAGGATCTCACCTTCCTGCTGGTGGAGAAGCCCAAAGAGCGCGGCGACGAGGCTGGACTTCCCGCTTCCTGTCCGACCACAAATCCCAATCTTTTCACCCGCTTTGATGTTTAGGTCGATGCCCTTCAATACCGACTTCCCTTTGTCAGAGTAGCTCGCGGCAAAGTTCTTGAAAGCGACCGAACCATGCATCGGCCATGATTCTGGCGGGTCGGCTTGCATGAGCTCTTGAGACTCTGATGGTGTTGCGGCGAATTGTCGTATACGAGTAACAGCGCTAAGAGACGTCTCCAGCTCAGTCCACGCCAAAATGATGATGCGAAAATTCCAGCCAAGGTCCATCTGGCCTCCATCAGCATTCCACGGGTGTATAGGGATTCTAGATGCAGCGACTCACAGCTGACACGAGGGCCAAACCCAGGTAACCAGGATCAACTTTCGAACGAAGACCGACTGCCAAGCCGACGATAACAGTGATAAGACCAGCGACCATAAGCTCGAGTACCATATTCAGCCAGTTCTGGATCGCAAACAGCAAGTAGAAGGGTATCTGCGACTGGTCAAGATATTCAGAATTCTTCTTTCGATAGGCGGACGACCATCCAAAGGCTCGTATAGTGACGATACCGGCCAGGCTCTCGAGGAAGTGGGTGCATAGTGGCGCTTTTGCCTCGAGGTCCATCAAGCGGACCTGTCTTGAAGTCCGAAGATATACCCGTTGAATGCAATAGCAGACTCCCGCAAGTAAGGGGATGGTGGCCGCCACCGGAGGCGTTGCCACGACCAGAATGGCGACTGATGCTACCAAAAGTAGAAACTCTGGTGCAGTCAGCAATTGATCTCACTTCGGTATCAAAGTGACTTGTACCGGAGGTTACGTTAACATAGGCGATCTGTAGTTGATTGTCGACTAAGACGATATCCTGGGAAAATCTGTTGGTGATAGACCCTATGTCTGTCGACGCCAAGTATGAAAACTTGGCCCTGTAACATGGTCAGGAAGATACTCAAAGTTGGTGTCAAGATAGATTCCCCCGAGCAGGGTCACGGCCGGAATCAACATACCGCATCAAAGACTTCAGCTGGCTGGCGTGTAGCGACAGGCTCATCCGTTTAACGAAACACATCTCAAAATGTCTGGCGCATTGTCAGAAGGAATCGGTAAAGAGATCGGCATGATAATCACTGACCCTATCCAGGCAAGGTATAGAAGGATATTGACCAAGGTAACAACGATGAACAAGTACAGATTGCGGATTGAGGCGGATCTGCTGGTGTCGTCTGACTGTGCCCACCACTTTAGCCACAAGTCTGTCTATCTATTAGCAATGCCTCCGGTTGACTATGCGAAAGGTAGTGCATATAAGTAAGATATGCCGGGAAGGTTGCTATCGTATATATCATTGCCAGTGGGTCTTTACTGTCCCAGGACAAGAGGGTCTGCGATAGTAGATGCATAAGAAAACGTTACCGAGACGCTTACTTACATTGAATCTGAGTGGCAACAGTGGCTATAGTAGCCGTGGTCCAGTATATTGAGACGTGCAGTGGCCCAATAGCCTTCATCATGAAGAAGAAGCTTCGTCTATCTCCAGCCCGCCGCGACGAATCCTCCTCATCTTCATCCTCGGCGTCGGGCTCCGTTTGAGGTGAAGGTAGCTCGAATGGCACGTCAAGATCCGTATGGGTATCGGCGCAAGAGTCTATGTCATGGTTCTCTTCGCCAGCACTCCCGTCGAGAGCCTTGAAGTTAACATTCCTTTCCGCAAGTTGTTGATATGTGCCTTCCTCTGAGACCCGGCCGTCGGATAAAACTATTATCCGGTCCGCATATCGAGCGTAATAAGTTGCGTGTGTGGCCAGTATGACTGTAGCATTCGATTTCCGGAGGAGACCTGCAAAGGTGGCGGTACACTTAGTAGATGTCTCAGATAGGAAAGGGGGGGAGGGGACACTTTTTCGTACGTCTAAAGACTTTGCCTACTGAAGGCCCTTAGGAGGTGCTTTCCGCGGGTGAAATCTGAGATGCGCTAGGGTGTGTACCGCGAACAAACGTACCGTTGCGACCGAAGACACGATCGAACACTAGCTTTTCCGTGGTGTTGTCGAGACCCGATAGCATGTCATCGATAGCCAGAAGAGGGTTCCTCGCATATAAAGCTCGTGCAAGTGACAGCCGATTCTTTTGACCTCCGGATAAGGAAATGCCTTTAGAGCCGATGGGCGTCTGGTCGCCCTTCTTCATCTCGGCGAGATCTTGCATTAGACCACAGCTCCAGAGTACCTTGTTGTACCATGCTTCGTCGAATTCGTCCTCGCCAATGATGTTCTGTCGTACAGTAGCGTTGCGAAGCCATACTGTTTGATCACAGAAGGATGTTCCCGAAGTGCATGGCTGGAAGGAACCACTCCATAACTTCATTTCGCCAACGGCAGCGCGGAGAAAGATGGACTTTCCAGAACCGACCTTGCCAATGATCATCGTGAACGAGCCAGGCCGGAAACTCGTCTTGATATCGAACAGAAGTGGCTGTTCGTCTATCGTGAAGGTTGCATTTCTGAAGGAGAGCATCGGAGCAGGCGAGCCGGCGTTCTTGACGCCTGCGGAGAGTGGGGCTAGCTCGACGCCTTCGGATACTGAGGCTGGAGCGGAGTGCTCTAACTGCTCAGGTTCAAAGGCGCCAGACTTGAGGAACTGCTCGATTCGATATAGCGAAGCGAGACTCGTCTGCAGAGTAGGAATTAGTTGCAGCACAATCATCATCGGAGACGTGACTAGTTTTAGAGCCGACAAGGAGCCATAAAGTTTGTGGAAGTCGAGGCCAGTGCTGTTGGTTTTCACAAGCATGATTACGGCGAAGGTGACATAGGTTGCTAGAGTGGTCAGTTGAAACATGACGTTCGATAGCAACAACACCCAAACCAGAAGTCTCCGGATATGCTGGTTGGCGGCAACCTCAAGTTCCCGAAGCTTCGTGAGCATGCGAAAGACGGTATCGGAAAGTCCGAGCATTCGAACTCCCTTCATGCAACCGACAACATATGAGACTGCAGTCACCCGTCGCTGTGTAGCTGCAGCCCAGAGAAGTTGGCGGCCCCTCAATTTTTTTCCGATCCAGGTGCAGATGCCCGTAGTGATCAAGACGGTCAAGAATGGAGCCACGAAGGCGGCGCCTGTAGCGTAGTTAGTCATACCTTCTGCTGATAGTGTTTAACGCTTGTTCCTCACCGAGATGCGTATAGAGGATGTATAGAGCTACAGCTGTGCCTACAAAAGCAGCCCAAATCTCGTTCATTTGGCGGCAGCCACCAAGCAGTTTCTCAACATCGACGTTCCTGGCTGCGTTAGTACGGAAATGTAAGGTCGAGTCAATTGCTTACATGAGAACTGTCGCTGCGCCAAGATCTACGTCCTTTGAAGAGGTGTGTAGCGTCCTTTCGTAGATAAGCGATATCAAACAGCCACGAAGCTTCGTGGAGAATCGGGCCACGCATTGCGCGGTCCAGCTCGAAGCAATGGCAAGGAGCGTATAGTTGAGCGCGAAAGCGGTGACTAGACCATATCCCGTATTCTGCGTGCTCGGATCCTCGCGATCGTCAACATACTTGATCATAGCTGTAATTAGGTACGGTTGGCTTAGACTTGTGGCCATTTGGAGCAGTCTTGAGGAAGAGATCAGTCATCTCTCTGTTTCATAGAGGAAATACGGCGGCGAGTCCGTACCTTGGGATAACTGGCAAAAGCAAGTCTAGCCAGAGCACCTTGAAAATGGTCCTAGCCAGGGCTGCGCTCTTCTGCTTGTCCTGTCTTGCCCATGCATTTTGGAAAGCGGCTGCCCGTTCCTTGGAGGCAAGATCCGCATCGATGTTGTACAGATCCGTGGGCTTGAGGATCTTTTGGTAGCCTTCCCTGAACAAGCCATTGAGGTACCAGAACAGCCTCTTTCCAAACAAGCCGATCGTTTCTTCGGGAGGCAGTCTACGGTCCCGGTCGGAGTAGAACAACTCTCGCTTATCGAGAGATTCTAGCAGCAATAGTAGTCCCGTCAAGAATGTGTGAATGGATGCGGGCGTGACAAGGGATGCCGGGTAGTCCATTAAAAACAGGGTGCGTAGTCGAACTGCGTCACATAGCAGGAGGACGAGTAGGAAGAACTGGAGCAGATGACTCGGCCGGACGGCTCTACTATGCTCCAGCCGAGACAGTGTGACAATGAACAGCGACCCAAGGAACTCCAGAGACGCAGATGCAATCGATAGCTTCGTCTTGTAGGTTTCGATCTCGCTCCATATCACGAGCAGGACAACTGAGGAGATTGCATTGCAGATTCCCGTGATCTTGAGGCGTTAGCGTACTATGCTCAACGGCGGCCAAGACATAACGTGCCGTCTTCAGGAACCCGAGGTGGGAATTCTTGGCCACCCGGTCGCGTCGTCGGCGGAGCGTAGCCAATCGGACAGGTGCCAGCAGCAGCAAGGCGGCTTGCGGCAGTAGACCGAGCACACTGTCTTCGAAGACGAGCGTGAAGTCGAACCCCCCGCGGCATGAGCCAATACCCGGTCCGAACGACCCATCATTCTGGCAGACGCGAGACATTGGTGGCTGATGAGGTCGTGTAGACTTCCCCGCATTCAAGCGCGGGTAAGACGATGGGCTCAGGTCAAGATAAGGTGAGAGTGCCCAGCCAAGGCATCAATGACGCGCCATCTTAGGGTCGTCACTCGTTGGCAGTTCGTTGCCTTATACGCAGAAGACGCGTCGTACAGTAGGAGAGGGGTCTGTTGATGTAGGCGTCCCCCGCCCTTCGCAGAAAGCCATGGTAGGATCACTTCCGCCCTTCGCAGAATGTCATAGTAGGATCATTGGCCAATCGGAAGATACGCTGGTCGTCGTCAACAGGTGCTGCCTGGCGGCCGCCCTTCGCAGTTAGGGGGTTGGACATGGATGGATTTCCTCCACACCTTCTCGACTCGTCCTGTGTGGCCCGAGCGTCTGACGTCGGTGATCTCGGGCAGATAGCGACTTGTCCCGGCGTTTAGGGCTTCTCTTCAGACGCCAGCCATCAGCTCTCCATTTTGCATCACACCATCACCTCATCCAGCCATTCGTAAAGCCATCACCTCCATCGCCTCCATTCCCGGCGGCGCAAGGCTATCTTCGGCTTAGACCACACGGACGCCGGCGGGATGGCCTGCCCCCGCAATTGTGGGCGCCGTCACCGCCAGCCCAGCCTATAGACCCCCGGAATTTCTGCATGCGCGTCGTGCAAAAGCAATGCAGTTGCACACAACTCTTGCGCGCTGGCCATCTCAGACGATCCTTTGACGCTCGGTCAGACGTCAGACCCATCCCACGGCCAAAGAGCATCCGGCTGGCCCAACGTGGCAGATTTTACCAAATCCTAACACCACGGCGCGTCCTAGCGGCGACCAACATGCTGCCGCACAAGCATCAAAGAAAAAAGACCCTTGACGCAGCACGACCGGTAAGGCCCGAACTTCCCTGCTCCAGCTTTCTCCGTTTTTCTATATCTAAGGGGCGCTTCGACTGGCCTTGAGCGCTGCTGTTGAACCTCGGAAATCCTTCTCCCTATTCGTTTCCTGCAAATTCCGAGTACTCTCACTACTCGTCCATCAGTCCGGAGCTATCGTCCACCTGATAAGCAAGGCATAAGAACAACGTCCCTTCCTCTCTCGTCTTTACTTTCCCGCCCGCTCTCTTTCTAAACACATCTCCACTCTGCCGCGTCAAACTGCCCCTTCCCGCACCGCCAAGCGAACGATCGCCCACCAAGAGGTCCAAAACACCCAAAACACCAAGCAGCTACTTGAGCCCCAATATTTGGAAACCTTTCTGGCGCTCATAAAAGTTATACAAGCTACAACACCTGTAAAACACCAAGCCCGTGATCCCCAGCTGCGGACCGCCGACGACACCTGCCAAGCGCAATCTAACCAACAGCCGCCGGCCATCTAAAGCACGTCGCAACCCCCAAGCTTCTTGGTCGACTTCCTCACACACTAGCCGCCAGGAGAGCGATCGAAACAACCTCTCGTCTCCGACGATCCCCCATACTGTGCACTACCACTGTGCCAGCCGGAGACGTACCGACTGCGACATCCCGCGCTTCCGCTTGGAGCTGCACTACGTTTTGCGCGACTGGACCTCTTGGCCGTTACGCAGCCATTAGGGAAATATATAAGCAAAGGTTATTTCTCCGACATTATTTTTTACGCATCAGCACGCTTCAGCTTTCACTGCGGTCACTTGACTCGCCTACGCTATCCCAATTCAACACCGAGTACCACGGGACCACCGGAAGCTTGGCCTAGACGCAAAAAGCTTCTGGCACCGACACAAAGTTCAATTTTCGAGAAGCGAGGAGCCAGAAAACTATAAAGTCCGCCGACTTTCCTCCTCTTCCGTCCATCCAACCTCCGGCCAACTCTCAAATCTGAGCTCGACACTCATCCACAGCTACCACAGCGACCACACATTAACGACAATGTCTTCCTCACGACATCACATTCCCTTCCCCAGGAACTTCCTCTCCCTCAACACACCTCTCAAGAAACCCGCACCAAGCACGATGGACGCCGTCGTCGCGTCTCCCGAGTCCGAGGTTCCGAACACCTTCCTCTCCAACCGAGCACACCACGTTCCACGCCAAGCCTCCGTCTCCAGCGTCAGCAGTGTCGAGACCGTCGACGGCGCGGCACCCGTCTCCCCCACCAGCAGCGAGTCTGCTCCGAGTCCTGAGTTCAAGCCAGCGCTCCCGGCTTTCCAGCCCTTGGCGCTCAACACCAAGTATGCGGCTCCGCCTGCCACCGCCAAGGACATGAGCGGGGATAAGGGCGGCCCTTTCCTTTCGAACAGGGCCTAATCGGCTGGTCCTGCTTGTTGGGAGGTCATGCCTTGGAACCGTTTGGAAGAGCAGAGCGCAAAAACCAAATTGGCACCACGACACGGGGGTTAGCGAGCGCGGTGTGAGGATGAAAAGCTTATAAGATACCACAAGTGCAGCGAGCGAGGCTTCACGATGTTCACGATACCTGTTTTTCCCCTTTCTATTCCTTTCTTTCGCTTCGAACTCTATATAACTACAAAACCATACTCTGGGCACAGTATGGATTGATTTGATGGGTGCGACGCTGGCAGGGTGGAATGTGGCTTTTTGGTCTTCCCACTTCCAGACCCAAAATTGAAGCTTTTTGTAATAATGAGAAAAGTTCTTACGCCTTCATCGTATTCATCGCCATGTGCCTTTGCATGTGAGAACTGGTAGTTTCGTCTGCGGTTCCGCTCGCGCTCCTGGTCCGGGGTCCGGCTCAAGTTTCCTGGACCAAAGCAACACGTCACCTCACCTTATCGCCCAGGGCCAGGAAGTCTTCTGGAACCATCTTTGCATGTTTCAACCTTGCTGTTGACTTCACCTCCGCCCCAGCTCTGGCTAACCTTGCCCGCAAGCAAGCGACTTCCACGCGCCGAAGCTCCCCAGAACAACTTCCCCATCAGGCAAGCTCTCCAATCAACGCCGCTGAGTACTATCGGCTCGGAATACCAGCTGGCTGGACATTCGCCCCGATAGGATTACTGGGACGGTGGATCTGTGGTAACGGAATACTCGAAGGTTGGCCATGTCTATTTATAGAAGACTGATGATAGATTGATGGATAGACACCTCAAGCTCAATCAACCACGACTTCCTCGACTCCAGCAGCTATATGCTACCCACACAACAATATTCCTCCGCTCTCTAACCTCCCCTCCTACCCTCTTCCTGCACTAAAATCCTCACACGATCAATCACCAAACCCCGACGCGTCCATCCTATCCTGCATATCTTCGCGGCACAGCGCCTCCCAACCCTTCAGACCCGTTCCACCACCCCAGTCCAGTCCGTCCAGCTCACCGTGCCACAAACAAACCAAACCGTGTAAACCCACAACCCCAACCCCACTCCCACCGTGTCCGTTTTCCCAACGATCAAACTCCGCTGCACGCACCACCACGCAGCACGCACCCTTTCGGACACCGACGCGCGTGCTACAACCCGCAACGCACACGCCCACTGTACCCGTACCACGTCATGCAGCTCCCCTATTCTCCGCATTCCTCGGTCCCCCCGTGCGTGACCTACCCGGTGGTTCGGGTCAGACCCGACTTTTGTGTGACAACATCGCTACTTAGATACTAGTGCTGCTTCTATCAAGATGGAGAAGGCGCAATCGGTCGCTAGAGGGGAGGAGGATGATGATAATGATGAGCAAGGTGTGCGCCCACATGGGCTGATTACAAAGTCAGCACTTGGAATGGAAAAGTACATAGAAGGCGCGTTGGCCCAGTGGCGAGGGAAGTGCTCAATTGCGCAAACGCCACGCGCGAATCCTTCAGAGCAGTAGTTCACGATTCATACTCGTCACGCATCATAGCACCGAAATCGTTCAAATGCAATCTTGAATGAATATGGCCCTATCGTCATCGTCTCATCTGTCTCCTATTCCCACTCACAGAGACCAAGACCCACTACTCTCTCGCTATCCAGAAGACACCCACCTCTAAATCCAACATACAGCCCAGTTCCAGCGCAACTCCACCCAGACGCAATCGCAAAACCATGAAAAGTCGCGGGGAGCTAAGAATGCTCCTGTTCGTGCAGGGACAAAAGGCCGATCCAATGGTAAAATAGCGGTAGACATGAAAGAGGTGGTGGGCGTGCCGCAAGCGTGCAGAAAACGTCTCTTCGAATTCGGCATTTCTGGACGTGACCGTACGGACGCGAGGATGCGTTGCGCCGAAGCGATAATCGTGTTCGCCCACTAGGCAATTCTCCTCCTGTCGCCCGCACCGTAAGAGAAAGGAAAGACATCGTCAAAGAGAGACTATAACGTACAATCTCCGCATCACAATCCTAGCCTAACCAAGCACTAAAGAAGCAGCTCGCACTTCATCAGTGTGCAGAAACGCAGAAAGGGCCCGAGTATATAGCAAGGGTTGTCCCCAGCCGGCCAAAGCCAGTATAACCAAACTTTTTCTGACCAATGGAAAGAACAAATCGGGGAATGGAAGTGACATGTGAAATCAAGGAAATGGACTGGTATGGGCATGAACAAAACCGACTCCCAAGGGTAGTATGGTAGCAAGGACCAGATATCCCCCAAGAAACAGAACGCCAAAGAACTCCGATGCTGCGCTCTGATGACGAGAGGCAATGATATGTCCTAAAATCCTATTTCGTGACCCAGAAGTGCGTCAAATATGCCACGATCGGTGTAGCGATCATGAAGGCTCGTGTATTATGCGGTAAGGTCGAGGGAAGAGGCGATATGCACAGCGGTCGACGTGTGGCCTCGTCGGCGGGAGACGGTGGTGCGCAGCGTTCATAGGATGCCAGAGTCTTTTAGCGCGTTCTGCAATATCGTCTCTTTCACGGCGGCGAAGACGAGTCGGATATTCGACGTGTCGGTCGCTTGCGTAAGGCTGCAGAAGTCAGCAAATCCAGCTTGGGCTCACGGACACGGGGGCATACTGAGGGTATAGGTTAAGGTGCGCCCGGTTCACCTGGTTAAACCGCCACAAGAGATACTTCGCGGCGCGATTGACGTCGTTGCCTCCAGAATAGTCCGGGAAATAGTTCCCTAACGGTGACCGCGCCAGCTTGGCCTTGAACAGGTCCACTTTGTTCAGGAACAGGATGATACTTGTCCTCATGAACCACCGGCTGTTTACTACGGAGTCGAACAGCACCAGGCTCTCCATCATTCGGTTCTAGTTGCTCAAATTAGCGGCACGACGTGCGATCCTGGTCGGGCTTGCGTACCTGAGAGCTCTCCTCCAGTAGCACTTGGTCGTATTCGCTCAAGGCCACGCAGAAAATGATTGATGTGACGTTTTCGAAACAATGTATCCATTTCTTGCGCTCGCTCCGTTGGCCGCCCACGTCGAACATGCTGCAGTTTCATATTAGCCGAAGCAACCAAGGATTCACCCTGCAGGCCCACGTACTGTATGCTCAATTGGCCCATCGTGAATCTTGTCTCGTAGATGCCGGTGGTCTTTGTACGCGCGCGCAGGACGTCGGACTCTATTGGGATGTAGTTGGGGTCTGCTATCCGCATCACCTCGTCGAAGAAACTGGAATAGGGTCAGCGCGCAGCCTAACAGAGGCCATGTGTCGACGTACTATGGCGCCGAGTCCATCAGGTAGAACTCGCTCGAGTGCTCAAGCACCTTCGGCACGCAGGGGTCTCGCCAAACGGATGTTATGGCTTGGCCAACCCGCAGGTCGAGCGGCTTCTCTGGGTCGGGGTCTACGGTGTACTCAAGCAGATACTGGCAGTACTCATCGTTCCCGGGCTCTTCAGGCTCAATGTCGAATTGGTGCATTGCGCCGATCAGAGCCTTTGCGCAGTCGATGACGTTCTTATATATTGTGAGGCGGTACATGGCGAGCTCTTCCTGTGTGTAGCCGTTCTGGTGGATAATCTTCATCTGCTTGACAATCGTGGACTTGCCGCTCTCGCCGGAGCCTGATTGCCTGTGTTAGCATTCGTGGGGGACATGCGGCAGCTCAGCTGCTTACCCAGCAGGAGGATTTTGCACTCTCGCCGTAACCGACGAGAGTCCTCCTCGAGCTTCCGGTCGATGGCCTGGCTTCGCTTCTTCTGCTCGACATCCTCATTGTTGGTGCTCATGCAAATACCCATTGTGCCTGGTGCTCGCTGCGGCTCGCGGCCGCGGGCAGGATGGGGAGGTCGGGCGAGGACAAAGGTGGAGCGCTAGGCTCAGCGCGTCGCAAGGGAGTCGTCGATGATGGATTCGCAAGCCGGCGAGACAGGTTTCAGAGCGGCTGGCTGCGTGACGGCGCGGCGACGATGGGGTTGCGGGTGCTGGTGACGCTTCCGTCGGTGTGAGCCGACAGCGGGCTCTCGTCAAAGGGGCGCGAGCGTCGAGCTGCAGTGGGCGGCGGCGGGGGTGAGAGCCGCCAGCGTCGTCGTGGTCGAGGGCGTGATGGAGGCTGCGGTGGCCGCCACTGGGGAGCGGGATGCGTAGCCAGAGTCGAAGGTGAATAGTCGCGGCTGTCTAGGTGCAGGTCGGGGAGAAAGATGGGGTCCCAAAGAGGCCAGTGCGCGGGTCGTGCCTTCCAAGGTTGCTCCGCTCAGCTAGACGGGGAGATCAGAGCCAATGCGCGCAGCGGCACCACCGTGTTCGACGCCGCGAGGCTCCTGCGCTGCGAAGGGGCCGTGAAAACACTAGTATTGGTGCAGTGAGCGATGTGTAAGTGCGCGGGCAGGGTCGGTGGTGAGAAAGCCCTGGGTCTCTGCACGGCGGGCCACTGGTGCAGGAGCTCAGCCCCGGGTCCCTTCCGCGAGGTTGGCGTCCGCGATGCCAGCCGGTCCAACAAACCGCATGCAGACCACGCGGCGGAAGAAGGCAGCAAACAGCACAGGGCGGCGAGGGCAGTGTTTGCGTGCAGGATACGGCGGCGGACGGCGATGGGGAGTGATGTGCTGGAGTCGCCGGCGGGCTGCTCGACGGCGCGCCTTCTCTCAGCAGCGGGCCATTATTGGCAGGCGCGGCTGCTGCTCTGTGGCTTCACACAGCGATGACTTTGGGATATTTCACCGCTGCATAACTCGCACACCCTCGCGCACCCTCATCTGTTCCGCCACGCACCCATGTCCGCCTGCGACACCCGCGGACGCCCATCTGTAGCCTTCTTCCAGTTGACGGCCTACGCCGTGCCGCCCGCAATGGGCAGCCATGGCCAGCGTCTGTAGAACCGCGAGCGCTGATGATCCTCTTACATGCCCGAACAAGCAATCGGTCGTCCAGCTAAGCCTGAGCTCTAACCACTTCCTACATCTAAATTAAGGACCACCCGTTCACCGAGCATGCCAAATAATATCTAAGATTGCCCATCGCCTCCAATCGCTCCCCCGAGGCGGCTTCTGGTCAGACTGCCGCGTCGTGCCCCATCGTGATCCGGCACCTTGATTAATCGCTTCCGTCTATCCAGCCCCAGAAAAGCTCATCTCGGTGCGACAAAGGGAGGCTATGCTGCTACTACAATCTACCTTTATATTTGCACCTGTGCCTGCTTACCGAAGCCGCTGTCCAGGTCTGCGCCTAGAAGAATGTCCACCTACCGGAGGCAAGCTCCACTGCATTGATGCGCACCTTGTCTGCGGCTTTCTCCCGAGACGTGCCGTCTTCGATCTTGCAGATGACGCCCATCCCTTTGTCCGATATGGCTTCGAATAAGTACCGCGTGGGAGTCCAGCAGTTGCCAGCCGCCAATTGTCACGTTGGTCACCCTCCGCCGGGGCGAAGAACTTCCGTGACGACCTGCAGCACGCAAGGTTCTCGTCCACCTCGTTTGGCTCGCCGAGCAAACGTCCCTCGTGGCCGTACTCCCCGAGTCGTACGGAGTACCGCTTTAAAACCTGAAATGCACGTCAGGCAAAGGCATTGCTGGCCCCGCAGAATCCGCGACCCGTCGCAGCGTGCTGTTTGCAGCCAATCAATCCCGACTTCTGTTTCATGAGGAGTTGGCAAGAGGCTCTCCGCATCAAGATTCGCAGGCGGCCTCAGGAGTTACTTTTCGGATCCTGCGGTTCGCAGAAGGAATATGGTGTACGTCGCAGCATTGCCGATTGCTGATGATGGTCCGTAGTCGCCGACGCGGTCTTTGAAGCCGCAAATCGCAGCAGTTCGACTTACCACAGTAGCATCCCTCATCTGTAGGCATTCGGAGCTTGGGGCAAGCATGTTGCTTCGCATTACTCCATCCCGTAGTAGTTCCAGGCTGGGGCCAAGGATGGAGAAAACCCCTCTCGTTCACTTTCAGAGCACTGCATTTGCCAGATTGATACCGCAGTGATAGCAACACTTGTGGTACAGCAGGGACTGGCTGTACGAGCGAGCGGCACGGGACGCACGAGCCTCAGCCACAAGAAGAGGGGAAGGAAGGCTTGGAAAGTGGGACTAGAGAGAAGAGCTCTGACATTCAGCGAAAGCAGAGGAGAGAAAGAAAAAGCATGTCGCATGCTAGGAGCCCTTCCTATGTGGACATACCTAGGTATGCATCAGTAGATAGCAAAGCTCACCAACAATTGGCGCCCGGGTAGCATGGGATTCCCCTTTCTCCATGATGACGTAGCTGCGATGGGAGCCATCAGGTTTCGCGCTCGCAGCGCGTTACGGGGACCGGGCTGCCGTGCGTCGTCCAGTCACCCAGCGCTTCGTGCCCCTCTCCTTCTCTCCTCCTTCGCCCTCATATAAATACTGTGTTCACCCTGACCTGACCTGGCAGTGATCAGCATCCCGCCACACTCCTCCTCGAGCCACCACCTCGTCTTCGCCCCGCCATCCTTGCGCTTCGGCCCTACTGTTGCTCCCCTCCGAAGCGCCTCTGTTCCCCGGCCATCAAAGAAGTCTCTGCCAGAACCAACCGGCAGACTCATCCGCAGTTCTGCTCCGAGTGAAGTCTGGCGTTGCCTCCGCCGTCAATCCTAGGAACTCCGCGGACCCGCCCACCGATCCAATCCGGCCAACTTTCCTGCCCTAGCCCGGCTGCTTTAGATCGCGAACCTGCTCTGCGACACTCTCCCACAACACACCTTCGCATCCGCAAACCCCATTCCAAGCGCCTGTCGCAGCCTCCACGCTCCCGCCTCTATCATGGCTGAATTTGTGCGCGCTCAGATTTTCGGCACGACGTTCGAGATAACGAGCAGGTGCGGAGGGTACCCCACATGGCGCGCAGCGCTGAACTGACGCTTGCGAAGATACACCGACCTGCAACCAGTGGGCATGGGCGCCTTCGGGCTTGTCTGGTATGTCTACAGAAGGAGCAGCAGCAGGCCGCCCACTGACTGGATCGCAGCTCGGCGAAGGATCAGCTCACGAACCAGGCCGTCGCCATCAAGAAGATCATGAAACCGTTCAGCACCCCGGTTCTCTCGAAGCGCACATACCGCGAATTGAAGCTTCTCAAGCACCTCAGACACGAGAATGTGGGCAGCCCGAGATGGTGATATTTGGGAATGCGGTCCTAATGGGTGGCAGGTCATCAGTCTGAGCGATATCTTCATCTCCCCGCTGGAGGACATGTAGGCATCGCACTTCCACCACCCCTCAACGCGACGCTAACATACTCAGCTACTTCGTCACTGAGCTTCTCGGTACCGATCTCCACCGGCTGCTTACCTCTAGACCGCTGGAGAAGCAGTTCATCCAGTACTTCCTCTATCAGATCTTGGTCGGTGGCAATTTTCGGATGCATACAAAACTCAGCTAATCTTGGCAGCGCGGTCTGAAATATGTCCACTCTGCCGGCGTTGTCCACCGTGACTTGAAGCCCAGCAATATCCTGGTGAACGAGAACTGCGATCTCAAGATCTGCGACTTCGGTCTGGCGCGCATACAAGACCCTCAGATGACAGGATACGTCTCAACGCGGTACTACCGCGCGCCGGAGATCATGCTTACATGGCAAAAGTACGACGTGGAGGTGGACATCTGGAGCGCTGGATGCATCTTCGCCGAGATGCTTGAGGGCAAGCCCCTCTTCCCAGGCAAAGATCACGTAAATCAGTTCTCCATCATTACGGAGCTGCTGGGTACACCCCCAGACGATGTCATCCAGACCATCTGCAGCGAGAACGTATGGCTCCCTAACCCCACCACCGATATAAAAATCATTAACCCTCCTCAGACATTACGATTCGTCCAGTCGCTACCCAAGCGAGAGCGACAGCCATTGGTGAACAAATTCAAGAATGCAGAGCCGGCTGGTAGGTTCTACCTAATTATCGTCTTTTGTTAGCGTCTGACAATTCCTAGCCATCGACCTCCTCGAAAACATGCTAGTGTTTGACCCTAAGAAGCGAGTCCGAGCTGAGCAGGCCCTCGCTCACCCGTACCTTGCGCCATACCACGATCCCACTGACGAGCCCATGGCCGAAGAGAAGTTTGATTGGTCGTTCAATGACGCAGACCTGCCCGTGGATACATGGAAAATCATGATGTGCGTTCCGGTCGTGGGATTTCATTTTGACACCAACTAACAGGAATGCAGGTATTCCGAGATTCTCGACTACCACAATGTCGATGCTGCCGCACAAGCAGAGGAGAATGGCAATGGCAGCTAACCGGTTATTGCTCGGTTGTGCGTGGTTTTCAGGTGCTGTGCATGATGAATGACCTTCCCGGTGCAGGCGGGCTCATTTCCTTCCAATAATATCCACTTGAGGCCATTAGGCTGGGCGCGGGTAGAGCAGTGTGGAGCGCGGTTTTGTCTTGGGTTGGATTTGATTCGGGTGGTATACAAGGTCGTCTTACGGCGCAGTGGGTTGCAGTTTGCGAGCATGGCTCCAATGCCCGAGCAGCAGATATGGGAATGAAGGTATATGGTTTCCTCAGGGTTTATACGATGGGCCTTGCATCGTCGCTACTGAACTTGTTCTCTTTGTTTTTGGCGCATAGAGAAACGAAGCGAAAAGTCCATGTCCGCCTGCTAACAGTCCGAACCATGTACGGAAACCAGGTGCCCGTGGTGCCGTACCAGAATCGACGTGATAGCTTCCATTTGCGAACTAGAGACGGGGTGGCCCATAGCCCCAAGTCGCCACGACGTCGAACGCTGATGGCTAAGAATTCCGTTCAGCTGGTTGATTGAGGCCCTGCATGGAGGTGTTTGATCGGCCTGAGGTTGAGAGGCGTCTGGGCATGTGGCGAAAAGCAAGCTTGCCTTTGCACAAGATCCGGATTTTCGGATGCTTGACTGAATGCCTGCATACAACGATCGCGCGCTTTACTTCAGCAAGTATAATCACGTCACTATTCTTTCATTTCTGGCTGCAGTGGAACCTCCCCGGATCTACTTGGTCGTGGGCCGGCGAAGGATTCCAAAGTCATGATCCCTGCAGCAGATCAGCTAAGCAGATCTAGGGTTGTTTCCCAGCATCGGCGGGCGGCATCACCTCCCCCAGCTATTGAGCTCGACCCGAACCCTAATCTTACGCTTGACGCGACTCGACGCCTCGAGCTCCATGGCCCGCTGTTGTATTCTCTCGACTCAGAGCCCGCGATAGTGCAAAGAGGGGATAAAAATGGCAGGGTTCTCGCCTATCGTGTGTATCGTGGATTTTCACCATGCTAGGTGGGTGGTCTTTTGGCGACGAAGGGGAAAGCTGTGAGAGGAGCAATATGCTAATGGTGGGATATAGGGGCCCGGAAGTCGAGACATGGCTAGGCGTGGAAGAGGGGAGTGACCCTGCGATTGAGAATGACTGGTCGCTGCTGCCGTTTATGGCGTTGAGCGATGGCGCGCATGCGTATGTTCAATCCCTCCATATCCTCCCCCACGCCTCAGACAAGTCCCAATGGCTGTTCTAGACGTGCGACTGACAACGGAACAGCTCCACGGAAGACTACTCCTACTTCACGCTCCGCCGTTCCGCGACTGACGCCCACCCGGCCTCCAGCCTCTTCGGCATATCATGTACCCGCCAATTGGACGCGAACGAGCTGATAAATCGACCAGCTGAGGTTACAAGGAGTACAGTGCAGAAGGCGCTCGTGGTGATAAGTGATAGCCCGCAGCATTTTGGGGCTGTGAAGGCGCAGTTGGGGGTTGTTACTGCGGCGTGGTTTGCGCAAAAGTAGGTGGAGCCCTTACACATAACGGGGGTTGCTGGGTGGTTGGACGATTGCGGACGGGAGAGAGATGTGTGGCTGACAAGTGGGTAGGGATTTCACGGATATCGAGATCTTGCAGCAGTTCCAGGAGAGTCTAGCTACGTTGCTTAAGAATCAGGAGGGGGAGATGGACCATTACTTTGGTGAGTACGATTGTTGAGAAAATTGGAGAAGACGGACTAATTAGAGTAGGGATATCTCTTCGAGAGTTGATCCACGAGTTCAAGTGGCAGACGCTCGTACTCTTCAAGTGCGCTTTACTTCAACCCAAGGTAAGCAGCATTCTCTGCTGTTAGCGACGCGATCTGACTATCTCAGATGCTCTTCTTTGGCTCGCATTGCGAACGGTTATGCATGATGCAATTCGCCCTTATTTCTCTGATACCCGGCCTTCTTCGCCACCTTCAAGACTCCGCCGACCCTAAGTTCAACTCCTGTGAGGATAAACTCGTAATGCCTACCTCATTAAAGACCTCGGAACGCTCATCCTGTAAGTATCCTACTGTACAGATATGTTACGGAGATTGACTACTTTAGTGCTTGCTTATATGGGACTTCCCCTACAACTCTTCGGCAAAGGCTCGCTATTCGGACCGTATACGCCCCTGCAGCAGCTCGACATGCTTGCTGACCAGGACACGAAATCGTACATAGTTGGGTCTACAAATTCTCTTCTGCTCCAACAGAAGGACAGGTACAGCGACATACTGATCAACCTCGACGAGCACACCGTAAACATCACGTCTAGCTCGCTTCGCCACGCCCTCGTTTTATCAACTCCCGATAGAAGGTGGATAGACTTCTTGACACAGACCGTAAACGATAGCTGGGATGAGTCCAATCCTAGCCGGCCAAAGGATCATGGTTACGCTGGTAGCGAGGAATTCATCCGCATGCAGTTCGAGGAGTACTTGCTCGCTATGCTGAGCGCGGTAAAGTACAAGATCTATCTAGAAAAGAACAAGGATAAGGAAAAGATCATATCAGATTTCGAGGGCGACCCATCAAGCGAGTTCTCGAATGACTGGGTACAAGCTTGGATGGAGACGGAAAACTTCCGAATATGGAACAAGTTTACTGACTCGCACCTCTTCGACATCGTGGACCCGAAGCACCCTTGCTCAGGAGGGCTGTCCATCGAAGACGTGCAACGGCGACTGGCACAGTAAGTCCCGCTTTCCCTTGCAGCCCATCCCCAAGCCCGACTAAGATCGTTAGTTTGTTCTCCGACTCCACCTTCCAAGTAGTCACCTTGAGCGTCTGTGTGCTGATTTTGGCGTGGCGCTTAGGCAGGTAGCGGAAATGCATCTCGACGAGCGGTTAGAGAAGTCACGAGAAGCGATCGGCAAGCAGCTCGCGGTTGGTCAGAAGAAAGTTTCCTCTGCGTTCAATAATCTGTGGGCGGAGATGGAAGCTATGCGGGAAGCGCAGCGCAAGAGACAGGAGGAGCAGAGACTGGCTAGGGAGAGCGAGCCACCGAGCCCGGTTGGCGAGAAACATGGTGGTGCTCTGGGTGGGAGATGTAAGTTCTGTCACGCGCCCTCTTTGGCAAGAAGTTAACAAGGTGACCAGGGAAAGCCCAACCCCCGGACCTATCGCACGCGCAAGCAAACCTTCAGGCAGCATCTACCCGCGCCGGCGCATACCTCTCCTCCTGGGGCGCCTGGGCCAGCGAAAAGAAGAAAGGCTGGGCCGCCACGAGGAGCGCAAGCGCTTCCACTACCCCGGTCACCTCACCTCTTCCCTCCGTTACAAAATTCGCGCCTGGCGATCTCAAAAGAGCGGAGGAGTTTAAGTCAGACAAGAGCCGGATGAGTACTGGTGGTGCCCCGTTGAGTAGCGCAAAGACAGCGCCGCCGGACGTGGAGGCTAGTACGACGAACAGGGAGAGCGTGTTCTTTGATGCGGAGAGGGCTGAGAAGGAGGGGAGGAGTAAGGAAACGGAGAACGTTGGATAGAGTCCGGGGTGATTATGGCAGATGTGCGCGTGGACAGTTGATGATACCTAGAGTAATGACGTCGATGCCCTTGGATTTTCGAGTTTGCACGCCGTCGTGGGCCGGCCTTGGCTTTTGCATCATTAGAGGAGAGAGCGTATTCCACGCTTCTTCGAAGGCTATATTATTGGTAGTCTCAAATCAAAGCTCTTCGCAGCGCAACCCCGTGGCCATGGCTTGCGCCGTGTAGATCCGGTCGGGGCGACATCCGACCGTCTTTCAAAACTTCGGGCAAACAGATCGCCATGTTCGCACTCGGGATATCGACTTTTGTACTTTTCTATACAAGCAGCGAGAGCAAAGCCCCATTTTCCTCGTTCGCCCGGATCGTGTTTGGCCCTCATACGGTCGGACCAAGGTGGCACGGCCGGGGATTTTGCTTCGGGCATTTCCATCTAGACTTTGCGGAAGTGGCTTATCTCACCAACACCACCACAGCCACGCTGGGGGGCATGAATGTTCGAACGGGCACATGCCAATGATTGAATCGTCTTTGCCATGCTGCATATTGGCTGCATAGAAAGCATCATGCCAGCCGGGGCTTTTTCTTTTTCTCGCACGATTGGTCTGCGGAACGATGCGGCACGGTCTTACATGCAGCCTAGCTAGCTCGCCCGTGCTCGCCTACGGGTTCCGAAATGGCCTGATGGCTTCATGTATAAGAAGATGGGCGGCTTACTCGGCTTATGGTGAGTGAGGAGAAGGAAGGGCATTTAAGACACGGACAATTTCGTCTTCACAGCTTCATCCAAAAAACGAACAAACTTTACCTCTCCACTACACTACACGATCTAAGACACATTCGTCGCCAAGTGCGTTTGTTGTTCAACCCTCAACTCTCAGCCAACAACCAACATGTCCTCAGCGCTCTCCCTGCAAATCGCCTACGACCTTTTGCACTGGCTCCAAGGTGCGGCCACCTCGCCGACCTCATCGCCTCCGCAATCCCCTTCTACCGCTACTCGCCCCCGGCACCGACGCGGTTGGAGCTCGATTTCGTCATCGCGAGCAAGTTCGGAGTCTGTACCTAGCATTGCTGTTCAAGACGTCGATGTCGATGGCATGGAGATGCAGCCCATGCCCGCGCCGCAGCGGAGGAGGAGCGGCTCGCTTTCGAGAGAAGAAGCTGCGGTGCTGAGGGGGAGCGGGCTGGTCCCGGTTATTATGGGGGATTGAGGTGGAGGAGGGGGAGAGTGGATAGTGGGTAGATGACAGTCAGTGTGCGGGATGAAGGTATGTTGTGTTTCCCGTGGCGAGGTGGTCTAATAGAGTGCTGGGGGCTGATTCATTAATAGCGTTTGGAATCCGAGCCGCAACTCTGCCCGAGCTCCTGGAGGACTGTATCCCTCGCACTCATGCGATGAAGTACTGGGGTGCGTCTTTGTTCAAGCTTGGATGGAAGAACTCGACTGTATTGGGAACGTACCGCGTCTTCTCGAAGACCATCGATACATATATTCAGACGATGCGGCGCATATCAGAAGCTCGAGCCGAGGTTGGGCCCACGGGGATAAATACGCGGTAATGGACGAGGAAGAGTCCCGGGAAGGCCGCTCTGGAAACATGGCAAAGATTAGGGAGGCACACACAACGTCGCAAGGCGCCGATTAAAGCTTGATCGTATCGTCCAACGCAAACTTCCCGCGCGATGGACGATACCATGCAGAAGTACGAGGCAACAAATATCGACACTAGAAAACTAATTTTTAATTTCAATCTTCTCTACTTCAACACTTCTCTCTACCCCTCTTCCGCGAACCTCTTCTTTCCTCCCCGTCCTCTCCCACTCCAAAACATCACCCCTCCACCCTACACAACCTTCCATCCTGCGTATACAGCCCCCTCCTCCCTCCCCCACTCCCCCCTCTAACCTCCCACTTATCACTCCCCACAGTATTCAGCGCCCAAAACACGCCCTCCGGATCCCACCTCTCCTTCACGCCCCTCAACCGCTCATAATTCGCCCCAAAGAACGCCCCCTTCCAATCCGGCTCCTGCGCATCCCCCTCATTGATATAACTCCCACTCCCCGGCGTAATATCGCGCCAGCCCTGCATGTACGCTTGCAAACGCCTGTGCTTCTCTGCCTGGATCGCCATGCTTTCTACGGGCCGCGTGCCGTCCCACCAGCTGCGGCTGTCGTAGCCCTGCGCGTGCATGACGGTGCTGCGGAAGGCGGGGTTGACGGCGTTGCGCGGGTTGCCCGCGACGGCCAGGGTGGGCGCGTAGTTCATGCCGTGGAATTCGTAGCCGCCGGCCTCGATGAAGGTGCGGATGGCGGCGTTCATGGCGGTGCGGCTGGTCGCGCTGGAGAAGGAGCTGCGGGGGAAGAAGCGCGATGCGATGAGCGTGTTGCCGACGACGTCGCCGAGGGCGCGTGGTTTGAGAGGGTTGGTGGTGCCGTCTTCTGCAGAGGAGGCGGAGCTGATGGCTTGGGCGCGGGCGAGGCTGGGTGGTTGGTCGCGCGTGTAGATGTTGGCGAATCTTTGGACTGGCGGCATGGGGACGGCGATGCCTAGCGCGTTCAACTTCTCCTGCAGCGGCCGCATGAAGGCGCGGTATTCGGCTATTGTGTGGTTGGGCAGTGTAATTGAAGTCGTGAACGTAAGGCCTGTTTCGTTGGAGTTCGGGTTCGGCGTATGCCGAATGAAGTTGTAGCCCAGGCCGCCGTTGTTCACGAGCGGGATACAAAACTCCCAGTATGCTTTCATACCTTCCCAGAAGGTTTCAAGGGAGATGCCGGTGCTGTTGGAGCCGGGTGCGAGGACGGTGGAGAAGGTTATCCTCCCTGTTGCGATGGGGGTTTGGGGGAAGGCTTTGACTACTATGGAAGTTACAATGCCATAAGTGCCTATTCATCTCGTTAGCCATGTATGTTTGCAAGTTCTCTGCAAAGATAGTGTTTGGAGAAGGAGACGTACCGCCCCCACCACCTCTGAACGCCCAGTACAAGTCCTCGTTCGTTTCCGCATCCGCGGTGACCAACCTCCCGTCTGCAGTAACAGCATTAATACGCACAACATGGTCGGCAGCTAATCCGTAAAAGCTCGTATAGCTCGAGTGGCCGCCGCCTTGGAAGAAACCGCCCGCAAGCCCGACAGTGCTGCCTCCCGGCATGAGCAAGGTAATATTATACCCAGACATGGTCGTGTACGCATCTAGGGCCTGAGATCCTCCACCAATAGCCACGGCTTGACCGCTGTAGTCCGGTGCCGTGTAGTTGGCGTGGTAAATAATTCCTTTGAGATGGTGCATCCAGACTGAGAGCGCATAGCCGCCGATATTCTTCCCATTGAAGTCGTGGCCTCCGTTTCTATAATCTTGGTCAGGCGCCTGGCTAGGAAGATACTGTAAAGAGAGTTTCTCACTTAATCACTAGTCGAATATTGTTATTCCTCGCAAAATTCACAGCCATCTGAACATGCCTCACTGTCGTCGCATTCACGACATAGACTGGATAGCCCCCCTGACTACACGTCGAGTTGGGCTGGCTCGTCGGCACGCATGAGTCTCCAGAAGCCCATTGCGACATAACACTAGTGGGATCATTCGAACTAGCCTCTTAATCAGCACTTCCCGAAAGAATGCCACCTTGTTCCCTAAATTGCTGTGAATTTGGTACCCACTGTATGGCAATATTCGTCCATCCCGTCTTCAATTGTTCGCACCTAGTTGCATCATACGACGGGCCCGTGTAGCACACACTCGCCAATGGCTTCGGCTTCAGCAATGCACCGCCAAGCGTCTTGTTGAACGTGGTCCATTCATCGTCGCTAGGCCAGTCATCATCGCCAGGTATGACTTTGCATTCTTTAGGTTCGAATTGATGAGCAAGGTTCCCGAACGCAATGGCGGAGTAGTTGCGCGTTTCCGCTTCGGCGAGTTGGATCGATTCCCATGGGAAATTGAGGGCGAGCGCGGAGCTCCCTTGGGGAAGAAGAAAAAGCAATTGGAGAAGCATGTTGACAGCAATGAACGGCACAAAGCTAGAAAGAAGAGGAAGCAGCAAGGAAAGATATAGTATAAGAGGAAAAGGAAAAGGAAAATGGACTACCGCTGCAACCGAATTGAAATACTCAGGTACCCACCTTCACGCACCCACATTCTAAAAACCGAATGCAGCAACAGCAATGCCGAGACCCACTTGACATTCCAGCCCTTCCAAAGATCCGGACACTTAATCTATCCATTCGCGACGCGACACTACACGAATGGCCAGAATGGTACACATCCCTGCTGGTCCAGGTACGCCCGCTGCACATCAAATTCCGACCATCAGGTCACCGAATCAGAGCCAGCTGCTTAAGAGAGTATCTCACGCCCTGCAGCTGCAGCGTGAGGCTCGTGATGTTGGACCCGGGCTCGAAGGCGTCGAATACGAGGCAGCCAAGAAGGGTAAGATGGGAATTTGGTGTCCTGGATATTTGGAAGAGGCTGCATGGAGAAGCCCCATCGTATGCCGGGCTTGACGCGGCCGTCGTATGTTAGGAAGGTGTTGCTGGAGTCGTGCAGAATCCTGGGCACACATCCATCCTCCTTCGGACCCGCTTGCCCCGACGATCAATCCGGACATGCGGACAGGCGATATGACGCTATACCCACCACAGCATATCCCAAATGGCTGACCCTGATGAGCCGCAATTTGCTTCACACGAGGGCGGATGCAATTCCACATTCGGTTGTGCGGATTATAGGAGGATCAGCCCTGGAGTGTCGCGCGAAGTCCTTGGTGTCGTGGCTAGTGTAGATGTGAGCCCTGTGGGGCCATTAGAGCCAGAGACCTGAAGATGGATGGGTTAGGCCTAATTCGGACAATAAGAGCGTGATAATGTAGTCCTTATGCAAAAGTTACCAACGGAGACATTGTGCTGCTTCAGAACGACGTGTATAGTCGTGATATTGAAAGAGTAAAGTGAGCAGGTTAGCGAGGAATGAGACGGGAGAACGAACCAATAATCCCCCCTGCCCTCTTCTCCACATGGCAAAAACGAGAGACACCAGTCAGCGCCGGCAAAGAAAAGGCCAAAAAAGTTTCTGAGGCATAGCTGACTCGAACTATGAATACGTTAGCAAATATTGCTAACTCAGAATCTCAATCAAGGCGTCATACCAGCTAACCTTCTGGATGCTCCAGTATGTGGACTGGAATCAGACGCGCTACCTACGACGAGGGATTAGCCAGAGCGTTTCTGGATTGGCAGAAGTTCAACGGTGCTCACCATTGCGCCAATGCCCCTCGTTGATTGGTTGAGAAATATTGAGAATTTTGAAATTATTATACCTATGTACTGAGAAAGATATTTGAAAAGTGGCTTCAGGGCTCAAGCACGCGTGATGTGTGACGTGTGCGTGATTTTGATATTGCAAGTGTGTTGTGTGGGACGGTTGGATTCGGTTGCCGGTTGATTGAATTGCTCTGCCTTGGCACGTGGCATTTGCACGATGCTCCCCTGCTCGAAAGATGAAAAGGCTTCAGCCAGTAAGAGCACTGGAGAAGACGTTAAGAGCTTTGTGGATGGACTTCACTATTTCCTACTGCACATTACTGCACAGCCTCCATGTACTTCAGATAGGCTGCTCTGATAATCTAGCCCTAAGTTCCCATTTCATTATCAAAATAGGGGATTATACACCGAAGCTCCATTGTCCGGAATCCAACTTCCGCACCCCCTTCCCCCCAAAAACCCTCTCATCAGCCCGGTAGTCTAAGTCCCAAACATCCCTCCAGCACCTTAGCCACATCATCCACCAGCCCGCCCTGTCTACTACTACTCACGCCACACCGCTGCATCGGCTGGTACGCCGTTATATGCGGCTCCAGCACCTCCGGCCACGTCGAATTCGCCTGCGGGCCCTCATCCGGTTCCACGCTCAAGAAATAGTCTCCCCACAGGGGCCCTGCCGCCCAGTACGTCCACCCGATGAACTGCGGGTTCTGCTCCATGAAGGTCAGAGTGTTGTTGAGGGTTTCGAAACAGGTTGGGTTTACGCCGGCGCCGAACTCGGTAAGCATGGCTGTGTAGTTGTTTTCGCGCAGCCAGGCGGTTACGGGGGCGAGGTTGCTGGGGGCGGCGAGGGTACATTCTTCGTGTGTGCCGGAGGTGTCGTTGTCGAAATAGAGATGCATATCGAACGCGAAGTTGTTCATGGGGTCGGTTATGGCGGTGAGGACTTCTGCATTTGGTGTGCTAAGTTGAATGTTAGTCAAGAGTGCTGGAAACTGGGGAAGGAGGACTCTGAGAGGAAAAGGGCCTTACCAATTCTGACTACAAGTCACATTAAGCCATCTCTGTGCGCCCGTAAACCCATTTCCCGGCACGAGAATCATCTGCTGTGCTCCGGCCTGCCTAATTGCATCGATCATCGCCTGATCGTTCTGCAGAACCAAACTCGTCGGCATATCATGCGGCTCATTCATGATGCCAAATATCACGTTGGGGTTGGTCATGAAGCGCTTGGAGAGTTCGCCCCAGAAGGCTGCAAGGTCTTCGGTGCTGGCGGCTTTAGGGTCGGACGAGTTCCCGATGATGGAGCCGGATTGGGGTTGCATCGACGGGTCGTTGTAGCCTGGGGGACGTTAGCGCTGATGGGGAACGAAGGGAGAGAGGAGCATGAATGAGATGGAGGGAAAGATGACATACGCATATAGTTATGAGCATCTAGAATCGCGTATCCGCCTTTCATGGTGATGTAAGTCACCGCGTCTTGCAGAAACTCGAAGTACGTCTCGTTAAACGTTGCTCCTAAGCCAGTCTCGAGAGGGCACATGCGCTCCTATTCCACCATCAGCAACACCACTCACATGCACGATCTCGCGAGAAAGCGGGTTAGGGATGGTACGGGGGAACGCGCAGAGATGCGAGAATGACATACCAGAAGGAACGGTATACGGATTGTGTTTACGCCCGAGGCAAGGAAGAAGTCGATTGCCGTCTCGTTAATGAACTGAAAGTCGATGCCGAAGGCGCCGGGGAGGTTTTGCTGCGCGAATTCGCCGCCCGCTGTTCAAATGTCAGCCATCCATCCATCAATCCTGTACTCTCCTCGCTCCCTCTCTTCTCCTCCCCCTCTCGTCCCTAGACTCACCAGAGTTCACCCCCGCATATATAATCTCCGCGCTCCCTCCGCCCACCAACACCCCAACAGCAGCAGCGAGACCCAAGCTCACCGCGCTCTTAAACCCAATCATGCCGAAAACGAACGTAAACTAAGAATACAATTAAAAAGAATGTAGGGAACGATTGAGCGAAGAAATGAATGAGGGACTTAGGGGAAGCAGATGACGGTCAACGGCATCGCGAGGCCAAAAGCTCCTAGTATCCGGGGGGCGGGTAAGGCTACGGCTATGTACCGTTGCTCACAGCGAAAAGCAGTCGGTAAACCCGGCAGTTGCATAGCTTTCCTCACAAGGCTGTAGTTCATGCAGAAACTATATCCCAATCTCGTACATCCAGCGCCCCTTTGGGGTAAGGTTGTGCCAGAACGAGCCATTGCGATTGGAGTGAACAACGCCATAGCATGAACTCCAGTTCTGCAAAAGAGTGGTGACACGCAGTCGGCAGTCAAATCATTGCTCGGCTAGTATTCAGCCTGTGTCGCTCGAAAAGCCGTCAGTGGCGCAAAGCTTGGTGTGCGCATTGATGCGTGATGCGCATGACGGCATCTGAAACGCGGGGACTGAGGCTGCCGGCAAAGAGTAACCCCAGCGACGAGCGCGAACATGTCATGTCGAGGACGGTGATGGCGAATTTGTTGTTTGGTACTCTGGAAGGAGAGGTGGGGCGCGATAACTTTGGCATTCCGGTGTGGCTGTCTAATTCTCCATTAGTTGAGCGTTTCTTTCCGGTCGAGGAAGTGTGCTAACCTTGAACCTGGGGCGAGCTACAACAAAACGCCTGCAAGGTATAGGAGAGCGCTGACCAGGAGATGATTCTTGATATCAATACGCCATTGTCTCTACGGTATAACAATCCATCGCCCAACCTCCCATGCACCTCAGGACGCTGCAGCCATATGTCTACATCCCACCATCATCGGCTTGCCTTCTCATCATCAATCTGCCTCCTCAAATCTGTAAGCACCTCCCTCCTCCTCTCCAAATGCCCTTGCAGCCCCTCGACCTGCTCCCTCACCGTCTCAATCTCGTCCCTGATACCCCCGAGACCTTTAACGGCACCCCCCTCTCCACTATCTAACTCCCTCAACACGCCCCTCTTGTAATCTAGCAGCATCTCCAGTTCCCTCTTAACCAGCGCGGGCTTGCTGTCTCCCCTCCTGCCGTGCCGCCTGCTCTCTGCATCCTTCTCCACGCGCTCGATCTTCTCTTCTAGTTCTTTGAGCTGCTTTTTGAGACGGACCTCTTCCCAGTCTTCTGTCGTGCGGCCCCCAAAATCGGTGCCTTTTGTTCGCGCACCGTAGTTCGCTGCGCGGTCGCCGACGCCGAGGCGCGTGAGATATGCGTCGCCGAACTTGGCTTTCCTACCCGTAGTTGTGTTGTCCTCCCCTCTCTCTGCCCACCGGCTCCCCGTCCGCTCAACATCGTAATCAATATGCGCCTTCTCAAAGCTGGCCCTCAGACTCGGCGGCACACTCCTCGGGACCCTGAACCCCTCGCTCCGCTGATTCAGTATATGCAAGAAAGCCAGACACGCGTCCTTGCCCACATTTTCTCTCGCTTTCGGATTCACCAGGTTCCATGCAAACCTGACGTCTGAATCTGGCACGTTGTCGAGTGAGTCAAAGAGCCCGGCAAGCGAGTCGAAGGATATGTTGCCGTGGCCGTCGCGGTTCGCCGTGTAGATCTCCTCGTACTTGGATTTGTCGGCGGGCGACATATACCAGTCAAAGCCGTCGCGTAGGCCGGGCGTGTCGTCGTCGTCGTCTTCGATGCTTTCGAATGCGGGGAGGGTGCCCGTCATGGCGCGGTTGGCCTGGACGAGGTGGGCCTTGGACTCGGGGACGAGCCAGTCGGGCAGCGATGCTGGTACATCTACGCTCTCCTAAACCGTTCCCTAATTAGTTATGCTCTAACTCGTGCCCTCCTACTCCGACCCGAAGCGTGCTACGCGTAGACGTACCCCATTGATCAAGTCAAAAATCAACCGCATGGCCACACAAAACTCCTCAAAGTCCAGCTTCCCATCATTGTCCACATCTGCCAGATCCCAAACCCTCTCGAGCTGATCATCTCTCAGGTGTGAGTTCTTGAGCACCGGAGCTGCCTGCACGCCATCGAGATGAGTGGCTCCGTTGGCGAGCGAGCTGAAGATCTCCCAGTACTTTTCGATTTCGTCTTGTTCGATGCGGCGCGGCGCCATTGTGACGAGATAGTGAGGAGCGAGGAGGCGAGTTAGTGTGGGCGAGATGTGAGGTACGTACGTACGTTGGGTTGCTGCGGAGTGGGCGGTGATGCGCGGGCTGCGTTGCCGAAATTCACCCGCAGAACGAGCCCAAGACGTATCGAGGTTGCCCTCTGATTCACAGCACAGGAGATTACTTAGCGTCTGCAGTTGTAGAGTCTTCGGATTAGGTATATACCACATCGCCTATTAACATTACTATGAAGCCAGAATCACCAGTTGGTTCCCAAATGGGCCGCAAGATGCCAGCCCCAATTTGCCCCAGAAATCGCGCCATATTCAGATCAGATACCAAAAAGGAACGTTGCTGGTCGTCATCTAGTTGGAGACCACATAAATTTTAAACCCAGAAAATCCGTCGTGGTGACATGAAATATGCAACGCCGCTAATGCAAGTTCAAATGGGGTCGCCCATTCAGAGCATATTCGCTAGTTCAAGGTCGATCTGCTGATTGAGGAATATCCGCCTCTCGCCCGTGAGCTGTGTCTGTAGTCGCTGCTCGGCGAGCGCGACCAGCTGTTTCTTGGTCACACGGTCCAGGTCGGCTTCCCTCAGACATTGCTGGACTACCTCAATGATGGTAGCGTCGCTCGGCCCGTTCATCATGTTCTGGAAGTTGACGGTGCTTCCAGGTCGAGACTGCGAGGGGCCGAGGGGGCTGCGTCCGCGGATTGGTGGCGTGGACGCCATGAGGTTGTCGGAGCTCTGGAAGCCACCCACGCTTGGTCGGTTGCCGTACGGCGACGCATTATAGTGGTCACTCATCCCACCCATAGACATGAGACGGCCCTCTTGAGGATTGTCTTGGTAGCGTGAGAAGTTCGAATAAGACGACTGTCGTGGCTGCATGCCTTGGTACGGTCCTGGCGATTGCGGAGGCATATGAGAGATGTGGTGCATGTTGGACATAATGGTTGACGCTGGTTTGACCGACGAGTAAACGGACTGCATGTCGTTCATCTCGTACCCGTCGTCATCGTATGCGCTGTTTATGCCCTTCTCGGACGTCTGGCCGACGAGACCGCGACGTCCAGGAAGTCCGTTGGCCATAGCATAATCATCCCATCGCTGAAGAGGGATACTCTTCGGGTCGAAGCCCTCCTCGTCTGTCGTGACGATCTGCTTGACACCCTTCTCTCCGATGACAACACGCGTGTTACCCCAAGAGAAGTCATCCTGCTTCCAGAACGAATAGAGTGGCAGAATGAATGAGTAGATGGGGAAGGCGAGGATGTAGATGATCATCCAGCCAACATGCTGCCACTGGCGCTTGATGATGAAGATAATCGCTTGCAAGCCGTACACGGCAGCGAGTATGATGATCGATACCAATGGGAATTGACCACTCTTCGAGATGACCAAGTAAACGAGGTAACCGAGGTAGACGCAGATGGAGGGGAGAATGATCGTTCCGCAGAGGTCAATGAAGACGACAAAGCGCATGCTGAAGCAACAGAAGCCGCACATGTCCTTGAGGAGGACAAGCTCAGCCAGATTGTGGATAGTCGAGTTGATCCAACGGCGCCTTTGAGATAGAAGGATGCTCCACGTCTCAGGAGCAGCCGTGAGAGCATACGCATCCGGAACGAACTTGTATGACATGCTCGGAAAATGCTTGGTCATCAGAGTCGTGAGGTAACGATCCTCGCCGAGCGCGAGAAGGTTCTTCTTATGCAGCGTATCGACGTTGCAGTCGGCATATTCCTTGATGACCTTGTCCGAGATGATGAGAGGCTTGCCTTTGTCGGCGGTGCGCAGACGGTACATGCAGAAGCTGCACGAGTTAGCAAGATGCGCGTACGAGACGGGAGTTGGAACTTACCATCCAGGCAAACAAGTGACGCTACCGAACAAACTCTCGAAGGCTTTAGCGAGATGATGCGAGATGTAGTATTCGTACACCTGGATCATCGTCCACCAGGACCTCTCTTCATTCTCCAAACTCGTCTCTCCACATATGCCAGCAATCTTGGAGTCATTGGCGCAGCTCGCAACCAGACGGTTCAGAGAGTCGGGCCTGACCATGGTATCGGCGTCGACCATGAGAAGATATTCATACAGCTCTGGGTCCACACCAATAATGTTGTTGATTTGGTGAAACATCTCCAGTTCCAGAGGGTTCATAGCCGCGCGATGGTGTACACGATTAAGGAAGCTCATGAGAAGAATCTGCGAGTCTCGTTTTCCACGGTTACCGGGTTTGGCCTTGGTCTGCTCGGACTCCTTTCCCATCTTCACGACAACGATGTAGGGGACCACGTTGCCTTCGAACTCATACAGACCCGAGTAGACCTTGCCGTAGTTGAGCTGTTCGCTTCCTGTACCGACCGATTTGAAGGGAAGCGCAGGAGGGTCGACCTTAGGATCCACGCCGAGGATGTCCAACACGATCTTGGGCGTCGGCCTGTCATTGCCACCACCGACTATCATGCCGTCGCAGATGACGCAGATGAGCTTCCGCTTGTTGTCATAGGCAAGCGCAGTAAGCGAATCCAAGCCCTTGCGCAGCTGGTCCTCGCCTTCAGTGTAGGCAGGCACTTGACAGATGACAAATTTGTCTTGATTCGCAGGACGTCTCTTCGAACCAAGCTGAAGAGCAGCTAAGAATTTGACACCGATGACAGCGCAAAGAATGATCGTGACAGCAAGAAGGATGTAATCGTTGACTTGGCATCGAGCGCTCTTGCGAAAATCCGTCTTCCCGACGAAGAAAGTGTTCTCCAGGCACTGAAGGTTGAACTCTTGCGCAGTTTCGTTCAGTCGGTTGTGATACTTCTCCGTGAGGTCGCTTCCGGCATAGTTCTTGACCATTTCCTCGAGGTCCGGGTCTAGGAATTTGTACTGAGCATTGCCGTCCATAAGATCTTGGGTGTGGAAATAGTCGGTTAGATCGTAAACCCTATTGCCGAGGCGGAACCAATAGTGATTCTGGTTCTCCCCCTCGTCTTTGATCTTCCCAGTATCCCAGACCAAGTCCCCCTTCCTGAACTCCTTGATCTTTGGCACAAAGACGTTCGGGTACCAGAAACTGTCCGACAAGGCCTTGCTGTCTGGAGCCGTGGTGCGGTTACCAGACACGTGCTGTGCGGTGGCGGCATACTCCAGAGTGTCGTTTGATTGGAGAACGACCAGATAGGTCTTGACTAGATTGGGGCAGGCAAGGTAGAGCGGCGGCCGGATATAAGGATCCATGTCAGCGCCAGCCAAAGGCAGCATATTCTCCTCGGTGGTTTTGGTGTGGCTATCGCTGTGCTGTCTCTTCCAGAAGCTCGATAGGTCGTAGACAGAGCCGTGGTGACTAACATAGTAATCGTTCGAGCCCTGATGAGTCGACACCTCTTTACGGTTCCAAGCCTTGTCCTTGTTGGGGCAGAGAAGTTTACCAAACGCGATCATGTAGAAGACGATGGTGGCGTTAATGAGGATGATGAGCGCTACCAAGACAAGTTTCTCGCGCCATGCCATGCGGACGTCAGGGCGTTTCATGCGGCCAACGAACTTCAAGATCGGTGAGGGTATCCAGAAGGTCAAAGCCCATACAAACGCCACCCAGATTCTCCTCGTCTTTGAGATAGGGGCCTCGGTGACGACTAGATTCCCACCAGATTCGGCATCGTAGTAGGTTATGCCCTTGTCATCATCGCCTTTTGTTCCGAGGCCGTAGTCTCCTTGACGGTTCTGGATGGTGGGAGCAGTGGTCGGAGCGATGGACCTGGCGCCGAGAGCGCTGCGGGCACCCATAGTTGCAGAGCTGTGCTGACGCTGCAAAAGGTGGGTCTGACTCGTTTGAGGCATCATTTCGGGCATTGGTGGGAAGAAGCCGCTGCCCTGGCCGGGGCTGTGGGTAGAGTAACCGCTCTCAAGGCCTCCGGCACCGACCATGCTGCCCAACATGTTGGAGGACATTTCTTGCGCTTTGAGGTCGAGTTGCGTTTCGGCCTCCCACCATGTACCTTCCCTGACCCAAACTCGCTGATGGCCCACGACAACTTCGCCATTGCTCCAGCCGCGCTCAAGAATCCAGTTCTGGATGCCGTCTTTGCCATCCATGCAGCCCAGAACATGATAGCGCTCGAAGAATTCATGGTGGTCAAAATCAGCGGTGAAGTCCAGCGAGCGGTTGCGACGGTTCGCCCATTCCGGCAGTCTCCACTCCCTCAGTTGCCTTGACACCGTTGCAGCTGACCATGTGGCGTTAATATCCTGGGAAAGGTGCGCAGGGGCCGAATCGGATGGGTGAAGAGCGAGGTGAAACCACACTCTGCTGCTGGCGACAGTGATTGGCAGATCAACTCGGTTTTGCTTACCCAGCGTGATGCCTTGATCGACCAATGGCATGAGTACCCCCTTCAGGAAGTTTTGCTCGTCAGGGAGATTGAAGGCAATCTTCTCCAGCACGGCCTCGCGCTTCTCCAAGTCCAGCTGCCGTTGGCGTAGTTCCGTACCATCTACACCGAGGTCGGCGCCGGAAGCCTGGGTAGCTTGTCGCAGACCCTCCAGGACGGAAGCCCCCGCAGGCGGAACTTGTACACCGTCCTCCTTCATCTCGGCGTTGATGCCGTCATTATCGTCGAAAATGGTGCGGAGAGCAATGGCTTTTCCGAGAGCCTGGCTAGGTATCTCGACCACTGTAATATTGACAATGTCTCCTGCCTCATCCTCGGAAGGAGGTGTCATAGGGCCGGCTTCGCTGCTGCTCGAGGAGAAGCCTGCTCTGGAGCTGCGGATATCCTCCTTGATGGTAGCGTTCGCATGTGCAACAACATAATCGACAATAGCCTCATAGATGCCGGCAATAGCGGTCTCACGGTCCTTGGCGCTGAGTTGCTGTCGAAGCACCCCTGGAGCGATGTCGAGCAACGCGCTGCACTCGTCGCATACAGCCTGCAGGGTGTCCTCGTCTACAAAATAGCCGAGCGTATCTCCCAGCTTCAGCAGGCCCGTGAGGCAGCTGATGAGGTTCGACAGCTTTTGGCCCTTGATGCCGATAGCCTTCAAGTTCGCGCGAAAGTCTTCCGCGGCTGCGGCATCGTCGGCGTCTGGAAGATAGGCGGGTGGGTCGTAGGTTCCGGACTTGTTGAGGAGGGAGTACTCAGAGGAGTGGCTGAGGTTCAGGAACTCTCGCTCAAGTTGGCTGGCAGAGCTGGAGTTGAGGTAGTAGAAGACATCAAACGCACGGTAGCCCGACTGCGTTGGGACATCAAGCAAACCCTTCTGCGTGTCTATGCCGGAGCTCGCGAGCTTGATCTCAGCTCCAAGGAGGTTGCCTTGAAGATTGATGGTGAAGATGGCGGCCAGGGCTGAGTGCCGGGGAAACGAGGGATTGTGCGGAGTCACGCAGTGTGTGAAGGCTCTCAGTGCCTCGAGGGCGATGTAGAAGTTGCCGGGAATAGATAGCGGCAGGCCTGAAATGAAGGGCGAGAACAGCGAGGGCGTGGACTCATGTAGAGATCTGCACACTTTAGCAACTGGCGTCCCACGAAGCGGTCCAGCGTATACTCACCCCAACACAATGCAGCCGTCCTCTGCCCGGCGGCGGGCGTGCTCCCACGCCTTTCGTCCCAACTCTACGTCGACGGTGCCGCCAATGCGGTCGTTGACCATAGCCCGGGCTGTCAGCCATGTGTTGACGACCAGGCTGGTGCTGGCCTCGAGATTGTAGGACGAATTGGTCTTGTAGCATGTGTTCAGCGTGTTGAGGAGGGTCGTGGTGGAGACTTGGGAGGACGGGTTGCCCGGACGCGGTGCGGCGGCGGACGCAGTCGAGTAGACCGACATCCGCGAGTTGTTGACGAAACTCATGGGGGGGACGGGCTGGGCTGGGAGCCCCTCTGGCGGACGCGGGGTGGTTGACTCCGATGCACCAGGTAGACTGTCGAGGGGCCGTGCGAGGTTGTAGCGATCGTGGGCGGGCTTATGAGCGAGTGTCCAGAGGTCGTCTCCTCACGCCTCAAAATGAACAGTACGGGGGATCGTGACGGGTGGTTAACGTGGAAACGCGGTTGCCCCCTGTCCCCTTCACTGCAATGATGGCGAAAAGTGAAAACGAAGGGACGGATTAAACGACTGTGAGAAGAAAAGCGAAACGCGAAACGGCGAAGCAGTCCGGGTGACGGCGAGCAGCTGTGATGTTTGTTGGCGGAGGTTCTGGTCCATTCCTGTGTGCCAAGCATCACACGGGGCAAGCTAGGGGTAAACGCCGGCGTATTCTATGTAAGATATTCGTTGGCGCGGCGATCCCAGCTGGGCCGCTCCTAGGATGCTTGCCCGCCGCACTCTTTGCATGCACAGGCGGCGGCGTGGCGTGAGTGTGGCCACCGTCACGGCGAGTGAGCGTGCGTGCTGTCTCACGACCCCTATTTTTAGTGCTTCTTTTGTTTACACGCTGCAGAGAAACATTGAGAAACACCACGATGGCTGTGCTTGCGTTCCGGCTGCTTTTCGATTCACGAGCAGAGCTGTCCACTGTCTCTCCCACAGCTGGCGCTATCGATAGCAGCGGAGCCTCTCCGTCGCAAATATAGACTACCGGCAGTAGGAATATAGCGTTGGCCGTTCTGTTCGGCTGGAGGCGGGAAGAGCCACGGCGAAATAACAGGCTGCACATCGAAATATCCACCAGCTTCTTCATCTTGAATTCTGTCGCCGTTGTCACCTCCTGCTTCCGGGGTGCTAAAGACAAGCTCATATGGAGTTGACGTCACGACACACCCCTGAGGATCCGCTGCTGGCCTGGACCCGAAAAGGAGAGGTCCATCCGGCATCCCATGAAAATTTTGCCCTCGGTGTTGCTTCAGACATGCGCTCAGCCTCCCCGCTGGCCTCAACACGACCTCTCTGCTGTGGCATCGGACGGCTGACTGCTGCGAGTGCCAACGTCTCCACCACAGCTCGACATAGCTGGCTCCCCAGCGCAGTATAATAGTATTCTTCAGCGCTGGGATCTGGTCGCCGTCGAGTCCTTGGTCCTGTCGTCAATACGCAATCGATAGCGTACCGTGCATGGACGTGCAGCGATCTACCCCAGAGTTTCCCTAGCCCTGCCTCTCGAGTTGCTGTTCCGAGCGAGTTGAAAATGCTAGCGTCCAGAGGTGCTTCGGCAGCGAGGTCCGCTGCTTCTGGCTGGCGGGCGCGCCGTTTCTCCTGACAACAGCCCAAAACAAAAAGCTGCCGGCGGCGCATGAATAAGCAGAGCCAGAGAGGCGGCCGAGCGGCGTGAGCATGTAATGTTGTCAACGTTACGGCGTTTTGAATCTATTTTCAAAAATAGCCCCTTTCCAGCCCGACCAAGCGGCGACGAACGTCCGCTCCAGGGCTGGTCGCTAGTCGCTAGCTGCCTCTCCAAGGTCAACACCCCAGCACCCGCATCATTTTGTGAATACCATCGCCGTCCAACCCCTTCGACACTGCACGCCGCTGTGTCTCTTTCCCTTCGTTTGCACGCCTTTCCCACGCTCGCTGATTGTAATTTTGTTTTCTGGGGACTCGCTCGCCGCCCGCGTGTTGTTTCTCCTGGACCCGCTGCATTCCAGTCCCAAAACACTCCACCGACTGGATTTGCCCGCAGCAAGACAACCGGTCCTGACGTCCTCCTGCCCTACGCCGATCCGTCTTTCTGCGTGACGACTACACTCGTTCAACGCTCCCGCTGGGACGCGTCCGCCGACAATGGCCAGCTCCTCGTTCGGGGGCAATGTCCCCCAGTACGCCCAGGCGTCGCTCCCCAGTCTGCCGCAGCACCTGCAGTCCGATACACACCTCACGGCACACCTCGCGAGCCGCTTCCACGCGCACCTGCCGACAGCCGCGCTCTCTTCGCATGCAGTCATCTCTCTCAACACATATACAGACGCTAGTCGCGGACCCGATGGCGGCAAGGATGGAAGCGCGCATCAGGCCGCCGAAGACTTGGCCCAGAGGGCGTACATGCGTCTCGGTCTTCGCTCAGAGGACCAAGCAATCGTCTTTCTGTAAGTCGTTATGACTTGGGTGCACGCTCGCCAATCGAAGACTGACATATTCCAGGGGCGAGTCTGGAGCCGGAAAAACCACGATTCGCGGCCACCTTCTGAGGGCCCTTCTCTCCTACTCGGCGACGCCCTTGTCGAAGAAGATCGAACTTGCTCACTTCGTTTTCGATGCCTTCACCACTACCAAGTCCATTACCACACCAGTCGCTTCCAAGGCAGGCCTGCTCCTCGAGCTGCAGTATAATACCTCCACATCACATCATGCCACGCTGTTGGGTGCACAGTTCCTGGCCCACCGCCTGGAACGCAGTCGAATTGCGTCCGTCCCGACAGCCGAACGGAACTACCACATTCTGTACTACCTGCTGTGCGGGACGAGCGCCGCTGAGAAGAAGCATCTGGGATTGGATGCTATCGGGAATGACCCTGCCGGTACGCGAGCATCGTTGACTTCGAACCGACGATGGCGCTATCTCGGACACCCCGCCCAGCTCAAGGTCGGCATTGATGACGCCAGAGGCTTCCAGGACTTCAAGACCGCGCTTCGCAAGCTTGAGTTCTCGAAGCAAGACATTGCAGGTATCTGCGAAGTCATGGCCACCATACTCCATATCGGCCAGTTGGAGTTCGAAACCGGCCAGTCTACCACGCCCTCCGCCGATGAAAGCGGTGGGTACTCGCATGAAGGCGGCGAGTCTGTTACCATGGTGAAGAACAAGGAGTGCCTGCAGCCTATTGCCGCTTTCTTAGGCGTCAGCATTCAAGATCTCGAGCAGAGTCTCCGATACAAGACGAAGACGCTTTACCGCGAGCGGGTAACAGTCATGCTGGACCCCAAAGGTGCGCGCGCCAACGCCGACGAACTTGCGCGAACGCTCTACTCCCTATTAGTCGCCTACGTCATGGAACAGATCAATTCGAGGATTTGTGTCCTACCCGATCAGGTCGCCAACACCGTGTCGCTTGTTGACTTCCCAGGCTTTTCCCCTTCTTCTGCCACGGGCTCGGGGCTGGACCAGCTGCTCAACAATGCCGCCAACGAATCGCTGTACAACTTCTGCCAGCAGAGCTTCTTCGGCCGTCAGGTGCAAGATATGGAAGCTGAGGATATCAGCGTTCCGCAGCTTGAGTACTGGGACAACTCTGAAGCCAAAACTGGGCTACTCAAATCTGGTAACGGGCTTTTGAGCATTCTCGACGATCAGACACGTCGTGGCAAGTCCGATATGCAGTTCCTGGAAGCCATTCGCAAGCGCTTTGATGGGAAGAATAACTCCATTCTGCCTGGCAGCTCCACGGTCATCCAGCCTGGCAGCAACTTCCCTACTCCGAACACATCGGCATCTTTCACCATTCGCCATTTCGCGGGAGAGGTCGATTATTCTGTGGAGGGTCTTATCGAGGAGAATGCTGAACTCATCTCGGGCGACATGATGAACCTGCTCAAGTCTGCCCGAACTCCATTTGTTCAGGAGCTGTTTGGCCAGGAAGCGTTGAAGAAAGTCACACACCCAAAGGAGAAGACAGCCATTGTGCAGGCATCAGTCAGCTCCAAGCCGATGAGGATGCCCAGCATGGCTAGGCGCAAGACGGGCAAGAGCGGCAGATTTGGCCGTCCAGTGAATGTGTTCGACGAAGACCCCATTAGCGACGCCGACAGCGCAGTATCCGGATCGAAGAAGGGCGACTCGGCGGCAAAGCAAACAGGTGCTGCTGGCCAATTCGTTAGCTCCCTCAAGACCATCGATTCCTCCCTTCGAAAGGCCAACCCTTACTTCGTCTTCTGCTTGAAGCCCAATGACCGGAGAATCGCCAATCAGTTCGACAGCAAATGTGTACGACAACAGGTTCAAATTCTTGGTATCGCCGAGATCAGCAAGCGGCTGCGTGTCGCAGACTTCAGCATTTTCCTTCCCTTCGCTGAGTTCCTAGGTTTGGCCGAGACAGATACAGCTGTCGTCGGAAGCGAAAGGGAACGGGCGGAGATGGTTCTAGACGGTAGGCCGTGGCGGGAGAATGAGGTGCGAGTCGGAGCAACCGGCATATTCTTGAGCGAGCGATGCTGGTTCGAGATTGCAGACGTTGCGGATATGCCCTCAATTGCGCCGCATTTAGGTGTGTCCACCTCCGATGATAATCTCCTCACTCCCGATGCCGCCCGATCATACGGCGATAGTAGGGCCGGTCTCCTCTCACCCTCTCCTGGCGGCTACTATGACAACGACAAAGGTGGTAGCTATTTCGGCAGCAGAGACATTGATGCACGATCCGAGGCACCATCTGGCATAACGAGCGGTGACATGTTCCACGGACTGGACCAACCAAAGGTCATCGACGAAAAGGTTCCCGGGAAGGATATGCAGGAGGTTGACGTGCTCGAGGTTTCTGGGAGCCGAAAACGATGGATCTTTGTGGTCTATGCACTCACCTGGTTTATCCCCGACTTCCTCATCAGATTGGTAGGAAGGATAAAGCGCAAGGATGTGCGTATGGCGTGGCGCGAGAAGTTGGCCATCAACATGCTCATCTGGCTCAGCTGTGCATTTGTCATTTTCCTAATGAGTAAGTCATTATCGTTACATTCTAGCGTTTGCTAACGTTTTGCAGTCGGTTTCCCGGTGCTGATTTGCCCAACTCAACACGTCTATTCGACTGCTGAGTTGACGTCCTACAATGGCAAAGATGGAAATGATGCTTATGTCGCCATTCGAGGTGTCGTCTACAACCTAGGCGATTTCATACCGCACCACTACCCCTCCATCATTCCCCAGAAGAGTCTGCAGAAGTATGCCGGCCAGGACGCAACCAACCTTTTCCCCGTCCAGGTCTCTGCCCTCTGCAACGGTGTAGACGGCAGAATCGACGACGGCGTTCAGCTGAATTACCGGAACTCCAACTACACAAACCAAAATAATGTCATCAGCACGACGGACCTCAATGCCAAATTTCATGACTTCCGCTGGTTCCAGAATGATTCCCGGCCCGATTGGTGGTTCGAGCAACAGGTGTTCCTCAAGGCAAACTACATGAAGGGCCGCGTCGGATATAGCCCCCAGTACCTCAAAACGCTGGCTAACAAAGGCAACGCGATTGCCTACATGCACAACAAGGTATACGATCTTACGCAGTATATCCCTGGGGGTCGCGAGGTCAAGGGAAAAAACGGAAAGCCGGGGAACTCGAACGTCAACACAAACTTCATGGACCAATCTGTGGTTGATATCTTCAGGGTGCAAGCCGGCTCCGATGTCAGCAAATACTGGGATGGACTGACCCTCGATTTGAAGAAAAAGAACGACATGCAGGTCTGCCTGGACAACCTCTTTTACGTTGGCGACCTCGACACCAGGAACTCCGCCAAGTGTCAATTCGCCAAGTACTTCCTCCTCGCCATCTCTGTCCTCCTTGTCAGCGTTATTGGTTTCAAGTTCTTCGCCGCTCTTCAGTTCGGCAGGAAGAGCGTGCCGGAGAACATTGATAAGTTCATCATCTGCACCGTTCCCGCATATACCGAGGACGAAGACTCTCTTCGGCGTGCTATCGACTCGGCTGCTAGAATGAAGTACGATGACAAACGCAAATTAATCGTCATCGTCTGTGACGGTATGATCATCGGTCAAGGCAACGATAAGCCCACTCCCCGCATTGTGTTGGATATTCTCGGCGTCCCCGAGACCTCCGATCCTGATCCGCTCAGCTTCGAGAGTTTGGGAGAAGGCCAAAGACAACACAACATGGGCAAGTGCTATTCCGGTCTGTACGAAGTTCAGGGCCACATTGTTCCATTCCTAGTTGTGGTCAAGGTCGGCAAGCCTTCGGAGGTCTCGAAGCCTGGCAACCGCGGAAAACGCGATTCCCAGGTCATTCTCATGAGGTTCTTGAACCGCGTCCACTACAACCTCCCAATGAGCCCGCTCGAACTTGAGATGCACCACCAGATTCGTAACATCATTGGCGTCAATCCCACCTTCTACGAGTTCCTCCTGCAGATCGATGCCGACACGGTCGTTGCCCCGGATTCGGCCACTCGATTCGTTGCTGCATTCCTTCACGACACTCGCCTGATCGGTGTATGCGGAGAGACATCCCTCACGAATGCCAAATCATCCTTCGTCACCATGATGCAGGTGTATGAATACTACATCTCTCACAACTTGACGAAAGCCTTCGAAAGCTTGTTCGGCTCCGTTACCTGTCTTCCTGGCTGCTTCTCCATGTACCGTATTCGCGCTGCCGATACAGGAAAGCCTCTCTTCGTGAGCAAGGAAGTAGTTGAAGCATACCAAGAGATCCGCGTCGACACCCTCCACATGAAGAACTTGTTGCATCTGGGAGAGGATCGATTTCTGACGACTCTGCTCCTCAAGTACCACTCCAAGTACAAGACCAAGTATCTGATGCGCGCCCACGCCTGGACTATTGCTCCGGACAGCTGGAAGGTGTTCATGTCACAACGACGACGCTGGGTCAACTCAACGGTGCACAACCTCCTCGAACTGATTCCGCTGCAACAGCTCTGTGGTTTCTGCTGCTTCAGTATGCGCTTCGTTGTCTTCCTCGACTTGCTCTCCACGGTGGTCCAACCTGTCATTGTGGTTTATCTCGGGTATCTGATCTACCTTCTAGTCCACAGCAGGGATTCCGTCCCTATCACCGCTATCCTTCTCCTTGCAGCTATTTATGGTCTCCAGGCTATCATCTTCATCCTCCGCCGTAAGTGGGAAATGATCGGATGGATGATTATTTATATCCTCGCCACTCCGATCTTCGCCTTTGGTCTTCCACTGTATGCTTTTTGGCACATGGACGACTTCTCCTGGGGCAACACTCGTATCGTTACCGGTGAGAAGGGCCAGAAGGTTGTCGTATCCGACGAAGGCAAGTTCGATCCGGCCAGCATCCCGAAAAAGAAGTGGGATGAATACCAGGCCGAAATGTGGGAGCAGCACACGATGCGCGACGACCGCTCGGAGATCTCCGGATTCTCATACGCCACCAAGCGCTTCATGGGGAGTGCGTCCGTGGCTGGTTCGGAATACGGAGGCATGCCGCCGTCTCGGCCCATGTCCCATCTTGACCTACCTCGTTTTGGCAACGGCTCTCGGATGAGTCTCGCCCCCAGTGGCTATGGCGGCTACGACAACATGGAAATGGCGAATCTGAATCTGCCCAGCGACGACGCAATCCTGGCCGAGATTCGGGATATTCTCGCCAGCTCAGATCTCATGACAATCACGAAGAAGGCTGTCAAGCAAGAATTGGAGAGGAGGTATGTTCGATCACCACTATCTGCGCGGTGACCTCGCTAATAATATATACAGGTTCGGAATGGATCTCACGCTGAAGAAGCAGTTCATCGGCAGCGCTGTCGAGTCGTTGCTCGTCGGCCAGACACATTAGCCCTCTCCTACACTTCCTGCATGATCCCAAGCATATCATCCTTACGAGTATACGGTTTACAAAAATCTCTCGCCACTATCTCTCTCTCGCATCTACCTTTTTCGCTGGGCTGGGGAAGGTATCTTTGTCTATATAAGTAGTATCTAATCACGCCTCGAAAGCATCGCATTCCTTTTGGGACCATGGGGGAACGGATCTGGGCGTTCTAATGGAATTTGGGATGAGGTTAGGAAGGAGGTGCGTGCATTTATCTGGCTGTCTTTGGTGAGCCTTGGCTCTTGGACTGTGCATCGTCATGGCAAAACTAAATGGGTCTTACGGGGTTGACTAGTAGGATGTATGGTGGTTGCATAGCAGTAATTGAAGTGTGAGCGTTACATTCACCTATGAGATGTCCCCTGGCCACGAAGTGACAAATACGGCCGTTATACTGCGTGCAATAGCGCTCGATGGGGCACTGTGTGCAGACCCTCGGGCGAAGACGCGGTAGAACCAAGGTATGGTCATGAGAAAGCTAGGCAATAGAAGAGTCATTCAGCACAACCCTGGACTGCTTATGTCGGAGTGCTGACAGTGCCCTAGCGTCTTGGCATCGGTGCAGCGACCCCGCCAAATCGGGTCACACATTCGCAAACAATCGAAATTTTGTCTTTTTGTGCGCTCGCCTCCAGCAGTTTCTGGCGCTCTCTTTACTTGAGGGCTCTCTAGTCCGTTCCTCGAAGCCCGCTTTCGCCTCTTTAACCACGGACTTATTGGTTTAATTCCACAGCTGCGCCTCCCCACTTCGGTAACATTCAACCCCGCCACAGGCAGCTCAATACCCACAACCTTCGAGACAAAAACGCGCCCGCGCCTCGCTTCCGATAACATACCACATACGCAATGCCTCCAAAGAAGAAGGGAAATAAGAAGGCCCAGGACGACTGGGAGGCTGACCTCGGCGAGTCCGTCACACCGCAGGATGCCACCGCAGAACCCCAGGCCGAAGAGCCTGCGCCAGAAGAGGATGCCCTGGGAGGTGGCCTGATGGCTGCTATCCAAAAGCGAGGGAAGAAAAAGAACAAGAAGGGCGCAGACCAGGACTGGGTAGAAGGCGAAGACCCGACCGCTGATGGCACAAATGGAGGCCTGGCTGCTAAGGCACCAGAGGAGGCGAATTTCGACGACGATGATGTCTTCGCCGGCAACTTCAACCCCAAGAAGGCGAAGCCCGCGGAGGAGAAGAAGGACGAATCAAAGGAAGCTAAGACGGATGATGGGCCGCGAGTGAAAACGAAGGCTGAGAAGGAGAAGGAGAAGAAGGAGAAAGAAAAGCAGCGGAAAAAGGAGATGGTATGCGCCCCCTGTCTCTACTTGCTTAGCTATCACCTCTGTGATCTTCAGATGGTTATCGACTGGAATGACTGCTAACGTCATCGTCATAGGCCGCGAAGAAGAAAGCCAGCGCTCCCACAAAGACCGAACCTGCGAAGCCCGCCGAGGCGATACCTACCGATACCCCCTCGCCCGCTGCTCAGCCCGCCGCTGTTCCCGCTGCTGGCCCCGCTGGTAAGAAGAAGAAGATACCCGCCGCACTTGCTGCGATTCAGAAACAACAAGAAGAGCGACGGAGACAAGAAGAGGAACGCGCTCGGCTCGCAGCCGAGGAGAAGGCTAGGATTGAGGAGGAAGAGCGGCAACTGGCAGAGGAAGAGAAAAAGAAGGCAGAAGCCAAGGCGCTCAAGAAACAGAAGGAAAAGGAGAAGATTGAGCAGCTGAAGAAGGAGGGCAAGTACCTTACCAAGGCACAAAAGGAAGCCAAGGCCAGGAGTGAAGCTCGACTAAAACAGATGCTCGAGAGCGGAGCTGCAAAGGTTGAAGCGCTCGAACAGCCTACGGAGAAGAAGAAGCCTGTCTATGACAACCGGAAGAAGAAGAAGAGCCAGGCTGAGGTCCAGAAAGAAAAGGAGGCCGAAGAGGCGGCGAAGAAGCTCGAAGAACTCAAGGTTGCCGAGGAGCAAGCCGCTGCCGCTGAAGCCGAAGCCCAAAGGGCACAAGAAGAGGCTGAGGCAAAGAAAGCCGAGCTGAGTGAATCTGGCGAAGACTGGGAAGTTCAGGCTGACGCTATGGAGGGTGTCAAGGATAGTTGGGACGTAGATACGGATGAAGAGGAGGAGAGGAAGGCGAAGGCGAAGGAAGCCAAAGCTGCCGCTGAAACAAAACCTGCGAAAGCAGCCCCCTCCAGAGGTGCCGAATCAACTTCAGAATCCGAAGAAGATAGCGAGGAGGAATCTTCGGACGAAGAAGAGGGTACCGCCGCGCAGAAGGCTGAAGCCGCGCGAAAGGCAGCCGCCGCAGAACGGCGAAGGAAACAACACGAAGAGGCTTTAGCGGCACGTTCCAAAGACAACCTCCGGTCTCCCATTTGCTGTATTCTCGGTCACGTCGACACCGGTAAAACAAAGCTGCTTGACAAGATCCGGCAGACTAACGTTCAAGAAGGCGAGGCTGGTGGTATCACTCAACAGATTGGTGCTACTTACTTCCCCAAGGAGGCGTTGGTGAAGAAGACAGCTGTAGTCAACAAAGACGACTCTTTCATCTTCAATGTTCCCGGCCTGCTCGTTATTGATACGCCTGGACACGAGTCTTTCACGAACCTACGTTCCCGCGGTTCCTCGCTATGTAACATCGCCATTCTAGTTATCGATATCATGCATGGTCTCGAGCCACAAACATTAGAGTCAATGCGGTTACTTCGAGAAAGACGGACGCCTTTTATTGTCGCGCTCAATAAAATCGATCGTCTGCTCGACTGGAAGAAGATCGACAACAACGGTTTCGAAGACAGCCTTAGCCTTCAGAAAGACCGGGTGAAGAGAGAATTCGAGGACCGATGGAACTTCGTGCACACCCAGCTGCAAGAGCAAGGTTTCAACTCGGAGCTCTTCTATAAAAACAAGAATATGTCACGATACGTGTCGGTGGTTCCCACATCTGCACATACCGGCGAGGGTATTCCAGACATGCTCAAGCTCATCATCAAGCTCACGCAAGAGCGCATGACAACGAATCTGATGTATCTCTCCGAAGTCGAGTGCACCGTTCTGGAAGTTAAGGTCATCGAAGGTCTCGGCACGACTATCGACGTTGTCCTTTCCAACGGTGTTCTACACGAAGGTGACCGCATAGTGCTCTGCGGTAATCCGGAGCCTATAGCAACAAATATTCGAGCCCTTCTCACACCGGCCGAGATGAAGGAACTCCGTGTCAAGTCTCAGTACGTCCACAACAAAGAGGTCAAAGCTGCCATGGGTATCAAGATTGCTGCCGATGGTCTTGATTCCGCAATCGCTGGTTCGCGACTACTCGTGGTTGGTCCAGATGACGACGAGGACGATCTCCTGGATGAAGTCATGGGTGACCTGGCCCACCTCCTCAGCAAAGTCTCCAAGACTGGCCGCGGCGTATCAGTCCAAGCGTCCACCCTTGGTTCCCTCGAAGCCTTGCTAGAGTTCCTGCGCGTGTCTAAGATCCCTGTTGCCACTATCTCCATCGGTCCTGTATATAAGAAGGACGTCCTACGTGCCGGTATCATGCTAGAAAAAGCTCCCGAATACGCTGTTATGCTTTGCTTCGACGTCAAGGTCGACAAGGACGCGCAAGCATACGCCAACGAGATCGGAGTCAAGATTTTCGAAGCCGATATCATCTACCACCTCTTCGACAAGTTCACGTCTCACATGAAGCAGCTGGAGGAGAAGAAGAAAGAGGACTCGAAAATGCTGGCCGTGTTCCCGTGCATCCTCAATCCGGTCGCCGTTTTCAACAAGAAGGACCCAATCGTTGTGGGTGTGGACGTCGTTGAAGGCAATCTCAAGATGACGACGCCTATCGCTGCGATCAAGAAGAATCCTGTTACGGGTGTCAAGGAAATCATCGACCTAGGTAGAGTGTAAGTTCATTCCCTCCCTCTCTATTCAGTGTTCGCTAATGTACCACAGCACCTCCATCGAGCGCGATCACAAGCAAATCCAGGTCTGCAAAAAGGGTCAGCCCTCTGTCGCCGTCAAGATCGAAGGCCCTAACCAACCCCTCTACGGCCGCCACCTGGAAGAGAAGGATACACTGTACTCGCACATCTCACGAGAGTCTATCGACACGCTCAAGAAGTACTTTAGGACCGATGTCTCTCAAGATGAGTGGAAGTTGATCGTGCATCTGAAGAAGGAGTTCGATATCCTATAAGCGAGCGGCAGTGATCAAAGAGATGGGCCGATGTGTATGATTCGTATTTAGTGGGCTAGCTAGGTATGTGCAGTTTATCACTGCTCTTTCTAGACTGTAATGTTTCTCTGCTCTGGACATGGCTTTGTACTCTGGTTGGCGTTTGTGCATCGGTCGGCGCGTTTTCTTGGTGTCCTGTCACTTTAGGGATGCTGGAGGCGTTAAAAGCAGCATCACGTAGGTATATGCATGCATCATCCCAAGCTTTTTCTCTGCGTCAAACGCTGGACGATCAATCTGTACCCAAACCCAAACCCACAATACCAGCTGAGCGAAATGCCACCAATCAGCGAAATGCTAACCGTCTCATTACCACCCCGGCATTATTCATCTACACAGGGAACAGTCGGTGTAACAAGTCGGTGTAACAGTCGAGTCGGTGAGGATATGAGTGAGTGATGATGAGTCGGACCCCTCCTCACCTTACCCCTCCCTCATCGGAATCCCCGAATTCATGATCGACACCATTGCGACGATCTTTCCCAATCGTCTGCATACGCTATACCGCTGGTTCAAGTTGTGGCCAGGTGTTTGGACTAGGCAGGCCGCGCAGGCGGCCGCATGTGTATCTGCAGTATGTATGCCGATCGGGCTGATGAGTGGCGACTTGTCTAAGAGCCAAAGAGCTTGGCGAAAGCGTGTCGTGCCTTAGATCTTCAGGTTCCTGTGTGACCTGACCGACCGTGACCGTCACATCGGGTCTGCCAAACGCATGCAGGGCAGCAGGGGCTTAATGCTAACGCATGCATGCAGGGGAAGAATAGAAGTCTGAGGTAAGCGGACGCTATACTAGCGGGGATGCAGGAATGCTTTTGGGATTGGGATGTGTGTGGGATGCAGGGGTGCAAAATGGATGTCAGGTTGGGCGTGGTTGCAGTTGCTAGCTAGCATGAGATGAGGGCGGTATTGATTCCGCGTTCTGATGATGATGTCGCTGGGATATTCACCGAGAAAGATATTCGGAGACTGTGTGGACGATTGGAAGGGGTGGGGTTGCTATCGCTAGCTATCCCACTAAGGAAAAAAAATGCGCCTGCAAATGCCCATGTGCTTTTTCAACGAGTGGTCCGAAACGCTATGCGATAACCCAATGTCAAAACTCCTGTTAAAAAAAAAAGTGTGCTTCGAAGCGAGTGCGGTATATAACGCCGTGAAAATGCTGCTGCCAAAAAACGAGTGCCGTCCTATGCCATGATATCCAACGCCGGGAAATGCTGGGAGGTATGCTATGCTATGCTATGTGTACAACAATTTGAAAACGAGAGATGGCTGTGAAGCGAGAGTGTGATGAGAAAGAGTGATCGGAGGGGGAGGGGACGATTGGTCGTGAATAAGAACGTCTCCAGGACGTTGTAGCTCTCATGCCTCGTCCCATACACCGCCGAAGTTGTACACGCCAACGTTGACTCTCCGCTCAGTGAGGTCAAGCTTCTCGATGGCGTACCCAATCTTCTGCTCCGAAGCTATGCGACTGAAGGCGCCGACGCACCACTTCATCCTGTCCTCGTCTCCGTTTCGCATGTAGTAGCTGGCTACTACAAAGAGAGGGAGGAACATGTTTTCGGTCGAAGCGAAAGACGTATTCTGGGTGCAGAATTGAATCGAGCGGCAGATGAGCGATGCGTATTCGGTCATTTGGGGAAGAAGAGTAGCGGGGGAGGGGTGTTCGGGGATTTCAGAAAGTGGAAGGTGCGCGTGGAGTGCGTGGCGCGCGTCGAGGATCAGGAGCTGGGACGCCCAATGAAGGCAGAAAAGCGTGCATACTTCGATCGAAACGAATTGGAGAGGGAACGGGACCGAATCCGCGCTGATTTGGGCGGCCGGGAAGGTCCATGGGCCGGGTGTGTTGGCTTTCAGCAGCTCACTCCAGGGCGCTAATGACTGTTCCAGCGTCGTGAGGTCGTCGAGAATACCGAGAACGGCGGAGGCAGGTGTGGGTGTAGACGTACGCGAGGATGCCGCGGAAGTGGTAACGCTGTCGGCGGCGCTGAGGATGTTCGGCAGTGGTAGAATGGTCTCGCACCACTGGAAGTACAGATCGTTGCGGCTTGTTCGGGGAACTGAGTACAACTGGCGGATCAACGGGCGCCATGAGGGAGACGAGAAGGCGTAGCGACGCCTGGTCGAAATCGATTCGAAGAGGCCCTGGTTCAAAATGTAAACATGGATTTCTTCGAAGTCCATGCTCTTGAAGGCGCCGTGGAGGAGACGCGTCGCGCCCTCAATGTGCGTAAGCTGGCTTGGGCCTCCGCCGTTAGACAAGAAAAGCTCCGTGGAGCTCATTACGAGCGTCGTTGCCAATAAGTCCTTTCGATCTGAGGAATCAGGCTCCGGAAGCGCATGCTGAACCATTTGGAGTGCGTTCAAATACATATTCCTGCCTTGGTCGATCAGGCTCTCGTCTTCATACTGCGTTCCCACGAAAGACGCAGCCAGCGCTCCGATGGCCGTATCGAGGATGGGTGACTGGCCCAGCCAGTATGGGAGTAGCGATCTCCAGCCTCCACATTCGTTGCCGATGGACAGCAGGTCGGTCGACGTCTTCTCGAGGCCATTGCGTCTGTAGTATAGGTCGAGGAATAATTCAACTATTCCAGGTATATTGTTCGGATCGGAGTCCGGCACTGGATATGTCGGGAGCGCAGGCGGTGCCAGTGCGGTCATAGACGATGAACCTCCCATTGAACAAAATGCTAGGGACGTCGGGGGCAGCGAGGTGGCTGGTATGACGGGGACCTGTTCTTGCGTGGGTGTTGGCTGAGACGCCATATCCAGGACCAGATACTTTTGCGCATTCTGAGAACGGTTCCAGACGGGTGGCGGGCCGGTTGAGTTGACGTTGATGAAGATGTGGCCCATGTCGTAGCCTCCGCAGGGCTTGTTGTTCGTTACACACTCGCTGCACCGCGGCTTCTTCTTGTCGCACTTGAGACTTGTTAGTACTGGTATGTCTATAATATCCCAAGCAGAAATGCTGCTCACCTGAGCCTGGCTCTCGCGGCAGGGTTTGCAACTTCCTCTCCGTTGCGATTCCGGAAGCATGGTGGTTTGGCTCGGCAGCGTGGTCCTAGGTCGACCGTGGGGTTTAGGGTAGACGCTAGACGATCTTGGGTGATTCCGGGCCCAGCAACGTCAAAGGACGGCTTCGAGTTGGCACACAGGCTGGATTGAGGCTGGGGAGTAAGTGCCTGCTCTTAGCGCAAAGGAATGCCGCTGTATTGGGGCTGGAGGATGAAAAAAGAAACTAGAATCGGAAGGCTATGCTCTCAGCTGTGGTTGAAACGAAACAGAAGGAAGCTGGCAAGAAGCAAACGCGAGAAAGAGTTGATGGCAGATTTGGAGCCCGTTCCTGGTGTAGTATTTAAACAGTCATTGTGGTATACTCTCATGGTGTTGAGGTATAAAGATAGAAAAAGTGCGGCTCACTCCCGCTGTCCTGTTCGCTGGATACTCACAGTGAAGCTTGTACCGATCTTTCCTTGATAAGGCATAAGGCTTGCCTGAAGGGTCTAGAAACGTGGGAGGGGCGCGGGAGTTGATCCGAGCGATGTGTTTAACTCCCGATATAGTGAACCGCTGTGGTGGACGTGGAGGGCATTCCAGGCCGTAGACCGACAGCGTCCTCAGGCAAACCGCGATCTCTGGTGCAGTTGCTGAACGGACGGTGGTGTCGCCAAGGACTCGTGAAAAGCTGCCATGTCTCGACGATAATATTAGCGTACCCCGGACCCAAGTGCACGATGGCTATCCGTTTTGGGGCGAGGTGAACAATGACTATCCCGTCTGGGTTGAGCTGCAGGCGCAAGAGCCTCTACCTCCCGTGGCCGCAGGGGCCAATTGGTCGAGCACGTCTCGCTGCCTGAGCCGCTGGGTCGGCGAGTGATGGTTCGAGAGAGCTAGCTGGGCTCGCGAAGGGCTGCGAGGAGTGTGGCGACAAGACACGGAAGCGCCAATGTTAGTTGCCGTGGACAGCCCTATGTGGCTCGTGTGCGCGACTTGCGGCTGAGCAGCCACGCAGCGGGCCGGCGATCTAAGACAGCTATTCGTGGCGACGGTCAGACGACGGCGGGCGAAAGCGTCGCGATGTCGCTCCGGCGGTGGTTGGGGTGGGCGTGGTGTGGGCGTGGTGTGGACAGGACGGGAATTGAGGTCTGACTAAGAGCCGCCCACGTGAGGAAAGAGCCGATCGGCTCGGCGACCGCGGGGAAGGTGCAACCTTGGAAGTGCTGCCGCAACTCGACTGCCACACTACCACACTACCACCTACTGCTGCTCATCGCTCGTCGAGGAAGCGGGCCTTGCTGCTGTCGGAGACGAAGGCCTCCCATCTGCAGCCCGGGAAATTGCCACGAGGCGGGAGATCATCCCCGGATTCTATCATTAGAAGGCCCTTTGCGCCGTATCCGCCAATCACGCCGCAGCCTGCCAGTAAGGCTGCGCCAGCGTCCAACCACAGGCCCGCTGACTACACTATCATTAGGCATCTGGTCTCACCGTCCTTGAACAGGCGTCCAGCGCGAACCACCGAACATCGTGCCTCCAGCTATACAGAGACGCTCGACCACACCCCGTCCTCCGCGCGCTGCTCCCGAGCCTGTCGCGATACCACGTTGGGCATCCCGATGGCGACAGCCTCGCCGCTTCTTGCCCTACCGGGAGAAGTACGCAACCTGCTCTATGTCTTCTACTTTGCGCACGATCCACTGGTCCCACCTCCGCATATCTCACGATCCCCGTTGGCGCTGTCGCTTACGTGCCGCCAACTGTACAGCGAGACCCACGCGCTTGCCTTCGTAGCGACCACATTTAGGGCCCGCTGCTGGCTGCTCTGGGAGCTCAAAACAAGGTTCAGGCGACTGTCCCCGCCTCTCCGGCCCTCTATCAAGAGGCTAGAGCTCACCGTCCACGTCTCCGAGTTCCTAAGACAACCCAGCTCTCTACAGGGTCTGCGCTTCGCCGAGGCGGGCCTGACCGGGCTGCAAGATCTATATATTCAGTATACCGGGCAGCCTAAATCCGAGTCGGGAGAGACATATATAATATCGAATCTGGAATTGGTCCTCTGGAAGACCGTGGTGCAGCGCAGGAATGACCGGCTGGAGAAGATACGCGTCGTCCATGGAGGCGCGCTTCGCTGGACAAGCATCATTCAGCTATGCGAGCGCATGCATAGCTGGCTGCCGCTGCCGTGGGTGACGGACGAGGTTTGGGAGACGCGGCGCAACCTCGAGGAGGGCCGCTTTAGCCTCGTCAAGAGGGGCAGAGATGGATCTGAGCAGAGGGTCGTTGAGATCTTGCTAGGATACACAATCCGCGAGGCCGAACAGTATCGTGCGGTACGCGAAGAGTTGCTACAGGTCAGTGAGGAGGGCCCCCCCTATCCAAGCCGCTTCGTCGCCAGCGAAAGTTGACCTAGCTAACCAGCGACGCAGGGCAAAGTCCTGGAGAATGTCAGGGCTCGACGACCCAAGGGCGAGGATGCAGCAGATCTCGATAGCGAAACCTTAGCATATGAGATCGAACAGCTCTCTCGCGACTTCCGCCTGCCGCACAAGATCGACACGAGCGGATACTACTGATTACAACCATGCTAAGTCACTCCCGTGTGAAGCACCGAAGTCCACCACCCTCTCGGGATCTAGCTCACCCGCTCGGCTTGGGCCGATGGTTTTACGGGGTTCGATCATTGCTCGAATGAACCACAGACGTTCTTGACTAACATAGCATGTTTGCACTAGGTCGGAGGTTTCATTGCTATCTATTTCTACATCTTTTCACTCCTGTTGCCCTTTTCTCTTCCCTCAACGCTTGAGGGCGAAGGGCCCACATCCATTTCGCCCGGCTCCCTTATGACAGACCCCCCAGTTAGCGTACAATTTGTACTTCTCGCGTCATCTCTCTCTCCTCAATCTTTTCTACGCTTCCTCGTTGTTCTAGATATTGTTCTAAGCTTGCAATGAGTCCAACACTTGCCGCATAGCTCAACTGCGTACAACTCGAAACTCATAAACTTTTTCTCTTATCTCTTATCTAAACCCTCTCTAAACTGGAAATGGGCATCGCGACACAGGATTTGCATCATACCTGGGCTCGTAATGCTTGAACTGAATTAGCCCTGGGCTAGCCAACTGGAAGCATGCCGTGCACCACGCGGCCTGGATCAAGTTTCTCGATACGTGCGGAATACCTCATTGTCACGCAACGAGTTGCGATGGAGCGCTTCACCAGATGCTGCCGTCTTACGAACCCACTCAATGTTCTCATCGGTTTCCGCAGTAACCTACGTTCATGCTTCAGACAACTGAGGAATCTGCTTGGGTCGTATACAGAAAGTGACACTGGACGAAGGATGTCTAGTTATACTGTGAGCCTTCTAGGGATCATTCAATAGTTGTTGCAGCCGCTGAGCCCAGAGCAGATTACATCAAAAGGTGAAGGGAGCTATGCTGTCCACGGGTGGAGGTGAGTTCTCCACTATCCGCTGCAACACCCCGGCCGGAGTCCTCCCCCTGCTTATACGACCTAGTTGATCAATTAACTTCTTTTTCCTTCTGAGCATTCCTGTTTAGATATGAGCACATGAATGTCCGCTAATTTTACACACAGCCTTCGCGCTCCGATATCAGGCGTGATTCTCCACGTGGGGTATGAAGACCGGAGTAATCGTTTCGGGCGCCTACATGCTCACTTCGCAAAGCTCCCCCACTTCCAGCCGCATCGAAGCACGTCTCTTCGAAAGGTCATTCGATCCGGCCTGGAATGTCCAAGAAGCTTGGTAGATGGCAAACTCAACATCATGGCTTCGTACATGCCCCTAATGCACGAAGCAGAGCCTCTAAGCCGCGTCACTTGCACGGTCGCACCATTCTTGGGGCTCATGTGGGGCTACGCATGACAACTAGCCGCATAAGCTCACGACTCCATCGATTCTCCCCTGTATCAAGGCAACCTCCTGTCCACGGGCCGACCAGCTGCAGCTAAGTGCGAACCTCCTACCAACATGCCTTTTGGAGGAACTTCCCGCATCTCAATGGCATGTCCGCTTCCCGATTTGGTAATCCAAGAGTTGTCACGTTGTTGGCCTGTCCGTGACGGCTAAGCGCAACGCTCAGACACGTCTTTATGTTGATCGTTTGGGATTGAGATCCGGTGTGGTTTGCCACCACCGATTCTTAGGCAACTAAAGGTAAACTTCACGCAATGTCGGAAGGAGCCGCAGGTTGCTGGCCAGGGTAAGTGCTGACCGGTACCCAGTCTAATCGCGCAAACCGCTTGGAGCGTCGCAAGACAACGGACGCAGGTCTATGGATTGCATTCTTTGGCGCTCGTTCCGGGTTCAGCGGGACTTTCAATCCAAAGGAGATTGGCTGGATGTTCGAGTGCAACCCCAGCCACCTCGAGCATTCACTGTTGTGGCATGCATATTGCCACCACCGCAGCCCGCCGTTAGCCGGCAAGCAGACGGCGTTGCATGACCAGAGCCTCGAGGCCATGCATGCAGGTCGCGCACAGGCAGCACCAACGCCTCACTACTCGAACTTACGTGGCTAACGCCCTCTCGCTCGAATCTCCGTGCCAGCTTTCCCTTCAACCATGCTAAGTCTAAGATCGATCCACCTCTCGCGGCTTCACCTCCTTTGAGCCACACACATGTCCGACGAAAGCCAGCGTACGCACACAACTATGCTGCCCCAAGTAGCATCCAATTCAACTCAAGTCCGAAAGCCTGGGATGGTTCGCCACCCACTGCCACTACCACAGGTCCCCTCTCCAAACTCATTTCCAACCGTCCGTGTGCATGCTGAAACGGTCCTTAATTCACAGCAGCCTCGAAAGAAGATATAGTTAGAAGCAGCTTTGACTCTAGCTTACACAAATCTGCATCCACGCCCGTGTACATGGGCAGTGGGGTTGCGAAGCTTAACCTGTTCCCCCAGCTACGCTGTGCCGGTCGCAGGTCTACTCAGCGTGACCAGGCTGCGACAAGTCCCATCTCCGGTTTCCTCCTCGTCCTATAACCAACTCTACAACCCCGAGTTAGAACGACTTACCAAAGTATCGTTAGTCAGCGGAGTTCAATCATCGGAGGCCGTATTCGCGACCACCGCGCGTAGCCCAGCCCTACAAGGCTAGACAACGGAACGGGCAGGGAATCCATCACTAGTCTCTCTTTCTCCGATGACAGTGGGGGGTCTGACGATGGCTCACGTACGAGCGAGATCGGATCTGGGACGCCTGAAAGGTTAATGAGCCTTGCTGCACGGTAGTGCCAAGGTGACTAAGCCACGATTTGCGTTCTTTTGGCTTTTTGGAAAGTCGCGCGGCCGAGGGAGCGAGCGTCGCTTGAGCGAATTATCAACACCACCACTACCGCAAGGACGACGTCGCAAGACATACCATTGCTGTGCTATGCAGATGTGGGCGCAGCTGTGTACGCAGTGCTACTGCGCTTTCGCAAGCAGTTCTGATGCGCTTTCTTCCTAAGTAAATTTAGTTCGATATGTTGCTAATTATTGACAGATTCGTTGTTAGTCTAAGCCATGGAAAGTTCCTGGGTACTGGCATGGCCCATTTGGGAAGTATTACTCATCTTGGATTACGGAACCCGGCGTACTTGGACCGTGGATACCTTTGAAGTCGAGGGTGTGTGACAGAGCTGGACTTATACAAGCTCCTCTGCAGTGTGCGGAAACGACATCTGTATGATGATGTCGGGAGAGGAAAGAGATAAGAGTTGGAAGTAGATTGCATAGCTGTTGGTCGGAGAACCGTACAACCGGGGCAGTCTTACGCGAACGAAAAGCCAAACTACAACCACCCAAGAGAAAAGGCGAAGAGACAGCGCGATTAAGGTGCCGCGTCTGAGATGCAGCAACTTATTCAGGCAGCGCATACCAGGCAGAAGTGGAGATGCATAGCGAAGGCGTCCGAAGAGATAGGTACAGCACCGTTACACTGCTGGAAGAAACATACAGCATCCGTCCTTCACGTCCACATGCTCAAGCGATTGGTCTTCTTTTCCCCTACGCGCCCGCGTCGTCCGCGCGAACATCATCCTCTCGCCGGGTAACTGGTCGAAGACATCCAAGCACAAGCATCTTGAAACAACAACCCCCAGATTCTAGCGCGATTGCCACCTCGACATACCACAGTAGGAAGGCACGTGGGAGCCTGCAAACCCTCAGCGTGCGGGACGACGGGACGCTCCCGGGTGACAACATCCGCTCTTAGCTTATGCCTTGCGGCACGGATTGCACCTCGTGGCTCATCTGATACAAGGAGCCATGTATCGCGCCTGAGGAGGCAAACTGAGATGCCATTGGCGGACGGTTAGGAGAAGTAGCCACGCCGCAATAAACTGTGCCGGAATGTCTCTGAACACTTGCTCGTTCTCGACCACCTGATAGCCGTCCTTTCCCTCGCGATTGATTGCCGCCCTACCCCAATATTGAGCAGGTCACACTGCATAGAGTGTGCAAGCCGTCAACGAAGTGCCTATGAGGCGTAGGATATAAACACAAGAGACCTCCGGCCACACCGATAAAGCATGGGAGGAAGCTGCCACACCTTAAATCCTCCCAAATCGAACCATTTAACGGCATTCCTTCCCCCTGCTCCCACGCTAAGCGGACGAATAACAGATCTGCCGCCCCGCGAAGGAAGGGACCGGCCCGAGGCAACCCAACCTTTTTTTTTCCCTGTGCCGTACGTCTACATATGTCATATGTACTATACATCCTTCCTTCCTTCGAACGAATCCCCCTCATTCACCAACACATCTAACCCAATCCAATAAGGCTTCACCCAAAAGAACCTAGGTGGGCGAGACGCGACGTGACGCTCGAGCTGTGTGATTGATCCCCCGCTTTTTCGATTACCTGCAGCACTATCTATCTGCCTACTGTGTAAACCTGAGAACTGAGGCGTAGCAGCTTTGCGAACGAACGGGCGGCGGGACCGCAAGGCTGGGTGCTGTTTGGTGCATTCACTGTAGCGTAGCGTAGCCTTGCAGATGCGGATAAGTACTGTGGTATAGCTGGGGGGCAGTGATTTGACGTGTACACATACGGAATGTATCGGATTTCCAAGGCTCCGAGAGGAGCGAGGTGGAGAGAGCAAGAGAGGTGAGAGATGGGAGATGCGCGGTAGTGCAAACGAAGGACAGGGCGGGAAACGCCCTGCAGCGCGCAGTCCAAGTGTGCAGCCTTGCAGCGCGGTGCTGTCCATCAGCATCGATAGATCGCGATAGGATGCCAGCCTCGCGCCGTACTTCGCCCTCCCGAGCGATCTCTCACCACCTTTCTCACAAATCACTCACCCACTCCCTCTCCAGCAAGATCAATAATCCGCCATCTACCGTGTACGCAGTACGCAGTACGCAGTACGCAGCCTCTAAGCCCCCACTCCCACGCACACACACGTCGCAAAAGCCTCATCAGCAGCTTATCACGAAAAACCGGCTGGCCCGCAAATCCATCCCAAAATCCCAAACCCACACCCCACGATCCCGCCTAACCCAGCTTCGAAACCCCAACACCCACCCCCGCGCCAGCCAATCACTCACCCACCGCAAAACACGCAGCGCAGCGCCACCCCTGTCGCACGCCTGCGGGAAGCCCGCCAGGGATCTGCTGAGCCGCAGCGTTGCGCGCTCCTGGGATGATCCTATACGCCAGCCCATTCACAAGCGGCTCGTGCGCGGCAGGGGGCTGAGAAAGCGCTGGGCTATGGGCTGGGCTGGGCTGCCGTGCCACAGTGCGGTCCGGTCCCCGCGTGCAGCAAGTGTGAAGGCGAAGGTGAAGGCGTGGCACGGCGTCGGTTCTGGAGGCTGCAGAGGTTGCAGAAATGTAGAGTGATGAGTTATTGTTTGGATGGCGGTGGTGAGGAGATCGTGGGTGGGGGGCAGAGGGGTAGGTAGACAAGCGGCGTAGGTAGGCCCCCGAGTCCGGGACGTACTGTGCGACGGCAATCTTCTGCGCTTGATTCGAAGGGAGTCGCGCGTGTGGAAGAGTGGCGGTTCGAGCGAAGCGCTCAGGATGTGATATGGGCGGCTTAAACCCGGTGAGGCACGAACAAGGCGGGCGGACGACGTTTGCGGCGTTGCCCAGTCCCAGTCCCCCATGCCGTGCTACCGAGCAGCCTGGTGCTGTGAGACAAGCATTCAATTCACAATGTCGAACGCGACCTGTAGTCAGCAGGTTCGCGGACCCGCATGCCGTAAAACCCAATGAAAAAGTCCTCTTTCGAATGCGAAACTCGAGTGCTGAGGAAAAAGCAACTAAAGTCGGAGGCTGAAGACGATCGCGAAGATCGTTCGTGTTCTGCTGCTGCAAGGGGGAGCGAGCGAGCAGTAAACTCGGGGGTGAGAAACTCGTATCGACGTCAATCAACCTTTTTATATCGCTGTATACAGTGCCTGGGTCGTATTCGTCGTACCATGACGCAGGGGAAAAAGGTAAAGATGCGAATGGAATGAAGGTGGTTGTGTGCAAGAATAGTATATGACGAGAGTTACGACTACTATTACAGAAATTGAAGTGGTGCAGAAAAAGGAGACCCAATCCAGAAACACCGGAAGAAGCTCCCAAGGAAAGATCAAACGATGCTGTGCGAACTCCACTTGCGCCATCCATCCATGCAAGAAGGCAAACAGCCACCCGAATGATATGCGCTGCTGATCGTAAATCATGGTCAAAGACAGAAGGAGAGAACGCTCGCGATCTACCCCACCCAAGAAGAAGCACCAAAGGAAGGGTATATCCACCAAACAGAGAGGAGAAGAAAGAGAAACGGTCCGAAAGCCTTAACACCGTTTTACCCTCTCCCAAAGGATCTCCAACCGACACTCGTATATACATCAGGAAGGTCGTGTTGTTGACTCCCTTTGCCCTTGCGACATACCTGCCTGAAAATAACCCGACTGTGTGGAAGCAATGATTGAGAAAACGTGGTGCATGCCGCGTGTCTTAATCTGGAAATCGTACCTGAGGCTCACGAGCAGGTGGGGTGATTCGGAATCGTTTGCGAATACGGGGATCCGGCAGATAGATTGCGTAGCTGCGAAACGGCTGAGCACGAGGCTGGAGCTAGGCTGTGTGCTTTTCGAGAGGCTTCGGTCGTCGCTTCGCGATCCCAACACATTCGGAGACTGGCATGTACGCGCAGTATTATAGATGCCCGGATTAACGCGAAAAGCAAAGTTTGGATCGCGGTTTTAGAGTCGAGTTAATGCGCGCTAACCACTGATGTCTAATGGTGATTGGGTCTTGGCCGCCTAGTACTGTCAGCGTCGGGTATTAATGAGTAAGGGAACCGAGAGCCTGGAGAATCCACCCCAAATCCACGGCATACGAAGGCATGAGAGGGAGGACTTACTTGAGTATGTTCGCACTGCAATAGGAAGTCGCTGTTAAGTTTGATTTCCCGGCTATCGGTAGGGATTGGAAAGGGCTTTAGAAAGCCGACGTACGAGGGACGATGAGGTCCTCCCATATCGGCTGGATATTCGAGATAGCCTTCGCGTTCTCCATAAATGCCCCGGTGGCGTTAGGCTTCCCCATAATCTGACCCGCATTGGGCTGAAAGCTTGTCCATTCCCCTTGGACGCCATTCGGGGAGTTAAAGTCTTCGGCGGAGCATTCGCTTATCGACAGCGAAGGGACGGCCTTGCTGTGCGGAGGCATGCTACTCGGGGCTTGGGGAGGCGATAGAGACAAAGCCGGATGCGACCAGCCGTTCATCGGGGCTGGTGAGTCGCAGAGACCCATAGGAATGACGCCTTCAGGCTCGGGAGTAGCCCACATGTCGGCGGGTAGCATTCCAGGCATGTCGCCCTCGAATCCAAGCCCGATGGGTATTGAGCCGTCGTCAGTCCATGCTTGGGTATCCATGTACTGGTCGAAAGGATCGGCAATTGACAGAGGCTCGTGGTAGGCGAATGTGTCTGGTGTTTGAGGTGTCAAGCGTCCGGAGCTAAGGAAGGCGCTCTTCTCCATCGGTTGCGAGAAAGCTCCCATACTGGGTTCCGGGCTGCTGGAGTACGAGTAACATTCGTCGACAATCTGAGGTGTGTATGTTTGCAGAGGGGTGAGCATAGGGAAGCCAGAGAAGTTTGACTGTTGTTGACCAAGCTTCACCGCAGTATGGAAATCCATCTGCGAAACTGCTCGTACCATTTGGTGCCTGCCGGAGCTTGGAACGCTTCGAGGCGAAGCGCCCATCGTACCCATCGTGCCCATGGCTGGGATAGAATTGGTAGTAGGAAATCTCTTCGGTGAGACGAGGTGTTTCTTGGGATTCCGATAGCTGTTGTCCGATGTTCGTCGTGTAGATCGAGGCTCGCATTGAAGTCCCTTTGCTGTGCACCGGGAGCATGAAGGAACCTATACCATCGTTATTGATTAGCAACCAGAGGAAAGTCGGAGAATAGGGCGTATCCTTACAGCTTTGTCGCACTTGGTCTTTGCCTTCGCACAGATTGTGCACGCAATTGCTCGTCGTTGGGACATTCTAGCGTACGGGTTGATGGGTTTAGGATAGGGCGAGCCCTGGGGTGTTGCGTTGGGAGAGGGCGTTGAAGTTGACTCGGCCTTGGGTGTCTGGTTCATAGCGTCCAGAGACGACAGAGATAGAAAGACGTGAGGGCAGGGTGTATGAAAGAGGTTCGCTGAGGGGAGAATGTGGTGGATGAAGCGGTCCGGAGTGGGAGCTTGCAGGTTATAAAATAGAACGATGCGCTTTAAGGTGTTGGCTCAAGCTTAGAGGGGGACGCAGTGGCTGAACCAAGAACTGGAGACGAGACTTACGTGTGATATACTATGTCCTCCCCGAATCCAGTCGGCCAGACGCTCGGGCACTGCACAGTAGGTTGCCTTCAACGGCTGCCCTGCGCAGGATTTGATTCAAGGCTGAGGCCAATGAGCTCTCAGCCGGGGTCACCTTTCCACAGAGTAGCCTAGCTCCTTCCAAGATAGCTCGGAGTGGGCAGAGTGGGGCCCGTCAATCCTAGCAGTATGCAGAGGTAGTCCCAAGCGCCTTACCTTGCCGCGTGCTGGCGCTCTGCGCAAGGATCCGCAGAATTGGGTGCACTTGAATGCAGCAATGCCTTGCCTGTTTCAGCTCAGCAGATAGCTGCAGGGGCATGAACTGCAAGCTGACCGCCCGTGCGTGGCACGGTCTCCAGCGATGATCTAACCTTGCAATAACGATGACAGGCCGGGTCCAAACCGAGTCGTGGCTTGAGCCTTCCGGACGTCGGTGCGCAGCTTGTAACATCGATCGTACTGTGGCATGCTTGATGTGTCTTTGCAAGCCAACGTGCCTGATTAATTAATCGCGAACGGTCGAGAGCCACCTGCCCGCTCTGGAGCTAGCGGACAGAAGCACGTTAGGGTACGAACCCTTCCCGCCATGGTACTTCGTAGTGCTCTGTTCGGCTATAAAGTAGGTACAAAGCGGCGAGGGCGCCATAACGAAGGGGGCCCAGTGGGTGGATGCTCGAGGGGCAGCGACTGCGGGGTAGGGGAGAGGCGCCCGCACAGGGCGCGACTGGCGTAAGGCAATGGGGCGGTGTCGCGAGAATAGAGACAGGGGAGTCGTCAAACAGCAAAATGCTGCAGGTGCAATATGGAGAGTGCGAGGCCTGGAGCGGATGCGGTGAGGCGTGAACACGCGCTCTCTCCTGGCTATGCGGTCTGTTTTTGGAGTAGCGCTAGGTCATATCGGGCATGGCTCCCGCAGCCTCATCGTGCTAAGTAGACGCAGTGCGCGAAGTCGGCTTCAAGCGCGAACTCGCGACGGAGCATGCTGCGTGCAGCTTTCGCCAAATCTGGCTTTGGTATTGCTGTACAACTTTGTCATCCCGCTCGTAGCTCTTTTGCGGACCTCTCAGGCACAAATTAGCTTCGGTGTGCCAAAATTACCCTTTTTGGCCAGATCGGGTAATATCAAGGTCGCACAAGCGCGGCGGGTCCAATGGCGATCTGACCTGAGTCCGCAAAGAACTCCATTGGGTTTGGGCCCGACCACTTCCGGTATGTTTAGTGTCCCGTGCGCTCGATCTGGTCTTGAAACACCCGCTGGCCGTTGGCGGGAGACTCTGGAGCTTTTCGCTTGACGCTCCCAAAGAGGCATTGCCGAAGCCTTCTAGAAGACCGAGAAGATGTTCTACGGAAGTTCTGTAAAGTAACTTATCGGCTGCCTGCGCTGGTATACTCCGCCCTCGTCGTGGAGTCCATGACTACGCACAAATGGTGGAGACACGACGGATTAGCACGGAGACATGCTCTGCACAGTGGGCAGTCTCCTTAGAAATTCCATTCTACTGGGCCTGGGCATGAGACCGAAGTTCCGTATGTCTCCCAGTGGGGGTCCTCGAGACTGTTGTGCTGCTTTGCGGATGAGTAAGGAGTCGGTTGTAAGAGGTAAGCAAGCCACGGCAGGCGATCGATCATCACTAAACACATGCGATGCGGGTCGTGTTCGACTCACTCGATACTGATGCATCGAATGCAGTTGGTGGAATCGTGGAGAGTGGTCGCCACTTCCAAGCTCCAGAGTTGGCTCAGAAACGTCGCAGATGTAATCCTACGAGGAATAGAGGGGAACCGCCATGCTTAGCGGATAGCAATGCTGGAGCATTGTCCATCTTTGCGTGGAAGATCACAAATTCAGCCGGGTTAGTGAGCGCAGAGATCTGCTTCGTTTGAGCACAGTGCAAAGAGGAATAATAGCGCTTGGATGTCCGCGTTGCCTACCGCTCTATAGTAGCACACTCCGATGATGGAGCTGCATGTCCTAGCGAGCCTGCAAACGAAGGATACCTTCTTTGAGGCTTGCATTCAGGACGCTGCACTGTAACACAGTATAGCCTGCTTCGCAGACTCCGAGGCAACCTTGGCGAGGGACATGCTGCAGTGTTGACATATCCAGCATGGAGGCAACAGTGGTTGCGTCCGTAGTGACCATGGAGACTAGGAAATGGCCCAGGATTACGGTATGCTTGATGTTCCTTGGGGCGAAGGAGTGAGTTTTCAGACCCGTTTGGAACGATGAGACGGATATTGCATGGTGCTAAACTTGCATGGAACAGTCATGCTGGGACATGCGTACACATGCTCCTACATGATAGCAATCGGGAAAGACACTAGATGGACTTTGCTTTGTAGCTGCTCCACGGAACGCGAAGTTGTGGTGTGTTGCGCACAGGAGAAAGACCAAGACCGTGAACATGGGGGCAAGGCTGTCGCGCCGTTCGAAGGCAGATGGCCAAGCTTCTTCGGTCCTGGCGTTTCAAGATGTTTCACCACATTCCTAAGGCCGCACGGTTGTCCATAGCGTCCGGAGTGAAAGTGGTGGGGCCGTGTATTGTGGGATGACTAGGATCGCCGCAGGTACCCGTAGACTGGTGGGTAGTTGCAAAGCTCTTTGGCTCATCCCAGCGTATTGTAAGATGCAATTGCAGAATTCAGATAGCGGGATTCCTGCTATACTTTGCACAGCCTCTTTCCATGATACTTCCAATCATAGAGACAAGTCTCTGCTTCGGTGATGAGGCTCATGCTGACTGATCGGAAATTAGTGCCACCGCGCACGACAAGGGGCCGACTGCCCAATCAGTGAGCGCGCTGATTAGTGGCGAGATAGCCGATGGACAAAAGCTGTGTTGAATGTCGCAGTGTTGAAGAGAAGCTGTCGTGAGCGGAGATGTGACGTTCAGAGAAGCTAGTGCAATTGTGGCAAAGCTCGACGCCACTAGCTTGAAGCAAATTTCCTGTTATTCCCTCCAGCCCTCGCGGATTCACCAAACGTCACTCTTCCATCTAACATTCCTTGATCCAACCGTAAATATCATTTATCGGCAGGCGCTGCTTATCCTGCACGAAGGAACAAATGAGCATGGCTGAAACGAGGGAATACAACCCTACACTATTCCTTGCGGAGGGCGTTGGCCCAGACACTGTTACTCCCCCAGACCTTCTCATCCTGAACCAGCCAATCACGGATTTCTCTGTCTTCTCGCGCCTTTGGAGACACACCAATTATCGCATTTGTGCCGATGGCGGCGCTAACCGACTGTACGACATGTTTGATAACGGAGTAGCAGCAGCGCGTAGGGACGATTATGTAGGAGAGGAAGTTCTTCGGTACGGCAGGCTTGCTGACGCCAGGTAGCTGCCAGATACTATCCACGGAGACCTCGATTCGCTGCGTGACGACGTGCGAGACTACTATGCAGGTCATGGTGTCGAAATATCCCAGGACCACGACCAGTATAGCACTGACTTTGGGAAGACTATGCAGAAGATCTCCTCAAAGCATCCGTCTAATCGTCAACGGGAGATTCTGGTACTGGGTACATTGGGAGGAAGAGTAGACCAAGGCCTTGGACTACTTCATGAAATTATTCGGGAAGAGAACAGGGACCCGAGGTTGCGCCTATGGCTGTTCTCAGAACGCAGCCTGTCCTTCATCTTGAGAGCTACTCGCAATGTTATCCGTGGAACGTCGCCAAACGGGCTGTTCACCGAGAACGTTGGGATCGTACCAATCTATGGCCCAGCAGTGATCACCACTTCGGGGTTAGAGTGGGACGTCAAGGATTGGCCGACGCAGATGGGCTACCAGGTCAGTACGAGCAATCATGCCAAAGAGGAAGAGATAATTGTGCAAACAAACGCGCCGGTTCTCTTCACGATCGAAAGAAAAGAGCTGCCGCTGGCAGGCAGACTCAGGAAACGAAGCACGTAACGTTCCTATACTGCCAGCATTTGCCTCTCGAGGTAGACGACAGGCACCGCACCCACATGTAAGTACGCGCGTTCTTGCTCACTGGGCCGAAGATTGCTCAGCGAAGCTTGATTCCATATCGTGCATTGAGAGCTGCGCTAATAGGTCGATCCAGGATGGGTGTGCCTTATTGGCTGGAGCAAGGCGCAATCGCGTACTATCATTTACTGGGTGCAGGCAGAGCGCATAAGGACCGCATGCTGCAGTCTCCCATATCGACCATTCAACAAGCTTCCGCAGTGATTATCGTCCGACGACGAAGTCACGTTTTTCGAACCCATGTCCACCTCTGTTACAGATATACGGAAGCATAGCCACGCTGCCCTCATGAACAAAGGATTCGGGGCGTGTGGCGTGAAGATGCCGACAGCATCGAAGGACACGCATAACAGCTCTTAACCTCTGCGATGGCACACTGAGCACAAAGCACAGCTTTCAGGCTGCCGGTGGGACGGTTGACGTTCGTGTTGCTGTGATGCGATTCCAGTTCTGCCCCGGCCACGGAAGGATCAGGGTCGTAGATCCCGCCGATAAGCTCACGAACGTGCATATTCGCCTGCACCTATCGCAATGGAGAATGCCATGGCGAAGTGTGATCCCTTTGGTCTGCAGCGGCGACGCACTCTTATCGCGACCTCACGATGCACGTTGACGTGCAACAGCAGACATGGCGTGAAAGCAAGGAATGGGCGTGATTGCTCAGCGGACACGAACAGTGGCGTTTCATTGACTTTCCCGGCTGAGAATGAAATCACGATTTTCGCCGGTTGCGTTATTGAGGCTGAGGAACACTCACTGCGCCTGATTGGCCGGCGCGCTGTCGTGCCACCAGCATGCCGCTGTGTCCCGCCTCAAAGAGCCGGCATGCAGGCACGCGCTATCAGCGGTGCTCCGCATCACCCAACAAAAACCGCAGCTTCCCGGCTTCGTTACGCTCGCTATTTCTGCCGCTATCCGCTGTCTTCAGGACTTCTCGAAGTCTATCCACTCGCTAGAAGACGCTCGCTCATTTCCGTTACCAAATCCGGCGCTGTCGGCCCACCGAGAGCTCGAGCTCGCACCCCACCACCATCACCACCAGCTGTCAAAGCTACCCAGGCTTTCCCAGTACCAGCGACCCTGAACTGAAAGACGAAGTGCCCGATCGACCCCCAAGCTTCGGCATACTGCAGAACGCTATCGCTGCGCCCCAGAATATGGATCGTTAAACGTCTATATACGCTCGAGCTTTGCGTTTGGCAATTGGGACTATACATAGTAGCTGTTGTCTAGATACGTGGGAAGAGATGGAGGATAACACACGTACGGAGATCAGCGATGCGGAACCAGTAACCCCGCCGCAGGATGCCGCCTCGCATAACCGAGCGAACGTCTCGGGGACGGGAGAGCCAGTTGATGCTCAGCAATTCGGGCGCTCACCGTCGAGCTTGCACGCTGAGCGAGCTGCAGCTTACCTCCGTGGAACAGACACAACCGCGCACCGAAAATCCTCCAGCGCGCCAGATATCCTCCACAAGAAAGCGTCAAGTGACAGCGAGAAATCGATCTCAGATACACAAAGCTCCCAGTCTCCGACAATACGATCCGAGCAGTCCTCCCATCTACCCCCGATATCCTCGCCTCTCAACCCTGACTCCTCCGAGGTCGACAATGGCAGACGACGCACTAGCGTATACGATAAGCCTAGCAGTGGCGCGAATGCGTCGCCAAACCGGTCGCACAATTCAAAACAAACTCCGCCTCCCCGACCCCGGCCACCTCCTAGGCCTCCGATACAGCAGTCGAGATGGAAGAGTACACCGGACTTAGGAGGGTCTTACGTGCATCGAGATAGCACTCCCCTGACAATGCGCGACCTCGGTACGGACTATACGCGGTATTTCAACCCCTTCACGGACAGTCCCGGGACCTTTTTCGCCAATAAATCGACGTCACTAAGTTCCAAATATGCTCCATCCTTTCGCACAGCTACTCCACTAGAAGCCTCTAAACCCGCCAACCCCTTTCTTACACCGAACACTTCGACAACGAAGCTGAATACGGACTACGACGCTGAGAAAAATGTATCCCTAATTGACGATCGATTAAGCGCGCCGTATGACGAGAAAGGTAGTTTAGCCTGGCCGCTTTGGGGAGATGGGGCAGAAGAAGATGATGACATGCACCTCCCCATGCCGGACGACGACGTTCGATACAAAGCCAGATGGAAAGACCACTTTTCAAGGGCAAATATCGCGTCAACTATCGGGCTGTTTCTGATGATCTTTGGATTGCTATTTATCTTCATCGCGTTACCCATACTGTCCTATTCCGGGGTCATCGATTTCACATCAGGGTATGAGACGCCGCTGGATCAGATGCCGGGCAGGCAGCCGACAGCGGAGGAATGGGCCACTGTCAACGCAAAGGCGTACCCATATTTGAAGAATATCAGGACCGGCCTGATAGACCCCGACACTCCTGACCACGCGATGAGCAAGACGGGCGAGAACGGGGATGAATATGAGCTCGTCTTCAGCGACGAGTTCAACGACAATAATCGCACGTTCTACGAAGGGGATGACCCATACTGGACCGCACAGGACCTTTGGTACGGTGCGACTCAAGACTTGGAATGGTATGATCCGGACGCAGTAACGACGTGGGACGGCGTATTGGAGATACGGCTAGACAAGTTCGTCAATCATGGCCTCAACTATCGCTCTGGAATGCTAAATAGCTGGAATCAACTTTGCTTCAAAGGAGGCATCTTCGAAGTATCAATGTCTTTACCGGGCCCCGCTGGTGTCATGGGGCTGTGGCCTGGTGTGTGGACCTTGGGTAACTTGGGGCGACCGGGATACGTGGCTACGACAGATGGTCTGTGGCCGTATACGTATCAAGCTTGCGATGCTGGAATCACGCCAAATCAGTCAAGCTATGACGGCTTGTCTCGCTTGCCTGGGCAAAGACTCCCATCCTGCACCTGCCCCGGACAAGATCATCCGACCCCAGGGACCGGTAGAGGAGCGCCCGAGATCGACATCGCAGAAGTTGGCGTCAGCTACCCACCCATTAGTCTCCCTGTGGCTACGCAGAGCTATCAAGTCGCACCCTTCGACATATGGTACTATCCCGACTACGAGTTCACCGCCTTCCCCGACCAACGTCTCAGCTACACAAACGCCTACACAGGTGGCCCCTACCAGCAAGCGATCTCAGCTACGACGAATCTCAACAAAGAATGGTTCGACGGCAAAGCCTACCAACGCTACTCGTTCGAGTACGCGCCCGGCGAAGGTGAAGACGCGTACATTGTGTGGAAAGTCGGGGGCCAAACCATGTTCATTCTCGACGGGCGCGCCATCGGGCCAAACGGCAACATCCAGGCTCGGCAGATATCGGAGGAGCCGATGTCGTTGGTTCTGAACTTGGGCTTTAGCAATTCGTGGACGGCGATAGAACTGGGCAGACTGGTGTTTCCGACCGTCCTGCGCGTTGACTATGTGCGGTGGTATCAGAAGAAGGGTGAGGAGAGCGTGACGTGCGATCCGCCTGGGTTTGAGACTACGCAGTACATCAAGGAGCATATGGATGCGTATACGAATCCGAATTTTACGGTAAGCTAGGGCTCGAACGATGCATGCAAGTGAGAGCGCAATAGGCTGACCTAGCGCGTTAGAAATGGGAGCAAGCCGGTTACTCATGGCCGAAGCACAAGTTGAACAGCAACTGCTGAACATTGCCACGCATCATTCAAGAAACCACCGCATTGATCCCTTCCGTGCGACCAACGCACTTCCGCATTCCTCGCTGCCCTCGCAGAAGCATAGCATTACGCTATCCCGACATCCCGCAACTCCAGATTCAAATCGCATCGCATCGCAACGCAACGTCAGCAGGAGACGTCCCACCCGTAACCTATTCAGAGCCGCACATCCTGCAACCGCACGCCTACACTTTAGGTCGCATCCTCGATCCTCCTGGCCTCGCATACGCGCCAGCCTCGTCCTGCTCATGCAAATCTCACAAAACACACGCACACCTACCGTCATATTTCCGCATCGATTCCCAATCCTCGTATTCCATGCTCTCAACACCACTCGACATATAATTAATTTTCTCCTTTTAATGATAATCGGTCCGGCGCTTACGCTCGCTCGCTTTTCTTCCGGCATCTATTTCGGTCTCGGCGCGTTGTGGATCCGGCTTTCTGTCGATATTGGAGGCAGGGGACGTCAGCATCCTTCCACGGTCCCTTTTTGGGTGCAGCAATCTCAGGCGTTTGGGGGGTTCATAAAGATTTTTTCTCTCTCTCATGAATGGGTCGCATAAGGAAGGCGTGGAAAGGATCTGTGTTCTAGAAATGGAGTTATCATGGGCCATTGTAGGACTGATTGATGAATTGGACATATATGGAGAAGGGCGCAATGAGGAATGAAGCATCGCGTAAAGTAATGTCGATAATGAGTGGGATAGGAGCTGCGCATAGTGCTACGCAGTCGTAATGCCGGTAATGAGAAATCTTTGCCATGTTCAAAATTTCGCAAAGGCTGTAAAGACCGTGTTCAATTTGCTTAGCATAGAGAGCGTGATGTAGAAGACTTTTGTTCGAACTTCATCCTCCACCACGCCGAGTAGAGCCACGCGGCTTTTCTTTCCGTGAAGAAAGAAGAGTGCAGGTTCCCTGGAACATCCCCCATTGCGCTCTCGTAATCCTCTGCCTCTGAAAACATCTCCACTCTCAACGCGCAGTCTCCGAGAGAATCTGGACATACTCACCTTCCCCCAAGACGCGACAGGCGGAGACGCCTGTCTGTCCAGTGGGTTGTTGTTGCGCTCCTTGTGGATCTTAGTCGTCCATCAGAGGGGCCCTGGCTGATAAGTCTGATCGAAACTCATCTGTGGCATATACCTACCGGCCTGACCGATTGCGGAACAGCGGCGAACGATAGTCGGTTACGCTGGGAATGCAGGCGATAACAGCATAAGCCATAGATCATGTCCTAAAGGGTGGGACGCCCAAGCAGGGCCTCGAGGTTAGCCAGATGATTACTAATGGCGCCGGGAATCGAAGCGCATATGATCAACTCGAGCGTGCATGCCGATTGGACTTGCGATGAGAGGAAGGAAGAGGTTCGAGGCTGTCTCGCCGACCAGATGCGGAAGCATCGGCGGTAACGGCGGACGAACGCATCAAGCGAGAACGAGTTTGCTGAGAAGACGGAGGGTTGCCATACCAGTTGACATCGCTGAGCTGCAACTTCCTGGCTCGCTGATTGCTGCGATTGTTGCCGGCCTTGTCGAGGCGCGGCTGTGCGTACGGGTTGTGAGTCTTGTCCAGACCTTCAGAAGTTTCAGTACGTTTCCTATTGGTATTAGGTTGAAGGGTGTAATGAAACGGTGTATCACCATCCGCGTCGTCGTCCCGGAGATCGTAGTTCAAGACGAGGTTCTTGATCCGCTGCTGCTCTTCTCGCTCGGCCTGTTGCTTGTTGCGCATGGCAACTGCAAACGTTGAATCTGAGGGCAGGTCGATAGAGCGGGTCTGTGTCTTGTTTCCGCGCTTGCTGAGCAAGGAGAATTTCATCATAGGAGACGCCCGAGCAGATGCTTCATTGCCGCTATCTTCCGCAGCTACGGGTGCCTCACGAGTGCGGCGCATTGGAAGCGGTACATCGAAGACCGGCTTGCGCTCGAACTTGCGGGATTCTACGCTTTCCGACATCAATTTCGCAAGCTCGCGGTCGAACTCGGCTTCTGCTTCGGGGTCGCGTTCGTCTTCTTGACGAGTAACGACGATCTGTTCCTCTTCGTCGTCGGATGAGGCTCGTTTGACCGGCTCATCGTCACCAGAATCCTAGGGTAGGCGTGTCAGCGTTTCGAAGGGGTATGCACGATATGTGAAACCACAAACCTCTTCATCCTCGCCTGAAGACTTCTCTTCATCTCCCTCCGGTACAACAACTTCCTCGTCGTCTGGCCCATCTCCATCATCGTCGGAAGCGGATAGGTCATCTTCGTCGGGCTCAACCGGTTTACCGACTGCGGAAGTCTGGTAGTTTTGCTTGACAGCTTCCCCGAAAGCACGAGAGGCTTCCTCGAAACTTGTGATCAGCTTCCATTGGGGCCTCGTGAGATTGAAGGCGTCCTGCACGATGAATTCAACGTCCATCGGGAGGGAATCCTTAGTACAGAGGTAGTACTGGAAGTAAGTGAGGAAGAAATCAAGCTTCTTCTTGGCGGCGCCCTTGTCGTAGTACATGCCGCAGGTCTCTAAGAGGTTGCAAACCAGCCGGATGCGGAAGTAATCGTCCAGGAGGTCCAATGGGTTCACCAGCCCTGGGCGCACATAGCCACCTTCCCACCCGTAATTGAGGAGCTTATACAGCGTGTCAAAGATGAGCGGAGAGTCAACCAGCCGGTAGATATACATTTCGCCGAGGTACTTAACCTCTGCGATCCTCCTCTGGTTTAATTTGAAATCATTCAACTCGAGCCCGAATGTAATCGACTCAAGGAGGTCGTCTATTACTGAGATCGCAAAGTCCTGATGATATCTGTGGATCGTCCCGAGGATAATGGCTAGAAGGTGGATGTTGCTGTACTTGATCTTACCGGGCTTTGAGAAGATCTTGTGCAGGATGTTGACGACATCTTCTTCCTCCCAATGCATCTTGCGGATCTGCTTGACGGTCTTGTCTACAGTTCGGCGGCTCAGATCCTGATACATGAGCTTGCGAAGAAAGAGCTCGATCGGCGTTCTCTCCTTTTGCTCGATAGCCGCGCGCTCCGGAGGGTTAACGTAGTAAACGGCGTTTTCAATGAGCATACGCTCTTGTTGACCAAGAACTTGGGCACCCTTCTTTCGCTGCAGAGTCTCCAGGAAGGATGACATTCGCGGGGAGGTCTCAGGATTGCGAAGTAAGTAGCGACCACAGTTTTCAAGGAGGTTGCAGATGATCTCAATGTTCATCCTCGAAAATTCGTCGAGGCTGACCTTCAAACAGTGGAAGATGACATGCTCCGGGACGACCCCGAACTTGGTCAGCTCCGCAAGATAGCGAACATTCTGGGTCCGGACTTGTCCCAGAAAGTCCTTCGACTTGCGGCGCTGAAGGCTCCGAAACTCGTCATCGAGGTACGACACGAGGCCCTGCGACACATCGGGCATGTATTTTCCAAGCGTTGCAATGAGTCTGGAATACAGTGGTAGCAAGTCCGACCGACCCTTCGGTATGTCCTGCACAGCTTTGATCAGCCTATTGCGAGAAGCCTTCGAGTTCAGGAAGCAAAAGTCGACGGCGGTCTGATCCACGGAATCCTTGGTATTCAGCTCGGGTAGACGGGCAAGGACGGCATCCACCTGAGCTCCGACGGACTTATTCGCGATGGCAGTGGACTGGTCGTCTGCTTCTGCAGGCTTCGCCTCGGCGGAAGGTTCTGGTTTATCCTCTATGTCGGCCTTGGTCTCAGCCTTCTTGCCAACTTGCTCGTCATTGTCGGTCTTTTTCTTCTTCGGTTCTTCCAATAGAATGCCCGGAACACGGTCTTTGAGGTCGATGAGGTTTTCGTAGAAACGCCGCTCTTCTTCGTCTTCCCAGATGCCAGGCCCATCACCTTGACCGCGCAGATAGTCTCCCGCCTTCACAAGCCCGATCGAGCCGTCACCGGTGCCTGCAGATGTGTCCTTTTCCTTTAGATCAGGCATCTCCAAACTAAGTGCATCGGCGAGGACCTGCGCATTTCCTGCTAGTCTCTCCTGTGCCTTCATCTGCTTTTCGTAATTTGCCTGGCGGTCCTCGAAAACTTCTCCAGACCTGACATACGCTTCCGCATTCTTGCGCCCTTGGTTGACCAAGTGCTTCTGATCGCGTAGCAGATGCGCTTTGACATCGTCAAAGTACCGACTGAGGATGTTCTTGAACCGCTGCCGGAGCTCAGGGGAGACGATAGGGGGGTCCTTGGTAGCTGCATCATCTTCGTCGGTGGTGGAAGCCTCATCGTTTTTCTCGGTTGTCGTGCTTCCATCCTCATTCACGGTCTTGCGCCCTTCAGCCGAAGATGTTTTTGCTCCAAGGATATCCCATGCAAATGCCTTTACGAAGATGACGACCAGAGGCAGGTTGATATGCTCGCGGTCGTACCCTAGCATATCCTTAAGCACCTCTAGTGGAAATGGTTCGGCATCGGCGCTGTCAGGCCGGTTGCCATTTGTTGTCGCCTTGGCCTTGCTTGATCCCTCAACGAGCTTGACACTCTCTTTTGTCTTGCCCGCCTCTTCGGGTCTAGACACATCATCCAAGCTTCTCAGCACACCCACAAGCCAGAGCTCGGTCGCTACCCTCAGCAGCACTCGCTGACGAGCAAGGCGTTCCTTCTCTTCCCGCTCACGGACGTCTTGTGCCAGGGTCTTCAGGTGAGACTTGTCCGGTGTGCTCAGTCCTCGCCCAATGTACCATCCGAGGTATCCAGTGAACTCAGCGGGGCCGAATCGTTGATGGAGCGCGCTCACGACTTCGACGCCGGCGGCAATATCTGCGGGGGTCTTGAGCTTGCAGAGGCCTTCATAGCAGGCGGAAATGATTTCAGACAGGTATTTATGAAGGGACAGCGTCTGCACATCCTGGATGAACTGGGTCTGCGCTGAGGCTTGGACGGCGGTTCGCAGGCGCTTGATGAAGGCGGTATTCTTCTTCATGGACGAGTCGAGGGAGCCCTGCACGCGGAACACATCTGCGGAATGTCAGGCCTCAAGCATGCAGCTGAAGGTGCGTGTCATACCCTGCTCGCCATCCCAAGCTCTAAAATTCAGCTCGCGGAGCTCCCCTAGGCGCCGTCAGTAGATTGCATGAGAGAAAAGGCCTCCGACATACGTTTTCTCTGCCTCTCCATGGTGGAGGAGGCGGGCCCGCAGTTGTGGAGGGGCGGGCGGTGATAGCAAGGCGGGTCGGTTAGGATACGCGCACATGGAAATTGGAGAGTATGTCCGGCGCGGCGTCGGTGTGCATTTGAACAGTCGCAGGTTGTGAGCCTTGCAGCAGGCGCGAGAGTTTGCGGACGCGGCGTGGGGACAAGGGAAAACGTCGTTGGAAGAATCCCAGTTGGTTTTGTGAAGCTCGTACCTGCAGATGTCTTATCGACCGGCGTGGCCCGTGCGATGCCGAGGTGACTAAGCGGCACTGAGTGTGAATTTGGGCCCTGGATGACGTGCATATCGGTAGTACTTGCACGAAAAATGCGAGTCGGACAGCGCAACTTCGATAGCTGTCAGTTTGGTGCTATCTTCAGCGTTCAGCAAAGTAGTCGCTTGCTAGGCTGATTGCCGAATAACCACCACGCAAACTCTAGAGCATAGGACGACAACGGTCACTGCAGTATAAAGGTTGGACGCGTTGATTGCACATAGGTCAGCCTCCATCTATCCACTCTGTGCATAAGATGGCAGATCTCAAAACTGCTCAACAGATCTCTCCCGTGGTACATTACCTTCCCCATCGTCCGCCGCACCTGACGGTCTTGGGCGACCGACATCGAGCTGCGGAGTGCTTAGCACTTTATAAAGTTGCCCAAGACACATCTACCTTCGGCCAGGATCAGGTTGACTGGAGCATTCGATACGCAACGGAATAGCAATGCTGCTAGTAGATGCTGGGCATAAGGTAGGAGGATACTGACGCACTGTACTTCACCAAAGTGCGATTATACAGGAAACAGGGAACAGGAACGATGAGAACGTGTGCAAGCTTCCCGGCTCAGCATTCGAGCAGGAAAGCGGCGCGGGGCTTGGAGCAGCCTGGAAGCGGCAGAGCGGTCCAGTCTCAAGCGTGCAACTGGTCATTTCTCTGGCAATGGAGCGAAAACTTCGCCGCTCGTTATTGAACCGATAGACTGCGAAGAGCGGCATCGAAGCTGAAAGGTGTATTTTGGAAGTAGGTTGAGAAGGTAACGAGATGGGGCCGAAGTGATTGCAAGGCGCAAGCAATTACAAAGAAGCTGGTCAGCCACCTTACGTTTGTCACGTAATGGCTATATACGATCTGTGGAACCGAGATTTGCCCTGTAGAAATAAGGTCAGCGCTGCGCTTGGCACTATTGACAATTGGAGAGACTCGTAGCATGTTGGGCGCGTCCAGTGGCTCAGCACATCCTGCTTTTACACGTGGTGGCCTCGCTGGACCGTACGCCCGGTCAAAGGAAGATTATTCCCTGGTAATGCTTAAGCTATAAAACCCCTGTATAGAAATTGATAGGTGGAAATGCATATGGAGGCGTCAATGTTGGATTCTAGTAGCCATCGCTAAGTGTTCAGGGGTAGCCCTTATGCGGAATGACGAGTTCGCGCGATTCATGAGGCCTTTCGCACAGTCAGCATTCGAGTGCGCTGCCACAGAGAAACTCGGGCGAGAGATATCGTAGAGTCGCAATGTTCTCGTCCGATATTCGAGACGTCCATCAGCGATATGGATCTCAGCCCTGCTAGGCGGACGATCGCCGCGTGTCCCAGATCGCCGCCTCGTATAGGCGAAAGATCAACATGGTGATGGACGATTGGACGATTGGACGATTGGTGGGTCCCGAGTCTTCGGAAGCACGGCATATCGAATCGAGCCGCGTCGCTCAGCCCCGAGCGGGGCGGCGCTTTCACTGAGTATAGAAACTGGGTTCTGGAAGAGCAAACTGCTGCAATGGAACATTGTTGCGTGCTGTATTACCTCACAGGGCTGGGGCTCACGAGGCAGTGGAACAGAGGCGCACGCTGCTGTGCCTGATGCGGCGCGTAGGCGGTCAACAGCTTTCCCGATAGATAGTCTCGAATGTGTACATACGGAGGAGGAAAACGTGCTCCTGCCAAGAGGAAGCTGGTGAGGACAAAGGCCGTCCCCACATTAAGCTCGTGTTTCTATTAGCGTCGCAGCGCGCGGGAGCGTATTGTACAAAGGAGAAAGGGGGAAGGCAAGTTTTGCTGTGGCTTCTCGCATGGCATGACGCTTGACTGGACGGTCCGTGGAGCAGCGCGAGGCTAGAGCAGCCACGACAGCGAAGTCAGTCGATGGCTGAGGAGGCACAGCGGGCGCGATTGGCCAGGCCGACCGCATCCGGAATGCCGGTTAGTCCTCAGGGGAGACAGCTCCGCTTGGCAATGAAAGCGCCAGGCGGAGCGAGAAGGCGACGCATGAAAAGGCGCAAATTCTTGGCCGCCATGATGCCATCGGCGCAGGAGCGCAAAGCAGGTGCGGTGGCCGGAGAGAATCCAGCGTCGGACGATCGTGCTCGTGTTTCGCAGTCGCGGACATGGGCCTTGCAACTCGCACTCCGGATGCATAGCACTCTGCAGGGGCGCATATTAGCTCGACTCCGCGAGGGGGCGGCGCGCTCTCCTTTGCCAGCGTCAAGCGGGCGCACGAGGCCGGCGAGGCACGTCTCAAACGCCCAACGGCAGCGGCGCGCTTGGTCCGAAAATAACAGGAGGCCACCAGTCACGCAAGGCGGCTCCCTGCCCAGGCCGCCGACTGCGGAATAGCGCGGCCCGGAAGTGGATGCGGAGCCTGTGGCGATCGAACAGGCCCAGCACGCTTCGGGCGACGGCGCTGGCCCGCGCGCAAAAGCCATCCGTGCCTGCGTGCCTCTTCAAACCACCCCGACCCCCTCGCCTGCTGGAAACCTCTTCTCCCTCTGCACGCGTTTCGTTTCCTCCTCCCTCCCACCGCGTGCCGCCTCCCTCGCGCTGCTGCTCCTCTAATGACACCCTGAAGACGCCTGTTTTCTTCCATTCGCTTTTCCCCTCTCCGCGACACTCGTTACCTGCCCGATACGGCAACGCCGGCAATTCGTGCGACTCCCTTTTCCGCTGCCGACACCTCAGTTGTAGCCGATTCAGCTGTTTCTTAATATTCACAGTCCGCCCCTCGTTCGGTGCCTCCTCGATTATCTAGCGTTGTGCGACACCAAGCTGCTGGCAGGCGTGCTCTGTATCACTTGACCACACTCGACCGCCCTGGCACCGCGACAAGCCGGCTTCCTCATTTGCTCACCTCACCCGACGAGGCCTTTTTTAATAGAGGGTGCGTGCCATGAAATTCCAAGACCGCTGCTCCTATACTGACTGCAAACCGGCAGCCGTCCGCCTAGCTTCCCTTCCCGCAAACCCCGCGTCATCGTCCATGTCATAGCGCCCACGATCGCTCAAGCACCGCCATTTCCTCCCTCGCTCGTTACCCTGCCTCGACACCTTCCAAACCCCGAAACGCTTAATACTTCACCATGTGGGATCAGATGGGCATCTTCGCCCGCGCCGACGAGAATGGCGTGCCCGACATTACAGACCCGTGGCCGACCAAGGATGTGAGTTGGGAGCGCTCTTTACAAGGCTTCGAGCTCGAGGCTGACCCTAGCAGATCGTTTATGTGGCCATTGTCGGCAGCGTTATGCTGGCCGCGCTCCTCGAATGGTTCCTGTGGCTGGCCGCATTCCTGTACTGCCTCGTCAAAGTCTTCCAGAAGGCCGAGACCATCAGCATCAGGATCCTCTCGGTTATCATGATGATCCTCTTCACCGCCCTCCGGTAATACGCTCCTTGTCACACACGCTATCCGTTACTGACTTGCGCCAGAGCGATTTTCTTGCCGATCATGGTTGTGACTCTGCCCCTACCGTCACAGGTCGTAAAATACTTTCCCACGGCGATGGTCAGCTTCTTGCAGTGGTTTGCCTTTTGGTCTTTTGCCGGCCTGCTCACAATTCCGTGGCTGTTCTGCGTGTACCAGCTTGTAACGCATTCCGTGGGGCGAACTAAGAGGATCAAGACCGTCCTGGACGAGGCATCAGCGCCCAAGGTTGTCATTATCATGCCCTGCTACAAGGAGGTTCCTGAGATTCTCCTACGTACTATCGACTCGCTGGTCGACTGTGACTATCCCCCGTCATGTCTGCACATCTTCCTCTCCTTCGACGGAGACCAGGAGGACGAGCTTTATCTGAACACCATCGAGAAGCTCGGCGTTCCCTTGACGCTCGATTCGTACCCCAAGTCTATCGATGTGACATACCGGAGCTGCCGCATCACTGTCTCTCGTTTCCCGCACGGGGGAAAGCGACACTGCCAAAAGAGGACTTTCAAGCTCATCGACAAGATCTATACCGAGTACCTCAAGCGCAACGACAACCTGTTCGTGCTCTTCATCGATTCCGACTGCATTCTAGACAAGGTTTGCATTCAGAACTTCATGTACGAAATGGAGCTCAAGCCTGGAAGCAAGAAGAACATGCTGGCCATGACCGGCGTCATTACCTCGACTACGGAGAAGAACTCTCTCATCACTCTCCTTCAGGACATGGAGTACATTCACGGTCAGCTTTTCGAGCGCTCCGTCGAATCTGGTTGCGGAGCTGTTACCTGTCTGCCCGGTGCCCTCACCATCCTCCGCTTCTCCGCATTCCGCAAAATGGCCAAATACTATTTTGCCGACAAGGCCGAGCAGTGCGAGGATCTCTTCGACTACGGAAAGTGCCACTTGGGCGAAGATCGATGGCTCACTCATTTATTCATGATTGGCGCGCAGGAGCGATATCAGATCCAAATGAACACGGGAGCATTTTGCAAGACCGAAGCCGTGCAAACATATCGATCTCTTCTGAAACAGCGCCGACGATGGTTCCTTGGGTTTATCACAAACGAGGTCTGCATGCTGACAGACATCCGACTCTGGCGGCGATATCCCATCCTATGCATTGTCCGATTCATGCAGAACACGATTCGAACCACGGCGTTACTCTTCTTCATCATGGTCCTCTCCATCATAACCACGTCTCAGAAGGTCAAGAACCTACCGGTTGGCTTCATCGCAATTTCGCTCGGTCTTAACTGGATTCTCATGCTGTACTTTGGTGCCAAGCTAGGACGTTACAAGATCATGCTTTACCCCGTCATGTTCGTCATCAATCCATTCTTCAACTGGTGTTATATGGTTTACGGTATTTTCACCGCCGGTCAGCGTACCTGGGGAGGTCCTCGTGCAGACGCTGGAGCTGCGGATCCCAACACTACTCCAGCACAAGCTATTGAGCACGCTGAGGCAACTGGCGACGATCTCAATGTTGTCCCCGAGACTTTCAAGGCAGCCGCAGAGAACCAGAAACATCGCCCTGCCGCCGTACCTCTCCAGCCGTCAGATCATCTCGATGGCCGCTTCGCCCCGGCAGAGAGACTTCCCAACGGATGGTACCAGCAAGCGAACGACTCGGGACTTACTCTCCCCAACATGCTACCACGGAACCCCAATGTACCCAACGTTCCATTGCATCCTCGCTCTTCCATGGACTCGTTCATGTCCGCTACTTCTGCAGGCAACTCTGTCTACCTGCCACGTCGTGTCGAAAGTTTCATGGATCCCGAGGACGCCCGCATATACCACAAGACACAGGCAAACCAGAAACCTGCCGGAGGCGCCTATTTTGAAGCAGACAACCACCATAACTCGCCCTACCAGATCAGTCCGCAACCTGGCAAGTCTACATACCAGGAGTCCGTTGAGTCGCTCTCGGATGATTCCGTGTATCACGGCCATGGAAAGTTGCCGCAGAGGCCTCCTCACTCCCGCATGAACAGTGACCAACACACACCTACTACTGGCCAGTATGCTCCGGTTACGAACTCGCCCCTTTCTGCGGAGTACGGACAGAACGGACTAGAGCCCCCGAAGGCAGCATACAACAGTAACCAACACCGTGACTCATCTGGTTCCGTGAACTCGAACCAACGCACCGGACGTAGTCCGCTCGCCCGCCAAAGTTTCGTGAGAACGGCACCCGGCGCGGAGCTCGGCATTGAGATGCAGCACCAGCAGCATCAACAGCAGCGCAGCCTGATGCGTGACGTTTCACCCGCCCCCGTCGGCTCGCCGCTCGAACCTCCGTCACGTCCGAACCACCAACGAAGCGAATCGCAAGATTCAAAGCGGAGGAAGAGGCTGACGAAGAACCCTCCTGGCCCCAAGTAAACGCCCTCTGATGTTTTCATCCCCATCACTTGGCGGTACGGAACCAGTATGCCGGTTGTTCATTCTCACATGCAAAAGTTAGGCCCACGGCGTTCAAGCATCGGATTTGTTCTCATCATTCTCGTTCTACTTGACATTTGCATTCACATATCTTGCATAGGGTATTGGCGTTTCTATCAGGACCCGGTCCTCATCATCATCACATTCCCTTGACGTACATACCGCGGAGGAAATCGTCGGATTGGACGCACGCGCGATGACTGGATCATATATCTTATCGGCATATCATATTCCAATGATGCCGTACATACGAACCAAACCGGTATATATGAGCGCGCCATACTTGGCCACGAGGGGGTGGAATGGGGCCGTATACTTTCCTAATGTTTAGATGTAGTTTCTACAATGGAATTACGATATCATATTGCAATCCCCGCAAACGAATATTCGCCTTGGTGGTGATGCACTGCCTTTTGCATAGCTTTCTACTTCGTCCGCGCCTCTACTGAGAGATCAACGTTGCGCCGTTCTCCTGGATAGCACCATCGCATTCTAGGATTCCCCGGCATGAGTATCGAGCGGAATCGCTGGTAGAGCTATGTCCGTACTGTCGGAATTCCAGAGCGGAGAAGAAGGCGCTATACCCTTTTCGTACTAGCATCTGTCGGACTGGCTCGACGTCATCGCAAAAAGTAACCGACGATAAGCAGCAGCATCGACAGCTTAAGCTCTTGTGCGACCGGATTGTCATTTAACATATTTCTCTTATTTTTGCTTATATTCCAGTCCTTGCACATATGTCTGCGGGCCATTAGTGTACCTATGCGTTGAAATTACCCTCCACCCCATCGCTTTTCCACATTTACTCTTCAGCAATGCTTCTGTCGCGAAGCATATCCAGATCGATCACGCATCAATCGCGAGCGTTCTGTACAAGCGCGAGAAGGGACGCGGATTTTACGCACGCGGTGATAGGAGGAGGCGTGGTCGGGTTGGCAATCGCGAGGAAGCTGCAGGCAAGAGACGGCGCTTCCACCGTCCTGATAGAAAAGCATGGCTCCGTCGGCACGGAAACGAGTAGTAGAAATTCAGAGGTGTGAGCGGAGTCTCATTTCATCCTCCTGTAAATGCTTTTCGCCATCTCGAAATACCACAGCATTAGGACGGCAAGGCTGACAACCTCCCCAGGTCATACACGCTGGCCTCTACTACGGCCACGACTCCTTGAAGACAAAGTTGTGCCTCCGCGGCAAGGAAATGCTATACGAACTCGGTGCTAAACACTCCATCCCGCATCGCAACACCGGCAAATGGATCGTCGCCCAGGACGCCGCGCAAATGGAAGCCCTCCAAGGCGTGCATGATTTCGCCTCCAGCATCGGCGTGCCCATCCGCTTTATCTCACCTGAAGAGGCCAAACGCCGCGAACCAGACGTGAGAGCAGAGGTCGGCGTGCTTGAAAGCCCGTCTACAGGGATCGTGGACAGCCACGGATTAATGCAGTTCCTAGAAGGCGATTTCACGAACCTCGGCGGCATTTGCGCCTTCAGGAGTCCCGTCTCCGCCATCCGACCCATCGACTCTGGCCGCGGCGGCTGGGAGATCACAACAACCACATCCGACGGTGAGGAATCCAGCGTCACGGCGGAAACGCTCATAAACTCCGCCGGGCTGGCCGCGATCCCGATATCCAATATGATCCTCCCGCCTGAAAGACACCGCAAGCCTTACTACGCAAAAGGCTCCTACTTCTCCTACTCGCGCTCCCACCCAAAACCCTCCACGCTCGTCTACCCAGCCCCGGTCCCCGGCCACGGCGGCCTCGGCACGCATCTCACGCTCGACATGGCGGGGCGGATCCGCTTCGGGCCCGACGTGGAGTGGACGGACGATCCGAACGATTATAGCGTCAACGGTAAGAATCTGGAGGTCGCGCTCGACGATATCCAGAGCTATCTCCCCGGGATTGATCGCAGTGCGATTGGGCTGGATTATGTGGGGATTCGGCCGAAGCTGGGGAAGCTTGGGGCGGTGAGTAGTGCGAAGGGGTCTTTTCAGGACTTTTATATTAGGAGGGAGGAGGGGTTTGTGGGGTTTGTGAATTTGTTGGGGATTGAGAGTCCTGGGTTGACGAGTTGTTTGGCGATTGCGGAGGAGGTGGAGGGGTTGTTGTATCGGTGAGTTGAGGGGCTGGGTGGGGTTGGAGATGGGGGAGGGCTGGAGATGGGGGAGGGCTGGGTCGGTGAGCAGCTGTGCTTCTGGGGATGGATGAGAATGGAAGGCGATCTGCGAGCTTAGAATTCCTGGCAAGTGTAGAAGCGTTGGCGTGTAACAAGCCCCTAGTGTGAGTTGACCTTTAATATCATCACCCTTATTTAGAAGGAACGGATAATCAAGAAACCCAGTGGTCAACTCTGTTCCATTCCATAAGCATATCTTCGTTACGCGCAGCCTATATCAATTTCCATCCCATCTCCCCATTCCAGAATCCATCCAACCGCAAGCCGATCAAAAAATCAGTCAGTCAGTCAAATAACCCATGCGCTCACGCCCTCCCAATATCCTCCACACTCTTACTCCGCCCCTTCTCCGCGTCGCTCTCCTGCTCATTCCCATGCCCACCCTCGACCATATGGCCAAGATGCGCTTTATCCATATGCGTTACCTCCGCCATATCGTCATCATGCGCCACATCGAAGTGCCTGCCCCGATACTCCGGCCCGATGAGCGTCAGGAGAATAACGTACGCATACACGCAGCCCATGAAAATGCAGATCACCTTGCCGTACTCGTACCGCTTGACGGAGCCCTTGGGCGGCAGCGGGAACCGCTCGCCGATCGTGGATTCGATGGTTGACGATGCCGAGGAGACGAGGTTACCGAGTTGGTACGAGGTGCCGACGACAAAGGTCCTGAAGCTGCCTGGCGAAAGCTCCATCAAGTGGATCGGAATGACGCCCCACGCGCCCTGGACGCAGAACTGCTCGAAGAAGGCCGCGGCGATGACGCTCTTGCTGCCCGTAAACGTATACGGATACAGCAGCACGCCGCCCACGACGGAGATAAAGATAATGCTGAACCGGCGCCCGAAGATAGACGACGAGTACCCGACGAGCGTGCCGCCGGTCATGGCGCCGAGGTTCGCAACGACCTGCGTGACGGTCACGGCATCGGCGCTGAAATTGTACTGGTTCGTCAGCATCGTCGGATACAGATCCTGGCTGCCGTGGCTCATGAAGTTGAACCCCGCCATCAGCAGCACCATGTAGATGAGCAGCAGCCAGTGGTTCTTCAGCGCGACTCGGCCCTCTTGCAGGAAGATCTTCGCCGCGTTGGGCGTCTCTTCGCGGATGCGCTGGCGCTCGCGGTAGGCCTGCGTCTCCGGGAGGCAGAGCCGGAAGACGATGATGAGGACGGGCGGGCCGGCGCCGAACCAGAATAGAGGTCGCCAGCCGTGGCCGACGGTGTCGACGAAGGCGCGCGCGAAGACGGTGGCGAGCAGGTAGCCGAAGGCGTAGCCTTGTTGGAGCATGCCCGAGATTAGGCCGCGCGCTTCTTCGGGGCAGTCTTCGAGGGCTGTGAAGATATGTGTCAGTTTACTGTTTCGCTGCTCACTTGCACTCCAATTCCACTGCTTTTGATCCCAGCTGCAAAGGGATGAAAACCGGTAGGAAAAGACAAGAAAAACGCATTCAACTCACCCGTCGCCGCAGCATTCCCATACAACCCGCCCATCGCAATCCCAAAAAGCGCCCTCACGCCCAGAAAGCTCTCATACGTATCGCAAAACCCCGTCGCCAACTCCAGCACAATAAACAGCACATTGTTCACCACAAACGGCCACTTGCGGCCCCAGCGATCCGCCGCGAGCCCAAAGATAATACTGCCCACCGATCGAAGCATCAGCACCAGCGTGATGCCCCACGTGATGTCCGTCTTAGTCTTGCCGAACGTCTCGGCTAGGTCCTCGACCGTCAGCGACACGGTGAAGAAGTCGAACGCGTCCCACGACCATGCGATGAAGGCCACCAGGAAGAACATCCATTGCTGGAAATTGAGCAGCGCGAGCAGCCGAATCGGGTTCGGGACGTGCGCCATGGCCGGCTTGAGGGTTGGGATGCGCGTTGCTATGTAGCGGCCCGCGGACATGTTGCGCGTGGGCTCGCCGGAGCCTAGGTCGGTCGCCATGTTGGCGGAAGACGGGTGGTGTTGAGAAGGGTGGTGATGTTTGAGGAGGGGAGGAGAGTTTTGGATGACAGCGACAGTTCTACGGGCCGACGGTCGATCGGCGGGGGGTGATTTGGCGGTACTCGCGTGCTTGATGGGGATGTGTATGACGATCACTGTTGTCCCACTCTTTTCCTTGCCCAGCGATTAATATCTCATCAGCCGTCCTCCAAATCTCTCGTCGAGCAGCGAAGTAGATAGAAAAGACGAGCAAAAGGAGACCCGGGGAAGAAATAAAACCACGCGGAGCTCACCCTGCACAACCCACCCCCTGGCCCTACCTATAAACCCTCCAACCCTCCTCCCGCGCAGCGCGCGATCGTCGTCCCTTTCCACCTTCCTCATGACATCCGCCGAGCTTAACCCACCCCGCCCGAGCACAACCCCGCAGCCTTCTCCGCCAATCACTCTCGCTCTGGGGAAGAAACCGACAGGGAAGACACACGCCGCCGGCCGGGATGCGGTCCAGCTAAGAGGTGCCAAGCCCGCCTCGGCGGCGCATTAAGGCGCCGTCTTGTCCGGCTTGGAGGCACTCAAGCAGCGTCAAGAGGCCATGGCACGGGAGCGCCGCAAGGCTTGTTCGCGGGCCACGCACGTCAACGTTACGCTTTTTTCAACGGCTTATTACCACTGTCTTCTACTGTTGTGGAGGAAATAATGCGATATGCGGGGTTGACAGCAGGCGGTAGCGACAGCGACAGCGACAGCGACAAAGAGAAGCATGCGATGCTGGCGCCATCTCACCCATCCGCCAAACGTCGCTGTGATCTGCCGCGTTACTCATCCGATCGGCGGCCTGACGTTGAGACTTAGTCTCGTGTACCCGCCACGCAGTTGCAACGGTTCGCGGTAGCGCGCGTCGGGGTGCAAATTTGCGACCGAGGCTCACCCGGCGACCGGGGAGAAGTCCACATGGAGAGCCGCGTCCTGGTTGTCAGTCAATACGGGGGGCACAGGTCTGATGGAAGTGGCACCGCCATGGTTCGATTCGGATGACGCTCGGCGATAAAGGGAGGGTATTTGAAGAGTGAGGCGCCGAGGTCGAGCGGAAGCTGCGAGACGCAGTTCCTTGTTGGAGGAAACACTGGTTCGTTGTAGCCGTAAGCTCGAAAGGCGATGCGGATGCGCGGATCAGGTGATTCGCCGCCCGTCGCCGGGTTGGCGTACATTATTAGTGGGTACGTCGGAGTTTTGATAGAGCGAAGGCTGGATCTCGGATGTTGCTGGTTTATCTTGGTAGCCACCCTGCACTCGCTAGGCCTATGACGAGCGCATATATGGCATGGCACGGCAGAGCCTTTCGTTCTCTGAACCCAAAGATGGGTGGAGGTATGTCGAATGCTATGCGAATTCTTCTACATGCCAGTACATGATCCGACCTTTTGCTCTATATGCCATGCATAACTCTAATCCAAATGCACGCTACATCAACCCAAGACAATGCTGCCTAAGCAGCTCTAGATGCGACCCTCGAACTCTCAGCGTCGCTACCAAACTCTTCTTCCATCCTCTCCAACTCTGTCAACCGTAATGCCTCCTCCACACTGTTCACAAAATGGCCTCTGCCACCACACATATCAACAATACCGCTCAACTCAAAGAGATGCCAAACAGGCGATCTTTCATGCGGCACCCTGCAGAAGAAGACCTTGACGTCCCGCTTGACGTACGATTCGACGATCTCGCAAAGGATCTGGGTCCCCGCGCCATCAAGGGTTGTGACGCCGTGGACGTCGAAAATGATGTTCTTGTTATGCTCTTCGTGGCGGACTCTAGGAAGAGCAGGGTGTGCGGCACTCGTCCCGTGGTCTTCTAGCCTCTTCAGTCTGTTCTTCAGACTGCCCGTGTTTGCAAAGGTAAGCGGCTCCGGGATCTTAACAATAAGGCAGCCCTCAATGAATTCCACGCTGTCCGGATCGAGCTCAGCATTCGTGAATTTGTCTGTGGTGCCTGGTACGCGTCCGAGAATCTGAATGCGCGGACGAGTAGAGTGACGAATCAAGCGGAGGATTGAGAGTCCAATACCGACACCAATCCCGCGCTTCAGATCCCAGAAGATGGTGACGATGAAGATAACACCCATGAGGATAAGCTCCGACCATCCACGGATCCGCCAGAAGAATTTGATGTCGTGCGGCGCTTCTTCGACGAGGGAATAGGCGACGACGGATATCATCGAGCAGAGGACGCCCTTGGGTAGGTAGTAGAAATATGGAAGGAGGAAGCAGGTGCAGAGGATTGTGATGATCGAGAGCATGATAGAGCTCACGGGTGTCATTCCGCCCGTGGAGGCATTGACTTTCGAGCGCCCATATCCGCCAAAGGCAGGGAGCGCCATGAAAAGACCGCCGGTGATGTTTGCTGTCCCGAGAGCTATGAGCTCACGGTTTGCACTCAAGGGCATCTTGACGCCGTCTTTGGTTTTGTCGCCGCTGCCGAGCGATTTCGCTGCCACCGAGGATTCAAAGAAGCCGAGCAGAGCGATGATGAGGGCCGTGTTGATAGCATCGGATGCGTATTTAAGATGTGATGTTTCGAAAGGGAAGTGAACGGAGAAAATTCTGCCGCTTGATTTGACTTCTCCCAGAATGCCAACGCCTCTTTCGTCCAACCGAAATTGCGAAACAATGACTGCTGATAGAACTACTACCACAAAACGGTCCGGTATGTAGGCAACTGAGGGATAGCGGGACTGGAGTCTTTTCTTGAATTCCCTATTGGTGCATTAGCAAGACTTCTAGGGCATGGGAAAGCGAGCCAACTTACCTGAAAAACATAATGATGCCAAAAGCGCTGAACGAGATCGCGCAGGTAAGGCCGTGGGCATTATGAACGTTTCGAAAGAGGAAGATGAGTTTGTCAAGACAGCTTCCGTGAGACACCTGGTCTGCTGCAAGCTTTGCCAATCCCATTTCTGGGATGAGCTGGTCAACGAATATGACGACACCGATAGCGCTGATGAATCCTCGTAGAAACGGCCGACTAAGGACATTGTCCAAGAACCCAAGTCGGAATGTCCCAGCTAGGAATATGAAGGCGCCTGCAAGGCAGGTTACTATGCCAGCAATTTCAGCGTTCCGCCTGCCGTCCGTATCCCCGCTTGCTCCTTTCTTGATGTTCTCGCGAACAACTTCGCCAGTGAGGAGCGAGCCAGGCGCCTCAGGGCCCACAACCATCTGGGGACACGACCCAAGTATGCCGTAAATCAGAGGGTTTATGGCGAAGCTATAAAGTCCATGTACCGGAGGGACGTGAGCGAGGTTCGAGGCATACGAAAGAGCCATAGGGATATAGAAAGAGGCCATGGTCAAGGCCGCGACGAAATCGCCTTTAAGATAGCGCCATTCGTACTGCTGCACCCAATTTATGATGGGGATGTAGTACGCAAGATACCTCACTTTGTCAGCTATTCTGTTTCATGCGTATAATGAAAATTATGGCCTACTCACATGATCCTGGGATGCTTTACCCCATGCTTTCGGGCAAGGTACTTTGTCGTGCTCATCTTCTGCCCTTTGCCGCCTCCAAGCAGACCGTCAGCGACAGTGTCCCCTAGCAAAGCATGCGTTGCATCAGCAGGTTCCCCCGTCTGAGGATCCACGCTATTCGGATATCGACCGCCAAAGCCGTTCTCTGAGCTCATGCTGCCATAGCTCCTATGCGACCAGGGTCGCGGAGACAGGGCGCCATGATTGCAGCCCTCACTTCCGCAGCCAGATGCTGCATCCCAATTCTTGTGGTTCAGGAGCCGTGAGCGAACCGTGGGCTCGAGATCAATTTCTAGTATGCCGGCGCCGACTTGGGGTGGTGCGTTTTCGTCGTTCGAATGCGCAGAGGCGCGATCAGGGGCGGGCTGGATACCGTCGGTGGAGAACTCGAGATCGTGCGGCGGGGAGCTACTTGACGCGTGTGGCTCGTCGTCGCGGAACGGCCTACTATGCATCCTATCGTCGGGTGAACTAGACCCTTCGGAGGGCACATAGACTTCCCTCAGCTGGCTCGGGATGGTGGGTAAGTGAGCATTATGCCTCCCGCTAGTAATAGAGGAATTGCGGGAGCGCGAGTGCGACGACGAGTGCGCCGATGACGTCTCGCCCGGCCCGTCTCTCTTCGGCGGCATCGTTTATGGCGTTGCGGCGGCAAGGCTTATCGCTATAAGCGGTGTTGTGATTCGACGGGAGATTTTCTTTTCTTGCGTTCGGGACCAGTCGAAAGAAGGCTCGCTGCCGGAACCATAACGCTCACCGACGGGGCAGAAAATGGGTGAAAGCTTTGGTTTCAGCGTCCTGCCGCATCTTATTCCAGAGGGAATAGCCGACCAGATGACGGCGGTGCATGTGTGGAGGTCATTCTTTGCTCGCACGTGCCGGAATAGAAGCCCCGCTAGCGCCTCGGACTCGGAGTGGGCTCGATCTGGCAGGGATCTGGCAGCTTGGCGGAAAAGTTCCCATCTGTAGAGTCATCGCAGCCAGACGCCTGCCCTCTCCACTCCGATCCTTCGCGAGCAACGCACATATAAGTACTGGATCCTGGTCGCGCAACTCCGCAGTCTGCAATTGACCCTTCAGCATTCCCAAACACCCCACCATGGCCTTCCCGACCCTCCACGCCCGCGCTGAAGCCAAACCGCTCGAGCATCGCTCCTGCCTCACGCCTACCACGACCAAGCAGCTCCTAGAGGCTGGATATCCAGTGCTGGTTGAGCGCAGCCCCAAGGACCCCAACTATGCCCGCATCTTCCAAGACGACGAGTTCGCACAGGCTGGTGCTACGCTCGTCGACGAGGGCGAGTGGGAAACCGCGCCCGCCGATCGCATCATCATCGGCTTGAAGGAGCTCCCGGAGGCAGAGACACCTCTCAAGCATACATTTGTACACTTTGCGCACTGCTACAAGCAGCAGGGCGGTTGGGAACAGGTCTTGGCGCGGTTCCCTCGCGGCGGCGGAACGCTCTACGACCTGGAATTCCTCCAAGACAACACAGGCAGGAGAGTCGCTGCGTTTGGATATCATGCCGGCTTTGTTGGAGCTGCGCTCGCTATCAAGGTACTTCCGCCGCACGGTTTTTCCAGATCATGCCACTGACCGGCTCACAGACCTGGGCATGGCAACTCACCCACCCCAACGGCGAGCCACTTCCTGGCCTTGAGGCCTTCACCGACGGACGTGGATACTACAACAACGAGGGTGAGCTGATTTCACAGCTCAAAGAGGATGTTGCGGCCGGCGAGAAGGTTGCGGGACACAAGCCGACCAGCTTGGTGCTGGGAGCACTGGGACGCTGCGGGACTGGGGCCGTCGAACTCCTCGAGAAAGTCGGCTGCGCAGAAATCAAGAAGTGGGACCTGGCGGAGACATCAGATCGCGACGGACCCTACCCCGAGATTATTGAGTCCGACATCTTCGTTAACTGCATCTACCTGTCCAAGCCCATTCCGCCCTTCGTCGACATGGAGAGCCTTAAGTCGCCGAACCGCAAGCTTAGCGTAGTGTGCGACGTTAGCTGCGATACCACGAACCCGCACAACCCAATCCCCATCTACAGCATCAACACGACGTTCGACAAGCCCACCGTGGAGGTTCCTGTAGAGGGCAGTGGCCCGAGGCTATCGGTCATCTCCATCGATCACCTGCCGTCTGCCCTCCCGAGAGAGTCGTCCGAGGCGTTCAGTGCCGCTCTGTTGCCTAGCTTGATGGCGCTCAAGGATCGGGCGACTGCTCCCGTATGGCAAGGGGCTGAGAAGCTGTTCCAGGAGAAGTGCGCAACCCTACCGGGCGGCGTACCCCAGAAGGAGGTCTAGAAGTTCGCTAGTGTTTCGTTTGATACCAAAAAGGATCTGCACGGCTAGATAAAAGGCGTTGGGGGGCTATTCGCTGGCTTCCTTACTTTGCTGCATCATTGAAGAATGAGTGAGTTGCAAGGTTCTTCGTGCACGTTGCTTGCAGTGTGGTCTGATTTTGAACCGTGCTACATCAATGTTGAGATAAGAGACATTCCAGCCGGGTTGATCATCATACTGCAGGAGCCGCGAACCGTTACCGCTGTCCCTACACAAAGTCCCCGTGGACACCTGGGCAAATGTGGTTGATTAATACGAGCCATCCCGTTTTTGGTTAGCGCGGCTCAGACATTCCACCTTCCCGAGGTCAGCCTGCCCTCTAGTATCACACTTCCCTCTGATACTTATCCCAAGTTATACCATGGGTGACCTATCATGGGGTGCAACACCTTATCCGCTTCTCCCTACCTGCAGGGTCTGTCTTGGCGGTGTCCCCGTCCGCATCTCAGACCTCGAAAGAAGCTCCCAAGCTGGCTGTGCCTTTTGCGCTCTTCTAGATCAAGGCATCGCGCGAATTCGACCGCAGCTTACCGAGCAGTTAGATTACGGTGAGAAGTTGGATGCCGTCTATATCTATGCCAGTAAGACGGACGCGCACTTTGTGGTCGAATTGGGAAGCTGGTCCTTTGGGTCTAGTGCATCTCTGGAGGTCCATTTCGAGGTATTCGTAGATACCTCTACAACAAGTTCATATACCTTCTCCGGTCCTTTAGACCTACTCTAATAGTTTCCAGATCTCGGAGCCCTTGTTCCCACATACAATATACCCCGCGATGTGCCTACCCGGCTTAACCTCGCGCGTGTTGTCTCCTTCATTCGAAAGTGGAGCTCTAGCTGCGATAGGTTCCATCCATTTTGCAGTATAGAAGGCATACCAGAGCTCCCCAAGCGCGTCATGAGCATATCTTCACGCAACAATCAACCAATCAAGTTAGTGGAGCTTAGCGGAGTTCATGCTCCGTACATCGCACTCAGGTCGGGTCATTCTTCTTCCCTCTCACGCTTGCACAGCACACTGACGTCAAAGTGAATGAAGTAGCTACTGTTGGGGAGCTTCGAATACTGCTTTGAAGACAACGTCGGAAACGCTACCCATCCATATGGCCGGAATCCCGCTCGAGTCGTTTCCGAAGACATTTAAGGACGTCATCGCCATTTGCAGAGCTCTGGATATACGCTATCTATGGCTCGACGCTCTGTGTATTATCCAGGACTCGACGGAAGACTGGGAGGTAGAATCCGCCAAAATGACTGACATCTACTCTAATTCTTATCTCACTATCGCGGCCTCTTCCTGTGCAGATACTGCGCATGGCCTATTCTCAGATAGATGGACTTTGATTCTGAAGCGCGACGAACCACTATGCCGCATCGAAACTGGATCTGTTGCTGTTGAACGCGGAAACGACACTTTCCGACTGCGGCCGCGGCTTTTTACCGCCCACACGCGATTTGCTCAGCTGGATAATGCTCATCACCATTCTGCGGATGCTCCGCTCCTAACGAGGGCCTGGGCATATCAGGAACGATTGCTCCCTTCTAGGACGCTGCATTTTCTCGCTGAAGAGCTTGTATGGGAATGCAAAACGGACCTTCGATGCGAGTGCCGCGCTCTGGATGACAGGAGCCTGATAGCCGCAGAATTCGAAGGCGACAAGCAGTTCAAGCAAACCTGGCATGGAGGATGGCTAAAGCCTCTCGTCGCTAAAGTGGAACGGCCAGGCCTCATTTACGAGGATTTTTCAATGATCTGGATGGACCTAGTTTCCGAATTTACGAGGCTAGATCTGACCTACGAAAGTGATCGTTTGCCGGCGATTTCCGGTCTGGCAGCTAAACTCACGAATACCTGTCTTGGAGACTATCTTGCGGGAATGTGGACTAATATGTTTCCCGTGGGCTTGCTTTACGAAAGCAGATGGAGCGCTGGGGATTTTCCCGGAGATCCCAAATATCGACCGCAGGCGCCAACTTGGTCGTGGGCGTCTATTCCTCTGTCCGGGTCGAACGGGATTTATTATGATCGCACGCTAAGTAGGCGCTTTAAGAGATGCCCATACTTCAAGGTGCTCAACGTAACAGCCAAAGTTCTGGGAAAGAACCCCTTTGGCTGGGTGCAAAATGCTCTACTAAGTGTCCGTGCACGATCGGCGAAGTGCGTCGCGGTCAAGGGCCGGGACGGCGCCATGCGCTTAGAGAGAATTTCACGGGAGGATGATCCAGCGCACCTGGTCCTGGATATTCCTAATTCTGTGGAAAACCATACAAGGATCATATTTCTCTACCTAGGCTCGGGTCAAGGGCTCGCCCTCCAGAAGGTATCCAATGTCCGACACGAAGCCACGACCTACCGCCGTGTTGGCATTGCGAGATTCCCTCTAGATATGCAATGGAGGAATGTTGACTGGGAAGACGGCATGGAAATGAGGGATTTTGACCTGGTATGAGACACTGGGCCGGCCAAGACGCCTTTCTCTCCGTTGCTCCGGCACCGACGTCTCCCTCGAATTCCTCAGTGGCCGGACAGTATACCGCCGGCACCGGAGGGGTGAAAGTATAGTGTCTTCTCGACGCTAAATTCGTGGATCCCCCAGATCGAATTCGACTGGCCCCAACCAGACCCCTTAACACCCCGAATCGGCGCGCCGGCTTTGTACCCGTCAGTATCCGGGGAACAGAGGACATAAGAATTACTTACGGGAATCGGTGAGGGTCACATTGTTGATATGCACCTGGCCGTACTCGAGCTGCATCGCCACATTGTATGCGTGCTCCCAGCTAGTGCTGTGGACTGCGGCATTGAGTCCGTATGCGGAATCGTTGGCTTTCGCTATCGCGTCCTCATCGTCGTCGGCAACATAGACGGAAGCCGATGGTCCGAAGGTCTCTTCGTCGGCGATGCGGGCTTCTTTTGATACATTCGTCACGAGCGTAGGCTTGAGGCTAGTCCCGCTCAGATATTCGGGGCCGCCGCAGAGGAACGTCGCGCCCTTCTCTTTCGCATCGACTAGGAGATCATATGCATGTGTCGCCGACTGCTTGCTCACAGCGTCTCCTGCTTTCGGGATCTTTGACATTGTCGCTGCGAGAATCGGGACGAATCTGTCGTACACAGACTTGTGTACGATGATGCGTTCGGTCGAAAAGCAAAGCTGGCCATGGTCCATGACGGCTTCTGAAGTCAGTACGTGTCCACCACAGACGGGAAACTGGCGGGCTCACCACCCATGGCACAATACATGGCCGTCTTCTTCAGATCTGCATCCTCCAGCACAATAGCCGGCCCTTTCCCGCCCAGCTCCATCAGAATCGGCTTCAGATACTTGGCGCAAAGCTGACCCATCTTGCTTCCGACAGCCGCGCTCCCTATGAAATCAATTTTCCTCACAGCTTTATGAGAAACGATGGCTTCAGACACGGCTACAGCGTCCTCTCGCTTGGCTTGGATCATGTTGATGATGCCTTTGGGAATGCCGGCTTCTTCGAAGCATTCCAAGAGCATGCTGTGTGTGCGAGGGCATAGCTCAGATGCTTTGACGACGATCGTGCACCCGGCCGCGAGGGCCATGCTGATGGCGCGGAGAGGCAGAATGACTGCGCCGTTCCATCTGCACGTCTGGTTAGCATTTGCTCCGGTCTAATGAGGCAAATGAGCACCTACGGCGGAATTATCAACACAACGCCCACCGGCTCCCTTACCACAACCGTCAACCCCTCCATCTCATTGCCATCCGGCCCCGTCATCCGCTGTGGCACCGTCCCCCGAATCTCACTCGTCGCCGCCGCAATCTCCCGCACATATATCGGCCCGAGCTTGACGTTCGCACCCGCAAACTCTTTAGGACAGCTCGTCTCTTTCATCTGCCATCCCGCAATCTCCTGCGCCTTCGACTCGAGCATGTCGGCGGCTTTGAGGAGCAGTTGGCGCCGGAAGGTAGGGCTTGTTTTGCGCCAGGATGTGAAGGCTGAGGCGGCTGCATCGCAGGCAGCCACTGCGGTGGAGGCGGACGCAGATACAGCATAGTGGATCGGTTTGTCTTCGACCGAGGAGACCACGGGGAAGAGGGAGTCTTTGTCGCTGATGGGGACGGCGGAGCCGTTAATCCAGAGCGGGACGACCGGAAGCCCATCGGGAGCTTTCTCGTGGTTGACGAAGACCATTTTGGATATTGTGTGTCTAGTCTATAGAGTTGCAAATTTGACGCGATGTGCGATGAGAACGGTGTGCTTCAGGGCAGACTTTATACCAAAGCCATGCATGCGTATACCGAGAGCCCGCATCCTCGCGGACCACGTTCCACGATAGCCCCCATTGGCCAGGAGCATCATGGCGATGTGACGCATTAGGCCCGCCGTGCGTAACCCAAGCCCGGCCTTGTGGGGAAGTATTATGTCCGCTCACTCGGGCGTGTTGTCAGCAGAGAGTATGTTTGGATGGGATTACGCGGCGCAAGGCCCCATGTTTCTAGCTTGGCTTGGGATTGGGGAACGGAGTCTTGGGGAGAGGTGGAATTGTTTGTTGGTGGGTCGCCGGTTCGGCGACTCGTTTATTCGTTTACCGCGGCACGTGGTCGGGCCGGAAGTACCTAGGTATGTGCGAGGTGCATTCCAAGGTTGTGATACTGGCTGTGGGCGTGCTGGAGTGTACGGCTGTAAAGGACAAGTCATAGACTCCTCACTTCATTCGGGCGGCTAATGTGTTGAACATGATCCGAAGACAAATGTATTTACAAATGCTACTCGGCTATCAATCATTCATCTGGGGACCGACTCTCGAGCAGCTGTTTACTCTCTATCCCACCTGTTGAGCCTCTTCGTGCCGAAAGTCGTACCGATCTCGCCCCACTTGATCTGGCTGAAGATCACAGCAGGCGCCTTCTCGACCTGCTGGATAACCTTGGGATCACCCTCGGTCGCATTGCAAGGCCCGGCGTTGCCGCTATCGAGCCAGTTCATGAAACCGCCCTCATCCCACCAGATGGACATAGCAAGCACCATACCACGGCTCATCGCCTCGCCCATACCCTTCATGGCACCCAGACCCATGAAGGTCTTGGCTCCATTCTTCGTGCAGTAGTCGTCGTTCATGGTGACGTTGAAAGCCGCATCCTCAATGACCTTTCCGCCCTGCACGTACTTGCGCACGACCGACGTAAGTACGCCGTCTGTGGCTGGGAACTGCGTCACGACGGTGAACGGCTTCGAAGTGTCAACTTTGAAGTTCTGGCCAAGACCGTAGTAGTTCTTCTCCCCGGCGGCATAGGGGTTCTTGCCGCAGCCGTTCTTGTCACAGACACCGGCAGCGCCGCACTCGTCCCCAGTGCAACGGTAGAGACCTGGCTTGGAGCAGGTGTGCGGTGCGACTTGGGTCGCCCGTGCGTTCGCCTCCCAGATGTCGAGCTCGTTGCAGCAGATACCCTGGCCCTTGATGTTGCCCTGATATTCATTAGTGGGGATATGGAGCAGCTAGTGAGCCTGCACTTACAACACCGTTGACCCACGGGGTCGTAAAGCACTGAGCATCGCAATATCCGGTGCCGTATGCGGCACCTCCGGGGTTGAGCGTGGACTGGCCACCGGTCGCCTCCATTTCGGACATGTACAAAGCACCGTTCATTCCACACGGCAGCTTGGACATGTCCACATCGAAGGTGAACTCATTGCCGGTCAACTTGATCATCTCGTACTTCTTCTCATCTTCCGCGAGGAGGTAGATGCGCGGGCTTGCAACGCCGTTCTTGCCATACATATTCATCGTCAAGGCTCCACCCTTTGTTGTAACTCCGTAGTCGGCATAGTTCTGGATGCCCTGCATGACACAGTTCTTGGCGCAGGTCGCTTCATCAGGGCATACGGCTGGGTCGGGCGGGCTTCCCCAGTTACCGCAGCCTTTGGCGGTGTTGTCTTTCTGGTAGATGGGGTGCGATGCGGAGTCGAGCACGAGCGCAGTCTGCTGCGACTTGCAGCCGCCAGCCTTTGTGCACTTCCATGTTGTGAGCTTAGGGTGTACGTCGGGACTGCCAATTGGGGTTTGAGCAGCCGTGAGGCCCAGGAGGGCCGCGGCAATGAGCGTGTATGGAGCCATTGTGGAATAAGATACTGGTCAACGATCTCGAGAATGATGGCGACGAAGAGCCACAAGGAAGGGGAAACCCAATCGAACTTATACTCGCACGGCGTATCCGTCGACGAGCCGGACCGGCATCACGACAGTGATTAAAGCCACTTTAACATCTTCAATTCCTTGCAGAGCGAAGACGGACGAGAGCCCCAAAGTACCCCCGAAATTTCCCTTTCCAATCGTCGAAACATTGTTCCGGGGCCTCTCTACGCATTGGCGAATCGCGTGCCTCGTTCTCCTGCGTCGCCTGTCCAGATGCCTCGACTACATAGGCTCGTCGTTTCGTATCCAGCACGCGGGGAACAGGCTATCCTCAATCGGCCCGGAAGAACACCTTTCGAAGATTCTATAATATCACATGAGGCGGCTCTCATTTGCTGCTCATATGTGCTCGATATTGCGGTTAATTGCAGAAGCCCTTGGCATGCGAGCTGCCCCAGGTTTTCGACGTGCCGAGGGTCAGGGTCGGCCATGCTTGGGCGGAGCAAGATCTGAATTCGCGTGCTCTGAAGCAGGCTGATAGATTGCATCGCACCGGCGGTTGAGGCGACGGGACGGGAGGGAAATGGCAGGTGGGAAGACACGAGGGGCCCGCAGTGGGGTTGCTAGGGAATTTCGGCGCGGGATGCCTGGCGGACGTCGTGCTACGAGCGGCGGAGCATGAGAGAGTCTAGATCAAAGACATCATAGATCGCTCTATAATTTCGGCAAAGATATAGATAGAATTGTAAGGAGATAGATAGCCGCCTTGGAGACTGGTTTGAAAATGTGTGATCTGCATGCGACGAGCCATACCTAATGCGGGCTAGCTCCGAAGAAAAGACACCACGCAACCTCACGATCTCTCCCGTGCCACACTGCCAACCATGCCGTTCCCCACGTTGAACGATGCTTTGGAACGGGTCGTCCTCACACCTACTTGGCCGTTCTTCCTCCTCGCTTTCGCGAACCGCCCGCTACCCCTCGGGTTCTGCATCATATCACGCGGGAGCATAGAATCCTACAAAAGGGGGCATTTCAAGAAGAGTCGAAGTATTAGGCGCTAAGGTTAGAGTATGTGTGTAGCTGCTCGAAGCTGCTGATTACTTGCCAAGCGCTCACATGTCAGAGTATGGCGTATCACGCCGAAGAATCTGACCTTGGAGAGCGTCTGAGGTTGCGCTTAAGCGTCTGCGCAGCTTGGAGCTATAGACCTAGCGGACTTCGATCGACCCTTATTTTGTAGCGCCAATTAGCCGTTACTACCGTCGCGACCAACGATGCAGCGAATGAGCCAGGCTCCTCTCAGAGCCTCGCGTTCGGTAGGCATTCGGGCTGGCTGGGGGAGGAGGGCCCATTACCGCAGTCTATTTAGCTCTTTTTTTTTTCTTGCGCAAAATGGCTGATTCCCTCGTCTGAAGGCGCCCGAAGAATCTTAACAACTGTCCAATTTCTATATTTAGCGATCGATGATCGGGAGTCCCAGGAGCCGTTGTCCTTCAATTCTCAGCCCTCAGGCAATGACCCTTCACCTAAACTTTCTTCATTGCTGATTTACAAATTAGTTGCGATTCAACTCAGTCGGGAGATTCAACAAACATGAGAAGTACGGGCTTCCAGCTCAAAGACCCTCGCATGGACGTTACGCCCCCGATGTGTCTTCCACAAGTGTAGCAAAAGCCCGACCACCGCGACATAGATGGTCACGACTGCCAGCACTACGCCCACTATGTTGAATCCGAGGGCTTCTTTTGAAGTGGGGTCTGGCCCAGACATGTTTGAAGAATTTTAAGCCTCCGTATTAGGCTTCAGTCGGACCGTCCCTCTCGCCTGTTAGTATCGAGCGCGTTATACTGCGATATGAGCTCACCTTGGTTGGGTGAGACCTTGCCCACGGGTTGTGACGCTATAAAGGTTAGCGCCGTCAAACGCGGGAAAGGAATCGAGAAGGACCGGATGTGAGTAAGGAATGGGTTTCAGAAGGCTCATGGTTTCGGCCTTTCATGCTCTACTTATATTCGAGCTCCTTCCGTTCGCACTGCGCCCCAGTTGGCGCAGTCGTGTTGTTCCCACCTAGGAAGACTGCCTTCTACGCCAGTATCCGAAGGACAATCCTGCGCGATGCGAACATTACCTGACTTGGACGCGGATCGATATCAAAGAGACGACGCGGGAATGCGACAGGCGCATGTGCAAAGTTTCCGGGTGAGGGTGTTGAGCGTTCGATGCGCGATTCGCTAGAATACTATGAATGCGACAGCTTGACGCTACATGGAAGGTGACGCCGTTGCAGGCGGGGAAGGGGAACTGGTATCCGATGCGCGCCCGAACAACCATTGGCTTGTCCAAGACCTTCTGCAGACAGCCTTGGCCCTTTGGAACTCCTAGTGCGAGCTGTCGAATTCTTCGTAGCTGCATGTCGCTCATTTCCGCAACCACTTCCATGCTTGCGAGGGTTTAGCCTCCTGTTGGATAACGCTCCACAGGTCACTGCATGCATCGAGGAACCACAGGGCGAAGCCACCTAGGTTAAAGCGAACTGTGCGCGATTGGAACGCGGAAGGCGAAGATGCTTCCGATGCAGCATTGTCGACGAATGGTGAGCGCCTGTGCACATAGCCGCTTCCGCACGAAATGTGTTGTGATGCTACTGAAGGATCCCTGCGCGACTCGCTGCGATTGTTCTGCGATTGGACAGCCTTGCTTAACGACACGAACACAGCACTTGTTGGACGCCTTACTCGAAGCTACATGGTACGATACGCAGAAGGCAGAAGCGTTAAAATTCGTCGTATCTTGTGTCTTAAGGTCTATACTCACCCACCTTTGACTAATTCGACCGTACCATCAGTGGCGCAGCTACAGAAGGCCCTCATGTTTTCGAGCTCTTCATCGACCACCGCGAATTCGTCTACTCTTACTGCAGGTCCTCCAATGCTAGCTGGCTCAGAGCTGGCGAGACGCCCAACTCGTAAGAAGCGTTTCAGCCTTGACTTCTGGAAGTGCTCTTGCTGTCGCACGGATAAGCAAAAGGTCAGTCCATAGAGTCTTATGATAGCATCTTCGAGTCCCGTTCTGACTGACCTAGTGTTTACCGAGTAACCGTCAATGGCCTGGCGAAAAATGCCAACGATGTCTGGAGCGTAATCTTCCGTGTTCAGAGCCTCAGCGAGTAAAACTAGCAAAACGACGTCTTTCGAAACCGAGTGCGACACCAACGGCGACTATTGAGTTAGCGAGCGGGACCCTCAGCAACGCCTACAGCGTCCCATCCCAGCCAATATCAGTCTCATCCCAAAGCCCGATATCTTCGACTCAGGCTGATGTTACGCTCGCGAACCCTAGAGACTTCGCGTTCTGCTCTGCAAACGACTTGGGCGCGCAGCGACTGTACGTATTGTAAAATATACGAACCTTTGCGGCAGGGATGGCTTATGTATAACAGGGATGTATTGATCCCCATTAAAAAGATCATCAAGATGGCGATCGGTCAGCTGGAGGCGCTGGCTAATGACATGATAAGACCATTTGAGCATGTTCCAAACGGCATCGATCACGCAAAATGCCTGGATGGGGCTTTTCGACTTCTCGACGAATTTGCCGCCCTTGTCAAATCCGAGATACGCACCACAACTAGCAACGATCCACTTTTGCTCGGCCGAGATACTCACAACGAGTATGGGCATGCTAGAATATCAAGTACGGCCGACGAGGAAAGTTTGCAACGAATGCGTCAAGGAGTAACAAACCTCCAGACAGCAGGCCTGTATGGAAGCGCCTTCCTCCTTCAGATGGATCAAATGATGAAGTACCCAACACAGATCGACGATGCGGACAAGCAACGGTTCGAGGAAGCCAGAGGCCAGTTTCTGTCTGTGTGGCATAGCCCTCCAATATATCATGAGATAGGCCAGAACGCGCCGAAAGAACTCCAGCTCATGTCTTTGGCTCTGCCACATCTGCCAAACGGGTCTTTCGGATACAACCCAACCATGGTCGATCTGTTTCTTCAGGACAGACTATCCAGCCTTGAACCTGCAATCAGACACGATTGCCTTGGCAGAACCCCCTCCCATATCCGGATCGATGCAGGGATACACAATACAAGGTGGTCAGATGCACACGTCAATCATAAGGACATTCTTGGACGGACGGCATTGTACTTTGCATGCCGGGACGGAAACGAAAAGCAGGTAAAGGAGCTCCTTGAAGCCGACGTAGATATATACGCGCAGACATTTACTGGCCTTTCGCCATTGCACGTCGCCGCATATATGGGTTATACTTCGATATGTCGTTGGATCTGGCAAAAACATCGAGACAAGGGTACGGCCGAGAATGGCTGGAAGGCTGCGGACTGTACAGGTCGCACTCCGCTGCTTTGCGCCGCAAGCACTGGCCAGCACGAAGCAATCGAATTCTTCTGCAACATCCGGCCCCACATCTCGGTTGCCGACCATGTCGATTGCTACTGGAACTCTGCTCTAGGTCTCGCCGTCCGCGGTGGCCATCTCAACGCTGTGCGCATCTTACTGAAGTACGGATTCTCCGCAGATATTCCAGACAAGTTGCATCGCACCCCCTTCTGGTATGCCGTGCAAGGATCTGACTACAGAATCATGGAAGTCCTAGGCCTGGGTAAGGTCGCGAGCCCCGACCACAAAGACATCAATGGGCGTACGCCTCTAGCCGAAGCTGCAAGAAATGGAAATATAGAAGCTGTCCAGTTTCTCCTTAGCCTTAATGATCAAGATCCCCTAGGCAGCATGAAGGGCTCACGAATCAGCTGGAAAGTGGATCCGAACTCGAAGGACCGGGATGGAAAATCTCCACTCATTCTAGCGACAGAAGCTGGCAGAACGGACTGCGTTGTGGCCTTTTTGGCGCAGGATTGTGCGTTCCATCACGAGGATTACGCTCATGTTTGCTCAATCGTGAATGCTCGGCAGGATTTCGAAATGGGGAAGGCCATCAAGAAGTTCAGCTTGAACTCGAAATGGAAAAAGAAGAAAAGCTCGGAATTGACTTGGATTATCTAGTTAATAGCAAGTGTCTCAGAATAATGCAGAGAGAAGCTCATCTAGAATGAAGGAATATATGAAGAAATTAGTAGATATTTGATTCGTTGCCAGTGATACTTATCAACCAACTAAGATATCAAGCCGTAATATTATAGCAGCTGCCAAAGCGTCTTCTGTATATCGTCCCAATTCCTGTTCGCCGCAGGCGCGATCCCTTCCGATCCCTTAGCGGACATTGCACCCAGGAGAAGATCTACGCATTCTTTATGTCCACCCTGTAACGCTGCAGTTACAGGACTCCTTCCTAGATTGTCCTGCGAATGCGGATCAGCCTCCATGATGATCCCCCCTCGTGGGCCTGGGGCTTTGAGACTGAGAAGATATCGGATACCCTCCGTAAACCCTGCCCTGGCTGCTTCGGCAAGTGGAGTGCACCCTCGCTTGTCTTTGTGGTCGACGTCCGCCAGTGAGCGTAAGCATTTCATAACCTCGAGACGACCTTCTGAGACAGCGTACCAGAAGGGCGTACGGCCGAGGTGGTCCTGCGCATTGGGAGAGAAATCGTACCGTAGAAGAGAGCGGATAACGCCGACGTGGCCGAATTGTGCAGCGAGTCTCAATGCGGCTATGCCATGGCCGTCTATTCTCCAATCGCAGTCCAGTGAAGACTCATCACCTAAGAAGCAGTCGACGATGTTTTCGTTTCCGCAACTCGCTGCCCATTCGAGAAACGTGCGACCAGTGCAGTCTGTCGAGTAAACGGACTGTAGGTCGGGTCGCCAGTCTCGTAATATCTTTCGAAAGCAATTTATCTGACCTCTTCCTGCCGCAAGATGGAGCGCTGTTATGCCTGTGACGGTTGGCGCGTAGGCAGCTGCGTGCGCTCTTATGACTTCATCGACCAGAAATTGGTCGTCCTTATAAAGAGCCAAGTGCAGGGCAGTGCGACCGAAGACATCGCCATCCATGACATGAGATTCGGAACTCGGATTGCGTCCGGCATCATGCTCCAGATGCGAAGTTGTGCGACCAAGGCAGTCTCTTAACCCAAGTTGTCGGACATGATGCATGATAGGATCCGCCTTAAGTAGAGTTGCCGGTAGGAATAGTTGAGAGTTCCGCAAGAAACTAGGGACTTGCGATTCTAAGCTTGGTCTTTCTAGGATAGGACCAATCTCGGAGAGGAGCTGTAGTCGACATCGAATGAGCCGCGGCGCCTCCTTGTCGACGAGGTCAGGCCGCTCCATGAGTCGCTTGATCTGAAGGACGCTTGCGATACCAAAGTGGCCAAGCTCCTCATAAAGATCTATTGTCTCGCTGATAGTCCGCCTATCTTTAGTCCAACACGTTAAAGCTTGGGAGGAGTATGCCAGATTTAAGGACGCGCAGAGTATTGTCTGGTCCCGTGGCAGGACATCTGCCATTTCTGCGACTTCCTGCTGGAGCGATTGTGTGAAAGTTCTATACTGGTCAAGGACTTTGTCCATGATTTCTGCGTGGATCGTCGATTCCGGATCATGCTTGAATGGCTGTATCAAATCTTCGCCGATTGATTTGAGTTCCTGTAGAGCCATGGTCATGAGTGCGTGCAGACTGAGTAGAAGTAGCCTACGTTATTTCAGCTGAGGAACTTTCAAAAGTATTGCCGCTCGGGACGTACGCGGTGTGTACATTGTCGCGACAGTGAGGTTCGCTTGGGATTGATTCGCCTGCATCCGAGGGCATCGTCAAAGGTGGCCGGACGTCGGTCGACGTCGACGATGATGGGAATGTCTCTTCATTAGCGAGAGGCCGAACACGCTGTATCTTGCGATTCGACTTGGAACAAGCAAGGCTTTTCTCGTAACATCGGATACATTTCTCTGCTGGCCAGCTACGCTCCACAGGAAGACACTTGGGCGAATTAGTCCTACTTCGACATATTTGGGACGATTCCCCACCTTGACTTTGGCATTCCGACAGAATGTACAGCTAAAGTAGTTCAGCTTGCGTGGCTTTCGCGTCGGGCGCTGTGCAAGCTGTTTAGCGCTCACGAAGGTAGGGGTCGTGGATGCCATGGTAAGAGTGGACAGCAACGAGCTTTCTAAGAGCCAAAGACCATCCTAAATACCAGAGAAGACGTAGAAGGATTCGCATGGGGTCGACCAATGAGACGTGCAACGCACTGCAGTGCGATGAGTGGCACAGGATTACCGAGGCTCCATGGTGATTGGTGTGTGGAGTGCAGTTAGGATGGTAAGAAACAAGCACACCAATCGCAGCGCGAGAGCTCAACAGGGAGGCCACGACGGCATTCGACCGCGCGAGGGCGCGCCCGTGAGGTTTACGTTTGGGGGCGCCTTCAAGAAAGGGACATGATGGCCAGGGACAGCATGACCTCGTGTGTGGCTGTTGGTGCGGCTGTCTTGGCACGGCACCAACGGCAGGGGCAGGGATGACATCACTGGCGAAGCTCGAGCATTGGCCTGGATCTCCACGAGCCTCATTACCGCAACATCAGCCTTGCGATGCCGCCCAGCACATAACAGTACTCTCCACTCGTATATTCTACTATTGCCAAGTAAATGGTGAGATTTACCCTGCTCGCGTCTCAACATGTTGGGAACTAACGCGACGCTCCAGGCATCGCTGCTGCGACAGATAGTCGCGGGTCCGCGCGCCAGGCACCCAGAAGCCGGGCTCGACCTCTGCTATGTCACAGACAATAGTCAGTAACGCCTTCGGAGCCCTCTTACCTCGCAACCCTCTAATCGCACCGTTCAGTCATTGCGACTTCGGGCCCCAGCGGCACCTATCCCCAACGCGCGTACCGCAACCCGCTTGACTCCCTCGTAAAGTTTCTCGACTCGAAGCACGGCGACGACTGGGCAATATGGGAGTTCCGCGCAGAAGGGACGGGCTACCCAGACTCGGAGGTCTACGGCCGCGTCTACCACTACCCGTTTCCTGACCACCACCCGCCCCCATTCGCCCTCATACCGAACATCATGGCGAGCATGCGGAATTGGCTGCATGAGAAGGAGGGACGCGTCGTAGTGGTACACTGCAAAGCGGGAAAAGGGAGGTCAGGAACAGCCAGTTGCAGCTACCTGATTAGCGAGGAAGGCTGGCCGGTACATAAAGCACTGCAGAGATTCACGGAGAGGAGGATGCGGCCGAACATGGGCAAAGGGGTCAGCATCCCCAGCCAGCTCCGATGGATAGGCTACACAGACCGCTGGGCAAAGCACGGCAAGATCTACGTCGAACGCCAGGTCGAGGTGTTGGAGGTACACTGCTGGGGGCTAAGAGACGGGGTCAAGATCCAGGTTGAGGGCTTCGTGAACGACGGAAAGTTGATCAAGAGGTTTCATACCTTCACGCGGGGAGAGAGGGAGGTTGTTAGGGGAGAAGTCACGACTACGTCGATATCCCAGGCAGTGCAAGAAGTCATGTACAAGAATGGCGTCGGATGGTCAGCCGGCAAGAAGACGTCAAAGGTAAAGGAGTCGGTCGAATCGGACGGCACTGCCTTCGAGCGAGCCAATGCAAAGCCTGGGGATAAGGAATCTTCTGGCGACGACACGTCTTCGTCTAAGGAAGAGACGGAGAACGACGATACGGGCACAGGCGACGTCATTTTCCGCCCCTCAACGCGCGTCGTGCTGCCGAGCAACGATATAAACATCGACATCGAGCGCCGCAACAAGGCTGCATTCGACCTAACTATGGTGACGGCGGTCGCGCATGTCTGGTTCAATTGTTACTTCGAGGGCAATGGACCCGAGCAAAAAGGCATCGCCGATGAATCCGGTGTCTTTGAAATCACTTGGGACGCCATGGACGGCATTAAAGGTTCTGCTAGGAAAGGAACACAAGCATTCGAGAAGATTGCCGTCGTGTGGAAGGCGCTCAGAGCCGAGGAAGGACGCCCTGGCATTGTAATCACAGAACCGCGAGAGGGCGAGGACGTTAAGCAATCGTCGCCTGCCGATTGGAAGGGGCAGGAGGGCGTGGAACCAAGTGAAGGCAAAGACCTAGGTCTGCGCATCTCCAGTCCATCTGCTTCAAACACGAATGTTAGCAAAGCGAGTAGTGTCAAAAGTCAAAACGCGGATGATACTCAGCAGGTGCTCACGAAGCCGGCAAGGGATAGCCAGGAGAGCGAAACAAGAGGGCTCAAGGTACATGGTCCGAATGGCGAAGACGTGGTCCAAGAACCGAACAGCGGAAGCGCAGACGGAAGCGGGCCGGCATCCTTCTCTTCCCCCACGCTGCCAAGTCAACTTGACGGCACGGAACAAAGCAAGGCGAGCAGTGACGCCGGACAGCGGATGCAGTCACCCGAGTCGCACAAGGGTGGAGTTGAGGGCATTCTGCCACATGTCTCGACAGGCGATCTCCCGGATGGAAGGCCAGAAGACGAAATGAAGACGGCGAAAGAGCATGCGTTGGGGCATCTCGGCAAGCACAAAACTACGAGCTCATGATCTAGGCGGCCGTTCCGTCCCGTTGGACAATCCCTTATGGGATAGGGCGCTTGCGGTGTTCAAAGAATTGCATCGCGTGTTTCGGGGCCTCGCCGCGAGTGGGTCTCCCGCCCGAGTACTAACGACCGATCTCGGTGGGGGTGTGCGGGTGCTTTTCGCGCTATGGTTCGGGTATGTATGCGCTGTGTCTGTTCAGCGTATCAGGAGCATGTATGATGTGTGTTCCCGTACATGTTGCAGGACGCAATATGCATTGGTGAGGCGTTGGACACATGGAGACGAACATGGGAACGGAGGACTTGTGCAACGCGGCTTTGAAGGGGTTTAATTCTCATATACCACGGGGTTAGGGATTGCGGCGGCGTCCAAAAGGCAAGGAAGCCCCGAACGGTTGTATTTAACATTATCCACATCGTGTCTTTGCTCACGTTGTCAGCACAGAAAGTGAGGCGAACGGCTGTCGGAATGTCTTGTCGTTACAAGGCGGTGAATGGGCGCCAACGCGATGCGGCTAGCGCATCAGGCTTAGCCCGGACCACGACGATATGTGTAGCCAGTCGCTAGGATACACGCTCCATTGTGTGTTCCCACGAACTGGTCGATTCCCGGCCAGGGCGCTGGTAAGCGGTTAAGGCGGAGAGCAGCGTGCGCAATGGCGTGTATGCGGCACCGCGCAGGCGGCGCGGCGATGCGTATAAAGGGCCATGGTGCGCCCGATGGCGAACGAGGTCTGGTTTGCGCATCGCAAGAGCTGGAAGGAGACGAACAGTGGGAAGAGTTATCGATTGGCCTTTTTTTGTGGCTCCGGACTTGCGCGAGTGGCGTTCTTGATAGATGCCGGCGAGGCTGAGCATTGGCTAATCGTTCACCGGTCATAGGCCTTACCTCAGGCCATGGTGTATATTGCGCATCAGGCAGAACAGCTCTGGTGACTCTTAACGCTTGCCACCCGCTGCCACCCGCTGACGGCCGCACACCCTAGATTAGAAGCCCAGTTGACCACGCTTTCACAGCGACATATCTGCCGCCCCCAATTCGTTGTTCCGCTCCACACCACAAGCAGTAATCGCAGCAGAAGCAGTTGACCGGCGGATCATCGATCCAGTGAGATTGAGTGCCAGCAGAATCAGCTGTCAAACAGGCAGCGACACGCTTCATGAACAAACAGGGCAATACAAAGCCTCACCGTCCCCTTCCTTCGACCCACAAGAAACTTTCGTCTTCCGATACTACTGCATCGTCCCCCGTCGTCGTGCCGACTCCTACATCCATCGAAGAACCGGAACCTGACGGTCACATACTCATGGAGGCAGGAGAGTCGGGAAAGACGGCGCCCGCGATAGGGGCAGTGACCGCCAATACCGTCCAGGCAAAGGACGAGAATGCATCACCGGCCCACGAGGCCGGAGAGGAAGTCAAAAAGTCTACTTCGACGGAGGGAAAGCAGAAGACCAAGGCCAAGAAGAAGACCAAACGCGCTATGAAGAAGAGCAAGCGGAAGGAAGAGAGCTCCGATTCCGAAAGCAGTAGTGATTCTAGCGCGAGCGATTCCGACAGTAGCGACACTAGTGAAGATGAACGAGCCAAGAAGAGGAAGAAGACGAAAGCTGTGTTGAAAAAGGCAGCCGAAAAGAAGATGGCGAAGTTAAAGGCTCAGGCTCAGGCGAAGAAAGGGAAGAGCAAGAAGCACGACTCCGGGGACGACTTCTCGTCCGCAGATAGCGATTCAGAATCTGAGTCCGAGGACGAGAAGAAGAGGCGCAAGAAGAAGGCTAAAGCCAAAAAGAAGAGCAAGAAGTACGAGAGCTCTGATGAGGAGGTTAGCTCGTCATCGTCGTCATCGTCGTCTTCTGATAGCGACTCCGAGGATGAGAAGGAGAAGGAGAAGAAGCGGAAGCGGGCTAAGGCTAAGGCCAAAGCGAAGATCGCGGAGAGGAAAGCAAAAGCCCAGGAAACGGACTTAGCCTCATCAAGCGGATCGGAGATCGAGAAAGATGATACGGCAGCCTCCACACCCGACACGCCCGCGACGTCAACAGGCTCAAGCGGATTCGATGAGATCGCCGCTCGTATGGCAGAGCTGCGGGCGGAACACGCGAAGCTCAGCCTGCTCCAGCAGCAACAGCAGCAGCAGCTCGTAGTCCCTCCTTCACTTTCTCCTCTACTGAAGAAGACTAAGATCGAAGCTGCTAAGGCAGATGACAAGAAGGCAGTCCCGTCGAAGAAAAACGCTCTTGAGTTCAAGCGCGTGGATCAGGTGTGGGATTCGAAGATCCGGGATTACAAGTATACGGAGAGTGCAGAGGAGCAGAAGGATGATTTCGATTGCGTATTCACGGTGCGGAGAAGATTCGGCTGGGATAACAAGTACATGGAGACGCAGGTTGATATCAAATCAAAATTGCTTCGAAATGTGCTCCAGGCTGTCTTCAAGGACTGCAAGAGTATAAGCTTGGTAGAAGATACTCCCAGTGTAAGTGCAACCCCAATGCCCAATCACTGTTTGAGACCTCCCAGCGAGATCAACATTATCCTCGCATGTCTCTCCAATGTTGTGGATCTCCGGTCTAGGCCCCGGCCCGCTCTTCGGGTGACGCCCGCCTACTAAAGCTACTCTGCTAACGCGCATAGATTCACCCGCACACTCTATTCCTCTACTACGACGAGATTACCAGATACATCAAGAAGACGCTAAAGCCTCAGCTCAAGCGCGCCAAGAAGAGGAAAGACAAGAAGCAGCTAGAGCAGCAAATCTCACAATGCAAGCTCCTCGCGCGCTTCATCGACGAAGACTATGAAGAGACGCGCAAGACTCTGAAGCCGATGCTCAAAGCGGGCACCATCACATACAACCTCGTCTGGGCGCTCTTCAAGCCGAACACCATTGCGTACACGCCGACATATGGCAATAAGGACGATCCTCGGTGCTTCAAAGTGGATTCAGCATACGAGGAAGAGGATTGGTTTGGAAACAAGAAGTGGAATATTGATGGAAGGTACTTGGAGTATGATGGGAAAGTTTTCGGGCTGGGTGATCATTTTGTGCAGATTCCAGCTTTCAAGGGCCCACGGAAGATTGTGAATCTTGCAGCATATCCGCTGGAGTACCACAAGGACCCCGAGGTAAGCACCCATGCAGTCGAAGAGCTGGCGGGCGCGCATGCTGGCGGACGGTGAAGCAAGCACTCGCTATGTCGCGTACTGTGACGCATCGACCGCTATTGCGAGTGACCGTATGCTTCGCAAGGCCTTGCTGTCTGCACGAATTATTCAGAAACGGAAGAGCTGACGCATCGCAGGGCCTAAAGGAACAGCTCATTGAGCGCGGTAAGAAGTTTGTAGCGCTGCAAGGCATGAACTACCGCTTCCATAGTGGTCTAGGGTACATGAAGCAGAAACGCGCCGTTGCTAAGATCACTATCAACGGGCGGGTGATGATCGATCCCGCCATTTTCCGTCGCATAAACCCGAACTACCCGTTATCATATATCAAGCAGGACGAAGTGAGTCAGGACCAGTCAGACGATGACGATGACTCCGAGGATGAGGGCTCCGCTTGTTGTTCAGAGGCCGACGATGAGTCTGACGACGAGAAGCCGAATGGCCGCTTGATCATGTGGAAAGATAAGCACGGCAAGAAGCACCTCATTCGCATCCCTCCGGGTGATAAAGGCCCGGACATTACTGGGCAGAAGCTAGAGTCAGTGGAAGATGAGGGCGAAGGCATCAAGCACACGTTCACCGAGGAAGAGCTGCTCATTGCCTCGCCAGTCGTCCTGGGCTTCGCGTTTTCCGAGAAGTTCTGGCTGGAATTCTCGCTGTCTGGGATCCGAGAAATCGAGTGGAACACCGAGGCCTTTGACACGCTCGTCCTGCCCAAGCACATCAAGCAGAACCTGAAGGGCCTCGTCAGCTCGCACCGCTTCAACGCCGCGAAGACCATCGACGATGTCATACAAGGCAAGGGCAAAGGCCTCAATGTTGTGCTTCACGGTCCGCCTGGTGTCGGCAAAACGCTGACCGGCGAGTCGATCGCGGAGTACCTCAGGTGCCCGCTGTACGCTGTCTCGGCTGGCGAGCTGGGCACGAACTCGGCCTCTCTCGAACGAGATCTCAACCGCATCATGGATATCACACACTCATGGGGCGCCATTTTGCTCCTCGACGAGGCTGACGTGTTTGTAAGTCCCGTCCCATTCGATTGCTAGATGAGTCGCAGATTTGACAAACGTTACTCCATTCCATTCGGACCCTGCGACTCATCACTTAGAAACACGCTGACCACCCCGCACAGTTAGAGGCGAGACAGCCGCACGATATCCACCGCAACAGCCTCGTCTCTGTGTTCCTTCGTCTGACCGAGTACTACCAGGGTATCCTCTTCCTCACCACGAACCGCGTATCGACGTTCGACGAAGCATTCCAGAGTCGCATACACATGGGCATACGGTACGAGAACTTGACCGCGAAGGCGCGCAAGAAGATCTGGCAGCATCACGTCGGCAAGGTGCTCAAGATGGCGGGCGAGGACACGGCGCACAAGTGCAAGCCCTTCCAGGACAGCGACTTTGACGAGCTCAGCAAGAAGGTATTGAACGGGCGGCAGGTATGTATCTCGTCCCCTCACCTGGTGGTTTACTGGGCGCGGGTGTGGTGAGCGGCTGTTGCTGCCTTGTCTGGCGGCAAACAACGGCTCGCGACGCGCCTGCCTCACGCCCAGCAAACGTACGATGATGGATGCTAACAATACGCTCGCAGATCAAGAACGCTGTCAAAACGTCCCAGTCGATTGCCGTCGCTGAGAAGGGCACCTTTGGCATGGAATACATCAAGCGGGTCATGGAGGTGCAGGAGGCCTTCGAAGAAGACATGAGGGGCGGACTGGGTTACCGGGACGCGATGAGGCAGTACACCTGAGAGTAACGGGCTGTGATTGCTCCCTCTGGGCGTAGTTGGACCTGGTGCAAAGGGCGTAATGGCGTCGTGGGGTGAAGGCGGGCCCTCTCTCTGGCACTGAAAGCATGGGCTGCGGCCCAACAGGCGTTGAGGACACTGAGCATAAATTGCGGAAAGCTCAGCATGAATTCCATGATGCCCAGATTGCACTCTACTATACGTTACGCCGTTGGGCAAGGTTCGGGGTGGTCATAGTTGGGGTACTTCTGACCGTGTACAACATCCCATTCCCACGTAGCAATATAGACACCACACTCAAACATTGTAATGAAGATATGACCTTTATGTAATTCTCCAAAGCCTACTCTACTCTCTGTGTCACCTCCAGCTTGTCAAGCCCCTGCGGTGCGATGCGGCACGTTAGTGTCTCTGCGGTGAATGTTTACATCACGTGCCGAATATCGCGCTCCTTCCTAACTATATTGTTGTTGAGTCAGAGCCCGTGTGATGCCACCCGTGTATAGCCGCTTATCTTGTGATCTGCTGCTGTCTGACTCACCTTATCAGTGGGCCGGCATGCAATTTCCGAGCGCCGTTGTTGATCTAGAGCTCTCTCACCGGGCGCCCAGCCTTGCGCGCGCACGGTGCACTTTACCTCACGCACGGTCCCCTTTCTTGCCAAGACGCATAAGCGAGCCAACGAGAGCCGTCAGACGCGTTCGGAGCCAGCTTCCGAGCTCCGAATGACCTCAAATCCGTCCACGGGACTCACCTGCCGCGCCTTTAGCAAGCCCAAAGGAGTAAGGCTCAGTCACGGGACAGCAACGGCGCTAGTGGGCGTTAGTCAGCTCGTTAGCGCCCTACGGGTACTTAAACTCCCCCCACCGCCCCTCCTCCGTCTCTCTTTTTCTCCACTCGACCACAGCAGCCCCTCCACTGCTTCCACTCTTCAATATGTGGTCTCATCTGAACCTTACAACCATCTCATCCTTTCTTCGCATCCAACCTTGACATGGCTTCGACATCCAACCATCTCAACTTCAACCTGCCTTCACCCCCACTCAAGGTCTTCGGCATCACATCAGACGGTCAACATCATTCGACCTTATCCACCTTCGAGCCATGCCAGGTCTTGCTAGCTCTGAAGCTCATCAAGGTTTGTCATATACCTCCACTGACTTGATCCTTCACTGACATGTCTTAGTACTATGACATGTCATCAACATGTCAACAACACCTCACTGTCTCACATCCACCTTCGAGCTTCGAGCCTACCTGGCCTTGAAGCCTTCATGGTATGTATTACTCACCTCACTCCTTCTATCACTGACATGTTGTCTTACTATGACAAGACATATCAAAAAAGTAAGTTTGCTTCATTACTCACATGCCTCTTTCACTGACGTCACTCAGAAACAACTATAAAAACCATCAACGTCAAAATAACAACCCGCCTCCGCTCTACCTCGTACTATCCGCCTCTACTTTTCGTCGCCGCTTCCGCTCTCAACCCACCCCTCCTCCACTATCTCGACTATCCTCAATCACCGAATTACGCCCCGGCTGAAGTCTTCCGAGTAGGCCATTCGACGGGCTTCGACCGACCGACCGACCGACCGACCGCTTTCGTATGGTATTGGTGCATGGACTGAATGTTGGATGAAGGAAGGATCATGGTCAAAGAGACGGAACGCAACGGGTTGCTTCAATCATGTGGCATGACAGCTTGCTGTTTCGGGACAATCATGATTGTTGCGGCTTGTGTGAGAGGTAGGGGCTCTTCAGATGTAGGCGGCTAGGATCGCTCAAGTTGTGGCTGTCGCTGCAACCTCTCACCGTTCCTGTCCTTTCTGTTGAGCTCCAACCCGACGGTCGAGTGGATAGAGCGCTTCGTGCGTGGCCTGCCGTCCACACTTGTCATAACCTCCCTGAGCACTGGGTTTTCGAGTCGGGTCTTGGATGTTAGAAGGATGGTACTTGGTCGGACTTCAGCTGGACGTCATGGTTCTTCAATGGATTGGATCTTGGTTGGTCATTAGTGTGCTAGGACTTCAGGTTGGGCTTTGAATGAAAGGACTGGACTCTGGCATCAACATCAAACAAACAAACATCAATCTACAATCAGACCTTCGGGTCATCCACTATCTTCATCTCGTTATGCCTTGTGTGACTTCTCCTTGACCTGTCATGACTCTCTTGTGCCTTGTGCGCCTTCCTCTTGGCCGTACCTGCTGTGACTCGTGCGCTTGACTCACCTTCAGTCACACCGCCCTATCATCCACTACCTTGCCTTCCTTGCCGCTGGGGAAATCTCCTCACCACGCCCGAGTGTCGCGCGCATCTCGTCGAGGTCCCTCTGGCGCAGCATAGGCGATGCTCTTCGTTGGAGAGCGGCGGCGGAGAGGTGAGGTTGGCGCGCTAGCACGCCCCAGCCGGCGCCAAGGCCGATGGCTGGACCCACAAAGGGCGGCCGCGAACGACATCCCCGCCGCTCTGGGGAACTGCTGCTGGAAACAACATCTCTCTCCCCCAGATCTCTTATTCCCGACATCGTGCAACGCCCTCGCTCGGGACCGTTCCACATCCATGCTGCACCAGCCCGCCGTCCCGTGAGCGTACTCTCAACACGAGTACAAAGGCATGCAGCCATGGACCCGGAACCCAGCGCTCGTTCGCCGGCTGCGAATGTGACCCAAGACGGCGCCGCGGGCCCCTCGCCCAGGAAGAAGCAGAAGCGCAACAAGCCGACCTTGAGTTGCGAGGAATGTGTCGAGCGCAAGACGAAGGTATGTCGATGCGCACGGCAATGCGATGGCCGTGGCGCGTCATTGCTGTTTGCGCCGCGGATGCCCAGGTGGGATTGGGAGAACGTGAACGCAGCGCTGACGCCGTGCAGTGCGACCGCGGGCGGCCCCAATGTCTCGCGTGCCTCAAGCGGCAATCGCAGTGCAAATACTCCGAGGTCGCGAACCTCATCGCCTCTGCAGAGTGAGTGCTTTTTCCCATGCGCTCGTACGACGTCTCCAGGACCGAGGTGCTAAGAGATCCACAGCCGTGGCGCCGCGCGTAATACCGGCCGCGCGAGGAAGCAGCACACCAAATCCGTAACGCCGTCCAGCAATAACGAGACGCAGCCAATTCCACTTCAGGTAACGACCACTGTCTCAACTCGCCTATCTCACTGCGCGCATCCTGCACTCTGTCGATCAGGCCGGCTTCGACGGAAGCTTAATTCAGTAGAGCACATCCCCGCTGATGCACCCCACAGGTTCAGGTCCCAACGTCAACGCCAAGGACCCAGTACCGCAGCGTATCGCTGTCATCGGCAGGATCCTCGCCATTCTTACTGTCCAACATCCCGTACTCGAATCACATCCAGTCGCCCTTCTTCGGGCTCGGCTCCGAGCATCCTTTCGCCAACTACTGGACGAGCCGGGGAGGCCTGTCTGAAGTGATAGGCGTCTTACCGGCCAAAGACCAGGCCGATATATTGGTCGCCAAGTATTTTGACGCTGTCGACCCTGTATATCCCATGGTGCACCGCAGGAACTTCTATGCCGACTATGAGCGCTTCTGGTCGCTGCCGCTCGCAGAGAAGCAGGTCGCCGACCCAGTGCTGGTGGCTCTCCACTTCGTCGTATATGCCATGGGCACGCAGTTCATAAGCACCCCTTCAGACCATGAGCGTGCCCAGATCGCCGAGTTTTATGTCTCAGCGTCCCAGCAAGCCCTGCGGTTGTCGTCGTATCTCAGCCGAGCGTCCGTCAGGACTCTCCAGGCAATGGTGCTGATTTGCTACTTCCTGATGAACGACAATCACGCGTCTGACGCATGGGCTTTTGGCGGCGTCCTCGTACGACAGTCATATGCAATGGGTCTACATCGCGATCCAGATATCATCGCTCCGCGCTGTTCGCTCTCCGATAAGCAGCAGCGACGGAAGCTATGGCAGGCTGTTCTCTTCCAAGACACATTCCTCACCGTCCTCCTCAAGCTTCCTCCAACGGCCACCTTCTCCGACGTACGCGTAGAATCCCTAACCGACGAGCTAGATGACTACATGACGAATGGGTCCTCTGCCAATGGCGCCTCTGACCCTGTCATAAACCCCATGAGCATTAGCAATATCGCACCTTCATCCGACGCCTTTCCACCTTATGAACTCTGTGACCGACAGTACATACGCTCCATGTGGCATATGGCGAACCTAGTTCAACGCACCGTCTGCACGCCACGCTCACTCGGGCACTCGTTGACCAAGTCCGTAAGCGATAAGGCAGATCTCACCAACGAATATCACAAACTCTTAGACTCCTTTCCATCGCCTCTGACTACCTCGGACGACGCGGCAATCCGCAAAATGGCCGAGACTAACCCACGCCTCTTACGTCAAAACCTCTTTCTACGCAGCAACTTCTGGCATTGTGTAATGGTTATCCAAGCGGACGAGAACGATAGTAGTGGAGTGACATGCGATGTGAGAGGAGCGCTGGAAGCGGCGCGCATGGCGCTGCTGGCTTTCTTCCACTTCTGGGAGCACTTGCGGGTGGATGCTGGCGTGTGGTGGGTGTTTCAGCATCGCGCGTTCGAGGAAGCCGTGAGCATTCTCCCTCCTTCTATATCACCTGAGTATGCGTATAACTGACAAAAGCAGCTCCTCATGGCCCGCATCCTCGGCACGCAAGAACAACCTCTCTCTCCTGGCCGAGAAGGCATGAGCCCCGCAAGCGACCCTTTACTCATGATGGCGAAGGAGGACGCAAGGAAGACGCTCGAGATTCTGGACATGGTGGGCGGCGCGCCAGAGATGCAGAAGACGCGGACCGAGGTGCTGCGGACGGCGTTCGCGGATATAATGTGGTGAGCATCATCAATCTTGATTATTTCGGTGTTGTCATATTGGGTGGAGTTCAAAAAGGACAGGCTTGGTTCTCTTCATGCGTGGCGATTTGCTTGGATATATATATGCGTATTAATCGGTGGCTGCACATTGATAGTTTTGGATAATAAGAGGCAGCTCTGTGAGGATGCTCCGATTGCATCTTCGCTTGAATCCACCGAACACACCTTCAAATCCTTGGTTTGCGGCGGAAGTCACAGTTTGTGCACCTCTTGAATCCAGACATGCGATACATTTCAGAGTGATACCCCGCGTTAGCTTTAGGCATTCCCGGTCTTACAAGCTGCATTGCATAATATCAATTGTTTTTGCAAAAGCTCATCACCAATGACAAGCTGCTAAGTAAGGTATGTAACTATCCAGCCAGTACAACGTCGCCCAATGCAATATCCCTCGAGTGTGCAATGCTAAGCCAAGACGGAACCTCCAAAGCACCTAGTGCCCACATATATATCCTACTACGACTGCTATACACTAGTCCCACTACTAAAGACTTGCATATACTCCTCTCCCTCCTCGGGGCCGAGATTCTCATCCAGAATGTCCGACGCCATATCCATGACGGCAGGCTCAATTCCCGCTTCAAGAACCAGGCCTTCTGAGAAGGCTAACCGCGTCAGGCAGACCTTGTACGCATGGTGCCCGCCCAAGGTTCCATCTAACTTATTCTTGACGGCGAAGCCGGGATTGCTAATCACGATGTGGTGGATAAGCTTCATGGTCGCGTTGATGCTTGCAATTTTGCGGTCCTGGTTTGGTGAGAGTGGATGCGTGTAGAGAGACATGACGCAGGAGTTGAGGTATTTGACCAGGCGGCCGACGCAGAGGTTGTGCTGGGCGAGAAATGTGGAACCGTGTTCTGGGATGGAGAACTGGGTGAGGACGTCTAGGACGCTGAGACGCAGCTGCCAGATGCGGTCATCCGGGATGGGCTCCGTAGATGGTTCTTGGGGGTCAGGGATGGTCGTAAGCGTGTCGGTGAATAGGTTCGTCAGGCGGCTGACGAGTTGGCTTTCTGCGTTGGCCTGCTCCCTTGGATCGTCGGATACTATAGGTCCAAAGGAGGTAGACAGGGGTGATGTGGATAGGACACGCAGCATGAGCGATATGTGAGGAAGAGGCTGTGCTTTGTTGAGCAGCAGAAGAACCCAGGGGGATGATATGGTTCGCCAGAAGCGCGGAAGAGCTTCTGCTTCTGGAGATGGTAACGAGAGACAGCTTGTTGCGATGAGGTAGAGTAGCTCCAAGCAGTCTAGCACATCGATTTCCGATGCAATCTGGCGTTGTGCCGGCGAGAAAAGCTCCGTGAGTTTCTTCTTATCCCCTGTTGCACCCCAGTAGACGGGCTCTGCTACAAGCTGGACAGAGTCCATGATGAGCGGGATAATCTCCACTGCCAGTTCAGCCGCAGTTTTCGCTGGTTCACAGGCCAGGACGAAGTGCAGCGCATCCAGCATCAGGTATACGGGCGCATAATAGTTCTCTTGCAGGCACTGTCTCCAGAGCTTGAGGAAGGCGCGGCATATGCGGAATGCAAGTTCACGTGCGTTGGGCGAAGCACCAGAGCTCGAAAGCGCGTCGTAGACCATGGAAGACAGCTTCTTCTGCGGCTGGGAGGGAAAGGCATGCTGGGTGAGGGCTTCCAGCACGCGGTCGGTGCCATTGGAAGAGCGGTGGGCCAGCAGACGGTGCAGAAGGATGAAGCGGTGGTCGTCCTTCCAGAGATGGCGCAGAAGAGCAATGTCCAATTTTCCGTCCTGCTGGGGTGCGGGTACAGGTTCGGGCGGTTTCGGTCGTTCTCGCGGCTCGCTCAGTTGCAGAGCTGCTATGGGGCTGTCATTAAAGACCTGCCGCTTCCTCTTCCCCGCCTGCTTGGGAGTTGCTGCCTTTGCCTTTTCCCGTCTCTTGGAGGGAGAGGCCATGACAATGTCCTCGTCGTCGAAGCCATCACCGATGGGCAGCGTCTTTTGCGCTTTCTTTGGTGTTGCCACGGGGCTTGCTGGCACCGCCGCGGCTGGCTTGGGTCTTGTTGGTATCGCCCTCCGCGTTCTCCTCAGCCTCTCATCCTGCACTTCATTCTCGGTGAACTTGTTGCTGTCCTTGGTCCGCTCAAGCTCGAGCCGCAAACTGTCGCGCTCAGCCTGGAGCTTTTCTTCGTTCTCCCGCTGGGCGTGCTGCTGAGCTGAAATGCGCTGTTCATTCGCCCGATTCGCGGCTTCGGCACGCCGTCTGAGATTGTCCACCTCGCCGGCCTTCTTGTTCGCTTCGGCGGTGGCGGTTTGGAGGTTATTGTTCAGCCGTCGCTTCTCTTGCTCTAGCTGCAACGGTTAGCACCGACTAAGAGGGTGCAGTTCGAGCGCGTACCTTCTTGATGCGCTGGAGCAGCTTGCTCACGTCGGCCTGCGACTGCCGCGGCGGCTCCTCGACCTCCATGGCGTCGCCGTAGAGCGCATTGCCGTCGGTGTTGGTGGGATTGTAGCCATAGTTCTGCTGGGCAGGTGCAAAGCCGGGCGCGTCTGCCTCGTCGTCGAGATTGACCACCTCGTCGCCGTCGTCGAGCCCATAGTCGGAACCGTGGGCGGCAGAATCGTTGCGGTGGTGCTGGGTTGCGCAGATGGCGGTCGTCTCCAGCTGCTGCAGGGTGTTGGCCGGCAGGTCGTCGAGGTCGTGGTCCGAGAAGTCGAACTCGTCATCGTCCATGTTCGCAAGCCATTCCAGATGCAGAATGCTCCCGGTTCCTGTCAACCATGGCAGTCAGACGCGTGCTGCGGGTGGCTGTTGTCGCGTCGCGGTCCGGCGCTGGGCGGCTTCACATGCCGGGGCAGGGCTGAGAGCTAGGGCGAATTTCGGCGGCGGAGTGACGTTACGGTTCCGCCTGCTCCTCCCGCAACCATCGCGCAAGACCTGCTTGCGTGCACACCCGGCGAACAACAGCACCCGCCAAATTCTGCGCGGTCTGACCATCGCCCGACACAGTGACCTGCTCTCTTCCTCTTCGAGTCGCGACGACCTCTCCCAACGCGCCTGCCGAGCCGCACACCTCCCCCGGCCAGCCGCCCACTGCCGGCGCACCCAGACCGAGCCATGGCGAGGCCGCGGAAAGACGTCAAATTCCAGCACAGAGGCAGCAACGGCAAGGCGCGACGGCCGTCGATGAGCATGTCCGAGATCAGCGAGAATGCCTCTGAGCCGGGCAGTCCCACGCGCAACGGGGCGCTGAGCAAGTCGGAGCCTGCAGTATGTCTTCCCCTCCCGCAGCTCTCACAGCATCCTCCATCGCCCATCGCCCATCGTGCACCGTGACACCGCTAACAATGGGCCAGACGCAAGATCCCCCGCCGCAGTCCGAGTACGAGAAGAAGAAGCAGAACTTCATCACGCGCACAATATGGACCTTTGTCATGATCGGCGGCTTCTTCTGGGCCCTCTTCGCCGGCCACATCTACATCATCATTGTCGTCACCGCCGTGCAGATTATATCCTTCAAGGAGGTCATCGCCATCTCCAATGTGCCCAGTCGCGCGCGGAGTCTGCGCTTTACCAAGTCGCTGAATTGGTATTTCCTTGGCACCACCATGTACTTCCTCTACGGCGAGAGCGTGATATACTACTTCAAGCACATCCTGCTCGTGGACCGTATTCTGCTGCCCCTGGCGACGCACCATAGGTTCATCTCCTTCATGCTCTACATCATCGGTACGCTATGCCCCCGCTCCGTTTGTCCTCTACGTGCTAACTTGCTAGGCTTCGTCTTCTTCGTGTCTTCTCTCCAGAAAGGCCACTACAAGTTCCAGTTCAACCAGTTCGCATGGACCCACATGGCTCTGTTCCTCATTGTTGGACAAGCCCATTTCGTCATCAACAACATCTTCGAGGGCTTCATCTGGTTCTTCCTCCCTGTTTCTCTAGTCATCACCAACGACATTTTCGCATACCTATGCGGTATCACCTTTGGCCGCACGCCGCTGATCAAGATTTCACCCAAAAAGACGTGGGAAGGCTTCCTGGGTGCCTGGTTCTTCACCACCCTCTGGGGTATCGGACTGACCCACATTATGTCGCAGTACAAGTACTTTATTTGCCCCGTGAACGTGAGTGGCCTACTCCCCCTCTTGCGACTCTGACTAATGGGGAGCAGGACCTCGGAGCGAACATATGGACGGGTCTCCAATGTAACCCTAATCCTGTCTTCATACCGAAAACATACACGGTCCCCTTCATTCCGCAAGGTCTGCCAATTCCTGCAACCTTCACCTTTATGCCAGTCCAACTGCACGTCCTCGTCCTCGCCAGCTTTGCCTCGCTGATTGCGCCCTTTGGTGGATTCTTCGCCTCCGGGCTTAAGCGGACCTTCAAGATCAAGGACTTTGGTGACAGCATCCCAGGACATGGTGGAATGACGGACCGCATGGATTGCCAGTTCATCATGGGGACAATTGCTTTCTTCTACTACTCTAGCTTTATTGCCGTCCACAAGACTAGTGTGGGCAGCGTACTCGAGGCCGCCATAACCGGTCTCACGCCCGAAGAACAGGTTGAGGTCTTCAAGATCCTGGGCAAGCATCTCGTGAATCAGGAACTCATTCCATCCAAGGTTCGTGCACTCTACCAGTGCGACTCTAGGGATTTGAGGCTAACGGGATGGCAGGTGCTTGAATATGTCAACGCCCAATTTAAGCGATGAGGGCCCGCGTGCTCCCAGTGCTCCCGGTTCATAACGACCGATACATTTTCTAATGAATGATATTAGCGGTGGGATGCTCCGACGACACACCGCTTCGTTTGAGAAACACTTGGCTTTCCTAAGATTCTGGCCAAGCTCAGCTAGCTTGCTTTCTTCGTTGGTACTCGTTTTTGAGTATATACCCTCTTCTTTTATGCCTGAAGGTCGGCGCACCTGGTTGGCGGTTTCTGTAATATTTCTTAGGGATGAGTTGAAGCATGCATGGAGGCCTCGGCGCCGAGGCAGCAAAAGTAACTGCATAGACCGGTGTAATGGATAATTCTCTTGGAACTCGCGCGCATTCCTTGTCACTGGCGCTGCCTGCACTCTCCGTGAAGTCGCGCGGAGGCTTGCGGCCGAGGGCCCGCACAGACCAGCACTGCGACCTCAAGCTTCAAAAGCTTCTGGATGTCCGTTCCCCTGCATCGTCGTCAATGCCGCCACGACCAATTGTAAACGACGCCCTGTGGAGATGTCTCTGCCCGAGATACTACCTATCCACGGCTCCCACACGGTGCGCCGCCGTAAAAGATGCTCCCAACGGGACGGCGCATAGAGCAGGTGCACGGAAAGGCCCATTGCGCACATACAGCACCTCGCCGCCCACGACCGAGAATCCCTTCGCACTATCTACCGGCTATTTCAGCAGTTCGAGAGCGCCCAACCAGCCCGTCCGCTCCGCTCCACCCCGCCGCAGCCTGCGAGAGAAGGTGCCCCTCGTTCACCTTCCGACCCCCGAGCTCTACGAACGACTGCGCATCGATGGCGCGGCAGGACGATATGAGGAGACGATGAACATCATTAAGATACTCATTAAGGACCGACGGGAGAGACCAAATGGGCATATGTACACGGCCATACTGCATAGCTATGCGAATTGCGAGGAGGGGACCGCTGGGAAGCTGAGGAAGGTGCTGGAAGAGATGGAGAGCGCGGGCGTCGAATTGGACGCGAGAGGCGCCGAATGCGTTTTAGAGGCACTTGCTGTCCACCCAGACTACCTTTTGCGGAACGAGATTCTAGACTACATGAAGGAACGATGGTTCAATCTGTCCGACCGTGGCCACAACTTCGTTGTAGCGGGGCTCCTGCGCGACCGCCTCTTCGAAGTAGCGCTCGAGAAGCTGGACGACATGGTGAGGCATAGGACCAAGGTGGAGGGCTGGCTGTGGGATAAAACCATTTGGATGCTCCTCGAGTTTGGCGAGGTGGAAGAGGCCTTCTACGTGCTCAGCGTTAGGCAGAGCGTGGAGGGACAAGGGGTCAAGCTAAGCAATGCGCTCTGGCTGCAGCTGCTCGACGCTGCTGGGAAGAGGCACCTTGTAAGTCCTGGCAACTTTTCAACCTGTGGGTCAGGAAAGCCTTAAGTCCGCTAACACGCTAGCTAGCACGAAGCCGCGAGCATGATATGGAACACCCAAGTGGTGCCAGGCTACGTCAAGCCACCAACCGGAACCTGCCTCAATGTCCTCTCTCTCGCTTCGCGCGACGGCGACGTAAAGTTGGCGACCGACGTCTTCCGTGTCCTAGCCGAACGCGACACCATCTTCACTGCGCACCACTATGAAATGCTCATCGAATGCTACCTCACCTCCAACGACCTCCCTGCTGCTCTCTCTGTCATTCTCATCATGCAAGACTCCGGCATCAAAATTACATCAGACACACTGCACCCGCTCTACACCTACCTCAGCAAACAAGAGTCGAGGCCCATGGAGGCATTTGCACAGTTACAGGACCTTGAAGGCGGTGGCAAGAGAATTCCGACTGCAGCTGTCAATGCGTGCCTGCAAGCTTCAGTTTTCCTCAACCGTCTCGCCGAGGCCATAGAAATCTATAAAGTGCTCCACACGGTCAGCAAAGCCGGCCCCAATACAGCCACATTCAACATCCTTTTCCAGGGGTGCCACAGAGCAGGGCGCAAGGAGCTCGCCATGTTCCTTGCGAACGAGATGATCCAGGTCGATGTCCGCCCGGATCGCATCACTTACGACCGACTTGTCCTAGTCTGCATGAGCGCTGAGGATTTGGACGACGCGCTCCTCTATTATGAGGAGATGCGAAGCCAGGGCTTCATGCCCAGGCGCGGGACACATGAGATGCTGATCAAAAAGAGTTTGGAAAAGGGCGACGGGCGATGCGTGGCCGTTTTGAAAGATTACGCGGCGAGCGGGCAGAGTGAGGCGAGGGTTGCTATGTTTCAGCGCATGGTCAAAGAGAAGTTTGACGAGAGTGAGAATGGTAGGACAGAGATGCTCGAACAAGAAGGCAAAGCGGCACCGAAGAGCGTCCAAGCTGGCGAAGAAGGCATGATGTCGAATGTTCATGTTGAGAGGAGCGGGGAGAGATAGAGATGAAGAAAACATCTAAATCAACAAATTCCCAACAAGTCGCTAGATGTCCATGAAAAGGAAGGGCTCCAATTGTCGCTTCACTGCCTGAATATGCAGACTGCGACGAACAACCATGTCCCCAGCCGCTCTACTCCCATCATCGCAAGGCCGTCCCTCCGTGTAGCCCCACCAGTCTGCGCTGGAGCGATTGAAGACGCACCGCCCACGGTTGTCAATTATTTAACGTCGGTGACTCTTCAGGGGAATCGAGTTGCATGAACGGCTTGCTATGGATTGCATTTAGACATTAGCTACCTCCGCCACCGTCTTGCCTCATCAACACTTCTCTTCGCTGCCGTAACCTTGCCTCCTCGCTCTCCAGCCAATCCAATTCTGTCCGTCTCTGTGCCTGGACATACGGCGACGGTTCCGCTCCCGGCGCGCTTCCTGCACCCCGTGATGTCCCTACGGCGTGGAAATCACTCTGCAGAGAAGCGGCTGGATAATGTCCTTGCCCCTCTTCAGCGAGTTCCGGGCGTCCCTCACCACGCGATGCCATCTCGGGCGCCGGCATAGCAGCCACGTGCCCTCTTGCCGGATCCAACTCCTGCGTCGTCCCGTTACCCGACATCTCATGGTAGCGCGGGCCGTAGTACCCATTCTGGCGATCCTTCTCCTCGTCTGGGTTCATGGCCAGCTTGCCAGGCGGTGCTCCGTTGGGGCCTCCTTGTTCGACACCTGCGTATGCAGCGCGCTGCTCTCGTTTCCGGCGCAGGAAGTAAAGGATCGCCCCCAGGATCAGAGCTAGGCCTACGAGTCCACCGAGGACGCCGCCCGCGATTGCGCCGACCGGTGTTTTAGAGGAGGCGTTTGAGTTTCCGGGAATTGCGGACCCACTTTGGGAGCCGGTTGTCTGTACGGCGTCGCCGCCGGCCAGGCTCCCCGTCAATACCCCTCCTGACGTTGTTGACCTAGGCCCCGTCGGTGCTGTGAAGCCCGAAGTACCCAGGGTGGGAAGCGAAGCATCTTTGCGGACGATCCACGAGCTCGACGTGGAGGCCGGGCAGTCGCGCCTGGTCAGAGTAGGATCGTATGCCGAAGCCTTGATACCCGTCGGACTCAGCGTCGCCCATTGCGATTGCAGACGCTTGTAATCGCCCATTATAGAGGGCGTGCCCGTTGCCGCAGACGCTGTATACGAGACTAGTCCGTAGCCATTGCCCTCTTCGCTCCATTCGTATATTATATTCCCCGAGTACCTGTCGTTCATCTCCCTGCCCAGCATCGCAACCTGATCCGTGAACGGCCTTCCACCAGTCAGGTTGAGGGAACAGCCAGTCTCGGAGAGGAAGATCGGGATGTCGTAGCCGTCTGCGTCGTCGTACAGGGTAGTGTATCCAGACTCGTCCATGGAAGAGTCGCCGCACCACGCGTAGTTATTGAAGCCAAAGAAATCCACAGCTATGCTCTCGTTGCCGCAGTCGAAGTAGTCTTGCACTTGCAGGCGAACGGTTGCGTCTGCAGATGAATAGCCTATGGGTATCTTGCGGTACTGCATTAGGTCTCTGTAAGCCTTCATGTCGGCCACAACGGCTTTGGCGAATGGGGCTGCTGAGGTGGTACTTTCTGTAGGGCATGAGCTCGTCATAGCGGGGTAAGAGAAAGCGCGCCATGGTCTTACGGTCGTTGATAATCTCGTTTCCGGCGAAGAAGCCTAGCACATTATCGTACCCTTGAAACCCGTCGATGACCTGGGCGAATGCATTGCGAAGATCGAGCGTCCATTTGGGATTGACCTAATATAGTCCACAAGGTCAGCGAGTGTTCCCAATCGATAGCGACCAAGCAAGCTTCGCTATGGCCCGCCCTCCGCCTGCAGGAATTGGAGTGCGCACCCTGTTGATGGAATACGTAGGTGTCGACATGTCGACTATGACGTATATGCCATTCTCTGCGAAGGCATTCATACACGCGTCGTGATTCAACGTCGGATCAACCGAATACACCCGCACCACGTTCGCACCGAGTTCGCCTATGAGCTTTGCGTCGATTTTGCACTGGTCGCCATTCGTAAGGCCGTTCAGGTTCGTCAGCATTCCGGGCTGATATGCCACGCCTGCGGCTTGTTAGCAGCTGGCATCCTAGTATTCCTCCTCCTCCTGTTGGTTCTTCAACCCCCACTTCGGACACTGAAGCTGACCTTTGATATAGAACTGGTCGCCATCGCTGGTGAAGAATTTCGAGCCTTTGATCTCAATGGTGGGAATGGCGAAGGCTGTTCGAACCGCCAGCAGCGCGCACGCGACGAACTGGGAGGATCGGGCGAGCATTGAGGACACGCCCTCTTTTGCGTCTTCAATGCGGTTGATGTCTCTCGCTTCAAACAGTAGAACGACGCTACATCTACCGGAGGAAAGAAAGAATCCAAAAGAGCGTGAATTAAGCAGTAGAGTGTCAGGACTAGAGGTATCGAACGACGAGGGTCTGCCAACATCTACGCGCTGTACGGGCATGCGAAATTAGCGGAGGCACATCCGGGCAGGCATCAAGATCCTGGCCCCTAAATCGGTGTTTCATTAGTACAAAAGGTGGTAAGGCCGCCTGCGCTTCTTGAGGCTGGGGGCCATTTCGGACGCACAGCCACGCCTTGGGCGTCTGGATTCCGCTGAGCTCTCAACGCTTTACGGAGTACAGCCTTGTAAAACTCGGGCGCGTGTTCCATGTTGCAAATCCTGCGAGAGGGAATATGCTGATGGCGACATGTGCAGAGAACTTTACGGAGGTAGAAAGAAGGTTGAACCCCTGTGAGATTCCCAGGATGTGGATCAAACCGCCCGCGTGGAGCTGAGCAGCCGTCGGACTAGCCACTTTCGTCCTAGCCTATCAGGCTTGCCCCACACCCGACCTTGCCGTCTCATCCCGCAAAGCGGCATTCCGAAAACTCGAAGGTACTAGTCACTCTCTTCTCAGAGTCGTGAATGTAACTTCATCTTGAATCCATCTCACGAAAGTTCTCAGACGTGAACGCTCGGTCAGAACGAGCGTCGCTACACCCTCGCTTTACAATGATGGCTGCGGATAAAAGATGGGCAACCTGTCACGCATGTCCGGAAGATCAATAATCAGATCTCCAAGGGCTTAAATGGTCATTTGAAGCAGGTGAGCGCATATTCGACCAAGCCTAGCTATGGATCAACTACGAGAACCGCAACGCTTCTGTAGCATACCAGCCGGGCGGACTCCGCCTCTTTGCCCACTCCTCAACTGGAGTGAGTTGAACTGGGAGCTCCTTCAACACAGGGCCCATATCGATATTGAACGGCTCGTCTTCCGCTTCATTGTAATACGTATACGCCTTGAACATCTGGTTGACGATTCTGTCCGTCTCCAGTCCTCGTCCTTGCATCGTCTTGCTGATCTTATCGCAGAAATCCGGCACCGTTTGACACTCGTAGTCTAGCTTTCTCCCCCAGGCTCTTGACAGCTTCTCGGCCAACTGCTCCAAACGCACCGTCTCCGGTCCCCCAACGGGGAAATTGCGGCCCGCGAGTTCGGGCCGATGCATGGCTGCCATCATGAGCTGCGCAACGTCGTGGTGGCAGATCCAGGATACTTGGAGATCAGGCTTGTGGCAGTAGACGACTGTATCGCGATCCCGGATCGGAGGGAGCGCCCAGCCTTCCAGCAGGTTATCTAGGTAGACCACGGGCTGGATGCTGATGACAGGGACACCCGTCTCACGAAGTAGACGCCGCATCTCTCTCCGATCATCTTGCGCTTTGATATCCTGTGGAGCGTCCGGAACGGGCATGCTCGTGTTGAACACGATCAGACGAACTCCGGCCTCCTTAGCAGCTTCTCCGATGGCTTTCGCTGCTGCGATGATCGGTCCGGACTGGTTGAACGACGTCGATGGCAAGTTCAGGAAGATGATGTTGGCCCCTTTAAGAACATCGCAAATTGCGGCCTCGTTGGTGAAATCCACGGCCGTGGCCTCGATTCGTTTGCCATCAACTTCGAGCGGTTTGGGATTGCGGCTCACGGCGACGACGCCGTGGCCAGCGCGTGCGAGGACTGGAACCTGGTGTGCGCCTTGTACGCCAGATGCACCGAAAACGACGACACGCATGGCTCACGAAAGAAGCTGGCAAGTGTTATTTTCTTGTTAAGAGGTGGCTAGACATGCAATTACGCTTGCCTTAAATTCCAAATGCGGAAATGCTTTGCCGAGAGACCTCAGCTCTCCTGAATCCCTCATCCGATCCCAACACAATGCACAACAACACCCTATCAGTATACGGTTTCATGGTGTTCTATTATTTACATCGCAACGGCGGCAGCATTTCCACAATAGCTCATGAGGTTATTGAAACTTGTAATATTCTAATGAGGCAGCTATTCTAATCCTCAATTCGCATGACACGGCTGTCCTCCAGCAGAACCATATTCGCCTCCTGTTAGCAATCAACAACGAAGCCAAGGTGCGAAGATCAACCAAACCGGTGGTTCTAGAAACGGCGAAGGGATCGGCGAGGGTTATGAGCTATGCAGAGCTTGAAGAAGCCCGAGCAAAGCGTGCTGAGCAAGACGCTGCGAAGGAAGCTAAAGGCAAGGGAAAACGTGGTCGAAAGCGTAAGAACCCGGCGACACCGGAGGCAGTAGAAGACAACACGAATAAGGTTAAACGTAGTCGAAAACGCAGGAGTACTGCAACAGAGACCGAGGCATTTTCAGAGCCCAAGAAGGTACGTATGAGCAAAGTCCTTAAGCCAGAATTACACTCAATCAAGCAGATTGCGCAGGACAAGAATGTGCAGGATAGAAATGCGCAGGATGAAGATGCGCAGGACAAAAACGTGCCGGATGCATCCGAACCGTGGGCAATCCCAGTAGCGAAGATGTGGTAGCAGAGGGTGTGAATGTTTTAAAGCAGGATAGACGGTCATTTAGTATAAAATAGGTCTTTAGGTAATGACTAGAAGCTACAACAGGTAACTTACGTCTTCGTGTAATGACAGTGCAAGTGCCACGTGTGAAGGTGGGAATTCCGTCATACCGTATTAGAGATCGGAAGGATGAGTTGTACAGTAACGACCGGTATCCGTTTCCGGTTCCTGCACTTCGGTGATTCTGAGCACACGCTGCTCAGAAAGGCGCTTAGCAGATAGGTCTTAGCGGTTTGCGGGGGTTACACATGTGGCTGAGAAAGTGGCGTACATGAGCTGTGCCACATGTACCTCTACCTACCTATTACCTATACATTTCGAAGCGTCTATAAAGGTGTGGCCGGTGCGGGTCGGCCGCCCTCCCTGTCTATGGTGGCGAATCCCGTGGCGAGTTACTTTCATTGCTGTAAAATATCACTCGTCAGCATGCTTACGCAGCTAGACTTGTTCACCATGTGCATTAGTTTCATGTTCTACGGAATAAGAGCAGCATTAACGTTACGTTCTTATCTCTAAATTCCCCATCCGCCACTCGTTTAGAGTCTTGAGTGAAGTCTCTGTGTTAGGATGATGAGGGCTAAGGATCTGCTTCTGTAGCTCGAAGCACTTTTCCATCAATGAGATCGCTTCTTTACTCCGGCCTTGGGCCTTCCACGTGTGTGCCAGGTTGGCCATGCTGGTCAGCGTGTCTGGATGCTCGTCCCCAAGCACCCTCTTAAACGTCCCCATCACTTGCACCCCTAGCTCTTCTGCCTCCTTCCACCGCCCCTGATTCCAGTACGTCGACGCCAGGTTGGCCATGCTGATTAGCGTGTCTGGATGCTCGTCCCCAAGCACCCTCGAGCATATTTCTAGGTCTTTTGTTTGTAGCTCTTCCGCCTCCTTCCACCGCCCCTGATTCCGGTACGTCGACGCCAGGTTGGCCATGCTGTTCAGCGTGTCTGGATGCTCGTCCCCAAGCACTCTCTTAAACGTCCCCATCACTTGCACCTCTAGCTCTTCCGCCTCCTTCCACCGCCCCTGATTCCAGTACGTCGACGCCAGGTTGGCCATGCTAGTCAGCGTGTCTAGATGCTTGTCCCCAAGCACCCTCGAGCATATTTCTAGGTCTTTTGCTTGTAGCTCTTCCGCCTCCTTCCACCGCCCCTGATTCCGGTACGTCGACGCCAGGTTGGCCATGCTGGTCAGCGTGTCTGGATGCTCGTCCCCAAGCACCCTCTTTCTCGTCTCCATCACTTGCACAAACAGCTCTTCCGCCTCGTTGTACCGTCCGTCACTAAGCAGTGTCATAGCGCATTTCCATACCAGAGTCATTCTATCCGCGTCCTCTTGTTCAGGGAGACTATGTGATAGAGCGTACTTAACATGGGGAAGTAATCGTCTCCATTTGCTTCTACTACCGTGATTATCGTCAGGGAACACCCCTAGTAGCCGTGCAATAACATGTTGGGTCCATTGGTCCAGCCTCTCCTGCCTTTGGAGCCAACTCCGTAGAGCACGATGTACTAGCTGGTGCAGATCGAGTGCGGAGTCGGCAGGTCGCCTCGTAACAAGCGCGTAGCTGTTGAGCACTTTTATCGCATCTTCCCTTTCACGAGGTGAGGACGCTTCCAGGAGATCGAGCGGGATGTCTTTTCGGTCTACGCAGGCCGCGAGGAATAGATAGTCTGCCGCCAGCGAATCACTACCGCGGATCTGGTCCATTGAGATAAGAAGTGTGATAGTTACCGGACCTTTTGTATCGCATTCTTGTAGCTTGCCCTCCGAAAACTCGCTCCTATGCTCGAGAGCCTCCTCCTTGTGTTTAAGCAATTGTGACCGGTAGTCTTGCAGCGTCATGTTTCGGGTATTGATATAGGCTGCTGCTTGGACAATAGCCAGGGGAAGATACGATAGCTCTTGTAGCAAAAGCTCCGCCTCTTGCTGCTTACTTCTTGAAACCGGAGTGTTCAAATAGTTTTCCAACATCCTTTCGGCCGTATCTGGTGTCATTTCCCCTAGCTCTACAATATTCTGTGATGCTAGCCTCTTAGCTGTGTCGCCATTGGTTGTTGTGAAGACGATAGAACATAGTTCAGACTGTGGTAGGTAATCGAGCAAGTCGACAGCCCCTGCTGTGGACAACCCGCTGGACTCCAGGTTTATGCCATCCGTGTTGTCAAAAACGAGCAGCCACTGCCTTGCACCCTTGCTGCTCAGATGTAGTTTCACCAGCTGCTTGATATCTGCCTTCTCGTCGTCCCAACTAGGAACGTCGAGCTTTTGGGCAATACTCGCATACGATTGATAGAGACTGTCCATGTCGCTTGCATCAATCCAGAAGACCGAGCAGTTCTTGATCCTTTGTCTTGTTTGGTACGCAAGCTCGAGCGCTAGCTGCGATTTGCCCGTTCCTCCTGGTCCTGTTATTGCCATCATGGTAGTTTGCTTGCCTCCGAAGAGCTTTGCTTCCAGCTCAGCAAGCTGTGACTCCCGGCCAACGAAATGATCGTTCCGGGAAAACGGAATGATGGACGGGGCGCCATTGGTTGCTTCTACTTCAAGTTGGAGTCTTGTCCACGCTTTCTCCTTTCCCTCGCCATAGGAGGCAGGCATGAAGATATCTAAAAGTCCAAGAAGGCAGTATACCTTGTCTTCTTCTTCCGTTGTTTCGCGATTTTCGGCCCATTCCATCCGCTCGGATATGGGAAATCCGTCTAATGGACAGTTCCGCAATGCCTCGACTGGGATACCAGTAATCTCGTGGACCAGCTGCTCGAGGGATCGTTTATCGCCTATTCGCCGTCCTTCAGAAGAAAAGAACTCGACTGATACAGGAGCAATGAGTTCCTGAAGCGTCCAACCTCGAGTGAACCATTCGCTGGCCCGGAAGGATGCCTCCCAGCTACTTCGTAGGGCTATCTCTGTCGCGGTGGATAGTGAAACGTCTGGTAAGAATACGTAGCATTTTGCCGCATCTTTATACCATCGAAACATCGAGTTGATCGCTTTTGAGCGCTCACGACGGTTCCATTTATCAATGCAGCATGTGTCAATCCAGAAGTACAGTAGCTGATCCTGGGCAGCCTGTTCGGCGCAGAACTCGATCTTTCGATGACCCTCCTTGTCTTTGTAGGTGTCGCTTCTGATATCTTCGAAGAGAACCTCGGAATCTCCCCATCTGTGTGAGAGAATAGCATATGGTGGAATGGACTTCCCGCTGAAGTCTATAGAGACGAGCCTCTTGGAATGGTCGAAGTGAAGAAGTCGCATCAGTACAATATCGTCTCTAGGGCAGGAGGGTAGAGAACGCAAACGATTCGGGGCGAGGTGCTGTTTAGAACTGACTATGGTAGGCCGCTACGGTTTGTGGGGACAATGGAAGCGGTTGATAGATTATGATGGTCGCGGGTGGGCTGTGAAGGCAGCCTTCCGAGGCAGTGCACGCCAAAGCGTTAACCGGGCGAAGCCCCCTCCCCCGGCCCAAGTGGCTGTGCGAGCTTTGCTTCTAGCGACTTGATTAGAGCGGATGCAGCGGCGCGTCACCGGAAGACTTGGCTGCCACGTCAACAAGGCATGCAGAGGCAGGCCGCAACATTTCTCTTTTCCTCGTGACCATCAGCCCCACGCCTCCGCCTCTGAATCGTAGCCTTATTTAGCGCCTCTAACCTCCTCTCCGCCGCAACCATGTTCTCTGGCACAGTGTTGCCGACGATATCTCCCCCGCACCTTCGACAGGAGCATTATACCCTGAAGCGACGTACTCCGCGACAGCTGCAGGTATAAGCTATACAGATCGCATTGACTCGGGACCGCTTGCCCCGTAGACCTGCACCGCCCTCGTCTCACGCAGCTCCCAGCGCCACCCGATCCAAATTCTTGCCCTGGACTCGTATCCGGGCCGTCGCACCTCCGCCAACACCAGCGCAGACCCAAAATGGGTGTCGACTGCGGCTTCGACGTCTATCCCTCGCTCAGCCCGCAATGCCAAGGCCTGTACGAAGCTTTTCTTGAAGAAGTCATTCAGAAATACAAAGACGCACTTCATCCTAATACTGGCGAACGCCTTATCCAGATCATCGGCACACCAGAGACTAAAAACGCTTACGTCTTCTTCAATGTTGGCGAGGGTCCTACACTACCCTACCGCTCCGAGTACTTCCTACGCTTCGAGTCTAAACTCGTTAGCCGCGACAATGTGATGCCGTATCTAAAGGAAGTCTACCAAATCGCCCGACGATACTTCCCCGACAATGTCCATTTTTGGGCAGCTGGAACGTCACCAGCTTTGGTTAGACTATTGGATAAGATACCAGATATAAGAGAAGAGGAAGGAACTGTTCGCGAGGATCATGAATATGTATATAAGATGTTGCAAGAAATGAGACGTCTGGCGAAAGAAGACTAAGAGCGGAGCACGCAAATTGATGTAGAAAAGGAAGCTGCTTAACGCCTTGCGGGATCATCGCGCAAAAGGTATAAACAGAATATTTTAGACTTCTCATATGACTCTTCTAGCCGGCACGCTAACCGTTGTTTCTACACCCGATCTAGAAAATCATTTTCCGTTTCTCCCTATTGCCGCGGCGCCCCCCGGTTTCCCCCTTTCGTAGTGGTATTTTGTAGGTCATTCGCAAGGCACCAAAGTAGGATACTCTAGGTCAGAACATTTCGGGAAATCGCCTGGGTGCAAAAATGCTGTCACGTCAACTTTCGAGTTGTTATGGAAACTTATTTAGTTCAGCAGCCACACTTTCTGCTTGGCCTCTATTATGTAAGATAGATTACAAGGTAATCACTTCTGCGGACAGGGGCCTCGGTCTTTTCCTGAACAAAGATCCTTGATCGCTTAGTCTAGAAGTACCGGCCGGGGTGGCAACTTCGTAAATTATCGGGCGCCGCGCTACCAGTAAGGCTAGAGGTGACTTTTTGCACTGTGGGAAGGCTTGAGGACCTAGGATATACAGGTGTATCTATGTAAAAGGCGAAAATGACCTCGTGGCGGTGTTATGGCTTCAGAAGCATTGTTCGCACTTGAAAGAAGCCTCTTCTTTATTCGGTATGAAGGCGACGACGCGTATGTAATATTTGGCTTGAACAGCGGGAGGTTATACTTAAGAAGATATATAAAATCCCTATTACAAATCTAAGAGAAAGCCAGATGCGCTTGAACTATTAAAGCCACTCAAATTTGAAGTACTAATAATCCGTTTCGCTACACCGTGCGTTTCGCAACGAGAGGATTGACGTTACTTTATGTAGGTACCTAGCATACTACTTCTCGCAGTGCGGCTACTGAGCACCTACCATAAGGTGTAGGACTACATCGCCTGGCAGATCATCACTCACCGAAGCGCCACCCTAATGCCTATCCAGCTCGTGCTCAATCGACAACACCTCTTCGATCAGCCCACCAACGATGTCCAGCATGTCTTCCATGCGACTACCATAGGTATGCATCGGTGTAGAGAGGAAATAGCCATCGATCTCTGTATCCAGCTCTCTAAACTCGTGCTCAATCTCCTGCTTTTGAGCGTGTGGGGCCAGAAGAGCAGGTGAGAGGAGGGTCTCGGTAGGAAAAGCGAAGCTACGACACTTCGGGCAGGTGTTGTGTGACGCAAACCATGTTTGAAGGCATTGCTTGCCGAAGATATGGCCGCATGAAATTTTCGCGGCCGGTTCAGTCATATTTTCGTCGCTGAATTCGGGACCAAAGGCATACGTACAGATGTCACATGCAGTGTCCTCGGAAGCCATCGCTTCCTTAGTGCATTCGGTGGTAACCTCTTCGACCGCTTCCGCTTCCATTCGGTCGATCCGGTCGTCCAAACGCCCTAACACTCGATGCAGATCGAAGGCCTGGATCATGAGATATTGAAGTTCAAGCGGCACGGGGATCGCAAAGTCCGCCAACCATTTCGTATCATCTGAAAGGGCGTGGTACAGAGCCAGCTGGTCCGTCAGGGGATTTGCGTACCGGCCTTCAGTAGGGTACAGCTCTCTACCTTCGCTACGCCGCTTCTCGAGCCACGCAATGCGGCCTGCGATGAACAACCTAGCAGTACGGGTGCATCCACAGTTCAGACGGTGAACATGCGGATCGCCGCCAATGTGCCGGAAGAACTCGCCAGCAGCGGGAGGGAGTTGGTAAAGGAGGAAGCGATGGTAGCGCCGGATTTCGCCCAAGTCGGGGAAGTCGATGCCAGGGGGCCACGCCGACTCCCGGGGATATGCGCGCATGATGGCCGTGTACTCCTTGAAGAATTTCGTCATCATTTCATCGAATACAACGATGGCGTGATGGTTCGGTCGAATGCGGATTGGGCCCTCTTGATGTAGCGCCATCTCCGCCTTCATCGTTGCAAGTGTAGTCCCCAGATGCCAGATGGCTGCAGTGTAGGTTGCCATGACGTGAGCGTGGTTGTGTGTTTGGTCGGTTTGCCCAATCGCCGCGTAGGTAGGATAGTATATATGCGGGATATGAGATTGTATTGTCCGTGAACAAGATACTAGCGTGCGGTGAATAATTCTCGGTGCATGACATTGTCGCAGCACGACACCGGGTTGTATTAGTGCTTCTTGCATTTACTAAGATAGCATGTGTACAATGCATCATGCCCTGTAAATGATAGTGGGAAATAACTATGCAATGCTTCGGGTTTATGAATGAATGTTGTTGAGCCACAGGAGTAATCGAACGTAGTGTCCTTAAAGGTTAGGACCTTTCGTCGGATTAGTGTCGTCGTTACCCGCAGCGGCACTTGCATTTCTCTCTTCTTGTGGTACCTTCAGCCCTTTTTTGCATTAGTCAATCAGACTAGCACTAGGGGAGTGTGAAATTACATGATGAATACCTTGATTAATGACGAAACACAGAACGAGACGAGTACCGGAGAATATGAAGAAACAATGCTTAAAGTCCGGCAGTAGGAAGGTAGACAAAGCATCAAGAGACCAATCCGCACTTGAACGCTTGTACCTAATAGATTGACGGATATGTGGAACTACACTAGATACACCAGTGCATTTCGATATCCAATTGGAAATGGTGATTTACACTCTCCTTGAACTTGTCACAGTCGTCGCAAATCTCGTTGCTGCTCAGAATAACTGCCCGTTTCAATGAGATAGGGAGCTCTTTTCTACTCAGCTCCATCAAGTCTTGATGTATCTTCTCGCTCTTCAACATCATGCGTCTCTTTTCCTCTTGAGCTCTCATCGCAACTACGGTATCGTCCGACTCAAGGCTTAATAGTTCTTCATCGATCGCATAGATCTCATGTTTCAGTCTTTTGACATACTGCTCATCGTAAGAGTCACCCAGCAATCGGTCGTCTGCGTTGAAGAGTTGGCTGTCCAATTCTACCTTCCTCTCTTCAAGATCACACACCTTTGCCCAGGCTACTGACGAGTGCTGCACTTTTGCAAGAGAGAGTTCTGCTTCAAGAATTGAGTCTTCCCATTTCTGGTCAGGCTCCCTGTCTTGAGGCATGAATACGTGCCTGTCTATGAAGTAGGCGATCAACTTCTTCTCCGCATGGGAAGCAAAATACTGTCCGGGTTTGCCCTGATCATATCCTGGATGTGGTGCATCTCGGAACTCATGGCCAATTGTGGATGCGATACAATAGACTTGCTCGATCCAGGGCGGTCTAATCTTACAATTCAGAGGCAGAGCATCGGCACCCCAACCACTGGTTGCCGATATACGAGCGAATTGAGCTCCCCTGTCGAGAACGGCGGCAGTTTTAGTGATACGTGGCACATGGTAGCTGTAAAGTGGTCCATGAAGCGTTATGGCCATCTCAGATTGGCATTTCTTGAAGCTGTACTTGTTGCATTCACTCTCCGAAAGTGGTCCGGTATATCCACGCTGCTTCTCGGCGTTCGAGTCACCGAGTAAGAAGACGATATGTCGTCTGTCCCTATCACGCTCGAGGATGCTTTCTTCAGCCGCATGGGGAGCACGCTGGTATCTCTCTTTTTCATTTCGGCGACTCGGCTGCGCAAATTCCATCGCACAACGACCCTCACAGTCTCGAAGGCGTTTGTCGGCATTGGTTTTGAGCAGCGCTTTCACACTTTCAATTCGGCCCCAGAGCGCCGCCTCCATAAGCGCACTTCGTCCGTCATTGTTGATAGCGTTCGCATCTGCACCGTGTTGTAACAGGAGTGACACCATCTCATGGCTCTTTTCCGCCGCAGCAAGGACAAGAGCAGTGTTTCCAGTCTCGTCTTTCCCGTGCAGAAAGAGATTGGTTTCCGCTGAAGTGCTGAGATATTGGCTTATTGCACGCAAGTCGCCAAGTATGCAATCCGAAATAGCGAATAGAATCCTCTTTTGCTCCAAGGTGTCGCCGTCTGGGAAAGTGGTAGTTACAAGCTCTCTTGAATCTTCGTGGAGATTCAAAAGCAGCCCTGGCTTTGGATCTCTGCCTGAGATGTGCATGGTGGAGCGAAAAAGATCGCTCAGTTCGCACTCATCTTCTTCTGAAGCACGTGAATTCTCATCATATTGACCCGTTTGCACGCCAGTATTCACAAAACAGGCCCTTCTCTTGTCAATCTCATAGCCGACAAGTCCGCTGCTTTCATCGATGGGAAATATGAACTCGTATTGGCCACCTGGGTAACAGTGCGAACAACGTCTGCCTGGAAGCCTGACGCCGTGCCGGTGTATCTCCTCGCAGTACGGACATTTGACGTAGACAGTCGAGGCGTTCCAGCTAAGCACATCGATTCTGGGGCCTGGAAATAGGTTGGTAGCCATGCTGTGCGTGATGAGAACGGGAACGACTCTGATGGAGGAGCGCCTAGGCAGGATGCTGTCTTGCGCGTGTGTTAGCCGTAACGGGTTAGCGCGTGTAGCGGGGTAGATGCCAAGCGGTACGCGACCGCGTCATGCATCTTCAAGCCGCTGAGGGGCTTACACACCCCAACTCTGCTGTCATCATCCCTTTGGACTCGGACAGCTGGTTCGGGTCACGAGCAGTGATCGGAATGGCACATTGTGCTAGCAGTCAGCTAAGAGATTCCGGCGCCGGCGCTTTCCCTCTACCCATGTACAGCAGCTACACTCACGAAGCTGAATCGGGACATTTGCTATCTTCTCCCGCATACGCCACCAGCCGGATGCTAGTACACATAGGCGCCTCAATGGAACCGCACCCATTCAAGACTATCTAAGGCCTGGCTAACAGCGGGGAGAGCCTTCTTCCATCTTCCGCAAAGGTGTTGAACGTCCGGACGGAGTGCAGAACAAGGTGAAAGAGGCTGGAGCGGAGCGTGAACGGAAGAGCAAGGGGTAAGAGCGTTAGGCGCAATGTTTAGATGCCGCAACGAGTGAAGACGAGTTGTTCGTGGGTATCGTGCCTATACGGAGGTAAATACCCACGGTTCTATCTCTAGTTCTACCCTCCACTCTACGACAGGATCGGCCGTGTGTCGGGGATTGCTCTAAAGCCGCCATCATCTGCCTCTGCCATTGTACGCTATTCACCATGGTCAGCATTGAACTTTCCTCTGCCAGGTATCTCTCAATCTCACCTGCTCCGAAACTTCTTTTTCTCCCTTCTTTTTCTTCCTCCTCCACAGGATGACTGCGACTGTAAAAAACATCGCCACTCCACCTTTAAAGCAATCAGCCGACGGACGTCCCTACCCACATTCGATACTCACCGAGGACACCGAGGACGATGATTGGTATCTTCGCGCCGGGAGCGAGGGGACTTGATCCTTGTGACTGTGTCTTCGGAGGCGCCAGAGTCTCCACGGCTGGCGCTGGTATACCTGGCTGAGCAGTTACGGTTACCACCTGTGGAGGAGCCGAAATAAAGACGGTGCGGGTAGGTTCCGGTGTCTCTCCCTTCTCCTTTGGGGATTTGAGTGACTGCGTGACCGTCACGAAAGTCGTCCTCGTTGGAGATCTGTGTGTGGTGGAGGGTTCCGTTGACAGTTGAAGTACCGTCGTCAATCGCCGGACAGACGTAGCCCGGTCGGGGCTTGGATTCGATGTTGCAGCAGCGCTGGAGGGCAGCGCCTGCGAGCTACTCTGCGTTGATACGACCACGCTCGGTTCAAGTGCTTGTTGGGATGTGGGACGCACAGCGTCTGGCTTCGTCGGGAAGAGCGGTGATTTCGGCAGTGGCGTAAGTTCATCTTCATCGTCCTTCCGTCTTCTCTCGATGCTGGGAAGATGAAGGGGTGGCGGCCGACGCCTGCGGCTCAAGCCAACACTCATTATGAACAAGGCTGACGGAGGAAAGGAGGAGTGTTGAACCTGCAGGAAAAGCTAGAGGATGGCATGATAATGGAATAGGCAAAAGCTCTTGAGTCTGAGGCTCCGCTGCATTGCATACGCGGAGCTGCAGAACCTCACACGGCTCGGGCCAGTGCGCAGCGCTTGGGAGCTTTTGAAGCATCGTGTTTCACTCCATTTTGGCCAATCCAAGGACTTTCATTACCAAGCTGATCCACCAAGCTTTTTGTTGTTTGGTCTCGGCGCCTGGTCGCTGTGAAACGACGTAGTCGAAGCGGAAACATTCAGCGTCGCGGGCTTCCGTATTCGGTTTTTTGCCTTCGTTTCGTAGTGGTTGCGTACGCTCTTGCTTAAAACCGTCTGATATTATATTTTTGGCTATACGGACTATTTTCATTAAGCAAACCGACGCTCTCTCGAATGTTGTAGATTTCTTTAGTTCGCCGCTTCACTCTTCTTTCCATCATGTCGTATCGCAACTCTTGGGCCGATTTTCGGCCACGGATATCTCGCCGCTTCACCACTCTTGAAGGTTGGCGCGAAATCGGCACGGGCGTCTATGTCGCAGGCTCGTCCACTGTCCGAGTTTTCTCTATCCAGCATCAATTCGATGCTGATAGTTACTATGACGAGAGGACATCGTGGACGCGGCCTAGCAAAGCAGATTCAGTCAGTCTCCAGTCCTGGAAGAGCCCCGATCAGCCGATATCGACAGGACTCAGTGAAATTGGCGAGTCGGAAAAATGGGTGTCGGTTGGCCCAGAACCACTATATCATGTTTTCTCGAGGAAGCAAAAATGGATGGTGGTGGCGATGATTGGCGTTGCAGGACTCTTTTCTGGTCTCTCATCGAACATCTATTTTCCCGCTCTCGATGCAATAGCGACGGTAAAGTGACCTCTCCCCCCGAACGTGCTCTCCCGAGCTGACACTCTGCAGGATCTGAAAGTCAGCCTCAATACAGTCTCGCTGACAATCACCTCATATCTGGTTATCCAGGGGATATCTCCGCTATTCTGGGGATCACTGTCAGATACTGTGGGACGGCGACCGATATACATATTCTCCTTCCTAACGTACATTGTTGCGAATATTGGCCTCAGCTTTTCCCCGAACTTTGCGGTCCTCTTGATCTTCAGGGGACTGCAATCGGCGGGCAGCGCATCGACCGTAAGCATCGGTAAGTAGCGACCATGGTCAAGCTCAAAACATTGGCCTCGACGTTGATTAAGCCCAGGAAATGGAGTCATCCAAGACATCACCCCGCCAGCTGAGAGAGGCGGTTTCATCAGCTTCTACCAAGCCAGTATGTCGTATTGCTTTCCCTGTGTCGGCGCCAGAGAGAAGAGTTCGGTGACCAATACCTGCAGTCCGGAACTTCAGCATAGCCGCAGGCCCCGTCCTCGGGGGCGTCATAGCCAACTTTCTTGGCTTTAGGTAGGGCGACGCACCTTTAAACTTCTCCAGCGGCACGATACTAACAAGTGGCAGGTCGATCTTTATTTTCCTCTTGATATTGTCGTCCGTCGTCATTGTTGCGATAATCATTTTGCTCCCCGAGACTCTACGTAGCATCGCTGGAAACGGGTCGCTTAGGCTCCGCGGCATCCACCAGCCTCTTGTCCGCCTTTTTACGAAAGATCCACCGTACATACAAGACTGCGATGACACATATACGTCGCCGAAAGTGACGGCAAGGACGTTTCTAGAGCCGCTGCTCCTCTTGAAAGAGAAAGATATCGTAGCCAGTCTCATCTTCGGTGGTACGATCTATGCGATATGGAGTATGGTGACATCAAGTACAACAGGCCTCTTTAAGCAGATCTTTCACCTCAATGAGCTCCTCCTTGGGCTTGCGTTCATTCCCAATGGTACCGTATCCTTTGTGTCTGCTCCTTTTTGACGCTGTCGCTAACATGACTCAGGCCTAGGCACAATCGTTGGCTCGACCATAATCGGCAACCTCATGAACGAGTCCTATCGCGCCGCAGAAACCGCCTACAGATCCCGCCTTGGTCTCCCCTCCTCTTACACGCTGCCGAGGAAAGCTCTACCCGCCGACTTCCCTATTGAGCATGCCCGGCTCAGACATACGAAATGGATAACCGCGCTCTTCGTTTTCAGTCTTGTCGCTTATGGCTTCTCTCTCTCCTTTCCTGGACTCACCTCCCGTCCGGGCTGGATCGCGGTGCCTCTGTTCCTGCAATTCCTTATCGCCGCGACGTCGAACGCCGTGTTCGCCATCAACCAAACCTTAGTGTCCGACCTATGCCCAGGGAAAGGAGCTTCGAGTACCGCGATCAACAACCTTGTGAGATGCTCAATGGGTGCTGTTGGTGTAGCGATCGTGGAGCAGCTCATTGCAGGGATGGGAACCGCCGGCGCGTTCTTAGCACTTGGCTTGGTGACGGCTGGGGTCGTGCCGTTGTTTGTAGCGCAGTGGTACTGGGGCGCATCGTGGAGGAAAGAGAGGACGGAAAGGAATGGGAAAAGTGTTGGGGCGTAGGATGCTGAATAAGCCGTGCATACTGTATCCGAATACGAGTGAGGGTCTGGTGGCGCAAGCCAAGCGCTCAGCTCCATCAGCCCCTCATTGTCTTGTCAACAACTCACAAGTATACCGCCATTGCGCTATTCCCTACTTGCAACAATCATATGTTGAAAGTTCGCGGCTATGAATTCCCAGGCGGATCCCCATGCTCCCTCTATTCTTCCTGAGTTCCGGGGCCTGACTATGGAAGATAGTCGAGCATCTGCTGCTACTGCCGGGCCGTCTAGCTACTGCTACAAACCTCTCCCGTCCGCTAAGGGCCATTTCCGGCTGCTGAAAATGGAACAAACGATCGACATCCTATCCTTCAGCTTGACGGCGTACTCTTTCGACTCCGCGCCTGAATACGCTGCTCTCTCCTATACTTGGGGTGCTCCTGCGAACGGGTTGCAAGCTAGCGCGGAAGCCTTGTATGCCCAGCATCTCGAAGTTCGCTGCAATGGCAAAGTGTTCAGTATAGGAAGGAACCTTTTCGAGGCTTTTTTACGGCTCAGGACTTCGTATCCTGACATATATCTTTGGGCGGATGCTATCTGCATCAATCAGAAGGATCTTAAAGAGCAAGGGGACCAAGTGGCTCAGATGGGCGACATCTATGCCCGCGCAGTGAAGGTCATAGCCTGGTTGGGTCTTGACACTCTATATCCGGAAATGGACGACTTGCTGTGGCTCCAGAGGTCTGATTTCCGGCAACATCTGTTTGAACTGGAAGAGAAATCCAAGTTCAATCCAGACCCAGGACACAATCCGCTCGCGAGCTTCATTGACTTTGTCACTGGTCGAGACTTTCCGGAAGGCATGAACCCAGCACCTCGCTGGCAAGCGTTTGAGAACTTTTACGGAAGATGCCGCTGGTGGAGCCGAGCGTGGGTCTTGCAAGAAGTCGTGCTCGCTCAAGAGATTGTGATGTTTTGCGGAAGGTTTGAGCTCGACTGGGACAAGTTAAGAAGTTTAGCGAATCTAATAAGGAGACATAAGGCTATCCTCGTCCCCCGGGTCGAGTCGTTTCGCCGCGATCGACACCTAGACCTAGGAGGGTACGGTAGGGCCATGTACACCTTGCGCTCACTCTGTATCAATGGTGGGCCTGAAGCCACAAGTCCTGATGGAAGCTTCATCTTCAGAGAGACCAAGCTCAACAAGCAAGAGCGAAGGCTTTTCGCTTTCATTGACTACGCTCTCTCTCTGGCACGACCACTAGGTGCCACAAAGCTTCAGGACAAGGTTTACTGCGTATTTGGCCTGATCAATCGCTTTCTACCTCCAGGGATGGAGCCGTCTATACCAGACTATGAATTGTCGCCTCAGTCCGTCTACTACTCAATGGCTTCAATGCTGATTGGACATGGCCCGAACCTCTCGGTATTGTCGAGTGCTCTGGGTCCAGTTCACGACGGGTTCGGGTTAGACGGTGTACCGACCTGGGTGCCAGACTACTCGGTCACTGATATCCTTCCGCGCCGCGTGAAAGAGCCTCCGCCAGGAGGAACGGATAGCATTCACATATACCGCGATGTGGTTGCATTGACTGTAAAGGAGAATGGAAGTCGTTCCCTATGGCGAGGCCAGATTTCTGGGTCGGTTCTCAGCCTGCAGGGGACTCTGATCGACACCGTAGCAGAGATTGTAAGTACATTCTTCCCTCTCATTTGCTCGGCAACAAGGCGTGTCCACTGTTTCAAGATATCTGGGTATAATAAAGGCACTCCTTGCCCTTTCAGATAAGTTCTTCAATGGAAGCTCATGTTTTCCAGGCCCCTGTATTGGGGAGATGCCGTCTAGATGCCCCAGCCCATATGGCCGCCCTTCTACGCTTTTGCCGTCATATGAAGATGGATCACGCCAAGGGCCAAAGCCGAATGGAGATATTATCCAGAACCCTGACCCTAGACCGGAAGGACTTTGACCATGTTGCCAGCGGCGGATACCTGTCTCCTCTTCAACACTTTCTCATCTACGCCCACGCGAGTGCGCGTGTTTCCGGTATGAGAACAGACGGCAGGAAGCCGATGATCCACTTCGAGAACGGAATGTTGGTCAAGAATGAAGTGCATAAATCTATGCTTGATATGGGTGTCGACTTAGAGTATCTAGCCCGCACGGAGCCCAATGACTGGGCCCAAGTCGAGGAAATGCAGGAAATGCTGGCCCCAGCGCTTTTGAAGCCCTCGGAGCGTGCGCGGTTTTGGACTGACTATAACCACAATGCTGAAACGGCCATCCTCGCTAAAAGAGGCAGCGGAACCTCTTTGAAAATGCTCACTACGCTCTTCGAGGCTGGGGCCGATAAACGCACCCTCTTCTTGACAAAAAGAGGATACCTGGGACTCGGATTGCCGTCTGTGGAGGTTGGTGATGAAGTCTGGGCACTCAGTGGAGGGACGGTTCCTTTCTGCCTGAGAAACGCTCAAGAGTCACACGGCAAGAAGCTGCTTTTGGGAGAGACATACCTTCATGGCTTCATGAACGGCTGGGATTGTATGCGAACAGAGGGAATCAAGGAAGATCTCGTCCCAGTGCACCTGGTATAGTGCTCTAAAGCGTGAATGACACAACACGGTTCGGGCTTTTGCAGTAAGAGCTGACTTGTAACCTTGAGAAATCACCTTGTGTTTCGGAAGAAGGTCGATGATAATTAAGGATTGAGAATAGGCTATTTGCATGAATGCGAATAGAAATGGATGTGCGTAGTTTGGAGCACGTGCAGTGTACTTTTAGGTACGGCGCCCTAAAGCAGATTAGTCGGCGATCTTTCAGAACTGTTACTATATGAAAGCCCCTGTGGAAGGATATGGACTAATCTTGCTCAGGCAGAGATAAATAGCCTCGATAGGTACTGTATACGTACATAGAGGAAAAGGGATCCGTACACCGCCCCCTTGGGATTGCATTGCGCTATAACACTGCGAAATAGCGCCTCAACCTACTCAAAGAATAAGCGTCGCTGCTCTCTCTGTCTGACGGGAAAAGGAGATGAATGACTCAGAAACCTAATTGGTGACCCGCTAGCTTAGTGAGTGTAGAAAGTGGTAATCTTATATTGCCGGATATAGCTCGTATTCTCCAACTCTCACGTGGCTCCCTGGGCCATATATGTATAGCTATCCCCTCTGTAGTTCCAGTTAAGCTATGTGCAACCATAGAACCAGTATGTACAAGTTATCTCTATACCCTCTCTCAACCGTCACAGACACTCTGCGAGAATCTTAACTATGGTAAGACGTTTATCGTCCTAGGATAGAAAGCGTCAACTTATGAGACCGTGACGGAGGCGGACCCAGAGCCGGAAAATGCCTCCACTGCCATGACCTGGTAGTTGAAATTACTGTTGCCGAACCCGTGCTGGGCCCAGACCTGGAAATGATTGGCGGTGGTGACGGTGCCGGAGGTACGCTGAGTCTGGCGGACTGACCAATACTGCGTAAAGGTGCTAGTGCCGGTGATTGATGGCTGATTGGTGCGGGTATCTGTGCAGACGGTGTAGGTGCCACCATCGGATTCCACAGTGCCGAGTTTCGTGGCTTGCGAGCAAGGGTCATAGGAGCCGTATGATTCCACGACATAGTATTCGGCCTGGGGAGAGTTGATCCAGCCGTATACGGCGAGGTAAGAGCCACTGCCCGAAGCGCTATAAGTACCTGAGTAGTTGATGGTGCTATGCTGGCGTCAGTGGTCTATATAATACGCGCTCAGTATCACTTAAAAGAGATGACTCCTATCATATCCCTCCAATGCCTTATTGTGGGAAGCTTACCGAGCAGAGCCAGTCGTCCAGCCTAGACCGACCACAAAATCAGTGTTGCCGCCCCATTTTGCAGAAAAGGTACCAGCATTCTCATCATACTGGAAGTTGGCCGCGTTGCCGTTGTAGTTCTGCACGTAGTTCAGGCTCGCACGCTTGTCGATATTGATAAGCTGAGCAGGCTCGTTCGAGGCGGCATCGACAGCGACAACAGGTTCCGCTGCGGGGGCCGCAACGGCCCTGGAAGCGGCGAAGACGCCAATGAGAGCGGTGGAGAACTTCATGTTGCTTGAGCGGGGAACCTCAAAGTGGAAGCCAACTGGAGTTGCTCTGAACATGCGTTGGCTAGCGAGGTTTTATACTTTTCTCTGGTGCCCTAATTTGAATTGACCTGCATTGCGTTATACCACCTCTTCGTCATCTCCGGGGCGACTTTATCCGCAGGTTTTGCCCATCGCCCAGGCCCCGTTGTTTCGTGTTTCGTGCAGCCCCCTCTCTATTTGCTGAAATGTTTCTAGATGCGCAGGAATTTAACCGGGATCTGAGTGTGGGTCGGCATAGATGAAACGGCGTCGTGATCCTCCCATCACAGCACGCCCATCAACCATTTGGCCGACATCCGTCCGCTAGGCCACGCAATCTTTGACGGATACTTAACGAAGTCATTTCGCGCTGGCGCACTACGGTAGAATCTAGGTGTAATGTCTGGTGAGTAGAAGCAGAGCAGACACAACTTCAGACATACCATAGTCGGCGAGCCCTAGGCTCCTTGTCCGTTGAGAACAGGTACCATGGACTCGAGAGATTTAAGACCATGCCTGATTTTTAGAGCCTTCGTAGCGACATTCGACATTCATGTCCGTTGAGAACAGCTGGTGACCACGAAGGAGTGACTGCTAAGCTTTTGCCGCGCCTTTTGCCGAGGTCGATACCAATGCACTGGTATCTTCACTTTAGATGCGCCCGGGAAATTTAGATTGCCAGTGACGCATATATATATTGGGGGCAGGTGACTAGAGGTTCCCGCGGTTCGTGCCCGCAAGCGGGGTAATCTGCGCATGACATTTGGGACTTCAATAAAACATCGAAGAGAGAATAGCATCTAGCCCGATCGCAAAACTTGTATCAATCGAGCTTCAGCAGGCTACATTCCCCTATGCCATCTTGTTACTAGATATAGCTCGTATTCTCACGTGACCTCATGGGTCCTATATATAGCCATCTTCCTCCGCAATTCTATCAACTAACTCATGCTTTCTTACTTGCCTAATCACCAAATCATCTGCTTGCATATTCTGTCAGCTTATCTTACAGATGCTACAGATAATTCGATGGCCGATTAGAAAACGTTCCGCGAAGAAGAATTTGGAATAGACGGTGTGATTACTCATGGACAGCAGAGATATCGCACGGCTCTATTGCAATTCCAAATCGACAGCTATACAGTCACTCCCACTGTCTATGAAGCGAACTCACGCCCTTTGAGTTGACATTTCGAACATAGCATTCTTGATGAGTGTGCAATCCTAGAAATGGCAGTATATATATCATCGAAGCCGGTGGCTGTAACAATTTCAACTCAGCCTTGGAAAGAGAGCATTTAACGCCATCGAAGTCCACCTCTTCCAAGTCTTCCTAAGCCCAACAGCCATGGTTATTCCGACTACACCGCAGGAACTCCTTGAGCGGAATGCGTAAAACCGCGAGCCAAACTGCGGCTGTGACGCTAACAGCGCCATGACAGGAAATACGCAGCGACCCAGACGAATGATAATTAGTATTTTGGCCTGCCATGACTACCTTTGAAATACGGATCGCTGACTGCGTCGATATCTAGTTTCTTGCATGGACCAGCGCGTTCATCCTGAAGAATTTCTTGGTCTTCAAAGAGGAGGTACGCTCCCATTCACCGTCCTTTTTGCTTCCCGTTGCTCACCCTTGGATAGACGTTCCTGTCATCCGCAATGCGGGAGGCCGAGCTAGAAGGGCTGTTCTCGATGCCGCCTTCCTCGACGCACTCATCACAATCACCGACATTATTGTTATTCACCACACCAGTAAGCTGCCTCTCCTAATCTCACATTTGGCTTTCGCATTGCTAAGTACACCTCGTGCAGATTGCGGCCTCACCCTTATGACTGATGAGAAGGTTTCCAAGGCTTTGGGCGAGCGCTCCACTAAAGAGCTGGCCAAGCATGACATAGATGGTTACTGCATCACCGAGTAAGAAATTCCAGGCATCTTTCTCTATGGCTACAAGCTGGTGTGTACATTCCTGCAACTGACGAAACCTTCCAAGTATTCCCCAAGCGTCCGTGAAGATACCGCATACCTGAGAAACCACTCTTGGGTGCGCAAGGAATCCAAGGTGACTGGGTTTGTGTACGATATTGAGACTGGAAAGTTGGAGCACATCGAAGCTTAGGAAATTCGGTACGACGCTTTATTCTAGCAGGGATTCCTTTGCTCAACAGAGGAAGGATTCAGGAAGATTTAGTGTTATTCGTATCAAACGGGTAGTTAGCAGAGCACAAAGCCGATACATTAGCACATGCGTCTTTGAATTCATCGGTGAAGTATGCTAGTCTCTACTCCAAACTGCTTATGGCCCTATACGTTGCCTATTAAGTTCGGTTTTACGTAGGGAGCTACATCATATAGAGAGGTCCGCACAGTCACATAATACATACTCTACAAGCAACACAGTATAGGCGCTATACCTAGCGCCTGTATATACAATAGCAATTAAATAGATAGACATAATACTACTATTAGGTACAGCGCAGGGCGTAAACGGGACTCTGCTACGCTTGCGAAAAGCCAACAGATAGATAACGCGATTTCTTGACAAACGGGCCGAACCAGTGGCAACAGCAGAACACCGTAAGAATACGTTGCCTATATTCGCTGTCAGTAACATAACCAAGCCATGGCGTCAATCCTTGAGGATCAGCAGCGATTTGCGCAGAAATAAACCGAATAAGCGAACGCTGCGTCTCATCCGGACGTTCTTGTTGAGTTGACATTGCTTTGGGATTCATTGTCAATGGTAATTCCACCCAATGTCGTCTCAGCAACTTAGCCGGATTGAGGAAGAACTGCGAGCCTCTCAGCCGACCAGCGTATTTCTTAGTGCATCATCAATTTTAGCTGTGTATAAAACATATGCTCTAATTCTCGTATCAACACAGTTTAGTAATATGAGTCGTGCGAGACGCGTGCTATGCGTCGCGATTTCGGTGTCCTTTCTAGACGCCCTATGATTACTCCTCATAGCCACCTGGGTTTTCTCATCATTCCGGCTCGCTCCGATTCCGGTTCGACATGATTACCTTTTCGTGCGGTGGTCCTCTTACTATGCAGCGCCTTCATAACGAACAGAAGTCTTGTACTGGCCACATTTTGGTATGTGTGCATGCGGTGTTGACTGATCAACCTCAAAGTGTTAGACGACCAGCGGAGAGAGCGCCACCGTCACGGAAGATATATTGATGTTGGACGCCCTCTCCAAAGCGAACATTTCAACCATCCCAGCAATTCGCGTTCGCAACATGACCTTCCCAAGCTTCTCCAAAGTCTTTATAATCGGCGGAACGGGCGCCCAAGGCCTCCCCATCGTCCGCAGTCTAGTCGAGGATGGCAAGTACACGTGCCGTATCCTCACCCGCGACACGTCGTCGGAGCGCGCGCGCTCCCTTCAAGCACTCGGCCCCAACGTCGAACTCTTCGAGGGCTCCTTTACCAATGAATCAGATCTCCGTACGGGCTATAGCGGCTGCGATGCTGCCTTCGTAAACATCGACGGATTCAATACCGGCGAGAAGGCTGAGATGTTCTGGGCCATCCGTTGCTACGAGCTGGCTATCGAGGATGGAGGTATTCGATTCTTCGTCTACGGAAATTTGGATTACACTTACAAGAAGTCCGGATTCAAGCCTGAATTCAGGGCCGGGCATTATGATGGGAAGGGGCGGATTGGAGAGTGGATTCTATTCCAAGCAGCGGATGCTGCAAAGAAATCGAGCAAAGCGATGGGGGCGGCGTTATTCACCACGGGCCCCTATATCGAGATGGTTGCGGCTTGGGGGACTCCGATGACGCCGAGCATTGAGAAGAATGAGCATGGGGAAGACGCCGTAACCTGGAAGGTGCCTCTCACCAAAGAGGGTGCTGTCGCGCATGTGGCTTTGGATGACTGTGGGCCGTATGTACGCTGGCTGTTCGACCATCCGGAAAAAGCAAACGGAATGGATTTGGAGGTGGCTGTCGAGCACATTCAGTACGCCGACCTTGCCAGAGCATTCACCAAAGTCACTGGCCGCCCTGCCCAGTTCGTGGACGTAGACTTCGAAACGTATTGGGAGGAGAATCCACTCGGTACGAGAGCAGATATGCCGGCGGGTTATTCAGCCGATATCACGGACCCAGGAACCATGTCGATCAAGACGAACTTCACGGGGTTCTGGCACATATGGCGGAATTCCGGTGGCAACAAAGGCGTCATTCAGCGGAATTATGCGCTGCTGGACGAGATTCACCCGAAGCGCATTCGTACGGCGGAAGAGTGGCTCAGGATCGAAGATGAGAAGGGGAGAAAGGCTGGGTTGGGATCTTTGTGGGATCGTGTGCAGCCTCAAAACCTCAAGCCTATCTTGAAACTGCACGAAGATGGATTCAAAAGTCCCGTCGCCCATATTTAGCAACTGTACGTGGTCGCTTTTGAGGCGTGGGGCTCATCGGCCTCGGCGATTGCCTGGGCGGGAGCTTGAATGTCGGATACCGTCCTGTGAGCACCTGTAAACGTAATAATATGAATTGTTTAACAATCGCGGTGCTAGCAAACGTGTTCACGCAATACCTGGTCCGCCTGTGGTAGGATTAGCGAACTCGACAAGTCTCGGCATCCTGGACTGCTCCGCCCAATCTGCGCTTTACCTGTGACCAACTCGGTCGGGGAATAAGATCTTAATTGGTTCATCCTTCTAGACAGTAAGCGTGCCCCTAGAGCCTGGGGAGAGGGATTAGGGAGAAAGGAGCCTGAAGGCTTCTAGAGCCGCCAAATTACTCAGGCCTAGAGAAGGGGTGAGCGGCGTGCTGGACGGAGCGTGCGGATAGAGGTACCAAGCATGAATTTTTTTTTCTGTGATGCAAACAAGTACCGGGCTGTGGATCTAAGGGTTAAGCTAGGGCACTTGTCGCTGAAGCCGCGTCCGCTAGCACGTGCGTTTCCTATATGTAAACCTGTAAAAAGTGAGTTGCTTGCCGAGGGATCGATACAGAAATACGAGGGGACTGTGCGCGCAAAGGTAATATGAAGGATACAAAGGACAAGGGTGTCGCCGATTAGGGAGCTACATGAAACCGAATCGAGCTCTAGTCCCTTGCTCCAGGGCCTAAATTAGTACGACTTCCTGGTCTTCCTGCGCTTCTTCGCGGGCTGACGGTCTACTTTAGAAGGCTCTTCAGCTTCCTCAAGTATCCTCTTCGACTTGACTCCAATAAGGCGATTCTTGATCTCCGTCGCAACCAACAGCACGAGCGTTCTCGGTGTTGGACCCTTCCTCGTAGCTTCGAGGACCGAGCTATCGTGCAACTGCCCGTGCGCCGTGATGATAGTACAGTCGATCCCAGCTTCCTGAAGTATTTGGCCGTAAAGAAGCCCGTCATCCCTTAGCGGGTCTACCGCGGAATTGATGATAAGGGTTGGTGGCTGCTTCTTTGCGTGCTCCGGCGAGATGTTTTGGGGAGTCGCAAGTTCAGACGTCCGATCTTTTGGCGTGGGGATGTACATGTCGATGACCTTGCGCATAAAAGGTACAGTGAGGAATGGACCATTGAAGAAGCGGAATTCACTTGGTGTGTCCCGGTCGCTAGTCACCGTATCCGTAACTGGGCTGAGGAAGACTTGGTACTGGATAGGAATGGTTGGCTTCCGGGTAGAGCACAGGATGGTAACAGCAGGCCCTAATTGACCTATATCGAGCAATAAGTATAAGGTGCTTGAACAAAAGATGTTGGGGGCCGAACCTCCAGCGCTGTCACCGACGACAGCGAAGGCGCTTTGGGACAGCCCTTTACTTCGACCATGCTGGGAGACCCACTTCACGACAGCATAACACTGCTCCTGCTGCGTTGGGTAACGAGCTTCGGGACATAGTGTGTACTCCGGGAATACCACCGCAAACCCGGTTTGCAACGCTAAATCGGTGCAAATACTATCGTATGTCTCTGCGCTGAAGAAATATTAGATACAAAGCTGATGTTGAAATAAACGGTGGTTACGCACTCGCCAAAGATCCATCCGCCGCCATGGAGGTAGAAAATGACCGGGAGGTCGCCTCTTGCACCGCTGGGCTTGAAGACAAAGGCCTGCACCCCATCTTCAAAAGGAACTGTGAAGCTTGTGCGCGTTACTCCCGGAATAGGATCGTGTTGCTGCAACCGCTTGAATAACGCGCGGAATTGCTTAACGGTTAGATCTTCGATCGGCGGCTCCGAAGCAAGCTCATCCGCAACAGCCTGGTTCAGTGGATCAAGGTAGATATTGGTCTTCGACATCGTAATAGTCTAGTCGAATTTGATAGTAGCGGGGACAATGGGCGTGGGTGATGGCGTCCTTCGATCGGAGAACAAGCCACGCGCTTTTATACTTAATCCATCCCTGTTGGGAGGGCATGTGGCTCATAGCTATTAAGAGCTACCATCAGCTATAAGCCACCCAGGCGCGCTAGGCCAGCCAGGAAGGACTCGCACAACTGACGGATCGAGAAACATGTCGCGGTAAGACTAGAGATTGGCGTAATGAGCCTGATGAACCCTGCATTCCTAAGGTCACGCCTTGCCTAAGATGCTCACGGGTACCTGCGCTGACTTCTGCTGCTGCTGCTGAAAGGAGATAGAGGCATGGCTGGGATCAGCACGTGTTCGCGCCAAGTAAGCTGACGAGAGGCCGCGAACCGCTGTTGCGCTGATGATAGCATGATCTTCCAATTGAAGGAGTCCCGCTGATGGCACCCGATCAAACCGATAACATCCATTGGTTAGACGCAAGCATGCGCCAGGGTATACGAACGTGTGGGACTAACGGCGAAGACGTCATGCTTGCGGTAACCTGCTCCAGACTGGCAGGAATTACGGCGAAGGCGCTGATACCGCTGTCCTATTTTAATACCTCGTCACGTAGACCTGATGAGTTAGACGAACTCTAAAGTGCCGTGGTCTTATCTTGCGGTGCCGCTCGACGAGGTGATCGCACTAGCCGTAAACGGGCGTCACAACGTGCCATGTGATGCAGCTCTCTCTTTCGGATTGTATTGTGGGATCCTGGAGAGAAGACTAAGGTACCAGGTCGTATAGCTCGCGCGCTGGAAGTTCGCGGAGACCTTAGATGGCTCGTATCGAGGGGGTCGAAGGCGTTGGATGCCAGTGGCACCAGTTGACAAATCAAGAGGGCGATGTGCTATCGGTTGTGCAGAAGCGCGCATAGTATCCGTCTTAGTACACAGCCATCCTCGGTGATGCTGCGCGTGAGCGGGCTCGGCGTTCGTTAGAAAAGAGTCGTGATGCCGAGTTCGAAAGGCGCAGTCGAACGCTCGGATCGGGGGTCAGCGATAGATCCGGGACATCTCCGATCGGCCCTTTCCCGAGAACATCCGAAAAAAAGCGACTCTGCTGGGACCTCAATTGAACTACGTCTGACTTATCGTGGGGACGATTCTGCATCTATAAAGCTTCCCAGCGATCCTCGTAGCCGCGTCCTACGCTTCTCCTGCCTGCTATCGACTCCTTCTCCTACCCTGGACTTCCCACAGCAGCGTTGCTCACTATGTATTCTTAGCGCGCGAAACCTCAAACGTCACTCGCCGTGGACCTACACAAGTTCCATTAGCACAACACGGGGGACCCTCGCAGGAGCTCTCATTGCAGTTCTACACTCCAGTCAATGACCAACCTGTAAGAAGGGAAGAGCTGGTGGACCTACGCAGCCGGCTTGACGCATGGCGAGGATTGTATCTCGACTCAAGAGCAAGGAGCGAGCGCAAGTGCCGTTGGCGCAGCATGGTGGACCTTCACAGGAGCTCTCGTTGCAGTTCTTTCATGCACTTAGTAGCTGTTCAACCACGGAGTTGATGGGGATATCAAACGTACGCAGCCGGCCTGGCGCATGGCGAGGATTGTGTCTCGGGGAAGGACCTCTGAGCGAGGCGTCATGTCGACGGGGTTCGCGGCCGCGAAGGCGACGAGAAGCGCGGAGGTGAGGACGAGGACGGAACGCATGGTGATGCAGGTGAGAGGGACGAGTCGGATGCTCAGTGGATGAGAGGCTATTTGCTACCTGAGCAAGACAAGAAATATAATAAGGCCGTGGAGATCGAGACAGTAAGCTTGAATAACCCTTCAACCAGCGGGATTGTCAACATTTTATACGGCCTTTGACATTCTCTTCTCGAGTGGTATATTGACGCCGTTGGCCCAAAGACCTGAGTCGATCTTTTGGCCCCCGAAACGGCAAACCGTCGAATAAGAGCCGCCGATCTCTCCATCTCTGTGTATTGACCGCTCATCCTCTCCTTTTTCTTGAGCGTCGCGAAACTGAAGCTGTCGCAGTCGAACGCCGTGGTATTCCTTTACGCTCCTAAATCTCACCGTCTGTCTATACCGTTAACCCAATGGCGAGCAGTTTCGTTTCGCTTGTCACCAAGAATCTTCTCCCGCGCATATCCAGAGGTCTAACTCTGCGACCCTCCTGTAAGACAGACCGGAAATTTGTGTTATGCCGCATCATGCGGGAAGGATGCCGAGCATTCCTTCTGGAAGATCATTCCCCAGAAAATGCCTGCGAAGGATCGCGGCTCCCACAGGTGGTGTTTTGGATGTTTCGCGGGCCTCTTGCTTATTCTTGTCGATCGTTTAAGGAAAACAGGCGGGCCAATTGCGGTGGTTGTCCCATTCTATAGCTGCGGGGAGGATTCAAAGGGCCTAGTGTAGCATCCTCTCCCTAACAGGCGTATTAGGAGACAGCATCCTGATGTGCTTCACACACCTACGTATTGCCAAGCTGCTCGATCCCTCCTCCGTGGGTTGGCTGCGTAGCCAGAAGTTCTTGCAGGATCTCTCTAGGGAGAGCCGATAACAGCAAAGACTTCGTATGACCTTCCTCATCCCTCCACAAAATCCGACACAGCATACCCGTCGAGAGTCACACACGTAAGTTCCCCTCCTACCCTCTCTCAGCCCCAACTCGACACAACCACGCCTCAACGCGCAGCCCTACAACACCAGCTTCATGAACGTCGTCCCCTCAATCGGACTTTCGTAGTACTTCCCCACCTCTTCGAATCCATACTGCGCATACATCTTCCTCGCCGCCACCATACTCGGCAACGTATCAAGCAACATCTCCCTATACCCCAGCTCTCTCGCCCTCGCAAGCACTGCTTCCAGCAAGTCCCGTCCAGCGCCTAGACCCCGCGAATCCGGTGCGATGTAGAGGCGCTTGAGTTCGCAGATGTGCGGTGGAGAGAAGCCGCGCAGGGCCACGCAGCCAATCGCTTTTGGCTGCGATGGAGGTGGCGACAGGTGCGGTGGTGTTTTTAGGGTGGGGGCGGGATGGCTGGCGTGTGCGAGGAATAAGGCACCGCCGTTTGAGGGGGCGTATTTCCCTGGTAGCTGGGCGAGTTCTTCTTCAAAGGCCTGGAATGTGAGGTCGATTTCGAGGGATTTTGCGTATGCCGCGAAGAGCGATGCGACGACCTCTCGATCTCGTGGGAACTGGGCAGGTATGATGATGACCCCGGATTGCTCTGCCATGTTCTGAGCCTCGTGCTGCGAGGCCCGTGATCAAAGTAGTTTCTATCCGCGGGCTTGAGATGCGTAGTGCGGAGGAGTGGAGAGGAAGGCGCGACTGCGAGAGGGACTCCAGGGATTCCGGTGTTATCCGTGAGTAGCCTCCTATGTATGGCAGCGCGCCCCGACTTCGGATCCCTTCTACGGTCCGAATTATGGAGGCTGCTCATAGATCTAGATCATCTTCGAGGGCCGGAGCAACACTCAGCGTTCCTTCTTTTTGGTACTTCTGCTTATCGAGAGGAAGGAGCGCAACGCGAATTCTGGAATGTCCACCCAATACGGTAGTTCCTCATAAGTAAGTAGTTTCACCGCCTTTCGATGTCCTCGACGGGCTATCTTCAGACGCCGAGACGTGCTTTTCCAACCCTCCAATAGCCACCACCGAGGGTGCGTTTCCATCCTTCCTCAAGTAACGAACCAACAGCATAGGCGGGTCATAACCAACAAGCTTGCAAAAGAAGCGAGTGGATGAAAAGGCTTCGAATGATACTATTGCTGTACTTGAGGAAGTGAGTTGCGAACTTGGACGCTTAGCTAAAGACTGCTAGCGCGACGACATAAGCTATTCCCTTCTTTCAGTGGACTTGTAATGTAACACGATGGCCTTGAGACTGGATTATCCGTAGTCGCTGGTTACGCTTTACTCCCTTCTTAAAGCATGGGAGGGTGGATAGAGGAGAGGAAGCGGGGTGAGAACCCCTTCGTGGTACCCTGACGGCAGGTATCCCAAAGTGCTCCTCCCTACACGACCATATACACCATTTGAAGTGAACCGAGCAGGTGTTGGACTTTTCTTCTATGGGCCACAGGTATGGAAGGACACTTCATGGTCAACTGGTACGGGGGCGCGGGCGCGGGGATAACATTTCGAAGGTCGCGAAATGGGTGAAGGTGGTATCGAAATCTATTTCTATGCTCTACGAGATGCAACCGTCAACAAAAGCTTAGTAAAGCCTTCATGATAATTTTCATATCCAGACGCCGACCATGACCGCTCCTGCTCGCATTACTGTCGTAGGCTGGCGTCGCAACGTCTCAGGCGGTAGCCAGCATGCACATCTCGGGAGCATAAGCAAAAGGAAACTTTTCATCGCCCGTCAGCTGCTCAATCGTCCTCATCGGAGAAAACCTCCTCGCCGCGCTTGCGACGCGCCATGCGCTCCTTCTTCTTCTTTCGCATCTCGGCGCTCGACAATTTCTTCTTCTTTCCCCCACCCTCAATCTTGTTACCCTATAGAAATGAGTTAGCAGGTATTCTCCTCGCCGATTCTGGGTTTTACTAACCATGGCATCAAACTTCTCTTCTTCCTCACCCTTCTCCTGCAACCGCGGACCAGAGCCCTGACCCTGCACCCAATTGTGACCAGACGGCGTCATCTTGCCATCCATAACGGCCCAGACTTCCTCCGTAAGGTTCTTGGTGAACTCGGCGGAGTGGGTGATGATGATGACACCACCCTCGAAGGCCTTCAGGGCCTTGGACAAGGCACCGAGTGAGTCGCGATCGAGGTAGTTAGTGGGCTCGTCAAGGACGATCAAATGCGGGCGCTGCCATGAGCAAGCAGCAAGGACGACCTTGACACGCTGGCCACCAGACAGACCACGCATGCGGGAGTGTGAGACCAACTCAGTGTCGAGACCGAAGTTGGCACAGTGCGACTCGATCTCCTTGCGGACCAGGGGGCGGAACTGACCGCTCGCGAGAGCCTCCTTCTGATCAACCTCGGCAACCATCTTAGCGTGCGAAGAGAGCAGCTCATTGCGAGGAATCCAGGCGTTGTCGGCAGTCATCATTGGCGTCCACCTCTCGTTCTTCTGGCCGATGTTCTCACCCAGAGCGAACGAGCACTCGTACTCATAGGAGTTCTTGAACTTCCTACGGGAGTTGATACCAATGACACGTCGGGAAGTGCCCTCGATCTTGTAGATCTTGTCCATGGCTTTCTCGTCCTCCTCGGTGACGATCTTGTTGGCTCGATCCATGGTCTCGCGGTCCTCACCAGTCTGGAAGCGCCACTGGATGTACTCAGAGGGTGTCTTGTCCAAGTGGTGGTCGATGTGGGCGAAGGCGTGCTGCTTGATATAGGCGATACGGATGTTCTCGTGCTGGTAGACCTCGCCAGATGTAGGGACAAGCTCGCCGGTCAAGACATTAACGAGAGTAGACTTGCCGGCACCATTGGGGCCGATGACGGCAATACGCGAACCGAGCGAGCACTGGAAGGTGATGTCCGAAATCTGAGGCTTCGAGGTACCGGGGTACTGGAAGGTCATGTTGTTGACACGGACAATGGCCTTAGCCTTGGTCTTGACACCCTCAAGGAAACCGGGCTCGGGGAACTTGAACTCCATCTCGGAGGCACCGAGCTCGTGGTAAGAGCGGGCGGATGGCACACGCTTGACGAAAGCATCGAGGTTACCACGGTAGCGCTTCAGCTTGAAGCGCTCGTAGTGGATAACGTGCTGGATGATGTTGTTCAAGAACTTGCTGTCGTGAGAGATGACAATGGACGTGCAAGGCGAGTTGATTAGATAGTCCTCCAACCACTTCACGTTCTTGACGTCCAAGTGATTCGTCGGCTCGTCGAGAAGCAGGATATCGGGCTCCTCGAACACGGCACGAGCGAGGGCGAGCTTCATCTTCCAACCACCGGAGAGGGAGGTGATCGGGCCAACGAGCTGGTCCTTGGCGAAGCCGAACTCGACCAGCGTGTTCTCGACCTCACTCTGCGGCTTCTCGATGCCAACGGAACTCAACTTCTTCATTGTCCACTCGATGACAGTCTGCTCGGTGTCGGCAGAGTCGAGGTCGTGCTCAACGTAGACAGTCTTGACCTCGTTCTGCTTAGGGAAGCCCTCGACTTGCTCGTTATTGATGGCGCGCATGAGGGTGGTCTTGCCGGAACCGTTGGGGCCGAGCAGGCCATAACGCTGGCCGCGCTTCAGGCGAAGGTGAGTCTGGTTGAGGAGAATCTTAGCACCATACGCTAAGTTGAACGTGCAGTTGCAGAGATCCTCGCCCTCCTCCTCGTCGGGCTCAGCCTCGTCCTCTTCAGCAGCGCCGGGAGCGGACTTCTTGCGGAGAGCGTCGGCGACAGACTTGGCGTCGTCATCACCAACGAGGGTGGCGATGAATGGGCCGCAGTTGCTCTGCCAACTGATCAGCTCGTGGTCCTTCTCGTCGATGAGCTGGCCGCCGATGGCGCCGATGTAGTTGACCACAGGGTCGAGCTTGGCGTCAATCTTGTGCTTTGACGGGATGACCGCCTTGAGGTTGGCCGCAACAGTGGCGATGTCACCGGCCTTGGAGATTTCGGGGATCTTGCCATCCTTGACGTGGCCGACGCGGATGAGAGTGTCGAGACCCTGGCGGGTCTTCTCACGGGCCTCGGGGTCGGCGAGAGTCTCGTGGTTCTTCTCGAGGGCGGGCATCAGCTTAGGCAGGAAAGCAGCGACGATCTGGGGATCCTCGACGAGCTTGCACATGTTGTCGACAATAACGGCCGACTTTCGCTTGATGGCAGTCTCGCGCTCGACGAGACCGCGCTCGAGCAGGGGCACCATGATAGCCAGGGTCGGCTCGTGGACGTCGGTGACGAAGGTGGTAGCACCAAGCAGATGAACGGTCTCGGGGACGTTCTCTGGCTTAGCGATACACTTGATAAGCTCGGGAATGAAGCGCTCGATATCCTTGTTGGAGATCAGAGCGCAGAGCTTCTCCATTGTGCTGTACGCAGTCTTCTTGACTTCAGGCTTGGTGTCCCACATAGCACCAGAAATGACGGGGATTAGGTCGGGGACGCGGAAGGCCGTCTGAGCGGGGGCGCTCTTGCAGAGGATCTCAATGCACTTCAGATCGGTCATCTTCTCGGGCCACTTCAGTGTAGTCTCGAGCGAGTGGATGATGTGCGGGATGATGGCCTTGACGGCGTTCGGGTTCGCGCCGCTGACGATGGCCTCGGAGGCAGTCTGGGCAGCGACCTTGACGGCGCTCATCTTGTCTGCCACCGCGGCAAGCGTGTTCGGCAGGAGGGCAACGAGGTAGGGCTCGACGGCGGGGGAGACGGTGGAGTGCTGGGCGATGGCGCGGATGGCGTCTAGCGCACGCTCGCGGGCGACAGCATCCTTCTTGTTGCCGAGCTGCTTCTTCAGCAGTTCAACAGCCCTGACGAAAATTGTTAGCCGTGGGGAGTGGCAAATAGCGGACACTTCGACTTACTTTGTGGGGGCATCGCCCTCCTCGATGTCGCCGTTGATGAAGGTGGCGAGGTCAAGCGCGGCGGCGTTGATCTCGTCCTGGGCCTTCGAAATGGTCAACTTCCCGAGGAGCTCCTCGAGCACCTTGAGGGACTTGGAGTTCTCGGACTTCACCGTCTTCGCGGTGTGCGGCGCGGCGTCAGTTGCAGCGGGTGCCATTCTTGCGAGCTGTGTCGAGTGCAGTCCGCGATCGGAATTGGAGGTTGGCGGGGTTGAGAGAGCGCTTTGTGGGCGCAGATAAAGCGGGCGAGGCTTAAATGGCGGTCTGGGACGCCCGGAACGAGGTGAAAGACAGAGAAATCTATCGGGGTATCAAAGGCTGCAGGCGCGAACGGCTCGCTCGCGACTCTCTATGCTGCCGGTGCAAAGACAGAAACAGAAAAGAAAGGCCTACAGGCAGAGAAAGTGAGAGGAGAGGGTGAGGAGGGCGTTGGGAGGGGGTTCAGCTTTTTATTTCGAGCGAGACCACAAAAATTTCCAACTAGCGGATAAGCATCCCTGCGATAAGCGCGCACGGACCACCCGCCCCTGCCACTGCCCAACAGGCGCCGCCGTGTTTCGTCGACGAGGCAGCGCAGCCATGACTTCAGCGCGAGTCCCTGCCGGCCAGCTTCGCCCTCTTCGCCGCTCGTTCTGCGAATCTTTTCACCCGAGGGCCCTCGAGCGGCTTCGATGCGCCCTTAGTAATGCGTCGAAGACGGACCTCTGCGGCGATAGTCGCCCGCGAAACAGCATCCCACGTTGCGAAACCAGAATCTATTTGTGGCAATCTGAGAGTCGGCATGCTGGCTCAGGCTGACCGCCTTCTCAAACCAGCCCCGGCCAGCAAGTCGGGGAGATTGGATTATGCGCATGTGTGCATCAGGGACTCCAGCCCTTCGACCAGCACTGCCACCGCAGTTCCTCTCCGCAAGCGCTGCGAATAGGGCAATGCAAGCTCTTCGCCGGTACCCCCGAATAATGCAGAAAGTCCCATATGGGGCAGCCGCAGCTGGACGCCTCCAGCCTTTGCGGTAAGGACGCCGCCAGATACCGGACCCTATTCGCAGGGCTAACCTCTGGCGCTACGGCCACCTACGGAGGCTCCAGGCCTTCTCCTAAAGTACTCTCCCGCCTCTGCCGAAGTATACTCCACACAAAATGCCGTTTGGGATACTTTGCCACGCCTGTCGGGACCTCAGCCAAAGTATCAATCATATGAAACCGGCACTAACAGAGCGCACAGAACACGCGGAAAACACTGCACGCGACCGAGACTGCCTTGTAATCGTTGATCAGCCTTTTTCGCCGTTAACTTCCGGCACCCGCGCTTAGCAATGTTGGTCCCCGACAACGAAGCTGCGGTGAAGACAGCGTTGCAGAAAACGCTTTGTGGCGTGCAGCATTCCTATCGCGGCCTAGTGCCCTCTCAGCTAGCGAACCATCTCATCTAAGACGCTTCGTCCTGGACATTTGTTGGCCCACCACTTCCCGGCAGGAAGAATTTTGCTTTCGCACACTGCATGCGAAGAGCATTATGTGTGCGGCTCTTTCGAAATTCCACACCATGCATCCATCGTGGCTTGTCCAGTAGGCTGTTCGGCGGGCCATCCCTCTCACAGTGGCACAGGTCACCGAGCAGCATGTCCTCTAGCCATGCGCTCAGCGCCGTCTCCACAACTTATCGATATTCCCCAGATTCTCTCCACACTCCAGAGTTCTCCGCAGTACGCTTGTACGCATTCGTCCCGTCAGCGGTGTGACGTGCATGGCGGCGTTTTAGGTGCTGCAAGTAATGGGAGTATCCACCTTCGACCTACCTCCGCGCAATCCATATATGGGAGGGTATGCTTCTATCACGATGCGGACATATTTATGTCCCATGTTGTCGTTCAACAGATGGGCTAGGTGATACGGAAGATCCCATATTGCTAACGCCAGAGCTCAACTCCCCCTCAATCAGTGATAGTCTGCTGCGGCTGCGAATGCCCGAGCTCGTCTTCGGCGTCGTAGTCCTTTTTTTTTTTTTTCCACGGCACAAGAAGCTATACGGATAGTTCTGGGAGGTATTCAAAATGCGGAGGCGCATAACCTCCACGCGTGTCTCTACATCCTCAAATCCGCGACGCTAAGCCTTCCCCTACTTGAGTAGCTTTAATCCACTGCTTGCTCTCTACTTTGCTCGCCATCTCTTCGGGCTAGGCTTCTGACAGCCAACTGTACTCGCTGCCGCTGTCGGAGGGAAAATCCAATATCAATTCCCGGTCGTCACTAACTGATCGCCACTGGATTTCGCCGTCGATAAGTCTTCCTCGCGCAGACTCTACTATCGAGTTCATTAGCGAAGCAGGTCCAAGCACTATGCTAGGTTATTTGGGGCTTACTCGGAACCGGAGGTTGATGCATGATTACAGGCGGTGGAGGCGGTGCTAGGGGAGCAACGAACAGAAGCGGGGGTGGAGGCGGAGGCGGTGGACCTGGTGGAAACGAGGGGTGCCACTCTACCACAACGTCAAAGTAGTCGACTCTCTCTATCGCCTTCCTCAGCGGCCCATATATCGCCTCGTCGATTGTGGTTCCTCGAAGATTGAATCTCGACTTGCTTAGCACCATTTTGAGCGACTTCAGTCCCGCCATCTCATTCAGAATTGTACAGATCGCATCCCACGTCGTTGCATTATCGCCGACTTTGTATTTTGGAAGGGGTCGATAGAGCTTCGTCTTGAGCTTACGGAAGGGCCTATAATTAAGACGAGCTCGGATCCGGTGGGCCGAGTGCCAGTAACATTGCTCCCCGAACAGATTATCGTGGCTTAGTTCCGAGTTGTCGACTACCCTCACCTCCCGATTTGTGTTTTGGAAGGCCATGTAGATATGTTGGATCGCATCAAAATGTTTTGGTACCAAGGCCGCCGAGAAAGCGAGAAAAGAGTAGACATCGCAGAAGGAGAACTGAAGCCGGCGGTACAGCAGGTCAGTCACCTCGGAATAGCTGCATGATCAGCAAAATCCGTGTTGGGTAAGCCGAAGAGACGAGCCGGATATCGTGGTACACATACTAGCAAGTCTTTCTAGTGGCTATAGAAAGCTACTCTTGGAGGCGTTTGGTAAAGATCGGCAACTTGATGGACATTTGCTAATGTGTACCGCGACGTTTGATAAAGGAGAACTTGGACAAGCTTACATGAGTCTGCACGTTTGGAGAAGCGGAACAACATCGATCCTGCTCCGTCGGAGGCGAACTATCCGAAACCTGCTTACGTCGTCGGCGTACCACCGCAAGTCCACCTCCTCAGTTTCGTCCTCGAGTCGAAAGGAAGTGAGTCGGCCCTCCTTCAACAGCACATACACTTCGCACTCCCCGAGAACTTGCTCCCATATCATCAACCTTAACTCAAAGGGCAACCTCAGAAGCAGGCACTGTTCTTGCTGCTTAGTCTTTCTCTTTCTCTCCCAGAGACTTGTCTCTTCCAGGGGCGGACTCAGCGCTCTCTTCCTCTCCACCACCTTTGGCCGCTTCAATTTATTTTCCTTGAGTTTCCGATCATACCACTCGCTTCGCATAACTCTCCATTTGACCTCCCTGTACAATTTCCACGGGATCAGTATCGGGAACGCTAGCACCTTTACGCCTGCTATCATGCGGCGTTTCCTACGCCATGCTCGATCGATCTCCTCGTATGAGAGCGAGCCCGATATTGTGGTGACGGATTCAGCATCGCAATTGGTGCGGTAGTTGCGGAAATGCCAAATCAACCTCCGGAACGGGGTTCGGCGCGAAGGTGGAGCGTCGCCCACAACGAGCGACATTTTCGCTAGTCCGCTGCTGTTCGGGGAATATGGAGTAAGTGTGATGAGTGTGTGATTACGGCTGAAGAGAGAAGGCTGAGGGGACTTGGCGGCTGCCTTGGAGATGCATATGCATGCAGTACGAGGGGCGTTTTTGTCCAATCATCAGCGCTGACGATTTCCAGGATATTTCAGAAAACATATGCAGACCACTCTATGAGAAACGAAACACGCTCGAGCGATCCCCCGTTTTCGCAACATTGGATCTATCTGGTGGTCATACCCTATCACGATTCCTGCCATGAGTGCGCGTTCGCTCCTCTGGCAAGACTAGCTGTTGGTTCGTTCAATGCTCGCACTCTACGCTTTTGCTACTAGCCACCCCCCTGCTCCCCTTCATAATCTCCTACATAGATAGGAAATTTGCAGAGAGAGCGCAGCCCAAAACCCCATTCCCATTGTTCGAGTCACCGGTCCCTAGGGCGGAAGCGCCCTCTTACGCCGTCATTTAGCGACCCTCTTCCGTATTCGGAGAGCAGCAGAAGATATGCAAGCAACAGGTATCTACCTCCAGCTGAGCTCCGCAAAAATGCTGGTGTATGAAGAGTGCGTTAGAGGAGATGGAGCATAGATCCTACTGGAGGGAAAGCCGAAGGCTTGGACGCCTCAGGGGGACCATGTTCCAGGCACTGCTAGGCGTAGAGTATGCGTGCTACCTTTGAAACGAACTTGCAGAAAGATGTGAGTACTTTTTTCCCTTCCCTTTGTCGTCCATCACTAACGAAAAGTTGACAGATACTCCGAGTCCATCCCCCTACTCTACATAGCACCAGTCGACACTTCGCTCACACTCTCTTCTTTCCTGTCCTCGTCTCCTCCTTCGCCCCTACTACTTTACATCCCTACGCTTCGTAACCTTGGACTTCACCCTGACTTGGTCCCATTCCTTTGGTTATCTCTACCTCCCCATCAGCACGCTGACCTACACATCCATATATTTGCAATGCGCCGTTCTAAGTTTATTCCCTCTCTTTTCGCCGCTCTAGAAGCCTGCATTCTAGTACGCTACTTGCAAACTACTGGAACAGATGTCGGGCCTGAAGCGCCTAACACTTATCTTAGATTGTCAGCGGTATTTACTAGATATGGCTTGTTTCTTGTACCATATTTTGCTGTGATAGCTGGGGCCGCTTAGGGAGAAGCAAGTTTATATTGCCGTATATATCCTAGGCGGTGTCATCGAGCGCGTGTGGAGGCGGAGACATCGGGAGAAAGAGCTCATCTGGCGAGACGTGGACGGGTAGGTGGCATTCCAGCGCTACGGGCATGAAGAGGGCAATTGGGCTGAGGCTTGCGGATTCTTGAGTACATGATAGAAGTCAACCCTAAATAGAATGACAGGGATTTCGAGTTGGTGGAGAAGAGCACTAGATACACGTTGTCAGTATGATTTCGAATGAGTTCAGCTCCTCTTCAGCAGGCTTCCTATAAAAGCCTGGAAATCATGCCACTATTCCAACCAGTCGGATTCCAACCGTGGCTGCTGCCTACCCATTGGTCGACTTACTCATCAACACCTACGCCCTGCACAGCCCACCCTCGCCGCACCCACAGCTTCCAAGCTCCATCCCAACCTCTCCCCACCATTTTGGCATCCTTCCACACAATTCCCGAGCGCAGTCTTCCAAGCCCTTTCGCGCGGAGAAATGGGCGGAATGGAGTTCAAAAAGCGCGATATCGCACTCTGCCTGCTCTGCAGCATCCCGCTCCTCCCCTTCAACCTCCTCCGGACCGGTGTTAGGGCCCAGCAACGCAGGATGAAAGAGCGCAAGCGGAGGCGACAAGAGACGAGACCGCCGAAACCAATCAGACACATCCCCGATTTAGCCTTACCGCCCGAAGAAGAATCCTATTTGAAAGGGATAGCTGTGTCGAGGAAAAAGAGGAGGGCGCTGCAGCAGCAGACGGAGTGCGGGCTGTTCAAGTTGCCTCCGGAGATTCGCCGCATGGTGTACGAGCAGTATGTGGGTAGCGCAATTGCCATCGTTGATCGGCAGTCTGCATTGCATCCAAGGAGAAGGAGAGTGCGCAAGTCCAGGCATGACAAGATGGCCATAGGAGTGCGGGTCAAGAAAGATAGAAATGGACGCGAGGGCGGGAGGCCCGTGGACGTGCTATCCCTACTGATGAGCTGTCGGAGAATGTACGTCCTTTGCTCTCTTATTCTCCTTCCCACCACCGCTCTCCTAGCCTTCTACGACGAAGAACGTCCCCCGAATTGACAACTATACAAGATACTCCGAGCTCCACCCGCTTCTTTACACAACGCCGACATTCTCTTTCTTTTCCCCCGACACTTTCCTCCTCTTCGCCACCACCCTGTCACCCTCATCCTTTTCCGCTCTCCGCTCTCTGCGCCTTAGTTTCACCTCGCGCTACAGCTCCGCTCTTTCCGACTCGCGCTTCGCCTCATCATCTTCGTCTACATCTACATCTACATCTGCATACCCATACCCACCCGGGACTCCCGTAACGCTCCACTCGCCCATATCCTTCGCCTTCCTGTACCGGCCAGCTGTCAGAGTGCGCAACAACCCATTCCCCGCCCCACCAGGCCGATTCATCGGTTCCGGCGCGGCGGCGAAAGTACTCTGGCCACCGGATATCTGGAACGTACTTTGTACCGTCTTGTCAAAGATGTCGGGGTTAAAGAAGCTAGCCATTAGCGTGAAGGACTCGCACTTTGATCCGCGGATATGGGAAGCGAAGAAGGAGCTGTGTGTGCTGGAGCCCTTGGAGATGGTAATCCGGCCGACAGCGCTGCGCGTCGAGATTCAGCAGGCTAAGTTCGAATGGGTGGTATGGCCCGACACCTATATAACGCATCGGGCACGATATGAAAGAGTACTGGACGGGGGACAGGTCTGGAAAGAAACCTTTGAAGATATAATAACCGAGATCGGTCGGGGTGGACGACAAACCCGGGTAGTTGAGTGAGGAGAGTATTACAAGATCGATTGAAGAACATAGGGAGAAGGTGAATGGGCTCTATGCAAGCTTGTAATACACACAAAGTTCAAAGGTATCCCGCTCTTGGTACACCCACAAGACAAACCTATGGTCAGGCGAAGAAGACCGTTCGACCATCAGGCTAAGTCGAACTCCACCCAATGCAGCAGCAAGCCAAGAGAAAGTCTATAGCAAACGAGGAGATGCAAGCCAAGTGCTCATGGCTTAACCCGCATGCTCCACAATCTCGCTCACCAGCTTCCCGTCCTTGACAAAAGTCCTGATCTGTTCAGGCACTGGGTTCTCTGCGTAGTCTTCGTCCGCGGTGGGAAGATTGATGTTGATGCTCGAGCACTTGCTGGTGAAGATCTCCGTGTTCATCGAGTCCTTTGACAGGTAGACGGTTGCACCATCGACTTGATCCAGCAGAAGGGTTGGCAAGGTACCCATGACCTGGAGGGCGAACTTGGGGCACTTGATGATATCGATAGAGCTAACGAGTGAATCGATGACGAGCGAAGTTTTATCCGAGTTGTCCATGGAGATGGCATTCGCTTTGCCATTGATGCGGATGGTAGTGTTTTTGCATCGCGAGATGAGGACAGAGTGCTGGCGTTCGGCGTCGATCTCGACCATATCGGATGGGCTGTCAAAGTTGTCCTGTGGAGGTGTTAGCAATGGACGTAGGATCTATTATCAATTTAACTCACTATTATCCACTTGTTACCGTCAAGCTCTTTCTTCGGGGGCTTCTTCGTCCGCATGCTCTCGGGCTTCGGTTTCTTGCCAGGCGGCGCCGGACTCTTACTCCGCAATGAACCGCTGCTGTCGCTTCGAGTCGGCACTGGCGCGGTTGTTCGCAGCGACGGATTCTTGTGCGTCATCTGGCTGGGGTCAACCTTCTTCAATCCCTTTGTAACTGATTCGCCCTGATTCAGCTGCTCAAACACGGCACCCATATCTGGTGCGGACTTCTTGCCTGCTGGTGGTGCGCCCGGTGGTGGGGGTGGGCCTGGGGGAGGCGGGGGACCAGGTGGTGGAGGAATGCCACCTGGCGGTGGTGGCGGCGGAGCGGGTATGTTAGATGTGGAGGGGCCTGCGGGAGCGTTGATCTGCTTGGCTGCTTCTTTTGCGTCAATGCCGTCCTTGTTCCATGCGACGGCGGTGGTGTGGTGCTTTTTTGCGTATTCCGAGAGCGCCTTGAACAACTTGTAGTAGGCCTGGACCCACTCGACGTTTGTCTTGTCCGGCCTGTGAAGGTTAGATGCGAAGTCTAATGACGCGTCGTTTGCTCGCATACTTGTCCTTGTACTCCTTCAGCACCTTGTTGCCAAAGATCTGGGCTCCGCCAAACAGCTCGGAGATGTACTCGTGCGGCTTCGGGCTGCCTTCCACAGTGACCCAGCCAAGAGCGCCTACACCATCCGCAACCATTGTCAAGGGGTCGCGCAGAGCGGCTTCCCGGTTGGCCTGGCGCACCTCATCCACCTTCTCCATGGCGGCCTGGAGGTCCTTCAGGATTTCCATGCAGGTGGTCATGTCCGGTTTCTTCGCCTTGGTCGCAACCAGGAGAAACTGGCGTTGCGCCGTGAAGGCCTGCTGCACAGCTTTTGCCTGTCGACCACGTCAGAGACATGCTCTCTATTCCCGGTAATTGAGTGTCCTACCTGGCCATCGATCACGTTGCCCAGCTTGCCGCTCAAGTCGAGCCATGTCTTCAGTTCTGTGTTCAGGAGAGCGTCAAATGCTTCAATAGACGGAGGCAAGCTTTCGGCGGGTTTCGGCGTGGACGAAGCGTTCGTCGTAGTAGCGGTCGAAGAAGGGGCGGCAGCCGGAGTGCCGTTCGGGGCAGAGACATCGAAGCCAACGGAAGACGATGCTATGTCCTCCAGTCTCGATGTCGCAGCTTCAAGCCTACGTATCGCGCCTGTCAGCACATTGCTGTCCCCAGAAACGGGGCCCCGACGGCCTAGGATATGGTGTTCGGACTGGTCCATTGTCGCATCGACGCGAAACCATGGCTAAGAGCGTCCGGAAGAGCAGACGCACCGCTTTATAAGAGTGGTCAGATTGTTCATGTTGTTCTGAGCCATTTGCGGGGCTGCAGCTGCGCAGTGCAGGGCAACCTGGGATAGGCAGGATGGGCACCGGTCGGGGAAGGCGCTGATGACGGGTGGCTGCAGCTCTGCGCGCGCCGCCGTGTCTTCTAGAAAGGCTCGATGCTAGGAATAGGGCGATGAGGCGGAAGAAGGCAGCTCGTCCGTAGGGCGGAGAGGAAGTCTGCAGATGCAATGCAACAAAGCTGAAGCATCGGCTCGAATAGCCCTCTCCTGCGTCCATGCGCTAGCCGCAGCGCCAAGACAAAGCTCCCTGGACCCAGCAATCGCCATTCGATTGTTCTGGTCGGCACCCGTCTTCGACGACGCCTGATGCTCGGATCGCAGTGTATTCAAAATGGCGGGTGACGCAGGAGCAATAGACTTCTGCACGCTTGGAATGTTTATAATTGGTACTTGGTCAATTGCGTAACCATTATCCGGCCATCGCTCAACAACCTTCTAGACGAGATCGAGTTCCCACCACCGAAACCGCCAGTCAAGGATATTCTCGGCGGCGCAGGCTCGTATTCTGCGCTAGGAGCGCGCATCTTCTCCCCGCCACCAAGATCCAAAGCCGTGGGCTGGATCGTGGACTGTGGCTCCGACTTCCCGCCCGAGCTCCGGGAAACCATCGCCAGCTGGGACACCGGAGTCTTGATCCGCGAAACGCCGCATCGACTGACCACGAGAGGCTGGAATGGCTACGGCGAGCATGAGCACAGAGGTAGGCATCCGCGTTTGATGTCACTGTTGCCCGTCGTCCTGATCGCTTGCAGCCTTCCGTTACACAACCCCGAAACTGCGGCTCGATCAACATGCGCTGGCTAATACCCAGCTGCTCTGGTCCAAGTCTTTCCACCTCATCTGCTCACCGCTGCGTTGCATTGACCTGGTGGAGAACATTCTTGCGCTCCGCAATCAATCTGCGGAGAGACAGTTCCGGGAGCGTCCTTTGTTCATCTGGGAGCCCGTGCCTGATCTATGCACGAAGACGGAGCTTGCGAATTGCTTGCAGGCGCTGAGATGCATTGACGTCGTCAGCCCTAATCATTCAGAGCTTGGCGGCTTCTTTGGGGTGAACACCAACGCTCAGGACCATGTTGACTATCGCTCAATTGAGGAGTTGTGTGATAAATGGTTACAGAGCGGAATTGGGGCTGAAGGGCAGGGTGGAATTGTCGTCAGGGCGGGCAAAGATGGCTGCTTCGTTGCTCGCCAAGGTTTTCAAAAATGGCTGCCCGCATATCATCAGTCGGCACAGATGGTAGTCGATCCTACTGGCGGCGGCAACGGCTTTCTGGGCGGGTTAGCGATGGGCTTAGTAAGGGGCGGTGCAGCCGTGGGAGTCGATAATCTTGAAGAAGCGGCAATGTGGGGTTCGATCTCAGCGAGCTTTGCTATCGAACAGGTCGGCATGCCGGTCCTGTCTCACACTCCAGAAGGCGAGACATGGAACGGGATTCGCGTTGAGAACAGGCTTTCAGAATTCAGGAAAAGGCTGGATGGATATGTACAGCCTTAGCGTGCTTCCAGCAAACAGCTCAAGGGTCCCCAATTGATTCGCCATTGTTCCATGCCCATCTAGCTCTCGCTCTCTTTTCGTTCGTGTTCGATGATCTGCTTGCTCCAGCTATGCTATGTCAGCGCTTCCTTCTCGCATGCGTGCATTGAAGTTCGTACTATCGGCTCGGGAAGAATCTGTGCGGCTCGGGCATCTTGTCCCGGTATTCTCGATTTGCGCTGACCATCCAGGCCATCCCGACGATGCTTGCGAGGACGGCGCTCATGACGGCTGTGTTGGCTTTCCAGTTCGCGGGTTGGGCGTACCAACCACCGGCCGGTGACCAGACGTGCTTTGGGTACCTGGGAGGAGAGGCGGTTAGAGAAGCATCCATCGAGCCATTGCGAGGGTATTCTTACGGGATCTTTCCTCCGCCGCCCATTGTGGAGAGTATATCTGCGGTGCTGTGGGGTTGTGTCTCGGGAGCTTCAGGTGAGGTCGCCGGCAACTGAAGCTAACTGCTTACATAAGTGTTTCTTGGCACCCAGAAATTTTGGAAGTCGCGAACGGATCATCAGAGCTCCAGGAGACACACGACCCGCCCAATTGCCGCCTTCTGCCACCCTCTTTTCAATCTCTCTCTTTCTCTTCTGTCTTGTCATTAATGAAGCGAATACGCATATCGAGATGTGCACAGCAATTGCTGGCCCAGCCCTCTCCGCGTCGCCCGTTATGTCCCTGTGCAACCGTTCTCCAGAGAAACATCACGCCTCATAACCACAGGATACAGGCGCGTTTCCAGACCACGGCCGCGATTCAGAATAATGAAGACCTGGAGATTGAGATAGAAGAACCTTCAGCCTCCGAAGCTATCGAGTCGACCTCCCGTTCCTCAGCTCCGCAGCGGCGAAGGCGGATGCGCCTCGAGAACCTTCCCTCACCACACCCCTCCGCAGCATCACACTCGGCCAAGCTCTCCGCCCTGCGAGCTAGACTTTCTCTCCACCAACGGTTCCCGCTCCAAACGCTCGCTCGCACCCTCGTACATCCCTCCGCCGACCCGGATCCCGCGTTCAACAATGCCTCGTTATCCATCCTTGGAGCCAACCTGCTAGGCTACTACACCACCGAATACCTCATGTGCAACTACCCTCGCCTACCAATGTCGGTAATATTTGCTGCACAGTACGCATACGTTGGGCCGAAAGCATTAGCGACCGTTGCTAGCGAATGGGGCATTGAAGCAGCGGCAGAGCCGGGGGGCGAGGTAGATCCGGGGCTACTCCAATTCAAGAGGATCAAGTCTGGAGATGATGTGCCGCCGGCATTGAGGCGTCAGGCGCCCTGGAAATGGAACGTCACGACCACGCACAAGATCGTCGCGACCGATGAGTTTGGGTCTAACAACGCACCACCGGGCCCACACTCTCTAAGCGCCACGGCAGTACCTATGGAGGAAGCAGCGCAATCTTTTGTACGAGCATTGATTGGAGCACTCCATCTCCATCTTGGATCGCCACTCGTAAAACGCTTTTTCAGGGATCACTTCCTCAGCCGGCACCTGGATATATCCACGCTCTTCGACTTCCGCACGCCGACCCGCGACCTATCACGTCTCTGTGCAAGAGAAGGCTTCGAAGCACCCGTAGCGCGCCTGATCTCGGAAACCGGTCGACTAAGCAGGCATCCCGTTTTCGTCGTCGGAGTATACAGCGGGAAGGATAAGCTCGGAGAAGGAGCAGGCAGCTCATTAAACGAGGCAAGAGTGCGCGCAGCAGCGGCAGCATTAAAGGCGTGGTACCTCTACAGACCCATAGAAGTCACAGTACCGAGCAGCATGGAAGGCGAGCTGGACACAAGCAAGTGGAAACCGAACATGGTGGACTGCGGCGAAGTAATCGTGTAAGATATTGAGCGTTCAGAAAACCACCACTTTGGAGTTCTTTTGGGGCAGCCTTCAGCCGCGTACGTATGCATAGACGGAGGTCATCCACTTCTCTTCGCTTGTGTATTTTCCAGAGGAGAGATTCGGGAAGAGAGGGACGCAGAGATGGGGAACGGATTCCGGCTTCCGCGCTATGGGCGAGAGGGGGCCGCGCCATGTACTATATGTCGCATCACGATGATACCATCAGACGGACCGTGTGTAGAATATTGACCGACTTGATCGCTATGTTGTGCCTCTCTTGATTTTCTTACCTCCATGTTCGTTAATCCTATCAATTGATCGGTCCCCAGATTCGACGCATGATCCACCCAGCACGAGAAAAAAGTTTTGAGGGAGATCGAGGAAGCAGTCGAGAACGCTATTGCAAGTAGACTCCCGGGAGCATGTAGGAGAAGACATGCGGCATGCGACAATAGGTCGATCGTCCAGTGTTCCACTTCTCCGGTCTGTGAGCGGCATGAGTGTGGCCATCCAGCACAGCAGCTTTGTCCTGCATCGAGCACTGCTAAGGCGGGGCCATTCTTTGCTACAGCGTCTCCCCTAGACCTCCCATTCCATTAAAGCATCCCAGTGTCGTTCTCACGGGCAACTAACTATTAGATTATTTTGCTTGGGCTGAATTGGATGGACTTCGTGCTGACGCCTTGGGCACTAATGGCAGATAATTAGTCTGGGAATGCTGACTAGCTCTGTCTTTCGCGTAGTGCGGCAACTATGATAGTCAGCAGCTCCGAGCTAGGTCCTTGCTATAGACACCAAGATCGTCAGCAAGTCGATGTTGGCATAGCCCATTGCTGCCCAACTCCGCAGGACAACGTGGCAGAACAAGCGGGGAAGGACGTTGAAGGAACCAGCACGGAAATCCTCGGGGATAACAATGGACCAAATACGGATGCCAAACACTTGTGGCATGTGAGCAATTGTGGGTTGGAAGGAAGAATAATTACAAAGGACTATGACCGCGTACTCTAACTCCGGTTCCCGTCTTCCCGTTCGCCATTGAAATGGTAGTAAAGCAAAGGCATACTGTGTGAGCGCAAATATGATAGAAGAAAAGTCCGGTGTGCACCATTGAGGTCCTCCTCTTATGCAATTGTACCGTGTGATCGTGACCATGCTGAACGCTGTCAGACTGTAAATGCGTGATGAATGAGATGCGCGAAGGGGGTATCAAAATGCCTGCCCAAAGGAGACATGTGCGAAATAGAAGCTCGCGAGATGCACGGCTCAAGTAATGCCGAAAAGAAAGCGTTGAGCTGAGTGTTCGAATCGCCTCGGATCGTTCGTTGTTGTTCGTTGTTCGTCGTTGTTACGTCTGTAGTGTTTCGTTCGTTTCGTCGTGCCGGAGCATGTTCACGCCGAGATGGCGTGCATGTTTCGTCCAGAATCAAGGTCTCGCAGCATCAATGTTTGACACCTCACCACCCTGCTGCGTGATCAAATGCGCGACGTTGCTGTTGCTGAAAATAGCCATCGAACACGCTTAACTCCGGCTTCTGTCCTGCACCGCTCACGCTTCCGTTTGAAACGTTCGCTGTCCCCATTCCATTGACGCCAGTGCTAGTGACGACCCCGAGGGCTGCAGCAGCTTGCCCACTGTAGCCACCGCCATCCAGACTGCGTCTTCTCCCGCCGGCCACCTTCCCGCTTCCCAGTTCAGCGAGAATGCCAGCCATCCTGATCCGCTCCTTCGGCTTGGGCGCAATCATCTTTTCGATGATCTGAAGCCACTCAATCTCCGATTTGAGCTGTCTTACTTTGCGCCCTGAGCCGATGATGCCGTTTCGCTGACCCGAGGTAGTCACAGCGAGAAGGCGATTCCGCCAGCTTGCAACACGGTCCAAGTGGTTGTGGAACGAAGCATCCTGGGACGAGCCTGCTCTGTACTGTGCGAAGAGGGAGAGCGACTGACCCTGGGCGACTGTCATCATAGAGAGGAAGACGCAGCCTAAAGAGAAGACGTCTGAAAACCTCTTTGCACGTGAAATGAGGGTTTCAGGTGCGCTGTAGATGTATGCCTGATCGTGGAAGTACGTGTTGACATGATCTAGCCGTTGAGAACTAGCCATGGTTGGGCTAAAGCTATCGCTAGTGTGCCCTATGCCAAAAGGACCAAAGTATATCCGAGATCCATCAATCAGAATCTTGCGTGGTCGGATACCGCGGTGGCAGATGGACTGTGAGTGGAGGTATTCGAGCGCTTGCGACAGGTCATACATCCAGTCAACCAGGAGTTTCGAGCGGCTAGGGTCCGTGCCTGGCAGACTCAAGTAGTCATCAAGACTGTACTGAGCTTTCGCGCTCACAATGCCGACATGGCTCGGCTGTGCGTACGAGCAAAGCAACTTGGCGATATTTTTGTGGTCGTACTGCTTGAACTTGTTGATTTGCTCCAAGAGTGTAGCCTTCTGCGTCGGTCGAGTAATAACAAAACGCTTTCGCACAAGGATGCGGTCATCGCTGTGTCCTAGCATCCGGACCCGGTCAACGCTCTTCTCAGAGCCCCTGGATGTCCGGATGAGATTGATGTGCTGAAGAGGGACTGTTTCACGGGAGGCAAAGTCCACGTGGGACCCATTCAGAGGTAGCTCCTTGGATGTCGCTCGCCATTGCTCGTCGACGACTCTCTGCGGGTCCGACACTATGCCTTGGAGACGGTCTTCGGGGAAAGGGAGACCTTCGTCTCGGAGGTCAAAGAACGCTGCCTGACGCCATGAAGCCACGTCATCGCAGACTACCAAGAGGATTGCCAATCTAGGATTGGAAAGGGTCCACTGCCATACCTTCCTGACCAATGCTGGGTCTGCGTACTGCTTCCGTGCTAGCTCGTAGAACCAACCGGACAAGGACTGTCCTTGTGAAGACAGCATGGAGGTATTGATGAATCCATTTACTAATGGAGAAACGGGATAGGTAGCCTGCCGATATGGGTTTGGAGACCCCGGAAACGTTGGGACTGGCGAGCCCGGAAAATCCATGCCTCTAAAAGACTCTCCCACCGATGATGGAGGAGGAGACATTGGAACAAATCCTGCGCCCGGGTTGATGGGCCGGACTGGTTGAGGGGCAACAGGCGTGGTCGACCTCGTCTGCTGCGGGGTACGGTTCGGGCTGTCCTTTGGCGAGGAGCTCGTCGACTTTCCAGAGTACGTTGAGCCTGGGCTTGCCATGATATTTAACCAGGGATTGTTTGTGGTTGTGGTCGTTGGTGTTGCACTTCGGCTCGTACAAGAGGAGACCGAGGAAGCCGTGGGGGATGGGGGTGGTCGGTTTGAATACCAAGTCGGTTCCTCGTGTAGATTCACCATGGACATGGTGTGCTGTAGGTTGTACTGAGGTTTGGCATACTCGGACGCAGGCGTCCGCCAAGGGGAGTTGGAGCTGTGCTGCATTGCTGCAGGAGAGCAAAGATGGTCTATCAGGTGAACAAGAAATGGATCAATGAGCAGCGAAGGAAATGGCGTTAGCCGGTGGGATACCAAATGCAGACGGAGGCTGAGCAGCTATTGGTCGGAAGGGGCAGAAAGACGCCCAGGCAATGCGCAAAAAAGCAAAAAGGGCATAACAGCGGAGAGGGGGGAAAGCGTGGGAGGTGACAGTGAAGGGAAGCTGGAACCAGGAGCATCAGCCCAAATAGATGTACTGGGTGTGCATTTGGGGCGGACGCGCTCCATGCCCAGATGCTGGCGAGCAGGACAAGGCTATCTCTCGAAGCCGCGCAGAGGCTTTGATGTGCTGGCAATTACTCGTCTGCATTCCGGACCGTATTAGTAGGGCTTTACAATATATGCCCTCGAGTTGGGGTGTTGGGCGAATGCGTATAGGGCACAAGCGCACCCTTGCGGGCTAGTTCGCTGCACGCGAACGTGGCTCGCTGGGAGTCGCCTCGTCCCTCACGGCGCTCCTTCTGCACCTGTTCGCAGCCCGCCGTTGTCAGCAGCGCTCCAGTGGTGCCAGATCATCGCGGCGATCTTATATCCAGCGCGCGAGCCGTCCCGAAAAGACCAGGCGTCGTCCGGCGGGGCCCTCATTCGCGGCGCCGCTGTCGCTGTGCTGCAGGACACCGGCTGTGCGCCAGGACACCGGCTGTGCGCAAGGAAGCGCAGGAGGGACCTACTTCAAGGCCTGCGCCCCCATTGGGACGGGATGATAGAGGACGAAGGGTCGCGACGCTCATTTGCCCCTGGGTCGCGAAGGACTGCGAGCACAACACCATGTCGCGCGTCACCTGCTCACCGTAACTTCGGCGGACCGGAAAAACGTCTCTCCGCGCACCGCCATTGGGCCTGGGCGGTGCGACGACGGGTGACGTGCTGGACGATCCCTTTGGGCCTCCGCTTGGGCCTCCGGCTGCGACAGTCTCGTGTGGGTCGCTGTAAGAGGTACTGTGTACGCCAGCAGTGGGCGACACGCCGGCCTCGAGCGGCGTGACAGACGCAAGACACAAGACACGGCCACGGGCGCGAGTTCTTGAGGGCTGCGATGCGGACTGTCTGCGAATATCTCCGGTCACGAGGGGTTCGCGTGTGGTAGAAAAGCCAGAGAGTGAATTGGGAGTGCTGCGACGAGGCTCAAGGCGGGAGCAAGCCCTGGTGAAACCGAGCCTGTGCGGGCGGCTCGGCAGTTGAGCCGGATCCTGCGCGCCCATTCGTCGACCAGCCGAGTCACGGGCCAGCCTGAAGCGCCTCCTGCCTCGTCTGTGCGCCTTCGCTCCAGACCTCAACACCAATTGTCTCAAGGGGTCCAGCATCTTCATGCTCGTCTCGTCCCCACTCCCCAAAATGAACGCCCCTAGCCAAAGCTTGGTTGGCCTCGAGCTGCTGGCCCGCAATTCAGGCACCAATTTACTGGATTAAGCTTAACCTTAGCCTCGACTGGTGCCATCGCATAATGTCGCTCCCGCCACCCGTCTCAGTCTCCCTCACAACCGGTCTCGAGCTTGCCGTGATCCCTTCACCTTGGCTTCGTGCTGCTCTCCGAGTCTGGATCCCCTCGTCAAGTCACGCCATTGCGAGCCCCCGTCGGACATCAGGGACTTTCGCGTCGTCAGCCTAATGGTGCGCTGTCCTAGTCACTTCTCTTAATTTGCTCGGCGTCTGCGTTTTTTCCCATGCAGAGCCGGTTTCTCATGAGCCGCCCTTGACTTCTCCCTTCACTCTTTGTTTCTTTCTACAGTTTCTCTTCTTCGCCACTCTCATTTTCGAACCGCTGCTGGCCAGCTCGGCGGCTACACTCCCTTCCATTAGACATCTTTAATAGAGCAGCTCCTACCTAATATCCTACGTAACCTTCACGATGCTATTCCAGAGCGCCCTGGTGGGCGGCCTTCTCCTCGCTGGCCACGCTTCCGCAAAGGTCAACGCCCTCCTCCGCCGCAGCGACGATATCGAAGATGTACTACGACGAGACGCTGATATGATGGCGACCCTCACTCGGCGACAAGACGCCAACGGCGCCGCATCCGCACCTCAGATCTCAACAACACCTCAGTCCGGCGATGCGGCAACAGCTGATCTGGCCAAGTGGGAGGAGCAGACCAAGGCGGCATGCACAACCGCGCTGATGTCGCTCAACGGGCAGGCATCAAATCCCAGCGGAATCGCCGTTTGCTACAATCTTCCCTTCCTCGACAACCAAACCGGTATCTTCCAGGCCGAGCTCCGAATGTACAACGTCTCCGCGCCCATCGACCCTTGGGTTGGCATCACAGCCGCCGACGTGAGCATGGCGCTGTCCTACCTAGGCGCCACGGTACAGAACATGAACGGCACGTTCCAGAAGAGGGAGATGACTTGGCCGCCGGTGAAGGAGAGGGACATTGATGGCGTTCTCGTCGAGAGGCAAGACGCTGGTGCGCCATCGGAGTTGAAGGTGCTTATGTATGTTGGGAAGATCAACAGCAACCTGATGGGCAGTGCTATGACACAGTATGCACCCCAATCACCACCAGACGACCATTGCTAACCCCAGATAGGGCCACCCTGCAACCCTTGCTCATTCCTCAAATCGAACTCAGCGCGAACAGCCCTTCTTCGGGCCAAGTAGTAACCACGACGCTCTCCTCCCAAGAGGCATCCTTCGTCAATGGTGTCTTCGCCCAGCAAGCAGCCTCCATCACCGACGATGGCGCCGCGGCAGCCTCCGCATCCGCAGCTGTAGCAAGCGCTGCCCCGTTCATCCTCCCCGGAACGAACCTCGCCTTCTTTCCCATCGGTCTAGTCGTGACTTGCGCATGGACGGCCGGTTTCCTTGCCGCCGTCGGTTTCGGCACTTTCGGCCGGATACAGTTCCGCGAGCAGTATCGGAGACGAGTGAAGCTCGAGCTGACCAGGGGTGTGCGCACGATATAAGCAATGACGATATCCCATTTCCTCTTTCGTACGGGTTGCATCTGTTGTTGTTTTCTAGCGCGAGATGATTCTATGGGTTTGGGATGAAGCCAGCCGATCTTTTTTTCTTCAAGACATATTGTACATAATTACTGGGGAAGCTTGTTCTGACCTGTCATCCTGGTGATGGTTCTTTTGATGGAGAAGTAGTAGTGTAGACAGAAAGCAATACCGACAATACGATTAAATCAGCACTCGCGTTTGTCGCTTTTTGAGGCTGGCACTCAACTGTGGTACTCTGCCAAGTGCAAACAGCTAGCATTTTGAGTGCGCTTCGAAGCATGCAAACGATCGGTTCACGAAAAAGCAGGAACGGGATCTCCATCCGTGGGCCGGCGCTAACCGCTGCGTACCGCCTCGCCCTTTGATTCGCCAATTCAAACGACAAGCTCGCAACACCACGCCCTTCGATGTGCGTATCTCGCATGCAGCTATCCCCGATGTCGCCTTTGTGCATATGAAGCTGAGTCATCTCTCCCAGCTATATATGATCTTTTCGACAGTACCTAGGTAGCTGCGTCTTCCTCATCTTCAGTCATTTTGTGTCGTACGGTTTTTGCAGGAAAAAAAAAAGGTGTCTGACTAATGGCTACGTCAACGAAAGACGTGTTGGATGTGAGGACGAAGAAGGGAGTCAAGTTTGGGAAGGAATTGAGGAAGGAGTTTTTGTTCGATGAGAACTTTCTGAATCTTAATCATGGTGAGATCGCTTCCTTACTATGTCGTTCCGTTTTATCTTCTTATCAAAGTTCGGGAACTACTGTCTATATATGACCTCCCGTGAAAGACTCCACGTCCTTCTGGAGACCCCTTGGATGATCTTGGATTTAGCTGGGCGGCATTTCCTTGTACCGCTTGTGCGTCGAACGGGGGTCTGACCAACCCACCACGTCTTCAATTTCTTTGACTAGCTTCTATTCTATCCCGCATCCCCGAAACTTCAACATATCCCTTCTCCGTCCTCTCAGGGACCATAAAACACAAAGAAGACAGTCAGTGCACTAACTTCATCAGGCTCATTCGGCACCTACCCCCGCGCGCTGCTACCCATCTTCCGCTCCTTCCAAGACCAAGCCGAGGCCCGCCCCGACCACTTCATCCGCTATGTGTACCCCAAGCTCCTCGATGAATCCCGAGAAGCAATCTCAAAGGTAAAAAAGCGGCTCCTTCGTACTTCCTCATCCTACTTTTCACATGTGCTGACGCGAAAGAGGTCCTCAACGCCCCCACTGAAACCCTGGTTTTCGTCCCCAACGCCACCACCGGAGTCAACACCGTCCTGCGCAACCTGACCTTCCAACCTGGCGAGCACATCCTCTACTTCGCCACTATTTACGGGGCGTGCGAGAAAACGGTGACGTATATAACCGAGACCACTCCCGCTGAGGCTATCAAGATCGAGTACACGTATCCCGTGGAAGACGATTGGCTGATCGATGAGTTCAACGCGAAAGTCAAGGAGGTAGAAGCGCAGGGTGGTAAAGTGAAGATCGCGATCTTTGAAACCGTGGTCAGTATGCCGGGCGTGCGGATGCCGTTCGAGAGGCTGGTGCAGGCTTGTAGGGAGAAGGACGTGCTGAGTTGTGTGGACGCGGCGCATGGGGTGGGACATGTGGAGATAGATCTGCAGAAGCTGGATCCGGATTTCTTGGTAAGCAACTGCCACAAGTAAGTTGTTCAATTCCCTCAATGCCGACGAAGGTGGGCTGATGGAGGCTTCTAGATGGCTACACGTCCCCCGAGGCTGCGCCATCTTCCATGTCCCATTCCGCAACCAGCCGCTTCTCCGCTCCACGCTCCCGACATCCCATGGCTTCATGCCTCTGCCCAAGCCAGGTATGGCCACCACATCGAGCCCGCTTCCTTCCTCGGGAAACAAACCTGCGTGGGTGCAGAACTTCGAATTCGTGGGTACCATTGACAATGCGCCGTATCTGTGTATCCCAGCGGCCATCAAATGGCGTGAATCCATTGGCGGCGAGCAAGTTATACGCGATTATTGCTGGACGTTGGCGAAGGAAGGCGCGAAGAGGGTGGCGGACATGCTTGGCACCGAGGTACTTGATAATAGCACTGGGACATTGACGCGATGCTGCCTGATCAATGTCAAGTTGCCGCTTGATGTGAATAGGGCAGTGGAAATGGGTGCTCATGCTGGCATTGAGAAGGAGAAAGTGGGCATTGTCGTAAGGGATTGGATGAGCAAGGTGATGATTGATGACTACAATACGTTCATACAGTCATTGTTCTATGGGGGCGCTTGGTGGGCCAGATTCAGCGGGCAGGTGTATCTGGAGATGGCAGATTTTGAATGGGCGGGTGAGACGTTGAAGAAGCTTTGTAAGAGGGTAGAGAAAGGCGAGTGGACTGCTGTGGAGAGTAAGCTGTAAGGTAGAAGGGAAGTGGAAGAGTGGATTTTGCAGTATATTCCAGATTATACAGAGGAACCCGTGTGCCTGGAAATCCAAAGGAGTTTCTCAATCATAGGTTAGATCCGTACCGCTAGAGGAAACAGTTAACTTGCAGCAGGCCATGGCTCCGCCATGTCCCGTACCGGCATCCCCACGAAGTTCGCTGAAATATTGTCACGCTCGCCAGTACGCCCGGGAACCATCCGAAGCTCATTCGCGATGCCTCACATCGAAGTGATGACAATGTTCGACCATATGGATTGGGCTCTAGCAGTGGAACTTGTCGCCGCACGTGCCGCACTGTACCACATTAGCGCACTGTACCATCAGCTCAGATCTGAGGAGAGACCTACGTTCGGCCACCTCAGGCAGACATGCTTCATACAAGCAGGCGCGCAACCGGTCTGATGGTCATTTGCGATGCCGTACTAATCACCGTTAGCGCTGCAGTTTCCCCGGAGAAGAATAGCTTAGGCGGGCTGTACTAACCTTCATGCACATGTCCAGGTGCTCGTGGCACTCGTCGCAGGAATCGGCGACGAGGGCACGCGCAAAGAGCTTGGTGATGGCAGCATCAAAGGCGTCCATGTCAGAGCCTGAGGCCGGTGCTGCCTGTGGAGCAGCGCAGACGGCGGTCGTGAGGGCGAGGATGGCGGCGAGGAACTTCATGGTTGCTTATTGTTGTGTATAGATATTTGGCTCGAGGGCTTCAGAGTCGCAGACGTAGTCTGAAGGCTTGAGAATGTAGGCAAGTATGTAGGTGTTTGAAGGAGCGAACGTGGTCGGAGAACGAGTGTATGGTAAAGTGTGTTGGTGTATAGGTGAAGATAGGATGAAGATTGAAGGAGAGGTGGCGAATTTGTAGACCGGGTGACAGCCGAAATTGGCAGTTACCCTGGGAGGGTGGAAGCGGGAAGGAGCGTTTGTCTTGCAGCGGGGTAAAATATGAAATGGAGGAAGGCGCGGCCGGTTCGCTGAGTGACCCGGGAAGTCGCGCAGGCGGGTGTGGTGCTACACAGGTACGTTGGTTGGCTGGCTGCCTGTGGAAGCTGGGCCACGAATGAAGAGAAGGGGAGCTTTGCGAAATGTGAAAGGAGGGGACTCGTCCACAATTATTCGATGTGGGGATTGAAATACTCACCGCACGTTGTGACCTTTTCAAGAAGTAGATTACTAGAACCGGGCTATAGAAGTGTGGCAAGAGAGATGAGTGTCACAACACAGATACCGTGCGTGGTGATACGGTGCCATACCAAGGCCGTAGCGGTGAATGGAGCGAGTTCCGCAAGGTCATGTTCCTCATAAGGGGAACGTGAAACCCCCGTTTGTCATTCCCGCGGCTTCTAACGTGAGACATTAATATGTATGGTGGGATTCCCGGCTCTTCACGCGGACGCACAAAATGTACCCAAAAAGCCCATGGTCTCCTTTGCAACGCCTTCCACCAACGGACTAGGCCAGATTCCGATATACGAACCTATCTATCCGCGTATCTTGTAAGACGATATCTGCGGCCTTCTACTTGCGACGTCTCTCACGAGCCTGAAAGCTCATCCCTATGGATAGGATACCTCAGGAAATCCTCGATGGTGTGCTCGCCAAGCTGGCGTGCTACCATTACCCACACACCGAACGCTTCCCCACCCTTAGTCCTTTGTCTAGAACATCTATCCTCTCTGCCCGCCTAGTATGCCGCGCCTTCCTACACTCGAAGGACCTTAAAGACCTCTTCATCACCGTCCTAGAGGAAACACTCTTCCTCCGAGAGGGTTGGTACATGCCCAAGCTTCAGGCCATCTCGTCATCAGAATACGCTGCATCCATGACCACCCTCTCCATATGTAGCATAACGAACTACTGCCTCTGGGCGGATGAACTTTGGAACGAGGCATTCTGCGATTACCTCGCTAGTGTTATACGACGTTGCCCACGGGTTAGGCATCTGCGGTACTACACAATATCCCCTAAATGTATCCAAAGGGGGCAACCTGCCCCCTGTCCGATGTTGCAGGACGATATGTTTGGATATTCTATCCGCCATTCGGGTGGCTCCGCGCAGATGATCAGGGCTACGACACTGAACTGGATATTGCAAGCTGTTGAGCGCGCTAACATACCGCTGGATACGATTACCATGCCGTTGTTTGGGAACCAGGCTGCGTGGTGCGCTACATGGCCTGTTACCGCGTTGTTTCCGAGGAGCCTGACACACGTGGCTATGAATATTACGGGTGTGCATCGGCTTGTCTTCGATCACTGGATGCGTAATCTGGAGAACCTGGAGTTCTTGGAAATTGCGCTGTCGAGCATGCCTATTTTGACGGAAAGCTTCCGCCACGTTCAGCAACTTGTTGATGAAGCGTCGAGTGAGGAGGAACGCGTGAGGTTGCCCAAGCTCAAGGAGTTCCGTTTGATGGCGGATAACAGGTACTGTTTTTCTACGGATAATATTGTATCTGCGTTATACGCTTTCCCGAATCTAAAGATGCTCGGATTTGCCCATATCATGCTCCGGTCCGGCAGCTGGGGTTCTCTCTTAACGAGGTTGCAGGCACTGGATCTGGACAGGGTGTGGCTTCTTGATCCTCGTATTGTCCTTTGGGATCCCGACCCCCCTGAGGATATACCATTTATTTTCAAGTACGAAGATCGAGGAGACGCGGAGAATGCAGCCAGAGATGTGCGCTTGTTTCATACGGACGTAGTGGAGGACGGCCATCGCGTGCTGCAGAGGAGGTACGACTTGGAGTATCCTGGATTTGCGATCTTCGAGCAGGCGGAGAGCGAGATGAGGAGAGGCTGATTGAGGAGGAAACGCGGCAGATAGCGTGAGTTGGTGGAGTAGGCCTGCATTGGTCTGCTCCTCACTATTAACGAGCGTCGGATCTTCGAAAGGAATTGCATTTCGAATCACATATGCTGAGGTTGTCAGGTACAGCAGGAAAAGCCCAGCTCAATGCCAGTATAACCGTGGTTCACCACAGGTAATCAATGCAATATATCAACGAGCCGGCAAAATGAATTCGTGAGATAGTGACCCTTCACACATGTTAGCATTCGTTATTGAAAATCGACATTTCCACATACACACGTTCTTAGAGATATTCGAATCTTAGGCATGCGCGCCAAACATCCATAAAGCTAGGGATTTTCGCTTGGTTAACGATGTTGGTGCTTAGGGACTTGTCCCTGGTCCTTTCAAGTGTTGCGGGTACGACTACATCGGATTTTCGGTACTCTAAGGTGGGAGGCACGGCATTGGGTTTAATCTTGACTGTGGAATAGTTCATTCCATCGTAATTAAGTCTCCATATCCCTAAGGTCTCCGAAGCCAAATAGAGAACCAAGGCTACCCTCATTGGTGGACCAGGAGGTCCCACAAAGAGGCAATGCGCGAATTAGTCCGGGTATCATGTTGCACCTGCAGGACGTATATGGAGTCCTTTCCTCTCCATATATCTAATTATCATCTCTTCCTTGTCCGTTTTGGTGCCGGCCGCGTTCTTCCTCCGCTCCGGTTCGTCCTCCTCGTGGTTGGTGCAGGATCTTCTTCCGACTCCGCGCTAGATTCTCCCTCCTCTTCCTCTTCCTCTTCTTCCTCTGCAGAATCTGATACTGCTGATTGCGCCTTTGCATTCCTAGCAGCCTGTCCTTTGGTCCCCTTTCCGCTCTTCGTAGCGGCGCGGCTCGCCCGCGTGTTTTTTGTGTTCTTCGGCGTCGGGGTGGCCTCCTTCACGCTTTCCGCTTTCTGTGATCTCACCCCATCTGGTAGATCCTTCAGCAGACCAAGGCCCGGCTGATATAGCGCCCTGTCGTCCTCGGTGGGCATCGTTGGTGGGGACGAAGCTGCCACGGATTCAGGGCCGTGGAAACGTCTTTGCCACATCATCTCGCCGAATTCGTCTTCCGGTAGCTCGAACTCGGGCATGTTGACAGCCTCACCACGGTCTAGCGGATCGGGGTCTTCGCTGAACGCGTACGCATTCTCGCGCTCGTCGAGGGCCCGGAGGTCGTATAGCTGGTGTAGCTTGCGCCAGATACCGGGTATGCGCGTGTGCGGGGCATCGTCTGTCGCGAATCCGTGCGAGCGCATATCATTGTGTATTGAGATCATGCGGAAGTGCTTGTGTATGCCTGCACGCATCAGAACACGTCGAGGTTTTTGCGCTATTGCGGGCTTACCCGTGGGCTTCCACTTCATCATGCTCTTGAACAGCTGCGTCTCCTGGTCATCGGCCCAAGGGTCATGGAGCAGGTCGTGATCCTGCGATTGTGAAGCCGCGCCTGGGTCCTGCGGTGTCTTGGGCTGCATCTCGGCGAGCGGCGTAGAGGCCGCACTGGCCTTTGCCCTCTTTCGCGGAGGCATTGTCGACGGCGAGTGGTTGGAGGTGACGGCGGATGAGTCGACGAGGATGGAACCGATTAAGAGTGCCTGCGGGGAGGACCCCAGTGAAGGGACGCAGCGAGGTGCAAGGGTACGCGTAGGGCTGAAGCTTTGGCGTCATGCCGAGGCCCCTCCAAACACCACTGCTCTGCGCACATCACCACGCAATGGACGATGACGACGGGATAGCCGATGCCTTCACGAGCGACCACCTGTGGACGCCCTCTTCCTTCACCGACGATCCATCCAGCTACGAGTCCTCGTTGTTCGTGCCGCTGCAGCTGGACGGTAAGCCCTGTCGCGTCCTGGTACGCAAGTCTAACCGCGTCCAGTGCCGTCAATCCAGTTCCACCATCCATACGCGCCTAAAGAATCGCTAGACCGTGAGCTTCGATTGCCGGATATCGAAGCCTTCACATTTGGGCCGCTGCCAGACCTTGAAGGGTTCGACGAGTCTTCTATCTCGGTTGGGACGCCTCCCACAGAACTTGAGGAAGAAGACGTCTGGCGGATTGCCCTGGAGTCGGGTCCAGCGAAAAAGGATGTTGTGTTCTTTACTTGGGAGGCTTTTGAGGGCCCTGGCCACGTCGAGCGGCATACCCCATACATTACGGAATCAGGCCCAGAGGCCTTCGACGCAGCGTTGGCCAAAGATGACAACAAGACGGCTGCTGGAAGAGTCGTCAAGGGCAATGTCCTCCTGGAGTCTCTATGGAACCTTGGGCTTGGACGCTCTTCCATCTTGTTCTCTTTCAACCCGAAACTGCGGTCCTTCGCATCCGCCCTCGCGGATGGACGAGCATCAGGGCTGAGCCCCAGGATCGCCCAGAGTCTCATCAACCAATTTATCCACATTGGGAACACCTTTCTCTATCTGAGGTCATTCGTGGAGCGCACCTTTTCTTCGGCAGCCTCTATCCCTGCTAGAGTTGCATTAGCTACCTCAGTGTCGAGCATACTCTCGACGTTTGAGAATCACCTAGGACGACACTCAGGAGCGATCACATCCCTGCTCCGACTACAGCGTCTCTTTGCCAGACCGCAAGAGATCCTGAACTATGTCGCTCGTACAGTGGACGCGGTGAGGCACGCCAAGACCAATGAACAACTCTCTTCCGTTCTTCATCATCGTGTGCTGGAGATGGAAGAGGGCGATGAGAGCATACGCCAGCTATCGTGCGAAACGCTGCGTCGAGTAGCAAACCCTAGCTTAGAGCTGTTGGGCGAATGGATCGGTGTCCAGCCCGAGCAGCAAGCGGTACTAATTCCGGAGCGAGGCACTTTCGTGGCCATCGATGACAACGGGGAACACCAAGGTCCCGTTGAGTATGTTTATCGTCCCGAGATGATGCCGCGATTCATCACTCCTGACGATGGCAAGACCATCTTTGAGACGGGAAACAGTCTCCGTTTCTTGAAACTGCACCATGCTGGCCACCCACTAGCTTCTTTGGAGAAATTTGGGGTACAGCCTCCAAAGCTGGAGTGGAAATTCGGGTGGCAAGACATCGAATTTATCTCTCTGAAGGCGAAAGCTTACGAGGAGGACCTCCGGCGCGCCATCCTACAGTTCTCAAACGGGCCATCCTGCCCGAAACCATCGGTCGCGCCTACGTCTGGTTTGCTAGCAGAGGAGAGCTCAGTGGACCCTGAATTCAAGCAATATATCGAGGAATCTGCCTCCGTGTTTGATGCAGCACCCAAACCTATGTTGGGTCACCTTCCAGACGAAGTTCAGATGCTCACGGAGCACATTCTTGCGAGCACACCCACCAGGGGCCCGTCTATTTCGGACACTTTCTCTCCGCCCTTGTCGATAACATCCGCTTTGTCGTTCCGGCCGCTTCTGACCGCGCAAGCAAAGCTCGTCAATGCAACAACGCTGCGGCTCTTCTTCCGTTCCCATCATCTCCGCTTGCATCTAGCAGTCCAGCGAGAATATCAGCTCCTTGGCGACGGCGTCTTCTCTTCCCGGCTAGCCTCCGCGCTCTTCGACCCCGAACGCGAGAGCGCGGAACGACACAAGGGAAAGATGCGCAGTGGGGTCCATATGGGCCTTCAGCTCGGCTCTCGAAGCAGCTGGCCGCCCGCAAGCTCAGAGCTTCGACTCGCGCTTATGGGTGTTCTGAGCGAAAGTTACTATTCTTCTGCACTTTTCTCCTCCAAACACAAACCTGGCGTGATGACTGATCCGCAACAGGATAAAGATGAGCTCCCAGGTCAACTCAACTTCGCCGTGCGCCAACTCACCGAACCCGAAATGGAGAAAATTATGGATCCATACGGCCTCTATGCGCTCGATTTCCTGCGCCTACGATACGTCCCACCCAACCCTCTCAACCTCGTCATCACCACCTCCGCCGTCGACAAATACGATCACATCTTCAAATTCCTGCTCCGGCTATTGCGCATGCTCTTCGTAGTCGCACACCTCCCCCGGCATTACCCCGACATCGAGTCTCGCCACTTCAGGATGGAAGCGCACCACTTTGTCACCGCGCTCTCAACCTACATCTTCCAGACCGGCATCGCAGAGCACTGGGATACCTTCCAAACCTACGTCACCACTCTAGAATCGCGCCTCGCCGAAGAAGACGCTGCGGGTGAACTCGGCACCCGCGTCACAGAAGGCCTGGCTTCCCTCCGCGACGCGCACGAGAAGTGTCTCGATAGCGTCATGTTTGCATTGCTACTGCGCAGACGCCAGCGCAAGGTTCTGGCGCTCATGGAAGAAATCTTCGAACTCATACTCCTCTTCGCGAAGATGCAAAACCCAGACACCAAGGTTGAAGAGGGCCCGAAGGACCTTTATGTCAAGCTAAGAGGCAAGATTAGAGTCTTTTTGAGCGTCTGTAGGCAGTTGACAGGGAAGAAAGGGTATGGCAAGGGGAGAGGGACGAGCGAGGTGAATGAGTTGGAGAGGCTGGGCACGCTGTTGGAGATGAATTCATATTTCGCGGCGTCGGCGGGTAGTTGAGGAAGTCGCGTGGGAGTTGCGCGTCTTCAGCTAACCCTTGGAAGTAATCGTAAGGCAGGCAACAGCTTCGTATTCGCAACCTTGCCCCGCCTCGGCCTAACTGCACAGAGCGTATCAATGGTACATATTTACATTCACGCCACTGCGGTAATTCCACTACCTACGGCGAATATAATTACCGGGCCACGCATCTTATGTAGTTTCATTTTTTTGCTGTGCCTCCAACAACGTAAGACTCGCCCGCATATCCGGCTTCAGAGCAGCAACTGTGAAAAATCCACCCACCATGCCTCGGCGCACGTTCTACCTCGACAACTTCCGCACCTTCCTCACCGCACTCGTCATCCTGCACCACTCCTCCGCGCCCTACGGCGGCATTGGCTTCTGGCTCTACTCGCCTTCTCGTCACCGTCCTGCGCACAAAACCCCCCCTCCCCTCTCCAACGTCGCGCCCTCCCAAGTCCCCCTCTCCCTACCCGTCCTCGCTTTCAACGTCATCGACCAGACCTTCTTCATGGCCGCCTTCTTCCTGCTCTCGGGCTACTTCTCCTCTATATCGGCAGCGAGGCGCTCGCGGTACCAGTTCGTCAACGAGAAATGGAAGAGACTAGGCCTTCCGACGGTGGTGTATAGCGTGGTGTCCAAGAGCGTGATTGCTGGGGTCATAGCGCGGGTGAGGGATAGGCTGGATTGGAGCACGGTGGGGTCTGAGGCGTGGGACGGTGTAAGGAGTGTTAGGGGGGTTAGGGGGCCGGTGTGGTACTGTGCGTTGCTATTGATTTTCGACGTGGTATATGCTGTGGTGAGGCCGGGAGATTTTGGGTCTGCATTGCCGGGCCCGGGACGCAAAGTCTATACTACGGGAACGGAGGGCCCGAAGGATGGAGAGAAGCGCACCACCGCCACCCAGCAGAAGGCGAAAAGCGTCCGCACGCTGCATGTGCTCGCGGCCCTGGCCATGAGTTCCATGTCTTCGTTCCTGATACGGGTATACTGCCCTATCCGCACGCCCTTCACGCCGCTGAACTTGAGAGTCGGCTACATACCGCAGTACGCTCTCTTCTACAGCACTGGCGTCTTTACGCACCGCCATTTGAAGACACAGCTACCTGAGCTCGTCACGCGCAGAACGCAGGCCATGCTCTGCAGCCTCATCACCGCAATCACTGCTTTCGGGCTTTGGGTACTCAACGCTGAGCTCGCGAAGGACGACAAGCGCCTAGCCGACGTGTTGAAAATGGGGGAAGGGGGCTTTGAAACCCTTGCTTTCTTGTACGCAGCCTGGAATGAGTGCATGGGTGTGCTGATCTGCTCCTTTTTACTGCACACCTTTGCCAGTCGGTCGTGGCTTGGGGTGCAGTGGGCGCCGTTTGGCTTCGACCTTGCGCGGTTTAGTTATGCGGCTTTTTTGGTACATGCCCTGGTTGTTGTAACTGTGCAGTGTTTGCTGGATGGCTGGGAGGCGGGCGCGGTTCTCAAGAGCGCTGTTGTGGGGTTAATGGGATGTGTGGCGAGTTGGGCGGATGGGTGGGTGCTTGTTAGCTTGTTGGAGGGAATAGGTATCAGGGGCGTTGTTTGATCTGGTTGAAGACCGGGAGAGTGCCATGATCGATACCGTCTTGATGGCATGAGGATCGTATCTTGGACGCTAAATATACTAGAGATAGCCCTCTCCGGAAGTCTGAGAGCCTCCCGCTCCAGTCGAGAATCAAACGATCCTGGGGGTACGCCTGCAGCGCCGAGGGATCCTCGTGCCGCTGTGCCAGAACCACGATTCCTTGGGGTTGAAGTTCTAGAGTTCTGCGGACCCGGAAAACACGGCAAACTCGCAAGTTCTCAGATCTTGAGCACGTCAGCCTTGGTCCTCTCGGCGGATGTCATTCTTGCCCACTCCTCGTCTGACACCTCGCGCGCGTTCAAACTCTCGCCTCCGCCGTATACCTCGGTCCTCTGGGCGATGTAGGGGAAGTCGGGCGCGTCAAAGTGGACACTCTCGCGCGACTGTTCCCCTTCATCCCGTAACATAGCGACAGACCTCTCCAGTCATGCTTCGGCGGAGCGGCTGGACGGCTTGCTTTGTTTGGTTTGGATACATGGTTACGAAAGCTATGGCAGAAGCGGACGCGAATGGTGTGCTGAAGAGGCCTCCCCAGGACTGGGTCGTTTTGAATGCATATCTTATCGACGTTTACGCCACGTTTCAGTCAGAAGAGGAGGGTGGAGGTCTGGCTCCTCGTGGAAGTAGCCTCCTGATGCGCTTCGGCGGTTGAGTTTGATCCATATACACCGCGGTCGTTCTTTCTTTGAATCAAAGTATAGAGCTCGTCGATGGTAGACACATTTCCTTAACGCGACTGCGGATGAATTTATGTTTTGCCCAACTGGCTTTCTAGCACTATCTTGAGCAGTAGCGGCTCTGTTGGCTACGCTGCGCAAGGCTGACTGCCGGGATTCGGATACGGGTCGAACGGTCGTTTGTCATGGGGGCGCAGCTGATGGTTTGGCAGCGATGCCGCACCAACCGTAAGGTGGATGCCGGGTAGATAAGGTATGGTGTAGCAAAGTCTGATTGCTGCGTTCAAAGCTGGGGGCGCAAGGGTGGTGGGCGGGGTGAAGCGGGGTGATGGCTGGGAGTGGCTGTAGCCCTCACAAGCTTCTAGCCACAGTAGCCACGATGTCGTACTAGACAGGGATAGCTGCCCAACTGGACAAGCACGAGGATATCCTGGAAGAAAAATTCTGAAGACTGTGTTTGCCACTCCCGACGGCCAGAGCGCTTCAGCGGGGGTTTTTGATATTTCAATCATTTGCGTTGTCTGTACTGTGGTGAATGGTGATGGATAGCGTTTCGAGGTTGTGGCGTGCCAACGAGCACAACTTGATACCGCGGACGGTCCTGCGGTATCAGTGCAGATGCGTTTCAGGTTTCGAACGCCTCCAAGATCGGCTCTGTGTGTCGTGGATATTTGCGGGTGGAGAGGCCGCTGATTACCAGGCTGCCGCTGATTGGCTGCGCAGCCGTGTATCATAGTCTTGTAATACCTCCCGACAACGGGCGCATGCAGCAGAAGAGGAAAGAGGTCAGCTGTCACTGTCAGCCATGTTGGCTGTGCCGGAAACCCGAAAATGCTGTCCCTTCTATGCGAGACGAGCACCAAAGCCAGCCCAGCGCGTCGGAGCTGCATCGGCGATGCACCATTCATTGTCCGGGCCCTTCCCACCTTCCAGCTATCAGCTCTCACATCATGCCGGCAATCATGGGTATCGGCTGTCCTCCCTTGTACGCTCAGGATCATGGTGATAGGAGTGACGTCGCGACTGAGCCTCTCTCCGCGGTCCCGCGCGCATGAAACGGACGAGCACGAGGCTGACCGGCAGCGTTTCCGCGCGGGATGTGGCTGAATTAAGCGAATGCAGACGAATATTGGGCTTACCGCACCCGGCGGCCATGGCGATGGGGCAGGGATGGAGCCGGCGATGGCAGAAACATCGTGAGCGCAGAGCAGAGGCTCAGAAAAGTGCTGCAGCGTCGGCCTTTCTCGTGCTGTCGGCCCCGCGCGTGTGCTGGAGCGGCATTGGCGTGCGACTACTGCAGCGTCGCGGCCGGGAGTCGTCATCGTCGCGCTTGCCTTGATCCCGGCTGCAGCCTCGCGGTAAGCTGCAAAGATGCTGCGCTTCCATATCAGGCACAATACATACACGAGATAGCTCGCCGCGCTTCCCCTTCCTCCTCCTCCTCCTCCTCCTCCTCCCATGCCCCCGTGGTGTCGCCTCCGATTCCGCTGCCCCCGCCCGCTTCTCCATCTCAGACGGTTCGCCGCCGATCAGTCGCTCGTTACTCGAAGTAGCTCGCACATTCACTCGTTCCTTGGCAGCTTGCGTCGCCCTTTCCTCATATCCCGCCAACATCGCCGCGCGCCGCATCCACCGCAAACCTCGGCGTCTCTCCACCTCTGATGGGCTTTCCCTCCCGCCAATTCACACTCAGGATAGCGGGGCGTCCGATTGGGCCTTTGCTGTGACGCGAGACTCGTTTTTCGGAGCAACCGTGCTGTCGGCTGTCGGCGGAGGGGGAAGGAGCTTGGGCTGGTAGCTTGGGCAACACTGGTCGGTCCCGAGAAGAACGGCAGGAGCCACCGCGGAGGTGCGGCTGGAGCGAATTAGATGCGGCGACGCCCGTCTGCCTCGCCTTCTGAAGAGGAGCAAACCTCGACCTCCGACGCTTCGCTCGCAACGCTGGGCCATGACGATAACGGCTCCGACGAACGCCACGGCATAGATCAGCTGCACGTGAGCGGTACGCCCTCGAGAAACAGGCGGGAGGACGGTAATGTGTCTGCGCACCGACCCTCCATCACGAAGACTTACCTCTACGGCACCTCCGCGCTCGCCGCACCTCCAGCGCCAGACGACAGCAAGAGACTCGCCATGGGCGCGCTTGCAAAGGACATTACACCGGATAGCATGCTGGAGCAACACAATGGCAGGCGGCGTTCGCAATGGCGGAATCCGTGGGCATGTTCGCTCTACACCCTGCTGACGACGCTGCTGGGCTTCGGAGCTTTGTTCCTCATGGTGCAGTCCTTCCTGACACGGCAGTTGGACACCAAGGGATGCGAAATGTCATACATGCGGCCCGCTTTCGTCAAGTTTGACGACTTCGACACGGAGCACACGCGCTTCGCGAGCAAATACTCGCTATATCTGTATAGGGAAGGCGGCATAGACGAGGACATCAGAGTATGCACGGCGCACCCCATCCGCGCTATCAGGCTGACAGTGCAAAGGTTAAAGGCGTACCGGTCCTGTTCATCCCCGGCAATGCGGGCAGCTATAAACAGGTCCGACCCCTGGCCGCCGAAGCAGCGTACCATTACCACAATGCGCTGCGACATGATCCGGCCGCTAACAGGGCGGGAAAGCGCCCTCTCGACTTCTTCACGGTAGACTTCAACGAGGATATCACCGCGTTCCATGGACAGACCTTGCTGGACCAAGCCGAGTACCTGAATGACGCCCTCTCGTTCATTCTCTCACTGTACCACACCCCGTCGCGATCACTTCGCGACTCCGACCTGCCAGACCCGACATCGGTCATCATTGTAGGCCATTCAATGGGAGGCGTGGTCGCACGCACCATGCTCACCATGCCGAACTATCAATCGAACTCTATCAATACCATCATCACCCTCTCCGCGCCCCATGCACGGCCTCCGGTTTCTTTTGATGGTGACATTGTACGCACATACAAAGCGGTCAACGACTACTGGCGCCATGCATACTCACAGAAATGGGCCATCGACAACCCCCTTTGGCACGTCACCCTGATCTCCATCGCTGGCGGAGGGCTGGACACGGTTGTACCCTCGGATTACGCGAGCCTGGCGTCTTTGGTACCGGAAACGCACGGCTTCACTGTTTTCACATCTTCGATCCCGCACGTCTGGACTGGAATGGATCATTTAGCCATTACATGGTGCGATCAGGCGAGAAAGAGCATAGTGCGCGCTCTGTACGATGTCATTGACGTCTCAAGGCCGACACAGACGGTTCCGCGCGCAGAACGCATGCGTGGGTTCAAGAGATGGTTTCTCACCGGTCTAGAGAGCATCGCGGAGAGGACTTTACCCCACAAAGAACCAAAAACGCTTCTTACGCTGGAAGAAAACAGCGCAATCGTGTCTCAGGGCGAGAAGCTGGTTTTGCGTAGCCTTGGGCGGTCTAAGCAGAAGCCGAAGGCATATCTACTGCCCATGCCACCGCAAGGCACAACAGATGGAAAGAAGTTCACTTTGTTGACGAACGAGAGACTGGACTCGCCGGGCGAATATGGAAAGCTCGAGGTGCTCTTTTGCACCGTCTTCCCGCTCCAGGCTGGTCAGTCAGCGGCGCTCTTCTCCATGAACATGGACCTCTCCGGCGACAGCTCCGGATCGACGAGGCTGGCGTGCAAGAATGCCGCTTCGGATGTTATTGCTCTCCCTGCTTCAACCCGTCATTCGAGCTTTCCTTTCAGGACGGACCAGCGGCCTTTCTCCTACCTGCAATATGATCTTGAGGACTTATCAGAGCACCAGTTCGTAGCTATTGTGGACAAAGCCAGCGAGCACAGCAGTGGATGGGTTGTTGCCGAATTCAGCGCCGCTGTTGAATCAGTGCATCGAGTGGACATGGGCTTGCAGCGCCTTCTGACCACTGGACTGAGCCTACGACTTCCCGCACAGCGACCTTTGGTGACGGATATCCAAGTCCCGGCTTTGCATTCGAGTCTTCTGGCGTACAATCTGCACATCGGCAAACAGTCGTGCGACATGGGCGAGCTTTTTGCACCTCTCCTACGCCAATACATCACGGACGTCTACGAAAGCAAATTCTTCGTCAATGTGAAGGATGCGAAAATCAATCTGCACGGCGTCGCACCCTATATGCCGCCTCCCTTCCTCGCCAAACACCCTTCGAACGGCTTGTCTCTGCAGATCTGGTCAGACCCGACGTGCGATAGCAGCGTGGAGGTCTCCCTGAAGGTGGATGTGCTGGGCAGCTTGGGAAAGTTGTGGATGCGATATCGCATCGTCTTCGCTGCTTTCCCTTTGCTTGTCGTTGCTCTAGTCCTCCGCCAACAGTTCCGGACTTATGATGAGACAGGCGTCTTCATGAGCTTCGCGGAGGGTTTAAATGTGTGTCTACAGACATCACTCCCATTCGCCTTCGCCGCCTTGACCTTCCTCTCCATATCCCTGGCAGGGGCTCGCCATCCGACTTCGAAATCCACGCTGCATTGGCCGCTCAACGTAGCCTGGGGCAATGTTACGGACCCTTTCACATACACAAACCACGAGCTCCTATTAGGATCTGAAGATACGTTCTTCTGGTTCTTGGTCCCGCTATTTGGGCTCATGTGCATTGCGGTCTGCGTGGCTGTGAACTACGTCGCTCTCGGCGTCATCTATCTCCTCTCGTTCCTCTACTCAGTTTTCCCGTCTGCGGCTGCTCCGACCGATGACGGCAGAAGAACCCCCGCAGCATTCGCCGTGACGTCGACCAGACAGCGTGTCATAACGACCTGCATTCTCCTGTCACTAGTATCGACCGTGATACCTTACCACTTCGCGTACATGGTGCTCTGCATCGTGCAGATCGCCACTTGTGTACGCGGTTACAAGCTGGCAAGGGAATCAGTAAGTGATACGCTAACACTGGTTTTATCGTACATAACTAATGTGAGCAGCACCTCGACAACAACTACAACTTCTATAATTATGCGCATTCCATACTTATCCTCATGGTCTGGATTCTCCCTATCAACCTACCCGTCCTTGTGGTCTGGGTGCGAAACCTTGCGGTACACTGGCTTACGCCTTTCTCGTCGCACCATAACATCCTATCGATAATGCCCTTCATCCTCCTTGTCGAGACACTCAGCACCGGACGCATGGTCCCACGCGTTCAATCCCGATTCTGCTTCCTTACCAACGTATTTCTCTTCTCCATTGCTGCATATGCCGCAGTTTACGGCGTCACCTACGCATATGTTCTTCACCACCTTGCGAATATACTCTGCGCCTGGCTCGTTGCGATACATTTCGACGCATCGTCACTGTCCGTCGAGAGCATCAGCAACATGCTGGAGACTATGGACCCGGATAGCGAGACCAAGAAGCGGCCTTGAGGGGGATCTCTTCTCTTGGTCTCTCAATTCGCCACGCTCCATGGGGCACGGTTTTAGTCCAACATCTCACCAAATCGACCGCACGTATACCTCGCCCGCTGATAACACCCTTCTGTTCCTCTCTCGCATGCATCGTCTGCATTGGAGTTTAGCGGCAATCGATATCCTACAAGATGTGCGTTCACCGGGAGGACCTTTCCGATATAGACTTTCAACGGTTTTGGGCCGACTATTTCCCGGGCCCAGGTAATTTTGGATTCCCACACTTTTGCATACGAGCCAGCCTTTTCTGCTTCGGTCTGGCACCCGAGTAGAAGATACTGCGGGCAGGCGGGGAGGGGCTTTTGGGTAAGCCAGGCAGGGACTAATTGGATTTTCCAGGCGAATTCTTCCCTTGCGAGCATCAGGGACTGGGGAGGTAAGACGACTGTTGCTGCGGAACCGGGGTCGAAGTCATACAGTAATGTTTATAATGTTTAGATGTGCGCGCGCAGCTTCGGCCCCGTGCTGGTGGCGCGTATGGGAGAGACACCCCAGGCAGGATTCTGTATATATCAATCAACCACCTCGAGGTCTCTGTACCTTTTCTAGTTTGAGTAAGATGAAGCTACTCACACATATTTGTTCATCGAGTCGAGAGCTAATAGGAGCTCCTCTCCCCAGTGGAATTTGTAATAGCACTGACTGGCTTGATCTAGGTACTCTGAGCCCGTGCCCCTGCTTTACGCCAAGCCAACCTTCCTCTTCTATCACTGGAGCTCGCTCCTCGCATTCTCTGGATCCGTACTCCCGCAGCGCTTCAACGCACTGAAGTCTATTCCACCTCGACGCCGGCTGGATGATTGTCTTCGAATCCTGGGTCTGCGAGGACGCGATGCTACCCCTGAAGTACCGCACCTACCCTCCCCGCAGCCCCCACGGTCCGGAATGCATTTTTGCCTGCGTACTGGGGAGAAGAGAGACTTGTGATTTGGTATTGCTTTGGAAGCGTTGAGAAAACGACGCTGGACCTCGTACGGGAAGACGTGAACTAGAAACCCACGCTAGTTCAGAAGTAGCTAAGTACGTTAGCGTAGATAGGACGTGCTCAGTGTCGATCTCGTCAACCTCATCCCATCCTCTACCGACCCGCACGAAAGACGCCTTACACACTCTTATTGTCAATGACTTCTACCCTTTCCAGTGTGAGTCCGCTTGACCACCGTCCGCAACTACCTCAGTGCGTTTCTTCTCAAATGCCGGCGAAACGAGGATAACGTAACGATGCGTGCCTCCGAGGTGGGTAGCCGGCGGGACACGATCATTTCGGAGACGGCTTACACGCCTTGTGACTGTATCGTGGACGTGAAATGTAGATACTTAGCCGTATCAGTGGTGGAACGGGCACGCAAGCGTTCACGAAGAGCCATGATGGGGCCAAGCGGTTCGTTCTCAAATCATTCTCATTTTATTTCGTCAATTCCCATATGTTACATGTCCGGGGTGCAAGTTTAGATACAGGGGGTTTTCAAAGAAGCATAACAAGAGGAAAGACAGACTGTTCCTCATCCATCCATGTCAAACACGCATCCAATCCGCTACCGGATCAGCTAGAGAGCTGTCAACATCGGATCCAGCATCCATTGAGGAGGAATCGGCTGTGGCCCTAATTGCGGTTGTTCTTCTTGCGTCCCTTGCCCTTGTGGTGGCGAGCGACAAGGACATCGTCAACCTCGGCCTCGGCCTCGCGACGGTTATTCTTCTTCCTTCCCTTGCCCTTGTGATGGGGCTCTGGCTCGGCTTCGGCTTCAGCCTCACGGCGGTTGTTCTTCTTTCTACCCCCCTTGCCCTTATGATGGGGTTCCGGTTCAGCTTCGGCCTCTGGGTCGCGGCGATTGTTCTTTTTCCTGCCCTTGCCTTTGTGGTGGGGCTCACGTGCTTCAATGTCGTACTCCTCTCGGCGGTTGTTCTTCTTGCGTCCCTTCCCCTTGTGGTGGGGTTCTGGCTCAGCCTCACGTACGCGAAGTGCGTTGACGACATGGTTGGCGCGCGTTGGACCGCTCCCCTATGAGGTATTAGCGCGCAGTTATATAACTTGGGCCCTGTCCAATCTTACCGGCATCCGAGCCTCGACAGTGCCTTCCATCGGCTGGTCAACCACCACGTACGCGGCAGTGAAAGCGCCTAGCGCCAAAAGGGCAAGTCCAGCGAACTTCATGATGAAAGAAATGTAACAAGGTAAACTTTACAGCGAAGAGAAGATGGTCCGGCCACCGGAGAACGAATGGAGAGAGTGGGATTGAGAAGGTTGAGAAGGTTTGAGAGCGATGCTGCGACGATGGGCTGATCGGACGCATCCACGATTTATATTCAAGCTCTCCTCTGGCTGGAACCGCCATCTGGCGCATTCCTTCATTGGGTAACGCCTTGCTTCCTGAGACGAATTGGCATTGACTGCGGAAGACGAAGGCGAATTTCTGCCGTGCTTGGAGTCCTGTAATGGGGAAGCTCGTCTCGTGTGGTAATGGGAAACCTATAGTGCCTCGTGCAGGAATGCTGTCAAGACTTCGGCATCCATCACACCAATGTGCTATTGGACAGTCTCGACGACCTCACGGAACAAGCGGCATCTTTCCTCCTCGCCGGCGGATGCGGAGAGCGGAGCAGCAAACAGAAGCAGCCTTTGGGTTCCGGCCTTGTCAACAGCGTTGTGGAAGTGCCTAGGATTATGGAATCTGTGGGGGAGGCTCAAAACGGGCTGAAACAAGGCTTGACCGTCGATGCTATCGTTGTCATTGGTCGCAGAAGATCAGACTGAAATGCCGCTGTGCCAGAGCGCCGGGATACGAGGCTTAAAAATTGGCAGCTTCTCGCGCTCAAAGAAAGTTGTCGCGGAAGGACGTGCCACCAGAGTATCATGTTCTGTGTCTGACCCCGGGGCAGAACCCCTGTCTGTTAGATCGCCAAGATAAAACAGTGGTGAAGGGCCGAGGGAATCAAGATACCGCTTAGCACATACCTCCAAACTGAAACGGGATCGTTAACCAACGAACTCCGTTAGCGCCCGCGCCTGCATCTTCGCAAAGCATGCTTGACTGGTTGACGTTGCCGTCAAGGGGGCATCTGGGTATTCTTGCCTTGCAAGGGCATACCCGCAAAACATGATGCTCCTTCATTCTCTCTGAAAAGGCCCCAACCGCAACCTGACACCCGCGGAATAATGCGATCAGCCTCGTGATAGACCTTTACCTCTACGCGAGCGGCATTATTGACCGAGCCAACTGGCCGAAGCGCTCTAGTCCTTACCCAAAGGCATCCACTTGTGGATACCTGGTTGTTCTCTTTGCTCTCCAGCTTTCAGCGCCGGGCGCACTGCTTTCTTCCCTTCCTCTTCATCGCCGGTCGACTCAATAAGCTCTATTTCCCTCACATACGACTTTCTTTCTTTAATAACTACGCCTGGCGCTAAATACCTACCAACAGAATGGAGAAGCCCACAGAACCACAGGACTATCATGACGACTTCAGCTCGCAAGGCGACAACGAGAAATCGGCCTTCCTGAACAGCCACTACGTCAAAGAAACTGCCAGGAGAAGAGGGATGATGTATCTGACGTTCTTCAACCTCTTTCTTTTCATGTTGTCAGCCCTCACATTGATCTGCGCCGTCTATTCGCAACATTCAAAATCGACATACTCTGCCGCGGCGTTGATGGATGAGTTTGGGATCTTCTGTGAGTGCGACCCGCCGTAATGGGTATAGGGTGCGCTAACGTACCATAGCGCCCGCGATGCACGTAGTAGAGTACGAGCAAGTGCAGTTCAAGCTTCCGAATCCTCTCAACTCCTCCAAGTACGTTGGCATCACAGACGATGTCGAGAATGCGTGGATGGATATTGCATACCGTAGGTCTCCATACAAATCCCGCTCACTTCAGTGTCTTGCTCACCAACCTATCAGTACCCGACCAAATGGTCTCCATGGAAGACTTTCCCAAGCTACAAAAGCCCGAAGACTCCCTCAAAGTCACCGATCCCAAGACCGGCGAGACTGGCTATCGAGTTGGTCTAGAAGTATTCCACCAGTTGCACTGTCTGAATCTCCTGCGCATGTCCACATATCCTGAATATTATACCAAGCTGTGGTGGTCGGATACGAACGACAAGCCTGAGTACGTGCGAGCGCATCTTGGTATGTCCTTACGCCCAATGTAAATGCGCATGGTGTGCTAACCGTCTATTAGATCACTGCATCGAGATCCTGCGCATGAACCTCATGTGCCTGTCCGATGTTAACGTCTTCACCTTTCACGACGTGCCTGGCAAGAAGGGAGCATGGCCGGACTACGAGTCGCACCACGTGTGCCGCAACTTCGATAAGATCAAACAGTGGGCGAACGACAACGCGATGCCGTATGAGGATGTGTAAACCCCAAGGACCTCTTGTCCAACAACCCCTTGTTTCGTTGCATTATAAGTCTACATATTCCGGGCATGCACTCTGAGCGCTCTTGGGTTCTGTTTCAAAAATACGGCGTTTAGAAAATACCCTTGCATCCTCCTGAGAATAATCCAAATTCATGTTTCTTCCTCGTACATTCCAAGACCTTATTTCAAAAACTGTCACTTGGACACTCTCGCATTCAGAAAGATGTCATCCTCCGTTTGTCATTCATCGCGCTCGCTTCCCCAGGTTGTCGAACGTTTCCTGCCTCGTTTTGCAACTGTTTGTTTCAACAGAACTTGGCATCTCGGAGATCATCTTATCCGCCTAGGCACGCAATACCTCCACGTTTCTTAGGCAGGCGGGCGATCCGAAGGACTGGGAATCAGCCTCTGTGCGAGAAATGCCCAGCGACGTTGTCGAATCGGCTTGTTTTGGACCCGAGATCGTTTACGGAATGAGGCTATGACGAGGATAGGCGGTGCCTGACATGTTATGTTTCGATCGCTCCCGCGTTCAGCATGTTCTGAAAGCCACTCGTTAACCCTTCGGCTAGCGGCACCTGCTTGGTTAAGCTCACACGGAACATCATGATCTCTAAGCAACCCGACGGGGAGACCGTCCTATGGACGAAGTCAAATTGCGCGCTATGAGTCGTCTGTGCTGCGGAGGGATAAAATGCGGGCTTTCAGATCCCGGGCATGTGTCTTGTCCTTTGCTATGAGGTAAAAGGCCCCGATCGTCGTCACCTAGCCACTAAGAGCGACGTTCAAAACAGCGCAATCGCATATCACCGTCGTGATGTTCTATGCGGACTTACGGAGCGGCAATAAGCACCACATATCGTGTTACCACGAGGCGTCGCAAGCCTAGAGATGCCGTGCCCGGATTGCAACCATTGCACCCCGTCATATACCATTCTGGACACTCTACCTCCGTCTCAAACATATACCCTTCCGTTTCCCACTCGCGTTAGGAGTCTCTCGCTAGATCACCAACCAACCAATCACGACATCTCCTAGGGCCATCCATTACCGCTTCGGTATACACCGCTTTACCCGGCTATTTAGCACTGGTGGGAAACCTCGCCTCTCTAAATGGAAATCTATATAGCGATATTGGGCCGCGCAGCTGAACTACGCACACCTCGAATTTTCGCTCATTCCAGATTTTCGCGGTCCTTGGGCTAATGCCAGTAAACTGTGGGGAGATGCGGAGTGCCCAGGAAAGAGGCTGAATGGAGTGCGCATCTGGCCACCATGGAGAAGGGGGTTATACATACCTCTTCTGGCCCACAGGAATCTCGTTTTCTTGGCTCCCTTTCTGCGTCTTGCGATAAATTTTGGCACATCAATTAAAGGCCTATTGATCCTTAAGATCTTCCTTCTCTGAAGCGTCACTGACGAGCTTTCCGCTCAGCGAAAACAAGAGGAACCCCATAGACGCTATGCCCGCCATGCGCGTCGCACTCCTCATCGCCGCCATCGCGGCTGCCGCCACCGCCTCGCCGTTCCCATGGGCCGACGCAGCAGCAGCCACCAGCGTCGCGAGCATGCCCGTCCCCAGCAACGGAACGAGCCCCACTCGAACGGGTCACCACAACCCGCACAAGGAGCCAACGCCGACGTTCAAGACCGGCTGCAACTGCCAAAAGCCCATCATGCCGATTGATATGCTGACAGAGGACGAGGTGAGTAGCGGAAATGGAGGGCAGTGAACGGAGCACCGGAGAAGGATGATGGCAGGCATATAAATGCGTGGGGCGTGGGAGAGAGTGAACAGGACGATAACTGACGGAAGGATGCAGAAATGCCAATTCGAGTTCTATATCAACATGTCGTGCTACATGAAGGCACAAGGGGGATGCCCGTCGCCGACGCTCTCGGTAAGCCTTATTACTCCGGCGGATCACTCATTATGAAGGAGTGGAGCGGGCCATAGTCTATGGAGAGTGTTGCTGACAACCGCAGTGTTAAACACACTCTGTTCGATTGTAGTGGTATAAGAGGAGATGGATGGATACGGATGTGAGATGGAAATGGGAGAGAAGGAGAAAGAGTGGGCCTACATGTCGAAGATTTCTTTCGCCGTACATATTTGGGTATTTGTCTGGTACGTCGCCGATGAATAGGACATACGGTTTCCGCCTATCCTTAACGGTTATTCTAAAAGCTGATGGCACAAACATATTGATGGTTGGTAAAGAGAAGAATGTTGGTCGTCCTGCCGCGCGAAGTGATAGCGGTCATTCGAGCGTTTCTCGAGGGCCGCAATTGAACGGGACTTGCGAAGCGGGGTGATCGTGCTGACAGCCGAAGATATGGTTTGACCAATTAAGAGTATAGAAAGAATAGCCAGCGCGAGTGAAGCCATCTTCAAAGGGAGAAAAGTACACGTTTGCGCCCGGTAAGAGTAAGTTGGAAGCGCTTCTGATGACCACTGGAACAAGCCTCGGATCCCAATGCTTTCAGAATAGATTGACGGTAGCACAAAAAAAAAAGCGCGAACAGGCGGGCAAGTATACACCACGCTGGCACAAACTTTGCGAAGCAAAGTTGCCATTCTCTAGAATCTCAGTGCGCTTTCATCACAGCTGGCTCCAATAACAATTCGTAATGGCAGGCCGTAAATTCCGTCCATCATTGCCAGCGAACACGATTGCGATTGACTTCAGTTATTAACACACATCCCGGGCGCTAGATAAAGGTACACTGCGCAGGCTAGTCGAACACCGAACGCAAATATGGAACGTATCACCACTAGCCATCAACTTCACGACTATTTCTACCCCTCACCCGCCATGCCAGCACAGCCAAAGTCACTGAAGTCGCTAAGGGCCAACGTAGCATACTCTTCTTAGCGTATAGTACATGCGGTCCGCATGGTGCCGGGCCCTGTGCTAGAAAAGCAAGGTGTGGAGGGACCGAATGGTGAGAGCTACAACGATGCGAGACTAACTATTCACATCCTAGGAGCGGGCTTAATGGTGCCCACACACTCTCCAAAGCCCACACCTGCACTCGCATCCCCAGCTACAGCCGTGAATCGAACAATGTCACCATCCTCCAAATATCTCAGCGCAGACCCGTCGCTCAGTGTAGCCGGCTGTTTTCCGTTCATCGTAAGTTCCATCAAGCAAGCAAGCTGCGACTTCTCGGAACCAGACACTGTTCCAGACGCCAGAAGATCTCCTGTATTCAGTGGGCACCCGCCAATAGAATTATGAGCCAGCATTTGCCTAAACGTCCAGTACATGTGACTGAAGCCGACTCTGCACACTTCGGTTGAGACACCGCTACGGACAATCTCCCCTCGAAAGGTGATGTCGTACGTGATGCTCTTCGGATCTTCCAAGAAGTCAACGACGGGCTGCGTGTGCGGTGCTGCGGAGACTTCAAAGGGCCTCAAGGCGTCCAACGTAACGACCCAGGGAGAGACGGTGGTTGCAAAATTTTTGCCATTCAACGGGCCTAGCGGATCTCTCATTTCGCACCCTTGTATATCACGCGCACTCCAGTCGTTGACAAGCACGATACCGAAAATGTGCTCGTCCATGTCTTTTGCGTAGACGCCTGTACCGGCTGCTACTGGACGGCCCACAATAGCGCCTAGTTCGAATTCGTAGTCTAGGCTGCGAGACGGGCCGAATATGACCTTCTTCTCTTTCGCAGCAGGATCCTCAAGGTATTGGCCGAGGGGACGCGAAACGGGAGTGTCGGAGATGTATATGGAAGAACATCGGCCGGCGTATCCCATGGGAAAGTTGTTCCAGCAAGCTGGCAGGGAGCGAACCCCGAAGAGTGCCTCGGGAGCGTTTTGCACGTGGTATGCAGAGACGGAGAAGTCTGTGAAGTCGCCGATTACAACTGGGAGATGCATTCTTACATCCTTGATGTGCTCTGCGCTTTCATGATGCAGTTTGCTTCTGTACGTAGCTTGGATTGCGGACCGGACCTGAGCGTGGATGCCCTTAGATAGTGCAGCAAAAGCGTTGAGCGAGGAGCCCTGTAAAATGGAAGGTAATGCCGTCATGTCAATGTTGGCGAAGGGCTTTTTATTGACGAGTTCGGCCAGGAATATGACATTGTCGCCTATTCGGGTGACTGCCTGTGGTATTGGTCGCTTGATTGAGCTCGCGATCCCGTAGGGTATGTTGTTGATGCTGAAATGGGCAGCGTGGGTATCCGACATGGTATGACTTAGCCGTGCAATGTTTTGACTCTATCGCTCGGAGCAGAGTGGGAAGTGAGCAGCACGCGCTCTGGCTCATGAATCCAAAGTCGAAGTCTGTAAGCGCTCGAGCGCTGATTTGCGACATCCTTGTCCGCTATGTGCATGTTGTTCTGTGTGGTGCGAGACGGGACGTCGGAAGCTCTTCTCCACCTCGGGCGGGCAGGCATGATTCACGTGCTACGCTAGTCCGTATTCGCTGTAGCCTGAGGACACAGGGGGTCCGTCGCTTTCCTTCTCACAAGCCGCGTTCCTTCTCCGCTGCGCACCCATCACGGATATGGCGTCCATCCACTGCCGCCCGAATCCCGGCCGAGCGTCGCAAAGACGTGCTCCATTGACCCAACTTCCCTCCACATCGGTACCTTCACACGCCAGCATACCCACAATGTCCTACACGAATTTTCTCGCCACCCAACTATCTCTAACTCACACCAAAACAACTCACACCCACAATGACCTCTGGCAACAAACCACCACCTCAGGAAAGTCCTCTTCCAAGCATCAACCGCTTCATTACAGCCCACGACCATGAGACCAGAAAAGCTGTCTTCTCAACTGCACTTCCCGAAAAGAATCCAACCCAAGTAGTTCCAGGCGCCGTGTTTCGCCAGGGCTATGTCACGAAAGCCTTCCCTGTAGAGCTCAACAACGATGCCGACCTCAATATCTACAAAAGCTTCCTCGAATCCCCACCTGGTATAGTCGCCTCGGGAGGGACGGTATTGCGCGTTGTGGACATGCACCCGAACTTCACCTCACCCATGCACAGGACCGTGTCGCTGGACTACGGAATCGTCATTGAGGGAGAAGTCGATCTGGTGCTTGATTCGGGAGAGACGAAGACGCTAAAGCGAGGGGATATCGCAGTGCAGAGAGGCACTATGCACGCGTGGCGGAACAATCACAAGACTGAGTGGGCCCGCGTAGTTTTCATCCTGCAGCCCTCGCGGCCTGTTGTGGCTGGCAGCGAGGAGCTGGGAGAGGACTATGGGGATATGGAAGGAGTGAAGCTGTCCGACTAGATCATCCTCTAATACAGAGGCGTTGAGAACTTCTGGCGAAATGTTAAGATGCTCAATCTCGTATCAGATCCGCAGGAAAGATCCAAATCTGGTGCATACTTGCTTCATCCGATGCCACAATGTACCGAAACCGACGCTCGGCAGCGTCTAGCCGAGTTGGGGAAGCCTCGGCCGTGACGAACTTGGGGCGCTCTTCTCCACATCCCGAGACTGCCTCAGCCCGGGCAACTCTCACACGCTAGACCAACAACAGCCATCCAACTCGATCCGCCTAGACCAAGACTCACTATTTCTTTCCTGGTGTTTTGGCTCTGTAGGATCCTGTATCACTACCTACACACATCCTCAAGATGCCGCTGCAGATCAAAGATGCCCACAAGATCGACGATTCATCGTTCTCTTACGTCTTTGAGGAGAATGCCGTGATTTCGCTGAAAACAGGCCCGGGAGGAGTTATTCGGTGTAATGTGTATCGACCGAAGGCCAACGGCGAGAAGTTTCCGGTTCTGGTCACATATGGGCCATATGGAAAGGATATTCACTACAACGCGTAAGTGCCCATTCGTTTCTGTACCTTCGCACAACTCTGATGATGCTTTGCAGCTTCCACGAAAAGTCCTTCGCCGAAGTCAATCCTGAGCATCACTCTGACCATTCAGCTTGGGAAACACCAGACCCCGGTTTCTGGACAAAGCATGGTTACGCTATTGTTCGAGCGGACGAGCGCGGGCTTGGTCAATCACCCGGTTTCCTGGACACAATGTCGCGCGGGACCAGTGAGGCATTTTGCGACGTCGTCGAATGGGCCGCTGAGCAACCTTGGTCGTCTGGCAAGGTCGGGCTTCTTGGCATAAGCTACTACGCTGGATCGCAATGGCGAGTGGCAGCTCGACAGCCAAAGGGTCTCGCAGCAATTATCCCGTGGGAGGGCATGAGCGACTACTACCGTGACCGCTGTCGGCACGGGGGCATATTCTCGAACAAGTTCATCAACTTTTGGTGGAACCGCCAAGTTGTGTCGAACCAGTATGGGCTACCAGGTCGCGCAGCAAGAAACTGGGGCCCGGACACTGTTGACGGCGAGTTATCGGACGAAGAGCGCGAGCATAATCGACAGGATCAAAATATCGACAATCTGAAGAACAAGTTCAGGGATGACGAGTATTACGCGAGCAAGGAGTACGATATGAACGACATTCAGGTACCATTGCTATCCGTCGGTAACTGGGGTGGCATCCTCCTGCACCTGCGCGGAAACGTCGAAGGGTACACGCAAGCAGGATCAGAGTTCAAGTATCTCAGGATGATTACTGGAAGGCATGACCTCCCATTCTATTACAAGGAAGAAGTGGAGATCCAGAGGAGCTTCTTAGATGCGTTTCTCAAAGGTGACGACCGCGTTGGATGGAGCGTAAAAGGCCGCGTCCCTCCTATCGACCTTGTCATCCGCAAAGGCGACGTCGGCTATAACGATGCCGAGAAGGAGAAGACATACAAGCGAAGAAGCGAATCCGAGTGGCCCATTGCGCGCACCAGATACACCAAGTTCTACCTCACGCCATTGCAATCCCTCTCACGAATTCAGCCCGCCATTGCAGTGCCACAAAAGCTGTCTTACAAGGCTTTGGGAACCTTGGAGACCCAGCAAGTGTTGCAGTTTACCACCCCACCTTTCGAAGAAGAGACGGAGATTACGGGCCATATCGTCGCTCATCTCAACGTATCCATGTCACCGCACGCCGCCGGCCCAACACCCTCCGACATCGACCTCTTCCTCACCTTGCGCTACATATCTCCAACCGGCAACGAAGTGTTCTACACCGGCACGGCAGGTGACCCCGTGCCCCTTACAAAAGGCTGGCTGCGCGTGAGCCTCCGCAAAATGAACTCCTCACACCCGCGCCACCGCGAGTGGCTCCCTCACCGTGACTACTTCAGCACAGATGTACAGCCTGTCATCCCCGGCGAAGTATATCCGGTAGATGTCGAGGTGTGGCCGACGAATGTGGTCGTGGAGGAGGGGGGTAAGATAGCGTTTGAGATTAGCAGTGGGGATACGCAGGGAAGTGGCATGTTCTTGCATGAGCACCCTGAGGATCGGAGCGAGAAGAAATTTTCGGGCATGAATCATGTCAGCTTTTCGGAGAAACATGTCAATTGGGTCATGCTACCCATTATTCCGCCAAAATAGGCCATCTCGGTGGACACCAATAGAGACTGATTTACTGCATTCCTTTGGAAGGTGTTCGTTCATTGAGATCTCCGTGCAAAAGAATACATTGATACTTGAGTGCTTTCAGGCCTTCTGTGACACCCATCTCCCGACTGTGAATTGGCTGTTACACATATTCACCAGCTCCCAATCTTCCGCTCCCAGCACACATTCGTCATCCTCACCACCCTCACTTCCGTCAACAACACCAGAGACGAAGCAAGCCGCCATGAAGTGATCATCAGTCCCGTGCGCATCCCGGTACTGTGGATGTTTCATCAACCGCGTAACCCCATTAACTAGAGCGCCCTTCGCCCTACCAGCGCGACAGTTCCTCGTGAATACATCTTCCACGCTCTGCCTGAACTCCAACATAGCCGCCTCAGGTGGAACAGGTTGGGCGAAGTTATCCGTGTAGCGCAACATCTGGCCCCAGTGATTCCGATAGAGGTTGTGCACCGCACCGCCCGTCCCGATAATTAGATATCCATCCGAACGGAGGCTTGCCACAGCACTGCCAACACGCGCGTGGAAATGAGGGTCAAACCGCCCATTCATGGAGATGATGGTCGTAGGCGGACATCCTGCGGGGAACATGCGGATCAGGATGAGGTACGTATCGTGGATCCAATCGAAGGTATCGTTCGGTCTCGCATCCATTCCCGCCTCTCTCAGCATCGAGACCACGCGCTTGCCGGTCGCCAGATCGGGCTTGAGCTTGTAGTCGACGTACTTGGAGGGGTGGACGTAGGCGACTGGGCTCTTCTGTGGATCCGGTTTCATGGCAACGTCGACGCGGTTGGTGCCCCGGGCGTCCCAGTGTGCGCTCATCATGATGACCCCTTTGATACCGTGAGCAAGGGCTTCATCGCCGCATTTCTTCCAGTAGTCTGCTGAGCGCGATTCTTCGCCTAGCATCATAGTGGAGCCGTGGGAGAAGAAGTGGACCGGGGGTAGGGGCATCTTGTTGGCGATGTCTTGCTGGATCGTGATAAGGAGTTGAAGAGAATACAAGCTCGCTCAGCGTCGGATGCGTAAATGTGAATGCTTGAATCACGTGACGCTAAGGTTGGAAAGTCTGGTTTGCTGCCGAAGTGCGTTGAATATGGAAGTATGTTTTGAGAGCTGCGTGATCCGGATTCGAAGCACGGCAGCACGGCTATCGCGATCGGCATCGGGATGTGGGGGACCTCGGCAAGTCTCTGGCCCGACATATGCAGCGTTTTCACCTCCTCATCGCCCCCATAACCCAACCGTTTCCCCAGATTTTCTCCACATTCTGGCCCGGTCAGATATCTCCAGACCTCGTCTCCCGAACGTGTACCTGCATGATGGAGGCGCCGCACCCGCAGGCTAGTCCTGATTCGCTAGAGAAAGAGCGTCTCTTCCAGTGCAGCACGTGCAAGCGCTCATTCACGCGTGTGGACCACCTCACGCGCCACGTACGCTCTCGTAAGCCTCCCCCCGACCGCAGGTATTTGCTAGCCGAGATCACATGACTTACGTTCAGCAGACACCAAGCACAAGCCTTGCATCTGCCCTGTATGCTCCAAAGGCTTCGCAAGAATGTAGGAGTCTTCGACTGCGCTTGGTTCTCCACACTGAAACCCATTTCCAGAGACCTGCTGAAGAGGCATACCGCAAACCATTCTTCCGATCACGCAAAGGCACGCACAAGGAAAGCGACTATTCGCCAGAGCCGCGTAGTACAGGCTTGCGAATCCTGCGCCCAGAATCATCTTCGATGCGAAGATGACAAGCCATGCACCAGATGTAGGAAGAAGGGCATCATCTGTCGCGTCCCTGCTTCGGGTGAGAGTGAGTGCGATACCATGGACGCCGCTCATGATCTCTTCGCTCTATCGAACGAATCTGAACATCCACCGCAAACGACGACCTTACCCGAGACGACCTACCTGCATACGCCCCCAAGCCTAATTGCTCACGAGGGAACCCCATTCCCCCCAGAGCCTCCGAGCGCGGATGAAAGTGTCGACACCCAAAGGCAGCCCGAAATGCCGGGAGAGTCAGATCTGCACGCCTCATATATGGGAGATAGCGCCATATCCTTTAGCGACGAATCTCCGGTAGACTCACATGTTCCGGAATACATCCGCCATATGCCACCTCTGGAATCCTGCTTTTCCGGTTATGCTACTCCACATAGAAACATGGACTTCGACTTCAACTGGGGTATCGACCTTAGCGGCCTTGATTTTGGGTTTTTGGACCAGCACACTGCACCAGAAGTGTTCCCGGAGGACTTCCTCTCGACGGACACGCAAAACACTGAGCAACAGTCTTGCTTTGACGCGCCTCAAGATGAAGTCACCATACGGGCTGAAGCCTTCAAGCGCAGTGTTTGGCGTTATATGCCTCCGAGAGACACCAATCCCGGGATTGCCGAGGAGCCCAATTTGGCTCTTCCCGATGAGGAGAAAGATGGCCAGACGCAATCACATATGGTATCACGCAGAGCCACGAAAGATCGTCTCTCCTATGTTGCACGGGACAAGCTCCTTGCGCTTGTCCTAAGTACTTCCAGTCCAGCAAACGCGAAACAGATCTCAGCTGGCTTTCCCTCCCTTCAACTACTCGACTGCCTTATCCAGATCTTTCTTACAGCTCCTTCGATCGATGCGGCATCTTGGTTACATATCCCTACCTATTCGTCTTCAGTCCTCAAACCCGAACTTCTAGCTAATATTGTAGCTGCGGGCGCATCATGTACATCGGATAAGTCTCTTCAGAAGCTCGGGTTCGCTTTACAGGAAGCTTCCAGAGTTGGAATAGGAAGAGCTTTCGACCAAGACAATTCTGCCATCCGGGATATTCAGTATCTTCAGATTCAATTATTGCAGGTCGAAACTGGCATGTGGAGCGGCATCAGTCGCAAGATGGAAATCGCAGAAAGTTTCCTCCAACCACCTGTCACCATGCTTCGTCGTGGAGGCCGATTTCGACATTCCATCTGGAAGGAGATAGTCCCTACACCGGATGACAGCGGATCGGCCCTGCAGGGAAAATGGAAGGAATGGGTGCATCAAGAGTCATGGCTCCGGCTGGTCTACCGTTATTTCGAGTTCGATAGGCAGTCATCTATGGCACTGTTGAAGCCGCCGCTCATCTCGTACTCTGAAATGCAGTTGCCTCTCCCTCATCCCGACAGCTTGTGGTACGCGAACTCAGCCGAGGCGTGGCGGTCAGCATATTTTTCGAGCGCCGTTCCTATGGCAAAACGACCCTCGCCGTCGGACTGTCTACTGGACTTGAAGTGGCTTACCTACAACAACACGGCAAACTTAGTGTATCTCTACATGGTATGGGGTATGATTTGGGAATACAGACAGATGGCGACTCTGATGGCCAGGCTGGAGTCCGACCACGGCCTGATACTCTCCTCCCGGTATCAGGAGATCTCCAAGTATTTTGACGACTTCCGTGTCAACAACTCGTCCTCGAACATCGATCTGGAAATCATTCTTCAAGTCATGCTCATGCACCTTAATGCGCCCTTGGACGACATGCAGACCTTTGCTGGCATCGCCGGACCAGAAGAAGCAAGGCACACCTATCCCACGTTTCGAGATTGGGTGAAAACGCCATCGGCACGGCAAGCTTTATGGCACGCTGGACGGATACTGAAGCTTGCACAAGGTCTACCTATGGGCACCCTCCGCAATTTTCATGCTATGGCGGTGTATCATGCGGGACTGATCTTGTGGGGCTATGGACTTCTTGATCGCTCCTCTACCACCAATCCACCCAACCATGACCTTCCATGTGTCGCGCTCAATGGAGAGGAGAGCCTCGATGTTCGGAGGTTCATCAAGCTAAACCACGGCCAGCCTGTTTTGCAAAGCTGGGACCCTCAGCATCCGCCTGTACTTATCCATACCGCTTCTCAGGTTATCGACTTTGCGAGGCACCTATTGCTTCGAAACCACGATGCCACCGACGGGTCCTATCCACCTCTGGTGGACAGCCTGGTGCAGTTGATGGATGGTTTGCGGTCGGCGACAAAGTAAAGTTATCGTTACGGACGCGCATCTCTGTGGAACGAAATGATATATCATACAACTGGTTCATCATGATCCCCTTAGTTTGCTGCCAATATGCCGGGATGTGGAGGGAGTGGTCGTGTCCGTACGAGCAAGCCTCGGTACAGAGCAAGGCCGAGCTACAATTCAACCCCTAAGCTCCGCATCACACGCTCAGAGACGCCAATTGCCTGGACTGTTGATATTTCCACACTCCCCTGTCAGCCTTTGGTGACCTACAGTCTTGCTTGACTATCCCGAATTAGACCTCCCAACTTCAAACATGGCTTCTACGACGCTCCACGGCACGTACTCGTCTTACGAAATCACACCCGCAGTCACCAATAGACCAGGTCAATGCGACGACCTCAACATAACCATAGTGGGAGCCGGGATTGGTGGATTCAGCGCCGCAATTTTCCTCAGGCGCCAAGGCCACAATGTCACTCTGGTTGAACAATCGCGTTTCGCCAATGAAGTGGGTGCTGCTGTACATCTCGCACCCAATGCTAATGGCCTGCTTCTCCGGATGGGCTTGAAGGCCGAAGACATCGGCGCCGTACCTTGTAACCTGATATCGACCTCCAGGCCCAATCTTGAGCTCGTGTTCAAGGCCGAAGTCTGGAAGCAATCGCATAGATGGCAACATTCTTGGCTTCTAGGGCACCGAGTGGATCTGCATTCAGAATTGAAGAGATTGGCGACAATGGAAGAGGGGAAAGGGCCACCAGTGATTCTTCGTACATCCTCCAAGGTGGCCAGTGTTAGTACCGACGGAGCCGTTACCCTGACTTCCGGCGAACAAATCCGCGCGGACGTCGTTGTTGGCGCGGACGGCGTGCATTCCAAAACGCGATACGCACTTCCAGGGTCTCAAGATATCAAACCATTCGGGTCCGGGAAGAGTGCATTCAGATTTACGATGCCACGCGCTCGAGCCCTGGCCGAACCCGTCACGAAGCCACTTGTGGAAGCGGATGGCCATCTAAACATGTACATGGGGAAAGACCGAAGAGTCGTCATCTATCCCACCAGAGACAACGACGTCCTCAACTTCGTCTGTATCCACAGCACTTCCAGCTCCGAAGTTAAGGCTGGAGCTCCAGAGAGCAGTGACTGGCAGAATACAGGGCATATGGACAAGCTGCTGGAGATATACCAGGACTTTGACCCTGCGATCGTCAAGTTGCTGAGCATGGCAGACCCGGACACCTTGAAGGTTTGGGAATTATTGGACATGGAGCAATTGCCGACTTGGACGAATGGGCGGTTAGCGTGCATTGGGGACGCGGCGCACCCATTTACACCACGTAAGTTGTTCACGTGAAGCTCTTTCCACGTAGGTTTAGCTAACTATCACGAAGACCAAGGCCAAGGAGCTGCACAAGCCATCGAAGACGCCGCGTCCCTGGCTTGCGTTCTCCCCCTTGGAACTGCTCTCGAGGAAATACCCGAACGACTCAAGCTCTACGAGAAGTGTCGATACGAGCGAGCGTCGAGAATCCAAGAATACTCTCGCATCATCGGAAAAGATTTCGGAGAAGGGCCACCGCTCGACGCAAGCCAATACACCAATGAAAATTTCGGCCACGATGAATGGCACTACACAAGCCAGAAGCTGCGAGAGTGGCAGTGGAGCCAGCAAATAGGCAGTTATAGGCGCATGCCGCTTTCGTTCGGTCCCTTCCCCGGCCCGCGCCAAGACCACCTAGGACACCCTAGGGATTGGAGCGAGTCGACATTTTGCACCGCGAGCGTGAAGTTCAAGACATCGCGTACGTTACTACAGACCCTATTTCCCACTCCGGCGTTCAAGTTTGCGTCCTCAGACACTGTCGCTTTCGCTACGTTCTCCCTGTCTACGCTGGGAAATCTAGAGTGGCTTGGAGGGAAGGGATACTCGCATTTCGGACTGTACGTTCATGGGGTTGAATATACGAGGGGTAATGGCGACAAGGTGAAGGGAACGTTCTTACCCGTTCTGTTCGAGAACCTTGCGGATCCGATCGTAAGTGGGCGAGAGGAACTCGGCATGCCGAAAGTATTCTGCGACCTGGATGTGCGCCGAGTCGCCGATACCTGGCGAGTGACCGCTGGCTGGATGGGCTCAGACTTCCTTGATCTATCGCTCACCGGCCTTGGCGAAGACGCAGCTCGTACTACCCCAGAGAACAGCATTGCTGCCGACACAGAAGGAAGGGCCCTCTTACTTTACAAGTATATACCCAAGGTTGGAAACCTAGGAAGCAAGGAGCGAGGACAAGCAGACGTTGAACACGCAGTCATCGTACCCAGCGCCGATGAAGCCAAGGCCCCACGGAAGGTAGAAAAGACTATGATGGCTGAGAAGGCACAGATCAAATGGGACGCACTAGATTGGAAGAGGTTACCCACGCTCCACCATATTGTAGATAGACTGGCTGAAATTCCGGTTTTCGAAGTTGTGGAGGCGAAGATCGAGGAAGGGAAGGGGCTGAGCGATGTCCGGGGAGCCAGGAAGTCGGTCTGAAGAAATGCTCATTTGGCACCTGCGCTCGCAACTTCATGGTTTTATGATGTAGCGTATTGCTGCAATATTCCTACGTATGCTCTACCGAAGGCGCGACACCGCCTAACTACTTCATAACCTGCACCTTCCTTCACCATTCTCCTCCGATATTATACCTAACATCCCACATCCTCCCAGCGGTAGCTCTCCAAACTTTCGCAGCGGTCTATCCCTCTATCAGTAGAAGCTCCTCTCCCCGAATCTAGCATCCTCCCAATCTAGCACTCACCGCCTCAAGAAGGACGCCACTAAACATGACGTTCACGAATGCTCTCTCAGCCCCATTCATGAACACCCTTCTCTGACTCTGATCGAGTTGCGTATTAACAGGGCGGTATGACGGTACGCGGCGCTGGTCGGTCGGCCAGTGGGGTGGGTTCTGCTGGGCGGACGATGGCGACGGGTGCGTATTGAGGCTGGTATCGAGCGGGTCAGTTTCAGGTGTGTGGTGGATGGAGTAGTCTGCGAGCACGGTGCGGAGGTTGTAGGTTTGTGCGTTCGAGGTTGTGGTTACGGACATAATGAAGCTGTGGGAACGATGTTGGACAGGAGTATGAAAAGCCCAGGGTCACTTAATGATGCCGAGATTCGTAGGATATGATGGAGCTTGGACTCGTTGGCGTGATCTCCGCGTGCAGTGGTTGGTGGGGTAGTCCGGCCCGAGGAGTATCGGGATGTGGGGGAGCGTCACCGCCGTAGGAAGGCTGAGCATAGGCTCAACGCGTGTTTGACCAATCGGATCCAATCGTACTTCTTTGGGATTTTTGGAGCTACAACAGAGAGCATCCGCGAGTTTGAATGTTGTGATCATCTATCCTACATAGCAAGCCATGGCGAGCACCCCCGACACGACAATCACGACGCTTGCGGCAACAGCCCGCACAGCCCACTGCCACAATCACTACTTCCGCCAACAGCAGCTAAAGTTCTTGCACGATACGCTGCGGAAGAGCACCGTTTCCATATGCGACGCCATTAAGCGCGATACAGGCGTAACAGATGCCGAGGCAGCAGTCGAAGTGGCGATAGCATTGGAACTCGTCAAAGAGCACTATGCGTCAATAGATCCAAAGAAAGAGCTTGAAGATGAATACCGGATTGCGAAGGGGAGGGATGCAGCGGATAAAGTATCCCCATGGGGTGTGGTGTACGTTGAGCCGGAACTTGGGCACACTCCTCTGTTCAGCGTTGTGAGTCCGATTACTGCAGCGTTGGCGGCAGGAAATTGCGTTGCGCTCAAGGTAAGTCGTCGCCGCTGGGGTAAAAGAAGAGGACACTGCTAACCAGGTAACGTAGCTTGAAAACGATCTCCGAGCCCTTCCTCCTCTCCTCCGAAAGCTGCTCCCGCAAGCGCTGGAATCAGACACCTTCCAGATCATCAGTGCAGCTCCTTCAGGAGACGTACTGGCGAATTGCCTCTCAGTCCTCCAGGGCACCACAGTCAAACAGCCTCTGAACTCCCAGCTCGTCTCGTCGGAAGCGAGAGTAGTAGCGGTTGTAGACCGCACTGCTGATCTCGCCTTAGCTGCTGAAAACCTCGTTACCGCGCGCTTCGCTTTTGGTGGTACGTCGCCCTATGCCCCGGATATAGTCCTCGTGAACGAGTTCGCGAAGCGAGACTTCCTCGAGCAGGTGCTCAGACACGCCAATCGCGTCTTGCCGATCTCGTCATCTTCTGTTCCAGACGACCAAGCATCAGTGCGCACAAAGACCTCGAGCGTTGCAGACGCCCTTCATTCTTTCCAAGGCAATAAGGACTGGCGTCTCAACATCGTAAAGAAAGGGGACACGGACGGCATCGTAGAGCTCTTTTCCACGAGCACGACTCTAGTCCCGCTTCCGCCCAAAGTCTCGGCTCCAATCCTATGCATATCCTCTGTCAGCTCCCTTGATCATGCCATCGATCTCCTCGCGAACGACACGGACGAGCCGTTGTTAGCCGCGTATCATTACGCTGCCCCAGGACACGCGAAGTACCTCGCCCAGTTCATCAAAGCTGAGGCTACGTTCGTAAACAACATACCGCAAGCTCTTCTACTCGGCCCTGCCGCTCCGCTGTTTTGGCATGTCAATGTAGAAAAGCGGTATACGAAAGAACAGTTCGTGCGGCCAGCACCAGGCTACATCGCTCGCTCAAAATCTCGGGTTACGCTTTCGACGCAGGAAGCAAATGGGTTGCTGCAGCAAGCGGTCAAGGAGATCCGGGAAAAGAAGAGCCCGGAGTGGATAGCGCTTGGATTCTTCGAGCAGGGCATACTGCTCGGATTGGGCGTCTTTGGCGTCCCCCTGTTGGCTTGCTTGGGGGCATCGATATTTTTCGGGGCTAAGGCTGGGTTGCGGAAGATTTCCATGTCGCAGTCGATGTAGTATTAGGAACTGTCAGGTCTTTCCCTAACACGGTTTGTTGAGGTTGAACATATCGTGGAGATCCGGTACCGCATGACCGTGGTGCGCGTGCGCTGATGAGAGATGTCGCGCGCGGATGCTGTGAATTGGGGGCCCTATTTCGACGATATCTATTGTCCAGCAACGCCCGACACGTCGTACAAACGCATCAGCGTCCCAGCCCTCCAGCTCACAAATATCCAAGATCATGTTCCGAAGCCATCGGGGTCCCAACGATCCCAATCCTCTAGACTCACGCCATTCGTGCCATCCTCTAGACGGGTCGCCCCTCCATCGCCATCGCCTTGCACTAAGATAGATGGTCAGCGATCGCAGTCCTCATGCACATTTGCCGAGCGTCTGCAAACGTACGACTGGATGCCTGCTCACCTCCATCACTCCAGAGCTGACCTACTAGTCTCAGCGCTTTCTCTTCTTGAACTTCGGGTCAAACAACGGGTTCATCCTACCTGAGCTGTCCACCAGGTCTGGCATTTCCGTATCGTCCTCGCGCGGGAAGCAGTGAGGCCATGCTTGTCTCTCGAGTTCTCGCAGACCGTCGTATCGATCTCGCAGCCGTGGTATTGCACGTACCGCAGTGCGCAGACCCTTGGAAAATTCCGTCACTATCTCATGGACCTCGTCGTTTTCAATCCCCTCTGAATCGCATTTTTGCACAATCGCGTCCATAAGCCGCTCCTCCATCGCATCCAACATCGGCGTCAGAATCCGCGCATCAGTTTCCTCCAAATCCTTCTTCTTCTCGGCCTCCCACTTGTGCAGGCGATCCAACTGAGCAAAGAGATCGGGGTCCCAATTCTCGCCGTTTATCGCCTCTTGTATCTTGTCGTGTTGCTCTCCCAGTTTGCTGGCCGTTTCGCTCTCAATTTCGTAGTACTGATTCAGCAGAGCGGGGTAATTGGAGCACTGCTTGAGGGTGTTGATGGTCCAAGGTCGCGGTAGAGGAAGCCAGAGCGGAAGGGCGAAGTTGACAGCTTCGAGCTGCTGCTCGTGGCGCCAGTGCAGCATTATACGGAAGAGTGTGCCTTCGTCGGTGTACTCACGCATGTTGGCTTCGCGCTGGGCGCGGGCACAACGGATGCGTTCGTCGAATTCGCGACGCTCGGCAGAGAGGACCAACGGCGGTGATGGCGAGCGCTGAACGGGAACGAAGGCGCCGTCTCGCCACTCAAGCGTGGAGAACGTGGACACATCGGCGTTTTCGTCGGTAGGATCCTGATTTACGGTGACGGACGCCGCGGTCATGTTCTGGATGGCGAAGTCGCAGGCTTTCGTGTCTGTTTCCCTACGGATGCTCAAATCCGGGAAGTCCAGAGAGTACAAGTCTTCGTTGTTGCATGCTTGCATGGTTGCGGTGTGAGCTTTGTTGACAAAGCTTGTCGCAACGCACAACGAACAATCCAGTTAAAGAACCGACCCCCAAACCCCCAAATGGTCCGGTGAGATAAAGTGAAAGCCAGATAAATAGCTCGAGACCTAGATGAACTCGAGCTTTACTTCGCTTTCACCGCGACGGAGTTAAGGTTAACATCGGTATGTAGAGCATATAGTCGCCTAGTCAAAGCGGCCGGTGGCCACACCGTTTACCAGATTGCCGGTATGGCGTTACGGTGCGCATTATCAAATGCCTGAAAGGTGCGGACTGTGGAAGGCCTCTAGGAGTGGTTTCCAGAGCGGGATCAAAGCATTTGAGCACGTGTCGCGATAAATGTACCGGCGGATAGAGCTCCAGCTTGTGCCTTTTGATTTGAAGCACGAGACCCAAAGGCATTCCATTTTTCCCTCAAGCATTCACTCTAGTGCATTTCCTATCGAGCGGCCGTTCGCTAAGGGCAAGACATCTTCATCGCGCTGAGAGAAGGCCTTCTTCGCGTTAAACCCTTCTGTCGTTCACCCCTCTGAGTGGGGAGAGTGTAGAATCTCGACGATTCACATTCTAGCCTCAGATAATACGGCTCCTGCCTGCAAAGTTTAGAATTTGGCGTAATTTGCCTGAGCCTTCGCTACGTAGTATACCTGCATTTTTCTCGTGATGAAGTTGTGCTGAATTTGAATACCTGCCAGAGGTCGGCACTGACCCAATCATAGAAAATGTTGCCAAAAGTCTGGTTAAGGCCGACAATCCTTCGTCTAAGGATCTCAAGGCGTTCCGCAACCCTCGTCACGTCTGTGCCTCAGATTCGGATATTTCTAGGGGCCACCGTTCCCGAGTTGAGTATAGGTGCCCGCCTCCATCGGTAAGCCCTCGCATATTGATTTATGGGTGTATAGCGTCCCCGATTCCTCGTCGACCCCAATATAATGAACTTCGACGAGCACGCTCCCGCTGAAGCCTTGTGTTCCACCTCCCCACTCTCGGTATACAATTATGAGATCCATTCGCGAACACCGGAGCCGTTCGAGCAGCGTAGGGCGGGTTTCGTGTTATGTCGAAGCTAAGGGTCGCCGATTCGGTCTAAGTCCTCGATGTGCCGGAAAAAGGACGGACTGAGACTTTCAGCACATCTGAAAGGGGTGAGCTGGCTCTCTTACGGCTGCTTCACGCCTTTTTCTGCGATACTGGACGGCGCCGGGAGGGAACAGTCTAGGAGGGTACGTGTTTCGATCGCGGGTAGAGCATCGAGACGCCTCCTTGCCGAACTTTTCTCGGTGCTGGACTACGCTGCGCAAAGGCAAGGTGGAATGATGCGTGTCCGTAGTGGTTGAAGTATCCATGGATGCGGATAAGACGCGTCGGAATCTTAGCCGAGGATGTTAAGGCGCCCTCCACCGCCACCGCCACACCTCTACCCACGCCTTACCTATCCTAACTTGTCCCGCGCAAGTGACTTTCTATAGAAGGATTGTTCGGCCTCAAGTCTTCCCGCGGCTTAATACCCGCCCTATAGATCCCGCTACATCTCAGGACATGCATCTCTACTCTGCTTCGAACCCGACGACAATGATCTTTCTCCCGCAACTTGGGAACTACCACTCGTATCCAGTACAGTGTATTCTAGCTTCTGTACTCGCAGGCCTACACGTCTAGCCCCCTGTATGAGTGCACCCTAGTCTGTCTGCTTTCCCAAACCCGCTCCGCAAACTATCTTTAGCGCTATCTAAGGTATTGTGGTAGAAACCCTTTCGATAGCCCTTGTCTCATCGTAAATTCTGCCTGCTCTTCTATCGCTTGCATCTCTGCCCGCCCTCAGAGGCCTCACCATCTGGACGTCTTTTTATCTCCGAATTGCCCGCCGGCAGTACTATTTCCCGCACAGATAGCAGCTTCCAAGCCTCCTCTCCCTTGTCCTCATCGCAATCCGCCACTGTCTCCGATCACGACCTGTCCCGACTAGGCCAGGCTCCCCATCACACGCCGACGATCACCCTCTCACCCCAAAAAGCAAACACCCCAACCTAATCCAACTGACCTTAAGACTTAACCCAAAGCCGCTCATCACACCCTGAATAATCACGCCTCACTTCTCCGCCACTCCTCCTCCCTGCAAATGCATACACAGGTCACACTGCAGCGATCTTCCCGCCAGGCATTCATGACATGCATACCCTTTCCTCCTCTTGCGCCGCAATCACATAGCGCTTCTAGCGCTTCGGATATCACACACTCCCAGCACGTGTCGCGCTGCTCCACAAATTCTAATTCCGTTATCTGTGCAGTTGGATACCTTAGGTAGCGTGGGGGTCAGCTCCCCCTGCGTCGGATAGTGTACAGGACGTGACTTTTTGGCCCGAGACGCTCGGAGCCGAGCACGCCGGGAGATCTGGGGTACACGACGACGGGATGAGAGGTTAACTGGATGCCTGAGCAGCTGGGGAAGACTTTGTGCCAAAAGTGAGTGAACATGGCGACGACTTCTGGCTTGCAATCCCACCATAAGCGAAGCAAGTATCGCAAGTATCGGGGATCCCGACGATATTGATCACGTATCTCATCACATCGCATTCGAATGCACCATGAATGAGGCTCTCCCTTAGGCCGACGCTTCTTCGTCTCGCGAGACACTTGCTTTTCCCAACTTGGCGCCACTACCACGCCATCGGCGCTAACAATGCGACCAATACGATTCCTACGTGGCTACGGAAAATGTTCCGACAGGCGAGGCTCCGGCGTGACGTGTCGTTAGCGTCAAGTATGCTTACATCGCGTTGTGGGGACATATATTGGTTCTACTGTCCCATCCCAAGGAATACATTTCCATTCTTGGAAGAGCTGAGTGTCAGGCAATGCATGTCGTTGTGGCTCTTGGAAGGGAAAATGAAAAGATATAGAATACGAGCACTAGCCGCGCTAATATACCTAGACTGACCTTGTCCTAGCCATGTATACAGGATCAAGTAATTTGAAGTGACCCTGGATTGCAATTGGCGACTCGGTATAGCTTATCCTGAAGGGCTTCAGAGCCCTAAACAAAGATTACTCTAGGTTGTTTCATTATATATCCACCAGTGTACCATTAGGCCGGATTTCCAATTTTCCCACCCTGATGTTCAGGACAAATCCAAAATGCCCCATCACATCGTGGCGCCAGCCTGTGTAGCTCCATCCGCGTCCAACACGGCGCCCTCCTCCGCATCTTTGGGCTTGATAAGCCTGATACTGACCTCAGGATCCTTGCTATAAACACGGAGACCGAGGACGCAAACTGCATTCCAGGGGTTCTGCTTATTCTCTGCTGCTGCCTTGGGTGGTGGCGGAGGTGCAGCTCCGGCGTCACTGGCGGCGTAGTATCGACGAGGAGCCGCCCCGAACGTTGGAGAGGGCGGTCCTGAGCCACCGTAGCCGGAGGGAGGCGGACGAAGCGCGACGGGCTTCGGGTCTTGGGAGTCGTCGGACAGCGGTGTGTCTTGGGCCACCTCGTTGCTTGACGCTCCGTCATCCTTGGAACCGGGCTCCATTTTGCTATCGTGCCCAGAAGCACCCCCAGGCCCCTTGTCCTCATTCGAAGCCTCGGTCGCGCTTTCCTTCACTTCTTCAGTCTCCTTCGAAGAAAGGTGTTCCTCGGCGTTTTCTTTAGCATTCTCCTTTTCCACCTGCTCCTTGTCAGCCTTCTCTTTCTCAGCCTTTTCAGCCTTTTCCTTCTCCTCGCGCTCCCGCTTTTCCTTCTTCCAGACTTCGAATTCAGCCTTCTCCTTCTCGGCGTCCTCTTTCTCTTTCCGCTTCTTCTCCTGTGCATCTTTCTTCTTCTGCTCCTTCTTCTTTTTCTCCTCTGGGCTTACTTCGACAACCCCCTTGGAATTAGCAATGTCGTAATTCATTCCAATCTGCCTCAATTTCTGTGGATTGCGGTCCGCGATCTTCGTCACTACGTCGTACACCTCCGCGGCGTCGGGATCGCGAGATGCCACGATCTTCGGAACGACCTCGTACTTGCCAGGCTCGAGATCGACTTCGGCGGAGATACTGCGGTTTCCGAACCATGCACCTCGAGCACGAACAATGTGATCCCCGGCCGGCGCGTTCTCCTCTTGCAGCAGGAAGTGCAGATCAAAGCTGTATTTGCCCTCAAGGCCGCGGAAATAGCGGTCGTCAAGCTGAAGATGTCAGCGGCTTTGCCGCCATGTGCGGATATTAGTGGTTACCTGGAATAGCACAAAAACCGTGGGGCCGGCTTTCTTAATCTCAACCACGAATTTCGTGCTGAGGTAGCCGGTCACCCAAGCTACACTCACACTCGTCCAACGCTGTACGACAGTCCAGTCCTGATTGAAGAGACGGGTGCGGTCGAGCAATTCGAAGCGTTTGCACAGATCATCATATGACATCCAGAAGACACCATCGTCATCAAAGCGGTAGTCTAGCTTCTTCATCCAATACGGCGTCCATTCCTTGGAGCCATCGCTCCAAGGACCATTCCATTCGCCCATACTGGCGGAAGCTCGTTCGCCCCATGGATTCCTATTACAGTAAGCGGGAATGTCGGCGCACAAAGAAATTGGTCATACCTTATCAGGACCAATTTGTGGCTCTCCCCATCCTCGTCCTTTTCTTCGACGGCCTTGAGGACCGAGTAAGCATGGTTGAGAGCAAGACCCTGTCTTGCGTCCGAATCATCGCCATAGGAGCCTGGAGATGAGGCAGAGAATAGGAACTGCTTGTTGACCTTCGGCACGATCAGTAACTGGTGCCGTTATGAGGCACACGCTTGGCGAAGCTCACCTCCAGCAGCTCCTTCCAGAGCCGCTCTTTGCTTAAGATTCGGTTCGTCAAAACTTTCGTGGTAACCCCTCCCGTAAGGTCTTCAACGGCTTCACCACTGATTCCGCCGCTGATGGCATCGTAATCACCATGTACCTTGGCGTATGCCTTCTCGAGCAACGGTAACCAGGTCTCGTTCTGATCAGCGCAAGAAGCGAAATACAGTGCGTCGGAGCCTGTTTGGTAGTTCTTCTTATGTTTCCTCTCCTTGACACCCTTCGGGTCGTAGTTGTCACCAAGGGCGTCAAAATCCCTGGAGCGGAGATAGAGATTGTCGTCCACCACCGTCCAGATCCATTCTCCGTCCCTGTAGAAAACGAACCCGTACACGCCGCAATCTTCATTCCTTTCGACACAAATTTTGTTCATGAGGCTCAGATCGCTACAGATGGTTGCTATCGCCGCAATGAACCTAGATCACGTCAGCTGCTTCCAGCAACATCCAAACTCTGGCACGCACCAACAGTCACCGTTGGCTCCTTGCTTCACGTCGGAGCTTGAAAAGCCGTCCACCGTGAAAGACGGTTTCTCGAAGATCCAATCAATTCGGTGCACAGAGCCCGGGCCGCCGCCGTCACTTGATTCTTCGAAATCGAGGATCTTTGAGGCCGCGTTGAGATCTATGGCCATTGTAGGAGCAACGAGCAGATTGCTCTCCACGAGGGTGGCTAGCGCATTGCTTAGCCTCCAAGGACTCACGGTCGCCCTTTGCCCCTGTGCATCGTTGTACCAGTACATCAGACCTTCGAGGCAGTTCTTTGTCCTCCAGTCACTCTCGATATCGAAGTCCGGGTCGGTGTACTTCTCGTTCGTGCGCTGGCATTCCCGAACGATCCGTTTGACGCGAGCGCGACACTCGTCTGCAGCAGCTTGGTACGATTCCGCGGCATTTTTCCCTCTGACAGTCCCAGAAGGTGGGTGCGGCGGGAGGAGATTCGTGTAGAGGCTCGAAGGGAAAATGTTGGTGACTTTTCGTGGCTTCTTGGTGATGAGATTTTCCCAGAAGTCATTCAACTCATCTTGGGGACTCTTGGAGTCATCGTCACCCGAGATAGAGCTCATCTTCACTCTGCCCTGCTTCGTTAGCGATGCGAGGGGTTTGAGGGAGGAAACGAAGCCGGCTTACCAAAAGCTTGCTTCTTAGCTGTCCACGGAGTCCACACCGAACGATGGAATAGTCGAGTTAATCCAGCGCGCTGCCTTAGCACAAAGATAACGGCGTGTTTGTGAAAGAGGAAGACGAGCGCAAGGCTAGGGGCAGCGCGGTAGGAGGCTATATGTAAAGCAGTCCGTTGGGGGCCAAAATGATGGCGAGAGGATTAGCTGCATCGGGCTGAGTGCGGCTGACAATATCGGTTGTAGAACAGTCAGATGTGCAAGGCGGCAACCGAAGCGTTGAACGTGAGAGGGTCAGTTCAAGAAGGCAGACAAGCTGCGCTGCTCAACAGTGCCAGCTGAGCGCGCCTACATGCAGCCACCCCAGGCGCGTCGGAGTTGGCATGATGCTGAGTAACACGAGCACGACACGCCATGGCGGGAGAGCGAGAAAGGAACGGTTTTGGAGACGAAGACAGACTGCGCGAAGGAATAGTCCGACGGATGGATACTCTTATGGTGACGATAGATGACATGGGAGGAGGGAGGCGTGGGGGGCTCCAGGGCTGGCTCGTCTGCACGTGACTGCCCCGCACTACTACTGCACCTGGCGCACACCGGACTTCACCATTTTGTCCACAACCCCACGTCGTTAGACTAGGTACTATCTGCTCGGGCGGCGCCATTATTAGCACCATCAACCAATGGTGGTCCATGTCCATGCTGTCAGCATGCGTCCCCCGAGTCTTTAGCCCAGACCCCGCATTCTGTACTCTACAGTATGTAAGCCCGAGGCATCAGGCTGCTTAACCAGTCGCTTAGTCCAGAAGTCTCCGCGTTGAACTCTTTACTTTTTTCGCCAGAGTAGGAACAATATGCCGGCCCCGATTCCCGAGACCCTTGGTCGCCGTTCTCACCTCTCCCGTCCGCAGGCTGGCGTGGGCAATGGCACTGTAACTGGCTCTGCGCTTGGCGAAAGTTTGCGCCTATGTACGAGCGCCTGGAAGGAGGAAAGCGCGCTCGGTGCACAGTGAATCACCTGGGCCCCATCTCTAGCCTGCTCTCTCATTAGCCGCAAAGAGCATCGTGAAGCCCATCGGCCCAATCCACTTCGTCGGGCGATAGCGGGGGAGGAGGCAATCATCGAGTTCTCATTGTGTAATAACTTTGGTCGAGCACCCCTAAGCGACTCCGATGAGACGCATACAGGGGTCCTGAGGACGATAGGGTTTGCCAGTCGATGAGGCTAAAGCAGACCTTGCAAGAGGCCTTAGCTCATGACGTGAGGGAATTAGTACCATGGCTGGAGGTCTGGAAACAGCAACTGCGCGTGTGACAAAGTATAGGAGTCGCCGTTCTGGTCGACGGACGCCCCCCATGGGCGGGTGGCTGCAGCGTCGAACTCGGAAGAAGGCGTGCCATGAACTTCTCTATTTGAGCTGCCAAGGTGCGTCTCTAGGATGCGTGAAACAGCGAATCCGCCTCCCAGGCCGTGATGACAGAAAGGGGAGAGTACAGATGCGCAGGGAGCCGGCACGGCTGGCCGCCCATGTGCGATATCAGAGGTACCAGATAAAGGCGAAAGGTAGGAGATTAGGGAATTGGCGTGAAAAGAAAAGGCCGGCCGTGTACTACAATTAGGCGGTGGTGTGAAGGGTGGTACAAGAAGGAAAGCTGGCCGGACATGCTGAAACAGGCAGGCCAGCCAATGACAGGGCCGAGGCGAGCGGTGAGAGTGCAACACAAGCGTTCGCAGTCTACCGGGCCATTCGGATTACTCGCCACGCCCACCGCTGAAACCGTTCTAGAGCCGTAATCCCATTGCTTTTGTGCACCGATTAAGAAAGAGTCCCAGGAAGGAATAAAGTCGTTTCGAGAGTGCCGCCCTTGACTCCAGAGTGGCACCAGGAGCGAGCCGCCGGAACGCCGTGCTAAATCCGGACGGAGCCGCCATGAAAAAAATCCGCCGGCGATTGAGAAAGACGCAATGGCATGTTGAGCGGTGCGCAGGAGGCCCTGCGATTCGCAGACGGGGATACGAAGCTGGGGCTGCAGGTCGACAGGGTTGCGAAGCCGACGATCTGGGTCCAGCCGGCGATCTCGGAGTGCACGCGCACTCTGCATCGCATTCATCTGCCCCCGAGTCAGCGGCGCGCCGTCCATGGACAACCTCACTCTGGACGTCGGCTTGAAACACGGATCACGTCTGATGGCAACGCGCGGCCGCGGGTGCTTTTTGGCAGCGGCACGTAGCATGTCCTCGACCGCGATGGGTACTGACGCACCTATGCTTTCGCCGTGCATGGCCGGCACGTCTTCAGCTTGCAGTGCTGGCACTCGTAGATGAACATGTGCGGGCCCGAGTGGCACAGGTTGCAGTTCCAGACGATGAGGTTGGTGTCCGACTTGATCATCTTGAACGCGTGCTCGCAGCTGGCCGGGGCGGCCATGGTCGCGGGCAGTGGTGTGGTGACGCTGGCTCGGCTATTTCTCGTGCGTGTGCGTGCGTGCAGCAGTCGGATAGGGCTGAGGCGGCGAGCAGGGCAGCGGTGAAGCAGGACTGGTTGCATGTCAGCAAAGTGATTGGGGCGCGTCCCAGATATGTACTCTGGGGAACTGGGAGCCTCATACCAGGCCGCAGACGGGCCGTTTGACGCAGACGTGGGATGTGCGCGCAGGCCCGAGGGCGTAGAGGACGTCTTGAGTCGTGGCGGCCGAAAAGCAAGCAGACGCTGCGCTCTGGACAGGATGCTCAGTCCGGATGGTGCCTGGGGGAGGAGTGCTCGCTGATGGACTGCTGAAGCCGACGGCGCGGCCCCGGGTCCGTCTTATACTCATCCCCAGAGCAGTCACTGGCCAGGTCGCGGCTAGCAGCGACTACGGCCGCTCTGATTCCATCTCCACAATCTGCGGTAGTGTACAACGGCCGCAGCGGGCAGCCGTCGCTGCGGCCTGCTGCCCTCGACGCGTAGAGCTCGAATGCGGACGGCCCGCAGACGGATCGAGCAAAGCACACACCGGCCGTGGCACGACGAGATGGATGGAGGTCTGCCTCTGCTACCCTCCGTCGACAGGGCCCGCGAAGGGAGCAGCGCGGTGGAGCTTGTCAGACTCGGGCTGGCTGTTCCGCAGCCGCGGTCATGGTAGCATTACCAGGTCGCGGATCCTTGTTGCAGGGAGCGACCGCGATGAGGATGCCGGCGGAGCTTCGAGCATAGCGCTGGCGTCTGGCGCCGCGATGTGTCACACAAATCGAAACGCTCACTCATCCGGTGCTGGCGACGATGGCATGCCGGTGGTGTGGAGAGGGCCGGGTCTGCTGCATCGCCAGGGGCGGCCACCCAGCGGCCAGTCCGCCGCTCCCAGCGCGGTGGATTGAGCCAAGGGGGAGCTGGGGTCGGCAATTAAAGTTTGCGCCGCGTCTTGCTGCGCTGCTCGTTGCCCAGCGCGTCGCCAGACCTCACCTCTCCACCGTCGCCGTCCTGCTCCCTCCACCGCGCTCCCTACACGTGCGGCAAAAGCACTGCGAGCAGCACTCCTCTCCGCCGCCGCCTATTTGCACTGCTTTGCGGGCACTTCCCGGCCGCCTGCAGCAGTCGCCGTCTGACGGTCCACAGCGCGTGCCCAAAGCGGCGTGCTGCAGACGCCCCAAGCACCGTTTCCTGCTCCATCCATTTCTGCCTGTCTTCTTTTTTTCTTCTCTCAGACAGCATCGCATCCGGCGGGGCTCAGGGGCTTGCGAGAGCCGGCCGCTGCTCGGTCGCGTTCGACTGGAGGCGGTGGTTGTGGCTGGACCATCCGCCGCCCTCATCGCGAGAGCTTCTTGATGGTAGCACAGGGAGTACAGACCCGGGCCCTACCCGCGGCACCTGGCTGCTCTCCGTACCATTTCTGCTCTCCTTCTGTCGCGCGCGCGGCTGGCGGCATTGCCTCTTCATGCAACGCGCCATGGCCTGCCGCATGTGAGCGGATGCAGAGTCACCTGCACGATACATTCCCTCAGCCCGGTTCAGCTGGAGGCCGAACGGTTACATGCAGCCTCATCTCATGAAAAGCCGCGGCCGCCGTGCGCCAACGCCTATGATTCGACTCTGGCCGTGGAAAGGGACCCTGCCCGCAGTCTCCACATTCTACTTCCGGATCAGCCTTTCTACAACCGGTGAGTCTGCTTCGATGAGCGGCGACGTGGCTTGGGAGATCCACCGCTTGGAATTGTCGGCGTTGCTTGCTTCTCCGGTCACCAAGGGAACCCGTGCGCATACTGGCAACAAAACGGCGAGCAGACAGGCAGGTATCCCACCAACCGCGTACACGCAGAAGAGACGCACTCATGAACAATGTCTGCTATGGGATCCTATTTGCCACTTGCGTGTGCCCGCAGGAGAAGCTCGGTGGAGACAAGTTGAAGACCCGAGTTCACATGCCCGGTCACTCATCTGCGTATAGGAGAGTTGGGCAAAACAGGTACCCCGGCTAGTGTCTCCTCAGTCGAGAGACGTACATCCAGAACCTCTCAAGGCAGCAGACTTTGCTTTTTCTCCCGGCGGCATCGGCTTCTTCGTCCATTGATGCCAGCTCTCACATCTCTCTTATCATCAAATTGTCATCTGCTCCCGGCAGCCGCCTCTGCCGCTCCAATGGCTCCTCTGGCGGTCAACTGGCGTGGTTCGTCACGGCCGGCACGAAGGCTAGGGATCCTGTCTCGCGATCGACTCAACCATCCGGCAGGAGACATAATTCACTCTGAGGGAGGCTATCTTTGGACTATCTTGTATCAGGAGATGGGACCTCACCACCAAAAGCCTCTGGTTACACGGGATCGAGTGAACCTGGTACCCGGTATCACAAATGCGAGATCGGTGTGACCATGGATTCCTTTGTGCGCTTCATGGCGCCTGTGGCGCCTCCCAAGCCAGGACTGATGCGCGTCATCCCCTAGTTTCGCCAATGCTTGCCTCCGCGGGTTTTCGTTGGTTTCTTAGGTCCGCCAAGGATATTTGTCTTTCTCGCACGCGAAGCCGCCGTCTTCCATGCGCTTCTTGGGTCGACCGGCGCGAGAATGGCAGTTGCTAATTTTCTAAGAAAGGAGGTAACCACAGTGTATGGTCGACATAACATGCTTTTCCCAACTCTTTGGGTTACAGGTCATCGAGACACCGCTGCAACCCCATACTATCCCCAAGCCGTCTTTCCGCTGTGCCAGCTCTGTGCCGTCTTCGATGCGGTTTTGCTCTGACTGACTACTGTCTATGGTAGTCAGGCCATCTTCTGCATCCATCCCTTGTCGCCTGTGCGCTGTAGACGCACAGTCAGAAGAGCATCACGATTCACCTGAGCCCACTCAATCCCTCAAATCACACCGCTGCGAGCGCCGCCATCGTGATAACGGGGTCGAAGAGGAAAAGTGCAAGGGGCCTCCTGCGTCAAATGAAGTACAGCATCCGACCGCCAGTCTCCAGCTTTCCCAAACCCTCAAACCGGGTCCCTGGACCGCATCCATCTCGTCCAACGCATGGCCATTGGGTACAACTCAGCATTGACTGCTGTCGTGCGTGCCGTTTTCTGTCACTCTGCCGTGGCAATCAATGCACGGCGTCTTTTGGGGGCGTGCTTCTAGCCAACACCTCCGAAGAGAACCCCTACATAGGAGGCGAACAGCCCAAGGTAAGCCGCTCCTGTCGGAGACTTTGGCCGGCGGCCAATCGGGGCATTTTTTGACAGCCTCATGATCCTTTTGCAGCCACAGCACCAGATCTGCGGATTTGAGGAGACGGATAGAGCTTGTCCTGCCTGTTGAAGAGCCACTATTTCTGCTTTAGATGCAGTGCTCGGTCGCACCGCGCTCGGCGACATCCGACTGTGTCAGGCGGCGCGGCTTCCTCCATTGAGTTCCCGCCTCACGAGATTCTCCTCCTGATCACATCATCCTATATGTAGGTACTTGTATTGAGCCATCAGGGTATGTATCTAGAGGTCGTCGCACCATCTCACCGCTCAGACTCGGGCGTTACCCGTTCTGGTGCCAGAAACGACCTCCATTCCCTTACCGTCTCCATTCTCAATCTTTCACGAGAGGCTTTCAATGGTCTACAGCCAGAACCAACGTTAGGACACGTTATGCTATCCCACTACACTCGCTTCTTCGTGCTAACGTATTGGCGGCGTCGTTCTAACCTCTCCCGTTCGCCATCTACTCGAAGATCAGTATATCTGATGACACCTTTTAATCCACGCGATAAGTCCGGCAGTCCGTAACGGGACAATGTAATCGATTGAGGGCAACTCGCATGACGTCCAAGGGCTTAACAGAGTGCAGTAATAGGCGGGAAAGGGGGTACGACTGTTGCGTCTTGGAGAAATGAGACTATCCAATCGGTTCGTTTCCGCTGCGGCAGCTTCTGCAGGGCGAGAAACGTTGAACAGAAAGCTACGATAACAGGCAGCATACAGGCGGTGAGCCTCGGTAACGTCTTTATTGCGCGGCGTGCAGAACGGGAGCGGGTACTAATGCATTGAGAGAGAGTTGAGCTACCAGAGACAAAGCTGCAGATAGCGAGTATCAATCCTACACTCAGAATCAGACACGTCTGCGCGTCGGTCACACGGCTTTGGCGTACGCACCATGTATCGAACTTGTGGCCGACCCTCTTCAGATGGCCGACCTCTTCGAACCCATGGCTCACGTAGAAGTCTCTCAGTCCTAGGCCGTTCTCCCAGCCCGACTCGTCAACGGCCATGCATGCCAGCACCATTCTGACCTTGTCGTCATCGCTCCGGGGCTTATCGACGTACTCGGGGAACTTCTCTGGGCTCCGTAGAACATCAATCAATGTGGTCAGAAGGCGGCGGCCGATGCCTTTGGCTGTGTGGTCTGGGTGGCAGAACAGCGAGAGCTCGACGGTATGGCGATAGCCCTTGCGCGCACTCCTGAACCCGGTCGCGTAGGTAAAGCCAAGGACTTGGTCTTCATCACCCACGGCGACGATGAATGGCAGACGCTGGTCGAGCACCGCCTTCCAGTTTTGGAACACGTCTTCCTCGGTAGGCGGGACAAGCGAAAAGGTGATGACGGTGTTGAGGACATAGTGCTCGAGGATTGCTCGAATGCGGGGAATGTGCTCTTCTGCACACGGCAGCAGGCGAAGCGTGCTCGCAGTTGATATCATGATTCGGCGGGCGTGGTCGCGTGCCTGTGCCAACACACAAGATTTTGTCGTACGCGGGGGAGCACGCTCGGGAGGCGTCTGGTATAAAGGCGCAGTCGGTCGGAGTCACGCCTGCTCTCTGCTACGCAAGCGTGCGCAGTGTGCATGTCCGCCGATAGCATACCACCTGGGTTCCCGTACGAAGCACCCTCACCTGCACCCGCTGTAATCAGGCCGCCGGCTGCCCTTTCCTGATCCGTCAGCCGGTCCGTGGCCCGAGCTTGGCTCCCGAGTCCCGACCATGTCAAAATTTCCCCCGCCATGTCACTACACCGAAAACCTCACGCTGCTCGGACCCCCTACGATGCGCGGTGCAATTGTCTTCAGCGGCTCGTCGCATCCGACCCTCGTCGACGGCATCTGCGACAGGCTGGGGACCAAGCGGGGGTCGGCGTTGCTCGGCAAGTTCGCTAATGGCGAGACGTCTGTCCAGATACGTGCGTCGGCTCAGGCGGTGCTGGTGCGCACATGCTGACGCGAAGCAGACACGTCGGTGCGCGACAAAGACGTCTTCATCGTGCAGAGCGGGAGCGCAAAGTAGGTCCGACGACCCGTGCGTGCGCAATTGCTGATAGAACAGGATCAACGACTCCGTCATGGAGCTGCTGATTATGGTGTCGGCTTGCAAAGGCGGCTCCTCCAAGTCCATTACAGGTATACCCCTCCTCCCACTCATGCCAGAGCGTGCTTCTGATTGCTCTTCAGCCGTCATGCCGTACTTTCCCTACTCCCGCCAGTCCAAGAAGAAGTCGCACCGCGGCGCCATCACAGCCCGCATGGTCGCCAACCTCCTCGACATCGCCGGCGTCGACCACGTCATAACAATCGACCTGCACGCCTCCCAGATGCAGGGCTTCTTCAAGTGCCCCGTCGACAACCTCATCGCCGAGCCCCTGCTTGCCCGCTGGATCCGCGTAAACATTCCAAACTGGCGGGATGCCGTGGTGGTGAGCAAAAACCCCGGCGGCACGAAACGTGTCACGTCGCTGGCGGATGCCCTAAAGCTCAGCTTTGGCATCGTGACAACAGACAGAAGGAGGGCGGCCACATCGGTGCATTGGAACGAAAGCGCCATGTTCGAACAGCTGAGGCTGGACGGCACGTACGAGACGCCGGGGCTGATAGAGGCAGCTCTGGATGCAGACGCACACATCACACCGATTAGCAGCCTATCGTACAATCCGCGAGCAGAGATTGGGAAGTCCAAGCTACGGACACGGGCGGCCTCGAACCCCTTGCAGCGACGTGCCAACGGGGCTACCGAGCCCTTAAGCAGCCCACTGTCAAAGTCTGTCAGGGCCTCGTCGATTGTAGAGTCGGAAGCATCGGATCCGGCTCGAACACGAAACAAGCCTGAGGGCGATCATAGCGAGGAGCAGAACACGGATGAGAGTACCGACGAGTACACTGATGAGGTCTGCTACGGCCGCCAGCTCTCTTAAACCCCACCGCTAACGTGTACAGCGCGCTAAGAATGTGATCCACGGACGCCTTGTCTACGGTCATATCGTCGACGAAGACCATCCCTCGCCTGCTATGTCCGCCGCTTCACACTCGACCTGGCGCAATCGGGCCCCATCCGACGGAGACAACGATGATATTCCGGACCGTATGATGTCATCATTCATGTCCACGGCCTCCTCCGTCAAGAACAGAGATGGCGAGAATGCGCACGCTTTGGGGGGCACGATTGATGCAGCCGCCTCTTCGGAGGACGAAGAAGAGGATTTGAAGAATCCCGAGCTGGAGACCATGGTCACGCTGGTGGGCAACGTCAAAGACCGGCCAGTCTTCATCGTCGACGATATGATCGACAAGTCCGCGTCCTGGATAGCGGCGGCGGAAACAGTGGTTAAGCGAGGTGGTGCCACGAAGGTCTACTGTATGGCAACACACGGTCTGTTTGGCGGAGACTGTCTCGAAGAGATGAACAACTGCGAGTGCATTGACAAGATCATCGTTACGAATGCTTTTCCAATACCGGAATACAAGCAGGCGCACGCACGAGACAAGCTGGTTATCATTCCAGTCGATAATCTGCTCGCCGAGGCCATTCGGCGGAATCACCACGGGGAGAGCATTTCGCAACTCTTCATGCATTACGATTGATTACACACTTTCCATTTGGGTCAACTGCTTCCCGGCTTTCTTGTCTCTGACATACTTTTAGCGAGGCGCCAAGGCACCATGATTGGGCGTTGCTTGACTTTCTCGGTGATTGGGAGGTAACTGGTATCTGCGACTTGGGTATGATGAAATCAACGGATGAATGCTTGTATAGATACCAGAATAGTAATTGCAGGCCAAGGAAAAGGCCCGCAGAGAATGATACCACTTATTTTCTTTCCAGTCGGCCTCCGTCAAGTCTAGCTTCTGCTCTTCCCTTGACTGTTACTGTACACTTATATTACGCCATAGAGAAAGCGCACCCTTGCTGTACAACCTAGACCCCCATGCGCGTTATTAGTTCCCCGATATAGTATAAGGGCTTTGACGTCTCCTGGGCACACCGCCTAGGGCGCGTCCCGGTTTTGTTGGACTGCAGGTACATCGCCCCTTTTAGCCAGCGCTGCATGGCTAGCTTCTTAGGGTCCGGAACTGCAGATGTGCTTAGCTTCCTAGAACGGTCAGCAGCATCGTATTCTCGGCGCCGTTCCAGGGGTTATTCGACATTGGGAAGCCTCGCGCTGTGGGATCAGTGCCGCATACAAGGGGCCGGCTGTCCCTGGGCTTCCGCCTGGCGAAGGTCCAGGTTCGGTGCTATAGGTGACGGCTCCTTCGAGATAGCATGTCCCAGGTTGCTGATAAAGTAGCCCGCATGCTCCTGAGACGGTCTGAGAGATGATCCGGAAGATGTTGTGAAAAAAACGAATAGGACGGCACGTGCCATGTTGTAAGTGAGGAAGTAGCGACTACAGAGCAGTAGGAGATGAGTTGGATTTCGTGCGTCTCGCTATATACGCACCTGCTCACCGTCCATACGCGCAACCAACCCTAAGCTCTTGACATCCAAAATGCCGCCACTGCGATGCCTGCGGTTGCAAAGACAACCGCCCACCTCATGAGTCCTTTCGTGATCAGCTCCTTCGCAAGCTTATCAACAGCCTCAGCATCATTGATCCTCGGAAACGGCATGTTTTTCGGGACTTCCTTGCCCAAAGCCTTACACAACGGCTCCCATCCGTCCTTGACACTGTAGAAGACTAGCTTATCTTCCGGCACAACGCCCTTCAGCCACTCGACGTGCCTGTGATACGTCTGTGCGGTCATCGGCGCCCGCTCGCCGTACAGATAGTGCCACTGCGTTTCCAACAGCTCGCAGAACTTTGGGAAATGCCGCATTGAGGGCAGGGGGAAGAGGACAAAGCCGAGGAACCATTGCAGCGCGATACTGGAGAGGCCGTTAACGCTTTTCGCCCAAGACTCTGCATCTCGGGTGGTGCAGATGACTTTCGCATTCGGATATATTTCCATCAACTCCTCGACCAGCTGTGCGGCAGGAACGTCGGTGGCTGCGGCAAACCCGTCGAAGCGTTCTTTGAGAATTCGGTGTATTATCGCCTTGTCTGAGGCGGTACGAGACGGCCAGTGTGAGAGAAGCGTGTTCCAGGAGAGCATTTCAGATGCCGGCCCCTTTCCGGTTGATACTTGTGTTCCGGTGTGGTAGACTGGACCACCGAGCAGGATGCGGAGCGCTTCGCTGAATGACGCCGTTCCCGTGCGAGAGAGGCCAGCGCCGATGACTTGGAATTCGGTACCTGGTTCGGGGGCGGATAGTTCGGCGCCCATATTGTCGGAGGGGAGAAGCAGAGAGGCGAGATGTCGAGCATACAGCGAGAGGAGGGCAAGACAAGAAGGCAGACAGCGGTTAAATAGCCGTGGCAGGCTGTGGGGCCCTTCAGTCATCTTCCCAGACCGAGAGAGACCATGCTGTGGTGCCGGGGGATGATGCTAGGATAAGCCGCCACGTAAGGCGACCATCCTACGGCACGAGAGCTTGTCTTGCGGTAGACTACTCTCCAGATCAAGGGCTCGCAAGTGCAGATGAGATTGCTCCAACTGCTAACTATGCGTGCTATTGTACGCACCTGCGAGGGCCGCCAGGGGTGGCTGTTACGTGCGTCATTGTATCCGGAGAGTTCCACACTGTGAGGGAGCTCGCGCCCATCATCGCCGCACAGCAGCTGAGATCCAATGGCTCGAATATCGAAGATGGGAGTCGGCAGCTACGAGAGAAGACAGAGAGTGAGCTCCAAGTTGTCACCGTGGTGATGGTCCGAATCGGGCCGGCGGAAGCTTGGGCCGCGGGATGACTAAGCGCGAGTAGCTCCTTCTCTTCGCGCGGGTTTTTTCTGCACCTCCTCCCATCCTCCTCAACCACCTCCCACCCATTGCACCTTCATTCCATCCCCAATCCATCTCCACTCCCACACCCGCCGCCAGCACAATGGTTGCCATCGCTCGATCCTTCGGCGCCGCCCGCCTGGCCGCCCGCTCTGTCCAGACGGCGAAGCCGGCCACCCGCTTCGTCTCGACTCAAGGTACGCATCTCAATTGAATCCATCCATTGACCTCCATCACGCAGCCATTGACTCTCAATCCATAGCCCCCGTCCGCGTCCAGGCCCCCAAGAACAGCCTCGTCATGAACAGCGCCGTCCGCACCGCCTTCAAGAACAACGCCGGCCGCACCATCATGCAGAGCCGTGGCATCGTTGCTGAGTCGACTGCTGCCGCCATGGTCGCCGCCGCCAAGATCCAGGGTGCCGGTATTGCTACCGTCGGTCTCGCTGGTGCCGGTGTTGGTATTGGTACCGTCTTCGGTGCCCTCATCCAGGGTGTCGCCCGCAACCCGTCTCTCAGGGGTCAGCTCTTCCAGTATGCCGTCTTGGGTTTCGCCTTCGCTGAAGCCACTGGTCTCTTCGCGCTCATGATGTCCTTCCTGCTCCTCTACGTTGCGTAGAGTGGTCCATTGCATTGGGCACTCTGCTATCGGGTCTCCGGGTCGGGTCTCAGGGTGGAAAATCTTGCGGATGGGTGTGTGTGTGCATACAAGACTACTACCGTTTTCCTAGTCTAGTGGCAGCTCGGATTGTAAAACATGTACTTTAGATCGGCAATCTGAGGAGCAAGATCCCACTTCAGCTGCTCTTTTAATTGCATGTCCGACGTCCAACGGCAGTGTTCTCCATCTATGCTGTGAGGTGCGCGGGCGGTCCACCACAAGGCCAATTGACTCAATTGCAGCCCGGAATCCAATCCCGAAGCTTGCAAACGCCCATTCGATGCCGCGGCGTGGGAATTGGCGTTGAGGGCAGCTCGAGCTGATGAAAGTTGGCCAGCTCCGAGTGCCAAGCTTTGCGCTGTGACCTCACATCTCAGGCTTGTGAAGGATGACAGCAGCCACATCCCACCACAACGCCCAACGCTCGCTGTCGCGGCCTTTTCTACCTCGATGCCTCCGCTCGCCGTTTCCAGGTGTCGTTCGTCTACAATGGTCCTTACACCACACCCATTGACCCCGCCATCGCCACCCTAGCGACAGTTGACCGAGACAACTGAAGCTGTGCAACTGAACGAGGACCCTCTGGGTGCACGTTCTAGCCTGCAACAGGCATCGCAAGTGATGCGAAGTGCCCTCCATGATGTGTATATTCAAATAGATCGGCCGACTAGCTCGTGCTATGGGTGCAGACTTTACATTACATCCCACTTTTTAGGTAGCCTCCGCCATCCTGCGCGGTGCAATTGTGAGCCCTGTCATCCCCTCAACATGGCCACTACTGACAAGTCGTGGGACAAGAGTTATGATAATACTCCACGAAGCGATTTACGTCACGCATCAACCGGATAGAACCGCTCTTCAAAGCTCGCCGGAGCCTTGCCCCAAAACCGTCGTCCACCACGCACCGCAAGGTCCGCACATGGTTATATATGGTCGCTGCGAATAGAGGTGTGCCATGCAAGCGCCGCCGCGTACTCCGCACCAAGACTATCTGAGCTTCGTGGCATAGCCGGATGCCGGCATAAGGACGCCCTTACTCTCATGCTTCAGCTATGCAGCGAGAAGTGTCTGGAACGGCGCCGCGGCTCAGCTAATCAAGGCTGTGTTGAAGGCTTGACCAAGGTGTATCTGCTCGGAGCGTCATGTTTTCGTGGGAGTGCATCGTGATCGAGTTTCGCCGATGTTTCAGAAACGCACCGGAACATGAAGCCCTTCAACGTCTCCGGAAACAGCACCTCCAGAATGCACCAAAGAAAGCATAACAAACTAGACTTTCCAGGTTCTCCATGTTTCCCGCGGGAGGTGCTGAGCCTCTACCTGATCCGATTCGCCACTCGCCTCACGGCTATGAAGATTTCCGTGAAACTTGGTCCCATTTTGATACAGTCTCCCAAATCGGATGCAAACAAGCCTCGGCCATGCAACCAAGCTTTGCCGCCATTGTCTTGACCTGCTTGAGCTGTATATATTGCACTGTCCATGCCCAGCGAGCCAAGTACTCATACTACACACTTTTAATTCCTGTGCCGGTCACGTTCACTACTTCTTGTTCATACTTTTGATATACTCTTTCCATTTCTATTCCAGTAGAGCTTAGTCAAAATGAGGTTCGCTACCATTGTTGCCGCTACGGCCTTCTCAGCTGCTGTCTTCGCTTCGGGTAAGCTAGTCTCCACGACTTTCAAACATACCCTGACATGTGACATAGAGAAGCGTGACCCGCAAGACGATGTCGCCTCCATCCTCGCTGCCCTCCGCGAGAACAACCCCGATGACGCCGACGCCGCCGCGGCCGCCATGAAGATCAAGATTCGCTCGGCGGAGCCCCAAGACGACATCGCCTCCATCCTCGAGGCCCTCGGCCAGACTAGCCCCGACGATGCCAGCGCCGCCTCAAGCCTCATGAACACCAAGCGTGAGGCCCAGGACGACGTTGCTTCGATCCTTGAGGCGCTGGGCCAGACCAGCCCCGATGATGCGAGCGCCGCCGCGAGCCTCGCCAACACCAAGCGCGAGGCGACGCCCCAGGACGACGTCGACAGTATCCTGGCAGCGCTCGCTGAGAACAACCCTGACGACGCGGATGCGGCGCGTGCGAACATCCAGAAGAGACAAGACGACGTTGCGAGCATTCTTGCAGCTTTGGGGCAGGAGAGCCCCGATGATGCAGCGGCTGCTGCTTCGCTTGGCAAGCGCTGGTTGTAGACGTCGAAGGGACTGCATGATTAATGAGGGGATATAAAGAGGACGTATTGGGGAGGATGAGAAATTGTGAATACGGGTTTAGGGGTTTGCGTCGGATGTCTTTCTAACAACGACTTGTACATAGCTTTCTCATATAATGGTAAAAAATCCTTGGGTTTGGTCTCACTAATGTATTCGTTTGGCCCAGCTTTCTTGCACGTGGGAATTCTTGTGATCTTTTTTTTTTTTTTCGAAAACGTACTGTATTTGATGTAGCATGATCCGAATGTTTTAGAGGGCAGTCCGCTCTCGCGCTACTTAGTAGAACACTAAACGCCTAACCTAGATGAGATACTACAGTCAATACTAGCCATGCACCACAATAGATAGCTTAAAGACATGTGGCAAAGGGAAGTGTATTTCGTGACACAAGTGATGTCCTGGTCGTGTTCTATATACTTCGCCTTCATCATACTGTACAACAAACAGAATCTATATATACATATCGGTACACGTACCAACAAAACGTTACACATATGTACATGAGATGCGCCCCAGAGGGACTACGCATCCTGCAAATATCTCTCCTGCAATGCGTCACCCGTCCTGGGCATTGTTTCAATCGCCCTAATCGTTAACGGGGCAATTTGCTCCAGCACCTCTCTCGTCCAGCCCCCCATGTCCGCATTATACCCCAACCCATTCTGCTCATCTCTTTTGATCTGCGCATATGCTGCCCCGAGCACAACCAGTGTCTTATACCTAGGCAGCACGCTCGTGCGCTTGACGTCGTAGTGACGGAGCTCCATCCAGAAGTACCCCGGCCGGTCGTGCCGGATGTAATACGGGTTTAGCTGAGCCCAGCCGGGGAAGCGCGGCATGAGGTACATTTCGCACGCAGAGAAGGCGTCGATGATGCGCCCGCGGAGCGCAAGGTGCTGGATGAACTCGTTCCAGGTGAGGTTGTCCACGATGAAGCCGTGAGTGAGGAGGTTGCGGATAGTGCGCTGGGCTCGCTGGAGGCATTTCTGGTCTTGTTGCGCGAGCAGGCTGCGGATGTAGATGCGGGTAGCGCGCCAGAGAATTTGTCGGCGGCTGACGGCGGTGCGTGAGGCCTGGAACGCTTCCCAGATGGCGGGGTCAGTGATGGAGTCGAATTCCGGGGTAGGCGGTTGTGGATGCATGGCTTGTTGGAAGGTCTTGACGAGTTTGCCCGCTTCCGTCCGGGCGAGCTCCCAGCACTTTTCTACCTCGTCGTATTCTTTGGCTTTGAGGTGCGCGTCCATGATGGCGGTAAGAAGGGCGATTGGGGCTTCGTAATTCTCACTGCCGGATTTGGCATTCATGGCTGCTTCGAATAGCTGCTTGCAGATATCGTACGCTCCTCGGGTTGTGTACAGCATTATTACAAGGGCAAAATACCCCTGAGGTATGTTGCTGAGCTCGGGAAAGTCTATATATCTCTTGTGGCTGGGCTGATCGTGCGCTCTTTCGCTTCCGTAATCGGCCAGTATACTTTCTCTTAACTTCTCTTCCACAGCTACCAGACGCGCGCGGGGGTCCTTATCCTTTCCTTTTCTGAGCTCTTCAAGCTCCGTAACACCTATAGCCAGCAGTGAAGCTTGGCGAGAACTCTCAGTTTGCGGAACTTCTCGCTCCTCCATTCGCTTGTACGCACGCCTGGCATGATCGTATTGATGCTCGTGGATGAATCCGGAGATGACGAGCGCGTAGTGGAAAGCATGGACGCGCACGTTATTCATTGGCATCGTCGTCCGCAGTATCTTGTATGCCGCGTTCGTCTGCTTAGACTCGACCAAAGCGCGCATCAGGCCGGAGTACGTCCAAGAGTCAAGCGGAATCTTGTAATCGATCATCTGCTTATAGATTCGTCGACTGTTGGCGAGGTCTCCCAGAACAGCGTAATACGAGACGAGGATATTCCAGGTGTGCGTGAGTGAATTCCCTTGAAGCGTTCCAGAGCGCCAGCTCTGAAGCATACCGTGCGCGATTGCTTCAGCTCCTTCGGGATCGTCTGCGTTCAAGAACGCCTGGACATATCCTGATCTTGCTCGGCGATCCGTCTCGACGGGTACATTGAGCTGCTTGGCTCTGGAGTATAGAGCCTCAAATGCTTCGATGTCGCCCCTCTCAGCGCACAAATCAAGCATGGGCCCAAAGGTGTAGAGGTCGGGCTGCATGCCGGATTCCAGGCAATTGTTGAAGCATTCAAGGGCGCCGTCCAGATCCTCCGCTCGAGTATAAGCAAGAAGCAGAGCATTCCAACAGGCAATATCCGGCACCAATCCGAATTCTTCCTTGATACGATTGAACTGCTGCATAGCACCCGGAACATCGACACGACGGGCATAGGCGTATGGGAGCGATGAGAGAATCTTCAGATCCACGCATTGTCGGTATCTTGACAAAAGCTCGTTGAAATATTCGTGGACATGATCGATATCTCCATGCTTGGCATGACAGCGAATGAGGTATGACAGGCTTTGCGGTGTAAAGGGGTCCGTGGGATGGAACGTTCTCAAGTCCTTGACCATATCATCGACGCGAATCATACTATCCTTTTCTCCGTGCTGTACAATCAGTCTGCTAATCAGATATCGCGATGGCCGCTGTCCCGAATTTTGCAAACTTTGTTGCTGATAGTCTCGATACAATTCAAGGACGATTTTGCGCTGGTTGGTGTAATGTCGATACCGCGGAGTGTCTAATATTGCGGGTATAATGTACTCATAGAGCGGCGTAGTTGGGAGTTCGAGGGAGCGAAGGTCGCGAAAAAGCTGGATGAAGAAGTCCCAGATAAGATCCTCGTCCGGGTTCGGAACATGTATGACCTGGTTCATGACCTCGGGTACTAATCCGACAACAAAGAGACTTAGAGCCTCTCTGTTCTTATCTGTAGATTTGAGTTCGTGCTGGAACTGTCGAACATGGTCAAGCAAAGACTGCCAATGGTCGACAAGATCGGGCAGCTGCGAGACCTTACCCCAGACAGTCGCGAAATTCTTCCTGTATTGTCGACGATTCCACGTACGGACAGGAATTTTGAGACGAGCGGCTTGGTTGAGGAAGGTCCTGAAGATACGCAAACTAAGGTCCCATTGATCGTCTTGCACGGTCCGCTGGAGTACGGAATCTATGCCAACGCGGAGCGTATCAATGCCAGGATGCGCCGCGGCTTCTTCGTAGAGCTGGATGGCTGGTCCCACCATCTTTAGGGCCACATACGCGGATATTGCTATCCGGTATGAGGAAGCCCGGCGCTGTTCGCGCAGTACCGCATCAAATACCCGGAGCGCGCGGCCTGCGGCCTTTGATCTGTCTTGGACTGCAAGATACTCGAGGAGGTCATTTTGCAATTCCGTAGATCGGCTGCGCTCCGGAATCGCCAGGTAGAGCTGCCACGCCAACTCCTGCTTGCCACGTTGTTCCGTGCTAAGAAGGTGCTGCAGAGCATTGTCCGCGCTTGTCGTGAGAAGCAACTCCTCCATCTCTTCCTTGGCCTGGAGAGCCTCCGAGTCCGCCACTGCTTCGTCTTCCGTGGGCTGCCACCGGGAGGTGGAAAACTGTCGGATGCGGGACCCGTTCATCTGCCTCCGCCGTACTACCACCGAGTCAGAACCGTATGTAGACAGTCGCCGAATGAGTGCGAGCGTCTTCTCTGGGTATAAAAATTCTAGGAATGGGCCATCGTGGTATCTAGCGGTGGCGGCGGTCTTGGTCCGCTCCAGGTTTTCGACGTCACCATTGGCGTGGTCTGATATCGTGGAAGATGCCCACCAGATGGGTAGGTTCAGGTTGCTTGCACCGTGGTGCCAAAAGGAGGAATGTAGCCTTCGGCGACTGCGCAGGCATCGCTTGGTGGCTCGGAAGAGCTGGCGTCTGCCGGTTTCGAGGCATGTCGAGGCCCGCTCCAGCATCACCCGCCGCGTCAGGAGCGCAACAGATGCCGCCACAAATTACCGAGTACTAGAACTGAACCTGCGAGCTGGGACTGTAAGCCGAGATGGCGACAGGGAGCTCAGTGTTCGAGAGCGGAGCTTACAGCTTTGCATGCCTCCTAGTGCGCGCGACGGCCGAAGGGAGCGATTGGTGAACCCAGGAAACTCCGTAAATACAGAAGCGCAAAGAAAAGGAAAATATTGTACAGTTGCGAGCCACAGGTGTGGAGGTGTTGGATACCCAGGTAGTTGGGATGGAACTGTCTTTGCTATTTTTCTGGGGATCACGAGATGTACTAATCAAGTTTAGCGCAAATCGCGTCGGCACGATTGGTGGACCCCTCCAGCCCACCGAGGAGGAGTCCCGGCAGAGTTCCAGCACCGCCGTCGCCGCCGCCATGGACATCACCAAATTCATAGTCGGCCACCGGGAGACGGCCTTCCTAGTAGGCGACTACCGTACATACCGGGCGCAGCTTTCGCGGCGGCTGCGAATCGTGCGGAAGAAGCTAGGGCGAGCAACCGCCAAAAATGCGAAATACGCAGCAAAGGCGCCGGTGACGGCCGAGGAGATCGGGCAGAATATCGAGTACGCCAACTGACACCGCTGAAGACGTGGTTTGCTAATCGGGCTAGGTTCCTCCATCTCCTTCTCCTCACATCCGAGCGCGCATGGGCGCATGCCATGTCCATGAAAGCCTCTCATTCCGAGGACAATGCCGATAAGAGCATCACTGGCTCTACCCGACAGCATATCCACTCGCGATTGCATAAAGCAGTCGAATGCGCAAAGGACGTGGTCCGGCTCCTTTCGGATCAGTCCGCGAGCGCGGCCACCGACATGGATATATTGGAAGCAAGGGGATACGCATGTGCGTTGGCAGGAGCAGAGGAATTCGAGAAGCAGGCGGAAGGCACTAAATCAAACGATGCGTCAACGAAGCGATGGATACCGTGCTTGACCAAGTACTCGACAGCTAGGGTGATCTACAGCTCCCTTCTTAAATCGACAAAGAAGGACCTGTTCAAAGAGGTACTGGCAGGAACGACCGACCCGAGCATTCGATATGCCGCCTACCAGCACCGCATTCCGCGGACCGTGGGAGTCCCGGCCGTTTCGAAGAAGTTCTTCCCTAGAGATGATATCGAATTAGTCCAGGCCGTAGAGAAGCTTGACCCTGCAGCATTGCAGGAAGAAGAAGCAACTCCTTCAAGTCTGTTCCTCTATGCTGCAATTACGACTCTTTTCTGACGAGGATGTAGGCTCCAAGATCACCTGGCGTGGTAGAACAGCGAACATAGTAGATGCTGCCATTGGACAGGCTCTGATCTCCGTGGAAACTGCTTCGTCCAAGTTGACCGAATCACTCAAGTCCTCAACGTCACCAAAGGACTCAGCTAATGCATATGACGACGTCCTCATTGCAAGCCAAGATGCTGCTGATGCAACGAGGAGAGCGATCGAAGAGTTGGAAAAAGAAGGAGTCGACGAGGGAGACGCACGAATGCAAGACCTCCGCGTGACAAGCCTTGCGGTGAACTACGACCTCATTGCATGGCGAGTTGGCAGAAATAGGGTACTCATAGGCTCAGACGACGACCTGGCATTCTCCCCGCATGCTCCGCAGAAACCACGGCGGCCGCGTAAAGACGGGAAAGCATGGGTGGAGCGAGAAGAACCAACCGGGCGCAAACTTGCACGGCTAAGGGAGCGCGTTGCATTATACGATGCGATCCTTCAGAGCATCGACTCCATCAAGGTCTTGAGAGGTGCAGTGCGGGATGCTCAGTTCGTCGCTGAGCTGGACGGCCAACGGGCATATTTTCAAGCATTGAAGTGCCTGAACGTCTCGCACTCGCATGCTTTTCTTTCTGCGCCCAAACAAGCCCTCGCGCTCTGCAACCGAGCTCTATCGCTCTCCTCCCAGGCTGCGTCATCGCCAAAGCCCTCCGCGTCGCCGACGGATGCGCCAAAGCTGGTGGTCTCTGAAGATCAGGCGCAGACGCTTAAGCAGAACCTGGAGCATCTCACTTCTCACTATCGCGGTCTCGTAGCGCTGTCACAGATGTTCTCTAATTCAGACATGGCAGCGAAAGCACGGTTGACTAACGCAGCGCCTGTGGTTGAGAGGCTCAATGAGTATCCGGCAGCGGGGACCGTGGATCTCGAGAACCTGGTAACTTGGCCCCCGAAGCTGAAGGCCGTTCCAGTGAAGCCGCTTTTCTTAGACGTGGCCTGGAACTACGTCGAGTATCCTGGGCGCATGAGCAAGACCAAGGAGACAGAGCCCGAGAAGATGCAGGTGGACGGGGAGAAGGTGGAAGAGGCCAAGCCAGCAAAGAAGTCTGGTTGGTTCTCCTTCGGAAGATAGGAGGCACAGCACGCAGAGCCGCAGGGGTCAGCACGAGTCGGATCCCGTGATCCTGGCTGGTGTTTATTGATTGCCACGTTCAATCTTACGGCAATGCTCCCTGTGAGGAAGCGGTGGGTAGTGCTGTGCGCGGTAGATAAATTTATCAACTCCCAACGAGCGAGTGGCAGGATGAAACGCTTCAAAGAGGTCTCCGCACGGGTTGCGCAACCGCAGCGGCTCCATATTGTGCTATATATTTCTCCGCGACGCTCCCAGATTGCGGTGGAGGCGACGCTGATTGGCCGACGCCTGCACGAGCACGGGACGGTCAGGTGGGCGGAATGTTAGGCCGTTGCCCGAGGTGGGGTTAGCGCGTAGATTTGTTTGCCGTTCCCCTGAGCATCACTCGGATAAGCGCCAGAGGCTCTGTGCCTACGCGCCTCCGGAGATAGCACTGGCCAGAACGGGAACCTGTCTCATGGTGAGGATGAACCACGCTCAGCCCTGCTTCGCGGCGCTCAGCTGGGCCGTTGGCGGGCGATGGCTGTGTTTCAATTGCGGGTGGCAGCTGGGTGCAACGGGCTCGCAGTTGCGGCGAGGCCTGCACGACAAAGGTAAAACGGAGGCTCTGCAAGGAGACTGGAGGGCGCGGCGACGGCCTTTTGAGGTCATGCAGGTCACCAAAACCAAATTAGCTCCAATTAAGCTTGGTGTCGCGCGCGATAGTACTATCGACACCCCTAGCATACGGGCTTGGGCTTTGACCCCTTAAGCTTATCCGCGAACGCGAAGAAATGTACCTGGTCCCTCGTCTTTGCTGTGCCTTGCCGCTGCCCTCGACATCTCCACGCTCTCCACGCTCTTTTGAACTGCTCGCTTTTGCACCACGTCGCTCTTTACGCACGCTCTCTTAATACCAGTCGCTCATTGCCCGCTCGCCCGTGTTTCTGTGTTTACTTTGCTGTCCATAGCTCCCCGGCGTCTGCAGATTAGCACTTCGCCGAATTCCAGCGCCTTCGTGCATCCGCTGCGAGAGACGCACCGCGTTTCTCCATCCTAATACACCACGGCTTCCGCACTGGCTACCTCCATCCTGCCGCGGCCACAGGCCTCCGAATCGTTCCGCAGACCGTCGATCCTGCAGGCGTTCGACCTGCCCTCGTTCAAAACGGCGTCCACGCTCGACAGCAAGCCCTCGCTGCCGTCCATCGGCCACGAGATATCACGGCCGTCGTCGACCTCCAGCGTAGCCTCCTCGTTCCCGCAGCAGCGCCACGGCAGCCATGCCTCCATCCAGCTGCCCGCGCTGTCGACGCTCGCCTCCGTAGCGCACAAGGACCGCACCGCCAGTAATGATAATTCCTCCAGAGGCATGCCCCCGAAGCGGGCGTCGCCGCCGCCCAGGTGCGTCTCCATCACACGCAGCCGGGCGCGCGAACTGGCGAAGTCGCTGTGTTGCGCATCGGGCAGCTGCGCCCGCCCGTAGCGCCTGCCCGCCCTGGCCTTATCGGGTCTTGGCACATGCGCACTCTCACTTTTCGTCTCCTCACCACTGACACGTCTCCAGCAAACCCTCCAATGGCCACAGCATGACTTACGCAACCGCCGCGCCCGCAACGTCTGGCGGACAGGCCAACTCGCCGGTAAGAGACTCTCTGTTTGCGTGCTGAGGTCGCACTGGCGCCCCGCTGGCCCGCCGCCGACTTTTCTGCTCTTATCCTTATCGCATATCGCCAATCGATAGCACCTCCCGCACGCCGTCACTGACCTCCGCAGCCTGTCTGCCAGAACTGCACCACGAGCACCACTCCGCTCTGGCGACGCGACGAGTCTGGCTCCGTCTTGTGCAATGCCTGCGGCCTCTTCCTGAAGCTGCACGGTCGGCCGCGGCCCATCTCCCTCAAGACCGATGTCATCAAGAGCCGCAACCGCGTCAAGACCGGCGCGCCTGGCGGTCGCAAGAAGGTACCGTGAAAGCTCCCATGCAACCTCGTTGCAATGTCTAACCCCTCCGCAGGCCGCCGACGCGAACGGCCTCCCCGCTGCCCACCCCGACGCCGACGGATCGCTAGGGCTTGCTCAACATCGACGAGCATCCGGGAAGATCTCATCTGGTCTCTCTGACCGGTCCCAGTCGCCAATCTCGCGCACCGGCACCCCAGGCCTCTCCCACCCCTCCAACATCGCGCCCCAGCACATGTTCGAAAGTGCTCTACATGGCGAATTCCACTCCCCATCGTTGCCTAACTTCGCTCTCCGTCAACCCTCCCCCAGCGCGGCCTCCTCGGTTAACGGCTCACATCTCGAACCGCCGCTTCCTTACGACACGCTAGCGGCCCAGAATACTGCACTTAAGACGCGGGTATCCGAGCTAGAGGTTATCAACGATCTCTTCCGAGGGCGCGTAGGGGAGCTTGAGAGCAGCGAGCAAGCCGCACGAGAAACAGAGTCGCGGCTGAGGGTAGAGCTTGAAGAGGTCAAGCAGCGAGAGGCCGATCTCAAAAGGCGGCTTGAAGAGCTGGAAGGCGAAGGACCCAAGCATAAGAAAATGCGGCTCAGCGACCTCGTCGACGAGAGCAGAGCCGGCACGCCAATCAGCTCAATGGCAGAGTAAAATCTGTCATCCTGTATGGTTCGTTTTCTTATCATTTAACGACATCTTACGCCTTCGGTCCTACTAGGGTTTGTTTTTTATCTTTCTCGTCTAGCGGATATCATGTCTTTCCGCCTCTCTGCCGCCATGGTCGGTTTGAGGAGATTTTCCACCAGAGTTTCCTTTCCTCGAAACTTTAATATTCCTGTCCTTTCCACCAAGTAGAGCTGTGCGTCGACGCTACAAAAGCTCAGCTCTAGGTCGCCTCGACCACCTAATGTTTGAATACCCTTTCCCCCCGCGTCTTGCGGTCAATGTACTCTAATCTTTCTTTTCTGTTTGTTCTGGCTTAAAGAGGGTGTTCCTTCTGGACGGGATTCGGTGACGAATTGGGGTCCGACCTGGATCTTTTTCAGGATGAGGCCATTGGGGTGGGTTATGTGATGGGTCATCCAGACGTTCTCGACTACGTCGGATGGGAATCGAGAAAAAGTCTTGCTATTTTGGGATAATTGCTGCAATGGGATATGATGCTACCAGAATATCCCGGGTCCTTTCGTGGCCTGCGTATGTGATTGCTCAAATTCAGCGCTAGGTCGAGGCGTACCTCGAGGCACGGTTCTCCAGGACCTTGGATCATCAGATTAACGATGCGCTATAAGCAGTATGGATCGCTCGGACATGCTTCATCCCGTCAATCTATACTCAACCGGCTAATTCATGGGCATGCAGGTTCGGTTATGTCTTTCTCCGCACTTCCTCTTTCGGGTGGCTTCAATCGTGTGCTTCCAAACATCACGATAGTATTTGAACCATTATGCTCTGGACACTCTGCTCGCCTCTGACGACTTCTTTTTCCTTTCCACCTTCTAAAGCAGTTCGAATTGACGAACCGGCAGGATGAAGTCCGATGTTCTCCTACGGGCAGCCATTACTATTACACTCACTCCTCTATCATTCGCATTGGATCCAATCGTTGACCTTGGATACTCGACCTACCGCGGCCTGGATGTGGGTGATGGCACTACGCAATGGCTTGGGATGAGATATGCGGCCCCTCCGCTGGGCGAGCTGCGTTTTGCGGCGCCGCAGGATCCGCTTCCGACGGAGGGAGTGCTGGATGCTACGAAGGTACGTTCCCAATCTCATATGCAAAAAGCAAGGAGGTGTGGGGGCTGGCTGGGAGCATGGCGTGCTGATGTGGATGGGCAGTTTGGCAATATCTGCCTCGCGAAGAATCCGGAGGATTGGAGCATGAAGCCGAATCCGCGGTTTACACCAGGCGAGGATTGCCTATTTCTGAACGTTTTTGCACCGAGCGGGGCGCAGGAGGGGGGAAAGTTGCCGGTTATGTTCTTCATCCAGGGTGGCGGGTTTGGCAGTAATTCGAATGCGAATTACAATGCTAGTGACCTCGCGAGGGAAGGTAACATGGTCGTGGTGTCGATCAACTATAGAGTTGGCCCGTATGGTTTTTTACAGGCAAAAGAGGTCATGGAGGAGGGCAGTCTGAATAATGGAATCCAAGATCAGATTAAGGCGTTGGAGTGGGTGAGGGATTATATTGAGAAGGTAAGCACTGGGGTTTATACATCCGAGATGCAGTAATGCTAATGGGTCTTCTGATAGTTTGGTGGTGACCCCGATCATGTCGTTCTTGATGGCGACTCGGCTGGTGCAACCTCCATTGTCCTGCTCCTGACGTCCCCAAAGATGAAGGGAGCAGGACTTTTCGTGGGCGCCATCGCCGAATCCGCATCTGAACCCACCCTTCGAACTCTCTCCGAAGGCCAGGAACAGTACAACTGCCTTCTCAACGCGACAGGCTGCTCCCCCACTTCCAACCACACCTCCTCGCTAGCTTGCCTGAGGAGCCTGAACGCGACAAAGCTGCAGACCACAAGCTGCTGGTTCAATCCGCATCTCGACGACGACCTCATTCCTCAGACAACCATGGAAGCCTTCGAGAAGGGCGATTATCTCAAAGTGCCGACAATCTTTGGAAGTACTGTTGACGAGGGCACCAAGAATGCGCCGCAGACGGTCGCCACGCTGGGAGATTACCATGCCTTTCTGCTGAACCAGTGTTCTTCCCTATCGAACCAATCGCTGCAGGTACTGGATCAGATGTACGTGCTGAACCAGAGCGGCCCTGAATTTCCGAACAGCGGCAAGCTGTGGCGCCAGGCCAGCAACGCAATCGGCGACTTCCGCGCCCACTGCGTCGACAACTTTTACCAGTCGCTCATCGCCAAGGACGGAGGCAGGACGTGGACGTATCGATACGGAGTCAAGGATCCGGGGCTGGAAGCGCAGGGGTTTGGTGCGTATCATACGATTGAGTTGTATGCGGTTTGGGGGCCTAATAATACGGATGGGAATCCGCCCAAGTCGTACTTGCCCGGGAAGACGAATGAGGGGATTGTGAGTCTTGTGAGGGCGTACTGGGCAAGTTTTGTGAGGCATTTGGATCCGAATGTTGGGAGGGCAGAGGGAGCGCCACGGTGGGAGGATAGGGGCCTGGAGGGTGAGAGGATGTTTATTGGGGGTGGGAATGCGACGAGGATGGAGAGGATTGATAGCGGGGAGGAAGGGAGGTGTGGCGTGCTGGAGCCGATGTTACGAGGGCTGGAGAGGGGCTGTCCCGCCGGAGTAGAGGTGGAGATGGAGTTTCACGTGAGGGGTAGTGCGCGAGCGCGGTGTTGAGGGGAGCCTCTCATGGCGTGGAATTCCCCGAAAATAACCACGCACGTAATAGCCAACCTAGCCGTCTTCGTAGGTGCGTACAATGGCACGTATAGTCAGATGTACGGCGAGCCATTAGTTCCAGAGGATTCCCTAGTACAAGAGGAAGAGTTGCTAGAAGCTGGCATAGGGAGTATTACTCATTTCCTATGATTAGGCTGTGCTAATGATGCGCGTGCGACTGTCAGGCAATGGCGATGCGAAAAGTAGGAAGCGGTTATAAAGAGACGTGATAATCGATAGACTGAATACACTCAAAAAGGAGAAAGTATGGATTCATGGTTTTTGGATAGAGGGGTACTTGTTTTGGCTTCATGGACTAGGAGGAGATTGACGGTTTCGGTGTGGCCTTCGCGGCGGGCGAAATCGGTCACGGTCTTGGTTCCCTCCTCACTGAGCCACAGATATAGGGCGGTACGCGTGTTTACGTCGATGTTCTCGTGTTGGAGAAGATGCTATTTCGACCCTTCCATAGATCGCTGCAATGTGTAATGCCATTCCCCCCCCTCCCCCCCCGGCCAGTAGGCCTTGTTCACATTTATATTCTTCAACTTAAGAAGTTGCTGGAGAACCACCAAATTTCGACTTCTCACCGTGTTACTCAGTGGGCAACCATAACCCGTATCGATGCTGTCGCCACCTCTGGGAAGTTGCAATATATTGAGGTCTATCCGGGCTCGATAATGTTCGGTCTCATATAAAAATAAACTATGGGTTGAAGGTGAGGAAGGCCGGAGAAGGTAGCTCTGCAGCTCCTGAAGCAGAGAGAGGGCGTTGGCGATTAGGCGGGAGTTGGGGGATTGACACAGCGCTTTGGTTCCACTGGGTGGATTTCGCTCGTTATCCTTTCTTGTTCCTTTGACTCCCATTACGTCCTCGACATTTTATGGCGGGTCGCCTGCTTGCCTATATGTTCTACTCTTCCCCCTTTTTATAATGCCACCTTCGTTGCGGGTCTTGCACGCACAATCCCTGGATAGCAATTTCATCCGCCATCCCCGTCCCCACCGTGCTACACCTTGGTTTGCAGCGGCCGTGATAGCATTCCTACTATTATCGCAGAGGGAACTAAAAGGACCTTTTGTGCAAACCACGATCTGACGCTCGCATCAGCCCAGCACTGCGTTGGCATAAGCTCTTTCTTCCCATTGGCGTCTTCGCTGTAGTGCTCGTGATTCGGCCTCGCCCCCGTCGTTTCGGTCAAAGGTCACCCTATCCAGGAATTGAGAGTATCAGGTTGCCGTTGTGCCACCATCGCTTGCATTCGAGGATTTTTCACCGGTCCTTCCGGCGATCATCCCACGTCGTGCCAGCCACGCATTCGCGTTTGCTTCTTTTTTGATGCCGAGGATGGCGGTACTGAGATATATCCTACCACATAACGTTCAGCGTGATACAAGTCCCACGGTCTAGCTTAATCGAGCATAACGCTGCACTAGTGTACCGGACTCGGCCTCCTGAGCCATTCTAAACTTCCTTTCTTCTTCACCATTTCCTACGGCTACTGGACCCTTTTCATCCCTTAGACTTTCCGTAATCCTACCGCTGTCTTCTCGCAATTCTCGTTAGCTATAGGCCCAGCGCATTGCGTACCTGGGCTGCCAACGTATGGGGCCCGTCGCTGCAGGCACCTTGATATATTGCGTCACTCAATCACTATCATTAACCAGAGCGGAATCTCGCCTCTCCTCCAGACCTTTGAACTTGCATATCGGTAGCCGACAAGTATGTGAAACCTCGACAGTCTCCGTAGCAGACACAATTGGTCAAAGATGCCTCTGTGTAACTCGGATATGGTAGTAGCTTCGAGGGCTGCGATCATTCCAGCTCGCCTCAGATTATCACGCAGGCGACCGCTGACGGCGCGCTAGGACGAGCGTTAAATCCCACCGACCGTCGCGGCTATGACGCCCCTCCGATCGACCATCCTGGTCTCACGTCCTTTTCGTATAGGATGGCTAAAGGGTCCGACCGCGCCAAGCTTTCAGTGACACCGCTACTGCGAACACTATCGGGCAAAGGGCGCTTGTTTCCCAAAGCTGAGGTGGAGTGAACAGCTCAGTCACGCGAACTGCGTCATATAGCGTTCGAAAGGGGTCGATGACGGTAGGATCCTTGCTCAGGTACGATATCGCGGAAACGTGACAGCGCGATATTCTTTGGATGTTCTAGTTTTATTGGGAGTTGCTTTGTAAAACTTGCCCCCTTCCGTAAACGTACCCGCCTCTCCGCTTGGATAGGGGTTTCTGCACCGGCATTTGACTAACCTTTTGTCCTTGCTACGCTATCTTTCAATTGCCCGAGTCTCTACAGTACTCCTAGTCCCTTCTCCTTTTGAACCACATCCCCTGCACGCATCCTCTCCGTCGTATAGTATAACTATTGTAACCGCTCGACCAGAACTCCATCGCGATGACAACATTCCTTTGAACGGCTATCATCACCTCAGCCCGTACAACCCCCAGCGATGACTGCAGCGCATTGAGGCTCATCCAGATCTCCTGCAATCGACGATGGAGCGACGGGGACGCTGCCCGAAACAGGCTAGCTCGCCCCGCGAGTTGGACCCTGGATTGGACGATCCGACGTCACCGCCAAGACATGGCATCATACCTCCCAGCCAGTAGGCTTCAAATAGTCTACAAGCACATGCTAACTTAATCGCGGCAGCTCACTACGGATTTCTCCTGTATACGAGTCTTTCATTGTTCGAATCCACTTTCGACACTGCGGAACTCTTAGAAGGTACGCTCGCTAATGCACACGCCCCTTCTAACCATCAGAAAGCAGGCATTCGCACCTCCACAAACAGACACTCGCATCCATCAGGTTCAATCCTAGCCGCATACCCTTCCTTCGTAAATCTCGATCCTCCCCAACAAATTCGATTCTCCACATCACCGCATCACGCCACCTCACACCATGGGCGAGGCGCAACCGACGCTCCTCCCGCCGAGCTGGGGCACTTTAACCCCCGCGACGCCCTCGGGCCTCACACCTAACACGCGCTCAGAAGCCGAAGCCGCCCTCACGCATAACATCACTACACAAACCGACTCAGCGGCTCCTACTACACCACTACCAGCGTCACACACAAACATGTATCCAGGCATGGGCGCTGGAGGCGGCAACACGATGGACGGCGAAGCCGACGACCGAGCCACCGAGGCGCAGAAGGCATATCGACGACCGCCGGGCCTGGTTCGAACAAGTTCAGCGAACTATGCGCACGCGCTGCAGCAGGCACGTAAACAATCCTCGGCTTCCTCAGAGCTCGATCCGGATACTCAGGCGCACGACGAGAACATTACCGGCACCATGACAGCTTCGCCAGCCTCCACGGCTCTACCCTTCCCATTGCCGGGCCAGGGAGTAGTTCCACTGCATACGGGCGTCGGTAGTGGGCAGACTGAGGTGGTCAAGAAGGCCAAGCCGAGCGGATTGAGCTTGGGTCAGTTGATGAGGCAACAGAGTTTCAGCGAGCAGGACATGAAGCATCTTCTTCAAGGTAGACTGATGAGCCCAGTCAAGGGAGATGCGGGGTATGACTCTGGTACCGAAGAACGGACTGTGGGCCCATCCTGAGGACGCACATGGCGCAGGTTAAGCCATCACACATTGCAGAAAGTACATACTGCAGGCTGCATGCATACGACGTGACGGGCAGGAAATTGCCAGGCTGGCATTAATGTATCACGAAACAACAATACATAGGCGTTTGAATGGGTGGGCACTGGGCTCAATACGTCACTCGGTCAATCATGAATCAGGTCAAAAGCGGCCTTATGGGAGGTTCATTTAGAGAACAAAGCAAATCAAGACTCGTTATGGTCCCAAGCGCTTCACATCTGCCCAACCTAATTTACGAGCATTTCATATAAATCTCGCATTGCTGTTGTTCCCGGATACCGTGCTTTGTGAACAGGATATACACGGTTCGACATTACTCCGTCTCTTCATCATCCACCTTAACCTTCTTATTGCAACTGTCCATCGTAGCCCCAAAACCAAGCACACAATCGGACGGACAATCTTCCGTCACCACATTACACGTCTTGAACTTGCACACATTGACACACCCAAGTGGATTCTTAACCGGACACTCATCCATACACTGCTCAAAATACCGGACGCAAGGAGCGCAGTCGTCGTTAGGCGTATCGGTTGGTTCTAGCGCCTGAGCCGAAGTCGACGACGTTGGCGTAGAAAGAGCCCTAGCTTCCACGAACTGGGGCGTCGGCGGCGCGCCTACAACATCGCAATGATTCAGCCTCCCACACACGGTATCTCCACGGCATTCGGCGGGCCCTTCAAAGCACATGATTCCCTGGCAGCCCAGGCGGCAGTACCGGTCCTCGTGCGTGCACTCGCAGGTGCAGTTCGCTTGCCAATCGTCGCAGATGGTGCAGTCTGGCTCGGCGTAGTCATGGGGGGTGGAAGAGAAGCAGTATCGACGGGAGCAGGCTTTGTGGCAGTGAGCTGGGCCGTTGAGACATGTTTCTTTGTTGCAACGGGATTGGCAGGCGGTGTCCATTGGGCCGCATGTGTTGAGACACTGGTCGAAGAAGTGGGCGCAGTCGTTACAGTTTGCGGATTCTAGTTCTCCGGCGGTCAAGATGTTGATGTTGGGGTGTGGGAAGGCGGCGGCGAATGCCGCGAGGACTGTGACGACGGGTAGTAGCTGGAGGAGCTGCATGAGTGAATGATCGCAGGCGGTGTCGCTTTGGATTATTCTGAGGCAGAAGACGGAGTATGTAGTTCTCCAGTGGAGAGAGGGCGGCGGGACGAAGTCGAGATGAAGGTTAAATATATGAAGTGGGGTGAGTGCGCGCGCTCCAAAGTTGGACAGTGAGCAACCGTTCCACGTGGCCCTAGCCCGACGACTTGTTTTCGAAATGAAGCATTCGTGGTGGAAAGGCGAGTAAACATGAGGTGACAACAAGCTTTTGTGCGATAGTGGCCGACGTCGAGATGTCCGCGTTCTCTGATGTCACCTTTCTTCCGCTTTTCCCGCAGATTAATGAAGGCGCGGAAATAGAGCGAGGATGCCTGCCATGCAGCACTCGGCTTGCGATTCGACGACGCTGCGCCTGGTAGGTACCTAGGCAATGTTTGTGAGCGACAAAAGGGGAGATTAGTCATGTGCTAAGGGATGATGGGCGTCGGGGCTTGGCGGGTGGACCGCGACCGCGCGACTGCCCTCACAGACCCCGTGCGAAGTGCTCCCGAGGCCCCTCTCGTTGGCATGCCGGTGATACACCGCTTGGTCTGCCCTCAATCCCCCGCACCTCGCCGTTTGCGAGGCCTCTTCACTCTCCTCGACCCCCTCCCTCATCACCCGATCTACATACTTCAACCCACTCTCCTTGCTTCTCTCCTTCCACCCCAGTCATACAAACCCAATCTCAACCCCGAAACTCCAGCTTCAACATGAAGCTCAACTTCCTCGCCGTGCTCGCGGCCTTGCCGGTCGCGCTTGCTGCCATTGCTTTCCCAGTCGACGACCCAGCACAAGGTAAGGACTTCACCACCGAGCGCAAGTGCGCGAGCGGTGAGCGGCGCTGCCACCGCTGGGCCGTCGAGATGTGCTTAGGCGGGAGTTGGAAGAGGCTGCAAACTTGCCCGTGGCCGATGACCTGCGAGTACCGAACGCCTCGCCGTGGAGGCGCCGCGCAGCCGACGTGTATAGGCACGCTGCATGCCCTAGGAGACGTTGACGCCGACACGGATGCGTCGGATCATGATCTTCTTGTGGTCGCAGCTAACTCTCCTGTGCCAGACCTCGAGACGCGCCAGTCCTTCTCGCCGCCCTCGCCTTGCCATTATGGCGACATGGCTTGCAGCAAGGACCTCTACTCGGTCATGGTGTGCGACAAAAACGATAAGTGGCAGGTCCAACTCAAGTGTCCGAAGCCTGGGTGCTGTGCCACGTATCCCAATGGGATGCCATACTGCGAGTGTGGGCCGGGCATGCCGCCGCCGGGCGCCGAGCATGCTGCCGAGGTCGAGAAGCGTGAGGATTCTTCTGACCAGGTGTGTCCGCATAGCTGCTACATGGACTGGTGGGGCTGCAAAGTGAGTCTCTGGACATATGATCGACTGTACATGGCTTACCGAAGCAATTAGGGTTCACCCGCCCATTGCAAGAACCCGTGCGGGCGCCTTGAGGTATGTTCCACTCACCAGTAGTCAAGGCAGTTGAAGTTGATATACGTAGTGCTCGCACACGTGCCACTTCTGTCCTCATGGCCGCCACTTGCCCGAGCGAGAAGAAGAAGAAGTTGTCCCCATGGAGCCCCAGCTTGAGGCGCTGTCTGAGCGTGATGACGCTCGCATTATCCCGCCCCCGCCCAACAATTGCCCCCGCTGCCAGGAGAGGGTCCAAAACTGCATTCTCGTTAGTTCTCCCCCTTCCAAGCGCAAAGCCGTACCAACTCGACTCACACATACAGTTGGGGAACCCGAAATACTACTGCGCGACGATCTGCCGCATCAACACTGAAGTAAGTTCCCTCATCTCCCACTCACTCCAAGTTCTAAAATAACTCAAATGCTCGCAGTGCTCCCGATGCGATTACTGCAAGAGCGCCGCCGCCGATGTGGAGCATTCCGCTGTCTCCAAGCGCAATGAAGATACCCCGCCGCCTTGGGCCTGCAACACCTGCGAATTAAACTACGAGATGTGCCGCCAGGTACAGACCCCGGTCCAAGCTGACCTCCTCTTCTCTCGCACAGTATCAACAACCCGAGCTTCGCTAACGCGCTACAGTACAATGGCAAACGCCCGGACGCTGAATGCCGAGAGGAGATTTGCAACCCGGAGACTTCCCCTTTAACATATAGTTGCGGCCATTGCCAACGATGCGGTGGATATGTTGCCCCCGAACTAGAAATGGAAACTCCTCCTCAGCAACGCGATTTCGAGCGTGCCCCCGCCGTCAAGCGCGAGGAAGTTCCAGAGCTCGCGCAGGAGCAAGGCCAATGTGCATCGGACTGCTTTGGGAAGTACATGATGTGCCGTGTAAGCATCACAACTCGTCGGCACAGAAGCTGGCGCCAGCGGTAAGCTAACGTAGTGTTAGACACCGCCCTTGGCAAATTGGGGCAAGTGCAAGAGCCGGTACTGCCGCTTGGATAAGGTCAGTGGTCTTGAGCGCATTGGTGGACGCAGGACTGACACTCGATATAGTGCCACGAGTGCCGGTTTTGCCACGAAGATATTGCAAAGCGCGAGGATGTCTCTGGGTCTGAGCCCGCAGTCAAGCGCGTGGAAGCTCCAGAGCTCGCGCAGGAGCAAGGCGTGTGTGCGTGTTTCGGCCCGTTCATGAACTGCGTCCGCGTACGTGCACCTTCCCACCTTCATATAAGCCGTAATATCCCTCGCTAACCAGTCGATCTAGAACGCGGCTAAGAGCCCCGCGTGGTGCAGGAGCCATTTCTGCGGCATGGCTAAGGTCAGTCTACTTAACCAGATGGATAGATGAGGAATCTAGACGAACGAACTGACCTCGGATAGTGCCACAATTGCGATTTTTGCCCCAATAATGCTGCGAAGCGCGATGAGCTGTCTGAGCCTGCGGCAGTGGTCGCCGAGGACGAGGAAGCCCCAGAGCTCGCGGATGTGGAAGGCCAGTGTGCAAAGGGCTGCTTTACGTCGTATATGGCGTGCATGAGGGTGCGTATACTGTCCTCCCCAATAGGAGTGGAACAGATCCAAACTAACACAACTTCAGCGCCCGGACGGAAACATTAAGGTCTGTAGGGGCGCCATGTGTCGCTCTCAGGTAAGGTTCCCAAATCTTTCGGACCGACAACGAAGAGAATACAGACTGACCTGCATGTGCAGTGCCTCAAGTGCAGCTTCTGCAAGCACCCGGATGCTTAACGGCTCCCTACTAAATTGAAACGGCCTTGCTGGAAGGTTTCCATCGGTTCTGCGTCGGTAGCGGGACGGATGAGTGAGTGAATGAATGAATGGGATAGATCTATACGGCTGTCATAAGCACCCTGATAGTTCCGCCCTCGGGCATCGGGGTCTCGAAGACGAATCCAGATCAAAGTGATAGGTATCCCCTTCACTTACATGCCTCTTGCTTGATGTGCCGTGCTTTCACTCGACGATAATGCGCTTGTTCCTTGCGCCAAGGGATGTCTCTCTTACGCGTTTGCTCTTCCTCACATGCAAACACGCGACTACCTCAACTCGCAGCCCTGAAGATCACAACCCCCCTTTCCCTTCCACTAGCCGCCATCCTCGCTCTCGAATTGGGAACCTACATTGCCACACCCTCCATCCCACCCACGCCGACGTCAGGCTCCAAATGCCCACGGCGATGCGAAAACGAGTACGAATACTGCATGAGGGTAAATAAGTCCACCCGCAAAGATGCTTTATTGTGATGAAAAGCCGAACGGGTGGGCAGGCGAACAAAAAAGCAGCGAATACGGAGCGCGGTCGCAGGCTATTACAGCATGCAAAATGGTCGCCTGTGCGGTGTGAGATAGTGTAAGTAGCGCATCATTTTGCGCAAAGGATAAAAGGAGTGGAAAGAAGACAGGCTGACGGGAAGACAGTGTCCGGAGTGTGGGTGGTGTGGGCGGGAATATAAATCTGTAAGTTGATGTGCACGAATTTTGAATTAGCTTGAGCTCTACGAATGCGGATCGTGGTTGGACTCACCCTACGAGGCGCGATTCGTCGTGATAGATTGACTGTGGTCGTGTTCAAGCGCTCGGCGGACGAGCGTATTGCACCTCAGAACATGACATGCAGTATTCCCGTAGCGGTGGAACTCGAACTGCCTCTTGCGCGCGATGGCTCTGTATTCTTCTACCTGCTCGTTCTTCCCAACAACATTGTCTACATGAGCCTTGGCTCCCCAAAGCCCTAGGTATGCGAACTCATAACTTTTTATTTATCCCACCTTTCTAGAATGATAAAACGCCCATTATCTTTCTGAGAAAGTCGCTTAGTGGCCTTGAATTCATATACCGCGTAGCGAAGTCTCCATTCCTGCCGAGCCATAACGCGTATACGCCCACAGCGATGGCAAGACCAAAGGTTCCGTGGCGTCGGTAGTACCATAGTCTGCGTCTAATGTATTTGGCGTTCGTAGCAGCTTTCTTGAATGCCTGCTGTCTCCGTACTTCCTTCTCTTGCTGCTGGAGTAGTCTCTCTCCCTCTTCTAACGACATGTTGTTCAACTCCAGGGGCGTCGAGGGTGTTTTCAGGACGCTTGATGACGATATCCTCCACCACGCCCAACTCCCTAACGAGTCAGGGGGCAGCCGCTCGTGGAGCTCGAGGGCACGCGCGATGTGGAATTCGACGTCGAAAGGCTGCGGTAGCTTGCCTAGCACCACGTGCATTATGTCAACGTCCTCCTTTTCAATTTCCAGCATCTCTTCCCTCCGCGAAAGGACGACGGCGGCGAAAAAGTATATGGGCATTACAGTATTGCGGGCCAAGAAGAAATCAAACAGCCTTGCGATATCACCATAATCCTGTATATTGTGGGCGAACATAGTAATGGTACCGGCGAGGGCGAAGGAAGGCTGGCTTTTTGGGAGGTGGTCGTACAAGACGGGATCGGCAGAATGGATGATTGGGTGGAGCAGGTGGAGGTGGGCGATGGCGGGATCGAGCGACGAGAGCATGAAATCACGGATGCGCAGCAGACTCAGGCGGGCGACTGCAGCAGGCGCGTCTTGGGGACCGAGAACCAGGAGGAAGACCTGCACGATATCGTGATAGCCCTGGAAGTAGCACAAGGCTGGGTGGCGGCGGAGGACGTCGAGGATGACAGCGGAGAGCTGTTCCTTCCGCCGGTCGAGCTGATTCTCCGATTCTGACTGGCTTAGCCCTCATGTGCAATTCCGGAGTTGCGCGTTCGTACCATTCTGGGGATAGTATACAAAGGCGCGGTTGACGTCGAGGGCAACCTGGTGCTCGTCTGCATGAGCGGGCAGCTCCGTCCATGGGGTGTCGCTGGGCGGTTCGTTGCTACATGCCAGCAGAAGAGGCCCTGAGATTGGTCAGCGGCGGGAGGAGTGTGGTGGCACGGAGACTTGCACGCTGTGCGACGCAGGCTGTCGCTCACGAGGCCGTGGGTGCTGGTCGCAAGCTCGACCAGGGCAGGCAGGTCGCGGACCCGGCAGGCGGCGCTGATGTGGGCGGACTTGTCCTTCTCGGCTGGCGAGAGCTCTGGCACGGGGGTGTCGCGGCGCGTGGGCAGGCTGGCAGAGCTCACAGAGCGCGAGGGTGCTCGGGAGGACATGGCGATGGCGATGGCGATGGCGGTGCCGGCATGTCGAGCGGCCGCGATAAGCAGCGCTCGGCTCGCTCGGGGGGAGCAGCAGGGCGTGGGCGGGCTGGGGCGAGAGCGAGGAGGGCGAGGGCGGAGCGGGACGGCGACGGTGGTGGGTGTCGTGGCATGCTGCTGGGCGGTCGTCGTGCGCTGTGGCCGGACGCGAAACACTCGCGACTTCCCTCCCAGCTGGCCGCGTACGTAACCGGCGACGCTTGGCACGCACCATCCTCAACGCCAAACCACCAAACGCCCGGCCGGGGACAAACCTTGGACGGTCGACATCTGTGTCTGCGCATGGACGGGCATCGTTCACCGTTCATCGTTGCCTCACGAGCCGACCCTGGATCCCTCCGCGAGACGTCCTTCGCCGTCCCGCTGCTGTGCCGAGAGCGCCTGCAAGTCACCCACGAAAACGCCAGCAGCCAACAGCTGCCATACAGTACCGTCCCAGCTTGCGCCGCTGCCGGCCTGTCACGCTCTCCGCCAATACCGGCAGCAGAACGGCTCCGTTGCGAGATAGAGCTGCACGATCTCAGATAGCCGCACCCTGGACCTGGTATCTAGCCAGCGATCGCGCACCTGACCGCGTGCCGCTGCCGCTGCCGGCACGCCCGCTGCCTACCGCCTCCGAGACGCCTCTGACCTCCCGCCTATATTGTCGCCCTTTAATGGCCTCAGCGGTCGGCAAGGTCATCTTGCAGCGCCTCAGATCAGGGTAACCCGGTCACTGGCTGCTAATTCGCCTACTGTCCATTCCCTCCGCCCCATAACTCCAATCATCGACATTCCTGCGGCCCATCATCCGGCTTCCCATGGCCTGCTGTACGAGCTTTCTCTCTGCGCCTGTCTCCTCTGCCCCTCTTGCTGAAGCCCTTTGCCTCACCGCAACCGTCGTCTGACAATCTGCTGTCTGCCGAGCCCTGAGGCATCAACATGTCCCATATCTGCTATCCCAGCTCTGTGCGCCGTCCATCACTCCTTCCCCCGCCGGCCTAGGCCAGTGTCACTGCGCCTTTGCGCACACTCCAGGGCTGGCTCTCCAGAATAGATTACGCCATCCGCTTCCACCCTTGCCTTTCTTCACTCCTTCCTCTTGCCTGGGTCGACGGTACACCCCCCCGTATCCGACCCCTAGGCCATGGAATACCAGGTCCAAGGCTCTGTCCTCATCGACGGCGAATGGGTCTCCAGGACTGCCGACGTCTACCGCATAATGGCTCGCAGCCAACAGCAGGAGGACATCGAGATGCAGGAGCCCGAGTTGAAGCCGCGAAATGAAGTCCCCGATCTGGGCATTCTTTCTAGGACCCTTGTGCCCAGTCCCTTCTATAAGTTCGCCTTGTCCGCGAACATACGGCACAAGGAGCTGAACGACGTTGTTCTAATCGCCGAAGACGCCGTCCACCTGAAGGAGATCTGTGACTATGGCCACCTTCGCCATGTCGCTACAAAGTCCGACTTCAACGGCCAGATTCTCGCAGCGAGAGTGTTCGGAGACCCTCGTCAAGTGCGGGTGAACACCTCAGAGCAAAGTCCGATGCTGAAACGAGGTCCGTTCCACAGAGGCAGAAGGTCCACTGCTGGAGATGAAGACATCACCTTGCCTCCGGAAGTAATCGTGCTGACTCTCACCTCGAGAACTCTCATGTTCTTATGGGCGCAACAGACTCATTCAGGGACGGTTGCGTTCCGCCAGAAGACAGTCCGTCTGCCAGCAGCGGGAACATCACGCTTCGACCGCCCTGGCACCTTCCTCGCTGTTGACCCGAGGTGTCGAGCCATAGCTGTAGCTGCCCCCGAGGGTTGCTTCATGCTTTACAAGACTAAGACGATGGACCTTTGGCGAGATGAGACCCGCGGGGCCCCTGATGAACTACCCATTGTGGATGAAGCGCTCATACCTATCCAAGGCCGCATCATGCACATGGAATTCCTCTCATCGGGTGGGGATCGCGATGACTCGCACATTGTTCTCGTGTTCGTCCTGGTACACGACGGCAAGACAAAATTGGCTTGCTATGATTGGGACTACCGGTCCAGCCTAGACGATGGCTCGGCCAGGAAAGAGCGATACTCAGTGGGCTATGGTAAGTATGCTCTCTTACGTACCCTGCTATGGTAAATTGGGGCGCAAAGGCTAATTCTCTCAGAGGACCGCGATCCAGCGCTGCTGATTCCTCTTAAACGTAGCCCCGACTTCCTTCTCGTCTATGATCAGCGTATTTCCCTCTACAAGCACGTTTTGTCCGGACCGCCAGTACCCACCCGCACGAAATTCCACCCTCATATCATTCCGCCACTGAGACCGGGCGACGGTAAAAGCACGCCACGCTGGGTGCAGTGGGATAGGGCACCCCGCAATCCCGATTTCGCCAAGGAAGCCTTCTACCTGGCACGAGAAGACGGTCGGATCGCTTACGCGGAGCGCGATCCTGCAGCTGGCATAGAGACTGTAAAGGCTGGCGACTGGCCCTATCCGATTGATACCGCATTTGCATGTCTCAATGTCAACAATAGAGAATTTGCGCAATCTTATCCCGACCTTCTTATAGCGGGTGGCGCCGGGAGCGATGGTCATTTGTGTAAGGTCGGGGCATGGCCAACTGAATACTCGTTCACTTTGCAATGGCCTGAGCATAACACCTTCGCCTTCCTCGAATCAATACCGAACTGGGCGCCTCTTTCAGATATGTCAGTTACGCGACTCCCTGGCCTACACATTCCCTACGAAAGAGATAGAGCCGCGATATTCGTCGCAAATGGAAAAGCTCCTCACGGAGAAATATCAGAGCTGCGGCGAGGCATCAAGGCCATTGTGGATGACTCATTCCCCGGAATGGAAGGCTGCACGGGCGTGTGGATAGTTGACTGGGGTAGTCAGACATTTGAAGATGGTGGCCAGGAGGCGACACGGCAATACGCAACCTTTATCGTCACACTTCCGCCTGAGAGCCTTCTGATCCGTGTGTCTCGACTGCTGGGTGGAGGAGGCAGCAGTCAGAGCCACGTTTGGAGCGCATGGGACAATGGCGCTTGGGAGAAGATTCAGATACCTGACGGCCACGAGCCAGTCGAGGATGGCATCATACGGGATGATGAAACGATCTCGGCATGCTCCTGGACAGATCATTATGCAGTCCAGATAACGCGCAACGAGGCCAGAGTTCTCCACCGCCCCAGACTGGATGGAGTCGATTTCATGTCTTTTCCAAGTCCCCTCCTACGGGCCGTCACCAGATCGGGCTTCCCCTTTGTCGCAGTCGCTTTTCGTGAAGGAGACAGAACGATGCTTGAGCTCGCCCGGATCCTGGACAACGGAACATTTGGGAAGAAGGCAGGAGAGAGCATCCGGCATGAACTTCCCTGCGACCCGACATGCTTGGAGTTACTGAACCTGGACGGTTTGCCGCATGTCTTTGTGGGAACTATTGACTGTAGGATCCGTCTTTTCAAAATTCTGGAGACCGGCTCGCTGGTCTTAGCGTACGATACCTTGCTAGAACGAAATCCCAGCGGATCGCAAATGGTATGCGAGAGTGCAGCTCTGCTCACATCGAGGGATCGACGAGTGCTTGTTTGTGGGACACGAAACGGTTTCCTGCTCAGCACGGTCATCCATGCAACGGATTCGCGTAGGTCATGGCTGGTCTAAATCGAAGGAAATGACTAACACTCTTAAGGCTATAACACGCTGTCGACCCATCTCATCAGGATGGGTACAACAGCTGCTCGGCTGACCACTAGCACTACGGACTCTTCGACCGCGTTCGTCGCATGTGGTTCGGACTTTTGTCGAATTCGCTGCTCAGCAAGCAATGCAAGGCCCATAGACGTCGATTCAGTATGGTTTATAGACCGTCAGAAGCCTGCGTATACGCAGAACTCAATTACTGCGATAGACCAACTACCCCTCATTCCCGGACCTGCATACCGTGGGAGAGATATTGGAGGTTTCATATTTGCGGCCTCGGGCGACCAAATGGTATTTGCGCAGCTAGACTACAACATGAGCCACGACATGCCGCCATTGGATCCTGAGGAGAGCAAAACTATCCCACGCAAGCTAGTCACGGCAGCGACACCGACTAAGCTTATGTACCTCGAAGGGACATTGCGTGAGATGGTCGTCGCCACTGTGGAGACGAAGGAGGAACGAGCGCCACCCGATGGTTACCGCGTTATGCACTCGTCCATAAAGGTCCGCAGCCCGTTTGACGATCTTTCCGGGGAGGAACCGAAAGTCAAACAAGAAGATTTAGAAGCCTCAAAAAGCGGGCTAGTTGTGAGAGAGCTTCCGCTGAAGCATTATGAACGAGTACACTCCTTTGTTGAGTGGACATATACTGATGAACGACAAAAGAAACACCACTTCATCATCGTGGGCACCGGCATTGCGCAGGGTCTTGGAAAAGAGAAAGGACGCAGACTCTTCTTGCGGACGGGAAAGTGTGGCGTCAAATTGCAACACGAAAAGGTGTTCGAACATGCCGCCGTACGTTGCATAGCCATCTACGATAATACGTCGATTGTCCAAATCCACGGCAGCACTCTGGCGATGTACGAATATGAGCCCACAACCGGAAAGTAAGCTGTTTCGCATATCCCACGTCTGAAAGCCACACTAATCAAATGCAGGTGGACGCAACGAGGCTCAAAGGAATTGCCGTCCGCCGGTGTCCATTTGACCGTATCCCATCGGTACGTCTACGTATCAACAACTCATGATTCTCACATCTGTTACGAGGTGGTCATTCATGACCCCCAAGGGGAACGAATGGTGGAATTCATACAGATATTTACGGATGTCCGTCAACGCTCCTCTGCGCACCATCTAGTTCTGGACGTGCAGAGTCCGAGCGTGCCATATGCTAGTACCGATCGGCTCGTCCTCCTCACCGACAAGAAATGTTCAGTGACAGGTCTCCTCCACTCACCAGATCGCACCAATAAATCCACCACCGAGACGCTCTTCGAGGCCTGCCTGCCGCGGTCCGTGATTCGTATTCATCGCGGCGACATACGGCCGCCCTGGCGGCGCCCCTGCAAATCACATACCGAACCTTTCCAAGGCATCCCCGGCGTATTAGTCGACGACCTCCTTGGTGCCTGCTCCGACGGCACCATCTACAGCTTTAGCATCCTGACCTCCGATGCTCGATGCCTCCTTCGCCTCATACAAAATATCATCGAGGCGAAACAGAAGCGCGATCCCAGGCTCCAATACAGCATTGTCAAGCAGCGCAGCAGCGATATCTTCAACCTCCTGCTAAATGGCGCGGAGGGCTCCCAAGATGGCAAAATCAAAGCGAGGGATGTTGATCCAGAGGAGATGAAGAGGGGCGAGGCTGCGCTGAGGTTCAAGCATATTGATGGCGATCTGCTGACACGATTCCTTGAAGAGGACGGCAATGTAGAGGAATTAGTGTGTGACGACACGGAGGGCGTTAAGAAGCTGGCCCTCTCCTTGGCGGCACGGGTCTCAGGGACTCTTTTCCGCCCAGAGGTAGCTGAGATCTCCGGCGAAGAACTTGAAGGGGATTGGGATGGTGTGTGGACTTGGGTAAAGACGTGGCTGGGTGAGGTGCTTATGCCGCTGCTCTGAGGGTTCCCGCAGAGCATCGCGGGTTTATGGTGAGTTCGGTTGGACTGGGCTTGGGGGAGCAGGAGGGGCCCTCTGAAGGGTTTGCAGGATTGGTGCGGAGTTGTATTTCGGTTCTCTAATAATGAGGTAGTTTGCATACTGGTGGGCTGCTCAGCATGTCTTAGACTAGATAGGATTAGCTTTGATGAATTATGACTAGCGCTGAGATCGGGATGCATTATGTATACCATAGTGCTTGGGCGTTGTGGGTGTGTGTAGTGTATCGAAGGCCGTCAGGGCATAATAAACACTGGTCTATTTCGCTTCGGAATACGGGGTGAAGGCCTTCAGGAGGACCTTTGCGTAGGTCAGATATCGAGGCTGTTGGTAACATATTTGTTGTATCGATGCTTGCTAGTGTCCATGATACCGTGAGGAGAGATAGGCAAGCTTAACTAGCGGGTTAGTTACACTTGCAGAAGCCTGCACAGTAGGCCAAGGTTCAGCGCAGCAACCCAATTTGTATCATGTCAGGAATGGGAAGCGAAGATATTCAGTAGAACGTTTGCTTGTGTAGAAAGTAGAAGTACAGGGAGTAACGAATACTGAAGAGGAAACCATTTCCCCGTTGCTTTGCCCGATGCGTTTTCATCCCATCCCAAATACTAGGTATCCCATCCCATTCCATTCCATAAACACCATCACCGGCGAGGAAAATCAACGAACGCCATGTCTCACCAAGCCGAGCTAGCTCACGGATGCTGATGCACCTGACTGACCTGCCCACCTTGTGCCGGCCCACCAAACTCGCTCTCGTCGTCGCTGCCGATATCGGTCCAGCTGGACGGCGTCATGATTCCTCTGTTATCGCCCTGCCCCAGCTCACTGAATCCAGCCTCCGAGAAGCCAGCTTCTGTGAAGCCGCCCTCGGAGAAGCCCTCGGAGCGCGCGTCGTGGTCTGTGTCGTTCTGCATGCTCAGCACGGCGATGTCGTCGGCGTGGCTGCCTACTACGGAGGCGCCGGTGAAGGCGGAGTGTTCGGAGCGCGGAGTTAGTGTGCCGGTCGAAATGTGCTCTGCTTCTTCTTCGGAGTTGTTCGCGGGGGCGGCTTGTGCTGCGTGGGAAGAGGACGTGAAGGAGTAGAAGGATTGCGCGGCGTGGTCCGTCTCGTCAGCTTCGGATTGCGGAATTGATGCTGTCTGGGGGTTCTCGGGCTGCGGGTGCATGGACTCGGGGGTGAGGTCGATGAGTGTGCCGGCGACGGGAGGGGAGGCGGGTCCGTCGGCCTCTAGGGTGGCGGAGGTCTCGCGGGAAGCGGTTCCGGGCTCGATGTACGTGAAGGGCTTGGGCGAGGGGGCTTCCTCGTCGTCGCGGTCGAACAGGACGTTCTCATCGGCGAAGGGGTTCGCGGCAGCAGAGCCAGCAGCGAAGCAGGCCCCGCCCCGCTTCCTCAGCCCGTTGTCCATCGCTTCCGCACCCGTAGCTGTCGAGTCGTCTCTCCGGAGCATGCCATCACTGCCGACTAGCTGGTCGAAGCTCCGCTGGCTCGCGGCCGTCTTTCTCCGCTGCCGCCGCTCCGCCATCTCGATATCCTCGCTCCCAATCCGCGCAAGCTCGTCCAAATCCACTGCCACACCCTCCTCGCGCGCCCTCCTTATCAGCTCATTTCGGTTCCTTTTGACCAGCTCCTCACGCCTCCGCTTCCTACTGTCGTAGTCGTCCGACGACTCCGACGGGCGGCGGGGCTGGATCTCGTCGCCCAGAGAGTGCAGCGCGATAGCGATCTTGCGGCGCGACTGGTCGACCCACTGGCGGACCTGCGGGGACTCGTAGATGGCGATGCCGGCGGCGACGATGACGGAGGCGGCGATGATGAGGCCTGTGGTGAGAGGGTGAGCAGGCCGGCGGCGCAGCGGGGTACGGGCGGACGAGTGGGGAGAAGTAGAACGACGGCCGCCCGATCCTGCAAGCAGGTTGGCATTTGAAGCTCATCATGGAGAAGAGGAAACGGGAAACAGGAAAGGGGAGACACAGAGGGCACAGCAGCAGCGACGTGCATGGAGCTCAGCTCACCTTTGGCCAGTGGCGCAGGCATTTCGACGGTGCTATGTTCCGGTCTGTTACTCTCGCTCGTTCAGATTAGTGTGGTTGTGCGTCGGAGTCCCAGGAGGTAGGAGTGTACAGTTAACACATGCGAGGATTAAAGGAATATTGCAGCCTGGCGGCTTGCGAAGAGCAGCGTGGAAGGTGCTCGAGCTGGGGCGGTGTCGTCGTAAGTACTGCCGCCACCCACGTCCGAGCGCCTTTGGTGGGGTCGCCTCGCCGTGGAGAGACCTTGGCTGGCGCTAACGGCTAATCTTGGAAAAGGCTCGTCACTGGAACAATTCATTGTTGCTCTTTGACTACGTAAATCCCAAGTCTATATTTCTCCAGACGCCCCCGAAGACGTAGGTACAGAGTATCGTGATCGATCAAGCGTCACGATGGCCCTCGTGTTGCTCCTCTTGCCGCCTCCTGACCGCGTGCTCATGCCGGATGCCCCAGAAACATGCCAGAATACCCAGAGCGCTTGAAGCTAGGGTGACATAGTACGCGGCCCGGTAGCAGTTCAACCCTTCGTCACAGCTCCGCTCGCCGCCAGGCTGGATCTCGGAATGCGAGTCGTACACAGCTCCGTAGAACAGGTTGTATATGTTTCCGCTCACGACCGGGGCGAGCGTCATGAACCCCCAGTTGACTGCGAAACCGTCCGGTCCGAAGGCGTCCACGACCAGTGCTGGGAACACCCCGAAAAGGACGCCATATGCCAGACCGCACAGCCCCGACACCGCCCACAATTGGTTTGGGTTCTCAATCCGGATTGCGCAGATTTGAGCAAGCATGAAAATGGTAGCCGATATGGCAGCACACCAGAACCGGGACATCTGTAGCCTCTTTACGATAATGTCGGAGCCGATGCCGGACGAAAGTCGTCCTAGGAAGGAGCAAACGGAGATAATCGAGACGTGCCAGAGCTGGCGATGCGCAACAAAGTCCTTGTTCGCAGAGTCATCCCAGTGGTTCCAGAGCGCTTGGACGTCGTGTCCAATGTTGCTGTGGGGGTCAGCGGCTGCTTCCAAGAGTTCCCCGAACCACGTACTTGATAGTCATCAATCCGACGCCGGTCAGCAAGCCCATGAGTATCCACAGCTGCCAGAACTCAATCTTGTATAGCAATGCCAGTCCAGTAACATCTAAACAATGTGAGTGACTCGACTTCTTACTAGCGGTGTCGTCCTCGGGTGGAATATCGCCCGGGCCTGACAGGAGGGAGGAGGTTTCGTCTGAATCGCCATCCTGTTCGTCATCGTCTGCAGTGAAATGGTTGGCAACTGACAAGGGGCGGAACCTGGAAAAGAGAAAGGAGACTTACTTGGTTCAGGCTGCGGCATCGCGGAGCGGCTGTGCTTGTCGCCGTGTGGCTTGGTTCGATGCAGGAGATTGGAGTCCCTCCGAGAACGCTCGCTGGTGGGTAGCACTGCGTAGCCGCTGCCGCTCTTGTGGTCGACAACGTGGAGGAACGGTACCGAGACCAAGACAAGGAGGGAGGTGCCGAAGGAAAGGAAGAGGAGTAATCCCGACGTGTTTCCAGGAAATGCGATTCCCGCTATGAGGGTGTAGAAGAACGCGCTCAGACCGAACGCAGCTAACGGGAACGCCGTCGCCGTCCCGCGGTGCGTCGGCCAGTTGAGGGTTGCTGTTGAGGTTAGCAATTCAAAAACACAGGATATAGCGGCTGGTACCTGTCTTCAAAGAGCCTTGAAATGCAGCACAGCTGCCCACGCCAGACAGAAACGAACAGAACGATATGAGAGCGAGGCTCATAGACCCAGGGCCTTTATCGTATGCTGCAGGACGTCAGCCTCCAATCTTGCACTATGCCCAGACGCCGTACCAATGTGGATTGGGAAGTATCCAGCAAGCAGCGCTGCCATGCCAATCAAAGCCGCTAGTCGAGGGCTCTTTCTATCCGTGATCATGCCCATGGGTATGCCCGAGGCGTACATTCCGAGGTTCGCTGCGGTCCCCTGGATTTGTCTGTGAGGAAACGGCTACAAGGCGTGAAGGGGAAGGGCGGCAACCGTACGATGACATTGCTTTGCGTCGCAGACAGCTGCAGCTTCTCGGCGAACTGCGGCGCCCATGCTGAGTAGGCATACTGCGACATATCAGGAGGTATCCATGGAGCCCGAGCCATATCAGACGTACGTTTGTGCCGCAGGCCAGAGAGATGGCAGTCGCTGCGACGACGGATACAATCCGCGTCTTCTTGTGCGTCGCCTTCTCCGCGACGGTCATGTTCGCTCGCGGTGAGCGTGGAAGCGGTGCAGTCACGGCGCTGGCATCGAGTCTGTGGGTCGCGTTGATATCGGCAGTTCAGGGCCGAGGGAGGCCGGGCCAGCTGATACCTGGGTAGAGTCAGGGGACACGGAAGGGAGGTCAAAGGCTGTGGAACGACAGAAGAGAATTCAACGAGCGACAGGATGACCTTAGATCACACCTCTAACTGCCTGTTGAACTGAGAAGTGAAGTAGATGGGTGGTGAAGCTGATAGCCGCCAAACGGAGATAAGATAGCCAAGCCAAGCCAAGCATCGCGAGCCCGGCCGCAAGTGAAGGTAAACGTCACCGGGCATCGCTCGCTCTCCGCAGACACACCACCACTCCTCCACCGCAACCATGGGCGCTGCTCTATCCGTCCCGTTTATGCTTCTCCCGAGCGTCGGCACAGTATGCATGCTCCCCTACAGTGCGACTCCGCGATGCTAACAGGCCCGTACAGCTAACGGGCGTTGCCGCCTCGTGCTGCGGCGCTGCGACCTGCAGCGCCGTCTTCAGTTCGTGCGGGAAGTGTGGAAATAGGTGCGCGATGCCCTCTCCTGCGCAGTCGCAGTCGCAGTCGCAGACGGACGCCTTAGCTAACGGCGTGCAGTATTGCTACCCGTATCGCATACGCCCTCATCCTCCTCGTCAACTCCATCGTCTCCTGGATCATGCTCACAGACTGGGCCATGAAGAAGCTCTCGCACCTTACCCTCGACTACGTCGACATCAAATGCCACGGCGAGCAGTGCTACGGATATGTCGCCGTCCAGCGCATCAACTTTGCGCTCGGCTTCTTCCACGTAATCATGGCTATGATGCTCATCGGCGTCCGCAGCTCCAAGGACGGGCGCGCGCCTATCCAGAACGGCTTCTGGGGCCCTAAGATCCTCGCCTGGATCCTCATGGTCGTCCTTACCTTCTTTATACCGAACTCGTTCTTCATCGTCTGGGGCAACTATTTTGCCATGATTGGCGCCTGCCTGTTCCTGCTCATCGGCCTCATTCTGCTCGTCGATTTGGCCCACAACTGGGCCGAATATTGCCAGGAGAAGATCGAGGTTACGGAATCCAGGATCTGGACGGTTCTCCTCGTCGGTTCCGCGCTGTTCATGTATCTGGCTTCGTTCGCTATGACCGTCGTCATGTACATCTACTTCGCAAGAAGCGGATGCGGCATGAACCAGGCAGCCATTACGGTATGTCCTCCAAGCGCTGTCACAGCACGTGCGCTAACATCTTTAGATCAACTTGCTACTGCTCCTAATTTCCTCTGTCATTTCCATCCATCCCGCCGTTCAGAACGTTAATCCCCGGGCCGGGCTTGCTCAGTCGGCTATCGTCGCCATCTATTGCACATATCTAACCATGTCCGCCGTCGGCATGGAGCCCGACGATCACCAATGCAATCCTCTGATCCGCGCTCGCGGAACGCGCAAGGCCACCGTTGTCATCGGCGCAATCGTCACCTTCGTCACCGTCGCGTACACTACCACCCGTGCCGCAACCTACGGTCTCGCCCTCGGCGCGCAAGGCAATTCCTATGGCAACGGCTACTCCCGCGTCGGGACCGAAGACTACGAGCACGGCCTCGTCACTCAACAGCCCGAATCCCGCCGTGAAATGCGCCAAGCAGCTCTCCGCGCCGCCGTGGAAAGCGGTTCGCTCCCCGCATCCGCCCTCGACGACACCGACAGCGACGATGAAGACGATGCACCCACTAAGAGTCGTGATGACGAGCGTAACGCAACACAGTACAACTATTCGCTGTTCCACATTATCTTCTTGCTTAGCACCATGTGGGTGGCCACACTGCTGACCACCAACTTCGATGAGAAGGACATGCAAAATGATTTCGTGCCTGTGGGTAGGACGTACTGGGCCAGCTGGGCGAAGATTATTAGTGCGTGGGTGTGTTATGGCATTTATGGGTGGAGTTTGGTAGCGCCGCTTGTTTTGCCGGATCGGTTTGACTACTGATGAGTTGGGGAAGCATGGCATGGGAGACTGGTCGTTGATCTGATGTTCATGGGAGAGTGTATTATTATGGGTGTCATACGCTTGTAGAGTACCTGTTGAACTACTGCATATTGCCCAGCCTGGCAACCACGGTGATGTCGAGCAGATTCTAACTGCGCTTCTTGTGGGCGGAAGCACCTCAGGCTCTCGTATGGCGTCTGCTGCGAGTCCGCTCGTGACGGCTGGAGATTGCAGCCAGGCTCCCCTGGGTGCAATCGTGGGCTGAAGGCCCCCAGGACCTCAGATACAAAGGCGGCCATCTTGATGTGCGCCAGTTGTGTGTCGGCTTCCTGCGTCGTCGTCCTCTGACTCGCCGGCTTAGGCATTCGTAGGTTATGCGCGCTTCCGGTTGTCGCTCTTCATCCTTCTTCAACGATTGTCTTGACTTTGTTCTTCGAGCCTTTTGGGCGGCCGCGCTTCTTGGGGGCTTCTACTGCTACGGCTAAGAGCGTGGTCTTGTTCTTGGATCCGGGAGGTCTTCCTTTCTTCTTCGCGGATGTAGGCGCGGCTTTTGTAGCAGCTGCCGTAGCAGCTTTCCTCGCTACCTTCGATCTATTTTTCTTTACCACCTTTGTGACTGCTGCTCTCTTCTGGCTCTTGGTTGCTTTCCGTGGCGTCCGCGTAATAAATTGTTCCTCCGCGCCCACGATAACCCCCATCAACTTCACCGTTTCCTCGTCTAAACCCTCTCTATCCGGAAAGATCGGCGATCCCATCCACGTCAACTGAATATCTTTCATTGTGCCCGCACTTTGGAACTGCTCCGCAACCTTCTCCTTAGACTTTCCTCTGCGGGTGCAACCGTCCTCTTCCTCATCCTGCTCTGTGACCCCCAGAAGCAGTGCCCGTGGTGTATGTCGAAGAGTAACACCCACACCCTCCAACCCCCTCTCTGAGGCTGCACGGTTCCAGATAAACTGCTTGATAGTCCCGCTCCTCGAGATCTTCATGAATCCTAGCGGCCATCGACTCATCCCCAGTGCTTGCAACACGCCCCTCGAAGCATTCTGCGTTGTCGCCAGCAAGCCCAGCACATCTTTCTTCCGCCACTCAGCCGGTATGCCCTGGAACGAGCCCTCTAACTCTCGTATATGCGACGGGTTGCAGCTAATCTTCCTCGCTTTGCATTGCACAATAACGGGCAGCGGCTCGCGGAGCGGCGGCAGGATCCAATGCCCTATGAGGTCGATGCCAGCGTCGTGCTTGCGGCCTGTTCGAAGAAGGGAGAAGCCCAGGCGGCGGAGGGAGAGCGCGGAGACGTATTCGTAGTGCGTGCCTACATAGACTGTGCGCGACGGAGCGAGGTTTGCGCGGGTTGCGTATTCCAGGAACGAGGGGAGCGAATTGTGGTGGATGGAACCGGGCGAGACGATTAGTTTCGGGAGATCAATCGGCGCGGCATTTGTCGCAGATGTCGTGACTATTCGTCGGGGGAGCCGCAGCGTGGGGAGGGTTTGCTGGATGCATGATGGGCGGAGAAGAGGACGCATTACGAGTAAGAAGGAGAAAGCAGCGGATTAGAAAACATATTTACAAGAAGGAACAACCAGAAGAGAATTGATGCAGCAGAGTGTTCTGGGTGGGTGGAAGTCGGAGCATGTCGCGTAAACTGTGGTGAAGTGCCAAGCCTAGACGCGTGAAGCTAGTTCAGCCCTATGCGGAGCTCGCGAGAGCTCCACCTTCAATAGTAAGCTCCTCCCCTCGCAACCACCACAACCACAACAGCCCACACAATGGCCGACATACTCACCCAGATACAAGATGAGCTAGACATGGTGCCTGCCCTATCGTCCTCGCCCCTGAAGGAGCCCAACTGACGTTTCTAGCTGCTCCACCAAATGCAAGCCTCCCTCACCTACATCAAAACCCGCGCGCCACCCGCCCCGATTCCCGGCCAACCGCTGCTCTCCTCCTTCGCCGAGCACGAGGCCCAAGCCGCTGCACAGTCGCAATCTAGCTCCCACCCGTCTCAACCGTCACAAGCGCCTGCTACTCCAGCAGCGCCGCTAGCGCCGCCCTCGCAAGAAGAATTCCAAAAGGACATCCGCGAGCTGAGCAGGGATCTGCTGCTGAAGGAGCAGCAGATTGAGATTTTGGTCGGGAGCTTGCCGGGCTTGAACACGAGTGAGAAGGAACAGGTTGAGCGCATGAAGGAGCTGGAACGGCAGCTGGAGGAGATCGAGGGCGAGAGGTTGGCTGCGGTCAAGGAGAAGGAGGTCCTGGTCAGGAAGGTTGAGGATCGGATAGGAAGCATTAGAGGAGTCCGGTGAGGGGGTAAGAAGGACGAGGCTGGCTTGAGATATACCCTCGGAGTTGTGTTGCTATCCCTGCTCCAGATATACATGATGGAGAGTGGCTTGGTATAATGGGGCGTGAGTGTCTTCGGACGACCACACGAAGAACTGGAGTCCATCTACCAGTAACCTGCCGATATATGATATCCGGTAAATGGTTGAAAGCTTACTGGTGGCATACCTCCCCTCCGGTTCAATTCGACTCAGTCCCATCTTTCCAAAAGGAATACCACCTCCCCGTGGTGGTTCCTGTCGGCCACGTTTCAGCACGCGTCTTTGTTATTCTTCTTCACACTTAGGTCTCTCTTCGCAAGCGTCCAGACCAGCAAAAAGGGCAAAAACATACAACAGCGGGTATTCGCCAGTGGTCACCCACCTGACTACTAATCCGCCGGTCGAAGGCTTAACGTATGGGGAGCGAACGGGACCCGGTGCGACAATTTCGCCTATGGTCGTATGTGCTACTTCTATCCAAAAATGCGGTATTTATCTGGAAAGAGTTGAGATGAAAGTGGGAGCTTCCGTCCCAACTTTAGTAGTGGCCAAGCGGTTCTTGGCGCCTACGATATCTTATTCTCGGACTGACTGGAGAAGGGAACGTGTGCTGATAGACACAGACTTAGCCATGTACAATTTACGCTGACTGTAGTCCCAGACGCGCCGTAAGCGTCGTTGAAGAGGGAAGAGCTACATTCTTCGAGCATCGCTATTGATGAACGTAAGCCGTACAATGTCAGCTCTCGCCCTCCCAGCCATGCTCCTTACTCTAGTCTTGCACACTCCCATGCTCGCCACCGTCTTCTGAACAACAAGTCTAGCCCACTAGAATTGTCTTCTTCTCCCCTTGGGGTTTTGGCGCGGACGATCCCCCTTCCCCCTTCCATGGATTGTAAGTCAGCTTTACTATCTCCATTACCATGTTTACAACACCTGCGTCAACTTCCTGAAGGCATTATTCGATCTCCTGCTTCTTCCTGAATCTATTCGCTCGTCCGACTCGGAGCCGTCGTATTCCGTTCTCAATCCCTTGGAGCTCGTCGAGGATGTATTTTTTTTTTGGTGAGGAATGCTGATGGAAGGTTGCCCAAAGCATGTCAATGCGGGCGCGTAGATGCGATCCAAAAGCGGAATTCTCGTGTAGGAGATCGACGAAGTTTAGAGCTTCTGGGAGTCGCGAAGAAGGGTCCTCGACCGTGGGTTTCTCTACCGGTGCAGTTGGGATAGTAAAAGGTAAGCCCTCTTTATAGCCTGTATCGTGTTGGAAGCTAGCAATCGTATTATCGCCTGCCCAGTCAGTGTCGTGGGAGCTTGCTACCCTCTTTCTCCCGTCAAATATCTCACGTAAGTTCATTAATATGTCTCTGCGGCTAGAAATCGGGAGGTCCTATTATGGATAACATGGCCTGGGTGTCTTCAACTCACGGTTGCTTTTCTTTTCGAGGACCAGCGCAACGATCTACCTACTTTTTGCTCTTCAAATGAAACAGCTACGCTGCTAAAGTTGTAAAGGTCTGGACTGAGTTGGTAGTTTCTCATTTCCCCGCCTCTAGAGGAACTTCTAACGGCTGCTTTAGATGAATCCTCCTTCCTTCACCTCGTTCAACCGATTCTATCACGACGCATCCAACCGGAAAGGACTTTGGCCTGCTTAAATCTGACTCATCCACCCTCTGCAAGGCCTCTACGATCGATTCATTGCCTTATCGCTCGGCTTCGATCACTATCCCTTCCGTACTTCCTCGGGCCTTGCAATATCCAGAGCTATCATGAAACAGACTCGCTATGTAACCCCATCATTGCTCTCCTCAGCTCGCCGATTGCACCCTCCATCTCCTGAAATGCCGTATTGAGTCTGAGCACGCTGTCCTCCAAGGCCGCGTTTTTCAGTTCCTGATCCTTTCGCAGGGACGTAATTTCATTGTTAAGCTTTCGGAGAGCTTCCTCAACGATAATCAAGTCGCTGTTTAGAATAAAGAATTGCTGCTCTGATAGTGTGATTTGGCGCTTCGGTGGAAGTCGTACAGAAAAGAAGGGAAGCCGCATGTTGGTTTAATGCTGGTGATTCGCCGTGGATCTCGGTAGTGTGTCACTTTATATTGTGGGTGGGGGTGCTTAGATCTATGTTCACGGTCACGCAGTTGTGGAGGTCAGATGACTGACTGATTGCGCAAACGATGGGCCGTCCCGTAATTCTTAGTAGGTGTTACTTGAATGCTATAGCGCTACACACGCCGACTTACAGGCGATTTCTCCCAATACTGCATTAAGTCAAGCTCAAACGCAGAGGCAAACCAGATCTGTAAACACCCTCCTGAAGGCCTTTAAGGCCCTAAACCAACGCAAACCGAACACCGAAAGGGCCAGCCCAACTACCTAAAGCACGCGACCAAAGCACACGATCACTCAACCTGATGAGGGACCATCATGTCCCTTAGCCGGCCTGATCGACGACCTGGGCACGACCTTGACATCGGTGTTACGATCTGCCTTGAGCCTCACCAGTCCCAACTCTTGGTAGAACGGTGAATCGAGCTCGTCATCCACTTCTGACGCAGAGTACGTCGGAGATGGCGTTCGGGATAGCGGTTCACCATCGCTGTCCCATGGCGAGCCCACCGAGGCTGAACTTGGGGATGGAGTGGGCTGCCTTCGCGCCGTGGAGGGAGCTCTACTAGCCTCTTTTCCCTTGAAGAAGAATCTTCTGAACCATGATAAAGTGCTTGGTGGGTTCAATACTTTAATCGCCTGTTTCTCAGCCTTCTTTCGTTGATGTTCGGCCTTGATTTTCGCCCAATTTTCCTTCTCTTCCTGGCGACGCTGCCACTTTCGCTGGGTGTACTCGTCCTCGTCAGGGTCGTCGAAGAGGCCGATACTGCCTGCGTGCAGTTGACCGTGACGGTCAAGAGGCATTGTGAAGGAATTAGAGGTTCGAAGGAACTGTGACCTCGCCTGGCTTGAGTACCGCGATGATCGCGTGAAGATGACGAATACGTGCGCTGGTGGAAACTAACCTTGATATGTCGAGAAGGAAATTCTAAAAGATGGAGTCTAAGGAGCTGGATTTCGTTAGCAAACTTCAGGTACAGGTGATCAGGGTGCGTGTCGCGATCGCCAACGACGGTTTCTCCATTGACAATCGCTAAGTTCACACAACGCAACGACGTGTCATTCAACAGCTTGTCACCAGGTCTAGCCCTGTGCAATCACGACGGCAAATAATTGACACTTTCAACGCGAACATGGAACAGGCGTTTAGTTCATACATACGATGCCGGCAGCGTTAGTGAGCGCAATCACAGAGCGGGGCCAGCAATCTCTGGGTCTGAAGCCCTTGATGGATCATCCGATGGTAAAATAATTCACGGCCGTCCTTTCCCCTGGCCAAGTGGAAAGTGATGCGACTTGAGTGAGTGTATATCCTGTTCTCTAACGCACCGCTAGACAATATACCCCGATCATGCAGGTGCGCATCATAACTTTCACCTCACCATTCCGCTCACCATATCAATACAATATTCCCTTCACCTTATGTGTATACACTTCATCAAATGCGACCTTCGCGCAACCCCTTCAAGATCCCTGTTGTACCACCATACCCAATCCGCGTCCGCCCCTCATGCAAATACTCTAACACTCTTCGCGCGCGCTCCAGTCGTCGTCTGGCAGCTCGATGATCCCCGCCCCTGCACGCCTGTATTGCACTCCAACGCTGCTTCTCGCATTCAGTGAGTATCAGCGATATCCTTCTATGCCACTCCCGCATGTCACGAATCTTGCGCTCTATCTCTGCGGAGCCTGTGGTGTAATCAAAAACCAAGGATGGATTGCGGAAGCCCAGCGGTTGAGTTGCGTTCATCTTTTGTGGAGGATCGCAGGATGGTGGGTGAATGTCTTAGAAGGTGTTGAAGAATGTCAAGTACCTTGCTATGCAGAGATACCGTATTGGATAATTCGATGTTAGTCGTCTTAATAGCGGCGGAGTCCTACTTTATATGCCAGATAACGTAGCTTGTGCGAAGTGACGATTGTTTGCGTGCGAAATTTCCTACCAAACGGAAGACTTAATGGAAAAGTTCTGCACAACGCTGTAGCAAACGCCTGTATGCACACTACGGTAACGCTCCCTTCTGTTTCTATCTAGTATTAGAAACGTTATCTATAATAATATATTAACGCGCTCTTATACTCTCTAAAATACATTCTACGCCGGAAAATAAGTTGTGATGGTATTCTTTCAACGTGTAGCTCTTCCAGCTTGCCGGAGTTCTCGCGCGGGTGCTGCGGAAGGAACTTCCTAGCCCTGACGGGCTCCTGTGCTTAATCTAATGTAGTGGTCATAGATGGCACACCAGTCACGAGCCGTGCACGAGCAATTTCCTCTCGCCTGTGCCAAATGTCGGCACGTCTCTCTTGGAGGCGCAGCCGCTTTTCTGCGTCCGCTTGATCCCGAAGAGTTGAAAAGCCGTCGTAACAGGCACGAGACTCATAGGCTCTGATCTCAGATATGGTTGGCGCGAGAGAGGGACCAAAGCGTGCTTCCAAGAATTCCTGAAAGTAGGCAATAGGCCGAGAGTAAATAGAGACGTCAAGCCCCACGTCTTTCACGGCCAGTGCCTGCTGCTCCAGCTCTTCATTCCCTGTGTGTGAACCGGGGTATTCCTCCTCATCTTCTTCATTGCGCGCTCGGTTGCGATAGAAGTTGATCTTTCTCAACTTCGGGAAAGAAGCCTTTGAGTTCGCGAGTAAGTCAAGAAACCGGGTTAGGAAGCCGGCATTAGCCCATATGGTGATGGCTAGGGTCTCGAGACTGGCGGGGAAGAAATTTGAGGGCTGGGATGCGTTTGTTCTCGATCCGTCGTACGTCTCGTACATGTACACGAGAGCTTCTTTCGAGAGTGACAAGTTGGATAGAGCCTTGCACGCCGCGAAGCTGGATACGGGGGGAGCGTAGCCATAGTCGTCATTGTCCCGGTCGAAGGGGAGCTCGAGATATCGTAGTCTAGGTGCAAGTTCGGCGAACACATCATCAAGGTAGTCGGTGTGTCGGTATGGGACCCGGTTTGCCCGTACGTACGGATCTTCTTTTAAGTCATAGTTCGGGCCAAAAAGCTTACCGAAAACAGGGAAGTATGCCAACTGAGCCGAGCCTGCGAATAGACCACGAAGATTAGGGAGTATGGCAAAGAGTATACCAAGGAACGCATGCTGGTGATCTTCGTCGAGATCACGCGTCCACCGCTCCTTGTTCGCCTCTGCCGTATTGAAGGCAGTGATGACTTCGATGCACTTCTGCTTAAACGGTTTGTCCAACTCAGGAGCGAATGCGACAGGTGCTTCAACGCCATACAGTCCTCTAGAACCTGGTTGGGCTGGCCGACAGCCTTCACGGAAACGCGTGCTCACTTCAACGGTCCGCGCCTTGGTGGCTAAGACCGGGTATTCGAAGTACATGCGGACGAGGCCATGGACGTTGTATATATGTACGACGGGTTGAGTGAGTAAGAGCTCTAGTGCAATAGGTCGGAGTCGCTTGCATGCCGCGGAGAGGCGGACGAGGTCCTGGAGCCGATGGCGGGGTAGATCGGAGAGGTAGTGGTCAAGGATCCTCAGAAGTAGCTCAATGGGAAGACTGAGAAGAGGTGGATTTTCCATGATGTTGTGCCCTTTGGGCAACGTAAAATGTAGCTAGGAGGCATTCAACGAGTTGCGCCGAGGCAGCAGTACAGGCTGACTGGATGCGCGCTAGTGGCAGCTCGCTAAAGCAGCCAATCGGATGAAGGCTGTTGCTTTTCAAGCTCACTTGCCTTCGAATAATGAAGCCTATTCCTGAAACGATTCGGGGCATCATTATTGTTCGGGCAAACAAGATAAGAATACATTACACTAAAGGCAGTTAGGTCTTCTTTTTCATCCGTCAATGCCCTTCTCATCCACCGATTTCTCCGCGTATCCGTCCTTGAACTCCGCCTCGATCGTCTGAGTGCTCTTATCATGCATAGTTGGGGCATGAGCGCTCTTGACCAAGTCCACAAGCACTCAAGTCAGGATGTTGTGGAAGGTTGGCTAGGGCAGGTTGGCTCTAAAATCCAGCGGGTTGTGACGGATGATCATCATCCTTCTTATTCTCCATTCGAAGGTTCTCGATCATGCCTGTTGCAGGCAGTCGGTAACAGAGGGATTATCGATTGGCGAGTTGTTGTTGCCGTGAGGCTCTCTGGTCTCGTCGCCGTACATGCGGGCGAAATATGGCAACCGCATGGAGACTGTTTACATATCGGACAGATGTGAGGATGGTGGATGCGTACGTGCACCATTTCCACAACCTAGACACGACCTGCCCTTAGGAGTTACCCCGTCATGTAGAGAGGAAATATGAATTTTGTCCCGTTGTTTATGCCTACCTTTAATATGCCTACCTTTAATATGCCTACCTTTAATATGCCTACCTTTAATATGCCTACCTTTAATATGCCTACCTTTCATCTAGATACCTTTGTTGTGAGGTGGCAGCGCAAGCCATGGCATGCTAAGCGCGCTCACCACGTGCCTGCATGCAACGTCGCTCTTTTCTATAGTTGTGCCTAGTCGGAACGCACGTCACGTTTCAATAGTCCCCATCGCCTCCCAGCACAGCACCGTAGAAGAGGTTAGTGGCGTCTATGACCGGTGTTGGTGTCTTCTCTCAGATTGAAGTTTTAGACGTCCACTTCCCGAATTTGAGAGCAATCACTCTCAAGGGCCTGGAGATGTTGTAGGAGTACCTGGCGCTTCAACTCCCGCTCTTTGCATTCAGTTCGGATACGCTTTATGTCTTCCGCGAGGGACCGGGATCGAACATTTGCTGCGGTTAAGTCTGCTCGTAGGCGAGCAATGAGCTTCTCGCGCTTGTCTGCTTTGGCCTCAAGAGCTTTCTTCTCCTTCGCCATGGACTTTATAGAGTTCACTGGAAGATGGGAATGTCTAAGCATTCTCTCCATTTCGTCGTTGGCTTGCTTGCAGTGAAGCTCTGCCAAACGGGTGATAGTTCGGCACGCTTCGACTTCAGCGCGCAGCTGATCCTCCCGCTCTTTTGCTGACTGGCGCTCACCATCTACAGCCTCTTTCAAAGTGGCAGCATGACGTTCCTCGGCAGTCCTCAGGGCTTCGAGCGCCTCATCTCGTTCCTTGACTGCGCCCTGGCGTAGCTCGATTTGAAGACGGGATGTCAAGACTTTGAAATCCTGCAGCTCTTCCTCGAGACTCAGGCGAGTGCTCCGCTCTTGTCTAAGCCTTGCCCTAAGGTCACATTCGCGCTGAGAAGCTTCTTCAAGATCCTTTAGCGTGGCCATATAAGCCTCCTTGGACACCGCATCAACCTTGACTTCCGCGGCCTCGGAAGCATCGCCACATCCAACAAGGTAGCTGGGACAGGCTTGGCGCTGTGATTGGATGTCTATCTCTCTTTCATTGACACGATCGGTGCTGCGGCTCGCTATTTTGTGCTGTAACAGAGACAAATCTCCTCGGCCAGCCGATGGATGCATCCCCTGCTCCGTAACTGGGAGGATAATGCATCCAACATCATCTTCATATCTGGTAGCCACTGGCTTTTGCAAGTCCTCTTTGGTTAGTGCTTCAGTGAATGTGGGAGACGAATTTGGTTGGGCTTGTGCTGGTTCCCCGGCTGGCGTTCGAGGGGCCGGCGCGGCCTCGGGCGCAGGAATTCTGTCCCATGCCTTCTTTGTGGCCAATGCGGTATCAGTGGGCCGTGTGAGCGTTGGCGGACTAGTCGGAGGCTCGACATGGCTACCATGCGCATTCGTGGCTCCACTCGAGTTTACATGAGTCGGATTAGTATTTGCCTCCATAACCACTACTGGAGACCGAATGTTCTGGCTTATATAACTTCTGGTGGCTTCGTATGCCAGAGGTGAGCCGGGATGACCCACGGGCTCGAAGTCGCTGCCGGTGGTACTCAGTAGCGGCGAATCCGGGCGCGATATGACATCAAAGTCACTACCTTCGGACGAGAAGATGATGGTCTCCGCTGTGTCAAAGTGAGCTTGATAGCCAGCGCGAAAGCCGCGGAGAGTGTCCTTACCGTCTCCAGCGGTTCCGCTTGGCGAATCGGAAAGATTGATTGTTTCAAGGTCATCTGCGCTGGCAGCGGAGCGACTGAGGAACTCAAATCCGCTAGCGTGGATGAACGAGGTGTTGACCGTGAGTTCTGACGACTGGCCCGGTGAGGGCTGGGGGGATCGGCGTGAGCTATCCGCCATGATGCCGAGGGGAGAGGTATTGCGGTTGTGTATCTCTAAGATCGGTGAGATTGTGTATTTGCGGAGCTCTTGTTGTGGGCAAGGCCTGGTCGCAGTGAGTTCGGGCAAGGAAGGCTTGGCGCAGATATCTCGCAATGCTTCGTCTGTACAGTGAAAGCACTTGGGTGAGATGAGTGAACGCAAAAGTGTGGTCGGTGGATCCAACGCCGGACTAGGATGTCTAACAGAGATAACCCCTAGATGTGGGTTCGCGGCCGAATAAAAGTAAAAGAAATGACCCGAACGTGGGAGACGGCCTACGATATAGAGCTTTGGAGATATCCATAATTCGGTTCGGCTACCCCATTAAAGAAACCGTACATGGTATATCGAAGGGGATCGAGTATATGAATTAGTCTCCAACTCTCTTTGCGGCAACGCCATAATCTGGGGCAGATAAAAGCGCGCACGTGGGCCACTGTGAAAGGGACTGCGTGGGCCTCGGCGCTTCCGAGTGAAAGGAATGGTGAGATATGATGCCGGCATTGCTCTTCGTGATGGATGTGGGTGGGGAGAAGGACGAGGTCTGAAGTTTGACCAGATCGCGCTAAGTGCAAATCGACACTAGTGCTTTCTTGGTATAGTGTAATCACAGCCACTTCTCTGACCTTAGGGGCCACTTTGGACCCTGGCACTGCCTGGGGCAACCCTTCAGCAACGATTTACGTCCCGTCAAGATGTATTGCTGTGTCCCAGGCGCAAGTCCCATACTACCCCGCTGTAGTCTCAGCCCCCGGCTCCCTCCGTCCCGGAGCCTCCCGTTCGCTTGATACCTTGCAGGACCACCTTCTCACTTCCCCGCCGCATCCTCGCTCCTCTCGGCGCTGGACTGTCCGTCCTTTCAGGCCATCTTACATACCGTGGAGCTAGCGGCCCACCAGGTGTCGCAATATTTCGTGATCGCTTACCTCAGCAACCATCAACAAACCTTCCGCCCACCCAAAATCACATACAAACAAGGTTTTTTTATGGTTTTTTGGCAGGAAAGCTATGTGTACGATAATTAAGGCTGTAAATATATATACAGAAGTCTGTACAGGTCGATATTTTGGTGTTGCAGTTGCAAAATAGCCAAGTTACTAGAGCGATGAGCGTACACGACGCCTATCAAGCTTGATAACTTCCGCACAGCGCTATGGCATCTCCTTGATAAATTTCCGTACGTCTTCAAGAGTTATCTTATCCTATTCCTCTTGGAGTATCTTTTTGAGATGGCGAGTAGTACCGTCCCATTCTTCTTCTAGTTCTTCTCCATCTGCTAGGTCATCTGGATAAGTCCTAGGTCTCCATAACCGGCGTTTTGTACGTTCCTTAAGGATGTTCCAGCATCCTTCTGTAGGGTTAAGGTCGGGCGACTGAGCTGGGTAAATTATTGTAGCTATCTAGCTGCTTCTTTTAAGTATAGCGGCGTCGTTATCAGTAGAGCGAGTGCTATAAGAAGGGTTGTTATCCTCTTAGAGAACCTAGGACTTTAGTGCCTGCATACGCGCTTTATGTATAGCCTTAATGTAGTGAGGTAGGACCTTCTTAGAGTAGTACTTTTAAGTTATGTGGTTGCCCTAAGAGTCCTGCTTTACTTTAGGTGGCTTATTAGCCTCCTACTCTCTTACACAGCTCTCGTGCTTTTCCTAAGTCTCGTATTTTAACTTCCTGGGCTTTGGCGGCGGTTTAGGCTTCAGCAGCATATCCTTCTCATTATTGTAAAAGCTTAGTAGAGACTTCTAGTACCAGTTTATCTAGGCGTACATGTGAACTGCGCACCTAGATTTAACCTTATCTACTTTAACAATATTCTCGTTATTATTTCTTGTGCCTCTCTCCCTTAATATACGTGGCTTTTAAAGCCTCTCCGTAGGATTAAAATGTGCCTTATCGGTAAAGTATACGAGGTCCTACCACCTAATAACTAGTTCGTTCTTGTAATCCGCGCCATACTTTACTCTCTTGCCCTTATTATTATCTAATACTGTCTTTGTATAGCCGGCGACGTAGAGTTGAGCTTAATTTTTGCGCGTCCGTAAATTGTACTGGATAGTTCTCTCGCTGGCGTGTATTCCGTAGTGGCGAGCTTAGATGACTAGGGGCTGGTTGCGCACAGGATTTGAAGGCTCTACCATATCGTCAAGTACTTCTTGAGGTATTGTAAAAGGTCTCCCAAGCTTGTGTCCCTTCTTCTGTGCTTTCTGCTTGCGTACACGCCTTATAGCCTTTGGTGTACCCATTAACTTCCTCTCCCGTCGCTATCTACGAGCTGTGGCCTCACCGATCCCATGTTCGCGGGCCAATTCTGTAAAAGTCTTGCCATCGGGCTTTCGATCGGCGTCGTAAAAATATCGAACACGGTGACCAGTATCGTACTCGGGTTGATTTGGGGATTGTAGAGGAGTTCTCGGGCTATCATTTAACATATTAATCGCGAAAATCGGGCCTGGTTTGGTGGAGTAGTAATTGTTGAAGGCTTCAGCTTTAATGGCTGTTTGTTGTTGTTGATGGTTGCTGAGGTAAGCGATCACGAAATATTGCGACACCTGGTGGGCCTCTAGCGTACTCATGATGCTACGCGGCTCTCCACACCTGCCACGTTCGCTGAAAATCCTGCTTCGGTGTGGGCATACCATCTCGAAAGACTAGCTGCACGGCAGTCTATCCGAAAGTGCGACTGCATCTGTCAGGAGAGGAAGCAAGGATGCTTCAGCCGCCTGTGGCGAACCACGATCTCCGCGATCACGTCGTACGTCTCCGCCGCTTTTGGAGCCAAAGCGGGGTAAATGCATCATGCATGGCTCCCGCCGCCCTTTGGATGGCCTGAGACGGTGGTGAGATCAGCAGAAGGGCTATCAATGCGACCAAACCGACGAATGCAAAATACAGTCTCGTATTCCGGGCATCCAGCCCGGACCGTTGACTCACGAAAGCACCTGATACCGCGTCGGCGCCGTGGCTTGAGCTACTGAACCCCGCATTTAGCTCGCAATCAAACTTAGCTTATAAACCGTGGTCCTCTCAGTCGATCTCTGTTCATCCTCCATTCTTCTGTTCTAGCTCCTGGTCTGTCAACAGATCCCTTCGGAACACTTCCATCGCCGATAGAGGATCGGCTCCTTACCCACGATGCTCGACCATTTCGGATTCTCAGTCCACCCCTCGAAATTCGAAGAGGTCGTGAACTGGTACCTCGCGGCGCTTGCGCCCATTGGCTATACCAAGCAAATGGAGTTCCCTGGGCGCGCTGTCGGTCTAGGAGCCAGCAAAGAGCACGCTCACTTCTGGATTGGCGCAAAAGAAGACGAAACGTCTTTTGGGTTCCACCTCGCATTCGCGGCGACGGACCATGAGACGGTCGACAAGTTCTATGAAGCTGCGTTGAAGGCTGGTGGGAAGGACAATGGCAAGCCCGGGATAAGGGAGATGTACGGCCCGACCTACTACGGGGCATTTGTGCTGGACCCTCTGGGGTAAGTGGTTTAACGGCGACGTTTGTGTTTTGTATGGCCCGCTGATTAACTGAAGGAACAACATCGAGATTGTGGACAACACGCCCCGCTAAAAGTCCCTCGCCTTGGTAATTACGGCCTCGATGTGAGGGTCGTTGGCTGCTTTTGGGAAGTGAATGTGGATAGTGGGGTCGACTTTGTGCTCTACGGATCTAGACTGAGAGAGGAGGAAGCCTGGGATCCAAGATGACCCGAAGCAAGAAAATCGCAGCGGGGCTCTTAATGAGCCTACTGGCATCTAATGCTCGAGGTCTTTAGATGTTCCCCAATTCGTCAGGTGTTGTACAGCCGCAATCCAACCTTATGCCTTCAATCTGCTTTCTATCGGTCGTGACGTAGCCGTGACTGTGGACGTGCTCAGAGACGGCTTCGCTCTCATCGCTCTTCCCGGACCTTCCTTGCTCCTTCCTCACTTCAGGGCTTGGCATTTTTGCATCTTTTCCGCTTCTTCCTCCCTATAATTTCCAAAGTCTTTGCTAATACCGCCACACGGCCCATTCGATCTCGGGTTACCAGTCATGAATCTGTCCACCAATCTCTTTGCCAAGGCTCCTGCGGACTGGATGACCCACGAAAAGCTGCCCACCAACTACCTGCCCGATCCCGAGCTCGTATGGATGATGGAAAATATCGACGAGCTTTACCGCAAGGCCAACCGCGCCATGGACTCGATCGAATCGGCTCGCCAACTTGGGAGCTCGAAGTAGCACTGAAACACTTCTATGCCGTTCGAGCGGTGCGAGACGAGGTCGCCAAGACTCAAGACTGCAAGCATGCGCCTCGAGAGGATCACCGGGCTCAAACAACTGGAACCGAAGTGGAAGAAAGCCGGACAGCGGATCACACAGCTGGAGGCTACTCTGAAGGACAAGGATCGCGCGTACGAAAAGCTCAGACAGAAGCAGATAGCAACGGAGAAAGAGCGCGCGAGACTTGAAGAGCAGCTGAAGGAGAAAGTATCCGGAACCGCTTCAGATCGTGGTGGCGCGGGCTCTGGTAATGACTCGATCGTGAAAGATATGGCCAACATCAAGCTCGACAAGTAGCTGCACGTAACTCTCATATGTGTGGTCGTGAGGGACTTGGCCAGGCTATAACCCTCTGAAGGCCTTCCGAGTAGTACAATGCACTGCTCAACCCTGCCAAACATCCGGCTTCGGCATCAAATACCCACTGATATCCTTCGGAAATCTGTTTGTGCCCTCTTCGTGGAACCAAATATTCGGATCCTCATCCTTGTACGCATTCGGGAACCTAATAAACGGCCCCGGCGTTCCCCCACCACTACCCACAATGTCCACATGCGCGCAGCTCACATACCACTGGCTCTGCCCCTTATTTGAGCTTGCGAAGAATTGCTCAATCCGTAGCAGATACTTGCCCGGGGGTGTCGTCGCCGGAATCGTAAAGTTCATGCTCGTCTGCCCGTACAAGCTCCACGTGGTGCTGTTGGCCGGCCCCGCATACGCGATCTTGAAGAAGTCGCCGCTGCCGTCGTAGTCCATTATGTCCATACCCACAGGCAGCTTCGACAAAAAGACTTGGCCAGGTCCTTCGTGGAAAATCTCCGGCTGTATGTCGCCTTCGGAGTACGGGCCGCTGAGGTGGAAACCCACGTCGTCGCCTGCGAGGACGGTGGCGGTTTCGATGGACGGGTTGCGCACGGGGAAGGCAGATTTTCCGCATTTGAGATCGGGATTGGAGAGGTTGTAGATGGGGAAGGCTTTGGCGAACATGGGTGGGTTGCCGTCAAGGGCGGAGACGTCGCGGATGTATTGGAAGTCGGTAGAGACGGTGTTGTTCACTATGAGGCGGGAGAAAATGTCTGGGAGCGTCAGTTTGAGACTAGAGAGGAATGAACGGAGCTGCATACAGTGGGCGGATGCTCCGGGAAGGAGGGCCGCCGGGAGAGCGAAGAGGAATAACTTCATGACTGCTGGCTTGCTTAGGCACGGACTGTGGGCGGGCCGTCAATGGAGTTTACTGGCCCTGTTCGTCTCTTTATACCTCGTCTCTCTCCCGAGAATGCAAGACACCTAAATGCATGCCGTTTGGCTCTAAAGTGCGGTGCAGGTCCATATGACCAACACTGCACACTCCTGTTTCAGCATTTTGATGTTCCTGAAACATGTCCAATGGCTTCCAACGCATCCTGCGTCCTAGAGTAGCTGCGCCAGAGTGTGGGGTAAGTTAGATGAATTGTTAAATCGGCTGTTGTATAAGGGCTAAATCAATTCTCCCAGTGAACACGGGTTCGCAACATCACTTCCGCTTTTGGTCATATGTGAAAAGCCCGGATTGGTGGCAGCGGTTTCCCGGGTTGGAGTGTATTTCGTGCGTAGGCGCTTTTGGATGGTCTTCCGTATGCATGTCATTTGGGAGTTGTGGGGTTTGAGCGGGCGTGAGCTTGTGGTCGTTCTGAGGCTTTGCTCGCGTGCGTTAGCAATGTTCCGTCTGCCAATCGGGTATATGCTATGGTCACTTATCGACTGAAGTATGCTGGAAGCGTGAGTGAGGTTCTGCCCCTGAGACTCGGTCGATATACCTCTGCGTAAGGTGAGTTGGGTTGGCTATGATCAGACCCGGTGGTCCATCCTTTCCAGCAACTCTGCTCGGAAAATGCAAGCTCTAAGGCTATTGGAAGCATCCAGGTTATTGCACGACTGAAAACAGATTTTTTTGGTCATAAGAGCGCCCACCCATTTCCAGTCATTCTTTCTCCACTCTCAAGACCTTCCAACACCACCTGACTCACCCCTCTACGACCCATAAATCTTCACAAATCCCCTCGTCTCATTAGCGCTCAACGTCGCATCCGCCGGCATCAGCCTCATCGAGAAATAATCCATGCCATACGACCCCAAGCTCGCGGGATAATACTTGAAGCCCCAGGTGGTGGTACCATCATAGCCGCCCAGGAACACGCCGGGCTGCTTCTCCTCACCAACATAGTGCTCGTAGACTTTGACGGGCTGGCCGCTGGGCACCTTCCAGAGCAGCACGCCGTCGTCGTCGGAGTTGGGCGAGAGAGTCAATGGCATCCATTGCACGGCGGTCGGGGCACCTGCGTCAGTGAGGTCGGTCGGGACGTAGGCGTGCAGCGTGTTGTTGACGCATTCGAGAGCACGCTTGGCGATGTCGTTGCGGGTTGGGATGGTGATCTGTAGAGAGCATTAGCTTCGGCTACCCCTCTCTGCGGTGCTTGGTGGACTTACGTATCCCCATCGCAGAGATGGCTTTCGGTCGGTATTCGGATTGTATGAGACAGAGTACACATCTGTGTCGCCGAAGCCCTCAATGGCGGGGTTCTCGCTGGAGACGACTTGGAGGGTCCATGGCCCTGCGATGCCGGTGTCGGCGTTGTAGCCTGGGTAGGAGGAGCAGGATGCCGGGAGCTCTTTGATGGTGACATCGGGGAGTGCGGCGAAGGCACTCGCGAGGGCGGATGCGAAAGCGAGAGTCTTGGAGAACATTTTGAAGGATTGGATTACAATTAGATTCTAGAAATGCTTGGAAGAGATAGCGGACGACTGACGATGCTGATATAAGAAACGAGATGATGCCCAAACCTTTTATACTTGCATCCATATCGTCAAAATCTGCCTCACACTAGAATAGGTCTTGTTGCCCACAGGCAACAGCCGCGCTCCGGCCCAGCAATTAATTTATCCCTCGAAGCTAAAGCTACACAACGGCTGTCCAATTTTTGCGGGAGGATCGAGAAATTGGAAGGATCCGAGGAAGTGTTGAAACGGGGTTAGTAAGGGGCCGAGTCATCACGTGGGAAGATGCTGATTGGTTGGTGCCTAAAGCGGGCCGGAGCCGGCCCCGCTGCGCCGCGCTTTTGCAACGCCCCGCAGTCACAGCCTCAACGGGCATCACCACGTCAAAGCGTGAAGGTATCATGGCTTCATCCTGTGTCTTCATAAGCCAACTTAACACAAGTGGTCGCACCACCAGAAGGAAGCCTGATGACGCGCCGTCTCGTCAGGGGAGACCTCTTCACGCCTTTTTGCGAGCCTCTTTGCACAGCAGCACCCATTTCGACAGGTACGACACCCTTCCATAGGAGTCGCCGTCAGCTGTTCCCCTCTTTGTCGGAGCTGGCGCTAGTACGAGCCCTATAGTCCATGATCGATCCACCCATGGATTAAACTGGACTGTTCCTTCTGTCTCCTTACTGGTCCAGCCCTGGAACGTGAACACCGTCCTAGATTCGTTCACTTCCTGATCCAGTTTTACGGTCTTCGTGACAATATCTCCTAAACGTGTCCGCGATGTGCTCTGCATCACTAAGGTAGAGGCGCGATTCAAGAGTAGAGATGGCTTCTTTCATGTTCGCTTCGATGTCTTCACCGTCAATGGTGTTGAGAGGGCAAGAGCGCTTCTGGCCTTCCGCATGCTGTATTCTCGAACGTCGTACGTCTGTGAGTTGTTCTTTTCCCACAGCTGAGGCACATCGTGTGCCGTCATTCGTTCGTATTAACTTAACGGGTTGCAGCGCGTCACGCATCCTTCTCGGGCTTGGACAAGCTGACCTCAGGCATTTCAAGCTCACCGCCTATGCGTACTAAGAGTGGGCAAGGCTGTTGGGTTGCAGCGGTCCGGGCCTTGGCCCCTAGGGCTAAAACCAGGGGTTGCAGGACGCTAAACCATTTCTGTCCTGCCATGCGAGCTTTGGAGCAGGCCACATCAGCCCAAGGTCGACTTCACCATTTCTCAGCCAGTCCACTATCAAGATTCTAAGGAGAGCCTCAGATGCCCAGCCTCAACGGGCGCGATAGGGGCCTGCGCTAAGCCGTGGTACGTATGGTGCGCGGTCAACCTGGCTATAGGGTTCTTTAGCTAGACGGCACAGCACTGGACCTCAAATTCACGCTCTTGCGCTCGTGCTGAGCCTCATCCACCAGCTTTTGGTTCCCGTGGATAACTCTTCAACGTCGAAATGGTGAACGTAGGGCGGCCATCCCGCGGGTGCTTGACATGTCGTCGACGACGAGTCAAAGTAAGTGCAGCATGAATCCATGTGCCCTCTTACTCCTCTGCTGCTAATGTCTGGGGCGCGTAGTGCGACGAGAACCAACCCAATTGCAACCGTTGCGTCAAACTGAATACGAATTGTGAGTGGAAGGACCAGTGGAGCTCATTGGTGCGCCCTCAGGAATCCTGGGCCGAACGGAAGGTTGCCCAGCGAGTGGAACGCGTGCAGAATGAAAGGAAGCTGCGAGATGCGTGCCGTCAGAATGATTTTGGCTTGTATAAGCAACTAAATGCGGTCACCATACCGAAGCAGTGCCAGATTGGGCCGGAGATCTACGCCATCAACCGCTTCTACAGCGATTACGCTTTTGATCCCGTGACCTGCCCCTTCCTGTACGCAGTCCAGCCCATGTACCAAAAAGAGAGTACTCCTAGCTGCTTGCGTAACGTGGTTCCGGCTATTGCACTGGCCAACGCCGCGAAGCTGCAGCAGCGCTATGATCTGCTGGAGGAGTCGGTCAAGTACTACGGCCGATCGCTCAGGCATCTGGCGCAGTGCTTGAATGACCCGGAAGTGGCGAAAAGAGATGATACAATGCTCACTGTCTACATTCTGGGGCTGTATGAGGTACATACCAGGATTACCCCGCATATGAGTGGAGATTGGGTTCACTGACAGCCGCAGGCCATCTCGTTTGACCGCCGCCCCACCACTTCACACAATCCACACGCCCCTGGCCGCCTGGTGCTCCTGCGTCTTCGCGGTCGCGAGCAGTTGCAAACACACATGGGGCGCAACTTATTCCTCGTTGTGTACCATGAGCATCTCATTACATCACTTGACGGCATGATCGAGCCAATGGAAGAATGTCCGTCCTGGGTTTACGAGGGCTTCCCACCCTCCCCGCTTACAACCCTGACCCTTTTCATGCACGACATCAGCTGCTTTCTCTCCGGTTGCAGGAAGACCTTGTCGCGAGCGTCAGGAGAAGCAACGCGCGATAGGCTGTTTCTCCTGTTACACACAGGAATCTCACTGCACAAAATGGCCATAGAGATGTTGAAACTGTTCCAATCCGGCGAGCTCGATGACAACTTGGCCTTCCAATTCTACTCTTCCACCGATCCGCGGCGCAAAAACTCGGTCAAGGCCTCTAAAACCTCCCTCAAGCAGTTGAGGAAGAGCATGCGCGCCAATGAAAAGCTCCGCCGAGACTCCAAAACGAGAGTCCAGCAATGGCCGCAAGCTCTTCAAGATATTCCCTCCGACATCCGAGAGAGATTTGACGAGATACAAATATCAAACTACTCACAGGAGTACCTCAACAGCTTCCGCGCCAGCTGCTCAATGGTTTGCCACACAACGCATATCTACCTCCTCACCACTCTGCTGCAGGTAGTCGCAGCGCTCCGCTCCTGGCCTCGGCAACCTGAGCTCTCTTCGGCAACCGCATTCGAAGAGCTTGACCTTGCAACTCTTGAGGTGGAATGGAATCAGACCATTTGCAACTATGCTTCAGACATCCTGAAAGAAATTCCCGACTCGCTCATCCTGCTCGACGGCGACAAGCGCCTGCCGATCTTCGACAAAGGAATGGCATACAGAGCCTTCATGCTAGTGTGGCATCTGCGGACAGCACTTGGTACGGAGCAGGCTACGGCACGGAATAGGGAAGAGTGCAGAAAGTGGCTAAGGCATATTGGCGAAGAGTACGGGATCGGCATTGCCATGGAAGCATTGGAAACTAACAAATGTTCCATACCCCACGGACATAAAAAGACGAATCCTTCTCGGATCTGATTCGTGGCCCTCGAAATCCGACGGAACTGTCACACGTACTTGGATGGCATAGATTGAAAATATGGGGCTCGCTTGAGGGTTTACCGCTTGTTCTCGGATACATAGCGCTCAACCATTCGCGGAGAATTTCTGGTGTTTCAAACAACACGCCTGTTACGGACTGGTTCTACAAGTTGAAACCACCATCGCGTTCGATTTATATAGCCTTCACTCCAAGAACAGCCCTTGCGCGGCGCAATTCGGCTTCTAGGTACAAAATGACACTCTCATCGCACAAGAGGATCCCGCAGACGCAGGTCGCCTGCAGTCATTCCTTCACCCTTCTGCTTTACCAAAGACCCCCGCTACTGTAGACTTTCATTTCTGAACAATTGTTTATTACATCGCCATCATGAAGGTCATACTACCTCTCCTTGGCTTTGCATCCGTCGCCCTCGCACACTGGAACTACGACCGCCTCATCCACAATGACGCGATAGTTGGAGACTATTATACCTACATCCGACGCACGTCCAACTCCAACTCGCCCGTCACTGATGTGTCCTCCACCGACATGCGCTGCAACGTGGGCGGTGCCTCCGGTAACGGAACGGAAACTTACGAAGTCGCCGCTGGCGACCAGATCGGCTTCGTCATCAATGCCGAGTTCGGGCACCCCGGCCCCCAACAAGTTTATATCTCGAAGGCACCAGGCGCTGCGACAGATTATGATGGGAGCGGTGACTGGACCAAGATCTACAGCGCGACTACGAGCAACATTACCAGCCAAGGATTGGAGTGGGCAACCAACGGCATCACTTCGTTCGTGTTCAAGATTCCATCCGAGACTCCAGCCGGCGAATACCTCGTGAGAGCCGAGGGACTTGCGCTTCATGGAGCAAGCGCCAAGGGTGGCGCTCAATGGTATATCGGCTGCGCACAGGTCAAAGTCACTGGGAGCGGGACCGGGGCACTTAGCCCATCAGTGCAGATTCCAGGCGTGTACAAGGGTGATGAGCCGGGCATTCTGATCAACATTTACTACCCCGTCCCCACGAACTACACTGCTCCAGGCCCAGCGCTGTGGCCGGCGGGAACTAAGGAATTACACGCGGTCACGCAGATGTAGGCGCATGTCTCGTTTCTATTAGCTTCTTGTATATACTTCATGGTTGTTCTCTTTCGCTACGATCCATGCCAACGTAACCTTTCTTGCCGTCACTCTCCATCAGGCGACCCTCAAGAATCCTTCCCAATTCCTATCATCAGGCATTGGAAGCTGCTGCCGCTTCCGCATCCCTCCCTCCCCCCAGACTCCACTCATCAGCCTCAACAAGTAATACTCTCCCGCGTTCCCACCCCAATTATACTTGAAAAACCATTTCGTCGTCCCCTTCGCGCCCAGAAACACTCCCGGCAGCCTCGTCCCATTGATGTAATGCGCATACGGCTCGACCGGTATGCCGGGTGTCTCGACGCTCGTGAGCCCGAAGCTGAGCGACGCCTGCCAGTTTTCCTGCGGTGCAATAGCGAGGTCGACCCAGGTTGTGGCGTTGCCGAAGGGGCCGCTGGGGATGCGGGCTTGCAGGGTGTGGGAGAGGCAGCGGAGGGTTATGTTAGGTGCGGTGGCGAAGGGGTTTTGTTTCGGGAGTGTTATCTGAAGAGTGTCTTGTTAGAGCGGAATCTATGTCAATGTCTGTGCTGGGATGCTTACGAATCCGTATCGGTCTACGCCATTGTTTGTGAAGCTCTCGGCGCTCACGCTTAAGCCGTCGATCGAGGAGCCGGTGGAGTCGGCGATGACGGTGAAGGGGCCGGCTTGCGAGGTGGCGGGGTTGTACGCCGGGTAGGGCGAGCAGTCGATTAGGAGTGGTACTGCTGTGACATTTGGAACAGCGTTGATGATGGGTGCGAGGCCGAGGATGAAGCCCGCTAGGGCTGCAGTCCTAGTGTGAAGTCGCATCGTAGGGCAGTGCAAAAGCTGTGGCGGCTTCGACCGGAGCTTCAAGAAATCCAAGTATCGATCGGAGATATAGAGGTGCGCGCCACGAGGAATCGAAGTGCCGTCCTGGTGTGGAATCTAGTTTCCATTAACTTTCATTCTGACGCGCACGCTGAGTGGTCGGTTAAACCCTGCCTGATTGGACCCGTCGCAGAAGGCTGGGATCCATGCAGCAGTTGAGCAGATCTACCGCTAGCTACCTCTATCCATGATAATCAATTGACTATGGAGAATCGGAACTGAGGACGGAGGGATATATCCGAGTCGCTAATCCTTGCGCAGATCAGAGTCAGTAGAGCCTGGGATCTCCCGTGGTGTATCTAGGTATCTTGACCCAACGATCCGTATTACGGCTAAGCCTCGGTGGGCTACGTAATATTAGAAAGCCTTTGTTAATACATAGTCGAGAGTATGCGCGATAAGGCCTGAAAGTTCGATACACTTTACCCTAGGAAACACCTCGGTAGGTACGCGTACTTCATTACAATGCAGTTCCCTCAGTCAGTCATTCTCCTTGCTTGACGGGGCCACATTTTGGAGAAAGAGACCCGTAATCCGAGGAAAAGGTTCGAAAAGTGCCGCGAGAAGTTATCGTACTCTGGTATAATCTTAGTGTCCCACTTTCCTGCGTAACATAATTCAAGGAGCACCATGGGTCGATCGAGAAGGGAATGGATCTCAAGGATGGATAAGGATGAAGAATTGGCGGAAGAATCGGCGTGTAAAGTATTCTTGGATTTGAAGCTCGGATCTGAAACATAGACGGCGGGCCCTCGTAACCTATAGACGTAAATGTTCGGGTGCCGTGAGGTCGCGTGGATGCGACGGCGCCTGCAGCTGGGCGCTCGCATCATATCCTGCATGGCTTTAGGCGATGAAATAAAAGATATCGCTCCGCCAAAGTGTGAATGACTTGAAGGACAGGGAACGGACCTTCAATGGGTACAAGCCTCGACATTATACCCAAGGCCATTCAAGACAGCCGGCGCTGCCTACCTGACTAACTACTCCGAGATCATATTGTAGACCACGCAGCATCCACCGGCAACAGAGCACCGCTGATCATCTTCGCCTCATCGGACGCCAAAAACGCAATGCCACGCGCAACATCGTTGGGTTCAATAACCGGCTTAGGCTGTCCCTCTTCGTCTTTGGCTACGTGCAGCATAAAGATGGGCCTCCTAATGTTAGCGTAACGTGTGATGATAGGGAATCGGGCTCGTACGAGAAAGCCGCGTAACCGGCCTGGTCAAAGCACTCCATGTTCATCGACTTGTGGATATTGGTATGAACGCCTAGACTGCTGTTAGGTCCAAATGTCCCAGGTACTGAAGTGGGCAGGGTTCTCAAAATTGAGAAACATACCGCCAGGAAGAACTGCATTGCAGCGAATGTTTTCGGTATGGAACCGCCATGCGGCATTCTTCGTAGCGCCAACCTGATTGATGTAAGAATCGCGACAAAGAGGGCGGCCAGGAAAGGCCACGAGAGTTACAATGAACTCCCCAAAACATACTAGGCCATGCTTGCTCGTCGTATAAGCGATGCCCGCAGCAGCGCCAGCGCTACCCGCCTTGCTGCAAACATTGACAATAGCGCCCGCCTTATGCTCCTTCATCGACGGCAGCACAGCCGTCATGAGCCGGACCGGAACCGTCAAGTTGATCATCATAACGCGCTCCCACTCCGAGTCTTTCAGCGTATCGGCACTCGACCAGGCATCAGTGATGCCCGCGCAATTGACGAGAACGTCGATTTTCGGTCCGTATTTGGCGATGCATGCCGCAACAGCTTCTTCGCTCGCTTTTGGTGCTGTAAGATCAGTCTGGTGGAAGCCGAATGCGCTTTGCTGTGCCTCAGTAATCTCGTGTTTGAAGGGCGATACATCGATGCCGAAGACTTTCGCGTGCCGGTCGAGGAATAGCAGAGTGGTAGCAAGGCCAATGCCGCTGCTGCAGCCGGTGATGATGACAACTTTGTTATCGAAGGTGGCCATGGTTTGCTAGCTGGACAGGTGGTGTAACGGTTAAAGAAGAGTGTGTATCTTCCGTGAAGAGGTTGAACTGGCGCGGCGGGTCGCCCTTGGGGCGACAGGCAAGCTCTAGCCGCACCCAGTCTAGCGTCGGGCGGGTAACGGACACGGTCTATACGGCCCTTCTCCACGAATCAGATGATGCCCTTTACGATGAGGGGCACGCAGAAATCCCGGCTGGTCGGTAAAAGGATCATTTAACTTCTGCCAGCTCTGGTATGCTCCAGATTCTCTTATCCATGCACCTCAAGTACATTGACCTGGAAAGGAACATCCTCAATAATAGCTTCCCGCAGCTACTTCACTCACCGCGCCGGGTGTGCGAAGCTGTACTCATATCCGCGATTGCGATCCTCTTGCCGACCCATCGAAAAATGGCCCATCGAGAGAAGCTTCCGTCGAACCGCGCAACGTCTCAAGATGTGCTCCAGGCTCGGCGAACGAAGTGCGAGTCGCCTCCCTCAGCCTTCCAATGCGCGAGACAGGCGGCGTTGCTCTTATGAATTCCGGGCCTGCAATACGCGCACCTTCGTCCAAACTGATTTTCCGGGTCGGCTGTCATATTCCATAGCCCAATACCCGGATGATAGACGCGACACACCAATCCGGCCTGCGCACAGTGGATACAAGGCTTGCCGGCAACGATGCCGTATTTACCCTTGATAAGGCGAGCGTGCGCGAGCGCGCGGCGGTACGCCACAGAAATCCTTGTTTCGAAGCCCGTGTCGGTAATGGGGTCGCCAGGTGCGGCGTTATTCTTTGTCCAGGAATCGAAATCAGTGAGCCAGTTGACGTACGTTGCATCGCGAGGAAGAGGCGGGTAGCCGTGCGGATAGACTGGAGCTGCCGGCTTCCACTGACTGACCGGCATATCGATCTCAGCAACGGGGAGTGCTTCTTCAGTCGCCACTGCTTGAATGTCACGCATAGCGAGATCCGACATCGCCTCCTCTTCGTTTTCTCTCCGGCGTTTCTGAGCCCTCGAGATCGGAGATTGGGGGGCTCGCTTCAGCAATCCGCGCCGCTTCTCGACAAAGTGAGCAATCAGCCGAAGCGCGCCCATACTGACGAGCGTATCGATAAAGTATGTGCCCCTATCCCAGCAATCCCGCTTCGCCTTGAGATCGCACCTATCAATATCGTACCCTTCGAAGTGGAAATGGAGAAGCCATCCCTCGCGCTGTTTATCGAACAAAACGTATCCGAAGGCTTCTAGGCTCTGCAATACGTGGTAAGCGTATTCGAATGACCTGGGCTAGATACACCTACTGCATAGTCCTTAGGCAAGTCTACTGGGCTCCAACCGGCTCTCTCGTCTCCATATTCCCGAAGGAGCACCACCGTAGGCCGCACCACCTCGCATCCTGCCTGCATACACTCATCAGCTTCCCATCGCTAGCGGTGAGGCAGAATGGCCAGTTGGGGAACTCTCCAGCGTCCCCTGGAGTCCCCCAGGCTGCATTATACGTTGAAAGACTTACCTTGCGCTCCTCATCCGCCTTCTGAACAGGCAGTAACGACAGCGTAGCATCGGCCATTGAACGACGCGGCGAGGGGGTGAGGTGAGGTTGAGCGTGTCGGGGTGACACCGCTCGTGTGTAAACGGAGGTGAAATTAGCGCCTTGGCAGCTAGCGGGCAGGCTGCTTCACTGCATCGCGTTCGGGCGGATATAGGAGTTGCCTGGGAATGGCGCTCATTGCCACTTTGTCTGGGTTACGTCGCTTGTGATGAACGGTTAAGGTAGTCAATGAGTACGGCTTGTAGCCTGGAGAACGTCGAAGAGCAATAAGTAGGATTCAGTCGCGCGCAATTTGGAGTCTTCCCGTCCGGTATTAAGGCAAGCGCTCCTACCCAGAAAGCGCGCCAAAGCCATGATAAGGTATGGTAGGGTTAGCTAGGCGGATGTACCTATGAGGTTCATTCTATGTGGAGCCGTTGGGATAGTCAGCTCCTTATCGCGGGATTGGTCTGAAGTGAAGAACCATGTACCCATGGAATCTCGACGAGACCAATCCTGTATTCCCGGATCCTCAGCAGGATACCTTCTACCTCAAACCTCTTCTGGAACTCTTTCCAATCGTCGTATGTCAGGAACGCGGCGAGTTCCCGAGCGAGATATGCCATCCTCCAGCTCATGAGGCCATCTCTTGAGTACCGCAATAGGGACTCTAGGGCTTTCATCCCCCTGTTTCCAAACTGCAAGAACGAGCAATCCGTCAACTCAAGAGTGTGCAGGTTCGGGGGAAGCTGCTCGACGAAAAGGGTCGGCACTCTCGGGATGATCGCATACGCCGGTAGGTGTAAGCTGGAGAGCTTTTCGTAGGTGGCGAAGGAATCCACTTGGCCATATGTGGTCCAGTGCGGGAAACGGTCGTTATAAAGGAGTACTTGAATCCGGATCTCCTGGAGGGATTTGCGGTGGCCGTCAAGAGCGGCTTTGATGGTTTGGAAATCTAGACGGGGTAGCAGAGTTTGGTCAACTTGATCCATGTTGAGAGGATCGTGGGAGTAGGAGAATTTTCGGAGTGCCTTGCAAGACGTGATAATATCAGCAATATTAAGCGCATCTAGAAAGGAAAGCTCAAGGCTTAGGTCGTCGACGTTTGAAATGCCCGGAGTGCAGAGCCACTCCGTTTTGCGCTCGTCGATGAAACCCTTTAGTGTGAGCGTTCGGAGAGAGGAGAGTTGCAATAAATGAGGAATATCTTCCAGTCGCACTACAGCCGACCAAATGTGGACAGACTTCAAGTGTTGAAACGAGTGTGGGCAGCGCAGTATTAGCGGTTGTAAGAAGAGCCGGTGTCCTCTTAGGCTGCGAGACGAGCGGCTATCAAGGAAGTGAAGATGCGTGATGTTCGGGGTGTGCATCATAGCCGCGGTAAAATATGCGTCTTCCCCTTCGCCAGGCCTTCGACCTCGCTTCCCCCGAATTGCTAGTGCTGCCTCCACCGTGAACCAACTGCCATACTCTTCCAGGCGTGAGGTTATTTCATTGGGGTGAGGATGTGGGTCTGCATCAAGCAGGGGAATGCTCCATTGCAGCGATTGGACGTGCTTGGCTAAGTCCGGGCAGCTCATGAGCGTCCGGACGTAGTGGTACTGCTTCGTGGACGAGCGATCTCTTTGGGAGCAATATCTTCGGTAAAGGGAAGGCGTCGCCAAGCGGTAGAATTGACGGCTCGCCAAAGACAGGGCGTGTAAAGACTCGGTCGAAGGTAACCACCCCATGGCAGTTGCAGCTTCTAGACAGGATATGACTTCCAGAAGGATCTCTTCAGGCAATTCGCCAAGAGACGGGCCATTCTTGACCAGGTTCAGGTCTGAGGATGGGCTTCCATCTTCTCCATCCACGTCCTCCAGGGATTGCATGACTTCTTTCCATGACTCTTTGAAGGGATCTGGGATAGACGGGCTATCCGGTCGCGGTTCGACAGGTGCCGGTGTGTTCCGAAGAAGTTTTCGGAGGGCAGCTCGCCCTGCTGCAAACGAAAGACGCGGCGGCATTCCCGCTTTCGACAAACGGGGCGAACGGCAGGGGAACGGACGGCAAAAGGGGGTTGCGTGAGGTGTGGTGAGGAGCGAGATCGGTAGTCGGCCCATCCCGAAACGGCAATAGTGGGGCATGGCGCTATCGATAGGGAAAATCTATTCCAGGACAGAGCCTCCACCTTTCCATCCCAATTCCTCCTCGTCCTCGTCCGCCGCGCAATCTGCACTTGCATCCCAGGGAACTCTTCAAGAGATGCAAATGAGCCGTTTATTAGAGGTAGATTCATTCGCCGTGAGGGCATAGACGGGCTCTGCGCTCATGGGAATCACGGCCCCGACACATGAGCCTGACATCACGGCGAGACGCCTCTTTTTCGCTCACCAGTGCCCCCCTTCATCATGCAAATTGGGACCTTGTCTCTCCAAATGGAACCGTTTCGGGAGTTCCGGTCCCGTCCTTGCCCCCAGTTACGTAATTGTGCAAGAATAAACGAAGGTTCCACGGACCGATCCACGCCATCATAATAAAATTGTTCCTCCTCCTTGTGACGACCCCGTCGACGACAACACCATTCCGCTGCTCTCTCTTCTGGCCAACACACTCGTCTGACATGGAACCGTCATCGCACGAGTTACAGCATCTATCAGGCCAAACCACGTCACCGTCTGCTGAGCATCGCAACGCAGCACGGCAGAGGGTGCGCTTCAACAACCCCGCTGCCGGGACTCCGGCCTCAGACAGCTATGCCCGTCTTCATGACTCCGAAGTCACCCAACCAGCTTCCGACAAGTCCACAGCTGAAGCCGAGAAGCTCCTGAAGGCGCACAGACAGGGAGACGCAGCTTCCGAACATCGGCCGAGCACGCCGCTGGACGAGAACGAAGACTACGCCGTGTCCGGTAACGCCCAAGGCGGCGTGTTCTACCAGCTCCTTCAGGCATACAAGTCGCCCGTTCTCGGCGAGAGCCCGTCTGAGACCAGTGTTACTCCTCCCTCGCCGCCGTTCCAGAGACCTGCATCTTCAAGCGCCCCTGGATCCTCGGGCTTTGGGACCCCGCGACGCAAATGGTACGAGCATGACAAAGATGTCCGCTCGCAGGAAACGCTGGCCACGCTCGTGGGAGCAGCAACAGAACTCGCGAACCCGCACGAGAAGCAGGGTCTGGAGTTTCGACGAGCACACAAGCGCAACAGCAGCAGCCGCATTCTCTCCGCCATGTGGAAAGCCAAAGACGACCAGGACGCAAAGATCAAGATCCACGTGGCCGGCATTCTCAAGCGTCAGCAGTACATAGTCAAGATGTGCCGAGCACTGATGCTCTTTGGAGCTCCAACCCACCGTCTCGAGGAGTATCTCGCTACCACCGCCAAGGTGCTGGAGATTAATAGCCAGTTCCTCTATGTCCCCGGCTGCATGATCATCTCCTTTGACGACCTTCTCACTCACACCGCTGAAGTCAAGATCGTCCGGACCGCGCAAGGCGTTAACCTCGCGAAACTCAAGGATACCCACGAAATCTACAAGGAGGTGCTTCACGACGTCATTAGCTTGGACGACGCGCTCTCCCGGTTGGACGATGTGATCAACGCAAAGGATCGTCACCCCGTCTGGCTCTGCGTACTTATGTACGGGTTGGCTAGTGCCGCAGTATCGACCTTCTTCAAGGCTCGGCTCATCGACATGCCCATCATTTTCGGCCTGGGCTTGCTGCTAGGCTTCCTCCAGCTTGTTGTGGCACCCTTATCGAAAACCTACACCACAGTTTTCGAGGTCAGCGCAAGCATCTTGATGAGTTTCCTTGCACGTGCATTTGGGAGTATCCACAATAATAGCATCTTCTGCTATTCAGCCATCGCTCAAGGCTCCATTGCCATGATCCTCCCTGGATGGGTATGCACAAACCGAAGACTAAGACATATGAATAGCTAACCGTTTGTGTCCAGCTGGTACTCAGCTCGGCCCTTGAGCTCCAATCCAAAGCCATCGTCCCCGGATCGATCCGGCTAGTCTTCGCCATAATCTACTCCCTCTTTCTCGGCTACGGCATCACAGTCGGCACCGCACTTTACGGTGCCATCGATTCCAACGCCACGGCCGAAACGGTCTGCCGCGACCCGCTCCACCCGTACTGGAACTTTCTCTTCGTCCCCTTCTATGTCTTCTTCCAGACGTTCACCGTCCAGGCTAAATACAAACAGATGCCCGTCATGATCGGCATTGCGCTCGCGGGCTATATCGTCAACTTCTACAGTAACAAAAAGTTCTCGGCCTCCGCCCCAATCGCCTACACGCTTGGCGCGTTTACCATAGGATGTCTCGCCAACCTGTACAGTCGCCTGCGCCATGGGGTAGCAGCTGCCGTTCTTCTCCCTGCCGTCTACGTCCAGGTTCCTGGCAGTCTCGCAACGAGTGGCGCCATCACTAGTGCATTAGCCACCGCGAATGCCCTTATCAGGGGTTCCGAAGGAGCCGCAGATGTAAGTCCTGTAATACACACTAAACACAGATCAGGCACCTCACACTCGAGCGACTACGGTCAACCACGTCTCGCTGCGTTCTTCCCTCTTCGAGGGTTCACACAGGCATGAGCTCTCTGCATGGAGTTTTCATAACTGTGATCGAACATCGTCACATTGCCCTCTGAAGCCATCCTGGCTGTCACACCGCACCTGCGTTTAGAGTTGCTCATTCCCGTCAGTCACTAACGATGATTCAGGCATCAACAGCAAACCTCAATGCCATTGTAAGAGATACAGCTTTCCTTACAAAAATATTCCTACCCTCTACCACCTACGTCGTCCATCCCCTTCCCTTACCTAGAAGTGCGGCCGCTCGCTTCTTCGCCCATTACACTCTACGAGGCCACAAATCCAATCGTACCGTTCGAAACATATTCATTAGCCCGCACGCTAACATCCACAACAGGTTTTCAATCTCGCAGCTAGCATGATTCAAATCGCCATCGGCATCACCGTAGGCTTATTCATGTCCGCCCTCGTCATCTACCCCATGGGCAAACGGCGCAGCGGTCTGTGGACGCTATGACTGAATGTCGTGGTGCACGCACGACCATGTCTTGTTTTGAGCGCTGGAGAGCCGGCCTTCTACATGTAAAGACCTAAGGCATGCTGGAATGTTGACTTATTTCTAGCGTGTACTGCCACGCTCGGTGAGAGCTAGTGGCCCGGACCTAGGGATGGGGTGGCTTCCCATCTTGGAGCTTCCTTTTTCGTCCGACTACTGTCTCAAGGATTGGGGAGGGTGTACTGGAGTTTTAGGCGGGAAATAAAAGCATATGGGCGCGGCGTTGGGGGTCGTGGGGTCGTGCATCGACCATGATGCATAGCGGGCGTGGACTCCATCCCCATCGACATGCATCTTCGTACCGCAATATTACTAAGTTGTTAGATAGCAATATACGTACCAACACCACAACTCTTCGCATCCCCCTCAGCCCCTCAATACCCAACCTTCGTACTCTCCGACGGTCCCAAATAGCTCGCCATCACGCCCCCCAAATCCACCACCAACCGATGCACCACCGTCCCCGGCTCCAAGATCCACAAACTCACGCTATGCCTCCCGGCCTCCACCCTACCCAAATCCGTCTTCACAACGCGCGCGCCGTTCACCACGCTCTCGGTCCAGCCATTCGGCATACTGCCCAACGTGCTGCCCGGCACGGGCGACACCGTCGTGGGCGATGCGTCGTCCAGCGCGACCGCGTATTTCAGCGGCGCCGAGGGGTTGACGTTGAAGGACGGCGGGAGGTATGCGGTCAGCGAGGCCTTTTGCGCGGCGCTGAAGGCGTAGAAGGAGTAGACTGCCCTTGGGGCGGTAGCGGCGGTGAGGCTGCCCGCGGAGATGGGGAGCAGCGTGAGGCCCGAATCCGTGCGTCCGTAGTGCGGAATCGCCTCGACGGTCGCTGCGCCGCTGCTGCCGGGAGTCCGGCTGGTGAAGTGCTGCATCTCCATCGCGACGGCGCCGTTGGACTCGACGTAGCCCTTGAAATCGGCGGGGACGCGCGCGTTGTTCAGCGGCAGACTGAGCTTCACGGCGGCGCCGGACGCGGGCGCTATGCTGATAGATGCCGTGCTTGTGCCGTTTGGCACCGCGCCCCAGTTCACGCGGACGGTGGCGCGGATCGTCGATGTGCCGCTGGGGTAGCTGAGCGTTCCTTGGCTGGGCGTGACGCTGATGTATGGGTCGGACGTGGTGATTGTGAAGGCCACGCTGCCGGAGCCGCGGGCGTAGATGTCGATGGTGCGGTTCTCGGGCGTGTAGGGGTCCATGCGCAATAGCGTTGGTGCGGCGTCGCCGGGGGTAGAGGCCGTGCTGCCTTGGACGGAGACGCCTATTAGGCCAGCGGAGGGCGCGGAGGTGCCGATGGATTGTACGGAGGGCATGCTGTTTGAGGCGGGGTCTTGCCTGGGTTGCGGATTAGTAAATGGAGACACCCCCGATTACTGAATCTAAGTAGGCGTTTGCATAAGAGCATTCCAGCGTGACCTCACAAGCCATCAATTACAAGACGCGACTGCGTGTACGGAAGCTGGAGAGACTTCCATGTGCTTTGCGTGGGGATTTGGGAGGGGGAAAGGTTGGGTTACTTACCAGTTGTTGTACCCGAAATGTATCTGATCCATCATGTGGTTCCATTTCCCGTTCAACAAACCATGATATCTCTTCTGGATAACTGCGTCCTGTGCATAAGTGTTCTTGACATCGGCGGCGAGCTCGTTCGCGCTCATGCGCTTCTGCTTCGCGTACGCGGCGTTGCGGGCTGCGTTGATGTAGACGCGTTGGACGACTTTGCCGGCCATGACGGGGTGTAGGACCATCTCGAAGAAGGCGATTTGCGTGGCGGAGTCGAGCTTGTCGTATAGTGATTGGGTCTTGACTTCTAGGGCTTCCCATTCGTTTAGCACGTTCTCAGCCTCGTCGTAGTTGGCGATGGAGTAGAGGAATGGGTTGTTGTTCAGAAGCTCGTACTTCCGCCGAATTAGGAGCTTGCCGTACGTGGCCATAACCTCTGCGGTCGCGTCGGCAACATCTCCCCCAAATTCGCGCGTTGCCCATGCTTTGAGCCAGGTATCGGTGCTGTCTGGCGTCTCGAACTTCGACATGTCATACGCCATGTCTAGGAAGTGCGAGATTGGGATCTCGAGAGGCTTGAGATCCCCGACGTTGACGATCCAGATCTGGCGTGCGTTTCGCTCGTGCGCGAGATGCATCTGCTGCCACGTTTTCGACAGCTGAATAGTGTTGATCCACTTGTAGTTCCGCGGGTCGCCCACATAGTCGAAATGATAGTAGACACCCGCGCCCCCTATGCGGTCGACCTCGCTCGGAATAGGAAGGCGCTGGATGTTCCCGCTATTGTCATCGCTCCAGAGAATCGTAACATCGTCCGGGATCTTCATGCCAGCCTGATAATACCCGCCAACCTCCTTGTACACGCACCACATCTGCGGCACCGCACTCAAATTGCTGACGCCCAACGTGCTCTTCAGCACCCCCTGCTGGAACGTAATAACATCCACCAATGCCGTTGCATCCAGCGTCGGACTCGCCGCATCCCCACCCCCGCGCATTCCCATGGTCCACAGCGTCTCCCAGTTCTTTGCCCTAGTCGCCCCGTCTTGCATATACTTCTTCAGATTATTCTGATTGCTCTTCCAGTCCCAGGGCTTCACCTTCTCTTTATCGGCTCTTGCCATCGGCTCTGTATGACTGGTTCCCATCACGATTCCCATTTCGTCGGCGAGCGGCCCGTTCTTCGAATCGTCGGTGTAGAATCTGGAGTTCCACATCGCAGGCCAGAAGTAGTTTGCACGCAGGCGGAGCAGGAGTTCGAAGACTTTGGCGTGGAAACGCGAGTCGTATTTGCCGCCGTAGTTGGAGTTGACCCAGTTTGTGAGGGCGGGCTGTTCGTCGTTGAGGAAGATGCCGCGGTATTTGATGGACGGTGGGCCTTGGGTCTTCTTGGTGGGAAGCGCGTAGATGGCGGTTTTCTTCTTGGGTGGGACATCAGCCCACCAGTACCAGGGGCTGACGCCGATTTGCTCGGAGATGTCGTAGAGGGCGAAGATGGTGCCTCGTTTGTCACTACCGGCTAGCACAAGAGCTGATGACACGCCAGTGGTAGGGCTGTCCACGAGTGCTGAAGTAAAAGACTCCCATTTCCCCTTGATCCCCGAAACATCGATCTTGCCGGCCGAGACCAAACCGTCAATGAGCGGCGATTTGCCAATGGTTCCGGCGATGATGACCGGGGTGTCCGCAAGGCCCGACGTGCCGGTCGCAACTTTGGCTTTCGTTCCTGTGACTAGCCCGAAGTCATTCGCGAGGTCGTTGCCCGCGCGCGTCACTCCAGCCCAGTCTTTGCTATCGATGACGATGGTCGGTGCTGATCCAGTGCCACCTAGCTTCAACCCGCCATCTGCTTCCGAGAAACCCAGACTCGAAGGTTGCCCGATGGCCCGGGTCCCTATGACGAAGACGAAGAAGCACAGCAAAAGCCTGACGAGCTCCATGGTTGCTGGCTACCGCGCGGTCGTGCGTTGCGTTGACTGGAGAGGAGGCTTCTTCCCATTTTGTATGCGTGGATGCGGTTAAAGGTCGAGGTAGTATCCCCACATCGCCTAGTGAGAGATAGCGACAAATGACATCTCAGCCAATATGCCATATCCATTTCAATATGGAAATCGAGCGCCAAGCATCGCTTACTTCAATATAGCCTGGTATAGCCATCCCGGCACCACATCTGTTGAATTAAAGATCAGCTACAGTAAGTAAAGGACGCAATATGCGAGGTGGTACAACAAAGCAGTTGGTGGAAAATAATGGACGACTTTCTACAACTCTGGACGTCCGGAGTGATTCGCGGGTTCGCAGAATGCCACAGCGCCAATGCAACGGGTGCCGGTTACCGAGACGACTCCGGCGCGCATGGGTCCCGTGTGGGACAGCCCGCACACTTTTGGAGCGGAGACCTCCGGATCAAATAAATTCTGGAGTTAAATCGGGATGAAGCATGAGGGGAATGCCTAGTAGGTCGAACATCGGTGTAGGAGTTTGATGCACGAGGAATGGAATAAGAGACGTGTGAGATTGACCATGGCAGATATGAATCAGAGGAGTAAAAGTTGAAGGATGAAAGTGTGGAAGCAGGCGAAAGAAGACAAGACTGGCCGTGGAGTGGGACTTGAATGCGCTAAACCGCATTTGGTACAACTTTCTGCGATGTTATCAACTCGGATGCTGCAAGCCATGTGAGGTCCAAAAGGTATGCAGCAGACGCTACGCTTCAGTGTTTTGATGCGATAGTCATCTCCTCTCCGCCCAAGCTGATGCTGCTCGTTCTCCTTCGTCAACACCATACTTGCTGCGCGTAGATGGCGTCATTCGGGCATCTGCTGCGTCGTGTTATGCCTGTACGAAGCACACCGGAGCACGAAGGCTCCTTACTGCCCAGTGCCATCCGCCTTGACCAGCGGGAAGAAGGGCAAAAACTTGCAGAAGAGTAGTCACCGACAAAGAATCGGCGGGAACCGAACGGAACGGAAGCAGATGAGGGGTGCGATCAACTAAGAGCTTGATTAATACTCGCAAGGAACAGCAGAGATGGGTATATAACGCCATGGAGGCAGCGATGGCCTTCGTGTGCAACCGCTCGCCTTGTCTCGAGACAAGGGTCCCACGCAGGAGAAGAACTCGTGATCGTCATGTGCACGTGCATCATAACCTAAGCGTCCGCCATTTCTTCATCCGCCGCCCGACTTCCATTCTCTTTGCCTCTGGCTTTTGACCGCTTGGCGTGTCCGTTGCCAGCGGCGGTATTGCTGACGGCTCGTTTTCGTCTTCCTGCCCTGTTGCTCGCGGTTGACGAAGGCGTAGATGACCTGATGCCGCTCGCCGAGTCCTCCGGTAAGAATTTGCCGGTGCCAGTGGCTTCTCGCACGAGGGCGGTGAAGAAATCTTGGATGGCAAGCTGACCGGCACTGGCTTCGGGGGTGTTGCTCTCTTCAGAGAACGAGGCGTCGGAAAGTGTGTCGGGCGCGACTAGCTTCAGGCGGTCGGTGCCTAGGACGAAGCTGCCGCAAGATATCCGAGATATGTGCACCTTGGGATGCGACATATCCAATGCGAGGTGTCTTCGCAGGTAGCTGGAGAGCGCAGCGGTAAAGGGCTTCTCCTGCACACCCCGCCCAGCGTCCCCACGAGTGACGAAGCCTCGGACGTCGCGACCCGCTATCGTTATGTCCACATGCCTCAGCAGGGCGGTGGCATTCGGAAAGGACAGCTGGACGTGCAGCTGCCTTATGACGTCCTGTATCGACTGCGTCGAGGTGCTTGCGGAGAGATGGCGGAAGAAGGTCTCGAGGCTTGCGGCGATGAAGGCGGACGGCAGCCTCAATGGCGCGACGTGGGCGTCGAAGGAGGTCCTGAGATAGTTGAGGAATATGTCGCGGACCGGCGCGGGCATCTTGACTAGGAGCAAGGGCAGCGCCGTGAATCCGTCTGGCGAGGACGCGACGCGTGGATCGCGGAGCAGAAGCGCATTGTACGACTGGGTCTCGTACTCAAGGCTCACTTGGATGCCCCGCGCCTGCTCTGGGGCCAGCACCGAAGACAGCTGCGACGCGTCGGGGTCGACAAGCTGGCGGTGACGGTCGATCCAGGCATCCTCGTCGCCAATCATGTCCCAGGCGCACTCCTCGAGCGGGCCCAGGCGTGGCAGCGCGTCTTCGGCGGCGGCAAAGTCCACCTCGACGCCGCGCACACTGTCGCCCTTGAGCTGTTCCCGCAGCCGCTTCGCATGCGTGCGGAGGCTGCGCTCGTGGAGGAGGGGCGCATCGCCGGTGTGCAGCGGGGAGAGGCGGTAGAGGAGGTAGGTGCGGTTGTAGAGCGGGTACGGGGGGATGTCGGCCATGGAGCTGCTCCGGCGAGGGGGCGCGATGCGTTGGCGGGCGGGGATGACGCAGCGTGTTTGTGTTGATATCTATTTGGTGTTGCGGGCTGCGGCAGCCCCCGCACGGGCCAACGCGCCCAGGGTGCCCCGCTGAAAACGGAGATGGAATTTCAACGAAGCATCGAGAAGCGGCAGCAGACACAGCCCGACCGCCAGGCACCGCGTCTCAAATTTCTCTCCCGCCGCGCTGCTCCCTCCTCCATAAAGCACAACCAGCCTCGCTCGACACGCTCCCACGCACATCTGCCCCCGTCCGAACGCGCTGCTACCCCGCCTCACCGCCGATAAACATGTCTGTTGTGGGTGTTGACCTGGGCACGCTCAACACCGTCATCGCCGTTGCGCGGAACCGCGGCGTCGACGTGGTAAGTTAGATATCTGCTTGGAACGCTGTTGCGCCCTCTGCATGATGCTAACTGACGCTGCCAGATCACCAATGAAGTCTCCAACCGCGCCACGCCGTAGGTGCCCTCCCTCACCGCTCGCTGCAAAAACTCAGACTGACAAACACGCAGGTCCCTGGTAGGCTTCGGCCCCAAGAGCAGGTACGTTGGCGAGGCCGCGAAGAACCAAGAAGTCTCCAACCTCAAGAACACCGTCTCGTCCTTCAACCGCCTCGCCGGCCGCTCGCTCAACGACCCCGATGTGCAGATCGAGAAGGACTTCGTGTCGGCGCCGCTGGTCGATATCAACGGCCAGGTCGGCGCCGAGGTCACATACCTGGGCAAGAAGGAAAAGTTCACCGCCACGCAGATCGTCGCCATGTTCCTCACCAAGATCAAGGCCACCGCCTCCGCCGAGCTCAAGCTGCCCGTCTCCGACGTCGTCATGAGCTGTCCCGTGTGGTACACCGACGCCCAGCGCAGAGCAATCCTAGACGCGGCTGAGATTGCAGGCCTCAAGTGCCTGAGGTTAATCAATGACACCACCGCTACCGCGCTCGGATACGGCATCACCAAGCTCGACCTACCCGGCCCCGAGGAGAAGCCGAGGAGAGTCGTCTTCGTCGACATTGGCCACAGCAACTACACTGCTTCAGTCGTCGAATTTAAGAAAGGCGAACTGGCCGTCAAGTCAACCGCATGGGACCGACACTTCGGCGGACGATACATTGACAAGGCCCTGGTCGACCACTTTGCTAAGGAGTTCAAGGAGAAGTACAAGATCGACATCAACGAGAATGCAAAGGCGCGCTTCCGAGTCGTGGCGGGCGTGGAGAAGATCAAGAAGATCCTCTCCGCAAACACCATGGCCCCGCTCAACATTGAGTCTGTCATGAACGACATCGACGTCCGGGGTATGCTCAAGCGCGAGGAGCTGGAGGAGCTCATCAAGCCCATGCTTGACCGCACCACCGGCCCCATTGAGCAAGCCCTGGCCGACGCGAAGCTCAAACCCGAAGACATTGACACCATCGAGCTGACTGGTGGCTGCACGCGTGTACCGGCGCTGAAGTCTGCCATACAGAACTTCTTCGGCAAGCAGCTGTCCTTCACTCTCAACCAGGACGAGGCCGTTGCGCGTGGATGCGCCTTCAGCTGCGCCATTCTGTCACCAGTCTTCCGCGTCCGAGATTTCTCCGTCCACGACATGGTTAGCTACCCGATCGAGTTTACTTGGGAAAAGTCCGAGGACATCCCCGACGAGGACACTAGCTTGACCGTCTTCAACAAGGGCAACGTCATGCCTTCCACTAAGATACTAACATTCTACCGCAAGCACCCCTTCGATCTCGAGGCGAAATACGCTAAGCCCGAAATGTTACCCGGCAAGACCAACCCTTGGATCGGACGCTTCTCCGTCAAAGGCGTCAAGGAAGACGGGAAAGGAGATTTCATGATCTGCAAGCTCAAGGCGCGCCTCAATGTCCACGGAGTGCTCAACGTCGAATCCGGATACTACGTGGAGGAGACCGAGGTCGAGGAGCCCATTCCCGAGCCTCCGAAAGAAGACAAGAAGGATGGTGACGTACGTATCTCTGATTCGCTTCATTCGCCTGTTTCTGTTCATCCTAGCACCGGTCAGCCGTTTGATGACGACTCGGCAGAGCGTGCCGCAAAAAGACGCAAGCCTAGTGTTGGCTTTCCTGCATTGCGTGCTTCGGTTTCTTCGCCTGTCGCAGACCATCCGCTAACAAGCAATAAACAGGCGATGGACGTTGACTCGAAAGAACCTAAAGAACCTCCGAAGATGCGCAAAGTCAAGAAACAGCAGAGGAAAGGTGACCTGCCCCTGTCAGCAGGTACCGCAAGCTTGGACCAGTCTACCAAGGATGCACTCATGGAGAAGGAGAACCAGATGATCATGGAGGACAAGCTGGTCGCAGACACCGAGCACCAGAAGAACGAGCTCGAGTCGTTCATCTATGAGCTCAAGGACAAGATCATTGGCGTCTACGCCGAGTTTGCGAGCGACGACGAGAAGTCCAAGCTCTCGGCGAAGCTGGACGCGATCGAGGTAAGCTACTGATGCACCGGTTCGTGTGGATTATTTGCTAATGCTCTCCCAGGATTGGCTTTACGATGAGGGCGAGGATGCTACCAAAGCCCAGTACGTCGCTAAGATGGACGACATCCGATCAATCGCGGGTCCTATCATCCAGCGCTACAACGACAAGATCGAAGAGGAGCGACAAGCCGTCCTCAAGAAGCAGCAAGAAGCCGCTGCCGCGAAGCAGGCCGAGATCGAGCGCAGGAAGCGGGAAGAGGAGGCTAAGAAACAGGCTGAGGCGCCCGCAGAGTCCAAGGACGCCGAGATGACGGATGCAGAGACGACGAAGCCGGATGAGGTGGAGGAGCCCTCATCTTAGAGGAATGACGTCAGATGAGACATGATGGGTCCGGCCTGTTCTGAGTAGACGGGTTCATGTAAAAGCATTGGAGTGAGCGAATGGAATTTGGATGGATGGAGTAATTACTCATCTTTTTCTTGCAATGCGATGATGGTAATGCACTGCTTACGATAGACTAGTCCATAGATGAACGAACATGAAAACGGATCGACTGTTCACTAGCTCTTGTTGGCGCATATTCCAAAGTGCTTCTTGGTTCTGCCCACCTGCACTCATGGCACACGTATGACGTATCGGACATTGCTTCACATGCGCACCATTCAGAAGCCGAAGATCCTCTAGTCATTCTTTCCAAGTACTGAAGCCTAACACGCTTACCTTTTGCCCAGGGTGCTCACGGCTCGGTCCCAAACACGAACCTGCGCCAATTCCTCCCTAGGATCTTCACACCCTCTTCCAATCCCCACCCTTTGATTCTGCAAATCCGCCTCACCATATCTTCCAACCTCCTATCCATCTCCTCACCGGCGCAATGCAAATCGCTCTCAACAAGCAGCATCCGATCCGGAACTATCTTGATCATCTCTTCAAAAGCCTTCGGCGTCTCATCGCCCACCGCGTCGCCTAGGTTGATCGCCGTGGAGAAAGACGCAAAGAGCTCGACCGGTATTGCAGGATTAAGATACTGCTTGAAGTTCGCCGGGCTGCCGGAGTACGAGTGCAAACACACGCGCGGCGGATATGGCTTCGGGCCGTTATTCCTACCCCCGTTCGAAGCATCGAGCTCCGCCTCCACATTCGGATCATCCCGTCCGCGCTTCTTCCTCTCCCGCTTACTAAGAACCGGCCTCTCATGCCCCGCCCACAGCTCCTTCAACGCATCGTACACCATGCCGTGCGCCTGCACCCCGTGCACACTCACGCCCCGCCCGTACTCCGCCGCGAGTTCTAACTGCTTCTTGAAGATGGCCTTCTGGTGCTTTGGCTGGCACCGGAATGGCGTTAAGCGTCGTCCTTCACGGCCGCCGGGAGTCAGGCTGCCATTGCGCTTCGACGCGTGCGCGAGATTCCAGGCCTCTGGGATGCGGAAAGAGCGGTCGAGCCCGATTTCGCCAATTAGCGCGAGGGGGTGTTGGGCGAGGTAGTTGCGGGTTTGCGCAAGGAAGGCGGAGAAGGGCGTGGGGTTGGGGAGGGAGAGGAATATTTGGCGATCTGCATCGCTGGGGTTTTCGCGCGAGGGCTGGAGCACCTTTTGATAGTGCGAGATCTTGTCTTCGCCTTGCAAGATGCCTTCTTCCTCGTTGTCGCTCGGCTTTTCCCCGTCTTGCTCGTGCTCGGAGAAGTACAGCTGATGCGCGAACCACGGATGCCATCCGAAACAGGGCACTATGCATTCCTCCCGTGCCCACTTCGCGGGATCAGCTGACTTGACCGAGTGCGTGGCGGCTACCGAGGAGACTAGCGATTGGTCTTCCGCGCGGGTTGCCATTATAGTGAGGACGCGGGTTTTCATGCTGGGGATAGATTCTATGCTGGACATGGTGTCTGTGGGGTGGCAGTGCGCATCGTAGACGCCGAGGTGCCACGGAAAGGGCTCTGCATCGTTTTCGTGCGGCATTCTTATGTCGGGGTTGGGGTGGTAGAGAGCATGAAGAGAGGGGAAGGTCTAAGGGTCTAGTAGGACTAGTGGGTATCAAAGAGAGAATCTGGTGCCCTGTTCTCGTTGTGTGGCTGTTTAGTCGAAATGAATTCCGCATGACGTTATGAAGTTGCTCGGTATACTTTCCTTTCTCGTCCACTGAGCTAGTCTCAGAATGGGAAAGTCTCTTTGGTTTCCTCGACTCTACCCGTGGACCAAGGTACGTCCCAAGTGCACAAGCTCTCTGTCAACTACGATGCTGCATCTACGCCCACATACTGTGTCGGTCCGTGTACCCCTTGCTATTCTAAGACCCACGAGCGAAGTGTAATCTAGAACACTCCGGCCCTTTTCAAATGCGAGCTAATGCGGGTGGATACCGAAACGATGTACCCGAACGCCTCTTGTGCCAGCGTGGCACAGAGTCAGAGACACGCTGAGCATGAGAGGCCATGGTATGCATCTCGACCTTCACCTTCGGCTTCGGGGATGCTTTACTCGAATAGACCGAGGGAGTCGGTCCAATCAGGTTCGGGGTACCCCTCACTTTTGCTGCTCCTCCTAAGCATCCCCTTTTGGCATTTGTCAGCTGAGAGATAAAGGTGTTATAAATACAGGCCTGCTATTGCCATGTGTTCCCTCCCGTCTCTTGCACTGATCGTCTCCTTCGATTTCTTACCCCGGCTCCCGTGCACACCCCTACACGACAACTCCAACCGGCCCTGCAACGCTACTACATCTCCATTACTTCCTCATTTTCATTCATCTAATCTCCCAACCATGCCCGGCCGCCTTGCCAACAAAATCGCCATCATCACGGGCTCCTCCTCCGGCATAGGGCGCGCCACAGCCCTAGCTTTCGCACGAGAAGGAGCCACCATCATCTGCTCCGACATCCGCGAAGATCCACGCCCCGAGCGTGCCGAAGCCAGCAACCTGCCCACCGTCGAGGAAGTCCAGAAACTAGGCGGCAAAGCCATCTTCGTGAAATGCGACACGAGCAAAGCCGGAGACGTAGAAGCGTTAGTCAAGAAAGCGGTGCAGGAGTTTGGTCGGCTGGATATGTAGGTCCTAGGCAACCCTTTCCGCATTACGCATGGAGCTGACAAGGTGAAAAAGCATGGTGAACAACGCGGGCGTCACAATGAAAGACATGGCGATCTGGGAGATTAGCGAGGAGGCGTGGGACCATGTGCTTGCCGTGAATTTAAAGGGCGTGTTCCTCGGTACGAAGTACGCTGCAATGGCCATGAAAGACCAGGATCCGCATCCGTCCGGCGACCGCGGCTGGATCATTAACGTCGCGTCTGTTCTCGGGCTGGGCGGGACGCCGCGCGGTGGTATGTTTCCCCTTTCCCCTTTCAAGCCCCAACCCGTAGAGAAGAAATGCTGACGAGCAAAACAGCCCCCTACGTCAGCTCCAAGCACGGCGTCATGGGCCTCACTAAAACCGCGGCGTGGGACTGCGCACCCTACCGGATCCACGTCAACGCGCTGTGCCCGGGCTACAGCGAGACCAGTATGACCAACTTCTTCATCGACATCCCCGAGATCAGGGGAAGACTGGAGGCCATGCACCCGTTCCGTGGGCTGGGCCAGCCGGAAGATTTGGCTAAGGCGGCGGTGTTTCTAGCTAGCGAGGATGCGCAGTGGGTTACGGGGATTGGGTTGCCGGTTGATGGTGGATATAGTAGTATGTAGATGTAGACAGGTAGCAGGCGACGCCGATGAGCTGGCGGTGATGGAAGAGTGCGTGATGTGGAGGCTCTGGGAAAGAGCCCTGCAATATCCAGCCATAATGCGTACCTGTTTGTTACGCCCAACCACTCTCATCCAACATCTCACTTCCGACACGCGATCCTGGGCCCAATACTCAGACTTAGCGAATCTCACCCGCTCTCTCTACCCCGCGCCTCCAGCATACTTCCATACCAATCCCTACTTCTGTGCGTCTGCAAATACTCCAGCGTTAGAACTGGATTCTTACCCTCGTCCCTGCCCCACTATTTCTCCAACTCCGCCTTGCTTCTAGCAGCGTCCTCCCTCTTTCCAAACTCCTCGTCATTTTGGCACTCAGCTAGCCCAGTTAATACATCCATGTGTTAGATAGCGAAAGAGATAATAGGACATTGAACGTTGGACGTCGTCCATACCAACTCGGGAGGGGTGGGGTTGAAGATGGAGTTCGGTGCGCCCGACAGTTTTGACGACACCAGCACGAGAACAGAACGGACTGTGAGTAAACCGACACGACAATAGCCATTGATGGTGCAAGGGGGTCGTATGTGACGGCTGTTTGGCAGAACCAATGCGCACATGCGAATGTTGCAAACGGTCGTGTGCGGTGGGGCTCGGTGGCCACCTAGGGAGCCGCCCTGGGGGGCACATTGAATGCACTCGTCTGCGGTGAAGGGAAGTCTGTTCCGGCATTTAGTCTCTATAAAGCGTCACCGTCTTGCCTTCCTGCCTGCCTGCCTGCTACCCCTACATCCCCTCACTCAATTCCGAACACGCGGACTGCAGCGAAACCCAAATCGTCCACGCGAGAACCGAACAGCACCGGCTCGCCGCAACGCGAAACCCGGACATCAAAGGCGACAATGCCGTCTCAATCAGACATCGACACCGAGATCGCAGCCATCGACAGGCAACTCTTCCTCATCGTACTCGTGCAGGCGTCCATGAAATCGACAACGCGGGCAATGGCTACGATGAACGAGGCGAGAAGGCAGAACCATTACCGAAAGCTAGGCATGGCAAACAGCGCTGAGGAGAGGGTCGAGGCGGCTAGGAGGGAGGTCGAGGCTTGGCTGGCGCTGATGAAGAGGAATGTTCGGCAGGTTGAGGAGGCGGGTCTGAAGCGGTGAGTGGGAGGATGGGGGAGCTGGGGTGCGGATGGATAGGTCATTGGAATCTCAATTTATAAGGAGTAGATGATGACTTACTCTAATTATGTTCTAAGGTTGAGGAGGGCGAGGAGGTCATTCTAGAAGTGGCTTAGTGCGACGACCTCATCGGGGCACTTCGCTAAACCGACGAATGCCGTTATACTTGTTTCATCACCCCTCAACTCTCATCGCCCTTCCAAGGTTGCGTCACGCTGTTTCCGTCGACTTTGGTTAACTCACAATGTTTCAACAACCGTCGATTTCGATCAAAGGAGCTGCCGGTCAGGGCGTTGTGCGCTTTGGCGAAGCGACGCCGGACCAGCGGCTGCAGTGCTACAGATTGGCACTCGCCTTCGGCCAACCACTGTCTGAGGAGGACTTCGTCGAGCGAGAGGAGTTTATGAGTCAGCAGCCGTTCGCTCGCGGGACAGGCTGGCGATTCTGGTGCGTGTTTTTGACCGATAACCCGAGCCAGGTCCTAGCCACATGCAAAACCATCCAGAGGCACCTCCTACTAAAGGATATTTCTGGCGTCCGGGACGAACTGGGCTATTGCATCGCCTCGGTAGTCACTGATCCATCGTATCGAGGCCAAGGGGTCGCTTCATTTCTCCTCAGACATGTCACTCAGTGGTTAGATGGTCCAGGCAATGCAGCTGCAAGCATGCTATACAGCAGTAAAGAAGACGTAAGCTTCCTTTGGATCTTACTTGACATGCTCTTGACCACATCTCAGTTTTACGCTAAAAGCGGTTGGCATCCTGTACCGGACTTCGAGACGACTCTATCTGCCGCAGATGCCTCCAAAAGGAGCGCTTCGGACGAACTCTGCCTTCCAAAAACAGACCCAATAAGTGCTGACGGCATTTCAGCTCTTTGTGAGCGAGACACTCAAGGATTAAGAGCCGAGTATTCAGCACAAGATATCGGTAAAGAAAGTTCTCTCATGGTGGTTCTCCCTACCGCTGAGCTGGTGAGTTGGCTGCATGCCCTGGCCGAGTTCATGGGTCTGAAGACACGCGGGAAAGCCCCAGTGCATAAAGGAGCTATCTCTAACCGCGACACCTGGATCTACTGGCATCATGACTTCCGCAAACAATGCCTCTACGTTCAACGAATCAGGACGTTCGTGAAGGAGAGCGAACCAAGAACGAAGGCTTTGGCTGCAGTCCTTCTACACGCTTGCCGCGAAGCAGACATCTGGGAGCTGCCAAAGGTAGCCATTTGGGATGCGAACCCAGAAATGCGTCTTGCGATCGACTTGCTTGCCAGTCGGCAAGTTATTCGGGCCAGCAACGGCGACAGTGCGAGGCGGGAGAAGCTTTCTATCAGGTGGAAGGATCAAGGCATGAAAATGGACCCCATGATTGAAAAGAACGAATTCTATGCGTGGAACTGACGGCATCTAGACTCCGTCGCTATCTCACTAACGCGGCAATGATATTCCATGCTCAACCAGAGGTCGCAATGCGCCCAGCCGATGATGGTGCGTTCCGGAATCAGACCGGATTTCCGGAGTTAATGGAGGGTTCTTGGAAACCCTCAATGCCGTCTGGATGCTTGGCGAGAAGGCGTTCCATCTCCTTCTTCACTCTGGAGGCACGTTATCAACCATTTCATACGGCAGCAAGAATGACTTACGCTTGACGGAGGGATGCTCGATGCTGATGAAGTCCCGCATTAATGATGTTATCGCGCCTTCCGATATCGTCAGCACACTGAAAAGCTGTCGATCGAAAAGCGTACATGGCATAGAGAGCGTTTCGATCATCAAAATCCTCCGCCGGCTCCGAGGGAGGGATCATCTGCCTGTACTTTTTAATGTGTTCTCCGGTAAAACGATACCGGGGCTCTCTCATCATGTGCAATTCCACTGGTGACTACGTCAGACGATTCCTTCGTGCAACCCTATTGCCTTACATTCATTGTGGGCGTAGCAACAGCACGAGTCGAACAGGATGACCTGATTCGTTTCCATGTCAATCTGAGCATTGCCATGCCAGATATCGCCATGAACAAGGACTGGCTTTATATTTCTCCCGCCGGTTTGAAGCGGCCGTAGCAGACGCGGGATGACCTTCTGGAAGAATTCTTCCGCGACGCGATCGAAGTCAGCATCTGGTCCGCGTATACTTTGCTCCCACCGGATATCCGACCGTAGTTGCCGACTGTACCACTCCTCCCAGGTATCGCACCAGTCATTGACCACTGGCGCATGGCCGTTGAACGTCATTACGTGGAAGCCGAATTTACCGGTGGGTGAGACGGAGGAGCTGTGTAGCTTTGTGAGCACCTCTGCCAGCTGGGTCGGATCGGCAGTCTTATCCTTCAGGTCACGGTATGAGGTTATGTAGAATGACTTGCTTGGATCCGATTCCAGGGTGCCAAATGCTAATGGGACTGCAGCGTTGTCGGGGAGATACTTTGCCAGTGACTTCTGGCTCTCGTACTCGCCAAGGGCCATGTCGGCATGACGGGCTCGATAACCAACCTACACATAGTTCAGCCTCGGTGGAAAGTGCCAATGATGGAGAAAGAGCACTCACTTTCAGGAAATACTCTTTTTCTTCTCCGTCGACTTCAACGGCGACTTTGTATCCTGTGGACCAGCTTGCCGTGCCATGCTGACTGACATCAACGACTTCACAGCCTGGTGGTAATGCTGTGAACTGGATGAGCCTAGGTGCACTTGTTAATCCATATTGACAGACCTTTTAGAATAGCGGCATCAAGCATGTTGTCCAGCATTTTGCCCTGGTGAAGCTAAGGTCTCGCGAGATTGGGAGTGCGAAGAACGGGCGAAGAGTCGCTCACTTACAAGTGTAAGGTGTAAGAATGCCGGGAGACCACGCTCGTGCTTCAGGCGGCTGCTAACCGCCTGGTTTGAGTTAAACTCGAGCGTTGATTGGTGGCGGTTACGTCTCATTTCTGGTGTCGTTGGGGGCCGAACATCTGTCACGTATCAGCACGCGCGTACGCGAGATCCTTCGAGCGGGGTCCTGAGATTCTCCAAACTCAACCTTGACTGCCTTCGGACCCTCCGCAGAGCCTTGAATTTCTTCATGAAGGCTTCTTTCGAGCCCAGCGCCAAATCGCTAAGCAGCGATGGCGGTAAGTTCACAGCATCGTTGGTACATATGGAAGTGGGCTAATATGTACGACACATAGCACGCCTTTCCCACCCCGCAACGTGGCAAGAGTGAAGCACTCTCCCTCCGCCTTTCCGAGGCTCCCACCCTGTCTCCGACAGACCTTGCGACGCAGCATACGATAATTCATAAGGGCCCGTCGTTCTTCCGACGCCGCTTCGCCTCGACATGGGGTCATCCAACTGAAGAGAAGGACGCAAGGGGGCCACTGGGGCTACGAGCTCTATTCTGTTCCCCAGAGCCTCTCATAGATCTGATATTCGTTCATGGTCTTCGCGGAGGCTCTATGAAGACGTGGCGGGACGGAAGCGATCCTCAGCTTTTCTGGCCTCAGTGCTGGCTGCCGCTGGAACCAGAGTTCCACAACGCGAACATCCACACTTTTGGGTACGATAGCGACTGGGGAAGTCTTAAGCCTAGTATCCTGAATGTGCATGACTTTGGACGGTCACTATATGAAGAGATGCGGTCATCCCCACTTCTAAGGCAGAACCCTAAGGTAGGTTAGTCTATCATGATTCGACGACCACGTTTACCTTTCTGATTGCTACAGAGTCCAATAATTCTCATCGGTCACTCCATGGGTGGGCTTGTGATAAAGAAGGTACCTTAAAGTTTCCTCCGGCTAGCCCCAATGCTAAGGTCGAACCCTACAGGCATACACTCTGGTTCATCAAGACGACGCGCATTCCAATATCTCGGAACGTATCAGGTGTATATTTTTCCTAGCAACTCCGCATCGAGGATCTGATTATGCCGCTATTCTGAATGGAGTTCTGAAAGTTGCTGGTATTACCGGAATGGCTTCAACTCGAGAGTATGTCAAGGATTTGACATCGGGGTCGACTTCGACCCATCTCATCAATGATGACTTTGGAAAGTGCGCTCGCGATCTGGCTATCTACTCATTTTACGAAACCTTGCCAATGAGCTTTGGTTCAGGACTGGTCGTGGATAAGGGCTCAGCTATTCTAGGTAAGAGCGATCCTGCTCTTTGTTCACAGAGCGCTTTGAGGGTGGCCTAGATCTGTTTCAGATACTAAATTGCGACTTCAAAAGGTATAAATCCTCGGAATGAACGGGTCCAGTACCTACATGCCAATCACCGAGAGATTTGCAAATTCAGAAGCATAGAAGACTCAAACTACATCACGTTACGGAATGCTCTTGCGACAGCAGTTCACGACTTGCTTTCAGACGGTGAGATACTCCACAGTTTCGAATTACGTAGTGATCCTGTCTCATCAACTGCAGCCTATTCACATAAAGAACACGAGTCAAAGGAGCAGATGCGAAAGATCCAGGATCTTCTCGCGATGGCACATATGCCTGAAGAGCACCATGACAAGATGGAGGGCTCATGCCAATGGGTAGAAGAGCGAAACGATTTTCAAAAATGGTTGGCGTCAGAGAAGGATGCCGATCTGGTTCGACCCTACTTTCCGTCCTACTTTTGGGTTCAGGCAAGTCCGGGTGCGGGCAAAACCGTGCTTGCCGCACACGTGACATCCCGACTGAAAGAATCGCGGTTACCTCACGCGTCTTACTATTTTCACTTCGGCAAGAAGGAAGGCCAGTCGCTAACCGGGTTTCTGCGATCCGTTGCTTACCAGATGGCCAATGGTAACGCTGCGATACGCGAGAGACTGGCCCAGGTGTATGATGAGGGAGCTTCTTTTGATCGCGACAACCCGCGTGCACTTTGGTCGAGGGCTTTCACCGCTGCGATCTTTCAGGCAAGTACAGCTCCAACGGGGTGCCCAGGAAGTTCCAACTGACATTCCGAGAAAAGGTATCAACATTCGCACCACAGTACTGGGTAATAGATGCAGTCGATGAGTGCCTCAAATACCCCGAGCTGTTCACGCTCCTGAAAGGCACACAAACGAAATTCCCGTTACGGATCTTCATCACCAGCAGAAAGCTTCCGGACATGCCACGACTAGTACGGCAACTCGAGGGATGCGACACGTCAATTGTGCAGATACCCGTGCAAGATACAATGAAAGACATCGAGCTCTACGTTCGCGGTCGGATATTGGATCTCCCGATCGATGGAGAAGACGAAAAAGAAGAGCTCGCTAGAGAGATCCTGAGAAAATCAACCGCCTCGTTCCTCTGGGTGCGGCTTGTCATGGATGAGCTTGAGGGAGTATACGGATACGAGAGCATCCTGCAAGTCCTTCAAGGTATTCCGGAAGGCATGGTCTCCTACTATGAACGGGCAGTCGCTGAAATGGCTGAGAAGAAGAGGGAACATCACATCGCAAAAGCAATATTGCTTTGGGTTATGCTAGCCGCCCGACCCCTATCCATCACCGAGCTTTCGCACGCACTGGAACTGGATATCAGCGTCCATCTGCCTAGCGCTAAATCAGCCATCGAAGGCCTATGTGGGCAGCTAATCTCGGTCGACTTCCACACAGGAACAGTAGCCCCGGTACATGCAACGGCGAGAGAGTTTCTCCATTCAGAGGAAGCAGGCGAGTTCCAAATATCGAAGTCGAAGAGCCATGAGCGGATAGCATTGGCCTGCCTCCGCCTACTCTCCGGACCTGAAATGCAGCCCCCCAGGCATAGACGCTTGATCGGTCAGAAGTGTTCCAAGCAAGCAACATCCCTGCTGCTGGGGTACGCCGTGACTCAGTTTTCGGAGCACGTCTTCGGGGCTTCTGCAGAGAGTGACCAGCTTCTCGTGGAACTGAACAAATTTCTGACCACCAATATCCTTACCTGGATTGAAAAGGTGGTAGCCAAGAAAGATCTTCAGCGGCTGATTCGAACGGCGAAGAACCTGAAGGGATATCTGGATCGAAGAGCAAAGTATCGTTCACCCTTGAATCGCCACGTTACTACCATCGACAACTGGACAGTAGACCTCAGCAGAGTCGCTTCCAAGTTTGGCCGTGCCCTCATTTCTGATCCTCAGTCAATATATTTTCTGGTACCGCCGCTGTGTCCCACGCAATCCGCGATCTACCGACAATTCGGCCATTCTCCAGACGGATTGAGGCTCTCAGGATCTCACAATCTGGATTGGGAGGACTGCATTGCATATATCCCTTTTGAAGATGAGGCAGGCGCGGCTATCAGCTGTGGCAGTAACTTTATTGCCGTTGGCTTTGAGTCTGGCCAGGTTTGTCTGTATAACCACCGCAGCTACCAGAAGGAGCGAGTCTTTCATCAGAAGTTTTCCGTTGACTTGATCCACTTCGATCCTCTTGGATCCTTCCTGGCCACATGCAGCCGGAAATTTGTTATGGTATGGGATCTCAACGGCGACTTGCGCTGGGAGAAAAGAATCCGGAGCAGGTGCATCCTTCTTGCCTCTTGTCAATCTTTCTTGATTGCGATAACACAACAAGGATGCGCTCTCCACTGGGATATCACGACAGGGGAACTTTTGGAGAAGCAAACGTTCGCGTACCAGGACCCCGGCTCATCCCCTGGCGGTGGGCTCAGCGAAGTGAAAGCGCCTGCTCAAGCCTCTATATCGCCGCAGATGGACCTGATAGCTCTTGCATATCGGAATAGCCCAACCTGCATCTTCGAGCTCGGAAGTGGGAGCCTTATTGCGTGGGCCACAGATGAGAACAGCCGCGCCGCCGAACAATTGGCGTTCAATCCTAACCCCGATGTCAGTCTCTTGCTCGTAGCATATAACGAATCACATCTTGCCCTGTACGACTCCTGGTCCGGTACACTCGTAGAAAGCCAAGAGGCAGAACAGGCGGTGATCTGCACTTCTCTAACATGCTCTTCCGATGGACGTACCTTCGCCACAATGGACATTCTCGGCTATTTACGTATCTGGGACTTCGAATCGTTATCGTTACTCTACCAGGTCTTGACGCCCAATCATTCCTTCAACCTCTTGGACTTTACCTCGAATGGATTCAGTCTCGTCAGCCTCGTTGAACATGAGATGAGAATATGGGCACCGTCGGCACTAGTCAGGAAGACGATCGAGGAAGAATTTAGCACAAGCGACCAAGCAGCGGTCCTCCCGGTGACCGAGGGTCAGTTCGAGACATTCCAATCATCAAAGATCAACACCGTTGTTGCTCACCCAAAAGTTTCGGCAGTATTCAGCGGGACCTATAACGGGGACATATCGATGTACCATTCTAAGAACGGGTACCAGCCTTCTGTCGTTTATTCACATCTGGACGCCATTGTGATGTGGATTGCCATATCCGAAGGGGGTATCATCGCTTCCGCCGACCTTCATGGTTTTCTTCAGGTACGACAGCTCGACGTGTCACAAGAGAGAGTAGGAAGCGCCGAGAAGGTTCTATTCCAAAGCCACTTCCCTATGGGGGTTCGTCAGCTCTTGTTTGACCAATCCGGTTCATATCTCCTGGTATCGAGCGGCGACGAAGATTATGTCTACAGTGCAGTTGACGGGTTCTTAGTTGGTTCTCTCGATGTCCCGCCTGAATTCCGCATGGCCCGGAAGTGGGCCATTGCCCCTGAGTCGATCTACGAACGCCAATTCATTCTCATTTCCGACCATCGCATATCGGTGTTCTACACCGATAGGTTCCCAGAAATGCCACCCCATTCCATTTCACTGTGCTACGAGTTAGAAGACGGGTACACGGAAGCCGGCATAGATGCCGTAGTTTATGAACCCATAACAGCATCGCTCATCCTAAGCGTCCGGCAACAGAAGGGGTTGTCGTCCAAATCATCGACATTCATATTCGCAATACCTACCTCGTACCCTACGGACATGGATACCAGGCTACAGCCAGTCTACACCCTGCCTTTCTCTGCGCATATCTTCGGAGTCACCCCGTCCAAGGCAACCGTTAGTTTCCTGCACCAGAACTCCTGGATCTGCTCGGCCGTCCTTAAGAACCTTGCAGAGAAGCGCTACATTCAGCATTTCTTCGTTCCCGATGAATACATCACCACGAGCAGTGATGTTCTCCCCATACAAACCGCTGATGGCGACTTCGTGTTCTGTCTCCACGAGAGACTCGTCGTTGTCAGGAACGGATTGAAGTTCCAGGAAGTGAAGCACTTTCCGAACATATAGCGAAAACATTAGACTGTGATAGATGCGCGAACCAACTTGATGAGTTCAACTTGGCATTCTGCGGATCGGCGTCGGGGAGATGGGGTCTTACAGAGCGCTCACCCACATATCCGCGCGGCATTACGGATAGCGGGAATACAATATATCTTGAATGGGAATACTTCCTCTACCTCTCCTTCTCGGGTAATTGTTCTCACACGCTGTCACTTCTGGTAGCTGGAATATCAGGAGATCTAGTTCACGTGACCGTAGCATTCACCAAGATCGGGTCTGACATGGCTCCAAGGTATAAGGTTCCGACCCGGATTCCCGACCCCTCTTTTTAGAGTATAACGGAGCTGTTAAGGACTTAGCGTGAAGGAGTAAGCGAAGCCCAGTTGACGAACGGTGAAGAACGATGCACGTTCATCATGCTGTGAGCCGCGCGGCACCGAACTTCGGAAAAGAAGCGTCTCTGGAGTGAATACTGCACAAACAGCCGTCCTATTAAAGGCGCTGCACCTTCAGCGTGCTTTGAACCCCAGCAGCCATCTCCATCCCCTCCGCCAGGTTATCGGTGTAAAAATGGCTATGGAAGTGGGGCATTTGCGCCCAGAGGAACCCTTGGAGTGCATAAGCGAGCTAATGCAGGTAATGGTACCGAGTCACTGAACACTCGCATCCGCACCTCTCACATGCGTTCGCTACACGAGCTCTAATGCATGTCGCACGTTTCCGCATTCCCCGACGTAACGTTCCAGGGAAATTCCGACGCCTCCACAGCAGCTCCACCACAAATTTTAAAGACGGGCTTTTTCCGCAATGGCGGACCCCTCACGATTCCTCTCTTCAATTTCAACGGGAGTGAGTTTGGGTTTTGGGTAGAAAAAAAGGCGCCAACCATGACCTACCTCATCGTCCTCTTCGCCTACCGCAAGCCCGGCATGTCCCCCTCAGAATTCCGGGAATACTGCGAAACCACGCACGTCCCGTTCCTAAAGTCTCTCCTTGGCTCTGTCGCGCCCATCGAATACACACGCAACTACATCGCACGAGTCGACAGTGGCGCCGGCGAGCGTATGGGGCTCTCGCACCTCTCGCCCAAATTCGCTGACGGGAACACGCCCGTGGTGCTGATCGGGAACCCGGAGGATGTCACGTGGGATGTGATGAGCGAGATGCGGTTCCGGGACGAGCTGCATTTCCAGCAGTTTTTTGCGCTGATAAATGAGCCGGAGGTGGCGGAAAAGATTGCAGAGGATGAAGGCAGGTTTTGTGATACGGAGAAGTTGAAGACGGTGGTTATTGGGGAGACGTGTTCGACGAAGGCGGATTCTTGAGTAAGCGCGGAAGGAATTTTGAGATGGTGGGTGCTGGTGCTAAGAAGTATTGCATCCTTATTCGTCAATTGGATATGATCGCTAACTGTGTGGAAGGAAAGGTCATGGTATGCTGTATCCAACCACAAGAGCTTCACCATGGCGGAGTGCCACTATCATCTCGAGCATGCATATGCAGTCTGTAATCGCACGTTACGGCCTCCCAAAGTCACCCAGCGCGCGGAAGCGATGAATGCGCCTTCTACGTTGATAGAATCGGATGGATCCTTTCGGACCGCTCGTGGAATGTCGGAACGCTTTGAGGTCGAGGATTTCGCGGTAGTGTAACCCCTGATATTACAATTTGGAGCGTTTTAGCGAGTTGGCAGCATTCACTCACAGAAATAGAAGATTTAATACCCCAAGCCTTTATAGAAACACACGCGTCTTTGATTGGCCACATGGACTGCGAAAGCCTTAACATGCGCAATACCAACCGGCTGATGAAGGATGACAGTCAATTCAGTATTATCTTGGGATCGAAGTTCCACCTAAATATGCCGATTTCGTCGATACCTCAAACCCCTATGCTCAACCGACGGCCACCGCCGCACTACTCCTCAAGTCCATGGAGCTTGCTCCGGCCCATACAACGAACTCGCCCGGCTCAACCGTGTACTTCATCTTCAGGTTCCATAGGCCCCAGTCTTGGACACTCAAGTCTGCACTCACGTTCACGGTCTCGCCGGCCTTGATCGACACCTTCTTGAACCCTTTGAGCTGGATATTGGGCACGTCGACCGATGAAATCACATCCTGGACATAGAACTGCACGACCTCTTTGCCATCAACAGGGGACGCATTCGTGACGCTAACTGAGGTAGTGATAGTATCCGATGCCGAAGCGTTGGTGTGCGAGACGGCGAGGTTGGAGTATGTGAAGTTTGAATAGGAGAGGCCGTATCCAAACTCGTAGAGCGGCTCTGGCGTGTTAAGAACGTACTGGTGTCCGAAATCTAGCGTGCCATTCGGCAGGATAGCGCCGGCATCGGGGCTCGACCCGCGGCCGGAGTTCAAGTAGTCGTAGTAGACAGGCAACGTGCCGACGTCGTACGGGAAGGACACGGAGAGCTTGCCAGATGGGTTGACGTCTCCAAAGAGCACGTCTGCAAGCGCATTTCCGCCTTGCTCGCCCGGGTAGAACTGCTGCACGAGCGCTGAGGCGGACCGAGAGATCCAAGGCTCGGTGATGGGTTTCCCGCTCTGGAATACCACGACCGTAGGCTTTCCCGTCTCGACGATGGCTTGGACGAGCGGGCCCATTGCGCCGACCAGGTTCAGGCTTGAGAGATCGACATGCTCGCCAGTTGTAGCGTTTAGACCCTGCCACAGCTCTTGCTGGTCGCGAGACCACGTTCCGACGAGGACAACTGCGACATCAGCGGCTTGCGCAGCGGAAACAGCTTCGGGAAAGCCTGACTGGTCGTTCGACCAGCGCTCGCAACCTTGTGCGTAGGTGACGGTGCCGGTTGAGGCGTTTCGGATGCCTTGAAGGGGGTTGACGTTGGCTGGGTTGTACTGCGAGCGGTACACGACGTAGTCACCAAGCTAGGGCATGTCAGACAAGAGCCGGTGGAGAAGCCGGGAGGAACTTACGTTCACAAAATCTGCCATGGGACCAATGACGGCGATATTAGCGTCCCGCTTCAAGGGAAGCGTTTGGTTGTGATTCTCAAGCAGTACGATGGACTCGGCATCCAATGTGCGCGCAAGCTCTACAGCCTTCCGGGTGTGGATCATGCTCTTCGTTGCATTGGATCCGACGCCGGGGTATGGATTCTCGAACAGACCCATCTCGAACTTGGCACGTAGCTGACGTGCGACGGCAGTGTCCACAATGGAGATGTCGAGCTTTCCCTCTTCGACGAGCTGCGGAATGTTGGCGAAATTGTAGCTACCACCTCCCATCTCCACATCATTACCCGCCGGAAGTGCGTACAGGGTAACGGCCTCGGAGTCGATAGGCTTGCAAGCACACATGTTGAAAGCGCAGCATAAGCGATCAGTGGCTCCAGCGTCGGAAGTCAGCCAGTAGTTGTAACCCCATTCATCTCTGAGGATGTCAGTCATGAGATGCGAATCCGCTATGGTCGGAATGCCGTCGTAGGAGTTATAGGAGCCCATGATACTGAATGCTCCACCATCGATAATGGCGCGCTTGAAGGGTGGCAGCCATGTAGTCCGCAGCTCTCGCTCGCCGCCATGAACAGGACCTGTATTCAGACCCTGTTCCGGAGCCGAAAAAGCGGCGAAGTGCTTGACGGTGGCGCTGACATTACCGCCTTGGACTCCCTTCACATACGAGTACGCCATCTCTCCGACTAGATGTGCATCTTCGCCGTACGTCTCTTCAACACGGCCATAGCGCAGCTCGCGCGCCAGATCGGCCAGTGGCGCGAAGATTTGGTTTACTCCAAGCGCTCGAGCTTCCTGCGCAATGACGGCAGCCATATCTTGGATGAGCTCCGGATCCCACGAGCAGGCTTGCGCAATGGGGCTGTTGAAGATGGTCGCATTCCCGACAAGGAAACCATGAATACCCTCAGTTTGGACGAAGGCCGGGATGCCCAAAGTGGTGTTTTGCACCAGGTAATCCTGTGCCTTGCGCACGCCCTCGCTGATCCATGCCTGCGGGACCGGGTAGCCAACGTAGAACTGGCCGGCCCGGTTGTCCATGTTCCACACGAGACCACTGTAGTTGAAGGCATTGGTGGTGGTGTTGATCCAGTTCGAGATGTCGCCTTGGACGAGCTGGGCCGTCTTCTCTTCGATGGTCATGCGCGACAGGAGGTCGGAGACGCGCGCTTCGACCGGGGCGGAAGGGTTTCTGTACGTGGCATTCGCTGCATCTTTTCTCCGAGCAAGGTCGTATGATTCTGCCGGTACGAGGATTGTGGACAGAAGAAGAGAGAGCAGCGCTCTCCTGATGGACGAAGGCATCGTCGAGTTCTACCGGCGGCAGGGGAAGCACGCAGACGCTTCTTCCACGACGAGGACGCAGCACAGCTTTTGAGCCGCATCTGCTCGATATTTCTCCAATTTTCCGTCTCCCATAACTGCGTTCATTATTACCTCCGGCCGGGTTTGCGGAGTAATTTCATTCGTCGGCCCCGAGGCACGGCGTCGATCGTCCCTGAGATGCACTACACAGCAACCGGGTAAAGATATTGCGGCTAGGCTCTGCATACATACCGGTACAGAGACAAGTGAGGATGAGTGCAGATGAGGTTGCACACGCCTCGGTTCGAAAAGCATGCAATTGCGGAAGATGGGTGCGTCCGATTGGCGGATAAAAAGGGGCCGCGCATGGAGCGTTGCACCCCGCTCACGGCACCCCAGCACCATCGACCCCAGATTCTGCATCTTCCATGAGCATCTCAACCACTTTCCCTCCTCGCCTGACCCAGAATCATGGAAACTAGGGAGCCAGTTCCGGCTCTAGAACGCGCTGGGAAGACATGCAACCTGCGTGGCACGGCACTCGCGCGACGCCTGCCGCTCCCTCAGGCGCATTTATACCAAGACGCACTCCCGCGTCGTCAAGCATCGTGGACGCTGTTTGCCGTGAGCTTCTCCCCTCCTTAGCCTGTTGATTGCCTTGCGGTGCCTTCTTCACCATGGGCCTCGTCTTCAACATCGTGCTCGCCGTCTTCGCTGCTACGGGCAGCTTTCTCTTTGGATATGACAGCGGTGTCATGACCATCGTCATCCAGTCGCCGCATTTCCTGCATTTCTTCAATACAACCACCACTACGCCTATTATAGGAGCCATCAACTCGACCTTCTCTGGAGGCGCCGTTTTCGGATCCTTGATGTGAGCCCCGCCACTCTTTGACCGTCCCGCAGGCGGCTAACGGATTTCCTTAGGGGTGGTTTTACCATGGACAGTCTTGGTCGGCGGAAAACCGTGCTCGTCGGAGCGTGCATCAACCTTGTCGGCGCGGCAATGCAAGCTGGAGCTCAGAATCTGCCCATGATCCTTGTGGGTCGCATTCTGGCTGGATGGGCTGTTGGCGTGCTATCCATGTCTGTTCCCATTTACCAATCTGAGTGCGCCAGCCCGAAGACGCGAGGTACGTCTCTCCGTCATGTCCATCAAGGCCGTGATCATTGACGGCCGGTACAGGCCTCATCGTCGGAATTACCCAGCAGATGATTGGCGTAGGCTTCATTGTCTCGACCTGGGTCGGCTACGGCTCCTCAAAAGTACCAGTCACAAACTCCTTCTCGTGGCGCTTCCCGCTCGGCTTCCAATGCGTGCCCTGCATCATAATCATCTGTGGAATCCTCTTCTTCCCCGAATCGCCCCGTTACCTTGTTGAAACCGATCGCGCCGAAGAGGCGTTGCAGGTCCTGCACAAGCTACACTACAACGGCCGCAACGAGGACTTCATCCAGGCACAGTTTCACGAGATCAGGGTGACGATTGAGGCTGAGAAGGCCATTACTGCCCCGGGCTGGGCTATCATGTTCAAGGTGAAGCCGTGGAGGACCAGGTTGATGCATGCTACACTCATCCAGGTCTTCACCCAGATGACTGGGTAAGCCTTACCTGCAATATTCTCGTTTGTTGTACGCTGCTGACAAGATATCTCTAGAATCAATGTTATCGGCTACTACTCCACCATTCTCTACACCAACCTCGGCATCACCGGCTCCCGCAACCTCCTTGTAACCTCTATCTATAACATCGTCGGGCCGCTCTTTAACTTGTTCTTCATCACGCTCCTCCTCGACCGCGTCGGTCGCAAGAAGCCGCTGCTCTTCGGCACTGTCGGCATCACTATCGCACTCATCTGTGAAGCCGTCATTGGCTCTCAGGTCGTCGGCGCCACGGGATCCCGGCGGGACAGCCTCTCCATCGCGGGTGTCTTCTTCCTGTTCTGCGTGTCCTGCATCTTTAGCATGTCGTTCGGTCCCATCTCCTGGGTATACGCATCCGAGATCATGCCACTGAGTATCCGTGGTCGCGGCTCTGCGTTCGCAACCGGTATCGGGAACTGGCTTGTTAGCACGGTTTGGTCCCAAGTCTCACCCATTGCACTCGGAGATATCACGTATAAGTTCTATTTCGTCTTCGTCGCATTCAACATCTGCGTCACTTTCCCAACCATCTTCTTCATGTTCAAGGTAAGCTTCACCGATGCTATGAATGTAGCTTGCTGTGCTGATCCACATGATAGGAAACCAAGCAGCTCACCCTCGAGGAGATCGATTTGCTGTTCGGTGACCGGGCCTTAGGAACGTTGCCGGACAATTTAGATGACAAGGAAAGAGAGATTGAGCTGACGGAGTCGCATCACCAGGAGCCCAAAAGCAGCTGATGGTGAAGGATGAACTGGATTAGCCGGGGAATGGTGTAACGCAGCGGAGGATGGCGGACGGTAGTCCATTCTAGAAGCTTTGTTGTAGACAGTTCGATTGTAGACGAGAAACTACGGGAAGTTCGACACGAATTTTCACGATACTCGAATGGCTCCCAAAAGCGAATGTGATGGCTCTGCCGTCTTCCCCTCTTTCGCGGAAGACGCCGAAGCTTGGGCTTTGACTAACGTGTTGGATCACCCTTGCATGTATTTTTCTTTTTAATCTAAAAGGGTCCGCCATTTAGAGTCTCGAAATAGAAGAAAGCGATCCAATTAAACCGAGCGGAGATGATAGTTCTACGCCTTCACTCACCCCATCTCTCAACCTTCCACTCGCCGCCTAGGAGATCTAAACCCTTGACCTCTCCATCTCGCGACACTTCCAGCAAGCCTTTCTCCTCACCTTTCGTGTCCACCAAAACCGTCTTATCACCTTCCTTAGTCCCATAGAGCCTTACCACTCCACCAGCGTTCAACCAATCATATCCAAATCCACCTTCGCCCTCTGTCTGTCCGACGACCAGCACCGTCCCTTTCCGCACATACATCGGACACTGACAAAAGCCATACTTCTCCTTCACCCATCTTCCTCCACTGACCTCCTTCCCGTCCCAGAAATTGAACCACTTACCCGGCGGCAGGTACACCTCGGTCGAGCCGTCCTCCTCGAAGACCGGCGCTGCGAGGAGTTGCGATCCAATCATGAACTCGCGGTCGAGGTACCATGCAGTCGGATCATCTGGAAATTCGAGCGCTACGGCGCGCGTGCTCGTTGGCCATCCATGCGCAATGCTCTCCATAGCTTGCGCGTACAGGTACGGCATCAGCTGCCGCTTGAGTTGGACCCAGTGTCGCAGCACATCCGTGCAGTTTTCCGGCTCGGTAGACGAGTCATCGACGAGCCATGGGACGCGGTACGAGTTCGACCCGTGGAGACGGCTGTGCGTGCACAGCAGCCCGAAGGCCACCCAGCGCTTGTAGATCCACGGCGGTGGGCTGCCTTCGAAACCACCGATATCGCTTGTCCAGGATGCGAAGGATGCAAGACCCAAACTCAAGCCGCCGCGAAGCGATTCCGCGAGTGCAGCGGGCGTTGACTCGCAGTCGCCGCCCCATTGGAGCGGGAAGCGCTGCGTCCCTGCGCATGCCGTGCGCGCGAAGAGCACCGCCTCGTTCTTTCCATATCGCTTCTGAAGCGCCTCGTAGACCAGCTTGTTGTAGATGAAAGCGTAGTAGTTGTGCATGCGACTCGGATCCACGCTCTTATCATGCCACACCACATTCTTCGTCGGGATGCGCTCTCCAAAGTCCGTCTTTATCGCATCGACGCCCATATCGAATAGCTTCTCCATGCAGCCTGCGAACCACGTGCAGGCCTCCGGGTTCGTGAAGTCGACGATGCCCATGCCTGTCTGCCAGAGATCCCACTGCCACACGTCGCCGTTGGTCTTCTTGAGCAGATAGCCTTTCTTAGCGGCGTATGCGAAGACGGGAGATGCTTGCCCCACGTAGGGGTTCGTCCAGACGGAGACTTTGTTGACGAGACCGGCTTCCTTCATGCGCTTGATCTGGCCTTGCGGGTCGGGGAAGAATTCGGGATCCCAGACAAAGTCTGTCCAGTGGAAGGCGCGCAGCCAGAAGCAGTCGAAGTGGAAGACCTCGACCGGAATGCGGGAGGAGCGCATGGTCTCGACGAAGTGTGTGACGGTTTTTTCATCGTACGAAGTAGTGAAGGATGTCGAAAGCCACAAGCCGTAGGACCACGCTGGAGGCACGCCGGGCTTGCCAGTCAGGACCGAATACTTAGTGAGGACTTCCTTGGGCGTCGGGCCGTAAATAATGTACCATTTCAGACGCTGTGCTTCAACCGTCGTCTGTACCCTGCAGCACCGCTCGCTCCCAATTTCCAGGTCGATCTTGTCTGGTGTGTCAATGAAAACTCCGTATCCTCGCGAGCTCAGCCAGAAAGAGGTGTTCTTGTACGCCTGCTCGCTCGACGTCCCACCATCCTCGTTCCATACCTCAACGTTCTGGCCCACTTTATTCCACGCTCCGAAGCGTTCCCCGAGCCCGTGGATGGACTCGCCCACGGATAGCTCGGTCTGCGTGAATACATAGTGCTTCCGGTCGCTGAGGTCCTCGACCTGCTTAGGAGTCGAGAGGCTAGGGGAGTACGCTAGCCCCACGCTCCTATTCAATAGGGAAGTCAGTGTTTTCGAACCATCCGTTGCGTGGAATTTGATGTCGAATGCATGCTCATCGCCACTGACAGTCGCACTCAGGCCGCCCGACGAAATCGTCGTCCCCTTCTCACTCTTCTTCACCTCCGCCTTCGCCTCCGGCTTCCCATCCGGAAACAGCTCGAAATTCGGTCCCAAGCGCCTCGCCCCGGAGAAATGTGTGACTTCAACAGAAATGACGCCATCGAATTGGGCTTCTAATTCGACGGATAGGGTCGCGAGGTTGAGCGTGTCGCCGCGTGAGAAGATCTTGCGCGTTGGGCAGAGAAGCGAGATGGCTTTGCTGTCTTCGCGCGGTGTAACGGTGTAGACTTCTTCGGCGTATTGAACGGTGAAGGCGTCGTTCGTGAGCCACATGCCTGCGCTCGAGTCAGCGAGGTCCGGAATGGGCCGTTGCCGGAGTCATGCGTACCATCGCGGAACTTCATTTTGGCGATTTCTGTATCGAAGTACTTCCGTCTTCTCAGTGGATTGTACGGCGTTAAAAGCACTCCAAACACTATCGCAACGGCAACAAGAGGCCGTCCGGAAGCACGAGCCGATGGCCGTCTGGCATGATGTTCAAAGCTTCGTGGAGTGTTTGTGTGGACGGAATCCTCGGTGGAATATCCTCCGGTGCCCCTCAACAATGCGAGAGCTCACGAGCAGAAAGGTCGCGAACTGTTGCTCACTCCGCTTTCTTTCTGCAATGTTCGAACAAGCTTTTCTAAGTGTCGTAACGCCGTAGACAACTTTCTCCGTCTCATTGTTAGCATTCCTGATGTCTCGCCATGCTGACGAATCAGCCGCCGGCTGTAGAATTTTAACCTGTCATTTCTAGTGCGCTACTATGGAGTGAGCTATCTTCATATCTTCAACTTCAACTTGGAAGGTTTAACTGGCGCCCTACTCGCTCCGTGAAAAGGTGAATAGGGTTCGAAAGTCACGTGACTGGGTTTTAATCACACCTCGGGCGGCCATCTGGATCCATGGGTGGCTTTAATTGCCGCTGTTACTCTCTTCTTCCTCATCGGCACACTCCGTCCTCGTCATAATAGTTTCGAAGGATGTTGAAGAACGAGTCCGCAGCCAAAAGATCAGAGTAGCGCCCAGGTATTAGAGAACGAACCCTAACTTTAAATCAAATGAGAATCCACGATATCCTCCTCTTCAAGCTCTCCTAAGTCTTCCTCTTCTTCATCTTCGGGATACACTTCGTCGGGAATTTCTACTGGCAAATTCGCCTTATCAGCTTGACCTAGCTCGAACTTTCTGAACCATCCTCTAAACTTCCGTATCCGCCAAGACACGGCATATATACCTCGCATATGACTCGGGTCTCTTCCACTCAGCATCTCGAAGCTCCATCGCCGCCTCCTCGGATTTCGTCTAGGTCGTACTCGGCTCTCGAACCCGATCGGTAGTCGCGCCGTTCAACGTTGACCTGTCCTGTTTGACCGTAAACTCCAAAGTGGCTGTCGAGAGTCCACCGTTCCAAACAGTCCATGAAGTCTGACCAAATCCGATCATCGTTGTAGTTTGTTCGGGATGTCGTTTGATGATCCCGGATTGATGACCGCAAACGCTAAATAGGATAGGCCATGTGCATTATGATTTCCTCTGGCTTTACATCGGGAGGCATACTCGCGGGAACCGTTCGTCCCATTGTCGACGCACTTCGGTAATGCAGGGAACGGTTGGGTTCTCGGCGTCACTGGCATTTGATAGCAAAACTCGGAATCTCTGGACGGATCTGCGGGCCAGTCAATGGTGTTTCTTTATATAGCGGCTCATACAAGCGTATCATGTCAATACCAGCTCGCATCCCCAAAGCTCATTGTGCGGCTAATTGCGACGAAGTGAGCGGAACTCTCATCAGAAACACGGCATTGAGGCGATTGGTTAGACCGCAAAGCTTCTGAGTAGTAAAGATGCAAGAACTGGGCGATGAATGATATAACGAGGATATAGTCATCAATCTCAGCTCGCGGCGTCCTCATATGGGGAGGACATGAGAGCCTGATTCTTCTAGCTACAGGCATGGGAGCAGCGATGACACGCTTCGCATGCACAGGCGTTAAAAAGATTTAGGAATTAGGAAAACGTAAACAAGCATATGTGTGCTTGGGAAGACGAAGACGTAGGAGTAATTACCTAGGTATCGGCAGCTGGACTAGGCCGAAGACGGCAAGGCTTCCACTTTCACATGAAATCGCATCGCAGCACTTTATTCCCTTCCTAAACTCTTTACATCAGCCATCTTTAAGACGAAAATGGGACTCCGCGCAAGCTCTATATTGGGATTCTTGATTATATGGGCATCTACGATAGACTTCGCAGGCGCGACCCGCTGTTAGAAAATATAAGCGCGAGATCGTCCTGACAGCTTTTCCGGACGGGTTCAGGGGCGATGTTCGCACTCATAGAGCTTGGAAACGCTACAGGACTATTTAGTTAATACTAAACTAAGCCTAAAGCCCGATCAAGGACGCCCTAGACTTTTTGTTGCCCATGGCATTATCTCGTGGTCCGCGTACCGAGATCTGCAACGTTTCTCGAAGGGTTCCTACGACCGTTTTACCCATATCTGAACCACCAGAGCGCCGAGGCGGGACTCGCTATCAGTGACTCGCTAGCCCGTGGCTTTCTTTCTTCTGTCGCAACGATGAGCTGCATGGAAGCCCACTGGAACGGACGGCCCAACCTGTCGGCACTTACTTTCCGGTATCGAGCATTCCACGCATAGATCGAATGCATGGTACTTTCGGTGGTTGGAAGTCACGTGGCAGTCCGTTCACCAAAACTGACCAATCGTGAACGGAGCTCTCGCTTATGTGACTAATAAACATCGGAAAGTACTGGTCGCGGAGAGTATCGCGCGAAGGGTAAGCTGTGGAGAGCGGCATCGACTTGCGAATTACGTATGCATTATCGACGGTGTCGGATACCATTCTCTACACCCCCAAGAGCGAGAAAGGAATTGCGCGATTTCATCTATTCATACCACGTATCTACGAAATATTTGGAGCGAGATAAGAGCGGAGACTACGGCGTGTTATCGGATCTACGCTGGCCACGACCATGGGGCTCTCGTATTTCATCCGCGATTTCCTCTCCTTCCCTTTTCGAAGATGCAGCCAAGAAAGGAGACCAATTGCTTTTCCTTGCTATGTACCTGGCCGACTTGTTAGTGCAGTCTGAGCGCGCGCAAAGACCTACCGGTACCCCCTCACCCGGCTTCCGCATCGCCCATTATATTTCGAGGAACTCTAGGTTTGTATGCCACCTACGATATCTCGCTGTTCCGATCGTCACCCGAAGATCCACGTCTTGTGCCTGCGATACGGCGCCCTCTCGCGAGCATGCGCTGCATCATCGATAGCACACGGTTCGCGCCGTCGTTTCGCACGGACGCATCTCCATGCTTGAGGACCGCTGAGTGGCCAGCGGCGCCCCCTTCACGTGGCAAGTAACGGTCGGCGTGCAGGACGACCGGCACTAATGCACGTGTCGAGGAGAATTAGCAGGGGTCCGTGCCTGCCGATCCTGTTTCGGCGGCGCATCCCTCCCCAAACGGGCCTCACCTCCTGCGCCTAGACCCCAGGAACCATACTTTTACCGGCCGTCTCACCTCTGCAGCCCGCTGAACGTCGTTGGTTGACGCCGAGCGCCATGAGTCGTGATCGGCACTCACGAGCGGGGAAGAGTCAAAACCGTCCACAACACTGTGCCCACCCCCTAATATGTAGGCGCGCGAACTTGGCTATGCAATTGAAAATCCAAACTGCACCGCTGTCCCTCTTCTCCGCACTTGACTCCGATGTATCCCTAGCAACTTCATCATGGCTGCATCGTACCCAGACTATGACCGAGGGCCGCACCTGGCTGCTGTGTACATTGCAGGATGCGCCGTTTCCTTCGTCTTCGTGGCCATGCGCTTGATGGCGCGGTTCAGCATTGCGGGTGTGGGCATTGACGACTGGTGCATGTTGATAACTTGGGTACGCATCCTGATCGCCCCTAACAAGCCTTCATCGTATGCTCACACCGTCCAGATAGTCTTCCTGCCCCTCACCATCCTCTTGAGCATCCTCTGCTTCGAAGGCGGCACGCGCCATCTCTCGTACCTCTCGCAGGATCCGGCGCACGTCGTGTACGTTGTGAAGATGAATTGGGTCGCGCAACCACTCGCAATCTTTTGTCTCGGGTCTGGCAAGATCGCCGTCGCGTTCCTGATCGTCCGCTTGCTCAACCGCGCATCTGTGTGGAAACGATGGAGCCTGTACGTGGCCAGTGCATGGACGATGATCAACACGATCCTGATGATCATCTTCACCTTCGTGCAGTGCGAAGACCCGGCGGCGTTGTGGGATCCATCCGTGAAGAGCAGGACAAAGTGCTGGGATACGCGGGTGCAGAGCAGCTTCTCCATCTACGGTGCAGCAGTTCATTCGCTGATTGACTTCTACCTGGCGCTGTTACCGGTGACGCTTGTGTGGGGTCTGCAAACAAGCCTTCGGAAGCGCATTGCACTGTGCGCCTTGCTTGGATGCGGTAGCATGTAAGGAAACTATCCAAGACGTTTGAGAATGGGGCACTAACGCTTCTAGCACTGGCATCTGCGCGGCAGTCAAGGCAAGTAAGCTCATCTCGCTCAATGCGAGGTCCGACTTCACTTGGGAGACTTTTCCTCTTTTCCTGTGGACTGGGTAAGCGCCTTCCGCCATTCCATATCGTCGAACACAACTGACACTTCCCCCGCGTAGCATCGAAATTATTCTGCTGATAGTCTGCGGCTCAATTCCGGCTCTAAAACCGATATACGCTATATGCATGGGCCGTCGCCCATCCATGCGCTCCAGTCAGAACAAGGGCACTGGTCCGAGCAGAAAGTCGACCATGAGGCGATCGTATGCGAGGTACAAAGACACTGACACGGCGATCGGGCTTGCGGGTGTCTCTCCATCGTCGGCAGCCGTCGTGAGCAGGGTTTCCGAGGACGAGATGGAGTTGAATAAGGACTACGAGAAGTCGCTGGGAGGAATACATGTAACGAGGACCATCGCTATTGAATAACACGACGCCATCGTCTCTTCCTCCTCTAGACTTTCCCTCCGGGGACCTACTGTCGTTCTCTTGTATACCGCCTTTTGTTAGCATCGGCAGTCCTTGCTCATCGCAACGACCGAAGCGTGTCCATCCGAACGGATCTAATTTCGCCTTTGCCTCGGCCCCGGCTTCCGTCGTCATCGCTGCTATATACACACCGGTTTCTGCTCGCGGAGCCCTCCTCGCTCGCTTGGACCTTCTGGCTCACGTACACACTGCAGTCGCATACTATCGAAGCGAAAGAGATATCATCAATGGAAGGAGGCCGGCAGGATTCGATGTTCTAGCGTATATGAGAAGGGGACTAGAGTCGCGCTGCACCGATTTTGAGACTAATCACACGCGGTGGAGGATTGGCGTCTCGCGCCAAATGAGGTCGAGTACGATTGGACTGACGGGAGATGGACTGGATGGCGCTCAGCGGCATGATGCGGCAGGCCTAGAGCTCTCGCCCGAAGTATGCGCAGGCGTTCGAGGCTCGGCCTAGCGAAAGAATGCGATATACTAGTGGTTGATGTTGTTTAGGTGGGCTCTGAACGCCATCATAGAAGGCGTCATTGTTTCAAGGAAACGAGCGGACTTTGATCGACAATGCGTCCGAATGCTGGATGTGGTATGCGTTTTCAAGAATGCAGGATCGGGATTCAAACTCTCGGGGCCGCCGAATATCTCGACCGGTTCGCCCTCACCGTCACTGAAAAGATTCATTCTCAAATACATAAGTCGGTATAAGCAACAGATCTGGGAGTTTCGGAATTTCGCACAGCCACCTTCGAGAATACCCATCCTGCACCGTACGCCAACTAGATATCCCACAAGTATCCTCAGCACCACCGCCGTCCAGCTGCATCCTCCCCTGCAAATATCCTATCACGCCAAAACCCAGCCACCACCCTCCAACTCTCAGCAAACAGGACCTCTGCGCCCCTCGCCGCGCCTTCCTCAGCTTCGAACCTTCCCTACAATCGCAAATGTTCTCCCTCCTCCGCCCACAATCCGCGCAGATGATGCATACTACCAGACGCTGCTCGCGGCCTCTGGCGGAAGTACCAAACAGACCTACACGTCAAGCGCATCATGGGCACCGCGCGCCTGTGCTGGCTCCAACGACTCTCCCGCGAAGAAGTCATGAAAAAAATACTGGCCATCCACCCCAAGCACTAACGTCTCGCCGCCATACGACCGCGAAGGGATCGTTGAAGTTATTGGCGAGCACATGGCGTGCCTAAGAATCACGCTTACCTAGATACTGAAGGTGTTCCGGGTTTGTTACGGCGTACGGCGACCCCGCTTATGACTTCGAGAATCCGACAGTTTTGCAGCTGGATGAGGGGGCCGTCTGCTGTTATATATTGCATGAGTTCCAGGATACGGAGGATGAGTACGATGCCATTTTGTTTCGAGTGGGGATTGTGGCTGTGCATAAGGAGCCGTTCGGTGAGTGTTCTCAGCGCAGAGTTTGGGATGGAGTGCGAAGCTTTGGAGTCTGCGGCGAACTATGCGAGGCATTATCGTTGTTGGAGGGGGAGCTAACGCGGGACTATCTCAAAACCACTCCCCCCCCCCCCCCCCCCCCCCCCCCCCCCCCCAATAGAGCGACACAGCAACAATAACCACCATCATCCTCTGAACCCCAGTCCATCACCTCTTCATATCCTCTGCCGCCAATGCCAGCATCGCGCCCCCATGCCCCAGTCCAAGCCTCCATCTATGCCCCTTCAACTCCTCTCTCTCCCTAAGCTCCACTTCAAACCCATGCGGCGGTTCAATAATCTACGCCCACAGCTTCGAATTCTGGCGATCTGGCTCCGGCCATCTGCCCTCCCCTCCCGCCGGCTCCATCTCAAACCTCGCAATCAACATAGCCGCCGCGGCGAGAATCTCCGTCGTCGCGAAATGGCGTCCGGGGCATAACGTAGCTCCGCCGCCAAACGCGCGGAACGCGGCGGGATTGAGCGTCTTCTTGTTCGCTTGCGAGTTGACAAAGCGGCGGTGCGAGAATGAGGCGGCGCCGGGGCCCCAGATTGTTTTATCTGTGGTTTTATCTGTGTGCAGCACGTTCTCGGGCGTTATGACTGTCATGCCTTGCCGTCCAAATTCTTAGTAACCACCGCCTCTGCTTCGGCGCTGCATCCAGAAACGCCTTTCAAGGCGCTCGCCACAACGGGCTCGAACGCAATGGTCTTAGTGCGTTGTACGGCCGTGACAAGATGCGGTGCTGCGATGATGTATGTTTTTGCTCTGAGGATGGGCAGCGCGAATAGGGGGGCATTTTTCGCTCGATCGCTGGACAGTGCCTTAGCAAGACCCGCAAAGAAATTCTCACCGCACTATCTGGTCGTAGTACACTTGATGCTGGAAGAGCCCGATGAGATGGCCAATCAGTGGTATCGAACTCGGGACCAATGGGAAGTTCGACTTGGCCTTCCACACGCGCATAGCAAGCGCGCCGACGAGAACGGCTATCAGCGAGCTGGGCACTAAGATGTAGGCCATCGGAGTTTGTTGTTTTTACAGAGTCTGCGAGTCTCGAAACGCACTGATGAAAAGATATACCATCTTCTACTACCGTAGTAGAGGGCCTAGGAAGACGCTACCCAGGAGGAGCTGTTAGGGTTCAGCGACTACCTTTTCGCGCTACCGCGTTGTGCATATGTGTGGCGTCTTACATGCGTCTTCCGTATTGAAACTACGGGAGGCTCATATATGGATTGTTATCGCGCCATAAGTGGCCAAGCATAGGCTGATTTCGCGCCCCCAAAGTCGTTCTCGCACATTATCACTGCCATTTCCAGTCGAGCCTTGCTTATACGGCATTGCGCGATTGCGGCCGCCCGCATTTGCAAACTCAACGTAACATACCCTCAACCCACTAATGCAGTACTCATTTTGGAACCATCGGAAGATGAGGAGCCATCAATAACTTCCTCGTTAATGCATTACACAGCCCACACCTCTCAGCCCGTTGCATACGGGCCTTAGTCTGCCCATTCGAATCCCGGGCTCCATGCAGTCTACCAGCTCAGCGCTTCACCATATTTTGGCGCTTCGGCAACCTCGCTAACCAATAAACTCCAAATGTAGCAAAGATGTTGAAGACTATATAGATGAGAACGACGCCCAAATTCAGCCACCTGTCCGTATATTCGATCTTGAACCGCCTCAAGAGGTCGTCGGTACGTGCCAATGGACAGAACTTGCACGTGCCCGTCGAATTAGGATCGATGAGCGTCCCTCCTGCGGAAGCAAGGAAGGGCCCAAGGTATTGGTGACAGGTCATGGAATCGGGGGCGGAGAGCGTAATAAGCTCAATGGCGGCACATTGCACTGCCTTCTTCCCGACCCCGACAGCAAACATGCCCCGTATGAGGTATGTTAGGGGAGACAGCCAGTACATGAAGGTCCAGAATTTCGGTAGGTCGTCGTATGCGACTAATACTCCGCAGAAGATGAGTATTAGGTAGAATAGCAGTGATCCGATGTTGACAGTGGTCTCGCGATGCTCCATTCCCACAGTGAGCAGTTGGGATAACGTCGACGTGAAAAGCAAGAAGGCTAAGAAGAAGAGGAACATTAGCGCAGCGCGTTCCGGTCCTTCGCCTCCAGGGACGCCCAGATGCATGCCCATGGGATAGTAGAAGAGGCCAAATGCAAGGGCCGAGAGGAGAGTTTGGCCAATTGCTTCTGTAATGATAGCCGAGAGTAGGAACGCGGACCAGGAGAAAATCCTCGCAGGTCCCTCTCTCGCTTCGAAGAGCGCCCTCCGCTCCGTGAACTGAGGAACAATTTGTTGCATCATGGCGCTGAAGCTGGTGAAGAAGAGAAAGATGGCGAATAGCTGAGTCTGTAGTCCTTGGAGGCTTGTGGGTGCTTTCCAGCAGGAAAAGGCGATGGCGAGGGTGGATCCACAGGTGAAAAGGAATTTTGCCCAAAGGAACGCAGGATCGCGCCAGTACTCCACAAACGTACGTTTCAGCAAGAGTCGGAGCTGATAGGTGAAGGGAGCAGCAAACTGGTCGTGATCGCTCGCTAGCGAACTTCGCTCGAACTCCGACGTGGATGACATCCTCTCTATTTGTTGTATTAGATGCTCGTGCTGTGACGAGTTCTTCCATTCGTCGAACCACTCGATGCTACTTCCGGGCGCGGTGACTTCCAGCATCCATTCGGCCGGGTTCTCGTCCGGACCACAAGTTCGGGCTCCTTTGCTTTCGAGATAGGAGACTACCGATTCGCAATTGGGTCCGACATCACCGCAGTAAAGGGTTCGACCCCCCTTTTGGATAAGCAGGAGACGATCAAACATCTGAAGCAGGGTAGAAGAGGGCTGATGAATCGTGCAAAGAATACTAAAAGAGGCGACACGTTAGGGCACTTCCGGAGGTAACACTGGGGAGAGCCACTTACGCTTGACCGCGGCTGGCAAGCTTCCTTAGCAAGGTGCATATCATCCACGCGGTCTGACTGTCCAGGCCAGATGTTGGCTCGTCCAAGAAAAGCAGAAGCTCTGGCTTGGAGGCCAGCTCTATGCCAATTGTAAGGCGTTTGCGCTGTTCGACGTTAAGGCCTTCCCCAGGCACACCCACCAGCGCATCCGCAAATGGCTCCATCTCCAAGACCTCAATCACTGTCTCAACATGGGAGAGCCTTTCGCTCTTTGGGATGTGAGAGGGCTGCCTGAGAAGCGCGCTAAATTGCAGAGCTTCTCGAACAGTGCTCGTGGGGAGATGAACATCCGCTTGCTGAGCGTAGCCCGTCTTTCTCTGGAAGTCATCGCCACGTTCCTCTCCATTTAGACATATGGTCCCGGATACTATGCCTACCGAAGTTCTTTGAGAAAGAACATCCAGCAGCGTTGTCTTCCCAGCTCCTGTAGCGCCCATCAAGGCTGTGAGAGTGCCGGGCTTTACCCAGCCGCTGATACCAGTAAGCAGAGTCTTACGTTGCTTCTTGACGGTGATCTCGTAGGATAGATCACGCCAGCAGAAGTTGGACAATGGCCACTGGATTTCGATGACCTGCTCGAAGCTGTCGACCTTGGGCTCTTCAACAAAGTAGCGAGAGACTTCAGGAGCCTCGAGTGCTTCTGGTTCAGATTTCCGGTCTCGCAGCTTGGCTTGCTTTCTCCGCAGAAAGAGCAACACCTCTCCTTTGGGCTTTTGGGCGAGGATATACTCCGAGGAGGTGACGTGGGTTATGCACATTCCCACCATGAGCAGTAGCAGGATCCCATAGTTTCTCCACAGTTGCTCTCGCCGGAAGCTATAGGCGAGGGACAGATACCGGGTACCATCCACGAAGCGGGCTCCGGGGATAGCATAGGGACTGGCGCATATTACCTGCGCGTCGCTGTAGCTCGGGCCCTCGGGCATGTAATGACTGCAGGAGAATTCTCGGCCGTGAAACTACAGGTGTGTTAGCGCGCTGAAGAAGGCACGCAGCTGCGGAATTGTATCTGCTTACTTCGTTGATCATGACGCTCTGGAACGAATAGTAAACTGGGTTGACGTACCGGCACCATGACAACCATGGATGCATGTAGTCTTCCGGAATGACGAAACCAGTATATATCACGAACAAGATCGTGAGGATACCCATGGGCACCATGGACTGGTGCATTGTTCGAGACATGGAGGCGATCCCGCGAAAGAACATCGACATGGTCATCAGGGTAGTAAAGATGAACAAGAGGTAGATGAAGAACGCCGATGGCTCGCGGCGCAGGTTGGTCATGAAGTACAGCACGACGTTGAAGAGCACGGTGGCTGATAATTTGGCAGGCAGATCGCACAGCATTGCTGAGACAGCCTCCGCGAACGGGTGGTAGAAGGCATATCGTCGATGCTTCTCGCAGATAGGCCGCTGTTGCCAAACGGCGAATCCCTGCACGCCGTTAGCCAAGCAGAAGCCTGGGAGGTTACACGAGAATACCTCAAAGCCCGTCATGAATCCGTTCAAGAGGGTTGAAAAAAAGAGAAGAATGGTCCGTTTCTGCATGCTGTCGCTGTCGGGCTTCAAGTTGAAGAAGATGCTGCCCACAATAAGCGCCATGATGGTGTTGCCGAGCACGGTCGATATGGGCAGCTGGATATTGTTCTTTACGCGCTGAATGCCTCGGCCTAGGCAGAGGCCTATTTGGCGAAAAGTACCAATAGTGTAAGGAGAGGAACGGTGACTGGGTACAGCATTAGCATACACGCACCATAGAGCAAAGATGAATACGCACAGGTTGACTCCTCGACTGCTTGCCTTCATCTTGCGCAAGGCGTCGAGTGTCGCGCGGCCCGAGGGAAACTCTTCCTGGAAGGCGTGGACCTCGCCGAGCAGCCACGTTCGCTCTGCACTCAGGTTCCAATGGAACACGAAGTCCTCTGCCGTTATCGGGACCGTGTCCTCCCTGCCTTCCTGCGCGAGCTTCCTTGCCTCGGCCGGGTTCGTCAGCGCCGTGAAGAAATCACCCGCGGTCATCTTCGGTGGCTTCTGGAAGCCCAGTGACTGAAAGTACGAAAGCCCAGCATTCCAGGAACCGAAGTAAATTTGGCGTCCTTGGTACAAAACGGTAACCAGATCGAACTCGTCCAGGGCTAATTGTGATGCTTGGTACAGGCTGACCACCATGGCGGTTCCCTGGTTCTTTGCGAGAGAGCGGAAGTGGCGGACGATGCTGAGGGCCGTCTCGCTATCCATGCCCCTCGTGCTGTTGTCCCAGCATTGAATCGATGCTTCGGCAGACAGGGCCTCTGCGATGGTCACGCGCTTCTTCTCGCCGCCGCTCACTCCCCGAATGACTTCATTGCCGATCTTGGTATCCACGGCGTCGGCGAGATTGAAGACATCAAGCGCCAGCTGTGTTTTGGCCGCGCCGTAAGCAGATGCCTTGGGGAACTGAGTCGCGGAGGCGAAGGACAATGTCTCTCGCACCGTGAGCTCTGGGAAGTGGACGTCCTGCTCGGCCATGTAGACGCATTCTCCGCGGAAGTCTTTGCACATATCGTGAGTGGAAGCGCCTGCTATGCCGTGAGTCTCGTGCTTCTCCTGCCAGAAAGTACGCACCTTGGTAGCTGATGAGGGACTTGGCGCCAATAGACAGCCCGTCGGTGTCGCCTGCGAGCGTCTTCAGAAGAGTGCTACATCCGCTCCCCGGCCTACCCAGCACCGCCAGCATCTGTCCGCTCCGCACAACACCGTCAATGTCCCGCAAGATGTCGAGTCTTCGTGTCCGCTCTCGGCCGAACAACTTCCTCAGAACCTGGACCATGACCAACGGCGCGTTGGCGACTGTGTGGCGGTAGTCATTCTCGGATACCAGGCCGTGCACAGTCAAATCTCTGAAGGCGACGCCCAGATGATTCTGCTTGAAGGCGAGGCCGTCTGCGGTCGCTGTGGCAGCGACATGCTGGAACGTGTTTTGGCGCGGGGCTCGTGCCGTCGCAGGCTCCTCGCGCTCGTCGGGCATGTTGGGCATTAGATTCGTGGTATACCCAGGCATTCGACAAGGCAACCCGGCGAGGGAGGGATGGTGAGGAGAGGGTGAGAGGAGAGGGCGAGGGCGAGGCGGCGCTGCTGCTGAGCCGCAAACGCCCGCGCGGGAGATTGGCGGTGAAAGGCAGGGAAGGTGCTACCAATGGTGGACCCGCCCCGCTTGGGCCCGCGCGCCATCGCTCCTGCAACTGTTGGTGTTGGCATAGTCTACCCACAAGGGCGGGCGCCAAGCGCCGCAGTGGGGACCGAAGTAGATTATTACACCTTGGTCCCTGAAAAATCCTACCATGTGCCCAAGCCCTGGGTAAAGTTAGTATCGTCTTCAATCCTCATCCCTTGTTGGGAATCCTCCTTACATGGTATGCGGTATGGAATCGGTCTTGGGAAACTCTTGTCTAGCCGCGGTTGGATTGTGAACGTCCATGTGCGCCAGAAGAGTCATGAGATCGAGAGTGCAAGAAGTACACCCGTCGGAGAAGACATTGCTACCGCAGTGACTTCGAAACCAGAAATAAAAATAAGGTAAACTGCAGGTACTAGGTACATCAAACGCATCCGACCCAGAAAGTCGTGCCCCTAGAATGAGTACGCTTACGCTGCTTTGCTGTCGAATCGCGAAGCGAAAATGCCATGTGTACGAATGCGAAGAGTGCATTTGGTCGACAGGGTAGGTCCGCGCGGTCGGGTTCGCTAAGCGCATCAACGCATGTAAGATCACTGATAGAGGTACGTCTACGACGAGAATTGATTGAGCGAATGAAATGCATTGACACGAAGAATCTGTTAACCATGCTGCGAGTACTGCCGAATTCATCACGGTTATGTACAATACAAATCAGACACCATGACTTATCTCGCTGCTTTTAGACTATAGATTTGGTTGAAGATGTCGCAAAGCTAGGGAGTGCAATCTACTAGAAGTTAGCGCTAGTGGTATAGAATTGGCTTCTTGACGACTAACCTCGCTTTCGTAGCTCCCTAAGGCTGACGGGCGAGCAAAACTCTGCCTCGTCTCTCACTCGCGAGTGACGTTGATCGGACTTTCCGTGCTTACTCTGGGGGCGGATGACGGTGAAGATAACCATAGCCAAGGAGAGGCATAAGAAGACGGCAATACCAAGCTTCTTGCGCATCTGGAGTTTCGATATTCAGACAATAATCGGGAAGCTCACAACTTGGGACATTAGACACGCAGAGAGGCGCACCAGGGCAAAGCTCACCATGCAAATCCGCTATGATATCCCACATACAGACCATCATATTCAGGTCAAGACTGGCGGGGCTCGGGTAGCATTTAACTGCGACATTCTGTTAACAATCCACTCGCGGCATCCTGATTCTTGGATTCAACGTACGGGCTTCTATACCTACGTGAGGGCATAAGACGACTGGTTCCATGCACACCAACACATATGCAATGCCGGTGATGACAATGCTGAATCAGTAGTAACATTCCAGCCATGCGGACAGGTTCTGGATAAGGGGGCGGAAGAAAACTAAGAAGGAGTACTGAATGGTGAATATGACGGTCCATCCGCGGGCGAAAAAGATGAACATCCACTTCGGTGTTCCGACGAGGTTGAGGAATTCAGCAAGCATGAAGATGACCGAGGCATCGTAGTTGACCGTCTCCACGATGTACATTCGCGGTAGCAGAACATATGTAATGGCAGTCAATGGAACCAGCGTGAGCGTCGCGAATATAACGAGAACATCGTGTGTGAAAAGCCTGCGGTCGTGATGGAGTCGGATTGCTACGGTGGCTAAGCCGGCGAAGCCGCCTATATATATTGGGGTTATTCATATCGAGTCGATATGAATACTTTCTGGCCCGTGCAGGGCAAAACCAGGGGGTCGATATGAATTGCAGTGGTAGGTCGATATGAATACTTTTTGTCCGTGCGAGAACATTAACATTAAGCCGATATGGATTAAACATCGAGTCGATATGAATTGCAGCAGCGGGTTGATATGAATTGCAGCCAAAACACAAGTTAATAGTTTAAATATCGTCTTACTTAGTTTACGTTTAAACCCCTAACGAGAGTTAAATATAGGCGTAGGTTTAGAGAAGGTTTAGCCGCTTGCCTTAAGTTATAGCTAGCTAAACTGTTAAGCTATTCTTTAAGTACACATACTCTATGTCCGTCTACTCTTAGACTCTTCTATAGCGGTAGCGCGCATATCTGCTGCGAGCAGAGCAAGACGCAGACATTCTCTTATTAAGGGTAGCTTTTTAGTACTATTTAAGTATAATAACTTATTTTAGAGCTACGAGTTAGTGCTAGACTACGGGTGTGCAAGAGAAAGAGTTAATAGAGGTGCGCTAGCTTAAAGAAGCGTAGAGAGTAACGACGTTAGGTAATTAGAGGTAGACATGTATAAGAATAGGTTGCGTTTCTACTATTATTATAAATAGCGCTTAATTCTTTTATTTGCAGTTACGTTTCTACTACTATTGTAAATAGCGCTTAATTCTTTTATTTGTAGTCGCGTCTCTACTGCTATTACAAATAGCGCTTAATCCTTTTATTCGCAGTCGCGTTAGGCAGACATTCTAGTAGTATCTAAGGTTTTTAGTTTGCGGTAGTAGAGAGAGAAGTAGCTATAAAATTTTAGCTAGCTTGCTTTTCGTCTTCGCATGTAGAGAGAAGAGAAGAGGGGGAAGTAGTCTAGGTGCTACCTTAACTTCTCTTATCTCCCGCAGCTAAAGTTTCTACGTAAGTATAGTTCCCTCCTAATTTAGCTTAGTGTCTACTTGCTACCTTAATAGTGTAGTAGGTAGAGTTTTGTACGTTTTAGTAGTAGTCGCAGAATAATAGCGTACGTAAGAGTCTTTAAGAAGGCGCTGTATACTAGACTAGGTAGCTTTAGTATGTTAGTAAATTCTAGCAAATTTCGCAGTAATAGCTATAGACACTTATAAGGTATAGAGAGATTGCCTAGAATTGCTATAGTTTAACTCTCTAGTAGAACTTAAACATATATAGAAGTGTAGTTAGGTTTTAGTATTAGACTATAAGAAGGGGGGTTTAGAGTTATAGCGTATTTAGGTTATAAGCCTAAACCTCTATCTTATAGCTAACTAGAGTAGATAGAATCTATAGGTAACTCTATGCTTATAGACGCCGCTCTGCTTCTTTTCCCGCCTAGCTATACTAGTTAATCTAGGCTAGTTTTTGTGTAGACAAGTAGCTATTAAACTAAATCTAACTTGCTTTTTATCTCTAGGTCTACTGTTTCTCTATATGTTCGCGGTCTACTTTCTTTAGAGTTAGGCTAATTAAATAGTTAGTAAAGAAGTAGATAGCACTTTGCTTTAGATATAATAGCTTCTTACCTAGACTTCTCTTAGACTAAGCAATAATTATAGAATTAGTGTCTTACTCTCTATATGTAGAGCGTAGCTTTACGTTTTAGCAGAATAATATCGCAAAGAGCAAGGTAACAGAGAAGATTATTATAAGTAAGGAGGACAGGTAGCTATAAGTTTTGTTAGCTTGCTTTTAATATTGTAGTCTAGTGTAACGCTATAGAAGAAAGACTAGAGTATAAGACTATATAATAATCCCTTTATAGAGCTATACCTATCTGTTCTATTCTTAGCCTTTTACTTATTTTTTTTTTAGAGTAGTCTGCGAAAGCTGTAAAGTAGGTCTACTTACCTTACACCTATATAATATAGTTCTATTAATTTTATTTTTAGGCACTAGAGGATATAGACACTACTTTCTATATTCTAGTATTTTCTCTAATTTTAGTAGCAGAATTGTAGAGAGTAGTGTTAATAAGAGTAGGTTGCTAGTTAGTATAAATTATAGTAGTAGGTTAATATAAATACTTTTTAGCCTATACGCGAAAAACATAGAGTTAATATAGATTATAGTAGTAGTTAATATAAATACTTTTAGCCTATACGCAAAAAACATAGAGTTAATATAGATTATAGTAGTAGTTAATATAAATACTTTTAGCCTATACGCGAAAAACATAAGGTTAATATAGATTATAGTAGTAGTTAATATAAATACTTTTTAGCCTATACGCAAATATTAATATTAAGCTAATATAAATTAAACATTAAGGCGATATAGATTATAGCGGTAGGTTAATAATACTATAAATAAGCATATTTAAGTTCTCTATAGAGCTAATATATGTTCGTATATATAGAACGTATAGAGAGACTTTTAGAGTAGAGGGGTTAGAAATTAGACTAGCGTGTTAAACTTGTTCTAAGCCTAAACCCCCTTTCTCTCTCTACCTTACTTATAATAATATATAACATAGAAGCTAAATTATCTTTTACTTATATAAGACAAATAGATAATAGCTATAAGTTACTTAATACTAGTATAACTTCTTTAAACATATATTAGATATTATCTATACTCTACTTCTATTCTCTACTATATATAAGCTCTAATTAGAGCTACTTGTGTAGTAGATCCCGCGACTAAAGTAGTTATAAAAAGATATTCTTAGCCTTTTTATATATGCCTATAAGGTCTAGATTTACCTACTTAAGTATACTATACTATATAGTTAATATCTCTATACTACTTTTCTCTATAAAACTATAAGGGAAATTAGTTGTAGGTACTATAAGAAATATTCTATTATTAAACTACTGTCGAAGTATATTCTAACGCTTACCTTTTTTAATTATCCTGTTTAACTACTCCTAATACTCCTCTTAAGCTTACGCATCTTTTCTGCCTTAGTAGGTTGCTAGATCTCTAGCAAGTTTATTTTGTACAACTAACGCATATTCTCTACTAATAATACCTAACCTAACTCTACGTTACTATAGACGCTCTTTAATACTCTTTGCACGCTAGAACACTATAGCTAAGAGCTAGCAATACTTATACTCGTCTACTACTATTTGTTCTTAATAGTTTAGTATAGCGAAGAACATGTTTATAAAGTTCTACTTATTGTCTAGTAATATAGTAGTAGGCTAATAAGTCTTCTCTTAGTTATCTACCTCTTCTTAGTTGTCTATATTCTCTTTACTATCTACATTCTCTTCGCTACTATTGCAGATAGTTGCCTATAACTCTTTATCTTAACTCTGTAGTAAACGTGTAGGTAGTTGTATAGACTCTCTAAACACCTCTACTATATTCTCTTCTCTTAACCTCTACATTCTTATTATTATGCTAAGATTCTTAAATGCTCTCTAGCTAGCTACTTGTATAGCCCGCCTCGCTAGCTCTACTATCTTTCTAATACCTAGCCCTTCTAGACTCTTTAAATAATTTATATATAGCTCTCTTTCTAGCATAACGTTGTAGTTCTACTACTCTAACTTATTATCTATATTCTCTTACGCATTAGCTAGTTTTAGTAGTTTCTTTTTCTTAGCTCTTTACTGTAAACCTTATAACAGACTACCTCTATCTTTACTTATTAGCTAGAGTAAGCGCTAGCGTTTTTACTTTATCTTTTACGTTACGTTTTGCGTTATCTTACCTTTCTTATTAGTATTATTATTTAAGCTACTACTAATACTAAAATCTTTATAGATTTTCTTTACTATTTGTAGAAGAACCTAGTAGGTTGTATTTTTGCATAGCTAGAGAAGAGCCTTAGCTAGACTATAGGCAACAAAACATATTATTAGAACAAGGCTTTTACTATCTAAAACCTATGCTACGCTATTCTCTTTAAGAAGGTTGTAGGCTTATAGAGAAATAGAATAGTAGCTAGTTAAAGAGACAACTAGTATAGTATGTTTATGTAGAAAGTCTAGTTACATTTTTTTGTTATTATAATAGAGGTAGAAGATAGATAGAAATAAGCTATTTACTACGCTAGAAAGTAAAAAGTAAATAAGTAAGGTAAAGGCTAGAGAAACTATTTTTTTACTAGCGCGCCTACGTTTTAACTCTAGAGAGGAGTAAAACCTTTCTTTATTATATCTACTATATTGTATAAAGAGGTAACAGAGAGTTCTTACTTTTATTAGAATAGGCTAACTATACTTTAGAAACTATAAATACGTGCAAGCCTATTCTCTCTAGGTAATAATACTATTACTACTCTTCTTACTACGCTTCTACTATTTCTTAAATATAACTCTAAATACAAAGCTATAGTCTATACTAACGACGCTTATAGCTATGCTATACTACCTAGTACTATTAATAAGCACCTTTATACACACTATAAGAATGTATTTAGAAAATAGAGAAGTTGTATTATTAGCTTTATAGAAGCTATAGGTACTTAACTCTTCTTATAGAAGAAGCAATTTCTATTTCTATTATAACTAGTCTAGTTTATACCTAGATTACACGTTCTATAGCTATATCTCTAGTATAACTACTATAGTTATATTTTAGAGAAGAAATTAGCGCGATTAAACATGTCTTAACACCTTACTACTTATAGTATTAAGATATATACGTACAAAGAAAACCCTACTCTACTTACTTATAAGGCTACTACTACTATTCTTATAGAGAATATACGTTTTGTAGCTATACAGCGCTTCTTTACTAGTAGTTCTAGACGCTCTACTAAGTATTTTAAAGTTCTAGAGTCCTTACTACTAGAGACTAACTAGAAACTAGCTAGCGCCTATAGTGCTATTAATCTAGCGCTTCTTATAGCTAACGTAGATATTATAGCTTTAGAGAAAGAGCTCTAAGTATTTAAGGTAGTAAGGCGGGAGGTTCTTACTGTAAGAGATATAGTTATGCCTACGCTTTATAACTACTAGCTATCTGCGTAAGTAACTAAGAGAGACTTCTAGTATACTCTTAAGAGAATGCTATTTAAAGAAGTTGCCCTTCTTACTACACTACCTAATTAGTAAAAAGAGCTAGAGGTCTACGTACTCTAGAACGCTGTATAAAGTTTAGTTCGTGTATACTAGTATATAGTTTGTTATACGCCTAACTAGGCTCGCCTCTAAGTTATAGCTAATTAGTATAGTATTATAGTAGCTAAACCTCTAGAGGCATATAATTAGTATAGTACTAAGCATGCTAGTAGGCTCTAGAAGGTGTTTATATTCGCATACTATGTATTAAAGAGTGTAAAGGCCCTCTATATATAGTCTCTAAATAAGTAGGTTTAGCGTTGCTAGAGCTATATACAAGAGGTTCTTAGTAATATAGAGTCTAAAGGTATAGTAGAGCGCACGTACACAAAACTACTTTCTCTTAAATAAGTATACTATTAGTACTAGATAGTACTACTTTATAACTAACCTAGCTAGAATAATTATAATATAGCTCTTCTTACCCCTCTTATAACACTTATAGTTACTACTAGTAGATTTGTTAACGCTAGCACGTATATAATAGAACTATCCGCCTTTAAGAAGATAGCTTAGTTTACCTTTGTGTAGAAAGCCTACCTTTAGTTTAGAGCTAAGAAAGGGGCTAAGGAAGGGGCTAAGAAAGAGGGTTGTAGGTTAGAGCAAGGCTGCGTAGCTATTCTAAGCCTAAACTCTACTCTACTAGTAGTATTGCTACTAAAACTAGACACTATAGTAGAAGTTAGTAACTAGACAGATGCCTATCTATCTATAAGTAACCTAGCATCGCCTTTTAGATAGCTTAGTAGTATAGAAAAGTTTATCTCTATCTTAGCTATAAAGAATTCTATAGAAGAATTTGTTAGTTAGTATAGATAGACGCTTACTTGCTATAATATTATAATTAGCATAAACAAGTTTTACTACCTTATCTACTTCTTATACAACCTAGCTAGTATATAGCTCTATAGTCTTTTATTTGTAGATAAAGAGTTAGAGCTCTCTCTAGTTTTATAGAATAAGCTATAGAACTAGCTAAGCACGCGTATATAAGAATAGCATCTTTTTAATCTAGATAATAATACTTATCTTAGAGTAGGTATAGGTTTTATGCGCTTCTATATTATCTATCTTGCACAGCACCTATAGAGCCTCTACCTTGCCTAGAAGAAAATGTAGAGCTCTACGTTAGCGTCTATAAGAGCGGCCTATTATAAGTAGGTATAGAACTTTCTTACCTCTCTACTAGGCTTAATCTACCTATTCTATAGCTAGCTAGTATAAGGCATAGAGCTGCTTAGTATATATTACATAAACATATCTATAAATAAGTACTGCAATCTATTCTTTATTAAGAGTCTTCTTGCCTTAGTGCCTTGCTACTATAAGTACTTCTAAAGAGATAACACGCTCTAGATTATCTATTACTTTATTCTAGAAGTAGTAGGTAACCTACTTACCTAGTACCTATAGTTAGTACTTCTCTATACGCAAGAGCTCTAGGCGTAGACGCTAGTAAATACGCAAGAGAAGTATTACTTTTATACCTTTAGTAGCCTAATCTAGTCTAACTATAATAGAAATTAGTACACTAAGGCTAGTCTTCTTTACAACGTTCTTGTCTAGAGTATAGAGGCGTATCTTAGTAAGTAAATTAGTATTCTTCTACTACGCTATATAATTATTGCTATTAGAAGAAAGATTCTAGGTAATAATTACTTTACTAAGAGTGTTAATAAAGATAACATTCTCGCTATACTAAACTAAATAGAGAGTAACGCGCTAGAATAGAAGGCTAGATACTCTATCTAGATAGTAGAGACTAACTATGTAAAAGATATTAATTACGTATTTAACGTCTTCTTCTATAAGGTAGATACGTAATACTGTAAGAGCGTAAGGTATTACTAATTTAAGGTATAGAAAAAGCCTACTATAGAAGACTTTAACGCTTCTATCTATATACTACAGGACTCTAGCAGCTAGCCTACTACCTATATACTAGGTAGCGAAGTTGTCTTTACGTTACTAGTACTATACTATACTAGATAGTATTACAAGATTAACCTAGATATAGTACTTAAGAGTCTATTTAGTATATTTACTACCTTCTATAGGTATTAGCGTAAGGTGCTTAAGAGAATAATATATAACTAGAGTCCTATTATCTACGTAGCTAGTACTAGAAGTAGTAAGAGTATTGCGTTTCTACTCTCTACTAGCTGTCTAGAGTATTATTAGGTTATTCTAGTTGTGCCTCTAGTTGCTCTTTATATTAATATACTATAATACTATTATAATTTCTATATTTACTATAAGGAATAGAATTCTCTACACAACTCTAATAATACTAAGCTAGTTCTTGTTATACCTAAATATATTAAACGCGAATTCTTTATAAAATATACCTAGCGTATATATATAAGTAGCCACCTAGAGCGTATTATTATAGACAAGTGCTACTTTACCTTCTTACCTAGATTAGAGTACTAGCTCTGTCTCTAGAATCTAGATAACCTAGCCTACTCTAGTATACTAATAGCATTTCTAATAGCTACGTTGCTACCTGTCTAGAAGCTAGCTGCATAGAATACTCTTAGTATTAGTACTATTCTGCGTTATGTATACTAAGAGCTAACTACTAGAAAAAATATCTACTATAAGGTGTATTCTATAACCTTATTCTAGTAGCCTACTACTAATAATATAGCTTTGTATATTTACTAGCTATATATATAGCTAGATAGCTATAAGAAGATAGTAGTCTTTATACTCTATATATATATTACTAAGAAGCTAGTAGAAGCGCTGTTCTGTCTATATTTCTATAGAGAGCTTGCTAAAGATAATAAGAACAAGATTATAGAGTAGTTCTTAGTACTTTCTTCTAGCCTTCTCTTAGCTACTAGTACCTTTAGCTATAGAGTATATAATAGAACTATTCGCGTGTGTCTATATATAGAGCCTCTAGATAGGCTTATATAGCTTAGTTAAGAGACTAGGCAGGTAGGCTAGAACGGGAAACTAGCTATAGCCTGTATTCTAGTTACCTCTACTCTATTAAGCTACCTAGAAAAACAACTCTACTAGAAATAATAGGCTATAGTAGTATTCTTATAGATAGAGGTAAAGAACTATAAATGCTGTCGCGTAGTATTAAATAGCTATCTAAATAGAAATATAAGCTACGTTACTTACTAACTAGACAAAGCTACCTATAATATATACTATAGATATATAGTTAGAGTATAGTCTATCTACGCTGTAAATTTAATCTAGAACCTACTTGCCCTCTACTAGGTAGACTGTAAGCAGAAGCCTATAATAGTAAGTTAAGGGGTTCTACCGCCCGTGCCTAAGAAGAACAATACCTATCTAGTACTTAAAGACAAGCTATCTACTACTTCTCCGCTCTACCTAGATAGAGCTATGTTGCTAAGAGGGTCTATTTCTACACTAGTGTAGGCTAACTCTCTTATTCTTAGCTCTAAGAAGACAAGAACTAACTCTATACTTTAAGTACCTATATTATTATAAGGTAGAACAGGTTCTACTCTATTAGCGCAGCTAGAAACGTAAAGCTAGACTCTCTAGGTTGTATATAAGATACCTTAACCTATTCTAACGTAAGATGTAGGTAGGTCTCTGCCTAGTATAGTACTATAATCTTAGCTAACTACGCTAGACACATCTATATAGTAGCTATCTATAAAACGTATATATTCTCTTACTACTAACAAGGAGATTATAGAGAAGAAGCTCTAATAGGCGCGAAAGTAAGCTACTCTTATACGCGACTATTAGAATATAGTATAGGCTAGCAGCACGCTTATAACTAAGCGTATACCTACTATAGTTTAGTTCTAGTTAACCTACTATAGCATCTATATAGTAGATTGCGTAGTGTAGAGCTTTACGTATATACGCGTAGGCTGCTTAGTATACTATAGCTAGAACATAATAACTATAAGGTAGAAAGTAAACCTAGAGAAGATTATAAAAAAGCTACAAAAGAGGAACTAGAGTTTCTACTTTACCTACTTTCTACTATAGGCTCTTTGTAGGTAGTAGAATTTATAGCTTATCTAAGGTATAGATTATACAGACTAGTAGGTAAATAGTAAAGACTGTTAATAGCTCTAAATTATACCTAACCTATAGACCTCTCTCTAGGCTAAACACCTAGAGTATTAATAGGAGCTAACTAAGCGTGCTCTTACCCGCAATATAGATCTTTAGTATTAGATAGAGTAGAAGAGATACTATAAGAATATACAGGCGTTTAGAAAGTACTAGTTACTAAATATTATGTTAGATATATTATATATTATAGAGAAGTATTTTCTCTAGAAGCTAGAAAGCTATCTTAGCTATTAGAGCTAGTGTAGAGTTTAGAATCTAGTATACATTTATACTTTCTATAGTCTATAGAATATAGAAATAGTATAGTACGCCTATTATAGTAATTCTACTATTTAAAATAGGGATAATAAGTAGGTAAGGTAGGTTAGCTACTAGAGCGGGGAGAGGTCTAGAGTTAGAACAAAAGGTATAGAAAAACTAGGTCTAAGCCTAAACTCTAGTCTAAGGCTAACCTACTAGAAGAAGAATATATAGAGGGGGGGAGATAACTCTATTCTTAAATTATTACAAGAGCTATAGTCTCTCGCGGTAGTAAATAGAGTAGTAAATAGAGAGTAGAAGAGTAAATATAGAAATACGTAACTAATATTAATTAGGTTACTATAGCTAGACTAGGTAGAAATAGGTACTATATAAGAGCAAAGTATATAGAGTAGAAGAGTAGACTTAGTATAGAAAGCACGTTCGCGAACTATATGCGTAGGCAGAGAGAGGGTTAGAGATTAGAATAAACAAACGCGGTTAGATAATAACGTAGCTAGGTAGACTTAGCGTAGTACTAGCGCTAGCTTTAATAACTACGCTACTTAAACTAAAACATTAATACCTACTCTCTCTCTCTATCTTACCTATATACCTACACAGCCGCTATATTTGCTCTTAATTAAATAAAATAACGTCTATTATTAATTTCTATATATATTCTCCCTACAGCGCTTGTAAAAAAAGGCGTTAGAATTACCTGTAGAGGTAATAATAGCGCGCTATAGGCGCGTGTAAGTTTAAGATAAAGGTAGCTAACAAAAATTTTAAAGTCTAACGTTACTCTCTAGCTTAGACTTGTTCTAAGCCTAAACTCTCTTCTTCTCTCTCTTTCTATTGTTACTTCTTCTATTTAGCACTCTTTCGCTCGCCCCTAGGGCTTAAAGTTGTCTAGGCGTTTAAGAAAGAAGAGTTGTATTAAAGGCTAGTATTCTCTATTACAAGCCTAAACCCCTCTTCCCTCTATTAGTAAGTTTGCTAATATAGTTAAGCACTATATTTTAGTACTATATTTTCTAGCGCAGTAGTAATGTTAACCTTATAAGACAAAGATAATTATGCTAACCTATAAGAAGCTAGTTAGAGTAAGTAATTAAGATGCTAGTAGCGAAGAGACTAAATACTAGTAAAGTTATAAAGGTTCCTTCTTAAGTAGAAGAAGAGGGTAGAAGAGGTTTAGAGTTAGAATAGTTTATTTCTAGTCTAAACCTCTCTCTTACCTATACTCTATCTATTACTTTTATAAGAATCTTGCTAACTATATATAGTAGTTAAGAACGTCGCTTTATTCTAGTAATTGCCTACTACTAAGCTAGGTACGCCTAGTAAGAGTAGAGACGTCTATATAGTAGATACTAGCGCTATAATTTTAGCTTAGCCTACTACGCTAAAGGCACACGCCTCTACTTCTAATACCTTACCTAGCTAGCAACGCGACACGCTACTTAACCTATTTAAGAAGAACGCTAACATAACTCTAGCTAACATAGCTTTTATCTTAGTTAGACCTCTTAACGCGCGTGTTAATTAGCTAATTACTAGAGCGCTTTATAGTTAGGCCGCTATAGTTCTCTACCTTAATAAGTTAGAGTAAGAGATTAGAGACTTTATAGTATCTAAGTACGTGTAGCTAAAAATACGCAAGTTTGTCTAGAAGATTATACTTAGTAGAAAGTAGTATTAGGTAAACTAACACCTCTCTAGATAGAAAGCTACTATTCTACTACTAATTAAGGCTAATATTAGCGTAAATAAGTTTACGTCTCTAGAAGAGGACAACGTTAAATATTTTAACTATAAGAAGATAGTAGCGTACGTTGTTGTTTAAATCCGCAAATATAGCTTTAATAAGAAGAGTAGCCTCTTCTACTAGAGCGGCGTTTCTATTAGCCTCTAGAATAAGCGTGCCTATTAGCTCTTCTAGCTTACTAAGACGTAGACGCTGCTTTAGATATCTAGCGCTTCTAAGAATCTCTTAAAGAAGTAGAACGCGAAGGCTAACGCTAGGTTAAAGAGTAGTAGGCCTAGTAGCTACTACGCCTAGCGTGCTCTGCGTAATAGTAATTTATAGATATTATTACCGTGTTATTCTTGCACGTAATCTTGTAGTTAGACTCTACTACCTAGCTCTAAACTAAACACTATACTTAACGTATTATTTAATAAGAAGTTAGTAGGCGAGTACATACGCGTAGAAGTTAACGTAAATATTAATAAAGTAGAACTTAGCGTAATAAGCTAATATAAGGTTCTACTAGCTAATACTAAGATTAAGCTAAACGCGCTCTTCTAGAGCTTAGATAAGTATAACGTAATAGACGCTATTTAACTACGTAAGTAGCTTAGGCGCCCCGTCTCTAAACTATATAATTCTAACTTCTACTCTAAATAGTTTAATAAGAACAAGGTTATTAGCAGTAATTACGTTATAGGCTTTAGCTTTAACAAGAACTATATAATAGATTAGAAAGATAGTAGTTACCTAGACCTATCTTATAACTTTATTAAAGATTGTAAGCGCGACGCTAAGCTAGGTACGTATTCTACTAGTATAAGAAGCTCTAGAGAGAGAAGAGAGAGGTTAGGCTTAGCACTTTTAGATTATTCTAAGTCTAAACCCCCTCTTCTCTCTTAAGTTCTTTTTCTAATTCTAGTTTAATATTAACTCTTCTATAGGATAACTATAAGCAGACTCTAATATACTATCTACTTTAGTATTAAGCATATAGTAGATAGCTAATAAGCTATAAGATATATACGCCTGTCTTAAACGTATACGTAGTAAAGAGCTTATAAAGGCGGCTAGAGCTTACGCGATTAAGTAGAGTATTTACTACTAGTTAGCGTTCTTCTATAATAAGGAGCTTTAGCAAGCTTTCTAGGCAACTTACGGCGGTAACTTTAGCTAGATAGTGCTTAATAAGGCCTAATACAAGGGCGTAGAGAATATATTACTAGAAGATAAGAATAAAGCCTAGGTAGTACTAGACAGCTAGCTTAAGGCCTTAGACCTAGCTAGCGTGTGTGCAACGTAGAATAACAAAGAGTTTTAACAACGTAGTCGCAAAACCTACGCTCTATTAAATAATAATAGATTTTAGCCTTAGAACTATTAGAGCTTATGCAAGTAACTATAGGTAGAGTATTAATTAGATTCTTAGCTTCTAGGTTAGTATAGTAAGCATCTTCTCTAGCTGTAAATAACTAGTACTACAGCTATCTAATAACGCTATTAGAAACTAGAGTAATAACTACAACGCTACTAATAGTAGAGTATACTACTAGTAGATATAACTAGGCTAGAGAAGACATAGACAATACTAGTAGCGCGTCTTAATGTAGGCTTAGAACCTCTCCCCTATTAGCTATAATAGGCTGCTAGAAGAGAAGAGAAGAAGAGAGTAGGCTAGAGGTTAGAGGTCTAAACAACTCTAATACTCTAAGCCTAAACCTCTTCTCCTTCTTCTCTTCTCTTTCTATCTTTTGTATTTTACATCTAATACTAATTCTCTTAGTACTTAAACAAGCGTAAAGTTACTATATAGTAGCTCTTTAATAATAAGAATTAGGCTAGCCTAAAAGCGTTCTCTCTGCCTTGCTCTATAATAATTATTACCGCGCCCTATCTAGTACGCTAAACTACCTAGAAGATTGCCTACTTTAGCAGCGTCTTTAAACTAATTATGTACAGTAGTAGTTCTAAGGCGAAGAAGGTAGTAGTAATTAATAGCGTAATAATTTAGCGTAAGATTCTATATTACAACTCTCCCTTCTTTAATACTAGGCTAGAATTAAATATCTATATAGTACTTGTTTACTTATATAACCTTGCTATAATACGCTATAGGCTACTAGCTTAGATTACCTAGCTAAAGAGGGGACGTAAGTACACGCAAGATAAGCTTAAGTAGACTACTATAGAGCTTCTATTTACAACTACTAGAGGCGGCACCTAGCTAGCAAATCTTTAAGACCTAATAGGCTAGGTTGTAGTAGATAAGGCGTAATTAGTAAAGAACTTCTTCGCAACTTAGTTCTACGCTATCTAGTAGATCTATCTTAATTTTATCTTGTTAATAATAGCTACACCCGTTTTATAGCGTTACACTAATATAGAAGGCCTTCTCTTCTTTCTCTAGAATCTTGTTAATAATATAGAAGCCTATAGCTACTTTAAGAAGCTAGATACTATTAACGTCTATAATAAGAATTACCTAGCTAAATTCTACTACTTCTAGCTTATAGCAGCTACGTTCTACTAGTAGGTTTCTTAAAACACCTCTATCT